CATTGCGGATCACTGGCGGTGTCCGCCGGACCACCCAATTTCCCTTGCCGTGACGCAGAGAGCGGCGAGAACGGGCCCAGCTGTCGAGAGTAGATCCCTTTTTGGTTCCTGCCATGCGCGGCATTGAGGCGCCGCGTCAACGCGTAACAAATACATATTACTGTCGATATGCTGGCGGGGCTGGACTGCTCGAAGACGCGTGGTCTCGGGCAGCCCACTACTGGTGGTCGTCACTGGGGCGTCATCAGTCGTGGGCCGCCCAGCTGCCACGGGGTATGAGGGCCAGCGCGATTGATATGAATCCCCGCGTAAATCAGACGGACGACGCCGAGCAGAAGGCAGGTGGTATCCCGATGCTGCACCCGAAATGTACAGATCTGGACAACAGGGGGCTGGAGGCCAATGCGAGCCAAGGACGACCAGACGGATGCCGATGGGCGCTGAAGGAAGGTGCAGCCAGGCATTGTGCCTGGCACACACACCCGTTTGCGTCTGCCGCGGGTTGATGGTTGTGCCTTCTAAGCTGCATCCAGCAGCCAGCCCGCTTGCCACATCGCACAAGTGGACGAGCCAACTCCATCGCACTTTTTTGCATCACGCCCTTGATTGCACGAGCATAGCGTACTTGGGAGCACCTGGGTGGATGCATCGTGTTCAGTTGACGATTGTCAGGATCAAGCTAGTGTGACACCACAACCCCGCCCGTCGTAGATAGACGGGCACACTGCCCAGCACACCCTGGTCAAAGAATGCACTACGGAGTACGTAAGTAACCTTGGAACACGACAACGAAGCGCTGCACGTTTACAGGGCTGTAGAACCCCGGGTTGACATCACCTATCATCGCAGATTTACAGGCTGCCCATCTCAAGTGGCGCTGCAGATAGCGTCGACCTAGCGGGGACCCAGTGACTTCTCCGTGCCTGGGCAAAGCCATTGCTGCGCAGCCGCGAATCAAGAAGACGCGCGGAACGTTTGAACGGAATTGGGATCGGCCTATAAGCACACGCTTCTCGGCATCTGTCGAAGGTCGTAAGTGAAGTCGGGTGTTTCACGCTGTCCGGGGTTGACAGCTGCTGACGCCGCCTTTCCAATAGCACCCTCCAAAGCCTTGTGTCAAAACTTGGTACACTCGCAGAAGGTGGCCTGCTGAGGTCGAAGGATCTCAGACCCTACATTTGCGCGCCGCTGCGCTCCATGACCAGCCATCCTATGGCATGCAGCTGCGGTGAAGAGATGCTGTCGCGCCGCATGTGCCAACCGCATGACGGGGGTGGTAGAAGAAGTCACGAGAACGCTACCCCTGTGCTTTCCTGTGCTTGCTCGCGACCACATCTACTGGCTGTCACGACGTTTGCCATCATGCAAACCCACGAAGTCAATGATCGCGAGCCTCATTCCTGGGTAGCACCACACTGCCTTGACATGAGAACTGGTGCGTCGATCCCTATCCGACTGGGCAGATCGAAACAAGACTGCGTCTTTCTGGGCGAACAGGCCCCATTTTCAAACAAATCGTTGTTGGACCAGATGGGATTTGCTAGCCGAGCAATCGTCACGCCCCCCAGCCAGAAGCGTATTGGGCACAAATGCTGGACCAGCCTGCATGCGGTGTATTCTTATTGGGCACACCCTCCAGACACGACCAATGAAAGCGGACCTCCACCACAAAAAGGGCATGTGCCTGCGCAATGCACAACCCTGGCTCACTCCGTTTCATGCTTTGGACGTGAGATCTCTGTATCCTGGTTCACTCCTCCAATGCAGTGTCATGACGAGGGCCGCATGCCAGAGTGCATTCGAGATACGTGGATAAGGGCTGGAAGCAGACTTTCGATTTCGGGCGATTGCAGTGTTGCTGCTCAGGTAAGCGGCAGATCAGAGGACGGCGGCAGGTATTCTGAGTGTAATGACCCCATGCTTGACCGCATGGCGTGCCTGTCATGATCGCATGAACACGACGATCCCGCGCATGGCTCTGGTGCTTGCACTAGCTAGGAAACAAAACAAACATGTTTCCGCCAGGCAGAATTACCCGAGGCAGTCCCTCATGAACGCCGAGTATTTGTGGCCAGGATCTGGCTGGAGTAGAACAGGGCTTCAGCCGGTCTTCTGGAAGGCAGACCCTGGCAGCGCCATGGACACACTATCACTGCGGGGACTGACGAGTAAATTTAGCACTTCGTATCCAGATCCGTCTGTACGCTGTGGAACGCAACGCCCGTCCTTCATCGAGTTCGTGTCCGTTGGTCCCCGCACTAGGGAGCTGGTGCACCGGCCTGGCATTCACCCACTTCCTTCGCCGTCCAGCGACAATCAAGCAGAAGCATGCAAGCCTCCGGGCGGGGGATATCACCCGCGCAGGCGCGACAAAAGGGTCCTTTCCGACAAACGCCCTATGGATTGCCCAGGAAACCAAGCTCTGCGATGTGGGCAAGGCATTAGACCCTTATGCTATCAACGCGCCCCACGCCTCCGTGAGCGCCGCAAGACGGTTTGAGTGTCACGACTGCCAACTGCGTCTGACTCGCCAGCCCAGCATGCACGATTGCGACGAGCGACAGAGCTCATGCGCGACTCGCTCGAAACTGCCAAGTATTAAGAGTAGTGCCCACGGCCAGGCGGGTTCTTGCTGTAGATACACGACTCAGCTGTCGAGTGCTGAACGGGGACAACGGGTGTGTCCACGGACCAATTGATCCAGCCTCCTCTTTTTCCGCATCAAGTTGCAAGAGCACACCCACGATGGACAAAGAAGCCCCTGATGCGACCCAGCACGGTCCGTTGCATGCGCCCGCCCGACCAGGGACATGCGAACACCATCGTCACATGGACTGGCCCACGTGAGCACTCGGACGCGGGCCTGTCATAGATGCAGCTGCAGGCACTTTGCAGGGACGCATCTCACCTGCGAGGAGGAGGCGCCAAGTTGCTCGACGTCGCCCAGGATGTATACACTACCATGGTTGTACACACGCAGCCCATGCTCAGGTTGCTGCAAGTCCCCGCGCTGCGCAGCAAACCCTGCCCCAGCTGCAATGCCGTGTCCCACAATGATACAGCCTTTTGTGCGCGCTGTCCTACGGTTATGGCGGCATGGGCCCGTCTTCTGGTTTGCCAATTGCTCGGAGCTCGCCGCCGGCGCACTGCTACACATCATGCACATATTCGTGCGTTGCACGAGCGTATGGGGCGCGCAGGTTGGAGATTGGGATTTGGAGTTTGGGGGTTCTTGGAGCTTCTTGGAGCTCTCCAAGCTCTCATCGTTGCAAGCAAGGGTCCTCTGCACAGTCTGTCTGTCTGGCTGGCTGTGGTTCAGTTCAGGCTATGCTCAGCCCGCAGCTGGCCCAAGCCAACACAGCCAGCGGCAAGCATGCAGCACGACTTTTTGATGCATCGTGCACCGTTCGCCGCAGGGATTCCTCAGCCGGCCGGCTCGATGCACCACTCAGCTGTCTATGTGGTCAACAATGACGCAAGTGTCGTTGTTGTGCCCCCGGGTGCCTTTGCTGGTCGGCCGGCCACCCGCTCAGAGACACAGCAACATGCGTCGTACACCATTCTGAGTAGAACATGGCCCTGTCCGATACACTGCCTCTCTGGAGTTGGTCTTGGTCGCCCTTGGATGTTGGGATGCCCTGGTACATACCTTGAGGTAAACCTAGTGCCAGCTTCTGCAACGAGGACCACCTGCTGGCACAGGAGATGATGTCCCAGCAAGCCCTGGACGGAGCTCCAGCCGGCAAATCCGCAGATATAATTAGTGGTTAGCATCGGCATGAACTCAGTCAGTGACCATTCCTCCTACGAGGATTGTCCCCCAAGCCACTTGACTAAGCGACGGGTACTTGCATGGCGTGCTCTCACTTGGGGTGACCTCCAATTGCGACCCGTCACTTGGCGTATGCAGCTTGATTAGAATTCTTTGCCCTTGGAGATGATCGCCGGCATGGAGCGAGCAACTCCACCGTTTTGCTGGCCATGCGCATTGAAGCCGGTGTGCCAGCGCATCGGAGCTGACGTCGTCGTCATCTTCCCGCTGTCAGAGATGCTGCGCCAGTGGCCCTCATGATGGCTGGATCAGGGGTGCACGCATGCCGGGTGAGAGGTGGTGGCTTATGTCGATCACGGCAACCCTGCGCTTAACAAGGCAGTTCGTGAGAGGAGGAGGTACCTGAACTGTCAACGACCAGATGCCACTGATTCTGATTCATCACCAAAACAGGTTCTTCCCACTTGCCCGCACGACTGGGTTGGGGTCTGCCCCCATCTGCGCCAACAGCTCCGCAAATGGCTTGCTGCAGGCTTGCCTGCTTACCTCACTTACCTACTTGGCGTGGAGATGACTTCCTGGGGGCTGTGACTGCAAACCGGCTCGGCCCATGAACTCGAGGTCAGCACAGCCTGCCACCTTGCACAACATCACGACTCTGCATACAGCGCCCACCGGCTTGTGTACAACGGCCGAGGTGCTTCTCACTTGCTCCTCGTGGCAGTGTCATGCGGCTCATATTTCCACCACCAGCCGTCCGACCCCAGGGCATATGCGTGCGAGCTGTCGTCGACCTCCTTTGACCGCATCAGACCGACCCTGGGATAGTAGCGACTTGGATGTTCCAGCCTGTGTAGCGCAGCTATACCGAGCCGAGCCAAAGCAGAGCCGCCCGGTCGCCAGCACGAGACACGTCTGCTTGATGCGGTGCCGTGAGGCACGAACTGGCACGTCTATTTCGGGAACGACGACGACTTGGGGAACGCCTCGAATGTCGTGCCTCAGCGCGCGTGATCCACCCGACTGCCTGCCCGCCGAAGCCGGGCGGCGGCCATGAGACACCCGGGACAATGCCAGGAAGGAATGGGCAAAGGTGAACCCCCACACTCCGAAAATACTCACCGTGGCCGACAGCTGCCGAGGTGACAGGTCATCTCATGGAATGCACGGCATGGCCAAACCGACTGTCATCTGCTCCGCGTGCGGTTGCTGCTGCTGCTGCTTGTGGCTGACTGACCCGAGGGCGTGGTCGGCCGCCACCACCACCACCACCACCCCATGCACGCATATATGCAAGCATGCATGCTCTCTCTCTCTCTCTCACTCTCTTACCCATCCATATCCATAAAGCCGCTGCACGCATGTACGTACGTCTCGCGGAACATGCCAGCGTCCAGCTTACACGCAGTTCAACCCACCGCCGCCATAAGCCTACCTAGCCTTTTGTTGCTTCGGGCCTTTTGCATGGCGCGCGCGCGCAGAGTAGGGTCGACAAAAGGCGCTCGCATAAATTGCATGCACGGAGTGGACTACCATGCGGATGCTTGCAGCTACAGTATTAATTACTACTGCTGCTTTGCTTGCGGTGGTGTAACACAGACAACGCCTCCTCACGGGCGCAGCCGCCGCAGCATGGTTGCCTTGTCAGACAGGCGGCTTGTATCACGCACTCACGCACCACGATCCAGCGACAACAACAACAAAAACAAAAACATCAAAAACGCCCTGAGAGATATTTTTGCCCCCCCCCCGGCGCGGCGCCCGAGGAGGGTAACGCTGGGTGGCTGGGTGGCTGGGTGGCCCCAAAGTAGCGCCCGGGCATCGGCTGCGGCCACTGGTGAAAGGCGGACTGGATGTAAGGTCTCGGACCAAACGTGCATTGCATGTATGTAGACAGACAGACAGACAGACAGACAGACAGACAGACAGACAGACAGTCAGTCAGTCGGGTCGGACCCTCCGATGGCTTACGCATGCGGGCTGGTTCGTCCGTGTGCTGGCTGCTGCCCGCTGCCCGGAGCCGACAATGTCCTTTCTCGTCTTATGGGCTGACGATCTGTCTATCCTCTTTTCTCGCGAGGCTGCTCGGGGATATCCCGAGCAATGCTGCAAACACAATAGTCTATCGTGACGATGCATCCCGCTTGCGGCTTGACCCGGCGGGGGAAAACAAGAAAGTCAGCCCGAATGGTGAAGACCCCAGGGCTGGTTGAGTTCTTACAAACGTCAAGCTAAAAAACCTGCGCCGCCCTGGCCCCCTCCTCCGTGCTGGTTACACCACATCTCCACAGATCGTACTCCGCGATGTCTGGCTGGGATATGTACATGGACATCCGGGCGACTTTCTCGTCCCATCGGCGGCGGCTGCTTCGTCGAGTTAGGCAAATGTTGTTGGGTGAAAGAAGGACGAAAGAGGCGGCCCATATGCCCGCGTCCTCTTCAGGAACCCAGCCAGTTTAGGGCGTGGGACCCTCCCTGTCTTGTCACGTCGCACAAAGACACTTTCTCGTAGGCTTTCGTCCTCTTTTCAGAAGCCAGCCAGTCAGAACGGGGGGCGTGTGACTCTCTGTCTGTCACGTCGCACAAGACAACTTCTCGTCGTAGGAGGCTTCTCCCCGGAGGCTGAGCCCGAAGCACCGGGTGGCGAGGGCAGATGTTCGCTCCCGAGTCAAGGATCTCACCTGCACACGCACACAACGAGCTTAGAATAGTGGAAGACATCTGATATCCACGTCCAAGAATAGATCTTTATATACGTTTATTTAAGTTAAACATGTCCTTTACTAGTGTATCAAATAAAACCATCGCTGGGGGGAGCTGGGCGTGATATGTCGCCGTGGGTGGCGATGATATAAACCTTAAAGGGAATGCCTCTTGTCATCTCCTCTCCAAGTAAGCAGAGACACATGCAAAGTGATTGTCTGCTTTCTGAAAATAAAATAAAAGGGCCGCTGACATCGCCGAGTGGTCCGTCACGGCTTCGACCAGGCAGAGTGGAGTCGTATAACGGTTTTTCTCCTTTCCCCAAAAAGCTCATCCCGAAAAGATTCAATATTCACTTCCGTTGCAAAATACTGCCGTAAGCTAGTTTGACTCGAGCTGGTTTTTTATTTATTTAAAAGCATGCGAGAAATACAGGATGGGCTACTGGTGTAAGAGAGAGCGCGCTTCCCGGTGGCCATTGGAGTTTGCTTGCTTGGAACAAAAACAGCTCAATGGCTGAATTGGAGTGTCAGTGATAAGAGTCGGCGGCCGATGTTGGAACTAGAGGAGCTGTATGACAGCGAGGTTGAGATTTACTGCAGAAACAAGGCGGTTTAGTAGGTCGATTTCACATGGACTTTGTGTTCTCGTAGCCTTGGTTTCTAGAACAATGACGAGGCCCATGGTGTTTCCCTGTTGATATAGATTATCGATGCTTTCCATGCCTCACCACATTTGAAATCAGCTTCCTGTTTGAAAAGTCTTTTATAAGTTTCTGGAAATATAAAATAAAAGTTCACAACTAGCAGCCCGCCTCACCAGTCACCGCCCTCTCCAGCAGCAACATACTCAAACTCATCCTCGCCGTCCTCCTCAAACGTGCCGTACAGCGTGACAATCTCCTCCTTGTCCCCGTCCTCCCCGTCGCCCTTCTTACCAGGCAAAAGATCACCCAGAGGCACCGCAATCGTCAGGAACCCGTCCCCCAAGAGGCGCAGCTTCGCGGTGACCTTGCGTCTACTGTTGCTGCTGCTGCTATCCTCCACGCCAACAGCAGCAGTAGGAGCAGCAGCACCGTCGTGCTTGAAAGTCTGTACCAGCTCTACCAGACCTCCATCTTCCTCCCCCGCAACGACCTCCGCGGGCCGCCGGACGGGCTCGAACCGCACATGCCTCTCCCCGACGTGCAGCGTGGCCAGCAGCTCCCCGGGCTGGAAGCTCCCCGGGTACAGCTCGTTGGCGAAGTCGGTGTCGTAGAACTCGAGGACCCACTCGTCGCACTCCTGGTCGTAGGCCTCGAACCACGAGGGCGGCAGGTGCGAGAGGAGCTGGGGCGAGAAGAGCGTCCACGTGCCCTCGGAGATGTTGTCGAGCGGGAAACTGACCGCGCCCGCTGCCGGGGAGGAAGCAGAAGAGACGAGTTTGGATCTCTGGGCGAGGACTTTGTCCTGCGCTGCCTGGTGGGCCGCTCGGAGCTCGGCCGGGGTGATTGAAGGAGGAGGAGGCATTTGTCCTGTGTGGGTAAAGGACTCTGTGCAATGGATTTGTTTGTGTGTCTGTTTGTTGATGGCTTGATTGCTGGTTTGTAATTTTTGTTTGTTTTTTGTTTCCTTTTTGTGTTTTTCTGCCTTTGAGATCTCCTTATTGCTTGGATAACACAAATGATAACGGCTGTGTGGAATTATACCGAGGAAGCACCTTTGGCTTGCACGGCGTATGCTTGGTTGTCTCTTCTTAGATCCTTGCTTCACGGGTTTGTCTCGAAGTGACCTGTGAGCTGAGTTGGGGTGCTTAGCACGCGTTCTCTGATGATTCGTGATTCGATGGATTAGTTGCTGTACAGCGCTGTTCTGCTTCGTCCTTTCTCCGCTCAAAAACGAGGAGGGGGCACGCACGAGAGGGAAAAAAAAATCCCCACACCGCTTTCCACCACCGTGCGTTGTCGTCAACAACTGAATCTATAGAGGATGAATTGGCCACTTCGTGTCGATGAGGGGCTGCTGCATGTACTATCCCGACATACCACGTCCATTGCTTGAGATTCCGTGGCGGCAAGACCACTACGAACGCCTCTGCTAGAATTGCAACAGTGCCATGTTGATAATGTCCGGTAACCCGCCAAACGCGATATTCATTTTATTACACCAATGTGCTATCTGCAGATATCTGCAAGCTACATCTTTTAGTCCAGGTCCTCCTCGTCATCCACCTTTGGCGCCGGACTCTTGGTCTGGCTCGGCGTGCTCGTCCTCGAAGACGACTTGCGCAGGAGCCCGCTCGCGCCGCTCTTGGCCCACCCTCCGTTCGTGACAAGGTTCATGGCCTGGTGCTCGGCCTTGCGCACGGTCGCCGCGGCCGCGGCCTCTTCGTCACTGCTCGTGTCGTAGTCGTCTTCGTCCTCGTCGTCCTTGAGGAGGTCGTCGTCTGGTTGCAGGTTACGGCCGCGCGAGTTGAGCGTGCGCATCTGCACCGACGAGCCCGGCGTGTCGGCATAGAGGTTCGGATCACGCCCCAGGACCCGGTCGGCTTTCGAGGGGATCTTACGCCCCATGGAAGACATCGAAGGGGACGGCGGGCCGATGTAATGCCTGCCGGCCCCGGTCGGTCGCTCAGGAACGACAGGCACAACAGGTTCGCCCCAACCAGCAGCAGCTTCACGCTGCCTCTGCGCCGCGCGCTCGTTCGAGAGGCGCTCCCGCGCAGCGAGCCACTTGGGACTGGCCTCCCACGACCACCCGTCTCCTGTCGTGTTGATGATGGGGAAGAACCACAGCAATGGCTTGGGTCCAAACAGGTGGAGCAAGTTGCGCTTGACACCGAGGTCAAAGGCGTTGGGCAGCTTCTCCGAGTCCTGCTCGTCCATGTACTCCTCGTACCGCCGGCGAGCCCGGTCACGCTCCATCTCCTGGTACGACATCTGCCGGGGAGGGATCGCCTGCTCGTGGCTTCTGCGATACGTCTCGCCTTCCTCTGGCCGCGTGACGCCCGGGAGCGCATTGGCATGCATGTCTACTATCTGCTGCCCGTAACCAGGCTGTTGGCCGCCCAGGCCGCTATGCTGCGACTCAAAGTGGTTCTGTAGGGTCTTGCGCAGGGGGCTCAAGTATCTGGTCTTCTCGAGACATTCAATAGTGGTCTGCCCGCGCGAGGCGAGCATGATGTGCCACACAGTGAACGCGCCTACTGCCAGACCGATAATCCCAGAGATGACTGCGGCGAGGATATAGTTGACCGGCAGTAGCGTAGCCTCGTACTGGGTCTGTTCGTTGAGCTCAGCATAGACCCAGGTGCCGGATATGCCGAATGTGAAGAGGCAGAACATTGTAGTGTAGATGAGAAACAGCAGGAAGGCCTTGTGGTTCCGGAGGCCGATGCAGGTAGCCAGCCAGGGGCAGTGATGGTCCATCTTGAGCACACAACGGCGGCAAGTCGAGCAGTGGTGTGCGCGGTCGGGTTTGCGAGCCTGGCACTTTTTACAGAAGCGCATCTCGCCGTTGGACTTGACTGTGAACGAAGTGGCCTGGGGCGCCGCTGTGGTGGGAAGCGTCGCGTAGCCCGCATGGTTTGTCGTGGCGCCCGGGTCGGTGAAAACAGCTGTGGTGTAGCACCAGTTGAGCATGCCATAGAGCACAAGAGCTACGGCAGAGGTTTGTGTTCCTAAAGATTCACAAAGCCCTAGTTAGCAAGTGTCGTTCCCAGCGAGGTACACACACCCTCCCTTGCAGAACAGGATCAACTTACCTATCCAAGGAGTATGAGAAGCATGGGAGCCGATGCTGCAGTCAACCCAGACAGCCCATGTGGTCAAGCCATAGACGAAGGCGAGTGGAAAATATGTGAGGCAGCCGCAAGCACACCGTTCGAGCCGACGCGCCCACCGCATCACCATGTTGGAGGGTTGTGTTGAGGACCGCGAAGACGCGCAGTCCATATGCTCAGCTGCCGATTATTCCAAAAGGGCGAGCGGTCGTGATTTTGATCGAGTCGAAATTGCCCAAGTGTCGTCGGTACTGTAGTTTGGGCCGATCCGCTACGTCGATTGCATCGTCGCTGGCAAGGATCGACGTAACGGTTGAGGGGTGTGAAGGGCGGGCGGCGCACCGAGGTGGTCGCGGCAGGACGGGATTCTAGTGTTGTGACAGCTGGTCGCCGGTCGCTGGCGTCGGCTGAGACGGGCGTTGCGAGGTTCCGGACAGACTTGTCGAAGTGTGTCCAAGTTGTTGTTGCGGTTCTAGTCGAGGACAACAAGCAAGTCGGGGGAGCTGCAGATGACAGATGGAGGGTGAGGTGAGGCTTAGGCGGGTCGGCTGTGCTGCGCTCTGTCCGCGTCACGCCGCCTCAGGGGGCTCGACCCCTGGGCCTGGGGCGGATCGTCCGGAGTCAGGGCGGGTCCCCAAGGGGACATTTCCACGTGCAGGCACTAATTAATAGTCCCTGACTTATCCAACTGGGTCTGGAATATTCTTAGGTCAGCCTCAATAGTGTCTCTCTCTATGCGCTCTACAGTCAACCCATCGCCGGACTGTCTCCCGTGATCGTCCTGGCTCTATCTTATGCACACTACGCTACAGCTAATGGGAACTACACCGTGGCTCCAGCTGTTCCGAAACCAGACTCCTGTCATACGCACGTGCTTTCACTTATGCGAAGCGCGTCGCTGGAACTGTTTTTCTACAGCTTGCTCACGGGCTTGGCAAGCACAGACGGATTTGACTGCGCTTTGTTTGCGTCCCCTCAGCACGCTCACCATCCGTTAGAGCCTCTGCTCTGGAGCTCAGATCCCTCCTAGAAACCTAGCCCACCGCCGTGCGCGCTCTTGTTGCGCAAGTTCTCAGCTGCCCTTTCATCCACAACGATTTCCGTCATGTCGCCGCGTAGCTCGTCTATGGATATCTCTCGCTTGTCGCCATTCTCGTCTTTCACGTTGATCTTTGCGTCCAAGATGCCTCCTGTTAAGGTGGAGAGAACCTGTCGGAATTTGTCCGTTTGCCTGCAGAAGCACTTTACATATGCTGTTTCGATGTGCCGCAGAAGGGCGGTCTTCCCCGGAAATGAACGACCACATGAAGGGCAGATCTCGGGTTCAGCCCGATGAATGGGGCCTTTGAGATGCTTGATCAGCCCTTGTGCCGTGTCGGTCTTTGTTCTGCACAACCTGTTAAGCAAAGATCACTGAAGGTAGGTGCCCAATGTTGTCTGGGAACTACTTACGAGCAGCTTAGGTGAGGACACTTGAACTTGTCCAAGATGGGGTTCTTGAACACATCTGGGTTGAACCTTGGGTCGTATGGATCCTTGCAGAGCACTGCATCCCCATCTGCCGCACATGGCTTTGTGTAAAGAGCGACTCCGTGAGTGTGTTCGGCTGGAGGAGGGACTGCATTGTACGATCGCTTTGGAAAGAACGACTTGGCACCGCTCCAGGCATTTGCAGCCTTGCCGGTGTAGACGTCAACATCTCCCGAGAGCAGATCGAGCACTTTGGAGTCACCTGCGCGGAACTGGTTCGTAGGTAGCCGCGGGAAACTGCTCTGTTCCTTGTAATTCTGCTCGACGGCCGTCCCGTGGTGCACCTCAAAATTGTCGTAGGCTGGGCCTGGCACGTAGTCTGCCCAAGTGTCTGATGCCTGGTATGGCATGGCGAGATCACGGACCGGTGACTTGTCAGCTAGGGCGGTGCGGAAAGCCTGCAATTGCTGACGGCGGATTTCGAGGTCTCCTGGAAAGATGACCTTGCACTGGTTGTGCTCGACATGTTCCAGCCAAGAACCAGCGCTTGCGAAGTCGACCAAGCAGCCTGGGCATGTAATTTTCTCAACCTTCTTGTGGTCCTTGCTCGTGCAGATGCGTCAGTGTGGTGGCCGTGGGCTCTTGGTTGGGTCGTGGCCATACGACGGCACTTACACGTAGTTGGTGCTGGACGACAGATGGGCCGTCAAGGAACTGCCTGTGGCATATAGCGCATCGGAAGTGGCCCACGGTTCTCTGGTGCTTGAGCTTCTCCTCGCCAGACGGGAAAGTCTCGCCACAGCAAGGACAATCCCGTGGCTCGATTGCAGGGAGGTAGGTCTGGGTTGACCACGCCGACATGTTAGCTTGGTTGCGATGGATGCTGACCCGAGGTGGCCAACACGACTGCTGGTGGGTGGTAGAAATGGAAGTTCATCAGTGTTTTGAGAGAGGCCGTTCAAAATATATGTGTCTTGCTCTTGGCTGGTGAGCCCGTTGTGACTTGGACGTGAACCCGCCAGGGCTGCACCTGCCGCTAGATGACCTGTTTTGCGCATTGCTCGGGTAATGGCATCGATGTCCCGAGGCATCATTTCCTACAGCTGTAAGGGACAATTGATTCAACGGACAGATCGAGTTGAACAACAGCATTGCAGCGCTCAATAGTATGAAGTATTATTTTGTCTAGAGGCTGGACAACATTGCCTCAAATCGGGGCGTGCGCCACAAGAACTTTATGGTACGCATAATATGATTGATATCTGTTCTATGAGGTGGCTCTTGATGAGCTTCGCTGCCCAAGGATCCCTCTGATGATTAGAACTGTCAGCAAGCAGCAAGCATACAACACGTATCCAAAGTACCTTGTGCGTCTTTGACACGATGCTGTACGGCTGGGCTTGGCTTATATACGCTACTTGTGCAAGTAGCGTATATTTATAGCGTGCGTACTGGGTGCAGGCTGCAGGGTTCAGCGCACATACCCGAACCGGCCGGCTCCCGCGCCCCACACACCCGCCCCAAGTCAATTGGTAGTGTCCCCAGTGCCGCTGCAACGCTAACGCCCCCATCCATCTGCGGGCAAGACGCCGCCCATTACGCACCATCCCCAACCACACTCTCTCGAACAGACACATCTGGCATCATCATCCAAACCAGCATCACTACCACCTACCGCCAGCACTGTTGCCTGCTCCCACAACCATAGTATAAATAACAGCACGCAGAAGCCAGCCCCCATTCTCAGCCTCGAAAGCCCCCTCTTCACCAGCCGCTGTCCTGTCCTCAGCAGCGCAACCAGCTCCAACATGAGCGCCCCAAGATTCAATGCCAAGTCGCCCACGATAAGGCGCATCCGTACGTTCTCATGACCACCCCCAAACAAGTTAACCCGCGCGAAAAGCCCGGTTCCCTTTCCAGCTAACAGAAATCCCGCCTCCTCGCCACAGTCAAGGAAGCCGCCGAGCTCACAAACTCGCCCTCGCCCGACTACGTCGCCACGCCCCTCGAATCAGACCTGTTCGAGTGGCATTTCACCCTCCGCGGGCCCCCGCAGTCCGACTTTGCCCAGGGCATCTACCACGGCCGCATCGTGCTCCCGCCGACGTACCCCCTGCGCCCGCCCTCGTTCCGCTTCACCACGCCCAGCGGCCGCTTCGAGCCGAACCGCGAGATCTGCCTGAGCATCTCGGGCCACCACGAGGAGACGTGGCAGCCCGCCTGGGGCGTGCGCACCGCCCTCGTCGCGCTGCGCAGCTTCATGGAGAGCGACGCAAAGGGCCAGATTGGCGGCATCGACTCGAGCGAGGCCGTGCGCCTGCGCTTTGCTGCCGAGAGCAGGCGGTGGCAGTGCCCCGGGTGCGCAAAGACCAACGAGGACATCCTTGCCGAGTCAGAGGCCCGGTGGAAGGAGCTCGATGCCGCCGCCGCGGGGTCCGGATCAGGCAGTGGCGATGGCACCGGGAGTAGAAAAGAGGTGGAGATACCGGCAGAGTTGAAAATGGGATTCCGCGACGAAATGGAGGCGGCGGCGGCGGCTGCGAAGGCAGGGTCGGGCAGTCAGCCAGGCCAGACCGGGTCGTCTTCAGCAGATGCTATTGACGAGGAGAGCGCGCAGCTTGCCGAGGGTTTCGTGCAGACTGCCCCCATCGCAAATGACAGCAATTCAAGTCCGGCACCACAAGCGCATGCCCGGCAAAATCCACCCGCGCCAACCCGGACGATACCTCTTCCACCACCCCAACAGCCACAGATGCGGCAAGCGATTCGGCCAATCGACCCGAGCGCAGGAGTGCCGCCATGGGTGGACTATGCCATTGCCACATTGGTGTGCATATTGGCTGCCATGGTGTTCAAGATCATGTCGGGATACTAGCTGTAGAAGCGGATGATGGAGTAGAATAGCCTATAGCCACTAATGAGTTCACGATATTATGATTTCAATTGCAATTATTGTGCTGATTTGGATGCTACATAGGTGCGTCCAAGTGAACGACACTTTTTTCTTTTTTCTTTTACAACACGTTGCGACATCGTCGACTCATCCGACAAATTCGAGTGTGCAACTACAGACCCCAGTCTGCGAAGTATTCATTCAGCACCGCCCAGGTCATGTCTAGCGACCAACAAATTTCGCATTGGCAGAATTCCAGTCAGGAGGGCTTGACCCAGTCAGGAGGGGCTTGACAAGACTGTGGTGTCACACCTTGCTGCTTGGCACAGCGGTACTTGCGGCAGCTGTCGCCGCTGCAATGCCTTTGGCTTTCTGCTGCTCATCTAACAACGACCCGATGACGAGCCACCACCATTCATCCATGGTGGCACCCTCGCTGGAGGCCGTAAACCTCTTGAGCAAGCCAAGACGGTCAACAAAGTCTAGGATCAGCTGCGCCTCGAACAACTCAAATGTCGGCTTGAAAATGAGGCACATGCTCTGCGCAGTGACAGGTCCGCGGGTTGCAGCCGCAAAGACGAAGGAGCACAGATACTCGATCCAGTGGGCATAGTCAATTTTACCAAACAAGTTGACCCAAGCCGGGATCTCGTCATTGGGCCCTTTTGTCGGCACTTCAGCCAGCCGCGCTTGCTCGAGGATGGCCATGGCATTATTGTACTGATAGGTCTCGGATGGCGTGATGGTGATGGTGAAGTGGTAATAACTCTTGGGAAACTTGCGTCCTTCGTAGTTGCCAGGCTCATGTCCCATAGGAACGTGGCGGAAGTCGGTTTGGTGAACATGAACGCGTCCGTACGCTTGGAGATTGAGCATTGCCAAGCTACTGCCGTCATCTGCGCCATATGAGAGCTTGAATTCCTTGCCCTCCCGGAATGCGGCATCCATCTTTTCCTTGAACGCGACTGCTTGGGCAAATTTGTCGACGTGTGCATTCCTCTCGAAATGTTTGGAGAAGTTGGCATTGAGGCGAATCGACTGACCCACACGTTTGCCTTTCGTTCTTGTTGCGAACTTCTCGTCCGTCAATTGAGTGACGACGACTTCGAGAAGCTGGTTAGTGCTGTCCTCGTCACCCTGGCAGAGTTCCAGAAGTTTTGCTCGGATGCTCTCGGCCGTGCCCGGCCCGCGAATCTGCGTTCGCGTCAAAGATCGAATCCACGAACGTGCTCGGAGGATCAATTCATCGTCGAAGACCTGTGGCGCTGTTGCCAACGTGGATGCCGCCTTGCCAGCATTGGCATCAATTCGGCTAAAGAGGGAAGTTACAGAGAACCACATCTCTCTCCAGTCGGGAATTTGATCAACGGGTTCCTCTAGATCAAACTCATCATCAAAGTCTGCCCGGTCGGCTGGAAGATCGATATCTTCGTACAGCCTTAACCGGCTGGTCCATTTGACCAGAGAAAGCCAGTCGTAATCGTCAAAGTGATCGTAGTCCAGTGGTGCGAGCTCCCCTTTCTTGTAGGCTGCTAGGAATGCCTTGGGAAATATCTTCGATAATGCTGCAATGTGGACTTTGCGTTCTTTGATCACCCGACCCCAGAGTCTCCTCAGACCAGACAGTGACTGTTCAGGGAACAGCTTCAGCACCATGCCGTAGTCCGACGTCCGGTCGACACCACCACCAAGGATTTTGAAGATAATGAAGGCCGAAATGATGTCAGTCTCACCACGCAGACCCATGCGGTCGGTGGAGAGCCGACGTTTGTGGATGCGGCCTTGATGCGCAGTCGGTAATGAGGCCAGAATCCTCGTTCTGTAATCGGTTGGCCTTGAGGCTCGCTGCGGCAGCACTTTTGATCTCTGTTGAACGGCCTTGCGAGTTGACTGTGGACTTTGCGTGGTGGAGATCGAGCTGGGTGAGTTCTTCCGCAGACGTTTGACGGCCGAACCCGAAACGGACCGCAGAGGAGTCTCTGAAGAGTATAGGGATTGCCCTGGCACCTCATGAAAGGTGTGCATGAAGGGCCGCATGTTCTCGTCTAGCTGATTAGCAGGGAGCCATCGTAATTCTCCCAACATGAAGTGCTGCGGTAAGGTGGCCATGCCATGGTTGAGGAACACGTGCTCCGAGAGAGCAGAGCCGTCTCCGTTAGTCGTCGACAAATGATTGTCACCGAGTTCCCAGTGCTGGACAATCTCCACTGAGCGCTCAAAGTCACCCAGATCGTTATCCTCCAGATCGGCCAAAGCTACTACTTGGTTCGAGTGCTCAAGAGCACTCATGATCTGATCCGGAAGGTTCTGGTTGTGGACCCACTCGCGAGCGGCATCCTGCTCAGATCGCGATGCTGCAAAGTAGTCTACAGCTCTTCCAGTAGGCCGCGCCTCGCCCTTGGTCCTCCGACTGCCTCGTGGATGGCTTTTACTACTTATTCCATTTCGAGGCGTCGTCAAACCCGCGGCGTTTTCCGAGCTCTCGACTTCAATCGGCTTCTCCCTCGGCTTGCGTTTGCTTCCAGGTTTCGGCCCAGGCTTTTTTCTCACCTTTGGCGTCTGCAAGCTCGATCCCGTGTCCAGGGCGGTCGTGATGGGTGTCGGAGCAGCTTGTTCCAAGAGAGGGTCAATGTTGCCCATGTAATCGTGGCCGAAACTTTGAACATTTGCATCTGTGCCACTTAGAGCGACTCGTGCCTCCTGATCTCGGCTTTGTGATTTGGCCCATGATGGGCTGTCCAGACCTTCTGGAGAGACTCTGGCACTGATGTCGGTATTTGTGGATAGCCTGGCACGCTTGGCGGGAGTTGACTTCTTTTCTATAAGGAGTGATCTCTTCTTAGCCTTGCTGGGTGTTCCGCCAGTCGCTGTCGTGACATCTGTCATGACAGGCATTGCATAAGGCAGGATCTCGACTTCCTCAAGATCGTCGCCATTAGCAGAAACGACGATAGGTTCGTATATGCTCGACTCCTCGTCCAAACGCGGGACAGGAGAATTTTGCCGCGCAAACTCGAATCCGGGGGGGAAATACGGGTTCGGAAAGTATCTCTTGACGCCTTCCTTCGCTTCAAGCACTCGAAGATCACCTGAGGCATCGGCCAGAGAGCCAATGAAGGCCGAGTCAACCAGAATGGAGATATTATGGTTCTGAGAATGCTCATCGAAGAACGAGAAAAAGCTCTGGGCTAGGTCACCATCTCGCTCCATCTTGTTGACGATGCGGCGAAGAGCTTTCTCGTCGGGGGGAGGTAGGTCGGAGTACCGCAAATTCCACAACACGTCGACCACCGACACCAGTGAATGATCACCTGGATACACACCATCGTTGTTGCGGAAGAGGAACTCAATGATGGTCCGCACTCGCTCATTCCGTAATTGCGCAGGTTTGACTTTGATGTTTTCGAGACTGTTGATAGTGTCCTGCTCCATGCTCTTGTCTGTCCACAGCTGCTCTATGTGGCCCTGAACGCGTGTTTCAGGGTTGTAGGTGCTGTCAGACGTGAGAGGGGCATCGCGTCCCCGAGCTCGCCCGTGGCTCTGTCTTCTTTCAGAAGTTGCGCCGCGCCTTTCGACTTGCGGCACAGCCGGTAATGGCTCTCCATAAACGTTCAGAGGACGTGAAGTCGAAACAGACGAGGCCTGAAGATTCTCGATCACGGGAGTCTTGCTTCCGATTGCTTCATGAACCGAGATCTCCAGCATGACCATGGTAGATTTCTGAGACTGACCAAACTGTTTGTTTCCCGTCGTGATTTGCGGAAGTCCCTGGCCTTCTGATTTTGTTGGAAACCTCTTCTTAGTCCCCAGGGTGTAGAGCGGCCGTCTTGTCCTTGGTTGCACCTCGGGTGCCGGCCGTCTGGGAATCTTGCTTTCTTGCCGAGCCACAACTGGCGACACGGGTGGACCTGGGGAAGGCCGTGAAGGCGGAGGCTCCCTAATCTCTTTGACGACTGGAATAAAATTCGGATTACACGGGACCCTGGCAACTCTTTGATGGTAGTCCAAGCCATTGTTGTTCCTCCAGCGCTTTCCGCATTTGTCGCACTTCCACGGCTTGACTTTTGCTTCTTTATCCTGTTCCTCAGGTTCGGCTACAATGACCGCTACCTCTTCTGTACCTGAGTGCGGCTCTGATATGTTCGCTGGCGTGTGCATTGGAGGAAGGTCGGTGGCTGTGCCCTTGGCAGGATCTTGTCTCTCAATCACGGTGTGGGTTCTTGTTGCATTCGTCGATGTTTCTCCAAGGTGAGAAGCGTCTCGGAGTTTAGGGTGTTTGAGGACCACGACGTAAGACTTCTTAGGACGCCCTTTTCGCCCTTTCGGGTCAAGCGAATTGTTCGGACCTTGATATACTCTTGGGGTAATAGGCGTACTCTGCAACTGTGCTGGGTGGACATTCTTCGTCAGACTCTCGCCTCTCATTGTGCTATCCTGATCTGCTGGGGGCACATCGACAGCTGTAGGCTCCGGTGTGGGCATCGTTTGAGCAGATTTTGGAGGACGGCCGCGTCTACCCTGTCCCAGGGCATCAGACTTCAGAGTAGCTGGCGCGATATCGGCAGTGATGTCACCACTCTCTTGATGGCTCCCAACGACGAGGTTTTCGGATTGCACGTTTGAAGTCGCATCAGCCACGAGCTGATCGTCAACGGCTCTGGTCTCGCCAGTCGAGCTGTCCCAAGCTGAGATAGTGGCCTTGTTTCTGGGCCTGTGCTTCGTGGCTCTCGGACGGCCATCAGAAATCCGTGCTAGCTGAGAAAGCGAAAGCGAGCCTCGCTTCTTAGTCGACAGTGCTGGCTGATCGGTGAACTCGTATGCAAGTGGCGGCACGTTCGTCGTCTCGGCCGCCTCACAAGGCGGATGCGCGTGGCATTCGTTGGACTGAGTTCCGGGCTCAAAGTCATGGCCTAGAGCAGTAGAAGTATCAATGGGAAGGCCCATGGAGAAGAATCTGTACGCGTCGATCTTTCCCACGCGGTGCTTATGGGAGATGACTCTGTATGGCTCAGAGCTCGCACTTCTCGGCGGTGTGGATATGGATCTTGACACAGCAGCAATCATTTTCTTGTAAGCCTGGCCTAGCGTAAGCTGTGCTAGCTCTGTGTTCGAGGAGCCTGTATCACCAGCTCTCTGGATGATGTCGTAAACAGTATTCGGAAATGGCTTTTGTAGAGAGCGTGACAGCGGTCCAAGTTCTAGCTTGGCCATGGTCTCATAGTCAATATATTGATGGCGAGAGTGGCGCTTTGTCATGGGCGACTCCGCAGCTTCTCCCTGAGGCTGTGTCTGGTTTTTCGGTTTGGATTTTGAGGTCTTTTCCGCTGTAAGACTTGCCCGGTAAGCTTCGCCACGCTTTCCAAGACGTTGCGAGGGCGCCTGAATACGGTTCCTTGGAACGGCGCGGAATTCTTTCCACTCTTGTTCCGTCGGTTCACGGATAAATTTGACGCAGTCTTTGTACAGACGACTGCTTTGCGCAAAGCGTCCCCCGATGAAACGGATGACCCCGAGGTCAGTGAATAGGCGCGATGTTTTAGCAAGCGCACGCATTACCGGTGCATTCTGCTCGACACCTAGCTTTGTCCTCAGGTCGCAGTATCTTATCATGCCCCAAGCTTTACTCACAGCTATAAATGCCTGTGCGATGGCCAGGTAGTCGACGGGACGGGTGTTCCAGAGGTCGCAGAATGGGACTGGGTCAAGACTGGATGTCAAGGCTTCGCGGGAGAGATCGAGCTCTTCTAACGGTAGTCCCTCTCTTTTCGCATCCTCTGCGGCGCTCCTCGCGAAACGAGACAGCCACAGCTTGCTCGATCTGCATCCTCGAACAAGAATTGATTGCTTGATGATGTAGCCTTTGGCTGCTAAGGCGTCCGTGCGGGTCGGTAGCGAGCGTTTGTCTTGACCAGTGATGCGGACGAGGTCACCCTGTAGGATACCTTCATGTCTCGTTGCGGCTATATCGACCAGTGCCAGCCACTCGAACTTTGGTACTCGTTTGAGATCGGGGCCGTGTCCGGTAACGAGTCTCCAATGCTGCTCATCCGATAGAAACACGCGAGGACGCAATGTATTCGCGGGAAAAGAATGTTTGGGACTTGGCTGTGCCGAGCCAGGGCTTCGTGGAGGCGTAGAGGGAGCATTAACCGCCACCTCTGTTCCGTCACCAATAGTCGCGCCCGAGCAATCTTCTGGAAGCTGCAAGACCTCATTCAGGGAGAGGTCGTTGAATTCGGCGTCCTGTCCGATGAAGACATCATTCCTGGCAGCGAGCCACGCCCACACCTTTGACGCGAACCCGGAAGGCTCTTGGCCATCTTGGGTGTTTCTGCTGTCTTGCACCTTGTCATTCTTGCCTTTTTGGGAGGTTTGCTCGGCCAAGGGAGCGGAGCTAGAGGGACCAAAAGCACATGTCTGCTCCAGAGTGTTGATTGTCTGGACAAGATCGGACACAGCACAACCTGCGCAGCCGTCAGCTTCCTGGTATAGGATTCCTGGTGTTCAAGAAACTCTGCTTTTTTTTACAGGCCATCCTTGTCACGAACGGTACGCGACAAGCGGGCTGCACAAGTTATGCAAGATCACGGGCCTTACCTCTGTTCCCTGAAAAGGCAATCTCGGTGAGCAGCGCCTCAATGAGCTCGTCCAGGCCGCCATCCATCATGGCTGGCCGAAAGCTCTGGTCATCGGGCGCACCTGGTGTTCTGTAGGCGGCGGCGCATCGACGCAAAAATTTGCAAGTCGGAGGGATCGAAATGTGATCTTTCGTGGAGATCAGGGATGGATGGGGTCGCTTCTTCGTCTGATGTGGGCGTTTTCGGCTCTGGTCGCAGAGGGACGACTGGCCAGGAAGTGGGGCAATGAATCGTCCCCTCCCGGCTGGCGGGCCATGGGCGACAGAGCTACATCACTTTGACTCAGCACTCCAAGCAACATGAATCACACAGCAGAACTTTACACGGCAGGCACACAGCATGCGTGTCTGGTCAATTTGGGTATCATCTTTAGGCCGCTGGATCTGCAAACATCCTACTCCCGAAGTCGTCTGGCCTCGAGACCAGACTATTCCGCGCTCTCGTACTTGGCTCGTTTCTCCGACATGAGCTTGCGGTATTGTGCAACAACGTCGTCGCGCACCGTCTGCAACTCCTCTCGTCGGCGCAAACTTCCCGCTGCCTTGGGCACGCCGTCAACCTCGACCGCAGCGCCCCTGACCAGCAGCTTTTTGGGCAGCTTCTTGTTCAGCTCAGGAGGGGCTTGTGCCACATCGTGAAGCCCAGGCCGTTTCTCACCCCTCTTCTTCCGCAGCGCTTCCCAGGGGTCATCCTCGGGATCACTAACCTCGCCCAGATACTTCGAGCGCTTACCCTTCTTCTTCCTCTTGCCGCTCCCGGCGCTCGCCTGCATCTCGAGCTTGCGCGCGGCGGCGCGATCTTCGTCCTCAAGGTCTTCTTCGTCCAAGAGCTCAAGCTCCTCCTCCTTCTTCTCCTTGATTTTCCGGTCCTCCTCGCGCCACTCGTCGTACAGCTTGTGCATCTTTCGCTCCTTGTTCGTCTGCCACTTTTTCGCGCCCAAAGGATCCGCTTTGCCCCGGACAGACTTCGTGATCAGGCCAGTCACTGGGAGTGCAGCATCTACTCGCGCCGCAAACTCGGACATCTTCTCGCCAGGCCGGATTGTGGGGATCTCTGGCCCCTGCGACGTCGTGGTCTCGACCTTCGCGGGCGAAGCGTCCTGCGCCTGTGACTTGTTCTTCTGCTTCTTCTTGTTGCTCGGGGGCTCTTCGCCGTTGTCTAGTCCCGAGCGGATCTTCTTGCCGCCCGCGACGGCCATCAGCCTCTTGAAGGCACGTGGCGCATCGTCGAACCCCTTCGCCTTTCTCTTCCGCTTTTGCTGATCATCTTTGGCGGGCTTCGGCGTGGTCGCTGAGCTATCCTTTCCTTTCGTCACCGGCTTTCCCTTTTGCGATTTGTTGCCCTTGCCATCGTTTTGTGTCTGCCGATTCGATTTGACTGGGAGCGGCCTCGCGAATTGCGTCGGTGGTAAGTCGAAGCTGCGCAGCTGGTCAATTAGAACTTTGACCTGGTGGACGCGGAAGTGAGGTCTCCTGAGACTTACGCAGACTCGTCCTGGTCACGCCGTGTGTGTTTGTGCGGCATCTTCGCAAAAGTTATTCCTGTCGAGACCACAAAACGTCGAGATGGAGAAGGAGACTGCCTGCAGACAATTGCACCCCCAAAAATTTAGGCGCGCAGCACGCCTGGATCGTCAACTAGGTCCAGCGCCCCACTCTTCGGCGCCGGCTATCGATAAGAATGTGTCTGGCTCCTCGGAGTGCTTGTAGGTCAGCTAGCTAACTCCCTTGTTGGAACAGCTGTCCAGCGACGGTTTTTATTGCTTCACAGCATCATCATCATTACTTGATCATTTGCCACCAGAGAAGCCTATGAATGCGACGCTGACCCGACGACCGCGGTATGAGAGATGGTCAGACAACCATGCGTGACATGCGCTTGATTTAAATATAAAACCAATGTTCTACCTGCCCCATGAATCCGAAAACCCTCACTCCCTCAAAGGCCGTCCAAACTCCATACATTGTAAACGCAAACGCAGATACCATTCCATCATTGCTCTTTGCTCTGTCCCGAGAATCATGCACCGTTGCGGTAGACCTGAGCACCCTGGTTCCTAAACATGATGGTGTCTCGTCTTTGCAGAATCATCAACGCGCGATTCAAGCTCTGCTCGCTGTAGCCCTTGCCTTCTACCATTTCTCTCCTCAGGGACGCAAGGCTCGTGCTCCATCCGATGGGAAGACGACGCTTAAGCTCCGCTTCTACTCGATTGACCTCGTCGTTAAGCTCCCGGCTGCCCTGGTTGGCACCTTGGTTGACGGCGTCCATGGTACTGCACAGGAACAACCTGATAGCTTCATCCACGTGCTCTTCAGTCGCGATGGGACTCAGTGTGAGCTTGGCTAGCGACTCTGTGATTCGTACAATTGCCTCGAGCTGTCTGACCGTGATGGGAATGCTCGACCGAGTGTTCGCCTCGATCTCGGAAGCATGGACTTGCTTGCGGATGGAAACGAAATGTGAAGACAGCTTCTCTGCCGCTTCTGGCGACAGGCGAGGTGCGCAGCGGCTGAGGGGGCGAAGTTAGTCTAAGCCACTTCCTAAATGGAGGAATACGTTGAGCAGGACACTTACGACTTGCAGTAGCTGAGATATCTTCGCATCCTATCAACGGGGATCTCTGCCTCGGCTTGTTCTTCAAGACCACGACCACCCATGTGGATACCCATGACGTGCTTCGCCATACGCTCGTCCTTGTCTCTCGAATGCTCATCCCTGACGATGAAGATCATGTCGAAACGGGACAGAATGGTTGTTTGAAAGTCAATGTTCTCACCAGGAGTCTTCATATCATCATAGCGACCGAAGATCGGGTTTGCGGCAGCAAGCACCGATGTCCTTGCGTTGAGGATGGTCGTGATTCCTGCCTTGGCGATTGAAATAGTCTGCTGTTCCATTGCTTCGTGGATAGCCACACGATCCTCATCTCGCATCTTGTCGAACTCATCAATGCAGACGACGCCGCCATCGGCCAGAACCATGGCTCCACCCTCCAGGTAGAATTCGCGGGTAGAGTGATCTCTCTGTACCGAAGCTGTCAGACCGGCAGCAGATGAGCCCTTGCCGGATGTGTAGATGGATATCGGAGCTGCCTTCTCAACGAACTTCAAAAGCTGAGATTTGGCAGTACCTGGATCACCCAGCAACAGAACATTGATGTCGCCTCTCAACTTCATGCCGTCTGGTAAGATCTTCTTCGAGCCGCCGAGGAGCAAACACAAAATGGCTTTTTTGATGTCTTTGTTTCCGTAAATTGATGGCGCTATGCATTCGGCCATGACGTTGTAGAGGTCCGGCCGCCGGCTCATCTCCAAGAACTCTTGCTCTTCCTCTTCTGTATAGTTCTGAGTCCCCTTTGCTGCTGTATCGACATCCGTATGGATGCCCACGGCTCGAAGATATGGTGTGCGAATCGCAACGGCTCCTCCTGTAGAAGAGTTCTTGGATGCTTTATTCTGATAGATGGAGAAGATTCCCATGATCGTGCACCGCGAACCAGGGACAACTCGGTTGGTCAAATAGCGATCAGCGGAGATGAGGACATGGCGAGGCAGTTCTCCTACGGGAACCTGGTCGGGGGCTTCCTGAAGCTTGATAATCTGCTGATCGACGAATCGAGACTTTTCGTGCATGACGAAATAGGGGTCCAGAGGACACTTTGGGGATGGGTCGTTTGCAGGGCGTGCTCGACCACATTGTCGCGGCAGAGACACACCGGTGAAGCCGCCGAAAACGGGGACGACTGCATTGTGCAAACAGTTTCGGCACTGGATGTGAAGCTCCGTCGCTTTCGAAGACATGACTGAGGCGCCAATCACGATTCCTGGAACTCTAACAAGACGGGCAATCGTCATGGAATCGAGATTACGGATCGAGACATCTTCGGCTGTGGAGTGCAGGAGCAGTTGGTGCTCGGGCACGACTGCGCTTGGGTCGTGAGGAAACAGGATGCGATGCGTGCATTTCTTGAGCGCCGTCTCGAACTGTGACAAGGTTATTTGAGCGAAAGTCCTGTAGGCATGTCGAGGGGTCAGGTTGATGGAGACTGACCAGGGGAATGATCTCTGCAGGCTCAGTTACCAGCCTATGCGCAAGTTCTTCGCTATACTTGATGAGGTCGCCAACGTTGACATCGCAGCAGTATTTCTGTAGCAAGGCGTTCTCGCGAAGTTGGTCTCTGGTAACGGCGGTAGGATGATCAGCCCACGTTCTGAGCAAACTCGTCTGTGAATTGTAGGATGCCTACCTGTACACGAAGATATTGTCGTGGCGGAACTGAAGAATAAAGTTGACCAGCTGCTCCTGGACTTGTAGCCGAGTGTCCTCGTTCTGGCCACTGTTGGATTGGAAGACGGACACCGAGTAGACAGACTGGCGATCCATCTTGCACTTGGTTGTGAAGGGCCACGACCCGACTGATGTGTAGCGACGCTGGCAGTTATGGAATCAGAGTCTTGGGTCGGGAGACACGATGTGCGCCTGCAATGTATTGTTACTCGGCTCAGTGGTTGTGTGCATGTGCGAGGCAGAGTCGAGTGCTTGTGCACAGGAGTCTTCGTGGTGGGGTCGGTGAAGTGTCCCTCTTTGGCCCTGCGTTCTAATTTCGAGACCGGCTTGACGCGTCCCCTCGCGTAAGCGCGTCGCACGCGTAAAGTGGTTGCATTAGCGCTAAAAGGGGATAGTGCGCTGGGCGGCCTGGCCGCCCCCCTGAAGTCGAATAGCCTTCATCCCCAAGCGGCCAGGCTGCAGCAAATGAAGTCGGGTTGCGCAAGTGATGATGATGCCGCTACCCTGAACCACACTCGGTCGTGGGTTTGCACCACCATCATTGGACTATCCTGCCCTCCCATCGTGGTCCTATGCGTACTTCGAGTATAATTACTTTAATAGTGCTTGAGTTCCGGTCCGTTTTGGCATGCTGAGCTCTCTTAACAACCCGGTAGATCATGGTCTTGCGCTACTTGGCTCAGAACGGGTGTGGAGCTGATGGGGGAACCTGAGCACCTGCCCTTAAAGTACTCTTCTTTCATTGTATTCTTTGGCAAGGCCCGTAAAGTAACCTGATGCCAGGATAAGTCGCGGGCCTCAGCCGTGTCAAAGTTCGAGTCTGAAGTGCAGCGTTACGTAATGATCTCGCTCCCTCTGCGTATTTGGGCTGGCGTCAGAAAGGACAGCTACTACAGCACGGGCAGAACTGGGGTCAGTCATTCCAGGGGTCCGATGCACGGGAAACAGCTCAGCCTCAGTGGCCTTCAGCTCTCCGCAAGGCCAGCTACGTGCTCGCCAGCACCGTATCATAACTCCGCTGCTCCAAAACCAAGCGACGACCCTGTTCTTGTTGAATACGTACACTAACGTAGTCAACACTCGGTCGTCAGTCACCGCCATACGTCCATTCATCTGTCTCCGAAAGCGACTCTCCCCTGTCACGGCGATCTCCAACCAATCGGTATCTACACTTCGCGACATCACGACCCAGGAGAAGCCACCTGACCTGACGCGCGGGCCGGACAACGAGGCGCTGCGGCGAGCATCGTGGGATTCTTGACCCCAGCGAACATAGTGGTCACCATTGACCATTGGGGCCGTCGCGGACCTCTGCGCCAAGTAAAACACAGCAATGATTTCACGGTAGCGTGGTTGGATTTTTGCCGCAGAGCCCACGGGCATCACTCTCCTTGACTTCTACAAAGCGAACTCTACTGGCCGTGGACATCATGTCAAGCTCCCTACCTCGCAGCTCTGTTGACAGCCTGCCACCGATGTCACCACAGCCCCGACCTGAGCACCCATACCATCGATCAGGGGCCAGACGTGGCTCGAATGCTAGCTCAATACACTCCGTTGGTGGTCAACTCGACTCCGGTCATGGATCTTCTCCTCTGTTCGAGCTTGGCCAAAATGCCATCTCAACACTTCTACAACCTCCGATAGTCCGCACGGGTTTGCTGCCCCATTCGTCCGCCCCGGCGTCCACGGTACATAAGCCGCCCACAGCGAAGGACATCCCCCCCGTTACTCTGACGAACGTTGCCAAGATCGACTCCTCCGACTTTGCCCCATACCTGACACAGGTTGGGGCGCTGCATGAGCAGCTGCGACGAATTAGAGAAAGCGACGACGACGGTAGCGCCCAGATCTTCAGGCGCAATAGCCGCAATGATGAGCTTGTTCCAGATGACGGGCATCTTCGGCCACGAGGGCGACAACTGGGCTCCAGAAAATCTTCGATAACGTCGCTCAAGTCGGTCACATCAACCGACGCGCCACAGATGCGCCGACGGTCAAGTTCAGGCCTTAAGGGGAGCAAAGCTATACATGGACCTCCGCCACTATCAACGATCCCGAATGTGTACTTCGACCAGGAGTTCCATCTGGAGAACCCACGAACATTCGACGTTGTCAGCGAACGGTCAGAAGTCGTGCAACAAACACCAGGCTCCACAGCACAGGCAAATGCTACTCCTACCGCCCCCCGCAAAGCTCTCGCCACGAATGCTATCCTCCAGGAAAAGCTATCGTGGTACATGGACACTGTGGAGATGCACTTGATCACATCCATATCTACTGCATCAACCACCTTCTTTACCGCGCTGGGATCTCTGCGTGAATTGCATTCGGAAGCAGCCGATTCGGTGGAGAGGATCCAAACTCTGCGGAAAGAGCTCGACGCGCTCGATAAGCACATTGCGACCAGTGGCTTGGATATTGTTCAGAAGAAGCGGCGAAGAGAGAATTTGCAACAGCTCAACGACGCCGTGAAACAGCTCCAGGAGATCATAGACTTCGTTGCTGTCTGTGAAGGCCACGTCGAAGCAGGAGAGCTCGAGGATGCGCTCGACAGCATAGACACGCTTGAAATGCTCATTTCCGGTCGGCGCCGGTCAGCAGCCGAATTGGATTCTACTATACAGCTGCGCGACCTCCGAGGAGCCGTGGCGTTGAGGGGCATCAGCGAAGACATGATGACGCTCAAGACGCGTATTGGAAAGGCTTACGAGACGAAATTCGTGGCCATCCTACTCGAAGACGCCAGGAAACATGTCGAAACTGTGTCTTCGCAGGAGGTTCTGCTTCGGTGGAGCGGAGCAGCCATGCGAGCACGCGGGAGACACTCCAGAGAGCCTTCGGCGTTCCCAGCTTATTTGGCTGGGATAGATGGGATTCGCAAGGAGCTGAAGCCAGTAATAGCTGGTCTGCAACGATCGGGATACATCACACCTGCCATTGCAGCGTACCGAGAGTTAATCTTGAAGGAGATCCGCAACTTGGTCCGGAAACCCCTCCCAAGCTCCAACGATGACGACAACGAGTCGATGATGTCTGTGTCCACTGTCGGTTCCAGGCGGATGACGCAACAAGAGAAGTCGTCGATCCTGGCGCGAAACCTGCGAGCTCTGGAGCCAGAAGATGCCGAAGATCTCTTTGTCACCATATATGTAAGCGTGACAGAAACCTTGCGACGACTAAGCACTCAAGTCAAGGTGTTGTTCGATGTTGCGGGATCTATTGGAGAAGAGCCGGAGCTACAATCCGGTTTGCGATCGCCTTCCATCAAATCGCCTCCTCTGAACAGCGCGAATCGCGACCTGCAAGAAGACATACATCTTGCGATGGACATGGCAAACCTGACAGGGCAGGCTGTCGACCTTGGCCAGGAGAAGATACTCAAGGTTTTGCGAGTGCGTTCCGAGCAGACCACCCATCTACCGTTGATCTGGTTCCTGCGTTACTTTACCTTGAACTTCTACTTTGCGACCGAGTGCGAATCTATATCTGGACGAAGTGGCACGCCACTCAAGACGACTGTCAACACGCATATCAAGGACTTTATTCAACACCATGGCGATCGAGAGAAACAAAAGCTCGCACAGGCGATGGAGTCGGATCAGTGGAGCGCAAAGGACTTTACGGAAAAGAACAACGAGCTGCTCACCCGGGTTCTGGAAAGCAGCACCAAAGATGCCGCGGAATGGTCAGAAGCAAGCAAGATCTGGGTTCCACTTTCCGAGGAGGACTCTGAGACTCCAGCCAAGGTTGAGTCCGAGTCTAATGGCACAAGCAAGGAGAAGGAGAAGGAGAAGACGAGGAGTGCGATGATTGATGAAGAGCCTTTCATCCTGCCCAACTCGGCCATCTTGTGCTTACAAGGCATGTCTCATTTCCTCCAGCTCATTGCGACGATGCCGTCCATGGCTTCGGAGGTCTCTGTCTCGTTGATAGGCTACTTGCAGTTGTTCAATTCCCGCTGCACGCAGCTCATTCTCGGCGCGGGAGCTACACGGTCAGCTGGCCTTAAGAACATCACGACACGGCATCTTGCGCTGGCAGCCCAGGCTCTAGCATTCATCTCTGCACTCATCCCTCATGTGCGCGAATTCGTTCGGCGACATGCGGGGAGCGGCCCCAATGCCAACAACCCAGGCGCACCATCGGTTATGGGCGAGTTTGACAAGGTCAGGCGACTTTTCCAGGAGCACCAGAACAGCATCTACGACAAGCTCGTCGAGATTATGAGTGGCCGCGCCGCCACGCACGCCAAGACGATGAAGAATGTCGACTGGGACAGTACGACTGCGGTTGGCGTCAATGGTTATATGGAGACCCTGGTCAAGGACACGGTCACGCTGTATAAGGTGCTATCGAAGCACCTTCCCAAAGGAACGATCCTCATGATTATGCCGCCTGTGTTTGACAGCTACAAGAGTCACCTCAGCAAGACGCTCGAGTCTCTGAAGCCAAACACTGAGCACGGCGTGAGACGGTATGTATTTGGTCCTTGCTTGACCGGTGACTAGGCAAAGACGAACAAACCAGCTGACGTGTTTGCGCTCTACAGCATGGAGAACGACTTGAAGTTCCTCAACGAGAAACTTGGCAAGATTGAGGGCTATGGAGATGTCGGGGACAGGCTATTGTCCATTGCCCAGGCCAAGAGGGCCGACATTGAGGCGGCACAAAGCGCCGCGGAAGCCCGCAAAGCAGCGGAGGCAATCAGAGCACGAGAGGCTGCCGAGGCCGCCGAGGCCGCAAAGGCGCGAGAAGTCGCTGCCGCAGCCAACGGCACCGGGGAGAATGGAGTCACTGCGCAAGAGGAGGGTTCGCAAGAGAAGAACAAAGACGGGGATTCGCCTGGGGCTCTGAACGGGAAGCCAGAGAACACGAGCGATAGCTAGAGCCTCATGAGGAGGCAGATATACTGGATCTACACCACCGAGGTCGGGCTATGTGTCAATGGAAAGAGTGCAGCTCTGCATATGTGTGTGTGTGTGTGTGTGTGTGTGTGTGTGTGTGCACCTCAGGCCGGGTCTGACGACGTGCAGGATAACGCTTGAGCTCGACGCAACATGAGATTGGGGCGCTTGGGGGCCAGACGGGCCCATGAGGCCGGGTCTCTGCGTGATTGGACAGAGGGAGCGAGCTGCGTGACGAGCGCTGCCTCCCCGCAACGGGGCGGCTGCTCCTGCCTCAGTGAGGTCAGCCCTTTGGCCTAGTCCGGACATGCTGGAGTAGAGTAGAGTAGCACCCCCCACCCGGGACGGGACGGGATGGCTGGCTGGACTTATACCTTGCGAACCTCACTTCTCACCACCCAGCGTCCTCCTTAAACCCAATACATGGCTCGGCCCCGGGGTCAGCCACTCTCAGAACTCTTTCCCTGCGGCTGAGGCACGCTTCTCCCGCACGGCATCGCTCGCAACAACAGCATCCCATCCACAGATCACGCCACTTGCCCACCGCGCCACCTGACTCTGTTGCAGACAACGCCGACGACAACAGCTGTCCTCGCAAGCATAACTGCTCAAGTTGTGCGATCAAGGCCACCCGTGGTCATCCCAGCAGCAGCAGCTGAGGACTTGTTCGAGGGCCACAACAGCGACAATCAACTCGCCTGCCGCCTCGTCCTCCTCTTTCACTGCATTGTCAGCAGCAAGCGACGTTCAGCAGCAAACGAGGGCATACTCGATCAAATTAGCACAATCCTTTAGAGCGCAGCCCAGCCCCCCCGCACACGGCACACTGCACACTGCAACGTTGTGAACCCTGGCTGCCATCGATCTGGCTCCCCAGTTACGCTGATCCTGGTTCCTTGCGCCTGCAAGACTTGACGGCCGACGCGCCAAGGTCGCTGTTGCCCGCACGTGGATCGACTTCCCGCCGTGGCCAGCGACGCTTGCCAATCCGAGCACCTGGCCGTCCCCAGCTGGGTTACGTTAGTGCAAAGCCCCGACCCTCGATACTGACATCCATGTGGATGATACTCGCAGTCTTTGAACGACCAAAGTGCAGGGCTCCAGTGGAGTGCTCTTCTGCCATCCGATCCACGGCGGAGTTGTATGCAGTTGTTCCCTCGGGTGGATCGCCCATCCCTGAAGAGCTGACTCTGCATCCCGGGCACCACTTAGTCCTGCAGCCATCTGGCGCCCAGCACCAAGCAATTGCCAAATACTAGCTCTAAGAGAGTCGGCCCGCGCCCACTGTGGGACCACGCGAATCATAGGGGCACCACCCGCGACGTCGTGTCTTCCCCAGGTCTCCAGGGCGCCGACTCTGGAGATTTCATCATCCCGCGCATCTTGGTCTCTACCAACCGAGTGCTGCAACTCACCATTCTTTGGGCACATTCTCACCTGTCCTGGAGTGCGAGCCTGCTCAGCACGGCTCACTCTCGGTCATTCGCGCACAACGGCCCGCCCCCAGTGTCAGCTTGGCGTTGGTCAGCTTAGCATTGGTCAGCCAGCGTCTTGACCTTCAGCATCCCAAAATTATATTCCCGGAGCAGTGGTAGATCTCCTCGCGCTCTTGCACAGTCAACAACCCAGTATGGTGGACGTTCTCTGCAGCCGCGAGGCTGTAGAGGACCTCATTGAGAGACAGTGGGTCCCTTTCGACGTCAAGGACAAGGGCAAGGCGAAGCCGGAGGAATATGTCAACACCTTCTCGCAGGATCTCATCAGCATATTTGCGAACGGTCCAGAAGTACACGGCATCCAAGGTCATCTCGCCTCATACAGACAGCTTTATGAGAACCTCTGCTACGTCCGGCGCGATGTCAATTCCTACGGTACGTATCCCCAGACGATGTGCAATCCTGCCTGGAAGTTTATTTTACACAATCTGGAAAGGAAACAGGTTTCATGCTAACTCGGTCTTGGGCTTGGCCGGAAAAGATGTCATAGGTGACAAGATATATATGGAGTTCACAACACTGTTGATATTGTCTAGTGATCCGGATCAGCAGCTAATTGCAATACGGGGCTGCAATGTCATTCAAGTGGCAACATCGGGACGGGACAAAAATCTCATTGTCAGAGTTCATGGGTACTACGATGTTGGACCAGCATTTGACCGGTTGTTTCAGCTGGGCGAGGCAGCCTCAGAGGAGGTGAGTTTTGCGCATTTTGACAGGACCAACCCAATGCAACATGAATCCTCACTGACTTTCTATGACCTAGCCATTTTACTAGTCATGTACTAATGGAGACTTCTGGTTTGTTTCAGCACCATTCGCCTACGGTCGCAGGTGGTCGATGCGGCGAGCAGAGCGCTTTGCCGATTGAGTGACACGATTTGAGAAGAGCAACAGCTTTACATTCAGACGAATCTTTTGCTGTGCCATTTCTAGGTCGTGGGCGTGGTGGGTTGCGAACAGTTACGATGTCTCAACCTGGAGCATAATCGGTATACCTACGGCAGCTTACGACGGGGCTTGGTCATGGGCCATTGCGCCTTTTCCGTCAAACTTGGAACATCAAAATCGAACAAGAACATACGTGCTTCGTCTGTACACATGCACACAGGTTCCACCGCATAATTCATGGGTGGATCTTGATAGGGTCACGAAAAGCAGCGCATCAAACTTGGGACAGCGAAAGTCGAGAGGTTCATGAGCCACGAGCCACTCCCAGGACATCTGTCACTCTGAACTCCACAAGTTGTTTGATAAGCAGAGGCGGCCCGAATATCATTGGCGGTACAAGCACAGGATAGTCATCAGTGGTAGATGATTTGTATTCACTCTCCGAATGGGTTATGCGTGGAGGTTGGTCTATTGTCTAGAAAGAAAAAGTCCCTTGTAAAGCGCCATTAGAACTCCAGTTGTACGCTCTCGAAGCAAGCCTCATGCTAAGCTGGAAAGACGAAAATATGAAAAACCATTAAGCTACGACGAGGTTTGCTGGCCAGTATATATGAATATATATATATATGCAGGTGAGCTCGTCGGGGGTGACTTTGCTAGCCCCGAAACCGATGTATTAAATGTGCCCGAGTATTCACATTTCCAGGGTGGGCGACAATCCTTTTGCTGGACGCATCCAGCCTTGTGGCATTATGTTTGTGTTTTTACTTGTTCAGTAGTTGAATACCATCAACGAAGGGTTAAGGAGGAAGGGCATGAGCATGTGTGAGCCAATCGCGAGTGCTAATGGCAGAACAGCGGCAACTGCGGTGGGGAAGAAAAGAACGTTGTCAGTATTGTCGTCCTCAAAAGCTGTTTGTAACTGAGGGAAGAATCGAATAGGAGCAAAGAAAAAAAAAAGAAATGAAGCGGCAAGTGGTAAAATTTTACGGCAAAAAAAAAAGGACTTACGGGTGTTGATCTCGTACCCGTACGGCGCAAAGCAGCCGAGGTAGATCATGGCGCCGATGATGGGCACGCAGGCCACGTACATCCACTTGAAGGTCGAGAAGATCTTGGGCACCTCCTTGAAGAAGTTGCTGTTCTCCTTCTCCTTGGCCGTGGCGCCCCACTGCATGTCGATGGAGAACATGTGCGCGAGGATGGACAGGTTGAGGTGGAACGACAGGGAGCCGAAGAAGACGACAAACATGGGCGTCCAGGTGAGCTCCTCGATGAGCGCGCGCACAAAGGGCTTCTCGCCGGTCCGGTAGAAGAGGATTGCGCGGCACACCGTGCCGAGACCGTTGAAGACGAAGACAATTGACAGGAGGACTGATTGTTGTTTATCGTTGTGGTTAGTTTTTTGCGCATTTTACGTGAGGATTGGCATGGGGGCAGTGGAACGATCCGAATGAGGTCCCATAAAAGGAAAGAAAGTATACATACCATTAAATGACTGCAGGTAGAACTTGTCGAGATCGTCAACGAACCAACCAACGAGGAAGTAGTTAAGGATTGTAAGTGGCAGAGAGGACGCGATAGAGTAATATGACGCGATGTAGCCAAAGATGGTAATCTTGGAGGTGAGGGGCATGTCGGCCCAGATGAAGGTTCGGAAGATCTTGGTGAAAGGTCCCTTGGTGATCCACGACCTCATTGGGTTGAACATGAGCTCGTTGCAGCCGAAAGAGTACTTTTCCCAACGGGCCAGCTCATCATAGATCGTGAGCGAGACACCCTCCTTGAAGCCGTCGCCGTGGTAGCTGGCAAGCCGGACGACGTTGCCATTTGTCTGAACCTTGAGCGAAATCTCGAAGTCCTCGGAAACGTGGCTCTCGGACCAGTAAGTGACGAAGCCGGTCTCCTGGTTCGTGGTGCCAACAGCCTGGATAGCCTTCCATCGCAAGAACGCATTGTGGCCAACGAAAGGAGCAACCTCGCCACTCGACGCGGCGTAGCGGATTGCGCTGTAGATGAGATCCGTGAAGAAGGCAATGCCATTCTCAAAGTAGTCGCCCACGACCTTCATAACGCCCGTCGAGTGTTGCACAATGGCGACCTCGGGGGAGAAGAACATCTCGGCGGCACCGTAGAGAAGGCAATCGACAGGTACACGAGTATCAGAGTCGACGATGAGAATGTGCTCGCCCATGCGGATGTTGCCGGCAGCCCAGGCGATCTTTTCCTGCTCAAGAGCTTTCTGCATGGCAATCTCGTAGAGCTCATCGTGTTCGAACTGGTCGAGCATGTCATGCCCAACGCGCTGAGCACGCTCGTCAACGAGCGTTTGCATCGCATCCTCCACCTTGTTGGAGAAGTTGAGGGCAAAGTTCATGTTTGACGCTTTCTTGAACTTGCCACCACGGGTAAAGGTAGGGCCGTCTTCACCCCACGGCTTGGAGTTGTGGCCCGGTCTACCGACCCAGCCGATGTTGTTGTCAAGATAAAACTCTCTTCGGGCGGTGGCGTCTTCCTCAGAGATGAGCTGGATCCCGTCGTCGTTGATGAAGATTGTTGCAGTGCCGCCGTGAGATTCATAGTGGGAGATGGCTGCTTTCAGACTTTCCACAGTCGGCTTGATCGTTTGCGCGAGTGACTCTTTGTAAACCGGCATCTGAATGGTGATTGGCGGTGGGCTGAACCCAGCAGCATAAGCACGGGTGACGTTGGGCTTGATGGTGGAATGGTACCGCGTGTTCGACTTGCATGTACCGACAGGTCCCAACGCCTGGAACAAGCTGCCAAACACAACAGTAGTGAAGAAAAGAGCAAGAGACATGATGAACGGCATGGCTGCAATCAGCGCAAAGCGCATGTAGTTGCCGTCGACAAGTGAAGCAGCGACCATTTCGGAGACTGAGGAGCCTACGAGAATGATTGTGAGGGCCGCAACACCGAGACCGACGTAGAGTGTGCTTGTCACGACGACGGGCCGCTGCAACGATTCCGCTCCCGTGTGGCCTTTCTCCTCGTCTACAAAAGGCGTTTCTTGGATGGTATGGGCGACTGGCGTTTTCTTAAGCTCCGCGGCCAAATTGTATGTCGACGCCACAGGCGAAGTGATGCCGCTTGCCGGTACTGAGTTCAGCGGAGATGGGACAATGCTCATTGGGCGTGCTGCTCTCCAGATGAGGGACAAAAGCTTGTGCTCCATCTCGGCAGCTTGTTTCAGGACTCTGTCGAGATCATCGTGCCAGATCAGCAACACACGCTCCTCCCGCAGGAGCGCGGCATACTGGAAAAATCGCAAGTTCGCAGAGCCAGCAGCGATTGCGGCGAGGGACTCGACAACCTGGAGCTGGGAACCGTTCTCGAGGATAATCTCGCACTGATCTGGAGACAATGTTGAAAAGATGACGTTCATCGTCTCTGTGGTCATGGTGAAGGCCACCTCCGCATTCATCTTCTGTACGGCCGCCAACAGGAGTGGGTCGATTCGCTCCGGCTCGGTGACATACGTGCCACGGCTTTGCCGTAGCAGCAGTCCCTTCGCCTCGTTCTCTGGTAATTGCAGAGGCAACCATCGGCTTGCCGTGATTCGGCCGTAGAGATAACTGACCATCTACAGGGGGAAAAACATCATAAGTACGATATGAATCGGGCGGGGTGAACATGATACTCACTGCTCGAAAGCGTGGTCCATCGTCAATCTTCTCCGAAACTACATCGCCAATGCTCTCTGGAGAAAGGACTGACGGTGAGGGGTTGACCTCGACGACATCAGAGGCATCAGCCTTGTTGTCCTCGCCCTTCTTGCGGGAAAGCTTGCTAAAGAGACCCATCGTGACCTGCTCGCGAGGAGCGAGCCGCTGAAATGTGGTAGTGAAGCCAACCACGATATAGAAACTTGGACCTTGACTCTGGGAAAACAAGGGAGAACGTGATGAGTATTGCTAGTAATGCTGGTTGTGCAAGTTACAACGAGTGTGAGTGACTTGGCGGCTAAAGAGGACGAAGGCAGGGGCAGGCTGCCGTGCGTGGGATTGTCGTCCGGGCTTAGCTTGGAGATATATGATGTTCCTAATTAAAAGGTCAGACAATCAGCTATCGAAGACACGGAAACTACGCAGATCGGGACTCATACCTCTGCGACACGTGGGTAGGTCGCAGAGCCTCGACATGCCCTGGCCAGGTAGCCAGAATGCCGCAGAGCATGTGGCAGATCCAGCAACTGTGCGCCACCCGACTATTTTGGACCGAATCCGATATCGAGCAGAGGGCCCGCCTACCCTCCGAGCTTTCCAGCATGCGGCCATCAGCTGGAGCAAGGGTATCAAAGTGGACCAGATGTCGAAAGGACGACCTGGTCACAGATGCCCCACGGCTTGCCTGGTCTCAGACGGGGAGACCGTCTGGGAAGACTGCCCGAAGGGATCGATCGAGAACGCCAAAAGCCAACGCAGCCCCGGCAGATATCACCATGCCGCTACTGCAATGGCCTCTTATCAAACGCCAGCTCGTTTACGCCGGCTCGAGGCTGCCGGTGAGCAGCGCCCTGACTCGATGTAGAACCGCCCGGACGAGTGGCGGCCGCGGCAGGGGTCTCATCACGACAGGTCGCGTTGGCGAAAGTGACGATGTAGGCACGTAGGGTTATCGTGCATGCTCTAGGCCGTCCACACGCGGCCGAAACTGGCTATTGAGGCGACAATATCGTCGTTGCCACGAACTTTGGCGAGATGTATTGATGCAGCAACCTGGCCAGGCAAGGATGTACCACGGCCCAGCCAGGCTAGCAACAGAGAGACCATGCAAGCCGAGACAAGGGCCAGGGGGGTTGGACTGCGAAGTATCAAGCTGCACTAGTGTGATTCGTGTCCAGCACTGGTTGCTTTTCAAGTGGGTCGCGGCTAGCCGTTGTTTAACAATGCAATGAGAAATCCTGTTGGGACGACGAGCTGTCTGTAGATCTGCAGACCAAGGGACAACCTGGACGTCCACTAGCGATATGAGCCGCTTTGGTCGTTCAGCTCGAAGCATGCGACAGCGAGGCCCTGGCACTCGTCTCGATTGGGGATCCGCCAGTGCTACGGGGCACTGGAAAGGGCAAGGCGCTCACGGAAAAGGGAGTCGGCCTGCATCAGAAGCAAGAATATGTCTTTCTCTGACCACAACTTTGGATCAAGTGGCACCGTGGCGGCTCCGTTCCTCCTCGGGGCAGGCAGGCCCAGGCTAGGCCAAGGGAACCATCAGACAACGCAGGGCGGGCCTGCTGGCAAAGGTGTTGGAGTCGTGGAGAGCAAAGCATGACTGCATTTTCGTACTGATCATGGACTCCAACGATGCTGATGGTGTGAGGCCATGCCTGCGGCACATGCGTTACATGCGTCACATGCGTTGCAAACCTGCTGGGTGCCAGACAAGCATCCGGCCAGAAGTCATCTATCTACCGGGGAGGTAAGACCAAGTCATCGTGCCTAGCATAGCATCCGAGCCAGATCCGATGGTCTGGAAGCAGAGAGAAGGGGGGGGGGCAGTGTTGTGATGACAAGTAGAGGTGGCAGCTAAGCTGCACCATGCAAGATTGGGATATGCAGCGTCAGCTCGAAGACCCAGTCGCGCAAAGACGATGACGATAGAGAGCGAGCGCCAGAGACGAGTGGTCGGTGAAGGGTAGCGGGCACGCCTGGGCAGCATTGGGCAAGCCGAGACCTTGCCTTTGCCGGGGGCCCGGGTGGCAGAAGCAACGGGGTGGGTTTCACAGAGGGATGAATGTGGCGCTGAGCAGGATAAGAGCCAGGAGAGAGGGATGCTGGACCCTCTACGTGCATCACGAACACCCCGGCGGCGGGCAGGGCTTTGGCATGGAGCAGGATGTCGTTGGTGATGTCAGTACGAACTCGGTGCGCTGAGCACTCCGCACCAAAAACAGGGTTTCCACCACGGACACGCGGAGCTTGCAGAGGCCGCTACAGAGTCTGAGATTTGCGGGCGAGATTTGGTTTGGGCTGCATACACCAGGCATGTTGGAGAGCCAGCGGAGGTTTCGATGCGTGGTGGTTGCACAATCCCAAGCTCACCGTTTGAACCTTGAAAATATTAGATAAGGCAACGTCTTAGCGGCGGGGCGGCGGGCGGAGGAAGAGGTTGCTGGACGGGAGAGGCGGGAGCCAGTAGGAAAGCCAAGATATTGGGACGCGGGTGGCCTGCCGGGGGAAGGTGCGGCTGACAGGGGATCCCCTGCCACCGGGCCCATCAGAGGTTGAAAAAGCCCGGCCGCCCCTGGCCCCGGCCTGTCCCTAGCGCCACACCAGCAGCCCGGCAGACGCCCACCACGCCAGGCACTCCCGCCCGCCGTACGCCACAGCACTGGTTGTGCGAACCGCCCGTTCGCTGCTGCTCCGGGCAGTGATCTTCGTCCCGCCCTGTGGGTGCTCGCCAGATATCAATCAAAGACAAGGTACTTCCAGCTAGCGCCGACGACTATGGCTGATAGTGCCCCGGCACGCCCAGGTAGCCAGCTCGCTTCGTTCCGTGCCTTGAGCCGTGCGTCGCTGCCCGGCAGGGAGCTTTTGGTCTTGAGTGGATGGGCCGCCCCTGGCGGCGGCGGCTGCAGTGCTTCCTGTCAATGTCTGCCGCCACGGCCAGACTTGGTCGGGGCGAGAACACAAGGTGCGCGCTGCTGTGGGCGATGTGGACTGTTGATGCTGATGCTGATGCTGCTGCTGCAGGCCCCGACTTCCGGCCAAAGTGCTATTTACAGGCCATGCCGCCTGCATTACCTGCATGCACGACTGCCTGCAGCACAGCAGCTGGCCAGCCAGCGTTGCGGAACAGGCATTTGTCACGATTGGCTGGGTGTTTGTGGATTCGTGGTCGACGATGCGTGCTGCAGAACCTTGCCAGGGCCGAAATCCCTGGGCGGGCCGGGTAGCAGTCCCTGCGTTGGCCTGGGTCTCGTACAGTATGTACAACGAGAGCGAGGTCGGGCCCTTGGAAGAGAGGCCAGCGCGTGGGATTTCGGACGGCCCTTGAGTTGGGCCAGGCGGGAGGACGAGTCTCAGGTGTGCCTCGAGCATCGCCGTCCATGGGTGGATGGTGACATTGACGAGGTTGACAGGTGACAGCGGCGGCGGCGGCGTCCGTGGGTCGCCAGCCCTGTCCTGCCCTGCCCTGGGCTCAGATCATAGCCGAGATGCTAATCCCCCTCTGAGGATGTGTTTCAGAACCACGGCCAGCTTCTTCTTCCGGCCCCCTTGCCTGAAGCTTGAAGAGACGACCGCGGCATTCCAGAATATGGAACAATGGGAGGGCCGCAGAAAGGGCACCAGTGTCTTTGTGGCCTAGGCAAGGGCCGGCGCGGGACCTAAGGGCTTAAGGTTGTTTCTTTTCCGCTCGCCAGGTCGGTCCTAGCGCGCCATGCGACCATGCATGCATTGGTTAATTGATTGATTGATTGACTGATTCTCTCGTTTTCTGATACCCTGAGGCACGGCGGCAGGCCGTGTTTTTTTCAGCTCGTCAACAGCCTCATCCAGCCGTCGCACCACCGGGCCGCTCTCGTCGTCTGAGCTTTGTCCCTGTTTCCTTTTCTGTCTCTCTGCCCAACTTTTTTTCTTCTTCTTCTTTGCGCTGTCTGATTGCCCTGCAGATCTTGCTTATCTCGCTCCACCCTGGCGGGGATATCGGAACGGCCATGGGTCTCCATGCCTGTCAATACCTGCAGCCACCAGCCAGGAAGCCGCATGAGGCTCCACCGCGCCGCCGACGACACCGGCTGCGAGGTTGTTGTTGCTGCAGTCACCAACGCACATACACGAGGCACCCTGATGCTGCCCACCTGCCCAAACCAGCTGCTTGACATTTGGTTGCCCGTCGGCCTGTCGTGGCAGCCTCCTCTTCGTTGTTCTGGCCCTGCCCGCCTGCACAGCATCGGCCAGGCAGCAGAGATTTCATCGCTCCCGCCATGATGGGCTCTGGTGTGACAGCTGCGGCCATCATCACCGCCCAGCCTCCGTCTCGAGCCAGTCTTTCGAGCCACGCCGAGGAAGGTCCAGCACCGAATCCTTGGCTGCAGCTTGCCCGCAGGCGATGCTATCAAGTCGAGACATGGCGTGCTCGCTGTGCCGTCTCGGTCCTCCCAGCTGAGGCTCTGCGCTGCCCATCAGGCAAGCCCCCACTTGCGCCTCTCCCAGCCATCGACTGCGAGTGTCCAATGTCTCGCCTCGGACTCAGACCATCCGGCCCGCCAAGTTGCTCGAACCTGGAGGAACCTCTGCATTGACCTCTTCCTTGACAGCCCGTGCTGGTGATCGGCTCCTCAGACCCCCTTTGGCCCGTCTGGCAGCTGGCCGTTTCGTCCTCGGCGCCCTTACGTTCCTGCCTAGCCGTGCCTCCGGCACCCGGCAATCCTCGTTGTTGTACCACCCACCACCACCACCACCACACCCATCTACGACCCCCGCGACCAGACGAGCTCATAGCACCCCTGTTCCGATCAGCGTCCACCCTGATCGTCAGCTATCGGCCATGCTGCGGCTCTCCCGTCCCTCCCAGCAGATTCCGTCCAATCCGGCATGTTCTTGATGCCCTTGATTCTCGGTCGCTTCAGCCGGATCGGGAAACCAGCAAGCCCTGCGGCGCATCTGGTCTCACTGGTTCCTGCTCGCACGCATCTGCATGTAGACCTCGCTGTCAGGCTCCCGCACAAGAACAACGGTTCCGCGGCCCATGGCTGCATATTCCCTGTGGGCCCCTCGCCTCCCGTAGATTGCACACCCCGGGCCCGCGAATTGTGCGATCCATTGAGACGGATCGGCGACTTCCTCCTTAGACACAGACTCTGTGCGGTGACCCTCTGATGCTGACGGGCCATCAGATCAGCTCGATCTGTGCTCTGGCAAGACGGCAAGGGGGGCGTCGACCGAGCACCCTCCTCCCATGCCGCTCGTTATCACAATGTCCATGGGCCTCTTGGGTTGGGGGGCCAGTGGGCACAGGTCATGGCGGCTGAAAGAATTAGACAGATGGAAAGAAAACAACAATCGGCTTTCGAAGAGCCTGACTCAGGCCATTCTGTCCTGAGATGACACTTGGAGGAGAGTGCCATGTGCCGAACACGTTCCCACATGGTCTGGCTGTCTGGGCGAGAGCTCCTTCGTCGCCACCACCGCGGCCACGGTGCTCTCCCACCCTTCTCAGCTGGACCATGACATGCCATTTTGTCTGTGGACTGGGCTTGACTTGATTCAGCCTCCCGCTGGCATCCCCCCTAAAAGTGTTCCATGTTTCGTCCACTTTCCGAACTTCACGCCGACTCGTCTCTGTTCCTTCTTTTGGGAAGACTAAACGTCATCATTGTGCATCTGAACTCCCGGTCTACCATCTAGTCGGGCTTCACTTGTCTCTATTTGTTATCTTTATCGGTGTCTCTCGAGCCCGAGTACCGTGGGATTTCCTAAAGGATCAAGAACAGGTTCTATTCTCGAGAGTGACTTCCAGTCACACATTCCTCTATCATGGCAGGGACTGGGAGCAGCAGCAGCAGTAGCAGCATCTCTGAATGCACCAGAAACAGGAACCCCTTCTCTGACAGCAACGGGGTCCTGCCGAACACCTCGTCAGACCGAGGCACGTCGTCCCAACCTCAGCAATCACCACAACGACCCTCATTGTCCTCAAGAGCGTCCTCGTATGGTGCTCATGCCCGCGCCAAGAAGCACAAGTTTGTCAGCTACCGTCTGCGCGACGCGTACGAGCAGCCGTGGCTACAGGACAAGCGTCTAAAGGCGTGGAAGCGCAACAACTACATTATATATGGCGCCATGGTTGTCGCCCTCGGCGTTTGTGGGTTTTTTGGGTATTGGGGTACACAGCGTGGAGTTCCAAAGCATGATGTAAGTCAGCAGGCAACTGCTTGCAGGATCGGGTTGTGACCTGCAGCGTCGACCGTCTGGGCTGTGTAGATACAGAGCTAACAATAGGGCATAGTATTGTCTTGTATTGGAAGAAGACTTCAGTTCACTTGATCCTGCAGTCTGGAACCACGAAGTTCAGGTCAGTTGCCTTCGCATACTTGATAAATTCCCAGTGCTTACTCATGGATAGGTTGACGGTTTCGGTACAGGGTCGTTTGACTGGACCACAGACGAGTCGACAAACTCCTTTGTAGACGGTGATGGTTTGCACATTGTGCCGACTTTGACGACGGAGACATCGCCCATCACGCCAGCACAAATACTGGACGGCTATGCACTCAACTTGACACAGGCTGGTGGCGATGGTACATGTACCGGTTCCAGCCTCAGTTCATGCTCCGTCAGGTCGAACACCACCACTGGCGCCATCATAAACCCCGTGCGCTCTGCTCGCTTGAACACCAAGGGCAAGAAGAGCATCAAGTACGGCCGCGTTGAGGTCGTAGCCAAGCTCCCCAAGGGCGACTGGCTGTGGCCCGCCATCTGGATGATGCCTGAGAAGTCTGTCTACGGACAGTGGCCGGCCAGTGGGGAGATCGATATCATGGAAGCCAAGGGCAACGACCACGACTACCCTCATGGCCGAGATTATGTGGACAGCACGTTGCACTGGGGTAGGTCCCGTATTCCTTGAACACTTCTCTCCTTCACCGCAACATGCGAACAACAAGCTGACAACTCGTCTTTGCCACCACAGGCCCAACCGCCAAGACCGACGCCTACCTGCGCACCACTGGCATGAACCGCATCCGCCGCACCGATTTCTCTGAGAGTTACCACACCTATGGATTGGAGTGGTCAGAGAAATACCTCTTCACATACCGCGACACGCGCTTGCGCCAGGTCCTGTATTGGTCCTTTGACCAGTCGGCGGGTACAATGTGGCAGCGCGGCTACTTCAGCCAGATGACCGAGAACAACACTCTTCTCACAGACCCATGGAGCAAGACGGGACGGTACAACACGCCTTTCGATGAGGATTTCTACCTGGTCCTCAACGTCGCCGTGGGCAGCCGCAACGGGTGGTTCACCAACAACGTTGGCGGGAAGCCCTGGATCGACGCCGACGACAACGCCATGCGCCAGTTCTGGCAAGCTTCGGACCAGTGGCTGCCGACGTGGGGTGAGGGCAACGACCGTGGCATGACGGTCAAGAGCGTGCGGATGTGGCAGGAGAAGGGGTACAACGGGTGCTGATTTATGCCGAATCACGGACGTGCACTTACTTGATGGCTGCTGCTGACCACTCATACATCTGACATGCCGCAGTGATTGAATTTCGGCATTGATTATATAACTGTCAGTGTGGCTTTATCGCACGGGTGGGGTTTGCAAGAATTTGTCACGAACATACGGCGGCGGACCGTGATTTCGGGATCGTGGCATACCACTTCATTAATTAATGATGACTTTTGACATTTCCCATTTTTTCCTCGATCAGGCAGGCAGTGTGCTACACACACACACATATATATATATACACACACAGGAGCGCGCGTACACACAGCTATATCTTAGTATAGCCCTTGCTTTCATCTAATAACGAACAATAGAATTGTGCATTCAACAACATCATCGGATGATTTGATTGTCTCCATCTACGCAATAAGTCGGCCCTAGAAAAATAAGCAACAAGCGCGTGCACGATCACGGAAATTGTGCTTTGCGTATGTGTATGTGCGTGCCGTCAAAGCTATCGGACCATCAGCCAGACATCGGGACTCCCACCAGCGTGAGGTAAGCGTGTGTGTGCCCGTTTTGCGTGTGTGTGTGTGTGTGTGTGTGTGTGTGTGTGTGTGTGTGTGTGTGTGTGTGTGTGGTCTGATCTGTCTTATCTATCATCACCCACCGCCGATCGAGACTGTAGCCAGTTCTTAAACCCGTCAAAATTGAGCTGTCTTTTGTTCGTCCTGTGCTACCCTTCTTGTCCTAGAAAGTCCAGTCTACACAAAATACTACTATTAAAACGAGAAACAAACCATCATCGCCACAGGCATTGATTGCTCTGCACAGCTTTCAGCTACTGGAGAGAGAGAGAGAGCTTTGTCACTATCATAAGTAGAGAGGGGGGGGGGGCAGGACTCGGGAGTAGCACCAGTAATCCGGGCTTTCTGAATGGGCGGGCCACACCATTGTCGAATTTCGCCCATGTCAGTAGTAGGCGGCTAGATTAACATTAACGCAGCCACCTGCAAACACTTCCAGGAGCGCTCCCTTTAATCGCGCATTCAACGCACACACAAACATTCATTTGAAAGTTGCCAGTCTCTGCTGCTCATTTATTGTTCCAAAATGGCGCAGACGAGATATATCGTCAGTCTGCTTTCTATTTCTCCTCCGTGTATGTGTATGACCCATCCTATCTCTCTATCGTGTATGTCCCAAAGATATGTGAGCGGAAAAATGGTATCTGTGTATAAATGTCTTTCGACTATGTACAAGAAAGTGCCCAAGACGGGATGTGAAGTGAAATGGTTCCAGAAGATTCTTGTAACGAGTGACATGAAAATGTCGCGCGAATGAGCAGAGAAATGTTCCTCGACAAACTCGGCGACAAGAGGCTGTCATGTACATACCCGTCTACTCGCCAATCATCAAGGTCGCAGATGTAGACGAGATGCATGACAGCCAAGAGGTGAAAAATGGCCAGGCAAGAAAGAACAAAAAGGTTCGCCGTGGCCATTGACAGAGGGCAAGGTCCCTGCCTCGAGCCATTGGGTCCTTGTTGAGGAAGTCGTGGAGTGCGGAGCTGGTCCGTCTCAGAGAATGTATGAAAGAATGTGGATTGACTTGCCTCAAGTGGCTTGAGGAGAATGCTGAAGGCAGGGGGTATATTTGCATGATGATGGTTGAAAGGAAGAACAAAACCAAAGTGCTTTTTGAGGGTCGTCTAGGCGTGATCATAAGTCTTCATTGTTACGCGCACAGCGCAGGGAAATGTACTTTGAAAAGGGCGCCGAGAAGCCGCTTAGAGCTTGCCGAGAACAAAGTTGCGGGCAACAACCTCGACGTGGGCCTCACGGGCGGCAATAGGGGAGTTGCCGAGAGTGGTGATGAGGTCCTTCTCGTCGGTGACCTTCGTCTGGACGTCATCGGGCAGGTAGTAGGCGTTGTTGCAAGGGAAGGACTCGCAACCAGAGGTGAGGCTGGAGTCGCCGGCAGGATACATCATCTTGACATTGCTGTGGTCGTTGGCGTCGACGATGGCAGAGACATCGAAGTAGGTCTTGCCCATCCAGCCGTCGAAAGCCACCTCGGCGAGCATGCCGAAGCCGGGGTTCTGACGGCCCTCCTCGACAGCGTGGGCGTTACCAATCCAGCCAGTGGGGAAGTTGACAGTGGCCTCGCTGTTGCCAGAGATGGTAACGCTGTCGATGGAAGCCTGGCCAGCCGAGGGAGTGAAGTAAACAGTGCGCTGGGTGCCGTCCTGGTTGAGGAACTTGATGGAGTTGGCGCTGACCATGGTGGCAGCAGCAGCAACAAAGGCAGCAAGCTGGGAGAACTGCATTTTGAATGAAGTGTTTGTGTGGTTGTCCGGTTGTTTTTGGAACCCGTAGCGCGGTAGATGACAAGTTTTGTCAAGTCTGTCTTTCACGCAGTGAAAGTATGGTGTGCTTGTGGGCAGGGAAAGACTGTTGTGATCAAGGAGCGAATCACAAATAGAGTCTCGAAGGAAGGTATGACAGCTGTGGAAGTAAGCTGCAAAGCAAGAGAGTTGACGAATTTGGAAGGGAACGTTGTGTTGGGCCTGAGGACTAGGAAGAAATGGGATGAAGTCCTCTGGCAGGATGCGGAGGATTCTTATAGATAGACGGTGCCACCGTCACTTGCCTAAACACCCCCCAGATATTCCATCTCTTTGACCTAGACACCCACCCACGGCGAAATCTTTGACATGGTCCAGAAGACGCCAAAGAGAAAAGAAGTGGAACGGCCGAAGAACAAGCAGGACTCCAACGAGTGTGCCTGCAGCTTTGCCAGGCTGAGTTGGTGGGTATGCCACGCCATGTCTGCAGCGGCCTTGCAGGCAAGAGAACATGCGGGCTAGAAGACGGAATGGCACCCGACGGCCACGTACCGGAGCTTCAGTCTCTGCACAATGTTCTGGACCAAACTCTGACCTGGATGGAGGTTGAGTCGTCGGAGATCCCTGTCCAGTGCTCCACAACGGCGTTGCTGGACTCGTCATTCACCCGTTTAGTAGCCTTGCTGGACGACCCACTCCAACTTGCTGTAAGTCGGAACGAGGCTCTGACAGAGTCTTCATTCACCCTCGATCTAAACGAGTCAAGGGAGTTTTAGACGGTTGACCGACCTGGTCGCCCCAATATGGCCTTCCACTCGGCACCACACGCATGCCTGGCGCCAAGCGTTGGGTGGGGCGGCGTGTAAGCAAGAGAAGAGCCGGGACAATTCAGCAGGCCAGGTAACCGGGCTTGGGAAGGCGAGGGAGGGGATGGACGAAGAGAGCCGACGGGCCCTCAGGACAACAGGGGAAGAGAACGTCGAGAAGCTGTGGGCAAACCGGGTCATGACCCGGCTGATGGAGGGTGGGAGAGTTGCGCGGCCGTAGGTGGGCCCACGCGAACGAAGCTGGACGGATTCAGGTGGTGATGGCGTGGACGCAGCCCTCTGGGTTGTAAGTGGGTGGGGCGGAGAGCCAGGCTAAGCCGGGCAGCGACGTGCGGCGGGCAGGTTGTGCCTGGTACCTGACAGGAGATCCATGTGGCCGACGTTGAGAGGCCGCAAGACCTGAACCTTGGATGGCCAGGTCCTGCCGCGCGGGTGGTGGGTGGGTGCGGTATGGTCGGCAGCCCGCGGCAGGCCATGCCGCAAGCAGGTTTAGGCCGGAAGCAAGTCGTCACTGCGGCGCCCCAGGCTCACAGATTCTTTCTTCTCGAGTGGGTGTGCCGCGGCTGGCTGCCATTGGTGTGCCTGTTCTTCCAAAGGCGCGTGGCATCGTCAGATGTTTGGGTGGTGTGGGTGGACGAGTTCGCTGGCTGGTAATTATTGCCAAGTCTGTTTGTTCGTGCTGTCGCCGTTGCGCACGCCCGCCCGACCGCCCGCGATTGAGTTTGACTGGTATCTTGATTGTCGACAGGGCAAAGTTCAGGAGGGTTCGAGGGTCAAAGGAACAGGCTGGCGCCTGAGCAGGACCAACAAAGACCTTGTTGCTGGCGCCAACACTGTCGCGGTTGCGGTAAGAGCGGGCATGCTCAATGACCTGATGCAGATGCGGGCATGTGTTCGGACGGCCGACTCGGGCTGCTGGGAGAGTGTGCGCTGGCCACCAACCTCCTCTCTTGGCCTTCTGACCCCGCTCGTTGTCGCCTCCCAGTAGCACCGCGCAGCGCCGAGGACAAAGGATGAGAGAAAAGCCGACTGGGCCAGCAATGACATGTGGTGACTTGTAAGTGACGGGGAGCCAGCAAGATCGATCGAGTCGGTTGGAGGTCCTGTCCTGTCCAAGGCAGGACTCCAGGATGGAGGGAGGGGCTGCGCTGGCAGGCCGGCAGGTGGGGCGTTGCAGTTGCAGCCGGCCCTCCTGCGTACTGGCCACAAAGTCCGGTCAGTAACAATGTGGTGCCCAGGCCAGGCCAGGACACAGGCTGGGCGCCAGCGATTGGATGGACTGGAACAGCACCGTCCCGACCGGTCGGCCCAATCCATGAATAAGCAACTCCCACTGCGAAAAAGTCTGCGCCGGCGCAATAGTGGCCCGGCAGCGTGCGGGCGAATGGGAGGCGGCTGACTCGGGCCCGGGTGGGGCCTCGCGGGTTCTGGAAGCCCGACCCGGCCAGGGGCCCCGAGTACCCAGTAGCGCCGCAGCGGCGCGAGGTGGGGGTTTCCCAAGGCCAGCCACGGCGCGTTTTTTTCTCTCCCAGCGTCGCATCCTGTCCGCCGGTGGCCGGCCGAGCAAGCACCTGGCCAACAAGGCACCGCGGACTTCCCGTGCGGGCGAGACCGGTTGCGGCCCCGCTCGCAGGCCCAGGCGGGCACACGCAGCAGGCAGGAAAGAGGCAGGATGGAGGAGGAAGGGACGGGGTTTTCCCCCAAGACATTGAGCCGGGAAAATGTCCACTTGCTCCGGGATCGCCACAGGCCTCGCTCAACCACCTTGCGCTGTCAAATCAGAAACTCGCCTGCCGGTGGGCAGCACCACCTTGTTTTCTGGATAAACACGGGCCCCTCGCAACTCTATTCTCACATGTCAGGCCTTCCCCTTCCGGGCTGGCTGTGCTTTTTGCGTCTGCCCATTCTGGTCATGCTCGGTGTCATACAGCACTTTTTCCCGCAGTGAATCGTCAGGGCCCGCGATCGAGTCTTGATCCCGATGCGACCATCATCTTCTAAGCCCAGAGGGGAAGGCGGACACCCTCAAGTCTCGTCCAGGCAGAGCATTGGCCGGTCCAGGACGCGGGTCGCAGACTAACAGTCATCATGGCGCAACAGCGGGCTGCTTTTGTGCGGCCTCGGCTGGGCCCCTCCTCTGCCTGGGGGTCACTGGGAAATCGTTTGTAGCAAACAAGTCAATGGCTGACCATGAATCGAAATCGATACGAGTCAAGTGGCTGGTCGCATGGTCTCCCAGAGCGTCGGTCGGGTCTCCTGCACGAGTCTCTCAGGCAGGTGTGGATGTGGCAGGACCACGGCATACATGCTTCCCAGGAAAATGGACGTCGGCCTCGCGGACGGAGAAGTCCCGGTGTTGTCTACGCTGGAGCCTCAGACTTGTGGGCAGAGTACACAATCTGGAGGCTGTGTAATTCTCGTTGCCACTCGAATGCTGAGCTTTGTGGCTCTTTGAATACCGCTTCTTCTCGCTGGTGTCTGGCATCAACAAAACAGATCACAACGCTTGAGACGACTCCATGGTAGCCCACACCAGAAGCCAAACTTGGTCTGCACGAGCCAGTCTTACAAAATAATGGCAGCAATTGTCAGCGGTCCACAGCAAAATCCCAGAATAAAACACTCTTATCTGTAAGTAATTCCTGAAGCTTGCTTCTTAAAGATGCAGCCGGGGACAAGTTTGCTTTCCCTACAGGCCCCAGCTATCGATTCGGGGAGATCAAGGAGAAGGCCCTTCGGCATTTTCGTTTCATCAGCTATCACACAATTTGCATGTGTTCGACGTAGGGGAAGGGTCATGATCTCGACAGCGCATATGAGATGGGCATCTGCTACATGGCATGACAATTGTTGTGTGGTTGGACCTCTGGCTATCAATGACCAGCTAGCCCACCGTATCAGATGTCTGCGCCAATACATGACCTGGCGCTTCGTCACGACATACAAGATCATCATTACACAATGGTAGATTGGAGTGCGGAGAATGATACCAGCCCACGGCTCCGAACCTGCAACCCTGTACCAAACACGTGTGCGTGCGCACGGCGGTGTTATTGTCACTAAATTCTAGAAGCCCGAGCCAGTTGGTGTGGTTGAGCTGCCTTGCAGCGACTACAACAAACGGGATCTGGGCTGCAGGTCTTAAACAGCCAAGGACATCGTGCCAAGTTCACGCGGTCTGCAAGGATGAATAGCAAGTTTTTACCACTCTTGACGATACAAGGGTAATAACAGCCTGCTATGGCGTCATCAAAAGATACCCTGCCCCCCTCCCCCCCTCCTGGCTGAGAGGTAGTCGATTTATTTCTGAGGCACGCATAGAGCAATGCAAGAGAAGCTACAGGATGCCGTCACCGGTTGGCCTTGTTAGACATGAAGATGATACGTCTCCAACCTAGCACGCCCATGTATGTGATGCATGTAGGTTCTTTACAGGAGGAAAAAGACGATGAGGCGAGATATGCGGATACTTTGACATTCCGCAGTCAATCTAGGGGCTTGTAATTCGACGTGGTCTGAATGGTGGTTTTGTTGGAACCACCACCCCAAGAAACGCCATCTGCGGTCATGAAATAAATACAGCTACGTGGAAGCCATCTATCTGCTCCATCGCACCGTTCTAGCACAGCGAACCTGCTGAATAGTCCATTGCCCCAAAACAAAAACGCCTACGCCATGCGAGTGGGTTTTTTTCGCCAAACTCGTAGATGCCATGACCGCAGCGCCATGCCTCAAACTCCTCAGTCAGACCCGAATGTGTCTCGCCGCACGGAGCTTTCGCTCATGCCAACCGCATCCATCCTCGACCGCACCTCACGTATGAGCGCCTTGGCCTCCTCCACCTCAACGCCGTCTTGACACAGCTCGTTCGCGAGTCGATTAGCTGTCGCATAATCCTCTGTCCGCATCGCGTGCCTTGCGAGCCACATCCTGGCTTTGCTCGTCGCAGCCGTCACGCCTGTGCCTTCACCACCCATGGCACGACCCCCTCCAACTTCGCCCCGTTCGTCGTCTGAACCTCCTCCGGGCGAGTCATGGTGTATGGCAATGTTGTCGTTCGACCCGTCCCCAACACCGCCATCCTCTTGCTGCACGCACATGACCATGTATGTCTTTGCTTGCTCCTCGTCACCCATCCCGTCGTACATGCTCGCAATCTGTAGCAAGATCTCTGGGTCCATATGCGCTCCGCGCATACTGCCTGCTCCACCTCCGCTGCCAAAGCTGCTGCCAGTCTCATAGTAGCTGTCAGCCATCAAGGCACGCTTAAGAGCTTTGATGCCATCCTGGTTGCGATTCATCCGCTGGAGGCAAGAGCCCACCGCCATCCACATTTTGCCATCCCAGGGACGGAGACCTGCAGCCTTCTTGTAGTACCAGAGTGCATACGTGTGCATTTCCAGCACTTCATACGTCTGTCCCAGGCCGTACCAGGCGCGATAGTCGCGGCGATTTACGTCCACAGCCCTCCGGTAGGACTCAATGGCGGCATGTGTGTTCTTCAGTTCGACATACTCGTGGCCCATGAGCGTCCAAGCCGACAGACATGACCTGTCAAGAGTCAGGGCGCGCCTGAAGTACTGCACAGCTTTCTCGTGCAAGGAAAGTAAAGAGTAGTAGTTGCCCACTACAACACACGATTCTGGACGAAATTTGTCCACACTGCTGCACAGGTGCGCCAAGAATGCCAGCTTGGGTCGAAGGTTCATGACGTAGAGAATGTTTGAGTAGTGGTCGAGAGAATCCAGACGTTGTGGGTGCACGGATAGTAGCCGGCTGAAGCTTTGCTCAGCCGCTACAAGATCCTTGGCGTGATACGCAAGGAGGGCATCGCACGTCATCAGAAACGACGACGTTGGGAATATACCAAGGAGTTGCTCGAGGGACGTTGCCAAGGTGGCGTCGTGCTGATATAGCTCGAGGGACGTGTTGATGTGGAACATGAAAGAAACAATGTTCTGTGGTAGCCTAGGCATAATTCGTGCCAACTGATGGACATTGTCAGTCTATACAGACTAGGGCATGTATTTGATGAGGAGAGCGACTCACATCTTCGACCCGCGATATCAATGCTGTCATCTCAAGCCAGCACCCCCAGTTCATGGGGAAAAGATGTACGCTGCGAATCAGCCAATACATGGCGAGCTCTTCATTCTTCTCCTTGGCAAGCACCATACCGTATCTGCGCAGAAAGTCAGGTAATTGTCTCTTGTGTGCAGGACGGCACGCCGTGACACCTACAGATATTCGAGCCACCCTTGGCTGTCGGAATCTTCGCCATCGTCCGTCTTGTGCTCATCAAACCAGGCACCCAAGTACCTGCTGACAGTGAGGAGCTGTTTGTTAACACAGGTGCCGATGTCCTGGGGTCCCATCACCATTTCTGCGTCCTCATCTTTCCGTTTCTCGCCAGACAGCATTTTTGCATACAAGGCAAGAAACAGACTGCGCTGGCTGAGTCGCGGCAACTGAGCAAAGGAGCCACTTTTTGCACTCCCTGTCGCTTCTTTTCCTTTGCCCTTGCCTGTAGGTGTGGCATTGGGCTCACGCGAGGCGACGATACCTGCTAACGTCGAGTCTGGGAGGAAGACGGCCGCGCATCGATCGTATTCCCGGCAGTCGAAGAGAGACTTTGCGAGGAGATATTTGTTGATTTCTTGTGCCTCCAGGAGCGCCTCATCTGGGTCGCTGTTGGGCCCGAAAGCTGCTGAGGTATAGCTGTCTGACGCGTTTGAGGTATCGGGGTCATCCAGTGACATTTCGGGCTCGGGAATGGCATTGAGGAGCTCGGCTGCCCTGGATCAGGCATTGTCAGCATGGACTTTATGACCAGCTCAGCATTTCCACAAGTCGGGGTTTCGCTGATGTGTACCATTTGGACGATTGGTAAAGGCATCGCTCGGAGCATTTGACTACAGCTTCCTGGAGGGCGCTGCGCAGCTGTCCCTGCTCCCGCTGGTTGAGAGCCATTGCTACCGTGGTAGCAGAGCCATAAACATGTGTGGAAGTTTGGGTGGAAGTGCACTGCTGGGTTGTTCGCTAGACCTTGACCGCCGATGTGTGTGCCCGACTTTATTTTCACACTCGGAACTGCTCCCGACGAAGTGGCTGTGTCGTTATTGTTGTAGTTGTTGTGGTGCTCTACTGTGCTCTGCTGCCTTCCTTGTGAACGAATTGGACCTCTGGAGGACGCGCCCCGCCGACGCAACTGGAGTGCAGCAGCAGGCCGATCGCGACTTGACGTGCCTGCTCAAGTGACAGCTCGAGGTGGTGGGTGGGGCAGCAGCAAGCAACCCCTGCTGGAATCTGGAGGTCCAGCAGGGACCAGCACCGCACCGCTCTTGACGAACCTTAGAGACAACTGCCGGGCACGTCTCGTGAAGGGAACAACTGGCTCCTCTGAGTGGACGGACAAGTCGCGAGCAACGCCCTTGTCCAGATGGCTCCAACTTCACACATGTGCATACCGCTACAAGGAACAGAGCCGTACAAGCAGAGTCGGGTTTGTCTGTTTGGTGGCGCAAAAGGCGAGACACAAACACCCCAGAGTCCCTGGAGACGCCCATGAGATGATGTGTATCTGCATTCAGTCTCGGTTCCCCTCGTCTGTTACCCAGCAGTGGAAGCCTGCATCTGAGCTAGCCATGGACTTTGTTTATACCTTAACCTACCTTAATTATTCACCTTGCCAAGGTTCCAAGGGACCTTGCAGCCGCTGGACCCCTGACCGAGAAAGACCATTGTGCCCCTCCACAGCCAAATTATCGCTGCCCCTCCACCACCACCACCAGCCAGGGGCTCCTCTCCTCAACGGGCACTAATCTCACTCGCCTGCGAAAGAGCGGTCTCGTCCTGGGCGCCTTTCTCCCGAGCTTCAGACTGAATCAACCTCCCCCCGGTCTCGGCTCTCTCGTGCATTGCCTCCCCTGGTTCTGCTCCTGCCCATCTTCCACGCCTCTCCCCCTCTCCAATATCCTGATATCACTACTGGTCAACTCCCCCGTCGTTTCCCAACCCATAAACCAGTCCACCCCAACCGCAACCATGGCGCAAAAGACGACCCTCCAGGAGTTCGAGTCCGTGTTCCCCAGGCTCGAGCAGGACCTCATCGACTGGGCCAAGCAGTACAAGCTGCCCCAGGAGCAGCTCGACTGGTACACCAAGGTTGGCATTCCTCACTTGCCAAACATCGTGGGGGCAACGGACTCCTGGCGTACACATAAGCTAACATGGGCTCTCCTGTCCCCCAAATAGTCCCTCCAGGTCAACACACTTGGCGGAAAATGCAACCGCGGCATGTCCGTGCCGGACTCGGTGTCGCTCCTGCTGGGCTGCGCCCTCACCGAAGACGAGTACTTCCAGGCTGCTACCCTCGGCTGGATGATTGAGCTGCTCCAGGCCTTCTTCCTGGTCTCCGACGACATCATGGACAGCAGCATCACCCGTCGCGGCAAGCCCTGCTGGTACCGCCACGAGGGTGTCGGCATGATCGCCATCAACGACGCCTTCCTGCTCGAGTCGGCCATCTACCAGCTGCTCAAGAAGCACTTCAAGAGCCACCCGGCCTACGTCGACATTATCGAGCTCTTCCACGAGGTCACTTACCAGACCGAGCTCGGCCAGCTCTGCGACCTCATCACCGCCCCCGAGGACGTCGTCAACCTCGACAACTTCTCCCTCGAGAAGTACACCTTCATCGTCATCTACAAGACCGCCTACTACAGCTTCTACCTGCCCGTTGCGCTCGCCCTCCACATGCTCAACATCGCCACGCCAAAGAACCTCAAGATTGCCGAGAGCATCCTGATCCCCATGGGCGAGTACTTCCAGATCCAGGACGACTACCTCGACAACTTTGGCCTGCCCGAGCACATTGGCAAGATTGGCACCGACATCATGGACAACAAGTGCTCCTGGCTCGTCAACCAGGCCATCAAGCTCGCCACCCCCGAGCAGCGCAAGGTCCTCGACGAGCACTACGGCCGCAAGGACAAGACCCACGAGGCCGAGATCAAGAAGCTCTACAACGAGATGCAGCTCGAGACGCTGTACCAGGACTACGAGGAGAAGGCCGTCGCGCAGCTCCGCGAGAAGATCGCCAGCATCGACGAGAGTGAGGGCCTGAAGGGGTCAATTTTTGAGGCCTTCCTCGCCAAGATCTACAAGCGCAGCAAATAAACGGGTTGCCGCTCACAACAAGATGCAAGGGGGGATGGATGAGGACGAACTGCGGTTCACCGAAAAAAACGGAGGACATGATCAACGACGAATAATGATAAGCCGCGCTTTATGGCAGCCTGGGCTGGTGGAGTCGGCCGGTATAGCGCATCATAGAAATTGCCATCTTGGTGCAAGGCCTCTGGCATAAAGTCATGCCTGTACCACTAGACAGCACTTCCGATATATAGAAGCAATTAATATCAAGAAGGATTCAAAGCATGCCAAACAGGTCATACGCGGGCTACCAAATGACTCGTCCGAATGTGATTCATTTTAAATCTGGTATACAAAGTAGAAATGCCAGCGCTATGGAATAATTACATAGTAAACTTGTGAGCGTAAGACCATGAAATCCAAAATCAGATCATAAATCGCGTGTCCTCGTAAGTGTGCTTGTGGTAAACGCTAAAAGTTGACCCCCAACGGCATGACCAAAGGATCTAGACAACCTTCAAAGTCCCTTTCCGACCAGGCACGGCATTGAAAGCGGCCTGTCGTTCCTTGTACGCACGCTCCTGCTCCTTACGCCGCAGCCTCTCGCGCTCGCGCTGCTCCTTCTCGCGCGGCGTAAGGCCCTCCCGTTGCCGCGATGAGGGCTGCACCGGCTCCTCGGCGCCCCTGCGCGCAAGGCCGGGTAATGTTGGCATCGGCGGAGCTTTGTTGCTACCGGCCATTGCTATCGCGGCCATCATGGCCCGACCATTGCCTGAGGTGTTGCTGAAACTTTGACTGCGTGCGCGCCCAGCGGGGACTGATATCGGCGGTGGGTATGCCGTAGATCCTGACGGCGGGTTGGGGCTCGGACGTCTTGTGCTATTGCGCGCCGGTGCATCAAGCATGCCCGTACCTCTCCGCGCATCTGGGCTGAATGGATCAGTCGGACTGATATAGTCCACCAGATGCTCTATGTCCCCAGGCGCCTTAACGCCATGTCCTTTGCGCTTCCACTGCGGCGGCTTGTTAAACTCTGTAGAGCCAATGTCCAGAAGTGGCTTGGGCTGCTCGCGGCGACTCGATTGGGCCACACCACCTCTGCTCTCATGGCTGCGTTGCGGTGGCTGGTGACTCTCACGGCTCCTTTGCACAACGCCATGATTGCTTGACATCCCCGCGTGTTGATGCCGTCCAGAGCTCTGGTTGGAAGGAAGCGGCGGTACTGCCGATGTGTGCATAGGCTGTTGTCTCCGCATAGTAGAAGGGCCAGTAGAGTTCACCGGACGGACTGCAGTCTGTTTCGCAGTGTGCTCCAGTGCAGAAGGGAACCACGATGACGAGTTGCCCTGATCGTTGTTCGGGGATGTTCGCTCGGTAAGATTTTGTTTGTTGAGCAATGTCGGCCCGTCTGCAAATCCATCCGGGTCCGCCTGCGAGGCTTTGATGACTGCTCCACCGATGGCATCGCGACGCTCCTCGTACCCATTTGCAAGGAGCCCGTTGCCAGTGAAGCCATCGTCAGTTTTTATGCTATCGATCAAGCCTTTCCCAATCAACGAATTGCGGTTCGGCCTGGAGAGATCCCTCGACGTTCTTGGTGAGTCTGTCGGTATGGGCGGTGGCGCCTCGTTGCCGAACAACGATATTCGTTTGTCGAAGCGGGACAAGTCAAGCAAGGGCTTGAACTCGCCGATTGTGTATGGAGACTCGTCTACAGAAACCTGCGCACGATGCGCATGGCTCAAGTTGACAGATCGTCTTTGCCCGTGCCGCGTGACCGCGCTCGGAGAAGATTTTGACTCCTCTTTCTTTGAAGTTGTTGGCCGGGGTGGGCTGGTCATAGACTGTTTCCTGGGCTCCGGTCTACGATCCAATAAGTACCAGCTACGCCAGACCTGGACCTTGTCTTGGAAGAGGGCTGCCTGCTTGGGATCCTCCATGGAAAAGTACTGAACGTAGTTGTCGGTATTGAGGAACACTGTCGTCTTTTGCTGACTACGAATCGCAAAGCAGTGTCGTTTTGGTGGTTTCAGATGCCGACGCATCATCGATTCAGACGGCTGGTAGATGTCGTAATCAGAGAGTCGACACAGATTGGTACTGTCCTTCTCACCGGCGTATGCGTCTGGCTTCTTGCTCAGGATGATCTGGCCATTGTCCAAGAGGGTGATATAGCGCTTGTTCCACTTTCCGGGCTTGTTGGAATGATACATGTAGATCTGGCATCCCTTTGGCGGATCGGTTGACTTTGATATGTTTGCTGCGTCCAGGTCGGTCATTGAATCGCCAGCTTCGCGAATCCGCACGACGAGACAGTTCGTTGAGTCTAGATCCCAAGAATTCACGATATCGCGGATGGCCTCGTATCGCCGAACTCGCCGCTCTAGGCCAAGACTATCGAATGACTCGAGCACAATGCAGTTTGATGGATTGATCTCAGTATCGTTGACAAGCCGACCACATTTTGTGATGATCTCAATGGCTGTCGTGTCTGCATCCACATCTAGGAGGAAGCGGTTGCCTCTGCAGCGGACAGTCACAATCTGATATGAGAATCGTTAGTCATTGAGTTCTGCAAAGCATCTCCGCTGTCTCCTCACCTGATCAGCAGTATTGATTGCAGACGTTGGAGCATCAGTCTGCGGAACAATGCCCTTGCCTCCCGACACAATGCCAACTGACTGATTGACCTGATTTTCTTGCAGTTTGTCCTCGCGAGCCGACCTCGGGGCCGCCTCTGGCACCGGGTTCGCTTTTCGAAGCTTGGTCAGGCTGGCGAACTTTTCTATGACCGGGCTCCGTTGGGACTTCTGCATTGGTGGTGCCGGAGCCTGGTTTGGCTGCATTTGAAGTTGCAACGGCGCGACGTCCTTTTTCGGCTTGGTCGCCATGCGCTCAGGCAGAGGCTCCATGCGCGTCATTGGTTCCAGAACACGAATCGCTTGCTCGTGGTGTGGTAGCCTCGCTTTGTCCTCGTCACTGTTTGTCCGTTGGCGGCGGATGGGTGCATCTCCTGTTTTATTAACTGATATGCTCTCGCGCTCGGCAGATGCTTGTCGCGAGCTTGCAGCAGAGGGCGTGCTGGTTCCAAGCGGCTGCCTCTCGTGTAGTCGCGGTGGCGGTGGCCTATTATAAGAGGCGACAGCAGCTGGCAGGGAGGCGGATGGAGCGGCATCATCGCTGGTTCCAGAGGGAGCGATATGACGTGACCTGGTTGCACTGGCGCCTGCCTGTGCCGGCATATGCTGGAGTGGAATCGTGGGGACAGGGGGCATTGGAGGCGTCGCATGCATCGACGGCAACACTGCTTCGCCTGCGCCTGGCCTCGCTGCTGCAGCGACCTCCTGGGCAGCAGCACTGGCGGCGGTGGAATTGGCGCGCTTACGGTATCGCGACATGGACCTGGCAATTGAGTTTGCTGGCGTGGTGCTGCATGCTGCTGCGTCTGCACGACTTTGACGAGCATCGTGCGTGCTGTCGGCTGCAAATGCCGTGTTGTCCTCGTCGCTCTGCTGGATAAACGGAGCCATGGCTATGGCGATTGATGCCAGCGTCTGGCTGCTTTTGTTGCTGTGCTGGTTGACGGCCCGGGAGGGTTGCGACATGCGCCGGTGACGTCGAAGTGGGAGGTGAGAGATGGAGATGCTGCACTCCGACACAGAGTCTCGTGGGTTCCCTCGGCTGCTGCGACAAGCCTTGAAAGGAAAAAACCAAAAGGAAGGAGTCTGCCAACAGCCTCAAGACATCAGGGACAACCTTGTGCCACCGCGAGCGAGCAGTGTCTGCTGCTGGACGAAAGAATGAAGGGCACGCGGCGCACAGGAATGTGAGGAACGGGGAGAGAAAAAGAGAGGAATGGCCCCGTCAATGGTGAACGAGGCTAGGCCCGCTCTTGAGGGCAAACAATGCGAGGCTGGCCGGGTCAAGGCAATGCCAATGGATGAAAGTACACAGCTTCTGGCCGGGTTCCACGAGATGATGTGCAGCGCGGGAGAGCGAATGAGAGAACCCCGTCCTGCGAGGCAAGGATGACTACCTAGGTACAAGAGATGGGGCAGGAGGAACACACGCCACGGCAGATCTCGTGCGCATCGTGTGATGCCATCCATGGCCCAGGGAGGTTTGCCCGCCCGGCGAAAAGAAGCCGTTGGCTGGCTGGCTGCGTGCACCGCACCGCACCTGGGCCCTCCCCGCCCAGTTTCTTGGCAGGGCCCCAGGGTTGGTTCCTGCCGTGACAGCTGAGCATCCAAGCCCTGCGCCGTTTCGTTTCCGCTGCGTGGGGCCGCGGTGGTCGCGCCTGCCCTTGCCGTAATTGCAGGGCCCGCCCGCCCATGCTCGCTGGCTAGCGCGTTTGGACTCTTCTGGTGCCTGCATCATCGAAATTGCGTCCTTCGCTTGTGTTGTCTCACCTGTTCGCCATTGGCTGCATTCCTCCCGCTATTATCATGCATCGCCTCCAGCTCGGGGCGAGGGGGACTTGAATCGTCATCTCCACTCGGGCTGGTCAGGCTTCATACGTAGCTGGAATGCGCTCGACTGGCTCGCGTGCATCCTGGTCTTGAGTACTAGGTAAAGAAGGTAGCGTGACCACCTGTCCCGTTTCAGTCCCAGCAGGAACAACGCATTATACTTTGGAGACTGAGCGCTGGCGCGTGTGTCCACCCCACGTGTCCCCTTTCCCTTTTTCGCAGAGGAAACAGGAACCCACAGATACCCTTAATTCCCAGGGCCCCCCGGATTGACGCTGCATCAAGGACCCAGAGAGCGGACATGTGAGTGGGCTGTTGCCGCGGCTGCAAATCAAACAACGCAGCGCTGCTGACACTTGCTCATTGGCCAAAGAGGCAGACTGCTCAACTCAAAAGATCCGCTAGTAAACGTCGGGATTTTTTTTTAATTTTTTTTTAATTTTTTTTTAATTTTTTTTTAATTTTTTTTAATTGCGCCATAGCCATAAGGCAGTGACTTATTGGTGTATCTTGTGGATATGCAATGACCTTCCAGCAGTGCCTCGGTATTTGTTGTTGGCATCTTGACACGGTTATGCCGCTCCAGTACACCTGCATCTCCTGGAGAATGCTACTTATTCACACTAGGTGGCAGTCATCTCTTTGTCTTGGTCACTCTGTCCCACGCCGTGCTGATCAGTAATAACCCATCACCAAAAATGCTTTTAGATGAGTTTGGACAAACTCGTGAGTCAGGCTTGACTCTAAACGCCAATTCTCGTGACACGAGCCTGACCCTGCATCCATCGCGACTCAGACGGGACCAGTGGCATTGCAAGATAATTTCAGACGCGCAGTCACAACATATCTCCAGTCAGACACGACGCTGCCGCCATCACGCGTCCTAATGTCTAATTGCCACCGAGACCAAACCCCATCACTTCCTGAAGGCCTTGACCTGCCACCGCCACCACGCCACAAAGTCCATGGTCTCCACGCTGATACCCAGGTCCTTGAGCGCCTGAGTGCTCAGGTGGCAGTCGTATGGCCGCTGCACCGACGCGTTGGGGTCGTTCCCTTCCGTGTTGGCCTCGATGCCGTCGATCGGCAGGCCCATGATGTCGCTAAAGTGCTGGCAGATCTCGTACTTTGTCATCTTGTCCTCCGAGGAGAACTGCAGGATCTGGGGTAGCGAGGCGCGGTCCGCGGGTTTTGTCTCCAGGTACTTGACCGAGATGTCTATGTTCGAGCTTTAGTCGTTTGCGCACAAGGAGAAAGGAACCCGAGAAAGCGCAGATGGATCTAAGAAGAATGGGCTGAGGGACACTCACCTTTGCATACTCTGCCCACATCCTCCGTGTTCGTGGGATACCGAAGAGCCCAGTGGTCCATCTTGGTCTTGCTGTCTGCCGACGCCTCCTGTGCCTTCCACACCGCGTCCATGAGCACATTGACTGCGCTCTCCGACGGCATCTCCGCATCACCATACAGCACGGGCACACGCAGCACAACGCCGAGCCCCTGCTTGCCGGCCTTTCTGTACGCCTCGAGCGTGGCGGCCTCTCCATCCAGCTTGGTCTGCCCGTACATGTTTGTCGGCGCGGGCTCGGCGTTCGCATCGTATGGAGCGTCCCCGGGCTTCCCGGGGAACACGTAGTCGGTCGAGATGTAGATCAGGAGGATGTCCCGCTTTGCGCACAGCGACGCGAGGCTTCCCGTGGCCGTCACGTTCAGGGCCCGCGTGCCCTCGGGGTCCTTGTCGCATTTATCTGGGAAGCGGTTCGCCGCACCTGTGGGAAGCATTGTGAGCCTTGGTCGGAATAGAGTTGTGGTTTCAAAGAGGACATCGAGCTGCGACCGGGCCGAGTTCTAGGCATGCAACGTACAGTGCACAACTACCTGCGGTCTTTACCACGTCAATTAGCCGCGAGTACAACAGGACTTGACCTGGAAATGCTTACTTGACGTGTTCCAGGGCTTTCTCAACATTAGACGCATCCTCGAGGTTGACTTTGAGTACCGACACACCGTCCGCCCTCGAGAAGCCGGTGCCTTTGACGTTCCAGTTCGCCCGCTCAAACGCCTTGACGACCTGTCTGCCGAGCAGGCCAGTCGCACCGGTGACGAGAGCTGTTGATTGTGACATGATGAACGGCTTTTCTGCTTCCTGCTATGTCCGTGATTGCAGTTATGACTCCGAATTGGCGAGCAGTTGGACGTGCACTGGAGCTCTGGGCTTGGAGAAGCTCGCCCTTCTTTCCCCATGGAGGGGGGCGGAAGCTATGGTGGGGCTAGAGGACGGATGACGTTGTCAGGGTCCTCCAGAAAGTCCCCTAGAGAGCTGGGGTTCTTCAACACTTTTAAAGCGACTAGCAGATCAAATCAACAATTAAAGGTTGATCTTACGCCTGTTGATCCTAACACATTTCACATATCTCGGGTATCCATTGGAAGACTTCTTTAGGTCTCCCCGCCTGCGCTTGAGTGCTATATACAGTCAGCTTCGACGATGATGCCGACATTTCAGACACGCCCAAGCGTGTTGTCTTGACGGATATTGCCAATAATACCAATGGAGGCCTCGCCTCCAGATACAGCAGGGCCTCTAACCACAACTTCGCCCGTGTAGTCCGTGTCCGTGATCTTGTGGCTGCCGCTGTCTTTCAAGTAAACCTCCACGCTGCTTAATGGTGCGCCATAGTGCGTACCACTACCATCTCCCTGAACTCTGTAGTCGTGGAACTGAGTCTGTGCGACCGCGCCTGCAACTTGCGGTGCTGCCAGGGCATGTATAACTCGCGATCCAGTGAAAACGCGCAAGTTGGACAACGCGGCCTCAGAGAGTCTCGAAGATTGCGTCCCAACGGTGTCGGCGACATAGAGAAGGCGCAATTTACCAGGGGTCGTACCAAAGACCGGCCGAATGCTGTCATTGTAGCTGGCTAGGAACGAAGCTGCGGGCATGGCTCCGTTCTGCACAAGGCTCCGTGTTTGGACGTAGTGAGAAGCCTTCGCGATGTAGGAAGTAAGCTTTCCGTTGACCTGTTCATGGCTCTTTAAGATGGCTTCGGGCTCGGTCACGATGACAGTCGGTGCCACACCCGCGGTGGCGAGCTCCAGATCTGGTGTCGCGCCTGCGACAGAGTTCAGTGCGACCGACGCATTTGCGTGCAGAGCTGCTAGGGTCATGACGAGGGTGAAAGGCGAAACCAGCGACGACGCCGGCAGGAAGAGATCTGCTTGTGACAGCTTGTACTTTGAGGGGACGGCGGTGAGCTGGGCAGATACGGCAGAGACAAGGTTGCCCTGTGTGAATGAAACCATCTCTTCAAGGTCACCGCCCTTCTTGGTGAACATGATCACCTCTTTCGCAGGAGATTGGCCTTCGGCAGCAGGCAATTCCAGCCCGGCCGCGACTGGGTTGTCATTGAGAATGTCCTGCCACGTAGAGACGTTGACCCTGCTTCCAGTGCCCTGCGGCACCTCGTTCCAGTCCATGTGCTTGCTTCCCTCATCCACAACCCAGATCAGCTGTCGAAGGCCGGGGTAGCTCTTAACGACACTGTCGAAGGGGAAAGAGCCGGTTGCGGTAACGACAGCATCGGCCTCAGAGCGGCGGAGCATGGACACAAGCTCGGCATCAGACACGTTGAACGGGATGAGGACGGCAGTGAGACCGTGGAAGCTGCACGCAAAGAGCGCTGCCAACAACTCGACGGAATTGGGAAGATAAATGGCAACCTTCTTGCCGCCTTGGGATGCGATGTGCTGGCCGACGAGATTGATCTGGCGGGTGATTTCGGCTGGGGACATTGTGAGTGTGGGCACTTCAGACTCAGACCGTAGCAATGGTGCTTGCTTACATAGCTTGTGATCCAGGACTTTCTCCCGGCCAAGGACGGTCAGGATGGCGCCGGCGTCGCCCGAGATGGCATTCCTCCAGATGTCGCGCAAGTCGCCATCACGGCCTGCGGCCCACTTGGAGGCTCCGGGAGTCTTGACATTGAGTCCGCTGTTGAGCGGATAGCCGTGCGGTGCCGAGTTGGCTCTGTAGATCGGAGATTGGCCCTCCTGACGGACAGCCGAGCCTTGAGCCTGGCGGGCGAGAAGCATGGGATGGATCTCGGGCTCTACGCGGGACATGACCGAGTAGGTGAGCATCACCACAAAGGCAGTGGCGATGCCAGTCGAATAGCCATTCCACTGGCTGCCGAGCGCACTAAGGCTCTCATCGAGCTTGGTCAGGTAGTCGCCGGCGCCCATCTTGTAAGGTATGGTAGCTGGGCGCTTTGGAAGAAGGGGAGCCTCTTATATTTGTCGGTACACTTAGTTGCGGTGGTCTGTCTGGCCGGCCTGACAGAGTCCTCGTGCGAACTGTGATATGACTGTGCCCGGTCGAGCCGAAGTGACCTGGGAATATGACGGCAGCAACGTCAAGTGGCTCACGAAGCTCAAGTGGGGTTGGGCCCGCCGGATCCCAAGTCCTGCGTAAGCTTGCTTCATGGCGGCCTGAATTAGCAGGCAAGGGGGCGGCCATGGACCGAGCCTTGCATGCAAGTGGAGGTGTGGCTGATTGCGTGTGGCTGCAGCGTCCGGCGCCAGGCCTGCTCCTCGGCCTGCCCTTTTGTCGAGTTCCTGCTAGCTCGACAGAGCGACAGGGGTGCGCTGCAATGCCCGTCTGGTGTTGTTTTACCATGGGTGCTCGTTGCTGCGCAGCTCCTGCTCCCAAACAAAGCACATCTCGACGACCACGACACTCCTTGCCCTCTGGCAGTCGACAACGACCGCTGCGGCCTGCAGCATTTGCGAAAAAGTACTAACCCAACCAGCAGCAACACCACGGCCCGTGCCTCAAATTGCATCCATAAAGCCTGGTGTCCTCAGCCTCTGTCGCCCACATATCGCGTCACCATGTCTTCGTCGTCGGCGCTCACAAAGACAGTTTCGACTCCGGTCAAGGCCGCAGCAGCGGCCCCGACAGAGAGCCCAGGGAAATGGCGGCATCCTCGGCTGGATGAAATCACGCGGAGGCAGGAACAGACAAGCTTCTCAGAAAAGAACGTCCGCTCCATCACCATCAACCTTGGCGTGCTGGTCGCGCTCTTCGCGACCAACACCTTGCTGCACAAGCTCTTTCCTTCGACAAAGAGCTTCCTGCCTCAATCGTAGGTCTTTTTGTTCTACCTTGACCGAGTCCCCTAGGCTGACTTCGTCTTGCGTCGCGACAGCCTCGCCATCTCGCAGTACTCGGGGCTTATATGGAAAGCCATCCTCGTGATTCCAGTTGTCCAGATCCTCATCAACCTGCTACCTTTATGGCGCAAGCCCGACGAACTTGCCGACATTCCCTTGACGTCCGCTCAGCGCCAACTACTGGGTCTCCCCCCTTCCTCCGCGCCGCCGACCCCTGGGTCCGTGTACAGCACGCCTCCCAGATACTCGCGCACGCCATCCATCTCGGGCTCTGCGAGCAGCAAGCGCAGCTTCTCCGGCTCTCCCCAGTCGAACCGCGCCACGCCTTCGAAGTCCGAGTTCGGCAGCCCCCTCACAAGCAGCGGCAACGGCCTCAAGGCCAGCATCCTCGGTTCGCCGAGCAGCCCCCTGCTGCACAAAGCGATTGGCGGCGCGCGCCGCTCGTCTCTGGGCGGCAGCATGGGCCCGCCCAGCCCCCTGGGTATCAGCACGGCCTCTTCGATCTTCGGGAGCGGCGGGCCCGAGAGCCCGAGCCCTACTCCTACGAGCGGCAAGCGAAGCACTGTTGGTCTCAACAACAAGTGGCTGTACGAGAAGGGCCGGGATCGGCGCAGCTCGGGGAACAATTGGCTGCTCTCTTAAGGCAAGGGCACGTGTTGGGTGGGGGAGTCTTAATATGTGATGCTACACAAGGCGAGGCGTTTTAGGCGCAAATAGGGCGAGTCACGCGCGCGTGTAATTATAGACAAATCCAGCAGCGCGCAGCTTTTGCGAGATAATGAGCAGCATGTTTTGAAATGGATGAATCAATCGTAGGGAGCTAAGCAACAGCACAGCAGCATTTCACGCTATCCTTCCATCTCGAAACACACATGTATGCGTGCAAAGCAAATGAATTTTCGCTTTTTGTCCTAACCGACAACCATGGCTATGCAAAAACGAATACTATGAGTACCTGGGTAAGATGAACTCCATGCTGCAACTTCTGTGCTCTCTCGTGAGGGTGAATGCCCCAAGGTGGCGACGCCTGACATTTGCGCTACATGCAACCAGTAGGACATCTCGCACCCGTTGGCGGCAACTACCATCAGATGCTCAGAACCACCTCTTCCAGAACTGCCACCCAGGCGCGGCCGACCGCGACCCAGCCGTCTCCCGTTTCATAACCTGGTCACGGCCTTGTATCCGCCAGAAGTACACGGGGATGCCAATCAGGATAAACGCAATAACGATCAGGGTCTTGAGGGGCTGCGCAAAGACGGCCCGGCTGAGCAGAAACAAGCTGACGCAGCAAAATATGATGGGCGTCGTGATCCACGTCTTGTACGGGCGCTCGAGGGACGGCTCCTTGACACGCAGGATGATGAGACCCAGGACGGTGAGGAAATAGAACGAGTAGCCCGCGACGCCATAAAAGGTAATGAGCTCGCCGAACTCGCCAACGATGACGTAAATGGCCGTAATGAGGCCATTGAAGATGAGCGCATAGACGGGCGTGAAGAAGAGTCCCGCCTCTTCGTCGCCGAACGCGCGCTGGAGACGCTTTGCGAACCAGTTCTGGGAACGCGTGATTTGCAGGCCAGGCTCGGCAGCAGCAAAGCCAATGCGGCCAAAGATTGGTGGTGTGTATCCCTCCTTGGCGGCAGCATATACCAGACGGCTGCTTGTGAATGTGGATGAGTTCAGAGAGCCAAAGCAGGATGCGCTGACGACAAGCGCAAACACCAAAGACCCAATGGGACCCATGATCTTGCCTCCAAACAAGACTGCTACCGCATTCGAGGAGTTCAAGGTCGCCAAAGGAAGTACGAGGAAGTAGGACATGTTGGCGAGCAGATAACAGATGATGACAGCAGGCATTGCCGTATGTATCACCCTCGGGAGATCTCTAGTGGGATTGCGGAATTCGCCAACAACGAAGTTTGTCTACAATCAAGTTTCTGTTAGCATGTTATCGTGGGTAGATACGCCTGATTCAATCAACTTACGTTATCCCAGCCGTCGTATGCCCACAGGCCCGCATATAAAGCCACTGCCCAGTGACTGATATCAGTGCTGGTGCCTTCAAACCAATCCTTCGTCTTCCATTCGGTGTTTGGGTCTCCGGCGTATGACAGCCCGGTCGCGGCCACGACGATTCCAAGAATAGTGACGGCCAAGAGCGCAATGAATTTGAGGAACATAAGTGTATCGTTGATCCTCGTGGCAAGCTTGGTCGACACACAGTTGAGGAATGTGACGACGAACAGCCCAACTAGGCCCATGCCCTTGTTGACCCAGATATTGACCGTCTCGGCATCTGGACCGATAAAGGCACGTACAAGATATTCGCCCATAATGATGGAGATGATGGCCGCACTCCCCGGCTTGAGGACCAAAACTGCCACCCAGGTGAACAGAAACCCTGCCAGCTCACCAATGATTTTCGAAAGGTACGCCTGCGACCCTCCATTCAGTGGTATGGCTCCTCCTAGCTCAGCGTAGCTAGCAGCGCCTGTCCACGCAAGCACGCCTGCTACGGCCCAGACAATGAGAGACGCACCCGGTGAACCGACGTTGATGTTCACCTGACTTGGTGAAGAGAATATACCGGACCCGATAATTATCCCAATAATCAGGCCCAGCCCATTCACATATGTCAATGTCTTGTGTTTCTCCAAGGTCGCACCAAGCCCGCCGTGACGTTGTCCAGCAGCCGTCGGGGCGCCTATGGGCGCATACCCAGCCTCATTAGATGATGATAACGGGAAGAGATTGGCAGCAAAGTCGAATGTGTTTGACGTCACCGAGTATGACCTCTGGTGCCGCCCAAACGCGCCTGGCCGCGCTGCCGGATTATTGTCGTCGAGGGGGTCATCTTGTTCTAAGGATAGCTTTCGCGACGACGAAATCGACGGCCGGGAGTCTGTTTCGGAGTAGGCGCCGCCAGCACCACTTGATGAAGCCAGTGAAGCAAGCTCGAGTGAGTCGCGTGTATGGCCCTGGTTGGCGTGGGAGTAGTGTGACGGCATAGCAATTCGCGGACGGCAGATGCCCCGTAGAGGTTGCGCAGCAGGTGAATCTCCCCAGGAGATGCTATCTTTTCGAGTAGACCCAGACAAAGCTGAGCATCTCCTGTCTGTGGCGTTGAGCTCCGGTCCCGCGCGCAAGTTGAGGCGGCGAAGGTCGAGCAAGGGCGATGGCGATCAATCTGGGGAAGTCGTGTCCTTGTTGCGATACTCTGAAACTCGTCTCGTTGCCTTCGGAATGTTGTTGTGGCCAGCAAATCGGTGTCGCAATTGAGCGTGCTGGGGAATGATATCAGTGGCGCTTGGCGGTCAATGAGGTAGCCGCCAACTTGCTGTTCTTGAAACAAAGCCAGCTGCAACGAGACGGCAGCGGGGAATATTCTGCAGGATATAATGAAGCCAATGCAGGTCGTGGGGTGGTGCACTGAAATACGGCGGCGTCCGTGCAAGCTGGAGAAGGGTGGCCGATGAGAGATCGTGGAATGGACTTGCAGATCGAAGGGAGCATACAGAGGTCCGGGTCCAGCTTGGCGGCAGGTCACTGAGATGCGCAAGAGCTACAGCCCACTATTGGAGGCCCCTGAGCCCCTTTAGCGGCAAGGGCCCCCTGCCATGCGGGCATGCTTTAAGCTCTGAGACTACCCGGCATATGTGTACCGCACCGCCGGCATCTCAATGGGTCCACAGATCTGAGAGCCCCAACTTGAGAGATGCACAAGGCTCAGCTTTTTAAACGTCGCACGCCAAAGACATCATCAGCACGGCCGTACCTTGTGTGATGCTCAAAGAAGAGCCGCCACGGCAGTGCCACCACACGGCCAGAAGAACTATGCGATAAGAGGCGGCAATGTTGCTTTCAGTCCGGGCGGCCAGCCGCCCAACGTGGAGGATACGCTGCCTCCCAACGGCGTGTCCTCGACGCTACGTGATCCCTAGGTTCTATGCAGCTGCCGCGCTCGATCTGCCGAAACTCGACCAGAAGTGGCGTGGAAGATGGCTGGACCCGAAACTGCATGCCGTGCAAGCTCCCAACCGCTCTGCCCCAAGGATCGACGGCTCTGAGGCTGACAAGGACAACATGTACATCCTGGCCATGTTTCCGTATCCCTCAGGCAAGCTGCATCTCGGCCACCTCAGAGTATACACTATTGCCGATGTGGTGACGCGCTTTCGCAAGCTCCAGGGGCGGAACGTCTTTCTCCCCATGGGCTGGGATGCCTTTGGCCTGCCAGCAGAGAACGCCGCCATCGAGAGAGGTATTGACCCGGCCGAGTGGACAACTACGAACATGGCGCGCATGAAGTCCCAATTGGAGTTGATGAACGCCAGTTTTGACTGGTCAAGGGTTGGTCCTAGCATCTCGCAGCGTAGAAAGATAGCGTCGTCGCTGAAAGTATCGTTTCTGTAGGAAATTGCGACTTGTGATCCGAGCTTCTACAAGCATACCCAGAGCCTCTTCCTGCTTTTGCGTCGGCATGGTCTTGTGAGTCGCAAAAAGGCCACTGTCAACTGGGACCCAGTTGAGAAGACTGTTCTGGCCAACGAGCAAGTGGACGCAGACGGGCGGTCATGGCGTTCAGGCGCAGTCGTCGAGCAACGCGAGCTCGAGCAGTGGTTCTTCCACATTACCCAGTTCAAGGAAGCTCTTCTGCGTGATCTTAAAGCTCTCGGAGAGAACGAGGCCTGGCCAGAGAGGGTCCTAACCATGCAGGAGAACTGGCTCGGCCTGACAAAGGGCGCACATTACGTTTTCCCAGCTCACGCCCCTATGGGACTGCAACTGCATGTGCCCCTGAAAGGCCAGGATCGCTATCTCGAGAACTTCAAGATATATACGACCCGACCAGAGACAATCTTTGCTGCCCAGTTCATCGCCATCTCGCCCAGATCTGCCGAGGCGGAGGCACTCGCGGAGGAGGACTCGAAGCTGGCAGACTTCATTGCCCGCGCCAAGGACTTACCGCACGATTCCATGGAAGGATACCAGGTGAAGACCGTGATGGCCACAAATCCGCTCGCTCAAGTCCCTGGCCAGTCGGTTGCGTTCCACGAGAAGCTTCCTGTATATGTAGCAGCATACGTTCGTGGCGACTATGAGACAGGCGCCCTGATGGGAGTGCCAGCTCATGATGCGCGAGATATGGCATTCTGGCGTCACCACAACCCGAACGAGCCTATCAAGCATGCTCTGACGCCCACGAAGAATGGTCCAACTACCGACATGGGCGACAAGGTGTTTGTCGAATCAGGCTACATGACCTCACTGGCCGGCGACCTTGCTGGGAAGCCGTCACATGAGGCCGCCGAAGCCATCGTGCAGAAAATCAGCTCTGTATTAAAAGACACAGAGCTCAAGGAGCGCTGGAAGCTCCGTGACTGGCTCATCAGCAGACAGAGATACTGGGGCACACCCATTCCCATCATCCACTGCCAGGCTTGCGGCGAAGTGCCCGTTCCTGAGGAGCAACTCCCTGTCGAGCTACCAAAGGTGGATCATCACTGGGCTGGCGGACATACTGGCAACCCGCTAGAGTCCGCGACAGAATGGGTCAACACAGAATGCCCCAAATGTCATGGCCCTGCGAAGAGAGATACCGACACAATGGACACCTTTGTGGATTCGAGCTGGTATTACATGAGATTCGCAGACCCCAACAACTCCTCGATGCCGGTGTCTGAAACTGCGGCGAAGCAAAACCTCCCCGTTGATGTCTACATTGGAGGTGTTGAGCACGCGATCCTGCATCTGCTGTATGCTCGGTTCTTCTTCAAGGCTGTCATGGGCACGTTGTTCCCTACTACCGGGTCCAGCTCACCCCAGCAGGCCGCGCTGCATGAATCCAACCTTGAGCCCTTCAAGCGCCTCATTACACAAGGCATGGTACACGGCAAGACGTTCACCCATCCCGAGACCGGACGGTTCCTCAAACCCGACGAGGTCGACCTATCCAACCCATCGAGACCCACAGTGGTTGGCACAGGACAGGAAACCAAGTCATCCTTCGAGAAGATGTCCAAGTCGAAGCACAACGGCGTAGACCCGACCGACTTCATCGGCAAGTATGGTGCTGACGCCACCAGGGCGCACATGCTGTTCCAGGCTCCCGTAGCCGAGGTGCTTAACTGGGACGAGGACAAGATTGCCGGTGTGACGCGCTGGATCAGCAAGCTCCACGGCTTCGTCAAGTCCCTCCCACCTGTTACCACAGGGAACACGGGCAGTTGGGACGCCTGGGCGTACTTCTCCCAGCAGCCCAGCGCTTCCGCAACGGCCCAATGGGAAGCAGATGCCCGGATCTGGGCGGCCACGCAGCGCGCAATTACCTCGACCACGCTCGCGTACGAAAAGGTATACTCGCTCAACACGGTCGTGTCGACGCTGATGAGCCTGACCAACACGCTCGTCGCAGAGCGCGCCGCAGCCTCAGACATTGTCAAGGTCGAGGCTACGACACGGCTCCTGCGGATGATGGCGCCCATAACACCCGCCGTTGCCGAGGAGTACTGGAGCATTCTGTGCCCGGGGCAGCCGAGCATCTTCCCTAGCTCAGCACAACCCGATGAAACTCGGCCGACCGCAAACATTGTCGACAAGTGGCCCACGACAGACGACACCCTGTCCCTGGTCGAGCCCAAGCAGCGCTCCTGCGCGGTCCAGGTCAACGGCAAGCTGCGGTGCGTGGTCAAGATCCCTGCGCAGGGCGGGCCCGAGGGTGATGCTTTCCAGGTTTGGGTGACTGAGCAGATCTACAAGTCTCCAGAGGCGCGGGCCAAGCTCGTCGACGGCAACGATATCCGGCGTGCGACAAAGATATATACCGCTGCCACAGGGGCTATGGTTAACTTCATCATCCCCAAGGCGAAATGAGGCTAGTTGGGGAAGGCAAGAAAGAGAAAGGGGAGAGGTGGGTTATGCCTTCTGGGTATGTGTACGATACTTTATTAGAGGTGTAGAATATGAATGTACTTTTATCAATGCAGCTGGCTGTTTCGAAATACCAACCGAACCCGATAGGAAGCAAGCAGACCCTTTTGCCCCTTTGTACTTCTGCATCCCTAGGCCCCGTGGTCTATAGGCTTCAGGAGGTGTGAGCCTTCCAGATCCATGTTCCTCTGGAAACCCGTTGTTCTGGCTCCTTCTGACTTGCTCAGCCGTCCCTGTCGCTGCCATACGAGTCAGCCCATGGTAGCAGTTGTGCCGCTGGCTCTGCGAGTCTCCTAGACGGCGGGGGAAACTTGAGCAAGATATGTTCATGGCTCAAGCAAGATGTATTGTGGTCTCCTGGTTGCAGGCTCCCAGTTATGTGGTAGTTCTATATGGTATCTACGAAGCTGAGGATTTGTTCTCATTGTACAAGAGCGGCCAACCAGAGCGGCACGCGATGTCGAATAGTCGCCACGCGTTCTGCACCAAAAGGGGAGTCCCTATCGCTTCCTCAATGTGCGGGACACTCTTAGAGCCTGATCATCTCGCCATCCTGCTTGATGGCTCCTCGGAAGTGGTCTTTGACGACGCTGCCTTTCACAATAGTCTCGTTGACGATCCCCTCGACGTGCTTCGGCTCGACCCGACCATACCACACGCCGTGACCAGCCAAGGGGTGCGGGTTGCCGCCATTGTTCTTCCACGTCGGGGGGATATACACAATAATGTTGCCCGCGAACTTGTGCCCGCCAATGTGGCTGATGAGCCCGACGCGCGCGGTCCGCGGGGGGTCATCGATGGTCCCGGCAAGGGGTGGCGCCGAGATGCTCTCGTCGATGACGGGCCCATGCAGCACGTCCACACCCGCACGGGGCAGCTGCCGCTCAAACTCGGAGCGGAGGGCCGGGCCCATGATGCCGCAGCGCAGGTCGCGCCCGCCGTGGCCGCAGATGAGCACAACGACGTCGGTCACGTCGCGCACGCCGTAGAGGAGCTGCCGGTAGGCCTCCTTGCGGAGCAGGCGGTCGCGGTGGATCGGGGAGAGGCCGTCGTGCATGGGGTGCAGCTTGTCCGGGAGCAGGTAGCCCTTGACGAGGGCCTCGACCGACTCAAAGGACACCCGGGGCAGGAAGGGGATGTGCTTGAAGCTCGGGAAGAGGAAGGCTGATGTGGTCTGCACCTCTGGGCGGCGCGAGATGGACGATGCGAAGGACGAGTTGAGGACGGAGATGTTGTGAAAGGGCTGGTGGTTGGGAAGAGGCAAGAGACTTACCGTCAGCATAACTACCAAAGACTATTTCTCTCTCTCTCCCTCACTCTCACTCTCAGAGAGCAGCGAGGCAAGGGCATGCCGGATCAGGTTCCCACTCACGTCGCTGAACATGCCACCGCGGCCGATGAGCTCCTTGAGATCGGCAGCGAGGTTGTCCCCATCGTTGTCCTCTTCAATGCGGGACGCCCAGTCGTCCTTGCCCGTGCAGATAAGGACTTGCTGGGCATAATTGGAGATGAGGCCATCGAGCTTGCCCTTATAGTCTATAGGGAGGTCCTTGGGCATCGGCGGTGTGTCGGCACACTCGCATGTTGGCTCTGGACATGTCGTCACGGTGTTGAGCCACCGTCTACAGCCGGATCTCGGATAAGCCTTATTACTCGGCAGTGCACCCAGTCGGCGTGACGCCTGTCGCAGAGCGGGGCGGAACATGGCTGTTCTTTGCTCCTCAAAGACCACGGCTACGATATTAATGGTTGGCAAGTCTAGGCCATCTCGCGCGCAGCGGTTCACTCGGATGGGCACGTTCGTTGGGAAGTCGGCTGGATGACAAACATCCACTCGGAGATAGCAGGTTGAACGTCATCGCAGGACGAAGGTGGGCATAACACAGTGTCCGTCATCGCTTTTGATACTGTCATCTTCTTATCCAACTGCCGATGTTCATGACCCGCAAGATAGGGTGGAGGAATTACCTATTCTCTAATTATAAAAGATTCTTTCTCAATAACACAGATCTGCCGTTGCCGCTACCCCTCACGGGTATCTGGACCCCGTTCACATTCAAGCCATCAATCTCACCAGGGCCTGGCACCATCTCTGGCCAGTCTCGCCAGACCTCGAGGTGGTCCCAGTCTTGACTAGCGATAGCCATCTCGACAACTCTGGTCGCTTGTTTGAGATCTCCGACCTCGAATAGTGCCAGTTTCGGACGCGCCTGGCGGGCAATTTGCAGCAGTCTGGCGTAGAAGATGTCTTCGGCCACTACTAGCGGAAAGAGTGAGCTTAAATTTGTGTCTGGAACCAGAGCAAGCTTCGGCTCAAACTTGCGAACAGATCTTTCTGTATCTTCTTTGAACCCTTTGGTCGATATGTATGGCGGATTTGACAAGAGGATGTCAATCTGCACCTCTCCATGGCGTTCTTGGTTCAGGTGCTGCTGCCAGCCTCCCGAAAAGATGTCGTGTTGTACAAAGCGAATGGACTTGGTAGAATCCTTCAGCTGGTTTCGATTCAAATGAAGATTGTGATTGGCTAAAGCGACAGCCTGTGTACTAATGTCGAAACCATAAGTTTTGATATTGTCGTAGGTGTGTTGCAGCAATGAGGTAAGGAGCAGGGGTATGCATCCTGTCCCTGTGCAAAAGTCGACAACGTTGACTGCTTGGGAACTCTGGTTCAAGGTTGGAGCAGTTGCAGGCTCGTTGAGCAATCGAGCTAAATGATAGACCCAGGCCTCGGTCTCAGGTCGAGGAATCAAAACGCCTGGGCGGCACTGAATATTTAAAGGGCCGAACGGCTGCGAGCCAAGCAAGTACTGGAGAGGAACACCCCGACCGCGCTGGCTGCACAGCCGGGCTACTGCAAGCTCTTGCGCATCCCGGCCCCTCGAGTTGTGCTGCGTGGCGATGACGTGCTCACGAATCCATCGAAGCTCGCTACGGGCGGAACTTAGATCACGGCACACGGGGAGCAGTGCGGCAAGTTGTGGCGATATTCTGTGCGCGCGCCTGAGGGCTGAAACGGGCAGCCGTGGCATTCGGTGGTCCCAAGCTCCAGGAAGTTGGGAAGCGTCCAGGTTTACCGTGTGGCTGTCGTGGTTGTATGAGTTGCAAGTTGCAAGTTGCAAGTTGCAAGCTGGAAAAAGGTCTGGAGGCTTATACATCTCGTACACCGTGCCGAACCCCCCCACGTCTTGCGATTGAGACACCGTGTGCACACTGTCTGTCGTCTTTGAGGTTCGCGCACCAATTGAACTTCGCCATTTTCGAAAGAAGGCCCAGCAACTTTCCTGGTTGACCTTACAGCGAGCAAGGTCAACGACCATGGCCACATCAAGACACGGTCTGTGCCGGCTCTGCCTGGGGCTTCGGTCGAGCCCGGCCAGATCTGCGAGCCCGTTTGCGGCAGCTTTGAGAAGCACGTCGATACACAGTACAGCATCCAAGCAAACTCGTCGGATACAGACATCTCGAAGCATTGCCAGTTCAGCCCGCCGGCCCGCATCTACAGCAAAGGAATCGCGGCCTGCAGATGACAGTGGCCCGAGAGTGTCCGGTAGTCCACCCAAATCCCGGAGGCGAGGCCTCTTCGCAGCAGCCCTTGTCCTCGGGGCTGCTGGGTGGGCATGGCTATTTGTCGAATCCAGCAGCTCCAGCGGCGAGGTCTACCCGACCAAGTTCACCCCCTTTACAGTGACTTCGAGGGAGCAGATCTCGCCGACGGCCTTTATACTAACCATCCGCAATGACCAGCCCGGCGCGGCGGCCATCAACGCGTCCTCGGTCCGTGACGCCTGGCAGCACGGCCTGTGGTCCGTTGAGATCAAGCAGCCCCAGCTGCAGATTGCGCGGCACTACACGCCGCTGCCGCCGCTTGTAGTGGACTCTGAGGATCCCACTGGCCGGGTCAGCGGCGGTGACGAGGACGAGCTGCGCTTCCTGGTCCGCAAGATGGACACCGGCGAGATGTCAAACTACCTGTCTCGTCGGCAGGTCGGCGACCAGATCTGGCTCCGCGGGCCGCACATGGGCTTCGACGTGTCCAAGCGACTGGGCTCAGCTCAGCAAGTTGTCTTCCTGGCTGGTGGAACGGGCATTGCCCCAGCTCTACAAGTCGCCCATAAACTGCTTGAGAGCAAGCAGGGGCCAGCCGCGGAGACCGACCTGCCTACAGTATCAATACTATGGGCTAACCGCCACGGAGTTGATGCCCTTGGACGACAAGATGGACCTGCAAGGAGCAGTGGCTCACCATGGTTTTCATGGCTGTGGCGTGGCTCCAAGCCAGCGACCATCACCACCAACACCAACACCACCGAAGAATCGTCACCAAGGACAGCCTCGCCATCTGCCGGATCGCCGTCATTGACTCGGCAGATCCTGGACATGAAGGAAAAGTACGGCCCGCGGTTCCACATCGAGTACTTTGTCGACGAGGAGAACTCGCTCATAACCAAGGACGACGTCTCCAGTGCCCTCACGCGAAATCTCGGTCTTCGTAACAGCACCAGCAGCGACCCCACTCGCTGTGTATGGCATTCCGCGGGCCTGCTCGAGCGCCTCGCCGGTGACAACGACGTCGACCGCGCCAAGGACCCGGCTCATTCCGTCTGTGCATGCACCAGCAGCAGTAATGGCGGACAACAACGACAACAACAAGCAGGCAAAAACCTCTTCTTCGTCTCCGGGCCAGACGGCTTCATCCGTGCCTACGCAGGAGCCAAGTGGTGGCATGGCGGCATGGAGATGCAAGGGCCCGTCCGCGGGTTGGTCGAGGGGATGATGCGGAGTGGCACGATCCGCAAGGACGACTGGCTTGTCCTGAAGCTGTGAGCAGCTGTGTGTAAATATAGTATAGACTGTACGACTACCCTCGACATTGTGTGCTGGTGGCAGGTGTTCTGACACAGACTTTGATCCGTTGTCTGCAGTTGTCAATGCCCGCAACAACGACGCATCAGACCGCCAGATGTGCACTAAATAGAGATATCACAGAAGTTCTTTTATCTAGCTTGATTTGTCCAGACCCTGACATAAATACGCTCATACTCACACATACATACACCTCTCTCCCTGCGGCTGGCTTCTACACCCCTCCCGGCTTTGCCCAGCATGCAGCACTACGTGCCTGGGATACGTAGCCCGATCGTGTAGCCACAATACATGTATATAGAGATACTCATCCAAGATGAGGGACGGCCAGATGGGCACTTCCATTGTTGATGGCATGCTGTTAAACATTAAATGGCTCTTGCGTGGATATCAATGCTCCCAAGCACTCCTGCTTGAAGGTCTCTAAGAGTCAACCCCCTTTGTGTATTTGCCATCTCTCACTCACTCCTCAGATGGCGCCGTAGCAGGCTTCTCTTCCGGGGCAGCTTCTGCAGCGCCTTCGTCTGCCTCGGCATTACCGGTGCTGTTTGAGCTGCCTTTTACCCTACGCCTCCGCGCCCGCCTCTCCTCGGCGGCGGATCTGCGCAGGTTATCTCTTTCCTCCTTGGACTCGCCGTCGTCTCCAGCACCATCACCGCTGCGCATGTCCTGCAAGAGCATGGCGGCGCGTTGCGCGAGACTGTCGTCGCCGTCCTCGGATTTCGCCGCGCTCTCGCCGTTTGGTGGCATCCCAGGGCTAAGGGGGTTGCCATCCGAATCCGTGGCTGCAGGCCCGCCGTCCTTGTTGAGCACTGCTTCGGCCTCGGGTATCTCGTTAAGGTCGGGAATCTTCTGCCCGGACGCGATTCGCACCTGGTGGCGGTCCTTGAGGCGGGCACGCCTCCTGCGATCGCGCTGATCTCTGGTTTGTGGTGCGGCGTCGCGCAGCTTCTTGAGCAAGTCGTCCATGGCGCCTGCGGATGCTGGTGATGGAGGCGGGGTCTCGCCATCCGCACCTAATTTGAGCGCTGCCTGCTTGCGTTTCATGCTTGCCTCGTTGCGGCGGCGGAGTGCCTCGTACTCGACGTTCTTGTCCCTACTCCTCTTCCATTCTTGGACGAACAAGGCGAGTTTGGAGAAGAAATCGCGGCGAGCGTTCTCATCTGTAGGATCTTCACCATAAAACACCATAATGTCGTCATACGTGCGCACCATCTCCTCGAGGTACAAGGTCATTTGCTCCGCCTTGCGTCGGGCCTCTTTCATGCAGCGTTGAACGATGCCCGATACGCGGTCCTGGGGATGAAACTTCTTCGGATCGCTCAAATTGCCACTGTCAAGCGACATTTGGATGTTCTTCACATTGTCGATGTACTTCTTGGCGTCGGTCTGGAGTTGTTCGATGTTGAGCTTCCGAGCTGCAATGACCTCGTTGATATCATCAGTGAACCTCTCCCACTCCGGGTACTGGTTGCGGACAATGCGCTCCACGAGATCGGCTAGTGTCGATTCGTTCTTGTCGTCCTTGACCATAGCGAGGCGGGCAAGAGAGCTCAACTTGAAACCCCGCGCCTGCTTGTTCGCGTCGTTCATGTAGTTTCCAATGTCGAGAATCAATCCGAGGACATTCATGAGAGACACCGAGTCTCGCAGCGACTCGGAAACAGTCACCACCTGGCGCATTTTCTCGGTGAGCTCTTCGTACTCGACTTCGTACGTCTGTGTAAGTGTAAGCGCACGCATCCTGCTCTTCCAGTAGTGCTGTAGCTCGAAAGCAGTGTATAGATAGATCTGATCCTCGCGAGTAAGTTCGCTGGGATCCTGTTCGCGATTGTCTGACTTGGCATCAGCGCCCGTCCAGTCTTTGCTATAGGGCGCCATCTGCTTCGAGGTATTGTCGGAGACATTGCACAGCTCAGGTTTTGACAGGAACTCCATAACAACGGTGTTGGTAAGGAACTCGCGGTCGCAATGAATGATACTCTGCACGATCTTCTCGACTGAGTACGAGTTGAATTTTGCAAAAGCGATGGCTGGCAGGCTGTTAGCATAGTCTCCCGTGGTACCAAGTTCATCCTGCAAAGAAGCTTACCATAGGCTTTGCGCAGATCTGAGGAGATGATCTGTTTCTTCTCGTCCTTCTTGCTGGTGCCGGTGCCAATTTTCTTGACTTCCTTGGCCATGAAAAGCTTTTCGACCTCATCCAAAATGCCCTTCTTGCTGAGCTCGGCATATTTCTCCTCTCTTGCTTCGGCGGAGGGAGTGTGGGCTGCCCAATGACTTGTCTCCGGTGCGTCAACTTTGTCCCAGTGCAATGCCTTGAGCTTCTTCTTTGGCCGAACAATAGGTAGACCAATACCAGGCACTGGGGAGAATGTAGACTGTTGGCTGAGGAAATGGCCTGATATGGCACCAGGCATCGGTGGAGGCGGAGGTGGTGGCATGCCCTTCATGCCTGGCATTGGTGGCGGAGGAGGAGGGGGCATTCCCTTCATACCGGGCATGGGCGGCGGAGGGGGTGGTGGAGGAGGGATACCGGCCATTCCTGGCATGGGAGGGGCCGGTGGTGGAGGAGGAGCCCCGGGCAGCTGGCCCGGCATCGGGGGCGGCGGAGGCGGTGGCGGTACGCCGGCCATACCGGGCATTGGGGGAGGCGGCGGAGGAGGGGGAGGCACGCCGGCCATGCCAGGCATAGGCGGAGCTGGAGGTGCGGGAGCACCTGTAGAAATGCCATTGTCGTCGCTGATCTGGATGGTTGGTGCACCCGCTGCCGCATTGGGTTGCTGGTCAGAGTCCGCTGCACCATTGGCGTCGGGTTCGTCGGGGTCGCTGTCGTATTTCCGGCCCTTAGCCTGGATCTCGTTCATGAGGTTGCTCGCTTGTCGCGGATCCATGACAGGGCGCCGAATCTCGACCATTCTAGGCTTCTCGTATACCACGCCATCGTCACCATCCATATCCTCAGGCCGGGGCTCCTCGCGGTCATGCGACTCGACCGGCTTTCTGGATATCCTGGTTTGTCTTTGTACAGTTCCGAGCATACCGCCTGTGCTGAGGCCTGGCGGCGGCATACCTGCACCTTCGGGCGCAACGAAGTCGTCCATTTCTTCGCGTAATGCTCGCAGTCTGTCTGACGGACTGATAGTCTCGCCCCAGACCCTACCCTCGAGTTTGAATTGAGTCTTTTGCCGTTCCAGTTGCATAGCAAGGCGGTCCATGAGCCTCTCGCGATCCAGGATACCTTGCATGCGGATCGGATCGTCGTCCCCTGCCTTGCTGTTGGCAGCTCCCTTGGAAGCCTGCGAGGCCGCGACATCCTGAGCGTCCCGAAGCATGAGGTACAGTTCTCGCGTCTCCAGCTCGTATCTTTGAGCTTCTTTCGCACGCACTGCTTGCATGCTTTCGACCTCGGCCTTGAGCCCGTCCGCTTGCCGCCGCTGAGCCTCGATAAACCGAGCTTGCTCGTCCAACTGCTTCTGCAACTTTGCCACAAGACCGTCGGCCCCAAGTTCCTGTCTCGCTCGCATCTCATCTCTTTCGGCCATGGCGGCCTCGGCAATCTGCCGAGCCTCAAGCGCCTCATCCAACGCCTGTCTGGCTTCCGAATCAGTGTGAAGCTTGTCTAGTAAACTTTGCACCGTGAAGTTGAGACTCTGCTTAAGATCCATGTTCGGGAGCCTCCTGTCCATCGCGACGTAGCTGAGCATTGAATCAACAAGCTGGAACATCCTCAAACGCTCTTCACCTTGTTGCTGACGGATGAGAAGGAGGTGCTGGAGCGCCGAGACGAAGTAGTCGTTTGTCTTCGTGCCCTGAAGGCGTTGTTGAATGGCTTCGACAATCTGTGCTGGATCGTTCAGATCCTTGACCTCACCCTCAACGCTGTCCTTCATGCTGCTGTTCTCTCTCTCCAACATGTCCTCATAGTCGATCGCTTCATTGGTCCGGTAGTGCTCAATCTGCTTGTCGATCAAGTCGTACTGGAAAGCCTCCATCTTGGTCAAGATGCGCTTGATGCCGCAGGCCCCAAACTGCGCCCTGAGATGCATACGAAGCTGAAGATCATGCTCCGGAGCATCGATGATCATGTTGATAAGAATAAGCGTCGCAACAGCGTATTCCATCAGCAGGTTCTCCATGCCAACACCACCGCTTCGGACCTCTTCACTTGCGCCAACAAGACTCCCCATCTTGCCCCGTCCATCCACGGTGACCTCCACAAGGCGCATCCAGGCGTCGAAACGTCCGTTCTCGTTCTGTTGCGCTCGTACTTGATCCATAGCCTGGATGACCTTGAGATGACCATCGTCCGTATCTTTCGAGGGGTCACTGCTTTTCCAATGGCACAAGAATGTGAGAACATCACTGACAAGCCGTCTGGTTGTCAGTCGTGGTGAGATAAGCGAGGTCGCCAATGCCACCACAACCTGCTGGTGCGCCAAGGCATCGTCGGCGCCGTATTTGTTGTTCAGAAGAGCTTTAAGACACTTGATAATGTCGTATTCTTTGTCGAGGTTCTTCTCGCTGTCCTTCTGAACAGTCGGGGCTGCTGGACCGACTGCTGTTTTGCGGTTGATCTTGAGAAGGACGTTGGTGAGCGCAACCTGGCCTTGACAGTCGATGAATCGCCTCACCCAGCCAATTTGCTGAGTTCGCAGGTTGACCTCGAGACTGCCCATGCCCTTCGAGTCCAGGCTGTTATCCATGACTTTGCGGACATACCACTCTGGCGCACCTTCTTCGTCCGAGTATGTTGTAACGTCGACATTGGTATACTGGCCCACTCGAGCCGTCTGCCGCCTTCTCTGATCGCCTTGCCATTCCGTGAGACGGTCTTGATAGATAAGCGTCCATTTCTTTGACGCTGGGTATGCCATCATCTGGCGTTTGGCTTGCTCAGGTAAGTTGTGCCATGCACGCTTCTGCATTAATTCGTAGAACATTTGTTCCACGACACGATCATCGTCAGGCCGTGTGAGAGAAAATCCTTCTGGGCTATTTTGTTGAAACGCAGGCTGGGTTCCAGGAAATTTGGTGAATCGTTGAGAATCTCTGTGCGACTGGTGAGAGGCCACGGAACTCTGTGAGGTGGCACTCGGCATCGCTGGTCTGGATGAGCGCTGTGTTGAACCGTAATCTTGGGGAGGAGCTCCATTACCTGAGAATACGCTAGATTGGTCGCTCTCCCGCGACGGTCTGTTGTTGTAACCATATGGGAGACCTAGAGAGTCCCAACGCTCTGAAAACTGCGCAGGCGCTGGTGCATTGCTGCCTCTTGGCATGGGCCCTTTTCCTGCCGGTCCCCATTGCTGGTACTGCGTCTGACGGCCAGTCGAGGCCATAGTCACGTTGCTTCCTGGAGGCTGTCGCGGGGGACCCATAGTTTGGTCAGCCGATGTATATTGCTGACCGTTGTTGTGGTGCGGTAGCGGATCGCGCCGTATGGGGTTCTGATCGCTGCGTGGCAGATAGTCCATTGACGCAGGACTCCGCTGGTCTGTCAAGCTGCTGTCATACGGGGCAGCTGAAATGCTCGGTGCTGCAGAATTGACGCCGGATTCTGGGGAGCTAGGGCGGTCGACGGATACTATCGATGACTCCCTCACATGTCGAGACGCTCGAGAATATATGGATGAGGCATCGTCGGCCCCAAGAAATCGACCCTCTTCGCTGCCAGTATTCCGCTTGTCGCTGCGATGTTTGCTACGAGAGAAGAAGCCGCCGGACTTGCCGCCTGACGACGACTGCCTCGATTTGTCTGCATACGCCATCACGGCTCTTGCCCGGGCACAGACACGGTGGAGGCGGGGGCGCGTTGAAACGCCGGCGCTCCAGTGATCTGCCCGAGTAGGGGTCTACGTCTTTTCGATGGAGAGTCGGACTCGTCGATGTACTCTATGCGTCACAGAGCCAAGGCGTCTTTTGCACACCAAAGGAGTAGCAGCCAGTGAATGCTAAGCTATGAGTGGTCGCCGGGTCGAGTGTCGTCGAGAATAATGCTGCTCGTGCGAGGGTCGTGGGGCATTATGGCCATACAGAATCTTGACAGTCAGCGAAGCGGCGGGGCTGAGCAAGGACGAGGCAGAACTGTCTGGAGCAATCCGAGATGCAATCTAAACGACGCTTCGAGTGTTGCTCCCAGGCCACGGTGTTGTCTTTGGGATGCTCGGTGGTTGAGAGTAGCGCTCGAGCTGCACCTTCGATGGCTTGCGGGCTTATGTCGTGACGAGGGCAGCCTCAAGTCCCCGCAGCCAGCCGGTGACGCTCGTTGTCGTCGTCAGGGCCCGCTCAAGAGCAGTGCGTCGTGAGCGTGAGGCCAGGAAATTCCCGATGCAGGTGGCGTGCGTATGGTGTCGGTCGGATGTTGGTCAAAGTATTGCTCGTGGAACAGCCCCCTCTCAGGGTCACTCGAGTTCAGGGATGGGGGGCCCTAGACTACAGTGCGTGGCGTGTTGGGGAGGGGCGGCCCATCTGGGTGTCTGCAGCTGCGTGGCTGCCCTAGTCTCAATCACCCGCGCTAGGGACCTCGTGTCAGACACCACAGCTGTCGAACCATCACTGCAGGAGGCTCAAACATGACAGGCTGCGACATGTTCATGCTTCGAGCCCGTATGTTGCGGCCCGTTCTCAAGCAGAGCCGCATAAGATACCGCCCGCTGTCAACCCCGCGGGCCGGACACCGGCGTGCCAGAAGTATATTGTCACTCACTCATTCCCAATTCTGACGCAGGGCGTGTGTTGTCCAGAGGAGCTGGTCAGGCACACTGGGGGGCGGCTGCACGGGCAGTCCTGTTCTCGCAGTGCTGTGCTTCGTCAGGTGTCCACAGAACACCGACGACAAACAGGAAAACCCCTGGCAATATTCCGCTACATATGGTATGGTCGAGAGTCAAGTGGTCGGCATGCCAAAAAAAAAAAAAAAAAAAAACCTCGGGGGCAGGACTGGCCAAGATTAGCCTCGAGGGTTGAAATCCTGCTCCAACCCTGATGTGCATGAGGCATGTCTCTCAATGACTTCTAGCTCAAACTTGGGACGTTTGCGGTGATTCACACCACAGTGTCCAGCAACCGCACTGGCGCAGTTCAGGATCAACCAAGCTCCAACTTGTGGCTGTGGACCGGGCGAGCTAATTCGGGCAGACTTCCACCGTTTAAAGGCTGCAAAAGTGCCTGCCAATCTCTCCTAGGCTGGCTAGGGCAACGCACATCTCATCCTCTATTGCAGTCCGCTTGGAGCAGGCTGTGGCTCCTGCAAATGGGTACACGTCGCGTACTGGAATTTGCTCCTCGGCAAACTTCAGAAGGCGCATCAAGCAAGGTCCTTAATCGGCTTCGTTGCTCGACATTTCCAAGATTGAGGTCGCCCAATTAGCGCATGGCAACGATCGGGGCTAGCTGAACGGCATCATGGACAGGGAGATCTGCACGCGCTACTGGGCCGAATCCGTCGTCACGCCAGTGGGACACCGGGGACGTGTGGTCATATTCTGGGTTTCCTGGGGGTTGACAGCAACCGCTACAGTCAAAGGTACTTCAAGCACTGCAACTTAGTGGCTGGCCTCGAAATGGATTGATGTCTACCGTGGGACAGTGGGAAACAATCCGGTACTGCTTCGAAGCCAATAATTACTCGGGTGACACGGCCAAGTGCAGGTTCTGGCGCCTTCTCAGTGAGGCAGCCAAGCCTAGCCCGACCCAGCTGGGGAAATTGCACCACCGGCTGGAGCTCGTTCAGGGTTGTCCCGATTACGTATACGCGCGCAGCTTCCGAAGAGCCGTGTCGTCTCCAGCGCAACCGAACCATTGATCTCAACCACGAGCACCGTCCACAACAAAGCCTCTTCGTCGACAACTCGGCGTAGGCCACAATCACGCCGACCCTGAGTAGCCTTGCTGGGGAAGAGCGGACCTCCCGCATCAACAGCAATGGGTGCCACCATCGAGGCCATGAAGGTACGAGAACCACAAGTCTGGTGTCTGCACACATTCGCATGCACAACCGGACAGCCCCAGACACCTAGAGACCAGCCGACTGACCCTGTGTTCCTCGTTTGTCCATAGGCCTTGATAGTACCCGCGGTCATAGCCCTCATCCTCTTCCTCCTCACGACCTACGTCGCCCTGCCTTTATGGCGCCACTACCAGCTTCGTTACAGCCAATACATACCCGTAAATACAATATCAGATCGCACGAGCTCTGCCAGAATCCGGGTGCAGGCTTTCATGGCTCGGTGGCTCGTTCCTTCGAACTGGCGCAGGACGCGGGTGGAGAGAGGCGGCAATGCCGATGACGATGACGACGATGGTCTCTCCGAAGACCTGGACTTTCTTTCGGCAGATGGCGAGGAGCTGGGCAGAGTGTATGCGGGCGCGGATGATACAGCAGCTCGCAGGCATGCGCTGTCTTTGGATGCGCAATACGTCAACCGGGTGGACAGCACGAGCCGGTTGAGCAGAGAGTGAGTCCCGAGTCATTGTTTTCTTGTCAGAATCAAGCTAACATGGTCTTCGCGCAGTTTGGAACAGGGTTTTCGAGACGACAGCGACGATGATGACGACGAGGGGGACCCGCGACAAAGACGATGAGTTTTGATGTTTCTCAGCATTGCATTGTTGGACAGGATTTACTGTCAGCGGCTGGATGCGCGCCCGCGACAGCGAATACGGCTGTATTTAGAGCAGACGAATACAACACCTCGACTACTTTCTCAGCCTATAGTACAAACACGTGGTGATATTGCGACTCGGGGCACAGTTGGGTCGCACAGAAAACACTATGTGAAGCCGATTCGGTTATAGCTGTAATAGTCTGGTGGGTGTTGAAGGTGCACATAATCCAATACTGCCGTGGTGGACAGTGAGCCGACTTCAAGTGCCTGCCGTGTCCCACGCCTCGACCTAAGTTGAAAGGGTGGTTGCATGGGTTCCAGGTTATCGTTAAAAGCTGAGAGTGCCGGGAGTAGGACATGGGACCTAATCACTGAAGTTTCAAGTCGCAACATGTGGATGATGCCGGCCACCCTGCCAGGTCAGCAGACCCCTCCTGCAATGCCCTGCGCTAAGATAAGGTGGATGAGTTCTGAGACAATGACCATCGCTATCGAGTTTGGACCGAACATAACTTGACATGCATGATACCACCGGGGTTGTGTTGGGGCCACATGCACGTGGTCCCATGACGCCAGACGCCTTTTTGGAGGACAAGCAGCGATAACGACGAGTCCTCCAGGACATAGTCTCGTCACAATGCGCTTGGCTATATCTACGTGCTTGGGCTCTTCAGAGCGATGCCTGAGCAGGTTCCAAGGCGCATGCCACCATGGTCCTTGACTCACTAGCGGGCCATTAAACTCTCGACGGCCCGAGCAGCTCGACGAACACAGGCCTGCCTGAGGACCGATTGGACGAGTCAGCCTCAGGCGCCGACAAGCTTGCTGCTGTCATCTGCACATGCCGTTTTCTGTTATTTGACTCGCTGCCACAACGGGCACCTGTGCAGCCCGTCACGTATCCCTACTTGTACTTGTAGGACTGGAGTGGTGGCCTGAAAGCTTGTCCAGCCAAGAAGCCTGTGCTACTCAAAGCCAGCTCATCTCCTCGACGTGCGACTCGAGCCCGCCCCAAGCGAGCAAGCTTGATCTCACTTTCTCGGATCACATCGCGCCCTTTCTCACCTCCTTCTCACAAGCAAACCGCCGGTCGCCTTGGCTGCGTGCGGCCAGTCTTGTGCTGTGGACGCAGCGCAGCGCACCTCGACCCAAAATTAGCCAGAGACTCGCCGCCATCCTCACAGTTGCGGTGGCCTCGAGGCTTGGCAGCTCCTCCGGCCATCACGAACCTCGCAGCATCTGTTCCCATCTGTTCTGAGTTACGAACACGCCTTGGGAGGCAAATTGTGCTTCTTGTTGCATCTTTTCTCGCTCCTTCCGACAGGTGTCAGCCGCAATAATTCAGAGGGGCAGACCACTTACACACACCATGCCAGGGATCCCTGGCACCAGGACCGCGTTTCCCGTGCTTCGTCGGGGTCGCAAGCGGACATGGCTCCGATCACAAGATGGCGAGGATGCGGTCAATTCAACGACAACGTCACGAGCTCGGCACAGCTCAGACAAGTCAATGCACATCAGTCCCGTCGAAGTCCAGGCAGAAGCAGCAAAGTGCAGTAGCTCACCAGACAGGCCTTCAGCGTCAATCACCACCACGAGCAATGCCGCAAGCCCCGCCACTGCCGATACCACGGGCACGGAGGTCCCAGCGCAGAACCAAGAGCGACGACGGCGCCGCCTGTCACGACGTCCTCCTGCCCTGAATCCACTCCGCATTCGCAAGGGTGCCGTTACCCCACAAGCACCTCCGCCGGCGCCCTCTCCGCCGCTAGAAGAGTGCTCCATCTGTCAAGATCCGGTCGGTGTCGCCAACCCAGAAGGCGTGACTGAGACGTGGGCTGAGCTGCAATGCGGGCATCGCTTCGGGCGCACATGCATCATCACCTGGATCATCGATAGCCTCAACCGGGATTGTTATACGAATCCCAGCTGCCCCGTATGCCGGAGGGACATCATCCACCCGTGCGGCCATCTGATCGTGGTGCCGCTTACACGAGTCAGTGCGGCGGTCGGCGACCGCCACAGCAATCACGAGAACAATGGAGGGCGCAGCGAGACAGAAGAGGATGATACTGGCGGTGAAGGGTTCGACACAGATGCGGACGACAACGACGAGACTAGCGCCAACGTCCAGAGGCATCGTCGCCGATTCTCCATGATCTCCAGGGTCTCTCTCCAGTCAAGAGTCGCGGCAGTCATGAGCACGAGCTTTTTGCGCCTTGTCAGCGCCACGATTGTCCGAGCAGTCAAATTGAGTCGAAGGATGTCACTGCGTGTGCGCATGTCTCGCCAGTCTCTGTGCGCCGACGAGTCTTCGGACGCTATCCAGGTAATGCCGCCTGCGGGCCACTGCACCATCTGCAGGGAGACACGGGGCGATGAGCCCGATGACAGCGACGGGTCGCAAGAAGAATAGATTGGGGCAAATGTAAATCATGCCAGCCATGGATCAAGAGGGTTGAGCGAGTTATGTCATTATGAGGAGCTTGCTACGGCGGATTTGATTGGGACATTTTGTTTTTTTGTCGGCGTGGGAAAACCAGCAAAGGGACGTAGAAGTAATCTGGCACACGGGCATACAGTCGCCTGCGTGCGATTTAACATGTGCTCAGGTGATGGCTGAAGCTCAGATCTATTGTGGCCAGCATAATAAGACATTTTCCACGGATCATTGCCCAGAGAGGACTCTTCCTGATCCCGATATGCCGTGGACATCAAGCAGACTCCGCCAAAGTCCAGGGACCCTTGGAGGGGCAGGCAGCGCTAGGAGCGGGGCACAAACCCCACAGCACCAGACGCGTCTGGCAGCTCCAAGTGGCGTGTAAAGTGCTCCGGAGACGCGTCTCCTGCTGGCCCAGAGGAAGGCACACACACGTCATCGCCACCACTTCGAGCTCATTCTTACAAGTCCGCCGCGGGAGCAACACAACACTGCTGCGTTATCGACTGTGCATGCTTCTCGCAGTGCGTCGAAGCTACCAATGCTTCGGAGACGAGTCTCGCCATCAGGATGAGGTTCCGTACTAACCTCAAGAACATCCGCACCTTCTCGAGTATGGAATCCTTCGCCCTCTCGAGGCTATCTTGGCCATGCCCCGGTGTCGAACAAAATGGCTGACTCCGACCCGTTGGCCTACAGAGCTTGTCGCGGCTCTGGCGGCCCTCGAGAAGATTGCGTGGGTTCGGCTCGACGATGACAATGTTCGTTTCACGGTAATTCCGGATACGGGTTCGCAAGTGTGGGCGTAGGTCATCCTGTTCTTGTCTTGGGACTGTCCTTTTGCGTCTTGATGGACCACCGGGGGCAATGATGTTAACTTCGCCACACCGCTCGTTCTATGCAGGTCACTTGGTATCGATCTCATCTTTGATTCCCTAACGTTACAGTCCAACGAGCCCAACAACACAATCAACCTCGAACTGCCGCTCGTACCGCTCCAGCGTGCCCTCAGATCCGCCCTCAACGGCGACTCTGCCACTCTGAGGCTCACCAAGAAGGATGGTGTCCCCATCTTATCCATGACAATCACCACCTCGACGCGTCCTTCCAACCCGAACGGCTATGGCAGCGGGTTCTCACGGTTCGGTGGAGGTGGGGCCGCACCATCCGGCTACGCCAACAACTACAGCGGCGATGACAACGACGGCATATTCGCCGCCGAGCCCTTGGAGACAAGCCTTCATCGTGACCGCGAGAAAATTATCACACAGGACATCCCCGTCCGCGTCCTGCACCCTGAGACCGTCGAGACTATTATGCAGCCCAAAGTCCGCGAGCCGGACGTTCACATCCAGCTACCGCCTCTTCTCCAACTTAAAGCCATATCAGACCGCTTTACTAAGCTCGCCCTGGCAGCGGCAGAGAGTGGTAGTGGGGGCCGCGGCGGCAATGCAAATAGCAACCCGAAACTTGAGATTTCGGCTAATATGCACGGCGACCTAAGGCTGCGGCTCGACACGGACACGCTGCAGGTCGAGTCGGCCTGGCACGGCCTGGAGAATCCAGAAGTTGACCCTGCGCAGTTGTCGTGCGCCATCGAGGACCACCCATCCACACGTTTCCGCGAAGCTGGGCCAGACAAGTGGGCGACTGTCCGCGTGGATGGCAAGGACTGGAGCAAAGTCCTCAGCGTCGGCAGGCTGGATGGCCGAGTCATTGCCTGCTTTGCTGATGACCATGCGCTGATATTATACGTGTTTGTCGCCCAGTATGATGATGGCGGCGGCGGGGACGATTCAGTTCTCACTGTAAGTCGCAATTTCTGCATTTGGGATATTTTTATTTCGATGAGTATAATGGCGTATTTCAGCTGGGGGTGGTTCCTGTTGTGGTGGAGCTGACCGAGGACTATGCACTAACATCCGAGCAGTACTACGTTTCATCGTACAGTCTGTAGCCACCATCTGACATCAAGCTGCTGTTCCCCTGGGGGACAAAGAGACACCCCCTTCGTCCTCAACCAAGGACCACCATCAACCGCTGCAGCAGTGTGGACCCGAGTAGGTATATGACATGTTTTGTGGTTGTGACGAGCAGGGCGCGAAGGAATATGTCGGGAGATTGACTCGAGATGTCGAGAGAAATGTTGCAGCGTTGCATTACTAGAGATGTACTCGCCATGTACGCAGCAGCTAAGTAATCACGAGCTCACAACCAGGGCGCTGAGCCAATTGACGTGGTCAAGAGACCATCAAATTTCAGACAATGGTCTATTACAACTGTATAAGAGCCAACTCATTTGAGCAGTGAAAAGTAGTATACACAACGCTGCGCTCTTGATGAATAATCGAAAACAATTACAATGCCGCAATGTTGCTGCGAATGGTGACGGGGGAACGCCACAAAGAATGAATCAAAAGTGTTCCCAAGCGCAGATTGAATGCCACTGGCTCAGACCAGTATTATACACACGAAAACACGCAGCACACACACATGGCTCCCGTGGCTTCTTCCAGGTCAAGTGAACGTGCTCCGCCTCATTACTGCATACCCATTTCCTCCAACACGACCACCATCCAATATGCTCGTTTTATTGCCAGTTGCAGTCATTTGGGGTGGACCTTTTCGTATATCATCCCCTGCCAGACCATCTCCCTCATCGATGGCGTCGAGGCATCCGGCGGTTGACCGGCGGTACACAGGAGGAGGGGCCCTCGTGGGTTCGGAGGACGCAGACTCCTATTTGGCCATCACGTCCACATAGCGCCCGCTCTTCCTGGGCTTCTTGCCGCCTTTGCGGGGTCCCGCGGCACCGAGAAGGTCATCAATGCTGCTGGCATTGCTCAGTCTGGAAGCCGGGCGTGCGGGTGGTGCCGTGAGCGACGGGCCAGCACCGGCAGCAGTCTCGGAAGCACTGGTCTGCAGCGGTGCCGGGCGTCCAGGGCTCCCTGTCGGCGGTGCGAGGCTGGACGAGGAGGCGCTCCTGCCGAAAGCAGGTGATGGCGTGCTGGTGCTCCGGGGCGGGCCCATGGGCGGCGCACTTGCTGAAGGCGGGGGCGCCATCGCAGCATTTGGCGGCGGTGGTGTGCCCCGTGGCGGAGGCGGAGTGGCAACCTTGGCAGTGGTCTCCTCGGCGCCTGCCTTCTTGTTGACCCAGCGCTTGAGCTCGGGGTCGTAAACAAAGCTGCTCTGCTCTCCGAGCTTGGCCTTGATGGCCTTTGGCGTCTCGGCGCCTTCCCTCTTGGCACCACCGAACCATCCGCCAAAGCCCCAACCGCCCTTCTTGGCAGCGGCCTTCTCGGCTGCTTGTTGTGCTGGTGTTGAGTTAGCCGTACTGTTAACGAGGAAAACGGAGATAGCGGGAGTAACATCGAGCTTACCTTCTTGCTCCGCAACCTTGCGGACGAGCTCCTCATTTTCTCGATCCTTCTCAGCCTTTGTCTTCTCACGCGGCTTCATTGACGGGAAGTCGTCGTCGTCGTCGTCCATAAAGCTCTTCTTCTTAGGCTTGGGCTGCTCATCATCCGCATCATCCGCATTTACCTCAGGTCCCGGTTGGTATGAAGGCGCTTCAAAGGACGACGGCTGATACGATGGTGGCTCGTAGCCGCCTGTTGCGGCGCCCTCGACGGCATTGCTGTCGGTCGAATCAAATGTGTTCAGCGTCGGGGGGCTGTAGGTGTTCATTGAAGGTGGCTCAAAGCCATACGAAGGCGGCTGGTAACCAGAGTCCGTGCTCGCCGCCGCAGTCTCTGGTTGTTGCTGAGATGCTGGCTGACTCTGCGGGGTGGGCTCATAGCCACCATAGCTTGCGTACGGGTTTGCAGCAGGGGCTTCAGACCCAACTGGCTGAGCAGGGGCGTAGGGAGATTCTTGACCACCGTATGACGAGGGAGGCTGGTGGGTTGAGTTGGGTGTCTGCGGTGTGTATGGGTTGCCGTTTACATACGCGCCGTCTATACTCTGCCGCGAGGGCTCATACGGACTGCGCGGCATGTCACTTGAACTCCGCGAAGCCCCTGCGAAGCTGGCAGATGGCTCGTACGGCGATGTAGAGAGCTGTGCGGGGGCCCCCGGCGCATACCGCGAGCCTGCCTTTGTGGAAGAGATCGCCATGCTAGGCATCGTGGTGGCAACAGGACTGCTTCCGTACATCTCGAAATTGTTCACGGACGGGGAGCGACTGATGGTTGGTGTACCGCCAGCAATCCTCGCGAAGGGCCCGGATTCTGCTCCCAGATCACCCGTGGTGCCGTCACCAGCCGTCTCGTTGTCATCACCAGCAACAAACTTGTTGAATCGGTTCCACATCCCACTTGATGTGGGCTTGGTGATCCAGGACGACGACTCCTCCTTTGGCGCTTGCTTCAAACGTTTCATCAAGTCGTCAACTGCTGTCTCGAGGCCAGCGTGGTAGTATGGGGACCTCTTGGTTTGCGCCGACATGGCATTGTAGATCGAGTCGCAATACTGCAAGGCCTTGTCCCGGAAACCGTACTGAGCGAGGATGAGCGCGTGCTGCAGCTTGTACGCAGCGAGATGCGGGCAGCCTTGTGAAGTTGTGGAGCCACCAGCAAGTGAGAGACCATACTCAAAGACTTCACTGAGAAGCAAAGCCTCAGTCTCCTTTGCAAACTGGTCAGCCTGACGCTTGTGATCAGCTCCAACAAGTACAAAATGGGCATTTGGGTCGTCCAGTCCGCCAAAGACCACGTGTTGACGTGCGAAGAGGTAGCAGATGTGTGCTGCTTCGGCACGACCGTAGCTGGACAAAAGATTGCCAAGCGAGCCCAGCGCCTGCACATCAGCCAGACTCCGGTTGCTCAAAATCAGGCCGAGCGTCTCACGCCACTTGTCCAATCCAGCAAGAGCATCTTTCGAGTCAGCACCCGCGGGTGATGTCGACATCAGCTGCAAGCCAGCACGTGCGTGTGACGGCACAAGCTCGTCGACAGACTCCTCGTAGTTGCCAGAAAGCACTCCGTAAAGCGCGGCCAGAGACTCGTTGCCGAGGCCGGGGTGGTTGACCTCCTTCTTGATGAACTCTTGAGCGACCTTCTTGTAGAGATCCGCAGTTTGCACAGTGTTGGCCAACAGCAGCGCATGTCCCCAGAGCCTCCGATCAACAGCCAACCAAGCAGCCTTCTCACGCTCTCCAGACAGCAGGAACGTGCGAATTTGCTCAATCGCAGTGGAGTCGACGGCATCGGCTTGCATTGTCGTCATGGATGATGTCAGCATGCCTAGATCGGCTCCAGCAGACACGTCGGAGCTGTCGGGCGCGGACACACCGGGGGAGATGATGTCCCTGACCGCCTTATCCACATTAGCGTTGCCCTCAAGTACGCCATCGTTCTCGATGAACAGCTTCAGAATCTTGTACAACAGTATGCGCTCCTCGGCACGCTTGTCCTCATGGGATACATGATGCTGGAAGCTGTTTTTGGGCTGCTGTTGTTCTAGTCCTTCGATGGCAGTAGCGAGCCACGCCACGGTCTCCTTCTTCTTTGATCTGCCCTTCAGAGGTCCGGGGAACTTGGATAGCCGCTCGTCCAGAGGCTGGAGGTCCTTGGAGTGCTTCACCTTGACCTCGCCTGGACTGCGCGTGATCTGTGGCACAGTCGACTGGATGCCGTAACGCGGAATGTCCTTGGGGAAAGAAGTGACGTACGTGCCGCCCACACCCCAGGAAAACACTGGCGAGCCTCTCCATCTCTGCAGAGGGTCGTTCTCGCGGCCATCAGTAGGGGGAACAAGGTTGAGATGTTGCGACAAACCACGAGCTCGAACATTCGGACGCGTAATCGGCGGGCTCTGCACCAAAGGTGGAGACGTTATGCTGTGCCCAGAAGAAGACCTCTGAGCATGGCGTGTGAGACCAGGTGAGCCAGCTTGGGACCGCGCAGGGGGGACGAAGTTGGCATCCTTGCCTGGCGAGGCTACCAGTTGCGGGGTGTAGTTGGCCGTCGTCCGCTTTGGGGGCGAAAGCATCGATGGCTGGAGACCTACAGGCGGAGGGGTGCGTCTGGCCTCAACATTGCTATATCGCAGCTGGGGCGACATATTTGTAGGCATAGGCGGGGCCTGTGTAGCGGTAGTCTCTTCTTCGACCTCTTGAGTAACGGGAAGCGAAGGTATCCTGTTCGTGCGAGGCTCGTACTGGTTGGAGTTTGTCCGCGCGAGTGGAGCGCCACCAGCGTCGCTGTGGGCGGGACTGGGCAGTCTATTGCGCCCCAAGTCCCGGGAAATTTCATAATGAGCCAGAGGACTCGACGTTCTTGGCTGGTGAGCCGCCAGGATCGGAGGTGGGATGCCAGATGCAACGGCTCCATAGGCTCCACTAGAAGCACGAGAGCCAGGCGGTGCTGGAGAATATCGGCTCATGGCGGATGGCGGCACGACACCCCCATTAGCAGCTCCGAGCATATTCGTCTGTGCAGGAGAGTATCGGTTGCTCGCAGCAGGCACAGCGGCAGGTTTTGTATCAGAACCCGTGGAAAGAGCGGCATAGGGACTGACACGCTCGGGCGCGACCAGCGTCGGTGCTCCACTGGGCTGTCTTTGTGGCAGTGTCTGTGTTGTTGTAGCTTCGGGACCTGTGGCACTTAGAGGAGACGGCAGTGGCGGCCCTTGAGGAGGGCCTTGCGGACTGGGCTGGCCGGCAGGACGGTAATTAGTTCTTGAGGCCGGGCGAGACTTCGGCGACGCCATCGGCAGATCCTCGAAGAATCCAGAAGATGAGGGCTTCAAGGCTGGTGGCTTCGGAGCATTTCCTTGATGCTGACTGTGTACAGACTGGCCCGATCCAGGTCGAGGAGGAGGAGCCATGGGCGCGGCCTGGCTCTGACCGCTGGCGCTCCTTGGGAGACCCGTGGGGGGTGCCATGGACGAGCTTGTTGATGGGCGCGACATCTGCTGCATGCTCGAGCGCTTCTTGGGAGACTTCACAACATCCATAGGGAGGTCGTAAGGTGACTGGTATCCTCCCTTGGCCTTGTCAGCGAAGCTCTGCGCCTTGGGAACCTCAGGTCTTGGAGGCGCAGGGGCAAACATCGAGACCGCAGGTGTCGACGCCCCTCTCGCGAGGGTCGCAAACGCCGGGAGCTGCTGGGCTGGGACTTGCGCTGCCATGTTTTGAGGAGCATATGGGTTCGCCGGGCGTTGCGGCTGCGCGCCAGCCGCTGGTGTGTACCGACCATTCGGTCCAGTTGGTTGCGCTGGAGCAGTCTCAATTTGGGGAGTGGTAGGAGCGCCAGCAGCTGCATCGTCATCATCGTCCAAGAAACCTTCGTCGTCGCTTCCGAAGATGTCGGCAGGATCGAGCTCCTTGGTCTCGGTCGCAGGCTCTACCAGGAACTCCTCGTCGTCGTCATCGCCGAAAGCAGCAGCCCACTTAGCATCAAGATCGCCCGTCCCCTCGACTCCAGACTTCTGTTCGTCATTGTTGGCGGGCTCGGTCAGATCTTGAGCCGGACCTTCCTCACTGGGGCTAGGCAGTTCGTTGTCGTCTTTGCCGGGCCCCGTCACGCCGCCAATCGCCATGGTGGTAGATTTGCGCTGCAACGTTGGCGGAGAGGTGACCTGGTCTGATGAGCCCTGGACCTGACTGAAGAAGTCATCTCCCTCCGCCCCGTCATCTTCGCCAAAGGCATTTCCAAAGTCGCCAAGCTTCTTGTGTTGCGCATCTTCCTCGTCTTCTTCAGATTCTTCCTCCTCCTCGTCGTGTGCAATCAGGGGAAGACCCTCCTCGAATCGAGCCCCGGCAGCATCGGCACCGGACACCTCCCCCCCAACAGCAGGGCGGAAGGACGGGTCGCTCTCCTCTTGAGCTGCAGCTTCAAACCCAGAGGACGTCGGTGCTCCTGCTTGGGTAAACGAGTCATCGTGCTCCTCCTCATCCTCCAAATCCTGTATGATCTCCTGCGCCTGGCTGGTCGCGCGTGGCCGGCTTGCGGGCGACTCAAATGGGCCAGCCTCTCTTGACGGGACGACGGGAAACGAGTTGGTCCGGTCGCTCGGAGGCATGAATTTGAAAGGGTCGGTCTCGGTGCGTTGCAGATTCCACTCGGTGTCCTCATCGTCGATGAAGTCGATGTCGTGGGACACTGTGCGAGCAAACGAGATTCTGCTGGCGTGTTTTGACGTGTTTATCGAGGCCGCGGGTTCCTCGGTTATCGTGGGGACATCTGCTGTAGGCTCTTTTGAAGAGAGATTCCAAGCTCCAGCCTCGGGATCCTGCTTCTCGTTGTCGAGCTGGTCGAGAAAGGCTCCATTGTTCGAGCCGCTCTGTCCTATCGTGTCGTCATGTACGTCTTCTTCGTGGTGGTCGTGCTTGTGTTCGTCGTCGCCGCTATTGGGCATCAGCGCCGGGTGCCATGACGCGGCGCCGGCCTCGGATGCCATTGTGCTGATGGCGACTGTGGGCGGTAGGCAGTATTGCGGTATTAGGTAGTAAAGTAGTATGTTGAAATAAGCGAGACGGTCGTCATCGAAGGGCTGCTGCACCGGTCATTGCGCATTAGCCGGCAAGTCCGCTCTGTGTTTGATGCCACCAAGTGGGAGTAGAGGAGAACTCTAGCAATAGACGCTGCGCTCAGGCCTGCACGAGAGCAACGGCAAAAGTGGTTGTGCTGGAGGGAGGGTGATGGTCTGGGCAAGCTTGTGCCACGGCTGTGTGGACAGTTGCAGCAGCAGTGGAGGTTGCCGTGGTCGACGACGTGTTCGCGAGGCAGGAACAAGTGGAGCAGGCAGTCTCGAGCTACTGAAAGTGGGAAAGGGGACGGACGGGCTTGCGAGCCTGGGATATCTCAACACATACCCGCTATTGTAGAAGTGGTGATACAAGGAATGGGACGGCGAAGATAAGCAAGATGCGGTGCTGCTACAGGCGATGATGCGCCATGCCTAAGGTAGCGTTTTTGCGAAGGGAAAAGATGCGGCTGCTCCTATTTCTCCGTTGGATGGTGTCGTGTGTTTTGGAGGCGAGAAGGAGTGACTGGGCCTGTCGCAGATCAAGTGGAATGGGACACGGACACGCTAAGCTCAACGGCGAAGCTGGCGAGATGACATCGACCCAGGATTCTCGGCCCAGCCAGCAAGGAGGCCCGGTCCGTTTTAAGATCAAGCCACCTTACCCTGCAGGCACCCACCCACGTCTGATACAACGTCGTGCGCAAGCGGCTCCAGGGGGGGTTCCAATTTGGAACGACGACCTGTCCTTTGCTCTGCTTTCCTCGGCGCCCGAGACCCCATCGGGAAAGCCGGGGGGGTCGATTGTCGGGTTCCGCAGGGCTCATGTCCAGGAAACGCGATCCCGGCCCGCATCTCATTTCGTGGCAGAGAAAAATTCTATGTGCCCAGGGGCAGGGCGCCAGCTACAAATGAGCATCACAGCAAGCAATCATGGCCTAGACCGTTCAAAGAAGCCCAGGGTCCTCCTAGCAGAGCCGTCCAGCTCCAAACTTTCGTGGTTGTGAACCTGGATAATAATGTTTGTCCCAAGACAGATTGTCACTGGCAGCCACAGTAGAAGCTGCACGGCACGGCAAAGACGATACGTGTCCCTCCTTGTATCAGATGCTTCCGTGCTGATGTCATCAGCCCGGCAGCAACAGTCATGCATGCATCGTTGCAGCAAGTGTTGGTGCAGCACGGCTGAGGCACATGGAGGTCCCATTCCGCGATACGCAACACGTTGCAGCGGGCTGGCTCACGTTCAGCTAAGAAGCCGCCCAGGCCCCATGATGCAAGCATTCAGGTTCGTGGCTCGGATCGCAATGCTCAAATGGGGTCTTCCATTCTTGCAATGGTTCGAAGATTAAGGCCGCTGCATTGGAATGTGTGGCTGTCGTTGTGGAAACAGCCACTCCATCATAATGATGTTGGCGCACCATGCATACACTGCTGGGGGAATCCGGCAACCCAACGCCCGGCAACCATTTAAAAAGATACCCCTCAAGCTGAACAATCTCCGTGAACGCCTTCGCTAAATATGTCCCAGGATAACAGGAGAATATGTTGAGGCCCGATAAGATAGACTCACATCCTCGGGCGCTTGTTGTGAGACTCTCCACCACCAAACCCTGCGGCACCTCTCCCGCGTTTCCTTTCCATCTCCTCCTTCATGATGCGCTCTGCCTCGCTCATCTTCTTGGGCTGCTCAAATGCTGATGAGGGCTTCTTGGTCCCTCCGGCAAGCGCGTTGTTCTTCTTTGCTGCCGCGAAGACATTCTTCGTCTGAGGTCTGGCGGTGATTTTCATGCTGATTGGCGCGGCAGCTGCTGGCTTCTCGGTCGCTGGCGCGGCCTTTCCCTCGTCCTTCGGCTTGTCGGCTGCCTCCTTCGTTGGTGCCGGCGTCGCCTGCGCGGAGGATGTTGTCGGCGTCGAGTCGGACGACTTGGCTGCCGGCTTCGCGCCGAACGACAACTTGATCTTCTCGGCGCCCTCCTCACGCTTCAGCTCCCTCTGCCGCCGCTGCTGCTGCTCCTCCTCCTCTTCCTCCACCGCTGCTTCATCGCCATCTTTGTCCGCGGCGTCTCCCCGTGCCCCAGCCTCTCTATTCGCGCGCTTGATCTGCTCCCTGATCATCCTCTGCTCGCGCTCCTCGTCGCCTTTGTCCTGCATCTCCTTCCTCCTGATCGCGTCCCTCCTCCTGAGCGCGTCCGGCGAGTCGTCGATCCAGGCGATATGCAGGCCCTTCCCCTCAATCTCCTCTACCCGACAGACGCCCTCGCGGCCGAGGTACTTGGCAAACTCGGTCAGGTTCGGCCACTTGGTCGCGTTCATGTGCACGTGCTCCTTGTTGGCAATGTAGCTCTGGTAGAAGTGGTTGATCTGGACCTGCTTCTCCCCGTGGCTCGTCCGCAGCAGCTGCACAAAGTCCCGCTTGAACTGCTCGCTGTACTCGCCCAGGAACTTCTTCGTGTTCTCCCCGACCACCAGCATCTGCCGCACGTGCGACTCGGACTGCGTGTGCATCTTGAACCCGTTCTCGTCGCGCATCTGCCGCTCGCACACCTGGCAGTACCACCGCAGCCGCTGCAGGCCCTTGGACTTCATCTTGTTCGCCAGGTACTTGGTCGACCCGATCTCTGCTTTCGGCATGTTGGGCAGAGAGGTGTGTGTATGTGTGTGTGTCCGCGTTTCGAGGCGCGAGGTCGGGCGGCTTCGTTGCCTAGTGAGTTTCCGTGCTGGGCAGAGGTGTGCCGCCGCGAGGACTATCACCAGCCGAGCGGTGAGAGAGAGAGAGAGAGATGTTTTTGGATGGGTCTGACCGGTGCACTGGTGGCCCGTTGCGTGAGAATGACGGTTGACGTGAAGAAAGATGTCGGGAGGAGTCCCAGAGGCAATGCAGCAAGCTCTCTCAGGTCAGGGTCGCATCTCAGAAATCTTGGCCGGCCCATCCACGCCTTGCCTTGTAAAAGTGGGGCGCCGCCATCGGCGACCGGCCTTTAACAGCTCCGTGACCATGTGTTGGCCCTTCGTAAAAAGGCATGCAGCAAGCCAAGAGCCCATCATGACGTCAAATAGACTGCATAAACTCTGAATAAGTTTCTTTGTATTACTTTGGACGTCTTATAGTCTAGAATGGGCATTTGTGAGTTTTTGTTGGTTTTTTTCGTATATTCTTTTCCTTCTCTTCTCCTTCTCGTTGTCAACAACAACACTCATTTTCCTTCGGTATCCGTTGAAGCATACGTAGGTATGTCTATGGTTTATGTACATCTTAAATGCTTACTGGCCTAAATAGTCCACATCTAACTTCAGCATGGCCTCTCCATTTCTCCTCGACTTTCTATATGATCATGCGCAGGCCCACAAACCCAGGTTTTGGGGCTATCGAACAGACAACACACGTGTCCGCCGCATCTATGCCAAATGCCCAGATCTCCAATGTGCAGAGGATGATCCAGATCCCTACTCCAAGAAAGTGAAGAGGTTGGTATGCAAGATATTCATGGCTCTCGTGCCTTCTCTGACGTCAATAACGCAAGAGATGTTGATTTCGCTGGCGCCTAAAGAATTTTGAGTTACGTTAGCCAACCATCCTCAAGAGGCTACCTTTAAGCTTAAGTGAAGGAGAGTAGAGCCCAGAATACGTACCTTGTGAAATCATCTCAATGTTGACATTGTGCTCGCCTAGCGTCGAGAACATACGGCCAGCGATACCAATCATGTTTTTCATCTCAGCGCCCACGAGACTCAGGATAGCCATGTCGGTGAGGATGCTAACGTCGCCAAACTCGCCAAGCTCGGCGGTCGCCTTCTCAAAGTGACTGACGGACGTGTCGGCGGCGTGGATGGCCATGGAGACGTGCACCTCGGACGTGGAGATGAGGTCAACAGAAATGCGGTGGCTGTTGAGGATCGAGAAGACCTTTGCAAAGAAGCCGTGCGAGATGGACCGCTTGTTCGAGTGCACATTGATGACCGTGATGTCCTTCTTGATGGTGACAGCGGTCGGGCGCTTGGGTCCCTTGGACAGGGCGAGGTTCACCTCTGAGGGCCTCGACCGCTTGATCTGCTGCGCTGGCGACTGGATCGGGTCAGGAAGAACGATGGTGCCATTGCCCCTTGGGTTTTTGACGTTCTTGATGCGGATTGGGATCGGCGGCTCGGCCTTGATGACCTGGTCCATGGTGAGGTGGTGAATGACCTCTGAGCCATAGAATGTGAGCTCGGCCGCTTCCGACGGGGTGATGGAGCTGAGCAGTCTCGCCGTGGGGACCTTTGTGGGATCTGCCGTGAAGATGCCATCGACCTCCTTCCAAACTTGCAGCTCCTCAGCGGCCAGGCCGACCGCCACCAGCGCTGCGCAGAGATCAGTGTAGCCTCGACCGATATCGCCGTCCATCAAGCTGCCAGGGACGTTGCCAAAGAAGCCAGTAACTACTGGGACTTTGTCCTGGCAGGCGAGTATTCTCTTGCGAAAGATGGCCGCGGCTTCCTTGTAGAAAGTCGGACGTAGACGATCTGAGCTGTCGTAGTGCATGACATCGGACAGGTCGACATATTCGGCATCGACGTTCTGGGGTTACAATGAAAGCGCGTTAGCCGACGAAACGAGCCGTAAGTGACCAAAATGTCAAACAGCTTTCCCTGCGACATTGTGCAAGCAACAACGAACCTTTTCTCTGAGCACGGCAGTCATGAAGCGGCAGCTGAGCTTCTCGCCAAAGCTTACGACCCGGTCCTTGGACCGCGCATTGACCTCGAGGTGGAAGCGCTTGGCTGCGATGATGTAGTCGATGAGGCCCTGACAGTCCTCCTCTATGCTCTGGACCACATTCTTCTGGAGCTCCTCAGTCTTGACTACCGCCTTGATCGCCAGGACGTGCTCGTTGCAGATGTCTTGTATGATGATTTTGGCCTCGTCGAGAAGGGCGCTTTGTGTGTCCTCGGCGCTCGTGGCCGCAGCGATCTCTCGCAGTTTCCGGTGGATTTCTAGCAATCTGTGACAAGAGCGAAGAACGCCGCAAGTCAGTGTGAGGCGCTCGAAAACTCGTCATCACCCCTGGGAGAGTGAATGGAGCGCGGCTTGATATCACGCACCTGCTCGTGGTACCGGTGACCTTCTTGCCAGTACTGCGTGCGGAGCAGACGACGACAATCTTGTTTGATGCTAGGTTGGCGCTGTTGAAGAATTGTCTCAGTATCCAGTAATATGATCTTTGGGTTTATGCCAGCCGAGAACTGCTTACCGGACAATGCTTTCTGCGATCTTTTCGAAATGACAGCAACCTGGCAGTTAGCTCGTGCCCAATCTCCCGACAAGACGTCTCTCATATTTTGAGCTGCAGCATAAGGGAACTTGGGGTCCGGGGGTCAAGTGGCTCTCGTACATTTTCTGGGAACTTGCCGACGCTGGTGCCGCCGAATTTCTGGACGACCCAGCCATTGCTGCTGTTGTTCCTGTACAGCTCCGCAGACATTGTGGGCGAATGGTGTTGCTGCGACAGATATACGGTTGTACACGAGCCTAGAGGTCCTGTCGAGCAGCGAGCGAGCGACGCGGAGGCGCGCAGGCTTATGTGAGGCGGGAGGGCGTGATCGGACCTGGGGACGGACAATGGCGGGGCTGACGGCCGACGAAATTGAGGCTGAGGATGGGGACGGTCCGACGAGCCGGCTCGGATATGCTGCAAAAGCGGCTAGGCGGAAATGTGTATGGACGTCTCAGGGATGAGCGCGTTTCTGTGACGAGAAGCGAAACGAAGGAGCTGCAGTGTCGTGAGAGAAGGAGTCCGCTTAAGGAGGGAGGACGAGGTGGTTGAAAACGTCGCAACTCGGGTGAAGTGTCTGCCGCTCTGCATCCGACCGCTGGCCTGACTCGAAAAAATAGCCCCGAGGCCGGAGCTCGCGCGGCTCATGGCGGGGCTAGACCTGGACCCCTGCCTGCAATGTGCCTGTCCCGCCCCACTGCCCTGCCTGCCCTGCCCTGGACGGAGTGACGCACAACAGCAGCTGGGCTGCAGCAACACGGCTCGGCAAGCAGCACCCCGCAAACTCTCAAGGACCATCCATCCCTCAATCGTGTCGCGTGTGGTGTGGTCTGAGCAGGAAGCGCGCATGATTGGGATGTCTGGGGCCGAGAACTGTTGTGTAACCCTCAGCGCTGGATCGACTTGGGCATCGTCTATCCCACCCAGTTTCGCCTTTGTCTCTATCGAAGCTGGGCCACTGCGAGACCACCTTGGGGCAAGGTTTCCCAAGGAGCTGGTGATTGTCGTGAAACTTTTCGCTGCGCGCTGCCAGGTCAGTGGCAACACAGTGTATCTCGCGTCCACTTGGAAATCATTTCATATTGGCTCCCGAACAAGACTTTCGCAAAAGACCAGGACACACATCCTTGTAAGAGGTACTTGATTCGCAATCAAATATGCTCGTGTCGGCAATGGTGCAACACGGTCCAATACTGCCAAAGAACTCCTGTCCAATCCGTTTGCATCCCAAAACTCCGTGGCTGGCATGGCTTTCAGAAACCTCCAAACTGCCACTCCCATCGAGCAGCTGGCTATTACAAGAGTTTATACAAGCGCCGTGATCCAACAACAATCCTCCACCAGCTGCCCATTAGCAACATCCCTCCCTTCCAGGGTATCATATCGTCATGCATCGTGATTTTAATGTCTCGTGTAGCCACACCAGTAGTGCCAGGACGCCGTACATGTCCCAGCTCCCACAGAAATAAACCCAAACGCCTACAGTGTCCGTGAATTAAAGCATGGCCGACCGCGTCGGCGAGGAGATTCTTGGGGTTCCTTAGCACTCTTCACAGGGACTCCAGGCTCTCCAATGCCTGAAGCGCCTGGCCAGGTGTCTGTTGGAACTCAAACTTGTCCAGAGGAAAATCTTCCTCCGGAGTCCTGATGCCAATGTCGCTGTCTGGCCCGATGCCACTGTCGTCATGGTTGGTGGAGAGATGCAGCATGTCGCCCGGGGCACCTTCCAGCTGCGAAGGAAACGGAGCTCGGTCTGGCTGAGGTTGGCTTTGCTGCATGGCCGACATGGTCTTGGCACCCTCTCGAGTGCTGCCAAGCCCAGACGCTGATCTCGCCGTCTCCTTGCTGCTAGCCGCCGGCTTTGATATCGCGCTTGCTGCAGAGGAGGCATTCTTAGTCAACATGAACCCTCCCTTTTCAGCCAGGAACGAGATCATCTCGTCGACCCAACACTTTGTCACCCACCACGAGCCAAAGCTCTTTCCCTGGGCAATGGTCAAATCCCGCATGGTCTCTGTGCCCACCCTCTGGACGCACCAGACCACATCTGCTGGTGAGGCATAGGGAAATTGCTTGGACAGGGAGCTGAGGAAGTTGACCCAGCGCTCGAGAATGTTTGATGAGCCCATTTGCTCGGCGTTGTCCGCTCGGGGGCTCTTGTTGTTCCGCTGCAGGGCCATGTCACCATATAGCGTGAGACACTCAAGCTCCCAGGGGATGTTGACTGGGTCGAGGAGTTCGCGAATCTCGTGCAACAAGAGGTTGACAAGGTCGTCCATAGCTCGTGTGGGGACACACTCAGCCACCTTGCGAAGGCGGACCATCGTTATCCAGTCGACATACATTTGATCACGGTTGGCCGGGTTGGACAACATGTTTGCGGCGGCGTGCGCAGTCAGGTTGACGCGCAAAGCACGGTCGAGGAGGCCGGCAAAGATTGCAGCGGGAGCTTCCTTTGCCAGGACAACGTGTCTGGGCTGACCCTGGAACGACTCCCGGATGTGCGGGATCAAGCGTTCAGAGATGTTGCGCAATGTGTCGAGCACTTGTTTTGGCACAACCTGCAGTGTGAGACCCGAAATGATCCGCATCATTCGCTGGTACAGTACGAAATCGCACTCTTCGATCCATGCCGCGATAGCTGGGTTCGAGAACAGTTTCTGAACTGGCATGGTAAGTGTGCCCTGGAAGGATGTGTAGAGATGGAAGAAGGTCTTCTCTTTGCAATAACGAATGCATTCCACCAGTGATGTGCAATGCGACCGATATAGTGCAGTAAGCGACTTGGCAGCGTCCACATCTGTGCCTTTCGGCAGGAAAGGCTCTATCCGGGGTAGAGTCAGAGGTTCGGACTGGCGGAATGCATCCTCCGGGTCTGGAGCAAATGATAGCGTAAGGGCCGTCTTGGCTGTTGTTGTTTGCAATTGTTCGATGCTGGACACGTCTGGCTGGTTGTAGACGCTGTGTGAGCCGATCTGGATGGCTTGACGGACAGTAGGCACTTCTGTTTGAGGATTGGGAGCTGGCGAAGGAAGCTGGGGTCGATCAATGCTTTGCAAAGCAGGCGATTGTGAATGCGAGCCACTAATACGAATAAGCCAAGGTCAGCCTTTTAAAGTCGTCGCTGCCAGCAAAGCAGGATACTTACTTGATGCTCTGAGCGAATGAGGCTGGCTCCGGGAATGGGATGGCAGGCTGGATAGCTGGTTCCCGGAGCTCGGGTTGGTCGTCCATCAGGGAGAAATTGACGTAGTGATACTTTGATTCACCGCGGACGCCAAGTCTTCGCGTTTTCAGGCCCGGAAACAAGACGCGAACGAGCTTTCCGAAACTGGCCGGGTTCAACACAGTGATCCTCTCCGTTGCACATCGAGACGCATAGTTCGCGTATACCCGGCCCCTCGGCACAGAGCCCTTTCCTTTTGAGCAAACTTGGTTGATCCTATGCGATATCGCGTTAGCAACCCATGTCTCGCAGTCAGCAGCGTAGAGATACGGACCAGAGCATTGCAAATACTTGGCGAGTGCGTTCAGAATTGGGACCTCTCTCGTTGCCATGCAGCTCTTTGGCAACTTCTTGCAGATTCCGGTGCTTGCTCGACTGAAAGAGCTGGCGCATTTCCAGCTCGTTGTTAGCACTGGTCCTACTTGACGCCCCTGCTCCTTTCGTCGAAGATGGCAATCCAGCAAATGAATCGCCCTCATCGTTATCATCCATCATCTGACTGTCGGGCTCCGTGAAGCTAGCATTTGCAGTAGCAAAAGAGTCGGCAGGCATGCCGTGGGACAGACCATGTTGCGGGAATGACGCGCCTGGTCCCATGGATGACTGCATGCTCGTGTCCATGGAGAATGACTGGGCATGGGCCTGCATCTGAGACGTCGGGCGGAGCATCAGCTCCTCTGCTGACATCTGCTGGGCGGCCATGGCCGACATGTCGCGCGTCTGCTGAGCGTGCTCGTTCTGAGCCCACTGGTCGACGAAGCCGGCGTGGTGTGCAGCAAAGGCCTGGTCGACGTTCGGCTGTGTCGCAATGCTGTGTATCGAGGCGGTCGAGGCACGGGACTGTGCCCGCTTCCGTGACTCCGGGTGCTGGTGGTGGTGAAGGTGATGCGGATGGTGCGCCAGGATGGCCTGGTCTTGTTGAGGAGCTACGAGATTGTCAGCACGAGCGGCAATGGGCAGTCGCTATGATACGGCGGCATGCAATGCAGCTTCTGGGTTGACGTTGAGACGCGCGTAGCAGGCGGATGCTGGGGTAGCGTAGAGAAGAGCTTCTTACCCATGCTGGTGTAAACAAAAGATCTGCCGCCCGCATAAACAAAGCGCCTCAGCAGCAAAGGGCGCGGAAAAGGGCTGCAGGTGGTGTCTGAAAAGATGCGAATGCAAAGTCAAGGCACCGGGGATGCGCAGTGTGCAGCGCGCAGGCGAGCAAGAGGCCGTCGTCGTGCGTCGCGAGTGGTGAGTGGTGAGCAGGAAGCAATTGTTGTCTCTTGAAAATGCGGCCGGGCAACAGCAAGTCGACCTTGTGCACTGGAGCACCCGCCGACTCGAGTCTGGTCTGGTGCAAGATTGGCCGCCCCCACTTTGAGCCAGCGAGCGAGCGAGTGCTGGGGCTGAGGCGGCCGGGCGGGCGGTGGCTGGAAGCACGCTGTCCCAGCCCGGCAGGTGGCTGCTATTGGCCAGGTTCTCTCAGAGTCAACAATGCAGCCGACTGGAACAAAAACAATCACCAGGCTCCATCTGGCGCATGCAGGCGCTCACACGAGTCCGCTCATCAGGAGTGAGGACTGGTGCTCTGCAGGCGAGGACCGTGTTTCACTGTCATGGTCTCGCCCAACCGTCCCTGTCGTGCTGTTTTGTCCCCGACATGCTTGCACGAGACGCACATTCGACCAGTACCTCTATCCTTCAGCCATGGCTGAAAGTGGGCGAGCACGAGCATGTGGCAGATCGAAGCCACAATCTACTCAGGTCGCTTCAGTAGCAGTCGCTGGGAGAAAAACAACTAGAGACGAGCTTCAGGACAAGACCGGCTCCTCCTTGAGGACTCTCTCGTTCAAGCCGCAATGCTCCCAGAGAACAGATCAGCTGGCAATGGTGGCTACCTGCATTGCCTGGGTCTGAGCATCGACCTCTCACTCCAGATCTGTGCAATTTGTCACAGCTGTGTGGTGTGCCTCACACTCGGTCATTGCTGGCGAGACTGATCCCCAGTATGCACTTATTGTCACGCCTAAGAGCTGGAAGAACAGATTAAATGTCCCCGGTGCAAAAGGTGCAATCTCATTGGCTACGAGCTCAAGTATTTCGTCACATGCCAGTCGGGCTTCATCAGGCCGAGCGACAGTGCTGGTGCTTCGAATCTGCTACAATTTGCGAGATCATGCCCAGCACGACAAATGCCAGTGCGTTGGCTCGGTGATGGCCTCGCGCTGCTTCTGCAAATCAATGCCTTGACTTCCACAGCTCAGTAGTGTTCAGGATGTGCGGCGCTACGTCCGGAGGGGATAAGAGGGGTACTGATCTAGTGATCTATCGTCAGCTCTCGTGAAGGGCTAAAGATGCTGCCAAGCCGAGCTTGGAGAGCCTAGGGGCTGTTGAGGATTGACGACGTAGCCTTAGCCAGGACCAGGCCCTATCCCCTCTGTCCTCTGTCTTGCCACAGTACGGCCTTCAAGCGACCGTGTACGGACCAAGTCATGCAGGTACGTTTGCAACTGCAATGCAAATACGAGGGAATGGAGTCTTAGGAGCCAGTATACCCACGATGTTCTGACCCGAGGGCTGACTTCACGATTATCGAAGGCACTGGTTACTGGGCGTATGATGCACCTTGGGCAACTCAACAACTTGGCAGCAAGTCAATTTTTGAGCCTGAGCTACCAGCCTTGTTACTGTTTGTCTGGCCTTTCGTCCTGAGGTGCCTAGGATGTGAAACCTGGCGTGACGTACGCCCAACTCCCATACCTTAGGGACCCCGAAGTTCGTTAGTGCACTTACTGTAGGTATGCACTTCAGCCCGACCTCCCGTCAGTGTCTCGCCATCCCTTGTTAGGTAAGCTCCTATGAGCCCTAACTCGTCCTCACCCCTCCTGCGCCCACCTTACAGCTTTTCCCCGCTCTGACGAAATCAACGCACCCTACCGAACCTCCACGTCTTCAACATCACACACTACAAGATAGCTAGCCCTTTCCACAGCCTCACGAAAACATCGCTTCCAGCAAACCCACATTCAAAATGTCTGCCCAAGACCGCGTCCAGCACTATGTGTCCCAGCTCGACAAGGAGGTACGTTTTTTTTGCAGCCCTCCATCCCATGCCTACGATCTGTGCGCCCTCTCGTCGGAGCCGATTACGTCCAAGCTCTGGCAGCTTCAACTTCTCAGGCAGTCTGAGCCATGACAGACCTCGCTCGCTTCATACCTACCCTCAGCGATCGGGCTCTATGGAGCACTTGAAGCTGTACAGGTCCTCGGCCCGGAGCCAAGCAATCTGCACACGTGCTCAGATCACGACTCTTTTGCAACTGCTTATCTCGAGCTGATGCTAACTCGTGCCGAACTGCCAGCTCTCCAAGTACCCTGCCCTCAACAACCTCGAGAAGCAGACCTCCGTCCCCAAGGTCTACGGTGTTATCGGCCTTGCCAGTCTCTACTTCTTCTTCATCATCTTCAACCTCGGAGGACAGTTCCTGACCAACCTGGCCGGCTTCGTCGTCCCCGCATACTACTCTCTCAGTGCCCTGTTCACTGTCAACAAGGCCGATGACACCCAGTGGCTGACTGTACGTCCATTCGTCATCACGAGACCTACGTCGCTACTCTTCGATGTGTGAACCTTTTGTGCTGACAAGTGTCCTTTGTATAGTACTGGGTTGTGTTTGCCATGTTCACGTAAGCTACCTAAAGCTGTTCGGCCACATGCCTAGTGCTTCGGTGTACTGACAAAACTCCCTAGTGTTGCCGAGAGCTTGATCAACGTCGTCTACTGGTTCCCTTTCTACTACACCTTCAAGTTCATCTTCTTGCTTTGGCTGTCTCTGCCCGTGTTCAGGTTTGTAAACCCTAGCTCGCAATCATGATTACCACGAGCAAGGCCAAGACTAACTGGGGTGACCTCGAAGCGGCGCCCAACTCATCTTCCGATCTTTCCTCCAGCCTGCTCTCGGCCGCTACTTCACCGAGGCCGGCTCGACTGCTGCCAACCTCCGCGCCAAGGCCGACTCGCTCGGCAAGGACCAGTAAACTGGCCAAGCTTGGATTCGCCGATAGCTCAACACGCTCGGGACAAGTTGCGCAAGTTTAACAGTCTTTTGAGGTTGCGCGCGCAGGTTGAGCTACAACGGCGGGTGGGAAGATAAAATACATGACGTCTGGAATGACGCTGCTGGTACGGTCACGTTTCAGCCCGCGCGGCATTCCGGACGGTAGGGACAGATGGGGAGAGATAAGTACGGTGGGAGGAACAACCCCTGCTCTTGGAGCAGGATTGCCTGGCGCAATCTGGTTGTGGCATGGGTGGAGAAACAGATGTGTAGGGGTTTCGATGATCGCGAATATCCAATTAGAGCAAGTCATGATGAGATGATAAAATGGGAACGATGAGTTACAAATATTTGCGATTCTCTTATTTCTATCATCACTAAATATTGAAGGGTCGCGAAAATGACGGCTCGCCGCCTGCCAATATTTGCGCACGTTGATCAACAACCTTACTCTCGTATGTTGCGCAGTGCATTAGTAAGGACGCTATTCTTCAGTTAGCTCAAAATGCTCGAAAAAAAAACCACCAGTGCTGAAAGTGAAGAAAGGTTGATAATTTCAGGTATACATGGTATGGTGACTTCACGCGGTGCGATAGTATCGCGCCGCATCAGGTCTAGAGCTAAAAGTCTCATCATAAAAAGGATCGAGAGGAAAGAGGGGCGGATTTGTGTAGAACAAGACGCGAATAAGAAAGGAAGGCTTACCATTTCGCCAAGTACAAGGCTCGTCGCGCAGATTCAGATGCCGAGCAAAGGGACCTGACACGATACCTAACACGCGAGCAGAGAATGAGTCTCTCTCTGTCTCCTAACTGGGACGCCATGGAATGCCACCCGAATGTAAAAAGGAAAAGGTGTGTTGGGCGCTGCTCAGGCCAATGTGCCAATGTTTCCGCAGGCTCAACCATCTCGGACGACACGCCTTGCTGCTGACTTGCCTTCTGGGAGGAAGAAAGCCAGAGAAAAGGGTTGACCGTTTGTGAGGCTGAGCACAGAAGTCGGATTACCAGAATGAAAGAGAGTCATCATGGCAGCCGTTTGTAGAGGGTTGTCAGGGGAGGGTCGACAGCAATGGCCAGGTGACTGGGACTGATGCAGGCAGCTCCCCTTGTCAAACTTCGTAGCGAGACCTCGATGCACCTACCTACCTATAGTCAGTTGAGCTTCGAATGAGTGCCGCCGGCGTGACTGGGCAGACTGAAGCTGGTCTGATCGTGGATGTCGAGAACGAGGGAACAGGATCAGGCATTGCCGTGGCGCGCGCCCCAGACATCCTGTACCGCCGCTGTCGTCTTCTGCCACATCAACGTGGCACGTCAAATGAGTCGGCGGCTTGCCGGGAGATGCGCAACGGCTACGAGGATTGGGGGAAATGTCCAGTGCTTCAGGTCATCATCGCATCATGGTAGCACACACTGAAGGGCCCTCGTGATGATGGTTTTAAGCAAGGGATGTGTATAAAACGTTGCTCTCGACACACACATCGGAATCGCCGGCAGCGTGAGGACCATTGTTGCGAAGAACAAGACTGCCGTCGATGATTTGAGTTGGTGGTCTTCATAATTGTTGAAGAGAGAAAGGAGGAAGCGCAGGCGCAGGCACGCAGGCCAGAAATTTTTAAAGGACCGCCCGCCCGTCGCGGTCGGGGATTCTGGCAGGAGTGGGGCCCAGACCTGGGCACGCACGCGGATGGAGAGCGCAGCGCGCAGGGCAGACGGAGCCGAGGAAAATCGACGAGCTGCAAGCTCTCGTTGGCCGGTTGGTCTGGGCATTCATTGTGCTGCAACAGAAGCTTGGTGCAAGTCATTGTTTCCAGAGGTGGACAATTGCTCTTGCAAGAGGCCTCATGTGACAGCTCTGCAAGTGACAGAGCGGACAATATTCCAAACCTAGGCCGCCCTTTGCTACATCCATGGATGTCCTCGAGGCACCGTGCCTTGGCGGCTACCCTGCAGCCTTGAGATGGCGCACAGTCCCACGGGTCCTCCATGAAGCTGCCCGCCCTGACGTACATGAGCCTGCAGTTCGTTCACGAGGTGAGACTTGGTGGGCGGATAGCTGCTTGGTGACGAGACATGCTGGCCAGCGATTCTCCAGATGCCTACCTACCTAGGTACCTAACCTAGATAGATAGCTGTGGAGGCGCTTCTCTCTTGGTCGCCATGGCCCTCACTGCAGCATGACATTTGCCAGTGGCAGTGGGGACTTTTGAGGGCTCACAATTTGCAGCCTTGGACTGAGATGCTGGCGGCGTCCAGTGGAGATGCGGTGCGGCCATCGCCAGGGCACACTGGGCACGGCTTTCTACCACCCACTTGGACCCGCCCCATCGAGCCGGCCCATTTGGGGCAGGCCCAAGCCAAGGCTCGACACTTGCACCACAACCACCACGACCACGACCACCACTGCCACCACCACCACTCTCCAATCTTTTCCACTCCAGACCCAGCATCACCTCGCCCGCCGCCTCCCGACCACCTGCTCGACGACCATTCCTCTCCCACACGCACCTCTCCGCCGCCTCTCTGCCGTTCTTCCCCGCGGCCTCCCAAACCATCAGAACCCCCCCGGCACCCTCCTGCGCACACACCCAGTCGCACCTCCCCTCCAGCGCCGAACTAAATCTCAGTCCGCCTGCAGCATCACTGCGCAAGCCGCCAGCCTCACCCATTCACGACCGTCTCCTGCCCGCCCGCCGGGCCAGCTCTCCTCACCGGCCCTTTGTTGTTGCAGTGCTCAGTGTTTCGCGCGGAAGACCTTTCACTCCAACCGCACTTCCACTGCTCTTCACCACCCCGCAGCACCCAGCCTTGGGACAGCCGCCAACCAGACCATATTAGCATTTCTCCAATTCCTGTGGTTCTCGATATCTGCTTGGCCCCATCTCTCGCGATTCGGTAGCAATTCATCACCGCGAGGCGTCGATGACCATGGACAGCAAGGACTCGATATGGAGCCGCCGTAACAAGTACATAATCCCTGCCCCTTCAACCACGCCACCCCGGCCCTAAAGTCAGACGGAAGTCCAGCTCGTTCAAGTCGTACTGATATATCTTCTAGTGTCGGCAACCTCTCCTTGTCGACCCCTGGTCAGCACGACAACTCTTCGGCCCCTCGCGACTATTCGTCTCTCTCGAGACGCTCCGGGCCAGGATCCTCGCACGGCGGCCGAGGCCCAATTCCATTCGGCGGCACCCAGACGCCGGCCAACACACTGGCATCGCCCGGCGGAGCTGGAAATGCGTTCGGCCTGGGCTCTGGCGCCTTTGGCTTTGCAGGCGCGAGCTCTGCAAAGACGCCCAAGACGCCAGGAAACCCATACGAGCGAGAATGGGGCGCACTTGGTGGTGGCAGCAAGACGCCGTCCACTGAAAAGACCGCCAAGGACGCCTTCTCGCGCGCTGCGACGGGCAAGCCCTCGATGGGCTCAATTTCAGAGATCACCGGGAAACCGCAGTCGTCAGCCACCTCGCACCCACTCCGGAACGGGTGGACTTTCTGGTTCCGACCACCGATCAGCAAGGCGAACGGCTACATCGAGTATGAGAGGAGTTTACATCCTATTGCGCACGTGACCACAGCCGAGGAGTTCTGGGCAGTGTACAACCATCTCAAGCACCCTTCAGATCTGCCCGAGAAGTCAGACTATCACCTCTTCAAGCAAGGTATTCGCCCAATCTGGGAAGATGATGTAAACAAGCAGGGTGGAAAGCTGGTGGTCCGTCTCAAGAAGGGAGCTGCCAACCGCTTCTGGGACGAGACACTGCTGGCCTGCATTGGGGACCAATTCGGCGAGGACAACGAGGAAATCTGTGGTGTGGTGCTTAGTGTGCGCAACAATGAGGACATCCTCTCGATCTGGTTGCGCCACAGCAGTCCAGCCACTCCCAGAATCAAGTAAGCCAGCGACCGTCTTCACTGCGTGGTTCACGAATTGTTCTAATGTCTGTCTCAGGGAAACCGTCAAGCGCTGTGTCTCCTCCATCTACCCTGGTGACCTCAACTTCGTCTGGAAAAGCCACGATGCTAGCCAGCAGCAGGCTGCCAACACTCCTCACCACGACAACAACGCCAATAAGCGTCCCCACCACAACAAGAATCAGCGACAGACTCAAGACGAGCCTCGCGCCTAGAGACCATGGCCAGCACATGCGCTAGACGCGGTCGCTTATTTGGGGCACGGCCGCTTGTAGCCCCCGCGGGTACCTTGGCGAGCTCTCGATCTGGCTATTTCAAACGTCGCCGCCACAAAAAAACAAAAATAAATGGCGGCTTGCACGATTAGTCTTGGTCGTAGAGTGGGACCTATACACCGCGAAGGGGTTCTTTCGACGCATTTGCACTTTTCGCATTAACGGCGTTCCTCAACTTACCAATGCGGCCCCAGTCATATTTTGACGGTGGAACCCCACAATCTACCGCAGTTGCAATTCCAAGTGCTTGTTGTCCACAAGTGTTTACTGGTCTGGCCGCTACAATGGCCTCAGAGGCCACAGTCATTATTTGCCATCCAAGAAAAGGTGGCAGATGAGCCGCTGTGTCTCTGTTGATTTCACAGGGACGAGTGGTTAGTAGAGTGAGATGACTCTGGGATCGAGCAGAGGAAAATGGCGGAATCCACTCCTTGTGGCTCTGGGCAGACACCACAATTGCTGGGGACCGACATGGTGGTAAACATCATCCGGTCCTGTGCATTGAACTGGGCAACGCCAGATCCCCTGATGCTCTCGCGGACAATCCCTTGTATGTTAGCACAAATACTTCTGTACAGTATGATTGGCTTTCGAGCCCTTACCAGCGCACATCTGTTTGGTTAGCAGCGAGGATATATCTATTGATCTAGCATTGATGCTTCGGGCGTCTTGTCCGTGTGCTTTGCGTCTCCACCACATTGTCTTGTCCGTCGTGCAGTGCTTTGTATGCTGGTCAACATGAGGATCGGCCCCAAACTCGCGGACCCCAAGGCTGAAAAGCCAGGGCAATGCGGTGCGGATGCCTACAGTCTCAAAGGACCATTCCTCCGTCGTGGCAGTACAGCAGCGCTTAACAGCGTTCTCTACGAAATGGGGATTTGAATGGGAAAAAATCCGGTACTATTTCACAAGGCGGAGGACGAACGTAGCGTGCTCAAACAAAATGTTTGTATTTTGGTGTGTGGGTGTGGGCAAATACAAGCAAAACAGTAAGTCCGGGGGATGTCCTCACCCTGTCGATCTGGCAATGAGATTCAAAGGGCCCTTAAAATGGCAGGTGCAGGAGGGCTTGAAAAATCAACTCGTACTCTCACACATTGCTGGTCCAGCCAGTATGGGTATAACATGAAGTCATCCGAGCCTCAAACTTGTGTGTGGACGACCGCGTGTCTATTTTTGTTACTTGGTGCGGCGTGGTAGAGAAACCACAAACCAGCATTAAATAGACACCCTTCTCGTCGATATCATACATTCAAGATAACCGTTTTCATCTCACATCGACCTGGCCGATTGTCTCATGCTTGCAGCAAGCAGTATCAAAACTTAGACATGCTAACCACAAAATCTGCATACAGCATGGCTAAGAATTTGTTTACAAGGACGTGGTTTGTTTATGTGATGTACATGCTATGTTCCCCCTGTAATGCTTGCCTAGCAATGGCATGTGTGCTTGGCGATGCTAGACGACAAAATACCTCTAGATAGCGCACGGTACACCGGGATATCAGATAAGCACCCCAAAACTCCGGACACCAGGCTTTTCCCCAATGACCAACAAATGCTTTGTCGTAACAGCGTAAATAGGCGGCAATCAGAAGAGTCTGACTTCAAACGGAAAAGGCCGGGAGAATTCGCCAGTGCTTGCAGGACTTGGCTGCTCCGGGGACAGTCTCACGAACTGCAATATGCTCGAGAGTCTTTTTGACTTGTGGTTTCGTGCAAGAGGTGAACTTCTTGGACAAGAGATCGATGACTGTCAGTTTCGTGTGCTCGCGGAAGCCCTCCGACACAATGGTCCGCTTGAAGTCCTCGAGAATATCCGCAGGAACCATATCTTTCTGGTCGATTGCTGGTGATGGTGTAGTTGACGAGGATCCACTTCCACTGCCGTTGCTCCTTATCAATACGGCGAAGGCGTGTGCCGGGGGCGGTTGCATTGTGTTCAAAGTGCTGTTTGTGGTGGCAGCAGCCAACATGCTAGGTGCTGACTCCTTGGCCTTTTTCTTGGGCTTCTCCCAGTATGAAGTAGAGAACGGATCGATGGATGCATCTGGCAATGTTTCTGCAGAGGCTTAGCAAGACAAATCGACCCATTATCTGGATTGGCACACTTACCCAGAAGGAACTCCATCTTATAGTTCTCCAGCACAACACTCGAACTCTTATCCTTCTCGCCTTCGAAGCAGATGCCCACAACCGTCGGCTGCGTCTCGCCTAGGAATGTTGGGCGCGCAAGCGGTGGTACGTCGTCGCTATCGTCGAGGAAATCATCCAGCTCATCATCCCCGTCGGCGTCTTCCTCCTCATCCTCACTCATGAGGTCTTCGCCATCGTCGTCTTGCCACTCGGCCTCAGAATCGTAATCGTAGTTCAAGTTCTCCACGTTCCTGCCCGTTGGGCGCCTCGATAGTCTGCGCAAAGTCGACGTGGCGAGAGGTGTGGTTATCGTGCCGATGTACGGTGGGCGGACGTCCTCGTAGAATTTGAGCGCCTTCATCGGGATGTGATTGAGTTGTCGCTGAGCATCAATGAGCTCATTGGAGGATGTTTGGGATTCGGATTTGATGTGTTCGCTGCTGGCTGCCTCCATAATCTCCTTGACCGATTTTTGCGTGATTCCGCGTGGCTTGAAGAAGCCGTGGACTTCGAAGGTCTGGGCTGGGTTGAATGGGTGCACCGCCGCTGCCTCCCTTTTCTTATAGATGAGCTCGTCAAGAATGCTCGACTTCACGTTCTTCGCGTTATCATCCATCTTAAAGGGTACTGTAGCGAGAGTGACGTCGCTCTTTACAAAGAATGGTTGAAAGAGGCGGTGGTAAGCGGAGACCTGAGGTGCTGCTGGTTCGGTCGTCGTAACTGTTGGACTTGCGGATTCTGCCGTTGCGGGAGTCTGTGCTTCTGTCGTGCTCGTCTTCACGGGGGTCGAAGGCGCGCGCTTCACAAAGGCGGCCAACATGTTCTGCTGCTTCGCCCTCTTACGTTGAAGAGCCTGCTCTTGTTCCTCCTTCTGCTTGCGGATGGCCTCCTTCTTTGCCTCGACCTCGGCTTTCTCGGCGGCTTTGGCGGCCTTCTTGGCCTCTTTTTCAGCGTCCATCTTTGCTTTCTCTGCAGCCTTTGCAGCCTTGGCCGCTTCCTTGGCTTGGACCTCGTCGGCCTTCTTTTGTTTCTTGAGCTCCCGTTCCTTCTCCTGGGCATCCTTCTCCGCCTGAGTCAACTTGCGCTTGGTTGCCATCTTGAGGGTGGAGTCACTCGTGCTGGAAGTTGAGATCAAGCTGTTTGACTTGTGGTCCGATATCGAAGCCTGACTGATTTGGAGATTGCTGTCCTTCTCGCTCAAAGGTAGTTGTGGTTTGTGGTTTGTAGAAGCATCACCCGGAGGTGTTATTTCCCTCTCGGAGGGGACGTCGGACAACGGGGAGCTAGGCGAGCTGGGGGTCAAGTTGAGGTTGGTTTGTTCTGCATGATACGATTAGGAATGCACAAGCTCGCCAACATTTGGAGAAGCCATACCCGTGACCGCCTTGATAGGGGTTGCCAACCCGTCCGGGCTCTTTTGCTCGCTCATAGTGGGCAAGGTGTGCCGTTATGTCCAGGTCGGCGTGGCTCTGAGGAGGAATATTGCCTTCGCCAATGGTATCACTGTTTGAGAGACACCGGCCACAGAGCCCTTCAATGAGTAAGTGTCCGTCTTGCGACAGTCGTGTGCCTATCGTCGCCGAGTGGGAGCGTAGTTGGAGAAAGTGTCTGGGAAAGTTGCTGCGACCATTCAGTTCCAATGAGGGCTTCAGGAGGGCAGTTCGTGCTGCGTTGTCTCGAGAGCCTATGAGGTTTGTGATGCTTTGACTCAACCTATGTGGTGTAATGCGTCGTCGTTTGTGCTTGGGCTTCGGTACAAGACAGCCGGTGGTGCTAACGAAGCCGATGCATGGAATCTCGAAGCACGGCCCTGGTCTGGTCTGGCTGGGATGGAGACAGCCACTTGACACGCGTGAAAACGCGACAGGGTCCCTCCAGGCGCGTCCCCCGCGCACCTGCCGCAGCTGCTGGCCTGGCATCAATTTAATACACCTGGGCAGGCAGTCGCGGCTAGGCAGCACAGCGAAAAGTGGGCACCAGCCGGCCACGGACCCGAGCAGGCAGTATAAGTAGTTGCTCTCCTCCGCCTCTGCCCTCTTCTTGACTTTCCTTCTCTTCTTCATACTTACCTTGGTGTGGAACTGGCAGCTCATGAATCGCCGGTTCTAGCTTGAGAGACCTGCATTGCACAGCGTGGCGTCGATCATGCTGCATGATGGGTCTTCCCATCGTGCATGCCGCAATTTTTGTTGCATCTCTTGATTGTTTTCATTTCGCCCGAAGCCTTGTGCATCGTCGAGAAGAAGACCACCTGGAATCGTGTGAGAAGTGTTCCCGTCCTTGCCAATGATCTGAGGCTCAACGCCAGGTGCTCAAGGGCCTAGGGTCGTAGAACTGGATTTGAAATAACCGTGCACTTCATATTCGGCCCGTAAGAGTTCATGTGAGAGGAATGTGAGAGTAAAGATGAATCCGGAGCCCATAACGGTCGAGAGAGCCTCTCAGAAACGACAAACAGCTATGGCGGTGGCACTCCGCGTCGTTACCCTTCCGTGTTTGAGCTATTGTTTGCCTGTCAAAGCCGCACTGGGGTGCTTTCATGTCTGAAGCTGGCGCTAAATGGGCCGCTTTCAAACATCACCAAATGATCACCAAGCCGTCACGAATATATTACGACAGACAATTGCCAGTGTCATCGTACGCGTATTTCCCAAGTTTAAATTCACACCGACATGACCTTCACGACTGAGGTGATGGCCAAGTTGGCCTGCAAACCTGGAATAACGTAATCCACGGGTAAGCGGGTCACACGGGTGAACGGGTCACCTTCCAGTAACTCGTACGACAATATATAAGACAATTTAACCACAACGCCTTAAATCAATTCAAACTATTCAGAATCCTCTTCTTCAGAGGCAGATACAACTTTCTGACACGTACGAGCATTATGACCGGGCTCGCCGCAGACGCCACATCGTCGCGCGCGCGTTTCGGGCCTCCTCGTACGACCACTATTCTGACTCGTTTCCGCTATTAACTGCTGCGTCGCATCGATTTGAGCCTTCAAATCCTTTGCCTGATCAATCGTGAGGGACCCTCCTTTCTGTAGCTGCTTTCTTTTCGTACGACGACGGCGGCTGAGGCGGTCATTTGCATCTCGAAGTTCGGCGAGCTCTTGGCGCATAAGGTCCTGCTCGTGTACCATCATTATAACTCCTTTTCTCAGCTGCCGTAGGCTCTCAACGATGGACGACGGTGAGCTATTCTGGTGTCGTACGATGCGATTTTCAATATACTTCGTCTGCGATTCGGTCTCAATTAGGTTGTTCGGCGTCTTTGAAACCCATGGGGGTGGTAGTCCAGCAGAGGAACCTGGTGGTGTCGGCGTATGAAACTTCATATCTAGCTGCGAAATCACATAATTCGGGTCGTACGGTACTAGGCCTGTCGCTCTGAAGCCTGCCTGGATGTTTGATTTGGTCATTGCAGCGTCGTACGCCTTATAAAAGGCTGGGAGGAAGTCCTCCTTTGAAACGTGGGTTACGTGCGCCCGCATTAGACCTTCGATTTCTTTACCGTACGCCCGTTTCAGAGGTCCAAAACACCCAACATCGAGAGGCTGGAGCTTATGCGACGAATGAGCAGGCATACAGAGCGTGACAATATTCTGTTCCTTGCAGTAGAGCTCGAAATCGACGGAATGGTGGCTCTCGTGGCCGTCGAGGATAAGGAGGCGGTGGGTACCCTTCGTACGACTCTTTGTATGGAAATCAAAGTGTTTTACCCATTCTAGGCCTCTCTCGTTCGTCGTCCAACCGTTTTCTGAAAGCGCGATTACCCAGTCGGCCGGTAGAGGGCTATTCGCGGTCCAGGAGTCGAGGTGGACCTTCCCGGCGAAGATAATGTATGGCGGGATTGAATAGCCGTACGACGCGATACCCTGGATTACTGTAACCCATTCCTGATTGCCTTGTTGTACGGCTCTTGGCCTCCCGCGTCGATCGGAGGTCGTAACGACAGTTTCGGCGGAGATCTTGCCCATCGCGAAGCCCGTTTCGTCGAAGTTATAGATATCGTCATCGTGGATCCCGTATTTCGCGATTATGTTTCGTACGAGCTCAAACCACGCGCGATACGCGTCCGGATCCTCGCAAAGGACCCTCTGGTAATCGATTCTTCGATTAAAACGCGTACGGAGCTCAGGTCGTCGTCGTACGAAGGTTGAGGCCCAGTTCGTTCCAACGCGTGGCGCGTCGCGTACGCGGAGGAGTCGATCCGCCATTTCTCGAACACCACTTAACCGCGGTGGAAACGAACGCGAATCTAGGTCGAGTACGTATCGTACGATACTCTCCTCTTCGTATGAGGTTAATTTCTGGCAGGGTGGTCGGGTGTCGTGTTTCGCAGCTCGGCCGTGGTATCGTTGCTGGAGTATCGTACGAGATACATTATAGATCTGCGCAGCCTTTCGTACGCTTAATTTTGGGTCGGATTGGAGCGCATTTAACGCTAGAACCAAATCACTTTCAATTGATTGTCGTCCCATGATTGGAGGTGGAGAAAAAGGAGAAGGAAGTGAACCTCAATTAAATTGCAGTAAAGTGACCCGTTCACCCGTGTGACCCGCTCACCCGTGGATTACGTTATGCGATTGAGTGGTCAGGATGATGCTTTGTATGGTGCAGGTGGCAGCGGGCCGTCATTCATTCGCCCACCCACGGGACCTCAAAGTGGACCCCCGGCGCCAGGAGTGCTGCACGGCGGCTCAACACCAAGCAATTTTCAGGCCTGGCCAGGCGAATAGCTTCACATACGGCCAATATCGGATATCGACACCAGCGCAACCAGTGGCAGTCCGACATTCTTGCGTCTGAATATACCCCTGGACTGTGTTATTCCTCACGGCTACACCCTCCAGCCACGATGCGCTCCACCACACTTGCTGCTTCGAGCTGCCGAGCCGCTCTCCAACGGGCGTCATACACCCCGACACAGACCATCATAACAAAAAGGTCCGACGGCCAGCTGATGTTTCTGCCATAGAAACCAATGCTGACTTTTTTGACTCTCGCAGAACATTCACATCGCTTCCAACTCTCCGCCCATCTCTAGCAGCTCGGAACCCGGTCTTCCGGTCCGCCACAAACACCCTCGCGCGGTTGCCCAGCACTCCAGACGCAACCACCACCGCCACCGCCACAACAACAGACGCCGGAGTGGTAGCAGATATTGTACCCAAGTCGTCGATAACCTCTCACCCGGCCTTTATCGGCAGCGCGTTTCAGATCCGGTGCGGCCCGCGGCCGAACCTCGAGCGCAGCAGTCGCCTCATTCGCAAGCGCAGGTCCGGCTTTCTCGCGCGCCAGCGCAGCCAGACGGGCCGCAAGATCCTGCAGAGGAGGAGGGTCAAGGGCAGGCGCGTGCTGTCCATGTGAGCGGGGGCATCACAGCATGGTTCGGAACAGAAAGAACAGAGGCGTATGCTTTCTCATGATGTGAGGGAGCAGTGCTTTCATGGCGGTGACGTGGAGGGGCAGTTAGGAGCCAGCAGGAACGGAGGCATGGAAGACCAATCGGCATTCTGATCTCTTCCGAAACGGAGTGCATTGGCTTGTCGAAGCGGGTATGAGAGATTGGCCAAGCAGAAAGTCAATACTGTCTTGCGCCAAACACAAACGAATCACACCCAGATCTTCTCGGACAAGGGAATGCCCCGAAAAGCACCACTTCGAATCAACGACGATATAACCGTGGAACAAGGAAGAAGGAGCAACGACTAGGCAACGCCGGAGGACATAGCCACTGCCTAGGGTCAATGAACGTCTATGCAGCACAGACGAATGAGGCACTATGCATGATTGTCGTGGCAGGCTTGGAAGCTGACAAGGCGAAGCGTCATGTACCATATATTTTGAGACACCATACCAGAGCAAAGCGTATGGATACATATGTACCAATACCAACAAATATCACGATCGTCTGATCAGGCAGGGCGGATGAGTTAATTGTCAAGGGGCGAGCACGCGCACACTTTATTATCATGAGGCCGAGTCGTCTGTGAAACGAGCTTTACTTGGCACCACAGATCGGGCTTTCAGTATTCGGTGGTGCGGCATGCAACCTGTGCTTTTGAAGCGCATAGGTGCGGTGATACTGTGCAGCTGAATCTATGGCAGTCAAGCAAAATAGCACAGAGCGCGCTTGCTTTATTGGTGACCAGTCAAGCATTGCGAGTCCTCTGATATGGAAACAATCAAGCAGGGAGAGTTTCATTGATCATCATTATCCATCGTTGTTATGAAAATGTACACATTGACCCAATCTCCCCCACAATGGAGAGAATGAACCACGGACAGAAATACCCAGCACGCAAAGCACCCTCCAGCTGCATTAGTGCGGTTCTCGCTCCCGCGCACATTACACAACAACTGGGCTGGCAACACCACTCTCGCACGTCAGACTATCCGAGTAGCACACGGTGTTGAGCTCGGCGCTGCTCTGTCCAATCCACAGCCTGTAGGCGCCGGAAGGGTTCGGCACGACCCAGTTCTGCTCGACGACATCCCAGACGCTCAGGTCGCGGCGGGTGAGCTGGAAGCTGAGCGTCTGGCTGGCGCCAGGTGCAAGGTCCGCCGTCTTGGCAAAGTCGCGCAGCTGGATGATGGGCGTGTCGTAGGACGTGCCCTGAGGGAACTGAATGTACACCTGGCCCACGGCCTTGCCCGAGTAAGTCGAGCCGGTGTTGGTCACCTTGACCGAGAGGGTGTATGCGACGTCCCAGAGGGCAGGGTTGCCGCCGTTGGGACCACCGGCAGGAGGCAGGCTGGGCTTTTGCACACCACTGTAGCCCCTCGGGTAAGGATACTTCGAGCTGCCGCGGGAGCCGATGGCGTAGGCCTTGTCCGCATCGCCCTTGGACAGCCAGCTGTACAGGTACCGCCAGATCTTGTTGAAGCCAGAGGGCTCGTACGCTTCGGACGCAGCGGGGATTGTGGTATTCATGGCAGAGATGGGCGATGTGGGCCTTGCTGGTGCTGCCGGAGGCAGCCTGTCAAGCTTGGTGACGGCAGAAACGCTCGCCTCAGAGAGCTCAAACGTGGTATAGCTCATGCCGTAACCGAAGGCGAAGCGAGGCTTGATGCCATCCTTGTTGAGATGGCGGTAGTCGATGTAGAGGCCCTCAGAGTAAGTGTCCTGTGTCTGGCTGAGGGGAGTGGCAACCAGGCTCAAACTGGCCGGGTATTCGTCCTCGGAGTATGAGATACTGTATGGCAGCTTTCCACTCGGGCTAGTCTCGCCGAACAGGACCTCCGTCAGAGAGTCGCCAGCTTCCTGGCCCGGAAGATGGGCAATTAGGACACCCTTGACTTGCGGCAGATCGATCCAGGGCTCGACAATGACGGTGCCGACAGTGTGGTACACCACCATCACATTATTGTAGGTTGCCGCGGCCTTGCGCACGAGCTCGTCTCCGTTGAAGTAGGCTGCCAGACCGGTGTTATCGCGGTCACCGTGGTTGCCCTCCACGGTCAAGGTGTTCTCGCCCGAGTCAGAGCTGATGAAGACAATGGCGACCTCCTCACTGGATGGCTTTGGAACTTTGGGGAAAGTGTTGGTGTCGTAAAGCGTGACATTAGCCGCCTTCCTCCTCAGCGAGCCGATTGGGTCGTCAAGGTAAGGCAGAGTGGCAGCACCTGAGCCCCAACCCATAGTCAAGGTACCGCGGTTGCAGCCCTTGTCGGTGCACGAGTTGATGCCCTGGGGGTCAGCGCGTGCATCGGTGCCAAAGGCACTGATGGGCACATTAGTTGAGATAGGCAGAAAACTCCCATTGTTCTTCAGGAGCGTAATGGCTTCCTGGGCGACTTGCTTGGCGACGACGGCATGGTTGGCTTGCACATCTACGAACTCATTGACGAGACCCGACGGAGAGAACAATGCGCCTGGGTAGAGCTGGCCGTTCGCGGAGCCTACCCACGCATGGAAGTTGGGTTTGGGGTAATCCTGGTCCTGGCCGAGCTTGTACCACGTGGCAACGATGCGAGTGCACATGTCGTTGAGGCGATCGACGGGGACCGAGCCATTGAGCACTGAGCGGGAGAGCTCGTACATCCAGTGGCTGTATCCGAAAAGGGGAAGCGCGTTGGCAAGGGTGTCTCCAGGAAGGGTCATATCAAGACCAGCCAGCGCTGAGCCGACACCAGACAACTGAGAGAGCCAGTCTGTCTGGACGAAACCCTGGAAGCCAAGCTCGTCCTTGAGCAGACCATTGAGCAGCATGCTGTTCTGGTGAGTGGCCGAGCCGTTGAGCTGTTCAGAGGTAGTCAGCATCTACACGACTTCGCGGGTCATTTTTCAGAGGGGGTAGTAGGCGGACATACGTCGTTGTAAGCGGCCATCACCGAACCGACGCCGGCATGGATACCATCGGCAAATGGCCAGAGGTAGAGCTCATGCAAAGTGCGGTCATCTAACAAGTCAAAGTCAGCAAGGACATCTATATGAGGCAACTGGCATTACTGACCAATGTTGGCGCTGTACGCCGCTTGAAAAGGGTTGTACATGCGATACAATTCCTGCTCGTTTCCGATCAGGTGCTTGATCGTAGCAATGACTCCCTGGTCTTGCACGCCACGGATCGTCTCAGCACCAGCAATTCCTTGCAAGGTGGGATCCGATCCGAAGCCTTCCCAGTTGCGACCACCACGAGGCTTTCTGCCCAAGGGGCCAACAGATGGGCCGAGGTAAACATTAGCACCCTTTCCCTTGAACTCCTGCCCAATTGCCACACCTCTCTGGTACATGAGCTCCTTGTTGAAGGTCGCACCAGTCGTGATGCCAGCAGGAAAAGCAGTGACGTTGGGGGTCGTGCGAACTCCCAACGGACCATCCTGCAGGCACAGTTGTGGGAAACCGACCCTGTTGGCGCTGCCAGTATTGGCGACGCAGCGGCCCATGAACTGACCAGTGCCGGCTGTGATATTTGTCTTCTCTGCAAGCGTCATTCGGGACACCAGCGCCACAGCCTTCTCGTAGGCTTCGGCCCAGTCGTCAGTCCAACCACCACCGTGTGGTGTCGGATAGTAAGGATTGGCAACATAGCCGGCGGGGACAGGATCACGGTCGACGAGCTGGTCTGCAGACACAAAGGCCGCGCCCAGGAGGGCCACCACGGAGAGGCTCAATACCTTCGGCATGCTGAGTCAAGAGGCGCAATGGTGATCGACTGCCGTGACGGGCCAACAGGGCGGAGGCATGTCTCGGATGGGCAACTCAGAATACTTATATATCTGCCTGAGGATCCGCATGTTCCTGCCTCGTAAGTTACCATTGCGGGGACGGTGGGCGGCAAACCGCCCTGTCAACAAGATCCTCACTGCAACCATGGGCGAGCGATACAAGCACGCTATGTGCAGACATGTCCGGATGGGTCCCGAGGCTCCTGTGATTTGACCCCAATTACAGCTCAGGAACAAGTACCTGCTGACGAGCGGGGTGTGGCGGCGCTGACCTGTGATGCCCACACTGTCTCTCCCTGCTCGTGATACTGGATGTACCTGCATTATGATCTTCACCAGTCGCACAAGGGCTTGCCTGAGCGGCGCGTAGGGTGGAGATACGGGCTGCTGTGGTAGAGGTCCTGCTCGACAGGCCGACCATGGAAAAATGGACATATGCCAAGAGACAGCGAGAGATGCTGCTGCTGTTGCGGAACGGCCACGCGGACTACGACGTACGGGTCGACATTTCGATCTTCCACCACTGAGAGGCTCCTCATGCAAAAGGACCCTTGAAAGCTGGAGAATGATCTGGGGGCGCCCATGGTTCCATTGCCGAGCCCGCTTGAGCGGTGAAGTCGGGCCTTTGACAGCCTGGGTGGACGAAAGCAGGAGGCAAAGATGCCAATCCGGATTTCGAGCCGGGCAGGAGCCCCGTCATCGAGCCTTGTGACCATTCGTGACGCATGCTGCTGAACTGGCGAGCGGTGCGGAGAAGCGGCCAAGGACCAGCACCCCGGGAAAGCTACGTGAGTGCCCACGCGCGTGCAGGGATGGACAGCGAGAAGTCCGTGTCGTCACTGGGCCGGATAGCTGCAGATTGCGGTGGGCAGGTCGGCAGATCGCGGGCATAGGCCGACAAAGTCATGATGGTGGCCAGAAGCCACTGACGGGGGGTCAGCCATGTGACTGGCCAAGCGGCGGCACGCGTGAAATCTGGGGATGGAGGGTGCCACAAACGGCAGGCGGCAGCGAGCGCTCTGCAAATGCAGACCCCAGCCAGCCACTGCAGCCTGACGTCCGCGAGTGATCGTCTTCAGGTGTTGAGGAGGCGTTGCCAGGGGAGGATGAGTGGTGATGCGGTAAGTGAGGTGTTCCTGGACAATAGCGCTGCCATTAATGTCAACAGCACTCACCTTGAGCGCGTCCCCCCCACCTATCCCCCTCTCGCTCTGGTCATGCAGCGCCTCAGCAGCGCCTGTCAAGCAAGCAGCAGCAATTCCAGCCGGTCGGCGCAGATGAGAGCGAGGTGCAGCTCATTTGCGGCGTCAGACCACAGCTCAGATGTTCCCGTCGGTTAGCATGTGATCTGCCCTCGTTGCTGCGACCAGATGCAACCAGGCGTGCCAGTCCTGCAGCCTTGGCTGGACCGCCTGCAACGCCATAATCAGTATCCCAAGGGCCACGACTGAGGCCGTTCACATTGCGCCTGATTATGCGCCACCATCGGAGGCCCTACCTATACCTAGGGAGTTACTGGTCCGTGTTTGGCTGCTACTGTTGTCTCTGGCCTATACTAATTGATCGTGAAACAGACGTTTCGGGCATTTACCATTTCTCCATCAGAATGGCCGGGCACGTCCTCACAAATCCATGCTGCCCACGCGCGAAAGCAACCTTGTGCGCCGTCAGTCATGGTCACTGTGATTCGGAAGTCTTCATCTGGTCTCGACTCATGCCCAGCGAGCTTCGCTTCCCAGGCCCATGGTCGACATCCTTGAAGGCCGGTCCGCACAGCCAGAACAGGCAGCTCGTCCGGACCCCACGATCTTGAACAAGGGCAGAGCGCTGCCTTGGGGACTAGTTATGTACTTGTTCCCTGCCGGTCGAGTCTGGACCTACGCATAAAGGCCCTACGCACAAAGGCCGTCGTTTGTCATGATAACTCCCCCGGGAGCCTCTACGATCAGGCCGACGGCTGGTCGAAAGCACAACCCACATGCCGATGCTCGCTCGTCAGCCAGGACAGGCACCAGCGCGATGTAACCCACCTCTACCCCAGATCCATGTCGGCCCAGTATATATCACATTAGCCAAGATCGTACCTCGCAAGCACAGGCATACTCGGTCCCCAACAAATTCTGAAGATGTGCATCCTCGCATAATCGAGCATTCCGTCAAAACCAAGCGTGCAATTTCCAGTCCATGAATCTACCAAGTCCTGAGACCAGGCATACTCCATGGCCCTGCCTTGTACAGACGTGCTTCGCCATGATTCGGGGCGATCTTGACGGATTGAGGCGCCTGTCTGCCGTCATCGGATCTATGATCGGGCATGTCACTCAATGCGGCAGGCTGCCATCGTCATGCGCCGCGAAAAATGCGTGAGCTGCTGTAACCCGGAGGCCATCCCTGCCGCGTGCTACATACCGAACCCAGAGGACAACACAAGAGCCCGTAGAGTGTCATCATGGCTTCGTGCGGTCCACCAAGGCAGAGACGTGCGCAGGAACAGGAAGACCTGTGGCCAGTCCTTCTATAAGGCCCCCGTGGCGGATCAGTCTCGTCTTGATCTGGAGCAGATTCTGCATTTCCTAGTGGTACGCTCTTCTCACCAACAGGATATCCGAGGCAATCACGTCCACAATGAAGATCTCGCCCATCCTCTTTGCGCCCTTACTCGTGTCCGCAGCCCCGGGCGTAACCAGAAGGGGCCATGACAGGGTAGTTGAGAAGCGAGGTATGCCAATCTATTGTGGGGGAGGCCGGAGAGACAGGGACTAACTAACTAATTATCATGTGCAACAGCGGCGACAATCACGACGACCGAGTTGGCTGATTTAAGGTTTTTTTCTCAATATGCAGCCGCTGCCAACTGCAACGGCCAAGTCGCGGCAGGGTCGGCCATTGCGTGTGCCAACAACGGATGCCCAGATGTCGAGGCCGTCGGCTCGACCGTGGTGGACACTTTTGGGTGAGGACCAGCCAGACACAGCAGACGTGGTTGATCAAAGGTGCTGACTCGGGTGTCTGTGTCCTAGTGGAGTCGTGACCGACATCCACGGCTATGTAGCCACAGATGTCGAGAACAAACTCATTGTTGTTGCCTACAAGGGCTCAACATCCTTGAGGAACTACCTCGCAGAGTAAGCAGAAGATCCCCTCACTTTCTCTTTGTGCTTTCAAGCGACTTACACGCCCGAAGCTTTGTGTTTCACCGCGTAGGCTGTGCCGACATTGTTGATGGCTGTGAGGTCCATGCCGGCTTTTCCAAGGCCAACGACGAGACCTGGGAGAAGATGCTGGCAACCTTGACAACCACCGTGGCCGCAAACCCGACTTACAAGGTCGTCTTCACGGGTCACTCCTTGGGCGGTGCCGTGGCTACACTTGCCACTGCTCGTGCCCGCAAGCTCGGATTCTCCATTGACCTGTACAACTACGGGTCGCCCAGAGTCGGCAACCAAGCCTTTGCCGAGTTCGTCACCAGCCAGCCCGGTGTGGAATACCGCATCACACACCTCACGGACCCTGTGCCTCGTCTGCCTCCGATCTTTCTCGGTTATCATCACATCTCGCCCGAGTACTGGCTGTCCAACGGCATTGCCAACACCACAGACTACAGCCCTGCAGACATCAAGATCTGCGAGGGCACGGCCAGCGTCCAGTGCAACGCTGGTGGTCTCGGTTTCGACCCTGATGCGCACAACTACTACCTCGGCCACATCACCGCGTGTACCGGACCATTCGACTTCAAGAAGAAGCGGGATGCTCAGGGCGAGGTCGAGTTTGTGTCCGAGACAGCGGTTCCCCCTCTACACATCACGCCAGACTTGGCCACGATTGACCCACCTGTTCTCTCCGACGAGGAACTTATAGCTCAGATGTTGGCTTTCGCTGAGCAGGACATTGATGCTGCGAATGCGCTGGCATAATTGCACGCGGTGTTGGCAACGGGAATGGGAAAATATGCGTATACGAGCTATGAAGAGATGCGAAATACTGGGAAAATGTACCGATTAACTTTATACACAACTTGTGATTCCTTACTTCGAGACTAATTAATTGGACTACTCCGAGAACAATAATGGCTTCATATGTACCGACGTGGACCACAAACTAGACACAGAATGGCTCTACATAGAAGCAACGCGCCGGCCATCTTGATCCACACGCTGATCTAAGTCATCTATTCTAATCGTAGTCGCTCCCGTTGGGCTTGTCAAATGGAAGCAAAAGCTTCCGCACCAGCCACCACCTCCCTTTCTCCCGTTCCATGCCCATCCACATCCCCAGCTGACTGACCGTTCCGATCCAACGAGCGACGAGCAGCAACAGCAGCAGCAGCAGCAACAGCGTCCACACCGCCATCACTCTTTCCCGGAAACAGAAACCCGAGCTCCTCGAGCGTCTTGGCCGTGCGGCCACTCCGCTCAAACGCGATCCTGGCCTGCGCGAAGATTGTTCGCTGCCAGAGCAGTTCCTCGTCCCAGAACGGCGGGCTCTTCCCACTCCTGCCTTTGCTGTTGATCTTGTTCTCCGTGAGCGGTGGCGGTGGCTGCGCCGCCTGGCCGCCGCCGCCGACGCCGCTGTGTTCGTGCTTGCCGGCCGCTTCGTAGCGCATGACCCAGCTGTGCAGCTCATTGATGTACTTCCCGTCGCCCCCGGTCTCGAAGACGTGATAGCCCCTCTCCGCCTTTGCCCACCTGGCTTCCTCGCTCAGCCCGGGCCGTTCCCCAGCTGCGTACTTGCGTTCCGCGGCCTCGGCGGGCTCGCGCTCCCATTCCTGGAGGACGGCCTGGGAAGGCAGGGGAATCAAGTTTGCCCATATCCGCGAGAACACTGCGGCCTGGGCTTCCGCCAAGGGGAAAGGGATGACTTTGATCGGGAGGCCGGGGAAGACAATGGTCGGGTGAACAGTATGGAGGAAGTGCTTTGCGAGGTTGTGCACGCGGCGGCCGTTGGTGATCAGTGGTGTCTCTGTCGTGGATGGAGGACGAGGGTGACCGTTCACAAGATCCATGCCGAAGCCCAGCCCAGTAGCCTTACCATGGCCACCAGACTCTAGACTTAAACCCTTCAAGAAAGGAAATGTATACAGAAACCCTGTCGCAAACAGCACCCTGTCAACTCCATACTCAATCCTTCCGTCCTGGAATTCGACCCCCTTCTCCTCGACCAGGAACCGTGCAATCGGGGCGGCCTCGTCATAAACGAAACCTTGATCCTCCTCGATGAACCGTCGCATGTCGTCGGAGGTTGGGGACTGGACCGATGATATCAGCGACGCAGTTCTTTTGCCATTCGTCCCGCCGTCTGCAGCTCCGGCTCTAGCCCGCCGAATCTGTGCCGCGATATCCAGCCCCGAGGCCGAGTTTCCTACCACGACGACCTTGCGTGCTCCTGATGGTGTGCAGCCATACCGCGGATCGCTGGGGTTCCGGTACGACTTGGAGTGTGATATCACGTCTGGATATGCGGCGTGGAACTCGCGGATGCCCGGGACGTCGGGGATGTAGGGGGTTGCGTAATGTCCTGACGCCACGACCACGGCGTCATACACTGCGCTTGTGGTCTTGTTAGTGCGCAGGTCGCGGCTCGCGACTGTCCACTTCTCCCTGACGATATGCGGACCATCCTTGGTAGCCGGCGAGGGGGACAGCAACGCGTGCTCTTCCACGAGAGAGACATCAACGACCTGCGTCGCGAATCGAATTAAGTGCCGCACATCCCGCGCGTACTCAACAAGGTAGTCCTGGACGATCTGCCTGGTCGGATAGATCTCGCAGTCTTTTGGAAATGGCTTGTCCGAGAACTGCATGAGGGTGTGCGGGATATTGGTATTGAGCTCGTCGTACATTGGCGAGGGGAATATCGGCTCCGGCTTGTTATCCTTCGCCGTCGTCTCCGTCTTGCCATTGCCACGCCCTGCGCCTTCATCATAGAGGAACACGGGCTCATCGACCTCGACGAACGGATCTGTAAGCGGCACTTTGTCCACCACTTTGCTGTCCGCTGCTTCTCTCGTTGCCCCCGTAATCCACGGCGTATGTTTCCACACCCCGCCGACCTCGCCGCGTTGCTCAAAGATGTCGACCTGTTGGAAGACATCTTGCCCTTGAGCGAGCAGGTATTTCGCCGCCGCAAGACCGCTCGGCCCCGCCCCGATGATGGCGACCTTGTGTACGTCAAACAACACTGGCCACTCCGCCAGGTCGATTTCTGGAGCATTTCCTGGTATCGAGCTCCCTTGTGAATCCGGTGCATCTATCTTGCTTCCGGGGTGCTTCCCATTGGTGCGCGGCTCTATGTCGCGAGAACGCAGGCGCGCCGGGTCGTCTCCGGAAAACGTCATGGCTCTACGTAGGGTTTACTGAGCTGTGACCGTGATGCTGGGATATCTAGAAATATTCGATAGACAGTCTAGTGCAATGCTGGGAAGCAATAACATCATAAAACTTGTGCCGCACACAGGTAAGTCTATTGGTGTCCTGTGGTCACGCCCAACGCAGAGGAGACGCTGTTCTTGAGATCGGAATCAGCTCGGCTATGGGGTGGAGCCCGATTCCGGAGCACCATAGATATCCCCGCAGGACTTCCTTGAGCCCGACTGACCCAGAGTCTTATTATCGGGCATACGTTCACGGCAGAACTTTGTTAAAATGTTCCATTCATTTTCCTTGAAGCCTAGTCATACGACACAATCATCTGTGCATAGCGCTGATAATGTCAGAATCAAATGTTGAATGCAAAGTCCGGAGGAGCGATCTCCTGTTGTCATGTTGTCGACTGCGTGCGCCCCACGATGTCACCCACATTTCGAGACGTGGGTATCCATCAATCATCAGAACCCTCGATAACCATGCCTTGCGCATTAGGCACCCCAACCAGAATTCTGCCTCTTGGCACCCGCACGTCCTTGACCTTCATGCAACCAAAGACATTCATTTCCTTCAGATTGGGGCAGGCCCGAAAGATGCTGCCAACAATAAAGTCTGTGACCTCCTCACAGAAGCTGACTTCGACATACTGCAACTCTGGATACGTCTTGTCTTCTGCAAAGGCGTCTTCGAATGCCTCTTGAGAGATATGTCGGCACGCATGGACGTTGAGATACCGTAGTTGCCTGCCCGAATGTTTCATGAGGGCCCGGAATCCATCGGAGCAGAAGCCCACTAGATGGGCATTCTCGCGAGGTTTCGCGGCATCCACATGACGACATCTTTGAAGATCGACCGATACAAGAGGGCGATTTTTCCAATCGGTGAACAACCTTGCAAAGCCCGAGTCCGTCATGACTTCACTGCCAGTGATGCGGAGCTTGGTCAGAACCGTCGCTTCCTTGTGCAAAGCGTCGAGAAGGCGGTCGTCGACATCGGGTACTTCCTTGATGGAGAAGGTTCGCAAGTTTCTCCCGACATTCTGGACAATCTTGACGTATGGTTCAGTCGTTGTGAACTTGACGAGCTGTAGTCCCAGGTGCTCAAGTGAGCTCATCTCGGCTATGTGCAGAAGCCCCTCGTCTGAAACTTGCTGGTTGTGGCAGATTTTGAGTCGCTTGAGTGCATGACAGTGGTTCTTGACAGACTTGAGTATCTCATCGTTGACGTGCTTGTCCGTGTAGTAAATCTGCAAGGTCTCAAGGTGCGCGCCCTTTTCGCGGATGTATCTTTCCCACACGGCTGCGCTCAGAAGATTCGCGCCGTGAATGTAGAAATATTTCAGCATCAACTGGCGCCCAAGTAGATACTCCATCACCTCGTCCTTGAACTGGATTGCATTGCGAAGCTTGAGTTTCTCCAATCTTGATGCAACTGAAAATATTCGCTTGTAGTCGTCGGAGCTGAGCCGTGCCCCGTCATATACCATGACTTGCTCCGTGGCGGGTTGGAGAAACAAGTTCAGGGTTTGGGGCCCAAGCATGCGTCGCTTTGATAGCAATCTGGCGATGCGATCAATAGCTCGTGGTGGTAAATCACCAAGGTCGTCTGCGAGCTCGATGTTCTTCGCCAATGTCTCTACACAGAGCGTCGTCAAAGTCTTGGCGCCCGTCGGCTGCGTGCCATCAAGAATCTTGCTTTGAGTCTTCCTCCGCCCACCGCCTCCTGTGTTGAGCGGCTTCTTCTTCTTCTTCTTTGCGGCATCGTCATCCTTGGCAAGGTCCTTGCTGCACTTAGCGCACAAGAGACCACCATTTGGACCGGCTCGTGAATAAGGAGTCACGGTGAAGCGTTTCTCGCAGATCTCACAGTGCTCCATTTGTCCAGGCAGGGGGGTTAGCTTTTCAGCGAACATGGTCTCAACCAGATCGTCGGAGTCGGAATCGTCTGCCTCCCGCTTCCTTTTCTTGTATGCCTTGGACTTTTTGATCTTCTCGATGGTCTCGGCCTGCTTCTTGCGTTTCTGATCACGAGCCCGAGCAGCTGCGGCACGGCGAGAGGTCGTGGGAACGTCTTCTTCTTCATCTTCATCTTCCTCCTCGGCAGGTTCTTCCGCAACGGTTGTGGTGGATGGCCCGGCCTCACGAGCCGCCGCAGCTCGCCGAGCATCTGCATCCGCTCGGATTTGAGCAGCAGAGATGTTTTGCGACTAAAGTAGACTATGAGTATGAGAGATGGCAAGACCGGAGAATACGAGAGACTTACGGCCAAGAAGTCTGTAAGCGCCGACTGGCTGTATTGGGGGTCAGCATCGCAATAAGCCCTTGCAGTGAGCAGGCACTGGTGAACTTACGGGCCTCTAATCGACCGGCCGGTGCGGGTCTGACGACTTGAACTCCTGCGGAAGAATGAGCATCATGGATTCAATTCCCAGGCAGGCATGACTAACATTTTAAAAATGGGCGGTTGCAGCCACAAAAAACACCAGTTGCGATATGCCAGAACAGGCCGGACGTGATGACTGGGTGATCTGGAATGAGGCCCTTCGTGATGTCTGAAGGAAAACCGGGTCTGGGTGTTGATGAGTGCTCGAAGAATTACGAGGGCACGTCAGCTTATGCGATGCGAGAGCACCCTGTCGTTCGCCGCAACCCAGGAAGACAAGCGACAACCTCCAGGAACGGGTAGTGGTAGTGGCGAGGAGTCAGGCGAGAGCTCATTGATTGATTTGTTTTTTCGTGCAGAGAGTGAGACACCAGGAGGCCAAGCGATGCGCTTCCAAAGCACACCTGGGCACTTCGGGGCCTGAGGCAGTTCCACTGATGTGGTGGGGCCACCGTCGACGTCGCGCCCTGAACCTGGCCGCGTCTCCAGGAGCGCACCTTCCGCCGCCCCGGGGCTTTTTTAGTGGGCCGTGGCGACCTTTTGCAGGTTCGAGCTGAAAAAGATTGCTGCACATGCGTTTGTCTCATCGATTCGCCCCTTGGATTCACGGCCATTCACGGGAAGCTGACCAATCGAAGCTTCCTCTTTCTGACACAGGAAGTCTGGTCCAGCCCTGATTAGGTCTAGCGGCTGGACTGCTGCCTGGGAGAGTGGGCCTCCCCAATTAAAGTCACGTGCCTTCGCGCCAGCAACGTGGTGCCCCCTTGGTGGCGACACTTTAGATCCTTGCACATCCACACCCATTCTGGCGCTGCATGTCCCGGGCATCAGCGCCCCCCCACTTGCCTCCGTAGAGGGCTGCATTGGCCATTACTCGCACTTCACTTGCCAGCCGAGCCATCCTCAACCTTCAGCTTTGTGCTTTGTCTGTGGTTGTGTTTTTGTCACGAAACTGCAAATTCTGCCGCAGCAGTCTCTGGGCAATTCTCCTCGAATTATCAGAGCGAGAACGTGCCCTCCTCCGGCCACCGCACTGTCTTATCGTTTCGGCACTGCTGGTTGAGTGGGCCAGCCATCCACCCATTCGCTTGCCACTCGTTCATTAGTCAAGCAACATCTCGGACGAAGCCGAGGCCGAGCATTGCGTCTTGCTGCAGACACAGACTCCCTACGACGACTCCTCTCTCATTCAGTCAATCGTCAATTCTGTTCAGGTGTCTGCTCACTGTTCCACTACGGGGCCTTCACCAACAGCCTGTTACCCTTTCCAATTCCGTGGGCCAAGCCATCTTAACATGGCTCCGCGAACGACAAGACGCTCGCTGGGTGCAACCCTGGGCGAAAGTTCAACAGCTGACATGGAGATGGACGGTGCCATCCTACCTAGGCGGTCCTCGAGGCAGTCACTCCCTCTTACATCAGAGCCTATCGCCAAGAGAGGCCGAGGCAGGCCTTCTAAAGAGGTCATTGCCTCAGAGACAGCTTCGGCGTCCACCACACCATCTGAATCAGTCTCTGAAGCCGAATACTCGACTCCAGCGACCAGCATCGCCGTGACACCAGCAGCATCGACGTCCGGCCTTCCTACGGCGGGCACAAAGAGGACTCGCGGGCAGCTTGTGGTACAGCTTCCACCTGTGGACCCAAATGCTTTCACCCTGCCAAAGAGGGCCCTCAAGCCAAACAACAAGACACTTCTCGCGGAATCGGAAGATGACGAATTCGACTATGGGTCGTCCTCCGATGCGATTCTCGCGCGTCGGTTGCAGCGTGAGGAATACGCCAAGGCAGATACCGGTGTCTCCAGCTCAGAACAGATATCAGCTACAGACCTTGTGCGCCCACAACCGACAAGACGCAGAAGTACTAGAACTACTCGCCTGGCCATTGCGGATAGCGAAGATGACTTGTCCATCAATGTGATTGACAAGAAGGGCAAGGGCAAGGCCGTCAGTAAAGCCGTGGCCAAGCCCAGCCGAGCGAGCCAGACTCGAGGAAAAGTCGAAAACTCAATTGCGGCAAGCGAACTAGACGACGAGGACGTACCACTGTCGGTGTCCGCCCCCGCACGCAAGAAGCAAAAGATCCAGCAACCTGATAGCGACGATGAGCTGACATCCCTTCCTGACGACTTTGAAGACCCGTTCCTCACTAGTGATGGCGATCAGTCATACATGTCACTCTCGGAGGCAGAAGTCACAGCTGACGACGGCTCTGACCCGGAGGCCCCAGCAGGCGGCATGGCTCGGATTGCCGCTAACCGCCGCGCCTTCCGACGACCACAGGCTCGGCTGCAGAACCGGGCGCAGAGAGACCGCGCTCGTCTCGAAAAACACCACCCCCAACTCAAAACAATGTGGACCGACTTGGAGAATATGCCGATCCTCACAGCTGGAAAAGCTGAGCAGCCGAAGACGATATCACGCCAGATGAAACCCTTTCAGCTTGAGGGACTAGCCTGGATGAGGGCCATGGAGACCACCAAGTGGAGAGGCGGCCTCCTCGGAGACGAAATGGGCCTAGGCAAGACTATTCAGGCGGTGTCCCTGATTATGTCCGACTATCCTGCAAAGACGCCGACGCTTGTGCTTGTACCTCCAGTTGCTCTCATGCAATGGACCGCAGAGATCGAATCGTACACTGGCGGACTGCTCAAGACACTGGTATTTCACGGCACAAACTCGAAGGCCAAAGGCCTTTCCGTGAAGGAACTAAAGCAGTACGACGTACTCATGATGTCGTATAACACCTTGGAATCTCTGTACCGAAAACAGGAGAAGGGTTTCAAGCGTAAGGACGGCATGGTCAAGGAACGTAGCGCGGTGCATCAGATCATGTTTCATCGTGTCATCCTTGACGAGGCACACTGCATCAAGGTACGCCTTCGCCAATATATACCACTGTGGACAGGCTAAGGCACGAGCTAACAATTTCGTTCATCAGACTCGCACCACAATGACGGCAAAAGCATGCTTTGCGCTCAAGGTTGAGTACCGCTGGTGTTTGACCGGAACACCGCTTCAGAACCGCATTGGCGAGTTCTTCTCTTTGATCAGGTTCCTGAACATGCGTCCATTCGCAGAATACTTCTGCAAGCAATGCCCCTGCGCTCAGCTCGAGTGGTCCATGGGCGACGACGGCAAATGCACTCACTGTATGTCGTCCCCAAAATCAAAGCGCGGTTGAAGCTTACTGACATGATTGGGACGTAGGTCAGCATCACTCGATGGGCCATGTTTCCGTGTTCAACCAAGAGCTCTTGAACCCTATCCAAAAATATGGCAACCGAGGCGAAGGCAACGTCGCATTCCAGAAGCTTCGTCTTATGACCAACAGAATCATGCTTCGCCGCCTCAAGAAGGATCACACAGATTCCATGGAGCTGCCCGTCAAAGAAATATATGTTGATCGTCAGTTCTTCGGGGAGGTAGAGAATGACTTTGCCAACAGTATCATGTCCAGTGGTCAGCGCAAGTTCGACACCTATGTGGCGCAAGGTGTCATGCTCAACAACTATGCCAACATCTTTGGCCTCATCATGCAGATGCGTCAAGTCGCAGACCATCCCGATCTGATCCTGAAGAAGTCTAGTGAAGGAGGACAGAATGTCTTGGTTTGCTGCATTTGCGACGAGCCCGCCGAGGAGGCCATTCGCTCCAGATGCCGTCACGAGTTCTGCCGTGTCTGCGCCAAAAGCTACATCAACTCTCAAGACCAGCCAGATTGCCCGCGCTGTCATATTCCGCTCTCTATCGACCTGGAGCAGCCCGAGATTGAGCAAGACGAGGTTATGGTTAAGAAGTCCTCAATTATCAATCGCATCAGGATGGAGAACTGGACATCATCGTCCAAGATCGAGCTTCTCGTCCACGCACTCCACAAACTCCGGTCCGACAATGCCTCACACAAGTCGATCATATTCTCGCAATTCACTTCCATGCTGCAGCTCATCGAATGGCGCCTGCGCCGTGCAGGCATCACAACAGTCATGCTGGATGGCAGCATGAGTCCGGCACAACGACAAGCATCTATCAATCATTTCATGACAGACGTCAATGTTGAGTGCTTCTTGGTTTCACTGAAGGCTGGCGGTGTTGCACTCAACTTGACAGAGGCGTCTCGAGTATTCATTGTTGACCCGTGAGTCTTACTTCCCACCCGTGAGCACCTCATATTTCGTTTGCTGACACATGTGCCAGATGGTGGAATCCTGCCGCCGAGTGGCAGTCTGCAGACCGATGCCACCGCATTGGTCAGACACGCCCTTGTACCATCACTCGCCTCTGTATCGAGGATTCTGTCGAGAGCAGAATTGTGGCTCTGCAGGAGAAGAAGGCAAACATGATTAACTCGACAATCAATTCCGATGACGCCGCTATGGAGTCATTGACCCCAGAGGATCTCCAGTTCCTCTTCCGCGGCAGCTAGAGAACGACTTGCCTGGCTTGGTCCTGAATGGCTAAAAGCATCCAGGGCGTGGGGAGTTTCAATACTCGGAGTATTTTGATAGGCATGTTTAGCGGGACTGTACGGGCGCTGGAGCGTCCAGGGGTAATGCTATAATTTCGAGAAGAGGACGTTTGGAGTGCAGCTTCATTACATTGCAGCTTGGAAGCCAAGTCCATGAATTTGGCAGGTGCAGCTATTCTTATCACTTCTAGCACGACATCGTCACAGCCACGAGAGAAGAGACAGAATTCATTTTTATGTAAAACATAGAGATACACACGTTTGTAGAATGTAACTTGCACTCAAACCTCGTGTGGGCTGAGTTGAGCCGGGCTGTAGACATGGTGTGGCGATGGAGGACCAGAAGAATGCCAAAGCGAGAGACCCCTGGTTCCTGGAGTTGGCTGGATGGCTGGCAGTGGGGCCCTGTGTCCACTGGAAAAGCTGGGGTTCCTGGCGCGATCGGAGCTGAGCTGCAAGCCCGAGCTTGTCCTGTTGACAGCTCCAAAGTTTGGTGCGGAAGAAGAGTAAAGGACCAGCAAGAGCTTCCCTAGCAGCCACCACACGGCGACAATGAAGGCATTGCTGGGAGCGGCAGCTCCGGGCTCGCGCCTGGCCGGTATGAGGCTCTCTGCCGCACGGCGACAGAGCAGCTGGACATGCCTCGTCTGCAGACAGCGGGCTCGGCAGACCACCCCGCCAGGAGGCATCACGATGCAAAGCAGGCTTTACAGCAGCAGCAACAACAACAGTGGCAGTGGCAGTGCGGCGGCGGCACCCGGCCAGGAGCCTCGAGACAAGCCCTACTATGTCACGACACCCATCTTCTACGTCAATGCCGGTGAGTTGTTCTCGTCGGGTCGGTGACGCCCGATGGCTGGCTGGTGCTAACTCGACAGCCGCTCTGCAGCACCTCATGTCGGCCACCTGTACAGCATGGTGCTCGCCGACGTCCTCAAGCGCTGGCAAGTGCTCAAGGGCGAGCCCGCCATCCTCTGCACAGGCACCGACGAGCACGGCATGAAGGTGCAGCAAGCCGCCCAGCAGCAGAACATGCTGCCCAAAGCCCTCTGCGACGTCAACAGCCAGACTTTTCGCGACCTCGCCGTCACGGCCAAGCTCGACAACGACCACTTTGTACGAACCACCGACCCGGACCACCGCGCTGCCGTGCAGTACTTTTGGGAAAGACTAGTCGACAGTGGGTACATCTACGAGAAAACGCACGCGGGCTACTACTGCGTCTCCGACGAGACCTTCTACCCAGAGGATTTGGTCGCCTTGCACCACGATGGCATGACCGGCAAGGTCCAGCATGTCTCGACCGAGACTGGCAACGTCGTAGAATGGACAGAGGAGCGCAACTACTACTTTCGTCTGACTGCCTTGCGCGAACGGCTGCTCGAGTTCTTCGCGCAAAACCCAGAGTGGGTAACGCCGCCCTCGAGGATGGCCGAGGTCGTAGAATGGGTCAAGAACCACCTCGAGGACCTGTCCGTATCCCGGCCACTCAGCCGTCTGGACTGGGGTATCCCCGTGCCTGGCGACGAAAGCCAGACGATATATGTCTGGGTTGATGCACTGGTCAACTACCTCACTATGGCGGGCTATCCATTATTGCCTCCCGGCGAGGAACACAAGGGCGGCTGGCCGGCGGACGTGCATGTGGTGGGCAAGGACATTGTGCGTTTCCACTGTGTGTACTGGCCAGCTCTTCTCATGGCTGTAGGGCTGCCACTGCCCAAACGTGTGCTCAGCCACGGCCACTGGCTCATGGACAACCGCAAGATGTCCAAGTCTGTCGGAAATGTCGTTAATCCGTTCTTTGCGATTGAGCGCTACGGACTCGACACGATCCGCTACTTCCTGATGCTCCGGGGCACGATAACGCACGATCCGGACTACAGTAACCTCCACATCGTCCAGGCGTACAAGAAGGGGCTTCAGACGGGCCTAGGCAACTTGGTCAGCAGACTCACTAAGGGCAGAGCTTGGAGCGTGCGAACTGCTGTGCAAAACAGACAACCGCACGGCCTCACAGATGCGGAGCCTTCCGGATCGCTGTACCGAGTGCAGTGGCAGCACGCCGAAAGCATCCGCGGGATCGCTGAGGAGCACATGGTCGCCCTGGCACCCCCCACGGCACTCCGGCGCATCATGGACGTGATTTTCGAGGTAAGCATCTTGACTATGATGGCGTTCCCACTGTGCACCAGCTCAGACGACCCTTTTATTGTTTTTCCCGGCTGTATTTTCAAATCACGACCAGGACAAGCTGACACTCCTCATTTTCACCAGACAAACAAATACATGGCCCACACGGAGCCGTGGGCGCTAGCCAAGGATGGCAATATTGAGGAGACCGAAAAGGTCATCTACCTGATCGCGGAGTCGGTGCGGATAGCCGCCATTCTCTTGCAGCCCTTCATTCCCGACAAGGCCGTCGAGATCCTCGACAGGCTAGGTGTCAGAGCTGACCGGCGCGGTTTCGAATACGCCCAGATCCGTGCGGACGATGCTTATGGCATGGACTCTGCCGACCGCAAAGGAGACGAGGCGCTCTTCCCGCCCTTGCCGATCGAGGACTGAGTTGGTCGGCCGAAGTCTCTCGTGGCAGCCTGTTTTGATAATATGTAGAATAATGTATCCATATGAACGCGGCTGTTCTGGTTGGTATCATACAAGAATGAAGATCGCGAACCAAACAAAATCCGAGTGCTGATGTATTTGTGTATTGATATGAAACGAAGAAAATGCTCACCATGCCGATCCATGGCGAAAGCTTAATGCAGTCGTGGAATCGAGAATATACCACACAGCCGTAGATATTTCAGTATTCGTTCCCTAAGCATACCTTAAGGTAGTTGTTGCTGTTTGCTTGACTTTGCACAGGTAGCCCCACCACAGGGATCCTGTGGGGGATTCGTTTTCTGGCGACGAAAAGGGAACAATCCACCACCACTTCCACACTTACACCCCATACACCCGCTATCGAAACTGCCTGGCAGCCTTGTGCATCCGTCAACACATTTCCCCACGCATCCAGTCTCGGTGATTTTGTGATAGGGTGCCAGCATCGGACGAACTGCGGGTCATCACATCACAGCAAACCTGCCTTGATTAAAAGGAATTTGGGAGAAAATGAAGCTCAACGAACATACCGGTATGTAGAACCGATGCTGAGGCCTCATAAATGCCAATCAGCTGCTCGCAGGAACCCAAATCTTCTAGAGAAGCTGAGGCTAACGTGGTTCCTTGCAATATAGCCGTCTCGTCGGCCAGGTTGTTTCTCGTGCCGTATGATGCGCACCACGTGCCGACCTATCACGAGTGGATGGCTGATCCGGTACGTTTTCGTCTGTTGACTTTCCCGACTTCATTCACGTTTCAACTGTGTTTTCTGTGTATGTTGCTCTTGCCTCAACTGTTTGCACCAATGATGAAAGCCATAAGGCGCTCGAGGGAGAGCCTCGCCAGCGCGTACACAGTTCCATTCATTTTCGAGGCACTACTCCTCCCACCTTTTTTTTTTCCTCTCTCGGGATATCCCGGACAAGAACTGAGACCAGCATTACTTGAAAGCGCTCAACGTTTTGATGCCAACTTATCGAGAATGGAAATCCGAGTATCAGAAAAATTAAATTAGGCATGCCCGATGAGAGGATACTAACGACTAAAAACACGTACAGGCCATACAAGAAGCTACAGCATCTGAGCCCCTGACCCTCGAGGAGGAATACGAAAACCAGGTCTCCTGGCGCACGTCAGGCGACAAGCTCACGTTCATCTTGTGCCTACGGGGCACGCCTGGCGAGGACAACAACAATGTAGCAAAGGGCGAGGCAGCCAGGGCCGGACAAGTCGACACTCCCGAGAAGATGATAGGGGATATAAACTTGTTCCTCACGCCCTGGGACGAGGACGAGGTAGACGAAACCGAAACCGGGGAGACCAGCACAGCCCCGTCGTCGTCGTCTTCGTCGTACGTCAACGGCGAGATTGACATCATGATCGCCTCCGCCGCACACAGGCGGCTCGGCCTAGGTCGGGAAGCCGTGTCCACCCTGCTGAGCTACATACGGCGGCACGTAGAGGAGATACTGGGCGAGTATGCTGCTTTTACCAGCTCAGACTCGGATTCCACTAACGCCATACCGGCACCGACGGCGGGTCAGCGAGGAGTACAGCAGCAGCAGCAGAGAAAACAGAAGTTCGTGCTCAGAGACCTGGTCGCCAAGATCAATGCCGGGAACGAGGGAAGTATAGCATTATTCAAGAGTCTGGGCTTCCGGCAGAAGGGAGAGGTGAATTATTTTGGCGAGTTGCTGCTTGTTTTGGACGACTTCTATAAGTTACGCGAGGATAAGGAAAGCGAGAGCGAGGTTTATGGCGAACTTGTTTGGGATAGGACGGGCTTGTGATTAGGCCACAGAGTTGGATTCACGACATCAAGAACAATCACTTGTGTGAAAGGGCACACGTCTTTGTCTCGTCTCTAGTTCGCTTTTGAAACTTCTATAACGCCCCCAACTGGGATGTATTTCCCTCTCTGTAGAACTGCGGCACTGCCGCAGTGCATTTGCACATCATTTCCTATCGTTTTGAGATCTATAGATCGACGCCAGTAGAGCTGCCGTGCTTGTCGTCCTTGTGCTTGGACACCCTACCTGACGGACTCCAGCCAAGAGCGCGGAGGCGCTCCGACAGGATCGGGTGCGAGAAGTGGTAGCTGGCATACATCCAATCAGCCTCCATGGTGCTTAGGTTCTGCACCTGGAGCTTGATGAGCGAGGCAGCGAGCTCAGCTCTGTACCCGAGGCCAAGGGCGAACTTGTCGGCCTGGAACTCAAAGCGCCGGCTCATGATGTTCATCAGGAGCTTGATAACGCAATCCATGGGAGCCAGAATATCGGAGAAGAGAATGAAGCCGATGATGATGGGGTGCTGTCTGCCAAAGCCAAAGTCGCGGTACAGCGAGTTGTTGTTGATGAAGATGGAGAACAGGAGGAAGATGTAGAAGACATGGGCCTGCGAGATGGCGAAAAGACTGGTGGTGTGGCCGAGCTTCCAGTGACCCAGTTCGTGAGCGAGAACTGCGACGACCTCTTCCTCGCTGCTCTTCTCGATCAGCGTGTCGTAGATGACAATGTGCTTCTTCCAGGGGAGACCAAAGAAATAGGCGTTGCTGTGGGCGCTGCGCTTGCTACCGTCAATGACGAAGAGCTCTCTGAGCGGGAACTTGAGCTTGGCGGCGAGTTTCTCCGTAGATCTCTTGAGCTTGCCCTCCTCGAGAGGGGACAGCTTGTTGAACAATGGCAGGATGAAGATAGGGTAGACAGTGATCATGAACATCTGGAGGCCGGCGGTGAACATCCAGAGGTAGTAGAAGAACTGAGTGCCTGTGCGCTGGACGATGCTGAGGAAACCGGCAAGAATCGGCGGAGCGAGAACCACGGTCAACATGTTGGTCTTGAGGATGTCCATGAAGAATAACTTGGGTGTCTGCTTGTTGAAACCGAATTTCTCCTCGAGGACAAACGTGTGGTAGAGATTGACAGGTAGGGATAGCAGTTGAGTAACGACAGTGAATGTGAGGACGAAGACGATGGAGTGGCTTATTTCGCCCGTGAACCGCGCGGGAGCGTATCGCAAGAGCAGATCGCCTGTCCATGCCCAAAGCTTTGGAAGGACATCATAGTGGATGAAGGCAACATTCTGGATTTGACCGTAGAGACCGCTGAAGAAGGTGAACTTGGCCTTGGCACGACCGTAGGCCTGGCTCTTGTCGTAGACGTCTTGGGAGACCTCCTGGCGGAGGACCTTGGGCGGTTTCTTGTTGCGGAGGACGCGGTACTGGCGGAGGAGAAGGAAGGATTCAAAGCAGAACTGAGAGAGCGAGAAGCCAATGACGAGCTTCTTCCACGGGAAGAGGGGTCGGTCGAGGTAGTCGGCAATGCGCTGCAACGGTGGGACATGCTTCTTCCACAGGAAGAGCGGCCGCTCAAGCAATTGCTCGAGGCGCTGCAGGTGAACCTGAGTGTCACGCATCAGTATTGATTTGACCCCGCGCCGGTCTCTTCGCGTCGTCGATTACTCACCGTGAGGTGCTCCATATTGTCAAGCAGCGACGGAGCGATCGCTGGAGGATGGGAAAGTGACTGAACTGATGTTGGAGAGGAGAGGCCCTCGGCTGACAAGGGAGGGCGCCGTTGATTGATTGACGTACGCACGGCGCCCTGCGGGACAGATTGTGCCCAGGGGTCGCTTTCGGAAGGTGGAGACTGCCCCACGCAACGTGGTCAAGGGGAGCATCCACACACGACGATCAAAGGAGAGACAGCGCCGGAGGACCATGAGGTGCTGTCAAAAGACAAGACGGAATGTATTTCATTTGTGAAACGCGCGTTGGAGCTACGGCAGATTTAAATGCAGTTATATATACCAATCAATCTTGAAACAAAAATACAGGTGGATAGAGGCGAATGCAAGGGACACGATGTCCAGATCTCGGGTCCCTTGTCGCATCTTCCCGAGAAGTATCCATTTGCGCTCGCCTAAAAGCTCAACTTGAATATTCCTTCTAAGCGCAAGCATGTGGTCATCTCATATTCGCCTTGACTCTTTCCAAAAGCTGGGCACGAGTATCTTTCTCCTGGGGAAACAAATTCCGCTTGTAGACTTCAGTAAAGAGAACCGCAAGGGCAACACTAAGTCGTGTATTCAAAGGTGTCAAAAACCTACTGCAGCTAGCCATCTCCTCAGCTCCTCCCGGGTCCATGTCTCGGGATCACCCGTAGGATCCGTGTCCCGAGGGAATATCTCTCCTCCCCACATTGTCCAGAGCACGGCGCCTGTAACCATGGCCGAGAACGCTGGCACCGTTCCAAGAGTGTAAGTAAGGGGTAGGGCGAAAGCCGAGTGAGGGATGCAAGCTATCCCTTCAGCGAGGAAGATACGTACCTATCACAGCATTCTGTTATCTGATTAGCACGCGCTCGTCTCGAGGCAGTATGTCGACGCAGTCGTTGTTTCTCTCTTACCTTGGATCTCATGGCATTGTCAAGTGGTGTCGGCATGGTGGTGATGGTGTTAGTGACGTATGAGTGGGCCTTGTAGGTGTCCTGTTGTCAACGGACCGTGCAAGGTATGGCAGGAGGCAAGAGACCAGAAGTTCATACACGAGAGTGGCTCGTCAAGAAATATATCGAGGGTCGCCAGTGGGAAAACGGCTGCCTGAAACGACTTTCAAGTCATGACTGACTGAACGTGCCCTGCCTGTCGAGAGCTGTCCGCGGGTTCCAAGTTCGCCTGGAGCGAGGAGTTGGCCCCACTTGATCGTGCGAGGCAGGGTCTGGCTGCGCCACATGCCCTGGAGACTCTGGACAGCCACGTAAGCCACATCTCGGGGCCTCATGCCATGGGAATTGTCCACATGTGGTCTGTGCTCAATTGCCGCTCTCATCTCTGACTGGACAGGAACAAAAGCATGGCCCGGCACCAGGCGCACCCCACTCCGGGCGGGCGTCCACGAGCCGTCGCCAAGAAGGAATTTCGCCCACAAATCGCAATCTGCAAGCTCCAACCTCTGGGAAAACCGCAGCCATTTCGCACCACGACTCCACGATTCCCGGCAGTATCACCAACTCGACCGTTGATTCACCACCCCCAAGCCGCCAAAATGCCTCAGGAAATCGCCGACATCAAGCAGGTAAGCACATGCTGCCCTTGTGCTGCCGCCCTGTTCGCTGGAGCCGCTGCCAGAATTGTCCTCAAAAAAGTCCTCCTGGTCTAACATTTATGTAGTTCATCGAGATCTGCCGCCGGAAGGACGCTTCTTGTATGTACCGAACCCGACCACGCTCCGATTGAGCATGAACTCCAACCCTCGCATGCGAATCCAACAACGCCGCGACTTACTGCTGGACTATCCTAACATCCGATTCTTCCTTAGCCGCCCGGATCAAGAAGAACAAGAAGACCAACCAGTCCAAGTTCAAGGTCCGGTGCTCCAAGAAGCTCTACACCCTTGTTCTCAAGGACTCCGACAAGGTTGAGAAGCTTAAGCAGTCTCTCCCCCCGAGTACGACATCCCCGATCCGAACGCATTCGTTATCAGTACGACCAGGCTACTAACATGCTTTCGCAATGAACAGACTTGCAGATCAAGGAGATTGGCGTTGTCAGCAAGAAGAAGAACTAAGCGTCTCGACTTCCCACGGAACATGATGTCAAGATGCGGTTAGGCGGTGGCAACATGGGGGCGGAATCCCCCTGCTGACCTGCCGGAGGGCGACACAACGACAATAGAGAGAGCACGGCAAGCGACTACTTGGGTTTCAAAATTGAGCGTCTGTCGGCAACATATCTGTCAGACGATTTGTGGTGCATAAAAAAACAAAGCCCCGGGTTATCGGGCTGGGCTGTTTGTTCATGAAGGCGGCGTCTATGGATACCTTTTCGGGAAAATTTATGAAGAATCATTTCTTCCTGTGCTGAGGCCTCGGTAGCACGGTGTGGTGCTTGTCGGGATGCTTCCGCCAGCTTGGAGTTTTGAGATCCAACGTCACGCGCACGGTACAAGAGTCCGAAAAGTGACCCTTCCAATGAAATAAAGGAAAAAATCTGTAAAACAATCCAGGTCTCGATATGCGCCTATGCTCGGGCAGTGTCATGTGCGTGTCTCAATGTATTTGGAAATGGCTATCCATGCTATCTGCCCGCATTTGAGATGACAGAGCTTACTGAGAGCAGAGTCGCATGCTTCTGCGGGAAGAGCCGATGTAACCCTCTCGTCCCGTTTCGGACGGTTATCTGTTCAACCTGACAGCAGGACATGTACATTGCCACAACTCTCTCGAAAATGGAGATGGGAAGACAGAAACAAAACCATTGTTGCTATCCACAATAGCATGGCCAGGCACGGCGGAGGGCTGGCCAGGAGACTAATGTGGTGTGAAATGCATAGCATAATAAGACGAGGCCCATGCTGGGCCACGGAAGTTCTGGAAGAGCTGGCGCAGACCAACCAACACATGGCCAACCAGCATGCAAGGGAGCACCAGCACGCTAACCCTGCCGTGCCTGACGATTTGGTGCCGGCTGATTGGCTGTACTCCATGACCGTGTGGTGGAGTCGTTGACCCGAGCGAATATGGACAGAGTGACAGCTCGAGATTGGGAACATCAAGCAAGCACTTGCAGGCGGGCGTCCTTGCACCAGCCGGGATTCGCGCCAATCCCGTGCAGCAATAGGGTGGTGCCATACTCAATCAGTCAGTACCATGGAAGACTAATTGCATGCACTTCCAACACGGAGCAGCCGGCTAGCTGAATGCAGGCATCCTGTCTGCACTGCAGGCTGCGCCTCGCTGGCACTACGCGTAGAGGCCCTGGACGGGGACGGCCTGGCGTGCGGGCAGGGAGAGCGCGCTCGTGGCTCCGTCCGATGACGCTAATCAACGGCCCAGCTGCTCATTTCTGCGAGACGCTGCAGTCGTCCCGTCCGCATCGCCTGCCAGGAAAGGGGGATTGCATCGTGCTGTGCATAGTCGCAATAAACAAGCCTGGAGCTGGAGCAGTAGATAACAGCCGTACATAATAGCTCCCTGGTCATTGTTTTCCTCGCTTCATCTTGCAATCAATTGTCTGATTGCTCTCCAACTTGCCCTGCATCCCGCTGCGCTTCCCATAAGCTTACGCCAGCGCTCCTTCCATCACACCCCCCTTTCATCGAGGATCGCACACGGCGAGCTCCCCCGGCTTGACCTCCCACACCACCTCCCACCTACCCCGAATTGAGAACACCCTCTCCACACTCGCTCTCTTAAACTTTGGCATTCAAGCATCATCAGTACTCGTAAGCCTTCGCCTGCTTGGTCGCGCGAACCTCTCCGCTCTTTCCCGTCCGTGCTTGCCCTACCACCACCAACTTGTTGCCAGACAAGCACCAGGGGCCGTCTTTGTACTTCTCCAGGGTCGTGGAGCCTAATTATTAGCTCCGCTTCAGGCGCTCGATCTTAGACCAGACCAAGGCTCTTAATCCCCCCAAGCCCATCATCTGACTCGGCGACGACCGCAACCTACGCAGTACACTCACGATCACGCCCTACACCAGCGTCCGCCGCTAAAACACCCCAACGCTCTTTCCTACAAACCAACCAGCCTACGGCCTTTCCTTCGCTTCGTTTCACCTCGCCGACATCGCTTCCCGCGCCCCCCCCCCCGGATTCCTGTCCAGCATCAGTCCAAGACATTGTCTCAGGCTTGCCTGTCGTGTTGCACAGCCAACAAGCCCCGTGCGGTCTCGGCCATCTCGCTCCAGATCTTCCAGAGTCGGCATCCACGCCAATAAGCGAACTTGCCACGCACGCTCTTCCTGCTTCTGCTTGAGCCCGTCGAGCTTCTCGAATGACGATAACTCCGCTGACCCCTGTCAGCGACTCCTCCACAATGTCGAACGGTCTCAGTGACGTCCACGAGGACTTGGAGAAACTCCAAGTCAATGGCGTGCACCCGAATGGCAATGGCCGCGTGTCGCCTGACGGACCGCTTGAGAGGAAGAGGATGGCGCGGAAGCAATCGAGTCCCATGATGCCTGCCTTCATGGTCTCTGCGCCCGGCAAGGTCATTGTCTTTGGTGAGCATGCTGTGGTCCACGGCAAGGTGCGTTTTCTCCCCAATGGATCACGAGAGCGTTTTTGTGACCAAAGATTGTATGGGACTTGGCCTAACGAAGTTCTTGCTCTTGTGTAGGCCGCTATCGCTGCCGCGATCTCTCTACGATCATATCTCCTCGTCACATCCCTTTCCAAATCGAGACGGACCGTCACGATGCGATTCCCCGACATCGACATGGCGCATACGTGGAACATTGACGAACTCCCATGGGACATCTTCTCGCGCCCTGACAAGAAGAAGTACTACTACGATCTTGTGAGCAGCTTGGATGCGGACTTGATGGAAGCCATTCAGCCGCACCTGAAAGATGTGTCGCCGGACAAGTCCGACAGTGATCGGAAAATCCACCAGAACGCCGCCGCGTCTTTCTTGTACCTTTACCTGTCTCTGGGATCGCGGAAGAACAACGGATGTTTGTACACATTGAGGTCCACAATCCCGATCGGCGCTGGACTGGGCAGCAGTGCATCGATTGCTGTCTGTCTGGCCACCGCCTTGCTGTTGCAAATTCGCACACTGTCAGGTCCACACCCTGATCAGCCGGCGGCTGAGGCCCGGCTGCAGGCCGAGCGCATCAACCAGTGGGCCTTTGTATATGAGATGTGCACACACGGCAACCCGTCTGGTGTGGACAACACGGTCGCCACGCAGGGCAAGGCTGTAGTATTCCAGCGCACCGACTATGGAAAGCCCTCCACGGTCACACCGCTGTGGGATTTCCCGGAGCTGCCACTGCTCGTTGTAGACACGAAGCAACCGAAGTCGACGCTTTTCGAGGTCGCGAAGGTGGCCAAGCTCAAGAACACACACACGAAGCTCGTCGGAAGCATTCTCGAAGCCATTGACCAGGTCACAAGAAGCGCCGAGAGTCTGATGAACGAGGACGACTTTGATAGCGAGGATCTGGAGTGCCTGCGGAGGGTAGGCGAGCTCATGAACATCAACCACGGCCTGCTGGTGTCGCTGGGCGTCTCGCATCCTCGTCTCGAACGGATTCGCGAGCTCGTCGATCACCAAGAAATTGGATGGAGCAAGTTGACCGGCGCTGGCGGTGGTGGCTGCTCCATCTCACTAATGAACCCCGATGTCTCCCGGGAAAAGCTCGCCAGGTTACAAGGACAGCTGGCTGACGAAGGCTACCAGGCTTTCAGGACGACTCTTGGCGGAGATGGTGTTGGTGTGCTGTGGCCGGCTGTGCTCAAGAACGGCCTTGACGAGGACGAGGAAGGCGGCATGGAGATTGACCTTGAGAAGTTCTTGAATGCCGAGGGAAATGAGGGCGTGGAAAAGCTTGTCGGTGTGCACGGGACGACAGGCGAGAGAGAGGGATGGAAGTTCTGGCGGGTATAGTAATTAATGTATACATTTTATTGTCCGGCTAATTAGAGATCGCCGCAAGGCCTGGGTCGAAGGAGCCTGGGAACTGCTCAGACCATTTCTTTTGAGTGGGTTTGTATTGGCTGTATAGAAGAAGTTCAAGGTTTAAATTTTATCGAAGACATTTCTGAATACTTTAAAAGAGATCATTCTAAGGTGGACATGAGTTGGAAACACTTGAAGCGTGTGGTTCGCCAGGGTCCTCTCGGTGTTCTCGCATCTGAGTCCTTTTAAGAACCCCACATTTGGAGCAGCGCGACTGCCCGCAGACAAATAAAGTGGCATGACGGAGCTGTTCTGCGCCCATCCAACTGCAAGGATCGAGTTCTCCGTGGGAAGCAATGCCACCAAAGAGCAAAGGCGCCAGCAAGGCTAAGGAAACTGAGCGTAAGCTTTTTTATTTGCTGCATTAATCGCCCTCGCCATAGGTATTCCGAGAAACACTGGCTGACCCATCATCATCATCTTCCACCCCCGCACCTTCCACAGCTTCCAAACAGCCTGAGCAGCCGCCCCCGCGAACGCTCAACGAGCAGTCAGCCCAACGCTACGCCCGGACGAACCCGCACGGCAAGGCTCGCGAGGAGGCAGGTGCCGAGGCCCTGACGGACAGCCAGCGGCACGCCGTCAACAACGCGCAGTACCTCTCGCACCCGGACCGGGCAAAGGGCCTGTCGAACAAGGCGACCAAGGAGCTGTGGAAGCAGCTCGGCGAGGCCAGCGTCCCGCTTCGCAGCTTACACCGACCGGCTGCCGGCCAGTGGGGGAGAGACCGGGTGGGCCGTGATATCGGCGAGTATACCTTTGAGGAGTACCGAGGCCGGAACGACAAGCAGCTGCGCCTGAGCCGGCTGGGCCGCGAGAGCGAGCGGTTCCGCGACGACTGGGCTGTTGTTCTGCAGCAGCGCAACGGCAGCAGAAGTCCCAAGGCGAAGGGGCTCGGCAGCAGAAGACGGAGAGCCACCAGCGTCACAGTCACCGACGAGCAGGTTGAGCAGGAGAGGCAGCGCAGACAGGAGATGGCGGCACTCAAGAGGGACCTGTATGGTCAGAAGACGGACCCGTATGCGCTCGATCCGGACTGGGACGATGTCACGCCGATTCCGCAGGCAGAGCCCGAGCATGCCCTCGCGGCGATTGCGTATCCAGAGGACTATGCAGAGGGTATGCACAGCCCATGACTTTCGCAGTGCTTTGGTGCTGTGGTAGTAATTGGGGGGTGCCAGAAGGCTGACGATTTTCTGTCCGTGTAGCCATGTCATATCTCCGTGCCGTGATGGCCGCAAAGGAGTATTCACCCCGTTGCCTGCAGCTGACGGAGCACATCATCGCCATGAACCCGGCGCACTACACGGTGTGGCTGTACCGGTTCGCGATAGTCGAGAGCCTCAACATCAGCATCCCGGACGAGATGGCCTGGCTCAACGCCGTGTCGCTCGAGCACCTCAAGAACTACCAGATCTGGCACCACCGCCAGCAGCTCCTGGACCACTACTACCCGGCGATCTGCACGTCTTCCGACGACGTGGCGGCGCTCGCCCAGTCCGAGACCGAGTTCCTGACCAAGATGCTCGTCCAGGACACCAAGAACTACCACGTCTGGAGCTACCGGCAGTACCTCGTGCGCAAGCTGGGCATGTGGGGTGATGCCGAGCGACAGAGCATCGAGAGCATGGTCGACGACGACGTGCGCAACAACTCGGCGTGGTCGCACCGCTTCTTCCTCGTCTTCTCCGACCCGGGCTACACGACACCCGGCTCCCACGCCACGGAGCACGACCCGAAGATCCCCGCGGACGTCATCGACCGGGAGGTTGAGTACGCCAAGCAGAAAGCGGCCCTGGCGCCGCAGAACCAGAGCCCCTGGAACTACCTGCGCGGCGTCCTGGTCAAGGGCGGCCGGCCGCTGGGTGAGGCGCGAGAGTTTGCAGAGGGCTTCGTCAAGGAGCTGGGCAGTGTGGAGGACAACAAGGAGCGCGTGCGCAGCTCGCATGCGCTCGATCTGCTGGCGGATATCTACAAAGAGGCTGGGGATAAAGAGAGAGCGGACTTGTGCCTGCGCAGGTTGGGAGACAAATGGGATCGCATACGCAAGGGGTACTGGGAGTATCGCAGGCGGGCGCTATAAGCGTGCTGGCAGAAAATGAAAGACATTTGGCGTTGATGAAGATGATGCCTTTGACAAGACCTGTTTGAATCACGGCTTGAAACCTGCCTATGTCGCGGCTCAGTGCACTTATTACACATGTTGCAGGTACTTCTTGCCACCTCTATTCGATCACATCACATAGCGTGCGAAGTCAGACGTAGACACTCGGACTTCTTTCAATGGGATTCCTGCCATCCACCGTGGTCTTTTCCTCTATTTAGGCCAATCATCTTTTCCCTCACATTTCAACACCCAGAGATGCCTCTCCCCTCCGCTCACAACGCCCGGAAGTTCTGGCTAACGACCACCCACCGCCTCAAGCCCCTCGGCGCCTTGGGCCCTTGAGCCTCCCAGTGCGGCACGAGCAGCCAGGCCTCGGTGAACGCCTGCTCGAGGAACCCGTCCTCGCCGCTCTTGCCGTACTTGACCGCGCCGCTGACCTGGACGGCGAAGCTGATCCTCTCGTTCCGCGACGAGAGGTTGCTGCCCGTGTTGTTGACGGCGTCCGCGCCGACCGCGTAGTTGACGTTGACCGGGTGCGCGTCGAAGCTGCCGACCTCGTAGTGCACGTTGGGCCCCCTGGAGTCGACGAGCAGGTCCCGCGCCGTCTTGGCGTCGGGCCCCAGCACGTGGCCGTTTATGCTGATGTCGGGCACGACGCCGGCGGCGGTGAGTTTTGGGGACGTGGTTGCGTAGAAGGCGGAGGTGTCGCGGCGCTTGTTGAGGGCTTCGTAGTACGAGTCTACAAAGTTTTGGGCGGCTGTGTCGTTTTTGTTAGTGGTTTTGTTTTTTTCCTGTGGTGTTGTTGCGTCGAGGGTGAATGTACCTTCGCTGACTGTCTTGAGTTGTGCCTCGAGGTTTGGGAGGGCCATGATGGTGGATTGGGGACGATGGCAAATGACCCGCGTCGCAGCTGGCAGAGCTTGATCTATCCGGTATAGTGGTCGACGTCGTTCAACCTTGACTTTCAAACCACAAGGAGACGCCCACAGGCTTCGGTGCTCGGTTCCTCTTCTTAGACGATGGAGCCACCTTTACGTCAGAAGTGCTCTGGAGTTGCCGCAGAATGAGTGGCGACGGAGCTCTTAATGGACAAAGCGAAGACAATTGTTCACCGCGATCTCAAGAGCCCGCTGGGACTGCTCGTTCTGCCTTAAAACGTTTTGGATGGCAGTTATTTATTTATTTATTTTGGCGCAGGGCGGAAGGTCTGTGATCTGTGGTTAGCATGACAATCACAGGCTGAACAGAATGAAGGCTACTCACAAGGATGAGGACCGATATGGGGAGATGGCAATGAGTGTGGTGGTCAACATGGGATGCAGGTGTGAGTGAGTGAGTGGACAAATGAGTCTGAGATGTGGAGTGCAGTGCAACTTGAGTGTGGCAGTGGAGCCTGGGAGGAGTGGAAGCCTGAAGTTCAGTGCCTGAACACTGTAGCTTTTGCAGCACCACCAAACCAGTTCGTCCCGAGGCACGGCACTGTATGATCCCAGCTTTCTATCAGGCAGTTGCGAACAGCAAACTCGACATGAGTACTTTACTATTTGGCTGATATGTCAAAGGCAAGACAAATCTTAAATTTACGGGCTTGTATTTCTACAGACTACTACGTTGTAGTCATTTTCTGCTCTGGAGCAACAGACACGACGCAGAAGTAGTCTTGACAACCCAGCAAGTGCGACAAATGCACAATACGCCGCATGCCTTGTTGTTCAGCTCTTCCCAACCATTCGGGGACTTGAAAATGCCGGACAAAAGCACATGCTGTGTGTCGTGGCTCATGGAATCGAAGAGTTCGACAAAGAACAGGTCGGCCGTTGCGCCCTATAATTGACACCTTGTAATTAATTCCACTTTAGCGGTCGGTTGTAACGGGCCACGGCGGCAACAACGGGAAATGCTGCCCCCATAGTGCACGAGGCACTGTCCGTGAGAGTGCGCTCTAGGCCCGTTACCGTGTGCGGCACATTTTCTGCACACTCGTGTCGTGGGGAAGTTCAGTGCAGGCAAGGGTCCTCGTCTCTGAATGCTCCGCTCTCTTGCCAGCAACTACGTCCCTTCCTTAGACGTCTCCTAAACCACGTACGTTATATAGGCGTGTCTTTCCACTCGTAGGAAGCACAGATCTCTTCGTCACTCAGACCCTCTCAGACTTCTGCCACTTCAAACAGTCAATCTTACACCTTGGTCCGCTACATGCACGGATAGAACTTCCTCACCAAGACAAACTCACCACTTACACGCCATCGCTTGCCCAGAGCAAGACTGACACAACAACCAGCATGGGCTCACACTCGCCGGAACCCCAGAAGCTCTGGGTCGAGACGTCATGCATACCATCGCTGCCGCTCTCCCGCGCAGCTGGCTGGTAAGGCCCCAGTTCATTTCCTGCACTTATGACTACCTACATGACACTCCAAAAACTAACAAAGAGTCTCCAAAAATGGTTATAGTAACATCTTTCTCAAGCTCGAGAACCTCCAGCCCTCGGGCTCCTTCAAGTCCCGCGGCATCGGATCCATGATGTACCGGGCCTTCCTGGAGCGCTGCTCATCTCTGGGCCGGGCTCCGGCCTCATCATCCTCGGCCCACGACGAGGAGCCGATAGTGCACTTCTACTGCTCATCGGGCGGCAACGCGGGCCTGGCGTGCGCCACGGCCGCCGCGACCCTGGGCCAGCCGTGCACCATTGTGGTGCCCACGCTCGTGACGCCCTTTATGACGGACAAGCTGCGCGCCCTGGGCGCCGAGGTCGTCCAGATCGGCGAGAACTGGGCCGTCGCGGACGCGCACCTGCGCGAGAACCTGCTCTCCCGCGATGCCGAGAGGGGCGTGTACGTGCCCCCCTTTGACCACCCGCACGTCTGGCACGGCGCGTCGGGCATGGTCGACGAGATTATCGCGCAGGTGAGCAGCCTGGGCGGCGGCGGCGTCGGCGGCGGCAGCCAGCGGGACGATGCCCACCAAGTCGATGCGATCGTGTGCAGCTGCGGTGGCGGCGGGCTGCTCAACGGCATCATGGAGGGCGTCAAGAGACACGCCAAGGCATCATCGCAGACAACGGAGAACGGGGGACCCGTCACGCCACCGCGGGTGCTGGCCGTCGAGACCGTCGGCGCCGAGAGTCTCGACGCGAGCATCAAGGCCGGCAGGCTGGTCACTCTGCCTGCCATCACGAGCATCGCGACCTCGCTCGGCGCGCCGACCGTCTCGGCCCGCACGTTCCAGTGGGCCCGGGAGGCGCCGCACCTGAGCAATCTCGTCGTCTCGGACGCCGACGCCGTCATGGGCTCGGTGCGCTTTGCCGACGACGCCAGGATCCTCGTCGAGGTGGCGTGCGGCGCGGCGATATGTCCCGCTTACAACGGCGATCTGCGGCGCTGCCTGGGCCAGGGCTTGAGCGATGAGGAGTGGAGCAGGAAGAATGTCGTGCTGGTGGTGTGCGGAGGATCCAATGTCTCGCTGGATATACTGAGGGGTTATCGGGAGAAGTACAATGTTCACGCTTGAGACGACATCATGAAGGGCAGGCGTGTCGGACTGGGTATGTATCACATATATCTTTTTGTGATGTTGTTCACTAGATAGACAAGAGGTCAAGGGGGACAAGGATGATATGACATATCTTCCTTGTCCGTTCTTATTAAACATATAGATTTTGCCTACTTCGTTCAAAGACACTTGAGAAGATCATGGAGACCGAATGTCGTGGTTAGAGAAAACTTATTGAATTTGGACAATAATCAAGGCACGCTCCGAACGACATCGCTTATCTAGGTATAGGAAAGCACAAAACCCGCCGTGAAAAAATAGGCCAGCACGAGATGGCGCCTTGCAAAAGAAGAAAAGAACCAGAAAACCTTGGAACTCTCAAAGCCCACCAAGCATATCGTTACACGTAAAACACATTCCGGATATGACTGTACACTAACCAGCAGAGCAGTTGGAAGACCCTCTCATGCTCCGAGGACGCGCACTAATAGTTCAGCGCCCCGGTTGACACCATCTGCTTGAACTCGTCGTCGGGGTGCTCAAACTTGTAGTGCTCGCCACGCATCACGCGATCGACCTCCTCACGCACAAAGGGGAACACGTCCTTCCAGGCATTGCGGCCCATCCAGCAGTCTAGATGGCCATAGTCGGGCACCACGCGGCGCCGGTACTGCACGCCGTCGTCAAAGCGCGTGCCAAACATGTCGGTCAGGATCTCGTAGCTGCGCTGCGTGCTCTCTGGGCTCAGCACCTTATTGTCGCGCCCGACGAAGAACAAGATCGGGATGCCGCGCAGCCTGCGAATATTCTCTGGCGTGTCTAGCCGCTCAAACAGCGGACCATTAGCCATGGTCGAGCCCTCGAAGCCCATCCTCATGAGCAGGTTGAGTAGGGTCATGTTGACGCCACCAAAGAACCGGTCAAGCTGCCTGTGCGTGGCCTCGTTGAGGTTCTTGTGGTTCCAGCACCGACCGAACACGAACGACACGCGATGGCACGACGCATTGTTGCAGATCTCCTTGCGCTCCTCAGGCATGAACCTCATCGCCTCGTTGAGAAGTTTCTGGAGGTAGCTGTCGTCCTGGCCCGTGCTGCAGCTGAACCATTTTCCGAAAATGGTTCTGTAGATGGTGTCTGCGGGTATGGGCGAGGCCATGATCTTGATCATGTTCATGGTGGCCCAGATCGGGTTCATAAACACTTGGCTCGCAGTGATGCCCTTGATCCAGCTCGCTGGAACGGTACCGTCCAGCAATGCAGATGAGAGGACGCCGCCGCCCATGCAATGGCTGACAACGTAGACTGGCTCATCTCCATAGTCTTCTCGGATCTTCTCGAGGGCCGCCTTGAAGTCAAGCCTGGCGTCAAAGGTTGTCCAATCGTTCTGCGCAGCCATGATTGCGCCAATCCGGTGTACTGGTACGAATATACGATACCCCGCGCGGCGGAAATAGTTGACTGCGTTATAACGGATTGTGGGAAGGGCGTACACCTGATGATCCACTGCAGCGCCAGGTATCATGACAAGGTTCTTGGTGGCTATAGTCTTGTTCGTTGGGTACCACACGTGCATGGCTGTGATCACCCCGTCCGAAGCCTTGATCTTGTAGGAGCGATTTGGCACAGTGTCGTTGACAAAGCCGGCGTAGGTCGGACTGGGGTACTGCAAGGGAGTCAACGGCGCCAGGAAAAGCGAGAGCGACTTTCTCGTGAAGAACGTGAAGAACTTTGTGGCGCTGATGGCCTTCTTCAGCAGCCCACTGCCAGTTGGCGTGAGCGTCAGCACTTCAGAAAGGAAGTCCTGCGGCTCGATCCGCATGATGCCTTTGGCAATGATCTTGCCCCTCAAGCCGTCCTCGTCGCCCTCAGGTTCGTAGTCGGAGCCGCAGAACGTCTCGGTGATGGTGACGTAGAGAGTGCTGGTCGACTTCCAGAACTGCACGGGCGCAAGCGCGACCGATGAGTCGACAACCTTGTAGCCATGAAAGTGCAGCTTCCGCCCATCGACGCCAGTCATGTCGAAGTCATAAGTCAGGTTTCGTGTCCCGGGCGCCTTGTGGTCGAGGAGGAACAAGTTGAAATCTCCGCGCTGCACCATGAATGGGGACCCTGGTATCGTGGGACAGGCGAATGTGCCGGTAAGCATTGCTTTGTGTTCCGGGTCATGCACGATGGAGCGCGTGTTGAAGCTCTGAACGCTCAAGAAGAAACGTGCTGTCTCGCACAAGGACTTTGCAGTCCTGGCAGCCAGCTCGTACGTCTCCTGGTTGTCGCGCACCAAGTGGTGATCATGGTGGATGTAACCTGACATGACTTCTGTGAATCCGAAGCCGCCGTCTTCGTTCCGCCGGGCAGTGTTCATCAACGACTTAGCCTTGACGATGCTGGTCGTCTCCTGGTTCTCCATGACGCATTGTGCTGCGCTGTGCTTGCGCGAACGCCTCGCCCGCTTGGGCGAGCCAAACAGGTCCAGAATGCCATTCCCGTCTGTACAAACGCGCAAGCCTTCTCTCTGGGTATACAAGTCCATGGTTCTCTCTGCTAGAGCCGTGATCGTAGCAAAGGGGTTCGCGCCAAGTGCCGTTGGGATGACGGCGGCATCGGTCACAATCAGCCCGGGGTGAGTTGCCTCTCCTAGACCAGTAAACAGCTCGCCGCGATGATTTGTGCCACCCGTGTAGCCGGTTCCGTCACGCGCCATACAGGCACCACTGGCTATTGTTAGTCCTCTTGGCATGATATGATAAGAGACGTTGTGGGCACAATAACATACCCTATGGGGTGGACAGTAATCTGCTGTTGCCCAAGGAGAGAGTAAAATGGATTCGGCACAAAAGTGCCACCAACACTCTTCGTCGCCTTTTCGAGAAGATGGTGCAGCTCCTTGACGTGGTCACTACGCCCGACGCCTACGAATTCCAACACAGGCTTGTCGTCTTTCAGTGTTAATATCGCTTGGTTGCCTGCCATATGGTTAGCACATTGATATTACCCGCAGGACTGCTGTGGCAGCTTACTGTCATGTGACATGATCAGAAACACCTGTGACCTTTCGATCGCGCCCTTTTTGAAGTAGGGCCCCAGAAGGAAGCTGCCAGCTCGAGCCATGTTTCCCTTGACACGTTCAAATAAGCTCTCGCCTGTGGGAGCCTTGCTGCCAGGCAGGAGTTCGAACATGGCCTGGAGGAAAGGAGCTAGTGCTTTCGGCACTGTGCCCTCTTCAATGACATAGCCATCCTCGGGATTCTCGTGGCCCATCCTGTTGTCAATGATGCCGGTGATGCACGGCCCAATCGGATTGTAGGGAGATGGGAAAGAGGTCCCGATCGCATTGACGTGTTGGTCCGTGTTGTACCTGCAGAGAAGTGCGTGTAAGTCGTGATTAGGCAAAGAAGAGGCTCGGCAATGGCAGCCACTTACGCGAACGCGAGTATGTCTCCGTTGCCGCTCATGTTCTGGCCAATCTTCTCACTGAGCGAGAGACCCATCTCCTTACTCCTCAAGAGGATCTCAGTGGTGCCAATAGCACCAGCTCCAAAGAATACAGCCTTCTTCGCATGAACCCACATCAGATCTCCATGCAAATTGGCCGGAAAGTGCCCGCGGTTTCTGCCATGCCAGGCAAAGTACACAATGTACCCTTCGCGATCTGGTGCCTCGTGGACATAGCGTACTTCTGACTCGCAGAACAACTCGGCGCCCCAATTCCAGGCATCCGCCAAGTAGGTCACCAAGGTGGTGTTTTTAGAGCCGTCGTTGAGACCTGTCGCATCCTGGCCGGTAAGTGCTGAAGCGCTCATCTCGACACCGCAGCTATTCGGCCCGTTCCGAAACCGAGTCGTTTGCCGGACGCGTCGGAACTTTGACTTCATGTTCAGATTCTCCGCTTGCTGTTCGAGCAAGCTGAGTTTCGGTAGATCTGGCCAGTCCTCGGGATACTCTACAGGGTCCAGCATATCTGCAGCCTTTTTGTAGTCTATCTAGACTTGTCAGCGAAACGCCTCAGATAACGTACAGCTCCATAAATCCATGGGAAAGAGGTCCTGGAGGGCAACGCACACTTATCGAGACTTTTGGGATCCTCCCGTATCTCCTGCGGCCAGGGTTCGAGGCGCAAAGTATCCTCATCGGCCTCAAGGAAGACGTTGGCGTTGATAAGACTGGTCCCGCCCAGCCCTACGCAGGTATGTTAGTATACAATGTCATTTCAAAATTTCCTTCATGCATGGAGCCCACTCACCATTGCCAACGAGAGCATTCTGCCCGTTTCCAAAGATGAGATGATACATGCCAGTGGGATCACCGCCCTTGACGGTGCTCTTGGGCAATAACGAGGGACAGACCTCGCCAGAGTAATGCAGTTGCTCGAGAGTTTCGCCTGTGCCGCTGGGGTATTCCCCGGGCCACTTCTCCTTGCCTCTTTCGAGCAAGCACACAGACTCGCCAGCTCTAGCCATACGCGATGCGGCTACACCACCGCCGTAGCCGGAGCCAATGACGACGCAGTCGTATGAGCTACGCATCAGCTCTACTGGCTTTGCAATCCGGGGGAATTGCGCGGTTTTGGGATCGTCAGTCCATGTCCTGATCCGGGCACGGCTTGCGGATTGTGGCCCGCTGGCTTCATCCTCATGTACGCCCATGGACTGTACGCGATGAGAAGTGTTGACTTGTAAGGGCGGCAGGTCAGTCTGGACGCCGAAGGGCAGTGAGGTATCGATGAATGAACTTCCTCGCGACCGAGTTGAATCGGCGAAGCTGACACTGCGCCCACTGCCGGGAACATCGTCCTCTGGGTGCAAGTGTCCATTAACAGGAAATGTCGCAGAGTGCTTGACCCCATTGAGGACCGGGAATGGCTCCCCATTTTCCTCGGTAGTGGCTGGCATATTTGAAGTGAAAACTTGATTCTCCCACAGAAAAGACTCAAGTGGTGTCCTTGATGAACGGCGAAGCAGAACCGCAAGCCGAGACCGAGACAGCACAGTAGACAACGCGAGGTTGCCAGGAAAGTGAAGGGTCTGCACTCGCACAGGACAGCCTGCCTCTGGCAGTTCTTTGATTAGATGCCAGGATGTCGGTTTTGGGCAGGCGTGGCGGCTTGAAAAGAACGGTTGAGAGAGGTTTGACCTTACTGGACCGGCCGGTGATGCATTCAAGCAGCACCGACTATATAAAAGATGCGGAATGTCATGGGCAGAACAACGTGCTGGGGAACATGGGCGGGCGTCCCACACCACCCAGTAACCCCCGGCTCCTCGGCAGCCAGCCAACCATTATGGCATGTCGTTCCCATGTTTGCAGATTTTTATGGGCCTGTCAGATGGACTAGTACCATTCCGTGCTGCCTACGAGGCACTGCTGAGGCTGAGAACAAGGGAGGTGTGGGGGCTTGAGACTAGGGCCGGGACGGCGAGTGACGGCGAGCAGTATTGGCGTTCGAACAATCAGCTCCAAGAGATTCAGGTGTCGAGGCCGAACTAGGACAATCGCCCGATGCCACGCGCTGGCCAAGCAGCTCTCTGTCCTCTTGCAGGCCTGCGCCTGCGCCCTCTTGTCGTTCGTCGCAACGAGTCATCGTACATAGGACTTTGTCAGCCCTACCCAACCGGCCACCGGCTGGAGAACCAACAAAGCTCCCAGGTCCTTGGTCCGCGGACTGTGGGGTCTGGAAAATGCTGGAGATTGCGCGCGCAACGTGGGCTGCTGCACCCCTGGCTCAGTTGACCGTTACTGGCCCCGGAACGCACGGGCTGACGGTCGCTTCGCCTTCTACGCAGTACAGTATTGCCCTGGCGATGGCAAGTTTTGTTTCACGTGCCACTCGGCAGACTGCTGAGAGCCAAGGTTTTGGTTGCGACAATCCATTGGCGCGATGTATGCTATTGTGAGACAGATGGCATATCACCACTTTAGCCTTTTGCTGCTTGTGATGGTGGATATCACCTCTAGGACTATTTGTCCTGCGCGAGGACGGTAATGCAGCCGAGGTACATCGACCTCAATCCCAGCGGTCGTAAGGGCAAGCCCGATTGTCCGGAGGTTGACGCAGCCACGCGTGGTTTGTGGTCGCCCGGTGGTCCAAAAATATCCTTGAGGGGCACTGGGTGTGGGCCACGGGTTCATTAGCTTCTCTTGGAGTCGGCTGGGGCAGCGGCACCATGAGCGAAAGGGGCATGGTAGATGGTCGATTAGTCGGCCCTACACTCCTGGCTTGGTTGCGTCGGATGCTGCAGATCGCGGCTCAAACCGTGTACCACCAGCTCGCGGTGCTAAAGATGGCGCCTGCTGTACAACTTTCGGCGACGACGTCGCGCTCACCAAGGGCTGCAGATTGCCAGCTCTGGCGGGTCGATAGTCGATGACGATATTGCGCCATGCTGCTGCGTACAGAGGGCATGGCATGGCATGTGCTTGGGACTTGGAGGAGCACCCCTGCTGGACTGCCTGGCGTAGCAGGGGAGAGCGGAGGCGGTGGCCCATGATTGGAGGGCTCGTCCCAAAGGGTTTCACAGATTGACTTTGCTAGCGGCTGAGCTCAGCAGGCTGGTCGCCGCCCGTCGCGTTGAACCCGAGTTACACAGGACATGGACAAGGCTCTGCGGAAAAAAAAAGTGCCCTTGCCCGACGAGACCAGACGACGGTGCCCGTTGTGGAGCAGCGGCGGTGGGCTGCCGCACCGCCCCCAAGCAGCAGCAAGGATGCCTGCAGCCATTCCGCTGCGGCGCATCACCGATGGCAGTCTTACTTGCAGTTGCTTGACCCGTTGATCAGCTGGAATCAACCTGGCCAATGTCACGGCGGGATGCCCGTCGCGGCACCTGGTTGGTGACCCGGACAGCAGCGGACTGCCGGCGACCCCGTCGTGACAGGATCAATTGGCGTATGACAACTCGGTATGCCATGTGGGTCGCTCGTAAGGCTGACCTGATGGCTGGTGGACGGATGGCCTGATGATATTACAGTACCAGACGCTCGGCACGATCAGGACGGTCGTCGAGGACAGGAGTGCAACAGCAACATGCAGTTTTCGGTGGGTGGGGAAGTGCCTCGTAAGCCCGACCTTGCCGAACGCTACCCATGGTCTTGGCTGCACTGGGATTTCGTGCCAAGAAAGGCGTCTGCCAGACTGAGGCTCTTGGGATTCGGTGAGGATACTGCGTACCACTGCTCAGGCACCGTATGCATCTGGCGAACACAAGCCTGGTAGGCGAGATGGCGACTGGACCTTGCGGGCGGCGTACTGGCATGGGATAGACGTTGCTCGAGGCATTGGATGCAGACAATGTGACCGGTGTAAAGGACGATTACACCCGATCGCCATGGGCCTCGTCCAAGTGAGAGTACTTGGTAGATAATTTACGCACTTACCATAAGGTACGTATGTCGTAGTTGGAGCAGGCACATTACAATCATAAAGTACACTGCGGCGATGCTCGACAGGTGACCGACTTGGTCTTTGTTTATTCCATTCATACCTGGATTTTCTTAGGATATCAAAATGCAGACCTGCTCCTCCCACACAACGCCTCATAAATACAGAAAGGGAAGGCGCTCTGCCGCCCGGAGCTACTTCCAGAACCTATCAAAATAGCCTTCCAGGGTTGACACCTCAGGCCTGAGAAGCCCACCAGTCTCCCTGGTCACGCATGGCATCCGCCACCTTGATGAAGCCTGCAATGTTGCTTCCTGCCACCAAGCTGGGCAGCTCACCCTCCTTTGCCTCGACATACTTCTTTGCCGTCTCCAGGCCGTTCTGGAAAGCCTCCTTCATGATCGTCTTGAGCTTGTTGTCGACCTCTTCGGTGGTCCAGGATGTGCGCTGCAGACACCATCATCAGTATGGCATACACGCAGAGAATGCACACGGCAAACAGTCTACTCACCTGGCTGTTCTGAGCCATCTCCAGGCCAGACACGGCGACACCACCACAGTTTGAGGCCTTGCCTGGGGCATACCACACAGAGTCCTGGCCCTTCGTCTTGCGGGCTCCCTCGAACACGTCAATGGCACCTTGTGTACAGCCCATGTTGGATCCCTCGGCCACGAAAAGAGTTCCGTTGTTGACCAAGGCCTCGGCCTCCTTCTCGCTGACCTCGTTCTGTGTGGCGCAGGGCAGCGCGACATCGACCTTGCCGACGTGGACCCAGGGCCTGGCGCCCTCAATGTACTTGATGGACCCTTGAGCGCTAAAGGTTGTCAGGGACTGGCGCGCAAGCTTGAGCTTGGCGATCTCTTCAATGTGCTTGGGCGTGAACACGACGTCTCCCTCGGCGACAAGGCATCCGGTAGAGTCGGACAAGGATACAACCGACGCGCCAAGCTCGATACACTTGAGCGCAGCGTACTGGGCAACGTTGCCAGAGCCGGAAATGGCGACGCGCTTGCCCTTCCAGTCACCCTTGCCGGCATGCTTGATCATCTCCTCGACATAGTAGACGAGACCGTAACCTGTCGCCTCTGTGTGGTTTCACGGTGTTAGCAAGTGCCATAAGCCAATATGTCCGTACGAGCCACTTACCGGGCCGGATGAGACTGCCGCCAAAGGCCAATCCCTTGCCAGTCAGGACACCTTCCCACTTGTTACGCTCCTTCCTGTATGTTCCGAACATGTAGCCAACCTCGCGGCCACCGACTCCGATATCACCAGCCGGAACATCAGTCTCGGCACCAATGTGCTGGCAGAGTCGTCTCATGAAGGCATCACAGAATCGTCTGATCTCAGCCTCACTCTTGCCCTTGGGATCAAAGTCGGCTCCACCTTTGCCACCACCAATGTTCACTGCCAGCAAAGTCAGATCCAACTTCTGTGCCTCCAATGGAATAAAAAGGCAGACTTACATCCAGTCAATGCATTCTTGAAGATCTGCTCAAAGCCAAGGAACTTGAGACTGTCTGGGCATCAGCAATGCTCGCCTGACGATAGCATCAGGGGATTGTTCACTTACATCGACAAGTTGACAGTGGGATGGAAGCGCAGGCCGCCCTTGTAAGGACCAAGGGCCGAGTTGAACTGAACACGGTATCCCCTGTTGACCTGAAGGTTGCCCTTGTCGTCTTCCCACACCACTCTAAACTGGATCACTCGTTCGGGGATCGAAGCGACGCTGAGCGCTGTCCTGTACTCGGGGTGCTGTTTGAACAGGGTGCTGTTCTCGAGGGTGCTGGCGAGCTCTGTAGCAAGTTAGTGACCATTGACACATGCAAGCTGCGTGGGTATCTGTCGACTGACCATTGTAAGCCTGCTCAAACTCTGGCTCAGAAGTGAGGTTGGACATCTTGGACTTGAAGGACGCTGGCTCGTGGGTGGGGGTTCGACTAGTCTCGTTCTGCAGTTGTAGAACTTGAGAGAGTTGCGAAGGTAGGATATATTCAACCAGCCAGGCGGAGTGGAATGTCTTGGTCGGGAGGAACGAAATTACAACGACCAAGGCATGGCAAAACTTTATACACAGCGAAGCACATCCCGCTTGACCCAGCACCTGCGCTGATCAGGGAGAAAAAGCAGCCGCTTTCGGCCCTCGAGAATGGCGGGAGCTCCAAACAGCCGAGCCACGTCCTCGATCCCGACCCGGCCCAGCCCAACCGCAATCGGATTGTCCCTGTATTGCTGCACAGCTCCTACGCATTCCCGGCAGGTCCACCGGCGGAGCGATGCCGGACATCACGATTGACATCATGGCCAGCAGGCTGGATGCCCCACGACAAGCTCAGGAACGAAAAGACCATGCGGCAACGGCAGTTGGGGGGGACTGGGGCCTGACCGTGGTCCACTGTCTCCGTCACACTTAATGCGTCTGGTGTCCCGGCCCCGTGGAGCCGATGCTGCCGCTTGACCCCATCTGGGCTGAAACGTGCATTTACATAGTCGATTCGCCTAAGCTTCTGCGCGGCGTGGATGGTAATTCGCCAGCCGAGACCTGCCACGCACCCTACCGAAATGTTAAGCTCAAGATCCTGGCCGGGCAGGCGGAGGCCTAGCTTTGCCTTATCAACCACTGCTGATTCGTCGGCTGCGCAGTTTGGCAGACATGATTCGATTGCTCAGTGTTCCGGGCCAGCTTTGGGGGGTAGGCATTGGGGAGCATCGCTGGTTCACGCATGCAAGCTGAGCGCACCATGACGCCTCATTCACATGTACCCATCTGGTTATCACACAAGACCATCAGACTGGATTCTCGGCTGAACCCTAGCGCGCCTTCAGAGATGATATCAGGATGCATGGCTTATCTACAGCGACTGAGAGCTTCAACAGGACAAATGCCACTCAATGACGCGTTGACACTCATACGACAACCATTCGAGGAGTCCTTGCCGTAGCATCTGGATTGACATGCTGGCAGGGGTGGTACGCAACCATTTTCTTGTGCGGACCCGGAGTCTTCCGCTGCTGGCAGGCAAAGAGTGCGAGATCGGTGGACAGCACGGAGTCCCCGAGGTCACCTGCCTGCCATTCAGAAATTTTGCTCTGCAGTGTCCATGCCATGATGGATGGCAGGGTGAACGGGCTGCGGGTGAGCACCTCGTGTCATTGGGGGAAGACATGAGGGACACTCTCACAGCTGCTCAGGTGCTGCACTGCCGTTACCGGCCTCCAAATAGTCGCGCACTCCGGAAAAGCAACGACATGGGCAGGATTTCACGCACGGCCAAGCCGTGGGCCTGGGGCCCCTCAGATCCCCCACTCGCAGCTCCTCGGGGATCCAAGTTTCCAAGATGCCGCTGGGCTGCTCGCCAAGCGATCAGCCCCCCGTGTCCTCCCTTCCAGCATACCTGCGCGGACGCAGCCACGCCGGCGGCTCGCTGTGGGGGGCCACCCGCTGCCGCTGCCGCCGCCTGGTGGTGCTCCAGGGGTGAGGGTGTCCTGCCTGCTGGGAGTGCTCAAGTGCGCACGACAGCACAGTACAGGCACCCTTGGGCTGGCCGGGTATCCACCCACAGCCTCAAGCTCAGGGTCCTCCGGCTCTCCGATATAGGAGCCCCTCACAGAAAGGAGGGAGAGAAAAAAAAAAGTAAAGACACATATCAACCCATCCGAGGCACACAGGAATGACACGACAGATCCATTCTCATGCTCGGGCCAAGACCTTGCCCTCGGGTCGGTGATGCGGCTATAGCGCCTGTAAATCTCCGTCTATGGGTCTAGATGGGCCTGCGCTCGTGCAGCTCTCTACTATTCCTAGCCTCCAATCGAGAGTGCTTTTGGTGCTCATTTGACCAACAGACTCTGTAACCCCAGAACAGTGGGTGCAGTAGGGAGGTGTTGGAGTTGCGGCGGCCCGAATACGACGCTTGGTGGCTGGGCCGACGACAGTCTCGTTTTTGTTGCTGGCCTCTGTTGTACAAAGACGAGCGACACTCGAAAATGTTGTTGCTTCCCACGACCTCGGAGTGCAGCCCGAGACGGCGCGCATTGTCAGAATTGATGCACCCTGTGTCCATGTATCTCAACCTCGACTTGGCACTCGTCCGCCTTGGAGGCCAACACTATCCTGACCACATACTGAACACAGACAAACAAATATGCAATGGAACACTGTGCAATCTTCTTCATTCATGACGACAAAAAACATCAATAACCACCTGTACTCCATGCTTTTTGACCCCTCTCTTGCAAGCGAAACCGATGACAATGCCAAACCCTGAAAAGCTACATCAAATACCCTCATCGGGTACGAGATTTGCCAGACAACATTAGTGCCGTCCTGACACTGAAGGCGAACAAGTCTGTCTCTCTCTACCAAATGGCACTCTGGTCAAAGTCGAACCGCTTGAGCTCCTTGCCCGCGTCCTCGACGTCCTTCTTGGCCTTCATGCGCATGTAGAAGATGGGGCAGTCCTTGCTGCTGCAGATGACCTCTCCGTGCATGCTGCCCTGGCATCGCTGGCACTGCGTCCAAAGCCTGCCGAAGCGCACCTCGAGATCAGACACCTTGTCCAGCGTCTTCTTGTACAGCTCACCCACCCGGGGCGCGCAGTTGGAGCACACGGCGCCTGCGCTCTCCTCCTTGCCCACGAGCGGTTTCTTGCACCCCATACAGGTCATCGTCTTCTTGGCAAACTTCATCAGACCACCAACCGACGGCGCCGCCACTGAGATGGAGCGAGTGTGGTCGCCCGTGAGCAGTGACTTGGCTTTTGTCTCGCCGAGAATGGGCTCGAAGATACGCCCCAGAGGCTTGGCTAGCTGGTTGTCCAGGTAGTATCTCGTGTCAATGGGGACATTGTTTTCGAGGACGAAGATGGGGTCTTCGGAATTCTCAAAGTTCTTGGAGCCGCTGCTGCCCTTCACCATGACATACGCGACACGGTCACCAAGACCGGGCGCAGAGCCGGCATCACGCTTCTTCATGCGGGCGGCGAGCTCGACGTGAGCCTGCTTGGCATCGTAGCTCTCTTTCGTTAGCGCCTTCGTGATGACTAGCTTGGACATATCGATCTTGTTCTGTAGCAGATCCGCAATGGTGTCCTTGACATATCTGAGCAGACAAAAAGGTTAGTGGGACTGTCGTGTAGCACAAGGGACAGGGCTGGACCTACTCCTGCGCGCCGGGCACATCCTGGTCGATCAGAATCATGCGAAGGACTTTTTCGATGACGGTCTGCACCAACAGACAATTGTCTCTGCGGACAGTCTCGATACCCTTGGTGTCCATCTTGTCGTGCTTCTCCGGCTTCGTCCAGTACAGACCGGCGTACCGCTTCTTGTTGATGAGCAGGTATGGGTAGTATACCTTCTCGAACTCGAGCTTGATCGGCTTGATGAATTTGGAGGACACGTAGGCGGCTGCTTCTTCGCCGAGCTTCATTGCCTCTGGCAGGTCCTTCATGCCGAACTTGACCATGACGGAATCAGTGTCACCATAGATGACCTGCGCATCGTGAGAGTACCCATTGGCAATGCAGTACTTTGCCTCAACCTCCGCTTTTGTTTTCTCAATCATTTGACGGCCGTAACTCGTGGTACTACTGGCAATTTCTAGACAAGGAAGCTTGCCTGTAGTCGCACCCGTCAGACCGTATACGGAATTGGCGCTAATCTTCAAAGCCAACTGTCGACCGTTCAACACTGCCTTCTTGAAAGGGTCTGTTTCGACAGCGAGCTCACACTTTGCTTGCTTTCGGGCGGCGAGAAGTTCTTCCAGAATCTGTGCAAGTAGACCTTTGCGTTGCTTGACAGTCGCAAACATGTCGCCGTTGGGAGTGACGGTGTAATCTTCATCCTTTTTAAGTCCAAACTTCTCGACAGCAGCCTTGTTCAATAGTGTCGTATAGCACAAGTTGTGCGCCTGCATGATACTGGGATAAAGGGAGGCGAAATCGAGTGTTGCAATCGGAACATCGTAGTAGCCTCTTGTTGGCTCAATGACTGTGGCACCCTCGTACTGCTCATCTGAGCTCTCGCTCCTCAAGTTGGGGATGACGAGCTTCTGCTCCAAAGCCTTGCGGTACATTTGACTGAGGAATTTGATCTGCTGTCCTCTTGAAAGCAGGAAGTTGAAAGGCACGCCGGTGACTCTGGCCATCTCTGTGTAGTTTGCAAGACACGAGAGCTTGTCCATGAGTCTTTGTGGGAGGTACGCATCCTTCAAGCAGTACAACGCTAGACGGCGGCGCGATTCTGGCGTGCCATTGAAGAGTTCTGTGATCATTGTATGGTGCACGTCTTCCTTTTGTTCTCCCAGGAAGTGGGAGCACACCGAGTTGAGAGTGTAGCTTCGCAGGTGGTGGTCGCGTTGAATTAGTTGTAGTAGGTCAAGCTGGAGACGGCCGTTGGTGTTGGTCTCTTTTGACTCGCGATTACCCATCTGCTTGCTGGAGAAGTTGGCCTTCTTGTGCGCAGATTTCACGCTGGGAAGACGGCCCCAGTACTCAAAGCCCTTGGCCTTCAGTGCGCTCGCTCGGTCGAGTAGGTACGGGAAATCAAAGTTGGCAATGTTGTATCCCGTGATCACATCTGGGTCGACCTTCTCAATGAAGCGCTTCCACTCCATGAGCATGTCTTTCTCATCATGGAACTCCAGAATCTGGGTTGCAACGATTGGACTCGTGGTGTCCAAGCAGAAGACATTGCGCACAAAGGGCTTTGTCTCACCAAATCTCGTGACAACGTTTGCAATCTGGATGACTGGATCGATCTCGGGCTCAGGGAAGATGCCCTTACGGCCAGCACATTCGATATCGAACGACAAAATGCGCAATGGCGCCATTTTGGACCATTCGCCCTTTGGCTCGTGTGAGACGAGCTGGTGATAGCTGATCTCAGCCTCAATTTGGCAGTTTGACTGTCTGAGGTGGTCTGGCAGCAGCTTGTACATCTTTGCTGGAGCCTCTACCCAGGACATTCCAGGAATCTTGACCAAGTTAGATATGCACGAGAGCACGAGGAATTGGCAGATTTTCTTACCTTGCAGTCGACCATAAAGCGGAGAATGTATTGCAAGTTGTCGAATGTCTTGATACCTCCGTCCGCACTCTTCCACAGCCCCTTCCAGTTGGCGTCTCCTCTTTCTATCGTGGTCCGCACCCTGGGGATGAATTTGGGGTCTGTGACGGTGATTTTGATGTATGGACTCTGCGTATTGCCCTGAAATCCATAAATATTCTCCCTCAGCACAACCTGGCACGAATATATGGCTGGCTGGTGTTGTGCGAGTTGGGTCTCGAGATATGCTTTGAAAGGTTCACAGTCTTTTGGCGTGAAGGAGACGGGCGCTGCGACGTAAAGGTAATGCTTGAAGTCGGTGACATGGAGCATGACGGAGTGGCCGTTCTCCGTGACACCAAATAGCTTGACCGTGGTCTTGCCACCGTGCAGCGTGCCCTCCTCGGCCTCAATTTGCTGGAATGTGAGTGCATCACGGTCTGGCTGAAAATCGACTACTGGCGGCCTTTCCCAGGACTGGTCTCTTTCGGAGTTGTTCTGTTTGAGGTCTGAGATGTCCTGGCTGAGCTTCTCGAGGACTTCGGATTCGAAGGCACTTTTCGGCTGGCTTGACGCAAGCTTTGAGGTCGGACCCTGTTGCGAGCTGTTGAGCCGGGAAGCGGGCGAGGAAGTGAGTGGCTCGAGCTTCCGTCGTTTCGAGGAGGCTGGCGTAGACGGGATGTTTCGACGGTTGGAAGCGTCGCCGAGAATGCGCTTCTGAGGCAGTGTCGCCGTCGCCATGATGAATGTGGCGGCACAGCCGTGCTACGATGACCGTGACGAGAGAGCTGCTGGCAGAGCTTGGGGATGTGGGCGTTGCACGCTGCTGTGGAGGAAAAATGGTAGAGCACCGTTGTTCCAGAAGCGACCTTTGGTGCCACAAGGTGTGTCTCGACAGGACTTGAAGTTGTTGTTGTAGGCAGGCTCTTGGTGTGATTGTGGTTGTGGTAGGAGTTGCTGCATGGGCCAAATGTGTGGACCAGTCAATTAACGCGTGTCGCGCTCGCGGCGCGCGTTGCTGCACTCGAGGTGAAGGGCGGCCGGGGAGGGGCAGCCCAGGCCGGCGGCACCTCGCGTGCACGTCATTCTCGCTGGGCACCTCATTAAAGGTAGGAGGACCCACTCCCTGGTGCCTTCTGCAAGGTCCTCCAGGGCTGGTTTGACAGTATTACCCTAGCTTCGCCTCAGGGCAACATCTCGCTCACCACGCAATTTGAGAAGAAGGCCAGCATTGTAAATGCTGAGCCTTGCCTTGGCCATTCACGTTGCAACACTCGTATCAGATGATCCACGCCGCGGCGGGCGGCGTCAGACAAATGATAAGTGACTCCTCCAAATACTTAGCGTAAATCAGTAAGCAGCCGATATTATGATATTAGTATGCCAAGCATAGAGGCTTGCTCCGTGCTCCGGTTCTGGGCTCCCGTCTCTCCACGTCATGTCCATTCACGGCATCCTGGCGAATAGGAGCTGTTCACCATGCCTGCCGCCGGCCAGCCAGCGGCGCAGCCATCGGTTAGAGCCCGAGAAGCTCCTGAAGCAAGCCAGCCCGCATCAAGGTCTCGAAAAAGCACTCGGCCAGGGCCTTGTTGCCAACCACGAACTACTCGGCGCAAGGTGTTTTGACGACGCCAGCAGGCAGGGATCGTGTGGCACACGATGCGATCCACAACGGGGCCCAAAGAACCCTCAATTGGTCGGATTTGCCGGGTCCTCTTGTAAGTCGCCGAGTCGCAAACAAATGGAAAACTTCTAGTGCTGCTTGTCCTAACTTGACACAATTAGGGCAGGAGGCTGGAGAACGCTATAAATTACGAAGCGCCCCCCTAGCGTCGCCACCCTCGTCTGTCGCCGGCGCACTCAACTTTTTCCTGCGTGCCTGCCAGCGCCCGTCCCCGAACAGACTCGAACATTCCGCAAGCCGCCTCCCAGGGTTATCGTCACCTGCCGGTTCCATCACCAGACACTTCGGCCGCGACATTTGACGTCTGGGACGTCACAGGTCGCTACGATGCAGGCGCTCATTACACCTGTTTCCAGTGGGAGCCCACCGCCCGTCATCCGGCTCATGCAGGCCGCTGCCGTCCTCCTCGCAACCTCTGGCGCTGGCATGAGTGCCGCACTTTCTTTCTTTGTCATCCCGCGCATCCTCGAGGCCCGAAGCGGCATTGACGTCGCCAAGCAATGGATCAAGATGCACGCGGCAACACAGCGATACTTGCGCATCTGTATGATATGGGTGCCCAGTGTTCTTCATTTAGCGCTCGGCCTCAAGATCCCCAACAGGACTCGCCTCTATTACTTTGTGGCCTGCGCCACTCTCAGTTTGGTCCCATGGTCCTACACGCGCCTAGACCCGATTCAGTGGAAGATGGAGAGGAGGGAGAAAATGCACAAGGATAAGGACGACACGGGCCCTTTGGTTGAGTACACCCCCTGGGGGCCGGAGGACGCCTATGGTCTGACGAAGCTTTGGGGATCACGAAACTTATACCCTTCAGCTGTCAGTCTTCTCGCGGGGTGCGCCTCGCTATACGCGGCTATGGCGTGACAAGTTCCCCTTGTGCCGCCGGGCAGGCTATATTGTACTTGTATTGAGGACAAGTCTGCCATTTCTCGCTTGCTCCAATTCCAATGCGGCTTGCTAATTATACATCCCAAGTACATGTAAAAAAATCTTAATTCTATACATTCTCTTGGATGGCGTAAATCCTGGCGTCACATGAATTCTACTTGGATTACAGATGCAGGAGAGACCTTGGACACTTCGTAGCATGGGCGACTGACGCGTATAAGACATGGCGGTGTTAAATCTTTTCATAGCACTCATTCGTCTCTTCGTCCTCACCATAGCGACCAGCGGACTAATGGCGTTATTTGATATCCAACAAGTGTACTTACTTATAGCGTACTTAGCTGATGAAATCTACCACGAATCAGAAGGGTGCTAATACCTGTTTTGAGCTGTCCTGCATCGGCGCATGTCAAGTGGTGGTGCAGCTGCCCAGAGCTGCAGCCCACAGCACCTGCAGGGTTCGTTAGCACTCCGGCGTGTCAGGCTGGACTTGAGCTCCCCTGTTCATGCGCCTCGACCTAGCTCCCGTTGGACCCAAGCAAGCAGCACCTGCGCACGTCTAGCTCTAGCCACTTGCGCCCGAGTGTTTGACATGCACCAACCCCAATCTTCCCCAGACCTAGGACCAACATCCCGAAGCGCAACGCGACAACGACGGCAGCGCGGCCGTCAGAGACCCCAGAGCCGAAGCCACGACGTGCGCGCGTCCGTAGCAGCCACGACAGCCATGGGATCAGTGTCTGTTTCGCACGCGACCCATCCATATCGGCTTCAATGAGCGGGTCGGAATCATACCCAACTCCTGTAGATAATACCCAGCATCCGGTTGTACCCAGCGGCCAGGAACTCCCAGACCAAACGACGCACTCGCCTCTCGCGCAAGACCACCTCGGCCAGCAAACGACGGCCAGCAGTATCGTTCCAAACAACGACTCAGGCAGCGAAGGGGCAAGCTGGTTCTCCATCCGCGACATCATCCAGGAGAAGGTACACAAGGGCAAAATATACTACCTGATAGACTGGGAGGACGACGCACGCACGGGCAATCCATACGATCCAAGCTGGGTACCAAACCCCAGTAGCACACAGCGCAGCTCGCCTGCCTGCTGCGCTGGTTTGTCCTAACGTGGCTTACAGGAACCTGAGGAGAACGTCACAGAAGTCGCCAAGCGTGCGTGGCTCGCGAGACAGAACCAGCTATCTTCGCAGGTCGTGTCGCAATACTCGTCTCAGGAAGATAGCCAAGTGCCGGCGGTGAACTGGAGGCGCTGGAAACGGCTCTGTCAGGGCCATCGAGGGCAATTGGACTCGTCCCAGGTTGACCAGTCAAGTTCTGTGTCCGTCATTCGGGGGAAAGCAATAGTCGTCGAGCTTCCGCCCTTAGTAGGCTTGAATAAGTCCGAGTATCGCTTCTGGCCTGCGTCACCCAGTGCAGACGTGTACGACATCGGCCAGGACGCCGACAGTTTCCCCGCGCAATTTCCAGACACCGATTCAGCCTCTGCACGGCCACGAGCAGAATCGCGCCGCGGCGAGATTCCTGACTCGCAGGAAATATCCACAGGGACCGAGTCACAGTCTCAGCGGCTTCAAACTTCGCGACACTTCGTCGGTAGAAGCACAGTGCCAGATTCTCAGGAAAACCGAACAGCCCTTCTCCAAGAGTCGGCAACCTTGCGAGAGAGCTCGCTTGATCGCGGCCTGCACTTTCACACCGATATCCCTTCGCACCAGCCGGAGAGCGGCCAGGAGAATCTTGATACCCTAGACTCGCCATCACAGCCTAATTCTATCCCTCTAGGGACGGGGCAACTCATTCCCGCTCCGAATTACAGCCCGCAGCCCTTCAGCCCGCCACAGTTTCTTACTCAGATTCCGCTTGAATCTCAAATTACCTTCTCGTCGTCACAGGTGGTTCTGGAGTCCACCCTCAGGGGAGCTGATTTGTCCGGTGAACAATCTGGGAGTGGGCAACCTTTAGTTGAGGCTCTCTTGCATAATTCGCAGGCTGCACAGGTCATTCCAACTGTTGACACTGCCTTTGACGATTTTGAGTTCCAGACGCAGTACGATTTTGACGTTTACGACGACAGCGGATCAAGTAGCGAGAATTTTGTGCCTGAGACCGTGCAACGTCCAGTGTCAGCGGCCAACGTCATTCATCGTCAACAGCAGGAACAGAACTCCCAGGGTTCAAGTCAGGCTCTCAGTGAAGTGAATGGTAACAACAGAACTCGCGCGTCTGACAAAGAACACAGGGAACACCTCGACGGGCAGAAGCTAGCTGCAGTGCAATCCGATTCCGAAGCGCGATTCAGCACTCGGATAAGCGCAGCCTCTGCAGGACGGCAAGGGCAGGTCATAGCCTCCACTGAACGCAATCTTGCGGAAGTGACTGCTGTATTCTTGGCCGCAGTACCCGCCTGGAAACACCTGACAACATGGAGTCCGCAAGCGCTGGTTCGACCCCAATATCGGCGAAAGAACGGCTCAGGCTGATCCGGGAGCGCCACCTAGGACAAACGCCTGAGCGCACTTCAGCCGAAAGAGGCGAGATTGCACCAGAAGAGCGTCAGGGCACTGCGCCTCCTTTACTGGAAGATAGCAACAATCTCGCAGCCTTGCAGAACAGCATAGCAGAGAAACCCGAGCCCGTCGGTATTCTATCACCAAGTCTTGCTTTCGAGACAGCTGAACTACTCCCGAAAGATATCCTAGCTCTGGACCAGAATGGACAGGAGTCCCTGATGCCAGCTATGGATCTGGACCCTGTCACCACATTTGTACAGCGTCCGTTACAGCCGCCTGAAGCGCCAGAGCGGTCGCTCGGTTTTGAGCGGTCTATGGCTCCCCAACAGACTGAACCCCACGAGATCAGCAACCAGTCTCTACAACCACTACCAGATATTCAGAATGTGGCACTGTCTGACCTCGCGCTGGTTCCCGAAGCAGCACCTACCACTCTTGACCCGACCACACTGACTTTGTCAATCGAGGGCGACTTGGACGGCAGTCCGTCAGTGGCTACTGACGATGCCGGGCCGTTGCCTCTATCGCATGAGACGCCCTTCGGGCCGCTCGACTCATCGAGAGACGAGACTGGGCCAGAGGCAGACGACGATTATCCTCGAGATATTCTATTAGAGATTCCTACCGCACCACATGAATATGTCGTGACGCTTCCTTTCTTCAGTAGCACTCGACCTCAGTATAACGACATCATACGAGACCATGAACAAGCGATCCAGCAATACACCACCTGTTTCTCAGTAACACCACATCAACAGCCAAACATTGGCCTGATAGCAAAGATTGATCATATGTTCTCGCGCCTGTTCGACATATGTGACTATCCGCCCTTCCTCGACACATTACCGTCGATGACTGCAGAAGAAATCACAAAACACGTGGTCGGAACGAACCCGAAGATGTGCTTCATATACGAGCTACTCCTGGCGCTGAAGGAAGCGGGAGTGGGCAAGAATGTTGTCATCCTGGCCCGGCCAGGACAGATCACTGATATGCTCACGTCTGTCGCTCAAGCTGGCGGTCACAATCTGGTCTCCGATGGGCGATGGCCGCGAACTGCAGACGAGGCCAGTAGCTCGATCAACATCGCCATCTTGACTACTGACGGCGACCTCTCTGCTTTTTCTGCCAAGCCAGACGTATACATCGTCTATGACCACACGTTCGACCATGGTCTGATTGCGACCCAGGCTGCCGATTCACCCCTAGTGCTGGTGCTCACACTGGTCGCGTCCATCCAGCATCTCAACATGCGGGTATCAGAAAAGATGGAGCCGCTGGAGCGCAAGAACTTTCTCGTGCTCGCCATGGCCAAGGCGATGCGTTATATCGAGGAGCCGGACTACCTGCCTGGTATCGACAAGCCGCACGAGGTAGCCTACGAGTTTGCACAGCATCTTCAAAATTCCGAGTATGATGACTTCCACTACGAAGGCCAAGAGATTCCGGATGATGTATTCCAGGATCTTCGTCAAGTTTCCGGCTCCCAGGCGCTTGACACACAGCAGGCAGCCGATTCTGGAGACGCGACTCCAGCTCGACAGAGTCTGAAGCGGACGAATGTGAGTCGAAACCTGCATATCCTCCAAGCGGTAGAGACTGACTGGATATGCAGAATGATTATGACGATCTTGCTTCCAAGCGTGTACGGTTATCACAGCCTCCTCTGACTGGTCTGATGAACCACATCAGCGAGCCTCTCCGAGAGCTGCTTGGAGATGACCCTACACTTGACATTAGCGATGACTCCAAGGTGATCAGTGTCTCTGTCGACCGACTCGAGACCTTGTCCGAGATGGTGAGTAATGACTATGTGCCCTGTGAGTATCAATACCTTGCTAACAGTATCTCCCCACTTCAGATCATCCAACTTCAGGATGAACTGCGCGAAAGCAGGCAACGTCAAGAGGATTTCCGCAAGCTCAGCGACCGCTCAAAGAGCGAGGTCGACGGCTACATAAGCTCCATCAAGACGATTCAAACCAGGTACATGGAAGCCCTGAAGGATCGAGGCACTTACGAAGCCGAGTGCAAGAAAGCCCAGCAGGAAGCCGAGAAACTTCGCTCGAGCCTGGAGAACAGCCGGCAGGAAGCCAGCGTGTGGCGCGAGAAGAACCACGAGCTCACCGAGAAGCTCAAGGAAGCTAACAGGTCTCTCGAGACTGGCGAGAACCCAGACCTGGCGCGGGTGTCGCGCCTCGAGCTGGAGATCACCGAGGCCCGCGAGGCCGTGGCCAAAGCAGAGCGCCGCGCCACCTCGGCCAATGAAACGGCAGAGTACTCCAAGGACGTGTACCAGGAAGCCTCCCGCACGGTTCTCGAGCTGCGCAGCGAGAACGCCAGCCTCACCCAGCGCCTGGCCGAGCTCGAAGGGCGAGCCAGCGATAACGTCGTCGCGGTCAACCAGATCCAGGCGCAGAGCGAGGCCAAGACGCTGTTGCGCATGGTTGACGAGCAGAAGAGCATCGTGCGCGACCGCGAGATCGAGCTGGGCCGCTTGCGCGAGGAGCTGCGCGTCAAGAACGGCCGCCGGGAGACGAGGCAGTCCAGCGTACCCCGGAGCCCGCGGATCTTGCCTGGCCAGGGCGGAGCCGGCAGCAACAATGGTGGTGGTGGTGGTGGTTTTGGAGGGGCAGCCAGCAGCGTGCTCATGAGTCCCGCGCGCGGCCATAGCCGGGCTTCTGGGAGCGGCGGCATCACGGGGGCGAGCGCGAGTAGTCGCGGCACGAGCCCTGTACCGCCGCCCATGGGTGTCTTCGATAGTTCTGGGCTCTCAGCGGCCACGGGGAACAACGGCGGGCCGCTCTTCAATCAGGTCACCGGTGGAGGAAGGTTTGCTCATCTGCGAGAGTAGTCTCAGCGGCGGTAGTGGTGGTCCCGGAGTTGACTTTGATTTTTCCGATACGGCAGCGGCGGCGGCAGTAGCGAGTCGAACGTTGTGCGATGATTCAAGATGTGCCAGAGGAGGGGCGGATGCATTGGGAGGAGGAGGAGGTAGAGTATTGTCAATTACCTAGCCTCGAGCAGGAAGAGCGGGAGCGAGCCATCTGAGGTCATTATTACCCCGTTTTGTAGGCCGTGGAGGCGGCGTCAATACCATTGTCCTTGCATTTTTGTTTTGTTGCAGAGAGAAATGGCCGAGACGGCTGTAGTAGAAGCAAGGCCAAAGCAGAGTAACGCCGGAACCGGGGCCTGATACATGATAATTGTACAGCTCTCTTGTCCATTGCGCTAGGAAAGGCGTGGTTCGTGATAAAAGCGATGTCACAGTAATCGATTCCATACTTATCTCCAGCAGGGCAAGCAAAAGCTTGATTCTCACGACACACAATTCCAAAGAGATCCAGATATCGTCCTTCTAGAACAAAAAGTAAATGGTGGGACTAGTAATAGACATGTACACGTGGTGTCGTAGCTCTTGACGAGACCAGCGGAGTATTAGGGAGAAATCGATTCTCTTGCACTACTCTCGACCCTGCCCTTCCTCGTCTCTTCTTTTCCGGCTCGGTCCCGCGTCCTCACATGAGCGGTCGTGCCCAAAGGCGTGCGGTAGGTCACACATGAGGGATGAAGCAAATCATGCAAGGTCTGATATGAACCTTGACGGGTTCCTGGCGGGCACATATTGAAGCGCCTATTTGGACTCCTCGGGGTACATGTCCTCCTTGAGGAGGATGCCGAGCTCCTCCCGCAGGGGCTTGAGCTCCTCAAGGTACTGCTCGTACTGGCCCTTGTTCTCGGTCTTGGCCTTGATACCCTCAAAGACGCGGACGGCGGTGGGGTAGTCGTTGACCCTCCGGGCAGCCTTGATGGCAGCCTCGCAGACGGAGGGAGAGGGGACGAGATCGTAGGCGAAAGCGTTGTTCAGGTTGCGCTGTTGTCGTATAGTTTAGTCAGTCAAGGTGCGTGAATGTGCGATGCTTCCCTCTGATCGTCGGGATGAGACAGATGGCGAGCTGCAAAGAATCCGAAAGGTGTAATCCCCGTCCAATATCAGATGCAGTGGTTCGTCGTCGGACATCCGCCGAAAATTGCGAAGGGATATGGCGAGAGCAAATTGACTAACCTGAAGCTCAAATACATCCTGGACAGCCTCGAACTCCTTCTCGTATCTGTAGCAGAAGCAAATATCAGCACCTGCACAAGCGATTGGGCCGGAACGCCGGCGCAATTGACTTGGCCTGAAGCTCGACCTGTGCTCCAAGCACGGCGAAATGACTCGTTGCAGAAGCATGTCGGCGCCGGAGCCGGGCGGGATGAACAATGGTGGCGGCAATTACCTGGCGGTGAACTCCTCGAAGGTCTCCTCGTGGCCGGAGCGGCGGGTGACGGTGCTGCTGAAGTTGCGGGTCGAGCTGAGGAAGAAGCCGGGGGCAATGGCGCCCGGGGCGACGGGACGGTATGCGCGGAAAAAGGTCTTTGAGGGCGCAGCGCGGGCGGCGACGCGCATGATGGAGGAGGACGACATTGCGGGCGGGAGGCTTGCGGCGCAGAGCGTGGGCGGTGGCAGGACCGTGGGCGGCACGAAACCGGAGGTGGGAGGGGATGGTGTGGTGGTGGTGGTGGTGGTGTTCGTGATGATGTGGTTTGTATGAGCGAGTCGAGCCGGCTGTCGTGGTTGGCAGACCCGAAATCGAACGATTGAGCGGGCTCCTGACTGGCTGGGCGGCTGGCTGCTCTGAGAATTTCTGGGCTCGTCACTGCTGCCCGCCCGCACCACCAATTGCCTCAGTCTCATTGGCTGCAAGCACCGCTGCCGGGCTGCCAGTACTGGCCCAGCCCCACCCTGCAGGTGCAGCCAGCTCTGGGGCTCTTTGTTGTGCCGGCTCGTGTCTGCCGCGGGATGGCAGGCACATCCAGCTGCCCAAGTGGGCAACACTGAGCTGGGTAGCTCCATGCGAGCTCCAGGCTCAGCCCTCCGTCATTTAAGACAGCTGCTGACTGATCATGGGTACTGTGCCGGCACTGGATTTCCCTTGGCAGCTGCTCAGCTCCAGACTTGGCTACCTACGTAGGTAATAAACACACACTATCCAGAAGGTATACTTCAACCTGTTGCACCCATGGGTGGTCCTCGCATCAGCCAGATTCACTTCGACCCGTACCCCTCACTGACAGCACCTCTGTCAGGTCACTTGGACTGATCCAGCAACCACGCCATCCCCCTGACAGTGTCTTGTACAAACTCGCGGCTCCGGGGGCAAGTCTGGCCACATGGACCAGAAGCAGTGACCGTACCCGCCGTACACGTCCACTCGTGTCGCCACACCTGCCTCTTCCCTCAGCACGCGCTCATATATTAGACCTTCGTCACGCAGCGGGTCGAGCCCGCATATCTGAAAGTATGCAGGCGGCACGCCCTTGTGGCCACCTGGTTGTGTCCTAAAGAGGAATGGCACCTGCAGCGGACTCTCATAGTTGGTGTTGAGCAAGGTTTGATACTTTGCCCGGGCCTCTGACCCAACCTGGCTGCTCAGAACTGGATCCTGGTTTGGTGTAATGTCTGGGTGGCCCAGGTACTCATCGCGATACTGCGCAGGCATCTCAGACGGCTCTAGGTACATCGTGATGGGCGGTACCGACAGGTATTGACCAGTCAGCGGAGGCGACAGTCCCCTGTCTCGCGCCAGGTGAGCGAGCACTGCGGCGATGTTGCCGCCTGCCGACACTCCGCCGATGATGAAGCCCGCAGACGCATCAGCGCCAAGTGTGCCGGCGTTGCTCGCCGCCCACTGTAGTGTGTCCCAGGAATCATCAATCCAGATTGGAAACTGATTTTCTGGTGCCAAACTAAAAGGTTTGCCGATTATCAGTGATGGCTCCAGGTTCAAGCGTGGCACGAACTTACCGATACTCTACGTTGACACAGACGGCCTGCAAGTCTCGGGCAAAGAGTCTGCAGTTGACCTCCTGGTCCGTATAGTCTCCCAAGAAGAATCCGCCCTCGTGAAACATTACAATCAACGGGCACTTCGTCTCTGGACGGGTGATGCTCTCGCTTGTTACTGGCCGATATATGCGGACATTGATCTCACTGCCGTCTCGCATCGGGATTTTGCGGTCCTCCTCATGAACCTGCTCCGGGATCGGTCCTGGGATGTATCTCTGTCCGTGCTTCTCCTTCAAGATCTGGGCGCTGTGTGCCCGAACAGCTAGAAAGTCGTTGCGCCCATAATACGGGTCTGATGGCTCAGGAGCCCGCATGGGGTTTGTTGCAAGTGTCTGTCCCCAAACAGTTTAGTCAGGGTTATGTGTTTCCTCACGGGAGGCGACATGGTTGAGCTTCGGGGTAGAATGGTCTTCAGCTGAATCGAGGATCTGAGACTGAGGACATCTTACTTGAGCCATGACAGGATCCATGCTGCCGTATGCCAGCAACTCGTCTCGGGTGCGGGGTGCCATGGTAGTAAATTGATCACACGCCGTGTGTGCAAGATGCTGCTCGTAGGCTGCTGAGCATGAACTGGGATGGCCTTTTACCTACCTTAGTAGGTATCCGCGAAGCTGGATTTTGGAGAGGCCGGCGGTGTGTGTAAGCACATGTGAGCACTTGTGAGCACTTGTGAGCACATGCGAGCACATGTTCACCTTGTCGCAGGAAGCTGCATGGATGGATACGCGTACCTTGTAGGCATGCTCCAGGAATACCGGGGAGGTTGTCATACATCCAAGGCTCAGGCTGGTCTCCTCATCCAATGCGCGCCACGCAGATGGGATGGCACTTGCATGCTCGAGTGAGCAACGGCCTCTCCCATGAATATCATGCTTGACTTCTGCATCGAGAGTCTTGTATGTATGGCCGGCTACACTGTGTGAAGTCTAGTATGCTTGTTCACAGCCATGTCGGCGGCTTGAAAGCTTGACCTGTAGGTGTAACTAGCGGCACAGCGGGTGGCGCAATGGGGAAGCTTTACAATGGTTAGAGTTGCGGGGGTTTACAAGGTCAATGAACGACACCAGCACTTTGTACGCTTATGCACTGCAACCAAGCTCCATACAGTTCTTCAATCATCCCAGGCATACGCTGCGGATGTGCCATTTGTGGTCATGAAACGTCGTGACCCTCAGTCAAGCCGTCTCCCGTTGTGTAGCCAGCTTCCTAACGGGGTCTGGCTCCACGGCATGGATCCCTAGCCCTCGCGATTCGTGATCAAGTGACCATCGCAAGCGGCGGTGATAAGCAGCGCACGGCTCCTTATCAACAATGACAACAACATTGTCGTGACACCTTCTCAACCCCAACCTCAACATTCCATCAGAGCTCCGACTATCAGGCACAAGCCCAACGGCCAGCAGTCAGCTCTACAACCTCATTTCTGCGACTGATTTGGCTGCCTTGACCATCGACCCGTGCCCCACGAAGCAATGACCCGCCACACCCCCGAGTTCCTCGTCCGACAGCGGAGCTCCAACATGTCGCTGCGCATGGCCGCTGCCGCGAATGCCTCCGAGGCGTCCCAATCTCTATACGACGGTTTCACATCGAGGAGCACGGCGGACAGCGTCAAGGACGACTGCGACACACGTAGCCGCACAATCAACCCTGAGGCCTTTACCGCGCCATTCTGCGACTTCCTCCGCGAGAACCCGACAATCTTCCACGCTGTCGACTACTTCAAGAGCAAGGCCAAGGCTGCGGGCTTCGAGGAGGTAGGTGAAGACTGGCCCAGGGATGGATGGCCCGGAGTGAAGCTGCCCATACTGATTCAATTCACATCGAAACCAGCTGCCTACACGCGACGACTGGACCGGCAAGCTCAAGGCTGGTGGCAAATACTTTGTCAGTCGCAACGGCAGCGCTCTTATCGGATTCACCGTGGGCAAGTCCTACAAGCCCGGGAATGGTGTCGCCATCGTTGCTGGGCACATCGATGCCTTGACTGCTAAGCTCAAGCCCGTCAGCAAGAAGACCACAAAGGCCGGCTACCTTCAGCTGGGTGTCGCGCCTTATGCTGGTGCCCTGAACACGACTTGGTGGGATCGTGATCTGAGCGTCGGTGGCCGTGTCATTGTGCGCGATCCTGCGACTGGCAAAACGTCCAGCAAGCTTGTCAAGCTTGATTGGCCGAGTAAGTGCGCCCCAACCTTTGTCATGAGACGCCCAAGTCGACTAACATCTTGTGATCAGTTGCTCGGTGAGGCTAGAAGATCGATGCCATAACACATGCTTGTGACCACTCCGGCTAACAGGCAGAACAGGGTGCCGACTCTTGCCCCACACTTTGGTGTTGGGATGAATGGCTCGAACAACGCCGAGACTGAGGCTGTACCAATTATCGGCCTCGACAACTCGGACCTGTATCCTTCGACTTCCGACAAGGCTGAAGAGCCGCTCGGCGGCGTAGGCGCTTTCACTGCTACGCAGCCGCCCAAGCTCGTAAAGGTCATTGCCAAGGAGGTTGGCGTCAAGAGCTACTCAGATATTGTCAACTGGGAGCTGGAGCTGTTCGACCTGCAGCCCGCCACGGTGGGTGGTCTCGATAAGGAGTTCATCTTTGCTGGTCGTATCGACGACAAGCTGTGCAGCTGGGGTGCTTGGGAGGCCCTGTTAGCTGCCGATGCCAAGGAGGACGACGGCAACATCAAGCTCGTTGCCCTCTTCGATGACGAGGAGATTGGCTCTCTGCTGCGCCAGGGAGCCAAGGGCAACTTCCTCCCGTCCGTGATTGAGAGAACCGTCGAGGCTTTCAGCACCAGCGACAAGCCCTTCGGTCCTGGCGTTGTCGGCCGGACCTACGCCCGGTCGTTCCTGGTGTCTGCCGACGTTACACACGCCGTCAACCCCAACTTTGAGGGACGGTACCTTCAGGACCACGCCCCGCGCCTGAACGTGGGCATCGTCATCTGCCAGGACAGCAACGGCCACATGACCACCGACAGTGTGTCGACCGCCATTCTCCAGCGGGTATGCCAGCTGTCGGGCTGCACCCCGCAGACGTTCCAGATCCGCAACGACTCGCGCTCCGGCGGCACCGTCGGCCCGACCATCAGCAGCATGCTGGGTGTCAAGTCCGCCGATGCTGGCATGCCACAGCTGAGTATGCACTCCATCCGGGCTACGACGGGCTCTCTGGACCCCGGTTTGGGCGTCAAGTTCTTCAAGGCGTTCCTGGACAAGTGGGAGCAGGTTGATGCGGAGTGGCACTAGGAGGTCTGAACTTCGTTTGAGGTGCTAGCGAGCAATATAATCATGGCGTGCGGGAATACATTATGCAGCTTAGACATGACCCATTGCGATCTCAGTCGCGCTGTCAGTCTTCACAGAGATACTGTAGACATATTACATAGACCAATCACTAACAGCCATACCCGAAGTTTACTGTGCAGCCATGCGTTGTTGAGAATGTGGCACTCTTGGCATATAGTGTATGCACGTATGATTGTGCACACATTGTGTTATGACGTAGGGCCCACGCATAACCATGCGGTCGGGTCTTTCCAGGATGTGTGGGTCATGGCATCGTCACATGCTTTCAAGTTTGTCCTGCCAAAAATATGGCATTCTAGAATGGTCGCGACCATGTCCACCAAGACCCGCGCGGACCGGAATCTCAACAAGTCTACCATAGTACTTCAGTCCATTGCCTTCGTGTTGGGTGCATCGAGACCAAAGTGCTGGTTTTGTACCAGAATGGTTGGTTTCGTCCTGGTGACAAAATGCTTGAAAGAGTAGAAAGTCTCCGGCACGGATAGTGTAGCGTAGCCAGGCACCGAGCGAATCGGATAGACTGGAGGCCAAAAAAGGTCTCGCTGCCCATTCTACCTCCAAAATCAAAGGCCGTACTCGGTCTGCAAAAGAGGGTTAAGGGCACTGAAAGCAGAAAAGTCCCCGAGTCGCGGGAGGCTATGGAGCCCGCGTCGCCCGAACCCGAGGCTAGTAACGACGGAAAAGATTTGCGCCGTTGCCCAGCTTGATGGAGCAAGGTGGCACGAGACCAGTGGGAAAGGAGCTGAAGAGACCTGACAGCTTACTGGTCCAGTGGACGACGACCCTGGAGTTGGGCTCGCAGCCAGCCAGCCAGCATCATCAATCTCGGCTGCCTCCCGGCGCCAGGCTGCACTTTTTGCAAGCGACATTGCCTTCTTTAGACGGGCGTGTCGCTCTTGGAATCTCTGATTGATCTACAACTGCTGTTTTGTGGCACTGTCATCAACAACCGTAACAAGAACAAGCTGGGCTCGACTCGTTACACCAAGTAAAAACATACACTAGCGTCCTTTAAACCTGCCTGGCGATCGGTAGCCATATCCCTGTCGCGCAACGCATTACCCACAAGCATCTGACGTTGGGGGCTGTGTCCACTGTGCTCTTCGCTCAACCCGTCGTCATCACCGAGAGTCTCAGCCACTTCAGTCCATCTCTTTTCTCCCAATCCATTTCTCCGCGTTCTTTTTCAGGCCTCTCATTATAGCTTCTGCATTCCTCGACAGCCTTCCCCCGTTGTGATATCCAGCCACCACCTCGCGAGCAACAGCGATCCCAATTACTTCCATCGTCCCGGCGCCGATCATCTAGGCTTCATCCTTGTATACTTGTCCGATCCAACGACGCCCATCGTACGCCATGCCAGGCAAGACGAGCGCCTCGGCATCCGAGCGCCTCGCCGCCTACCTCTCCCGTCTCAATCCCGTTCCTGGATTCGCCGACTACACTGGTCCCTACAAGGTTGGAACCGTCGACATCGAAATCCCCGTTGCCGACTTGCACTCTCCAGCGCCAGCGCCGGCGAACGCGGCAGACATCGACACAGTCTCCTGCCGCATCTTCTATCCAGCACACCCAGACGCCGAGGGCAAGCGGATAACATGGGTTCCGGCGCCACAGAGACACACCATCTCGTCCTACATCCAGTTCCTAGGCGCCGGCCCGACACTCGCGTCTGCGGCGTCCTTTCTGCCTCGACACCTGCACTACACCACGATACCTGTCGTCAAGAATGCGCCCCTGCTCGAGCCGAACACATTGAACCGGAGATGGCCGACCGCCATCTTCTCACACGGTCTTGGAGGAAATCGCAACGCCTACTCGCAAATCGTCGGTTCCTTGGCCTCCCACGGTGTCGTCGTTGTATGTCCCGAGCACCGTGACGGCAGCTCTGTGGTGTCGTTTATTCGCGACCCTGCCGCGCAACCGGGCCGATACTTCCGCTCCAACAACTATCGCACCGTCCCGTACAACCGGATACCACACGATGCGACAGACGAGATTCACGCTCTCAGGGATGACCAGCTCAGAATTCGACTCTGGGAGCTTGGTCTGATTCACGACGCCATCCTGGCTATTGACGGAAAAGTCCCATTTAGAAACCTGAACACCAGCACACCTTCACTCGACCAATTTGCAGGTGCGATGCACGTGCAAGAACCAGGCAGCATGATCTTTGCAGGTCACAGCTTCGGCTCTGCAACCATGGTGCAGTTTCTCAAGTCGGTCTACTATGCGGGCACGCCCGAACTTGACGCAATGGCCGAGCCGCTTTACACACCATCGCGCGAGTCTGCTCTCTGCAAGCAGATCACACCCAAGAACGTGACAATACTTCTTGACATGTGGTGCTTTCCTCTCTTGTCAAAGCCCACAAAGGCGCTCCACGATCTCCCTTTGCCTGTTTACGCCGACACTGCCGAAGCCCCTGGCGGCAACGCCCTCTTGGCCATTGAGAGCCAGGACTTCTTCAAATGGAAGGAGCATCTCCACGCCACAGCGCGCATCCTGTCGCCTAACCCGGCCGCGCAGATAGTTGAGCCTACAGCCTACGAACGACCACAAAGCCGCGTCAAGCTGGCCGAGCCGCACTTCTACTACGTGCAAAACTCGGCGCATCTTAACCAGTCTGACTTTGGGCTGCTTTTCCCCATGCTCACAAAGAAGATTTTCGGTGCTGTGGAGCCAGAGAGAGCGATCCGGCTGAATCTGCGCGCCATGCTACAGGTTCTTCGCAACAACAGCATTCCCGTAGGCTGCACGTGGGTAGGGGACTTGGTCGATGGTGGCATCGTGGATAAGCTCAGTCACACCTCGAGCGAGAAGCCCGAGGCCAGTCCTGCTGCAGGTGACGCCAAGGACGTCAGTGATGGCGTGTATGACGATCAGGCCATATTTTCTCGCAACACTCATCACGGCATCGAGGCTTGGGGCTGGATCGATATCATGGGCATGGGCCACTTTGTGAAGCAGGATGAGAATGGCTCAATCTCTGACGAGTCGGCGGCCGAGGCGACAGAGCCGGCCATGGCCAGCGTCATTGAGCCGAGCGCCGCCGATGAGGAGGCTGATGCTGCGGTGAAGGACGCCGCGGCGAAAGTCGTCTCGCAAGCGTCGCAGGGGAGGTCTGATGCAGTCCCTGCATAAGCGCTCTCTACGGCACAGCTGCTTTTGCGTGGTTGATTTCAGTATCGATCTGCCGTGGATTTGCAGAAAAATCACGTTATACACAGCGCTATGCGTTGGGTGAACACTGGCATAACAGGGCGGAGTATGGACAGCATAGCGAGGTCTCCTCTTTTTATTTTTTGTTTGTTTGGGGTCTCTCACAGACCAAGCATTGTTTACGATTCCCAGCGGTGGCAACTGGAGTTCAAGATGGTTTCAAGCTTTTCCCTTAGACAGCCTTAGTCTTTACCTCCTACAGCTCGGAATTTCATTTTCGTCTGCTCAGCCTCAGCTCTTTGGCATGCAATACGATGCGGCTTCTTCTTCTTCCCTGCGAATTGTATCTGCTTATTTGCCCCATGCTACGGACTTGAGGTTGACACGGAGCTGGCCCCGGGACGCCCTTGCCGTGACAGGCTCCACAATGGCGCCATGTTGCCGACCACCGGCGATTTGGCTTACAGTGACGTGTCTATCATTCAGGTACCCGGCTATTGATAAAAGGGAGCTCTTTTCTACACACCAAAATGACAGTACTCGGGACCGCCAAAGTTTGATGATATCTGAGCTTGCTTGGTACAAGGGAAAGTCCTTATTCAACAACGTTTCTTGTTCCATCTTCCTCAGGCTGCCAGGACTGTAAGTGCACCGATTAAACATCGTCAGCCTCAATAGAAAACAAGGAACAAACGCCCAAGTCTGGAAGCCCCTTATCTTCTGGAACCTCAGTGTTCTCCAAATACTCATTCTCTTTCCGCATTTCCTCTTTTCTGAGAAGACAAAATAGAAAGTAAAAAGATTTCACATCGGAACACACAACCAGCCATGGCCGAGGCCAGTGTTGAACCACCATCGCCGCCCACCCAGGGCTCCGCTCGTTCTCAGAAAACTGATCGCAACGACCCCATCCTGATTGTCGGGGCGGGCGTGTTTGGCCTGTCCCTGGCGCACGAGCTCGTCGCGAGGAGGGGCTACACCGACGTCACGGTGCTGGACCGGGCCTTGCCGCCCGTGCCGGACGGGAGCTCCGTGGACGTGTCGCGGATCGTGAGGAGCGAGTATGCGGACCCGGTGTACACGCGGATGGCGAAGGAGGCGATTGTGCAGTGGCGGCGTGGTGGTGATGGTGGCGATGATGAAGGCGGGTATGCACCGTGGTACGACGAGTCCGGGTTCGTCATCATCGCCGAGGGGGATCACCATCCGTATACTGCCAAGGCTCTCGAGGAAGGGAGGAAGAACACTGTCGTCGTCGCTGCGGAGGCCGCTGCTGGCAAGAACGGCAGCGAGACGACGACAGCGTCATCGCGGGCCGAGGGTTTTACCGCCGCAGAAGCCGGCGCGAGGATCACGGAGATGTACCCGGCCGTGCAGGCGCACATGCAGGGCTACTCGGCCGTGCACAACCCGGACGGCGGGTGGGCGGACGCTGCGGGCGCGATCGGGGAGCTGGCGCGGCGGGCGAGCCGGGCGGGCGTGAACTTTGTCACCGGGCGGAGAGGGACAGTGGTGCGGTTGAAGTACGCTCCCTCCAGCTCGGATGCGTACGCCACTGCTCCTGCTTCTTCCTCTACTGCCACTTCCACTGGAGGCGACGACTGCAAGGTAGAGGGAAATCGGAAGGCCATTGGCGTCGAGACCCTCGCGGGGGAGACGATGCTTGCATCTCGCGTGGTCCTCGCCGCGGGAGCCTGGACGAATAATCTCCTCCCGGGCGTCGAGCATGCGTTCCTGGCGACGGGCCAGCCGGTGGCGTTTGTCCAGCTCACTCAGGCCGAGGCTGATACACTGCGGCCCAGGCATCCAGTCATCGTCAACCTGTCCACGGGTGTGTTTTGCTTCCCGCCGACTCCCGGACCGGGAGGGAACGTGCTGAAAGTGGCGAGGCACGGGTATGGTTTTGCTACGAGTGTGAGGCCTGGGCACAGCCAGGAGGACCACCTTCAGATTCAACGACAGCACGAGCCGGAGCAGGACCCGCAGAAGCAGCAAGGAGGAGGGGGAGCAGGGGGAACTGAGAGGACGATATCGTCGCCAGCCAGAGACGCAGACAACTCCGCCTCGGGATACCTCCCGGACGACGCGGACGCGGCGCTCAGGGAAGGCTTCCGCCAGTTCTTCCCGCAGTTTGCGGACCGGCCTTGGTCCAAGCGGCGGATGTGCTGGTACACGGACACGGCCAAGGGAGATTTTGTTGTTGACAACCATCCGAGTGTCGAGGGGGTGTTCTTCGCTACAGGTGGCTCTGGGCAGTACGTATTTCTCTCTCATTTTTTCGTCTCCCGCCCGACCCGTCGATGTTTTCCGTCAAGCTGACAATCATGTGTGTCACGTACAGTGGCTTCAAGTTCCTCCCCGTGCTTGGCCGTTATCTCGCCGACTGCTTCGAGGACAAAGCAAGTCCGGAGATCAGGGAGAAATGGCGGCTGCCTACGCCGCCTGAGGGTGAGACAGTAACGGCACTATCAATGATTGGAGATGGCAGCCGGGCTGGACCTCCTCTGAGGAGGTTGACCGAGGCAGAGCAGGCCAAACTGTGAGATTCAAGTTGCCTCGTAGACAATGATACCGGGCCAGTATGCTGCATATTGCGCCGAAACGAGTAGTGTTTTCATTGAACATAGAAGCTGGAAGCCTTGTTTACATTGAGATACAACGTATTCCAATCGGATTAGGCCAGCTTCGCAGTGATGAAATCTCGGAATACTTTCTAGGAGTGGGTATCCAATAGCGTTATATTTGCAGAACACAGCTTTCACTATACCATTCGCGCAGCCCTTTTCGTTTATGATGATGCCTTACTCTTCTTTGGCGCAGGGCTGGCATTGTTGCTGCTGGTTTCACCACTGACATTCTTGCTGGACGCAGCTGCCTCCTTCTTCCTCTTCTTACCGGCGAGCATGTCCCTCTTCTCCTGCTTGCGTACGGCTTTGTCGAGGCTACCAATCACACCCTTCTCCCGTCCACAGGGCCAATTCTCAAATGCCGCTGCTTCTTGCTCCGCAGTCCACTCCTGTGGGAGTACCGCGAATGTGAGGTATGAAGTGTGCGTCTTGATCTCAGCCTCCGTGCGATGGATGAGCCGGCCCAGCATCCACGGCTTTGTACCCTCGTCGCCGCCGTCATTCTCACCGTTGACGTTTACAGCGACCTTGGTGTCGTCGACATCCATCTCGTCGTCGTCATTATCGGCCCCACCTCCTTGTGTCCTTCCGTGAAACTCGCGGGCCTTGTCCTCTACCTCCCGCAGTCTCGCCAATGCCTCGTCGACATTTCCCGCGGTCTGGTTCGTCCCACGTTCCGTGGGCATGTTGAGCCCAACACGCTCACGCATGACGTTGAAGCGCTTGTGCGCTACCTCGACCATCTCAATGTCCATCCACCCCAGTTGGCGCATCACCTCGACCGTTTTGGTAACCTGTTCTATACATGGCGAGAAGGTGCACAGGTATACGCTTCTGTCGGCCCGAAGGGGCGACTTCCTCGTTTTTGAGTCGATCTCTTCTGAGTCTTGGGGCTTTTTGCTGCTCGCTCTAGTGAGGTGAGGTAAAGCCTTCCAAGGGGCTGGCAGATCCAAAAAGATGCAGTCCGCCTCTGGGCTCTCTCCATCCTTGACCAGGAACCCGTCGTTGTAGACGTCACGATGAGTGATGTGGACCATGTCACTGAGGTTGTGCGCCTCGATTTCCTCCTGCATCTTCTCAAAACGTGCTTTGTCGAACTCGAAGCTGAAGACTTTCCCCCTGTGGTCGCCTTCCGATTGTGGGTGTCCGTTGAAGACAGCTCTCACGGCAGCGTGGGTGAAGCTACCACTTCCCGCACCAGCTTCTATTATGCGCATGCCTGGACGAGCTCGTATCCTGTGGAGGATGTAGCTGTAGTCTGGCGTGTAGACGACCTGGGTCCTGTGTGGCAGACTCATGGTCCATAATTCGGGCGTCGGAGCAAGAACGTGGACAAAGCCGCTGGCGGCCGTCTTGACACCGGTAGAAGCAGCCTTGGGTTCCTCTTCCACAGCGGGCGTGCCTTGTGTCTCCGGAGTGGCTACATCATTGCTATCGGGCTTCCTCTTGCGACCTCTTGAACCGGTATCGACGATCGAGGCTCTCACCTGGGCACCCCAGGGGACGCCGATGAGGGTCGAATGCGGGAAGGAGCCAAAGCGCGTGTTGATGACGTTTCCCTCGGCATATCCGTCTACGGCACCAGTGCTTCCCCTCAGGTACACAGGTTGTAGGTTGTCCCTCGAGAGATGAACCAGTGCCAGTGTGCCTTCTGTGGTACGCGGGCCTGGGTCAATAAAGGGCGATGACCGTGCCATTGTGAAAGACTGAAGCCGGACACGATGCCTGCTTTTTCTTTTTGGTTTCGTGGGATGCAGATTCTCCCCCAACGTGCTGGTGTAATGTGTAAAATCAAAAATGACCGGCGTCTGGGCTTAATTGATGAGTCGGTCGAGTGCCAGAGGGCTGCATAGCACTTCCACCTCGCAAGTTTGATACTGGCGCTAGCATGAGTGAGAGGCGTCTTGAAATTTTTGAGGCGCGCAGTTGAACCTGCATGGGGACCTGGAGCTGCGACAGCGGGGCCACAGGCGCTAGAGACGCACGGCAGGGACCCCTGCACAGCACCTGCCACAGGCGGGGAGGGGCCAGATCTGCAGGCATTTGCACCTACACTGCGATCCTCCAGCTCTGACTCAAACGAGGGGAAGAATCACTGCAGCTTCGAGAGTCACATTGCGTGACCTGTCCTCACTCGAGTCACCCTGGCCTTGTGACATTCCTTCCTTGCCCCTCTCTCCTTCGGCTGCGCTGCCCAGAGCTCCCATCACCCTCTCTCGCCTTTGCGCCTTGTGAGCTCCCGCTCGCCTATATGAGGGTCGTCGCCGCCTTCGCCAGACAGCTTCTCATTCTACCCCACCGGCCGGTTCGACGACCTTTTCCCGTCTGGAGAAACACCAGATTTTCTCACTCCTTCGCCATGGACTCAATCAGGGTGCACAACTCTCTCAAGCCGGGCGGCCCCGTACCCTTTGTCCCCATTGAGAAGGGCAAGGTGTCGTGGTACGCTTGCGGCCCGACTGTCTACGACCAGAGCCATCTCGGCCATGCGCGCAACTATGTCTCGACCGACATCATTCGTCGCATCTTGATGCACTACTTCGGTTTCGACGTCAAGTTTGTCATGAACTTTACCGACGTTGACGACAAAATCATTCTCAGGGCCCGAAGGAACCGCCTGCTCGAGGTCGAGAAGAAGAAGCAGTACTCGAAGGACGAGATCGCGAAACTCGGCTCCGACGCCTTCCAGGCATATGCAAAGAGCAGCCTGCCGCTTCTCCTCTCCGACGAATCCATCTTGGACGCCAGTAACTACAACGCGAGGCGCGATGCTGCCTACGGCAAGGTGTTGGCTGGCGGTACACTTTCCGGCGAGGGGAAGCCAGGCGACGACGAAGCGAAGCTCAAGATGCACATTAGCAACATGGACGCGGCAGCTGCGGCCATCAGCTCTGGACAGGTCTTCGGAGGTGCCGACGAGATACTGCTGCCGTACCTCGACTCTCTGTACAAGGAGTCGGTAGACACCAGCGACCAGTCAATGTTCACGGACCTGACGAGATTCATGGAGGGAGAATTCACCGACGACATGGACAACTTGAACGTCCTCAGGCCGGATGTCGTTGTTCGTGTCACCGAATACGTGCCCCAGATCGCCAAGTTCGTGGAGACGATAGTCGACAAAGGATTTGCATACGAGGCCGAGGGATCTGTCTACTTCGACATCGCGGCCTTCGAGCAGTCGCCTGGCAACAAGTATGCGAGGTTGCGGCCCGAAAGCAGGAACGACAAGTCTCTACAAGAGGAGGGCGAGGGTTCTCTTTCAAAGAGCTTGGGCGGAAAGAGGAGTCCTGGTGACTTTGCCCTATGGAAGAAGTCAAAGGCAGGCGAGCCTTATTGGCCTAGCAAATGGGGCAATGGCCGTCCTGGGTGGCACATTGAGTGCTCCGTCATGGCCTCAGATGTGCTAGGAGGTCAGATGGACCTGCATTCTGGTGGAATCGACCTGGCCTTCCCACACCACGACAATGAACTTGCGCAAAGTGAAGCATTCTATTGCGAAGGCCATGAGCACACCTGGGTCAACTATTTCCTGCACATGGGCCATCTCTCCATTTCTGGCTCAAAGATGTCGAAGTCATTGAAGAACTTCCAGACCATCAAGGATGCCCTCGCAAACACCTATACGGCTCGCTCCATGCGTATTGTCTTCCTATTGGGCCGGTGGAACGACGGCGTTGAGATCAGCCCGGATATGCGCCTCCAAGCGGACGGCTGGGAAAGCACGGTCAACAATTTCTTCACCAACGTGAAGTCTCTTCTTATTGAGGCATCTGGTTCAGCCGACACCAGCAGCGGAGATGTCAATAAGCTCAGCCTCAATGGTGATAAGCCTCAGGATGCTCTGCTCGTGGAACTCGAGCAGGCCAAGAAGGACATGGACTTGGCCATGGCCAACTCGTTTGATACACCTGCAGCTATGCGCGTGATCAGCGAGCTGATTAGAAAGACCAATGTCCATATCAAAGATAACGCAGCTGCCCTCGATCTATCGAGCGTGGAGGCAGTGGCTCGCTGGGTCACCAAGATTGTCGGCATATTGGGTCTTGACGCCAACGCTCGTCCGCCATACGATGGGCTGGGCTGGGCGTCCTCAGCAGCTGCAGCCGATGTCGATCCCGCGACTGCTGTGCAACCTTACAAGACAGTATATGAGACCGTCTTTGCAAATGCACAGAAGCTCGACCTTCCATCGTCGGATGTCCTGAAGGACCTGCTCGCGCAGAATCCTACACAAGACTTCGACTCCATCGTCGCCTCTGGCACTCGGGATCCGGAGCAGCTTGGCCTGCCGTACGTCCGTGCCGTGTCCAAACTCCGTGACGAGCTTCGCAAAGCCACGGCTTCTGCGTCCCCGGATGTAAAGAAGGCGATCCTCGCCCTCAGTGACCGCATCCGGGATTACGATCTTACAAACCTGGGCGTCTACTTGGACGATAGACCGGACGGTCAGCCATCACTGATCAAGTTTGTGCCTGCTGCTGAGCTTATCGCCGCGAGGGACGAAAAGGCTGCCAAGGACGCAGAAAAGGCTCGGGCTAAGGAAGAGGCCAGGCTCGCCCGCGAGAAGGCCGAGGCCGAGAGGTGGGAGAAAGCCAAGCTGGCCCCGGAGGACATGTTCAAGAGTGACGACCGCTACAGCGAATGGGACGGTGAGGGCATGCCGACAAAGATGAAGGATGGAAGTGAGGTGCCTAAGAGTCAATTGAAGAAGCTCAAGAAGGACTGGGACAGACAAAAGAAGGCGCACACCGAGTGGAAGACCAAGTTTGGCTCTTCGGCTTAGGCAAGAGTCTACGAGATTCAGAGCCGCCAAGCGAGCGCAAGAGCTAGCGGCAATACGACGAGGATGATACCTTATAGAGTGATGATGAAAATGAAAATGGCTGTAAAGAGCACGAGGCTCCTCGGCTTGCCGATTTCCTTTTATGTCTCTGAGTCTAGAACATGCTCAGGACTTGTATGTATTTATGTGGTTCACATGTACCTAGCACGGTGGAAAGCAAGGACGAGCTTCCACATATCCTCAAGCGTATCTGATTTTCCAGGTCGTTGTCTAGCTATCACGCTTTCGTCAATCCTTGAGATGGCCCTCTAGATCGCGTGATGTCTCCGCGATCCATCAGCCAACGCCGTGGACTTCGTAATGGCGCTTTCCCTATGGGAGTGCCCTGCTTTTGCGGCTGGTTTTCTCTGGCGGCTGGTAATAATGTCCTGCGAATATATCTCCTCTGGCCACTTTTCGGGTATCTGTGATCTGTCCGGATTCTCTAGGCACCTTGATGAAACCCTCTGCCTGTCGCACACTCCCATGGGCAAACACCGCACGTCCCCCCTCCTGTTCTCTAGAGCCGCTCAAGTCATGATCGTCATGAATCTGGGCTCGAGGATTATCGTCTGCCCGCCCTTTAAAGCTGCCTTCACCGCCGTAACAAGTCTGTTCCTTTTTTTTTATCTACCTCCACGACCGCTCGCGCGCGCCCTGCTGACTGTCGCGCGACCTCTGGCCAGGCCGACACCTCTGCCTCTGGCGTTGCGACTCCTGAACATGGGCGCGTTCCTGTTTTGTACACAAAAAAATGTCAGCAACTCTTGTCTCTTCTGACATGGTGATTTGGGGGGCATTTCTTTTCAAATTCGGCGGGCGACTCCCCTAGCATGTCCGGCCCATACTGAAAGGCGGAAGGACCTGGTGTCATAGAACAAAAGAACATGGGCGACACGGGAAAGAAAAAAAAGCGAATGGTGCTGGCGAGAGGGCAGAGGGCAGAAGGCACGTACTTGAGCATGTCGGGCACGATGAAGAAGCGCACGTGGCTGCCCCGGATGTACACCTGGTCGAGGTGGCTGACGCGGCCGTCGCGGGCGGTGACGGTGATGTCCTTGAGTTGGATGTTCATGTTGTCCTCGGCTGGGAAGGGTTTCGAACTTATATGTCAGCATTTCCGCCATGAATTGAGCTTGAATGAAGATTTTTGTTTTCATGTGACCGGATTTTAAAAGGTCTGGAGTGCACTTTTGCACTGCGATCTCTGGTATATAGGAGGCTGGAATTGGCAGACAACGGGATGCGGGGCGTACCTTCGAGGAGCTTGCCGCGGTATGTCTGGCCAGAGGTGATCTCGAGGGTGATGATGTGGCCCTGGGCCTCGTTGAGGAGTTTGATCGGGATGCCGATTGTCGACGTCATGTTGGCGGTCTGTGGTGCGCGATGCCGTCTGGGGGTTGGGTTGTGTTGGCGGTGGTGGTGATGGCAGCTTAGGGGGCTGCGCTGCTCAGTACGGCTGAATGTCCTTTGTCGGTTGACCCAGGTGGTTGGTGCTGCCGTGAGTTGCCGCTGCCGTGGTCGTCGTGAATGCTGGTCTGCGCGAGGCTGCGATGTTTGACCGTGGTGGTTGGCCCTGCCTAAGCTTCGCAGCCTCCCCAGTCTCCAGGGCTGTTCCAAAGTTTCCACGGACGGGCGGTACCTAGGTACATGCAAGGGCCCTGCCGTGCGCCGCTAGTCCGCGATTGTGCTAGCGCAGGATTGCTCCCCCAAAATGTTGGAGGGGTCGAGTGTGACTGCAGGAACATGCCCCTCCGAGCTGCTGGCCGATGCGACGACACGTTGAGTCACTGGCTTTGAAGACGTGGTCACAAAAGGCACACGACAGCTCCAGACCGGCCCATCAAAGAGACGCTGCAGGCCGAGTCGGGCACCTCTTCGAAGACGACCAATTCCCACGACTGCGACTCCCCCCCTTCCGAGTCTTCGAATCGTGCTCAACAACCATGGCCGAGCCCGAAGCTCCCACCCAGGCCCCTCCGGCCGCCGCGCTGGACCCTGTCGCGCCGGCTGCCAGCAAGCAGGTGGTCGACCCGTGGAACGTGGCCGGCGAGATTGGCGAGGACGGCAAAGCCAAGGCGATCGACTACAACAAGCTGGTCGAGGAGTTTGGCACCAAGCTCATCGACGAGGACCTCCTCCAGCGCTTCGAGCGCGTCACCGGCCACAAGCCACATCGCTTCATGCGCCGCAAGATTGTCTTCAGCGAGCGCGACCTCGGCCTCATCCTCGACCGCTATGAAAAGGGCGAGCCCTTCTTCCTGTACACGGGCCGTGGGCCTAGCAGCGACAGCATGCATGTCGGCCACACCCAGGTGTTTGACTTCTGCAAGTGGTTGCAGGATGTCTTTGATGTGCCATTGGTCATCATGTTGACAGATGGTAAGAAGAACTGCTCGTCGTCCTCTTGGTACAATTAGTGTCGATGCAAAGAGGACTCACGCAAACCCCTTCCAAACAAACCAACAGACGAGAAGTTCCTGTTCAGCGAAAAGAGGACAGTCGAGGAGGTCCGCGGCTACGCCAAGACCAACGCAGCCGACATCATCTCTATCGGTTTCGACCCGGCCAAGACCTTCATCTTCTCCGACTACGACTTCATGGGCGGCGCCTTCTACCGCAACGTCACCCGCTTCGCCAAGATGGTCACGTACAACACGGCAAAGGCAGTCTTTGGCTTCAACGACAGCTCCAACATTGGCAAGATCCACTTTGGCGCCATCCAGGGCGCCACGGCCTTTGCCACGACCTTCCCGCACATCTTTGGCGACGACGAGGCCCGCGTGGCCAAGATACCCTGCCTGATCCCCTGCGCCATCGACCAGGACCCGTACTTCCGGGTCACGCGCGACTGCGCCGCCCGGCTCAAGTACGCCAAGCCGTCGCTCATCCACGCGCGGTTCCTCGACGCCCTCCAGGGGCCCGGGTCGAAAATGTCGGCCAGCAAGGACGAGTCGGCCATCTTCATGAGCGACTCGCAGAAGAAGATCAAGGACAAGATCAACAAGTACGCCTTCTCCGGGGGGCAGGTCTCGGCCGAGGAGCAGCGCCTCAAGGGCGGCAACCCGGACGTCGACGTGTCGTACCAGTACCTGACGTTCTTCATGGAGGACGACGAGGAGCTGGCCAAGATTGGCGAGGACTACAGGACGGGCAAGCTGCTGACAGGCGAGGTGAGCTTTTTATTTCCTTCTATCCAATTTCTTACCCTCTGGGCCTTTTTGTCAATCTCAATACACCTCGGCTCCCCGTTTTTACTCCCGTGTAAAGCGCTAACACAATGACCACGACCAACAGCTCAAGGCAATCTGCATAAAATACATGCAAGAGTACGTCGCGGCATTCCAGGAGCGCCGCGCCAAGGCAACGCCCGAGATCGTCGCCCAGTTCATGTCTCTGCGGCCGCTGACCTGGAGGGGCAACCCCAAGGCGCCGTACATCCACGACCTGGCAGCCGCGACGGGCGGCCTCAGCGTCCAGGACGGCGCCGCCGCGGGCGGCGAGGGCGACGGCAAGATGACCAAGAACGCGCTCAAGAAGCTCGAGAAGGAGAAGCAGATTGCTGCCAAGAAGGCGGCCAAGGCTGCGGCCAAGTCTGGCGGCGGTGATGCTTCCACGACGCCAGCAGCGGAGTAGAGCGGGAGTTCATAGATTATATATCGAGACGAAATCACGATGAATGAACAAAAGAGAAAGAAGAAGAAAAACCAGAAATTTACATGCCAAGTATCGTCTAACTCGCGCCATATCATTGTGCAAGTCGTGTGAAACAGGGTGCCACGAACGCCTTTGTTGGGCTATCTAGAAAATTGCTAAGCCTTCTTTGCTAACAAAATCCACCCTTGAGCAGATAACTCATCGTTTACGAGCTCAACTCACGCCGGCATCTTCTGGCCCTGAACACCCAGCACCGTCCTGAGATGTTCATAGCTGAGCTTCTGTTTCTGATGGCACGCGAGCAGGTTACCCGTCTTGAGTACATTCTTGATCACCCGCCCATTCATTTCCAGCGTTGCGAGCTTGCCCACGTCCTCTGCCGAAAGGCAGTGACTATTCGGGTCCCGGTCCAGGAACCCCTGCCAGACCGCGGACCGCGCCCTGGCGTCCAGGCTGGGATACTCGAGCGAGACGTGGATGCGACTGTGGAACGCCTCGTCAATGTCCTCCATGCGGTTCGTCGTCAGGAATAGGATGCCCTCGTAGTACTCGAGCGTGCGGAGGAAGATGGACACGACGCGGTTGCGCGTGAGGTCCGTCGACGAGCGGGCCTGCAGGAAGACGTCGCATTCGTCGAGCAGCAGGACGGCGTCCCACTTTGCCACGAGCTCGAGGGCCTTGGAGAGGGTCGCCTCGAGGTCGTACTCGGGCAGATCGCCTGCAGTCAGGGAGTACAGGGGCACGCGCATCGTCTCGGCGACGCTCTCTGCCGTCAGAGTCTTGCCGATACCCGGCCCGCCGGAGAGGAGCATGATGATTCCGCGGCCCTTGCCGGAGATGACGTCGTCAAAGGCGTGCTTGTTCTTGACTTGGCTCTGCGTGAAGGCGAGGATCAGGGACTTGTGGCCCTCGGGCAGGACCAGGGCGTCGAAGGCGCGGTCGTCAAAGTTGATCTCGGACACGTCGTCGACGAAGAACTCGAGCCACTTCTTGGTCTTGAGGGCGTAGCCTCGGACCACGGGGGTGCAGAGCAGGAGTTGCTCCTCCGTTAGGGCCATCGGCTTCTTGTCGCCAGCGAGGAAGACGTCCTCCTCGCGGCCCGAGTTGTACGGGTCGTAGTTGTTGTAGTAGTTGTCATTGCTGTCACTGGAGTGCACGCCACCCTGGGTCTCTACCTTCTGCAACGATCGCAGAGTGAGCTGCTGGTCTGGGTTCGCTTTCGCGTGGGCGTGCGAGTCGACCACGACTCTGCAGTTGATGGGAACCTTGGAAGGTCCCCACGAGGTCTGCTCGATCGCCTGTCCGTCGTATCGACGATAGTTGTACCCGGCAAGTGCCTCGAACTTGCGACCTCTCTCGATGAGCTTGCTGGTGATGGCCTCTTTCTCGAGGTGGTACTCAAGCGGGAAGCACTCGAGATCTGTAATTGAGGTTGTCCCGCTGAATGGTGTGATCAGGTACGTTGAAGTGACAAAGCCAAATCTGGTGCCGTCCCAGTCGATACGCTCGCATTTGAGCTGAAAGCAGTGACCATACCGACAGTGCTCGACATACTCGCCCTGCTGGAGCTGGGCGGCAACGGGTTGGCCGTATCGAGACGCGGAAATGACGCTGCCCGGGTGAAAGATTGCCCAGACGTGTTCGTATGTGATGACCTTGTTCTTGACGTAGTCCTTGACTGCGGCAATCGTGTCCTTGAGCTCGGCGTGCAAGACATCGTGCAAAAGCTTGAGGTGCTCCCTCGTAGCCTCGTCGTACTGCTCGTCCTGAAGCGCCTCCTTGAGCTGTGCCCAGCGGTGTACGAAAGGGCGGAACGGCGCGGCAAAAGTCAGCCGAACCAGCGTCGTAGTCACACCAGGATATCCCTTTAGTACTTGGTGTAGGACGTCTTTGAGTAAGTGGCTCTGAATGACGATGCTGTCAATCTCGAGCTTCTTGCGAGAATCATAGCTCTTCTCTGTAGGATTGATTAGTATCGAGAGTCGTCTCCGTGTTTGATATCGCTAAGCCTCCCCGTCGACTTACTGTTCCGCACGAGCAGCGCATATCTGGCTGTGTCCTCATCCTCGGCAGCCTCCTCGAGCCCGTCGGGATACTTGGTCGTCCAAGTGATGTTGTTCCACTCGTCGATCTTTTGGTACAGGTCTTTGGAGCCGCAGACCATGCCAACAGCCACTGGCTCCGTTGCCTCCTCTTCCTGTCCCTCTTCCTCTTCCCCAGTCTCCTCATCGTTCTTCTCATCGCTGCCGTCCCCCCTGTCCACTGCTGAGCTCGAGGTATCCACTACCTCTGTGGTGCTCGTCTTGACCTCGACCTCGGTTTCTGGCGATGGGGAAATGCCTTCAGACTGCTGGCCGGCCTCCTCCGTACTGGTTGTCTGACAGTCTGCCCTTTGTGACGCCTCGCTATCACTGGTTTTTGGCAGGGTGCATTGTGCGGAGGCCACTGGCTCGGAAGCTACGACAACATAGCTGTCCGAGCCACCGTCGGAAGACGTCATCTTGGAGAGAAAGATGAAGGATGACACGAAATAACTATGTCAAGATGAGGATCGAGCGGATGAAGTGTATAAACGTCTGCGTTTCGTCACTTGTCGTGTTGCCACTGCGGATTGCTCTGTGAAGCTCACTGGGTCACCCGTGTAAGTGGTTGGCGTCGTTTTCGTGGTCGATTGTCCTTTCTCGACTGCAGACGAGATTGCTCACGCTTGCCTGTTTGTTGGATCTGGCGGTAATGGAGGAATGATGGCCTTTCTCGTTCGATTGAGCACCGGGGCACTGCCATACTTATAAGCAATGTCAGTCCAGGCAGTGATGGCCTCGAAAGGTCCTGAGCGCCACCCTTGGCATGCAGGCAGGCACCCCCAGGCAGGCAGGCGGCGCAGTATAGGCAGCCAAGGCGCAAGGCTGCCTCCTCCCCCACTGCAGAGGACGCAATTCAGCCACGCTGCGCTGCACTGCATCTGCATCTGCCGTAATCTCAGCAAAGGTTGCAGCATGCTGCTGCAACACTGGCGACAGATCAGTCATGGCATGGCAGGTGGGCCCGGGCAATGTTGGCCTGAAGCTGCCTTGCGGCGGACGGCTGACTGCATCGGCGGCGCATGCTATCATCCTAACGTGAGACAGTGCTCAAGTGGAGTGGGCAGGCGTACCTCGCCATCGCCCATGGGGGGGTTCACCCAGACGGACTACGTTAGCTGGAGGCGCTCAATAGTTGCCCTCGCCGTCGCCTACTAGTAACCGAGGCACATTGCAAGGCTGTCGTCGTTGTCTGTGCCTCTGCCGCCTAGAGCTTTCGGGGTCCCAAGCACGACAGAGTGCCCCCAGCTTGGCCGGATGTGTCAGAAGGAGGAGGGAGCAAGGTCCTGGCGTCGGCTGCCTCTCCCTAGCGCCTACGCCAGCTGCTTAAATCTGAGATGGCGGCATCTACAGCAGTGCCCACAATGCAGGGCACCCGGGCGCTAAAGCAGGGGCCCAGTGGCTGAGCAGCTCCCTGCCATCCAACCTTGGGACTCAGCAAAGCCAAACAATAAGAGGCTCCCGCTGTCATATGTACAATAGGACAAACGCTCATGCACAATTCCACGAATCATGCCATCTGGACCGGAAGCCTGGGCATCGTCGTCAGAGGTACGCAGCTCCCGTTTGCTCGAATGATCATGCCCGCTAACCCGAGCCCGCCATCTTTCCCAAACTTGGAGAATCCGCACTTTCAGTGCAATAGAATAAAGTCGTGCGCCGATATGGATTCTCTGTTGTCGTCGTGCCTCATAATCACAACTACGCAAGTACAAAAGATGCTATGTGCCTTGCCAATCATCAAACGCCCCCATCCCATACCCTGTCCTAAACGCCAGATGATTCTTGGAAAACAGCCATGCGAAAACAACACCAGGATAACGCCTAGCCAGAGGGTATCAGAAGAATAACGGAAAAGCCGGACCCGAGCCGCCTCGACCACCAACCACTCTGCTGCTGCCCATTGCCACATCTCCAAGATCCCCCCTCACTCAGCCCATTCAAATCCGAGCTCGAAGTTCGTGCTCCATGACTCGCTGGATAGTCCATAGTAGAAGGACATTCAAAGTACCTCGTCGAGTTGTGGCAGGAGCCATCAGATGCCAGTGGCATCAGCTGGATCGCAGCGGATTAACCACAACGCGTGTCTCATCCGATAACGATGTCGCTGGGGTCCCCAGACTTCCTCTGCACCACACTCTGGTACCTGTCCTGGAGCTTGCCCTCTTCGCGGTGGACCACAACTACAAACTCGACCCTCTGGACCTTGTTGCCCTGTCCGTTCGACTTCTTCCACTGCAAGAAACGCTGGTACACCCTCTTTTCGTGCTCGTCCTCGGCGACGCGGATCAGAGCCTTCGGCTTCTGGTCTGCCCCCGTGAAGGACTGCCGCGTCATGTAAATAGTTTCCACATTGGGCCACGACATCGATATGGTCTGCCAGCATGGTGAAGCACTTGGCATGAGAAGGGGCGACTCGATCTGCACAGCAATTTGGCGCACGAGCTCGCGGTCTTGGTTGGAGAACTGATGGCGTGTACAGCTGTAGGCACGGCAGCCTGCACAGCATGGCTCGAGCAGGACAACGTCCAAGTTGGCATTCATGGCCTGGCGGTGACCATAATCTGCAGGATGTGTGATTGTCGCCAGCAGCCCAAACATGGTCCGGTAGTGAAACTGTGCCACGTACCATGACGTCTGGCAGGCAAGAAACCATTGGGGCTGCTCATTCTGGATCCCTCTCGTGTACGAGGGCGGAAAAACCGAGCGGTTACGTAGGTAGACGACTCGCGACTCAATCGCGGCCTCCCAGACCATGATCTGGAGCTCTTTAGGTAGCTGGCCGAACAAGTGGAACTCGGTCAGAGGCTTGGCAAGGCGAGCTGAGCGACGAGGAGGTCGGGCCACTGCAGTCAGCTTGTTCGATGTTCTCTTGCGCACCCGATCACTTGCTGCCTTGACGATCGCAGTAGTCGTTGGAGTGCAGTCTCGATCTGGTGGGCTGAGGTTCTTCACAGTCTTCGCACGACGAACTCGCTGCGCTCTCGATCCTCTGGAGGAATTATTGCCCCGCAGTCTGCGACTTGGTGATGAAGGAGTCGTGATCTCTGTTTCTGCTCCATCAATGTCGTAGACGATACTGCGCGAATTCTCAAGGCTGTGGACTACACTGCTGGGACCTTTGCGTTTGACAGATCTTCGAAGCCTGGTATTGATGGAGTCCTCTTCGCCAGTGAGGAGCATTACAGGGTTGTTCTTGGTCATAGACCTCGTCAAGGCTCGCTGAGGCGTGTCGGCGTCCATAACCTGCCCAAGCCAAGGCGTGGCGAGTGGCTGCTGGGGAGTGTCCAGCATGGGCGATTCATAGACAATCATGGTCTCTGAATCTTGCTGCAATAGCTGGGACGGTCTAGAAGCCGGGATTGTTGGCGCTGTGTGGTCGGCACCTGGCCGAGGGCCAATATCGACTGTACCGTCTGCCATGGCTCCCTGTGATGCTGGAGTGCTTGTGAAGTCGTGCTGATCAGGTTCTACTGGCTGGTAATCAGGTCTACACTTTCAGCCACTCCGAGACAGTATCTGAGGCGTCCTGAACTTTCGTTTAGTGACCAGAGTATGCAAAATATAGTGGCCAGACCCAGAGATGCCGGCATGCCCATGGTCGGCTCCGGGGCGCGGAGTTGCCTACTCACAATGACCTTGTCGATGTCGCCTTGCCTGGCTGGCGTGAAGTTCCTAGCAGATTGCGGTGAGGTCTGACAGGGCGGCCGCCGACGGCTGGTGACCTATGTTGGGGCAGGTCCAACAATACTAGGATTGGCGGTCGTCGGCGAAAAGGCTCAGACGGTGTCTGGTGCTGCAGTCAGTCAATGGGCAGGGTCTCGCGTATCGCTCAGTGCCAGGACGGAAGGACGTCGAGCAGACGCCGGCGGTCTTACGCGCGTGCGATGTGCAGCCTTGTGTAGCAGCAAGGAAGAGTCTCTCGGTCGCTGTAGTCGCGGGAAGGTGTTGTTGGTGCGCGTGAGGAGCCCCAGATAGCGGTGAGGAGCGAGGATTGACGGAAGCTGTAGCCCAGCCCGAGAGCGGCTCTGGCGATGATGACGGTGGGGGACTTTGGCGGCGATGGTCCCAAGGTTGGCGTGAATGAGGGAAAGGGACGTGGACGGCGGCCTGGGCGGAGCGGTGCCTGGCATGTGGTCATGAATGAATGGAAGCCGGTGCGGGGCAGGACTTGGTCGCCTGATGGATGATGTGGATGCGCAAACGAGCAGCACCCTGTTGAGGAGGAGCAATGAGATGATGTGGTGGGATGGGTCGGTGGTGGGGGGTTTGGACAATCAATCAATCAATAGATGGATGGACAGAAGGCACGACCAGCTCCCTGAAACCTCAGCTAATTAGAGGGCAGTGACTCGGCTGTTGCAGCGCTTGTCAGGGAGGGCGGCCGCAGTTGAGGCGGCCCAAGTTGAATGGCGCACGCGCCCACCCCGTCCCGGGCCTGGCTTCGGCGCATTCAGAGAGAGCAATGTATCGAGATCCAGGGCCGGCGGCACTTGTGTGATGCAGCAGTATCGGTGGCCCGCCGGCCCCTGTCCATTCAGCAGGTGTGCGGGGTTTGGTGGTTGAGGGCGGGAGACATTGGTACATTACGTGACAACCCGTGGGCGTGCTGATGAATGGGGATTCCCGAGCTCCGTTTTGCTTTTGCAGATCATGCAGGTCCTCTGAATCCGGTCCTGGATCGAGTCTGGCCTGCCCCCGAACACTTTTGGAGAAGCCAGCCAGCCATCGTCATAGGCTGGGAGCGGCAAGATGTCCCTGGTCTGGTCTGGTCCTCAAATCGCGGAAACAATGAACAATTTCCTCAGTTGGAACCACCGGGGCCCCTTTGCAGCCGCACTTGCATACAATCAAGAACACAAGCAGACGCCTTGGCTTATCCTGCGAGTCCCACAGGGCTGGGTCAGGCATCAAGTTATGATCTGGTGACCTGCTTGTCTGCCGCCTTATCAAGACCCTGGGATCCACGCCTCAGATTCCCCGCACGTGGATGGGGATCACGGCCCCACAAATGTCACTGTGGGGCCGCATGCCATTCCTGGCCAAGCCCTGGGTTAGGGTTTCTCCAGCCTGGAAACGTTTTCCATGACCCTTCCACGCCACAACCTCCGCAACGCACCCCTGCACGTCAGTTATCCTCTCGAGATCACGGCATAGGTACATCATGAATACCTTGGCTCTAGCCTGTGTGGTTAGCTGTTCAACTTGACTCCTCAACCCCGCTTCCCTGACCCATACTCTCTTCCTACCTCATGTCATCATCTCCTTCTTCCTGGTTCTGTCGGAGCGGAACCAATGGCTCAACTAATTAGCGTACACACTGACACCGCTTACCAGTTATTGCTCCACCACAGCCGAGGCCTTTGAACCTGTGGCTGCTGACCTAGCAAAGGCGTTGCGCACGATTTCAGCATAGCCTCCGAATGCACGGCCTCGGTCAGAAACGGACTTCATGCTGAGCTGTACAATGGAAGTCTTCTGTGGAAGGCACGGGGGACTATGGCTGCCACTCGTCCCCCCTCAATGTATCTCATATTGATCGAGCATTTGGTATCTTTGGCCGCATGCCAATATCTTGGATCCCATGCCTCTTCAACGGTATAGACACGGCTATAAAAGCTTGTCAGTTGCCATGGCCCACCCCAGACTCGCTTCCTTTCGCTCCGACTGAAGGACATCTCGTCATGTGGAACAAGCTGCCATTACCCGATGACGCACCTCCGATGTCGACTTCCGCGCCCGCATGGATGCACAAGCCTATTTGAAGGACCTTACAGAGGCCATCGCGGTCTTCCTTCTGATCAAGTCGCACGCAGTCCTGTGGCCAGCTGCAAGAAAGGTCCACCAAACACTCGTTCACCCTCGACGCCACGACACGGCAAGGCGAGCAAGACTACTCCAGGCGTCTCTCCCAGAGACAACAGCAATAACAACACCATCGACATCGGAACCAATGACAGCAGCCCCACGCCGCAAGCCATTCATCATCCTCTACGAACTGCCCCGCGAGCTCGTCATCCGCATCCTCGCCTTCCTGCCCCAATGCAGCCTGTACTTCCTCACCCAGGCCCTCCGGCCCTTATCGTATCTCACCACCACCCAGTCGCAGCTCCGCCGCCCGCGGGGCATGCAGCACAGCGACATCTTCGAGATCATCAACACGCTCGCCGCGACCCGCATCGACGCCTACCCGTGCGAGACCTGCCTGACCCTCCACCGGACACGGGACTACACGGGCATCACGATGGCCGACTCCTCCCCGGCCGCGGCAGCGCCGTCGCCCTACCTCCAGCGGTACCCGCACCTCCGCTCGGACGCAGGCGGCCGCGAGACCATCGCCACCACCCTCCACCGCGACCTGAGCTGGGCGGCCGTCGCGCCCCGGTACCTCCTGCAGCTCGTGACCGGCGAGCACCTGCGGCTCAGCACGCTCCACCGCCTCCGGACCATCCTGCAGCCGCGCGTCAAGTTTGTCCACGAGTTCCTCCCGCCGTGGTCGCTCCCGCCGCGGCTCATCGTCGACCCGGCGAGTCGGGTCCCGCCGTACTTCGTCTTCGAGCCGCGGATCGTGTTTGCGAGGTTTCCACGGACTGCCGCCCAGGCCATGCTGGACTTCAACAACGCGACCAGTCCAGCGGGAAGGTGGGGAGGAGGAGGACGAGGAGGGGGAGGAAGAGGGGGAGTGGAGAGCCGGGGAGATAGATGGGGGATGGGGACGGGAAAAACGCTGCGCGTGTTGGTCCGCAACAAGTTCGTCGCCGCGAGGATGGTTGCGCCCGAACACACCACGGGCCGGCACATCCTACCGGGGCTGGACTTTGAGATGTGCGCGCACAGCCGCTGCCTGCTTCCAGATATCCACGTCACCGCGCCCATGGCGTACCTCGAAGGGTTCACAGAGGCAGGTCCGCTGGACGTGGTTCTCAGCCCTGTGGGGCGGGAGCCCGTGGACGCCGTCTCGGCGTCGTGTTACTACTGTCCAATGGATTTCAGGGTCACGGTCACAAGGGCGAGAGACAGGATACATCGCAAAGTGGTTGTGGTGCTGTGGAGGGACCTTGGGCCCCTTGGGGCTCCGCTGCCGCTGATTCAGACTTTGCATGCAGTGCAGTGGCCAACGCCCATGTATGCTGGCTTTCGGCAGCGCGATTATGGAAATCTCTTTGGGCCGCCAGGGAGTATCAGGATGATGTACGAGTCGGCAGAGTTTGAGGAGGTCCATCCTTGGCGGTCACTACGGACTTGGGACCGCTCCAGGCGAAACGGTGACTAGCAATCCTTGAGAACAGGAATGCTTCATTTGCTTCAAAGCGTGAAGTCGGTAGTCTCCTGCGTGTCCATCGTAGGCGTGTGGAATTGTTGTGTGGAGTCATGGCGTAATATTCCAATCATAGCTCTTCATAGGCAACAAGGACTCTATGAACCCAGTACCTCGAATGTACAGCTTAATCTGTTCTAGCAGCAGATGTACCTGCGACGACCTATTCTGATTCGGACTCATCCTCCTCGCTGCCATCGTCAGAACCAGACTCTTCGTCATCGTCATCTTCTTCGTCATCGTCGTCATCATCGTCCTCGTCTTCCTCCCCATCCGGTGCTTCCAAGCCGTATGAGTCGAAGAATTCGGATAACTGCTTCACCTGAGTCTTGTAGCCGATGTCCTGAAGCTCCTTCTCGATTTTCTGTAGCACAGAGCCGTCAGGAAACCAATTCATGACTATTAAAAACAAGCATCGTTTTCAGAGAAATGCAGACTTACCTCTGTCATTGTCTGCGCGCAGCAGAGGACAATGTTACTCTTGCCAGGCTCAAATGCTGGCAGCAACCAAATCTTCATGGCCTCCTTGATGTCATCGACGGTGACGGCGCGTACTTTGGCCAGTAGCTTGGTGTTGTAATCCCGATCCAGCCCGCGTACCACGCCTGTAATGTAGCTCTGCATGGCCGCGGTCGCCATTGTGGACTGCTCGTCCGCCATGAACATGACGAGCTGGCTGATGGCACCCTCGATCATGGGCTTCTCAAACTCAACCGTGCCGTTCGCAAGGGCAGCAATAGCGTCCCTGGCGGCAATGATGGCCTTGGACGCGAGTGGGGAGCGGTAAACCTTGAAATGGAGGTATCCGCCATTGACCTCCTTGGAGAAGTAAACACCGTACGCCAAGCCGTTGCCGCGCACCGCATTCCATAGCGGGCCTTCGACAGTCTCGAGATATTGTACAGCGACCAATAGTGCTGGCACGGCAGGATCGTCAAATGAAGTTATACCCTTGGCAGTGCTGACGGAGAAAGAACTGTCCAGAGTGGCCATCGGTACAATCGTCGCGCCAATCGAGCCGGGGGTGAGTCCCTCCTCGTTCAAAAGAGTATGCGGCTTCAGGATGGGGTTCATCTTCTCAGCCGATGACTTGAATGCCTGGTTGAGGATTTCCCATGTCTCTACTGGTCGTGGCACCTTGGAATTGGTAATATCTGCCGTCACGAGGATCCGCATGTTGTCGGCTGTGAATAGTGACTGCCTGACCTCCTCGAACCAGGATAGAACTTTCTCTGGCTCACGCTCGAGAAGCTTCTTGAGCCTTTTCAGGTATATGGCCTTGACCAGTGTGCTCTGAGCTGCAAGCAACGATGAGTGTTCGTTGTGAATCGCGACTTCGATCTCGCTGGCCATCAGTCTTCCTTCACGCTTGCTCTCGGGCACGTCTGCCAGCTGTTTCGCGACGCCAGCCTTGAGCCGGGTAAGATCAAAGATGCTGTCAAACATCATGGTGCGGAGCCACTGGACAGCCGTACTGTATTTCTCTGGCTCCACCTGCATGCGAATGACGAAGCTCTCGCAATCCCCAAAGTTTTTGCCACGGTCAAGCATGTAGCTGACTGTATCCCGTTCAAGCTCCATGACGACTTTTTCGAAGTCTACTTGCTCTCCATTGCGGTTAATGGGAGTGTTGAAGAAATTGTCGTGGAAGACGGAAAGCAGAGGCTTGTGCTGCACAGGGACAGCAGATGTGCCGATGTGCACAGCAAGGTGCACAAAGTTGGTAGGGACATCCTCGAATTGGAGGAAGATGGGCAGATTTCCAGCAGACTGGTCAACCACCTTCTGCGCAGAGTTGTTGTGAACACCAAGGTGGCGAGCCAAACCAGACCGCGCAGTCTGAGACTCGATGAAGTGGATGGATTCTGTCGGCGGGACTGGCCATTCCTCCAACAAGTCAGCCGGGATCTCAATCTCATTCTGCTTCTTTGCGGCGTCCAAATCCTCTTGCAGCTTCTTCAGCCCATCTTCACCGAGCTCCGCCTTTCTCTTCGCTATCCTCTCCTCTTCTTCAGCCTTCTGTTTTTCGGAAAGTTTCTTGGACGGCTTTCCCAAGATTGACACATGGTGAGCATCTGCCATCCATTTGCTCAAGAATGCCCGCCACTGCTCATCGGTCCAAGTCTCCAGGATGTCGTACTCTGAGAGACTCGACAAGTCCTTCAGCGAGCTTCCATCACGCTTGCCGAAAAGGTAGTCGGTGATGATGTTGGAGGAGTAGAATTGCTCAGACTCTTCGGCCTGAGCCTTGATCTGTCGTCGCTCTCGCTGAATGCACTCTTTCATGTATACAAGGTCCAGTGGCTTGGATGCCACCTCTTTCAGAAGACTAATGAGGCGTTTCTCAACGAAAGCGAGCTTCTTAGTCAGGACACCGGTAGGCTGAAGCCAGATGACGCTATTAGGTCGAGCATCCCACCAGAAGGATACGGAGCTGGCGAGCTCTTCTTTCTCCACGATGACGTTCTCCAGCACTGCCACGGATGAGCCGCAAAGGTATGTGAGCATGATGTTCGCAGCTGTGGTGTTGACTATGTCGGTGCAGTCGGGGCCGAAGAAGCCAACCACGATCTCGCCCGTAGATTCGTCATCTTCGGGGAACTCGACCGTCTCGACAATGGTTTCCTTCAGTGCCGGGGCTGGGCGGAATCCACCCACGGCCGTTTGAAGGGGGCATCTCGTGGTGGAATATCGTGCTCGATGCTCCGCTCAAACTCGTCAAGGATCTGCAACAGGTTCTCTTCGTCGACCTCGCCCACAATCACCAAGCACATGTTTCGGGGCTGATACATCTCCTTGTGGAAGGACCGTATCCTGTCGGTGCCAAGCTTGCGTAACGCTTCAGTCATACCGCCAGTTTCGTAGCGGAAACCCACATTTTCTGGATAGAGCAGCCGCCTCGCCCTCAGGTCCATGAGCTCGGTGCTGGTGTTCTCAACGCCTTGCATCTCTGAATAGACAACACCAGCATCATTGCCCTCGCCATTGATGTGGTGGACCTCGGTCAAGCACGCCGCATCAGTTATCGTGGGCACAACCAGGTGCTCAAGGTATACTGGTAGAATCTGCGCGAAGCCCTGCCAGCCCGCTGTCTCTAGAGTGTAAGCAGTGTGATCTGTGGCCGTCCAGGCATTGGTGGAGCCATATGCCCGCGAAGCCAGCTTGTCGAGGAGTCCTTTGTACTGATAGCTGCGCGATCCCATGAAGACCAGGTGCTCGAGTGTATGCGGCGCTCCGGAGTCGTCAAAGATCTCGGTTGCGAGAGTGAAGTATCCGTTCACTTTGGGTCCGGGCCTGCGAGCTACAACGACCTGCATGCCACTTCGCTCAGACTCATACTGAGTAATGCGCGTTGGTGCATAGTCGGTCTCGAAGCTCTGAATTTGCCGGAACCGGCTGCCTGCTGCTTGGGAGCCCATATTGAGTATACTCAACCTTGCCAGGTATGTATCTATGGGTCTTTGAATTCCCTGTCAGTATGTGACCTAGACTGAATGTCACTGTATTCGCATGTGCTCGGACATCAGAAATACAAAAAGAGAGTTCTCCATATTCAACCCAGGTCGAGCATACCCGATCAAATTTCGAACAGGTGCCAGGAGTACTGCGAAGCCCACAACAGCCAGCGAGTAGGGCCAAACTCTTCGCAGGGTTGACATTTCGGGATGAAAGTTCGCCAGCACCCAGCTCTTTGACAGATGTGGTGATTGGCTCGCTCGTCACAAGCGGGCAAGCCAGATGGATGCAAAAGAATAATTCCGGTGGTGAGAAACGGAGGGATGAGTGAAGATACTTACCAGCAAGTAAGGCTCGACGTCAGATAATGAGACGGCCAATAGACCGAGCGTGCGTACCGTAAGCTGCGAAGAGTTGCGGACGCCAGCTTGGTGCAGGACATAGATCAGGGTCCAAATCTGGCTGGGCCCCGAACGAATGGCATGGAGGGGCAGCAATGACGATAGTGGGGCTGCTGCCCTGACTTATATGTACCAGCGGCGCTTCCTGCAGGAATGCGAGCCTGCCGAACAGCACAAACGAGGTACAGAGGTGCGACTTGAAAACAAAGAAAGGACTCTGGGGTGGCTCGGATGGCACGGGAATTGTTTGCTGTGTTATAGGGACAAAGACCACAGTTGTGCGAGTTGATTCTTTTAGAGCAGATCAGGACAACAGGGCGGCTATACCGCTTTGCTGCATGTCGGCTCTGGACATCCCTGTCCCGTACTCTTGTTAAGTGCATAGCGGCCGATAAGTTCCCTATCGGCCGCCTACAGGACAGCCTGGAGCCGGAGCAGGAACAACGTCACAAGCGCCCACCTGTGCAGCAGCTGTGAGAGCTCCAGCACGCACTAGTACATGGGTGCTGAAGTGTCCCGCTCGCCATAGTCCCAGGTTGGCACTCGACCTTGCGACATTCCAAATCACAACCAAACACGGCGACAATGTCCACCTTGCTGAAGCTGTGCTGGAAAACAGGACTCCGATAGCGCATATTCAGCTGCATCTCGCGCGACGAAGAAAACACTCCCGAAATTGGTTGGCCAAGCCAGACGACAAGCTCCTAATCGAGAACGACGACGATCCCGAATGCAATTCCACACTGCGGAACCTGAAGAAACTCCTCCGCCACAATGACCGAAAAAGAGGCCGGGCAGGCCGGGCAGGCCTTGGTGGAATTTGCCCTGAGTGGCGCTTTCCCCGAAGAGCCGCTTTCTTCGCAAAGAGTTACTCTGAAAGAACTCGGCCCTGCTCTGGAAGCGCTCGCGCAAGCAAAGTCGAGACTGGAGGTTGGTCGCAAGCGTCGCTAGAGAACTGTGGGCTTCATACTGACCGGCTTCCTAAAGTCCGAAATACATAGCATCAACGAGGAGACGGCCCCTGAAGTCAGCCAATGGGCCGCGAACGCCAAATCTCTGGAGGAAGACATCAATCGGTCTCGGGCCATGGCCAACGACATCGTGCGCAGATCCGAGGCCCCAGATGTGTCGGGAAAGACGATCCGAGAGGCAGAAGACAAAGTCAGCTTCTTACAGCAGGAGACGGCTTACAACCAGCAGGTGCGCAATGCACTTGTGAGTATCAAGAATGTGAATGAGATATTGGACAAGGTCGAAATCGCGCGGGATGAGCGTCGCATTCTGGATTCGTTGCACTTGCTAGAGAGTACAGCTTCACCTTCCCCTGTGATTGTTACAACTCATGCTGACACGGATGACCAGGTGCCTGGACAGCGTTGGATCGCATTCCAGTTTCGAAATCATGCCGTGTCATGAAAATCCTGAATATGCGAGCCTTCGAGCTGAAGTCCGCTGTGCATGATGTTTTCAATCATGTTTGGAGCACCCTTGTACAAGTTGATGCTGCCACTGGTACGGCATCTGTCTCGGAGAACGTTCAAGGTGCGTGGGTCTGCTTTCTAAGTCAAGAGGTGCTCTCCGCTGACCAGTCAAAGACGAACCAATGTCACTCGCGGATGCTGTCATTGGCTTGAAAGCTTATAAGGAAGTCGACCAGAGGATGGCCCTGTTGTGGCATGCGCTAGATGCAGCCCTGATTCAGCCGCGAACTCATACTGAAGGGCAAACTCTGCCAACAATAAAAGAGGAAAATGTAAGGCAACGAGGTCCAGGGCCGTTTCACTGTCGCTGACCATTTTACAGTCTTCCTTGAAGCTGCACGGACAAACAAATCGGGAGATACCATCGCTTTTTCATGATCTGGCCATAGTATTGACTTATCTTTCAGGTCGTCTCCCCGTGGAACTGATACACTCCCTTTCGAATGTCATGATGCCAGATTTGATACCACGAGTCATCAGCACATGGCTTGATCCTGCTGTGCCGGTTTCTCTGGCAGATATGGGCGCTTTCCAGAGCGTCACAGACACGGTCCGGGCGTTCTGCAAGACTCTTGACGAGCTGCACTATACTGGTTTCAGCGATCTGCAGGAGTGGGTAGAGAGCTCCCCTAGAGTATGGCTTTCGAAATGCCGCGAAACAGCCTTAGACTCTGTCCGCTCAAAACTCTCTCAAGGACTTGGCAGTCCCCAAGAAGTTGAGCGGGTGGAAACCCAGCAGGTGTCGAAGTCGGAAGGCAAAGAGCTTACTGCCGCCACGCCAGCCGCGACAAAATCCGGCGAGGAAGACGATGATTGGGGAGCAGCGTGGGAGGCAGATGCGCCGCTCGCGCAGAGCGAAGCACATGCCGATGCGCAGGCAAACGAAGACGACGGGACTGATGCTTGGGGCTGGGGCGAGGAAGATGACGTAGTCTCAGACACGAAGCCCAAACCAACCAGTGCTCAAGCACCGACAAAGGATACGACGGATGATGATGGTGGCGATGCCTGGGGTTGGGGCGACGACGAAGGCACGGCGGAGAACACACAAACAAGTCAAGTTAGTGCGAAACCGACGCAAACTCGCGAGTTGACTTTGCGCGAAACGTATACTATCTCGGCAATGCCGGCACCAGTACTGGCGTTGATATCGACAATTCTAGAAGACGGCGCTTCCTTGGCAAGGTCAGTTCAGTTTTTGGAATCCGAAGAATGTAACCAGACTAATTCGAAACAGCGACAATGCAAATCCTGTTGCATCCGCTGTTGCCGGTCTTTTCTCATTACCGACGCTTGTCCTGGCAATGTTCCGAGCCGTGTCGCCGTACTACTATTCCCTGAGCGAGGGTGGCAATATGTGAGCCGTGTGCCGTACAGTTCCTCGTGATCGAAGCTGACGAGATATACACAGGTTCCTCTACAACGATGTGACGTACCTCTCTGAGGAGCTGGGCAAGTTCACAAGCGCGTGGAAGACCAGGAAGGACCTTGCGCCGCGAGCAGTTACGATGCTGCGGCTAGACAACGACATCCAGACACTGCAGTCATTCGCAGCGCGCGCTTATGCGACCGAGATGACGACGCAACGGACCATCATCCGCGACCTTCTGGGTGGCTCACAGAACCTGTTGCAGCAAGACGGCCTGGAGTCCACTGACCTCGAAGCCCAAGTCGACGGGGCCATCGGCCGGATACGCAGCGTTGCGGCGACATGGAAGACCATTCTCGCGCCGTCAGCGTGGAACCAAGCCGTCGGCTCGCTCGTCGACACCATTGCGTCAAAACTGATCAGCGACGTGATGGACCTCGCGGGCATAGGCCAGGACGAGGCCTACAACATAGCGACCATGATTGCGCACGTGGAAAAGCTAGACGATCTCTTCCCCGGCGTGTCGCCCGGCGATCCCGCCACAGCACCGCCGCCGCCTCCTCAGACAGCGCAGTTCGCGAGCAGCTGGCTGCGCCTCAAGTACCTCAGCGAGGTGCTGCAGAGCAACCTGCAGGACATCCTCTGGCTGTGGAAGGACAGCGGCCTCAGTCTCGAGTTCTCCGTCGGCGAGGTGGTCGACCTGATCCGCCTCAGCTTCGTGGACAATGCGCGCACGAGGGACGTGATTCGACAGATCGAGGCGAATCCGCATCCCCAGGAGGGAACGGAATAATGATATGTGATTTTCTTTTATCATGAGATGATGCATGTGTCAAGCGTGGTGGCTGCCCGGCCAGCCCTTTTTTACATAGAGAGTGAATATTTAACGAGTCGCAACTCGATTTGCTCATACATACCCAATGGACACGGTGGAATATATGTTGATGGTGGTGGTATGCTGCTCGAAAATTAACATCGAGGAGAGCCTTCAACCAACTCCCTACCTCCCTCTCTGCCTGGCATTTCTCTCAGAACCCAATGCACAATAGGTAGTCCTCACGTTCGGTGTGTCAATGGCATGGGGGTTTTCTCAGCTGGTGTGGTGTTTTGCAGTGGCAGTCAGTCTCATATCGACACAAACATACGAACACACCGCGACATGGCTGACGCATCATTCGTTCGCAGCACACACAGGAGGCGGGCAGAACCGTGTATTCTTTCTCTTGGCTTCGACTGCGTCCGCGAATTGTAGTACTTCTCCGCTCTCTCTCTCTCCCTCTCTCCTTCCATTCCTCGCAGCCGCACAGCCGCACAGCGCCCTTCCTCTCCAGGTGCTCGGACCAGTTCCTCATCCTCCCCTATCAGTCTGATACAGCTCTTCACTGTCATCTTCGCCAGCTTCCTCGCCCCGCAAACACCCTCATGCAAACGATGCAGTATATGACAATCGTTTTTCTGTGTGTCCTTCCGCTGTCCCAGGCATGTCTCATGCCTCCCCGTACCAGAGCTCCAAAGGTATCATTAGAAATCAAAAAAGTGGTTCCGCAAGAACCAAAATATAAAGCAGAGAAAACAAGTCTTTAAACGCCAGTGCGATGCAACAACGAATGTGAAGGGTAAAAAGTACAGAGTCCAACGAATGCAAGGCTTCGTGCAGCGTCATGGCGTGTACGCATTAGTCGGGATTGGCGATGAACAGGCGGCCAGAGGTAAGAGTCATGGTCCGCTCGTCCACGCTGCCCCGGCGCTTCAGATCTTCTGGGTTCCGGACACTCTTTTCGCGGGTGAGGGCGGCGTTGAGCAAGCTGTTGCTAGCCATGCGTGCAGCATTGGTGGGGGCGAGATCAGGCAGGGCATCAGCGCGCTCGGCACTGCTGCCGCTGTGCGTGCTCTGGGCACGCTCGACGGGCTCGCCAGGCTGGAACGGCCCTTGATCCTCGAGAGTGCTGCCGTTGGGACTCCATCTCTTGCCTGTGCTACCCTGAGCCAGGATGGTGGAGGTGCGATACCCAGCGTTGCCGCGGCGGCTGGCAGTGCTACTACGGCCGCTGCTGCCGGTGCGACGATGGTGCAGACGCTGGGCAGGGTCATCGTCGTCGGAGTCCTCGCCCTCGACTTCGGTGGCGCTGAGACGCATGGGGACGCCGCCTACACCAATGTAGTTGTTCTCGGGAGCGTACCCAACGACACCGGGCTTGCCATGATGACGAATCTTGGCGGCGACCTTGCCGGGCCCGCTGATTCCCGTGGAAGTGCGGCCGCCCGTGCGACCAGAAACCTCCTGGCTAGCCCTGTGCTTGGCAGCTTTCTGCTGGGCGACGAGGCGCGGGTCTTCGTACTGGGCGCGGTCACACCAGACAGTGGCCTTTTGCTTGCGGAGGAGAGCGACATAGCTGGTGGGCTGAGTGCTGCCGCCAGAGCGGGACGAGGTACTCCTCCGAAGCTCTGAAGTGGGCGAGGTGCGAAAAGCGGCGGGAGGTGCATTGGAAGAGGCGACAGTGCTGAAGGTGCCGACCGAGGGCGAGCGGCGGGAGTGTCCGTAGGCGGAGGGAGGTTGTTGGAGGTGCAGAGGGAGAGGAGCCTGGGGATAACCGCCGGGGAAGACACTGGAGGAAGTCGTGCGGGTGCGCGAGTGGGCATACACGGCCGGATCCTGGGTGGCGTGCATGGGCTTCCGCCGGATCCGGTCCTGGGCGAGCATCTTGACGTGTCGCAAGGGGACGAGTCGTGGGCGTGCCCTGCCCGGGCTGGTGGAGGAAGGCGGCCTTGGAGCTGTGCACGAGACAGCAGGCTTGGGGCCTGTGTGGCTGCTGGGTTGTCTGTGAACAAGCCTGAGATGGCCGCTTGGACGCGCCTACCACGAACGCGTGCTGTGCGGCGGGTTGAGGGTGTCGTGGAGGCGGTGGTGGTAGCAGCAAAGGACGATGCGATGCGGTGGGAGGTTGTGGGACAGTGGGCGGGAGAAAGGCAGGCGGGCGGTGGTAACAGTTTATGAACGGCAGCTGCAGCGGGGGGTGTCCCTGCTGGTGGTGCGCGGTGCGTGCTCAACCAAAATGGCGCTCCCTGCTGGAGGCTGCCCAGCACTCGCGTGCTCCCGCCTGCCGCCAGGATTGGCCGCCCAGCACGGATCCATCCAGCCATGCTTGCTTGGGTTATTGCCCTCCTCCTCCTCCTCCTCCACCCGCTTCCAAGGCCGTTGGCCAGGGACTAGCCGATGGGGTAGAGTTGCAGAGATGACGCTGCTGCCCCTGCCACGCCCCCGCGGGCTGCTAGTCCTCGTCCCCGGTCCTGGCTGGCCGCCCCCTTCATTCCTCTCACCTCCGTGGCTTATCGACAGGTCGGGACTCTCTGTACGTACCTCGTTCGTTCCGTCGGGGGATGACCTCGGGACTCGTGGAGCGCCCAGTGCTATTTCCTCCTGACTACGGCATGTGCCACACATGGTCATCTCGCTCCGTGGCCAGCATATTCGCATATCAGTGAGTGTGCGCACTCGATGGCGAGCAGAGAGCAGCCAGGCGACCGCTCTGCGGGCCAGTGGCATGTTTGGGCCGCATGGTGATGCACTTTTCCTCGTCGAGCAGCCAATGCCGGCCAGGGCAAGGCCTGTCTGTCCGGGTTCCGCCATCAGGTCAGCAAGCCACGCGCAGCTCCAGCCAGAAGTCAACGTTGCATGGGCCTGGAATTCGGCACGATCAATTCGATGCCATTGCCCCCCAGCCAGCGAGTGGGCCCGACGCACGCCTCATCCGCTGCCCGTGCGTGCCCGAGCCTTTGCGGCGGTTGCGTCAGTCAGCAAAGGCCCTTCATTTGCGATCCTCTTCATGCGCGCGTTGGAGGCCACGCCCAGGTTTCGCCATGCTGACGGCCGCTTGACGCCAGGATTTTGCGTCCAGGGACCCTTCGGCTTCGAATCGCTCACGGCCTCAAGGGGTCCTGTTGCGCACGACAATTATTAGCGAGCAAACTCGTGGACCCTGACCCTGATTATGCAGCACGGTCTCCCAGCCGGCTTCATGTTTACCAAATCTCAACTTTGGACCCCAGCACGCGGCCACAGCTGACATGGATGTCTGTGCAGTGCTTGAGAGGCATTCTGGATCCAGAGGCCGCCAGTGATCCAACCTTTGAGATCCCAATCAGCTTGATTACCAGAGCGATGGCCAGCGGTTTGCTTCGAGAAAAAAGGTCGTTTCATTCTCCACCTCGGGTTGGCAGCGCTAAAGCATGGCGCTTGCCCTGCGCGTCTCGCTGCGCTCGCAAAACATTTCTCATGGAATGACCCTTGATTTGTAGTCACTCGAGGTGTAATCATTTGGCAATCAATTTTCATGATTATGAATATGAGGCAACATAACGCATGAGCATCGGCCTTGACTCGAGCCCACGTTTTTGCCTTCTTCCCAAGCTGTTCTCCCTGCAGGTACAACGCAGACATTTCAGCGTGTTTTCAGTCGTCCCACAACCGTGATCGTCTGGGGGTGCACAGGGGAACCCTTCTGCTACACGCCACCATTGATGTAATGAGTGGTGGGGTTGCCCACCACATGCTGGCAGTTTGCCGCTTGGCGGAGTTGAATACAGCCAGCAACTTGGAGGATCGCCATGGATCTCGATGACATTTGCCTCTTGGCCATTCAAGTCTAAGGGAGAATAGGAAGGAGTGCTCGCAAAGCAGTCAACCGTTTGGTAACGTCATTCTTGCACTCTCGGCACATTGTGTAACCCAAGCAAATGTCCTTGATGTGGCAGACTTAATCGACATGGTCGCGTGACCCTCCTGTCGTACTGCAGAACAAGCCTCAACTTTCCGGAGACTCAATATGCATCGTGTCATGGGGTAACCTGGATCTGGGACTTCAGGTTGTTGTCGAATACTGAGTGCTCTCAGGGTGAGAGTGTCCTTGACCAAACACTGAAAGAGTCAGGCTTGAGGCAAACTGTCGAACGACCCCACGCCAGGAGACTTGTCCCGGATTGCTATTCGTGCATGTCCGTTGGGTCACAATGCAGGCACAGGGTGGTGCAGAACCGCGTGATGAACACGCTGAGAATAAACGATGCTCAAGACATCTCGGCTGTATGTGCATGGGTCGACCACCATGGGATTCTCAGAACGGGGTGAGGGCCTTGGCTGCCGGATCCCATGCTGCCAAACCCTGCGGAGCCTCAGTTGCTCGAGTTGCCCACCAGAGCGTGCCCTTGCGTCCTCCCTCCCTGACTGTCGACTGAGCGGTCTCGTGTCTGAAGTTGAAACTCTATGCACTACTGATCTTGCAGATCACAATGACGGTCATTTGGAAGTCGATTGCCTTCGTGCTTTGGGACACGAAGAGACGGGTTGTCGTATTGTGATCCGAGGATCGGCAATTAAGCTGAAGGTGTCGGGGTCGCCGGCGGCTAACCACCTACCGGAGTGGCAGTGTATGGCTCCACATGGACAAGGGCCGATTCCACTGGGGTTCTCGTCTCGCTCGTGAAGCGTAGAACTATCCACAAAGCTGTGCCAATTGCCGGAGGCGGCGACTCGATTTGGGCCGTGCCCGTTAGGCATGGCGTCTACCAGCGTGCAGACAGAGGCTTCGTCCTGAGAGACACACACTACACGGTCGGGTCACCTCATTTCTGTGGGCGCCGGGCCCGACAGGTCTCTAGGCATGACGGTGAGACCAAAGCTACTGAATGGCGCATTTTCGGGGCTATGTGTAGATGGCCCCATGGAGTCTAGGAGAATTTTCGGACGGTGAGAAGACGAGCACTTGTGCGATATACCAGCATGAGCATTCTGACGCGTTTTGCGACGACCAGGAAGTGGTTTTTGGAAGCAGCGCCTTTCTCCCCGCCTTCCCCAAATGCAGACCCGCCTGAAGAAACTTGGCAGGCACACACCACAGCAGTAGCCACACGGAGTCGACCTCCGACACCAAAGGACGGACAAACTCCATTGCTCGCTACCAACACAAGTAAGAGGTTCCGCTGCTCGCGACCGACACGAGGCGGAGGAGGCAATGCTTCACAGCAGCCCTTTGCAGATACGACCAAGCGATTGCGGGTGTGGCCCAACGTTGGGCACTCGTCTTCATCGACACAAAGCAACCACGACGACCACAGTCCCCCACGTTCGGGCTTACATACTTTGTACGTCAGCCTGACACAGCAGCCGGCAGCCACCGCTTCAGCCGTTCAGCCCTGTGCCAAGTCCGGTGCTGTCCTGTCAGGGTCCAGTTGGCCAGCATGGACATCTGTGCGTGCTGCCGTCTGTGTGTTGCAACAGCCGACAACGCTTTGACAGGGTCTTGTTTTCTTCTTGGTGAGAACGCTAGTGCCACGAGTTCCATGCCCACAGCTTGCAGCATGAACCTCGGTCCGTGGAGAGGACTCTATTCATCAAGGTAAGATTGACCGCAGACGCGGGACACTTAAGCGAAACCGCCTCGTCTGCTGAGACGCAAAGTTGGGCCCGAAATAGCGGCCGAGAGAGACCGGGACTCTAATGCATGCCACAGCACATTGCGGAGTTGTGGCCAAACCTGGCCGCACAGGTACGGCCACATGGCATTGGTCTCTGGTAAACACGTCGCTGACGGGCACAGAAGCCGCTGCACCCTAGCCGGCGTGGTAATTACAGCAACCCCTGGACGTAATACTTGCTGGATTGCGAAGGTGAGCTCAGCGGCTCAGGGCTCACAATTCCACTGATGGCATTATTTCAGCCCGCTATAGGACTTATGACGGTAAGCTTAACACGGATGAGTATTGGTGACGCCGAGCATTAACAGCTTTGCTATGGCCCTGTCGTCATGATTGCCTGACAAGTGGGTTGTGGAGGATTCCAAGCTTGATGCAACGCCGACCGTGCTACTTGCTCAGGCTCCAGGGGTTGTGCCCAGGCCGGGGGCGGTCACGCTTTTTTGGAGACAACACCGTTACACACACGCATACACGCCACGAGTTTGTGACAAGGCCAAATCAGGTTTTCCAGACTCATTGCACAGCTTACTTCAGCATCTGGGAGAAACCACAGACCCATCCCATGTGCGACTGCTGCGTGTCAACCCTGGCTGGGGTGGCCAAATCAACAAGAGGAGCTCTCGAATCCTAGACGAGTGCGTCGGACAATTCTCGTCTTGGCACCTCATAACCCTGTGCAACTCGGCCAGGAACCAAGAACTGGGCGGGACATATGCGTGATGTTGGCAAACTACCCACCGACAAGCACCTTCCAACTCAACACAACCCGGCAGACGATCCAAGCCTAGGTGTGCTGTACGACTGTGGCCGGCTGCCCTGTCTTCTCCTCTGCCAGCAAGTTGAGGCGGGTTGTGCGGATGCTTCCGATGCCTGTAGACGCAGTTCCGATCGTCTTCGGGGCGCTGCCGAGCGGATCTCGGAGCACCTCAGCACCATCGAAGATTGCCCTCTGCCGCTTGGCACCAGCGTCGATCCTTCCAATGTATGGTCACTGTGTCCCGGCTTCCAGCGGCTGCAAGGCCCACGGCCATGAGCTTAATTAAGCGAGTGCCTCCCCTTCCAGCAACAATGCCGTGTTTTCCTGGTTCTGCGTTCGCAGCCCTCATTGAAGGCCGTTCGGGGAGCAGGACGATGAAGGACAGTGCCGTGCACCTGCCAGTCGCCTGTAACACTGGCAACTTCTGGCAAGAACCAGCAAAGATATGCACCCCGCAAGCAAGAAACACAGGCAGTGTACATGCGTCCGTCTGCTCGCTCAGACTCTGGCTGGCACCATTGTTGCGGGATGAGGCGGCTCCCGTTGCATACCTCTGCCAACTGAGTTTGGCGGCCAGACTAGCCCGGCCTGACCAAGCCATGGTTCCTAGCAAGCGCTGCCAAAACAAGCTCAAACAGCAGATTGGTCGCATGGTCTGACATGTGTAAGAACAACTATTGGAGGCCATTGGATGCGCCGCGTGGCTCCGGTCGATTGTGCAGCAAGCAGGCCCTCTGGAATCCCAGGCACTGATCGCGAACGGACGTGCATCAGGCCTCGACAGTTTCGCAGACCTGGCGTCAAGCGGTCACCAGGCCTGGAGATATTGCTCCGCCTCGCGATGGGTAACAGGCAGTACTTCGAGAACAAGCTGTGGGGAAGTACAACTGTCCGCGGCAGGGATCATCTTCATCATTGGTCAACATGACCCGCCAACATGCCATCTCACCTGTGCCTGACCAGGCTTAGGAACATTCTCTGCCGGCTCCGAGGCACAGCGCTACCGAATATGCCGCAAAGCATGGCAAAGCACAATCATCATCACAGGGTGGGTTTGATTTGTGGCACCACCCTAAAACACTGCAGCATCAAGCCACTCCATGGTCCCGCCAAGCTATGTTGCACCGGCGGAAAACCCCTTGCCATGGAAAGACGCGTAAAGCTCCGATCGTGGTTCACAAGCCCGATCCAAATTCCAACATCACCCCCGCTTCGAGACGGCAACGACTGGGGTCTTGCTGTCGACCACCACCAGGCCCCTAGCTCCGGTGTGTGCACAAGCCTGCCAAAATAGTTCAGTTTGTGCCTTGATTGAAACTTTGATACTTCGAGACGGCAGCAGCCGGGCCAGGTTTTTGCCGGAAAGTTCCAGCCTAGACGCACTAAATCTATTTCCATGGCTTTCCATCCCTAGCCCGGCAGTCCAAGCCAGCCGGAACATCAGTCACCACAACGCGCCACCAACTGAGAGCGCAACAGCAGTGTTACTCATGCCCGGTCGGCGAAACTCGATCGTGGGTGAGCTTAGTCTAGCCTCGTGCCAGAGACCCAGCCCTGACTCGTCCACTGGCACCAAGTGAAGCGAGTCCGTATCCTACAGGTGTTTCTGGAGGAGACCTGCAGGTGAATTTGCAAAGACAAGCTTCTTTCCTCTAGCAGAAGGGTCAAAATGAGACCAAGAAGGGCGATTGTACTGAAGCAGCATGAGAAAGTCGGACCTCAAGACATAGCCTAAGCCAGTACTAAACTAAGCAGCCCGGCGATGAGGAAGAAGCTGTCTGCTGAACTAGTTGAACTACACGACCTTTGGGCTCGGTCCTGAAGACCACTCCCGTTGACTTCACTAATTCAACCCAGAGCCAATACTATTGTTGCTTCGAGTTGGCCTCGCTGTCCAACGCCTAGCAAGTGATAGACTGTTTCATTGGATGGGAAAGTGAAAACATGAGAGAGTACCTTTGGCAAGCACGTCCTTCGTCATTGGTTTCCTTAAGCTATGTCGTGCCGCAGCCGTGTTCTGGCGAGCTGGATCTATTTACTTCCTATCCCAGCCCCGACACACTTATAAGGCTTGTGTAAATGTATGTACAAGTGGCATTCCAAACCGGTGCTTCTAATCATGTACGAGCCTCACTTCCCTCGAGGCTGCTCGAGCACGAACACAGCCTTTTCGATGTTAAAGCGCAGTTCTTATAGCATGCGTAATTTCTGCTCAAAGCGGCATCTCATCCTCCTCGATGAGCCTGCCCAATATCAAGCTCTGGACGACGAGCTCGTCATTCAGAGTCCGGACTCGCTTCGGTGGTCGGCCGCCATCGTCGAAATGTTCCGCCGTGCCTTGCGCCATGCTTGTACTCACACTGTTACTTCCACTTGCTTTTGCTGGCCTCTTGCGCTTTCTGGCACCAGATACTTGTTCCTTGGCATCGGCCGGCTTGCCGTAAAGAATAGTGTCGACATCGCTCAGGCGGTCTCCGACGTAGACCCAGTCAAACGGCTCTCCGGCTGCTTGTCTCTGCAGGAGCAATGTCCTAGCCTCATCGAGGGTATAGACCCGCGTCAACGTCGCGCCGAGCACCTGCACGAGGAAAAGATACGGCATGTTGTCCTCTTTTGTCGTTCGCTTCAGAACGACCAGGACCTCCGTGTTCTCTAGGAGCTTGGGACGCTGCTCAATCACTGCCGAGAACTTGCTCGTGGTCGGGTCATAGTATGGCAGATTCCGTGACCGGATCGCATCGCCCAGAAAGGAGCTCTGACCGGCACACAGAAGGTACGACGACCAGTCGACCAGCTTCTTCTTGGCCACACAAGTGGTGACCCATCTCGGCGCCAAACATGGCAGGCCCAGCGCAAGGGCCTGGATATACTTTGCCTTCCGCGAGTGCTCATCTGCTATCAACGCGGTGAATCCCATCTCCGGAGTCATAAGACTTATGGAGCCAGACGTGGCGGCTTTTGTGCTGCTGCTGCTCCGACTGTGGAACGATTCGAGGCGAAACAATGCGTCGAATCCGTCAGACAGGACAACCCCGCCCTCTCGCACAATAGAGTCCTTGAGGGCCTTGTTTTGGGAGACCCGGGCTTTGAACCGGTCATCGTCCTCGTGTCGCTGCTTGGACTGGAACGTCACTGCGAATGTCATACCGTGGAAAATGCCGTCTTTCGCCACTGCAAGGCTTGCGTTGCTCTCCTGGAGCGACAACTGTGCGGTCGAGGTCTGTCGCAAGGATTTGCGGGCATTTGCTGCCACTCTCGTCTGCACCTCCTTTCGCCGTTGACGGGCGGGCGATTTAGTCGATACCTCCGTTGAACTTCCCCTCGAAGCTCGACTTGATGCCCGGGTTGTGCTGCCAGGAGAGAAACTGTAGCTCTTGACATTCCGCCGCGGAGCTGAGGACGATGGTCGGCCACGGCGCTGTACTTTTGCCACCGCAGGGGACGAGACATTGTCAGTAGGCTCATGTACCTCATGCTCCGTGTTTGGAGTTGCGCTTGACGGCCGTGGCGGCGTAGCAGACAGGCTGCTCAAGCTTGACGTGCGCGAACTTGCGTCTGAAGAAGGCGGTAAATCTGCAGTCTGTGGGCTATTGATTTGCTCGAGCCTCCGTGAGCTCCGTGTCACCATGCGTTGTGACGAGGCGAGTATCACTGTAGGCGAGGACCGCAGACCCGGCGGCATGGGGCTCGAGATTACGACATGCCTCGCAGACTCGGCTTCTCTGCGTATCTGACCTTCTATACCGGATGCTGCAGTGCTAGGTGGTGGCTCAGTGCTCGGCAATGGCGGTAAAGACGGCACGCTCGAGTTACTACCTGGGAAGGGCAGCTTCGTTCCCAGTCGGTGCTTTGCATACTCAGCAGCAGCAGTGCCGGGAGGGCTGGTCTCTGGTATTGTGTCTGCCGCAGCAGCTGTCTCGCGTTGAGTTGACACGAGGTCCAAAGGGCGAGGTGGCGGACTACTCGGCTGATCGATAGCTGATTGCGCAGCTGCGGAAGAGGTGTGAGAGGGCCCCTGGAGATGCTGTGAGTCGGCAACGGTTTCCTGCGAATCGCTTTCATGGCCCGGCTGATCTGACGCAAAGTGTCCAAGGGTGGGACTTCGCTCTTGCAGTTTCAAGTTGTTTTTCGACTTGGCGCGATTCGTAGATGGGACCTCGACGTTCTCGTCCTCGGCGTCCTGTGCTGAGCGATTGGACGATTTGTGCTCTTTGGGCGAAGACCTTGAGAGAGCCTGGTTACGCACGCCTGGGAGAGTAATTGCCTGCAGAGACTTTTCGGCTTTGCTTCGTTTGAGCCGCGCTCGTCTTTGGCGTGCAGCATCAGCCAAGTCGGAATCGCTATCTGAGCCCTCGTTGTCGCTAGATTGGTTCTGGCCCGGTTTTGCCATCTCAAAGTTGCTGACAGACCTGTACTCTTCTATGGGATCAAGCCGGTTCCGCTTTGGTGGTACCGGACGTGGTTCGGGAGAGACTCGTCTCTCATGGTCCTGCAGACCTTGATAATCATCCTGACTTGTGCCGAGCTCGTAGGCTCGAGAGGATGGTCGCAAATAAGGCGGGCTCGATATAGCTCCATGTGAGGTGGGGGACGTTCGCAATCCTCGGTCCTTCAGGGGCGAGCTGATTGCATGGTTGGGGGAAATCGTGTTGTGGTTGAATATGTTTGGCGAGGGCCGCGAAGACGTTGGGCTGGCCGCCTTCACGACGGACGTCATTTGTGTCTGGCCAAACAGCTGCGATGGCCGCATTATGCTTCCATTTGCTTGACCACCAAAGGGATTGTGTCCCTGTACCACAGCCGGCGTCTCTGGCGCTATACCCGTTGCATCTTGATGGTGCGAAAACGAGGTACCAGGGCCGTCGCCAGCCTCGACCACTTGCGTTTTGGGGGGCCAATCAGTCAGTGGTTGGGAATCGACTGGTTCGAATTGGTCAAACGAGGCTCCTTCGTCTAGCTGGGTGTCTGGATCCTTCCCGAACTCGAACCGGACCGCACCGGTGTCATTATCATGCAGGGTGCGGTGCCCGGGTGAATCGCTGCCACGGTCGGGAGTATCATCGTTGGCATATTGATCGTAGCTGCGGCCGTCGTTTGACTGTGTGGGCGACTGCGAGAAGTCCATTATGCCACGTCGTTGCCTCAGCGGAGGCTCGTCCGTGATCAGGCGTGGGGGTGGTGGCTCTCGAGGCTCGCCATTGGCGTTGCCTGTCAATGGACGCAACGGCTGCCCGCTGCCGGATGGCCTGGCTGCATTGTCGGCCGAAATACAAAGGTGTCTGGTCAGGCTGCTGCTGGCGTCTTCAAAGGTCGGCGAAGATAGGCCTTTGTCGAGTCGTCGCTGATTGGCTTGAGGGAATGAATGTGGCTGTTGTTGTTGGAGGAGGAGCTCTGACGTGATGTGCGCCGACGCGTGATTCATGAACGGGTGCTGTTGCCGCCGCGCGATCAGAAAAAGCAACGATCAGTGTGGCATCCCTGCCAGCTTCCTGGTCGGCCTGCAGGCCATGCAGCAGGGGTCCTTTCCGGGGGGGTTCAAGAGGAACTAACCGTGTCTCCGGCGTCTGACTTTTGAGCTGGAGGTAAAGGCACAGCTGGTTGCCATCAGGTCGTAAAATCAGCTTTCCTGATTTGACCGATCTGGTCCTGGCCGCGTGAGGCGCCGTGGGCAAAGGCCTACTTACAAATCGTACCTCGTTCGGCGCCATGAGCTTGAACGCGAATTCCAGCTGCAGGCTGCAGTGGATCTGTGTCATTGAGCAGCTGTCCAGGCAGTGTGCCGTTAGCGCCAACCTTAACAGCGGGGTTCTCTCCAACCACGAGGCGCGTGTCTTTCAGCTTCAGGGCAGAGCGACAGACAACAGCGCTCTCGGAGCGGGAACGCACGAGCAGGGGGGGGGGGCTTACATGGTCGCGGACGTGCCTATTATATATCTGTGCGAAGTCGCTTTCCTGTGTGTCGTTCTGGCCGTCCGTGGGATGTTGAAAGCTGCCGTCCCCCAGTACAGGCCAAACCGGCTGGCTCCGGCCCTGGCTAAGAGCCTCGACAAGCTGGGCGCTTGCCATTGCGCTCGGCGCCAGGGATGAATTGCCGAGCCGCGTGTAAGCGCATGCGACTGCCTTCTTTCGAGGCTGCGCGCGCTGGGACGTGGACTTGAGCTGGAAAAAGCAAAAAGAAGAGGGAGCAGGGGTGTGATGTGCAGGAAGAGTGACGGGATAGTGGAACAGTGGGCGCGCCAGTCACACGCGAAGTCCCGTGACCTGAGCTAAACCACTCTAACCTCCCGAGGTCTGTTCGTGGCTCGTCAACCGACTGTGTGCAGTTGTTTGACGCCAGACTGAAGCATACGTAGCCTATTCGTTCACAGACACTTGCACATTTTACGCGGCCAGTTCTCAAAAGTTCATTGGGCATCGTGTTTCTTTGCCAAGCGCACCGTATATGAGCATTACGATAATACCAAAACCAGATGACCGTGGCCGTGATTCTAATAAATGCTGACCAGTCATGCTTTTCCCAAACGCCATGCTATCTTTCCAGAGCTAAAACCCCGAAAACATTTCCTAGAAGCTTCCATAATATCATATCACAGATGAAAAGCAGTAATTTGTGGATGTCGCTCCCGGCATGGCCTTGTGTAAGCACATCTCTTGCTTGCCTCACAACTTTCGCTCCGATATTGCTGCCGACAGGTCTTTCAGTTTCACCGGTTTCGTGTAGAACAGGTCCATGCCGCTGGCAAAGGCGTCGCGCTGTGTCTCTACCGAGGCAAGCCCCGTCAAAGCCACAACTGTCGTGCTCTTAAGCTTGTAGTCGCGCTCAAACTCGCGTATACGCCGGCACGCGCCTAGTCCATCCATAACTGGCATCGAGAGGTCTGGGTTGGCACAAATGCCCGTTAGCTTGTACATATTGGTGGGACCGACGGAGTTTTTACCCATCAAAATGCAGCGATAGTTCCGCGGCGATTCCCTGTAGCGCTCGTATGCCTCGAGACCATTGCTCGCGGTTTGATACGGGAGCTGCAGCTTTTTCATGAAAGAAACGAGAATCTGTCCATCCAAACGTTAGCTAGAGGAGTGATTGGATCAACAGAATTCCACTAACCTGTAGGTTGATTTTGTTGTCGTCGACCAGGAGAAAGGTGTCTGCTGGCGAAAGTGGAGCTTCCTGGCTCGTGGCGTCAGTATTACCAGACTCCCCATCTCCCTGAGTCTGCTCCTGCGGCCTTGCACTAGTGGTTACCGAACTTTCGGCCGCGAGGGATTTATCTTCTGCCTGCAGAGTCGGCGTCCGGCCATCCTCGCCTTCTGAAGACTCTTTGATCAGGCTCAATGGCTCTTCCGTGCCATTTCTTCGGTTGAGACTGAGCACCATCTCATTCGCCTTGTCAGAGGCCTCTTCACGCTGAGCTACCGCTAGTACAAGATCAGAAGCCCCAGGTGTCGAAGGAATGATCCCTCCCTCTCCTGCTTCAGAGGGTGACGATTTGGCAAACTCTATCCACCTGTTGAGGGCCACCTCTAATGATTTGGCGAGCTTGCGCGGCCCGACGCTTTGACATTGTTAGCTTGCTATAAATCTCCAGATGTAGAGGACCCTCGAGACGGAGAGTCGAGGAGGGTTGGGAACTCACGGCTGAGAGATATACTCGATGATGCGGCCGGCATTAGCTTGTTCGGATTGGATACTATATCTGTGCGCAGTGACAGCGTCTGAACAGATGGCAACTGTAGGCGTCAGCTTCTCAGAGAGGCTGCCTTCGCGGGTCACATCGAACAGGCCGTCTTCCCCACAGAGGATCAGATCAGGGCGGACGTCGTGGTTACCTAATTCCACTACCTCCATCTGGAGCCAGTCAGAGCAGATGGTCTTCATCATCTCTGAGGGCAGGGGAGGTGTGAAACCGGGAATGGCGTGACGCTTCGAATTGAGCCGTATGGGATGATCCAAACCGGCAATCGAGACTCGAAGCCCGCGAAGGGCGTCCTTCTGCTCTTGGAAGCCGCCGTCTTGGTCTACTGATGAGGCTGCACTCTGCAATGGAATGGATACTCGCACACAGGTGCCTACGCCAACCTGACTTTCGACGGTGAGGCTTCCCGAAAGCGTACGAACGATTTGTTTTACGAGGCTCATTCCTAAGCCTGTACCAGGAGCAAGCCTGTCTTCTTGGGCAAAGGGCGTGAAAAGCTTTTGCTGGAGAAATTGAGGATTGATCCCTTTCCCTGAGTCCATGACCGACAGCTTGAGGCGCGTTATGGCATTCTTGTTCTTGCTGTAAACTGTCTCTTGGTGAATCGAGACGGAGATGAACCCTTGCTCAGTGTACTTCAGCGCGTTACCAAACACATTTAGCAGGATCCGTCGAATAGCTCCAGACTGGGTACAAAAAGTCCACTTTACTCGAGGGTCAATCTGGAGGAAGACGGAGACTTTGCCAAGTCGAGCCGCATGGTCAGAGGTGTTCTTGCCTTGATGTCCGAAGCTCTCCATGGCATCCATGATGTCGAGCTTTCGCATCGCCAAGACATCAGCATCATGTGTGGTCTTCTGGCTGCCCGTTTGCGCTATGGACAGCATCTGGAACGCATGGCCGGCAAAAGCGCTGTTGACACTTTCTTCCACAAGGACGTCAAGGTGAACTACCGTACTCAAACTGCGTGGTCCGGTTACAGTTTGACTGGGTGATGGCCCTGGCCTGGTGCCTTTGTCGTTGTGGCGATTGTCTCGTGACTCTTTGAGATAAGTGTTGACTTTGCTGTAGTCGAGAAGCTGATGAACTAAGTAAGACATTTGAAAACTCCGATAGGCCTACTTCAAGTTGGACATCATCGACTTACATGATTGACGACGTCTAGTAACGTGCGGCCACACGACTCGAGCGAATGTAACAAATCGGCCTGAAAGGCATTGAGTGTCTCGCCGCGGAGGAGGTCGACAGCAGCCAGGACACCATGTAAAGGTGATCGTAGTTCATGGCTAAGTGATCCTAGCACATCCGACTTCGCTTTGTCTGCTGTGAGAGCATCGGAACGCATGATCTCCGACATGATGGTAGTGCCGAAGGCTTGCAGGTAGCTCAGCTCGCCTTCCCTGGTGAAAAGACGTGCCGGTGTCCTTGTCCAGACGAGACCACCCGCATACCACCTCTCCTTGCTGGCATCCCACAATGGTATGAAGATAGCGCTCCGAGCTTCGGGAATTATCTTGAAGACCGATTTCCCTTCATTTCGTCTAGACCACGGGCGGGAGGATGCTTTGCGCCTGGTTGGGCTATCCTGAGCCGTAGTCTGACCATCGGTCTTCTCCGCGAAATCCTCCACGTTGGTGGTACGGAGCTTCTCCTCTTCTGAATCTCCCGAACTGATGGTCCCGTCGGTGCCAAAATGAAATATTCGACCACGAGGGTATCGCCTGAGCAAAGTGCTCAGCAGCCTCTCCGGAACATGCGTGTGAAACGAGGATGCGGTGTCACTGTCAACACTTGAGTGATCACTCGTCGAGAATCCGAAAACGCTGCACCGCTTCTGTGTCTCCTGCATGAAACGCTCGTCGAGACTGTCTGTACTACTCTCGCTGCTCGAAGAATATCTTGGTACGTCAGTGGCGTATCTTGATGAATGTATCTTGTCGTCTGTGGCAACCATGCCACCAAATGAGCCAATGCTAGCATCAAGGAACAATACTCCCTCTACCTCGAGTGACTCCCTGATGACGTTGGCAGCCTTCGAGAATATCGTCTTGACGGCGGCGAGGGGGTCCTCGTCTGACGCTTCGGAGCCCACGGTTATGATGCTGCCAGTAGATATGCCGGTGGTGCTTGGCACAAAGGGTGGCACAGAGCCAGTACTCAAGGGCGGAGAACCCGACATACTAGGAGCGCGGTACTGTTGCGCAAAGTAAGACGTCTGTGATGAGGGCTCGGGTTCCTTAATCTTATCCCAGAGCTCCCGGCTAGTCAGGTCCTCATCTGTCGCTCTCCTCTGTAGAAATTGCTGGCGGGCATTCAACGAACCCTCCGTGCCAGCGTCTTCAAAGGACGCAACGTTGTCCGACTTCTCAGAGAATGCCAACCCGGAGCTCCCTTCAACAAAACTTCCGAGCCCTCGCACCATTCTTTCGTTACGGCGGAGGCCGTCGCTTGCACGCTGCAGAACCATGTGCTGAGTGATGGCGCATGATGCCTCGCGGAGAGCCCGAGCGGCATTGTCAGGAAGAATATTGTCCTCGGTTTTTGGTTGCGGATCATAGATACTCAGGACACCAATATTTGCTCCGCGCGGCGACTTGATAGGGACGGCAGCATACCAGCGCATCCCAGGTTTGCCTACTACGAACAGGTGCTGAGCGAATCGCGGGTCATTGGCGAGGTCTGAGACATGCGAGACTGGCAGGTGTTGACCACGGTATGCCTGTGGCATGCTTGCGTCAACAACGATATCTTCGAGTTGGAGGACATGCTCGCTTATGGACGAGTTTCGCGGGAATGCCTTGCCGCATAGGTCGAGAAGATCCGTCTCTGGCGCGGCGTCGAAGATGCTGGAGGTTCTGCCCGCACAGGCTACGACATGTTGCGACTGTGTTTCGAAGAAGGAAACGTACGCGCAGGCGGCTTCCAGGCGCAAGACGCAGAGCTGCGCTAGCGAGGTGAGGATGGGATCATGCTGGAACGGCGCGTGCTGCGTGAGGGGAGCTATTGGCGGCACACCAAGAACGGAGGGGATTGTGCCGGATATTGCAGACGCCTCGTATCTGCGCCGGGTCAGAATCAGCAAATACCGCTCGTCAAGTCCATTCCGTTGGGTTTAGGCAGTAGCTTGCGAGCCCATGCCGAAAGCTTTGCTGCCACGGCAGGGAATAACTGGATTGTGCCAGGCATGTATGAGGATGCAGCAACGCACCTGAAAAGCTCCCGCTCGCGAGCAGTCTCAGAGAACTTAGCCATGGCTGCCGATTTTGGCGTCGCGCAGTGGCGACAGTGGCCTATGGGCGATCAGAGGGCTCTGCGCATCCCTGGATGGTTGTTTGACGAACCAACGAGCGTACCGCAATGACAGAGGGTCCGCTGCCGTGGGAGACGTAGTCGGACGTTATGAAGTCGATAGCGGCGAGCAAGGGCTGCGCGGACTGACGAGGATGGGAGTTTCTGGAAGCTGGGATGATTGAGATGTCGAGTCCAGGGCCAGGCCCCTCCACGGAGCAAGATCGCCGCTCGAGTGTGCGCAGGACCTCTGGCTAGCGGCCCCGCACCGCGTGTGCTTGTCACTGCAGGCAGCTCCTAAGGTTGCTGCCGTCTCCCGATCGCGATCGATTGGATCCCCTGGCAAACGTCTCTTCCACATACTCTATAATGCACTGCACCTTCTTGGTCGACACTTTGGAGTATTCTGCTATGGTTCCATGCCTCTGCGCCGAGGCTTTTGGCCAGCGCGATCTGGTCGTGGTTCTGCACAGAAGACGGGAGGCACTTGAGGGCGGAGGCTGAAAACGCCACGAGGGCTGCTGACCCGGGATGGAATGGGATTCCTAAGTTTGCGCATGGGGTTTTATGGCATTTACAGAGCCCCACCTGCTTGGGGTCAGCCTTTCCAATGCGGAGGCATGAACACCATATATTTGGACAACCTCGATATGACACCTTAATATACTATTTGCGTTGTCGACTGTAAACACCGCGTGAATGGCAGCAAAAAGCGATTGCATCACGTAGACATTGCAAGAGGACGGCTGGTTATCCCCCGCTGCCCTCTGCGACACTGTGTGTACAGCTTCTGGAGAATCCTATTCTGACCCAAACTACCCCACCGCACCTTCATTTCAACCTCGGTCGTCTGAGGCTTTTTATGTGCGAGCTGTTCCGGCGATATGCACCAGATTCTGCTTGCTGGCTTTCAATGCCCCAAGCTCACAAGGTCGGCTCTCCAGGCGTGGCCAACGATGAAGTGAAATGGCTTGCTGCACGATCGCGCAGATGCATCTCTCATCGCCATAGCTTTTTACTAGTATTTTTAGTTGCCATGTAGTAACCAGAGGCTGCAACATCACAGGAAGAGACGGCAAATGTTTGCCTTTTCATTTTATCGTTGCTGCTGTACAAACTGCACCTCTTGGACGCCGTTTGGGACCATTGACGCTTGGGAGACTTTCATTTTGCATACTTTCGGATGCTCGTCTTATTGTAGTGATATTGAACTGCGCAAAAGCTCGGGGTCGGCATTCGATGGGGGAGTATATTTGCTTGATAACATGGACGTGGAGAGATCTGTGGGTGTTTTCATGAGTTTAATGCTCTTTCAGGCTCTGGCATATATTTTCAGGCCGGTCGAATGTCGATTGTTACGAGTCGGCGTGACATCAACGTGGTGTGCACTGGAATTCTCAGCCGAAAACCCAGGACGACCTTGAGAGCAGCGACGAGAGGAAGCACAGAAAGAGACAAGCATGATGGCTGGCGACTCGAAGAGAACTCGCTGTCGTGGGATAGCATCAAGGCTCTAAAGTTGAGAAGTCAACAAGAGGCGCATTTACACGAATGTTGCTGATGCTAGAGAGAGAGAAGATGAACAAAAATGACATCCAACGACGGTTCGCTTGCTTGGTCGGGAAGTGCGGACCATGCATCTGAAGTGAGGATGAGTGAACCTCGGCACAACAATGGGTGGAATGGGCACTCATGGCAGCTACATTACCGCATTCGAAGATCAGGCTCACAAGTGAGCCATTTGATTTACCGATAGGAGGCCTCCGTTCCTTCAAAACCACGAGGCTATCATCGGTCTTACCAGGAGCTTCCCAAGAACAACTCGGAAGTTGAGAAGGGGGAACGCATAATTTCTGTTTGGCATATCAAAATCCGCTCATAGCAACAAAATATCTCAGCATTAAGGAGATCGACCACCGTCTCTAGGTCCCCACCCGGATGCCCGTCAAGACCTGTGCCCCTCATTTGGAGATCAGCAGCACATCGTATTTCGATTAGCACATTCATCTGCACCGGGTGGTACAAGAGTCCGGCACAAGGGCGGATGCGTCCCCGGGAGCTAGGGTAGCTGCGAGGCTAAATGCTTGACAGAAAATCGCGCTCAGAAGGGGTAGCTGTATCTTGTCAACATGTTAAGGAATGGTCATTCACTGTTGTTGTTGCTGCACCTCCGCATCGTGGCGGAGTCCTGCTTCAACTCAGTCGCCAGCGTGGACATGGTGCAAAGCGGCAACACAAGAAGATGAATAAGGATGCTCGGGGTGCGTATAATCAAAGGACAAGCCATAAAAGTCGCACTTGACTCTATCAGCGTGGCAAGCCCTCGGTCAGTGCAAAGGCAGTTGGTGGACTGCGAGAGCGCCGCTGTGGTGGTGAATGCGAAAGCGGTTGCTCTCGAAGTCCGATGTATGGAGCTGACTAAGGATGTCCGAGCACTGGTGGAATAGTCAATCTTGCTCAACCACCGGTTCGTGCTGCGACCTGCATGCATCGAGATCGTCCCTGGCTTGGCCAGCCACTCTGCAGCCGTCAAAGCAGGTGTGCCGCTTCTTGCAGGGAGGCCTTATGAACCGTGCAGGATGCAACACAGCCACAACCCGAGGAGTCATCCTCTTGGTGCTGCGCAAGGGTCGTTTCAGTCACGGGAAGACAGGTCAGGCACGCCCCCATGGTTGACGGAGGGCGAACTGTAACCTTTCAGTCTCGAAGGATGAGATGCAGATGATCGCATGCGCAACATGGCTACGTCCCTACGCTAAGTAGCTTTGGCCTCAAGTCGTCAGCGTTGTCTGAAACACTGGGGCCCGGTACGTCATGAGCTGGGCTCACATGCCCCCGGCTTCTGAATGGCCCCACCAAAAGCTCGAGCCCTGGGGTTGGGCTGCGAGGAAAGAAAAAAAAAAAAGTGCACTGCCCTCATTGGTCGCTGTCGAATACTGTCGGTGTCACAGAATCGCTCTTGCTGGCCGCCACAGCAGATACTCGTTGTCATCTATTGTTGATGATCTTCTCAGTCAGGACGCTGGTCAGATAGGCACTAAGCTGCAGATGTGTTTTGTAGCCTCGAGCCGCATGCGTGAGCGCTGCACAATGTGCATGTGTCTCTGGTGTGCAACAACAATTTACAGTACTGGAAGAGCTCCCCGCCCAGCCCGGGTAGTCCGACCAGCCCTGGCAGGAACGACCCACTCCCACTTGCACCGGGCGCCCGCTCATTTGCCCGCGGCCTGCCGGTTTTTTGCCAACCTTGCGCGCGCCCAGTCGGGTCTGGTGTGTGCGCCTTTGACGATTTTTCAGCGCCCAGCTCCCCTGCCAGTTTGGGCCTAGCACCAGGCACTGCACTGCGTAGCCCCGTCCAGTCTCTGTCCACATCCTCCACCACACCACAACACAACTCGACGCTTCTCCCCCCCTCTTCCCTCTTCTCTTCCTCATGCGACTTCCGTCACTATCCTCCACACACGCTCGACCGCTCGAGATAGCCTCCTCCTCGCCGCGCTGAAACCACCGTCCCCCGCGAATTGGAAATTCGCGCATAGCCAGATCCTCCGGACAACAACAAACCCCCTCCAGTGTCCCTCGTGGCGCTCCCCACCGCCCACGCAATTGCGTGAAATCCTCACACCGACTCGAACCCTACAAAAGACCCGCCTTTGGTCTTCTCAAAGGCGCCTCGGTTACTACGGCTTCCACGGCCGTTAAGCTCGTCTCTGATCAAGATTTCAGCCTTCGGCAGACATTTCACATCATCAACTCTCGGCCTCCTCCGCCCTCTGCTGAAGTCGCCTAAGCACCACCACGCTCCTCCGCCGTTCGACCGGACCCCCCAGCCAACCCCCGAATCCTCACCCTCCCCTCAGCTGCCGCATAGGACGAGTTCCGTGGTTCTTCCTCTAACGGAGGGAGAGTCGAGGAGACCTCGTCAGATCACTTTGGGATCAGAAACTTACCGTTTTCGACCCCCTTAACACCACTCATCCATTCTCGGATCACCCACCTTCAACCTTTTCCCACACACGAGAACTTTGACCGTAAAGTTCCCCTTGATCCTTGACATCGGATTTCAGTGTCCGACAACAAGGTATTCTTCTGTCCTCATCGACCACCAAACACCAACCGTCTCTTGCTTGTCCGGCGCATTCGCCAACAAAAGTCAAGGGATATGGTAATGGCAACGGCTGCCCTGCACCCCCACGCACCGGTTCAATTCGAAAATAATCCAATTTTCGTCCACAAGCAGCCGGAATTCGATCAGCAGAACAGTCGCCATGGCGCAATCTATGCAAAGCAGATGATTGGCGATGCTCTCCGCCAGCGCGTAGAGAGTATCGACCACGAAACCTGCGAGCCCGGAGATGAAGATACCTTTTTTGTAGGTGATCTCGGCGAGGTCTACCGCCAGCATATGCGCTGGAAGAAGAACCTACCCCGAGTCAAGCCTTTCTATGGTAAGTGGCCATCTATATAACCCGGCTGTCAAGTTTCAACTGCGGGCCAAGACTAACTTCTGTGGTCAGCCGTCAAATGCAACCCCGACCCCAAGGTCATTCAGCTCCTGGCTGCCCTTGGCACAGGCTTCGACTGTGCCTCCAAGGCCGAGATTGAGCAGGTCCTGAACATTGGCGTCGACCCTACCCGCATCATTTACGCACAGCCCTGCAAGACCAACTCGTACGTGCGCTATGTTGCCAACCAGGGAGTCAAGCAGATGACTTTCGACAATGCCGACGAACTCCGCAAGATTGCCAAGCTCTACCCCGAGGCTGAGCTTTATTTGCGCATCTTGACCGATGACTCCTCCAGCTTGTGCCGTCTTAGCCTCAAGTTTGGCGCGTCCCTTGACGACACCGACAACCTGCTTGCACTCGCCAAGGAACTCGGCCTGAATGTCGTTGGTGTCAGCTTCCACGTAGGCTCGGGAGCCTCTGACCCTCTTGCCTTCCTCAAGGCCGTTCAGGATGCCAAGCACGTCTTTGGCCAGGCTGCCAACCATGGGTACGACCTCAAGACGCTCGATGTCGGCGGTGGCTTTTCTGGCGAAACCTTCGAGCAGATGGCCGCCGTCCTTCGTGATGCCTTGGACGAGTATTTCCCGCCCAACATCAGCATTATTGCTGAGCCCGGCCGGTATTACGTGTCCACTGCCTTCACTATTGCCTGCAACATCATCGCCCGCCGTTCCATCCACAACCCAGTCTCGGGCGAGACCAGCTACATGGCTTACCTCAATGACGGTCTGTACGGCAACTTCAGCAGCATCATGTTTGACCACCAGCACCCTGAGGCAAAGGTTCTGCGTGTGGCCAATAACACTCTGTACAACACCCCCTATGCCCACGCCCTGCCTGAGACCCTCAGTGCCGGCATCGAATACTCCTTCTGGGGGCCTACCTGCGATGGTATTGACCGCATCACCGAGAGCATCCGCTTTGACCATGAGCTTGATGTGGGTGATTGGCTCTATTTCGAGGACATGGGCGCTTATACGAAGTGCTCCGCCACCAAGTTCAACGGGTTCAGCGACAGCCACGACGTCATCTACGTCTGCAGCGAGCCTGGCGCGGTCGCCATTCTGGGGCTTTGAGTAGTTCGGCGCAGTATTGCGCACTCGACCTTGTCAAAATGTTGAGCTCATTTTGGTTTCTTGTCGAATAAAACATTGCAAAAGTTTATATGGCATACTGGAAGGTCTTGGCGGGATGATGCATCGTTATGCCCTCCGTCGGGATACACCTCCGCACATATCTTACATTCATCACATTCCCTCATCTGGGCTTGACTAGCTGGGCACTCAAAACGCTTTGTGCCGTTTTAATATAAGAACCATGTCATCATTTACGACACTGTCTCTCACACCGTGAACAAACGTATTGATATTGTCTTGATCGCTTTTGTCTTTGTCGCTTTTCTCCTGTACGACATCTACATCGTCGAGCCATGTTAATCACGATCCAACCACCACGCTTGTATCCATGCACCTTGCGGAGGGAACCTGGGTTATAAACACAAAGTACAAGGACCAAAGTGTCACGCGCTGACATAGAGTGGATTGCAACTGCGCGGCGATATACGGATACGAAGAAGAATGTGTGCGTGCGTGTGTGTGTATATGTATGTATGTATGTACTCTGTTCGATAGTCCGGAGAAATATTCCACAACTCAAAGGAATCCGAGTCTGAAATGAACGAGCGTCTTCCCACCCCTTTTCCACCCCTTTTCCACCCCATTTCTGCTCCCCTATTCTGTACCATATTATCTTCTCGCCGGAAACAGCCCCCCCTTTTAAATCCCCCCGCCCCAACTGTTCACGTTTCCTCCATGGTGATACTACCGCCTTGGCTTTTAATCCTTATTCCGATGATGAAATCTTCTGGTTTCTCTGTGAGGAGAAACACGCGAAGACGGCAGCGGGGTGAAAAGGGTCAAGGAGCAGAAACAGAGGTCGGATCAGAAGGGGAAGGAGGAAGAGGGAAGCGGTCGTTGGGGAGACGACATGATAAGGATGGAGGAAAAGAGGGAACGAAAAAAGGGGGGAGGGGGCGGGGTCTTGATCTTGCGTTTTAGCAGTGGTCTCCTGGTTTGGTTTGCTATGGAGAAGAGTAGCAAGGAGATGTATCGTATCTGAACGCGGTTTGAATGTATGTGCAAAGTATGCGTGGATGTAGAATGTCATCAGCGAATGGGGGGATTGGAGGGCGAATGGGGACAGGACACGCCGATATTCTGGGGCTAGCAGTTAAGACACGGATTCGGCTTCTCGAGGATGCGGTGGTGACGAAGCCGTTGGAACTGCTTCCGTCATGGTCGTCCATACATCGTGATTTTCATGAGTTGGGTATAATCGTGGCACCGGCTTGTGACGTTACCCGGGCTGTGTAGATCTAGTGTTAGAGACAAGAGTTGTACAGGTTAATATTTACAAATTGTGGCGTCGACTCGGTTGGGGCGCTTGACCGCAGTCCATTTATGCCGCGACGACGGCTTATTCCTGCGGCTCCTCAGCGGCCTGCTCGGGGTTGACCTTGACGTTCATCTCATTGACCTTCCATGTCTGGTCGACCCAGTCCTGCTTGGTGCCGAGGAACACCACGCGCTCCTCCTCCTTGGCCAGAGCGTCGACAAGGTACTTTTGCGCGACCTCGCGGACGTCGTCTTTGCTCACGTCAAGCATCTCCTCGCGGCGCTTCTGCTTCATCTCGTCGGTAATACCCGAAAGGAAGCGATCCATGCCCTCAGTGTTGACCGACTTGGGCGCGTCCACGCTCTGGAACACCGAGATTTTGGCCTCTTCGAGGTCCGAGTCGCTCCATTTCTTATCAACAGCCCACCGGCCAGCGTTGCGCATGATGGACCGCGTATTCTGCGGGTTCGGGTCGCGGTACGAGTAGAAGCCGAAGAGGCCGTCGAGGCCCTTCATGTAGGCACCACCTCCGTAGGCACCACCCTTCTCACGGATTTCGTGGTGCAGGTGCTTGTGTGTCAGGAGCTGGGCGAGGATCTGAAGCGGCGCGCCGTGCTTCGAGGTGTACGATACCGTGGGCAAGGCGAGTGCGCCGTAGTAGACCTGGTACGGCAGTGGATAGAACGATTTGATATCCCTCGAGAAGGAAGGCTTCGAACCAGAGGCAAAGGCTGATGACAGAGTAGGCCGTGAGGCAAGGAAGTCGGTCAACGCAGAAGCGTTGGCTGCCGAGCTGTCAGGACCACACGTCACTGCCGAGCGAATGTTGTTGCCGGAGAGCGCAAGCTTCTGAATCTGTTTGAGCTTCTCAATGACATCCTCGTAACGGTCTGTCTCGGGCCGACCGGCCAGGGACGTGATCAACTTGACCTGAGACAAGCCACTGATCTGTTCACCGTACCAAGCACTACGGGTCAATCCCGCCTCAGCGGCTCGTCGGGCGTATGCATGCCCGGAGGAGGCAATGTCATTCACGACACCATCTGACGAAGCCTCGAGCAGCTGACGTATCCGGAGGGCAGCCTCCGGACTATCAAAGTTGGTCTCGAGAACTAGCTGTCTAATGATGTCAAACATGACAGGCACGTTGCGATCCAGAGCCATGCCGGTAAAGGCGATGCCCTCAGAGGCTTGGTGAAAATCTGTAGGAGAGGCTGTAGCGTGGTAGCCCACGGATACGCCTCCGGTCTTGAGCTTGATCAGGTCTTCAAGTTGCTCCATCGACATGTTCTTGGTTCCGAGTCGCATGATTGCGTCTGTGAACAGAGGGATGAGAGCACGAAGCTCATCTGGCAGATTCTCAAACGTGTTGATGGCACGGAAGTAGGTGAGCCCGTTTGTCGGTGCTTCGCGCCACTGCACCTTGGAGCCCTGGACAACCTCATCCCGAACTGCCACGGGCTCTTTGGATCTGGGAATGTCCTTCACATATACTGTGGGAAGGCAGCTCAGGTCTTCTGTGTTGGTCTTGCCTTGCTCGGCAAGCAGCTCAAGCTCACGCTCCTCCAGAAACTTGCGCGCCGCCTCTTCACCGCCGGCCTCCTTCGTAGCGGCCTGGATCTTCTCATTCAGCCGCTGCTCCTCTTCGGCAGCCAGGTCGGCGCTGTAAGTTTGAGATGGCGCCATCGTGAAAGTGAGAGTGTTGTCGTTAAGAAGGTACTTGTCCATGAGGCCCTCAAGGTAGCCACCTTGAGCCAGCCTGCTTTGGAACGCCTGCACTGTCTCGTTCCAAGCCAGAGCATCAAAGGGGTCAGTGCCGGTGAACCACTTGCCCTTGAGCCGGTGTAGGACGGACAGCCCGAAATTGGCAGTCTTGTGCTTCAAGCTCAGCTCAAGCTGGTGCAGGTAGCCATCGATCTTGCCCTGGTCGAAGCCCTTGGCTCGCACGTCCTTGAATATCCTTTGGACCTCACCCTTGACTTTCCCAACATTGGCTTCTGACACGCCACTAAGACCGATGGAAAATATGCCGGCCACAGCCGAGCCGTCGTAGCCAGTGTTAGGACTCCAGTCAGTGCCAAGCCCACTCTCTATGAGACCTTTGTACAGCGGTGACCCATAGCCGTCCATGAGTAAAGATGAGAGTAGGGCCATCGAGAATGACTCCAGAACGTCGGACGTCTCCCCAGTCACCCAAGATACTGAAGTCTTATACTGCTTGTCAGGATCCGCCAGAGGGTCGACGGGACCCAGAGCGGTGACTGTGCGCGGACCGTCGTCAAGAGTGATTGGCCTCTTGTTGGCTATGTCGGCTTGGATCCTCTCGAAGGAGCTCATCTGGGCATCAATCTCCTTCAAGTGATCGGCCAAGGGCATGTCTCCATACGTCAAGAGCTTCGCATTACTCGGGTGGTAGTGCTCCGCGTGAAACTTGCGCAGCTGCTCGTATGTCAGATCGGTGATCTTTTGTGGGTCGCCTCCAGAGTTGTTGATGTCAGGAAAGATGTGGTCTTGGAACCTAATATAGAAGATGTAGCCGGCATCAGACATTTGGCCCTTCATCTCGTTGTAGACGACACCCTTGAACACAAGCTTTGAGTCCTCGGGCTTCGCTTCGGCACCTGCGGCTGCCACAGCAGCTGGGTTCTCGGGTCCAATGCGCCATCCCTCCTGCGTGAAGTCGGTTTTTTTGAGGAGCGGGTTGAGTGTCGCATCGAGATACACAGACATGAGATTCTGGAAGTCTTGCTCGTTGGTGGTGGCGAAAGGGTAGTATGTGTGATCCGACGCCGTGAACGCATTCATGAAATTCGACAGAGTTCTCGGCAGCATCTTGAAGAAGGGGTCGCGGATCGGATACTTCTTGCTGCCGCAGAGAGTCGTGTGCTCAAGGATATGCGGGACGCCGGTGTCATCTGGCGGATTTGTCTTGAACCCGATGGAGAAGACATTGTTACTGTCGTCACGCGCGATGTGAAGGTAGTCGGCACCTGTCTTGTCGTGCTGAAGATGTATGGCTGTGAGCTGGAGCTCTGGAACGTGCTTTGAACGCAGCAAAGTAAACCCATGGAGCTTTTCACCGGGCTTCGGATACTGCGAGAGCTCCGTGACAGCCTTCCGCGCGCCCTTGGCTGCGTTGCGCAACATTTTGCGGCCTGCGCAGTCGTCGTCGTCGTCGTCGTGTGACGAAACGAAGGTCTTCGATCTCGATAGCTGGTGTAGTTTTTGTGCGACAAACCAGTGGCCGATGATGCAAGAAAACAACCGAAAATGCGGTAAGATCGGTCTATGACGTTATACAAGGGCCGCGACGAAAAAGACGTAGTGGTATAATAATACAAGAAGTGGCGGCGTGAAGGTGCTGCTGAGTTGGTCAAGTGACGGCTAAGGAGAGCAGCGCTTCGACTTTCTAGAACCGTGACGACGCGGGACCCATCCGGATAAAGCGGTACGGCGAAAGTCGGCAGATTGGCTATGCACTAATTGGGGCATTGGTGGCGTGGCACACCACATCCCCAGCGGATTTTATGCCAGTCTCAGCAACAAACATGTCCATAACTATGTACACTGTGAAACTGACAGATCGTAATGCAAGATCTGGCAAGCACAGGTGGGAAAAGCGAAGCTTAAGCTGTGGGCTGTCGTCAGAGCTGTGGGCTGTCGTCAGATGACCAAGCAGGGCTCACTGAACATGATGCACAGCACAAATGGTCCACAATGGAGGCGTAAAGCGTTGCCAGCTGAGCCGGTCTCCGGTCGTGGTCGTGCCAGAAGTCTACACGATGCAACTTCCTTGCAAGCCTCCGTTGACACATTCGCTCACCACATGAGCTCTGAGACTTGCCATCCTGTCTCACTCTCGGCGGGAGGTCCAGGGCCAGGGTTTAGACGGGTCCAGTGCTTGCAGCAATCGATGATGCTCCACCAGAATTGCGTGTGGCCTGCAGCTCGAGATCATAGAGCGCTTTTGGCAGGCGTAATTGAGGGATGTCCAGCCTCGTGATCACTGCATGCTCTGCATCCGAGAACCATCCCACAATGTGTACTGTGATGTAGGCCAGCCAGGGGATTGCCAAACATGAGATAGAGAACCCGCCTGGCCATCATGTCCTCCATCCACACGGCAATGTCATACATAGATGAAGCGCACAAACAGCGACGCTAGGTACTTAGGTAGAGTGGGCTAGGCTGTCCGTCCAGGCCGGCTCGCATCCACCTCGGGCAGGCGAGCGACTCGACTTCGCCTCAAAGTCTTCACCCCACGACCACGTCACTCTCGCAGGCCGCCCAAACCCCTCGACCACAACCACGACGACAGCGACACCCTCCCGGCACCGTCTCGACCACCACCAAAGGGCCTCAAGACGAGCCCCTGCGCCAAATCACCTTCTGCAACCCGCCGGGCCGGCGCCGCGACTCGAGCCCTCCGCCCACTTGATGCACCAGCAACTCTCCCGCCCCCATCGCTGCATCCTTGCCCGCCCGAGTGGCTGCACCTCGTAGGCAGCATGGCGACCACTGATGCGAGGGCTGCCGCTGCGGCAATGCCGAATCCAGCGCCTCTCTCGTCGGCATCAACCTCCTCCTCGCCCGCGCTCTCCGGTCACGCGCACAACGACTCTGTGGCAGGTGCGCCTCTAGCGAATGGCCACCACCACCACCATCACCATCACCACCATAGCCACAGCTCGGTACACGAACTACGCCACCCACCAACTCCTCCGGTCACCGCCATGGCGCAGAACGCGGCTGCTGGGGCGGCGTCCAAGAAGGCCAAGGCGAAGAAAGCGTTCGACTCGAGTGAAGCGTCAAAACTGGTCGCTGCCAGGATATCGCAGCTCGAGGTCGATACGGCAGCCGAGAAAGAGCAGGAGGCGGAGATCGGTGCGTCAGATCACCCCCCGGGCAGGCGCATTGGCGCCTGCAGGACCAGGCATGCGTCCTAGAGTACGACACTGTTGCTGACGTAGTTGGGTATTTAGATCGTGAGGTGCGAAAGGCGAATCGCGAACTGAATCACCAAATGAACAAGATGAGCGATTTGGACAAGATAGAACTCCTCACGAAACGATCGTCTGAACTATTCGCCAATATGAAACGGCTCGAACGAGACAATATCAAGAACAAGAAACGGGCCGATCAGCTGCAGAAGGAGAAGGACACGAGCCGTACCGACCTCAGCAAGCAGATTGGGCTCAAGGAAAAGCTCGAGAAGTTGTGCAGGGAGTTGCAGAAGGAAAACAACAAGCTCAAGGTATGATCTGGAACCGCCAAGTGCCATTGGTTAGTGCACTGTTTGTGCTGACTTGTTCACGATTCATCCTAGAATGAGCACCGCGCTCTCAACGACACACACGACAGGCTCAAGACTTCTTCCGACGATCGGTTCCGAAAGGTTCTTGAAACTCTCGAGGGGTATCAAGAGGAGAAGGACAATCCCCGAAAACAAGTCGTCTATATGAAAGCTGAAGAGCTGTACGTGGCGACACAATGACCGCTCAAGAAAGGAAACCTAGATTTGCTAATGCATCCTTCACCTCTGCAGGTTCAAGGCCCGATTCAAGTCGCTCATTGACCAATACGAATTACGCGAATTACATTTTCACTCGGCGATGCGGACGAAAGAGATCGAAGTGCAGTGGAACATGGCTCGTTACGAACAGCAGAAGAAGACTGCGGAAGCGGATGCTGCTCGTGCTCGGCAGCTCAACAGCCAGGTTCTCACATTCACAAAGACCGAAACCGAGCTGAGAAATCAGCTCAATGTCTACGTCGAGAAATTCAAGCAGGTACGGCGAGCTCTGGCCCCTGAAATCGTCCGACAGGCTCTAACTTTCCACGAGGTGGAGGACACGCTGAACAACAGCAACGACTTGTTCCTCACATTCCGCAAAGAGATGGAGGATATGTCCCGCAAGACAAAGAGACTGGAGAAGGAGAACGAGGCGTACAAACGGAAAAACGAGAAGCTCAATCAGAACATACTGAAACTTGCCGATGAGCGCACAAGGCTGTTGAAAGAACTCGGGGATCTTCGTAAGAAGACAGAGAAGCTGACGAGCATCATCAATCAGATGCAACAGCAAGGCCGGGGAATCCCGCAGGGGATGCAGGGAATGCTGGACAGTTGCGCGGTAGAGAGCCATCCGGACGATGTCGAGCACCACCACGACTTGGGGGACGTGGAAGATGAAGGTAGCACGTATGGAGAGGAGGATTACGACGAGGACGATCCGTTGAGTGACGACGTAGGAGACTACGACGACGACACCGAGGAGGAAGTTCTGCAGCCTTATCAGCATGCGCTGCCACAAATAGCTGCCAACACTCCAACCACATTTGGCCCGGAGCGCCCGCCGCCTGCCACAAATGGCCATCGATAAGAGCAGCGCGTCGAATGTCGTGCACAGCTGGTGCTGTTGATGCCCTACGCCGCAAGTAGAGAAAGGTACCGCCACGCCTCTCAGCTCATTCTACTCCTTGAGTGTCGGAAAAACGGTCTTTGCCGCTGGCAGGCACTCGGCAATGCGCTTCCATGGACTATGTAACTTTTCGAGCTCTCAGTACTCGGAAGCCTGCAGTCATCTCATGCAGGCACCCGCCGCATCTGCGTATATTTCGTGTAAGCTATATATACCTGTAGTCGTACAGCAATGATACTGTGGAGATCTTGGCATGCTTGAGAACATACGGGCTCAATATTACAAGTGAAAGATCGCCTGAATTCATCCGATGTGTGAATGACTGAGGGCCGGGTGTGATCGAACAGCACAGGGCAACGAGCCCATCAATGAGCCCATCAACGAGCAATTCGCGACGCGATCATATACACCTGCAATCTCAAAGCCAACGGCTTCCACCCAAGCCTTGACCGATAGCGGTAAAGAGATGCGGCGTGCCTTTGTACCGCTTGACCTTACTCTACGTTCCCATCTGCGACATGATCTAAATACAGGGTCCTTACTTTTGCCACGTTTGTGTATATTCCGCCAATGAAAAAAACCAAGCAGCTTTCAAGAACGCCAATGATCCCAGATGATATGCCAAGCTCAGAAACAATGATAAAACCCTTCCTCCACTTTGCTCACACCTCCAATGCCAATCATGAGGCGGGTGCGCCAAACGCAGCGATGCCCTGAAGTGGATTACTGCTTGAGGCACCACCGTTTCGGGCACCACCACCCTCAGCCCTCGCAGCTACGCCGTACTTGCGACCGACCCGGGCGGGTCCCAAGTTGCGCCGGATCTCATCGAGCTCGTCTGTGCCACTCTGCTTCTTCCCTTTCCTGACATGCTTCTTGCCACGCATCGAGTGGTTGCCCAGGAAGTCGTCGAGGATGCCGTCAAAGTCGTTGCGCACATTGCCGGTGACGCTGCTGGCTGTGGACCACTGCGAGGGTGCTCGCGAGGCGACGTCGTCGTCGTCCAGCGGGAAGTCGTCGAGCTCGTCGCCTTCGTCAAAGCTGGGGTCGTACTTTTGCTCGGCGAACTTTTCGAACCGCGCGTCGAGCAGGCCGAGCTGCTCTGTGCGCACAAGCGACGATGACGACATGCTGTAGCTCGATGTCGAGGTCAGCGCGCCCTTGCGCTTCTTGCGGCGCCCGCCGTTGGTGGTTGTCGTCATCATCGACGATTGCAGGTCTGACACTGAGGGCGCTCCGGTGCGGCCGGCCAGCGGCGCCTTGGAGGTCTTGGCCGCTGCCTTCTCGTCGGCCTTGAACTTCTTGAAGTCCTCCAGCCAGTCGTCGTTCGGGCCCTCTGCGGGGTGTCCTCCCTCGGCTGAGCCATCCACTGCAACAAGCGCGGGCGCTTCGTCCGTGTCCTGGTATTCTCGTGTCGGCTTTGCCGTACCGTCAGACTCCCAGCCCTCATCTTCGTCTCCCCAGATGTCGTCGTCGAGTTCTGACTGGTCGAGCTCCCGTCCGTCTTCGGCCAGCTGCTGGAAGATTTCGTCGTCGTCGTCGACGTACGCGTCGTCTTCCAGAGCCTCGAGGACTTCTCGTAACCTTGGGTCCATATCCGGCTGGAAACCGCCTATGACATCTGGGATGTTCTGCTGGTCCTGATATGTCAGGCGCTGCAGGTTCTTCGAGGGCAGGATATCCTCGCCAAGCAGTTGGCCCTTCTTGCGCTCCTCGTCCTTGATGTCGAGCCGGCGCAGTGCATCCTCGAGGCTCTGCTTCTGCTTCCCCTTGCTCTTGTCCTTGGCAGGCTGCTTTGCTTCCACGAAAACGACTTCGCCGCTGCCGTCGCCCGTGTTCAGGTCGCGCATGTGCTGCATGTAGTCGTACTCGGTGTCGTCAAAGTAGATGCCATGGTTGGCAGCCTCGCCCTCGTTGGCGCGAATGTGTTCAGCGTCGGAGCCCAGTTCGGACGCAAGGTCGTCAAGCTTCTTAACTTTGGAGGCGTTGGGCAGCGTCGTGGGGTTCAGCACCATGGCCGGCGCCTCGCTGTCGTGGATGAGGGGATCATTTTGGGGGCGGTGCACCAGCGTGAAGTGCTGGGCCGTCTTGCGGTCGCTGTGACGAGATAAAAAAACATCAGATACGTGGTTTTACCGTGAGAGGCAGTTTGGGATATACACCTACATCCATTTGCCTTTAGGCATCTTGCGAAGTTCTCGCGCTGGGTGGACAAGAACTGGGGTGACTGCTGGCGCTTATGGAGCAACAACGAGATTCAGATGCCACCAGCCAAAGCACTCGGGTTGTGTTGCACGTCAAGGGAAGTGGTGGTAAGTTGCGACAGGGCGGCACCGGAGCTGCTTTGTTCCTAGACGCTGAAGACTTTCAAGGTTGGGTGTGGGCTAGCCCTCAAGGTACCAAGTAACTCCTTGTACGTCCTGCAACACTCTTTGGGCACATTGGGCACAACCTCGAAATCGAGCTAACGGCACTGGACCCTTAATTAATTCCCTTGATGGGCATGTGAACAACCGCAGCGGGAGGGGAGGACCAAGGAAAGAAGAAAAAAAAGTCGGCAGTGGTGGGGGTGGACAGGGCTTATCGGCAATCAGTGACGCAAAATTATGATTTGCCCCTCCATTAATCAGCCCGCCATTAGATCGCCAGAGCAGTAGCTAGAGAGAGAGCATCGGGTCCTGGCCGTGCCCTCCACCAGCTTCACCATAGCCTGAACGCCTTGCAAGCATCTTCGTCTTTGCATCGCGGTACACCCAGACGGAACATACATCACCTTCAGCCGGTACTGAAGAACAGGGGCATCAACCAGAGCTCTACCGTACAACACTACCCCGCCTTTCCCAACTGGGAAACTGTCGTCACTTACACGACCACGACCGGCAACGGCGACGAAAGACCACGTCCGAACAGAAACACTTGATTCAGTCGCAGCCATGGTTCTCGCAAAGTCAAAACAGTCCGTGGGACTGGGCAACTCGCTCATGAACGATCGCTTCGGCAAGGGCAAGGGCGCAGATCGCAAGAAGGGCGGCAACTCGGTAACGAGAATCAACCACAACACTGGAGAAGAGGTAGGTTGCGATGCTGTCCTGTCAACTCTCGATCCTGGTGCTTACTGACACCATCTTCCACTTCACACAGTACATCACAAACGAGAAGAAGGAAGCATCATGGGTCAAGATGCGCTCCGTAACGGAGCAAAGCGCCATGGACGAGTTCCTGGCCACAGCAGAGCTCGCAGGCACCGACTTCACCGCCGAGAAGATGAGCAACGTCAAGATCATCCACACCGACCAGAAGAACCCTTACCTCCTGTCGGCAGCGGAGGAGCGCAACGTGATCGGCAAGCAGCAGAAGCACAAGGGTCGTCTGACAGTGCCGAGACGGCCTAAGTGGGACGAGAACACGACTGCCGCCGAGCTGGACCAGCGAGAGCGAGAGAGCTTTCTGAACTGGAGACGAGGTCTGGCCGAGCTGGAGGAGAACCAAGATCTGCTCATGACTCCCTTTGAGCGAAACCTCGAAGTCTGGCGCCAGTTGTGGCGTGTCATCGAGCGTTCTGATCTGGTCGTGCAGATTGTCGATGCCAGAAACCCGCTCATGTTCCGTTCGGAAGACCTTGAGAATTACGTCAAGGAGGTCAATCCGAAGAAAGAAAACCTGCTTCTAGTCAACAAGGCCGACATGATGACCACGAAGCAGAGGAGGGCATGGGCACAGTACTTCAAGAGCAATAACATTGCGTACAGGTTCTTTTCGGCGAGCTTGGCGAAGCAGTTGAACGAGGAGCGAGAGTTGGAGGAAGAATCGAGCGAGGCTGGTTCAGAGCAAGGCGAAGATAGCGGTCCTTCAGGATCTCAGCCAGCACCAGAGGACACTAGTGCAGGCAGCGTGGATGGCGAGTCTGATCACGAGGATGAGGTTCTTGCTACGAGGGAGACTGATTCCGATGAAGACACCCGGATTCTGACGGTCGAGGAGCTGGAGGACATCTTCCTGCAGCACGCGCCAACATCAGACGGTATGCTATTATTCCAGCCTCATTTTTACAGGAACACGCTAACTTCTTACAGCACCGGACGCCAAACTCCAGATTGGTCTTGTTGGTTACCCCAACGTCGGAAAGTCTTCCACAATCAACGCCATCATCGGCGCAAAGAAGGTGTCCGTCTCCTCGACACCAGGAAAGACAAAGCATTTTCAGACCATTCACTTGAGTGAGAAGGTTGTCCTTTGCGATTGTCCTGGTCTGGTTTTGCCAAACTTTGCTTCAACAAAGGCGGACCTGGTCTGCAATGGTGTTCTGCCCATTGATCAGCTGCGCGAGTTTACCGGCCCGGCAACTCTGATCACGAAGCGCATTCCCCAGCCTTGGCTTGAGGCTATTTACGGCATCCATATCCAGACGCGGCCGCTGGAGGAGGGCGGCACTGGCATCCCCACTGCCAGCGAGTTCCTCTCGGCGCATGCTCGGGCCCGCGGCTTTCAGACGCAGGGCGTGGGCCAACCAGACGAGTCCAGGGCTGCCAGGCTCATCCTGAAGGACTACGTGAACGGCAAGCTCCTTTACGTCGAGGCCCCGCCAGGGTATCCGGATGCCGCCGAATTCAACAGAGAGCTGTACAGTGCAGACAGACTGCCGGAAAAGCGCCGCGCGGCTCTGTTGGCAGCCATGGAGGAGCTCGACCTGGGCGATGATGGCGAGTCCACACTTGGCACTGATATTATTGCTCTGCCAAGAGGAGCGAAGTCGCAGAAGCTCGACAAGGCATTCTTCGCTACGGGGTCGGCCAATGCGGGCCACCTGACTATGCCCTTCAACCACCGTTACACTGCGCAAGGTCGCGACCAGGCCCAGACCCGCGCGAAGCAGATGAGTGGTCGCAAGGCTCGGGCGCTGATTGCGCTCGAGACAGGCCTGGACCCCAAGGATGTGCAGCTTGAGGGAAGCAAGAAGCACTTCAAGAGCAATAAGAAGGCCAAGGCCAAAGCGTCAAGGGGCAACATGGCGGACCACGACTGAGTGTCGCTCTGGTGTGGTATCAAAAAAAGGAGGCAAAGCTTACGATTTCTTTCATGACTCATTCCTGGGCGTTTTTCTTTTGAGGGTTTCTGCATCGCAACAAGGCCGGGGACATATTTCGATAGTTTCGAACATTGATTATTCACACCTTGAATGCGGCTGTCTAGAGTGATTTGACGCCAGATTGTTCTTTAATTCTTTATGTTGCTGTAATTTGTGACACATCCGGTGCAGTACAAACCATCCTTGTGCATGGCAAGTGTCTCCGTTTGTCTCAATGATAAAACCACGATACACGCTGTTTCAGCAGTCCACCCTCGACTAAATACGGGATCGAGCCTATCTTTCGATAAGGCATTAAAGAAACGGGAACAACGTTTGCAGAAATTATCTCAGCGCTCATTTCTATTAGCTTATTCACATGACGCGAAATGTGGTATCATTATATTCGTGACCGGGCAAACATGAAAACAACAAAGTCAACGCCGAGAACTCCGCCTTCGCCACAAACTATAATACCGCTTAATCGTCGACAACCCCTTTGCGCGACGTAGACACCAACTCAAAGCCCGATCAAATTTCAAAGACTGTGCATTCTCACACTTGCCTGGTTCTTATCACTACTGTGCCGCGAGTCCAAGTCCGCGTCCTGGTCACCCACGTCGTCGTCGCTGCAACCGCCCTGGGAGCGGTCAGTCAGCTGCACGTGTTCTCTGTTGTCGTGGTGATGACCGCCGCCGCCGCCACCGCCTTGGCCATGTCCCCCCTGGTGTCCGTATTCGGGGTCGAACAGAGGAGGAGGATTGCGCAGGTCGAAGCCCGTAAAGTCGTAGTCCTTGAACTTGCGGGTGGCGACACGGTTCTCGTACAGGTAGTCGAGCTGCTCGAGGGACAGGCCGCGCATCTCGGGGACGGTGAAGAAGACCCATAGCGCGGTGGCCCAGGAGAAGGTGCCCCAGATAAAGCCCTATGATATATCAGTTAGCTACAGCCCTTACTTTTATCAAAACACGAGAATTCAAATGCTTCCATGTGTGGCGTTCAAGGAAATGGCACCGGGCCCTTCCAACCCAGTGCTCATATCGGGGCGAAACGTGGAAAGACTTACAATCTTGGCTCCAAGATTCCCATACCCGGGATCCTGGATGAAAGGCGACACAAAGGCCACCAGAAGAGAGACGCCAAAGCCCAGAAAGACGGCCACGGCCTGGACCTTCTCCCTGTTCCTCGAGGGTGCCGCCTCGGCCGTGGTGATCCAGACCAGGGGGGACTGGATGCCAAAGAAGACATACCACAAAAAGATGGCCAGGACCGCCATGTCCTCGCTGGCCGCGGTGCTCGGGACGACCGCGATGGCCAGAATCGCAATGAGGACCGGCCCCACGCCGCACGCGGCCGCGGTGAGCAGCAGGATCGGCCTGCGCCCGAATCTGTCGGGGAGGACATGGCCGGACAGCACGGCGAGGTAGTAGACAATGTTGAGCCCCATCATGATGGGGAACACGTCCCTGACACCCGCGGCGGTGAGGAACGAGAAGATGTAGGCAACCATGTAGCCCGAGCCCTGGGCCTGCTGGAGGCACTGGATACCCGCGGCGATGGCAGTCCTGCGGAGGGTCGGGCGGTGCAGCAGCAGGTCGGCCCAGCCGGGGGCGCTGGCCTCACGCTCGCGGTCCATGTCGACCATGACTTGGATCGTGGCGACGTACTCGCGCGCGTCAAACGTGTTGGTGTTTGTGCCGAACAGGCGGTGGGCCGCGGCGATGGCCTCGTCCTCCGGGCGGCCCTTCCAGACCAGCCAGCGCGGCGACTCGGGTAGGAACGGCGTGCAGATGAGCATGAGGGTCGGCGCGAGCAGCTGCAGGCCCATGGGGATCAGGTAGCCGAGCTTGTCGTTGCCGCCGAACGCGAGCGAGGACGAGGCCGTCGCCGTCGTGGTGGCGTACACGCTGGCCGAGGCCACGATATACCCGATGATCTGCACGTTCTGGTACATGTTGATGCCGAACCCGCGGGCGGCGGCCGTCGACGTCTCGGACAGGTACAGCGGGACAATGTTGGCGGCGAGGCCCATGGACAGGCTGGCAATGGTCTTGCCGGCGACAAACTGGTCGTACTGCGGCTTGGGGCCGATGGCGCTCGTCATCTCGATGAGCACGCCGGTGATGGATATCAGGGCCGTGACGATGAGGGCCAGGCGGCGCCCGAGAATGTTGTTCAGGTACACGGCGACGAGGCAGCCGAGCATGATGCCCAGGGACTGGACGGCCGTGCCGACGGACTGTCGTGTCGTCGAGAGCTGGCATATCTGCTTGCCGTCCGGACCGGTCTTGCAGGTCCCAAAGTCACGGAGAAAGGTTTGCGACCCCAGAATCATCCCCCACCGGCCATTGTCGTAGCCCTGCGTTTCGAGTCGCTTGTCGTCAGTCCGTGTGGTCCGCTGTGCCGCTGAGGGTAGATGGGGAGTTGTGTCACGCGACCACGACGACTTACAAAGAGAAAAGCACCGACGGACACAATGGCCATGCAGCCGAAGCCGGTGGCCGTCGTGTCCGCGAGGTACTCAAACATCGCGTCGTCGTGATGTCAATGTCCGTCCGTATCGTGGTTTCCAATCCCCGGGCTAGACGACGAGGTGTCGTCGAGATCTCGAGTCAGGCTCTGGAGAAGGAGCCTCCGGGGAAACGGATCCGGCTCTGGGCGGGCAGCTGGTCGTCCCCATAACGTATTATATTTGGACTTTCATGACGCCAAATGGGGACCCGGCAGCTGGGGAAGGAGGCTGATACCGGGACAGTCCTTCCTTGTCCGCCTCCCGATGATGCATTAGCCCGCCAGTCGGGAGATGAGCCCGTGCCTACGTGTTGGAGAGCTCATCCCAGAGATCCGCGTGACAGGCCACAGGGCAACAGGGGATCCTGGGAACCCGAGCCGGCTCGCAGGCTGTGCTGTTGGGGGCACCTTGTCCTTGCCATCTCGTATGGGCATCCACGACCACAATGATTGCGACTCTAGCGAGCTGTGCCGCCGGATCGCATAAATCTCGAGACCGCGTGCTAGGGTGGCTTGGAGCGTAAGCCCCTTGATTGCCCGAGTCGCACTATTTGCCAAAGGGTTGATTGAGCTGCCATCGGCGACCATCTTGACATCTTGAACCGATGCACGTTCCAACTTTGCTTTTGCTTCACGTCAAACCCAGGAATGGGGCCAACAGGTCGGGTATTGCCTGTGCCATAGGTATGTAAAGTGCCTCCCAGCTGGGGTCGCGTCGCAAAGTGCCTGTCAACTCCAACGTTATCAGACAAGAACCCCTGCCTGACGCCGCCGATCGATGGAGATTCATGCAAGAATAATCCCGCCCGTTCGCTCGGAACAGCGGACAATGACATGGATCTTGGCACAATCAAGAATTGGCAAGACGCGTCACGTTCGGAATAATTATAAACTCTCCAATCGCGGGAGGTTCTCCCCTTTTTTTTTTTTTGGTGCCGCCTTACCTACCACACCACCCCGAGATCCTGGTCGAAGATCCCCAGGGGTTGCGGTTTAGTGTTGCCTTATCTGCGCCGCCACACAGCTCACAGATGCATGGAATTGCAACATTCCCTTCTTTTCCCTTTTTGGGTCCGCCAAAGCGTGGCTTGGATTTCCTTGCAATTGTCCCTGTTCCGTGTACCAGCTCAGTGGGCCGTATCAAATACCCAATCAGGCCGTACTCCTCACCAGCGCTGGGGAAAAGAACAACTTGTCGTTCTCACACACACACACACAAACATGCCATGGGATAGCGGCCGACAAGGCGCGGAGTTGAAATGTCTGCCCCTTCGGGACCGAATGCACGGCTCCGTGGCCTGCGCTGCTGCGGCTTTGCGGCAAAGAGCTGAACATTGCGCGAGTAGCTACCCTGGTGAAGGCGGCACAGCATTTTGGGGGGGGGGGGGGGAGGGGGTCCTATATCAACAGCCGCACTCTTCCTGTAGATTGAGATCAATTGTGGCACGAGCTAGGCTACTGCGATGGTGTGTATGTGTGTGTGTGGCAGTGTTGATGTGACGCTGCTCTGTATTTTTGTCCCAGCTCTCGGGTGAAGGCATGGTGCCCATATTGCGATGCCCTTTCTGGCTGGCGCGATGACTTGGAGAATTGGTAATCACTCCGGGTGCGACGTGGAGAGCATAAAGCAGGCATATTTAAATCATCGCATGAAACATGTGCAGAAATTGTTGTATACCCTCATAGGCCGCCATAACAGCCTCCCTTATAAAAGCGCTGGCAGCACACCCCGCTAATATCGAGTGTTCAGATAGTGACCTGGCGTGACATGGGATCCTCTTTACCCCTCTTGAAATTGCCCTGAGTCTCCATCGCCAGCCTATGAGAAGCTGCCTTCTCGTGCAAGAAGGCCCCGTCACTCGTCTGATCGGCGTCCGGCATCAACCCACGGTTCCGTAGAAGCGGTCGCCAAAGTCTCCAAGACCAGGGCTGATATGGCTGTGGGTGGAGTCCGTGTCAGCAATGTTCATTGTTGTATGAATGTACGCTCTTAGTGATATGCATGAAGCTTTCGAGCCGCAAAGGAAATTAAGAAAGAAAAGAAAATCCGCTGCAAGTTGCAAAGGAGATGGAAGTTCTCGACGATCAACTTACTTCGACGGCACAGTCAGCTCCTCATCAATCGCCGCAGTGACTATCCTGAGCTGGGGGAACTTGGTCATCAGCTTGGCCACGCCGTACCGCGAGGCCAGGATGTTGACAAAGATGATCTTGTCCTCGGGGACCCCGCCGAGCGTCTTGAGCTTCTCGATGGCCATGGCGGCAGACCCGCCGGTGGCCAGCATGGGCTCGAGAATCAGGACCGCTAAAGCCGTGGTTGTATGCGGTCAGTTTGACGACTAGACGAGGGGGAAGATGCTGGAATGGAGCGGCGAAGGCAGTGAGTGGGAAGAGTTGACTTACTTGCTGATTCGATCTTTGAGGGAAACTTGGAGTAGAGAAAGTGCGGTAGGCTGGTTTCCTCGTTACGCTGGATGAGTATCTTGCCAAAGCATAAGGGGCCTCTGTGAGATGGGAAGAAAAGTCAGAATTGATCCCATTCTTGGACGACGTATCGAGAATTTCCTCCAAGTGGCTGTGTGGGTAGGCCGATGGTCGCCTCCTGCACAGGTCTCATGTCTCCAAGCGAGAGCGTTCCAAATCGTCCTAGATACGTTTCCACGGCTCTCGTCGTGGTTCCTGGAGGAAAACCACGTATCCGTGGCCACGACGCCGGAATTCCACCAAACCATCGCTGGAAAAAGGAACAAAGGTTTAACTGACTGGTAGACCCTCCGCAGAGCGTTCTCGATACTCGCGCCCGCGCGAAGTATGCTGATCCCGCAGACTGGTGTCGTGTGTTTCGACCCTGCAAACTTGGCTCCTGTCGGTGTCTGGACCTGGATGTCCTCTGTTGGTATCATGTCGATTGCTTACGCGAGAGTGCAGTGTTAGTAAGAGCGATAATGAAGCAGACCAGTTTGCGGGCCGCGAGAAATCTGTGCTTTCTCATTCCAGAGAGGGAACCGATCCGGACAAGCTGGCCCTGCACAATAATGCCCCGGAGGTGTAACACAGAGAAAGAGATGGAGAGAGAGCCGTGCGCTTCAAAGACGATGCCTCAAAAAGGGCAGGACCATCTCACCTGCACTGATCAACATGTCCGACACCCTCTCGACCGTCTCGGTGAACTGCCGGCACTCTGTGCTCAAGTCGCGCATCACGGTCATGGCGCTCTTGAGCGTGTTGCCCTGAGGCAGCACGACGACGCGGGATGTGTCATATGTGGCTGCTGTCTCGGGACCGTTTGTCGCTGCAGGGTGGGAGGTTGCAGGCGTCTGAGTTGCCGTCTCGATCATTGTGGCGGTCATTGCCCTGCTGGTGTACGGATCTGCTAACGTCGTGCTTGTTGTCCGAGTGGTCGTGTCGCCGACGAAGTGTGGATGTTGAGTGATGTGCTTTGATGGGAGCGGTTCTGGTTTGGAGGCAGCGGGCACGTGTTTGGGGCGGAGATGTTGCAAAGAGGTCTTGGGTGGTAGCAGAAGAGGCTGTGGCTACAGTAGTAAAGTACGGGTTGTTTACGATATGTGACAGGTACAGGTATAGAGTATGATGATGCAGGCAGGACTTCACCAGAACCGCGAATTGAGTTGCGCCGGGTCTAGCAACAGCACCGCTCGCTCAAACGTACACAAACCACACGCTTGCAGACATGGCCATGGCGCCGGGCTTCCCTCAGCTCGTGCTTCAGCTCCTGATCGGCCAGGCCGTTCATTTCCCCGCATTGAAATCGGCACCCTTCCTTATCTGCAGTCTCGCCTTCAATGTTCTGTCACTGCCCAGACCCCGAAACGTCTGGCTCGCAAGCCGAAGAGACTGTTTGCGACCTTGGCGATTGCGCCGTCAAGGACCATGCGCCGATAGAGCTATCTTTCAGCTTACCACATACTTTCTCCAAGCGCCCAGCCTGTTCCTCTCCGCGATATGCCAAATTCCACTTTCCCCGCAGTCACCCTCTTGTCGTCGGAGCCACCCCTCCGACCTGGGGGGACACTCTCGGCAGCAACCCCTAATGTCGGACACCAACGAGCCCCGGCAGGCCTGCCTGTGCAGCCATCGCATTTGGTGCATTTGTTTAGACCAGGTGTATCCGTTGATTGGCCCAGTCCTCTTCCATCGCATGCAGGATAGCGAAAGCCTCGATCGCGATACGTGACTCGCATCCCACATGCGCTTGCGTGACATGAGGAATTGGGGAAAATGGATGCCAGTGGAGTTCCGGAGACCGCCGGGCGGGGAGGTCCACCTTTGGCCATCAAGTACCGCTGGAGGTATTCAAGTACCCTCCCACAGTCTTAGTGCAAGATAAGCCCCCACTGGCTAGAGAAGGTACTTGCTAGACGTACCTGTGTCTGACGTTATCTACCTGGACCCGGCGCGCAAGGATGCAGCAGGTATGTCCCCACCAGGCGTGCGGAGAAGTCCCGAGTGGGGTAATCGGTGGTTTCCTGGCCATGGTGTCAAAGAGGGAGAGGTGTGCTCAACACCACCACGGATGTACATGACAACTGCGGTTGCGGAGCAAGCAAGGCCACGTGTTCGTGATCATTACGTATCTGATTGCTGGTTGCCGAGCTTTGGTTAGGACCTGGAGAAGTGAGGCACAGATGCTGCGGCTTGGAATCGAGATGACCTCGGCGTGGACCGGGGTTGACATGGCTTGAGCCACAGGAGACACCAACCTTGTGTATGTCTATCAAAGTAGCATTTTGCGTGTAGAATCCAGGTGAACATTTGCCCTGTAGACCACTGAAACAATGTTTCATGTCGCCTCGGAGAAGCCACTGAGGCAACTTCCAACCCTGATGCAAAGCCAATACATTGTTCAAAACCATAACATTTGGAGGTGGTAACTATCTGAAAAACACCTTTTGTTCTATTATATCAAGAGTCCGAGTCGCTCAGAACAGCGTGCCATCGCCCTCAATCAGGATCGGACTCGACTTGGTCTCAGGCCGGTGCTTGGCCGCCAACTCGCGCCCACCCTTCCACGTCCCCGCCTCGAGCATCTGCGCCATGGTCAGCTGCACCCCGCGCGGCTCATAGTGCTTGCTGATCAGGCCGTGCAGCTCGTCGAGCAGCGCCACCGTGAGCGCCCGCCACTCGACGATGACGTCGCCGCTGGCTGGGAAGCTCGGCAGCTTCTCGTGCCCGGAGCGCTGCAGCCCCTGCTGCAGGACCTCGTCCTTGAGCGTGAGGACGCCGAGGTCCGTGAACAGCCCGCCGTTGCGGTACTCGGGCAGGCCGGTACCCGAGTCCATGTTCTTCCACGTGCGGCCGAGGACGCGCACGAACGGCACCGAGAGGGAGTAGGCGAGCCACTGCGTGAGCTTGTGGAACGGCTGGATGGTTGCCGTCTCGGGCGCGTCGGGGCCGGCGAGGTCCTGCAGGACTTTCAGAGGCCAGGCATCGCCAATGGGGATGCCGGAGATGCGTGTCCGGTCCTTGGGCCATGATGGGAGGAGGACTTTCTGGAGGGTGTCCCAGAGAGTGTGGTAGTCGATTGGTTCTGAAGATTGTGTCTCGCCGAGGATGTTGTCTAAGAAGGTTTGTAGATTAGCATGGATTCTTGTGACCTGCGGGGAGAGTCAGTCAGACAGGGACTTACCAACAAGCTGTCCAGGTCGGCCATCCTGGCCAAAGACGTCGGTGTTGTTGAGCAGAGAAGTGCCCACGTTCTTCAGGAGGTTCACGCGGGCCTCGACTCCGATGATGGGGTTCTCAGGGCTGATCTGGAAATACTTCTCGAAAGCCTCAACAGTCAGGGCATTGAGACCCTTACCTGCAATGCGCAAAACTGTCAGTGGCTTTTCCCAAAGAGACTTGTGTGGCAGGTATGTGTAGCTCGTAAGCGCACTCACCGTCGACCCTGGCCGGGTTGTTCTCAGGATCACTTGAGAAGGCGCCAGCCTTGAACATGTACAGCGACGCGACCGCAATGCCTTCACTCCGGTTGAACACAGCTCCGGATCCGGGTTCCTTGAACGTCCACACGTCGCCCGCGCCTGCATCGAGCAGCACCGAGACGAAAAAGAGATCTATCAGCCGCCGGACGATCTCTTCTCTGTTCAATCCATCGTTCTTCCACTGGTTGTGCAGCTCATCTACGCGAGCAACGTTGCCGACATCAAAGTGCTGCCACCGTCCGTGCGGGGGGATACTGCTGTACTTGTCTGGACCGAAGTCGCGCTGCGTCGGGCATGTCATTATTTGTCCCTTGGCGGCCTGGCATTGTCTGGGACAGGGCCCTGGAACTCACGTCTATGACGCTGGCCACGAATTCTGTGACATCCTGCATGCGATCCTGGTGGAACGTGAAGTTGTTGGTCTTGCCCTGCTTGGCGGCTTCGAGGACGAGGCGCGACCTCTCGCGGACGGCCTGGAGCGTCTTGAGGTACTCGATGTCGGCCATTGTGGTGTCTGTTGTGGTGTGGCTCGCTGCGTGTTGTCTTGTGCAAAATCGAGACTGGGCTGAAGAACCGATAAGGTGAGGACGTCAATCTAATGCTCGTCTCGTGTGGGTTGACTATGCCGTGAATAAGCTCATACAAGACAAAGGACCGGCTGGCTGTCACTGAGCTTTCTTGTTTCTCCAACCACTGCTGGTTCCGAATGTGGCCTCATGCAGGAATCAAACACGAGCATGCACACACCGGGTACTTCGAGCTTGGCACGGTCCGACAACGGAGCTGACCAGCCGGCCTGCCAGCATGCAAGTTTCGGCACTTGCGCACGCATCCGTGCCTGACGGGCAGCCTATCGCGGGTGGACACACGACCGTGACCGAGTCGGTGAGGGCCGCCGACGACCCAACGACAAGCTATCGTTGAGACTCTGGTGGTGTGATTGTTCCAGAAAGGAGACCCTGGCTCCCCCGCATCGCAGGAAGTGGGCCTTATCAGGGGTTCCATAGGGGTGGTATCTCCTGCTCCTGGTCGGTACTTGCGGGGCACAGATCGCAAGTACCACGCTACTTCGATACTTTGATCGCAAAGTCCCCCGGTACCTCGCTGATTTCCCCTCACGCTGTCCACCATCCCGGCCGAAACCTGCCTATCAACCCATCGATCAGCCCACGCACCCGCCCGTCTCCGCCAAGGGGACCGTCCCGTACCTGCATTCCTGACGTTATCAGAGGGTCATGTGGCCCGGCATCCACAAGGACACATGCACTGGCCTGGGCGGGCTATGCATCTAGCGATGCCTCGTACGTAACCTGTGCCTGGCAGGCCGCTTGTCTCCGGTCCTGTCTCCGACTGCCCCCAACTTTCTGGCGTCGGGCGCTGTCCCCGCCAGCCGCGCTTGCCCGCCGACCCCCTCGAGGGGCACCGTATATCTCGAAAGTGCTGGCCCTCCTGTGATGAGCTGCACGTATCTTTCTGAGCCAACGTTGTGTGCTTTGTTATGTCATTTTATTGACCTTTACCTTTGAACCGTGTCCTACTCAATCACCCACGATACCCAAGACATAAACACATTAGACACATTTCGTCTTTGCCTCGTTTATTTTCCAAAGAGGCCAGCAACCTGCCTTCTACCTTTCACACTTTCTACATTCTCCCCTCACCTCCAAACACCACCCACATACACACACACATATACACAATGGCGAAGACCTTCACAGTCCCCAGCGACCCGGAGGCGTCGAAACTCCTCGCCCAGCTGCGCGACACATCCCTACCGCCCGCCGTCGTCCGGCGCGTGACCCGCGACCTCACCGCCTCCCTGACCAAGCACGTCCTCAGCCTGCCCGCGCCGCCTTCATCACCGACCGCCAACGACAGCGAGCAGGTCGCCGTCATCGTCGTGCTGCGCTCGGGGCTCGCCATGGTCGACCCCGTCATGGACTTCTTCCCCGACGACGCCGACACCGTCATATACCACCTCGGCATGTTCCGCGAAAAGGTCAGCCTCCAGCCCGTCGAGTACTACAACAAGCTCCCGCCCAAGAACCCCCGCATCAAGCACGCCTACGTGCTCGACCCCCTCGTCGCGACGGGTGGTACCGCCACAGCGGTCATTGGGATACTGAAGTGAGTTTTCTTTTTTTTTTTTTTCTTCCTTTACCTGTTCTGGTTCCACTACAAAATCGGAGATGCTGTTCGCGGCGCCGAGATGGCTTGGAACACGTGCACTAACGCTAGCTGTTTCACTCTAGGGACTGGGGCGTCGAGAAGATCACCCTCTTCTCCCTTCTCGGCAGCAGGACCGGTCTCGAGGCCGTGGCCAACGTCTGGCCCGAGGGCACAGAGGTGTTCGCCGGCGGCGTAGACGACGGGCTGGATGACAAGGGCTACGTCAAGCCCGGTGTCGGTGACATTGGCGACCGGTTGTTTGGAACTGCTTTGTCTTGAAAGGAAGGAGATCATGATGTTATGTGTAAATTCTTTTTGATGCAATAGATATCAATTTTCTGTGCGACGTGCCCCCATTTCTTGAAACTGGCTCCGTGACTTTGCTGGGGTGTGTTCTTGAACTTTTATGGAACCTTTGCAGGTGGCCTTTCTAATTTTCGGAGACGGTTATATATTTCTAGTGGGTGATCAGGTCTAGTGCCAAAGTGTGGTGATAGTCTTGGTCTCGGTGAAGAAATCAAAACCGCCTCTCCCTTGGACATTGTTGTCTATTCACCGAGGGTCAGTGGGTATAATGCGCGTATCGAAATGTTTGGCATGACATACCTCCAAGGAATGAATCTTTGTTGCCTGTGCGGAGTATGGACCCGGAAGCGGCTGTAATTACACGTCAGTCCACTCACCATACACATTCGAATCAGGTTGGACATGATTGAACTCACCCAGTACTGGGACATTGACGCCAATCTGTCCCACGTTGACGGACCTCTGAAAGGTCTGTGCAGTCGTCGGGCTGCCGGTGAAGATTGTGCACCCAATACCATCTAAGCCCCCCGGTCAGTATACTCGCTTCCATGACAGACAACACATCCCCATTTGGCAAACGACTTACATCGGTTTGTGTTGATCAGATCCACGGCCTCTTCCAAGGTGTCAACCTCCATACACACCAAGACCGGCCCAAAGATCTCCTCCTGGTAACAGCTCATATACCGCTTCACATCCGTCAAGATTGTCGGCCCGACAAAGTTGCCATCCGGGTACTCGGGCACACTGTACCCCCTCCCGTCCAGCAGCACCGTGGCCCCTTCCTCCTCGGCGGCACTGATCATGCCCTCGATCCTCGCCTTCGCCGCGGCGCTGACCACAGGCCCCATCGTGACGGCCGGGTTGAAGGGGACCCGACGACCAGGGACTGCGCAATCCCGACCAGGTCCGCCAGCCACTCCCTGGTCGCGCCGCCGACCAGGACCACCACGCTGAGCGCCATGCACCGCTGGCCCGCGAAGCCAAACGCCGCGCCGACAATCGCAAACAGCGTCTTGAACTTGTTGGCGTCGGGCAGCACGACGCCGTGGTTCTTGCCCGAGCACTCGGCCTGCACGCGCTTCCGCGTGGCCCGGGCGTGCTCGTAGATGCGCTCGCCGACAATCTCGGACCCGACGAAGCTCACCGCGCGGATCGAGGGCTGCGCGAGCAACGTGTCCACCGTGGCCTTGGTCCCGTGCACGATGTTGATGATCCCGGGAGGGAAGCCGGCCTGCAGGAAGCACTGGGCCGTGATGTGTGTCACGCCGGGCGTCTTCTCGGACGGCTTGAGGACGACCGTGTTTCCCGCTATGATGGCGTACGGGATCGACCACATGGGGATCATGAACGGGAAGTTGAAGGGCGTAATGGAGAGGCACACCCCCTGATTGTCCAGCAAGGCGTTAGAGAACCGGACGATATTGTGTCCGAGAAAAAGAAAGGGACGTGAGAGCGACATACCAGGGGTTCATTGACCGTATGGGTCTCAAACGACTGAGAAGGGTGATGTGTACCAGCCATCTGTCGAGACCCAGCGCAGGCCGTTTCTACTGCGTCAAACCCTCTCTCAAACTCGGCCTCGGCATCGGCCATGGTCTTGCCAATCTCACCGGTCAAGCATTGTTTCTGTCCGGAAGCAAAAAGCGGCGGGAAACTGGTTAGTATAGCACTATAGTGTAGTAGATCAAACACTAACAAGGGGAACTTGAGCACTTACAATAAGCTGCGCATTCTGCTTCAGCACAAATAGGAGGTCAAGCATGTGGGAGCGCCTCTTGACCAAGGGCGTGGCTGCCCATCCTGGCTGGGCAGCGGCGGCGGCGGCTACTGCATTTTGCGCTTCCGTGGTCGTGGATTCTGGCACCCTCGTGGTGAATCTCTGTGTCGTCTATTGCCGGGTCAGTCCAGGGAGGAAAATTTGCCTTGCCGTGATGACACCGGGGCGCACACGGGCGACATACTGGGTTGTACAACTTTATCCACGTCCTGGCCTGGGAGAGGACGAACTCGTTGTTGAGGAAGTTGTGTGCTGCTCCCGGTGCCGTGACGGAGGTGTCGGTCGATATTGGCTTGCCGTAATAGCTGTTTGTGCTCTGCGAACCTGTTAGGACTCTACTCAACTGGCAATGACTGGGTGAAAAAGGCTCACGCCATTCCGCGGCCGTTTTGGCGGCGGGCTGGACTGTATACTCGCGGTATATGTATAGTGTGTTTCAGCTGCAAAGAGGTCAGCACGATGTCGTCTGTGCATGCACGTGTGTGTGTCGGGACGAAGCTGACCTGAGCCATTGACCGAAGGAAGGGGAGACCCGGCGCTTGGTGGCGGAGCGCCGGGGTCCATGATGAGCTCCGCCGTGCCTGCCGGGCCCGTCCTAAAGATGTCGTGCTCTGCGGGCACGGAGGAGGATGGCGCCACGTCGGTGGGATTGCTGCGAGAAGGAGCGGCCCTGGCGTGCCTCTCAGGGGAGGCAGAGAGTGGGCAAACGAGGCAATGCGTGGTCTTTTGGTTGCTGGCACGCTGTGCTCAAAAGGTCTCAACGCGCTCTGCAGGGGTCTCTGGGGTGCTCGTGCAAACTCCGCTGTCTTGTGGTGGGAGGAGTGTAGAGTCGCACGGGACCGGCGGTGATGGTGGGCCGCTCCGTCGTGGCAGCGACTCGTGAGTACCGGCCGAGCCCCACAACGGACTGGTATCAGAGGGGCCCACTCTTGAACAACCCCAAGGCGCGACTATACTGTTCAGAGACGATGGGATGAATATAGTGCGACTTCCCTCACATAATTTTGGGAGAAGATGTGGAGGGAAGAAATGACCGCTGTCATACTCTTTGATCCGCGATCCATGGAGTTCTTCCGTCTAAATTCACAATGGGAAATTACTGCGAGAGTATATGAGACTGATACGTGCTCAGGGTTCCCAGTCTATGGTGCTCTGAAGAACAGCCTATTGCGGTTCTTCGGTTTACTTGCTAGGCAACACCGCAGGTGAGCTTGAGGAACAAGTGGACGCTCGCCGTGTGCTGCGTGTGACCGTTTTTGTTGGTCGGCCAAGATCGACTATTGCTTAACATGTGCTGTATACTGGTGAGCACGGCACCACACCGCCACTTGCACATCAAGATCGCCAACCAAAACCTCATCACATCTCGAAAGTCTCGTTTATTATCACGACGACTGATTATCCAGAATTTATTGCTTTAATCTATAGCCGGACTAGATCCCAACAGCATATCAAGAATGCGTAGGCATAGCCAGTGTGTTCTTCTTGCCGGCAACCTGCGCGCCGGACCACTTTGCCGTGACGGTCTTGAGCTGCGTGTAGAAATTGACACCAGGCTTGCCATAGAACGTGCTCGCGCCGCCACCGGCAACACTCTTCTTGTTTCCGGTAAAAGAGAACATGGGCAAAGGCACAGGGATAGGCACGTTGATACCGACCTGCCCAGCCTCAATGTTCCTCCTGAACCTCTCCGCGGCACCGCCGGATGTGGTGAAGATGGCGGTGCCATTGCCGTAGTCGTTGTTGTTGATCATCTCGATGCCCTCGTCGAGGGTGTCCACTGTCAGACAAACAAGAACGGGACCAAAGATCTCCTCCTTATAGCACTCCATTGTAGGCTTGGCGTCGGAGATGATCGTGGGACCAACCCAGTTGCCATTGGGGAATTTGGCAGGCTTGTATCCCCTGCCGTCGAGGAGGACCTTGGCGCCTTCCTTCTCGCCGCTCGCAATCAGCTCTTCTATCCGCTTCTTGCTCTGTGGCGTGATGACCGGCCCAAGATCCGCGCCGTCCTCGAAACCACCGTTCACTTGTACAGTCTTGCTGCGTTCTGCAAGCTCCTGGAGCCACTCCTTTGTCTCGCCGACCCAGACCACCACACTTAGCGCCATGCAACGCTGGCCGGCAGCACCAAAGGCGGCGCTGATGATGGCGTCGAGGGTCGACTCCTTGTCGGCATCGGGCATGACCAGCGCGTGGTTCTTGGCGCCCAGGTTGGCCTGGACTCGCTTGCCGTTTGCGCTACCTTTGGCAAAGATGTACTCGCCTGCGCGGTTGCTGCCGACAAAGCTGATGGCCTTGATGTCAGGGCTATCCAGCAGGAAGTTGACAGTCTGGTGCGCTCCGTGAACGACGTTGATCACGCCCTTGGGGAAACCAGCCTTTTGGGCGAGCTCCGCGAGCACCATCGCAGCACCAGGGTCGCGCTCAGAGGGCTTTAGGACGACTGTGTTGCCAGTGATGACAGCTATGGGGATGCACCAGAGTGGAATCATGGCAGGAAAGTCTAGAGATGAGGTTAGTTTTGTCTTTTCTGTTTTACCACTCATAATGAATGAACTCACTGAATGGGCAGATGGCAGCAACGACACCCAGGGGCTCGCGGTACGATCTCGTCTCCATCTCACGGGCGACTTCCAGAATCTCGCCCTTCATGTACTCCGGCCCGGCGCACGCCGCTTCGGCGACTTGGAGACCGCGGAGCACGTCACCTTTAGCATCAGCCACCGTCTTGCCCTGCTCGAGCGTGATGACGGCAGCTAGCCTATCCCAATGCTCCTTGATGAGGCCGACAAAGTTGAACATGATGCGCTGGCGGGCGATGACCGAGGTGTCCCTCCAGCCCGGGAAGGCACGCTTGGCCGACGCCACGGCGGCCTCGAGCTCCGGGATGGTCAGCTCGGGAACGCGAGTGACGAGGTTGTTGGTCGCCGGGTCATGGAGGTCGATGAACTTGTCTGTGGTCGAGTTGTGGAACTCATTGTCGAGAAAGTAGGGCGTGTCCTTTGGGTTCTCGATTTTGGCATGGTCACGAGGGTACGACGTAGCCGTCGTGTCGAGAGTGAGGGGTGACGCCGCCATGGCTGCTGTCTTGTGGTGATGGCTGCGGTGGTGCTCAGGGCAGAACAGCAATGTCTGTAGTGTGTTTAGTCAAAGAAGTAGTAAAAGGAGACAAAACTGGCACACAGGCTGGCAAGACGAAGCGAGAGGGCACCCAGTCGCGAGATGACTGAAGTTTGACTAAGAGAATCACTCCAAGAAATTCTGGCATGTCATGTGGTGTGACTGATGCTGCCCAGCCATGCGTCGCCCAGGTGGAGGCCGTGCGGGACATGCGGGAAACGCGGTGCAGAGAGCGATTCCGCTTGCGCGTGAGGGGCAGCGCCAACGTGTATGCATTGTGGCATTGGAAACGTCAGTCCTGGCGATGTCGGAAGCGGCATGCGTCTGAGCGGAAAAGATACGACAGCCTGACAGACACACTTGGCCCCCTCGCGCTCGGCTGGCAGTGGTCCGAAAACCGCTGTCATGGCCCTGCAATCAGTCCCCGGACATTGAAGACTGAGGTGAACGTGGATCTGAGCGGTGGGAAGGTTGCTGGAAGGGGTGGGGAAGCAGGTAAAGCAGGGGTTCCGGAGATCAGGGGATGGGAACCTTGGGAACGTCGATTGCGGGTGGGACAACACTGAAAGTACCTGGCAGGGGTAGGTACTTGAGTGAGCCTGTACCTGGGGTAAGCCAGAGGCACGAGAGCTCCTTGTACAAATATTGCCCATGAACACAAGCCTCAAGTCTCGAGTACCGGGGTCAGACAAAGGTGACTTATCAGTACCTGAAGAGTGGGGGTGAACCCAACTAATTTGCTGCATAGCGAGGTTCTACAAAGTCCAGATAAGCTTCAATACCTTCTGTCTCGTAGCCTGTGACCCCAGAGATAAGCTGGCAAGGTACAGCCCCACAGCCAGGGACCCGGACTGACAGAGTGTGGAGAAGTCCCACTTGCCGTATCTGCGCGGGACCAGAGACTTGGGGTAAGTCACTACGGATAGCTGCATACGGCGGCCCTCACGGCCAACGGTCTGCAAGCCGACCACCGGACTGGCTACGGGTCTCACACGTGGACAAGTTGATTTGGGAGCGGCGGAAGACACCGCTAGGGGGAGCGTACGGTGTGTGCTGCTGTCGGGCATTGTTGGGATGCCGGCGGTGTCTGTCCCGGCACGTCAGCCAATATATTTGGAGAGATACAGCTCAGAGGCGTCCCGTTCCTTCCAACTCATCATACCACATACCAATTCCGTGTCTTGTGTTTTCTCACCGTGCGTTAGACAAGTTCTATCGCCCTCACTTCTTCGCACCTAGTCACCACATGCAAGTGATTTCTCCTGCATCCTGAGAAGACCTCACTTCTCCCGCCCAGCCTCTACCACCACACACACATCTTCACCATGGGTGCCACCACGGAACCCGTCGAGGAGAAGCAGGGAGAGCACAAGCAGTCAAAGTCCAACTATGGCGACCGCATCATAGTAAGCCTGGAGCATCCTCACTTTCTCAGACATCGCAACTAACACACCCACCTCAGTTAACCACATATCCCGGCCAGTCCGTGGTCGACCCGGTGCCGCTGACCTGGGGCGCCGCGACAGCCGAGGAGCGTGGGCCGATCCTCGTGGCACGCAGCTCCGAGACGCTGAAGCGGCGCAACGCCATCGGCGCCCACGGCGGCTCGTACAGCGTCTACAACGCTCTCGCCATCGCGGCCGGCGACCTGCCCACCGACTTCCGCCCCAGCTTCGTCAACACGCAGCCCACCTTCAACTTCCCGCCGCAGCCCGCCTGGGGCGACGCCACCAAGATTGTCGCCATGGACCCCTTTGGCAACGACCCCGTCCGCTACTTCAAGAAGCACCTCGACGCCGGCCTCGACGTCCGCCCCACGATAGCAATCACCCGCGCCACCATGAAGCTCGCCGAGATCAGCGAGGCCGTCAAGCTCGGCCGCCTCCCCGTCGACGGCACCATCGTCACCAGCGCTGGCGGTGACGTCCGCGTCACCAAGGCCGCCGTCGAGCCCGTCTGGTACCTGCCCGGCGTCGCCGAGCGCTTCGGCATCGACGAGGGCACCCTCCGGCGGAACCTGTTTGAGCAGTGCGGTGGCAGCTACCCGGAGCTCATCACCCGGCCCGACATCAAGGTCTTCCTCCCGCCCATCGGCGGCCTGACCGTGTACATCTTTGGCCCGCCCGAGCGCGTCTCGGACGAGAAGGTCAAGCTCGCCCTGCGCATCCACGACGAGTGCAACGGCTCCGACGTCTTCCAGTCCGACATCTGCACGTGCCGCCCGTACCTCGCCTTCGGTATCGAGGAGGCCATCAAGGAGGCCCAGAACGGCGGCTCCGGCGTCGTCATCTACTTCCGGAAGGAGGGCCGCGCCCTCGGCGAGGTCGTCAAGTACCTCGTGTACAATGCCCGGAAGCGCGGTGGCGACACGGCCGACAAGTACTTTGAGAGGACAGAGAACATTGCTGGTGTCAGAGATGTGAGTCTTTGATGGCTTCCCCCTCCCCCACTTTCACCCTTTTAGTCTTGCAGTTACATTATCTTTTGGAAAAAGAGCCACGCTGACTAACATATTTTCTACAACAACAGATGCGCTTCCAAGCCCTGATGCCCGACATCCTGCACTGGCTCGGCATAAAGAAGATCGACCGCATGCTGTCCATGTCCAACATGAAGCACGATGCCATTGTCGCCCAGGGCATCCCCATCCTCGAGCGCATCCCCATCCCAGAAGGTGAGTCGCCGCCGCCCTCCTTTTTGACACGCAAAAACTTCTGTTTTGCAGACAAGCATGCTAACCACCACCAACCCCCGCCTCAACAGAGATGATTCCCGAAGACTCGCGCGTAGAAATCGACGCCAAGATCAACGCGGGCTACTTCACCACCGGCAAGAAGTACACGGACGAGGAGCTCAAGCAGGTCGAGGGCCGCGGGTGGAAGAACTGGGAGGATGTGACCCATTGAGCCTTGATTCTGGGAAGATAGAAAAGCCGCATGCAGTAATTGAGATACCATTTCCAAGTAGTCATGATTGTTGATATTGCATCTCCGCAGAGTTGGCGTGTAAACCCTTTCACATAAATATGGGCAACTCTCATAATCCGGCTGGCCGCACCGATCGAGTCTGTGAGCTTTCTTCTTGTATTTTGCTACCACTTTCTCCAGTAGGCACTTGCGTGTTTTGCGGTGTCCCCTTGTCTAAACCTTCCAGCCTGAAAATTCATAATGCTCTTTCTCTCTCACTCTCCCTCTCTCTATATGTAATATGTAGATTCCCACGTTTAGGCCTCAAGCCGCGTGGTAAGTAATACTCCTCCAAATAGCAAACTACAGCTGGTGCTCTCCAACCTCTAAACAGCTGGCAGGAGCACCGGATCAGCCAGCAACCTCTGCATATCCACGCTGTTCATCGCAACCGCGACATCGACGCCGTCGTCCGTCCACGCTGCAGGAGCCCTTCCGCCCTCACACTGTCTCTGAGGCGGGCCCTCTTTGACGAGGATACACCCGTCCATGCGCGGCATGATCCCGTCTGCGTACCGCAAGAATGGTCCACCGTCATCGACCGACGGCGGCGCAGGGTGCAGTCCAAAGTCGACCTCGTAGACGCCCGCCCTAGCCCACGTCGTGACGATAGTATGCCTCTTGCCGAGAAATCCGTTCCAAATCCGCTGCGGAGACTTTTGGTAGGCGATACTGTGCAGATGCGCGGCTAATCCGGTGGTGTTGCTGTTTATACTAGACAGCGTGGTACGGATGTACTGTGCCACGGAGCTCAGCGAAGTCTTCGTCGTGGTCGGTGCTGCCGCCTCGTTGAGAGAGCACGCTGGCAATTTTAGGTTGAGCATAAGGATTGGCGAGCCGATGAACGATGAGCTTAGACCTAGGGCAGGCCGAAGCCCCAGCGTCGGGTAGCAGTGCACGAGCTCTTCGTCGTCGCTGGCGAAGTTGCGAGCTCGAGTGACGCAGGACCAGATGTGTGCAAGTATGGCGTCGTGACGGCTTATTCTCTGTGAGGGGGCGACCGCCGCACTGTCTTCGCTGCCTGCGGCGCCATCTGGCGCATTTGCCCGAGCCCAGAGGACATCAACCTGCGCTCGGCTGAAGTGGATGGTATAGTTTGACACCGGAGCGGTGGTATCCCAGTCCTTCCATGGCATGGCGTTGGCTACAGGAGACAGGTCTTGTCCGGCAAACACTCCTGGTGGCTCTACTGGCCAAGGCTTGCCCTCAGAGGGAGCCCACCAGTCGAAACGAGCCAAAGGAAGCATCTTTGTCTGTTCCAGTATGCTTTGATCAGGCTGGTTCTGGTCGATATCCCCAGCCGCTACCGCGTCGAGCTTGCTCGGGTCGATCACGGGAGTCAAAGTTGGTACTTCCTGCCCGTCCAGATGCGCACGGCTTACGGAGGCCCAATCCTTCACGAACTGTACAAGAGCTGTGATGTCGCCCAGGCTGTGGGTCACGGTCGCAGCGACCACGAACCCACCACAGCTCAAGCGTGTCAGCTGGATTGCCAATGCGGCCGGGTACAGACCAGCGTCGTCCTTGGTGTAGGGTTGCAGCGGATTCCTGATGCTCGATGCTGGGAGAAACTTGACAAAGGGGTCTGTAGCGTAATCGCGGTTCCATATAGGAGTCGCTTTGGGTCTCGCCATTGGGTATAAGTCGTCAAGCGTCCGGGTGCTCTTGGCAACGACAAAATCTACTCCCGGATCATCGGCGGTGCCGTAATGGACATAGACACGGCCGAATCGACGCGCATGAGCCGGAAAGTCCTTCGCTTCGTGCGGAACAGATCCGTCGACGGTCTTGATACTCTGGACATGGCCGGCCAAGTGAGGATAGGTACCGAGCACGATGCCCAGTGATTTACGCAAATGCTCAACGAGACCGGCGACGTCATCGTGGTACCTTTGTGGGGGCTTGAAGCACCAGAACGCCGACGTGAGAGCAAAGTTTGCTACTGTGGCATCGATCAGGGACAGAGGAACGGCGTGCTCTTTGAACGGCGGCTGCGGTTTGACCCGCTCCGAGCTAAGAATCTCGAAGTCCTGTTGTGATGTGGCCATGGCGGTGATTTTTAGCCTCGAGTCCTGGGAGTCGTCGTATCTCGTGCCGAATGATGAGCAATTGGATTTCGCCAAGCTTTTCTTCCGCGCACTCTCTGCTTGGTTTATGTATCATTGCCCAGTCTTACACGGTTGCTGGTTTAGTTGCTTGTGCTGGCAAGTTGCTGCGCCTTACGAGATGGTGCATTATGAATCATCCGCGAGTGCCCCACCTTTTACCCAGTTGCTAGTATCACCCCGGCCATGGTTGTGATGGCTGTGTACTTGCATCCTTCTGTTTCTGATGTCGGTCTGTATCACATTGCATTCTCAAATTGCATCCGGCTGCGCCTTTCTTGAGCGCGAAATGGTTGTACCCCATACTGGTGTTGAGTTGGGCTGCGAAATGGTCAGCTGCGGGCCACGCTGGCACTACATGCACTACAGCAATTTTGGACAGGGCTTTGCCAGGGGTTGTCTTGCCTGACGCATACTCAGCCCAAGACCAGAGGTCCCGAGACAACCACGTGGGAAATGTTTGCGACATTCCCTTGATCGCTGCGTTTCTAATCAAGGTTGGAGACATTGGAAATCACCTGATTGAGCTGTGCCGTAATAAATCTTGTCGCATTCCCACCTCGTTCCGACGGCAATTCACGGATTCACCATATCTTTGGCCCATTCATGGATTCAAGGATGGGTCTTTGTTGCATGCAGGAAGGGACCTTCAAGGTTTTGCTGGGCCAGAGAGCGGGTCGCAAGGGGTCCACCAGCGAATCAGAAGCGCTGGTCTCCCTCCAGGCCAGCCAACGGCTCAGGGGAAAGAGCGAATGGGAGCAGCGGAAATGGCGCGAGACCCGGCCGAGCGACCAGGGTCGTGCCTGCCTCATCTCATCTCCCCAGATCCTGGGCTGGGCTGCACACCCACTTCGCAGCGCGCCCACCCGCGATCGCCCTCGTCTTCTCTCCTCCTCTCTCCACGTCGTCAACCTCGTCGTCGCCGCCCATGCTCGCCCGTAGCACTGCCGCCGCCGCCGCCTAGTCGCTCCTTGCCCCCCGGGGCCCTGACATGTCTCTCACCACAACGAGAACCACCTTCATTCTTTTTCCGACTATCGAATAGTCGCGTCCGTTCCTTGCCGCTCGCCATATCGCTCTTGTCGCAATGCGCTCCACAACTCTACTCGGCGGCTTGATTGCCGTCGTCACCAGCAGCGCGCCATTTGTCTTCGCCCAGAAAGGCACCAGCGGTGCCGTGTGGGCCACTCCTCACGATAGCTACTCTTCGTCAGTTGGCGTGCTCGGCTGCAAGGTTGACACAAACCGCATCGCTTACTGGCCTGGCTCTGTCGACTGCAACAACATCTGCATTTCCCTCACATACGAAGACCGCACGGTCCGCCTCTTGCGTGTGGATCAGTCGCAGGGTGCCTTCGATGTGAGCTACGATGCCTGGAACTATCTCTACACCGGTTACTCCGCCACTGCAAAACCGACTGCTGGCGGGGCTCTCCCCATGAACTTTGAGACACTCCCAGCAGGCGACTGCGCCGACCTCATCCACACGGAAGGCAGCAAGCTGCCCCTTAGCGCTTCCAACAGCATGAACTTCCTTGCCAGCTGTCTCGCTCAGCCCGACAGCTGGGTCGCCAAGAACTACGTTCTCTACAACATTCTGGATTCAGTCTGCTCCTGGGGTTACGATGAGACGTGCACCCTCGACTGGCCGACAGCGAACCAGGCCAAGTGCCAGAATGCACTTGGGCAGCCTGTCACTCTCACCTCTGCGCCAGTCTACAACATCAAGTACCCCAGTGGTGAGACCGTCAACGCGGCTTCGCAAGCCGTGGTGCCGGCGCAGCCCGAAAGTTATGCCACAAAGCCAAGCGCATCGTTCGCGGCCAGTCTGGCTCCCTCTCTACTGGGGATTTACATCAGCTTGAGTTATGTTTTGCAGGGCATTTTGTAAAGTGCCGTGTGATGAGACAGACGTTCATTGTGATGCGTAATGACGTTCTTGAAGATATTTTTCGATACCCCCCATTTTATACCTCCTTCTTAGCGGCATCTTGGACAAAAGTCTCATATATAGATCGATATGGACATAAAAGATAATCACAAACCACTTGAGCTCTTGAATTCTGTGCCCCGGTTCGGGATGTAAACGTGATTGGCTGAAGTGGTCGACAGGAGACGTATTTGTTGTAGCAAGTGGCGTATGGACAATGTGTTTTGTGAATGCACAACCAGAAGTATGGCAGTCGAAGAGCCCTGGAATTGCGATCAAGACGGTGTGGCCTCATGTCTGAATCCGCTGTCATGATCTCGTAGACAGAATGGGGCAGCGCACTCCATGTCTTAAGTCTGTCATCTCCAGCGCCCAGGGTGGTTTGATGTTAGGCACGACAGGTTTCTTCTGCCGAGTTCCTCCAAGTTGCCTGCAAAGTACCATCTCCGATTCACTTCGTTGCCCTCTTCTTCCTTTAGACGGATGGGACGATGGACTTTCGGAGATACCTCTGTGTATTTCTTTCACTTTCGTATATAGCCATGCCACTCCTCACAAGTGTAGTACAGCGCTATAGATCAACAACGCAAAAGCCTGCTTGAGCTGACAGCATCACCAGTAACTACTCTGGCCTCTGCATCAAACATCAACCTTCATTATCACAGAAACGCTCGATTCCCGTTCACGGCAGTAGCCCACTGGCGTCGCTCAGTCTGATCGCAGCTTGTTCTCCCTGCGCTTCAACGCAGAGCTCTTCTGCTACTGAGGCTAATGGGTACTTATTCCGGATGATGGAGGACTCTCTGGCTACCATCATCATCACCACCACCATCACCACCACCACCATCACCATCACAAACATCATCATCAACACCACAACTGCCACCGCCACCAACATCCGCTCAGCAGACACTCTGCAAAACATCCACCACCAGCATCACCACTCCGGCACCATCAATTTGCGATCAACCCTCGCCGCGAGCAACAGCAGCAACAGCAACATCATTACCTGGTTATCCCCCTTCCCACCCCCGCCGCCCCTCGCCCTACCGCCCCCAGCCAGCCTCTTCCCGTTCCTACTCTTCAATCTCCTCGCCGCGGCATACCTGGTCGCGGGTTTCCTCACGGCGCAGCTCGTCTTCAGCGACCCTTCGCTCTTTGACGGCCTCGAGATCGTCGACCTCCCCGGCGGCGTGGTCTGCGAGATGGGCCTGGTCATCGTGGTGTGGCCCGTCGCGCTGCCGTCGTGGCTCGTCAGGCTGTGCATGCCGGACGGGTGGAGGGAGACGCTAGGGAAGGCGGTCGTGGAGTTTAAAGAGATGATGACGATGATGATGGTGAAGAAGAACAAGGAGACGAAGGACAAGAGGATGGGGGTGCAACCTGGAGGAAATGGCTCGGATGAAAGGACGGGTAAGGAGGTCAACGGAGTGGCAACGGTCATCAACCACAGCAGAGATGTCGGTGTCAGCAAGGATGCCAAGGACAACGCGGTTCCAGGCCTTTCGGCTTCTCACAGCGCCAAGCTGGCTCGCCTGAGGAGACGCCGATGAATTCCTCTATCAAGAAATCTAGGACTCGGGAAGGGGGACCTGATCGGGGGGTAATGGCATGCGAGGAATGCGAGGAAAGCGGGTAAGCCCCGTATGTATTACGCCTGGGAAGTAAGAGGGCCTTGGCAGCACGGTCGGAAGGACAAACCAACATGAGCTGGGCGTAGGACTAATCCCACTGGGCGCATAGGTTGTTGCAACCACTAATTTATGACTGAATTGAGTTTGATTTTCTGCATATGGACCCTACAACACAACCCATGCTACACATGTCATAGAAACTATTCCCGTCGTCTAGCTCTGGGTCACTACCGGCAGGGCAAACTTGACTGTGTCCAACACACTCTGCTCAAACGGGATGTAATCCACGCCAGTTGCCTTGACGACCTTGCTGCCGTCGAATTCCAGCGCCGGCTCGTCCGTCTTCAGCGAGTAGTCTGGGCCGTACCCCTTACCAGGCGTGCCCTTGTTCTTGACGACGTACCCGCTGAGCTCAGGCACTTCGCCAGTCTTGCTGACGCGGTCGAGAATGTCGGCCACGGCCTGGGAGCCTCCCGCGCCGGCGCTGCAGAGGAATCGCTCGCCGTCGGCCTTGTCAGGATTCAGGGCAGCCCAGACAAGCACGCGGGCCACGTCGCGGACATCGATGGCCGCCTCGGAGGGAAGGGTCCCAGCCATCATTCTGGCAGCGGCAGGGTCCTCGCCGGCCAGGACTCGGGTAAGCCAGCTAGCAGAGTACGGAAGCGCCTTGGCACTCGGCCATGGCACGACCGGGGGGCCGAAAAACCACCTGGAGGTAGACGAGTCAGCCTGTCAACATCACACAACTTAATCACTCGAGCGCATGCGGGGTCATGTCCTTACGTCGCTTGGATAGCTGTGAAGGAGATTTTCGCATGGTCGCCGCCAGCGGCCGCCACCTCATCTCGCTTCTTCCAGAACTCGCGCTCGGAGTGTAGCTTTGCGGCCGCATAAGCCATGAGAGGCCTGTGGGCCGGGTCGATCTTCTCCAGTATCTCTGGAGTCATAACGGCCTTGTACGAGTTCTCGGCCCAGTTATTTTCATCGTAGCGTGCAGGCACTGGGGGTATGTCAAACAGGGCTGCCGACGAGGACATGAGCACGATGCTCCGCAACTCGGGTCCGGCATACTTGATTGCCGAGTCGACGATCCTGGTGGTTGCCTCGGTGGCGACCCGGACGACGTCTGGAGGCGCGAGGACAAAGATGTCGGTGATGGGCGCCGCCACATGCAGTATAGCCGAGCATCCTGATGGCACACAATTCCTGTTAGTCTTTTCATGTCTGTCGACTTCTGAGGACAAAGCACAGGGGCGTCGCACCAACTACGGCCTTGTCGAAAGCACCCTCAGGAGAGATATCGGGCACTTCGACGAGCTCGATCCGGCTGGCATCGTAGCCGAGGGCGACGAGAGCATCCTTGGTCTTTTGCCCCGCATCGACCTTGCGAACAGTGCCGCGAACAGAGTAGCCGGCCTTGAGGACGGCCTCCGCTGCTCTGGCACCTAGGTAGCCGTTGACGCCGGTCACGAGAATGGGGCCCTCGTCAGACATGTTGCAGATCTGTGTGGTGATGGGTTGTATTGTTTGGGAAAGTGCTGAATGCTGTCGGCAGAGAGTGTTGGGTGGGGGGAAGGGTACAGACTTTATACAGAAACGGCCGCCTCGAGCACACGAAAGCATAACCACGCATCAGTTCTCGCTGTTCTGGGAATGCCCGAGAGCGGCAACTGCAACCGCCTGTGGCTGCTCATGGTTCCCGAGGTATACCGCCAGGTCGTTCTTTCATAGTAGCCTACTTGATGTAACCCTTCTCTCCTTGCAGAATGGTGGGTCAGTGCGGAAACAGGTGCCACAATTGGCAATCAGCGATATTGTCAAACATGAGGAGGCAACGGCCCTTGTGGGTTTGAGCAGGGGTGTTGCAGGGCAGTCTGTCTGGCTTGGATGACCAATGCGAGGTCACCCGAGGCAGAGCATGGAAAGGCTGAGCAACCAGGTTTGTGTGTATGTGTACGAAGGCGATTGGGCCTTGCATTTGCACGGGCTGGCAGAACGACGAGCTTGGCGCGCTTGGTCTTTAGCAAGTGGACTGGTCGTATCGTGTACTCGCCGTCCCAGGTTTGATGCCCACGGTCCACGACACGATACCATACGAACCATATACTGCCGGTGGGATCGCTGTCCCGTCGTGCGGGGTCTCAGCCGCTCCTCGGCCTCGCCGCCGTCAAGAATTACGTCGTGGGCACCTGCCTAGCAACGCGTGCTGTCGGATTCAGCCCTGTGGAGATGACAAAGCAGGCATTACAAATCTGCCAGCTGCAAGACGCTGAGGTGTGCGCCAGGCTCGTCTGTTCTCGCATGTGTCCCAACAAAGACAATGAACGAAGCTCAGACGGTGGCGTGCGAGCCTCGGCTGTGGCGCAACCGTGATGCACGAATCGAAGGTCCGTGGTGGTGGTGGTTCGTCGTGGTTTGTCGTGAGGGGGAGCGTCGTTGTGGTTTCGAGAACAGCGGGGTAAGCAGTTTGACAGCAGGCAATGGACATTGTTTCTCTTTCTTCCAGGAATACCTAGCATGGACACAAGGATGCTCTGCTACAGATCTCAAGACGGTCGATCATTGGGGCAACGGGTAAACCAAGAAGGGCAAAAGTGCCCAGTGTGTTTGCATGCCATGGAGCATAAATAGATCGCTTCATGGTCGGTCGGTCCCTGCGTCAAGAGGAGGGGCCACGGGCGTGCGGGCCGGAAGGTTTCCGCCGCACCAACAAGAGCGCGGCAACCTCGGGATGCTGGTGGGGTCCGCGCCGGATGGTTCCAGACTTTTGCGCCAAAACGCGCGCAGCCGAGCAATCCATGGCGTAACCGACATCAATCACAGCTCGTGGACGACAAGCACAGACAAACCCTGGCAGGAAATCCAAGCGGTTCAAACCTCATCTTGCTACCACGACGGTATTCGAGAGTCTTCTCCGTGAGGACAAGGTACAAGGCATCTGACAGCCTGCCAAGACGGCCACTTGCCCGGAAACCTTGCCGAGCGCAGTGCCCCTCCACCTGGGCATCATCACCAACAAGACTCACCTCGGACACCAGCGACGAGTCCCTGAGATGGCCGCGTCACAGCCGCTGCGGGTCGGCTTCGTCCCGGAGCACTTCTCGACCCCGATTCACTTTGCGCAGAAGCATTTCGGCCTCGACGCACAGCTTATTCCCTTCCCCTCCGGGTCTGGGCACATGATTATCTCTCTCCGGGCCGGCGAGATCGACATCGCCATCGGGCTGACTGAGGCATGGATCGCCGGCCTCGGCAAGCCAGACGTCGAAGGCGACGGCGGCTACCGCATCATTGGCAACTTTGTTGAGACCCCTCTCTGTACGTATTCCCCCAGATTGTCATCTTGGATCGGAATCGACGGGTGAAGCTGACAAGAACTGCAACCCAGGCTGGGCGGTCTCGACCGGAGCCAAGCGCGCAGACATCACCTCCCTCGAGTCTCTCAGGGGCAGTAAACTGGGCATCTCGCGGATAGGATCCGGCAGCCACGTCATGGGCTACGTGCTCGCAGATCAGCAGGGCTGGTCCGCGCCGTCGCCGCCCTCGTCCTCCGTCTCGTCGGCTTCAGACACTGGCAGTGACAGCCCGTATGCCGACAGCGTGGTCCTGCAGACGTTTGCGAACCTGCGAGCCGCTGTCAATGATAGCACGGCCGACTTCTTCATGTGGGAGCACTTTACAAGCAAGCGCTACTTTGACAACGGCGAGATCCGGAGGCTCGGGGACATCTACACCCCGTGGCCGAGCTGGCACATCGTGGCCACGACCAAGGTCCTCTCGTCGGACGACGGCAAGGCCAAGGTTAAGGACTTGCTGGCGAAGCTCGACCAGGGCATAGAGTACTTCCAAGGCCACCACGACGAGGCTGTTCAGTACATTAGCACGGAGCTCGATTACTCGGAGGAAGATGCGAGGGAGTGGCTCAAGACGGTCAGGTTCTCTGAGAGGACAGAAGGGGTCAATCCGGATGTGGTCCAGAACTGCATGCGTGTGCTGTGGAAAGCCGGGGTGCTGGTTGAGGGCAAGGGCCTCGGAGGGGAGGAGATGTATGCCAAGCAGCTGGGGGCATGACCGAGTGTCTGGCTGCGGATCATGTTGAAAAGAAAAAATCGCTTGCGAAAATGTATCGACGATAAAGTGCGATTGACGAATCAAGAAAAGTTCCTCTTTGATGAAAAGAATGGCCAGGGAGAGAATTGAAGTGTCAGCACAACTGGGGGAAAAGCAAACACACTGGACAGTCTCGGACCGTGGTGCAGTGTCCCGTACCCGAAGTTCCGCACCGGCAGGCCCCCGCACTTGATGGCCTCGCGATATTGGCGGGTCCTGTCAGCTCGCATGCAGCCATGGACTTTCGCTGTTCGTTAGTTGCAATTTTAGTACCAGAGCCAGTACGGTAGATCAACAATGAGCAGTGTTAGTGTAGCATATCATAATCCAATGGATCAGCAAGATTCTTTGAGGCGGCAATATCTGGTTCGGGAGGCTACTATCAGGTAGAGCGAATGCTTGGCAGCTCAATGGCGGGCGGCCAAGGTTGATCCACCCACTATGAAAGCCCAGAGCGCTCCCGTTCTACAACGTCATCGCCCACGAAGCGCGTCACTGCTTGTAAAACATTCTTCGCCGGCAATGCTCACCAACGCCGAGCAACCCACCAACGGCACCACAATCGTTCGCTCACGATGCGGCTTTGAAGAGATATAACGTGTCGAGCTCACTTTGCTCTTTCGTCATCATCTAGGGACCACTGCAATACAGCGAATTCCTGACTCCTCAGCAACCTGGCACGGTCCTGCTTTCCCACGCACCACGCAGCCAAACCTCAACGTTGACTCCCACCGCCGTCATGGCAACCCTCGCGACCGCCGCACGCCTATCATGGCGACAGCAAGCACACGCGTATTCAACCACCACAGCAACCTCCCAAGCAACGGGTCCGGGCCAATTCCTTCTACCGGCCCGCTCCTCCCAAGCAGTCCGCAGCTCCTTCTGGCGCCCCCGACGACCGCTCCCACAGCGTGGTCGGTACAACTCGTCACAAACAACACCACCACCACGCCCCGAACCACCGGCCCGGTCACCACCAGCCTCATCCACCACAAACCCCGCACCCTCAACCTCCTCCTCTTCCTTCAGCAATGCCGCAACTGCACAGGCAGCTAAGGAAGCCCGGCGCCGCGCGACCGCAGAGCGGATAGCCAACAGCTCTCTGCGGTTCATGCCCTCGTTTATCGGACGGCGGCTGCGCGGGCCGCTCGAGAACATGATCAAATCGCCCGGGTCGCATGTTGTCTCCTGTAGGTTTTTTATTGCCACCCCCACCCCCCCCTCTCTCTCTCCGTTGGCGTTATTTCACGTACTGCGAATTCCCCCTCCTGTCATGTAGACTGGGGTGAGATGAGTCCCCTGGTTACTGGTTCCCTTGACATTGCTAACGATGAACTTTCGAATTGGTTGAAAACAAAAACAGTCCTCATTATCCATGAGATCACCGCCATCCTCCCGCTCTTCGGCTTCATGAGCCTGTTCGTGTACATGGACTGGGTCCCCACGGCGTGGGTCGCGGGCCCCTGGGCGGCATGGGCGCTCGAGGGAGTGCGCAAGTACGCTGGCTACTTCCGCAAGAAGGGCTGGTTCGGGATGGGCGGCGCGGAGGGCGTCGAGGGCGGGCGGAAGTTAGAGGGGGAGCTGGAGGAGGAGGTTCAGCACCAGCATCAGCACCAGCCCGCCGCGCATGCAAGACAGCAGCAGGAGCAGCAGGAGCAGCAGAAGGAGAAGGCAGGCTGGTTCGGCTTTTCGTCTAAAAACAAAGCTGGCGGCGCCAGGGAGGGAGACGGCAAAAGCGCCAGTGCTGTCGAGGCTCACGAGGAGGCCAAGACCAAGGACCAGAGCACGGCCGGCAAGGTCGCCACGACGACTTGGCATGCTGTAAAGAAGGTGGTCACTTTTGACAACATCGACACGGGGTACAAGACGTCGATTCAGTTTGCTGCCGCGTATGCTATCACTAAGATGCTGCTGCCCGCGAGGCTGGCACTGAGCGTCTGGCTGACGCCCTCAGGCGCTAGGGTCTTTTCGAGAATGTGGCGGTTTGTACGGGGTGGACCGACTGCTGCTAAGTAGAAACTAAGTGATCATACGCCGCTCATAGAACCCCAGATAAACTAGAAAAATGCAAAAGAACGAACATTGACGCTCGAGAGGGAAGAACAACAAAGATATTTGCCACTTCGGGAGAGAATCAAGGCGGAATATGCAACGATCACAAATGCGAGAAGACGGTGAGTATGTTGTGGTCGGCTGGCTGACGCGCCGCCAGAACTTTTACTTTTTATTCATTTTCAAGTGTCCCGTATGTACGTTGTCGACGATACCGCTCGATCGATTTTCATTATCGAGGTGGCATCGCTTACTCGTAGAGCCAGGGAGCAGAGTGGCTGTTCCAGCTGACAACCTCGCCATCCTTGAACCAGAGAGCAATCTCCTTCTTGGCGCTCTCGACGCTGTCGGAGCCGTGGCAGACGTTGCGGCCAACAGCCAAGCTGTAGTCGCCACGGATGGTGCCGGGGGCGGAGGCGAGGGGGTTGGTGGCGCCGAGGAGGACTATGGACATCAGTTAGCGATGGAGTTGGCTATAAAAGCAAGAGCATGAAGAGAGAGGGACATACCACGGCCGGTCTTGACGGCATCGAGACCCTCCCAGACCATGGCGACGATGGGGCCGGAGTTCATGTCTATCGACAGATTGTTAGTAGCGGTCTTCCCAGGCGGTCATGTAGGCGTGATCGGAGGCGTACACTCAACGAGGCCAGCGAAGAAAGGCTTGTCCTTGAGGTCAGCGTAGTGCTGCTCAAGGTGAGCCTTGCCGGGGGTGACGAGCTTGATAGCGGCAAGCTTGAAGCTGAAGCACGAGATTTCGTGTTAGTCGTGGGCATGTTCTTGTACGCAATCTTGGGAGGGTGTCAGAGTTCGTACCCGCGCTGCTCGAAGCGCTGGATGATGGGTCCAACGAGGCCACGCTGTTGAGATGAACGTTAGTCTTATGTTTCAACCGGCTGCAAAGAGCGGTGCAACGCGTACCTGGACGCCGTCAGGCTTGATGGCAATGAAGCTATTGGAGGGGTTAGCTAGCTGGATGAGGACCCATGTCGGAGAGTGCCCTCGCTTACGTCTGCTCGGTAGCCATTGTGTTGATTTTGGGGATTGATTCCTGGATTGGAGTCGTGAACGAGTACTGTGGTGTAGAGGGCAAGGTGGAGGAGGATCGGAAGAGGTTAATGTTGGCTGGGAGGAGCAGGAGAAAAATTAAGGCCGCGAGATACAGAGCGGGGTGGCGGGGCAAGGGCAGCTGCTGGCGTGGTTGCTGGTGCTGTCGATGCGGCGGCTGCGAATGGTGGTCGCGCAGGTCCCCTTTTTGCGGCGGTGGGGTGTTCTCATTGGCTGCGTGAGCGCGAGCTTCGACGGGATCGGCCATTGTAGGTGGTACTGTAGAGGCCTTGTAGATACGGCACGTCGTCCGTGGTCTAGATCTCGCTGCACGGTTTATTTCGGGTGCTGAGTGAGACTGGAGAGGCTGAGGTTTGGTCCCGTGGGCATAGGCTATTGCAGTGCTTTGTCGAAGCTCTGGAGATGCTTCTTCTGACCACTGAATGTCGTCAGACGGACGGCGCAGGATACCCGTGTCAGCACCGATATCGTGGGAGAGTCTCCTTCTGGGCTACAGGCGGTGTGTGTACGTGCCGCAAGGAGTCAATTGAATCTCAGCATGTGCCAAGTAGGGCCGCCCACGGGTGCACCTGTTGAAAAGGAGTGTCGAATCGAATAGATCCTCCACCTTGGTGAAAGTCGACAGTCATTGGTGGTTACCAGCCTAGTGCCTCCCGTGCCTGGTTGTCCCTGACTGGATCTCACAACTCTGACCTACGAGCACCATCATCACTACGCCTGCATGCAATCCAACACAATCTAATATATCTGCTAACATGGAATCATGAGATGTCCTGTTCGGTCTTCCATCTGCTTGCCTTGCAGCCCCCAGACGGGCAGCCAATGTGTGGCTGAAGCAGGAATGGTGCTACTCTTATCCGCCACACGGAGGCTTGTGGTGCGCTGGCAACTGGCCGGCCCCACTTCTGGAGCAGCCAGGGGCCATGCGGTCATTGCTGGGCCAGGCCGTCTGGGGTCTCCATCTTGCACGCCAGGGCTGGAGCTTGGGACAGCTGTAAACATCCCCTCCAGCCAAAGGCCATCTCACACGAGCGCAGAGCACTTTCTGCCATCCTCTCCCAGTCCTGAATCTGCAGCGCAGAGGGTCCTTTCTGGAAGCACTTTCGCTGTGCTATCTCATACTTCTTGCTCAGACGACGGCTATTTTCGCCAGAGCAGAGCCGCACCATAACAACCGACAGCGCTCTGGCAGCGTCGAGCCGTCACCATGGCTACTCTTCGCTTCTCGTCGAGGCCATGGGCAGCTTTCCTCTTTGTTCTGGGATTGATTTGCGTCTTACTGTCACCAGCAGGTACGGACACTCAAAAGCCATCATTCACCACGCTGATCTGACCCAATTGTAGTCGCGGTCAAGGAAAACGACTTCAAGAAGTGCGAACAGTCAGGGTTCTGCAAGCGAAATCGAGCATACGCCGACAACGTCGCTTCCCATGGCTCGGCATGGGCATCCCCATACAAGGTCCTTCCCGAGCAGGTCTCATTCAAGGACGGCAGCCTCAATGCCATCGTGCTGAAGGCGATTGACGACCAAGGCGCGACCGTCGAACTCCCATTGACGGTATCCTTCCTCAAGTCTGGTACCGCGCGTGTCACCGTCGACGAGAAGCTTCGACAGCAGAAAAGCATTGAGCTCCGCCACGGCAGCCAGGCTAGGAAAGAGCGCTATAATGAGGCAGAGGGCTGGGCCATTGTTGGTGGGCTGGACGTAGACTCGGAAGCCACAATTGCTTCCCAGGGCGATGCCGGCATCAAGATCACATACGGACCCAATGCTGCTTTCGAGGCGGACATTACATACAGTCCCTTTACTGTCGCTTTCAAGCGTGATGGCGTTACGCAAGTCAAGCTGAACGACCGGGGCTTCATGAACATGGAGCACTGGCGTCCCAAGCTGGAGAAGACCACCAAGCCTGAAGGCGAGGAGTCCGGTGAAGGCAACACCTCTGAGCCTGCCCCCTCCAATGACGAGAGCACTTGGTGGGACGAGACTTTTGGTGGAAACACCGATTCGAAACCCCGTGGTCCCGAGAGCGTTGCTCTTGACATCACCTTCCACGGCTATGAGCATGTCTACGGCATTCCAGAGCACACTGGTCCCATGTCGCTTCGTGAAACACGTGGCGGCGAGGGCAACTTTGAGGAACCGTACAGACTCTACAACTCTGATGTGTTCGAGTACATCCTCAATAGCCCCATGACCCTTTATGGCGCCATCCCGTTCATGCAGGCGCAGCGCAAGGACTCAACTGTTGGAGTGTTCTGGCTCAACGCGGCAGAAACCTGGGTCGACATCACCAAGGCCAAGGAAGCGAAGAACCCTCTTGCGCTCGGCATTGGAGCGAAGACCAACACGCACACCCACTGGATCTCTGAGAGCGGTCTGATGGACATCTTTGTCTTCCTCGGCCCAAGCCCACGCGATGTCCTCAAGAGCTACACCGAACTCACCGGCACCACAGCGATGCCCCAGGAGTTCGCCATTGGCTACCACCAGTGCCGCTGGAACTACGTCTCCGACGACGATGTCAAGGAGGTCGACCGCAAGTTTGACAAGTTCAACATCCCCTACGATGTCATCTGGCTTGACATCGAGTACACCGATGACAAGAAGTACTTCACATGGCAGTCCGACATGTTTAAGGACCCGATCTCTATGGGCGAGCAGCTCGATGCCCACGGCAGGAAGCTCGTAACCATCATTGACCCGCACATCAAGAACGTGGGCGGCTACCACGTGTCGGACGAGCTCAAGTCGAAAGGCCTGGCGGTGAAGAACAAGGAGGGCAAGGACTTTGACGGCTGGTGCTGGCCCGGCTCCTCGCACTGGATCGACGCCTTCAACCCGGCCGCCATTGAATGGTGGACCTCCCTCTTCAAGTATGCCAGCTTCAAGGGCACTATGAAGAACACCTTCGTCTGGAATGACATGAACGAGCCATCAGTGTTCAACGGTCCTGAGGTGACAATGCCCAAGGATAATCTGCATCACGGCGGCTGGGAGCACCGCGACGTGCACAACATCAATGGCATGACCTTCCACAACGCGACGTACACGGCGCTCTTGTCCCGCGAGAAGGGCGAGCTGCGTCGTCCGTTTGTGCTTACACGGTCCTTCTACTCTGGCTCGCAGCGCCTCGGTGCCATGTGGACAGGCGATAACCAGGCCAGCTGGGAGCATCTAGGCGCTGCCGTGCCCATGATCCTGGCGCAGGGCATCTCAGGCTTCCCCTTTGCTGGAGCCGATGTTGGCGGTTTCTTTGGCAATCCTGAGCTTGACCTGCAAGCTCGTTGGTTCCAGGCTGGTGCCTTTTACCCATTCTTCCGCGGACACGCGCACATTGATGCCCGGCGCCGCGAGCCTTATCTGCTTGCAGAACCGCACCGTTCAATCATCACCGCTGCTCTGCGTCTACGGTACGCGCTGCTGCCTGCATGGTACACGGCCTTCTTCCACGCCAATCAGGATGGTAGCCCCATTGTCCGCCCGATGTACTGGACACACCCTAGCGAGGAGGCTGGTTTCGATATCGACGACCAGTTCTTCGTCGGCTCCACAGGTCTTTTAGTCAAGCCCGTCGTCGAGAAGGACAAGACATCTGCAGATATCTTCATCCCTGATGACGAGCTTTACTTTGATTACTTCACCTATAAGAAGCTGGCCACTCACAAGGGCAAGCATGTCACCGTTGACGCCCCCCTGGAGTCTATCCCCGTCCTGATGCGTGGTGGCCACATCTTCCCCCGCCGCGACATCCCTCGACGGTCCTCACAGCTCATGAAGTTTGACGATTACACCCTTGTCGTCGTCATCGGCAAGGACGGCAAAGCTGAGGGCGAGCTGTACGTCGACGATGGCGACTCTTTCGATTATGAGAGCGGCCAGTTCGTGCACAAGACTTTCACGCTCGACGGCTCCACCTTCACCTCAGCCAACGCTGGTGGTCGCGATGCGAGCAGCGTCAAGAAGGGCAGCTGGCTCAAGCAATTTGACAACGTGGCTGTCGACAAGATCATTTTCGTCAATGCCCCGTCCAAATGGTCGAGCAAGAAGGAGGTTGAGATTGAGAGCGGGGGCAACAAGACCCCAGTCAGTCTAGACTTCCACAAGGCTGAGGGTGGCCGTGCCGCGTTTGCCGTTCTCGGCCGCGTTGGCGCCAAGATTAGTGCCGACTTTTCAGTCGACTTTTCTTGAGCCTACTCAGCTATATAGAAGGCAGCGGCGATATGCTCGCGGATCTCCTGGAGCGTGTCCCGTGTTGACAGTAACGAAAAGACACAAATGTGGAACTCAATCAAACACTTAGAGAGATGGAGAAAAGAATATTTGACCACAATCTACAGGCTGGCTCTGACGTACTGACTGTCCGTATATGGTCTGTCCAGGCAAAGACGTGACACGACATCATGATACTGTGCCTCCATTATTGACGTACCAACCCCACGCAAACGTCCACGATCTAACGGCTAGGTCACAAACAGACAACAGTGTGGAGGTCCATTGATCATGCCATTCTGCTTAGACTTTGGTAACGCAATACGAGAGGACTAATGTGTTTTGTGAGCATAAAGAAGACCTGCTTCGCTCAGCCTGTTTGGGATTATGACATAAGAGCGTCTTTCCCCGGTATACACAGTCATCAAGTATACCAGCAGGCAGGCAGCATGACTTCATCAGATGGTGCATGCTTTCTCCGCACTTCCGCGCCTATATATCCAAACAAGCATTGGCAGGATGGAATGCCTGTTCCCTTGCTCTTCTCCCGTCATTGGGACCGGATCCGGCCGTTCGGTTCCGAAGGAAGCAGGACATTGCTGGCTGCGGCTCTGACAGCAAAGCTGGGGAGGGAGAGCCTACCGCCGGGGTGGCCCAGGCCATGGGAAAAGCAGGCCTCCCGTCGTCGCGTGGTGGCAGGGGGACACATGCTATCTCACGTCGATGCAAAAACCCAGACTAATGACCAGGAGTACTGGCGGGAGTGGCGTGATGCAGCGTACAGCTATGCACGTAACTGGACAGAATAGGCGAGGGGGGCCGAGGGGGCGTTCTCAAAATCTTCTCCAGGAAACCCCATGGAACTGCCTCACAGGTTGATCCTGGGAGGTATGCTTGCAAAAAGGGCTGAGCGTGGATCTGGCTGGCGTCAGCAAGACCCCGCCGGTGCAGGATCCCCACGTAACTAGCCAGAGGGCTGAGATGTTCGCACGCTGGCATTAAGCAGGCAGTCTACTTGCTTGGCGGCCAAGATGTGCTAGGCAATGCTAGGCTTGTCAAGATGGTTGTCTAGGTTTGGAAGCTGCGTGGTCGGACAAAGCCCGCACGGTATAATGTGCTCACGCACAGGGAGGGGAAAACCACTGCGCAGTTGGCTGGGACAAGTCCTTGGAGGCAGCTTACTCGCAGGTGGTCTGACTCCTCCCTGGTGGTGGTGTATTGGACTGGTTACATTAATTATCACTTGCAACCTTCCAAAGGCTGCAGGTGGCCAGAGTCGACAGTCGAGAGGCTCACCGGCTGGACCTGCACGCCTGCCCGCATACCCTCGTTTTTATCCGTCGCCGCAACTCGGCCCGGAAGGTGTGCAGGGCGCAGTATCTCCCTGCGAGTCAGTGGGAAAACATGACCCGTGATAGAGACACTGCGTATCACTCTGGCCACTCACCATCGCCCATTGACTGCTAGGGTTGGCTCCATGGCTAGGACTGGCGGTGATCAGTCAGCATGCCGCATTCTGCACCTGCAAGGATACCCTAGCGACGTGGCCACAGCCCTACCACCGGTCGAGAGAACAATCGCCTCAAGTGGTTGGTGTCAACGGTAGATATCCTCCGGGACCTCCTCTCGCTATGCTCGTGTTCGCTACAGATCACCTGCATGTGAGACATCAATATAAGCCATGGCTCCTGTCTCAAAAAACGGGAGTTGCCGTCGTCGAAATAGCTCGTCGCGCGCCTCCCACAAACAAAAGCCTTGTAGCTAAGTGCGGGATGTACCGAATTATGAGCGGTGATTATTCCCATGACTTTGCGCACTAGCAAGGATGTATATCGATTTGGTCGGTATTTGGAATCTGAGGACTGGACTGTCTAAGAAGCTGGAGATGGGATTGTGACAGGTGGGCGAGGGTGGGTAAGCCATGAGCTGCCCACACCGGCAACACCGCTGTAGGGGTCCGGATTCGGTTTTCACAGCGGGCAAGGACCCAGGAAGCCATGATTTGCAGGGGTCGAACTGCCGAACAGCATCCCTGCTCGCAAAGCCGTAAAAGTTTGGGCCAACCACCAAATGCCGCATCCTTGCTGCCCAGCTGCATGAGTCGGCACGGGCAGGGTGCCGAGCAGAGAGGCGCAGTGGCATGGCCAATCCAAGCTGTTGACGTTCTGCGAGCTAGTTGCTTTCAGGGTAGTCCGCTGGCGGAGATTTCCAGGATCATACATAGTGTGGCTGGCTTGGAGAAGTGTCGTGGCCATGCTAACCGTTGCGGCCACCCGGGGCGAGTCGCTCGTTGTGAGGGTCGAACAAGCTACAAGAACAGAATAGGGGCCGACCCATCCAAAATTCTATCTGGTGAATGCGCATCCACCAAGTCTTACACGACACACAATCGCCTCTGTCGACATGGCGTGCCGACTGGTTCGGGCGACTGTCATCTTCGCCGCATCATGGACACTGTTGGTTGGATTGGCACAGGCTGGCGCCATTGCTGTCTGGAATCCGGACGTGTATGCGCCACAGGTGATCATGCAGGATGATGCCTCGGGGATTATATTTTCCAGCAGATGCAACAGCAACGGCTCGACGATATTCCCCAACGACGTATCAAGTGCCCTAGACATAGACAAGAGGCTGCTGCCCCGGAGGAAATCGAGGCTCGCGGCTGTCGGATGGTGGTCAGAGGACGGCGACCAATGGGTAAGTTGCTGCTTTTGAGCTCCCAGGCCGGTCATTAGATCTGACTGGGGACAACTCTCAGGCTGCGATTCAGCACCAGACCAAGGACAATGCCATCGTCCACAGTCTTTGGATGTGTAACGCGGATGGCCAATTCGATTCCATGGGGCAGTGGATTATATCTTACATCACTCCTGGGGTACGGCCAAACACCGGCTTGGCATCAGTCATCCTCAGCAGAAACGCAGGCTTTCGCGTCTACTATCAGGACAACAACAACTCGACATGTGCTCTGAGCTATAGCGCCATACAGGGCGTGTGGAAGTACGACGGGGTTGTTTCTCACGACGGAGCTCAAGGGTCCGCCATCAGCGCGGCATGGACAACGCCAGAAGACATCCACATTGCCAGGCCAAGGGGTGAGCACGAAATCGAAGTCGCACGGCTACACAACAACGTGACCTGGGAACTCAGTAAGTCTCGCAGATACCACGAGCACGGGGAGGGAGAAAAGAGAAAGAGCGATGACTGACCTACGATTCGCTAGGCACCTTCCCAACGCCTCTCGAGAACGTTACTACTCTTTCGAACAGTTCTACACTTGTCAAATCCTTGCCGTCTGACTCCACCAACTCGACAGAGTTCGCACTCAACACCACCGTTGATGCTTCATGGACTCTGGAGGCTTGGGACGGCAACACCACGTCGATATGGTACACGATCGACAGTGCCAACAAGAGCAGCATTTTCTATATCGGCACAGATGCTCTGGTGCACCAGGTGGAACAAGTGGGAGAGAGCTGGCGAATGGCTCCCGCACAGAACGCGTCTGTATGGCCGCCCGCAGACAGCCGCAACAGCGAGCTCGGTGCGACGTACAGCATACTTACGGGAGAGGCGTGGCTCTACTACATGAGTGGTGGTCACATGGTGGCCGCGTATCGGTCATCCAACAGCCAGTGGGAGGATGCGAGGGTCTTGGGCAAGTCCAATGTGACGACGGCCGAGCTGCAGTCGCAAGGCGGCTTGACGCTGCAGGCCAAGATTGGCGTGGGCGTAGGCATCGGCCTGGGCGTGTCGGCCATCGCAGGATTCTTGCTGTTCGTGGTCTTGCTGCGTCGCCGCCAGGCGCGAGTAGACGAGGAGAAGTGGCAGGCGTCCTCGGCCAAAGGCAGCTCTGAGGACGGCAGTGCCGAGTCTCCTTCATCTGCGTGGGGCAGCAACTGGCCCAGGTCTTCCGATGGCTCGCAAAGTCCAGTGTCAGTCTGGATACCAGAGGCACACTCTCGGCCGGTTCACGAGCTCGAGGAACAGGTTCGCACGCATGAGTTGGCGGACCAGGAACGCATATCCGTGGCCATTCCGGAAAAAGCAGCACAACACTGAGGAGGGTGCTGGTTTTTAGGATAACGTGGTCTCTGGTTCAATGGAAGACATATGCCTCATCTCGCAGGCACCTCTATGTGAAAGTGTCGCGGCCAGGCCGGTTCGTCTGTCAAGAGCTGTGAGCTTTCTGGCTATCGATCGTGTTCCAACAAAATGGTTGTGGCGGTATTTTGAAGTGAAGATGCATGAATGTCGACCTCGACGTAAAACTGCGAATGCGAGACAGCTAGCCAATGATTTGATGCTGAGGAGTGTCGATGACGCAGCATTTGGGACGCTGCGCCAGGAGCTGTTTAGTGCCTTCTTCAGAGGCAGGTGCGGAGGAGATCCACTGGAATGGCAGGAGCAAACCCCGATCGCCGCTTCAGCAGCACCCTCGAATCCCGGGGCCCCCACCACAGCTCCAGCGCCGCGAAGCTTTCTGCTTCATCGAACGACATCTGGAACAACGTCAAGCACAAGCTGCCCCAAACGAGACACCTTAATGGTCAGCCGACCAATCGCTTCTGTCAATTGAAGCCAGCCCTTGTTGAGCCGTCGATTTGACGTTGTTGTGAAGCTCAATCCAAGTAGGAATCAGATCCAACCACGTATCTGTCGCATTTCAGCATTTACTTGAGGAGCCAATCGCATTTTCTCCCGTCACCAACCTCATCTACACCATGGGCGTCCTGGACACGGCAGAGATAGAGCAGGCCCAGTGGGAAGCCGCCAAGGGCGCCGGGTATGGAGCGCTCAAATGGGGAGCCTTTTCGGCAGCATGTGGTGGGCTCGGATATGCTTTTTCGCCAATGTATCGCGGGTTCACTATCCAGTTCAAAGTGTACGTCGTCGTTTTCTTCCCCCATAATTCTAATTCACTTCATGCGTTCCCAGCATCCTGCGTTCATGGGTGGCCCAATTGACATGCAAGATACAGCTACATACAAATGTCAGGCATGATCCTCGGCAGCATGATAGAGGCGGACGCCAGGATGAGGCGATATGAACAACAAGTCCGGATCCAGCGGCGGATAAACAGAGACCGCGCAGAATGGGAGAGGTTTACTCGCGAATTCGGCGAGGATGATGACCTCCTGCCACCGTCACTTGCAAAACATAGGGCACCGCCAGATGAGTCGTCGACGAAGAAGTGAGCCAGCAGAAAGGTCTCGACGAGACATGCCCTAGCTTGTACGATCTGTTTCTTCTTCTTGTAAAGCTTAGTCACTTATAGTCACGAGGCCGTGTTTCGGTTCGGGTCTTCCTCTTTAGAAAGGACATTTCTTTTAAAGCTCAAAAGTCGTCCGTATAAATTCACCGTCTCAGAACGCCGTGCAATGCCTTGAAACCACCCGTCGCATGATCTACAAATCCGTTTTTCGTGCGCTCGCCCCGTTTAAACCTTGGTCTCAAACTTCTTTGGGTCTATGTTGAGCTTGCACAGCCTAGCCACGCAGCCGCTGAGCTGCAAAAGCGTCTGCACGCCCTCGAGGATCTTCATGTGCGTGAAGCCAATCTCCTTGATGAACTCGAGCTTGGAGTGCTCACTGAGCGTCGGCATGGTCTTGGTCACTCTAAACATGGTGCTAATGATGTCGTGACTCGAGTATCCCAGATCCCACAGCTCGCGCAGCGTGTCGAGCGCGCTCTCGACGTTGCCCTCGTAGCACGCCTTGAGCATGGCCTGCACTTTGATCGGGTGCGGGCTGTCGACCACCTTGAACACGTTGTCGCCGCTGACGAAACCGAAGCCCGCAAACGTGCTCTGCAGGTTGTTGATGGCCTGCCGCATGTCGCCCTCGGCGCTGAAGACGAGGGCGGCCAGGCCGTCGTCGCTGTACTGCACCTTTTCCGCCTCGATGATCTGCATGAGCCGCTTGACGACCTGCGCGTCCGTGAGCCGCGCGTACCGCAGGATCGCGCAGCGCGACTGCAGCGGCTCGATGATCTTGTTGGACTGGTTGCACGCGAACGCGAACCGCGTCGTGTTGGAGTAGATCTCCATCGTGCGGCGGAGCGCCTGCTGCGCGCCCGACGTCATGCTGTCGGCCTCGTCCAGGATGACCAGCTTGTGCCGCCCCGCGGGCAGCGTCACCTTCTTCTGCGCGAAGCCCTTGATCCGGTTGCGCACCACGTCGATGCCGCGCTCGTCGCTGGCGTTGAGCTCCAGCACGGCCTCCTTGTAGGCGTCGCCGAGCAGCTGGCGCGCCAGGCACAGCACGCTCGTCGTCTTGCCGATTCCCGGCATCCCCGATATGATGACGTGCGGCATGTTGCCGTCCTTGGCGATGATCTTTAGCCGCTCGATTGTTTCGGTGTTGCCGACGACATCGTCAAGGAAGATTGGTCGGTATTTTTCGACCCTGTGTGTTCAGCGGAGTGGCAGTCAGCTACCAAGACAGCGGAACAGGATATTGGGACCCCCTCGCTGACGAGCAGGCTTACCATGGAAGTTCGTATGTGGCATTCCCGTTTGTCGCTCCGCTCACTGCCTTCTTGGCCGCCGAGGTTGACGACTCGCCAGGCTCATCGACTGCTTTTGCGGGGGGCATTTCGACCTCTCTTCCAGTATGTTTCGTTCAAAATGGCCCGGTCGTCTCTGCCTGTCGAAGGATATGTCTGCTCCCGCTCTCAATCGGAAGGTTGGTATTTTCGGGGTCGTACAAGGTGTAAGCGGACTCGTTGACGTACTTTTAGTGATTGCTGGCCAATGTAGAAACCCATTAACGAGTGAACTTTGGCGAGGGGAACTTTTGACGCGTCGAGCTCAATGCGTGACTACTCTAGGCTTAGCGTCATTCCCCAACCCCACCAAGTACACCTTCAGCCCGTGTAGACATGTCTATCTTCTCAACTCGCCAGATTCCTTACACACAAGCATTTCTGTGTCCCTCTTCCTGTATTTTCTTCTTTCAAACATGTCTCTCTCGTTCTTTGTTCGCACACTGTGCTTGGAGGAGATTCGAGCGTAGTACAAAAGTCAGGGTCTGACCGGGTCGGCTACATGCCGTCTGCACGCGAGCATCCGGTACCTGACCAAAGGCACAGATCACCAAGCCATTGCACGCTCTCGCTTTTAATCCACCAAGCTGTCTTTATATAACGGAAATTGGAATTTTGTTTTGTGCTCTGACAAGCCATAAATTTCTCTGCCAGACAATAATTCATTGTGTTTATCGCCATAAACAAAGTGTCTACATGAGCGTGTGCCCCTCCAATGTCGTCCTGGTTGTTTATTTGTAATTCAGTCACAACTAGCTCTCACGTCCGGTAGTCGCCATTGATAGTGCTGTACGTGTCACCAAATTAGCCAAGGCCCACAAGAAAATCATGAGGTTTAATGCCAGCGTAATACTCACATGTACTCGTGGCTGTAGTCGCAAGTCCAGTAGGTGGCCTCCTTGTTGCCGGTGCCAAGACGCACCAGGATCTCGAGGTCCTCGTGCTCCAGGATCTCAGCCGCGCGGGCCTCGTCCACCATCTCGGGCTCGCCGTCGATGAGGAGCTTGAGCTCCTTGCTGCCGTCCGCAGGGATGAATGAGACATTTGTCTTCTCTGGCACAATCGACTCGACCTCGTTGACGGCCTGGCCGGGCTCCGAGATGAGCGAGTATCCCGTGGCACAGAGGATGCGGCCCCAGTTGGCGTCCTTGCCGTACAGCGCGGTCTTGACGAGCGGAGACCGGGCGATGGTGCTGGCAATGGTGCGGGCGACCTCCTCGCTCGCAGAGTCGACGACGCGGATCGTGACGAATTTTGTGGCGCCCTCGCCGTCCCGAACGATCAGCTTGGCCAGCTCGGTCGAGAAGTCGCTCACAATCTCCTGGAAGGCCTGGAAGTCGGCAGACGACTCTGACGAGATCTCCTTGCCGCCTGCGGCGCCGTTGGCGAGGAGCGCCACGGTGTCGTTTGTGGAGGTGTCGCCGTCAATGGTGATGCTGTTGAAGGACTTGTCGACTGCCCGCTTGAGGAGGGCGGGCATAATTGAAGGAGCGACGGGGGCGTCGGTGGCCATGACGCCCAAGAGCGTGGCCATGTTTGGGTGGATCATGCCGGCGCCCTTGGTCATGCCAGCGATTCTGTACTCGACTGACGGTGACGAGGGCAGGGTGAAAGATTTGGAAATAAGCTTGGGAAATGTATCCGTGGTGCAAATGGCTGTAGCACACGACATCCAGTGCTTGTGCGAATCTCCTAGGCCGTTATGCGCGGTGGGGACGTTGTTCAAGATCTTTTGTATCGGTAACCTGGAATCATGTCAGTTCAAAGGCCTTGCCCATCTCGGAGTCATATCTCACCTCTGTCCAATGACTCCTGTGCTCATGACGATGGTGGCATCGCTCGCACCGAGGGACTTGTCGGCCTCCTTGGCCATGGCCTCGGCATCCTCGAGGCCTCCCTTGCCAGTGACCGCATTGGCGCATCCCGAGTTGATGAGGACGCCACGGAGGCCGGCGTTCTTCGACTTCTGGAGCAGCGCCCGGCTGAAGGTGACGGGAGCAGCCTGGAACTTGTTTTTGGTGAAGACGGCAGCGGCCGCACACGGCGTGTCCGAGGTGATGAAGGCGAGGTCCGGCTTGGTGGTGTTGTTTGGCTTGACGCCGACGATTGTGCCCGAGACCTTGAAGCCCTTGGGATACTTGCCGTCTGTGGGCACGTACTTCTTCTTCGCGGCGGGGATGGTTCCGGACACCGGAGCCGAGTAGCATCGCAGGCCGGACACGGCCGTGGGGATCGTGGCTCGTGGTGCGGTCCGCAGCACGAGCTGGGCGGACAGCTTGCTGACTGGCACGCCTGGAGCCATCTTGGAGTGCCGGCTTTGCCAATTGATGAGGATGCAACTCACAATGGCTTTGTGTTGCAAGCAGTGAAATATGGCTCGCAGTGTTTTTGTGAGTCAAGGCGCCAATCACGTCCGCAATCGCAGCACAACCCCAGAAATTATTCGGTCCACTTTTTCGGACACCAGCGGGCACCACAACTGATAGCAGTCGGATTTCCCACACTTTAATAACTTAATGCCAGCATCCGTGTAAGCCAGAACTTTGTAGAACTGAAGATCGGGGGGAAACCCCTGATATGCAGCAGCAGAGGAAATGTCTATATCACAGAATCCCTGATTTGTATCTTAGGCAGATGCAATGGGAGTTCCTGCGAATGACACCAGTTTTGCCTTCCAGCCACAACAGAGGTGTCCGAATAAGTCGGCAAGTGGGATGTCGAGTGTACATCGCCCTCACGAAGCCTGCACTGCTCAGTACATGCAGAAGTCAAAGCTCTTACCAGTCAGTTTGGCCGGGAGGTTTGCATAACAAGAACCCTGTCACACTGGAACATTCATCCATATGTCACTTAACATCTCAGAGCAGGCAAATAATCTGAACATTAGACACTTTGCATCGTCTTGTCGATACCTGCTGTCACACGCTGTTTTGGGCCGAGTATCACGCCGAGACCAGCTTTGTGTCCCTGGCAGCTGATGTTTAAAGGACCGACTACGTGATGCCATGACTTGCTCAGCTCATAGAAGTGGCGACTCATCGTCTTCATGGGGGATGCTATGCTGATTCAGTGATTGGCGGCATGCCTTGAAGCCCATGTGTCCAGAGTGACCCTAGGTTGCGAATGCAATCTGCAGGAAACCGTCTGCCAGGAAAGTACGTGCGCAAGTGGCAAGTGTCTGGCCATGCCGTTCCTTCTGTTTGTCAATTGTGGAGATATTGGTCAGGAATGGCGCAGCAGATGTGCTAGGCCATGTCGCCTTTACCATGTGTACAGGAACTATGCATATGGCCTCCTTCGAACAGAACGACACCATCACATTTCCTGCGACTCGAGTTTCGAGTTTCGCTGGTTTTAGCCCTCAGTATCCATTGATACAGACAAGCAAGCTCTGTCTACGAAAACCAGCTCAAGTCCTATCCATAAAATGCAGTCTGGTTGTCGTCAGCTCCGTTCCACTCAAACTCAGTATATGAGAATTGAATGGATGATACTTGAGATTGTGACACTGTTCTCTGAGATCGAGGCATTAGCCGCTGACGCGATTGTCATGTTACGGATCCCTTCTCGAGTCATTCTCTGCTCGAACATGTGGACAGGGAGCCGTCCAAACTCCTGCCGATGGCCGACCACTATGAACGGCTGTATCGCTCCAAGGCTCTATTTACTGCCCCGCAAGTATCAATGATTCGTTGAGGCAAAACTGAGGTTTCTGTCAACTAATCCGAGCCTGCAAGCCACTTCGGGAGCGAGACCTCGGTTCTGCACCCCACGCACCATCATGACATCTTCCACGTGGGGTTCAATGGGAGCACGTGAAACAGGCTATTCAGCCACAAGAACCAGCGCGGCCGTACTTCGGGCTCTGTGTGGCTTCATCGTCCCGACTGCCCGTTTCCAATGACACCCTACCGGGGCGGCTGGGCGAGAGACGAGACGAGACTCCGCCTGTCACTCCGCCATCCTCTCCAGACACTGCGTGCGCATTGCATGCATGAAAAGTCAAAACACCTCAGAACCCTTGTCGCCTTTGCACATTATCGGGGCTAGCCGCAACGCAAGGGCTGGTGGCCAGCGGCACGAAGCCATTGATCGGACATGGGGGTTCTCCACAGCTGGCGATCCGGGTCCTTCCCCATGGGGATGTGCCGAGTCTCAAGAGTTGACCATTCCCCCGCGATCTCAGCTGCGAAATGCCGAGAATATGGCCGGCACGCCCTCTCAATTGACCAGCGGTCTGCTCAATCTGAAGCGATGGCCATCACCTGACCCGCACGAAATGGCCATCTACTCGAGACTTGGCAAAGTCATGGTGGAGCAACGGAAACATCTCCGCACAGCATTCTCGTCCAAAGTCGGGAAGGTCGACAATCTAGAGCCGGCCTCATGTCGGTGCTGATGATGGAGTCAAACAGGAAAATTTTTGCCTCTGACTCCTACGCTGCTCGGCATGCTGCAGACACCGGCCGCCGAGAATGAGGGGACCGCGAGGTTAAACAACAAGTATGGAACAGTCGCAAAACTGTACAAATATCAAGCTTCAGGCAGGCATCTTGTCAAATGCTCTCCTCTGACATCAGGAACTATCTCCAAGCTCTAGTCTACACTCTCCAATCACAATGATTTACACCAGCAGTGTCGCGCTCCTCGGCGTCGTCAGTCTCGCCAATGCACATGGCTATCTGACCATTCCCAAGAGCCGGGTCCGTCTTGGATTTGAGGTACGAAGCAGATCACTAGAAGCAACTTTGACAAGAGCAGAGCTGACAGATGTTCGTGATCAAGGCGGGCACCGACACATGCCCCGAATGCACCATTCAGGAACCAGTCTCGCCATGGCCAGATTTGGACGCGGCTCTCGTTGGCAGAAACGGCCCATGTGGGTACAATGCCCGCGTGAGCGTCGACTACAATCAACCTGGTAAGGCCTGGGGCAACGAGCCGGTGGCTACTTACCAAGCGGGTGACGTGATTGACGTGCAGTGGTGTGTCGACAACAACGGCGACCACGGAGGCATGTTTTCCTACCGCATCTGCCAGGACCAGGCTCTTGTGGACAAGTTCCTGACTCCCGGGTACCTGCCCACGGATGCCGAGAAGCAGGCGGCCGAGGACTGCTTCGAGAACGGTGTGCTCGACTGTACCGACGTGTCCGGTCAGACGTGTGGCTTCAACCCAGACTGCCAGCAGGGACAGCCTTGCTGGAGAAATGACTGGTTCACCTGCAATGCCTTCCAGGCCGATTCAAGACGAGGTTGCCAAGGTTAGTATCATGGGCTCTGTATAACACCATTTGGCCCTGGGGTTGCTGACTTAGAAATGTCTGTGGTAGGAGTTGACGGTGCTGCCCTTGGCTCATGCAAGACCACCATTGCTGGTGGCTACACGGTCACGAAGAAGATCAAGATTCCCAACTACGTCTCCAACCACACGCTGCTGTCCTTCCGGTGGAACAGCTTCCAGACGGCCCAGATCTATGTCAACTGCGCCGATATCCGCATCACAGCAGGGAGCGGCGGCTCACCCAGCCCACCCGCCGCCTCATCCTCGACAGCAGCCACAAGCGCAACTCCCACAATCAGCAAGTCAGCCACGACGGCCAGCCCGAGCTGCACACCCGTCTCGACCGTTTCCGTCACCTTTAACGATCTCGTGACGACCAGTGTCGGCCAGACCATCAAGATTGTCGGCTCGATCCCGCAGCTGGGCAACTGGGACCCGAGCGCGGCGCCCTCGCTGTCGGCGTCCCAGTACACGAACAGCAATCCAAAGTGGAGCGCGACAGTCAGTCTGCCAGCCGGGACCACGTTTCAGTACAAGTTTGTCAATGTCGCATCGAATGGCGCGGTGACGTGGGAGAGCGACCCGAATAGGTCGTATACCGTCCCCACAGGATGCAGCAGTACTGCAGTCGTGGATGCAAAGTGGAAGTAGAACGAGGCTCCCTGATTCTCGACCTTGTTTGTCGTATCTTGCCTGGTGGCCCGGATTTCTAAAGCAGTCGTCCCGGATGAGCTTTTGTGGTCAAGTAGTCGTTGCTGCAACAAGAAGTTGTTTATAGACAGCTTGCAGAAAACCGAGGACTTGTCCTGTACCTCTTAACGTCACCAAAGCTCGTGGACTAGTATGAAAAAGAGTGCCGAATCACGTCCTTCTCTATCTGCATCATGGCTGCCTGCATGATACAAAAGCGTCGTCACCTCGAGGGTAACGCCAGAGGTGTTCCTGGAATTGCGGATGCGGGATCCGATGACAACACTGTCGCTCTTGTCGAGATCCATCCCAGCACTAATCATAAGGCCCGATCCAAGGCCCGGCCAGTCTGGGTCCTTGGCACACTATTGCGCACGAGATGCATCATGTTGTTGGGTCGAGATGCAGCCTCGAGCACGAGGAGCGCAGAGAACCTTGACCGGCGGCGTCTATTTGTGCTGTCTACACGAATTGTTCTGAAAACTCGTCTCGTCTGTTTGTGGTCAAGGATTTCTGGGATGTACAGGCTGACGAATGGCCGTTTGCTGTGTACGTACACAGGGGTTCGTGCCTGCCGATCAAAGACCACCTGCAACAGTGCCGCTGCACCCAGTAATGGGGGACCTGAGGCAGCCAATTATGCGGCTTGGCTTGCAGAAGACAGGATGAGGACGGAAATCCTTGGGCTTTCGATCTCTTGCCTTCACGGTCATTATTCCAGTTGCTCCACCACGCATTTCATAACCATACGATGATGATTCGAAAACCGGGTGATCGGGAAGCCTCACAACATGCGATGATTTGGTTGGGGTGAAACGTAGCAGTTGCAGCAGCCGGTGGCTCCGGAAGACGACAATTTCTTGCGCGCACGACAACAATCACATGCCTGCTTGTTCCTGGCCGATGATTGCGAGGGCGACCACCCATGTCACTGCCTGGTGCATGGCGCGGGTGGAGACTTTCTCTTGGAGCCCATCGCGCACGCTGTGGTTTCCCGAACCGGCGGCCAGCGCTGGGCCAAGAGGTACCGACAGAGCAGTGGTGGTGTTCCACAGCAGTCTGCAACCAGAGAGCCCACACTAGTCTGAGCATGCAGCCATTCAGCCACTGTCGATTACACCACAGACTAGCCCAGCCCCTTGGGCCCGTAGCTGAGCAAGCCTAGACCTGTCAAGCTCAAGCTCAACCTTGGGAAGCTGGAGCAGCTGTGCCGCTAGCCTCGAACGGAGCTGGAGCTCGAGTTCAGGCTACCTAGCCCATGCGGAGTTCAAGGGGCTTCTTCCATGCCAGCATCCAGGGAGGATCCTCTGGGCACGTGGGGTCGTCTATCACGAAAGCTCCTCACAATGCAAAATCCAGTCTTCTGAAGAGACACACACGTCATTCAAATCAAGGCCATAACATCCCGGGGCCTGATTCCGCAGCTTCCGCCGTCAGTTGACTGTTGCTGAACCATATCTGTTTTCAGTACCTCCCGCTGCAAGAAGACTCCAGAGCTCGAGCTCCATCCGCCATCCCGGAGCCATGGACTCGGACGCCCTCGTGGCGTTCCTAAGAGACCTCACCGTCGGCAAGGTCCTGGCCGCTGGCAGTGCCGCCTACCTGGCTTTCCACCTCCTCAAGGCCCTCTACAACATCTCGCCGCTGCATCCTTTGAGCAAGATCCCTGGCCCGAAGCTCGCTGGTGCCACCTACCTGCCCGAGTTCTACTACGATGCCATCCTCGGTGGCCGCTACACCCATGCAATCAAGAGCATGCACGACAAATACGGTCCAATTGTCCGCATAAGCCCCGACGAGACGCACTGCATTGACCCAAAGTTCGCAGACGAGATCTTCCCTCTCGGAGGCAGGAAGAGGGACAAGCCCATTCACCAGACCAGAGGCAATGGGTAAGTTTCTCTTACCTCACTCAGTAGTATTGTTTTCTTGCCATGCTAACTCTGGCGTGATTAGTGCCGATGCCCAGAGTGTCTTCACAACTTTTGACCATGACTTGCACCGCATCCGCCGTGTGCCTATTGCAAAGTTCTTCTCCAATGCAATGATCGAGCGGCTGGAGGGTGAAATCGTGGAGAATGTGAACAAGCTCACGTCCAAGATGCTGGCCGAAGCCGGCCGAGGCCCGTTTGACGTTGCCATGGCTTACAGCTGCTTTACTGCAGACACCATCTCCAGCTATTGTTTTGGCGAGCCTTTTGGTCTCCTTGATCAAGAAGGCTGGACACCCAACTTTCGCGAGGCGACACTGGCTGTACTCAAGCCTGTGTTCTGGTTCCGCTTCTTCCCGTCGCTTTCCAGGCTCGCTATGCTAGGTGAACAGTAAGTGATTCAGTTCCTGGTAGCCGACTTGACGAGGCACAAGGCCATTTTCTCACCATGTCTCGCAGCTTTGTCGACTACTTGCCTGCCGAGCCTGCTCTTCTTGTCCGTACCATGACCATTACCATTCCAGGCTACGTCCACAAGGCACGCAGGGAACTCAATGCTGGTATCCAGTACGACAGACCAACCATCTTTGCCGATTTGCTGCGGTCAGACCTCGAGGACAGCGAAAAGACGACGAAGATGCTTACAGACAACGCAATGGCCATTGTCGGTGCCGGCACAGAAACGACAAGCTGGGCTTTGGCAGTCATCACCTATCACCTGCTGACCAAGCCGGATCTGATGGCAAGACTACACAAAGAGGTCGACGGCCTCGTCAAGGACCCGCTCAAGCTGCCAGACTGGAAGACCCTTGAGGAGCTTCCGTTCTTCACGGCAGTCATCCAGGAAGGTCTGCGCTTGTCATATGGGGTGTCCGCACGGACAGCGAGAGAACCGAGCCAGGAAGATCTGGTGTACCGCGGAGAGTTCAACAATAAGCCTGTTGTCCATGTCCTGCCACGACACTACGCGATCGGCATGTCCTCGGTACTTTCACACCACGACGAGAATATCTTCCCAGACTCTTACAGCTTCAGCCCGGATCGCTGGCTGCTGGAAAACGGCCAGCGCAACAGAGAGCTTGAGAAGGGCAATTTTGCGTTTGCTAAGGGGAGCAGAGGCTGTCTCGGCAAGAAGTAAGTGAAACTTTACCAGGCGTCCTTTGAACCGAGACGTAAACCCTGGTTGATCTCGTGTATGTGCTCTGGGACTGACTTGTGGTTGTCTTGTAGCCTTGCTCTTTGTGAGCTGAATCTGGTCCTGGCCGCCCTAACCCTGCGTGTGTTCCCTCGCATGAAGCTCTATCAAACCACAGAGCGCGACGTGCTGTACGACCACGACATGTTCATCCCGGTTGTCGCACCTGGCTCCAAGGGTGTACGCGTCACAATCGAGTAGAGCAGGTGTCGGGATGTTTCACGACTCCTAGTAGCGACGAACTCTGCGCCTCGCCTTTCGACGAGAATTGATATTGGTTGATGTGCGTTCACGCGCGAGCGACGACTCAAAAATGTGCTCGCACGAAAAGTTTCGACAGCCAGAGATTACCATCGGCCACTTTTTGTAATGACAGAAGTAATGAAACGATCTCCCAACTTAGGTTCTACAGGTCTTGCCGGAACAAGTCGATATCTACGTGTGTATGAGGTATACCATGTGCATGCAAAAGGTGCCAATGAGCTGCCGAAGCCGTAGACACTACAACCCCGGTAACATACCGCCGTGAGTAAAGTGTGTTCCGCCCTGAGCTTGAATTCATCGTCCCGGAATCCTCGGAGCCATTCACCAAGAGACCACACGAACACTCCGAGGCGCGTCATCACGTCTAAAGAGCACTAAAATTCTCGCCCACGATAATCACAAATGAATCTGGTTCACGAGATCCCCTTCCCCATCCCCCCAGAGCTCAACTTTAGCTAAGTGTAGCCTTGTTCCTTGCCAACTGGTTTTGCTCCGTGCTGGAATCGCTGTCCCACCTTTACTCCTTCAAGGCTGAACCTAGTCATTGGTCCTTGTGAAGAAGGGGGAGGGGTGGTGGAGGTGGTCTCGATGGTCCGTGTTCGTGTCCGATCCCCCGGGGACGGAGGCGGATACAAAAGGACCACCGTCAGGTAGCTCGTGGTGGGGAGTTTGCCAGGCAAGTGACTCGCTCCGCCCACCCGCCCACTCACTCACCTACGCGTACATGGAACAGGGCTCTAATTAAAGAGAAACCCCCACGAAAGCCCGGCGGCGCGCCTGCAAGGTCCGCGCTTCAACGAGTCGTTGATACCCGGCTATTAAACTGGCTGTTAACTATTAAAGAATAAAAACCACTCAGACTGCGGGGCCGAGCTGATTCGAGACCTTTTTCAAAGGCGGACCAGAAGCACTCTAGACCGCGGCGGACGACTTTGCTGGGTCCTCCCAACGGAGGAGGAGGAGGAGCAGTGGTTACGAGTACGAGGCATGGGGGCAATGGTGATCGCTCACTTAGTCCGTCCGCGCGCACATTACCGCGAACGAACAAACGAAGGAACCCCGAGCAGCCGTTTCTGATATACCGAGAGACTAATCAAGGGGCCCGAGGGCCAGCACGGGGGTGGTGGGTGGTGGGTGGTCGGTTACCAGGCCAGGCTTGGGATTGAACAAGGGCCTAACGCGCGTGTCAGGCATGATCGCGGCATGGGCAAGCAAGTGCAGCCGGACCGGCATGCTCCTCTCTCCCTTGCCCACACAATCCTTCGACAGAGGACTTTATGCTTTTTGAGCTACATGGCGATCTGCATTGCAGAGACGGCACGGAAGGGGCACGCGATCCTGGCCTGGTTCTGGCGGTCCGCATCCTAGGTAAGTGCATACATGTCCGCAATGGCTCGTGTGCAGCTGCTCGCGTAGCTCAGCCTGGGTAGGTGCTCGCGTAGCGGCGGCCTTTGAGACCTGAATAGTCCGCCATCTCGCCCACCCTGGTCCCAGTAGCGTGGGATCCGCGTTTCTATACATGATTGTTCGCGACCACTTTCCTGCTCGATAGACTGCGTCCGGGCGCTATCTTGTTCCCTGGCCACTAGTGAGCCTCGGCCATGTATGTACGGGAGTTCCGATTGGTTCTTGTTTGGGACTTTGGGGTTCCGTCGGCTCTGGGTGAAGCTTCAAGTTGCCTAGGCCGTCTAGTCGTTTTATATGTGTGGTGCGTCTATGTGCGTGTGTGTGTGGGCGGACGAGGGACCGCACATTGCCGACGGCTTGTTGATCTTTGCAGCTCAAGGTGTATTTGTGCAGAGTACCATAAGCGCAGTGGCTACTGATATATTGGCACGAGCGGCTTCAAAAAGTAATGGCTTTCTTTTGTTCATTGACGGCACAGCAGCGCGCAGCCAGGATGGCCAGTGCCGGGCTAGTCGACAAGAATGTCACTTCTGTGCTGTTCCTAAAAAGAAAACACCTGTGGCTGGGCCGCTACTGCCAGTTCTAACCGTCAGGCGTCTGGAGGAGAAAATAGGGGTCTTAGCTTTTGACATTCTAGTGTCATTAGCTTGGTGGCTAGAGTTAGCTGCAGCGGAAAGGATCTTGAGTGCATGAGTCCGGTCCTCCGGCTGTTCTAGCTGTCCAAGGCCCAGAACGCTGGCTTTTTCACTCTGTTTATGGCTGTGTGCCGTGTTTGAGGCAATGGAAGCAGAGCATGAATCGCGCAGGTTAGATGGCCAACCGAGATCGTTGAGTGACTCCAGAGAGGCGACTGTCAAGTAGCCACACAGCGCCACAGGTCAGCTACTACTGCTTGGCTGGAAAGACCCTCATAGCGGGCAATGCCATGCGCACTCGCAGAGAGGTAATAGACAAGCACAAGCTCTTATGATAATTCTCGTTTGTCATAGGACGAAGCAGGCAGGCTAGTCGCAGCAGTGCTGGCAACGAGAAAGACAGGATGGGCAAGAGAGATTGTTGCAAGGATGTACGCTACCAGGGTTGCCATCCCAGAACGATTCCGGTGGCAATCAAGCTCAACATGAACTTGGTGACAGCTTGGACCGTGCAATTGGATGCTGCGGCTGGCCAATGACTCGCTCGTGCATGGTGTGTGTGTGTCTATCGTTCTACCCGAGCAGGAAATCGCACCGTTTTGAAGAACAGAAGCAATGCGCGGCTCATCGCGTGGCACCGGACGGGACCTTCCGAAGCTAGGAGCAGGTCGGGTAGCATTACTGCTCCAGGCAATCCGGAGAGCAGGGACGAAGCAAATGAATGTCAGAATCCGAAGAAGACTGTTGGGCAAGGGGTTTCAGGGGGGCTCAAGAGGTGTGGCGGCCACGAGGCCAAAGACCTATTTGTGTCGCGGCGCACACACTGCCATCGATTTGAAGGGGGTCATACGTCCGTCTAAGCGGCTGTGCTTCTAGTGCAGTCTATGCATTCTTTTGCTTCGCTGGAGTCAGCGGGAGCTTCACCAACCGGGACCTTAGTTGACAAGGTCACAACCCTGACGCTGTCCAGACCAAAGGCGACTGGGCCGTTGCATGTCAACCTTGATATGCGATGACCCTGCCTGCGAGACTGTCGTGCGTCCTGAAACGCCTGATGGTCGAACCACAAAAACGTCGATCTCACTCTGAGCATGCGCCAATTCAACCAGTCCTCACTTGGCTGAGCACGTTGGTTCAAGAGTGCTGTCGACGTTGGTCGGTTTCGGTCATTGCTGGAGTGACCACCCTTGTGACTTTCCAACAGGCCCCGGTCTCGCCAGTAGAGCCAACCCCAAGCCACTGCGCTGGCAGGGTCAATCCCGGCAAGTGGCAAGATCCGTTCGTGGAGCCATGCCAGAGAATTCTCTGGCCCCAGGGCCCCTGCTCCTGACGAGGATTACAGAGTCCTACCGTACCACCAGAAGCAGGGCCCATAATGAATGATCAGCAGAAGATCTGGGGGTAGCATTGAGCACATTCAGCGAGCTGGAGCAATCTCGCCAAAGAACGCGAGATACATAAGATGGTGCAACGCTTCCGTGGGGGAAATAGGAGGCCATCGTGCCTGTCGGCCGAGAGCAGCGGGTCGGCGGTCGAGTCAAAACTTCTGGCCGCAGCCAACAAAGGCCGGCGTTACAGAAGAATGGGGCCTGGCCAACTAGCTTCAATCTCCTCTCGACTAACGGCGCCAGCAGCGGCTGCACCTTGTTGGCACTAGGACCATACCTGCCATCCAAGATCGCTGTAAAGACTGCCTAAATGACTTTGTGTCAAATCTGCAGCATATCCTGAACCCGGGCATCGGCCGGTGTAGGAAATATGACGTTGTCAACATCGCAGGTGGTGTGAGGTGACCAGGTTGGCATGGAGCAAGCCCAGGATGCAGACAGTTTGCGTAGTAGAGTTGCGGAGACAACCTTGGAAGCTCGGGATCCAGTCCGCGAAGCCGGGAGCCTTGACAGCCTGACACATGGGATGGAGCGGCAGGTGAAGTATGTAAACTCCATAGCTCTTGATGCTAGCGAACCTCAAAGACAAGTTACTGCATAGAGCACAGCCCCATCTAGCTAAGATGGACCCAAGTCTCGCAGGTGCGACCCTTTTCTGCACATTGCCTGATCTCGACATCAAAGCTGGGTGCAGTGCTTAAACCAGCGAGCATCCCCAGCCGCCACTGCAGCAAATCCTGGACCGAGAGCTGTGCGGGTGTCGCTTTCCGCGGCAGGTACCGGCTGCCACTGTATGGACGGGGCCGGTCAATGCAACTGTGCTGACCACTTCTGGTGTGCAAGATCCACTCATCGTCGCCGACCAGGTGTCTCCAACCAGGGTCCCCGGGCGATGGGGGCGATGTGGATTGCCCAGGCCAGGGCCGAGCAGCATGTTTCCAGACTCACAAGACCCCGCTGCTGGTGCTGAAAGACAGGCGTCTGCTCCCACGCAGATGCTGCCCGAATACCATGCCACAGGCGCGGGCTCTCCTCGAATCCCGGACCTCCGTCAGCCGAATAGAACAACAGGACACAGAGGGCACGGCTGTCTTTCCAGATCGTGGCATCCTTGTTCAACCCCTGCGTAGCTCCTCTTGGTTGCTTGCCTCAAATGTAATAATGGTAGCCCTCCCCGGATCCAGTCAAGACGAATATCGTCTCTCCCACATCGTCTCGCCGTTCCCGCCAATACCACGGTCGAAGTCCGGCCACACAGGTCGTGAGCTCCCTTTCAACAGAGCCATCGCCGTGCGAGGGCAGGTTTCAGTATGCCGACCTGGAATCCCGAGGTCGATCCGGACAATCGGGTCATATTCCCGCCGCAGGGACTTCCTCTCGCCGTAATCGTCAATGTCGCCATCTTCGTGGTCATCTCGACAGCTGCAATAGCAGTCCGGGTGTTTGTCCGCGCGAAGGACAAGGTTTTTGGCTGGGATGATGGGATCATGGTTCTTGGTGGTGTGAGTTGTAAAGCACTGGCTTGTTGGAAGGTCAAGGCTGACAGATCCTTTGTTGCAGGTCGGCTTCATTGGCGCTTCGATACTAGCCATCTGGGCTGAACTTGTGGGCATCGGCACGTTCGACATCTATCTCAACCAGTGGCAATGGGAGCAAGCCAAGAAGGTCGATGTAGCGTGGCTGCTCGTGTACTGTGTCCCGATGACACTCGTGAAAGCCTCGATCTGCCTAACGCTTCGCCGAGTGGTCGGGACCAAGCGGAACCTGCGAGTTACCATCACAGTGCTCCTGGGCGTTCTCTCAGTCTCCTTTTTCGCGGCTGTATTCGGTACAGTCTTTCAGTGCCGACCGTTTGAAGCCCACTGGAATCTGGAACTCGTGGAAACTGGAGAAGGCAAATGCGCTGCGGAGGCTGTATTCGTCGTTCTGGGCTTCATTGCAAGCTTTGCCACGATTGGAGTCGACGCCGCACTCGTCGTGATTCCAGCCATGGTTTTGTGGAAGACGAACATGCACCGCAGTGCGAAGCTGCAGGTCTTTGGCATGCTATCAGTGGGCTCAACGTAAGTCTCGTTTGGCGTGTCCGCCAAAGCCCTTCGCGTGTTCCACTTGCGCTAATGGCATTCTAATAGGGCCTCTATCATAACCATCATTCGAATTCCCTATGTGAAACGGTACAACCAGCCGAACGACTCACACTGTAAGTCGAAGAAGAGCGTGGCAGCGCCTGATCGCAGACGGTCAAGCTAACTATAGTTCTCCCTTGTAATAGACTACATGGCCATTGTAGTACTGTGTAGCCACATAGAGATCGGGGTCGGCGTACTCGCATCATCGTTTCCATCGATACGGCGGTTGTATCTGACATTGCGGAACGAAGGGTCCTACGCATCTGGTGCCAACGAGGCGTCGGCCAAGAGCGGCCCAGATGATGGACTGGTGACATTTGGCGGAAGCAATAAGCCCAAAAGCAGGAGTCGAAAAGGAGCTGGTGTCTCGCACGAGCGCTTCCGGAACCCAACAGACCTGGGCATAAGCTTGACGACAGTACAGGGGCGGCAGAACAGTAACTGGACTCGCTTGCAGGACGGAGATTCCGACAAGGAGACTATTCTGCCAAAGGATCAGGGCATCAGGGCCGAATATACGTTTTCCGTTGAGGTAGACGCAACAACCGATACGGACGCCAGTAGTTCGCGGCCACGGGCGGCAACTTAGAAACAAAAATTGATTATGGGCGATGCACGATAGATTGAAGCCGACATGATATCCGGGTACTGTTTGCTTATTCGTCGTGGCTGGCAGCGTATACGGAGGACCTGGGCTGGGGTACTTGAAGTGCGGGTCTTGCGAGCGATTGTGGAAGACTACAAAATCGTGGTTGGAGACACCTCGATCATCATATCCGCAAATACTTTGAATCACGGTGTGATCTCATCGCTAGCCTGCTGTGGCCGTGTTGGTTCCCAGGCCAAAACGCAGACGAAGTGCAACACTGAGATTTCGGCTTTGGAGCTCTCCACATGGCCCAGGTTGAAGAATGGGTAGCTGGCGCGATTGCAACAAGGCTTGCGGGTCGATCCAGCACTGGCACATGCGAATGGAGTCGGGCTTTTTCAAAGATCGAGCGGTTGCCGCACTTCATGAGATTTCGGGTGCTTCGTCCATGGGTGGTGTCTGTGGACCGTTTGCGGCGACAGCTGGGGCAGGCACGGACGCCACAGCTCAAAGGCCCGCCCGCCCCATGAACTTCAGCCACGGCAAGTGGGGTGTGGCAGAAAGCTCCATCTGCTCAAGCTCTGCCCGAGGCCACATAAATTCCAATCGCGGACCTCGACACGCTTACCAAACTTTTCTCTCTCCTTCGACAGCCCGCGCAATCAGGCCAGCTTGGCCTCACCAGGATATGAGCACTGCTGCAGCCGGCCTCCAGCCCTGCCACACCTGAGCGCCTTTTCGCACCCGCCCTGATCTCTCATTCTTGAGCAGTCTCTCGACGGCACGCGCGCGATTGCACACTCTCGAACTTGACCTGCTGGACTCTCCGTCGCCACATGCTCGACTGAGCAGTCTTCGCCAACATGTCTGACCTTGTCGCGTACTACATGTCCGCGCCGCCGGTTGCAAGGTTCGTCTCCTCCGCTCCCTCCTTCCAACACCTCCAAGCAGCTCGCTAACTCCGGCACACTTCCAGGACAATCGCAACGGCTGTGTTCGTTAGCTCCGTAGGCATCTACACCGGCCTGCTTCCCAGCTACCACTTCTTCTTCCACCCGTCGCTCTTCTTTAAGCTTCTTCCGGAAGTCCACCGCGTCGTAACATCCTTCCTCCTCACGGGTCCGCAGATGGCTGTCCTGTTCGACACATACTTTGTTTTCAAATACCTGAGCCAGCTGGAAACTGGATCGAGGTTCTCCAGAAAGGAGGACATGATCTGGTACCTCATGGTCGTGGGAAGCGTAATCATTGTAGGTCAAGCCTCCTCCGTGACTGCCCGCTTCCTCGTGACTCGACTTGGTCCGCCCCTTCCTTTTCCTTCGTCTGCACTGCACCCTACACCTCAGATTATCTGCCCGCATAGTGAAGCTGCTCAACAGCTATGTGGTTCCTGGAACTGAGGAAGATCGCCCCTGCATCCTGCCTGGTCCGTCATTCGCAAAATTATAAAGGGCCAGTGTGGTATGTGGGCATGGTGGGATTTCTATTTGGATGACTCGGGTGATGTCTTCGGACGATTTGCCTGGGTGGTATTTAGAGCCCTACATATCTTTGCTTCTTCGCACGTGTCTTCCTGTGCTGGCATGGCAGTATTCCACCTGCTAACCAGGGATCACAGTTCTTGAACACCGTCTTGACGGGCGCCATGGTGTACTTGCAGGCGCTTCTCATCGCCTTGTGCTATACCGCGAACTCGGATCTGCGAGGCGCCACCGCGCACTTCTACATCATCACGATTCCCGCCCAGATGATGCCATATTGTCTCTTGCTGGTGCAACTATTGTTCCCCAACGGCTTCGAGAACCTCAAGGTCGGGCTGACTGGTCTCGTTGCTGCTCATCTACATGACTTTTTGACTCGCATCTATCCGGAGTTTGGCAACGGGCCAAACCTGATTCCGACTCCGGCCTTCATGTCTTACATAATGAGCACGCCGAGAATCGAGAATACGGGCTTTGGTACTGCGTTCAGACCCAAGTCCAACGCGGCGGGTAGTGGCAGTGGTCCTCTGCCAGACTCGTGGAGAAGCAAGGGGCCCGGACGCCGGCTCGGATGAACTAGGGCCCAGAGCCAAATAATACAAGCGAATTCTTACATGCCACAATAATATTATGCATGGTGCCGACAACTTGGCTTTAACTTGGTGAACTGGTGCATGGTTATCCCCGACGTAGGTTTTGCACCGATTGAAGCAGCGTTCGCATCATTCCGATGCATGCGTACCTTACTTGATACCTGGCTGTCCGGCGTTTGGGCAATTAGGCAAGTTTGTTGTCACTCTGTGTTCGGAAAGCCAACAATGTGAATTGATGCCGTTTGGATTATGTACTAGATATAAAACTATGATGCGCTCGCTTTGAACCGTGTCTCGTGATAATGTGTCATAAGATATGCTTGCTACTCCATGCTAAAACCCTCTCTCCTTATCAATTAATCCTCCTCTTCAGGAAGTCACTCATCCCCAGACGACGGGGACTTCTAATACACCACCAAGATGCATGTATGTAAAGGTCAGAGAGTATCTGCAAGGCCCAGGATCTCCCGGGTCCCATTGCCGGAGTCGGCTACCCTGTTTAGAGAGCAGCAAAGATGGCGGCGCCGGCGGCGAGGACCTGAGCGCCGAGGATGGCGGTGGGCATGGCAGCAGCGCCGGTGGGGACGGAGGGAGCAGCAGTGCCGGAGCTGGTTGTGGACGACTGTGTCTCGGCGGGACCGCTGGAGCTCTCGGTCTCGCTGCCGGAGACGGAGGCGGAGGCAGAAGCCGAAGACTCGCTCGGGCCGGGAGTCTGGGAGGCGGACCCGCTGCCGGAGACGGAGGTGGTCAAGCTCATAGAGTTGGTGACGGTGGGGAAGACGGACTGGGTGATCGAGTTGAGGTACGACTCGAAGCCAGACGAGGCGGAGCCGATGGCACCGGCGGCGGAGGATGAGATGCCGCCGACGACTCCCTCGTAGGAAGAGGAGGCCTCGCCGATGGCGGACTCGACGGAGGACGAGATGGCGCCGACGACACCCTCGGCAGTGGATGCAGCACCGCCAATGTAAGAAGTGGCCTGGCCAATGGCGCCGGTGAGGGTGGCATAGACCTCGCTCATCTCGCTGACGATGCTGCCCTGGACGTTGGCGGCCTCGGAGGAGATGGAGGCGTAGGCGGCGCTGGCAGCGGGGCCGACAGCAGTGACGGCGCTCTGCTGCTCGGCGATCCAGCTCTGCAGGCTGGTGTACTGGGCCTGGAATCCGGAGGCCGCAGCGGCGATCTCGGAGGCAAGCGAGTTGACGGGGTCCTCAGCCTGGGCCTGTTGTGGAGGAAGAGTGGTGTTAGCTGCCGGGTTTGGAAAGACCTATCAAAAGGGACAACTCCGTCCTGGAGGGCTGAGAGAGTTGAGGTTGTTGAGGTAATACTTACAGCGACCATGGTGGCAAGAAGGGGAGTAGAGAACTTCATGTTGGCGGTATTGATTGTCTGAAGACTGGAAGACTGTCTGGAGAGATGGTTGAGCTGGTCCGGCTTCGAGGATCGTCGTTGATGGGAGAGTTGTCACTGATGGTGATGGTGAGAAGAATTTCGTGGGACAGAGAGGGCTGATTCCTGAGAGCTATATACCCTCCAGGCCACACCTCGTGAAGACATCGTCGATGCAGACAGCTACGCCGCCCAAGCCTGTTGTTCATACGGCGGGCCTGGCCTCCAAGGGCAAAAGTCCCGGTTGGCGATGCGGTCTAGAGCTTGAAGCAGATTGTGCACGTCATAGTGTGGGACGACTGCTGGGCAGCCGCGAACCCCCTGCTGTTGTCCCGTTGCTGTTGACATCGCGGGCGGTCTTGTAATTAGGTTTGACAAGCTTTGCTGGTCTAGAAGCCTGCAAGTTTGACACGATGACCGAGGAGTGAGGTTGGGGAACTTGGCAAAGTGCCGTGGGAAGAAGTTGGCAGCCAATCACGACTCAAGTTTCCATCCGGGGGTTACACCAAGTACAGTATACTCGCTGTAAGGGGCCGCCTCCCCCCAAGAAGTGGGCACTAAAAACCTTGGAAACTGCCCTGCAACGCCAGCAGCACCCGTGCCTGGCTGGGCCATGCCAGCAAATCTTGGATGCGACCATACCAGGCCCCGGCTACGCGGCATTTCCCCATTTTCCTCCAAATTGTGTGACTTCACCATGGCAGGGATCTGGATGGACAAAAACTCGATGCCCGGAGCATTTGTGGTCATGCCCACCACCTCCCCCAGATCCCCCAGCGGAGCCTCACGGCGCACATACGCCACACCTTGGCGATGCAGCGTCATCCAAGGACCTGATCAGGCAGCAGATCGTGGCACAGGCACGGCTGCTCGGCATGAGATGAGCTGTGCTACACCACGCAAGCCACCGGCCATCAGTCCCGAGCTGCTTGTGCTCGGTTGCTTGCCGTCTTGGCGGTGACAATCATGGCAGAAACCCCGGCCAGCGGGCTTCATCCCCACATCCAGGCCGGGTCCGTGGGAGGCCTGGTGGAGAGAAGACGACTGCCCACAGGCCTACGTCATCATGAGCCGACCCATGATGAAAACACCCATGCAAGGTACAAACGGCAGTGCTTCACGATCGTGAATTACAAGCCGCTGAGGCTCGAGCGTGGTGCCTCTTATTTGCGCAGTGCTGCAGTTCGACAGGTCAAAGGAGCCGACCTTCCCGATCCACTTTGTAAATGGCCAGGCGGGAAGAATCCACAGCCATTATTCAAAACAGAACAATACATGCAAGTCTCTTGATGCCAACAGGTGAATCCTGTTCAGATATCATCACGAAAAAGCCGAAGTTTATGTTTAAGAAGTCCCGTTTGTCGTGCCCGTCCGCGCAGGTCAGGAGGCTACTGGCATTCCCACTCTTTTGGTGTAGCCAGCTTAAAGAAGAGCACAAGTGTGAAGCCCTGGGATTGTCAGACGGCAAAACTTTGGACAAGATCATGATGATGTGCTCTGCAGACGGGTCAGCCCGGATCATGCCATCTAGCAGCGCGTGGTTGATGAAACAAATTGCCGATGAGACATAACAGCAACTCTGCAGTGCAGGGCAGTGGCATAAGCCTCATTATGAAACACGGTAACCAGCATAAAACGGGCACATATCGCTGTACAAGACCAGATTGTGGGAACCAGATTCAATCAAGTTCATCGCTGGGGTGGCTGGTGTTTGGCTGGTGTTAGCGATGTTCCAGGGAAGAAGTGGCTGCTGCTTCCATTAGTCCCGACTGGGTGGCTGGCATGCTTCACTCCGCCGTCCGACATGGGTGGGCCAAGCCCAACGTCCCATTGTCTTGGCCCAGCCACAGATATACGTGCCTTCGTAAAGGTGCTCTGCTTCTGCACCAAAGGAGGCCCAAGGGTTGGCAGCCATGGCTGCACATCATTGATGGAAGGAGAACAAAAACAAAAACATCAATTCTGATTGTGCAGAGAGAACAGTTATCGCTCAAAACTATCACAGGTACATGCATCCACGAAGAGAACAACCTTGAAAGACAATGCAGCCGGCCCATATTTTCTCCAACATTCCAACCAATATATTCGAGAGCATTAACTTGGAGAATCGCGAACGCTTGTTTACTGCCTACGATGCCCGCTCAACAGGCGTGGCTTCTTCCACCGTGATTGACGGCGGCACGTAGGTCTTTGGCACTCGTATCCTCGGCACCAAGGGCACCGCGAGGTCTGGTGCTTTGGAGCCCGGCGGGGGCGGCGGGATCCCATGTGGCAGCATGCTGGTCTGTTGTGTCCGGGTAGCAGCGGAGGTCGAGCCCGTCTGCTGTGTGGTTGCTATTATCTTTGCGATGGCCGGGTTCGATGGGTTCACTGCCGAACCCGTGGGTGCGGAAGGTGCTGGGCGCTTGCTGCCCATGGAGGCGCGGTATGGATTGTGGCTAGGAGATGGCCACCGCGAAGGGTGCTCACGGCTGTCTTGTTGTTGTTGTTGTTGTTGTTGCTGCTGCGGCTCTTGTCGAGTACTCTGTGTGTTCGCGTTGCTGGTGGCTGATGCTTCCTCGGACATTGGACGCCACGATGACGTTGTCAACCCATGAAGGTATGAAGTTTCCATGGGATCAGCCGCCTGATGTGACGTGGTCGAGTCTTGTCTGTTGCCAGATAACAGAGCCATGGCAGGGTCCGCGAGCGAGTTTTGTCGGCTGTGTGCTTGTGGTACATATGTTGGAAGCGCGGGTGGCTGTTGGTGGCTGACCGCCGGGAGGGCCGTTTGTGAACTCATGGAGCTGGTGTAGCCGTGTATCCTCGACATCGCAGGCATCGGCTTGATTTTGATCTTTCCGAGCTGCATCTCCTTTTCCAGCTCGCTGGGGTAATGACTGGTTCTGCTGTTTGTCCGGCTATGAGAGTTGATATGCTGTCGCTTCGACGATAGCTCGTATTCGCTCAGGTTCCCGACGGAATAGGTGGCGTAAACATTTGAGCCGATCGACTTTGGATCCGGTGTTGATGTTGACGATCTTCCACTACCTCCATGGCCAGGCAAGAGCAGTGGCTGTGGCGAAGTTGACTTTCGGCCGCGGTTGGCCTGGTCTTGGAAGTCAAATTCGGTGAAGTGATTCATGTTATAGAGTCGTTTCTGCTTGCGATGGTAGACGAAAAAGAGGCCGATGCCGCCGAAGAGGAGAAGTGCACCACCAATCGCAATCCCCACAATGGCGCCAGTAGTCATTGCCGTTGCGTTGCCGGGCGTTCCAGTAAGTGCAGTTTCTGTCGGCGGATCCGTGATTTCCACGGCGGATGAGGAAAAGACGCTTTGGCTTAAGCCGAGCAAAGCGCCATCATGAGGTCGTTGTTCACAACCTGCTTTCAATGCAACCAGGACTGAAGAAATGTTAGAGATTGAGACGGGCATCACATCTTTGGAGCCACTTACAGTTCGACAAGTATGAAGTGGTGTCGGTATTGCCGTAACATTGTGTACAAGCATCCATTTTGTTGCCGGAGAAGCTGCCGCCATCGGCGTCACAGTACTCATAGATGTCCCGGGTCGGGTCCATGTTCCCCACGAGCAATGCAGTCTTGAGAGACTTGCATGCCTGACCGACATCGCATGGTGACGAGACTCGCTTTGACTCATTTTTGAAGCCAAACATGCAGACATCTATCGCGAAGCGGGCGTTATCTGGATAACGGTCAGTCACGATCGCCCTCACCTCCGAAATTTGATTATAGGAACTCACAGATGAACCACGAGCTATCGCTCTCTCCCAGACTCGTTGAGTTGCTGGTCTGCAGACATTGCATGCAGTTTTGATACTTAATTCCGGCAGTCTGTGTCGAGAACTCATCGTTGAGGCAGACAAGTTCAGACGTTTCCGTGGTGGATGAGTTGGGATCTTGACTGTCAGACTCCGGGTTGTTGAGACAAACTGCTGCACAGGGAGAGCCTGGGGTGACTTGAAGAGCTCGCGTGTGACCTGAAAGCATGCAAAGGCATACCAGTACGCCTATGAAGCTCAGCATCGTGGACGAAGAGGAGGTTTCCAGCCGCCAAAGCAGACGAAACACAAGTCGCGAGTGCGTAAAACGAAGGCCCGCTATCGTAGCAAACACGACATTGCTGATTGAAGTTGAAAGAATTCTAGGGAATATCTCGAACAAAGCCAGGGGCAACAAGGTGAGAAGTGTCCGCGAGCAGATGGACTAGCCTGGAGTAGTGTTTGACGAGACAAGGTATGACCTGCCACACCACAGGCCGGCGGCTCGTGAGTCTTGACGACAAGGCAGAAACCTACAATACCCGCTGGCTCTTACACGAATCGGTCCTCGAGGCCGGCCCTCATCTAAGGATGGGGGGAACACACCCGGCTCACCACGCGGCAAAACAGGTCGATCTCGGTCCTGGGCAAATCTCCAAGAATAGACACAGCCACAACCACCCTAGAGACAGAAACGCCCATGTCCCTCTTTCAGCACTGGACATTGAGAAAAAGTCGCGCCATACATGCCTGCCGGCGGAAGGCAACCTGGCTTCCGAGTACCCTGAGTGGTGGGAGTCGAGGTGTGGGGAGCGGCTTGAGCCGACTTGGTTGGCTGTTGCGGAGGGGCTCCACACACACCGGGCGCTTAGAAGCCATCAACCACTTACAGGCCCTTGTGCACGCGCGCAAGGGCATCGCGGTTGCCTCTTCCAATTAGTACAGAGGCAGGGGCAGCCAATCATGAGTCCCCGACGTGGTTCTGAGGCGGCCAGGCCGGCCCAAGACGCGGCCTCTTCCAACAGCAACAATCCTGGTTTGAGTAGTCGCTTGTGTCTCCTCACCCATGCAACGTCGAGTTGGTTAGCAGCGTGGGCTTGTCCAACCCCGCGTGCCATTTGTCGGTCCTTGCAAGATAGCTGATCGTTCTGGCAAGCTTGGCCCCCGCCCTCAAGTCTGAGTGAGGCCGGACTTGGGAATAATGATTACACGAGCCAAGGCTCTCCCTCACTGGTACGCTGAATTCTTGCGTCCTCTCATTAGATTCCTTGCTTGTTCCCACACATATTCGACATGCCCCAGCTCAAAGAGATAACGAATTGACCACACCAGGAGGTGCATGAAGAGTCAAGCCTGTTAAGCTGTACACCTGGTGGAATGCACATTTCCAAAGCTGTTCCGCCAACGCTGCGGGCACGAGCACGGCGCGGTTGTTGTACTCGATGGTGTAGTACAGCCGGCCCTTCATCGGATAGGTTGTGATTCTTGCCGGTCTCATAAGCCTTTGAGAGCTGTGCGAGAGTAGGGCATGCACACGTCTTTGTTAACAAGGTGTGTGGGGTACGGCGAGTTGGCGGTGACTTGCTGGGGAGGCATGATCGATGAGGTGGCGAGGCTAATCATGAGTGCCGTGTGTGCCTTCATCGAGCTTAGACCGTGCCGGTTGGAGTGTCAGATGCCGGCGGCAAGTCGGCTCGGCGTGTTCTCCTCCCGATTTCAGACCTATTGGCTGTAACAAGCTAGGAAATGAAACAGAGCTGCCAATACGCATTCTTTTGGGTCTCTGGAATAGGTCCTTCCGGTAAGAGTTGCACCCAAAAATAGCATCTTCAACACGACATGACGAAACAGATCAAGAAACATGTGTTTGCAACTTTTCAGGATATAGGGTACCCGCATACTCGTTTCAAATTATGTTGTAAATGCCAAATATAGTCCCCGCCCAATGCTATATAATAAAGTGATTCGATGTTGCGCCCGCCCTTGATGTAAAAAAAAGTGGAAGGTGCCCGACCTTTTGTCACTCAGCCGTATATCCTCTCCGACATCCCCGAAGCAGGCGTCTCGAGGTCCTCGAACTGTGTCTCGCGCCTCGACCTGTCCGGCAGTCTCGCCTTGCTGTACGGGTTCGAGAAGTTCCTCGCCACGCCCTGCCCGCGCCAGCCCCCATTGTCGTACTGGAATTCCGCGCCGCCCGCATATCCCTGATGCTGCTGCTGTTGAAAGTGTCCATTCTGACCCGGGAGACTGACACCAGCGGTGCTCTCGTTGGCCCAGCGAGGGCGGTGCTGAGGTAGCGGGTTGCCAATGTCAAGGCCGATTGTGACGTTCGATTCGCCCGGGCCACAGTCTGGAGACAGGCTGCCTGTCCCGCTTCCGCTCTCGTCTCGCGATGTCGTCACGATTTGAGGTGGGGTGTACTGCTTCGCGGTGCGGAGCTTGGGCACCGTCGGCATAGAGAGCTTGATAGCTCTGGAAGCCGCTGGCGGTGGGGGAGGAGGTGGTGGGAACCCTCCGTTAGGCAACAGTCGTGCCGTGGGATCATCGTTGGGCGAAGGACCACGGGGAGGAGTCGCGTGCTGGTGGTTGCTGAAAGCTGGCGAAGGACCGCGAGAACCAGTTCCGGCTGTGACAACCGCCCTGGGCAGCTGGGGAAGTCCCTCGTGCACTGGCAGTGGGTGACTGTTCGAGTCATCCAAAACATACGCCTCGACTCGGGCATGGGCTGCAGTCGACATCTGCGGGAATATTGACAAAGACGACAGCGTTCGTGGCTTCGGAGGCTTTTGACGTTCCTGAAACTGCGGACCCTCGGGTGCCCCTTCGTGTTCCATTTGGGACCGCTGGTGGTTCGGCTGAGGAGGACTGGGCGACCGAGTCAAGCCTGCCCGACTCATCGTGTGTGGTATGTATGCCGGGTGTGTAGGTAAGGCGGCATTCGGACCCTGTGCCCGTTGGTGAGGGTCGAAGTTGTAGTTTGTGTGGCCGATCCCCGCTGATGTGATGCTGCGCGCGTCCTGCTGATACAGCTTTTGGGTATAGTTGAAAACCGGAGCAGGCTTCATTTGGGCATCGAAGCTACTGGCAAGCGAGTTGTTCTTGCTGTGTAGACTTCGCATGCCGCCTCCCATGAAATGCGGGGGCATGCCATGGTCATACATTCGCGGGTGGGAGATTTCTCTTGGATCAAGGTTGTACATCCGCTTCTGCTTGCGGTAGTAGACCCAGAAGAGTGCTGTGCCGCCTAGGAAGAGCAGGCCGGCACCAATTGCGATGCCGGCAATGGCGCCAACGCTCATTCCTTGGGTTGTGTTGCCCTCTGAAAGGGTCGTGTTCGCCGATGGATCAATCACTTCGACCTCGGCGCTTTGAAAGACTGAGCTGCTGAGTCCTAATAGGGTTTCCGAATTAGGGCGGTAGTCGCAGCCGCCCATCAGAGCAATCATAAAGTTCGCTAGGTAGGTCTGGTCTGCGCTCGACTGCAGACACTTGACACAGCTGCTGAATCTGGGTCCCGTGAATGAACCACCATCCGCTGTGCAGTAATCCAGCGCGCCTGTCTTGTCTGGGTTGAGAATTCCAACCTGCAAGGCATCCTCAAAGGGCTGGCAGGCATATTCTGTGTTACATGGCGATGATACCAGCTGCTCCATTGTGACATTCGGATAGCCATACAAGCAGACATTCACCGTGTAACGAAGGTTGTCTAGAAGGAAAATCTCTGTAAGTATTCTTGCCTTCCCGATCACCTGCAGTGTGCGTATTGGGGACAGTATCTCCGTTGAAGAGATGCGGTCGACTTACAAAGATACCAATCGGCATCGCTTTCTGTGCCCTTTGAAACATGACTGCTTTGCAGGCACTGCAGGCAGTTCTTGTACTTGATGCCCGCTGCTTGCGTCGTGTATTTCGAGTCCGTGCAGACGACATCTTTTGGTGTAGTTGTAGATTTGATCGGGTCATTAGGGTTGTCTTCAGGGTTGTCGAGACAGACCGCAGCGCAGGCCGAGCCAGGAGTGACCTGCAACGCAGATGTGTAGTGGCTGAATGTCAACAGACAGATGGCGAGTATCATTGACGCACAAGCCCGGGCCATGATAGCGGATCCTTTTCGACTTCTGCCACTGTCGATTCGGTTGCGATTTGGTGGTTTGATGACTCGCTACCAGAGCGTTCTTGGCATGACAGGCACAGCCGACAGCGCTCCAGGATCGTGACTGTGAATGGAAATGAAAAACAGGAAACAACACAACACGAGAATCAGAAGGTCAAAGGTTGTCGAGTGAAACCTCGTGATGCATGAAGTTTTGGGCACCAGCTGGCTATATGCGATGCACGTTTTGGTGGCAAACACGAAAACTGTTGGTCCGGTCTGCCTAATTTTGGGCTGAAAGCGCCAATGTGACTGTTGGTTCCTAGGATCATTCCCTGTCCTTCACGCCACGGAAGCATGATGGTGTAGGCCGGCTCGTTGCCGAGCCTAAAGGAGGATAGACTGGCTGCAGCATGTAGGCACTGTCTGGGATTCTCGCCTTTGCTACGAATAGCGTCAGCCACCCCGTGCAACTCTATTCGAGGAACCCGGGGAACACAAGCCGTAAGTGGGCTCCCGGCAGAAACATGTTGCCACGTCCAGACGCGGCCTGACAAACAATGAGCCACTAGAAGGCCTGGCTCAAGCGCGACGCTGCACGACAAGGACTGGGATGCTTGCTCCAGGCCCTTCCAGGTTGCGTTGTGGTGCGGGTCAAAGACAAGCTCTGAGTGGTTGAGCAGACGCCTTCACAATAGACTCTTGCAGAGTTGTTGGATCCACGGTCATGGGTGTTCAGCCAATGAAAGCCTCGACCGCTCTGGTTGGTGGGAGGAATGCCCCGATCTCTGCGAAGCCAAGAGCCCCTCACCAGCATGCTGTTCTCTCCTTGAATTCGAAATCGATTGCTCTTGATGGACTCGGCAGATTCTTGACCGCACATCTCGTGACAAAACTACCAGTACATGCAATAACGCATTTCTATACACTCGGGACGCAGTGCACGTGCCTGTTCCCATGGGCGAATGGGTGAGAGAGCAGCCAGAATTATTGGTCGGATGTGGTACGCTCAAAGTAGGTAACCTGTCTCAACCGTGTGCAATCACCAAAGAACTCGATTGCCAGCAAGACCAGTAGTGTGCTGTAGCCCTCACCTCGGTCTGCAAGACTTGCCGGTGTGATTACGTCAACTTTGTAGTCCCCGATTGAGTCCACGCGGCAGGATCCACGTCGTCCCCAGTCTGCTGCGGTGTGACCCGGCCGCGAGACAGCACGGCCCCGCCGTTTGGCAGCGCTTAAGGGAGCCTGCTTAGTGGCTCAAGGTGGGCAGTAGGTTTGCTGGACCCTTGGAAGCCACCCCGGGGCGCTGTTCTGCACGCCTGGGCAGCCATCATGACCAACAGTGATGGTCCCAGTAGTCCCAGACCCCACGGGCACTGAAACTCCAGCATTGTGAGCTAGCTCGATGGAGCATAGGCGCTCCATTGCCCTGACCACGGATGTCCAGCAAGTGGCAGAAGCTGCCGGCAAATGGTGCTTGTGGACGAGCCATTGCCAGGGCTGGGAGGGGTTTCCGGCAGAGATGACGGAGGCGGGCCAGGCGGGCACACGAGCAGTGTTGGAGACCCAATGGATTTGGTTCTGCAATCCGCGCCTCAGGAGAGATGGGGGTCTACTAGCGACCCCTCCCCCCTCCATGTGCTTGTGCTTGACCACTTGAGGTCCGTTCCAGTCCCAACTCCCATTATTCCTGTCCCTGGCTTGGCGGCATACTTTGTTGGTTCTTGACAAGATATAGCAAGGCCACTCCCGTGCCTGCCGGCTGCACGACCCGCCCGTGCCTGGCTTTCTCGGTAGTCCTGGTGCAGCGTGCATCGCGCGCGACGGGGTCGCTGGTCGAGATCAGGTCAGTGTCATCCGGAACCTCGCCCGTCGTCAGGCCGCGATCCACGAGGAAGGAGAGGCAACCGAAAGGCCCCAGCACGCACGGCAAACGGATGCGACCAGAGCACGACGCGAATCACTCCGGGAGAACAGTAGAATAAGTTGGCCGACCCGCGGATTACATCTGCATCTGGGGCAGAGAAGCGCCAAGCGGACATACGTTGGTGCAGCGCCTGATTTTCCGCCATGAGGATAGGGTGCCTGCAGTTCGCGCCCCAGGTTGGGGATGTTGACGCCAACCTGAATCGCGCAGAGGCCGTTCTCGCGGCGCACGAGGATCTCGAGCTGGACCTTCTTGTTCTGCCAGAACTGGCATTCTCTGGTACGTCTCATCGTCCGCTGGACGGACATGGCCGGCTCGGCGCACCTCTGTCTAGACGCACTGACGCGGTTTTGGTAGGATACAATTTCAGGTCTTTGCGAGACATTGCGCCGTTCCTCGAGCCCACCACATCCGGCATATCGTCATCATGGGCGCGCTCAACAGCACTCAAGTACGATTGCAACGTCATCGTTGGCTATCCAGAGACGGCGGATGTGTCGCACAAATGGCCCACAGACCCCGAGTACTACAACTCTGCCGTCGTCGTCAATGCCGACGGCGACGTTTGGGGCCATTATCGCAAGTCGCATCTCTATTACACGGACGAGACATGGGCTCTAGAGGGCTCCGGCTTCTTCAAAGGTCACATACCCGGTTTAGGGAAGCTCGCCATGGGTATCTGTAAGTGTTCCTTCACGGCAAACGCTGTTGTGCTTGACGCATCGCTAATCATGTTTTGCAGGCATGGATCTCAAGTAAGTCGCCTTTTGGCGGAGAATTCACTGTGTCCCACGCTTACCAGCAATAGTCCTTACAAGTTCGAGGCTCCGTGGACTGCATACGAGTTCGCTGTCCATGCTCTCAACATAGCTGCGAACGTCGTTGTGCTCTCCATGGCTTGGCTAACACGAGAGCCCGCTGACACGTTTTGTTCTCATCCCGCCGAACCAGACATGGAAACACTCACGTACTGGATCAAGCGCCTGGAACCAATGATAAGGAACGACAGCGACGAAGAAATCATCGTCATCTTTGCCAACCGCAGTGGAGTCGAAGATGATGCTGTCTATGCAGGGACGAGTGCTGTGATTGGCATCCAACGAGGAGAGGTGACTGTGTATGGTTTGCTTGGCCGCGCGGAGGAGAAGCTTCTTGTAGTCGACACCAGTAAGCCAGGATTCGCGAAACTGGTCTATCGTCCAGAGGGGCGGGATGAGGACGAGACTTCGATTGCCTCCGAAGATGGATCTGACCAGTTTGGCTTGGGTCCGGATGAGAACCATGATCGAGGGGCAGATGAGCAGGGTCACGGCTCTACTAACATGGGCTCTGAGCCACCACACCTCATCGGCCACCGCACCCACGGCCATGTTCTCTTGGGGGTGGATCCTTCATCGCCCATGTCGACAACTTTCTCCTTGTCCATGTTCGGCGACTCGCCATTGTCCCCAAGGTATTTCTGGGACCAATCTTCACGGATCGGAGCTCCGGTGCCCACGCAGTTTCCCAAACGTGACATGAAGAAGACTTACCAAGATTGGAGGACATCTTTATTGTCCCAAAGCACGGTATTTAGCGTCGATGGCACCCAAAACTTCGACCTGTTGTCGGAAGCTGGAACCGACCCGCAGGCCGAGTTCTCACGACTGATGACGCGCCTCAGAGGCGCGCCCGCCGAGACTAGATCTGCTGCCAAGCAGACAATGGCGGGCAAGCCGAGGCAGAAGGAAACGGTCTCCGGGGTTCCTAAAGTTGGTTCCCGTGACCCCCAGAGAGATCAACGGACCCACCACAGAACGCACTCCAGGAGCCAGGACGTTGCAGACCCCGAGGTCACTCTGGATACGCTACGGCAACAGTCCCCTCGCCGTAAGATGTCTCAGGAATATGGCACTAGAGAAGGGTCAGCTACTGTTGATTCGAGGAGCGGTAGGAGACCGCGTGGTACCGAAGATTTCGCCTCACCTGACGTCGACCACCTTGGCATCGACCTCATCACCATGAGACTTGCCGAGGCACAGAACAAGAGGGACAGCCTACTGTGCCATGTCGATGAGGACGATTACATCATCCTGCGAACTCAAAGGAGGGACTCGCCAACTCTGAATGAGATGGAACCTGACAATGACCCACCGCGAAATGCATCGCGAAATACGCCAAGATCTCGCACGCAAGCGGGGACCAAGGCGGACGTACCACAAACACCTCATCAAAGCGATCTTTCGCTATCCGAACGATATGGTTCACCAAGCCGGACAGGTGGACGTCAGGCACGTGGGCAAGATGCGCCTCTGTCCCCACCGTCCAAAGCCATGTCTCAATTTGTGTCCCACGAGGTGACGCACAGGCACTCGAACAACGACCTGCGAGTTTCCGGCAGGACGAGCCGATCTCGGCTCAAGGATGACCGCACGGACACGCCTGGCTCGAGATCGAATGATGTGCGCGACCGGAGGTCTACTGAAGCTCGCAGCGGAGCCGGTCACGATGTCGGAAGATCGACTCCACTCAGAGACGGCCATCGGCAAACGCCTGTCAGCAGACAGCATAATGACACTCCGTCGTCGCGGGCCAAGCTGGCAGAGAAACATGGCACGAACACGCCGTTGAGCATCTCTATAACGTCGTCAACAACATCGTCCAGGGAAACCGAATCGCCAAAGGGTCGCAGTGGCCAAAAGAGGGAGCGGAGGAGCACAAACACCCCAAGGACTGCCGAGATGCCGCCCACGCCGAAGGCAATGGTTCTTCCACCCTTGCTTGACTTCGAACTGTCGTCGAAACCGCCGGGCGAGGCACGTGAAGCCTCACCGGCAAATCGTGCTGTGCCTGAGCCAAGGAAAGCTCTAGCTGATGCCACGGTCAGCCTGCTGGATACTGGAGCTGACAAAATCACCCGACCGCGGAGTGCCGTGTGGTGAATCTCCCAATAGCCTGGTTTGCAGTCGGCCAGGCTGCCCTCCTGTCTGGAATCCTATTCTTCATTCTGTCATTAGCGAATCTGTTGTCTTTGTCGTGTTTGTATGGATTTTCTTGTGAGGAGCAGGTTTCGGCATCATGTATACACCTGTCGCTTTATTGCAGCATAGCCAAGCGTGCGACCCACGAAGAAATGATACTTATCAGGTTTGACGATACGATTTTGCTTTGGTTATAACTCTTGAGATCACCTTCCAGAGAGTTGGCTCCAGCGGAGCTTGTGATCGCGATGACTTGTAGGTAAATGCTCGGTGCCAACGAGAAAGAGTTTCACGGAAGTCAAAACCCAACGACACTTTGCGCTCAATTGAAAGAAGTTTGAGCAATCTACTCCAAGTCCAAGCAAACGATTTCAGAAACACGAGCTTTGTTCATACATCCAATCAAAGTACGTAAATCACCATTTCCGCGAATCGCAGGTCGCTGAACGTTATTTTGTCTGCATGCGCGCACCTACGTGGACCAATACCTGCCCCAGGCCTTTGCGGTGGAGGGCGCCAAGAGGACCCGGGAATCTGGATTTGCCGCTGCGGTGTTGTACCGCGCGGTTTTGGCACTTTTACCCTGTCCGCTCTGTAAGGATGATGCACTTCTTGGTTTCTCGGGCAGAGCTTCTGGCCCGCCGCCTCCAAGACTCCCCGGGCCTACGCTCAGAGCGGCAGGCGGAAGCAGCGGCAGCGATCCCGCACGGAGAATGCCGCCTGTTCGCTTATAATCAAGAGGGCGCAAGTATGACCCCGTTGGCGCTTCGGTTCCGTGATCTACGCGAATACAGGGCGGGTTCGGCCTGTTGGCGGGAGCAGCGTTGGCCCGACGCAGGCAAAGTGGATTCCCTGTGCAGCTCCATCATGCAAGCATGCAGTAGTAATACCTGGCTGATATGGCCAACGGATGCCGTCTGGAGAGGAGATCATCATCAGCCGAGCAAAGGCCATGGGTTTGAGCTGCTCGCCCTGACAATTTTGGGGTCCGTGGTGACATTCTCAGCCGGTGGTCGTCATGCCTTGAGGCCCATCCTGGTCAAAATGGTCAAAGTGGAATGAGGATTGCAGGAGAATCACTTCCCGTCAAGATTAAGAAACAGCGTTGCTTCCCCGTGGTGGCAGATATTGCCCCCACTGTCGGCCAGCGTTCCGAGCTGCGCTCAGATGCCCCAGCGGATCAGCGAGCGGCCAAGGGCGGCTGCCCTGCGCCGCACGAGCGAGCGCCATTTCAGTGTGATCCCTCACGGGAGGCGACATCAATACAATACCATGCCTGCCCCAAAACCCCCTGCCCCTTGATGATCGGGTGGGCTGGAGGAGGGTGTGGGCCAGTGGGGTCGGCCGCTGCCGAATCCTGGCATTCCTGGCCCCATTGGGCAGTCACGGCGGCTAGCCGGCCTGTGTGATTGGCTGCTTACACATGAAAGCTTGCTTGCGGGCTGCCATGCTTGTCCCGCCTTGGAGCAAACTAAAAGTCCCCAGCATTCAGGCGTGAGTGTCAGTTGTGTAAACAAGCTTAGGAACTCTGCCGATCTTGGGCGGCAACTTGACACCAGGACCCTTGGCCAGGTCTTGCCGCCGTGGGCATGCGATGTGGGATCATATGGCAAGATTGTGATGGGACTCCTGGGCACACGGCCCGACATTTGTGTTGTTGGTTGTAGCCTTTGCATGAGTCAATCTTGTTGGCTCCGAGGGGTTCCTCTGGGGGAGACTCTTGGCTTGGGAAATTCTGTCGGTAGAGGCGTAGAGTGCTTACTAGCCAAGCTCAAGTTCACAGACTAGGACTTGTACGAGAGGGAAGGAAGGACACGTCCGCAACGTACTTAGTGTGCAAATCCCGTCGTGCTGTTACGAGCCGTGCCTCAAAAGAGAGAGCTAGATGTGATGGGCTGGCCGGCGCCAAGCACGGCCCGGCGTGCCCTGCATGTTGAATGGCTGTCCCCCACCCGCCAGCGCCATCATCCCAACCGTGCCAACCACTGCCTGGCAGGGATGCTGGATACCACTGGGCGAATCGCAGCGCGGTTCAGCATGTTCAAGCTGCTCAGGTGTGTCGAGGAGGCCCTGGTCCTGCGTCTTGACTCTGCCTCTGTCCTGCGGACCCCACAGCACACCTGAGGGCCCTCAAGCCTGACAGGTAGGATCGGGGTAGCGTCTCCATCCATCACCGTGACCGCCCGCGCTTATGCTCAGTCGTCGAGTCGCTCATCAACCTCGTCACGCCTCCTTCAACACTATTGCGGTGGTGCATCCATGACTTCAGCGCGTCCTCAGGCTCCCCTTGCATATATCTCATACGCATCGCCCCCCTACAGCACAGGCGGACATATATCCTGAACGCCTGGCCCCAGACCTTCGGTAACGATCGGTAACGTCCGCTCCAATCGCCCATCAGCAGAGACCTGCGCCCACTACAGGATCTCAAGCACTACACATTCACCAACGCTGGTTCACGCACAATCCTCGCGCAGTGCGCGGTGGTTCATCTCCACCAAATCGCCATACAGAGAGGCAACACGCACACAGCTTTGGCACCAGCCATGATCCGCCCCTGGACTGTGCTCGCTCTTGCGAGCTCGGCGACAGCCATTCTCGTTACAACTGGCTCAGACTGTTCGTCACAATGTGGCAATGTTCTGAGCTACACGCCCGCCGACGACGTTGCCTGCGGGGATATTGCCATGACGGCCACTTCCACAGGTACTGTCTTCCGCAACTGTCTGAGTTGCCAGATAGCGAGCGACTACGTCAACACCGGAGCCAAGCCTGTGACGTCGGATCTCCAATCCACAATCTGTGAGTATTCCATCCGGCCTGCGAGAGCAGCTCATTGAGCGTCGCTATTGTACTTGAAGCTGACTTTTTTTCACTCCACTGGAAGACAACCTCCGCTTCGCTCTCTCACATTGTCTGTTTGATTTCGGCACAAACCCGTGCATCACATCGTGAGCCTTTGAACACCCTGTGGTCCGCCTTTGGTGGACCTCCCCCACGTGTGCGACCATACTAACCACAATCTCACAGGACGGCGTGTGAGCCTCTCAAGAATGCCCTGCAATACGAGAATCTGGCCCCCAACGTCACTTCCTATGGCTACTGCAGTACATGGAGCGATTTGCAAGTGCCGAAGTGCAGCGCTTGCCTAAAGGCCATGGATGGTGGCCACTACCTAGTAAATTGTAAACTCGCCCTCCCGCTGTGTCGCTGTCTGAGCGACGAGATGTGCGACCGACAAGCACTAACATGTAATGACAGATCTCCAAGTCCTCGACGGCGCGTGCGACTTGCGGCTCCAGCCTCCGCAAACAATACCTCTGGACGGCGACATTTTCAACACGGACAAGCAAGTCCAGGTCACCGTCCCCAGCGCCACGGCAGGGCCCACGGGATCGTACAATGTCGGCCCGTTCAGCTATGGCCAGCTTGCTGGGATTGTCATCGGCGGAGTGGTAGTGTTCCTGCTCCTACTAGGCTGCGGTGTCGTCATCAACGGGAAGCGCCGGAGGAAGGCGTACCTGCGCAAACGCGGACAGATGCACAAAACCTGGCCCGGCGACCACGGCGGCTCTGGCGGCGGCGAAATGTTCGAGACGCCCGTCAGCCAGAAGCCGCTGCGGGGATGGGGTGACTCGCCCGTCAGCGCCGTCGACACGGAGCACACTTTCCAGAATTACACGACACCAGTCTCTGCGCATGGCGGTGCCGGTCTGGACTATCAGCTTCAGCTTCAGCTTCAGCAACAGCAGCAGCAGCAGCAGGGAGGCTTTCCAAGATATTTTTCACCCTACGCCACACCCGTCGAGCCTACGAAGAACATTGGCTGGCCGGTTGAGCAGCAGCAGAATATCGGCATGGCGGTCAGCCCAGACACTGATGACGCCGTATACTGGGGAGGCTCTGCAGGTGACACAAAGGGAAAGAGAAAGGGAAGCAACGATGAATACGAGCTGCAGGAAGGCGTCAATAGTGGTGGAGGTCATCAGTATCCCTATGTGCCACCACCCCCAGCACACCAGGCGCCGATGCTCAGTCATCCTGGATACGGAAGGCAAGGGAACACGCCGCCTGGTTCGTCGGGCCAACGCTGAGGGCTCTGTGGGTTTGGTTTTTTGGTTGCGTTTGCGTGGGAGATGTATTTTCAGCGTCAAAGTACGACAGCAATGCCTCATTGGCGCAAGGTGTTCACATGAGTAATGCTCGAATTGAACGATCAAAGTCGAGATTGGTTGTCTGCAGGTTGCATGCTCGAGGGTATTTGATGACCCAGAACGAGGTGTCCGAATCATGTCCGAAACCCATTCAGCAAGCGAATCCGAAGCGAGGCTCAGGCAAGTGATAAGATATGATGTGGCTAGTAAAGTCCCCTACAGCATGTGGCTGAAGCTGATCCCCACATGGTCGCGCATGAGTGGAGCGGCCAAGTCGCGGACCCGGAAAAAAATTGGGAGCTCCTGGTCCAAGGCCCGTGTAAATTTTCAGACCGAGCGAGTCCCAATTGAAAACCGGCCATCGCGCAAAGCTGCACACACCCAGCAAAAGGCGACAACCTCATACGCCCAACCCTACACCACCACCTCTTCCTTTTTGGGTTCTTTACAGCGTCGCGCCTTCTTGCAGTCGATACCCGATACACTTAGGAATTAATAGCGACGACGGCGCCAAGATGACGACCAAGGACGGAAAGCCCGAGGAGAAGGACTTCACCATCAAGCCTTCTGCCGTCACGCCTGCCCTTGACACGAGCCAGTGGCCGCTCCTTCTCAAGAACTACGAGAAGCGTACGTCTTGCCACATCACCTGGGCTGCGCTTTCGTCGCAAACCCTGCGCGGATTCCCATGCTGACATCTGTCGTTGATTGTAGTTCTCGTTCGTACCGGCCACTTCACCCCGATCCCCAATGGCAGCTCGCCTCTGTCACGAGATCTCAAGTCGTACATCTCTTCTGGTGTGATCAACCTCGACAAGCCCTCCAACCCTTCCAGTCACGAAGTCGTTGCTTGGGTCAAGCGGATTCTCAGGTACGGACTTATTTCGAGCATTGCTTCTGGCCAGGCACCAGCCCGGGTCATGCGAACACTCCTAGGCCAGGAAACAGGAAAGAGATCAAGACAAGACTGACAAGGACATTATTTTGTGCAGATGCGAGAAGACTGGCCACAGCGGTACCCTCGACCCCAAGGTCACAGGATGCCTGATCGTTTGCGTTGACCGCGCCACCCGTCTCGTCAAGTCCCAGCAGGGCGCCGGAAAGGAATATGTTGCTGTCATCCGCCTCCACGACAAGCTGCCCGGCGGTGCCGCGCAATTCTCCCGTGCCCTCGAGACCCTCACCGGTGCGCTGTTCCAGCGCCCTCCCCTGATCTCTGCCGTCAAGCGCCAGCTCCGTATCCGTACCATCCACGAGAGCAAGGTCATCGAGTTCGACAACGACCGCCACCTCGGTGTCTTTTGGGTCAGCTGCGAGGCTGGTACCTACATTCGTACTCTCTGCGTGCACATGGGTCTGCTGCTCGGTGTCGGCGCCCACATGCAGGAGCTGCGTCGTGTGCGCAGTGGTGCCATGGACGAGACCAAGGATCTGGTCACCCTCCACGACGTCCTCGACGCTCAGTGGATGTACGACAACACCCGTGACGAGTCGTACCTGCGCAAGGTCATCGCCCCCCTCGAGACCCTGCTCACCGGCTACAAGCGCATTGTCGTCAAGGACAGCACTGTCAACGCCATTTGCTACGGTGCCAAGCTCATGATTCCTGGCCTCCTCCGTTACGGTAAGTCGGTATCTATCCCCTACTTCAGCTTTCATTGCTAATACAATCTGCAGAGGCTGGCATTGAGACCCACGAGGAGGTTGTCCTGATGACCACCAAGGGTGAGGCTATTGCCATCGGTATTGCTCAAATGTCTACCGTGGAGATGTCCTCGTGCGACCACGGCGTTGTTGCCAAGGTCAAGCGTTGCATCATGGAGCGCGACCTGTACCCCCGGAGATGGGGTCTGGGCCCTACCGCCACGGAGAAGAAGAAGCTCAAGGCCGCCGGCAAGCTCGACAAGTTCGGCCGCCCCAACGAGCAAACCCCCGCTAAGTGGACTACCGAGTACAAGGACCTGCACGCGCCTGCTGGCGATGCTGCGACACCTGCCGCCGCTCCTGCTGCTGATGTCTCTATGACTGAGGCTCCTACACCGTCCAAGCCTGTCGTCGCCGAGGCCGAGACGCCAGCTGGCGATGACGACAAGAAGAAGCGCAAGAAGCACGACGGCGAGACCGCCGAGGAGAAGGCCGAGCGCAAGCGGAGAAAGGCCGAGAAGAAGGCTGCCAAGGCCAAGCGCGCGTCGCTCGGCGGCGGCAAGTCTGATGACGAGTCTGACTAGGAGTCTTACCTATCCGGCACACCACTGTGCTGAATTATGTTTCTACTTCTCGGACGGCGTTCTCTTCCGACCGCAGGACCACGACGATCCCACCATGAGGTGGATCCAACACGTTTGTGGGGATGGTACCTCATAGCATCTTCCTGCAACCAAGCAACATCCATACTGTAACATACAGTCGTGGCCTGATGGTCTGGAACAAAAGAATACTCGGCGTTTCTGGTGCTCGTTTTGCTTTCTCATGTCCTTGTTATGAGTTTCATCATCTTTGGTCATCATCATTTGCAGGGCTGCTTATAGGTATTCACGCATTGCAGAAGGGGAAGGGGGTGGCTTGAGGCATTTAGTTGTAGATGAATGGAGATATCTGAACCATGATGACCGAGTTGTCGCGTACGAGTCAGTGGTGTTTGTGAACACTAAACCGTTTTGTGATTCTCAGTATTGCTGCAGCTTACCCCTTGTAAGCGCTTCGGATCTTGCTACCGAACCGGACGTGTTTGTTGCAAGACGGGTGCTAGAGCTTCACGTCACCGAGGCAAGTGTGTACTCCGACTGCTACTAGGATTTCGTCTGTCTCCGTGCCAGCATCAAGAGGCAGATGCACACACTCAACTGTGCACATGTCGCAGACTACTGTAAAGCAGTTCGGAGGCGTTTCTATCACAACGCCACTGTCGCTGAGCTGGTGTCTCTCGCTTGGCAGCCGTGCAAAAGTGCAGCACTGACGGAGGGGGCGATTGTCGTGGTGGCGCCTTCCACGACTGGGCAGATCGTGGCCTCCAAATTAGGCGCCCGACGTGCAGCGACTTAGACACTCGGGAGGAACGGTGAGCATCCTCTGTCTTCCATCACACCCTGGCTCCTCGAAATCAGTCTCCTTTGACGACTCTCCTCGACTGCTGCCGCTGGGTTTGGTGGCGGCGCATCGCTCTGTTCGCGCATGTCTCCTGAAAGCATGGACGTCTACACGAGAACCCGGAGCTCAAAGGCTTGAGTACAACATATCAGTCATCCTTCGACACGAAGATGATCATCATCTGCCTATCGAACCACATTGATCTATCGTTCTAGGCGACAAAAAGGTTAATGGGTCCGGGTCGCTCCGACGGCCACAGCCGAATCGGCTATCCGCGAAAAGTTTCAAGCAAGATGGGATGACAGACATGCTTACCGCCAGCGGCCATCCCCAGAGGCCCGACGAAACGGTGGCGCTCCAATAGCTCTAGGGCTGTGCCTGGCGGCAGGCAAGCCAAGGTGCATTCTCATCTGGACGTACCCCTGCTGCTGGCGTGCTGATTGGGCGCCTACTCGACCCGCTACCCGCCATCCACGATCCCCAGTCTTCAGCACTCCACGATGACTGGCTGGCAACATGTATGCGCGTGGGAAAATCAATCTCATCACGCCCGCCGTCCCTCCTTGGTGGGGATGTCGCCGCACCTGTCAAATATCTATGCCCGCAATACGTCGCGCGGGCGGCAGTAGATGACTGTGGCCAGCGGATCATGCAACCTCCACGTGCCTCCTGCTGGGGCTCGACCGCTCTGCCAGCTCAGGGGAACTTCCGAATTGGGCAGTGTCTACGCGCCGAGCGTCGGCCAGAATGTGCTTGACGGCACATCGCGTGCATCGGGGGAGCTCCATCGTGTCGCTAGTCGCTCGTGGTTCCGCAATAGCCGGTCGTGATGTCGTTGATTATATCCCTTGGCCAGATCCACCTCTAGAGGAACGACGTTCTGGAGATTCTTTTCGGTGATTGCTTCTCATTGGTTTTGTCATTGTTGTATGCATGACTTCACAAGTTTCTCGACGTCGAGACGAGCATCCGTCCGTTTGAAAACCTGCACAACTCAGCCATCAACACGACGCACTGACGAGCTCACTGCTGGGCCAACATCATGACGCGCATCCTGTCCTTAGTCTTCGCTCCACTATTCTTCCAGCACGTGTTGTCATTACAGGTGACTCCGAATTCCCCTTGTTCGTCTTTCTGCGTCGATTCCAACGACCTCAACTTTGCCGACCCAAATTCCTCAAACACGAAAAACAAAGACATCGTCTGCTATGACTCTGAATATCAGTCGTCCCCCGCCGGGCAGAAATTCCAGCGGTGTCTCAGCTGTTTGCAGGATAGCACATACAGCCAGGGATCGGAAAGCGACCAGTTGTGGTTCTTGTGTAAGGAGATGTCTTTCTATTCAGAATGACATTGTGTTAGAATCCCCGCTGACTTTATTCATAGACAACTTGCGTTACGCCGTGGACTACTGCATATTTGGTTTTCCCAACGCAACGAACGTCGCTTCCACACCATGCTCGACCGAGAAGGCATGTGGCCAGCTTGAGGGCGCTCTTACTGGCGACCTTCTCAGCAGTGCCAAGAAGGCAGACTACGCCTTCTGCGATGCCAATGGGGGCGTGATGCGCAGCGAGGAGATCAAGAAGTGCCATGCTTGCGTGTCTGCTTCGGACGACCAAGACTTTCTTGCAAACTGTAGGCAAACTGTTGCATGGCCGAATCAGATGATGGAACCACAGATTAACATCTTTCTTCACCAGATGTCGTTGCACTGGATGCAGGCTGTCAACAACAACCTTCGCAAGGAGTTGCGATTGGCCTCAGTGACACCGTCTTCACGAAGGAGAATATCAACACGGTGGACCCAAGCACGACAAACACGACTTCACAAAAGACGCTGGGAACGCCTGTGCTTGTTGGCATTGGCATCGGAGCCGCGGTCGTCTTGCTTCTCCTCGCTGGCATCATCTTTGTGTGCTGCAGGAGGCGACGTAACAAACGCCTCCGCCTCGGTGATGGCGACAGACAGGACAGGATGACTTCTCAAGAGTATCCCATCTCGCCGCTGTCCTTCCACTGTCAAGCGCACCCAAGCGGGTTCGAGCCCACAACACTCAAGGGCTCAGCTAGAGCCACGGTGGAAGAGTCCAAAGTACACCCAGGGCCCATAGACTTCACAGCCAGCCCCAAGATGCTCGAGGCGTCCGCGTACGAGAAGCCCAACTACGGTGGCTGGCAGCCTCAGCTACCGAAATCCCGCATGGAAAGTAAGAACGACCGAAGTCCTACCTCGCTCAATAGTATACAGACAACAAACCCGACCCCTACGATACCAGGCAATGTCCACTACGCCTGGTCGCCCCATATCACCCGCTTCTCTCCGGTGGAGGATTTGATCTCGCCCCAAAGCACAACCAGCACGACGAGCACGACAGCTCTGCTGCCTCTAAAACCATACAATCCAGCCGAATGGGGAAGCCCTGTTGTGTCGATCGCAGAAGGCGTCGGCGCTGCAACACCCACGATACCAACGCCCACTTCCGCGGCCACGGCAAGTCCACTACTCGGACGCAGCTGGGGTGACATACCAAGAAAGTCCTCCCTCCCCATACAAGTCCTTCGACAACAACCACAGCAAGAAAAGAAAGAGCCGTGGGGAGAACTGCCCCCACGACCGTCTCCAACACCACGGAAAAACACCACAACACTGGAGACGGTGACTCTCGCGGTGGCCGGAGGCAGGACTGCACGTACCGCCACCGCCGCCATGCCGCCGCCAAAACGGGGGAGCAGTCGCGCTCGCAATTCCGGGACAAGTCCAGTGGAGGCGAGTCAGATCACCATCGCGTTTGCTGGGCCGCCAAAGAGGTAGCACGTTTTCCAACCTCGAGGCACGCAACAATCATTAGTGACGCGTGGGACCTTCACCTGAGCTACTAAAGCTTTCTCTTTGTCTGTATTTTATAAGCGACGTCAAATATAGCGAATTCATTATTCAGGCTCAGTGCAAGATGATAGATACACCTGGTCGTATGGAAGGAGTGTGCCTGATTTGGTGTTCTGTGCAGTCTTGTTGTGTGACATTGAATTCATTAAAGGCCAAGGATATCAGCATGGGATACTATTTCTGGCAACGATATGTAGTTTCCTCGTGGCCTCTGTTACTGCGTCGCGTCCGTGTTCGGAGCGGAGTCAATGGAGCTAACGAAAGTACTGCCCCTGGTCCGCGATAAGGCCACTTCGGCAGGGACACGAAGGATAAGGAAAATCACCATGGTGCAATTTTGTGTGAGAATCTGGGATATATAGCCACACTCTTTTGTGAAGTAGAAGATATTACTTTGTCCTATATAATTCTCCGACGACTGGCAGTTTTCGACTTTTCTGGGGTCTTGATCCAACATAGAATCCTTGCCAAGAAATCTCGTGCATGTCGCAACATCGTAGCAACCCCAATTCAAGGCAATCTCGACTCATCCATGTTACGGATGAAAGAGCTGTACCACTTGACACCGTTGATGTGCGCGCGGACGTTGAGGCGCTCGTTCACGGTGTGGATGCCCTCGGGCAGGCCGCTGCCGCTCTCCTCCTCTGGGTCGAACTGCGGGCCCCAGCGGAAGATGTGACGCGACAGGTCCCAGTAGTACTTTGTGTCAGTGTTGCCCGTCATGATGCCCGGGGCAACCACCATGGACTTGCCGTAAAGAGCGCGGGTTGTGCCAGCGATGACGCCGTAGGGAGAGAGAGTGGCGTTGTCGCTGCCCTCGGTGGAGAAGAGCTCAGTAGGTGTGACAGGCGCAGGCTCCAGAGCACGGCCGGTGTCGCGAAGGGTGATGGACGATGGGGTCTCGCCGGTCGAGTTGGTGAAGGCATGCACGTCGAGCTTGTACTTTTTGGCGATGCCATGGGCGATCTTGGTCAGCTTGTCCTTGACGACGCTAGTCTGCTCGCCGACGTTGACGCGGTGGTTGACGAGGACGACGGTGCGTTCGGGCAGGGCGTTCGACTTGACACCACCGCTAATGATGTCAGGCGCCTGCGAGGTAGTGAACAGGTACTTGAAGGCGTCCCCCAGCTTGGCAGCCTCCAGCGCGAGCTTGTCCTCCTTCCGGGCGCAGGTGTTGGCAGCGTGTGAGGGGAGCAGCTTGCGCAGCTTCTTGGGGAACTCCTCGCTGTACTCGGCACCGCACTGCAGGAGGCCGAGAAACGGGTTCTCCTTGTAGAGACGCGACTCGTACGGGTTGGCCTCGATCTGGGTGATGAGTTCGGCCATGACACCGATGCCATTATGCTGAGGAGGAATGGACGAGTGGCCGCCAGGCATGCGAAGAATAATCTCGACGTCAATGTAGCCCTTCTCGGCGACGCCAGGAATGGCAAAGTTGGTGCCCCATGCCTCAGCAATGCCAGCACCCTCGTCAACAATGACGGCGGCGCCATCCTTGCCGTAGCGCTCGAGCAGGAAGGCAGCAAGAGGCTGGGCACCGTGGAAGCCTGAGATCTCCTCGTCGAAGCCGAAAGACAGAACCAGCGTACGCTTGGGCTCGTAATCGGCCTGGAGGAGCAGCTCTACAGACTCGAGGATGCCAATAAGATTGTTCTTGCAGTCGTTGGAACCTCGCCCCCAAAGGTACTTGCCATCGTAGTGGCCGCTGAAAGGCGGGTATGTCCACTGGCCGATGGTGGCCTTGGCAACAGGCACGACGTCCTGGTGGGCCATGAAAACGGTAGGCTTGAGAGACGAATCCGAGCCCTTCCAGGTGTAGACAAGGCCGTGGGTGTTGACAGTCTCGAGGTTGAGCTTGCTGTGGACCAGCGGGAACGTCTTCTTGAGATACTCGGCAAACTCAAAGAGCACTTCCCAGCGGGGATCCTCGCCGACAGGGCCCATGTCATCGTAGGACTCTGTGGGGATCTGGACGGCGCCGGCCATGTTGGCGACGGCGGCCTTGAGAAACTCTGGCGAGTCGATGTAGCCGGCCATCTTGTCAAGGTGGTCTCTGCTGAAGGACGGGGAGAGCGGCTCGGCCTGGTCGCAGCGAGCCTTGAGGGGCTCCTGGCCACCATAGCCGGGCGAGTCGAGGGCGAGGTACGCGCCACCAAAGACCTTGAGCAGGAGGGCGGCGACGGCGACCTTTGAGAGGGTTGCCCAGTAAGGGGAGCTGGCGCGGCTCCTGGGCGCCGGGGCGCTTACGGCCGAGGGGAGGAGGCCTTGCTTCTCAGTCATTGTGGTGGTTGTTCCAGGCGGTGCAGACTATGACGAGAAGAGGGGGAAGTGAAAGAGGAGGAGAGGATGGTGATCAAGGCCCGGAGGAGTTGAGAGGGCCGACATCGCCGGCAGAGCTCGCTGGAGCAACGGGGAAGGCGCGACCGACCGGGGTTCAACACCGATAAAAACCGGGGGCATTGGCCCGGATAGGCAGCTGCAACGCGGCGCGGGTGGGGTCGTCCTCGCCGGGCTTCTCTGAGCCGTTTCGGACTGGCAATCATGGCATTGCCATTAGGTTGGTTGTGGTGGTGGGTGAAGTGCAGGCCGAGCCATCTCTGGTAGATCAAAGAATGAGTTCTCAGAGCAGCCAGGCGTCCCAGGACCGTCAGTTTCTGGCATGTGGGCACGCAGCATGAACAGACGGTGAAATCGAGCTTCGGCACAGAGTGGAGTAGAAGAGCTTGTCGCTCAGACCAGGGTCGTCTCGGTCGCCTAGCTAATGCCAGGGAGCTATCCCAAGCTTGGTAATTTGGTCCTCCCATTGCGATTACGTCAGTGTGCTCTTCACGTTGCCCTCTCCCGTGGCTGTTTGAACTGCTTAGGCTGTTTTCTCAAATGGTTCAATTCCTGGCGCACACGGAAGCATTACAGGCAGCGAGCGCCTTACCAATGTAGTTGTACTGACTTGGCGGGCGGATTATGCCCTTGTGTCTGGTAAAAATCCGCACCTATGGCACAAGCGACGTGGCCATCCAGCTTGATCCCCATCACAGAGACGTTGCGCTCCTGCTGCCCCGTCCCTTTCAGTCTATTGCATTGCATTGCATAACACATTGGTCATGGCGAGCTCTCTCACCTCTCCGTCGTCCAGAAAAGCAAAGTTGGGGTAGGCCTCGAGCCGAGCCCAGGCTACTTTCCGTGTACACCAACCAAAAATTTGGAGAAGTGCACTGTGAAAATGCGGGGTACATCCAGGCACAAGGCCCGGACTAGTCGCTCCGCCTCTGTGATGAATGAATGACGGCGTCACTCTGCCTCCAGTCGCCTCGCTCAATTCAAACCCATTCCCGCCTGAAACAAAGCGAGTGGTCCCTCGCTACGTTGTCATAGCCGGAGACTGTGTTGACTGCCACATTATGACAGGGCCCTGGTTCGGCAGGACTCTTTCCTCCTAGCTGTAAAGGAATGTGAAGCAGGCAATAGCAAGCAACAATGTCCCGCCCCCCGGAGCAAAAGCTGCTGGCTGCTCGGCACTTCATGCTGGGATGGAGAAGAATACGGACAGTCAATTGGACTGCCCCGGGTGCGTCTTCTATTTGGACGGTTTTTGTGGTCCCCATCGTGGACCCTTTCTAGATGTTGATCTCGGAGCAGTGAGACCATTCGCAAGCACAGTTAGCGCAAAGCTGTAATGTAATGATGATGGATGATGCCCACATTATCACAGTCCTTCCTCTCCCCTTGGGACACACAGCTTACACAAAAATGGGAACATAGTATAAGTGCCCGTCCCAATGCTGCCTCTGTGTACGTGTTCACTTGGAATACCAATTGGCTTTTTTGCTTTTCCCCAAAAATCACCCAACCTCAAAAAGACAAAACATCTCACCAAAAAAAAAGGACACTAGCTTTCCGACGCACAAAGCGCACCTGGACCTCTCTCGCCTCGGCCAAATGCCCGACGTCATGACATGCGCCTCAACATCTGCTTCCCACTAAGACACCTCACGGCCCTCGAGAATACTGGCTGCTCTTCGTCGTTATTATTAGCTACTAGTCGTGGTTATAACTACTACTCGTCCCTCGCCTCGTCCCGTGCTCTTGCACAGCAGCATCTGCTCTCTGCCCATCAACAACGGCAACAACAGCCACTGCAAATTCTAAACCACAGCCGCCATTCCTACTCGACCACAATGGCCAAGAAGCAGGAGCAGCAGCAGCAGCAGCCAAAGGACCACCTGGCCATGAGCCGCACGCCCGAGGCCAACGAAAACAACGACGACTGGCGGGAGAAGCCCCCCTACAGGACCACGGAGAAGAACGACCACTTTGACAAGATATGGACGGCGAAATGCAGCTGCGAGCGCGTAAAGTACTGGCTCTCGCGGGAGAGGCCCCTGGCCTCAAAGTACTGCCACTGCCGCGACTGCCAGTCCCTCCACGGCGCGCCCTTCCAGTGGGCCGCCGTCTTCCACAAGGAGGACCTGCACTTTGAGAAGGGCGCCGAGGGCCTCGCGTTCTACAACACGGCCGACAAGCAGACGCACCACAAGCTGCCGTGCAAAGTGAGCTGCGCGTACTGCCACACGCCCATCATGGACGAGGGCAGGAACATGGTGCTCATGTTCCCCGGCATCATCAAGGTCGACAATCCAGACCACAAGAAGTTTTTTGAGCCACAGTATGTCTTTCATCTCAGAGTGAAATTCCCCGCCATCACTCTAGTGATTGTGAACGGGACCCCTTTGTACTGACCACTTCATTTTTGTAGATGCCACATCTTCTACAAGCAACGTATAGTAGATATCTCTGACGGGAAGCCAAAGTGGACCGGCTTGGATGAGGATAGCGATTTGATGGAGGATGTGGAGCCAGAGGACATAGAGGCGGTTGTGGGACGAGACAAGGTCGATGGTTGAAACGCTCGTTCCTGCTAGCTGTGGTGAAAACATCATTGGGGCAGTATCCAACGGGCTTGACTCTAGGTGAATCAATGCAGTGTATGCGATTGTGCGTGATCATCCTGTCAAACGCGATCATGAGGTCACGTAACCAGGTCTTCAAGGATTGCCTCGAGCTCTTCCCTGCGGAAAGGCAGACTGAGCATTTCTGCGCCAAGAACATCCTTCTGACTGGTAATGATCTGGTGATCGTGGAATCTGTGTTTGGCAATGTTAGCAACGCGACCAATCCTAGAGGCGACGAGGTGAAAACCCACTCTTTGAGTAGTGTCCGGAATGCCATCTCGGAACTGCAGATGAACTCCTCCACGGCTTTGCTGTACACCATACGATACTCGACACCCGGATTCTCCCCGCCCGTGAGCCCTTCCTCGTCAATCGCCATGAGCACCTCTCCGACGAGCAGCTTGAAGAGATTCTTCGCATTCTCGGGCAGACTGCGAAGAACATAGGTGACACCTTCCTTACCGCCAACCCGCCTTGCCTTGCGTCCAAGCAGCTCGTGGACGTCGTCGACCACATCCATCTCGGCAGTGAAAGGCGCGAAAGTCGTGCAGTCGTGGAACACAAAATTGAACGATGACCGCAATCCGCTATCCCACAGAAGCTGGAAATCGGGGGTGTCAGCGGAGCAGACCAACCGCACACTTCGCTGTGCAGCCAGGTGTGCCAAGACAGGCTGGAAGTTTGGCCTCCGCAATGGCAAGGCGTCTATGGAGTTGAGTATGATCGTGATCTCTGTCTCGTGGGACGCTAGAAGTTGCTTTACACTCTCCAGCAAGGCTGCTGGATTGCCTGCTGGCAGTTTAAACGTGGGATCGACTGCACTCGCCACGGTACCCAGGATTTCCCTGACGGACGTATTCCGTACGTAACCGTTCACTATGACTATCCGCGCCGTTTCATGGTTCGAGGTGTTGTCGTGCAGAAACTTGGCAAAGCGGTGGAGTAGAGGTCGCTTTGAGCCGTAGCCATATATGCAGACGCTGAACCCTTGGGCCGATTCGAATGCCCACTGAGGGAATGACTCGGCATGTATGGATTGCAGGAACTCAGAGTCCTCGGCGTGGCGGTCTTTGAATTCGTGCAATATCGAGAAATACTCGTCGTGGGTCAGGAGTGATAGCGAGGCCAGCGTATTGTGAGAGGTCTTGGACGAGCCAGTCCGGTTCTGCGCAAAGTACATCTCATGCGGAGGGAGATCGCGCGGCGGAGTCGGCGACTTCTTCCTCGTTTGCAGACTTTCGGTCTTTCGAGGCCTGCCCCGTCCTCTTTTGGTGGGCGTCACTGCTTCGACAGGGGGCGCAGGCTCCCCAGGGATGCCGTCGATCCCATCTCCGTCTTCTTCATCGCTCGAGCCGTAGATCTCTCGCGCTATCTCTTCGTCCGCATCCTCATCGCTGTTGTCCCCGTTCATAACCCTATCGATCAGGGCTCGTGCGCTCTTCTTCCTGGCAGAGCGGTCGTTTCGCCGCCACTGTGGTGTCGCAGCCGTCTTTGAGCCTATACGACCTGATGGCGTACTGGGATCGCCCGCTATCCTCGTTGTCTTGGGGGTCTCCGCTCCCTCAATGGGGTGTTTTCTTGGGCGGCCGCGTTTCCGAGGCGTGACTGCAATATCCGCGCTTGGTATGGGTTGTCCATCGGGGTTAACTCCCGGGGGGTTGGAGGCTGACTGTGCTGCTGCCACTGTTGGAGGCTCCTCGGGTCTGATCTTTCTAGGGCGGCCTCGCTTTCGCGGAATCACTGCAATCTCCGCGCTCGGGACGGGTTGTGCAATGTTGGCGCCTGGGATATCAGGGGTCGACTGTGCGACGATCGAAGGCTCCTCGGGCCTGATCTTCCTTGGGCGGCCTCGTTTCCGTGGCACTACTACGATCTCCGTGCTAGATGCGACTGGGCCATTGCTGTCGTCTGGGAAGTCGTAAACGGATCCTGCGGGCTTCGGGGGCTCCTCAGGTCTGATTTTGCGCGGACGGCCTCGTGGCCTTTTGACGGGAGTGCCGTTCTCGGGAGGGTCAGTTGCTGGCCGCTTCGAGGGTGACTCTGGTGGCGGAGGCGTGGCCTCCTTTGCGACGTCCATGATTGTGCCGTGTGCCGACTATATGTCAAGCATGCCGGTTCGAGGGATTGTTGTTGAAAGCGGGAGTCAGCGTCTACCGCAATTGCGCATCAATGGCTATGCGTTATGCGTTGAGACGGTGACGGAGGTGTGGCTCTTTCGTATGAAACCGCGTTGGGCGCGTCGAGAACAAAAGAAAAAGTGGAGAGCGCTGTCCACTAAATGGCTAGCGCCAGGGGGGAGCTTCACGGCGGACAGGGGTGGCTCCTCAGCACTGAGGGCCCTGTCACCCATTCCGAAGTCTGGCCCCGCAAGGTCCTGCACTACTACGTCAAGGTTCTCGTCACTCGATCTTGACGATATCCTCGAGGTAATCATTGCTCGAGGCGTGGAGAGCATCACCCTAGGAGACGACATCACGCACTACAGATCGGCCCACTGCTCCTTTGCCGCATCTGCCACCGCCGCGAATCCAGTGCCTGGGCCTTAATTGGCCTAGGGACTTCCTTTCCAAACATGGCACCTCTCAATCTCAATCTCTCGGGCTTCCTCAACGTCTTCAAGCTCATCGCCAAGCCGTCTTTGTGCTTGCCGCACGCAACTGTGGCGACTTTCAGTGATCTCCCTGTTCCTCTGGAGAAGGCTTTTGAGACAGATGGCCGTGCCGTCAACATAAGAGCCGTCGTGCTCGACAAGGACGACTGCTTCGCATATCCCGATACAAACCAGATCCACCCGCCCTACTTGGTGAGCACGTGTCATTCTCTGTTATGCTGACTTCATCACCGGATCACTAACAACCAAATATACAGGAACGATTCAGGCAATTGCAGAAGGAGTTCCCTGGACAGAAGCTTATCATCGTGTCCAACACCGCCGGCGCCCTGACCTTTGACCGTGATGCAAAGCTCGCCAAGGAACTCGAGACAACAACCGGGGTCACTGTCCTGAGCCATCGTGTCAAGAAGCCCGGCTGCAGTGACGAGATCATGGCGCATTTTGCCAGGCACCCCGAGACCGGCGTCACGCATCCCAGCCAGATCGCCATTGTCGGCGACCGCCTGGCCACCGACATGATGCTCGCCAACATGATGGGTAGCTGGGGGCTGTGGATCCAGCAGGGTGTCAAGCCCATGGCTCAAAAGGGCATTGTGAGTCTTATGATGATATAGTGTCCTTGATTACCGCGGGAACGGAGACTGACGTGGCACTGTAGTTCTCGAGACTCGAGCAGCGCGTGGAGCCATTTCTGCGAGCCCGCGGATACCGTCCCGCAGACCCGCGTTCGCCGTTTGAATAGACCACGATGGACAACATGTTTCTGTATTCCCAGAGAATTAAAATAGATACCCCTCCACTTAGCTCACAAGCAGACATCCTTTCGTCAATAGCGTGCGAACAACTACGTGCAGGAATACAAAAGTCCTAGTGTCTCTAAAGTTCATATGATGAGCTCCACGACCTCGACCAATCATTGAGCCGAATCCTTGTTCGGCTTGTGGCAAACGACCTCAATGTTGTTTCCAACCGGATCATGCACAAACGCTGCGTAGTAGTTTGGATGAAACTTGCGGAGTCCAGGAGGGCCATTGTCCTTGCCACCAGCCGCCACCGCAGCAGCATGGAACTTGTCGACGACGGCACGATCTTGAGTCCCCCCATCGTACTCATCAGCAAGTGCTACAAGCCATGAAAAGTGGCCCACGGCTGGGCCCGGAGCCGGTTTTGCACGGTCAGAGGAACCACTTACCGTCGGCAGTAAACGCGATGTGCAGCTTGAGATTCGGCTCCTCGGCGACGGCGATGACCCAGAAGTCCATGCCCTTGCCTGGCTCACCATAGCCGACAATCTCGCCGGCATCACCGGGCTCAGAATGCTGCAGCGTATAACCCAAGGGTTTGAGGGCTTCCGCATACCACGCGTTGACGGCGTCGGCTTTGGAGGAGATGGCATATACGCCACAGTGATCGATCGTCATCTTTGCAAAGGCTGGGAGGAAGGGACACTGAGGGGAAGACTGATGATTGTGGATACTGCCCAAATGTATGTGATTCTCAGAGATGGATGACAATCTACCTATCTCTCGGTCCATGGGTCGCAAAGCAGGCTTATATCTTCCTCAGCTCGCGCGGTGTCAGGTGACATCGTGAGGGGTGGAAGAGTGTTGCCAAGCCGCCGCTGAAGCTTGAGGTTCGAGGCTTGGCCGAGACGTGATTGACGAGAGCGACAAAGATGTGGGATGTGCAGTTGCTGCCTAAGGCCGGTGCAGGACGGCCGACCAAATTCACGCTTCAGCCGCACCAACTCTGCCAACAGTCACAAGGGAAGAAGTCCCCTTGTGAACTTGGTTGACCTAACCTCCCGTGTCCTACAGGTTTCAAATCACAAATCTACTTTCAGGGCTCGGTTTTACGATTCAGCTTATCTTCGGTTCCTGCTTACAGTACTTCGGGGCAATTGTATGACACAATGCTACCTTCTCTCTTCACGCCCTGGTAGTGGATACCCCTGAGCTTGCTCGACTGGCGACGCGATCCAGCACCCACCATCACAACCTCATCCTCACATTTCACAGCGCCCCCTCTCTGATCTCATATCATCCCTCACAAGTATTAATCTACCTCAACTTCTTCGCCCCCTCCAGCTCCCTCACCTTCCTCACGGCCTGTGCTGTAGCCCGCGCACTACTCACCAGCAGCAACAGCGGAATGACGATCCAGAACGCATTCAGGAAGATGAAGTACCCCCAGAAATATGCCCCCTCGGGTCGGCAAAACACCCGCGCCTTGACGAAATGCTCGTACGCGCAGGTCGCATAGTACAGCACGTCGCCGTACAGCTGGCCCATGCTGACGGCGGCCTGCAAGGGGTGCCGGAGCGGGTGGTCCACGGTGATCATGTACGCGATGACGAAGGACAAGGGGCCCCAGAAGACCGCGGTGACGGCCTCCATGGGGATCACGAACGTGTCCTGGGTCAGGTAGCGCGAGTCCGAGAGCGAGTACTCTTTCCACGCCTGGCCCAGGAGCGTGCGCGAGGAGGCGATGGTTGCAGAGTGGTAGACGACGTAGCCTGTTTGCCGTTTGTGAGTTATCTGTGTTTTATGACCGCCTGGGTAAAAGTGCCAGAGTAGATTGGGGGGGAACCGGTCCCCTGTCTTCATGGCCGGAACACTCATGTTTTTGAACCAAAAAACTTGCAAAAATGAGGGTAACAGGACAAGAGGGAAGAAAACAAAAAGACCACATACCTTCCATGCCAATGTGAATGAATCCACACAGAACAAACCACATCGCCGTCGCGACCTCCAAGTTGCTTATGCCACCACCACTAGTCCCCTTGGCTCCTGGCCGCGCCACGCCGAACCGCCGCACGAGATACATGGTCGACCCCAGGATCAGCGTGCACCCGACGACGAAATACGCCAGGATCTCAATGGTGGCCATCTCATTCGCCAGGTACCCCGGGATCGCGACCCCGAGGGGGTGGTACGGGTGCAGTGGCTCTACCACAGCAGCGGCGGCAGCGGCTGTGGCGTCTGCCAGGGACTGCGAGATCTTTTGCGTGCCCATGTTTTTGTATGTATATTGATCCGTGTCTTATTGTGCCGTTTGGATGTTGAGGGCGCTTGAAATCAAGAAAAGAAAAGGGGCGAGCCAGAGCAGAGGTTGTATGCTTGACTAGGGTCCGTGGTGAAAGCACCTGCTGCTGGCCGTTGTCAAATGAATGTGGGGGAAGCGAGACAGAGACAGAGAGTTAAGTACAGTCAAGTCACTTGACTCTCAACAAGAGCCGCTCAACGCTGACAACCGAGGATACAGAGTGCTTTATACCAACACAGCCTGTGGACACCGAATCGTATGGTCTCTGATTCCTCTTGGATCGTACGTCAAAGCCTTGTTGCCGTGTAACCCTGAGAAGGAAATGACCGTACAGAACACAGGCCCCTGGCGGGTGCCGAGCGCACCGGGTTCCGAGCCCCGAGTGTGGCTATGAGAGACCCCTGGAAAACGGCAACGTCCAGCGCATTTAGGTCCGCGACCCGCCTCCCGAGACCCCAGTTTCGACGGCAACGTCAATCAGACGACCCGGCATTGCAAGATCCGGCGCGCGCTAGCGGATCCAATGGTCAGCGCGTCAACGCTGGGCAAACGTGGCCCACCGAGCTGCAGTGTACTACAACAGCAGGCGAGGTACAACAAGGCTGCCAATTCACGCAGTTGTCGCTGAGTCTGGAGATTTGAGCAGACATGATGATCCCGTGCTATAGTCAAATGCTATGCAAGCTGTATCAAGGGGCATCCTCATGTCGACTCTGCCTTCCTACCATCTTGGTCTCTGGTGGGCCGAGATAGCTCGCACTCAGCCCGCCCCGCGTGTCGAGCGCAATCTTCTCAAGATACACCTCTGGCGAGTTTGTTTTCCACCGCAGTGTGTGTTTCCCGCCAGAGAGTCTTCCAAACCGCACCTCGGGTTTCCATACGTGATCTGCCACGTGCTCGGCCCATCCCGGCGGCGTATCCCCTGGTTTGTCCGGCGTGCCGAGCACTCGTTGCCAGTTGGCATCCGCTTGCTGTCCGTCAATCGTCATTGAAAATTCCATCATCAGCGTCGGGTCCGTGTCCAGCGCGCCGTTGATGTACGCCCGAGCCCAGACCTCGGTGTCGTAATACAGGTAGAAGTCATACTCGACCCATGCCTCCCGCGCAGCGGCACGTTCCGCACGCGCACCTTTGTAAGGACGTAACGCGATGGAGCCTGATTCAGAGCGTGTGCCGAGGTACGGGATCTGCTCGAAGGACACAGTGCCCTCAGACTTCCTCTGGAAGTGTGGTCCCTCGATGGATATGAAGCTCTGCGACTCGGGGAAGCCGACAAAGTCGTCTGGTACGCGGAAGTTCATAATCGGCATCAGGATCTGGTCGAAGAAGGGATGCGTGTCAAACTCGATTCCCACATAGACCCATTGGTCGAGCCCAGGCGGGACAGAGTCCCAGTCCACGGTGAAATTGAGCCGCTGCTCTAGCATAGACTTGGTCAGCTGGCCAGACGCCGGGGTTACTGTGAGCCAGTCTGGCTTGCTAGAGATGTTCCATGTGATTGGAATACGATGATCCCCGCGATGGAAAAGATCAACATGCCATACGCCCTTGCCTTGAGGGTCCATGACAGAGAGAATAGGGCGAAAGTCCCAGTCCATCGGTCCGGATGGAATAGCTGAGGGCAGATTCCGCCCTTGTTTGTACGCACTCAACGAGGATTCTGCATAGATGCCCAGGTTTCCAAAGTTGTAGCTCGCGTTCTCTCGCATCTGGACATACCATAGTCCGGCTACGGCGTTCCTGGTTGGCTCCCACCAGTCGTCAGGGGTCGTCTGACTGTAGTATGGATCAAAATGTGGTTGTGAGAGCATGCCACTCCATTTGCCATCGAGCATGGTGTCATATTTCTCGAGCAAGTCGTAATCCCGCTCGAAGGCATCGAGCGCCTGCTGAGCGACAGCATTGGCAGTATTCCGCCGTTCCCAGCCAATCTGCTGGTTAATCCCGACATTGACGACAGTCTCGTGGTAGGCACGGCCGGCCTCGATAGGGTACTCGACGTGGTGCCAGAACGCTGCTCGCCTGTTCTCCGGTAACGTCCTGGCCACAGCTTGTACACGATCGCTGAGTTGCTTCCACTCTCGCAGTACCCGCTCGCTCTCAAAATAGTGGATGACCGAGTAGGTCGTCGCTACTGTCGACTCGTATTTTCGCCTTCCAATAAGGTGACTGTGCCACATCATGATGGAGGCAATTTCCGTGCCGTTCTGGACATCGAACTCGCGCACGGCAAACGCTTCAAGGTATTTGGGTAGTGTCTCGAAGCTGAGACTATCCATGTTCCAGGACATCTCCATGATGAGACTGAAGGGCAGCTCGACAGGTTTGATGTCGCCAACATTTGTGACCCACACGCGATCAGCACCTCTTTCATATGCCTGCCATAGCTCCTTGTAAATCTTGGCCTAGATCGTGCACTATGAGTCAGTCTTGCACAAATGCGTAGAACTAAAGAGTTCAGCTTACCAGATTATTCGTGTTCTGCCACTTGTATGACTTTGGGATGCCCGTATACTGGAGATGGTAGTACATCTAAGTCAAGGCCATCAGTAAATCTGTCATTCCCGGCGTTGTGCTGAACGTCCACTTACGCCTATGCCGCCTGTGCGGTTGGCTTCTAGATCAATGGGCAGCCGCTGAATATTGCCCCAGTTGTCGTCGGTAAACATCAGCGTTACGTCGTCTGGAGGCACCAACCCAGCAGCATAGTACGTCATGACTTCTTTGTAGATTGTCCACATTTCTGTTGCTCAGTTAGTGGGGACACAGGAAGTGCTCGACAGCGGCGCACAGAGACTCACGAGGAATGGCAGTGGGACTGCCGTGGTAGTCTGCGATGAGCTGTCTCTGCACCCGAAACACATCTGTAAGCAGCTCGATCGGATTGTCGCCCTCTATAGGACCGTCCGAGGCGCTGCGCATGCCGAGGGTGAAATATGACTCATTTTTACCCGCTCGCCGCACGCCTTCCCGCATGAAGTCAACGACGTTCGCGTTGTTCTTGGCCCAGTCCCAGGGCCCATAGCGGCTGGCGTCCCACTCGTTCGTGGCCCGCTGCATCGGCTCATGGTGGCTGGTGGATATGACGATGCCATAGTCATTGGCAAGCTCCATGTTGCCGGGGTCATCGGTGAAGAAGACATTGCCTGGTTTTGGTACCCACGACTTCCAGGAGGCCGGCCACATGAAGTTGCCCTTCAACCTGACAAGCATGTCAAAGACATGCCGGTAAAACTCGGTGTCAAGCGGCTGGTGAGCTTTGCCATGGACCTTGGACCACCATCTGACGCGGTCCAGAATTGTCAATGTTTTGTCCAAAAGAATAATAGGCAGTGAAACTCATACCCTGTGAGGCCCGGTGCCTCATCATTGATGAAAAGCCCGCGATACTTTACACTCGGTTCCCCAAAGACGACACTCTTGTTGACCGCGTATATTTCGTCATGCTGCTTGGCTGGTACATCTGCCCACCAGTGAAACCTGCAACAGGCCCCTTTAGCTGAGTGGCTCGCGAAGCTTGTTGAAAAGGCCGAACTTACGGAGACTGCCCGCATTGCTCAGAGAGCGTGTAAATGCCAAACATGACAGCCCGCTTGTCACTGCCAGCAATGACTAAAGCATGGGTGACCCCCGAGATCGGCTGCTCGACGACAATGGTCTTGAAGCTCTCCCATTTCCCCTGGATTTCCGAGACGTCAAGTTTGCCATCGTTGACAAGGTGGCGGATCAGCTCCGAGTCGACAGTTCCCGCCAGAATTGCGGTGGTAGAAGCTTTCTTCGGAGGTGTCAACACGACTTCGTTCACGGGCCGGAAGACTGGCAACACAGTGGTGTTACCACCGTAAGGAGTGAGGTCGAACTTGTTCCCCGTTATGGCGGCAAGATCTTCGGCCAAGCTGCGGGCGGCTATCTCAACCCCAATTGGATCGTCGGCGGCATAATAGATGGTGGCATTGTGGACCGGGACAGCGCCTGGTGACGGCTTGAAGGCCACAATATTTTCCTCCAGCAGAGCTCGCGTGGTGCTGGCGAAGGCGGAGAAGGCAATGATGGCGGCAGAGAGCATTGTGTCGAAGTTTCTGGAGGCCACGCTGGTTGTGTCGAGAGGTAGATGCTCAGACTGGGACCATCATAGTCTGAAATAGCCTGCCGAGCCAGCACGAGTTGAGACGGATATGTCTATGTGTGACACTGCATGTAGAGACAGTCATGAGGCTCGGCTGTTGTGACTCGTGGCAGGGGCGCGCGTGACAGACTGTGGTGCGGCCAATGCACATCCTGGATCGCGGCTCCTCCATCCGAAACCGCGATGATGGCGATCGATGACCGACCCTGGACACCTTGGCAGTGATGTGGAGAACCCTGGAGGCGTACGAGCTCTGTTCAGTGAGTCCAGGAGCGGTGCCCTATAATGCTGCAGAGGCTGTGGTTGAGAGCGTCCGAGAAGGGCGAGACTGCCATCGTCTGGTCTCACTCGTTGGCCTCCGATGCAACGTTTGTCCTGATCACGTTCACTGTCTGGCCGTGCGGGGAGCGTTGGTGATGGCTGCAGTTGGTAAGCAGGGACGCTTCTGCCCACACCTTGTGCGCATACAGATGCCAGTCTTGCTCACAAAAGACAATGCTACTCTCTGTCAAAGATCCCATGACGATAACAGCCGCACGGGACACCGATTGTGTATGCCAGTGTCTCGAAGCCAACGTTGGCAAAGTATCTGGAGGTTCAAGACTCATCGAACAGCAGCTGGGTCGCTGCTCCGCGGTGGCAAGGATGCACCATCCCCAGCACCCCACCCCACCTCGCTGCACTGACTCCGCACCACCAAGATGCACTGCACATTGTGCGCTCACGCGAACCACTCACAGACTCCAATCACGACAGACACCATACACAAGAGCTCGCGAACCTGATGCTGGGCACGCTCCTCACAGCTTCCCAGCCCGGAATCCTCAGGAAGCTTTTGCCTTGATATTGGCTTCATGTTCAAGAGTTGGACCATATACAGCTCAACGAACAGCCCCCGGCGGCACTTCCAAACAGCTGAACAGCTATGGCAGGTCGCCTAACGAAGAAGCCTGCCAGCCGACATATGCATTCACCCTCATATGACGATACCTGACCCGGATTGATTCTTTTTACTCGGATACTACCTTGAATGCCCGACTTGCGACCAAAGAAAGGTCATTCGGAAGGTTAATACACCACCCCCTTGTCGTCACGATGGCCACCCAAACACGCCCCATCCCTCCGCTCTACACAGTCTACATCCTGCGCTCAACAGTTCGGCACTCGTCGCTCTATATCGGCTCCACGCCCAACCCTCCGCGTCGGCTCAAGCAGCACAATGGCGAGGCCAAGGGCGGCGCGGCGCGCACGTCGCGGGCGTCCCTTCGACCATGGGAGATGGTCGGGCTGGTCTCCGGGTTTCCAGGGCTCGTGGCGGCGCTCAAGTTTGAGTGAGTATGGACCCCTTCCGATGCAAAAACGTGCCACCCAAGCACGCCCGAGGCCAATCCATTGACTGACATGTCCGCTCGCATCAGATGGGCGCTAAACAACCCGCACCTCTCGCTACACATCCCCTCGAGCTCGCGCATCACCATCGCCACGCAGCGGAAGCGCAGTGGCCACCTCAAGCGTCCCCGGCACAGCCTCACCTCGATCCTGTCAAATGCCCACCTGCTCCTGCGCGTGCCCAGCTTTGCCCGCTGGCCGCTCACGGTGCACTTCTTCGCGAAGGATGTGCACGCCGCGTGGGGCAGGTGGTGCAAGACGGCCAACGAGCCGCTGCGCGCAACCGTGTCGGTCTTGACCGACTTTGAGCCTGCGGCTGGGGTAGAAGCGGTCTCCGCAGCGACATTGAAGGACGCGACTGCGACTACGACTGCGACCACGATTACGAGTTCCGATGACGAAGACAGCACGACAAGAACAACGACAACGGCGGATGCAGCAGATACACCAGCATGGGGAATTCACGCTCTCCCGCTAGACTACAACTCCATGAAAGATTACGTGGCCAAGACAAATTCGCTCTTCACCTTTGAGAACGAAGGGCCCTGTGTGCTCTGCAAGGAGACTCTGCCGCCAGGAGAAGGGCTGTATGCTGTGTGTCCAAACCAGAGTTGCCACGCGGCGGGCCACGTGTCGTGCTGGAGCGGGCATATGCTCAAGGAGCGCGGCGAGGATGTCGAGCATATACTTCCCGTGGTTGGACACTGTCCGCAATGCGGTGGTGAAGCGCGCTGGGTGGACATGATGAAAGAGCTGACCCTGCGGGTGAGGGGGCCCAAAGATGTTGAGAAGTTGCTCAAGAAGCCGCGCGTGGCTAGGAAGAGGAAGGAAGTGCCAGCTTCGCCGTGACACAGGTGATAACCCTGCTTCATGGAAATATAAACTGTCTTCTCGAGATTGCAGAACGTGTCACAACCCAGACTCATTTTCCTGAGCTTATGCAGCCGCTTCACCAGCACCATTACGATAGGGGGTTCCCTTTCCCGTGCCCTGTAAGCAGCAGGGTTCGTCACGGGTTACTGTGCTTTGCTTGACGCTGCCGCATTAAGATGGCAGATGGCAGAATGATATTCAATGCTGCCCTGTGCTGGGGCCAGGGCCAGGGCCATATTGTGAAAGCCTATATAGCAGCTGACAGGAGACAGGCTGGCTGGCCGGGTACTGAAACAACAGAAATAAAATGATATCGATGCCAGGTGTGCAAGGATCTGGCTGGCCGGGGACCTGACGCAGAGCCAATCGCAATGGGTTGAAGTCGGGAAAAAAACGGGGGCAGCCAAACTTAACTCCGCCGACGACCTGCCCACCCTGCGCAGGAACATAATTTCACGCTACGGGCAACAACACGTTGGCTTGCAGCAAAGCGAGGCGAGGTGATGCAACACGTTTTTGACCACGAGCAGAAAACGGCATCCAAGAGAGTTGATGTCGAAGGGTCCAGACAGGACTCTTGTGATTCAGAGGCGAGCTGATGCCGTGCTTCCCAGGGCCGTGGCCGCATTACATGTCGCCGCAGGTGCCGAGCGACAGGGTTCGGTTGTAGGCTGTCCTATTTTCCATGTGTCACCGGCTCCCAGGCAGAAAATGGGGCCGAATGCTCAGCCAGCAATAGTGTGCCATCCCATGCACATAATCCCGTTTCCGGAACCAAACCCTCACGAAGTGTGGCATGACAGCCAGTGGTAGCGACAGAGAATCGTATGATAGACATGCCTGCCTCTTTTTCTTCTCCATTCTGTCCTTGGGTTATTTTCGGCTTCTGCGTGAAGGCGTTGCCAACTGGAAACTCAGACGCGGCTCAAAATGAGGGATGAAAACCTGACGTCGAGCGCTGACCTGGAGCCTCAGACATTGCCGCTCCCTTGCTTGGTACCTGAAGAGGTTTGCGCAGCGCACCGCTACCAACGGGTTTTGCCCACGGCCTCCCATGACTCGCAATCTTTTTTTGTGCACTTGGGACGGGCGTGCGCGCGTACGCTATTTAGGTTAAGTTGGCAAGCAGTGCCCACATCTATTTGTCGATCGGTTCTCCTTTAAAGCTTACCGATCGGTTGTCTTTGCGCCCGCGTCGTGTGATCGCAGAGGATTGGTGGGGTAGGGATTTTATGGCGGTGCCTCACGTACGCCAGGGGACACCAGACGAGCGCCACGATGATGTTGCGAAAGCCGCGGAAAGGGACAAGCGGCATTGCCTGTGATGGAGCAGGACAGGTTGCTGCATGTTGATGCATGCGCCACACATGGCTCTCGTCATGCAGAAGTAAGGACACGGCCAGGTGCGGCATGATCCTGGCTGGATAGTGCGAGAGGGCAGACCAAAGGGGCCTAGAAGGTCAGCTATTCCGCTCCGGTCCTCGGCAGTGCAGCGGTAGGGATTCCGTCTGAGAGGATGACATATGGGCCGAATTGAGAGCGCGACGAGCAGAATTGTGGTTGGTGGTGCTGGTCCACGACCGTGGACGACGATGTCGGTCGACCGGGATGGATGGATGGGAAAAAGCACACACATCCATGGATGGACGCATCGAAGAGTGTGGTGCGGTGGCCTGCTCGCGCTAGACGCAGCCGAAGAAAGCTGGGCTGATCCCTGCGCATTCTGGATGGGGAGCGCCCCCACTTTTGTGCGGCCCACGACTTCCTAGTTGGCCTGGGCAGGGCCCGAGTGACCTGGGCCCCGGCGCGCAGTCCAGCGCACGCGGCGGTACCTCGAAACGCCCGCCCGCCACGGACTGCCTGCCGACCCCGTCGTCGCTCCTGCCCTCCACCTCTCGTGCTTTTGCGCCAGCCAGCCAGCCCTCCCGTCCCGGCCCCCGTCGGTCCAGCCTGCCTTTTCTCCCCGTCCAATATCACACGCACATCTTCTTCTTACATGCGCTCTCGCCGTGCTTCTCGCCCGCCCATATACCACCCCGTCCACCCTCCCAGCAATCCGCCGCACGCTGCCAGAGCACACCAGCTCCGAGGCCAACACACGGCGTCATCCCCGCCATACCGAACCGACACAGCCGGTCCCGTCTCGTCGCATCGATCCACTCGCTCAGGCTAGCACACCAACCTGCAGTACTTGCGAAACCCGGCTTCTGTGGCTGCTGAGATATCCTCACGCAGCAACGGCCGTGATCCAGCCAGGCTTCTAATCAGCCCTCGTCTACGATAGTAGTCCTCTGAGGCTCGAATTTCATGTCTGGATTCTGGGGTGCGCGCCGCATACCCGCGCCGTTGTTCACGTGGTAGGCAAATCGAGTGGACACCCGTGTTGAATGCACAAGACCAACCCGAGTTGAATTGCCAGATCACCGTCAGAGTCTCTCCACTGAGACCGGGATCGTACGGGAAGTCTGCACAGCAATCGACACGATACCAGCTTGCATCAACGCTGCATCAGCTACTACCATGCCATCACGACATACGCTTGATGCAAACACACGATAGAATTCAATACTGCCACAACAAGAGTCGCCAGCGCCTGGCCTTGTGAGACAACCACCGGCCCTTGTGTTCGTCAAGCCGACCGCAATGCACAGCACAAATGGCAGCGCGCGAGGGTCGCCTGCCGTCGGGGCGTCAAGCAGTGCCAAGTCGAAAACTGCAACGACATCTAACAATCAGCATGTTCCCTTGAGCTCCATGCGCAGCACGCCGCTCGACCTGCGATCTGTCGAGCGGAGAGGTCAGCCAACAGCAGGCAGAGAGATCATCAAGCGCAACAGACCGTACGGCTTACAGGAAGCCCCCACGTATCAGCCTACTGAAGAGGAATGGAAAGACCCGTTCGAGTACATCCGAAAGATCACCCCCGAGGCGCAAGAGTTTGGAATATGCAAAATCATCCCTCCTGATAGCTGGAACCCCGATTTCGCCATTGATACTGAAAAGTTTCACTTCCGGACCAGAAAACAGGAGCTCAACTCATGCGAGGGCAGCACACGAGCCAATCTGAGTTACCTGGATGCTTTGGCAAAGTTTCACAAACAGCTCGGCACGAATCTAAACCGTCTGCCATATGTGGACAAGAAACCGCTCGACCTGTATCGGCTGAAAAAGGCCGTCGAGTCCAGAGGTGGCTTCGAGAAGGTCTGCAAGACCAAAAAATGGGCCGAAATTGGTAGAGATTTGGGCTACAGTGGGAAGATCATGTCTTCCCTGTCGACGTCACTGAAAAACTCCTATGACCGTTGGCTCAACCCATACGAAAACTACCTTCGCCAAGCGAAACCTGGAGTCTACCAGCAGCTTGAGCAGGAATACGGCGGCCCCTTGACCCCGAGCCCAGCACCGAGCCCAATCAAACGGTCGGCAGTCAACACGCCCTCGAGCCTGAGAGCCGACTCGCCTGCTCTTCGACAGGCTACTGATAATCTACAAGCTGGTTTGAATGGCACGCTGAAGCAGGAGAGCTCTGATCGCGATGTCGCAATGACCGATACACCACCCGCGCCTAGTGGTTTCACTGCAATCAACACTTCTGGCTTCACAAGCGTCAATAGACCCACGTCGACACCTACTTCACAACCGCCCACCTCTGCGCCCAATCGGTCTGGTAGTCCCTTGCCTGCCCCCAACAGAGATACGCCAGAGCAACGCTCGTCGGGCTTGGCCTCGGCCAGCATTCTCAAACGCCAGCTCAGCACAGAAGGCTCGGAGTCCTCGAAACGAGAAGCTCCCCCGACGGAAAAGGAAAGTGCTGAGGCTGGCAGCCGTCGAAGCAAGCGGCTCAAGCAAGAGAACGTACCTACCGTCGCTGGCTCGCATATGTCCATGCTACGGCCAAATGCGCCACGTACGCATCGCGACGACTCATACATCCCTGGCGAGAAGTGTGAGACTTGCGGTAAAGGCCAGGAGGCAGGCTATCTTGCTGTTTGCGAGTCATGCGACCACTGCTACCACGGCGGCTGCCTCGACCCTCCTCTGAAGGCCAAGCCAGAGAATGAGTGGAATTGTCCCCGATGTCTGGTCGGAGATGGTCAGTTTGGGTTTGAGGACGGAGGGCTATACTCCTTGAAGCAGTTTCAGGAGAAAGCGGCCGACTTCAAGCAGGGCTATTTTGAGAACCGGATGCCTTTTGATCCAGTTCTCAATTGCCCACGCCCAGTCACCGAGGACGACGTTGAACGAGAGTTTTGGAAGCTCGTCACAAATATTGAGGAGACTCATGAAGTCGAGTATGGTGCCGATATCCACTGCACCACGCACGGCTCTGGATTTCCGACTGCAGAGAGGAACCCACGCAACCCCTACTCGACCGACCCTTGGAACCTGAACATTCTGCCCTTGCATCCGGAGAGTCTCTTCAGACACATCAAAACCGACATATCAGGGATGACTGTCCCATGGGTGTATGTCGGTATGATCTTCTCCACTTTCTGTTGGCATAATGAAGACCACTACGCGTACTCGGCCAATTATCAGCATTTCGGAGCCACAAAGACTTGGTACGGCATTCCTGGAGCTGATGCAGAGAAGTTCGAGAACGCCATGAGGGAGGCCGTCCCGGAATTGTTTGAGACGCAGCCCGATCTGCTCTTCCAACTCGTCACGCTCTTAACGCCTGAGCATCTCAAGAAAGCTGGTGTTCGGGTCTTCGCCCTTGACCAACGCGCCGGTCAATTTGTTATCACCTTTCCCCAGGCCTACCATGCTGGGTTCAACCACGGATTCAACTTCAATGAAGCTGTCAACTTCGCCCCAAGCGACTGGGAACCTTGGGGTCTTGCGGGCGTGGAACGTCTGCAGCAGTTCCGACGACAATCATGCTTCTCACACGACGAATTGCTATGGACAGCGGCAGAGGGCGCCACCAGCGGACTGACTATTCAAACAGCGAAGTGGCTCGCGCCCGCGCTCGAGAAGATTTTCAATCGCGAGAAGGAGCAGCGGCAAGCCTTGATGGCCAGACATGTTGCGGAGACGTGCGACCACTCCCACGATGCTCCAGCCACGGACGACTCCAGTCCAAAGTGCCCATTGACCTTTGAAATCTCTGACCAAGATGTCCCTGAAGAAGAGTACGGATGCTCATTCTGCAAGTCTTATGCTTATCTATCGAGGTTCAAGTGCCTTCAGTCGGGCAAGGTTCTGTGTCTCGCGCACGCCGGGCAGCATCCTTGCTGCGATTTGCCAGAAGCCAAACGTTTTGCGGGCGACCAACACGTTCTCATCTACCGCAAGACAAGAGATGACCTCGAGGAGACCTATCAGAGGGTGGTTGAGAAGGCGCAAGCGCCGGAGCTCTGGGAGGATAAATACGAGAAGTTGTTGGAGGAGGAAGCGACGCCTACTCTTAAGGCGTTGCGCACCCTGCTCAATGAGGGTGAACGCATCCCGTACGACCTCCCCTCTCTGCCAACGCTCAAGGAATTCGTTGATCGCTGTAACGAATGGGTCGAAGAGGCGACTAATTATACGGTGCGCAAACAGCAAAACCGCCGTAAGAACGACAAGGTCTGGCAAAGCGGGCTGCGAAAGTCCATTGGCAGCGCGGCACAAGAGCAGAAAGAACGCGAAATTCGGAATGTCGATAATATCGACCGCCTGATTGAGGAGGCCGACCGGATAGGATTCGACTGCCCCGAGATCCAGCAATTGCAAGAGCGGGCTGCTGCCATCAAGAGCTTTCAGAAGAATGCGGCACATGTTCTGGAGCACTCTCTGATCCAGAATGAGGAAGGCATTGAGGAGCTGATGGAGGAAGGTCGCTCTTTCAACGTCGACATCCCCGAAATGGAGAAGCTTGGTCGGCTTCTCGAGCAGATGCGGTGGACCTCAAAGGCCCGCGCTAGTCGGCCACTCCTCCTGACACTGAACGATGTGCGCGAGCTTCTCGATGAAGGCAAACGTCTCGACATGCCTCCCTACAATGACCACATGAAGTGGTACAACGAAAAGTTCCAAGCAGGTCAGGCATGGGAGGCAAAGGCCAAGGAGCTGATTCATGCCGAAACCGTCCACTACCCTCAGCTGGAAGCCCTATCACATCAGGTGCAGGGCAATGGTCTGCCTGTCTCGCCCGACACGCTGACGGCGGTCGACCAAATCCTGCACAAGCAACGAGAAGCCCACAAGCAGATCCTTGATCTCACCGATCGGTCCAAGCTTGCTGATTATACCAAGAGGCCAAAGTACACCGAAGTGGCTGAGGTCATGAAGAAGCTCGAAGACCTCAACTCCAAGCCTACTGGGACCCTCGACCTGGAAAAAGAACAGAAGCGCCATGAGGACTGGATGCGGAAAGGCAAAAAGCTCTTTGGAAAGACGAATGCACCCCTGCATATCTTGAAGTCGCACATGGACTACGTCCTGGATCGCAATCTTGACTGCTTCGATATTGTTAGTGACAAGCCCCGACTACCAGCCGAACCGGCGTCTAGAGCCGCAAGCGAGGAGGGCGAGCCCCAAAAGACTCATCGGACGTGGGATGATCCATCTTTCCGAGAAGTCTTTTGTATCTGCCGCCGGATCGAGGCCGGCATGATGATTGAGTGTGAGCTTTGCCACGAGTGGTACCACGGAAAGTGTCTCAAGATTGCCCGCGGGAAGCTGAAGGAAGACGAGAAATATACTTGTCCAATCTGCGACTGGCGGATCAAGATTCCCCGGGACGCGGCGCGGCCGAAGCTGGAGGATCTGATGGCCTGGCAGGACGAGATTGCTACTCTGCCTTTCCAGCCTGAGGAGGAAGAGACATTGCGCAAGATCATTGACAATGCTCAGGACTTCCGCAATCATATTGCTGGATTCTGCAACCCTGTCCTGGGGACCGCATCGGAAGCCGACACGCAGCGTTTCTACCTTCGCAAGATCGAGGGAGCCGAGATTCTACTGTCTTACGAAACAAACTTTTTTCGTCAGGAGCTACACAAGTGGAGTCCAGTTGCACCGGAACCTCCCCCGGTCCTCGAGGTGTCGAAGAGCACACGCAAGCCCCGGCCGACCAAGTTGCAGCGTATGCTTGCGCAGTATGGTGTTGAAGACCCGGAGGACTTGCCAGAAAATTTGAAGAGCAAGGCTAATAGCCTCAAGCGCAAGGCTCTCAATGCCGAAGCCGCCGCAGCTGCCGCTGCGCAACCTTCCCCAAATGGGGCCTTTGGACCTTCATCGGGTAGCCCATCGACACCTTCGTACGATGGACGCAATACCTTCATGTCCCGCAATCCTCATTCAGCTCCCGGCACAATCCATAAACTCCCCCACCGCGAGTCTGACGCTTCATCTGTCGGGCGGCCAGGATCGTCCTTACGCCGAGAAAGTATGGACAATCCTGGTGGTGGTTCTCTGCATCCTGGATTCCTCTCCCCGGGCGGCGCAAATGGTCCTAGCCCACGACTTGTGGCTCCTGACTCTGCGTTATCCCTGGAGGACAGACTTCTGCGGGGCCAAGATGACGGGTCTAGCTTGCCCAGTGAAGCGGAGAAGGAGCGAGCTTTAGAGATTCTCGGTAGCACGGAAGAAGGCCGAAAGCGAGCAGAAGAAATCTTCGGCCGTGATGTCTGGGACAAGAACCGGAAAGGAACATTCGGACGGGGTGCATCTACTGAGCAAACGCAGGAAGACGACAAGAACGTCGACATCATGTTCAACGATCTGATCAACGGAGACGACGACGACAGGCGCGAGCGCGACCGTGTCGTGACAGCAGACAGTTTGGAGGCCGAGCGGAATGCCATGGACATGGAGGACTCGGATTAGGGGCCTGTCGTGCAATGGTTGCGAACCATGTCTTGAACCGACGATACGGCAGAAGTGGAAGTTGTGGGGCAGATGCAGTGGGTAAGGATTTGCTTCTTTGCTGGACAATGCTTTCATCTTTATCAAGGCATTGCGCGGTGCTGGGAGGTTTTTTGGTGTCTTGTTGCGTTTCCCGGGATAGTCCAAGCATCATTGTCATTGGGAGTCACGAGATATTCCCCTACGGTGCTTGTGTAGTTATTCTTCGAGTTGTAAGATGTACAAATATCATTCAATCCATCTAGAGCCATGTTTCGTGGTGTGCTCTTGGTCAGGTTGGCTTTCTCTATCGCGTAACAGCCACGAAGAAACGGCGAGCCAATGCATGCCTTGTGTGCATTTCCTACCTTTTCTATCGCACTTGGCTATACGTTCGACCGCACAAAATCAGAGCCTTCACAGCTTTGGTTCTGTTGATGCTTATAGAGTACTTTGCTTGGATGAAGTCCAACTGGAGTATTTGGCAATCGAGTCGATTGAATGGCTCCACGCAGCTGTGGTTACGTGTCACGTAGGGAAGGGTGTTAGCAAGCGCCCAGGCAATCAGTCATGACCCCTGGCATTGCGAATCATCGGCAACAAGAGCGCCAGTCAGTATGCAGCGTCCATTTACATGTTAAGGCCGTCGCGGTTCCAGGATCCTGATGATGATGTGCTGAAAGGGGGATCGTCTGCCGTATTTCGCGATCCCCGATCCCAGTGCCCCGGCTATGGTGCCCTTGCACGTTGCAAAGACGGTGTGCATCAATCAACACGCGCGCGCGCGCGTGTGCGTGTGTGTGCGTGTGTGTGTCACTGGTGGTACTTTGGACTTTTGGTATCAATCTGGTTTGTGACGGCGCTGTTCGGACGGATGCTGGTCAGTATCTCATGTGCCTGACTCTCTTGTGCGTGCCGGGGGAAGGGCGGCGGCGGCGGGGAAAAGGTGCCAGACTTACTGCTTAGATGACAGGCCCATTTCCTCCACATTCCCATTTTTGTTCTTTTGGCAAGCTGCCCCTGAATATTTAGACTCCATGCGCGCGTCGGCGGCGCACTGCTGCCTGCTTGGATAGAAGATAATTTCAAAAGACCGGGTGTCGCTTGAATCAAGAGATGAGATCGGCGACGTTCATGGGCATTTCGTCGATCTGGGTGGAGTAGTACACTAGGGGTCGCCCGGGTCAGTCCTGATATAGAACAAAATAGGTTGTAAAGATGGAGACAGAGAGAGACTCACATTCGATATCACGCAGGATGCGCACGTCCTCGCTAGTAACAAAGTTGATGGCGACACCCTTGCGACCGAAACGTCCACTACGACCGATCCGGTGGATGTAGTTCTCACGGTTGCTGGGCAGGTCGTAGTTGATGACCAGGCTGACCTGCTGGACGTCGATGCCGCGGGCCCAGACGTCGGTCGAGATGAGCACGCGGCTGTTGCCCTGGCGGAAGTCCTGCATGATGCTGTCGCGCTCCTTCTGCGGCATGTCGCCGTGCATGCTGCTGACGGTGAAGTTGGCCTCGCGCATCTTGTCCGTCAGCCAGTCCACCTTTCTCCGCGTGTTGCAGAAGATGACGGCCTGTGTGATGGTGAGGGTGTCGTAGAGGTCGCACAACGTGTCGAACTTCCAGTCCTCCTTCTCGACGGCGATGAAGTACTGCTTGAGGCCCTCGAGGGTCAACTCGTCACGCTTGACCAGGATGCGCACGGGGTCGGTCATAAACTTGGTCGTCATGTCGAGGACGTCGTACGGCAGAGTGGCGGAGATGACGACGACCTGGGTCGCCGGCGGCAGGTAGCGGTACACGTCGTAGATCTGCTCGCGGAAACCCTGGTTGAGCAGCTCGTCGGCCTCGTCGAGGACGAGCATCTTGATGTGGCGCGTGCGGAGGTGACGCCGACGGATCATGTCGGCGACGCGGCCGGGCGTGCCCGACACGATGTGCTGGCCGTAGTCGAGCTTGCGGATATCCTCGCCGACGTTCGTGCCGCCGATGCAGGCGTGGCACTGGACGTTCATGTAGTCGCCGAGCGCCATGACGACGGACTGGATCTGGGTGGCGAGCTCGCGGGTGGGGGAGAGAACGAGAGCCTGGGTCTCGCGGATGGCCGTGTCGATGACCTGGAGCATGGAGATGGAGAACGTGGCCGTCTTGCCTGTGCCGGACTGGGCCTGGGCGATGGTGTCGCGGCCCTTGCAGATCTGGACAATGGCGCGGGACTGGACGGCCGAGGGCGACTCGTAGCCGTAGGCGTAGATGCCGCGGAGGAGATTCTCTGTCAGATTTGCGTTAGCAATCGCAGCAAGTACGGAATTGAGCAGCCGGTAGTTATCGTCTGGAGAACATACCCTTGAGCGACATGGCCTCGAATGTCGGGTGGACAGTAACCTCCTTGGAGGTCGAGAACTCCATTTTCTCGTCCGCGCGACGATCGATACCGCCGCCGTCAGCCATGATTGCGGTTGTAGATGGGGTATCCGAAGTCGGCTTAGCTGGGTTGGTGTGAAAAGATGGATGTGACAGTAACCAGGTGTTGTGCGATGCAGTGGTGGCACGATATATGATACCGAAGGCTGTGTCGCAGCTTCACGATTGCGGCGCAACGAGTCGCGACAAGGCTCGAAGGTGAAATTTCCGGGGATCGTCATTGGGGTAAGTGTGGCTGATGCCTCTGAGCTGATCCACTCTCTGTGGCGCTCGCGCTGCCCGTGTGGGGCCTTGCTATGGAGTACGGAGGCAAGGGTCCCGCGCGCGACGTCGGTACGTACCTCTCGCCAACAAGGCTGCGATGCGACCGGGTCAACTTATTTTCTGGCACTTCATCGAGCTCAGCCTCGCCGACCACATCATCTGGAGCACTCAACACGCACGCGCCCGAACCCCCACGACGACGTGTAGCAGGGCCAAGCTTCCCTTCTCGCCAACAGCTATAATCCACTTGTTCGGAATATTGAGGAATACAGCACCAGTCGACGACTCGCGCGCGTGACGGCGGACGATCATCCACCATGCTTCTCGAAGAGCAGCGCTTCCTCCACGAGGATCTCGAGCGCCTTGAGCAGGCGATTTCGGATCGTGTGGTCTCAGAACCAAGGAACCCCCGCGATCGGCTAGCTCGCGACCACGAAATCGCACGTTTCCTCGAAAGCATTTCCTCACAGTCGACAAAGCTCCTCGATATCTACAACGATGCCGACGCCTCCCGCTCCCGGGAAATCCAGCAAATCGGATCTGGTGATGCGATGGAGGAGTTCTACAAGCAGCTTGCCGAGATCAAGTCTCACCACGCGCAATACCCCGCCGAGCCGGTAGAGAACCTCGAGCGTGCATACAAGCCAAAGCGAGGAGTCGATGCGGAAGCTCAGGTTGCCATGATCGACGCCATGTTCACCGGTGAGGAAGCTTTCGGCCGCTTCTTCGACCTATATACGTGCCACGAGCTCTACCTCAACCTCCCCAACGCGAAGCGGTTAAGCTACATCCAATACCTGGACCTCTTCGACAACTTTGCGCCCGGCGCCGGCGGCATCAAGCGCTCCGACAAGCTCACAGACCAATACTTCCAGTACGTGGGCTCGCTCGCGTCAGATCTCGAGTCATTCATGCGACGGACGCGGCCACTGGAAAACGTGGACAAGCTGCTTGTCGATTTCGACGACGAGTTCGACACAGCGTGGGAGAAGGACGAGGTCTCAGAGTGGAAGAAGGAGGAGGCTAGCACAGTCAAATCAGCTGCGCAGGTAGCTTCCGGCGACGGGGTATGGTGTGATGCATGCCAGAAGGAGTTCAAGAATCAGAATGTATACGACGGCCACTTGTCAGGCAAGAAGCACAAGAGAGCGGTGGCCGAGAAGGAAGAGGGTGGACAGGCAAGCAATGGCGCCGAGGCCGGGGGTGCAACGGCTCTCAGATTGAAGGAGCGCGCGATCGCCGAGCGAGAACACCGAGTGAAGCGCCTCGCGAGCGCGATGAGCACAGAGCGCAGCGACACCCGCGTGAACGTCGAGCGCAAGCAAGGCATGACGGAGCGCGAGCGGCAACTCGAGCTGCAGAACCTCTTTGCCAACACAGTAACCCCGGCTGGAGGCGCGCAACACGACGGCGAAGAGGGCGACGACGATGACGACGATGACAAAGTCTACAACCCACTGAAGCTGCCGCTCGCTTGGGACGGCAAGCCTATCCCCTACTGGCTTTACAAGCTGCACGGTCTGGGCGTCGAGCATCCTTGCGAGATCTGCGGAAACTTTGTCTACATGGGTCGCCGGGCGTTTGACAAGCACTTCAACGAGGCCCGGCACATCTACGGTCTCAAGTGTCTGAACATCACCAACACGGCCTTATTCCGCGACATCACGAAGATCGACGAGGCGCAGCGGCTGTGGGCCAAGATCCAGGCTGAGAAGCGGAGGCACAACCCCGACGATGGCAGCATGGTGCAGATGGAGGACGCCGAGGGCAATGTCATGCCCGAGAAGGTGTACTATGATTTGCAGAAGCAGGGATTGTTGTAGAAAAGCATATATCTCCACGGAGAGCATCAGGCGATGCAAGCTGTACAAGTCTAGAAAGTCAAAGGAGCAGCGCATCATATCACGGCGATGAGTTGGGGCGTTTAGGGCGTTCAACAAAGCACTTTTTGGGTGGCTCTCACAAGACCTTTGTGGCCAGTTTCCGAGTGCCAAATATGCATTGAATAAACGCAAGTTCAGGAGCGTACAGTTGTATTCACTACTTTGGGTTGGCGAACCTATCAAGCCTATTCTGTGAATCAGAGTGGGCTTTGTTTTGCAGACGTAGCGTTCAAGCTCAGAGGTGTGAGAGCTTTGCCTGCCGCTTCTCAGTAACCCACCGCTGCCAATCTAGAGTGTGCGTTGTAGTCCTTGACCAGGCCGCACTATTGACCAAGCTGTCTCCCGCCGATAGCTTTCCACATTTCCTGGTATCCCCGGGCTCGACAGTGTTACTTGTTTGCCGCTTGGGGTTCGTTGCTGCTGTCCATCACATCTCCAACGCTCTCCAATATCTTTGTAGCCTCCTGCTCCAGCTTTGTGATGTCCTTCATGGCCTTGTCCATCGCGTTGCGCTCGGCAGTGAGCTTGTCTATGGCTGCGCGGTGGTCCTTGATGGCCTCGTCCTTCGCCTCGATGGCGCGCTTGAGTTCTGCGATGCTGTCCTGGCTGCTCAAGCGAGCGAGTTCTGCAAATGTGGCCGAATCATCGCGTTCTGAGTCTGGACCAAGCAGCCGGTTAGCGTGGCGAGTGCTGCGGACGAGTGGAAGCACGGATTGGTTGGAAGCCACGACTATGCCATCATCAGCCTTGCCAGCAGATCCCGTGCCTACATAGGCAAATGGTTCTGCCAGTTGCCGGTGATGGTTGTCGTTGATGGCAATATCAGTCATGCTGTAGGAGCCTCCTCTCAACGCTTCCATGTTGGATGACTCACGGTTGTCGAGCTGACCTGTGATGCGGTAGCCACCAACTCTGGGCCCTTGCACGTTACTTGTCATAGTGCCGGCCATCCAGAAATTATCATCGTTGAGTTCGTCGCCAAGACCATTATCAAGTTCGCAGACAATGAGCCCGTCTAGGTCGAATTCTTCAAGGCGCTGTCTTTTCCTCGCGTGAGCCATGACTCTGTGTAGGTTGAGTGTGACGAGGAGAGGATTGTCCTTAGTATCAGTTGTGTGTTCCGTGAGGCAGTCGTGACGGCGAGACTTGATACGGACCAGTAGAGGAAACAAAGGTTGGGTTGTCAATGACAAGTAAGAGCGGAAGACGCGGAAGTAGCTTCGACCTCAGGATCGCTTGGTCCGTCCTGTGCACTGGTGGTGGACAAGATCTGGTAGCCAATGACTCGACTGCTGAGTGTTGCGGGCGCAACTGTTCCGATAAGTACAAGAGTGGCATGCATGAACGAGATGGAAAGACCAGACACAGCCCCAGAAGGTCCAGGACTCCAGTGGCGGCATCTCACATTTGAGTCACGATACTTGCTCGACCTGCGTGACTCGACCTCCCTTGAGCTGTCACGTGCATGTACAGTCGACCATCACATTTTTCTCTATCAACTTTAGACAGACCCCATTACTTTCAAATTGCAAGCGCAGAGAACTCCTCTCCTGGTTACGTAGGTCTTCCCTAACTTTCGCTGATCCCACGTCGGTGTCGCCAATACTCGTTCTCGTTTCCGGTGTATCATGATGACTATGCCCCATGAATGTTGGAGCACAGCCTTGTGCCTAACCACAGCGCCCGCAATTGTCACATTGTTGGCGTGAAACCTGATGTGGTTTCCCAAACATACTTCCGCCCTTGAGGAGAATGGCTTCTCCTACTTTGTCGGTGACTGTTGGAGTAATCCGCACGTGCATCGATCCGATCCATCGACTGCAAGACTTCTGTCGCAAGGTTTTCCACCTCGCTAATCCTGTCTCTGATCGCCCTGAGATCGTCTCGTTCTTTTCGTAGCTGAGAGAGAATTTCCTCCTGCCTCGCAATCTCAGTGTCCGTCTCCCGCAAGGCTTGCTCCAGCTTCTCCAATCCCCCCAAGCCTGTGCGTAGAGCAAGCTGTGCAAGAGTTTCTGAGCAGCTGGGACGTGTTAAGCTGTCGCCCATGGAGGGCGAAGACGCTCGCGATGAAGCTGATGAGCAGCAGAGTGACAATAGTGATGAGCCAGGAGATGGTGGCGACAATGTAGACCACGGAGAAGCCGGTCGTGACGGCGGAAGACGTTGCAATGGGTCAAGAGAAGGGGACAAAGATGTCGAATCCGACGATGGTGCAACCGCCAGAGAAGGAGGCGGACCGCCGGAACCCCAAGAGGTTGCCGGGGTTGCTGATTGAGAGCCGCGGGATGACGAAATTGCAAAATGTACCAGCGAGTCTTCGCTCATTGTCTCTGAGTCCGAGCGAGCGCTCTCATCATCTCCTTGTTCGTGATTCTCAACTTGAATGTTCTCTTGGTGTTTGTTCTCAGAGCCGTGATCAATCAATGAAGCTTTGCTTGTGCTTGTGTTGTCGTACCTTGCGCGCTTAGGGCCAGGCGCGAGGTCAGGCTGAGGCGAGTCAGAGTTCCAGTCGTAAAGAGGGCGAGAGCGCTTCTGAGTCATGATTGTAGTTTGAGAGATTTCTTCAGCTGTTGCGTGCTGTCGAGATGCTGATCAAGTGGCAATAATCCACGTGTCCGTCTTGATTTTGTTCCAACCGTTGCGTGTTTACGCCTCCCTGGTGCTCAGCCAGAACTTGGGTGAAGATATGGTGAAAGTGATGCAAACGTATTCAGATCTTCAGGTACGCGTTGCATCCGTAGGTAAAGTCAGTGGCAAGCTCTCTCCTAGGTGCGCCTCAGGGATTCTGAGTAGGTCTTAGGTATGGTTCTGGTGGAAATAAGGTTTATCTTCTCGCTTTCGTATCTGACGACGATAAACCAGGTCTGAATAGGTCTAATACACAATTGAGAGTCGTTAATGTTTTAGGAACGTGGTTTCAATACTATCTTTGTATCTACTATCTCCCATGGGACAAGAGTTAGGTAGCCTCTCCGGAATATTTTGGTCTCTCGTGTCAATCTCCGGTAGACCCGTATTAGTCGAACAAATAGCTTGAATCGGATTCTTCGAACTTTGGCGCTCGAACAGAGACGTTCCCTTTGCGGGCATCTTTGAGCGCTTTCTCTACGGCCGCCTGGAATTTAGACAGATGTTCTTTGGCCGTCTTCAAAGACTCGCTTATCTTTTCAAGCTCGGCGACTCGAGCTCGAGCGGCTTCCAACTTTTCTGGGTTTGCCTGGATGTCCTTGCCGACTAATGCCAAGCTCTCTTTCACTTTGACGCGAGAGTCGTTGAGTAAGCTCGTTGCCTGCTTGAGAGAAGCCGGCTCAGTGTCCGGTGACATCGTAGTAAAACTCTGGTGATGGAAATCGTCTTTGTATTAAGCAGTGTCGTGCTGAAGCTGAGAAGTGCGGGTCTGTAGCATAAAGAGACGCTGCTGGATGTTGGTTCATTACTGTCGAAGTTGAGTTAGTACTGGAGTTATGAATCCACATTCTTGCTCGCTGTGTAGGGATGAACCACGATAATGAAATTGTCCATTGAAAGTTACCAAGCAGCGGTGCTCAGATATCCACGATTCAGTCTTGTGTCAACGAAGTTGCGCTCTCTTCGATGAGGCGGAAAGAAGAAGGAGTTTGCCTGAAGAAGCTTGAAGGATTGAGACTTATTGGGAATAGATCTAAGTTTTGTAAGTGTTGTCAGAAGTACTCGTGGGTGCTCCTAGCCATAGATGATACTCCAAATGCTGCCTGGCCATGAGGCGCTCCGCATCGTTTCCTTTTGGATTGTCATTCTTACTGTGCCCAAGACAGAAAGCTCTTTCTAAAAAAACCGTCCGTCAGTGGCATACCTTGGGCACCACCGCCATCTTGACACATTATCGCACGGCCGCAACAACTCATACTAATTGAACAAAGCGCAGCAACCACGCTCTGGCTATTATCTCCACATCATACAGAAATTGGAAGATGACTTTAGAGTAAATGTCCGCCAACAAAGTCACTGAACAACACGGAAGCCTCAAAGCTAGGCTCGTGCGCCGCAGCGGCTTGACACGCTTCACGATTGTCAAGGTCCGAGCGACAGGCCACTACCACGAGGAAGTACGGCGGATTCTATCTGGCGAGAACAAGACATCCAATCATAACAAGAGTCACGGGGCAGACGGCGAGGACACAACTCCAGAGAAGACAGCTCTCATCAGCCCATCACCCACGCACCAGACATCCAACAGCGATCAAGTTTACCCTCAGGTCAAAGCCATGGCGCCATCAACGGTGAAGCAGCCCAGCAACAACGGCCTCATGCCTGGCAACCCCCCACGGGGCACCACCAAAATCAACGTCAAAACCCCCAGCAAACAGACGCCACCGACATCACGCCCCGAGACCCCGGCCACCACCACCACCACCAATACTCCGAAAGAGCCCTCCGCCTCTTTGAACAATAATCCCAGCAGCGGCGGCGGCAGGATGATAGACCCCAACGACCAGCGCTTCAAGCCCGACGCCCGGATCAAACACCTGACGAGCCTGTACAAGCAAGAGCTCGACAACAACATCGCGTTGCGCAACCAGCTCGAGGTCTCACAGCGGTACATCAACGAGCTCGAGGCCAAAAGAAAGGTGCTTGAGAAGGAGGTCACCGAGCTGGCCAAGTATCGCGAGTCCATTGCGCAGATAAGGCGGAGCGTGTCTGGGCTTTGACTCATGTGCTTTCACACAACTCAAGGACTGGTTCAGAAGCGGTGCTCCTACGGTCTCGAATGCTGTTCCATGTGTGAAGGTAGCTTATACACACAAACTTATCAAATCTTGTACTTGGCCTGTGAAACTCAATCTGAATGCCCGAAGAGCCCAATGAATTGCATGCGCGTAAATATGAGCGTGCTCGCTCGCTATGTGCCCGAACCCGTAACTCCTTAAAATGCATCGTTATCATAATTGATGAGCAGTCCACAGATACCCTACCGCAAGAGCCGTCCTCGGAGTAGGGCTCATCCTCGCTGTCATCCCCTCCATCTACCAATCCGAACTCATGTCGTCGTCCTCTGAGCAGTCCGAACCAGCATACCAGCTAGCGCCAGGCACTTCACAATCCTCCATCTTGGCCTGTACTGCGGCGTCGTCCTCGGGTTTGTTGATCTCGGTATTCCCCTCGAACAAGCGGCCGGTGCCATCGTAGAAGTTGCCCTCATTCTCCTCACTACCCGGAAAGCGCCACTCGTCGATGAATTCGGCCCAGAAGACGCTCTCTCTGGCACGCTCGATGACATCCAGTTCCACGTTGGAGCAGTTGATTGGTGTCGACGGGCTTAAATCGCCTTCTGCGGCAGAGCAAGCAGTCTGTCGGCGGAGCCGCTCTTGCCGGACAAGATCAAGCACCCGACGGCTGCTCTTGCTTGTGTAGTCGGACATGAGCGTGAAGAACTCGTCGAGCGGCAGCTCGCCGGTGCGGACCATGGCGGAGATGGCATCGAGATTCTTGCGCATGGGGGAATGCTGGTAGTCTACCTTCTTGGCCCACTTGATGTACTCTTCCTCTCCGAATAGTTGGCTCAGCATGGGCTGCCAGAGGACCGAGACGTGCCCTGATGTGCCGATGTCGTCATTGTGGTCTCCACATTTGTCTCCCTGCACGAGATGGACCTGAAAGCCTGGGAGTGCTGTGTCGTTGGCCACGCGGCGGGTGGTGATAACGTGTGCGGCTGCCGGGCAGGCTGCAGGTAATGGTGTGGCCGGCTGTCGGAGCCGCTCTTGGCCGGCGGTGTACCACGACTGAGATATGTGCTGCCACCTTGTCGCCGCCAGCTCTGCGAGAGTGCACCCGTGCTCCGGAAGTGCGAGTCTGCCAACCTCCTCGCCGATAGGTTCTCTCTTGAAAATCGCCCGGGTGCGATCCTCCGACAGCCCCTGGTACTTCAAGACAAACTTGAGGTGGAAGGGTGCACTGCCCACAAGCTCACCGCTGTTGCCGGCGCTTTCGAGGGCAGCAGCAACCGCTGGGACATGCTTGAGTTGGAAATTGTAATCTCTGAAGATTATCTCGGTGTTTCTGAGGTGCCTGTCGCTGAAAGCAAGCTCTGTTGCGGCCTTGAAAGATGACGAGACCCGCCGGAAGTTGAGCCAGGCACGGGGGATGTACCGCGAGTCTGTGACAAAGCCAATGATGCGAATCCATAACTCAAGAGGCAGTGGTGGGCATTTGCTGGAAATCTCTTTCGATTTCATGTCCTTGGATTTTGCATCCTGGCCCGACTTTGCTACCGGTGCCATTGTACATGGTTCCATCTCGTCGTGGAAGGAGAGCGTGAAGGTGCTGAACGTGGAGCACAAGGAGCGGACGGCCTTGACGGCGCTCTTCCCTTCAGATTGCAGTTCAGATCCCAGATCGCGGGGCGAAGCTCACAAGAGCCTGAGGGAGGCCCCTTTTCCCACCGACTGTAAATACTCTGGATTGAGCAACGGCGGGCCAGGCCAAGGAGGCTAAGAGGGTTCTAAGTGCTGAGTGGCGTCCCCACATGGACTCCCGACGAGAATTGGCAGTTGGACCACAACACGGGCCGGCAGAGCCCGGTATCGACTTGGTGTTGCGAGCACAGAAAGAATGTAGCTGGAACTGACGTCCAGAAACCGAATCCTCCTTGAAAATCAGCTGGGCGTTTCTGGAGTTGCGTGGTAGATGTTTCGAGCGTTGAAGGATAAGAGATGAACAAGAACCACGGTCGCTGGCTCGAAAGGATGAACAGTGGACGGGATGCAAAAGAGACTGAAAGTCTAGAGTCGTGAGGCAGAGGAGGTGCTTCAGGAGGTTGAGGATGGAGAGCGTGGATGTGTGCAGGAGGTAGTAGTAATCCGGGGTCGGCGTCTTGGCTGTGGCGCGAGTGGCCCGTGTGGTTGACGGGCTGCAGAGGGGATCGCCATTCCCCAGCTCAAGATCTACGGCAGACCGCCATGCCATAGAGCCAGTTGGCGGTGCACGCGACGAGTGCGTGGTGATTAGGTATTAGTGCTGACTGACGCGAGCAACTGGAGATATTGCACCATCGAGAGGGGGTTTCGCGGCCACTGGATGACTCTGGGGTGCACTGTCTCACCGCGGAAGCCTGAGGCAGTGAAGGGCGGCCCACATGGCAGATGGCGACATTCCTCGCCCTTTCCTCTCGTCAGCACCTCCTTCGTCCACGTCCTCTGCCACGCCGCTGCACGTTCCACAGCGCACCTCCATGGCCTACAAAAAAAAATGTATGCCACCTGGGCAGTTCACGGGTCCAGCCCAGACCTGTCATGTCGCCGACTGCAACCCTCTTCAGCCGTGGTGCAGCTCCGACAGCCGCCTTGGCATGCACGACCCTCTTTTGGGTGCAGCACTGCGTCCCGTCATTCGCTGACTGTGCGGCAGTTGCAGCTTAAATTTGTGGCAGCTGCTCTGCCCAATGACTAAGCGCACCTTGAAGCAAGGCGGATTTTGGTACTGTACAGCAGCAGGCGCGGTCGCGCTTGCCCAGTGCCGCTTCACTTGTGTCAATCCAGGGTCCCATCCGGGAGCTCTGGCCGCCAGCTAAACCTCATCCAGCCACGGAATTCATCTTCCTCGCAAGCACCACAACCATTCCCACTCTTGCATGCCAGACATACGATGCTGCCGAAAAAAAAAATTCATTTCTGCTCGCTTCCATCTTTGGACTGTCTCTTTTAATGCCCACTGCCGCCATTTACTGCCTCCTGCAAAACTTGCTTGGCATCTCTCGCTGCTTCCCATCTCATGTTCGCCGCCATGGGTAGCACGTTGCAGGGAGCCTTCATGGCCGCCCCCTGGACAGAGACTGTCGACAAATCGAGTTCAGCATATGGGTCAAGCTGAAGTCCTTTTCGACAATGAGTGGCTATGTAAAGTCCCGGCCGCCGGGCCCTTTTACGCCCTTGACGTTCTACTCAGCATTGCTGCCCGAGCGACATGCCTATTGGTCTGATGACAGCGACGTCCATGGACTTGGCATACAACGCTGCCCGCCACCCCTGGTTTCTCCGAGACCATCGTCACGGCACTGGACGTCTCATGTGTTAACCAGGACGACCTCTCCACGACATGTTAACTCATTATTCGTGGCCTGGTCTTGTTCCCACCCCGAAGTCGGAGACAAACAGATGAAGTCTCGGTTGCTCGAATTGAGCTCAACGACAACAAGCCAGAGACCAGACCCGGTGCCACGGCGACGCCGCCAAGCTTCGCACAACATGGCCCCGACATACCGCAAGCAGTCTTGGCTTGAGCACGACAACGCCGACAACCTCGTGCCGTAGAGGCAGCCTCACCCACATAACGGGACGCAGCCAGTCGCGCATGACCATCTAATCACGTCACCTTCCATCGTCAACTGGTAATCAACAGCATTCTGAGCTATCTGCATAGTTGAGTATACATTTGATACAACAAAAGGCCAACACCTTGGCAACGACTTTGGGCATTCTTGCGCACGTCTCGTTTCGGGAGCCTCCTGGCGCAAGGTCTGCACAAGGCTTCAACCAGGTCGGACAATCAGCGGCGAGAACAGACCATCTCAACGAACGGAAGATTGTACAGCAGTCTCGTCATGAAGCACAGCCTCATTATGCGACAAGGGGTTGTCATCACCGACACTTCCTCCACGAGCCGCCTCCCAATTCGCCCACTTCTATCTGCCCCTCGACTACGTGGGAGGACCAGCGTAGTGCTTACGGCCCCAAGCAAGGTACCAGAAGATGGACACAGCACTGAACACGAAGAAGACGACCGATGCGTAGTTCATGAACGCCGGATCCACAGGGATGGTGCTGGGCATGCAGAACAGAGGAATGGCGAGCAGAGTCCAGCCTACAGCGCAATATTAGCAACAATGCTCGTCATTGGGGGGGGGGGGGGGCGAGTCAAGTTGGCCATGAACTTACCGACAGCAACTGTGTTGCAGAAGTATCCAAGCGCATTGCCCATGTTGAAAGACGCAGTCTGGATGGTCTTGCGACGCTCTGCCATGCTGATGACGATAGGCGTGGCATAGGCAGCCGTCAAGCAGATGACTCCGACACCAGAGAAGGCATTGAAGGCGGCAGATGATCCAAAGTAGATGACACCAAGGATGATTTCAACCACCATGCTCAGCATCATAGCATTGAGAGGCACGTCGAGGCCTGTGTGCACCTTTGCCCACCACTTGGAGCCTGGAATGGCACCATCACGCGCGAAGGCCCAAACAGCACGAGCACAAGCAGTGGTGCAGCCGATGCCACAGAGAATGGCCAAGACCATCAGAGGGATGAGCAGCGCGAAAGCACCTCCGTCATTGCCCACTGCACTCTTGATAATGGCAGGCACAGGCTGGGCCAGCAGAATCAGGTCCGAAATCTCGGGAAGGACAAACAGGAGCGGGATCAGGAACAACAAGCCAGCGAACGTGTTGAGAACGACGGCCAAAACCATGGCCTTGGGCACCTGGGTGGCTGGGGCGCGAACCTCTTCACACATGCTAATTCCGGTATTAGTATCAATCGAGGCTGGGTGCGCTGCCAAACGTAGTTGCGTTGTACTCACGAGATAATCATGCCAGTTGACGAGGTGGCATAGGCGGCTTGCAGCAGGCCGACCATGAAAGACCAGCCAGGGGCCCAACCTGAGCTGGCCTCAAAATGAGTGAAGACCCACGCAGCGTCCCGGCGTCCGTTCTTGGCAATGGCGAGGATGACAGCCGTGATGGCAATGACACCTGCGAAGGTCCAGAAGATGGCAAAAGTCTACGTCGCGCCAAAGTTAACAAATGGGCCACTAAATCCGACGGCCCCCTGAAGGTTCCACTTACGTCGAGCAGAGGCAGCCACTTGTTGCCAAGCGACGAAACCAGGTTGCAAATGATTGTGAGGCCAACGAAGATGAGGAAGACCTGGTACGCTTCGCCGGCGAGGACGGGCCCACCGTCGGCAGTCTCAAACACATTGACACAACCAACAAAAAAGAGCGCAGTGCCAAAGTTGACGGCGAGAGTGATGGTGATGTTGCCAGACACGTAAAGCCAGCCGCAGACCCAGGCAGCCAGGCGGCGGTAGCTCGCCGGGGCCAGCATGAAGGACTGGTAGTAGACACCGCCAGCAGTCGGGTAGACACTGGTGATCTCGCCCAGAGAGGCGGCGACGCAAATGGTGATGAGTGAGACCATGACCCAGCCCCAGACGACATTGACTGGGCCACCGCCGTTGAGCGGGTAGAACAAGGTGGTGGCAAGACCGTAAGGGATCGACGCGAGGACGAACGACATGAAGGCGACCTGCCATGTCGAACGGTTGCGGCTGAGCTCAGGCTTGTAGCCGAGCGACGTCAACAGCTCGTCGGCGGTGTTTTCGCTCCCGGAGTTGCGCACGACACCTCCAGAGGAGCCGGGCGCATCCTTGTAGTCCATGCTGGGGCGTTTCTGGTCCATGGCTGCGGTGGCTTGTTTGTCGGTTCAGTCGCGGGTGGGGGGAGACGTCGCAGGCGCTGATTGAGCGCAGCTGGAGATGCGGGACAAGAGGGTAGGTGTCTCACGCGACCATGCAGCTGTGATGCCAAGTGCTGGGAAGTAGCAGTGGGCGCAGAGACAAAGGGAGCTCGCGAGTGCACACGGCTTCCTTTTTGCTTTCTCTGGGTATCCGGAGCGGGAGAGAGGCGCAAGGCTGAGAGCTTTGCGAGAGGTACAAGGAGCGAATGGGAAGAGGGAAGAAAAGGCGAGCTGCGCGCAGAAGTAGAAGGGGCAGCGCGAGTCGTGCACTTGAGTTATCGTGGAGCTGGCGGCCGCAGCCGCAGGCATGTTGGAAGCTTGGCCAGCACCAGCAACGCTCACTCACTCACTCACCACCACCACCGCCAGCACTCGGGCTGGGCAGCCTGCCCTTCCAGGTTGCAAGGGTGTCGCGCGTGGCTTCGCCGCCCGCAGCGGTCCACCCGGATTTGGAGCGTCCCCGAAAAGGCCCCATCTGCGAATCCCACTCTCGATGGCTCCGACTGGCTGCAGGCAAGGGAACTACTACTAACAAGATGAACCATAAGTCGCGAAGCCCACCTGGGGGGCCCTGCCATGACGCAAGGATGCTCGTCCGCCGGTGCGACTAGCGCCGACAAAAGTTTTCGGCCAGCGCGAGACGTCCTGTGCGACTGGGCTGGGCAATCTTGGAGCACCAGCCTCGGTGAGCAATGCGGCACTTGCGAGCTGGGCTTGGCTACCACCAAGGCCAGCCTGATCACCTCAAGGTAATGCCTTCTGTGATCCTTGGAAATGGTGTCGTTATTGTTGTTGTTGCAGAAGAGTCTAGAAATGGCCTATTTCCCCATCCCCATGGCTGCAGCATTCATCGTGCGCCAACACGAATTAAGGTTAATCACACCCAAGTGCCGCAGCCGGCCGAGAAGAGAGAAGAAAAAAAACCACGCAAAAGGCGTCCGTCGCACGTGGGCGGGCGGCACAGCGGATGGAGGGTTCAGTTCTGCTTCCTGCACAGTCGTACCGATAGCGCAGCATCGGCTGGGCGACGCGCTTCTGGAAGTTCTCGGAGCCGTGAATCTGACACCCCTGGTCTGACCCTGGCCTGCGCCCGGTCCGCCCGTCACGCACAACCCCGGCCGGTCACGATAATCTCCAATCCCTCCACTGGTTGCCTCGATGTAATCAGCACATGCCTCATTCTTCACTGATAGCAGCCCGCCGTAGTAATCAATCAGCGTCGCTGGCTAGTGGACGTCCCCCATGGGCAAGATAACGCCACCAATGGAGAGCTGTGGGTCACCCTCCATCCTGACAGCCTTGACTTTGACCAGATCTTTTCCCGATCCTGTGCGGCTCACTGCGCACACTTCTGCCCACTTGTCCCTGCACATCAATCAATCAATCAGTCAGTCAGTCAATCACGTGTGCTGGTGGTCGCGACTCTCAGCCGCAGGTCGAGGCCAAAGCTACCCCAACTCTTGGTGTTATGCATGAGGTGCCTAGACCCCCTGGATGATACGTTGCAGTGTTTGAACAACGACCAACAACAATAATATTACACACAAGCCATCGCTCTCCAATGAGATCCACCCAGGGTGCAGTCGCATTTTACGTCCTCAGACGACGCTCGGCCCGTCTCCTTGTCCTTCTTGGACTAGTCCAGGCACACGCGCACGCGGATCCGTCTACTCGCGCCGACGGTGCCCGAGGATCCTTGCGCCTGCCCTGGCTCCTGGCACTTGCGGCGAGATCTCCTCAAGATGGCGACGAAGCACATGCTCCCGCGTGTGTTGTTGGTCGTGCCGAAGCATTGCGCAGGAACCCTTGGCGGCCTGATCAGAAACTCTATTTTCCCTGTTCAAGATGCATCGGCTGCGACTCTGCACAGGGAAGTTGACTACAAATAATTTCGTATACAGGCTTGGGGGTAAAGGGCACCTTGGCTTGGACCCCTGATTGACGGAGAAGCAACCGCAGGCAGCCATTTCAATTGGACTATTTCCCCGGCCGCTGCCAAGCCGGGTCATCGACAACAGGAGACCAACCCCGTTGACCAACAAGAACGTTTGTCTCCTCGACGACGGCTTAGAAGGTAATTAGCAACCGGACCGACATGCTTTTCTTTTGTCCCTGCGAAAAGTCAGGCGAGAATCTTCAGCATTGAGCCCACACAATGACGTCGGGAGCTGAGCTATGGGCACTTCGGAAGTCAGGCACAGTAGCGGTGCAGAGACAACGAACAAGAACGTTGGGACGCTGTCAGAGTGGTTCTCGATGTCCACTTTCGTTCCACAACAAGTCCACCACCCTTATGGGGAGGCCCCTTTTCCCCGTCCCCGCCGGCCGAGGTTGGACGTCGCCGTTTCTCATGCCCACTTTCCTGACGCTGGTGGATGCTGCTGAATCTGCCTTGTCGTACTGTGGAAGTCTCTGTTCGGACGCAGTGGGCTACACTGCGTACTGTGCGGCACCAGTTCTGTTGCCGAAGATGGCGGCTTTGCGGCTACTGGCGGTTTCGCCAGCAACGATGATCGCTGCTGACGAGCCACAGAATACAATAGGGTATGTAACCGTTAATGTGGCTGAGTCGGTTCGCTGCGGGCTCGGGGATGATGCACATGGACGAAGTTGAGGACGATATTCATACACTTTATTTCCTCGGCATTGAGCTTTGTAGGCTTCGCCGCTGACAATCAATCAATTGATCCTCTGGGCTCCCGTCTGCAACTGAATCGCGAGGTTACGTGTCCTCGTTGCGTGTTGCAACTTGAGACGGACAACATGCTCGTTGCCGGACACGCAGATGGGAGGCAGCCCTCGACTTTGAGACCGCCGAGACACTCACTGACATGTGTAAAGGGCCCTGAGAGATGAGTACTTAACTTGGCGCTCGAGCCAGTGCAGTTTGAGATATGGTGTTCCATGAACATGAGGTTATGGACTGTGGTTTCAGCGGTGCCAAAGCGCCTGATTCTGTGTTGCCTCCTAAAATAACTTCAGCCCTCTCCGTCTTGGCATATCATGCTTGCTCATGTTTTTAGAGTTTCAGCTTTGGCTAGCCGAGCCACGTCCCCTCCCATGCAGCAGATCTCTCGGTCAAACGAGGACGCACTCATGCTAGACTTTACAGGTTTGCTACCGACCGCGCTTGCATTTGCCGCACTAGCAACAACGCCACTGCAAGTTTCAAGGGGCGTTAGCTCGTTCTCTGGTGGCGATCAGAGCACCCGCCGCACCAATAACACCAGTGCTTCTCAGGTACTTTCTACATTCACAGGGGCAATGGCATGCCTGAATGTAAACTGTCGCGAATGTGCACACCGAGACTGTAATGAGCAGGCCACGCGGTTGGTGTTTGTCCAAAGTCCCTGTGTAGATCCTCATGTCGGACAGCGGCCCGCCTGAAGCCTCCCGAGGTCTGCCGTCGCCGCCCGTCGAGGCTCCTTGAACAGTACGTACCCGAGGTTGCAGCCGGAGTTGATGCCGGTTGGGGCGTTAAGCATACGGCTGAGGAACCACCACCCACCTGCTCCATGGACAAAAGACGGCGCCGTCCAGCTGAGTCGCACATGTAATGCATCTTTTTTCTACGGCACGAGCTGCATTGGGTTAAAGTGCTGGACAGCTTACTCGCTCGAACTTCGCTGCCCTCTTGTCGCGACAGCAATTGTCCCCCGTCTGGGTTGCCTGAGCGTGAGACAACGACCACCAGCAGAGTTCACACGCTTAACACTAAGTCAAGGCGTGACACCACAATGGGCGGCGGCCGGAGTATTGATGTTTGCTTGTGCACCCCCTCGCGTCAGGCATTGCGACCTGAGGCGGCAGAATACCGCATGCAAGATTGATGCGGCTGCTTAAGGCCACTACTAGCTCTGCAAGTGTTTGCTGGTGATGGCCAGCGACGTGCCATCCATCCCTTTGGTCGCACCACCGATAAGGGGCATCACATTGCATCTAGCCACCGTCGCCAGCATTATACCTGCAGCTTGGTGGTTGTCTTTTTCTCTCTCAATTTCTACCAGAAACATCGCAGAAGACGCATCCAGCAGCAGAAACTGCTTCTTTGCATCAAGATGGCTCCCGTGGGCTCCTTCACAGAGATGGTCCTCGACCAGAGCCAGCGCCTCTCTGGCGCAAAGCAGCAGACAGTCGCCATCGACAGCCAGAACCTCACCATCGCCGACGTAGTGGCCGTCTCGCGGCATCTCGCCCAGGTCGAGCTCACCGACGACGCCATCGAGGCCATCACTGCCTGCAGCGACATCATTGCCGAGAAGCTGGCCCAGGGCGAGGTCATCTATGGCGTCAACACGGGCTTTGGCGGCAGTGCGGACACCCGGCCTTCAGACGTCGAGAGGGTGCAGCAGAGTCTCATCAGCCATCTCACCTGCGGCATTGTCTCGGATGGTGGCAGTCGTGGGCAGCAGCAGCAGCAATACGTCACGCACTCGTCACTTGCAACTCACAATGCTCTTCATGGTTCTCATGGCACTAAGAACAGCCTGAGCAATGGCAGCGCCAAGGACCATGTCAATGGCAAGACGAATGGACACAAACACCGCAAGGCCTCGGCCAGCGTGACGCTGCCTCTGAATGACCCCAATGCAGCGACGTGCATGCCCGAGTCCTGGGCTCGTGCTTCGATGCTCATCCGCCTCAACTCTCTGGCTGGCGGTGCGTCTGGCATTCGCCCGTGCCTTGCAGACAATCTGGTGCAGCTGCTCAACAAGGACATTGTGCCTCGCATCCCGGTCCGCGGCAGCATCTCTGCTTCTGGTGATCTCAGCGCGCTGGCATGGATTGGTGCTGTGATGCAGGGCAAGACGTCCGCGACCGCTCTTGCTGGTCCCAGAGACGGCTCCGGAGCTGCTCGTCGGGTGACCACTGCTGATGTCGCGCTCAAGGAGGCCTCGATCGAGCCCATCTCGCTTCATGCCAAGGAGGGTCTGGCCATTGTCAACGGCACTGCAGTGTCTGCAGCCGTCGCTGCTCTTGCCGCACACGAGTCGTTCAACCTCGCGGCCCTGTCTGAAGTTCTGACAGCCATGAGTGTCGAGGCGCTTCGTGGCAGTGACGAGAGTTTTGAGCCGTTCATTGCTCGTATCCGGCCGCACCCAGGCCAGATCGACAGCTCCCGCAACATCCTGGCCTTCCTGTCGGGCTCGAAGCTGCTCAACCGCCACGACAGCAGCAATGTGGCGACACTTCGCCAGGATCGATACTCCCTGCGCACGGCGAGCCAGTGGATCGGCCCCGTCCTCGAGGACTTCCAGCTCGCCCACGACCAGATCACCATCGAGCTTAACTCGGTCACGGACAACCCGCTCATCGACGCCCAGACGCACCGCGTCTTCCACGGCGGCAACTTCCAGGCGCGCGCCATCACGTCCGCGGTCGAGAAGCTGCGCCAGGGCCTGCAGAGCCTCAGCCGCATGCTCTTCAGCCAGTGCACGGAGCTCATCAACCCGGCGACGAGCTGGGGCCTGCCTCCCAACCTGTGCGCCGACGACCCTGCCGACTCGTACCTCTTCAAGGGCCTCGACGTGGTCATTGCCGGCCTGACGTCGGAGCTTGGCTTCCTCGCCAACCCCGTAGGCTCGCACGTGCAGACCGCCGAGATGGGAAACCAGGCGCTCAACTCGCTCGCGCTCGTGTCGGCCCGGTACACGCTGGAAGCGGTCGACGTCCTCTCGCAGATCTGTTCCGCCCATATCCTCGCCCTGTGCCAGGCCCTCGACCTCCGCGCCATCGAGATCGAAGGCGGCGGCGGCCAGGAGGAGGAGAAGTTGCGACGGCAGACGAAGCCAGACGCCACACCGTACCTGGGCACCGCCGCACGGCGCATGTACAACTTTGTCCGCGGCGAGCTGGGCGTGCCGTTCCTGAGCGAGGCGCATCTCGCGTCGGCGGAGCCGGTCTACGCGGACATGATTGCCTCGCCGAGCATGGGCTTGTACAATACCAAGGTGTACGAGGCGATCCGGTCTGGCCGCGTGTACGAGGTTGTGATTGAGTGTCTCCGGGAGGCCGAGGGCGCCACAACTGCACCCGCGACGAAGGCGAGTGCAACCAACGGCCACTGAGGAATGTACGTTGGGAAAAGCCTGTTGACACGAAAGCGAATGTTACGACTTCGTAAAAAACCACCCAGAGGAGAGACAGACTGAGTTTCTGCAAGGGCATAGACGTGAAGCTCTCGGATAGAATGTTGGACTTTGGAGTTTTTACCGGCAAGCGTGCGCGTACCGTAAACAAGTCTAGACTTGGTCGAGGGCCTTTGCAACTAGAGCTGAAGACATGCTATACTTTAGAGGAGTTTCAGAGTTGTCATTCAACCGGGCATAGCTGGCGAGACACTGGAAGACTTTGTTCGAGGTTTCCACACAGCTAGGAAGCGTTCTGGGCACACGAAAAGGGTGATAGACAGCCAGTATGGAAGCTCACCATCCTAGACTTCACCAAAGTTTTCACAGGGATTAAGAACCATACAGAGCAATAGATCCTGAGGAACATCCTCTACACTGTCTGTTCCATTGGAAGGTGCTTGTTGTCGTTCGTAGGCCTGGAGTCAACCCTGCGGGTGGAGTACGTTGTTCCCAAGGGCCCTCCAGGGCTGACGGCGGCGGCAAGTGGACCCCTGCTTGGGCTGGATTCGAGGGTGCTGCGGCGGGGCTTTCAGGCAGCAGCTCCGCCCTGGAACGTTGCTCCTCCAGAACGTCTGCAGGATCCCTTCCGTTGTTGACCTTTGCCTCGTTCAACCCAAAGCTGCACGAGTTGCTCGCCTACCCTTCCTGCTGCGACTTTCACGCTCGCTTCTACTCGTTAAACGCCCCTCACTCTAAAGGCTATCCATACCAAGTACAGTTCAAGCCCACGGACCGGTCAATATGGGCAAACCCTCCTTCTTCAAGGGCCCCGGTGGCCCCCCCACAAGCGCTGGCTCCAGTTCTCGGGACGCCTCAGACGCCATGTCGCTGCACACGAACCCGGACTCCAGCTCTCACCCGCTCCTCGGCAATGAAGACGACGATGATGATGACGCTCTTCAGCTTGCTCCCGGCATCGACGACCTCCCACCGAGCTATTCAGAATTCTACACGGACGACGCCAACGCACCCGCTGCTGCTCCCACATCCTCCGCCACCAATGGCCCGAACGATCCCTTCTCAAGCGGCTCGAACCTTCCCGTGCCCGCCTTTAAGGAAGACGCCAACACCCTCGCGCAATTCTACATATCCTCGGACTTCGAGGTCGCCGAGCAGCTCGAGCAGCAGATCACCGAGCTCGCCAAGATCCCCCGCGGCCGTACGTCCAGCTGATCGGCACACACTCCCGCACGACGCGCGACAGCAAGGGCAAGACGGAGCGCAAGACGGTCACGGACTTTGACGTGTCCGTGGACCTGACGCCGTTTCTCTACCGGGACGCGACGCACCGCAAGTCCTGGTCATACCTGCGCACCGTGGAGAACAGCGAAAAGGTCCGCCGGGGCACGGTGCTGCGCAAGCGCGCGCCGGGCGTCAAGCACGACCTCGAGGTCGGCGGGGAGGCGAAGCCGGGCCTGCGCGAGTGGTGCCACCGCTTTGGCGCGAGCAGCGCGGGGCTCAAGTGCTTTGTGCTGCGCAGGGAGATGGTCGGGTTCGACGAGGCGTACGTCAGGAACCAGCTGCTGCGCCTGATTGCGGACACGAACTACCGCGGGAGGTACGAGGTCCGGATCGGGATGAAGGGCGACACGGTGGAGATGTACAACGACGCCAAGATCAACCGCTGGCGGTTGACTACCTGGGTGCAGTGGCTGTTCACGCTTACGCTCCTGTTCATCTTTTCGTGGCCGTATCTGTTCTTCCGCACGAAGCGGTGGGAGGTTGCGGTCGTCGACTGGCCTTTCAGCCGCATGACTGATGGCAGCAGCGGCGGCAGCGGCGGCGGGTCTAGCAATGGTGAACCCAGGAAGGAGTACGTCAGCCTGAGCGAGGAGCAGTGGTACAACATGTGGGCGCGCGCCATTGCGCGGGCTGTCGTGGAGAAGAGGCAGACCACGCTGACCCAGCTGGACCTGGCCCGGGCCGAGGGTCAGGCTCCGGCGTTCACTTCGGGGAACCAGACTGTCGATAGCTTGTTCCGGGCTGGCATGGGTGCCATGAATGCCATCAACCATCAGTTGGGATGGGGGCATGATGAGTGATGGGAAGGTCCTGGTAATCTGATGCTTTTGGACTTTGGCAGTGCTAGGGAGGGGGAGGATGGTTGTGACGTTGCTTGCATAGCGGTGTCATGGTGGTGTGTTTGCGCTTGGGAAGGACAAGCAAGCTTGTCCCCTTTCTGGTCGTGATGAGGCTGGGTGCATCAACTAGAGGCTTCTTTCTATTTTTTCCTTTCAGCAGGCGTTTTCAAGAAGAGCTCGTTTTCCAAGAAAGCACATGTTTGATCCTTATCGTTGCTTCGCACAGAGTTCCCAGACATTGCCATGGTGCAGCTCTCACTGGCTAGTGGCTGAGCGTTACGAGGACTGCATGCCCCTCTCGCGTGATTTTAACCCAATTTGTCCAAGTGTGTCAAGTCATGATATCGCTTGGTTGACGTGTTTCGTACGTGTCAGACTTTTGTGGCTATGCATGAGTGGCCATGAAGACGGAGAGGTTGGGGGGCAAGCAACACGCATGCTGGCTCGAGATCCTTTTTTTTGAGATCCCTAAATTCGGAACACGCGCATCATGGTGCTATTCCCAGAGTTCATCTCTCAGAGAGGCTGGATAGTTGCGAGAAATGCTGTGATTACTTCCTCTCAGAACGGTGCGGCAGTTGCGAGGAGCACCAATTTAATGCCCGTCGGCCTTGAGCAGGGGTTTGCGATCCTTCTTCCCATTCGCGGGTGGGTATGAGCGGGTGCCTACATGCACGGTTCCCGCGCAAGACACTTCTTAGCCCTTGCCAAAAGAGAAAAGACGACTCTATGACTAGAGAGAGAGAGTCGGATAAAAGTTCTGGATCTGCGTGGGGACTTGCACTTAAGGTAACCCATCTGGGAAGGAGTTTTGCGATCGAGTTGAGAGTCGTCCGAATGCGAGGGAGGCCAGTGGGGGCGATGGGGCGGGAGGGCGTTATGGCTGGGCTGGAATGGGATTAGGTGATGTCAGGCACGCTGATCACCCCCTGCCTGTTGCTGCCTCTTGGGGCAAGCGCCATGCGAGCAGCCCCAGAGAGGTGGAGGGACATTGCGCCGACTCGCATTCTCGAGCTGGTCTTGGCATGATCCGCCAAGTCGGGCTGTGTGTGGGTGGTCTATGTTGTTGTTGTTGTTGAGGGCACGATATCTGCCTATTGCCTGGTGGTTCGTGCGACAAAATGACATCGTACATTCGCAGAAGATGGGACTTGATGGGAGGCAAGGTACTTGTCTGTAGCCAAGACCACTGTGGTATAAAGATCGTGGATGGCCAGTTCTCTCTGTAGGGCTGATACCTGCAATGGTCCTCATCAAGATCCCAATCGAGGTTGGTTGAAAGTAACATTTGCATTTATTTACTAGCATGCACTATACACGAGAACGACAATACCTTCTCGTAAAAGATCAACACACACCAACAACCATGGCCGTGTCCCCCCAACCACCACGCAACGCCTTCGTCGCCCGCGTTCGCAAGATCTACAACCCGGTCGGCTTCACCCACGGCTACAACTTCATCCTCTGGTTCGTCTTTGGCGGCGCCCTGCTGGGCTTCTCCCTCGCGCGGCTCCAGTATCTCGACTTTTACGGCACATACTGCAATCCAGACCGCTCCCAGCAGAGCGGCGCCCTGCCGGGGGAATGCTTCTACTTCCTCCGGCCGTTCTATAGCGCTGCCGTCATCCTCCACCTCGCGTGTATCCTGCCCGCGGCGATGCTCACCGTGCTGCAGTTTGTGCCAGCCATTCGCCACAAGCTGCTCATATTCCACCGCATCAACGGCTACATTATTCTTCTGCTGTCCCTGGCCGGAGCCGTCGGAGGACTCATGCTCGCTAGGCGCACTGCTGGTGGTGCAGTTGACGCGCAGGCCAGTATCGGAGTGCTGGGCGTTGCGTTCGTGCTGGCCTTGACTGCGGCATACTACAACATCAAGCGGATGCGTATCGATCTCCATCGGGCGTGGATGCTGAGGGCTTGGGCCTGGGTGAGTTTTCTCCGAACACAATCAGTTGTTGTCCCCTTCTCAGCCAAGCACAATGCCCAGGCCCCTTGTTCCTTTCACTGAGCTGACTCTTTCGACTTTTCTCCCCCCTTTCAGGCTGGCTCTATCATCACGATGAGGATCATCCTCATCATCCTCGCCATTGTCTTGCCGACCACAGACGCGTACTACTCCTCACAGCCCTGCGAAAAGGTGGCATGGCAGATGAACAACCCCGAGCTCGTACAAGCCGCCTACCCAGAATGCGCGGATTACTTCAACAGCACGGCCGGACCGCAGCAGCAAGAACAGCAGCAATTGCACGTCAGCGTCCTCGCCGCGTTCAGGGGTGCGCGCAACTCTGCACAGGTCATGTCTGCGTTCGACTTGTCGTTCGGGAGTGCCATGTGGCTCGCGCTGGCGATCCACGCGTTCGGGGTGGAGTTATATGTACGTTCCCAAAAGATTTCCCGTTTACTGTTCTTTATTTATTTGTTCGTTTGTTTGTTTTGCTGGAGTGGATGCTGGGCAGTTTACCCATTTTGACATGTTTTCATTAATCTGACTTTTTTTGGTGCAAAACAGTTGGCGCTCACCCGCAGCGAAGCAGCTCGGCTGCGGAAAGTGTCGTTGGAACGAAGGGGGAAGAAGGCCTCGAGTGGACCTTCGACGCCGTGAAAAGGTTGAAGGTATCTCGGAATCATGAGTGGACATGTCGTGGGTTTTTCTCCCACATGTCCCGACCGGGACCACCAGAGCCTTACAGACTGAAGTCCACATGATGAGACTCTTTTTTCAACCAAGGTATATGGATGAATTGTGCCGGCTCTAGATGTCTTGGTCTTTGATTGGATATAGTCCCGCTTTGTTACTTTAGCATGTCGGAGTTCTAGGTGGCAGCTGCACATTGATTCCTTCCATAGAATGTTATAGGGTACGAAGTCAAAGTGGAACAAGATTGACTACCTGATGCTGATTACTTGTAAATGAGGCGAGTTACTTAAGTATCTTTCTTTGTATCCACCATTTGAAGCATCCCAGGATGACGACGAGTGTCGAGGCCATGCCCAGTGATTGGCTGGTGTCAGCAACCAATCAGACTTCGACGTCAGCAAAGCCAAATCAGCTGATAGGGACTCAACGGCGGCCTCAAGGCCCTTTGTGCCAGAGTGTCCATCTCGATGCACTTTCTGCGGCTATTCACAGTCGTCGACCGAGACCAGCTCAACAGGCGAGAGACTCGGACGAGCCGCAACTTTTGCAACGACACAAGCACTGCCCGTCGTGCGAGCGATCAGTGGCGCTACCAAAACATCAAAGAACTAGGCAGCCGGCCTCGCTGTCTCACGCCACCGAACCCTCCTCCCGCCACTGCAAAGATGGACGGCAAGTCTGCCGCGAAGCCCTCGCCAGCCCCCGCGGGGGAAGCACGTGCAACATTCATCGCGGTCCTGATTGCGGGGCATTTCATAGCCTCACTCATCTTTGTCCCGGATTCTTGGGAGTCCCTGATGCGTGTTTCGAAGCCCAAGGCTCTGGGCGACCCGTCCAATCTGATCTTATGGGGATATCTCTATCTTTTCAACATGGTCCTGATTATGGTACTCGAACGTACCAGACCCTTGGATGCCACAATGGCCGTATGCGTCACAATGGGCTTGACTGGAGCCTGCCTCTCATCTTGGGCACTGCTCTTGAACTATTCGCGCAGTGTGGCGCTCACCTGGATCAGCCCCATTGGTTGGATGCCCTATCTGCTCCAACACAGCCTCCGTCGTTGGCGCAATATTATGAACAAGCCAAAGCCAACCAGAGGGCATCAGAGCGACAGAGGGACTTCTTATTCCCCCCCAAACATGGTCATCGACGAGGACGGCCGAGAGACCAGGTCAAGCAACAATGGACAGGACACGACACTAGTGATTTCGCCTCCCATATCCGAGGGTGTCCAGTCAGACACGGCAGCATCCAGCATGGAGCCACCCAAGACTCAACCTTCACGCCACGAACAAGTCCGCCAGTTCGTGATCAAATTGCTTCCGTACCTCGGAATACACTTCCTCGCCTTCCTTTTCAACATCACAAGCTTGATGTTGCACAAGCCAAAAACACCCTCTCAGAAACGCGAGGACAGCCAGGATTACTCTTTGGCTCTCTTTATCACTCTTTGGTTGGAGCTGGTGACCGGACATGACTTATACGTTGGTCTGCGGCGATTTGACAGCCGCTTCAAGGCGTGTACCGACTTCGGCGTCAATGGCGGGTGGGTCGCCACAGCCTTCAAGTTCATGATATGCGGCGAGCTTTTGCCGTCTTTCAGTTGGTTCTTGCCCGCCTTCTGGGTGTTCTTCTCCGTCGAGTTTCGGTTCGGCGTGAATGAAAGGGTTGTAAACTGGCTCGCAGGTGTTTTGGATAGGTAAACAGCCTTTGCCTCAGAATCACTGAAGCGGTCTTCGAGTACAAATTTAGGCTGCACCTAGCAGTTGCGAGTATCAAACGTTCCGAGGATACGACTGCGCGACAAGTGAATGGGTACACAGAAGATATCTTACGGCTACTGATACTTTGGGGAACTATGGCGGCCCGTGGAAAAGACCGGTCTTTGGTACCGACCCTATCAAGCCATTTAGACCATTCACAGGCCTGATGGGGTAGGCATCTGTACCATTAGAAATGAAACCACGGGCTCCTGTCTCCGCCCTTTCACCCCATGAATCAATGTGCCCCCTTCGGCTGCCTGCTTGTAACCCTCCTGACTTCTGGGCCTAGGGGCCTCTCACAGAAGGTAGAAAGACGATACAGTAGAGAGAACACGTCCGCTGCGCGAGATAGCCCTATAAGTCTCACTGTTACAGGCTCAGAGATTTTCCGAGGATATCTGAATTTAGGCGCAGACTTGAAACTGTGGCTGTGTAGTCTTCCACAAGAGCTGTTCCGATGCGCGGCTAGCGAAGTCTGTGGCCCACCACGACTACCTAGTACCAACATCTCCCCCCCTATCGTGTACACATGTCGCTCCCAAGGTTGTCTTGATAGTGGTTCAGAATCCCAGCTGTGGCTGTGTGACCGTTCTCGAAAGCTAACTGGTAAGTGAGCTCAAGACAGCCTGAGTACTTGCTCGACTCTGAGATGATATATATAAATCTATCACGTTTATGTTTCCCTTCTATTTACAGTCTATGCTAGCACTCCCTTACTGAACACATCTTTGCAACATAACGCCAATCATTTCTGGGTGTATTAATAAACACGCGCTCGGCCGATCAATTCCCGAAACCCATAGTCACTCGCAGAGATGCTGACCTCACGCGATCGACCTACCCCGCCGCCGAAGGTCCGCCGCTCCGATGTCTACTACGTCCTGTACATCGGCGGCCTGCACTTGCTCTTCACATGCGCCAACATGGCGGTTTGTCAACTCCACAAGCCCTTTTCGTCAGACACCGCCCACCAAGAATACTACGTCCTGCTGTACCTCTCGAGCCTCGTCATCGAGATCACGAGCGGCTTTCTCTTGTTAGACTCCCTAGGCGATTTCGACAAGCGGCTGACCGCGAGCTGCGTGTTCGCCCTCGCCGGCGCTGGCACAGCCCTGACGCTGTCGCTTGTGCGTGAGTATCCGCGGTTCGAAGACTTCGCGGCCATTGTCAGCTCTCTGGGTGTCAAGTTCTGGGTGTTATACGTCCTGGATCTTTCTCTGGGGATCGAGGAAAAGCTCGTGGACTGGGCCTCGGCCTTTGCTGAGAGAAAATTGTATCCAGCAAACAGCTCCCAGGCGTCGGACAGGAAGGGTTTGTGATCTGCTATCGCGGGAATCGTAGGGAGGCTGTCGAGTAGGAGTGCCAAGGAGGTTTCAAGGAGACAACGCTTATACTGGTGCGCCAGAGACTCAGAACGAGCAGTGGACATGTCGGGAAAATACGATCTCGGCAGTGGGCTGGAGCAACAGACGCGTAGCTTTATCACGGAGATACTTGAGAGAGAGGACTTTTCTTTTGATGGACTTAGAGTACGACGTGGTTTACGTACAGACCCAATATGTACGAATTGCAAAACTTTTATCATGTACAAGTACAACCTTTTGTGCGTGTTCAAATATACAGATCCGCCAGATCCGCCAGTCATTTGCCCAATGTAATACTTCGCAAACCTGGCGACAGACTGTTGTACGAGAAGGATAGGGCTCAGTGCGACTTGAAACCAGTCGGCGGCAGAGCTTCCACGTCGTCTTCAGCGACGGCGCGTGTCTTACCCCAGCTGATCTCGTCGCAGAAGAAGAGGGAGTAAAACATGATGATGACGTTCATGAATGGCGAGGCGACGAGGTAGACAAAGAAGCCGACGACAAAGCGGATGCGGGAGATTGTGTTGTGGGGGAACCAGGTGACGATCAGGAAGGACCAGACCTGCGTAATACTGTTGTTAGTCGAGTTTCTGAACTCTGCACGTACAAACGGCGAGGATGCTTACATAACGGAATAACAGAACACAGAGAAGGCCCAGTGTCACGTTGTGGTCGAAGAGCTTGAGACCGATCCGGCCGAGCGCAATGAAAAGAGTGAAGACGGCAGTGAGGACAAAAGGACCGATCCACCAGGTGATGACTGTGATCAGAGAGCAGATGCGCTCGATCCAGAGGATGCCTGGGCGGAAGATCATGACAAACTCGTTGGACTTGCTTCCCAGGGCCCATCTCTTGCGCTGAGACAGGTATACCGGCCAGGATTGCGGGGCAGTTGTGTATGCTCGAGCCCTGAGAGCTTGTCTGGTCTGGGACTCGGGGAAGTTGGAGAAGATGATACTCGCGTGGATGGAATCCTCGGAGTAGACTCCCATGATTTGCGTTGTCAAGGTGTCGTTTGGCGATGGGACGTAGCCAAAGCGCTTCCTTAGTACGACGTCACCAAAGGTGGCTTCTTCAATGCGGATGAGCTGACAGCAACCTATTCTGATGTTAGGTGACGTAAGAAGCCGCGACTCTTGAGAAGAAGAACTCACCTGGCAGACAATTGACTTTTCCAGAAACTCTGGACTGGAATTGTCGCCTCAAACCTTGTGTCATTTTGTACTCGGTGTTTTGTAGCAGATTCCTAATAAGGACGGTCAGCACCAAGATCTAATCCATTCTTGTGGTTAGAGTGCCAATTGGTCGAGGTACTCACCAGAGACCCCAGGGCTTCTCATCAAACTTTACCAAGACAGCACCGCAGACTCCCACAACGTTGGGGCCACCGCGCCTCATCTCCTTGACCAGCTCATATACACAGTCCACATCAAACTCAGTGTCGCCGTCCATTCCACAGAGGTAATCGACAGTGTCAAGCCCATAGTCAGTGAAGACCGAGCCGATATAGTCGAACAACTCCGGGTTGAAGATGGTCGGCAGCTCCTCAGACCGGTTCTTGTAGTGCCACAAGAAAGATCGCGCGAAGCACAAGCTGTCACGCTTGCCCTGGTTGTAGCGCTTGCCCACGACGAGATATGGCACGCCCTTATACAGACCGTGCTGAAGCTTGACGGGCATGTAGAAACCGTCACGCGCGCAGTAGCCGTTCTCAAACTCAACCCGCGTGCCGCCGGCGAACATGTCGTCGAGCAGGAAGTCCTGCGTGGACTTCGGTTCGCCGGGAGCCTTGGCCTGTCCGTCCACGACCACAAAGATAAGCCGTGGGTGGTGGCCGATCTTGATCTGCTTTGTCAGAGACTCGAGGGAGTTGCCGACCTCTGTGCGGTCCTCGTTGTAGCAGGGCAGGAGCATGACAATCTTCTCGGGATTCTCGGGACACTCGTCCTGGATGTTGAGAAGCCACCGCTTCCCAGAGGTGTAGGCGGCAGAGATGGTGATGCAGACCGCAAAGAATACTTGAGTGAATGTGTTGAGACAGAGAAAGGGAAGGAAGATGTAGTAGTACTCGTGGTATGTGAGACCGGCCCAGATTAGGACACCATTTGTAGCGAGCATGCCACCGAGCAGCAACCACTTCTGCAGGCGCAAGAGTTCGCGAGCAACACGGCGGAGCTCGGTCTCCGAGTCATAGGGCTTGGCCACCTTCTCCTGGGATATAGTGCTCTGGAAAGAGCCAGAGGAGGAAGTTGAACCGTGGTTGCGTTGAAGTGTCTAGTTCGGAGTATATGTCAGTCATATGAACAACGACAAGGTCAAGGATAAGCCAGCAACAGCGAGAGCTTACAGGGATGAGAGGCTTCCATGGATCATAGACAACATCCTCAGACTGGCGTGCTCTAGGAGTCCACGAGAAGCTGTATCTTTGAGACCATCTTCTGAGAGGTGCACCAGCGACGGGCAGGCCACGGTCCGAGGGGCCCAGCTCCTCGCACCCATTGTTGGGCTCATGATTGGACCCCGCGACAGGAACAGGCGAAATACCCTGCTCACAGTCAGAAGCATCAAAGGCACCACTCTGAGAGCGGCCCCTCCATGACCAGATGGAGAAGGCTCGCCGAGAAGGCCTCCGGCTCTGTGATGTGGGTTTTGCAGGCTTCTGGCTAGTCTCAGCAGCTTGCTCTGAAGTGTTTTCCTCTGCCTGGATAGGTGTCAGAAGTGATGGCTGTTGTGGCAGTTGGAGATTTGCTAATGGATCCTCGCATTCCACAATAGGAGTGTGACCGTGCGCCCAAGTCCACGAGGACAAAGCCTGACCAGGACGGTTCAACTTCGGGCGGGCAGCGTTCATCGACCGCTTGGGGACGGTGATCGGACACTCATCGTCAGAGCCCGAGATGGAGCTCCGACGAGACGGCCCCGGTAAACTAGGAGTTGTTACCGAGTCCGAACGCATCTTGGGGTATGGTTGCATGGTGATGGACGATCAGTGCCTCGGAGTGAAGCAAGACGGAACTGCCAAGCAACGAATCGGACAAGCTGAGAGGGGAAAAGCTTAGGAGTGAAAAGCTTAGGAGCGAGATCTGCTGATGAGGCTTCACAAGGGAAAGTGAAGACGGACGGGGTTTAGATAACACCTCAGCAAGAGGTCGTAGGAGAAATTGTGGGACAACCGCGAGAATATTCTGCAGAATCTCGAGCCGGCCATGACGATTAAACCTTTGGCGGCGCCATTGACCGCGTGGCCGAGTCCCCACGAGCGGGCGCTGGCAGCTCGATCTCCTGCCGATCTCGAGGACACCACGGGGCGCCTGTGCAGATCGTGAGACCGAGACAGCCACTCGGGAGAATGAGTGCACCCCGGCCGGCGCAGACCAGGGCGTACACCCAGTCTAAGAGACGTCAGGGTCGGGAAGGCAATAGAGTCCAGATAAAGCGATGGTTCCTGCAGAACATTTAGAGTTTGGGGTGCATACCCGCCTTGCTTGGCAAGAAGCTTTGCCTTTGGCGGAGAAAAGGTGCAAGCCGTGCCGCGCTTAGCTCCGTCCCTCAACAGCCGGGGACTAAGCCGCCGACGTAGAGGGCTGCCACGAGGACACCTCGTGGCAATTGTAGTCTGCCCTTTGGACCGGCACCCGTGTGGTGGTCTTCGGTTCGGCAGTGATGCGGGCCCTGGACTGCCGTGCACACACACACCTGGACGCCTCGAATATCCATATCTCCGCGCCCGGCCGATGCTGGCGGCATTTGAAAGGGCGCCAGTGCTCTCGAGTGGTGCTCCCGATGGCTGCTCTACGCCGGCGATGCCTACGAAATGGCAGACCTACCTACCCGATGCTCTGATGAGCGGATGAAACACAACAGGCCATGTCTTGTGGAACTTCCCGGACAGGACGTTAATGACTCACAATATACTTGACCTCTGCTCCCTAGTTGGCTCTGGTGCATCCGACGGATAATGCGAACCCGCGTGGCCATGCGAGGCCTAGCTTCCTCCTTGGCTGGGGGGACCTCCAGCTGCGCGCCTCTGGGGACCCGAAACATGCTCCGAGACACAACGTATGTTGCCATGTGGCAGCCTGAACGGCTGCCAATGTGTCTGGCCGTTATGGCTAATTCTCAGCAGGTGAGACATGGCACGTGTGGGCGAGGCTGCTTTGGGAAGAACTCCACCGTGGCGGCCACACTTGAAAGCCAGAATCAGTAACACGTATACAGCGGTGACGATGACTGCCTGCACTATGCTTATAAGGCTAAATCAGTAACGAACCCTTGAGCCACGCTGGACTCGTCGCCTCAGAGCCCCCGATCCCAGTGGAAAGTCCGCTGTCGCTATCGGGGCTATGCAATGTGCTCGTCCAGCGCCAGTGTCACCCATGACGTTATAGTAGAAGCCGCAAATCAAGTGCTGGCTTTCTTGCACTCGATTTGCATGGGCAAAAGGCAAGACTCGGACATTTCTTGGACACAACGGGTGATCGTCAGGCCGGTCCTTCACCACGTGCCGATCTGGAAGTCTAGAACGCCTCGTTCTCTCGGGCATGTCCCGTCCCTGTCGATCTCTTGCCATGGCCGTGGATGGTGCATGCAGTAGGTCAGGCTTCTGTTGTGGTGCTTCGGAAGTACTGCAAGCCAGGCGTTTCGAGCGGACGTAGCCTAGCTCTCGCCGGCAGTCCAGAGTCTGCTAGGGCGGGAGAGTTCATCATTGCGTGCATGCAGAAGCGGCAGGTGGGTCGGCCGATGACACTGTGAGAGATCAAAGACGAGACATCAGTAGTTGACAGCTACTCTTGTGGATATGGACCAGGTCGCAGAGAGGTGCAGGACTAAAATCTCGAGTCATGACCTCCTGAGGGCTAAGCCAACCACCTGCGGAGCTCTTCGCTAACTTTCTGCACGTGGGCCGGGAAGCGCCTCGAAGCGGGCTAGCTCGCCTGTCAAGTGAAAAAGCATATTTCTCAGAGTTGGCGCCAGGCGCCTCGGTCCGGCACATCCCAGTCATAGCGTGGAATGGCTCCCGTGCGACTAATCAATTACACCATCGCGCCTCCTGCCTCATACAGGCGCGCGCCAGGTCGCGGAGCAGTGTGGAGTCGAACGCCACGAGCGCCTTGCTGGCGGGAGCGCCACCAGCTGGAATGGAGAGACGACGGTGTCCCTTCTCGAGTGCTTCATCCGCGAGCAGCTTGCTAGACGCGTTAACAGCGCTTGCTAGATGTCTCCTTCTTCGGGGCGCGTTCCGTAGCAGCTCTATAGTACAAAACTCTGTTCGCTCGCGAGGTCTTTCCGCGATCCACAGTGAGCTCATCGCATTCCACGGGACCAGCAGCTACCAGGACCCCGGGGCTGTTGGTGTTGTATTTTTTTTCATTCTGCGTTGGAAATGCAGTGGGGGTGCAGGTGAGCAAAGTCGAACGTGGTGGAGCTTTCAACGTAAACGAACCGTTGGCCACGAGGCATCAAACCCCTAACTATCAAAAGACCCAGTCTGAACTTTCTCCCAAGAAGGCCCATTCTGGATGGGGCTTCTCGCTTACACTGACCTTCAATGTGATCCTCCATTGCCTTCGGACTCCACACAATCATAAGCGTTGGTTCTTTGGCCCTGTCTTCAAGTCTTGTGAGCTGCTATCGGTTTAGTTCGACTACGAATAACGTGACATCACGACGTTTGACGAATCGAAGAACAAACCCCCCCGAGCAAGATGGTACGATTGGTCGACGGGCGGCCGATGAACGGATGGGCGGCCGCTGAGCAAATGAATGATTATAAGAAGCAGCTCCTTCTCTTGAGATATTCACTCTCATGTCCTCAGAACACACCAAGACACCTCCATCTCCCTTCCTCACCCTTCTCTGACCACCTCTCGAGCACCCCCCTTCAAAATGACGGCCAACTCTCTTATCTCAGGCCCAATACTTGTGGAATCCCGATCTGGAAGCCCAATGTCGGATTTATTCGACAAGGATGAAACCATCTCCTACGTCTACCCCGTCACTCCTCCGTCTGAATCTGAGGAATTCCCCATTTCCAAAAAGAAAGCTTCCTTCCTTCCACTTCCATCCGAGTCTGAGACTGAGGCATGGCCTCTGGATGTCCGTCCTTTTGTTGCCGTCATCGGTGTAGGCTATGTCGGCACGCACCTTGTCGAGAACTTCTCTCGCGAGTATGACACGCTCGGCTTCGACATCTCTCCAAAGCGTGTTGCAGAACTTCAGCGGTCGTTCGCGTCCAACGGTCGTGTCAGGCTCACGAGCAGCACACAGGGCCTGAGAGAGGCCACACACTTCCTCATTTCTGTGCCCACACTTCTGCGCCCCGATCGCACCATCGATGCTTCCTACCTATGCAGTGCTTTGCAGATCGTAGCAGCCAATGCCAAGAGAGGCTCCACTGTTGTCATTGAGAGTTCTGTCGCCATCGGTATGACCCGCAACCTGCTCGGACCCATCGCAAAGGCACATGGCTTCTTTGCTGGCATGTCTCCAGAGGTAAGTCACGTGCACATCCCGGCCAAGCACAGTCAAGTCCGTCTGTTCTATTATGCTAACAAAAAGCTGTATGATAGCGTGTTGATCCTGGTCGCACTGAGCCCCCAGCATTCGCCATCCCCAAGATCATCTCTGGTCTTGATGATGTAGTGCCCGGCTCTCTTGCCAGCATTGCTCGCCTGTACTCTGCTGCATTTGACCGCATCGTCCCTGTCTCCAAGCCCGAGGTCGCAGAGATGACTAAGCTATACGAGAACTGCCAACGCATGATGTGCATCGCATACACCAACGAGATGGCTGATGCTTGTGGCCCTCACGGCATCGATCCTTTCGAGGTCGTCGAGGCTGCGGCATCCAAGCCCTTTGGTTATATGCCATACACTCCTGGCCCCGGTGTTGGCGGCCACTGCATCCCAGTCAACCCGTACTACCTCCTGTCCAACAGCGAGTTCCCTCTGCTCAAGGCTGCGACTGAGTCTATGTGGCGCCGCCCAGCCGCTCTTGCCCAGAAGGCCATCAGCGTTCTGGAGGCTCGCCAGAGCAAGTCTCTCAACATGCGCGAGAAGCCTCGTATCCTTGTTGTCGGTGTCGGCTTCAAGCCCGGCCAGTCCACCCTCAGCAACTCGCCTGGCCTTGACATTGTCAAGGCACTGTCACTATCCCAAAAGGTGGACGTCTCGTTTGCCGACAGCCTCGTCACACAAGACATGGTCCCCAATGTGCCCCGCCTGGCTGACGACGACTGGAGGATTGGCAGCCTTGCCACTTTCGACATGATTATTGTCGCCATGCGCCAAGTCGGTTTCGACTATAGCATTCTAGACCGCATCCCGGACAATGTCGAGTGGCTGTGCCAGCGCCAGTAGTAATATGCACCACAACGCATATGAATCATGACTTACGATTTATGACCAATTTCCTTCTTCCCTTCTCGACACTCGCTACCAAGAGCACAATTCTTCTCTTCTTTACACTCTCTCGGCAGTCTTGAAATTCGGAATTAAGCTTCACTTGAAGCATAGCCCCATTAGCACCCAGCCGTACATTGTGCTCAACTCCTTAAGCTCGTGATAGACTATATCACAGCACCAGCCGCCTTTGAGCAGCTTTCACAAACACAAGTATACACTCTTTTTTGGACACCTTCATTTCAACACTCGCTCATCTCTAATATTCATGTTACACGACATTGTATATACTTTCGGACTGTGTATATTAGCATTCAGGCTTCGAGGCAGTTGTTTCAAGGATGCGATTTGCAGAAAAAGCTCGAAGTAAAAATAGCGTCGGAGTAGAATGTCAGTTTACCATTTTATCTTCCATGGAGCTCAGTGGGGTTGACGGGAATGCCTCTGTTGGTTGAGACATAGCTACACATGCCTGCCCAAGTCATTTTACAACGTCCGTTCCGTGATCCACGTCACTGCGAGATGAAACAATTCCGGATAATCGAGTTCAGCTATTTTTGAACCAGAGATAGGTCATTGAAACTGATGGTACTGACGTGGCCAAAGACGCGCAGTTGGAGATGGGTAGAGCGGAAAGGGCCGAGCTGCGCTTGAAGGTCCTCTGAGAAAGGTCAGTAGAGGAGTAGTGGTGATGGCATGGCACCTTGCGGCCTTTTGTTTCACTTGAAGGTCCGGCCGTAGGGCCTATTAGTGGTACTCAGTGGTTGATACGTTCTTTTCCAGCATGCCCCATGCTTGCACGTAGTGCAAAATAAGGGGGTTTGCTTTCCACCCTCGGACGCGACCAGTGTTGTCTGCATACGAGGGGCAAGTAATCTGAAGTTCGATCTGCGATCCCGTGGCGAACGCAGCCCAGCCGCTAGCGTGGCGAAAAGGAATCGAAGGCGCTCAGCCCTGAGCGGATAGCAGGCATGGAGCCGCTGAATAAGCAGCTTGAGAGAGCTGTTGCCATCGCTACCTACCGGCTCATGATTGCCGATCCCTGTCCGGAGCAATCCCCGGAATCCGCTGGACCTGCCAGAGGAGCTTTTGCTCCTGCGTCGCATTTGGGGTCACACAGGCAGACCGTGGTCTGCTCGTGGAGGGTGGGAAGCACAATTGCTCTGTTGAGGACGTACTAGATTAGATATGAGGTCACTCCTCGACCAAACAACGTACCCCATGGTCTAAGGCAATCTCTACGAAGTCTATCTGCCATTCTCTTACCACAAGATTGTCACTCAGCTCCCTACACCGGCCCAATTACCATTCCTTACAAAAGGGCGCATTTTCCTATCCCCGAGCGCCTGGGGCCTCTCCCTTTGAGTCCCTTTTCATGCGCACGCAGCATATGCTTCAAAGGCCGTCTGGAAACTCAGAAACTAACAGAACGGCCATTATCATGAACGATTCACAACTCAACAGCATACACGATCGCGCCGAGCCCAGCTACGGCGTCTCCTGGGAAAACTCTGGCGATATGTCATGGATAACATTCAGCTCACCTAAGTCTTCGACAGGTGCCCTATGGCCGGCCCCAGGCGAGACCTTCGCCATGGACCTCTGTCCCACGCTACACAGCTCGCACCTTCAGCTGTACGACAGCATGATGCTGGTTGATAACATTGCTCCCATGCCTACGTCCACATTTGACGTGGACATCGGTGCTTCGCATATGCAACCCTGGCTCCCGTCGCCGCGCAGCAGTGGAGGAACTTTCTCCGACATACACTCAGATTCGTCACGGGCAAGTCCAGAAGAGCTGGGTCCTGAGTCGGCATCACCACTCTGTATCCCGAGACGGCATAGTCCCCAACAATCGCAAGAACACGAACGCGGCATACAGTACGGCGGTTCTGGAGGAAGCCGCAGCGAAGCCTGTGTCAGCAACGAATACTTGCCTGAATTTGCAGAGGTGCCAGAGCCAGCAACCACAAGGGCTGCCAGCCCCGCCTCTGATGGCAGCGACATGACGGAGAAGAAGAAGAAGAAGAAGACGAAAAGGAAGACGCTCCGGGAGAAGAACAGGGCGGCGGCGACGAAGTACCGCAACAAGACCAGGCACGACATGATGGAGCTGCAGGAAAGCGAGCGAGAGCTGGCCCAGAAGAACAAGGTGCTGAGGACCTACATTGAGTGCCTACGCAACGAGATTCTGTCGTTGAAGACAGAGGTCCTACGGCATGGCTCCTGCGAAAGCCAGATGATCCAAGAATACATAATGGAGACGGCCATGCAGCTATGAACTGTTTGCCTGTTGCGGAAGGGGAGTATACGTAGTGCAGATGCGCACGGGAGAATGGGGAGTACACGCCACATCGCCATCCTCGGACGTCTATGGAAGGGCCGAGACCTGCACGAAAAGGAAAGAAAAGTGATTTGTGTCTTTAGAGGCTATCTCTTAGCAAACATGGAGTCTTCAGCCTCAAAACCGCTCCCGCTCCTGTTGCTTCCCAATTACCCTGTGTGTACATGTGAATTGTATGTTTCAGTTTTTGGCATTCTTTTAATCCTCGGATTTTCCCGATGCCGAAAGACCCTGGATGCCTATCGTCGATCCAGCCCCGGACTTGGACCAAATTCAGGCTGACGCACATAAACAGAACGGAACCATAGAAGTAGCCAGGGACGTTAGACGGAGAGCACACTTTTAAAACGTACGACATTATGACATCAGGGGCTTTAATGGCCATTCCCCATTTGATAGGCCAGATAGACTGGGCAATTGGAGATAGGGAAAGACGAGATCATCTGTCTCTGCAAGGTTCTGGGCGTCTAATTGAGGGGCGCCAGGAATCACCAAGGCGCAATGGGCAAGACAAATGTGTTCGGGGAATGATCCGGCCGTGCAGAAGAACTGGGTTGGCTGGAGGTCAGGGGCCCTATGACTGTCCTGGTCAGGTCGGGGGAGCAGCCGAACTGGTGGTCGACTCGGATTGGATGGTGCACAAAGCCTCCCGATGTTCGTGCAGTAGCCCCTTGTACCCCGGCGAGCCCGGCCCGCATCTTAAGACAGGGGCAGTGCTTGTGGAACCATAAGTGGCAGGCATGATGGCGTGGAACTCGAGGACGATTGAGTGACCAGCATGAAGGTGGATGGAGGAAGCCTTCAGGAATCGCGGGGTATCGGAAACAGTGATCTCGAAGAGGAAAGGATAGTTCCAGCAGCGAGACGTGCATCGCTCATGCTTTGAAGATTTGTAACGATCACTGGAGATTGATCGAGATTGATCAACATTGATCGGAAGGACTAATGAACCCTCGACTTAGTAGTCGGGGCGTAGGCTGATTGAAGAGGGCTCTGACGTACTATGCCTAGCCTCCTTATTCTGTCGTTTTCCTCGTCAGGCAATGTGTCTTTGGAATACATGCCCGAATTTGCCCCAGCTCCCAGAAAGCTGTAGTACAAGGCAGATCCGTACGTTGGACCTCCCAGGAGGGTTTTTCTGCTCTCTCGTGCGGATGACCTTCTGCTTCGTGGCAGCTATGACGTGAGCTGGTTTTCCGACTGACGAAAGGGTGGGAAAAGACAACAGGGCTTCACACCTGAGCCCCGCGCATGCACAAAGATTTCAGCATGCGCAAATATTCCCACTGCTCGAGATCCCCATCACAGCCTTGGCCGCGTTGACTGCCGGGTTGATGGGTTTCACAGTGGAGAACAACAGGGTGTGTGTCTACCATAGTCTACTCGTCCCTGTAAATGCTACGACTGAAGGGGGCGAAGAGGTTAAGGATAAGCATAAGAGCTCTGCCCTGGAGGTGCACCTGCGCCCCTCAACGCGCATCGTCGCGTGCGGGCTTGGCGTCAAGAGCGTGATTGGCGTCGAGGCGGAGAGGGCAGCGGCTATGGCACATAACGACAGCCTTGGTGGAGCCAGCCGTGCGCTGGCTTGGCTGAATCGACAGGAGCAGAGGAATAATGAGAATGGGGGCGTTGTTGTTGTTGAGCAGGCAGTCGCCGCTGCCGTTTACCCCTTCAGATGTACGACGGCCGTATCTCGTTTAGTAGTATTGTTCCTCCAAGGACGTTGGCATCCTACCTAGGCGATACAGCCGCAAGTACAACGTCCTGAGCCCCATCTCGAGCTTCCTATCTCGGAACCTTTCCGACATTCTCATAGCGCCGCTACATAGAAGACCCTACGAGCTTTTATTTCGATACACTGAGTGCCCATACCAGCCACCTACTCAGCGGCACCCTCGCGTTTGCGGAAATGCTCCGGCACCGAGCCTGAGAGAGCTAGCCGATTTGGATTTACATTTATGGTGAAGACTCGACTACTATGAGCCGTGTGCCTCTCGTGTTGGGAAAGCAAATACGACGAGGAGTACCTAGATACTGGGTCCCGCAGGGAGAGAAGGTGAGAAAGAAAAGCAGAGGTAACGTCGCAAGTTGTGGGAGCAGAACAGGCATGTGAACTGATTGAGATCTTGGCGTGGCGTGGGCCAGGCGCCACGGCACAGCTGGGTACACCGGTGAATATACAGCGCATCACCTTCACGTAGCGGCTGCTCGAAAGCACATCGGCGATGATGCAGATGGGATATGCGAGTGATAGACGTAGAGTGATAATAGAGACAAGGGAGAGCCACCAAAGGGTGGGTGGAGTCAGGGGTCCTGCGGCCAGGGAGCCGCTGCAGAAATCTGCTATCAGGGGAAAAGACGGCAGATATCATGATCGACTACACCCACGCCTGGGGCATCAAAGTGAATTGATATGCTGGATGCAGACAACTCGATGAATAGCAACGCCATTCATTTCATTGGTCAGCGTCAACGACAGATACGGGCGAGCATGTCGGAACAGCGCGAATGAGCCAAATCTAAGTCGACCGCGAGGGTCGAGCATCAGCGGGGAATCGTAGACGGACAGTTGCGAGTTCATGAGGTGCGAGAGGATGAATTGTCAGTCACAACCGCTCTTGGCCGTCCCACGCGGCATGATTTTCATGGCTGGACCACACAAAGACACATCTTAATTTGGTGCTTCCACATCACGGCAGGGCAAGTCGGGAGGCGTTGCAGCGCGGCGCACACCGCTCGATTGCCACAATCACGACGGCGCCGTATCACAGTCCACATAGCATGGACTGCGTACAACTGAGACACATGAGTGACTCTTGGTTCGCTCCCTCCTTCCTGCTTTCGCTGCTGAAGCCGTCCCAATCGTAATGGTTTTGAGATTCACCGTGTGTGCTCGAAGCTGAGCCGGTATTACCAAGCACAGGCGTGTGGCCCTGTTCTACCACTTGGCTCCATGCCGGCTCCTGGTCGTCGCGCACGAGATCGCTCGCTTGTACATTCCAACATTTCAAACATCACTGGCACCCTGATCAACCGCGCGCCGCTTGCCTTTGCTGAGGCAAGATACCAGCAATTATGGAGCCGGCTGGCTTGGAAACTGGCCAGGGCCCAGCCCGGAGTGACCATGACCCTGCGCATGTCTTGATCTTCCAGGAAGTCGAGAGTCTTCTCATTCCAGGGTTGCGAAGTCCTAGCTCTCCCCCCTGCTGCAGCTGCCGCTCAGGAACCTGCGAAACCCTCGATCACGCGTCTCCGTGGTGGGCGGCCCTGTCCGGTCCCCTTCTCTTTCTCTCGCTCTGAACCCGCTGATGACTTGTGTTTTCTGCCTCTGCCAGCATGATGTTCCACGTCATCGTGGGCAAGGTCTGGTACCCATTCCTGCGGTCTGTGCCCCGGCTGCACTCACTAGCCGCGCATGACCCCACGCCGCACAACATCTACGCCGCCTCGGTCAAACAGCTCAAGAACCTCATCTTGCGGACTGCCGGAGCGATCCGGAGTCGCTCTTCGTCGCCTTCGCCTGTCTGGCCCTGCTCATGGTCGTGGGTGCTCTGCTGCGGGCGCCTCCTCCGCCTCAGTCGCTGCCATTGCCGTCAATAGCATCGCCATCGCCATCAGCCTCGGCGCGCAGAGGAAGGGATAGTACCACTAGACACTTGTCTCCAGATATTGCTTTGCGATGTGGGGATCTCTCTGCGGACCTTGTCCGATGCTGGATGTGGCCGTACCGTATCAGTGATCACACGGCTTCGCAGGCAGCGTTGTGATCTGATCCAAGGCGCGGTCTGCTACCAAGGTGAGTCTGTCGTGCTAGCCACAGAGATGGTATCCCGGTCATATTGCTGGAGCCGAACATCATCTTCGCTCCCATCAGCCAAACCAACGTAGGTCCCCCGCCCGTCGGTACCTATTACCGTTCCGCTCAACCCTGCCGTCTTTAGTATTATGTCTACGAGCATGTCTTTAGCTCTTGTTCCTAATCCAAGCCAGACTTCGAGGACGAAGCACGCCCAGAACGGGGGAAAGAACCAGACGAATGGGAAACAGAACCAGACCAATGGGAACCTGAGATTCACCCCAACTACCAGAGCTACAACGAGAAATACCGACGCACCCACGAGGCCGGCATGTACTTTTGCAGCCATGCTCCGCGATAATTGCGCAAGCCAGTATATCGTAAGCATGCCGAAGATGCCATGAAACAGGCTTGCAGCCAAGTATATGAGAAAGGCGAGGTAGCTCTCGAAGGACTTGTTCGTCACCAGGCCGATAATGTTGGCGGTCATGCCGAGGAGGTGCATCATGCCAAAACTGAGGATACTGCTGGCGACCTGTCGGGGAGTCCTTCTCTCAGGCGTGTTCAAGTGCTGTCGGCTGCTGCGAGCTCCCGGGGCGCCGTCCCGCACTACCGATGTTGGCATGTTGTTCGACCCCTGGGCCGAGACTTCATGGTGAACTATGCCTGTCATGTTGCGAGATAGCTGAGCAGAATTGCTTCGTCCTCGGCTTCAATCGATCCGTGATAGACTGAGAGATGGGTGGAGAACCAAGGAAGGAATGGGGATTAAGCAGGACTCTGACAAAGCGATGAGTTTGCAGGAGGCCTCAACGCACCGCGTCGGTCCCCTGGTCAATTCCAGTGCGTCTGACGGCCACTGCCAAGGCGGTATGTAAGACATGAAGTCGGCCAATGAGGGAGCAGCAATTTGGGACCTGACGTATGTATCATTATAAATAGTAGCACCTCGCGATAACCGTGACCTAAGGGGGACCTAATTAAGATAAAGTAGTGCCTAAGCAGGACTAAGCACGGCCGGAAGACGCTTTCCATATCACTGTTTAATTGTGGTTCCGATTTGTCTGTGACTTCCATACACACTAACAAGTGGTTGTAAAACAGCCCTAGATCAATCGCCTTGTCTCAGTCGCCTCGCAGCCGGAAGTAAGAAGCAGGCAAAGTGCCGAGCCACGAATCAAAGCCTAGTAGCAATGCCCACTCCGCCACTGGGAAGGTCCGGAACGGAAACTCTGGGCAATTGACTGTCTGCCTACTTGATCATTTTTAGCTGGCTGTCCTTGTATCGTTGCATCTGTGTGCTGAAGTCTCGTTTGAACTGCTTCACGTTGCTGAACGCCTTCTTCATGTGGGACTTGGTGAGCTTGCCGTTGCCTTTTCCCTTCTGGTCATCTGCCCGCGCTAGAGACAGTGCTGTTGTCACGACGTTGCGGAGCTGGCGTCCGTCGAAGCCTTCAGAGTAGACATCCTCCTTTAGCCACTCGAGGATGTCGTCGTAGTCCTCAATGAGGTTGTGCTCATTCAGCTTGGTAAGGAAGCCCTTGAAGATGGCCTCCATTTGCGCATGGTTCAGGCTCTCGTACTTGATGGCGAAGTGGATGCGGGACGGAATGGCAATGTCGAAATCGGCGATCTGATTGGTAGTGAGAAACATGATGCCCTGGTAATACTCCAGGACACGAAGGAACACTAAACAATCAATTGTCAACCTTTGAAGCGAACCGGCCGCGTGTGGCCAAAGTGGACCTTGCATGAGAACGAGCCGCAATAGATACGTACCTGAGACCAATGCGTTCTTTTCGGTCGATTGTACCATGCCACCACGGCCACGACTTTCCAGGAAGACGTCGGCCTCGTCGCTATAGTCGCTGTGAGCATGAAAGTATCTCAAAAGCAAGGTTGACACTAACATGAGCAAAATCGCTTGCCAGATTGTGGCGAGCGAGAATATCTTGGACAAGTTGGCCTCGACATGCTTGGCTTGCGTGCCCACATCAGCGACACTGACAGAGAACAGTGGTTTGCCGCTGGCCATCGCGATCGTCTCGGCCGTGGACGTCTTGCCCACTCCCGGCGGTCCTGCACTTTTGTGAGCGTCCACGACTTGCTAAATCTTCGGCCTCCGCCTGTATTCCTACAGAACAATTTGCACTCACCGTAGAGAAGAATCACAAGGCCTTTCCCTTTGCCCGGCACAATGTCATCAACCTCAAGGCCTTGCACCTTGTCAGAAAGACGATTCTGGGTCGCACTCCCGCCGTGATTAGAGTTCGATTTGTGGCTGCGGACCAGATCGAAGAGGACGTGTTTCGTGTTCTCGTCTGCAAGCTTGAGCCGGGACTTCCAGGTGTCCTGCTCACCGCCAACAGTAATGGGTTGCAGTGACTGGACTCCGAGCTGCGCCCACTGCTTCTCTTGCAAGATATAGCCCAGCACCCGGGGAGGACACATCAGGTACTGCTCATCCTCCCAGATTGAGGCGCTGCTCTGTTTCTCCTCGTCGAATCTAGTCCTGTACCTTTGAGCGAGCTCCTCGTTGCTCTTGCAGTCAGAGCAGGTGCATGACGTCTGTTCGTAGCCCATCTCGAGGTCGCCATTGCGGCCGTTGGTGGACCCGTACTGGAAGTAGGAGGCGTAGTCGACCATGACGCGACCATTCACCTGAGTAAAACGCTTTCAGCAGGCATTGCCACCTCTAGAGAATGACAAGGCACTTACAGTGATGGAGTTCAAGACTCTTGATATCGCGTGAGGTCTTCGCAGTCTGACATACTGGACGGGATCCATGCCTATCATCATAGCTTGTCGCACGATGACGTCGGACATGCTATCAATCTACGCTGGGTCAGTGTTGAAGCACATTTTAAAGGGCCGAGTTGCGGGCACATACATCGTCGTCTTGGCTCATACCGGAGAAGCCCTTCTTCTCCGTGATTGCATGACCGTGGTACTCGAACATCCGAGATCCTTCTCTGGCCGTGCAGAAGTCGCGGAATTTCTTGCCACGGGCAATAAGCTCCTCCCGAATCTTGTCCTTTGCCGGATGAAGGTCGAAGGGAAAGTACTCAAGCGACGTCAAGGGGCGGTATCCCTCAAAAGGCTGGATCTTCAGGTTGAAACACTTGCGCGCGAACGAGTCATCCTTCCAGTCGTAGGACCATGCCTGAAGCGAGAAGTGCAGATACTCGCCATTCCGTTTTATGGGCCAACTATCATAACTGTCCTTGACGACGAAGATCTGATCCTGGTTCTGGAAAGGACGACCGTAGACGAGAGTGCCGGGCGGGAACACGGTCCAGAGATCCTCGAACTGCACGGTCTTCTCCTCGTTCTCGTTGTATGTCTTGCGGTTCTGAAAGTACTTATCCAGCATGCTGTCGCCAGACTTTCCTCCAGAAATGATCTCAAGGAGCGATTTCAGATCCTCCCGAGCCTGTTTGTCATCGTCTGTGGAACCGTCACGGTTCGCTTCTTCCCAGAGTGAGTCCCATTGGTGGACTATATGCTCGAAAGGGGAAACCAGAGTGACAGCCGAGCCCCTGAAGACATGGTACGGGTACCACCCTAGCTGAGATTTCAAGAGGTTCCAGAGGTGGGGATTCACAATATTGATCTCCGATTCGTCGCCGCCGCCTTCGGAGAACTTGCTGCCGACGAATTTCTTCAAAATGAAGCCTAGTGCCTCGGCACTGTTGTCTTTCTTCTTGGGCTCGGTAGTCTTTTCAATGGCCTCGCCATCTTCATCCCGCATACTCGTGACTATCTTGACTCGCGGTAGTGGTGGCTGGGGGGAAATGTCAGGAAATTCTCATGGCCGACGCTTCTGGCAAAAATCGGATGTAGGGAGCTGACCTCGACTGCTGGAGAAGTCTCACCAGCCACTGTTGACGCCTGCCAAAGGGATAAGCCTCACTTCAGAGATACCTTAATAAGGATGTGAATGGCAATGAACTACCTTGGCATCATTGAGCTTCTCGTCAGGCTTCCCACCGTCTGTGGCTTTTGCGAGAGACAAGAGAGCGAACTTTGCTTCGAGATCGGCGCACCTCTTTTCAAAAAGTGCGAGTTGGTCTCGCAATCCCTGCTGATTGGGAGTGGCTTTTAGAATCTAGCTAGCAGTTCGGCTGGATGACAAAGACTGACCTCGACTGTCTCTGACATGTTTTGAAACTCAACGTGGTTCAACAGCGTTCAAGTTATCTTTGAGACGAGCTGCAAGTGACAATTTCAGCAAATGAAAGCAGTTCTGAGTAAAGGGGCGCCACGTATGATATACACAAGGAATTGAGTCTCGGGTGGTCTGACATGGAGCCCGGACAGGCCGAAAATAGTTATTGAAATCCCACAGTGGCTATGGCGTGCTGGGGGGGTGGCACACATATCGCCATTGTTGGCGGCCGGGTACCTTTGCCGCTGCTCTAGGCCAGGGTCTCGGGAGGGGTTTCGGTCTTGATTGGACATGTTGGGCGCACAATGCAACATCCGGCCACATTCAACCTTGTGAGCAGGCCGTTGGTCACTCCCTCCCGCATGAGCCCCCTGTAACCAACCACTAAGATGTGCAGCGATAAGCCACAGCCTGCCGTGTTCATGTGCCCGGCCGTGCTCAGCCTCCGGTGCATAATTTGGGGTCCAAAGAGGACGCTGTTCTGCCTGGAGCGTTGGACACTTAAGGAATTGAGGGGGGCTCCCATGGAGCAGATGTCAGACGGCGACACGCCCATTTTCTCTACGCGGCAAACGAACACCACAGCATGGCGGACGGGCCTGGAGAAGTTACTGGCAAGGATGTGCTCGAGGGCCATGCAAAGCCTCTTCGGACCGCCGACTTGTAAGTACCCTGCTCGCAAAGTGACCACTCCAGACACTGAAAGATAGTTGTAGGACTAAGCTACAAGGCTCTGTCAAGGCTCAAGCAGACCTTCGGCAGATGATTAAAAAGTCTAGCCAGTTTACAGCAGAAGAAAAGGCCACGCTGCAAGTCGATACCCAGGAAGCCTTTGAAGATTTCTGGAGGGATACGTTGACTACCAAAAAGTCCTTTGATGACCGGCGCAGTCCGAATGGCGTTCAATCGAAGGTCAACACCTTCGCTATGTCTGCGCAAGATCTCTTTCACAGCATGGCTCCTTTGGTCGATTCCCTCAAAGACGCAGGCGTCCCCTATGTTGGCATAGTCTTAGGCACGCTGTCTTTCTTTTTCCTGGTGAGATACCACAATGCCACATTCGTCTGATAATGACTAATTATGAGACCAGATCGTTAGAAACCGCTTTGGCATCGAGGAAAAGATTGTGAGCACGCTTCTGATCATCCAGAGGCGTCTGCCGGGCATACGCATGTATCAAGATATCTACGATGGTGACCATGAACTCGACCACGATCTCCGATCTCAACTTGTCGAGGCGTACCATCGATTTTCCGAGTTCTGCATCACATCCACGAGGTTTTATGCCCGAGGAAAGTTATGTAAGTACCCCGCCTAGTCCTTCAAATGAACGATTGGAGGATAGAAATCTGACTTCTATATCTCTTTCAACAGCTCGTTGGTTTGCCTCGCTCAAACGGCCCAGCTCTGTAGATGAGGCAGCGGCCCACGTAGAACAGGCTGTGACCAACGTGAGGCTTCTCTGTGAAGAATTGCTCAACAAGAGAGTCCATCAAATGAGTCGGACTATGGACGCCATGAAAGTCCTCGCGGAGAGTGCGTATTTGCTGACGATTTGAAAAAGAAAAGGTTGACACTTACTAACTTTGCTCGCGGCACAGGAAAACAAAATGAAATCAACGGTGAGAAACTTCGACCGAGAAATCATTCGGGAAAGCTTGCTGATTGTCGTTGCCTAACTTGTTAGAGCTGAAGATGTCAATCCAAGGTCAGTTTATCAAATATCTTACAGGCATAAGCCGGCACACCTTCCAGCAACTAAATCGCGTTTCGATGCACGATACAGCCTTACAGGAGGAGAAAGACTTGTCTAAGCTTGAGCACATCCGCGTCGCCCTGAACGCGCCGGTAACCTCGGCGCAGCAAGCGCTTGACGAAATCGCGACCGTGAGGAGCGAACTCGACCACGAACTTCGGCACATGCCGACGGTTAGTCTCGACGCGGTCGAGAACCACGCCGAATTTCTGCAATGGCAAACAAGTTCACATTCGCAGATACTCGTGTTTGCTACACACAACCACGTGCTCTCGGCATTGCACTGCTGGGTGACACCAGCCGTACTAAACTACTTTGCCACGCTCTCAGCGGGCCCTGACGTTGCTGTCCACTATCTCTTTGGCAACACGGGCAAGGACGAGACATTCAACGATGTTGTGTCGCGCCTTGCATACCAGCTCGTCTCAAAGAACAAATCCATTCGGAGAGATGAGAGACTTTGGGCCAAGCTGCAGTTGAGCATCAGCCGGTACCAGTCTGTCCGGGATAAAGCGCTGCTGCGCGCGACTGGGGTCCCCAGCGACCTTGTGGATGAGGCCAAAACCCTCCTGGAGGCAATCCTAGATACCTTCGACAAGGGAACCACAGTTCGGGTACTGATCGACCGCGCCAATGACTGCCACAATGTACACAGCCGCCACGCTCACAGAAACGCGCTGATGCGAACCCTGGTACAGTTGGTGGAGGAGGGGACGCTCAAGATTGTCTTGAAGGTTCTGGTCACAGTAAACGCCGCTGGATGGCGTATCGAGGAACAACTCGCCGCAAATCCGGAAGACTTTGAGCAAAAGCGTTCGGACAGTTTGAAGATCGTTGCGTTCACCCAGTCTAGGAGTTTCTGCTGAAACCAAATTCAATAGAGAATAGATGACAATCGCCCGAGTTAGCTTATAATTCGAGAACAGCATGCCTCAAATTGAATTCGTTCCACCTTCGTCAGTTTGAAAGTCCACGTTACTGGTCCTAGAGCTCTGGCGAACGCACTGGGGGCTCATCAAGAATCATATGAAATTGCTTGGTGGTGATGAGAGTGTCTGACAGACGAATCCTACGCGCGAGAGTTGGCCCGAACAGTCCGCAAGCTAAACACACGTCCAGCTACTGGCGTCTTCGACCTTACCCCTGCCCTTGTACTTTGATTTTCGCGGATGAAGACACAGGTTCCGAGTTTGCCCAAACCCAGCCGCGAACAGGGTCTCCGGCGCCTTCCCATGCTCTACCCACTGGACTAGCGCGTCGACAAGATACAGAGGACCAGGCCCATAGCCAAAATTTGCGCAGTGCCCGACCCCGGGCGCCATGAACAAGCGATAGAAATCGTCGACGTTGCTTCCTCCGGGCGGAACAGAGGTGCCCCCTGGTCTGAACGCCTGGCGCACGCGCTCCCAGTACTCGATTGTGCTTTTGGCAGGAATGGACTGGTCCGCCCAGCCGTGGAAGGTGAGTAGCTTGCCGCCGCGCCTTTGGAAAGGGGACAGGTCGGCGTCGGTCGACCCCCAGGTCTTGCCAAACTTGGCTACAGACGTGGCAAACGCGCTCAGGTACGTCTTATAGGTAAGGCTGGAAGAGTTGAATTCTGGGTCGTCCATGATGAAGTCCTGCAACCAGCTTTCGGCAGGTTGGAAAGGTGCTGGAACAACAAAGGACAAATCCGTTCCCGGTTCCATTCCGTACCAGAATCTCTTGCCGTCTGGCGTCTGCGGCCCCAGGAGAATACTGTTCCAGGCTTTGGCTTCCTCTTTGGTTATGCGCTTGTCGCTGACACAGTCTTGTACCTCTGTGCCGACTAGTGTCTGCGCATCAAACTTGCAGTCTGGCGGGTGACCAATGAGTCCATCCGCACCTCCGTCTAAGAGATCGCACGCCGAGATGGAGGCAGCAGTCATGGCAATAAACTTGCAGGCGGGGAGAGGAGTCTCTAGATTCTTCAAATAGGGCCACAGGAATCCCGGCATGAGGCGATCCCAATTGATGGCAGGCGCATGGGCTGAGATGCCGTCGTAGTCGTTGGGATACTGCACGGCTTCCACGTAGCCCTGACGCCCGCCTTGGCTGCAGCCGTGCCAGTAGCTGTAAGCCGGCTTCTGGTCGTAGAATTTGGCCGTTAACGCCTTGCCCACAATCGTCATCTCGTGCACGCTCAGGTGCACAAAGTTGGTGACCAGCTGCTTCGAGTCGGCCCATGGCCCTGGGTCGTTGGCGAGGCCAACGCCTGCGTCGGTTGCAGCAGCCGCGAAGCCGCCCTGAATACCGTCGGCCAGGGCTGGATCAAAGAGCCCGGCATTGAAGCCGCCTCCGCCCGTGCCCATGAAGCGGCCGTTCCAGCCCTCGAGGGGCAGCCACACAGCGATGCGGACCTCGTCGCCAGCATCACCGTGCGTCAGGTACAGCTGGACATCACAGAAGCTGATGTCTGAGACGGTGCCCGTGCTGTTGAACAATGTGTTTTCGACTGTCACATGGTATCTTTCAGTCGAAGTGATGTTGATCAATGAAGTGCCAGGCGGAGTGCCGTCGAGTGATAATGAGGCACATTTGGTAGCTTGCGGAGCGGCCAAACTCACTCGAGCCAACGTGAATCCAACCAGCCCAACGTTTTTCGAAAGCATTTTGTCAGCCGTGAATCAAAGGTGGGCGGAAAAGAGGCACAAGTCCCGGAAGAGATGTTCTAAGTTATTATAACATCTCCGACTTGCGCAATAGCACACATACTGCACAGCATCGTGGCCAGACCCTGGCTCGTCCGGAACGGGTTCCTCCGTTTGCTGATGTGCTTTAGCTGTCAGCTTCCATATGCACTCTGTCGGACATACATATTATTGGTAACTATAGACTATAGAATGAGGGGAGAGGCAGATCGAGACTGCGCAGCGATCAAATCCTGCAAAGGGCTGACGAGCAGGATTGAGCATGTTATTATATGAAGCGGAGTAAACTCCGCGCCTGTTTCTGGGTACGAATGGGGCAAATATGCCTCGAACGGTCATGCGGGACGTGGGGATGAGCATACATGAGTTGCACATCAGACCATGCCACCCCGCGATTGTAACCCGACCACTCCGCCTTCCATCAGTCGAGTGACGGTGTCTCAAGCTTCTCGGCTTTGTGACGTGCCCGCATCTCCTTCTGCAGCTGGTTCGCGCGCTCAACCCCAAACCCTGAGCGGAAGACTTGTCTCACATCCTCTAGCGGGAGGGCTGTGACCTCTGGGTAGCAGAACACAATGAAAACCCATCCGAGCCCACAGGCTGCCGCATAGAAGCAGAAAGTACCACTCGGAGTCAGCTTGCTCATCATTGACAGGAAGTTGGAAGTCAATATGAACGAGAACACCCAGCCAGTCGCGATGTTGACCATGGTTCCCAAGGCGCGGACCTCGAGCGGCATCAGTTCTGTCCCACACCACCCGATTGTTGATGGGCCTAGGGCAAAAAAGGAGAGATAGAACACGATGCTGGCGAGGCACATGTAGCCTGCCCAGTCCACTGTGTTCAGTTGAGGTGTCAGGTCAGCGGACACTGGGATGAACTGGAATGATACGGCGGCGGCACTAAGACCAATAATCTGTGCTTTCCATTAGCTGCGTGAGTCTTGGTGGTCCCGCGTTTGCCACATGTAGGTCCGACCTACCATGCCCATATATGTGACAATGAGGATTTTCCGGCGGCCCCATCTGTCTACCACCGAAGCTCCGAATAACGTGAAGAGAAAGTTGGCCGCAGACAGGATGATCGGAATCAAGGCTGGGTTGCTGAATCCGACCAGAGAGAAGATCACAGAGGAATACGCCATGAGGCTGGAGAATCCTCCAATTTGACAGCCTGCGTGAAGTCAGCCTATGCGCCAGGGGACTTAGACAAGTGACTAAGAAATGAAGCACTAACTAGCCATTATAGAACATGTCGTCAGTAATGGCCTCAGATTAGATCCTACACAGACCAGTTGCTTGGCCTGCCAGAAAAGGGACCGGCCTTGCAAAGCCTTCTTGGCGTCCTCAACAACAACGCTGATATGCTCCGCGCGGGCTTGAATCTGCTCGATGCTTGCCTCAGGGTACATCCGCCCAATAAGTAAAGTCGCGTCGCCCAGACGACCGCACGAGATCAGCTGGTGGGGCGTCTCAGGGCAGATTGGCAGCAAGCAGCACAGCAGTATCGCGGAGACACTGCCAATCGCGGCAACCCAGCGCCAGCCATTGGGCACTGTACTCATACCGCCACCCAGGCCGTATGCGGCGATCTGGCCGACTGTGGTGGCGACATTATAGAGTGCGATCATGCGGCCTCGGTGTTTCGCAGGAGCGAGTTCACCCAGATACATTGGCTATGGGGATTCTCAAGTCAGTCCATGTCCTTGTAATATTAACGAGAGGTGTGGGCTGTTGTGCCGAAAAGATGATATGGAAGAGAGGGTGCGGGAAACCTACAATAACCATGACGGTAGCCCCCGAACCGAAGCCGCTAACGAAACGTCCGGCCGCCATCTGCGGGATGGAGAATGCAGTCGCTTCAATTACGCTAGCCACAACGAATACAATGCTTCCTGTATAAATGGGAAACTTGCGGCCTAGTTTGTCGGCGGTCAGGCCTGCTGCGAATGCGCCGGCCAGTGCACCAAGCGAGGCCATGGACGTGATGATCTGGGTCTCAGATGGGCTCAGCGAGTGCCCAAGATCCGCTCCGATGTTGACAAGAGTTGTTGACATGAACCCGGTGTCGTAGCCTTATATTTGCGCGTCAGCGTATTGGTTAGACGGACTCTGCAGTGGGCTGCTTACCATAGAAGAAGCCTCCTACCGCTGCCGCAGCAGTGATATACCAGATGAGCTTGGACGTCTTTGTCTGCTCAATTGCATCGTGGAGACTGATATCTGAGGCACGTCTGGTTGGTTCCAGAGGATGCTTCGCGGACAGGTGGATATTCAGGCGAGGTATATCTCCGCAAGATGAGGCCATATCGCAACTTCAGCAGGAAGTTTTCGACTTGTTGTGAGTACTTCGAGGTTCGAGAGCTCAGTTGGAAGGTCCAAATGAGAGAAGGAGAAAGCACTGGCATAGGTCTGTCGGTGGTAATGCCAACGAGTTCTTCCAATTTCGCATGCATACTGGAGAGCTTTATAGCTCCCGGGTTCGACCTTTGGACACACGGAATTGCGGAGATGATCCGTCGCAAATTTCTCGATGAGACTCCCTCTGGTTTGGTATGGTTGATCAAATGGGTATAGTAGGTGAGTTTAGGTCTCCTGATGTGCTCTTTGAGGCCGAGTGATCAAGTGAGTGGTGAACGTAACACTATCGCAGTCACCACTAGCTCTCCCTTACTTTCCAAGATTGTCTGTGATCTGCAAAGAGCGCCCACCAGAAAGGATCGTTCTCTCCGGTTGGAGTGCATCGTGACTTCCAAATGTGGATGGAAGCTGGATCGTAAGACATTACAGCTGTGGATAAGCAAACGCGCGAGGCGAAAAGTCCTCCATGGAGGCATTCGTAACATCGTGTTGGGATTGCATTGAGGACCGTGCTTGCCGCGCACATGTCTCTCCTTACTCCTACAATGACTGATTTGTGATAGTTATACGTAATTGTCGCAAAATTCTTCCGCGAAGTGTCCATCGCAAAACTCCGTTGCGGGTCCCTCTTTCGCCCCATGCACGGGAAAAGATACAGCTTCCTCGCGATCATGAAATAGCACAAGCCAGAGAGCTAGTGAGACTCGGTTGATATATCACGTCCGTTCGTCTGCAGGTAAGGGCGATGCCTCACGACCTTGAACTTGAAGAGATCTGCTTAGATTCCTCAATGACAAAGCTGATGTGCTCACGAAGTCGTCTTTGATAACCACGTTTTACCGGTTGGATATGAGCGCACAGGCATGATGAAGACTCGTATCGTGCGTCTTGCGCGGAACTTTTGACTGGCTAGGATTTCGATGTTGTCATCGCTGCTATGCGCTGTCTAAGACAAAGCCGATCTGTGCTTCGTCAGCGCCTCAATCTGGGGTCGAGTGTGAGAGCACATGCTCCCTGCCCAGGGATGATCATGAAACCGCGATGTCTCGCGGATTTAACCGTGCAGTGGTCCGCGAGAACTACCGAGACTTTTCAGTCTAGCCCTTGCTGTTGTGTCTGCACCAAGCAAGCACTTGCGAAGGCGCCAAGCTATGGGAATTGCAGGCATCCCCAGCCGAGGTGGCCGTTGAGGCGTAGTTCGCCAAGCGTTCAGAGGCCCCACTGCTTGCATGCCAGCCTATCGATTTACCCATGCATTCCTAGTAGGGAAGGTATACTGCTTCGACGGATCTCGAGGCATATTGGGTACGAAGAGGGGTTTTGACACACGGGCAATCTGATCACGCTGCCCCCTACCAGATCATGCTGCTTGTGTCATCAGTTCGATGCCTTATGAGCGATCATATCCATTACCACCGCCACCAACACCACGGTATCGTGACCTGAAATGTCAAAGATCACCTGTGTTCACCTTGGGGATGCGTTGCTATACTAAGATGTCTCAGACGAAATTCAGAAGGGCGAGTGACATGACGATCCGAGACAAGGATCCTCAAATTTGCACAAGAATGACGAGATCAACTGACTATATACTGGACTATTTCGAAGTCGCCCACCACCCATGCCTGCTGGTTTCCTGCTCTGGGATACTTGACCGTTTTGGCCTCGCGCGTCTGCACTGTGTGGCGATGCTTGATTGTACATGGCGACCACTGGACACACTTTTCTCCAGCCACGAAGACACGCGCCTAAGAAGTTTTCCTGGCCCTGGCCAATACCTCCGCCTGATCAGTGGACAAGAGTAGTCGCCAGGTATGTCTCTATGCCTTTTCGAGCTGCACGGCTGGCTCCTCGAGGTGTGCTAAAATCCTGTGCCGAGCCGAGCTTACTAGAGGGCATCTGGCGGTTGGTGGGCTCGGCTCGGGGCAGTGCTGGTCGGTGCGGAGTGCGGGGTGCGGAGACGAAACCCCAACGCTCGGCGAAACTAAAACGAGGGGCCGGCACCGGCGCGGGGAAAAGAAGACCCTTGGGCCGGCTCCGAGCTGGAATATGAGGTGCCTGGCCGCCGCCACGTTCATTAGTCGGGGATGCCACCCAGTCTTTCTTCTCTTTCCTCAACACGACTCTTTCAAAGCAGGCCCAAGTCTCGGTTGAGTTCACACAGCCGCGGCGATATTTGAATTGCTCACGGACATCATGGCTAGCGCTTTACGGAACGTTGTTGTTGTCGGCGGCTCGTACGTCGGGCTGGTAAGTCTTGTTGCCTGCAGCTATGACCAGTGATCCAAGCCCAGCTCGCTGATATTTCTCCAGGCGGTGACAAAAGAGCTGGTAGCGTCTCTGCCAGCAACACACAGGGTAAGCATGAATCGTCCTCTTCGTTATACCCAATTTCAAGTGGCCTTCGCTTTCTCGCGTGCAGGGACTGCCGACTGACTTTGCTTCCTCTAGTTGCTTCTGGTCGAGCCTCACAGCCATTTCCACCACCTGTTCGCCTTTGTAAGTAACTTCCACGAGCGAGCCTGACACTCTAGTCTCTCATACCACTGACACACGACCCTCACAGCCGCGCTTCGCCCTCCTCCCCAACCACGAACACAAAGCCTTCATCCCCTACTCCGCCGCTTTTGCCGGCTCCCCCGAAGCCAGCGCCGCGCACCACGCAGTAATCAAGGCGAAAGCCGTCAGCCTCCGCCCAGACCACCTGGTGCTCGACCGGCCATGGCAAGGATCCACCGAGATCCCCTTTGACTACCTAGTCGTCGCGACGGGCACGAAGCTCCAGGCGCCCGGGACGATGCAGGACGACGAGAAGCCCCTGTCCGTCAAGTACTTCCAGGCGTACCAGGGCCGCGTGGCTGCTGCCAGGTCCGTTATCCTCGTCGGCGGCGGCGCCGTGGGCGTGCAGATGGCCACGGACCTCAAGGAGCTGTACCCGGACAAGGAGGTCACGCTGGTCCACTCGCGCAACAAGCTCATGCCGCTATACCATGAGGCGCTGGACGGGCTGATCAAGAGCCGCTTCGAGGAGCTTGGCGTCAAGTGAGTCTGCAAACATCCCCCCCTTCCCGTTCACTCAAAAAGGAACTCGAGATTTGGAACATGTTGTGGAAGGTGCTAACCGATGTAATTTTGTTTTTCGCTTCTACCAGGGCTGTCCTAGGCACCCGCGTCGCCATGCCGCCAAACGGCTTCCCCGTCGACGCGACCTCCATCACCCTACAGGACGGCCGCGTCCTGACTGCAGACCTGATCATCCCGGCCGTCGGCCAGACGCCCAACAACCAGTTTGTCACCGCGGGGTTGCTCGACCCCTCCACCCCAGAGGAGTCCCTGATCAACCCACAAAACGGGTTCATCCGGGTCCGCCCGACGCTGCAGTTCAAGGACGAGAAGTACCCGAACCTGTTCGCCGTGGGGGACATTGCGGATACGGGCGCGCACAAGGCGGCGCGGCCCGGGTCGGCGCAGGCCGCGGTCGTGGCGAAGAACGTGCTGGCCATGATTGAGGGCCGGGAGCCGCGCGACGAGATTGTCGTTGATCCGGCGAGTATACATCTGACGCTGGGCTTGGTGAGTCTCATATCAACGACTTGTGAAAATGCCGGATATGACCAATTTCATCCGGAATTAGCATTGTGGCCTTGGGAGAGTGCAAAGCTGACTGGCTCTCGCTTGTTATTAGACAAAGAATGTCATCTTCAGGAATCCGTATCCCGACCAGACAGAATACGTCATGAAGCCAAAGGACGAGTAAGTCAAGGCCCATACCCAGAGCTCTGCTAAGCCGTGAACATAAGCTAACATGCCAATAGCGGCAAGCAAGACATGGGCATCAACGGCGTTTGGGAGAGGAGAGGCGTCAGGGTTCTGTCGGACGCGGATTATCACTTGTAGCCTGACTAGAAAGATTTTAGACATGTTTGAAAATGGGTTAAGCGATTCAAGTAATCTGCATGGCAATATTTGTATAATCGCTTCTACAAGTGAAGCTATGAGTGTGTCAATGGCTGGAGACACAGCATCATCACGACTGTTTTTTGTCAGGGAAATCGCAAAGGCTTGGGCCCTTCGCTCTCATACACAGATTGAATATTTGAGACAGTTGTACTTTTGCGATGGTGTCGTTCTCGAGACCTGCTATGCGACCGGGGACTTCTACACGGTGATTGAGTTCCAAGGTCAGTATTGTAGTGTAGTCTTTGAGTTTGGCATTTGGCTTTGCGTTGATGTTTGGAGGAGCTCCATGACCAATCATTAGCTCGTGGACGCTCACAACATTTCATTACTATCATCATCGCATCCAGCAAGGACATAATTTCTAATGACTATCATCTGTGGCTTATGGTGGATTCTTCTATTCTATTTCTAAATGTAAGTTATGCTTTTCGAAATTTCTACTCTCTATGCAACACACTCAGGCGTGCTTGCTTGTCTGCCATGCCCGGAACTTGGGGTTCAGGAAGTAGACGGGAATACCCAGCACAAAGATAGCACCATAGATACCCGCCAGCACACCAAACGCCCAGTCGTACCCATACGCACGGAGCATGGGGTTCAGGCCATACGTGGCGCCAAAGCTGATGATGTTCTTGCTGCCGACGACGACCACGAGCGCAGGGCCGGGGTGCTTGATGGCGGTCTGCGTCGCAAACGTGGTGGTCGAGATGATGATGGCGGTGAAGGAGTACTGGGAGAATGTCCATGCCAGGTAAGGCCCCCACCAGGATCCGGTGCCGGACGCGTTGGTCGCGGTGAAACCATAGAGGAGGAGCGTCGCGAAGCCCACGATGGCGGGGAAGACGTTGGTCAGGAGCTCGTGCTCGGGAAGGTGCACGCCCTTGTTGCGCCTGGCGAGCCACATGACGAGCTTCTGCCCGACGAGGCCGCTGTACAGCATGCCCAACAAGCTGCCGACCACGCCGCCCACTGCGATCAGGCCGATGTCCTGAGGCGCCCAGCCAAAGTTGTTCATGAGCACGGTGTTGTAGGTGAGGGACATGCCGACGTTGACGCCAAGGGTGATCGAGGAGGCGAGCACCGCGAAGATGATACCTGGGGAGCAAAGAGACTGGAGCATCTGTACCCAGGTGGTGACGATGACACGGCCGGGGTTGGGTTGAGGGGTGGACCACGGCTTGATGCGCTGAATGTACGACTTGCGGGTGCTCACCGTGCTGCCAAGGACGTGCGTCTGTGCGGCCGAGAGGGGAGCGCCAGTCAGGCCCGGGTGCGCAGCGAGGTACTCCTGTGCTTCCGAGTCGGGGATGACACGGGTGGCGCCAGACTCGTCGGTCACGACGATCTGGCCGTCGAGAAGGACGGCGGGCCGGTCGAACTGGGTTTCGAAAGCGCAGCAAAAGGCAATGACAAGACCGACGGCCACAGTGATGACAAAGACCCAGTAGTACCAGCGCCAGCCGAGGTCGTGCACCAGATAGGAAGACGAAAGGTTGAGGCAGGAGCTGACGACGTTCTGTACTGTCCAGTAGAGGGCAAAGACTCGAGAACGCTCATGCAGGAATGTGACCTCGGTGAGCATCAGAGGCAGGAGAGACTCGGAGGCTCCGGTGGCCAGACCCTGCAGGATGCGAGCACCCAGGTGCTGTTCGAGGGAGTTTTGTGCGCCGCCCCAAATGGTGGCGGCGAGCAAGACGACCATGGCGACGAGGAAGACGGGCCGGCGGCCAAAGGCAAGTCCGAAGGGAAGGAGGATGAAATTGCCTGTGAGGGAGACACACTCAGTCAGTCGCATATCTCTACCAAGAAAACCCGCGGGAAACAAATGGCCGCGACATACCGAGACCGATGCAAAGTGTGGGAACCGTAATAAGCATGACAATTTCGTCTGATGTAGCGCCCAATGGCGCATACATGCCAAAGAATGTCTCTAGAATGGATCCGAGACCGCTGGCCATGCTGATGCCCATGATGCTAAACCAGCACGAGACGAAGACGATGGCGTACTTCTCCCACTTGCGGAAGTTGAGGGGGTCGTTGGGGTCGTCAGTCGGGACGGGAATCTTGCGAATCTCGCCGTCCTTGTTGAATAGGAGAGCGTTGCCCTCGACGTGGCCCTTGCTAGATGGCGCAGCCTGGTCGGGCTTGAGGTTATCTTCAACGTGGTCCTCAAAATAATCGGAGTGTGCCTCTACTTTGGTGTCCATGGAGGCCGGGAGGGCAGCTTCATTGTGGGAAGCCATGGTCGTGTGTGCTGCGGAATACCGCACGTGGTGAAGAAGGGGAGAAAAAAGGAAAATTTCGGATGAAGAGCAGATGCTGAGACCCGCCTTGACCTGTTTGCGCTCAAACCACAAGAATACTGATATTGACGGTCCCTTCCAACGCCAACGATGGCCGAGGGCCAGAGGACATTATATGCAGAAAGAGTGCAATATCGGACCCGTAGATCCTCGGGGGTTTGAAAATGTAGCCTCGTGGCCTGGCTGGGCCAGGCTCATCCCGCTGGGACATCCCCCAAACGCGAGGCCCGCGATTGGCTAAGCCGCTCTTCCCCCCCTCAACCCCAATGTTGAGAAATGGGACACTCGGCAGGGGACCGGCTGGGGTCCTGCACTGAGGGGCCGATGTGGGCGCTCGGCTGGGGTGCTCGATCGAGTAAGCGCGCGCGCACGCAGAAAGCGCCTCAGGGCCAGCCATAGGATGAGCAATTATCCAATGCCAGCAGGACCGGTGACTCTGGCACTAAAAGCCCCCGGGGCGCATCCTTTCGTAGGAACGTGGGCGTGATGGAGGCGGCATGCTGGCACAATTTCTGTGACTGACTTACGCTGTGTCTGTTTGCAGGGAGGCCTGGAATGCCCTTCACACGCACAGAAACCATGCCCAAGCCAGTGACTGTGGGTGCGTGGGGAGGGCCCGTCGGCAAATGCCCAGATCTGGACTGTGGGGTGCGGGGAAGAGTGGGCCTCTCACAGATTTCACGATCGGGAGGATGTGGAGGAGTGGGGTCAGGTGTGTGATTCGAGGCATCAACCACAAACGCCCTCCACACGGCAGGCACGCTCCAGCTCGAGATTCAAGAGGCAGTCGCGAGCCTGCATATTGCTCCTCCCCAGCCGGATCTGCCCAGCCTCGCTACCTCTCCATCGATGACAGCACGAACATCTCTCAGCCATTGACGACAAGCGACCGCAGAGCTCGCCGCACAATGACGACGGCACAATGACTCCTGGCTCTGACAGTAGCCCCAAGCACGCCAGAACAGAGGTGCGGCTTGCCCTGGCCTGCAATCAATGTCGCCGTCGCAAGGTCCGCTGTGATGCCAGCCTGCCCAAGTGCCGCAACTGCGCTGCACGCGGTGACAACTGCGACGTGTCGGACCTCCGCCGACGACCCAAGGCCGGCTCAGCTGCTCAGGCGCCCGTCCGGCGTCGAGCAGAGGGCCGCCGCCGGCAGTCCCGTCAGCAGCGGCCGTCCCCGGGGAGCCCACCCGTCCAAGCTCCGTTGAGCCCCAGCCGAAGTACTGCTTCCCCGGCCGCCGCCCCGGGCCACAGCAAGACAGCCACCGCAACTGCACTGCCCTTATCCCGGACCGCTGCCGTCGCCGCTGCCGCCGCCGACACTGCGGCTGCCGCTGTGCCAGGGAAGTCCTCATGGCTGGCCCTTGGTTACATCGAGAGTCGTTCCTTGCTCCGGTACTCCCAGCAGGCTGCCGGACTGCCTGCCGGCTCCCGCCAAGTACTCGACGCCTGCCAGGGTGGAACTCATGACGATGACGCAGCCCTGGCAGCTCCCGAGGTTGTCCTTAATGTCGATCATGACATGCACAAGTTGAAGGTCAGCCACGGCTCCAATTCCAGCAAACACGGTCGAGAAAAGTGCTGATGTTGGTTTCTAGTTCGTCGGTGGCAGCAGTTTGCAATGTCTTTGCCGCTTTGTCGATCTGCACCTTGTACATCACCGCATGCCTACCATCAGCCCTTTTTTCAAGCATGGTATGCGACATGCTGAGGAGTTCTCCGTGCCCGTCATCCCAACATTTCCACCAATCCCTACAGGTGTCCACCTAAGAAACCTGCTTGACGTCTCCTTCAGCCGCCAATGGCCCCTCTTTCCTGTTATTGATCGAGTGATCTTCGAAGTTGAACTGGGCAACATCATGGGCAATCGAACCCCGTGTTCTGGCCACAGCAGAGGACCAGCATATCACCATATCGATGTGAAAAATATCCAGCCTGTCCGCCTACCTTGGCTCGCCGCAGCGTACAGTATCTTGTGCATTGCCACTGACTACACTCAGGGTCGCACATCGGAGACAAGCGCAGCGTACCTCAAAGCTGCGTACAGTCTGTATAATCAACTAGTATCCATGCCATTCCTGCCAAGCGTGCAGGCCACGTTATTGCTTGCTCTAGCTCTGCGTGAGCAAGGCCGAGACGGACAAGCATGGCATCTGACTGGCCATGCCGTCCGTACAGCTCACTCTCTTGGGTTGCACAAACAGAAGTACATATCCATGGCGGCTATGCAGCAGCAACCTCTTTCCGCAAACAGCACAGATGTTCGCAAGAGCCAGAAGGCGAGAGATAGTCGTCACTTGACAGCCAGCACGGCCGGAATGCCTGTAACGGCGCGTGTCTGGCTGGCATGCTATGCATTGGAGAAGCTTATGCAACTTGAGTGTGGCCGTCCTTCGATCATCGACGACGCAGACATCACTGGTGTCCGATCACTTCGCGTCACGGCGGAGAGAGCACATGGTTCGGAGCATGGTCCGGCTCAGGAAAAGGACGTCGACCAACCCCCTAACGAGCGGAGAAACCATGTGCAGGGTGACGCGGACAACGGTGGCCGTACGCCCGAGCCATCTGATCCTCATCATCTGGACTACTTCCTGATATGGGTTAGACTCTCACGCATAATCGGCAAGATAGCAGAACGTGTATATCTGCGGAAGTACAAGTCATCGGCTGAGATGTTCTACGAGACCGGCAAGCTTGATATGGAGCTACTCGACTGGGAGGCTTCGTTGCCGGCATGGCTCTCCGTCCCGAAAACTTCCTGGGCAGGGGGTTTCCCTTCCACACCTGCACGACCACCGCATAGCAGCGAAACAATCGAGCCTGATGATGATGGTGGAAATGCGCAACCTCATCACGGGTATTTGCAAAACTTGATCTTGTCGCAGTTCTACAATGTGAGTACCACCATACCGTCATTTGAGCTTGCTTTTGCTGCCAGTGATGACTAACCCTCTGCTCCACGTGCCAGGCGCAAATATCTCTGTTTCGTATCAGTCTCATCTTTTCCCAGGAGTCCTACCAGAAAGAGCTCCGAGTGCATCCGAGCCCGGTACTCCCTGCGCATTTCCATGCCCGGCTGTCACGTGCCAATCTGATCTGCGTCGAAGCAGCTCGAGCTGTTATCACACAGAACCTTCAGTTTGTCGAGGGATGCCTGCAAGTCAGAGATGTGCCGCCGCCTGAAAGTGCTGCTGCTACGCAAGGCAATTCAGTTAACGACCATTTGCCACTGGCTTCAACACCACCGCCCCCACTGCTGGCCGGGACAGGCGGCTTGCTTCTCACAGCGGCGTCCGTCCTAGCTCTCAGCATTCTACGGGAACCTACACGTCGTCTTACACGTTCGGATGCAGAGCTTCTTGGCGAGGCAGCGACATTTGCTTCGGAGTGCTATGCTCGATGGGGTCAGGACCCGGCGTTCTCAGAGGTCTGCGGTGTCTTGAGGGACTCTGTGGACAAGATTTTGAGCAAAGTCAAAAACAATGGCAAACCTGGTCGTCAGGCGTCAGTTGCACCTGGCGCATCACCTGCATCGACTAACAACCAGCTTGGTTCCGGCCAAGTTCGCGGCTCGTCATCCCTCACAAGTAGCTCGAGATTCTCGCGAGGCATCGCACCACCAGCGGTCAATCAAGCCGGGCAGACAGACTTGAATCGCGACCAGGATACAAGTCCGTATCCGAGCACTGCCAGGGCTTTCCCAGCGCCGACAGTGCGGGATGATGCAGCAATCATGCACAGCCATGCCTCCTCCTTTTCCGTCATGGGCAGAGACTCGCCGTCATTTTTGCCCAGTGGCGACCACGCCAGGGTTACACATGTTGACTCACAGCTTCTTCATGCCGAAATCAAAGGTGCAGCTTCTTTCATGTACGGGCTGGACATGTCGGGCTTATTCGACGACATGGCCGGTGGCCTTGGCGAGAATATATTTGATGCCGAAGGCGCCTTGTCCATTCCACCGTGGAACGGAGTGGACCTGGACCTGGAACATGCATGGCCCCTCATGGGCATCAGCCTCGATTACAACAATATTTGAGCGGACTATGCAATCGTGTTAACCATCTTTTGGGAACCAGCGGCCTTGGGAGGTCCTGATCGCTGTCTGCACCCCACTACCAGTCAAGGATGTTCAATCTTGAAATCAAAGCTTATGGGCAGCACGCGAACATATTTTCGGCAAGATTATGGAGACTCCGCCCCTCACGACTGCACCCCATCTATTAGCTGGCCGTTGCTGACCTCGGGTCGGGACATGTGGGCACATCGGCGTGGTCCCGGCCGAGCAAGTGCATGGTTCTGCTATATGTCCCCACCCGTGCCTGACCCCCATGGGGTTGTTGCGGGGAAGAAGCTAGCATCGTATGGATGCCATCTCGGCTGGGGCAAGTCCAGTAAGCTGCCATCAAGCTGTAGATGGACTTGCTATAAAGATAATAGCGACAAGATGGGTGCGGGCCTTTGTAGGCACATGATGACGCCTACGACACGAGACTCCCTCGAGCTCGCCAAGCCTCTTCACAGCAGATAAAACATGTCTGCTGCAGCAGTCACTGCTTGCCCCTATTCCAACCCCCAGCGCGTGTTTGAAGACCTCGCCGCACAACGTGAGCGGCCAGGCCTCGAATACGATGCTATCCTCATTGGCTATGTGGTGAGCAGGCACAGTGACATTGTAGAGGTACTCGACGACCCATCGACCTTCAGCTCGCGGCCCACGGTGCCAGAGTTCCCGCCGCCGGTGCAGAGCCTGTTCTCAGGCAAGGTGCCAGACCGCGGCACGCTGATCGCCCATGACAACCCAGACCACGACCGTCTCCGCGCGAGTGTCGCTTCTTTCTTCGTGCCTCGTCGCTTGCAACGCTTCGAGCCTCTGCTGCGTCGGACCGCGCACAGTCTGATTGACGACTTCATTGCCAAGGGTAGCGTGGATGTCAAGTCTGCATTTGCGCTGCCACTCCCTCTCCGCACCATCGTCATCGTCGCAGGGCTCGACCCGGAGCGATGGCAATGGATCGGCCGGTGTCTGTCCCTGTTCGGCGGCATCACGAGAACCGAAGAAGGCGAGAAGCGGACTGTTCAGCAGCGCACTCAGGATGTGCTCGACGTACACGAGTACATCGCCTCGGTCATCGAGCTGCGCCGCCATGACCGCCGCGACGATCTCATCAGCCACATCTGGAACGAGCGCGATGGGCCCAACGGCATTCAGATGACCGACTTTGAGCACCTCTCCATGATTCCCGGGCTGTTGCTGGCGGGCCACGAGACCACGACAAACTTTTTGAGCATGAGTCTGGCGCACCTGCTCCATCATGATTTGTGGGAACAGGCTGCGCGCAGTGAGGCTTCCCGCATAGCGGCGATCGAGGAGCTCCTACGCTACGAATCGGCCATCACCGGCATGCGAAGGACGGTCAAGTGTCCCGTCACTGTGTCGGGCACGGCCTTGCAGCCCGGAGATGCCCTATTCCTGGCGTATGCCTCGGGGAGTCGCGACGCTGCAGTGTCTGGCAAGAACGGGGCCATGATCGACCTCGACCGGCCTGCCACCGCATCCCAGCATCTGGGCTTTGGCCGCGGAGTGCACGCGTGTCTTGGGGCCCCCTTCGCGAGGCTGCTCCTGCGCACCGAGCTTGCCGTGCTTCGGGAGCGGCTGCCCAATCTGCGGCTCGTCACCCCATACGATGAGATCCCATACAAGCGCGTACATGAGGCCAGGGGTGTCGAAAGCATGTTCATCGCGTGGGATCCTCCTGCATCCGCATATATGGTCGCTCCACCAGGGGGCCTGACTGAGGACGGTCTTGTGCCCGGCTTGTCCACGCTCACATTATCAGTCACTGCAGAGCCACCTACGGGCACCATACAGGCTGTTGTCGAAGATACCACCACAATCGCCAAAGGGGTCAAACAGATTACGTTGGTGTCGAGCTTGGCAAGTCGCGACTCCTTCCCCAAGCAATGGGGTCCCGGCGCACATATCGACGTGCAGACTGGCAATCTTGGCTGGCGGCAGTACTCCATCTGCTCCCGGGCACCTCCGCTCTTGCAGATCACCGTGCTGCGCGAGGAGGGGGGACTCGGGGGTTCGCAATATCTACACGACAGTGTCAAGAAAGGTGACACATTGCTGATCAGAGGGCCACGGAATCACTTTGGCATTCGACGAGGAGATGAGAACACCAATGATCGGGTCGTGGAGGATCCTGGAGCGAAAAGGACCATCTTCATTGCCGGCGGCATCGGAATCACGCCCATTCGACCTCTGGCAGCGGAGGCCAAGGCAGCAGGCACGCAGTACGAGCTCGTCTACCTCGGTCGGAGCCGAGACACCATGGCGTATGCGGACGAGATGATTCGGACCCATGGCGACGACAAAACAACCATTTGGGTCACCAGTGAACAGCCCGGCCGTCGGAGGTTTGATCTTGAGGCACTTCTTCTCGAGCAGCAGCAGCAGCCTGCCAAGGACGGAACTATGGAGCCGCAGCTTGAGGTGTACTGCTGTGGGCCAGAAGGGCTCGTCTCGAGGGTCGAAGCCATCATGGAGACGAGAAAGGAGACACATCCGGGCGACGTGCTGCACGTTGAGCGCTTTGCTCACCCTGCCGAGAGCGCCGGCGACACCGCAGAGAACCGGCCTTTCGACGTTCTTCTTGCCCGCAGCGGCAAGGTTCTCCAAGTACCTGCAGACAAGTCCGTGCTTGAGGTGATCAATGAGGAGGCTGCTGCTGGTAGTGTTTCTGCCGCACTTGATACAGGCAAACCTGCTAAACAACAAGGAGACTTCGCAGCAGAAAAGGGGAAGACGAAGGCTATCATGTCGACTTGTGGAAAGGGGCTCTGCGGCACATGCGAGGTCCCCGTGCTCGAGGGCGTGCCGGACCACCGCGATGTGGTCCTGACTGGGCTTGAAAAGGCAGAGGGCAAGACGATGATGGCTTGTGTGTCGAGGTGTAGAGGGGACCGACTGGTTCTGGACTTGTGGTAGTCCTTGCACCGGGACCTGTTGTCGTAAACAAGCTGGCAAGGTTCTGGGGCCAATGATGACGGTGATTGCAAACAGATGCTTTCCGTGCCGATAGTTACCCTGTGGCTGGCTGGGAACGGTCGACGCTTATTGACAAGACATCTCTACGCAATATGGACTGAAATTGGCTCGTCATACGCATGTCATGCACTTTGAACCAATCATGTCTCTTTGACCTGTACAGAGCTTTGAAATTGGTCTTGGTGGGTTTGATGAAATTAACACTGGAGGCTCGTAACAGGTACTGCGTTTCCAGTTAAAAGCAAAAGGCGATGCGATTGACGATGTGAGGGCAAGGCAGAATCTGGGTTGACGACAAGGCTGCAACGAGGGGCTGAGGACATGCATGCGTGCGCATGCACAGCCCACTTCACGCTATCACGTCTTTCAGCTCTTGAGCACCCTGGCCACCACGTTAGTCCACGTCTTTGTTCTGGCAGTAAGGGGATGGAAGCCAACGAGACTTTCTTCATGGTTTCAAGTTTCGACGTGGGAGGCATGTATTCTTGACCTGCGTGGGGCCAACTCTGCAATCTACAGCCTGACGATGACCTCGCTTTGCAACTACTCGCAGCCATTGCTCTTCAACACCAGCGACCTGCAGCGCGATGGTGTCGGCACGCTCTTTCCCTACAACCCAGACCTTTACGACAGTGCCTCGGGTCTGTACGGTCCGGGATCCCTTATATGCTGGTGTCTCCTCATTGCATCCTTCATCGTCAATTTCATGTTTTGCCCCGTCGACCGCGCCGGCCACCGCCGGCCGACAATCACCACAGACCTGATCGCGCTCACAGTATACCCAGTCTTTGCCGCCACCGATGCTCTCGTCCAGGCAATGAAGCTGCTTGGTGTGCCGGATCGTGCCAAGGTCCTCTTCTGCTTGCGATACCCATACGTGGACATCTCCAAGGAAATGTATGGCCAACGCAGCCCAGACGATCCACCGCTCGACCTCGAACATATCCCCGAGGACGTGGTCGCCTACGGGCAGAAGATCATTGCCCTGTCCGGGCCACTCCCGGTGTGTCAGGTCTTTACCACAGTCGTTTTCGCATACCTGGTCATCTTCAAGGTGGTGAGACACCTCCACGCCCACGAGGAGGTGCTAGTGCCATGGAGTGCAATGGACGGCGCCTCGCGCCTCATCGTATCCGCCTACGCCTACATCCTTACCTGCCTGACGGTAGTGCAGTTCAGCATGGCCGACGCGAACATGATCGCCGCGCTGACCCTGTACGACGTCGTGACGCCTGTCCTGTTCTTCATCGTCAACGGGTTCGGCATCATCGTCGTCGTAGGCGTGGCAGTCATGCTGGTAATCCTGCTGCTGCGCGCGGTCCGGTGGGCAGGCGGCGAATGTCTGCGCGCTGTGTACGACCTGCCGACGTTCGGGGACAACGAGGTGGTCAACTGGGCCAACTTCATCGTGTACTCGGTCTTTTTCGCGTTCCCTTACGCGGTGATAATGTGGAAGGGGGACCTCTCGCTCACCCCGGACCTTGGCATCGCGGTGACCGAGTCGGATCAGTTGGCGGCGCTCCTGGGCGGCATCTTGACGTTGTGCTTCACTTTGTACAGCGCCGTCTTTGATCGTCGGGGTGGCCCGCCGCAGGAGAGTAGGGATGAGGAGCAGATGGTGCCTTTGACATCGGAAAATGTGTGAAAGATCTTACAGTTGGCGGACTGTCGGGAGAGACGGTCGAGAAATCCTGAAGACAAGAGCGATCTTTGTGAGGTGGTTAGTTACGGTTACACGCAAGCTCCAGGGGCTAGTGCTGAGCCAACAGCTCGCATGCATGTTGGTGAGTCTTTGTCCCGAATTGGCAGCGTCTTTGTCGGGCTCCCGAACCAACACTCAGATGCAGGTGTCCTAGCCAACGTTCGAAAGTCTCTCAAAGGCCGTCATCAGACACAACCAGACTGAAAGAAAGCGCAGCTTCGTTTGGCATCAAAGGCGCCAGTCGAGGCTGTCATGCTTCACCTTGGCATCATGGCGGCCTCGCGCCTATATCTTGTGCGATTCCACCCTTCAAATTGATATTGGCCATGACAGCTCAACCCTTCCAGCATCACACTTGTACACGACCTACCACAGAGGCAAGCCGGGTATTGCCCGAGATCACGCAAGAATTCAAAGCCACTCTGCATAAATCAGCAGATATGCGGTTTCTCACGCTGTTCTTGACCTTGTTCATCGGCCTTGCGGCATGTGCTCACCCTGGTGGTCGCCTGCATGCCGGCTTCTTCAACAGAAGGCAGGACGCCCCTGCAGATACCCCAGCGAGTTCCAATAGCGCGAGCTCGACTTCTACCACGGCCACAGCCTCTACCACGGCGCCGACTTCGACCAGCGCGTCCGGGTCGACCTCTTCGACCACGACTGGCACGGCCACTACTCCAACAGCCACTCCTAGCTCGTCAGTCGAACTCTACACCGTCGACCAAAAGCCCTGCCATGTGGATCCGAATCCATCATGCAAAAGAGAAGCATCGACCTTCACTTCCGGGAAAGGAAAGTGTACTTTCGCGCAGAGCTTCGATTTCAACACGACGCAGTTCTACCCAGTGCTAGACGAGCCCAGTTTATACCGTTTCGGCTCCAACTTCTACTTCAAAACGGACTGGTACAAGGACTGCGCAGCTTTCATGCCATCCAGCCCGCAGTTCGACGGCAACTGGGGGGGGATGGACCCTCTCCCTGCGGACAAGTTTACTATGCTGGAGGGCAGCACTCGCTGCGGGCTGCAGATCATTTCGCTCAAGAAAGACAAGGATCTCGCATTGAGTTTCATCGACATCTTTTATGCCATGAGGGACGCGCTGGCCGTCATCGAGGCCGCCAACGGCCGCCTCACCGTCGGCGGGAACATTCGATGCGACGAGGACGACAACGATGAGCCCGGGAAGTTCACGTACGCGTGGCGGCTGATTCCACGGGGTGGCGTGGATGTGGCGTCGGCGGATGCCGCCAAGGCCGCCATGGCGTTGCCATTCCAAGCAGTGGAGAAGCCCTGGGAGAAGCCCTCGGACTTGGTGTAGGGAGCGAGATTTGGATTCATCGCTCATGCTCTTACGGGCTGGTCCCTTTCGACTAGGAGTATTTGAAGCGTTGACGGTTCTAGGTGAGCGGGTGAAGGGGAGCCGGCATAGGAAGCTTCGACACCGGGTGGCCATTGGACAGGATTCCTGCCATGTGATGGCGTTGTTTGTGATCCATCATTGGGGAAAACTGTTGTTGTAGTTGCTTTTTTTTGTTTCTGTCCTTGAATACCTGCAGGCTGTGCTGCTCTATAGACAAATTGACCCATTGGAATTTCTTTGCGTACTTCCTGGTCCTCTCTACGTTCCCACATGTCACTTGCTCAGCGTAGGGTCGCAAGCCAGCATGTTCTTCTCCATCGTCTCATCACTCCACCTCGGCGCATCGCGATAATAATGCCTCTGGGCACTAATCTCAACCGCGTTTCCCCACAACGGATCCTTCCCACCTCTGTCCATCCCTTCCCCGTCGATCCTCGTCTCCGTGGCAGGCACACTGTCCTTGCCCTCGATCAGCATCATCACAACCGCCGCAACCTTGTTCACATCCGTCATCTGCTCCGGGGGGAACAGATCCCACTGCGCGTCCGGGAGCAGGCCCGTCCTCAGCGGGCCGGGGCAGATGGCGTTGACGCGGATCCCGTCGTTCTTGTAAAACGACGGCGCGATGGCGCGCATGAAGCCCACCACGCCATGCTTGGCCGCCGTGTACAGCGGGCACATACCCGACGGGTAGATCCCGCCCGAGCTGGCGGTCATGACTATGCTCTTACCTCCTCCGCCTCCGCCTCCGCCCGTACCGCCTGCTTCGCCGTCCAACCCGGGCAGCGAGTCCGGAGTCTGCCGAAAGTAGTGCTGCGCGAGGTACGCCGTCATGTACACGGCGTCCAGGAGGATCTTGCTGACGAGCAGGTCGTACGGCGGCGGCGGCGCGAGGTTGTCCTCGGCGGTGGTGTGCGGGGCGTAAAAGTCCCCGCGCTCGGCGATGCCCGCGTTGGCAAAGACAAAGTCCAGCCGGTGCGTGCGGGCGAATGTGGCCTCGAACGCACCAGCCAGGGCCGGGTACTCGATGCAGTTTGCCTGGTGGAACGTCGCGCAAGGCGATGTGCTGGACGTGTTGCTGCTGCTGCTGCTGCTGCTGCTGCTGTTGTTGATGACTTCGACGGCCTGTGCGCCCGCGGAAGGGTTGAGGTCGATGATGGTGATGTCCCATCCGCCGGCATTTGCGAGGGCGTGAGCCACAGCGAGACCCATGCCGGACGCGCCGCCGGTGATGATGGCGGTACGGCGGTCGATGGCCATTTTGGTAATGTGGTTCGACGTTTCAGAAGGGGGGTTGCTAAGCGCGAGGGTCGGACTGTGCTACTGTGAGAAACCGGAATGTGGCAAGCTGGTCAAGTAGAGGCTGCTCTTTGCTGGCGACTTGCGTGGATGGAAAAGATGTGCGAGTCTGATGCCGCACGTCCAACGGACACCAAAGCCCCAAAGTAGGTTTTATCATGCGAACTTGCAGCCAACTGTGACTCGGAGCTCACGCTCCCGATGCTTGGGGTCTGTAAACTTTTGGTTGCCACGGCCGCGTGGCTTTACCCGCATATTCGGGCAACGAGCCTCTCAGCATCCCGTAACGCTGTTGTGCTGCACTCGCTCGTCTCGAGGTCCAGACATTTTGCGGGTGTCGTTATCCTTCAGGCGTACCTAGCTGCCCCGGGCTGTGGGGATGTTGGAGCATGTTCCCAAGGACCCGGGGCGTGCGGGGAACCCCGATCTGGGGCCAGCTTCCCCGCATTTGCAGGGACCGCAGCGGCTTCCCGGTTCAATCTGTCAACAATTGGAGCAGGGCAGTGCCAGCGCGAATATATGTAGACCAGGGTCGCAGAGTCTCGACTGGCGCCTTAACTGATCAAGACTGGTAAGCCAAGCCCCACGACGCCCGGCGAGTAACCCGCCTACCAGGCCCCCGTACGACGGCTCCGAACCGGGCCATCCGGTTGGTCACGAATCGGTTGACGGTCAACCACTCGAGCCCAATGATGCGCAAGAACGTGAAGCCCATGATTTTGATGGTTTGTTATTTTGCGCCAGGTAGATAATGACGAGCAACTAGGGATGATAGACTGCAAATGAATGAGATTAGAGAGACAAGCTTGAGTCAAAGAGGCAAGGGTGGACGTCAGTGGCGGCGTGGTGCAAGTTTCGACACAACTGTACAAGATTGTGCAAGACAATGGCTGAAAACCAGCAAAGGTTGCTTTAGCGTCGGAGAACGGGTAATGCCTTATTTACGAATGCTGGATACTGCTGTAGATCACATCTCATTACCTCGTTCCTGGGCAAATTTGGTCTTCAGGCTCTCGGCAATCCTACGTACTCGAAATAGCTGCAGCAACTAGCAAATCTCCGGGCTAACAGAACTAAGTAAAGTGGCATGTGTTACGGACGAGCGTCTGCGGAGCTGCCACCGGGTTCAGCTTGTTGCGGATCAGCTTACTCCGCACATGATGCCCCGACGGGAGCAGACTCTCATGACGCTGCGCACGGTCCACAAAAGCTGCACGGGACGTGGAGAATTGGTTGGCTTCTCTCTCACGCGTGCACCTTTGACGGCCAGCAATGCTAGCACTGTCCGGTTTTGCGTAAGGTCGCTTGGCTCTTACTGGACGGAGCCATTCCCTCCTGTGTTACGATGGGTGGAATCGTGACACGGAGGAAAGAACTAACACCAGTGATGAAAATGACAAGTGTCGCTTAGGCCTTGGCCTCCGCTTGATTGCTGACCAACAAACCCGCTTGCATCCCCGATGGACTCATGTCTACAAAGTACGGAGAATAGACGAGAATTGCACGCATGCGTGAGGCTGTACCGTGGTGTTCTGTGGGGAGCAGAGTGTTTGGCATAGTAAGCCGGGAGGCCAGGGGGCCCACGATCTTGCTGGCAGCTTTAAATAGCCGTGGGCAGGCTTATTTAGTGGGGAAGACAGGGATGCTCAGCGGCCTGTAAATGCGGCTCTTCCCTTTTAACGCACGGGATACCTCTGAGCGAACATATTGAGGAGAAAGACGAGGACTTGAGCTTTCTTGAGTAAACTGAAAGTGAAGAATTGACCATCTCCATTGCCACAGCAGAACTTGTACCAACACGATATGCACAGACAATCGTCCTTCCCTTGACCGTAAGAACAAATGACATCTCCCATCATGGGTGTATCTTGGTAATGGGCTGTCTCCCGGACCTGCAATAAGATAATGTCCCTGTCAGAAGGCAATGATCAGCCTGTGTGCTTCCAGAATTCGCAGCTCCCGCCAATGACCTGCTTCCGTAGGCCTGCCCCGGACTTTAAGGCAGTGAGCCGGGCCACCGATTTGCAGATCCACCGCCTCTGACGGCCCCCCTGGTCGCAAGGTGCTTACCATGGAGCCCCTGGCTTACATGGCGGGACGAGACGCTGCAACCACCACGGATTACTAGCAACTGCTCATGAGCGCATCAGGCCATGCCGGGTGCCGGCATCAACGCCGATCAGGGGAACCAACACTGCTTGACCCCGGGATGAGCTGCAGAGATCACGGCCGCTCGAGTTTGTACAAATACGGCTTGAACCACCACCAGAACTCCCAATCTCTTCTCCTCATCATCAGCATCACAACAACAGCAACAACACTACTTTCCTATCTTCCTCCACATCTCCTACTCTCAACAGCCTCTTTTCCAGCTTCTCGCTTCCAACCCAAACAATCAAAATGGCCGTCCCTACCTCCGTCTCCATCCAGAACCTCTCTGGCAAGTACAACCTCAACAAGAAGCTCGGCAACGACCCCGATGCTCTCCTCGCCATGGTAAGCTCTCTTCTATTCATTCCCTTCCTCTCCATAAATCCTCGCGTGTCACTTCCTACTTCCGAAAGCAGCTTGCTGACAGCTCCCCTTTTTTTCTTACAACAGCAAGGCCTCGGCTTCATCAAGCGCAAGGCGATCGGCAAGGTCGCCGTGACCATGCACCTCAGCCAGGCCCAGGGCGCCGACGGCGTGTACCGCATCAGCGCCAAGAACATGGTCGGCGACAAGCAGATGAGCGCCGAGGAGCGCATCCTGGACTGGCAGGTCCGCGAGGCCGAGAGCCCCGTCGGCAAGGTCCAGGCCAAGACGGAGCTGACCTCGGCGGGCAAGATTGCCGACGCCTTCCTCGCCTCGGGCTGGGACTCCGCCGACGTCATCCACGGCTTCGCCACCGGCGACGGCTGGACCCTCGAGCAGGTCTGGGGCTTTGCCAACGTGGCCGGCGAGAAGAGGCATGTGCGCAAGCTTGTCTGTGTCAAGGGCAAGGAGCGCAAGGACTTCACCCTGGTCTACGACTATGTCAACTAAAGCTTGGCCACCAAATCATGTGACGGGTTCTCTGAGCTCCCAACACATCTTTTCACCAGTCGTCCTCCAGATTGACAGACCAGAAGCAGAGACACACAGCAACTTGTTCTCATCACGCACACCTTTCCTTTTTCTCCCTTCCCTTTTTCCCGGCAGCATTCACCAACACAGGTTCATCATCATCATCAGTCAGCATTACAAGTCAAAGTTTGGCAATCTAGAGTTAAAGTCACAAAGCGTTAGGAGTATTGGGTCTCTTCTTAGGTGTTATAAGGCAAAATTTCCCCCTTCATAGCAGGGCTTTTCCCGTTTCGCTCTTCTAGCACGACAAATACGAAGATCAGTACATCTACAATCTCACCTTCCTCATTCTGTATGGTCTTTATGCAACTCGTGATGCTTGCGGGGCGAGCTTACCAATTCACCTTCTCCACTGAATGAAATTGCATAATTTGATGGTCCTGATTACTCCAAAGGCAAGAAAGAAACATTGTACTTGATTCTTGCTACGTGCTTTTCTATATCTTTTCTATGTATTTGTTTGTACTACTTCTAAGCTTGGTGGTCATCACCGCTGCTATGCTAGACAAATGCTGATCCTGGTCGCCATGTAAATGCTGAAGATCCATATTGTGAAATCGCACGATGTGCGCGCGTAAGTTTCTCCGCCTTTCCAAGGAGTTTCGACTTGTCACCACGAGTTTCATTGCGGAGTCGCTCTCTGCAAATCGGTATTAGAGCTGATGATCCAGCACTAGCACTTGCCATCATTCCTGACAGGTAACCCTAACGGCAGCTGTGGTTTTGCGAGTGGTCCCAGCCCTACTTCTCGTGATTGTGTTCCTTCTGCCACTGGAGCGCATATGCCTTGGTCGCATCAGCCGGTGCCGTCTTGGGCTCCTCTGGCTTGCGCAGCTTGGCAGCCTGATACAAAGTGTTGAGATACGAGTCCTGGTCCACGTATGTACCCTTGAGCCAGCGCGCACCACCAGCCGCGTCGAATTGCTTCCGACCATGCAGGAGGCGGGTGTTGTCAAAGATCACGCAGTCGCCAGGCTTGTAGCGGTACTCGAAGACGTACTCGGGGCTCTCGATCAGGCGCTGCAGAAGTTTGGTGGCTCTCAACCACAGGTCGTGCTCGCCGGCGCCTCGCGCGGTCTTGCTGAAACCTTGCTCCGGCCGCTGAAAGGGCGGCGACCAGCTGATCAACCGAGGGCTGTCCGTGATGGCGGGGTGCGCCCTCTCGTATTCGAAGCCGCGCTTGTCGTAGCGAAAGACGGTATGCGTCTTACTCAGCTTGTCCCCAAACAATGGGTTGGTGACGCGCAGCTGCTGGGCCGCACGCCCGCCATCGCTAAAGAGCGCTTCGCCACCCTCCGTGTCATTTTCCAGGCAGTGAAGTAACTGTAGCTTGGGCGGGTTGCGCATATAGAGCAGGTCCTGGTGCAGGCCGAGGAACGAGCTCGTGTACGCCACGTTTTCGGCTTTGGGTTTAGAGCGCACGTCCCATGTTCTGCCATAGAAGGTCTCCTGGATGATGCCCATTTTGGCAGCAATGTCCTCAACAGCAGTCTCACTCTTTGGCACACCTCGGAGGAAGAAGAGGCCGTACAGACGTAGGGTGTCGCATGCCGTCAGGAACTCGTCGCCGCCGGCCATAAAAGAGTCGTAGGTGTAAAAGGGCTCTCGGGAGCGGAGAAGCTTGGCATCCCAGAGCTCCGGTGTCCCCTGCGATCCCCAGGAGACAGGAATGTTCTCGTAAGGGGCCTCGATCCATCTCTGGACGACCTCTGCAGGATACTCTGACACGTGCTCCCCGGAGCTGAGGTGGTCATTTGCCCAGGTAATACGCAGAGCTCCACTGTCTGTCTTGACGGCGTCGCAAATCTCTGGATCGAGGCTGACCTGGGCGCTGGCGAAGTTCTTCTGGCCTGAGTGCGGATCGACACACTGAGGGCAGCGGCAAGCATCCCGTAGCCATGCCTTGGAGAAGATGATGGGTTGATCACGCTCGGGATGGTTTATAAACAGGCCTTTAGCGCGTACAGGCTTTCTGGCGCCGGATTTGGCCGGCGAGCCTTCACGTAGCTTCCAGGCATCAGGATCTTGAAGAGGTCCGCGGGGTGATTCTCTTGTGCTTGTGGCTGCGCTTCTGGCCGCGCTCGAGTGGAAAAGGCGAGTTCGTGCAGGCTGATTTAGCCGCAGAGCCCTCGATAGGGCCCTGCAGGTTGACATCTTGAGGGCTGGGGTAAGTCACACAGCGGAGCAGGGGAGTTGCTGGAACAAACAATCGCAGATCTTGAAATGCAATGTGATGATGCACCTAATAGCACGTGGAGCTGATCCGTGGCCCTCGGCACTTCCGCCCCGGGCCAACAGCTGTTGGATGGAGGAGTGGGGCCTGATTTGCGTGGGGTAGTTCCTGCCGTTGCCGATGGTTCCCAGCAGGGGTTCCCGTCTTAGTCGGTGCCCTGAGCGGCCCACCGCCTGCCATTGCCAGTGCCCTGTATCTTATCAGCGCCAGCTCCACCGTGCAGCGTTCTGCCGCCGTGGAAATTCTCTAAAAAGTTTCTGGCACTGCACTGCAGACCCCGTAGCTGGTAGCAACGCCCTCTCGACGGCCCAGTCTTTCAGCACTTGCACCCAGCATCATCTACACTCCTACACCATCCAATTCTTCGGACCAGCACGGGGCCCAGTTAACAGCCGACACCCTGTGACAATAGTCACCCGCCGAGACCACCACAAGACCGCCATGGCTCCCAACTCCAGGAAAAGAGGACGGCAAGATGCCGCCGCCACGACCAGCACACACGCCAAGTCCGCAAAGGGTCCCCGGCCGACAAAGAAGCAGAGGAAAGCGCACCAGTACCACAGCAGCTCCTCCGAAGACGAAGGCGGAGACAACGACAATGACAACTTCGCCGCCGTCAACGTCATGGACTCGGACAATGACGAAGTCGATCTCGACGCGGCCATGGTGGATAACCTCGAGGGCGTGTCTGCCAGCTCGGATGACTCGGACTCGGACATTGACCCAGAAGAAGCCGCTGCTGTGATACGGAAGAACAAGGCCAAGGCCACCACTGCACCAAAGCCGAAAAAGACAAAGGCCGCGCGGGACGCGCCGAAGGAGTCGGACGAGGCGTCATCAGACAACGACAGCGACGAAGGGTCAGACCAGGATGACGAGTTTGACCTTGACAGCGATGAGGAGGAAGGCGGTGCATCTACGACTGGCGGCAAGAAGAAGCAGTCGAAGCGGAACGACCCGTCCGCCTTTGCGACCAGCATCTCCAAGATCTTGTCCACCAAGCTGTCAGTTAGCAAGCAGTCGGACCCGGTATTGTCGCGGTCCATTGACGCCAAGAAGTCCGCGCAAGAGGCCGTCGACACGGCGCTCGAGGCCAAAGCCCGGAGAAAGCTGCGCGAGCAGAAGAAGTTGGCCTCGGAGAAGGGCCGGGTCAAGGATGTCCTGGTGGGAGCGACAGACGCCAAGACGGGCGACTCGCTCGAGAACACCGGCCATATTCAGCAGACGGAGCGCCGGCTGCGCAAGGTCGCGCATCGCGGTGTGATTATGCTATTCCGCGCCGTGAGGGAGGCGCAGGAGCGGGCCGTGGAGGCGGAGAAGGGGGCGCGCAAGGAGGGCATCATGGGCGTCCAGGGCCGGACTGAGAAGGTGAATGAGATGAGCCGGCAAGGGTTCTTGGACTTGATTGCTGGTAGTGGAGGGAAGCTGAAGAAGGGTGGGCTGAAGGAGGCTTAGGCTGGGCGGCGGTTGACCCTCAGAGCATGTAGCTGCACATTCGCGGAAATAGAAGATACCCCTAATATCTTGAAGTTGTGATGTTCCACGATATATCTCCCGTGCTTGCGGTGTCGTTTCGGACCATATACTCGTCTCTACATGTTGATTAATGGTACATGTTATACATCAAAAGTTCTACAGCTCATGCTTCATGAATGCCATTTGATCCATCGAGTGGACGGACGTAGTCTTGTAGAGCATGACCATCCCCAGACTACGTCCATGGCCAGGTCCCCAACGCATGTGCCCTTGGATGGCCAGCATTCTCAACCACGACAACCTTGAGCGGACAAAAAGGCCACCAGCAAGTCTTCCTAGGTCATACGCAGACCCTCTTGCCCACCCGCTCGCTCCGCAGTCAAGGAACCCCCCAGTGTCTGGCTTGCCATTCATGACATATTTCCGCACCAAATTCACCTCGACACGCAAATCACCGCTTCTTGTCCTCAAAGTCCGCCGCTTGCATATTCCGGCTCATGTGCGGCAGCTGCACCACCAGGCCATCCAGCTCTTTCGTCATGTTGACCTGGCAGCCCAGCCGGCTCGTCTCGGTCAGGCCAAAGGCCAGGTCGAGCATGTCGTCCTCGTCGTCGCTCGCCTCGGGGATCTTGTCGTACATGTCCGGGTCCTTGACAATGACGTGGCACGTCGAGCAGGCGCAGGAGCCGCCGCAGGCGCCCTCCATCTCGAGGTCGTTTGCCTGCGCTATGTCGAGCAGGTTGTCGCCCTTGGAGACTTGGAAGGTGTGGTGGCGGCCCTCCTTGTCGATGAAGGTTATGTTCAGTCTGCAGGAGGGGAGGGCAAAAAGTCGTCGAGGTTAGTCTGGGTGGTCCAGGTTGTGGAAGTAGGAAAAGGCTGTGGGGAAAGGGATTTAAACGTACTCCTCACCGGGCTTGGGGGGATGTATGTGGCCGTGCTGCGAGGCGCGGGATGTGGTGAATGTGCGCAGAGCCGGGGCAGAATGTCGTATCCGTGCGGCCATGAAGCTGCGGAGAGACGGTGCTGGAGATCGGACCGGCCGGAAGGGCGAGGAGAGCTTGGGCAAGGCCCGGATGGCGGAGCGAGGTGTCACCATTGTGTTCTGTGAGTTCCCGCTGAAGAAAAGAAAGGTTCTGTCCGAGGAAACAGATCGGCAGCCGAGATGCGCTGTGCAGTCAAGGCCGGTGGTTCTGGTGGTGGTGACTTTGTGGTTGGTGGAGGGCGAGCGACGTCGGCGTTATATGCAAATCGGCCGAGCCGGGACGGAAAATCCAGGCTACAGTGTGGGCAGGCAGAGCTGGGCCGGATTATTCGAGGGCCGGCAACGAGCTCAAGAGGGTTGCTCGAATGGGATGAGAAACAGTTTGCTTCGCGCACGAGGCGGAGATGGGACGGCAGCGAATGTTTGCTATGCCGTCGGCAGGGCTGTGGTTGGCGTGCGGCCACAAAAAAAGTGAAGCAGGGAAGGCCGTGACGGAGCCGGGGCGGGCGGGCACGCCCAGTGGGCAGCAGCCGGCCGGGGAGGGAGGGCAGGACCACCACTAGAACCACTGTTCCAGCAGAGCACACACCGCGATTCCCGGTTCGTGTGATTGGGCAGATCTCGGGGATGCGCCTAGTGCAGATCTACGAGGTCCAGTCAAGTAGGTAAGTCGTTCGGCCAAAGAGCTCAGGGCATTTCTTGTTTTAGGATCACCATGCCCAAGCAGGGATTCCATCTATGTAGTTGATAGTTGCCTGCCAGGCTGAACGTGCCCACATCTACACAATGTCTTTTCCCGCCAGGCGCTGGGGGCCATCTCTCTGCCATGCATGAAGAAACAAATGACAGTGACTCTTATGATAAGCGCAGAGCTGCTCGAAAAGAAAAAAAAGCGGGAGCGGCGGGCGTGGCCAATGAGGGGCGTGCCCTCCGCGCGCCAGCTCAGCACAGAGCCGTCTGGACCCCTGCAGGATGGCTGGTGTTTTCACGCATGAAGGACGCACCACCACCACATACTGGGCTGGCAGACCGCCATGCTCCGTCATGCAAACTCTGGACTAGCTCCCAGCACGCATATCGTCAATACCCAGTCACCCCTCCCCGCCCTCACAACGCGGCATCACAGCAAAGGCACGAGGCATCCTCCTCTCTCTTCCTCCCTCTCTCTCTCCTTCAACAGGAACAGGCTCAGCAGCACCGTGAATCTGTGCTGGTACTTGCGCACGTGCGACTCAGGACCGGACCTTACCTTCCCCAACGCAAGCTACATCCGCGGCCACCCGCAGCACCCTCCCCCCAGCTGGTCATGCGACTTTCGACAGTCCAAGCCACGACCACTGCCTCCTAAGCGATGTCTTCCCCCAGAGAGGGTGTCAACCCTCTGCGCCCCTACTACATCCCGCCCACGATCGGCGAGCAGACCGAGAAGGCCCTCCCCTCCCGTCCGCCCACCGTCGCCCCGTCTGGCGGCCACCCATCCACCCGCTATGCCAACAAGGCCCGCGACATCGTCCAGGACATCGACTACCAGAGCTATCTCGATGACAGCTCCCCGTCCACCTTCCAGTCCGCAAAGAACCTCGTCGACGAGCTGCTATGGAAGTACACCTCCGTCCTCATGAGCCAGCCCTTCGAGGTGGCCAAGACGATCCTCCAGATCCGCCTCCAGGATGACCTCGGAGGTCTGTCGCCCCGGCCAGTCGCGCCATCCAGAACGACCAGCGCTGCTAGCGGTCTAATCAGTCCGCCGCACAGCTCGGTCTGGGACCAGGTCAGTCGAGCCAAGGTTCATCAAAGTGGCAATGATAAGACTGACACCTCAATTCATAGGATCCCGAAACCGACTCGGACCCAGACGAGGTCGCGTACTTCACATCAAATGCACCCATGACACCCACGCCGCAGTCCAGAAACAGGCGGCGGCGGCAATCAGCCTCCAGCAACGCCCAGAGCGAGATGAACCAGTCAATAACAGAGTCCCCGCACCAGCTGAGCATAAAGCGGCCGGACTCGATCTTCGAGGTCATTTCCCAGCTGTGGTCCAAGGAGGCCGCCTGGGGCGTCTGGAAGGGCACCAACGCCACCTTCCTGTACACGGTCCTGCAGTCGCTGCTGGAGAACTGGTCGCGCAGCCTGCTGAGCGCTCTGCTCAACGTGCCAGATCTCGGTCTCAAGGACGACGTGGACCGCCTGGTGGACGTCGCCTCGCCGTACCCGTGGCTCTCGCTGGGTGTCGCCGCGGCCGCCGCCGTCGCCACGGGCCTCGCCCTGGCGCCCTTGGACCTCGTCCGGACGCGCCTGATCGTCACGGGGACGAGCCGCGGCACGCGGCGGACGCTCAAGACGCTCGAGGCCCTGCCCTCGTGGACGGTCGAGCCGGCCCTCGTCGCGCCCACGGTGCTCAACTCGCTCGTGCACCCGATCCTCACGCTGTCGACGCCGCTCGTGCTCCGCTCGCAGTTCCTTATCGACCGCGACCTGTCCCCCACGACCTTCTCGGTCGCCAGGTTCTTCACGTCCTGCACGTCGCTCTTTGTCAAGCTGCCCCTCGAGACTGTCCTGCGCCGCGGCCAGGTCCAGGTGCTCTCGAGCCAGGAGCACCTCCGCGCCATGGACGAGGCGGGCTCCCTCGAACCCATCGTCACGCCAGGCCCCTACAACGGCGTCGTGGGTACCATGTACACGATCGTCAAGGAGGAAGGCTCGCGCGCCGTGGTCATCCCGCCACCGCCGTCGGCCAAGAACGGCGGGCGCCACAAGCGCGGCAAGAGCAAGGCCGCGGCCTCTGCGACGGGCGCTGCCGCCGGCGGCGAGGTGGTGTTCCGCAAGGGCCAGGGTCTCGCGGGCCTGTGGCGCGGCTGGAAGGTCAGTGCCTGGGGCCTGGCCGGGCTCTGGGTCGCCTCGATGGCGGGTGCCGGCGGCGAGGGCGAGTTCTGAAAAATCGATCAAAAGATTCAGGAAATAGCGGGCGAGCGGCGCACTTTTTTCACCGAGCCTGCAATCCTCCGGCACCTGGCTGCCGAGTGGTAGCTACTTTATATACATGGCTGGCCATCGATCGGACTGGACCAGACCAGACCAGACCACGACGGAGGAAGGGGGTCCACTATAAAGTGGAAGAAGAAGGAGCGAAAAGATTCACGGGACGAAAGCATGTGTGCTATTTGATGCGCGCACACCGACACGAGAACGAGAACAACGCATCAAAACAAGAGCGGGAAATGAAAGCAAAGCAAAATATGTACATAGCGGAAAGCAGCCTTTGGTATGATGACCTGAAATGACGATATCCCCCCTTCTCAATCCTTATACTATCATACACGATTATTACACAAAACGTTCTCGAATGCAAGAGACGAGCTGCACATTAGCAGGAGGTACTTGCGTGACACCATGACACTCGTGAGCAGTCTGACTGGACGACCGTTTGCGATGATGCGAACTGATGCACATCCACAAATGTCGACGGCAATTGTAGGGATGACAAGCCTGACATGTATATATATTTGCAAAGGGTTGCGGGTGTCTATGCTAAGCTACAGATTACAGTGGAAGAAAGTCGCTTTGATAGCTCCGCTTGACAGCTGCGGAGCATAAATAAGAGAACTTGTGCGTGGTGCTTCATCTTAGCAAGCAACAACCCCCGAATCACTTGGTCTTGGCCGCTTCAGCTTTGTAGTGCACCCTCAACAAGTCCTCAACCCTCGTCCACTTGAGCTCCGGATACCGGTCATTATCGAGCGGGTCGAGCTTGCCCTGGCCCGAGGCCATGTTGACCAAGTACTGCAGCCCCTGCCACGGGGGCATCTGCTGGTCCTCGCCGCCCATGAAGAACCGGAGGACAGGGATCACGAGCTCGAGGAACCACACGCTGCCGATCCACGATGCGCGGAACGGCCGCGCGTCATCACCATTGCCGGCGTCCGCGCGGGTCGCGGCGGCAGCGAGCTCGCGGGCACTGACGACGTCGCCGGCGATGCGGAGGATCTTGGGCATCGTGGGCGCCGGGTCGGCGGCGACGGCGGCCGTGAAGGCGGCCGTGTCGGCCATGGTGGTGTAATCGCACTTCTGGTCGGGGCTCCCCGCGTACATGACCTTGCGCTTCCGGCGATCGACCATGTTGACGGGCGGTGCGAGCATGTCCATAAAGGCGCCGTTCAGGACCGAAGTCCAGGCAATGCCCGAGCTCTCGAGCCGCGCGTGGAACTGCCGGTGCAGGTCGAGGTTGCGGTTCGAGCCGGGGCGGGTCTTTGTAAAGTCGAGGGAGTAGTCCGAGGGGATGAACCGCGGCACCCGGGCAGCGACGGCCGCGTCGAGGAGGGTGCCTTGAGCGCCGTGGAGGACGTCCGCTAGCCCTTGCAGGGTCGACACGACGCAGCGGGAGCCTTGTAGCTCGCGGGTTAGCGTGGGCACGTCGGCCATGTCGACCTCGACGATGGAGACGTCGCGGCCGAGCTCGCGCAGTGGCAGTGTCTTCTTCGTGCTGCTGCCCGGCCGGACAAGCGCCTTGACGGGCACGCCGCGCCTGCTGAGGGCGGCCACGACCAGCTTGCCCAAGCCGCCGGTGGCACCGGCTACGGCGACAAAGGGGGTTGAAGACATGATTATTGATAGTCTAGAGGCGAATTATATTGAAATGCTGTACTTGGTACGACGGAGGTGAGAACCGTCGAGTCACCGTGGTGGTTGGTCGGCTTTCATCATGTCATGCCATCCCGTGGGCGCCATCGCGGCGGTCTTATGTACACGGAGGCAAGAAGGGCCGGTCCCGGGACCGAGAGCTGGAGCCAAGAAGAGTCGGCATGTTGCTTGACCCTGCAGGAATGAGTGTTTCCAAGTTGTCCGGCCGGACAAGTATGACAAAGGCACAAGGCGTGGTGGACAAGCGCGGCTCGATGTTGGCGTCATGTGGAGCACGCTTATCATTCCTAAGCGGCGGGCCTTCCTAAGAGTTGTCCGAGGACAACTCGGTCTGGGACGAGGCAACCACCCCACCTGCTTGAGCACGCCCGTACCTTCCACCCCTGGTAATCAAGCACAACATGTCCGTGGACAGACGGCAATTCCATGCAGAAGTCAGAACAGATTAGTACAATTACTGACCGAAAAGCTGCTAAAAATGGGCAAGAGAAAGGTACGTACCTACCAGGCCCCGTCTGGGCAACCCTGGCCGCAGCAGGTCTCAATCTCAGTCCCTGACCCCTTCGCCAGTCATGCGATCTCTGCACGCTGAAGAAAATCAAATGTGACGGCCTGGCCCCGAGCTGCTCTCGCTGCATCGACTATGGCACGCGGTGTTCCTGGACGCCGGGTATCCACAGGCGAGTTCGTGGTCCGCCCAAGCCGAAGCAGGGTGACGGCACCCATCATTCAAGCTCAAAACCGCTCGTGCAGCTCGAGACTCGGCTTGCCCAGCTCGAAGAAGAGGTCAAGAGACTTCGGGCAGCTACTGCTGCCGCACCAGCCGGGCCTGTCACGACTTCACCGTCCGTTTTCACAGAATCCATACCAGAACAAATCTTGTCCTACCACCACTCTATTGGCTTCGTCGAGATGTCGCCCAGGACAAAGGCTCTACCTTTGCCACGACACGAGGACATGCAGCCGGTAGTCGACAGCTACTTTGCCAACTTCAACGCTTGCTATCCGCTCTTTGATTACGCGACCTTTGCTGCAATGCTTGAGGACTACTGCGGCAAACACGGCGACTGTCGAGATGAAGTCACATGGGCAGCCATCAGCATAGTCCTTGCCTTAGGCCTGCAGAGCTGCTCCGCAGAGAAGAACTGCTTCGAGGCCAGGGGCGATGAGGAAGTGCACTTGCGCAACGTGCAGTCGGTACTGCCGCGTCTCCTCATGCGGACTGAAGACCTCAGAGGCCTTCAGGTGCTGCTTGGGCTGAGTTTCTACGTCCAGCGGTCGCCCGAATCACTCCAGGCTCAGTTCCTGGTTGCTTCAGCAGTCAAGCTCGCATATAGGCTTGGCCTGCATACCACGCAGGACGACTTGCCATGGGGGCGGCCCCATGCTTCTGTGGAGAGGCAAAGACTCTTGTGGCTTGTGTACATTCTCGATCGAGACGTCAGCATGTCTGTCAAGGATCCATACATGCTGCAGGATCACGACCTGGACATGGACATCCCCCGGCCGTTCGACTCGGTTGACGTCGTTCCTGCGCTGCGCGGAGACAAGGACGCCTTTTTCCATTGCAGGATCGGCCTCGCCCACATCCAGGGCAAAATCTACGACTACATTTTCTCAGCTCGCGCGACCAGGTCTCCTCCCGAACAAAGATCAGCTGGGCTCCAGACCATTTGGGACATGCTCGGTCAGTGGTCCGCAGCACTTCCCGGTGAGTTCTGCTTCGAAACTCTGCACCATACTCCGACAGCGCCGTCTCTGCTGCTCTTCTTCACGTACTTCCGCATCATGTGCAAGATGCAGCAGGTCCACTCCCACAACACCGACTGGATGCGACACCTAATCGAGTACAGCAGCCGGTGGTCGATTGAGTTCGACCCGGCGGCCGAACCGGCAGCATGCCCGCTCCCATCTGCGCCTCACTGGATCGAGGTCGTGCGCGGCGCGCGGCGCTGCATGAACCTTTTCCACGAGAACCCCGGCTCAGTGGTCTGCTGGCTCGAGGAGGTGTGCTGCGAGTACATAGCGGCGCTGGTCATACTCGTCGCGCACAAGCTGACCGTCATGGAGCACCACCACCTGGTGCACCGGGAAGCGACCTCTGACAAGGACCACGACCTCATCGCCAAGGGGATTGAGCATCTGCAGCGCATGCCCGAGGGGCGTGTTATCCGCAGGTTTGATCTGTACAAGAGCATTGCGCGCGGGTGCCAGGAGCTCAACTCGCGGGCTGATGCTGCTCAGACTGCGTTTGCCTACCTGCGCAACACTGCATTTCTCGTGCCGTCTGATGCTCAGATGTTGCCGATTGGGAACGCGATTGAGTAATCACGATGGACCTACGGGCTGTATCCGCCACAGCAGATGCGGCGATCCCACCCCGAGACCACATGGCGGCGGATAGCTGCGCTAGGTGCCTCATGGTAGCGTGCATACGTACGTGCTTGCCTAGCGCCCGCCTGTCATGAAAAATCCCCGACGAAGGGATCCCCACACACAGCGCGGATGGGAATGGAAACGCAAACGAGGCGGCGTGCTGATATCGTCCGAGGCGTCAGTCGGCAGTGCATTCCTCGACGCGTGCATGCATCAAGGGTGCATGCATCAAGGGTGCATGATGCAGGCTGCCTGCCATGACACTGTGTGTGCAGACGGAGCTGGCCGACCAGTTCTGACCAGGGCCGGATGCCAGTGCTGACAGTCCCAGCTGCTTCCCCGCACAACTCGGATGCTCCAGACAGAGGAGGCAAGGACTGAGACACGTGAAAGCTGGGTAAAGCGGCCTTGGCCAGCGAGGAGAGTGAGACCTCTGGATGAATGAAACCTGCGCCGTTGGACCCCTGGTTGCTTCTTAGCTTGGCCTAATCTTGGGACGAGCCTTAAAAGTGGGGGGCTGATGGCGCCGCCCCCGCACTTTGGGAAGATGCCTCGGCCGGCCCACTCCCTTGCGGAGGAGGTGGACCGGTGCACCGTATGTTCATGGCCTGCCTGTAGGTAGGGGTTGGCAGGCCAGGACCGGGACAAGTGGCCCGGCTCAGCAGTCATATTAATCTTGCGTGCCCGTGGCCATGTCCAAGTAAACAGCCTCGAGGCAGACATGCTCTGACCATTACTTGTCGACTTTACAATACTGCGTTCACGCCATCTCACCTCTTCTCCCGCCCACAACCACCACCGTCACGATGCCCATGCACAACGGCTGGCTGCCCCGCGAGGGCTTCTACTTTGATGTCATCCTCAGGCTCATTGGCAAAACGGCCCTCAACCCGGCCCTCCTCCTCCCCGTCGTCCTCGCCGCAAAATACTCAAAGCAGGGCGAGGATCTCTCCATCCTCCACCCCGTCGCCTTCTCCCGCATAAAGACGCTCTTCTACCTCGGCCTCGCCCGGTACCTCAGCGCCAAGCTCACAGACGGCGTCGTCAACAACTTCACCTCGGACAAGTACTACTGGCCCAGCGAGATTGCCGTCGTCACCGGCGGCGCGGGCGGCATTGGCGGCCATGTCGTCAAGTTCCTGGCCGAGAAGCGCGTCAAGGTCGTCGTCCTTGATATCCAGGAGATGACCTTCCCCCTGCGTACGTTTGCCTCCAGAAAATTTGCTTTGAATGATTCTTTGACTGACTGACAATCCGTTCTCTCAGCCGCCGGCTGCCGCTACTACAAGGTCGACCTGACCAACCGGGCCAGCGTCAAGGAGGTCGCCGACAAGGTCCGCAGCGAGGTCGGCAACCCCACCATCATTGTCAACAACGCCGGCGTGGCGCGCGGCAAGACCATCCTGGAGACGTCGGAGCGCGACCTCAAGTTCACCTTTGACGTCAACTGCTTCGCCCACTTCTACACGGTGCAGGAGTTCCTGCCCGCCATGGTCGCCAAGAACCACGGCATGATTGTCACCGTCGCCAGCTTCGCCGCCTGGCTCTGCGTCCCCAACATGGTCGACTACGGCGCCTCCAAGGCCGCCGCCATGGCCTTCCACGAAGGGCTCACCTCGGAGCTCAAGACGCGCTACAACGCCCCCGCCGTCCGTACCGTCATTGTCAACCAGGCCTACACAAAGACCCCGCTCTTCCAGGGCTACAACGCCGACTCGGCCTTTGTCATGCCTCCCCTCGAGCCAGAGACGGTCGCCGAGGCCATCGTCCGCCAGATCCTGACCGGCCGCTCGGGGCAGGTCATCGCCCCGGACATGGGCCACGTCGTGCAAGGGCTGCGCGGCATGCCCGGGTGGTGGCAGTACCGCCTCCGCGAGAAGTGCGAGAACCTCATGACCAACTGGTCCGGCCGCCAGGTCGTCAAGGATGTCGAGGGCCACTACGAGGGCCGCGACAAGAAGTCCCAGAGCGAGAGCAGTACGGATGGGAGCACAGTCCTCGTTGGCAAGCCATAAAGGGTTTTGCAGTGGGCGATCGTGAAGACCCCTGAAGTAATGGCTTCGGAAAAACGACCATTAAATGAGGCCTCACGTCAAGTCGGAAGTTCAAGTTGATGAAGTGGCTGAAGCAATGCCTGGGGACATAAGGCCGTCTGAGAAGATACAAGACTTCAGAATCAGCGGCGAGAACCAGTGAGCCGTGGCTTCGGGTGACAAGGAAGGCAAAATTTCTCGGTCGCTTGGTGGGGACGCACGAACTCATGGAATTCGTCTCGCGGCAGTCACTGTGCCATGCTCATGGACAGATCGTGAAATTCCATGGGCAGAGCAGGGGCTATATATAAAAAGCCGGGCTTGAAGGGCGTCATAAAGGGTGGGCTATCGGCCTCGTTTGTTCCGCCATGAGCAGGGTGTTGTGGGCTCTCGTCTTGTACACGGTTCCAAATTATTACTGTAGTTTTGTCATTTCGAAACATGATACCATTTCATCCACCTAGTTTAAGGTCACTTTGTTTGAAACGCTCCGGCCGTGATCACCGCCCTCGGGAACCGCAAGACCCTTCCTTCACGCATGCACTTCCGCATCAATCCACACAAAGGGTAGGGACTCGGGACCTTAAACACGCCATCGTCCAACAGCCCCTGCTCGTTGTCCTGGGGCAGAGTGACGGTTCATCTCCTCAAGCAAAAGGAAAGCACTCTCCCCTGCCACTAAAGGGGATTTCACCATCACTATTTAACAGTTTCGGTTTAACAGTTTCGGTGGTATCTCGAGCGGGGTGGCGCGCCTCGGGCCGGAGGCTTAAGTGAGGCTGTTGCCCGGAGCCTGGTCTGTGACCAAGGCGTTCGAGCCGGGTGGAGGCCAAGGAATAACGACGACGAGGATTGTTGTTGTTTTCGTCGTTATAAAACTTGTAAGGAATTTTGTGTCATCAGGTCTCTCTCTTGTCTGTCGAATGGCGCAGCATGCATTCCTGAAGTCATCTATAGAGGAAAAGAAAAGAAAAAAAAAAGTAAGAAACAAGAAAAAGAAACCCGGGTGTTGAAAAGAACAGCTTTGATTGATTAGCGGTGATTCTCTCTCTCGCCTTGCTATTGAACATCATTATCTCGACGAAAGTCTCACAAACACTTGTGAAAATGCATGCTCCCTTGCGCATCGACCGAACCCTCAAGACTAAATATTAAAGAAATCCTGATGGCAAATTCGCAACAAAGAAGAATCATCAATCATCAATCAGTCCTTGACCATGTCCCACAGCCCATCCAGCACACCGCGCAGCTCGGCATCGTCGGCGCTCAGAGGACCAACCCTGGCGGCGGCCACGTTGGCGACGAGCTGCGCCTCGCTGCTGGCGCCGAGGATGATGGCGTCGCCCTCGCGCAGGGCCGAGTGGTTGAGGAGCCAGCGGCAGGTGGCTTCCTGCGGCGTGATCTTTTTGTTGTTGTTGCCGCCGCCGCCGCCGCCCGCACTGCTGCTGCTGTTGCACGCCGCGACGAGCTTCCGCACGGCGTCGTGCATGGCCGCCTTGGAGTCGTAGGTTTGCGTGTAGACTGGGTGGGCGGACTCGCCGCGCCAGCGGGACCGGTGGAGGACAGAGTCCTTGGTCTTGTTGTCACTCTTGTTGTCACTGTTGTTGTTGTTGTCGTTGTCGGTGGGAGCTGGCGGTGTCACTTTGCCGGTGAGGAAGCCGCCTGCAAGGGGACTGTTGCGAGAGAGAGACAGCAGGAGAAGGGAGTCGGCAGTCTGGCTCTGGGCCCCTCGAACGACAGAAAAAAGGATGTGCTTTTCCCGCTCCGCCATTGGAAAGAAGCAGGTGCAAAGGCGATCTGATAGGATTGTGTATAAAAGGCTGGCTCACCTGTAAGCATAGAACGCGCATCCGTGCTGCCGGATCAAGGGGAGGATGTCGTCCTCGGCCTTGCGGTACAGCGGGTTGTACATGTCCTGGATGATCGAGGGCTTGACGTAGCCATGCTTCTCGCACACAGCAAAGTACTCCTTGAGATCGGCGGCTGAGAAGTTGCAGAGGCCAAGCTGAAGCAGTTCAGGAGCTACTGTTAGTCTGTTGGCTCGTGTGTGCGCTCAAGTACGGGTGGTAAAGGCGAAAATATCAGAAATTTGCTGGCCTTGGTGGAACAAGCAATGTGTTGGTCCATGCCCAAGGACACCACCAGCTCTGGTTCGCCGCGAGGGCAATCCCTTTTCTGCGCGATCTATCTTTTGACATTGACACGTCCCAACTCACCTTGTCGAAACTGCCCAACTTATGCTGCACGTCAAATGCCCTCGCCATCTCCTCGATCGAGGTGTGCGGGTCGCGGAAGTGCGCATACAGCACCGGCACCTTGTCCACGCCCAGCAGCTGCTGGCTCTTTTTGGTGCTCGCGGCCATCGCCTCCTCGGTCAGGCTCGGCTCCACCTGGCCCGTCTCGTAGTTGTACGGGACTCGGATCTTGTCGTGGATCTCGAAGCCCTTGCCGGCGGCGCCGGCCTGGCCGAGCAGGGTGTTGGTGTTCCACGGGTTCTTGGGCGGGTAGTTGGCGGCCGAGTCGAGCTCCTTGATGTCGAGAGACTCTAGGACCTTGAGCAGGGAGGACACCTTCTCGGGCGTGTCGAAGGTGTAGGTGAAGGATCCGGGGCTTATGCCGATGCCGCCGGCACCGAAGACAATGTGTGGACCAGCCATGGTTTTCTTTTTTTTTTTTTTTTTTTAAATAAAGGTCGAGAGTTGTGATCGATAGAGGGGAGCTAGAGATTGCTAAGAGTAAGGAGTTGTGGATATTTCACCAGTTGCTATTGTGCAGGCTGCACTCTGCAACCTCGTTGGCTTTGGGGCACAGAGAAACTATATACTCTGACGGTCACAGGCTAGCTATTGGTATATTGCGCAATGTAAGCATCCATACGCCCTATTACTGACCCCCGTCGTTCTATGCACGCTGATGTCAGCTCGTACGTGGACATAGTCCCAGTTCCAAGGCGACGGAGGTACGGAGCGGAAGCCGGGGGCGGGTTGTTGGTTATGTCCGTCCGATTCGGTTGTTGGTTGGCTGTGGGCCAAAGACCTGGTCCATGTCCGCCAGACGGCCGAGATACAAGCTTTTTGCCGGCCATTTCTGGTCCAGGCTGCCGGGGCACTGTCCCCTCTTTCCAATTCGTCACTTTGTTGCCCGTTGCGCGCCAGATCGGCAGCACTTGTTTGTGCGGCCCGAGTGGCGTCTCCATCAGCCCTGCAACACCGCAAATGGCAATGCGTCTAAGCCAAGGAGCGGAAATGGTTGAAATGATCAACAATGGTGGCCACAACTCCCAACGGACACATGTTCTTGTTGATAAACCGAAGCATCACTCGAAATGCGCAACATGACAAAGAAAGACGACGTGGTTCCGTGGCACTAATCTACTGAAATCTGTGTTTCCTCGCCAGGAGCATGTTTGCATCAAGATTTGCGAAGGCGAAAGCGAAAGCGATGGAAGGGTCCCTGCAGGACGGCCTACATCACTTTACGGCGACCGTATCGTTTTACAACAAAAGCGCAATTGACCCCAATTCGCCGTGTGATGTGCACTGAGACCATTAATTCAGCCTTTCCTCGTGATCACTGCCCCTCGGCACGCAAGAGGACGACACGGTGTTTGCCGGGAGGGTGTAAACGGAGATCTCCAGAATGTCAAGTCAGCCCCCACTCTGTCTGATCTGGTGGACCCCGCATCGCAAGTCGACCCCCCCCCTGACTGGCCGATCCGGCCCTGGATCTGCGTCCACCTCGTCCTTGCACTCCTCCTCCAGACTGCCACTCTCTCCATATCCACCACGATCACCACACCTGCCGCCCACCCACACCCACCAGATCCCCTCGTCTTTGCGGCAGCCCCGTCTCACCTCGACCCTCCCCGACCATGTCCGGCCTCGACACCCCCGAGATCAAGGCCGCCTACGAGGCTGTCCGCAGCGACAAGGACGACACCAACTGGCTCCTCATCTCGTACGCCGGCAACGTCGGGGACAAGCTCGCCCTCACGGCCTCCGGCTCGGGCGGCCTCGCCGAGGTGGCCGGCAGGCTCGACGACTCGCAGGCCCAGTACGCCTACGTCCGCGTCGAGTACGCCAACGACAGCGAGTCGAAGCGCGTCAAGTTCATCCTGGTCGTCTGGATCGGCGAGGGCACAAAGGTCATGCGCAAGGCCCGCGTCTCCATCGAGAGCGGCAACGTCAAGAAGGCCTTTGGCCACCACGCCGCCATCGACGCCCGCGACAAGGGCGACCTCGCAGAGGCAGACATTGTCAAGAGGCTGCGCGCAGCCGGAGGCGCCGACTACAACGGCGGCCGTGGTTAAAGGGGGTCGGTCGCAAAGAGGGAGAGAGGGGAAAGGGAGGAAGCCGCGTCTGAAGAAGCGGGAGGGAGGACGAGGACGACTACGACAATACCACTCAGGAAAGGGGGGGAAGTACGGCAGTCAGCATACATACAGCACGGAGGCCAGTGATATTCGAAGCATCAGCGCGCATTGCGTTTACACACACACACATATATATACACAATCTGCACGCGGAGAGTCAGCAGCACGTAGACAGAATCGGGGCGTTGTTCAAACACAGGCCGAGAACCGGAAACGAAGCCAGCTGTTCTGCCTCGAAACTAATTGGGCATCCGTCAGACTGGTGATGCCAACACTTGACCCAGGCGAAACCAGATGCTCTACTTGTGTGATGCTGCATGTGAGCGAGCGACAAGGGGGAGGGGTTGTCGCAGCCATCCCAGGGTGAGGGACTCGGCGCATACGTGGTAGTGAATGGTCAATTGTGTCGCACGATGTTCTTCTCAACTCGGCGACTGTCTTGGATACGCTCGCGACACCGCGCAGCCGTACAGTCATGCTCAATCGCTCCTGTTTGCTTCGAGGTCAATGAAAAGGGGCAAGATGCTCGTGACAGCTTAGTCATCACGGCGATATCGCATGGTGGGGTTCAGCTGTGCCGACTCGAGCCTTCTGGGCCGGACAACCCGTTCGAAAGACGACGAAGCCGTCTTGTGTCCCAAGCTCGCTTCGAGGTCTGCAAGGGAACCTCTTTCGTGTGATTGACGAGTAACTCGACCGCGACTGTAGTGTCTTCGCTCTCAGGCACCCCACACACTCAGATGGAGATATCAAATCCCAGGAGAGTGCTGGCCGTTGCCCTCGAGGGGTCGACGGTACATCTGACAAAGGTGATCAAAGGTAGGTCTTGTGTCTGCAGTACATTTCTCCATGCGCGAGCTCTGGTCTCATAATTCTTTCACTTCAAACATAATCACCTTTCCCACATGACTGAGTCCACGAACCATCAGCGTCTCATAGGATGAAAAGCTCCTTTTCATTCCTGTTCCCACTTACCCACACCACATCCAGTCCCACCCCTCACATCTCATTCAACACACTGACAGCCTCCCCTGCCATCCATCATCATCATCATACTGATTACAAGCTCCCCAGACCTCACCGGTAGCCACCCGGAACAAACGTCCACAAGCCTGGCCGGCACAACACACAACTTGTCCATAAAGACCTCGTACTATACGGCCGAGGTCCCGATATGGCTCGACCTGATCGCCTCGCCCGAGGAGTGGGCCGAGTCGTTCCTGTCGGACGAGGCAAAGGAGGTCCTTGACGTGCTCGGCGGTATCGTTGTTGTATTCGCAATACCGCCGCAGAGCTCATCATCGTCGTCGTCATCAGCGGCAGCGGCAGCAGTATTACCTCCCTCGGTAAATACAACTTCAGCGTTGGCCGTGGAGGACGCAGCCACGGAAAAGAGCACACCCACAGCAGATGCCGCCGAGACCCCAAGAGAGTCACCAACCACGTCAGCACCGTCAGCACCGTCGGCATCGATATCATCACAACCACCACTATCACCACCACCAAACTCCGCCGACCAGGCCCGCGACCTTCTTCGGCATGTGGGCCGCGTCGTGCAGGACGGGCTGGGCGGGTGGTCGTGGGACGGCGTGTCGCTGTGCGTCGGGGTCGGCGAGGCCGACGACGTCGACGAGTGGGAGGAGCTGGCCGCCGGGTGTGGGCTCGAGTTCGTGCAGGTCAAGAGCCGCGCGACGGGGGGTCCGGGGAGGAACGAGTTTGGCGGTATGTTTTTTTCCCTTGCATCACCCTCTAAATTTTCTAGTACATTTTTTCTGTGGCTTTGGACGTCTTGATACCCCGGTTCTGTGAACCGAGGGGAGTATCCTGAAGTTTGCATCGCCTTTGGCAAAATCATGGCTCGGCGCCCGGCATCGGCCGTCACAAACAAAACGCGATCTCGTTCTTGACTACACTAACCTTTTCCTCACACTGACAAAACACTCTTGCCTCAACAGAAAAAACGGGAATCCCCAGAGTCCTCGAGGCCCTAGAGTCAAATGACTGGGCTGCGGGCGATCTCGACCCCCTCGGCTCAGACGACGACGGTTTCGGTGACTTCATGGGCCAATCTGACGACGACGATCTCGGCATTGGCAGCGCCAGCGCCAAGAAGGACACAGACATTGACCCGGAGAGTCTCGACTTCGGCTTCGACCGGGAAGACTTTGAAGGGCTGAAGCGCGCGATATGGAGCTCGGGGCAGGAGATTGATGCGACGACGACGACGACGACGACATCAGCTCCGCCGGCTGCAGCAGCTGCTGCTGTGGGAGCTGATGTCGTCGTCGGGCAGGGTGGCACGGGAACCGCCGACGACAAGATGGACGACGAGGAGGTGGAAAAGATTGAGCGCATGATGCTCAAGCTCTCGGCGGTTCGGGACATGGCCGCCGGTCTGCCTGAGGATCAGAGGCGGCGGATGGCGGCCAAGGCTGTCAACGAGGTCATGAAGGAGCTCTAGAAGCGGGTTTGGCAAGCCCATCACAGACCATGCATGTTTCGTGGGTGAATAGGGAGTCATGTGCAACTGGAAGAGCTATTCATTTGAGCACGGCAATTATGTCTGTTCGTTTCGAGGTCGCAATGAGTTTTAGTGATCCGACAATGCGTCGGATTCTGTGTGTTTTCAAGAACTGGGACACTCGAAATAGAAGCGCAACATCCTCGTCGACTTGAGTCTTCGTCTTTGGGAATTTGCACATAAGCGGCACATCCTCAAACGGCGCCTCGTCCTAAAAGCTGTTTGAAGCATAGTGCTTGTAGAGCCAGGCCCTGCTCATCTTGAGATCAAGCGTGAGATCAGTCTCTTTCAATCAGCATGCACGGCTTTTTCACTATTCCTTGTCTTTAATCATACAGGGTTCGAAAGTAAAGCCTCTAGATTGTGCCAATTTTTACACTCTTTTTGACGACAGGGCGTTATTTCATTTCGTTTCTCGAAAAAAGAAAGACCAATAAAAGAATTAAAAAAATCGGGATAGAGACTTAAGCCCCGGAAAGCTTGCAATCACATATCGTGCAGCAGTATTAATCGACCTAAAATACATTTAACTCTCTACCGCATTTAGATAAGCTGATCGTAAACATGAGCCACAGGCAAAGAGAATGACAATTGGAAAACGTCACCACCATTGGCAAGATGATGCAACTCTACTGTCATAATGTTCCAGATGCTCCGCCGGAGATTATCTCCTGTATCTGAGCGCTCTCTGCACGGTCAAGCTGGTCCTTTGAAAAACCGTCCTGGACTTCACCACTCGTGTCCTGCCATTTGGCCTTTCCCGCCCCTACCCTCCTTCCTTTCCAAGGTTCGGCCCCAAGGACTCTCTTGATACTCAATGAGCACACTTGTTTCTCAAAGTATCGACCCGCCAAGACACTCCAAGGCACTGAGCCGATAGCCGTCGACAGACCCCTTTTGCGAGCGTACAGTGCCGGCGAAAAGCTTGGGGAGACCTCTATTTGTCATGAAAATGTTTCTCTCTCTATTACTAGAAGTGTATACGAGTCGGCCGCCTGCTCGTAGTTCAGGCAGCCAACCAGTCACGAGTTTGATGCTGTCGAAACTGCAATCTTCCTCATCATCTCAATGACCAGGAAGTATACCGAAAGAAGCATTCATATACAGCCATGATCAATACCCACCTCCATGTATAGTTTCGGCGGTGTCGTGTATTCTAGTCTTTGTAAGGTTTCGATCATGCAAGCATATCTACAACTTCAGATAGTTCATCATTTTCATCATAATGATTCTGTCTATGTCCACAGGACGGCCATGCACCGCCTCATCCCGGGTAGTTCAGATGATTTGGGAGCAACGTCATTTTGTCTACCCTCGAAGTGTTGAGGGAAGGTCGACAGGTAGTAATACAGCTAAGCCAGATAAAGGGATTTATGCAGACACACCCGACAGTGGCGCGCAGGATAATAAACGCCGAGTCGAACACAAATGACGAGAACATTGCCATATCCGCCGGATCCATCATACCGCGTACCAGGATTGAGGCCTTGTTCATCCACTTGAGACGGGCTGCACCAAATCTTGTGTCGTATAATGAGAATATCTGGCTGTCCGGGTACACCCTCTTTGCCCAGAGATGCCAACCTCGTGGTCAGTAAAGTGAGTCGAGGCATCAGAAGCGGACAGACCAGTAACATGGTATTTGATCGAAGGGTGCTACCGGGACCAGCCTCGCGTCCACCAGGGTCTCGAGCAGGCCCGCTGATCGCGATTGCAACTTGTTTGCTGCACGCTCGTGATCAAGAAGACTGGCCTGGCCTTGACCTGGGCATTTACCCACGAAATGCAGGTGATGGAAGAAGACCGCATTATTGACATCCAATCTATGTGTTCAAGAGCGCAGTTCGGTCATCTTTCACCCTGGGACACCCCTTTCGCAGATATTGCTTAACAGTCTTCCAGGCAAGGCCCCGGGTCCTGGCTCGGCAGTGTGCCGAGTCGACTATCCCATATGCTCTCCGAGACGTGCCAACAGCCGAGAATCAGAACAGAATGGGCTTATCCTCAGCCGAGGAGGACCTACTCCAGTCAGCCGTGCTTGCGCGGATTTCTCAGAGTACCGTGTTAGTCATTCATACAAAACCCCACGCAGCTCGTTGCCAAAGTTTCCCACGTGGGGTCGTTCTGCTTGATCAGTTGATTGGCAACGTAAACCAATGCATTGGCACTTCTGTGCACCATAATGTGTCAGCTTGAAACAATAAGACCTTTCACGACGCCGTGTGAATGTCTTGCGCCTATGTGGACATGCACGTCTTGCACATAATGTGCATTTATACAGAGCAACCCCCCCGACGCGTTGGCGAAGATCGTGGTGACGACGATCATGCGTGAACTGTCGGACGAGGATCCAGACAGCCCTCCCCATGGCCCGTTCTCAATGTCACAGCTATTTTTGGCCGTGTGTGCGCCGGTGTCCTGTGGCTAAGAGTCCGCCGGATTGGCAGCGGGTCATCCCTGAGCCTGGTTATCGGTGTGAGTCCGCCAGTCTAACCTAGCTCGTGCCACTGGGAACCCCATTCAAGAGAGTAGGACGACCCGACGCCTTCGTTCCAAAACGTGAACAGTACGAGGCGGCTGACGATAGTGTGACGCCGCGCGCTGCGATGGCGACAAAGTGTTGTGACCTTTTGCACAGGACTGAGGGGTTTGAAAGGGGGAGGAGGGACGAGTGCCGCTTGTCCTGTGGGGTTCATGGAACATTCTGTGACGACGCGTTCTGCGGAAGCAGTCCGTCCAGATCCCAGAACAGCGGGCGTACGGAGTAATTGTGCGATGACAGCAATGCTGCACATGAAGATCTGTACGTAGTAGGAAGCTGGGCAGGGATGAGAGCAAGAAGCGAAACACGAACCCTGGCACACCCTTCATGGAACCGTCGAGACTTGATTTCGACCTGTTGCGCTTGCTGACCGATTGCGGTGCCGCTGAAACCTTCTGGATGGAGAGTCACGAGGAGAGATACGTCGTCCAAGTCTGCTTCCGCTCGACGGGGCCGGCATGACAGTCTTTGCTGGTGTGCAAGGAGGCGACCCCCCATCCGTCTTGACCCTCGAGCTCGGACGAAGGGCCACAGTGCGTGTACGAGGCTGGCCGTGGACCTGGATCCGTCCCGACTGCCCTCTTGTGCCTAGCGCTGGACCGGGGCACCGCTCTTTTCCAGTTGGGGACGCCCATGACGATGCTGGCGCCTGGTGGGGATAAGCGCATAAAGCTAGCGGTGCGCTACTGCAGGTACCGACCAGGTAGCGTAGCCTGCCCCTGAAGCTTGGCAGAGCCCAGTCCCAGTGTCACCTCGCCCCGTCGCGCAGAGTTTGAGCTTTCGGAGCACGCAAGGACGCGTTCCGTGCCCGCCCAGGCGGCGTGGGATGTGGCGGTTGCACCCTTGACCGCACTGGTCGAGTCGATGGGCCAGCTGATCACCTCAACACCAGGTCAGTGGCCTAGGCTGAAGAACAGCTGGACATGGCGCTACCGTCGGGACCCCATGTCTGCTGAAGACTTGTCAGGCTGCCACTAGCTTCACACGGTCCAATTGCCAGGCACTGATCTGGATTTGTGAATCGTCGACTGCCTCGCGCTCCTTGAACGAGGGGTTTCGCGACTCACCCACAGTGGGGGCACGCGCGGCGTGGGACGCGAAACTGAGACAACTTTGGCAACACAAAGGCGATTGTCCTGCTAACACAGACGTCACAGGCAGCAGGTCTCCCAAGCTCTCGCACTGCCAGCTGTCAGTTGCGACACAAGTCGGTCAGGTCTTGGGGCTCGCCCTTGTGTCCTCGTATCGGCCAATGCAGGAAGCAGGCCCAAGGTTTGACCATCTCGTGCCCTGCTGAATATTGCCTCTCGCGGTCTACACTAAGTCATGCTTGACAAAAGTCTGAATGGTTGTGGCCTGCGACCACTTGCACACCGGTCGCATCTCCTATTCTGATTGGGCGAGACGCCAGGCTTGAAAGGGAAGACCAAGAATGGAATCGACTCTGAAATCGGGTGCTGGTGTCAGCAGACACACACCCCCAACCCCTGAACGGCAAAAGCGGGTCGTGTCGTGGTGGAGCCTGGCACCGAGCCACTCTGGACTCGAAGGCGGCGCCCCTTTGCCCAAGCGTCTGCCAGATGTGTGATGGATGTGGCGTTACTTCCTGTCGTGGAGTGATCGCCTGGTGGACTGGAGTTGAGGTCAGTGTTATGCGATGCATCGCTCTGTCTCTGCAGCGCAACGGGTGCCCTCGACAACCAACTTTGGGCGACAGCATAACCGGAGGATATGCTATATCGTTTTGGCGACACGGCATGCGTGGTATTTGCTGAGCTCAAAGACGGCAAATGGCGTCGTCGGCCCGTACCGAAATTGATAAGCTGGCTGAGGTCATGCTTTAGAACCACGGTTGGAGATCGCCACATCGTTGGTAGACGAGCAAGGTCTGCTCTATCAGCAGATGCCATTGAGTGAATTCGCTCGGTAGTCTGGAGGCTGGCATCCAGATGCCTGTCATGCCACACGTCAGAAGCCGGCATAAGCGATCACATACTATGTACGATCCATGGGTCCTGCCTTGCTGAACACCCTCGGTTCATTGATTTGTCGGATGCCGGGCGACCACGGCTTTGCATCCCGCGCGTGCGCTCGTCGCTTGGCGGAGGCCACGGTCCGTAGAAGGATTAGGGCTGTTCAACTCCGACATGGGTCGTTTTGGAGGCCGAGTGCGGCAGGCACATGTTGGAGTCGATTTGAACCAGCCGAGCTGAGACCACACTTGTGTTGACCAAGCATGCTTTGTCGGAGGCTTTATTTCGCTCTCCAGCAGAGATAGACGCTGATTGACTGGCAGCTCTCCGGACACCCTGCGCGACACTGCTGAAGGATGGCTTCACGGGAGCGTGAAATATGGCGAAAATCCCATCTGATGTCGCCCATTGTGGATTCGTGGGTGCGCCCCGAGGCGGCTTTGGGACACGCAGCGAGGGTTAGGGGACAGGGAGGACGAGGACGAGTCATACGTGAGCAGACCAGGATCCACCGTCAAGTGTCACGATCCGATGGGCTGGCTGGTGAGGAGCGAAGCAAAGCTGATCCCTGTTGCTTGTCCTTTTCACCTTCGTCACGAGCCAACAATGTGCTCGCACTGTCTCATACCCCTGACGCTAGCAAACTGTACTCCGGAGCCAACTGCTCACCACAATCTACGCTTGAACAATGACCAAAAGTCTCGTGCGATGATGTGAAGCCGGTGTCCACGCCAGGTCCCGTGTTGTCATGGACGAATGCTCCGGGCAGGTGGTTGAGCAGCAGAAGCTGTCAGGTGTCTGGTGATGATGCAGTGGAACACCTTTTGCATGGTAACTCGACCCTGAGGACAAAAGATCGAGGACGCTCACGCTTGCGACTGCACCGTCGGAAGCCTGCTGCTCCTTCCATGAATGATCATAACCAAAGGAGCTTGTCGCAGCTCCGGGCTTTAAGGTGTCGCTAAGAGGTACACCATCCAAATCGAACGCCTGTGAACAGGCGCTAGCCCGTAGCCTTGCCCTCGGGTGACACTAGCCAGGCGCCTTTACCAGTTTGGCGAACCCCGTCCGACAACGCTTGTGGCCTGTTCTCGTCGTCGAGGCACAACGGTCGGAGTCATTATCGATGGCGGAAAACACTGAGTAAATAATTGTGAAAATGCGCGGTGCTAGCAGCGGTGCACGTCCGGCCTTCGAAGCATTTCAACCATTTGGCAACGAACGCCTTGCGCGGCAGCTGGACCTGTGCCTGCGATCTGAAACAGAACACTGGTGCTTTCCGGAGAAAGATGTACTCCGTACGTCTCAACCCTCTGACACGGGCGAGCCGGCGGCTTTTTTCTTCTTTTTATTCCCACTTCCTTTAAGACTTGCCAGTGTTGGCGGACGGGACCCTGACTTTGGCACGAGCCAGCTGTCACGGGAGTTGTGTGTATGGGGGTACTTTCCACGCCATGATACTGTACGGTCCACTCCGAGGATCCGCAGCCAACAAACCGGCACTGACAAGCAGGGTTGTTGGCCGATATGTCTCGACCGCTGTACGTGTCGGGCCAGGGCCCTGGCGAGACGAGGAGGCCGGGGCCCTATCTGGGGAACCGGCGAAAAAGATCTGGACATTCTCACATCCCATAGTTGTCCTGTTCACGGCCATGGCTGGACTCCGAGCAGCCCGCGTGCCGGGACATGCAGGACTCGGGTCTGTGGCGGGTACGTAGGCAAGTTGCGGTCGGTTGTGATCTGTCTGTCTCCTTTGCAGCCGGGTCCTGCACGAGCGGCAGGACAGAGACGAAGGGCAAAAAGGCGGTGGCCGTGCAACAGGGCGGGCAAGCGGGCGGCGGCCGTGCTGGGCTGGCTGGGCTGGACTGGACCGGCTCAGTTGATGCTCGGCGCCACAGAGCGAGGACGCGCGGGCTAGATCAGCGGCGGACAGGACGATCGCGACTGGGCATTGTCTGGCTGCTGCCGTTGGCTTGGAGGCGATGCGGGCTCGGCGGACAAGGCACAAGGAGGCAGTGGCCTCCGTGCTCTGTTCCTGCTTGCATCGTACCTGCAGTAGGCAGCGCAGCCAATGAGAGCACGCCGTCTGGGGGGCCCCACCCACACCCGCAGGCTCCTCCACACCCACGCGAGGGGCGGGCCTCTGCTCCTGCGCGCACTGTGTGAGCCCCTGGCCGACACGCGCTGCTGCAGGTCCTGTGGATGCGCCTGCAGCCTGCATTGGGAGCAGGCCCGGCCGGGCTGCCGTCCTGCAGGTGGGAAAGGCTGCTTCAAGCAGACCAGACTGTCCAGTATCGCTGCTGCTGCCCGGCGGCCCCCAGGAACAGGACACCGGTGGCAGGCTCTCTCTCTCCCACACCCCCCAACCGCGCTGTTGCCGCTGCCGCCAGTCAGGTCCGGCCCCCCTCACTAGGCTCGCTGCCCGTCCCCTACGCCTGCCTCCCTTTCCCTTTCTCCCAGGCCCTTCCCGTCGACTCCTCCCCTTTTTCCTTCCTTTCGATTCCTCGTACCACATTATTCTGTATCGCCAGTCTCGTCGGTCCTGCGACAGACATTCCTCTTTTCCCGTCTTCTTTTGTTCTTTCCTTGCTTCTTTCGTTGTATCAACGACCACGCTCCCTTTTCACCAAACTGCCTGCTCCCACAGCGGCTCGCAGCATCACCACCACCACCGCGGACGCCGTCACTCCTTTCCGGCTCCATTTCACTTTCCACCGAACCAGTCTACCCGCCGCCCGTGCGTGCGCCCAGACCATATTCACAACAACAACGACTCTCCCGGTCCCCTCAGTGAGGACACGGATTACGCTCCTTGCCACCATTCTCAGCTTTTATCTCATCCACTCTCTCCGCGAGGCCCGCCTCACTCGGCTAGTCTGACACCTTGTCTCAACCCGACGACATTGTTCGGCCACCGACCAGCGCCAGCTTCCGCCGGCCTGCAGAGGATATTGAATAATACACCACCCATCACCAACTCCCGACAGACTTCATCCTTGTCGTCTTCTCGAGTCACTGTCGAGCAAGCTTGCCACTATGGCTTCGCCTACCATCATGGAGCAGTCTCTTGCTCCAGTCATGGAGGAAACCTCGACCCCTGGTTCCACCGGCATGAAGGCCAGCCAGTCCCCTTCGCCATCATCTGCCACTTCGGGCAAGACGCCAGGCAGTGCCACCAATGCCAACTCACGGCGTCCACCTCGCAAGAGCACTTTGACGCAGCAGCAGAAGAACCAGAAGCGCCAGCGTGCCACCCAGGACCAGCTGACCACCCTCGAAATCGAGTTCAACAAGAACCCGACGCCAACGGCCAACGTGCGCGAGAGGATTGCGGAAGAAATCAACATGACCGAGAGGTCTGTCCAGATTTGGTTCCAGAACCGGTAGGTCTCGAGACACATTCGACTTCTCCTGCCGGTACTTGCAAGTACTGACTATGCATATAGCCGTGCCAAAATCAAGCTTCTTGCCAAGAAGAGCCTGGAGACAGGCGAGGACATTGACTCAATCCCGGAGTCGATGCGCACATACCTGGCCATGCAGGCGATGGAGTCTGGCAAAGGTCTGGGCGGCCCATATATGGGACGCACAAGCCTCATGCCATATGGCTCCATGATGCTTGGGGGCGACCAGAACGGTCAGGGCAAGGTCTTGATTCACCATCTGACCTGCCGCTCTCTCAGCATTGGCCGGTGGACACGGGTTGGACAGAATACCATGGACCTCATCATCTTCTACTCGCCTGAGAAGTGCACAATGACCTACTACATCAACAACGACCAGGCGGGCTACAAGATTGAGTATCATTTCAGCTCGATCAAGAACGTCTACATCGAGAACGCCGAAGGAGACGCTAGCAAACCCGGCGGCATTGTCATCGAACTCAACCGGCCTCCTAGTTTCTTCATGGATTCGTCTCCCAATTCCAACGGCTTCTTCCAGTGTGGCGATTTCACCGAGGATCAGCAGGCGACCCAGTGCCTTGTCCACCACCTCGGGGGCAACCCCAAGGTCTTGAGCGGACAGCTCGCAAAGCTCGTATCCCTCGAGTCTTTCATGAGCAGGCACAACCCTGTGGCGTTCGACCAGGTGCACAACTTGTCAGTCTCCGCACCCGTCTCGCCTCAACCGCGCCCGTCCTCGCAGCCAAACTTCGCGCAACCTCATGTCGGCATGTTCCCGGAGCCTCAGTGGGGTCTGAACCCAATGCAGCCTCCCATGCGTGGACCCGGCCACAAGCGCCAGCGCAGCCGCTCCGTGCCCATGGCCGTGGACTTCTCCATGCTCCAGACCCCGATGCCTTCGTTCTACATCCAGCATCCTGGAGAGAGCCAGGGCCACCCGCACACACCGACCATTTACTCGCCTGTGCCTCAGCAGGCTCACCCAATGGGTGGTGCTGGGTCAAACCTCCGCATCGACACGCAGGCTGGTTTCGGCCTCGACATGCGCCAGTACCCGCTGTCCGCCGCGACTTCGGCCCCTTCAGAATACACCAGCCCTGGCTACTTCTCCCAAGGTCCCGACAGCACTCCTATGGCTGCATCGAACTACGGTACTCCGTATGCCGGCGGATTCCTGTCTCCCATGCCTCAGCATGCCAGCATGATCCCCCAGTCTGTATCTCCTCTGTCGTTTGGCAGCCACCATGGAGATCCTGCCATTGTTGAGCAGTCGCCGCCTCCTGGAAGCATGATTCCACGCAGTGCCTCGGCCGACATCTACCCGATGGGCGAGTCCGCCATTTCCGACGACGGCAGCAGCATGAACGACTTCTACTCCAAGCACACCATCAAGCTGCCCATGCACCCCCATTCCCCGGCTTACGTCGACTCCAGCCAAGCCGAGCTCGACATGAGCCAGCTTGTGCAGTTCGACACAGTCGACCCCTCAAGCCTCTCGCCAGAGGCCCTCGGCCACCCGCAGTAGCCGAGCGCATGATAATGTCTGTTGGTTTATTGACGCATCGGCATGGGGAATGGCGTGCTGGAGTCTAGAGTCTTTCCTTGTTCCGTCTTCTGGACCCATCTTGGCGCCGGAAGTCCTCTGCTCATCCTTTCGGCGTTTGTGGGACCATATACCTCTTGTCGTTTTGTTTGGTCTTTCTGCACTTTGTTTTCCTCTCCTGTCTTGCTGATGTTCTGCCTCGCGGACTGCATACGATGTCATTTGTATGCTGTCCGCGGTGCGTGTTTGCCGGGGCAGTCTCTCCACTTCTGCCCTCATTTCAACGATTTTCTCATTCCAGCCACGACATCCACCCCCCAAAACGACTACCGCTAATACGAGCATTCGATGCCTCGTGGCTGGCACAGCGATCGCAATCTTGTATGTCTGCGCCTTTTCTGGGTTGCAGCAGTGTCGTTCTGCAATAATATCGCGATGTATTGCGGTTCTTTCTGGGTCGCCTGGGAACAGGCTGCCTGGAGGAGCCATCATGTTTTCATTATCTACTGGCCTGTCGCCGCGGAGGACTTGTACTGCTCTGTGGCGGCACTGTTTTGTCTTTTTCTATTCCTGGCTGCCGGCCTGACAAAATCGGATGAGATGGGGAGAGCCCAGGTGGCTTGGGTTACGGGATACTAATATTTAAACTACACAATACTGTTCTGCCTTGGCGGATGGGTGGAGGTTGGGGGAAAGCATGACAGGCAGGACGTGTGATGGCGGCAGAGAAGCTGCCAGGATACAGACACATTACTGGACAGTCTTGGTTGGGTAACAAGACTTTGGATAACAATTGATGATACCTTGGTTGCTCCTTGTACAACAAGACGGTTTGCTTGCCTGCTGGGCATGCATGTGACTATGAGTGCTGGCCGCCTGCGGATTGCTCTTGGTCATTCTGACTTGCTAAGGCCAGCCCTAGGGAGGGAGGTTCGCACAGCCGCGGATGCGGTGCCGAGGGTGTTGCACATGTCAGTGACGAGTGGGACCACATGACGCTGCCGCTGCCGCGTGGCTCGGCCGGGCGGGTCGGTCGGCGGGTATGCTCGGCACTTGCAAGGGACCCTCGGCCAACAGTTGAAGCGAGCGAGAGCGAACGAGCTTACCTCTCGAATCTGTGAGCTGCCCCTTTGATCGTTCTCATTCCCGTTCGTCCCGTCCTTTCGCAGACAGCCTTTCGTAGTCAAAGCTCCTCATCACGAGCAGTTCTGCGCTTCAAGGCCTGGGTTCAGCTGCCGCGAAAAGTCAAGAGGAGCTCCGACACAGCCGCACCTCTCTGGCTTGGTCTGCCTCGGCTAGGCGAGCTACCTTAGGGCTAGCCACTTAAGCTTCAAGCCTGCGCGACGTTGGTGCTTGCAACAACGACAATCCCAACGACAACTACACACCTATTGCGACGTCAACGACAACGACCGCATATCCAACTCGATAAAAGACATTGCCCCGACCGACGGCTCCGTACGAATCACCGATCTCGTCACAGCAGCAGCCATGGCAGTCTCCAAGGCGCCGCCACGGCAGTCGCTGACGGTTGTCGACAACCGCACGGGCAAGACGTACGAGCTCCCCATCACCAACAACTCGGTCCTCGCGACGGACCTCAAGAAGATCAAGGCGGCCACCGCGCCGAAAGACCGCGCCGAGGACGAGACGGAGCAGGGCATCCGCGTGTACGACCCGGCCTACATGAACACGGCCGTCATCCAGAGCAAAATCACCTACATCAACGGCCTCGAGGGCATCCTGCGCTACCGCGGCTACCCCATCGAGCAGCTCGTCAACAAGTCCAACTTCCTCGAGTCTGCGTACCTGCTCGTGTACGGCGAGCTGCCCACCAAGGACCAGGGCCGAGCCTGGACCAACGAGGTCATGCACCACACCTTTATCCACACCGACATTGAGAACATGTTCAAGTCGTTCCGTTACGACTCGCACCCCATGTCCATGCTGACCTCGGCCTTTGCGACCCTCGGCGCCTTTGCTCCCGAGGCGAACCCGTCTCTCCAGGGCCAGAAGCTGTACACGGCTGCGGCCTCGGGCGACCCAGAGGCCCTCAAGACCCTCGACAAGCAGATCATCCGCATCATCGGCAAGGCCCCGACGCTCGCTGCCGCCGCATACCGCATGCGCCAGGGCCGTCCCTTCAACCGCCCGGCCCAGGGCTTGTCGTACACGGGCAACTTCCTCTACCTCCTCGACAACCTGTCCGGCTACGAGTACCGCCCTCATCCGGTCCTCGAGAAGGCCCTGGACGCCCTCTTCATCATCCACGCCGACCACGAGGTCAACTGCTCCACCGCCACCGTGCTGCAGGTCGGCTCGTCCCTAGTCGACCCGTACAGCGTGGTGGCCTCTGGCTGCGCCGCGCTCTACGGCCCTTCGCACGGCGGCGCCTCCGAGTCGGCGATCCGCATGCTCATCGAGATCGGTTCCCCCGAGAACGTGCCCGCGTTCATGGAGAAGGTCGAGAAGCGCGAGCGCGTGCTCGTCGGGTTCGGCCACCGGGTGTACAAGAACGTGGACCCGCGTAGCACCGCCATCCGCCAGCTCGCCGAGGACGTCTTCAAGGTCACGGGCCGCAACAAGCTGCTCGACACGGCCCTCACCCTCGCCGACTACGCCCGCAAGTCCGAGTTCATGCGCTCCCGCAACCTCTACCCAAACGTCGACTTCTACTCGGGCCTCATCTACCAGGCCATGGGCTTCCCGCTCGACTTCTACCCCGTGCTCTTCGCCGTGCCCCGCTGCGTCGGCTGGCTCGCCCACTGGAGGCAGCAGATGCTCACAAAGTCGGGCGTCAAGATCTGGCGGCCCCGGCAGCTGTACGTCGGCGAGGGCGAGCGTGACTATGTCGACGAGGACGCGCGCAGGGAGAAGGCCGGGGCGACGGTGTTTGATGCGCCCGTCGAGGTCAGCCACGGCGGGGACAGCAGGCGGAATATGCTGGCTTCGTACAAGGACGAGACGGGGCAGCTGTGGAGCAAGGCGAAGTTGTAAAGAGAAGTCAATTCGTACAAGCTTGTTTGTTGGAAAGCGTGGGTCTTTTATTGAAGCCGAGGTGGCTAGTCTGCGATGTAGGAATTGACTTGTGTTCAACAACATCCGCGAATCGAAAGACCAAGCAAATAAGAAGCAGCTGACAGCGACCTCGTGAACGATGTCAGTTATCTGGTCAACAGTGATGAGAGACCTTGGCCGAAAGGAGGATTGCCTGTCTATCTAGACTTACAGGCCATTCGTCACCTGAGGAGCGCTTGAGAGGGCGGGAGCCGTCTCGTGATTGGTGAGTACCGCAATCATGTGCAATACGTTAACAGAAGCCCTTAAGGCAGTTGATGGAGCCTTCTTTACGCTCCTGTCTTAGCATCAGCGAGGCCCATGACCTCCGGACTACAACATAGCCTGGCCATTAAAAATAAATACCTGAAACTCAAGGCCATACTGCAGCATTCGAAGCTTCGAAAGAGCACCCGGCAGGTCTGCCCTGCACACGAGCCATTATCCTCAGCACTGTACGCTGGGTACGCCCAAGGCGGGGTATGTCCTCTCCGGAGTCCTGTCAGCCTTGTGGTGTTGGACCCCTGCCCTTCCGGGGTTCTGGACTCACCGGGGCTGAGCAACACAGCTGTTGGTTCAGCCTACGGCATGGGCCGCCTTGCAGCTGTGAGCGAGGCTGCGGATTTGATCTGGGAGTTTCTTTCCATTCTGCTCCCAGCATACTCATGGCGGCGAGACCTGAGAACCGTCACTTTATCCTTTATCAGCATTTCTAGCGACACAGCTGCACCATCGCCCAGGGTTTAGCCACGAGTTGGCTGGTCGCCTGGAAGACCCTGATCTACCACCGGAGCGGTCTTGACACCATGGATATTGTGTCTTTGGGCTCACGAACGACTGCAAGCAACGACCCCCAGAGGTCCCTCAATGATGCCCTGGCATCGTTTCGAGGCATCCTCACAGCCGATCAGCTGGACGCTCTGAACCACGCCAAGCCAGAGCAGGATGTCGACAAGGTCATGATCTTCACCGCCGAGCTGGACCAGAAAGCCAAATCCATGAAGGGTCGCAGCGTGGCTACCCGTCTTCACGCTGTGCTAGAGGCAGTCCATCTCTTCTCAACGGTTGTGGATACATTTGTCTCGTCAAACCCGGAGATCGCAGCGCTCGTGTGGGGCAGCATCAAGATGACCATGCTGGTATGTTCTACTCCGACACTCATCTTGTGAGCGGAGGCACTGACTGGCTGACGACCATTAGATCATGGTGAACTACACCTCGTATTTCGAACCACTCTCGAAGCTGTTCATGACCATTAGTACACACTGCCCCCGATTTAACGAGTACCAGGCGCTCTTTCCCATTTCAATTCGTCTCCAGAAGGCGCTTTGCGACTTCCATGCAGCGATTGTTCGGTGCCGCCAGCACCTGGTAGAGTTCATGAAGAGAACATGTACGTCTTCCACATTGATGGCATACCCCAAATGATTCAGCTAACATGTCCAAGGGTCACAACAGCTCCTCAACGCGGTGTTCCAGTCATTCGAACAGGAGTTCAAACCAGACATAGATGGAATCGCGAGGCTCGCCAAGGAGGTGAAAGAAGAAATCAACCTAGCCACAACGCTTGCTCAGCATCAAGAACAACAATGCCAGGGTCAGGAACGCAAGGCAGCCCAGTTGAGCAGGTACTTTCTGCAAAGATATATACCAAAACTGGACCAGGATCTGCAATTCGTCAAGATACGACAATCAAGTCAGTACTACACCCAACCTCTTCGGTTCATTTTCTGACTTCCACGGAACAGAACAAGAGAGAATACGACTTCTTGAGCAACTATGTTCATACAACCATCTTCCTCTATTTAAGGATACTTGCAAGAAACGTCGCAATGGCACTGCAGACTGGTTACTTTCGACGACAGAATTTACACGTTGGTGCAACGGGACAGGCTCAGCTGTCTTGTGCTGCTACGGCAAAAGTAAGTTTCGCAAGCAGCAGTGGTAGATTATCGTACTGATGAGGTGCAGTCGGTTCAGGCAAGACCGTGCTATGGTATGTTTCCCAAACCTTTCATGGTGCGTGCGGCCATGCTGACAACACGACGTTTAAAGCACGAATGTGATAAACAACCTATACCTCCACATGCAACCCCGAACAATAGTCGCGTTCTTCCTGGCTCACTACGATAATGCCGAATCTCTTCTTGCGGATACAATGATTCGATCCATCTTGAAACAGTCCTTGGTAGCCATCAAGGGGCCAAATTCGCACATGAATAGATTGGCCGAGCTCTTGAACAAACCATACGTGCCGCTTCGTGAGTGGACTGTACTTCTGCAACAGCTCATTATCACCATGAACAACTTTTACATTGTCGTCGATGGTCTTAATGAATGCACCTCAACAGAACGCAGGCTGCTTATGGATGAGCTTTCGCTCATTTCAGAAGCCGCACCCAGCTTACGATTATTCTTCAGCGGCCGCGACAGTATACTGATTGATGTGGAGCAAAAGTTCGGACATATTTCCAAGATCTCGACAGTATCAGAGGGCTTGCGCACAGATATAAGTCTGTTCATCGAATCAGTGCTCGAGGAATGCTTCGAGAACGGAGATTTGGTGGTTGAAGATGCCGCGCTGAAAGAACTCATCGTCACGACCTTGAATGATCGTGCCGATGGCATGTATGTCTTCATCAGGAAATTTGCTACAATCTGCATTCCTATCAACTAACTGCAATAGGTTTCTTTTGGTTGTCTTTTTGATGCAAGAGCTCTGCATCGCGAGTTACAAGGGTATGATAAGGGAAACGCTCGCCACACTGCCGAAAAGCCTTGAGCAGGTTTACACAGTCGTGCTTGAGCGTATTCTTGCCGATAACAACATGGTTGAAGCCGTCGAAACTGCTTTTCGCTGGGTGGTCGCAGTCGCAAGGCCTTTGACTCTCGCAGAACTACAGGAAACTATTCCTATCGAAATCAATCAGCCATACTCAATGGCCGAGAAACAAATCCCGAACTTCGAAAGGATTGTTCTGTGGAGCGGCAACTTGTTGCAGTGCAGCGAAGAAGAACCGCGATTGATCCGATTTGCGCACCCAACAATCCGCGAGTTTCTCACGAACGGCTCCCTGCCACCGCATCTCGGTCGCTTCAGGGTCGACACAGACTTGGCTGATCACTTTGTTGGCGAGATCTGCATGACGTATCTAGACTTCAACGACTTCAAAACCGAGGTTGCACGTGCAGAACGACCAACTACTGTTACAATACAGCCTCTTGCTTTGGCCAGCACTGCTCTTGGGAATCAATCCGCCACAACCAGACTCGCAAATACGTATACGTGGCTCTTGACCTCCACAGGTTGGGTCACTGAAGGGACCTTTGACATCGAGACCAATTATGCCTCCACTCAGCCTTATGAACGCGATAAAAGCCACCCATTTCTCCAATATGCCAGAATATACTGGATCGTGCATACGAAGCACTTCGATGCAAACAAATCAAAGACTTGGCCACTACTTCGGCTAGTTGCTAAGGAGGGCCACAATCTCATCATATGGCCAGGTCAAGAACGACCCGAAAGCCCTGGTGCTAACTTGCGCGAATGGCTGGAGCATAATGATCACTATGCCTTGTTTTTGGTGGGTATTCAGGACTGGTTGCTGCTGAAAAGGCAATGTCAGTTTCATCATTGTGCTTGCTTCCTGCTAAACCACAGAGCGAGTACGGATTTGGATCTCATTGAACAACACCTTAGAGGCCGTAGTCCGGCTCAGATTGAGACCTTCTTATCGGCAGCGAGGCTTGCAGGGCTTGATATGTACGACTTGTTTGGGATTCTCTTGGAGGCTGTCAGGTTCTCTGACCTCGCTGTCGTGCTATCGCCAGCGAAGGGGTGCTCAAATTCCATGCCCCGATCGATGCAAGTCCATCGCCTGGAATTCGCGCTAGTTGCAGCGAGCGAACTTGGCCTTCTTGATGTTGTGAAGTGGCTTTTGAAGAGGGAGGTGACTGTCCGCAATGACCTCAAGATCGATGAAAAGAGGACCGCGCTCGGACGAGCTGCAAGGAAAGGCCACTGCGATGTTGTTCGCGAACTGCTTGACCATGCAGCCGATGTCGATATCACAGACAGCCAAGGGTTTACTCCACTCCATGAAGCTGCCAGGAATGGGCATGCCGAGGTTGTGAAGATCCTGCTGTCTGCTCGCGCCAATACTGAATGTCGCGTCACGATGTCCTTCAACGATCATACGCCTAGGGCATGGACAGCGCTCGAGTTGGCAGCCAGAGGCCATTTCTATGTCATCGTTGACCTGCTGTATGACCGACGAGTTCAGAAAGAGCAAATCTGGCCACAATTGCAAGAAGACCTCACCTCTGGGATAATCGCGGAGGATCTTTCCATGCAAAACAGGCACGCGGACGTGGCGGCCATTCATCGACTGCGAAAAGTCCTTGGCTTTCCCTCATTTCCAACAACGAATCTTTCTGGAAACGATTACTGGAGATGATGGCGTGGACAATTGGGATGGTGCTCGGCTCTGCCACCTCTGCTTCGAAGATATGCCTGATGGCGTGACCAGTGGCACAAAATCTGGGCATTGAGCCTCTATCTGCGCTTTTTGGTTCCAATGGACGATGGATGGTAGGTCAGCAAGGACAGGCAAAACGTCTCACGACACATTCCGGGATGCGCGATGGTAGAGACTTTGCGAATGACCAGCGGCCTGGTACAAGTCACACATGTCCGTCTCGAACTATGGGTTTTCAGGTGTTATTATTTCCCATGATAAACACTCGTCGTCTCGTCTCAAGGGCGTGCGCCACTCGAATGGCAAAAAACCAGACCGTGACGATCTGATGTTCACCCTCTTCCAATAGCAAGGCTTTGCTCGTGGTAACAAATCCATACAATCATGGATATACTCGCTGGCGCCTCGAGATGTTACGAACCTTTTCACCCATATGCGTCTGGCTAACTCTCTTAGATAAATCAGACGATAAGAAAGGAACAGGAGAAGTAGACAACCACTGCACTAGCTTTCGTGGGCCATGATGGTATAGATTCAACAACAACCATGCGTATAAGTACTCGGCGTTTCCGGATGTTCTTGACACGATTCTTGCTCTGAACCCCTCAAACACACAGCTGGTCGAAATGCCACCACACTTCTTGGAGCCGAATTCCCCCCCAGCGTGATCAAAACTCGCGGCTGGATGTAGTTTTTAGTGGCGACATTCCTACTGTCCGTGTGCTGCTCCCACACAATCTTGACTTTTTGATCTCGTACTTGAGCTATGTGCTCAACAACGATTGTTAGACGGGCAACGTTTCGAAAACGAGGTCCAGGTGAAGCACTGTGAAAGCAACCTTGAATTTCTTCAAGAAGACAGCCAGTGTGTTTCTCAAATAGGAAAAGAGGGATGTTCGTCTCTTTGCTACGGTCTCTCTTTGTCTGTTTCGCTCCTGGCTCGAGTCAGGCTCTGGTCAACACTACTTATTACACAACGTTTTGCTTTGCAAACTACAGGGTCTTCGTTCTTTGGCCCTTACTCGAAGTGGTGTCTCCTTTTCCCACGGCAGTGATATCTACGGGGCTTGTCTTGTGAATCCTTCTCACATAACGGTGGATCGGCAAAATGCGTCGTCCACCACAGGCAGGTTTCAGGCGGGAAGGTGCTCTCTGTGCCCCAAAAGCCGCCAATCGGAATGCCCGTGCGACAATGGATGTCGCGCTCCCAAGTTAACTATAATGTCCTCTTGTTTCGTTCTTGACTCGATAATTCTTCTCCTTCTGTGAAGGCAGCCTTTGACCTAGCGCCGCCCTGTCCCTTTGCTCCGTAATGCACCGCCCAAGATGGTGAAACATGTCAAAAAACGAATTTGTGGTGTGTATCAGTGTACAAAGGAAAGAGAAGTGGGGCTGAACGAGTACATGGTGCTACGTTCAGATTCGGTGGAGAGCTGGGGGATGGAATCGCCAGCGTGCTGGCGGAGAAAAAGCAAGTGCTTTCATGGCATGGTATGACATTCTGTGGCTGAGCCCATACATGTCGTAGCTCGCCGCGCGATACTGCATACGTAGGTAGGCACAAGTCTCGCCGTGATGTTTCCAAGCTGCCATTGGAGAGGGCGAGATCTTGCAAGCTGCTACGCATACTTAGCAGGCTTGATATAGCAACAGCGGTTCGCCGACGTTTTCGATCTCTGGTATGGTGCACTTAAGATCAAAGGCTTTCGACAACACGATCTTGAAAATCTGTCAAGTTTGTAAGCGTCATATCTGATGTGCTCAATCGTTGTACTCAAGCTTACCTTTTGCACGTTGATGCTGTGACTCGTGCTGCTGAAAATCAAAGGGGCGCGCATAGCCTTGGCAAACCGCCGAGCCTGGGTCGCAAAGTCAGCCATAATCTACATGCCCCCAAATTAAAGTTGTCAAGCCATACCTGGTTGGAAATCTCCTCTTGGTCTTCCCTGGGGAAGTTGACAAAATGATCGTACTTTGTGCCCACAAGCACGGGAATGGCAGTCTTGTTGAAGCCGCGACCTTGTCTGTACCACTCCTTGATGCTGTTGAGTGTGCTTTTCCTGGTCAGGTCGAACATGAATAGTATGGCGACGGCATCGTTGCAAACGAGCGGCAGCATGTTGACGAATTCTCTCTGGCCACCCAAGTCCCATATGCTGAAGGTGATCTCTGTATTGCGGATGCTGATGGTCTTCTCCATGAAGTTGACTCCCAATGTCTGGATATAGTCCTCATCCCAGCTGCCCTCGACGTATTTGACCATGAGCGATGTCTTGCCGATCTGGGCGTCGCCCACCATGCCGACCTTGATGACTACCTGATTCCGGCCATTCTGCTGCTGCTCTTGCTGACCGCCGCTGCTCCTTGAGGCATGGTCGCTGTAGTGTGTGGCATGCCTATCGCCAGCACCCGAAAGGCCCGAGGGCGGCCGCGATATCGACTGCGGGTGCTGCGAGATTGGCGGAGTGTCGTGTCTCGCTTGGCGATCCATGTCTTCGGACTTGTGCTGCTGGTGGACGCTGTTGGCGAGGCCGTGGTCGAGCGATTGGGAGTGGTGATGCGAGCGGAGGGCGGTCTCTGGATCCGAGTAGACTCTGGGAGAGCCTTCGATGCCGCCAAGTGTGTCGTCGGGCGCGACTTCGAGCGGGACACTCGGCGGCGGCGGTGCGGTGGGCTCCTGATCCATGCTGGGAGGGGGTGGAAGACGCGGGAGAAAGGGCTTGGGAGGGGGCCCGAGAGGTGTCGAGGTCGGCCGTGCAGAGGACGGAAGGACCGCCGAGACTAGCTGGCTCGAAGGAGGACCTCAAGGCGACGGCGTGGCGGAGGAGGGCAGGGGCAGTCGAGGCTGGATGAGGCTTGGGGATGATGGGTGGACGAGGTCCGAGTTGAGCCAAATGGAGATGGGTGGGGGCGTCACTCCCGGGAGTCTAAGCTGCGAGGACTGGGGTCGGCCACAACGAGAGGTTGAGGCGGGCTAGCGAGCTCTAGCCGTGGACGCCTGAAGTGCAATCTGGCGGGTGCAAGGCCTGCTGGTGCGATGGCAGACCAAGATCTGTGTGACGGGCAGCGGCTTGTCGAGAGCTGATTGCCAGTGGCCTCAATTATCAATGTGGTCGCAGGCAAAGCAGCCGGGAGGGGTAGCCTGGGCCAGTATCTGTCGTCAGAGGGAGACGGTCGGTCTGGGGAAACAGGCCTGCCAGGCTGGAACTGCTGGGGACCGCGGGTGCAAGTGGTTGACTCCGCAACACGAGGTTGGCAACGGACGGCACGGCAGGCTGAAGAGTTGAGGAAACCCAAGACCAGGACGGGCAGGGAGTATCTGGCGGCTGGCTGATGTTTGCAGGTCAGCACCAATCGACTGCCGTCCAATGTCAAGTCGTGTTGTGGTGTGGTGCAGTAGAGTGCAGGCCAATGGCAGACCTCACAACGCCCCCAGGCGCCAAACACTTATCGATACAACAACAAAGGCCCAGGGCAACCGGTACGAGCATCATTGAAGCTTAATCTGGAGCACAGCATTCCTCATCCACAGCCACCACCAGTAGAGATGCTCGCGGGCCAAGTCTCGGCTTGAGGCACTAAAGCTAGAAGCCAAAGGCGCGGATCGCCATGCCCAGCGTCGCCGCACTGAGCGGCCACCACGGCGATCAAGCTGGGTCAACTAAAGTAAACGGCCGTGGACGCGTCCTAGCAGCTAGCGCCTGCCTCGCTAGCCGCCAAAGTCAACAATGCGCATGAGCATAACTCAGGCGGCAGGGTCATGCCTGCAAGCCAGTCGTTGCACCCACGATTGGGCGATGCATTTGACATACGTTGTGACTGGGGCAGCAGGTTCTTCACCTCTTTGCCCCGCTGCAAGGCGCAGTCGTCTTTGGCAGCATCCTCGAGATCGGGAAGCCGTGGGTGAGAGGCAGATGCACGACGCGTCGAGCTACCCACCCATGCGTCGCTCAGGAACGCGTGCTGAAGATCGGCCGCCAGGTCCAGGCTGGCGGGGCAGGTCCCAGGTAGGCAGAGTGCTTGGCCCTCCAGTCCTTGGGACGTACGTTGTGAGCCTCCCGAGGTCAGCTCAACAGGTTAGCGTGTCCGGCACCCGTTTCTAACCATTGAGAATTTAGTACATGTTCTTCAAACCCCACGACAGTCCAGTGCAATAGCGCTGGCCCAATGTGCATCTCGAACCTCATTTTCCTTGAATATTGACCTCTGACTCGAGGTCGGAACCACAATAGCATTCTGCTTCTCATCATGGCAGGCAGGCAGGATATGAGATAATGGCACCAGCCGCAATCGGCGTATGCGGGCCTGATAATGGTGGAGCACGGAGCTGGACGGCGGCCGGTGCTTGCCGAGATGCATTGTACCACGCACTGTAAGAAAATGCGCTTCACACCGCACAATCTCACAGTGCGGCCTGGAGCTCCCAAACGTCACCACCCCAGTCCTCGGACCCCAAGAAACCAGGCCACTTTTTGTCCCCCTCTTGACGTTATCTCAAGCACGGCACTGCATATCAAACTTGGATATCATTTCCTCCCACGACACCACCGCCACAAACGCAAAATACAGCAAAGCCTCCACGATGGCCTCAATCGCCCGGTGCCTGCGGGCAGCTCGCCCCTCGACTCTGGCCCGCCTCTCCCAGACCGCCCCAGCCACTGCCCGCTCTGCGTGGCAGCAGCCCGCCACCATCCGTGCCTTCTCCGGCTCGTCGATCCGTATGTCTGCCACCGGGTTCCCAGTGCTTGGGCGGGATGCGCATGCGCATTCACCCAAACCCCAGCACTTTGCCGGAGCTCTCCAGCTAACCCGCCCCGACCCAGGTGAAATCCGCAAATACACTCGCGAGCACGAGTGGATCGACCTGAGCGCCGACAAGAAGACGGGTGTCATCGGCATCTCCGAGTTCGCTGCCGAGGAGCTCGGCGACGTCGTCTACGTCGAGCTGCCCGAGGAGGGCCGCGTCGTGGCTGCTGGCGACGCCGTGGGCGCCGTCGAGTCCGTCAAGTCGGCCGCCGACATCAACTCGCCCATCTCGGCCACCGTCACCGACGTCAACAAGCTGCTCGAGGAGAAGCCCGGCACAATCAACCAGGTGCCCGAGGACGACAGCCACGGCGGCGGCTGGATCTGCAAGGTCGAGGTTGGCGAGCAGGGCGCTGCGGACTTTGAGAAGCTGATGGATGCCGAGGCGTACAAGGCGTATGTCAGCGACGCCGGCCACTAAGTGTGGTGAGACCTGAGTGATCAAATTAGGTGAAGTCTTCGATTCAACAATTGCACCCGACAAAGCAAAGCTTCAAGAGGAGGAAGGGGAGACAGAGAAGGGGCAGTAGCCCGTTTAACATCTGTATATGTAGTAGAAACCTGCATACAAGAATCAGCTCAACCTTGTGTCAAAAATGGAAAAAAACACATCCCATGCTATGCTTCGCCGAGACCCGGCGCATGCATTTGTTCCCATGCACAAAAAAGCGCACCATTGGTCATGCTTTTGTTACATTGGTGACTAGCTTGCTGCGCGTTAACATCTCTAGGTCTATGGAGTAATGCCTATGTTGTGATGCCGAGTTTCACAGATTTTCCACATTGCTTTTGTTCTCGTTCGCCATTCCACCAGACTTCTTGATCCCCTCCTGTCCGTGGTATTGGATCTCACGCCGGCACCCACGGTTGAGCGTCCCCCTGTTTCGCTTCCTTGTCCGCAACAATGACATCCAGGATATCCTGAGCACCTGCTTTCCTCAGCGCGCCCGCGACCTTGAGCCCAAACTCGATGGCCTGCTCCTTGGTCGTGACGTTCTCGGTCACATCCGCATCCGCTGCCTTCTTGCCGTCCACACTAACAACATTTGCCCTGAGCCGCAGCTCGCCCTTGTCGGTCCATGACGTCTGTACTCCAATCGGCACGCTGCAGCCGCCCTCGAGCGTCCTCATGACACTGCGTTCCGCCTCGCCCTCCAGCATGGCCTTGTTGTCCTGCAACTTGCCCAGCAGCTCAATCATCTCCGTGTTCTCCTTCAACGTCTCAATGGCCAGCGCGCCCTGGCCCACAGCGTACAGCATGCCCGCACCTTCCTCGGTGCCATCGAGGTACTGCGAGATTCTCGACTCGAGCTTCATTCTCTTGAGCCCGGCCGCCGCGAGGATCAACGCGCTGTACGCATTCTCCGGGTCGTCCAGCTTGCGCAGCCTGGTGTCCAGGTTTCCCCGGCAGTCCATGAACTTCAGGCCGGGATACCGCCGTGACACCTGCGCCATGCGGCGGATGCTGCTGGTGCCGACGACGCTCCCGTCCGGCAGGTCCGCGAGGGTCCTGTACTTGCCCGCGAGGCTCTGCTTGACGACGACGACGTCGCGCGGGTCCTCGCGGTCGGTGATGCACGCGACGACGCAGTTCTCGGGCAGCGTGGTGGGCATGTCCTTGAGGCAGTGCACGATGAAGTCGACCTGGCCGGCCACGAGCTCGGCCTCGAGCTCGTTGGTCCAGAGGCCCGTGGTGCCAAAGTTGTACAGCGCCGTGATCTTGTCCTTGTCGGCGGTCGCGTCCTGCGGCTTGACGAGGAACCGGTGCGTCGGGTAGAGCGACTCGAGGGTCGCCTTGATCGCGTGCGCCTGCACCAGGGCGAGCTGCGAGCGCCGCGTGCCGATCCGGATGAGGGGTCTGGTGTCGTCGCTGGTGCTGTTGTCAGCAGTGGCTACGGCGGCCTGCGCCATTGATCGGGGCGTTTCGGTCGACATTGTCTAATTGAGCTTGCGGCAACTGCTTGTTTTTGCCGGTATCGTGGAACTGTGAGAGGTAGAGAGGGTATGTGCGTCGACTTGAAGTCGTTCGCAGAAGGAAGGGTCTCTCCAATGTCGCCCGAGGGGCAACTTTTGGTGGGGCTCTGCTGCCGGGACCGGGGCCAGCCGTTCGCGGCGATGAGTTTATTGACTGTGACGAAAGTGCATTTCTGCTACCTACCTTAAGCTTAATACCTAAACCCCACAGTCAAATTTGAACCAAATCTTCCAAGGTTAGTATGTGCGCATCAAGAACAATGGATCATTTGTCAGTCGCGGAATAATAGATCTTGGATTAGAAAATCGTGCAATACCTAGGGGTAGACCTATTGTTCCGCTTTGTAGTTCAGACAGTCGTGACCGGGATCAGACGAGCACTTCTAGATCCCCTATATGTCCGATTTCCTGGGCACCAGGCCCGGAACTCCCTCGACCTGAATCAACAATGGTTAAAACGCAGTCTTCTTCGCCAAAATCTATCTTTTAGATGCTGTCAGGGCTTTTGACCTTTTGTCAGCTTCAATGCCTCAACATCTTTCCTGGCAATCTTTTATTCGTGGGAACGCCCGAAGCATTTCCGAAGCTGAGTTGCGGGACGAGGTTTTCTTACACCATCAAAGTTACGATGATCATGGACTAAAGACAGTACAAATTCCATGCTTTTGCTTCATAAAATTTATAGTGATATGAGCTGGCTGTTTCTCATCTAAGCTAATGCTGCACCTTTTCCCTTGTTATTGTCCGAGACCTCAATCTGCCTAGCGACTAGAATTCCCGGACTCATTGTGGAAAATAGGGCAGAAATTCCCATGCAAACCCAGCAATAAACCTAATGAGTCGTCATCACACAGTGACGTTAAGGGGTTGCCTCAAGCTCCCCCGAAACGAATAAAATGCTAAGGTTAGACGATCAAGCTTAACTGACGATGCCACCCTAATTTCTCATACGAAGGGTCATTCCGGACCGACATCCCAAGTCCCACACGCTCTAAGGTTGTCAGTGCGTGCGGAAGTAGTATGATAACAATTTATGCACGATTGTATCCCCCTTTATTTCCGCCGAAGATCCGCTTGCGAGCAATACTTTGCTCAGCAATATGGCAACATCGGCCAAGCTAGTGCCCGCTCAGCGTGGCACTCCATACCGCCAAACGTTTGACCGGATTGGACAAAGATCTCTGTGATACAGCATACTCGACGCATGATGTGATTCCTCCGAACATCCGATCTGGTGCGACTGTGCTGCATTTCGCGGTGTTGCTCGTCCCAGGTCTCACAGGGATGGTCTTACGTGATAGTGCCGCGATGGTCTGTTGCTGTTGACTCCGATTGTACCGTGGACAGCAGGGAGTGACAAGTCATGGTCAACACAAGGTTGTGATGGTGACTTGAGTATCATGAGATTCCAAGCCATCGAAACAGATATCGCAATGAGGTCGGACGCCATTGTGCCAAGTGCCCGAAGTCTGGCGCACACTGAGAGTATTGGATGGGAGTTCTCAAGTCGGAAAAGAGCTGTCGTGTCGTATATTTGTTGAACAGGGACGACGTGGCTCGCCCATATGGTGGGAAGACTACAACCTGTTGATCTATGTGTACCGTTGAATCATGCAGAAGATCCCAGTAGCTTCCCCTCTTATACAGTCAAGTATCAATGAAAAGCTGTATAAAAGGGGAGTGGACATGACAGGCTGGCAACAATACCAAGAGACACAATAGCAGAGACACCACGACAACGTCAGATCCTTAGACTTTCAAATCCTCAGCGCCTCAAAAGACCATAGAACGCTTAAACCCAGGAGCAGCTCCCCCAGCCCAAGAACGACATTCACAATGAAGGTCTTCTCCGCCACTGTCTTCCCAATCATCGCCTTGCTCACCAGCACTGCACTGGGCCGTGTCCATAACCAGATCGGACCACGCCAGGAAGTTCCCAGTCCAGGCACGCCGCCCAGTCCGGAGCCGGTTCCTCCCAGTCCTCCCAGTTCTCCCCCGGTGGACCCGTCTGTTCCGGCTCTGCCTGTTCCTCCGCCACCTGCACCGGCGCCGGCACCGATTGACCCCAACCCGGGGCCGGACCCGATCCCGGTCCCCGCTCCACCTCCGAGTTCGCCGGTCCCCTTCAGTGGTCCGAATTGCGGCAAGGGGTACACGTACTGCGGTTACATGCTCACCAACAACGGGCACAGTGAGTCTTTTGACAATTGCTTTCCACCTTTGAAGCCTGGAGCCCGCTTTGGTTTCCGTACTTGGTCGTTTAGCCCCTCAAGTCGTCGGACACCCCTTCCCCTTTTCTTTCCCGTTCCATCAACTCTCTTCCAACACATGAATCCTTAACTATCGACACTGTCTCTCTCTGCATGACATTCACTTACCAAAACCCCACCATCGCAACTCAACTAACAAAAAGAAAACAATAGACTTCACCCCAGAGCAAATATCCCAAGCCTACTGCGACGGCCTGACGGACCACTGCAACGGCAGCCCGGCCACGGCGTCAAAGACTAACGTCGCCCAGGCCGTGTTCGTGTGCCTCGACGACGCGCCCAAGTCGACGGTCAAGCTGCTCTGCGCCTGCAGCGGGGAGTGCACCAACGACCCGGCGACCAACAACATCGCGCAGTGTAATGATGCTTGCTGGAACTGAATTTTGGTGAGCAGGTTTCGCCGCCTGGTGAGAGATGGTTTTGAGAGAGCAAGAGCAAGCCTCGATGAGGATTTGAGAGGAGTGATGGGGGGGATAGGCCTTTGGTTTAGGGAAGGGGCCTGGTTGAGGACAGGTGGGTTTACCGCTTTGTCTGGATTGTTTGTGTGCTTGGAGAGAGGTCTGACAGATTCAACTGCCAATGCGGTGCAAGCAATACGGGTAGAAGGGTGATTTAGGGGGTCTTATGGAGCATAGACCTGGGAGAAGGAGCTGGACACATTCATTCCTGCGTGGAGTACCACAAGCGACTGCACTACTGGACGACTGCGATACTCAGATAACATTGAACACATTCTTTTCAAACATTTGGCAACTGACGCGATGCATGCCATTTGTTCTGAAAACAGCGCCCTGCGGCTAGGTCGAAAGTAGGACATCTAGCAGAGTACCGGCGTGTAGCAGGCTTTCCTTTCTGTCCTTGTGTGGTTGTGAGCCTTTGGACCATGGCAAAGCGGGAGGCATTAGGCCCGTTAACAAAGACGGAGTGTAAACTCGGCAGTCTCGTCCAGGCGAATTTTTTTGTGCTTACAGAGATATGCTGCAGGGATTGCTGTAAAGAATAAGCTTTCTTCAGAGTTGGTTGGTTGGGCCAGATGGTTGTACGTAGTAACCTTCTCGGGTGGAGAACATCTTGTGCCAAGCGTAAATGGTCGCTCCAAAATACACAAAGTCATGAGGGGCATTCCAGGGGTTTGATTTAGAATTCGGCAAGCCTGCAGAACGTGTCGGTGAAGGCCTGCAATTGCATCCTGTGTTCCGAGCAGCCAGTCACCTTACAGATTTGCAGAGTCAAGATAAAGCAGCTCATGCAGGCAGATCCAATGCCTGATTCTACGGGTGCAATTGACCGAACTGCGTTGTCACTCGGCCAAGTCTCACCACCGGCGATTCCGCAATGATTGGCTGTTTACGACTGACCAGGTGCGCGAACATACCTTAGACACTTCCCATGATCTACAACCGCCATGTCAGGCAACAAGCCTCCGCGTCGGTTGCTGTGGATTTGTGATTTGTGGAGGGCCATGCATGGCTGGACCGCTTCGGACGTGGATGCAACCTTGGGGCCAGCACCATGCTTGCGGGCTTGCATTAGCGGCCGTTGATCTGACTCACTGGGCTGCAACGTTGGTTGAGGAGAAGCCTGTGGCCATCTGCGTTCACGCCGTGAAAAGGTTGTGTCTCTTATGACTTGCCCCCCCCCTGTGGTGTGGAAGAGAGCCGTGGTCGGCTGTCAGATGTGGGAATGATTGAAAATGAACCATAGTGACCCGTGCGCCAAACAGGCAGGACAATGCAACCATGTCGAGTTGTCGGAGGAACCCCCGGCCTGTTCGCATGACGTCAAAATGAACCAGGCTGGCGTGGGCGACGTCGACGTTCGACGGTGACGGATGGTGTAATTATCTTGCGGTGCATTAGCCGATTGCAAAGCTCGAACAAGCTTCCAGGGTTTTCTAGAGTCCAACCTGGCTGCATCAGAGTCGGGCTCACATATATCCCGTCTTACCCTGGATTCACCGTCGCGATGCCAGCCCTGTAACGAAAGGAGTATGGACGCTCACATGCAGCTGGGGCAATCGGCAACCCACTGGCGTCGGCCTCTTGGCCTTGTCGGCTCTCGCCAAAACGGGGCTTGGGGTGGAGTGCAATTTGAGCCGTGCCTGGGCCCACCACCGACTCCAGGCACTGCTGATAACTAACGTTGTCGTGGGCGAGAGCAGTGATGTTGCGGCCCGACAGTGAGTCGGTGAGCATGGATGGCCGCATTGAGGGAGGATGACATGCTGTGAGCCGGCCTGGGTCACTCGCTGCCGTGCACGGCCGGGGAAGCACTGCATATTCCGTACATGCGACATGCCTCCCCAAGAGAAGGGTCATGGATGACATCCACATGGATGGGGGAAGGAGGAGTGCAGGCTGGTGCAAGGATGGCTGGTTGACGCGATGCACCTTGCAGGCCCTGGGCCGCTAGGTCGTGCAAGGAAGGTCCGCTCCTCCCCCGAGTCCGCTGGCCCACCGCTAGTCAACAGGCAGGCTACTGCTTCCGCATCGTGACGACTTCGTTTGCTTGCCTTGGGTACAAGTTCCCGCCTCCCTTCCACTCTGTTCCTTTGTCCATGCAACTCAACATGCATTTGTACGCCATCTCCAGAGCTTGCGCCTTATAGTGTGACCTGACCCCGCCGCCTGACCCGTCTGTGCCGTTGCCAGGACACTGCAAGCCGGAGCTCGAGATTCTCCATTCCTCGCAGCCGCCTTATCACGATCCCAACTGCCCCACACCTTTTCTTCGGCACCCGCCTGCGCCGCTTGCGCCGCTTCTCCACCTCGGCGAAGCCAGCCCACTCGAAATTTCCTTGAGCTCGCGCCGCCGTGAGCTCGCTCTTCCACTCTTCCCTCCCACAGACCTCAAGCTGCCCTCTCGTACGGCCACGACTCAACTTCGTCCAGCACCTGTGATACTTCATCACTGAGGGGTTCCTGGCCTGGTCTCCCTGCCACTTCCTGCCGACCTTGCAGGGTGCAGAAGCGCACGAGCGCCGCTCTCGGCCGCCTTCATTGTAAGCCGGGCTGCAATCGCAACCCGCGCCGCCGAGCGACTTCAGTCCCCCGGGCTCCTCAACACCCAAAAGTGCGCTCTCGGTGCAGCAAAACAGAGCATTGACACCACCCCGCCCGCGAGAGCTGCGCAACGGCGCTTTGGTGGTGGTATTCCAGCAGGTCAACCAAGGACGACGCAGGCACCGCTAGAACGGAATCATGGGCAAGCACGAGGACTTCGGGTCGTGTCACTGGCCGGTCTGGCAGCTCGACGATTTTTCCGTGTGCTTCCAGGTCGAGTATGTACACCCGCGCAAGGCGTCTGATCATGGGGGGTCACCTAGTCTGACTGAACAATGAATGTGCACAGCTATTTGAGGACAATCCTGCCGCTTTCGGTCATCGCCATATCCATACTCGCTCTTATCACAACAAATATATCCGCCAGGATCAGAGAACGAAACGCAAAGTTGTACAAAAAGATCCCGACGTCCCATGACCACACGGAGCTGCCACCAGAGGAACCTCTTGTGGTGAACGAGAACGATGAGGACGACGAAGAGGCGCTCACCATGGGCGGCGGCGCCCCAGGCCGCCTTGCCCTAGTCAAGACGACAACCAAGGGTTCCATCGTCCAGGCCGACAGCCCGCGGGGAGAGCAGGTTATCGTCATTACCGAGGAAATCATGGTAGCTGGACTTGTCGCCATCAACGTCATTGCGCTCATCACAAACACTTTTGCGGGCCGCGGGCGACTTGCGGCTACCGCTGGACTGCTCACCTGGCTTTACGTCCTCGTCCTCGTGTCTCTGCGTCTCTTCCTCGGCCACACGAAGTGGCGAGTGCCTCACCTTTGGAACCACACTGGGATCATCTACTTCTGCCAATGGCTCTTTTCGGTCATGATCTTCCGCTCGGCGCTGATCCATCCCAGCAGTCGCTTGGCCCAGATCCTCGTCATCGTCGAGTTCTCGTTGACTACGGCCCTCTTCCTCATGACCGCCATGACGAGAAAAGGAAACAAGATGGTTGCACTGGAATGGGAAGCAGGCATTGAGCCATCGCGTGAGCCACTGGCGTCGGTCTTCTCCCTCTTGACCTTCTCGTGGATCGATCCTCTTCTCAGCAAAGGTTACAAGGCGCCGTTGGAAATGGATCACGTTTGGAATCTCTTACCCAAGGACAAGGCTGCCAACGTTCTCGCCCACTACCGTCAATTCACCAAGACGACTTCTCTCGTGGTCCATCTCTGCAAGTACTTCAGCAGCATGTTGACCAGTCAGTGCATCTGGGCTGTCATCGGTGGCCTCTTCACCTTTGCACCAACCCTCCTGCTCAAGGCAATCCTCCAGTATCTCGAAGAGCCAGGCGACACGCCGCGGAATGTTCTATGGCTGTACGTCATCTTGCTGCCCGTGTCCGACATCGTTCGCTCCACCGCAGATGGTCAAGCACTATGGATTGGTCGCAAGATTTCTGTGCACATTCGTGCCATCATCATCGGCGACATCTACGCCAAAGCGCTCCGCCGCAAGGCGGCCACTGGCAAGAATGGTGGCTCAGGTGATTCCGACGAGGCTGGTGCTGGCCAAGAGACCATGCTCGACAAAATCAAGATTGCACTCCGCCTGAAGAAGAGGAAGGAGAAGGCTCCCAGTGTCAACGGTGCCACCACCGATGGGGCGAATGTGGATCCGACCAAAGACGCCGAAGACCAAGCCAACAATGGAACCATCATCAACCTCATGTCCGTAGACAGTTTCAAAGTCTCCGAGTGCACCGCCTACCTTCACTTCCTCGTTGCTGCTGCGCCGACGCAGTTGTTTGTTTCCATCGCACTTCTGTTCCAGGTCCTCGGTCTTAGCGCCATTCCTGGGTTGATTGTGATGGTCTTCCTCCTACCCATCAACATCATGCTGGCGAAGGGATTCAACTACGCCCAAAAGAAGATCATGACAGCTACAGACAAGCGCATCCAGACTACGAACGAGGTCATGCAAAACATCCGGATCATCAAGTACTTTGCCTGGGAACAGCGCTTCAGCAGCATTGTAGATGAGAAGCGGGATGCAGAACTCAAGGCTCTGCGGCTTCGCTACATGATCTGGGCCGTCGCAGTCGCGTCGTGGAACACAGTCCCCGTGCTAATTACCTTTTTCTCTTTCCTGGTATACACCAAAATTGAAGGGAAGCCGCTGTACCCATCCGTGGCCTTCACATCGATCTCTCTATTCTTGCTTCTACGCGTTCCTCTAGATCAGCTTGGCGACATGATTGCTCATGTTCAGGAAGCCAAGGTCTCCATTGACCGTGTTGAGGAGTTTCTTAACGAGGACGAGACCGAGAAGTACGAGCAGCTTGGCGAGGACAATGTCGATGAGAACGGCAACAAGGTTATTGGATTCCGTGATGCGACTTTCATCTGGGGCAATAAGGACATTGTCAGCACTGACGGCTCCATGGCATTCCGCCTCCTGGATCTCAACGTCGACTTCAAGATTGGCAAGCTCAACCTGATCTCGGGACCCACTGGCTCCGGCAAGACCTCTATGTTGATGGCACTCCTCGGCGAAATGAGCAAGATCAAGGGCGACGTCTTCCTCCCTGGTGGACGCAGCCGTGAAGATGTGCGTCCCGACCCTGACACGGGTTTGTCTGAGACGTGCGCCTACGTCGCGCAGAGCGCTTGGCTCGTCAACGCGAACATCAAAGAAAACATCCTCTTCTCTGCGCCTTTCGATCCCAAGCGTTATAGAGACGTTATTGTGGCCTGTGCCCTCGAGCGCGACCTTGAAATCCTCGATGATGGCGACGAAACCCTTGTTGGCGAAAACGGCATCACTCTATCCGGTGGTCAGAAGCAACGAATCTCACTTGCTCGCGCGGTATACTCCAGCTCACGTCACCTCTTGCTTGACGATTGTCTCAGTGCTGTCGATTCTCACACTGCCAAGTGGATCTTCAACAACTGTATTCTCGGTCCTCTGATGGCCGACAGGACTTGTATCCTGGTCTCGCACAACACGACTCTGTGCGCGCCACTTTCGGACTATGTCGTACTCATGGACAATGGACGTGTTGATGCTCAAGGCACTGCCATGGAGGTGATTGAGACTGGCAAGCTGGGCGAAGAATTAATCAACAAGTCTCGTCCCGGATCTGCTCACATCTCTCACGTGCCCTCCCGCGTTCCGTCAAGCGTTGGCGAGGAAAGTGGAGCTGCGACACTGGTTGATGACGGTGGTAACGGCTCAGCCATCAACAAAGCCCCCAAGAAAAAGAACTCGAAGCCAAAGGACGCGATGGACGAAGCCAAGGTCACTGGTGCTGTCAAATGGTCCGTCATTGGCCTCTACCTCAAGGCTATGGGCAATTGGTGGTTCTGGGTTGGTGTCATCGTGGTTTTCGCCGGTCAGCAGTTCAGTGGCGTCGCTTCCAACCTTTGGATCAAGGAGTGGGCCAACCAGTACGTTGAAGTCGAGAGTGTGTCGTCCTTGCACTTTGGCACGGCTCCCCATGGCTCTGTCAGCTCGTCCATCTCCCCGACTTACTTCACCTCCATGATCCACTTTGCAAAGACCGTGGGTCGACCGGCCGTATACGCTGCAGGAGATGTGCCTGAAGTCAACGTCGACTATTATCTCACTGTTCTGGCCGCTATTGGCCTCGCTGGCGCAGTCCTTGCCCTGGCACGTGACCTGTGGCTGTTCTTCGGTTCCCTGACTGCGTCACGGAGCATCCACAGCAAGTTGATGTCTGCTATATCTCGGGCCAAATTCAAGTTCTTCGACGTCACTCCATTGGGACAGATCATGAACCGGTTCAGCAAGGATCTCGAGGCTATCGATCAGGAAGTGGCACCAGTAGCGATCGGAGTTATGAGCTGCGCTCTCGCCATCGTTATCACCGTTGCGATGATTGCCGCAGTGACTCCGAGCTTTCTCATCGCCGGCGTCTTCATCACCGGGTTGTATTTCGTTGTCGGCATGTTTTACCTTCGAGCCTCGCGCGACCTCAAGCGGCTCGAGTCTGTCAATCGCAGCCCCCTATTCCAGCAGTTTGGCGAGACCCTCTCTGGTGTCACAACTATACGCGCCTACGGCGACGAGCGGCGCTTCATCCGCGAAAACCTTACCAAGGTCAACAAGCAGGCTCGCCCATTCATCTTTCTCTGGGCCGCTAACCGCTGGCTTGCGTTCCGCATGGACCTTTTGGGTGATTTCGTCTCCTTCTTCGCTGGTGTCTTCGTTATTCTGAGCTTCGATGCGGGCCGGATTGACGCTGGCCTTGCTGGACTCTCCTTGAGCTATGCCATTGGTTTCGCCGACAACGTCCTGTGGCTTATCCGACTTTACGCGATGAATGAACAGAATATGAACTCCGTCGAGCGTGTCAAGGAGTACCTCGAAGTCGAGAAGGAGGCGGAGCCGATCATCAAGGACAATAGACCGCCAGAGAATTGGCCTGCTCATGGCGGTGTCGAGTTCATCGGTTATTCTACACGTTACCGTAAAGAACTCGATCCGGTGCTCAAAGATGTCACGCTCAAGATCAACCCTCGCGAAAAGGTCGGCATCGTTGGTCGGACTGGCGCAGGGAAGAGTTCGCTCACGCTGGCCATCTTCCGCGCGCTCGAGGCGGACAGTGGCAAGATTCTGATTGACAATGTGGATATCGGCATGATCGGTTTGCAGGATCTGCGTGAGGCCATCACCATTGTCCCGCAGGACCCTACTCTGTTCACTGGCACTATCCGCAGCAATCTCGACCCATTCCACCTGTACACCGACGACCAGATTTTTGCTGCCCTGCGTCGCGTCCAGCTCATCGGACCGGACGAGGTCGTCGTGTCCAAGAACCTGCTTCCCACGACGCCGACCATCTCCTTCCCGGATGACGCCGCCGCTAGCACTGGTGCTTCGACCCCAACTGCTACCAACAAAAACATCTTCCTCGATCTCTCGGCCAGCGTCGCAGAGTCTGGCAGTAATCTGTCGCAAGGTCAGCGACAGCTTCTCTGCCTTGCTCGCGCAATGCTCAAGAACCCCAAGGTCCTGGTCATGGACGAGGCCACTGCGTCTATCGACTACGCGACGGACTCCAAGATCCAGGAGACGATTCGTGAGCTCACCAGCACGACCATCACAATTGCTCACCGTCTTGCTACCATTGTCGACTACGACAAGGTCTTGGTCTTGGACCATGGCGCGGTAGTCGAATACGACCACCCGCACACTCTTCTTCAGAAAGAGGACGGCCACTTCCGGAGCATGTGCGCAATGAGTGGCGATCTCGATACGCTTGTCAAGGCTGCGAAGAAGGCGTGGGATGCTAACAAGCTTGTCGATGACGAGTAGACATCGTCAACAACGGCATACGCGACGGGCTGTACCTCGATATGATGGATCTTGAACAGTCACGGGACAGGCAGTTACCGATCGAGTATCGTACGAAATTTGTGGTCGTCCCTAGCCTGACATGCTTCGCGTATATACATACAGCATCTTGTTTGTCTAGCCAAACTGTATCATTGCATCCCAAATAATATGGCGTTATGGCGTTGGCGACCATGAATGAGTCGGCCATGGGTTTTTCCTTTCTATTGTGGTTACTAAAAACAAAACGGCGGCGGCGCCTTACGCAAGGCCGGCTGTCAAACACAAGTAAAACGGCCTTATTGTTCTAGGCATACCGTACAAATAAAACTTTTCCTTGTCCACCTCGCAAGAATGCATCCCTACGAGTACAATAAATGCCATGGTTGCTTGATGGGACACGTAGTATAAATATGAAGCAGTATGGGCACAAAAGACGCCACCTGGACTATAAAAAAGAAAAAAGGCCACGCGCAGGCGCAGTCTCGGCAGTGCAGTCCGTTGTGTGCTCACGCAACCCTCTCCTTCTCGTTCTTCTTCTTCCGCGCGACCCAAGCCTGCGCCTGGTACGCGTTGCGCGTGAGAGCGCGCTCGTCGAAGCCGTACCCGGCGTGCTTGCCGCGGACCTTGCCCAGGCCACCGCCGCCGCCGCCGCTGCTGCTGCTGCTGCTGCTGCCGCGCGCTTTGGGGAAGGTGAGCTTTCCGCAGACGTGTTGTTGTTGTTCTCGTGATTGGCGCTCGGCGTCTGAATCTGAAACTGATTCTGCGTCACTGTCCTGCTTCCCCCGGGCGGCGGGGGCGGCGGCCTGCGTCGACTCGTCGTCTGCTGACGAACCATGCGAGTTCCGCATATCCTCAAACTCGAAGCCCATCTCCTCCGACACGAGCACGACCTCGTCGAGCGAGAGCTGGACCCACGGGCCCGTGCCGTACAACAAGGGGCCGAAGTTGATCCATGCCCCTCCCGGGCTGAGGAGGGCGTGGATGGTCGCGAGGTAGCTCAGGAGGTTGCGGGCCGTGTCTATGAAGAAGTGCGTGATGATGACATCGTACTTTTGCTGCGGTGGCTCTTGTTGTGTTGAGGGGGAGGAGGAGAAGACGGTGGTGAAGTCGCCCTCTACTAGGAGGACTTTGGAGACTAAAGGGGGCGAGTTGCTGGCCGTGGTGCAAGTGATGGAGTCTGACGAGGTCAGTGGGGGAGCAGATGAGGACAGGGTTACTTTGCGGAAGAGGTCGTCGTTGCTGGCGTGGTGGGAGAGTGAGTCGATGAAGGGGTGGAAGCTGATGGGGGCAGAATCGCTTGCAGTTCCTTCAGAGTTGGTAGAGGAGGAAGAATGTGAGATATTGGCCTCGAGATATCGGTAGGCGACGATCATGTAGGTCGACCATTCGTTGATGGTCACCTCGAAGCCTGTGATGCCTGTCAGTGTCGGAGCTCTTCTAGCCGACCATGGTCTCTAGCACGAGAAAGCTGCCGAGAAGAGCGCGATGTCATCGCTATCATGAACGACAAGATGTCGCGCCATATGCAGCGGTCATCAGGGGAGACTTACCTCCTAGCCCAGCAACCTCATGGCCCAACCGCCCAAGCCCAGATCCAGGAAGTAAGACTCTCAGTACTCTAGCCCTTCCTTCATCTTGCTGCTGCCGTTGTCCATCTTCTCCGCTCACCTCTGTGGGAGCCTCCAGTAAGGACTCCCGCACGCCCTCTAGTGCACTCAGAATACAAGGAAACGCCGCATCCCGCTCCTCCGCACCTTCTATGCTCCAGTCCCGAACGTAGTGCTTCATCGCTTGGATCACGCTGTGTCGCTCAGACCCGCGTCCTGCGGCCTCCTCGGCGCGGATGAACTCATTTAGCTCCTTTTCGGTGATTCCGTAGAATTTCATGGCGTGGTTAGCAATGCCATTGGCGAGGTGCGCGTTGGTAGCGATGTGGTGCTCCAGCTCGTTCAGTTTGCGCTTGTAGTTTGTCGTTTTCTCGAGCATCTGTTGGCCCTTGTTAGTCGTCGTGCTTCCAGGATGCCTCTTGGCAACGAGCGACCAAAGCATCGCCCCTTGTACTAAGGATATTGTGTACCACATTCACAGCGCCTCTAGTCTGATACAGAGAGATAAAACAAGCAACGGGACTCACCTTCTTCTGCACCTGCGGCACATGTCCATACATCTCCCGCCACCGCCTCACCTCGGCTTTATTCAGTCGCGCGTACGACTTGAAACCATCGATGGTCTTCAACAGCCTCCACCTTGGATGATTTGCATTCCATCTCCCGTGGTTCCTATCGAGGCGCTGCAGGAGACGATCTTTCTCCTCCTTGTGCCGTGAGCTACAAGATTCAAACGGAAATGTGCAGGGATCATGTTCTCCTTGATACGGTGTGCAAGTGGTGGTGTCTATTGTTGTTATTCCAGCTCCTTGGGCCATGATGGCTTGTACTTCTGGGTAGGTGTTAATCGTCATCCGTGCGGCGTTGTAGATAGCTGAAGTGCCTAGGGACGCCTAAAGTCAAAAGGGCCTACTTACTATCAGCATGAAAACTGTTCAGCTGTGGCTCATCAGTTTCCTGCACAGAGCCGTCATTTTCGTCCGCGACGCCGCCTGGGATCAGCGATGAGATGCATAGCAGGAGCAATGTCCCCTGCACGGAAATGGGGAGCATTTCGTCTGAGTCAAGGCAAGAAAATGAAAGACTGGTGTGGCCATACAATGGGCAAAACTCCAAGCACAGTTCGACTCTGAGATCATGCTTTTTTCTCTTTTTACAAGTACGTATCTTAGTATGACAACTAGATCATGAAAAATGTGGACGAATGCTGATGGTCGTGAGGACCTTGATGGACAAACCGGTTCCCGCTGCCAAGACTCACTGAGCCTCCTTGGTGTTTCTCCACTTCTCGGGCAACGGGTCAGTTGTCAATGACCGCAGGACTCAGCACTGCACATGAAGCGTTGAGGACAAGCGTTGAGGACTCGTTTGGGATTCAGTCTGGCTGATCAAAAGCTCCATTTTGTGATAGTAGCAGTTGTCGCATGCTGTTAAATGGCGTAATTGCAAGATGCACAAATGGCGTCAAATAGTCTTAACCACACCGGACGTATCGGAGAGTGATATTCTCCCTATTGTGATACAAAGACGGCGCTCATTGCACGATCCTCACAGTCTTGCCGACCTCGCCCCTCTCCACAGCCTCCACCCTCGGCATGACAACCTCCCAGACCTTGTCGGACAGCTCCTCGACTCCAAGATTCGCATCCACAATCTGAATGTCCTCCTCCTCTTGTCTGAACTGATTGACCACTCCGGCACTCACTGTCCCACCATGAACGCCAGAGACATTGCTGGCGGCGCCCTCGGCGCCACCCGTCTTCCCCAGATCACCCATACTTAACCCCCAGAACAGCTCCCGCACGCGCCGCTGCATCTCGCCGCGCTCGTATACCTCGCCGCCCCAGCCGCCGCGGCTCCTTGCCACGCTCTCTTCCAGGTCGAGGAACAGCACCATGTCTGGCCGCGGGAGGCCGACCTCGGGCGCCTTCGCCCAGGACAGCGACAGCGACGGGAGGTGCTTCGCGGCGCTGTACACGATGCCACTGTGGTAATACCTGTCGCAGATTATTGTGGTACCTGCTGCGAGCTCGGCTTTGATTTTGTTTCTGTGGATGTCGGATCAGTACAATCTCATCCTTTTCTCGATAGGGGTGAGAGGTGGCAGATCATCTGTGGAAGAACATGGACATGTCACGGTATCTGTCGGCCTTGGTAATCGCGATAGACTTACATGGCCTCCCACCGGTTTGCGCTGAACAGCAGGTGGATGACATGATCCTCCGTCTCTGTCTCGCCGCGTAGATACGCATCAATCATCTGGCCAATGGGTGTTGTCCTGTCTGTAAAGGGTGGTCAGCCGACAGAACACTTCACGGTAATGTTGTACAACCTGGCTCAATGACAAAGCCCCTTTCTCGCTGGCAAAGAAAAATGCAACAACAAGGATCGCCTACCTGGAAACCGCATGTACTTGACCTGCCTCCCGCTCTCAACACACCGCTGCTGCAGTAGCTTGGCCTGCGTCGTCTTACCCGCCCGGTCCAAGCCCTCGAACACAATGAACGCGCCACGAACAACACCTTTCTGTTTAAGCGTCGTCGTTACAGGAGCACCAGCTTCCGTCGTTGACGCCTTGGTGCCGCTGCTCGTCTCCGCACTGGCCTTCTTTTCTGGCTCTGACGATGTCGGAGCTGCGACCGGAACCGGGGCCGGAGCCGGGGCCGCAGATGCTGCAGTACTCTCCACTCCCTCCATCTCGTCATTGCTTCCTCTTCCCTCGGCACTCTTCTCGTGCGTCGTGGAGGTTGCCGCCGCCGCCGCCGTCGTAGTTGCCGCAGCTGCTGCGTCATTTACGCCAGTCCCAGCTGAAGACTTTGCACCTTCTGTAGGGGGGGTGGCTACGGCGGCGGCGGTCGGAGTCCCATCTTCCTGACTCGTCTCATGGGACAATGAGCTCGGCAAGGGCCCCGTGGCGACCGTGATGCTCCCAGAAGCCGGAGGGGACGGGGAAACAGCGGTGTCTGCGCCCGCCATGTTGTGATTGTATCCTTCTCCTAGGATTCCCAAGGGAAGACCGTCCGTCTGGCCAATGGCTTCAAAGCAGGGAGGAAAGAAAGAGGAGGCGGTTGATTATATGGCTTTTCAGGGCGTCGTCCACCAACGGAGTGCTCTGAATCTCGACTGTGTAGCCGTTTACCAACAGGCGATTAGCTGAAATGTTGCCTGTCAGCAAATCAGTAAGCCGGACGGTGCTCTGATGAAGCGTATCTTGGCTGACAGTGGTGTTAGCTGATGCTGCAAGGGGCTTGTCCCCTTCGTGTGGCGGCGACATCTCACGAGGCTGTTAAGGACCCCAGTCGTGACTCACGTGTTCTCCGGCGACAATGCAAAGCATCCAACATGCAGACAGTCAGTTGTATGAACTGCTGAATCTCGCCGCTAGTGTTATCCAAGAACCGTGGTCGTCGAACGATGTCTTGCCTGGAGGGAGCTGTAGGATGATGTGATACGACGTCCCGGACAGTGGGGTTATCCTCCCTGGCACCCTCACTCCTCCAACGGCGTGTAAAGTGGGGAAGAGGGGGCAGGCACCGTCTCGTAGCACAAAACTACTCGCGCACGCACCGCATGCATGACCAAGTTCAAGCCCTCGCGTCATCGGATGCAGGAACAGAGTCGTCCTAACCACACTCACTGCATGGCTACTATGGTACACAGGCTACTGTCGTGTGTGTATGTGTGTGCACGCCTTACAGCATTATACTGCACGTCAGCTGCCGCGCGCTTGAGACCCCGAGACGACGCTGCTATTTGTCGGTGTTCTGCAGCTACTCTTTCCATGCAGAAGGTTACACGGAACGACCTTTTGAGGGCTCTCATAGGATTAATCACTGCTTGGATCCGAGATGTTTGAGCCAGAAAAGGATACTGTATTATGCACCTCGTGAGGTGACAAGAGCTCACAGTCCGGAAAACTTGAAAAGTGGAAAGCAATGCCAAACAAAACAGTAAAGCAAAAGCAGGCTACCGCCATATATACCAATAGCAATGAAGCAAACACGCCGCCGCCCTTTGTACGCCCAGAACCTAGACACCATTGCATGCGCCAGAAACTCCAGTCCCTAGCCCCTAGCCCAATCCGAGGACCAATCGTGGACAGCATGAGCTCGTACAAGTTCGTCAGTACGTCCATCAAGTCATGATCAGCACCCGAGGGTTTGTTCTGTCTCGTCTTTCGCGCTGCCACTCTCCCACAGCTCAAAGCTCTCTCCTGTCCCTTCTATTGGCTCCAGCACGGCAGCGCATGGCGCGGGCTCCTCGACCTTCTGCATCAACTCCTCGGCAGTCTTGACACCTTGCTCCTCAACGGCCGCCCCTACGACGACGGCAGGGACGCCTTCATCGGCAGAAGGGACGAATGGCGCTGGTAATGGCTCGTTGCTCGTAGAAGCATCAGCCAGCACAGACACGAGCTCGGCCTCGACTTGGGGCTGCTGCGCGACCTCCTCATCGTCGCCAGGGACAATAATGACTGAGTTCTCATCACAGCCCTCAGAAAAGTAGTCGCGAACGTTCATCTCGCCGAGTGGGCTTCTCTCCTTTTCAAAGACCATGCCGTCCGCATCTGCTGCTTGTCGAGCAGCACGTGGCCGCGACGTCTGCGAGACGTCGTCAGCGGGTGGCACGTTCTCCTTGCCTTCGGCACGCTCGCGCTGCCTGCGGCTCTCGGTCTCCTCATCGGAGCTGATATCGAGGACGCAAGTGCTGTGCTGTAGCAGGTTGGTCATCTCCTGCTCGGCAGTGTCTTCGTGGATCTCAAAGAACCACGACGACTTCATCTCGCCCTCATGTAGCTCGTTCAAACCCAGTGAAGTGCTCGACGAGGTGGAGATTGTTGCCGACGAAGTCTCGCGGCTAGCGTAGCTCGAAAGTGTACCCTTCAGCGCAGCATCAAGGGAGAAGGGAGCAGCAGACTTGGACGAGAGACCAAAAGCAGGAGGGTCTACACGGCTGTAAGGCCCAGCTGTCCGTCGCCGCGAGGATGACAGAAGACCATTCTTCTTCCCTCGCGTAGGAGAACGACCAGCAGGCGCCGACAGTGGCGAAGACTTGACGATGCCCGTGCTGAGTCTAGCCACGGGAGACTTGGGGTTCAGTATTGAGCGTGGGCGCGGAGAGCTAAACCTTGACGAAGCAGAGATGTCATGGGTGCTTGCAGATTTTGTGAGGATAAAATTGGAGGGCTTGATGAACGAGTCCTTGGACAAGCCGTCATTGCTGCCCTTGAGGCGTTTGGAGAAGAGCATGGGATCAACATTCTCAGAGTCATCAGTGTCCACTGTCTCGGCGGCTTTCCGCTTTGTGGAAGATGGAGAGGGAGTTGCTACGAGATAATATTAGCATCAAGTGCCGCCCATGAATGAAGTATGGGATGCTCCGCTGCTCCTCATTTTCGAGGCTGCAGCACAGAGCAAACAGAGTCCAAGATAATAGGTTCCATTGGGCCAAGCCCAGAGGCCAGAGCAATACGATGTAAACATACCATTCTGTCTGTTCTTCAGGCTGGTCAAGTTCTGAAGACGTGACCCATTGAGAGGGGCGAATGGCTGGCGGATAGTGGCCATGGTCAAGGCTTGTGGTGATCTCTACAGGATGGAAGCTCGGGTATTCCAATTGGTGACCAAAGACAGCAATGCCTGTGACGCTGTCGGTAAAGCTCCGTGCGGAGGAAGTCGAAATGGGGGCCGAGCTATGGTCAAGCCCGACGGACTGGTATTCTGCCTGCAGCCGGGAACAGACAAACCTGAAATGCTGAAGTGAAAAGCGGATGTCCTGGTTGTTTGTTTATTGACAAGTTTGCTCTGTGTTGCTCAATGTCGGCCACGTTGGGCTTGGTATCGACAGAACAGGAGAGCTCTCTGACGACGGAAAGAGGAGAAAAGTGGCGAAAGGCAGCCTGGGGAGGGGGCCCAGATGGTCTTATTGCTGCGTTCTGGGCGTGGAACACGGAACGTGTGGGACGGGGTGGACGCGCAGGAGGGGCCGTCTTTCCTGGCCGGCTGGCTAGCTAGGTTGAACGGAGAGGAGACGGGAGAAGGCGAGGGATGTGCTAGGGATGTACCAGCTGCAAAGTCTTTCACGTCCGGTCTAGCAGCCTAGGCAGGAGACGAGAGGCGTCTGGTGTTAGGCGGGAGGAGAGCGTCCTGGTAGAAGAGACAGTGGGTGGCGGAGCTGCAGTCGTGAGTGGTGGGCGGGAGGCGGCAGCACGAAGGCGTTGGGAGGGCGAGACGGGGCTGATGGGGGTAGAAGAAGTGGCCGCGACACGCTCTGGCCTCAGACAGGACGGCAGATCGCGAGATGCAGGAGAGCGGGGGGCCGTGACCGTGATGCTGCGCACAGACACGCTGTGGAGGCCAGCCGAGCCAGAAAGTGTCGTCGCGGGTCGGTCCCATTGTTGCACAGCACAGCAGGGAAGAAGCTCGAGTCGCGGCCCGCACCGCGTCTGTCCGAAATCTTTGGTTGCGTGCAGGTCCGCCCAGCACCACGCGTCTGGCCCGGGGGCGCGGCTTTCGGACAGTGCAGACTCAACTGAGACAGGGCGGAACACCTGCCCGTCCCGATCAGGACAGGCTCGGCGCCTAAGGTTGCAGCTGCAAGGCCCGGCGCAAGGGGCAATCCATGGCCGGGCATTGCTAGTGCCGCCTCCAACCCGATCAAGGCCATTGTCCCTCATTGACACGGGCGGGGTTGGGGCAGAATGAGGTCAGCAGTGCATTGCAGCCGGAGATTGCACCAGACCTGCAGCCTCTTCGGGCTCGTCCGACACCTCAGGCAGCCCGCCCAGGGCAGGCCAATCGTCGCGTCAGGAAGCCTGGCCAAGCCGCTGCCGCCCTCGCTCAGCCCGCTCCGAGCCTGCGCCCTGTCCCTGTCGTCGCGCTCCCAGTGGCCCACCGCCCTGGCTGCCCTGTTTCCACGCGTAAAGCACCCTCGCTGCGACCTCGTCGTCGCGTTCTTAAAGGGAGGTTATCCTCCCCCTCCCTCCCCCCGCCTTGACACGCCTGGGTCACGCTTGATCGGCCCTTGGTCCAAGAAGACTGACGGGATTACCCTCCATGCAATCGTCCTCTGAACCAACGAACGCATGATGCCCAGTCCAGTCGTCCACGCTGACCATTGCGACACTACAAGCGCCGAGCCTCTCGATAGTCTCGTCTCGAATGCGTAGACGTGGTTTTGCGGGAGGGGGAAGCCTACTTCTCATCCTATCAATGGTCGGCTGCTCGAGATCGTCGTCCAAACCAGGGACTCGCTCGGCCGTCCGAAAGCCCCAGCCCAGAAGGTTTCTCCACTGCTCACCTAGTTCGCTCCAGTTTTGGGTCTGGATCTTTCTATCATTGGCTGCCAGACTCTCGCAACGACTGAATATGGCATCACTGCACCCATGACTTATTGAAACCGTCCAAGAACTGAGGGGCCATGGATGGACTCTGATGTCCTAGCCGGCAGACGGGGTTGGGATACCATCCCGACAGACAGATCTAGGCAAGCTGGACGTCCGGACACTATTCAGCCCGGCTGGCACTCTCCAAATTCTGATTCAACGAGACATAAACATCTCGACGGTGACATTGAGAACGCCTCCTCGCCATTGACCAATAACAAGGAGACGGACAGCTGGCCCGGCCTACTTTCGCGACCTAGCTAGATAGCCGACGTGCTTCCGATTCGCCGCCGACAAGGTCGACGAACAAGTGACCCATCCACATCGCTTGACCGAAGACCCCCCAAACCCTCGTGGTTGGCCGCTCGAATAGGCCCGCATTGGCCCACAGACGAGACCGGACGCCCGGCATGACGCGATGAGACTTATCTCCACGACGTCTTGCCACCAGCTATACGACCTCACTCGTCTTGCATTTTCCAATGATGCGGATGGGCGCCACCTGCTGCTACGGGCGCTTCTGATCTGGCTCCATGTCTGATGTGAGAGGCTGCAGTCTCCATTCGATCCACGTTTCACGTCCAAAGGGATCTGCACGAGAGTCCTGGCTAAACTCGGCGGCGCTCCTTGGTCTAGGAGCTTTGGTGTAGGCCATGGGTTGCCTGGCTCTTGTCTGCTGTCCTTGCGATACCAGTCACCGAGATACAAAGTTCAACAAAGGAGCCTCGCATACGACCAAAGCACATTGAAAAGATTGACCCTATCAACGATAACGCCGACCATGTACTTCGATGTGAACGTTCTCCCTAGTATTCGATCTGACGAACGCCACAAGAGTGCCAATACGGGTGTCTTCGCAGCCAACAGCTTGGGAGGGAGGGCTCTTACCTGTTCTGCTATCTCGTTGTGGCTAGGATAGCTAGGACCCTGGACCTACTAGCCCGTGATTCCGCAACTGAACACGGATTGGGCAAAATGGAGAGACCCAATGCATCCCAAACGTGCCGTTCACGAGGGACTACGTAACAATATATACTTCTGTTGTTCTTTAGTCCTGGACTTGCTGCCTTTCGACAGATGGGCATGTTTTTATGCGAGGGCCTTTCCAGCACAGAGCTCCAGGACCACCTCTTTTGGGTGCTAAAGTGGTTTCAGAATGTGTGCACATGGCTGAGACATGTATCTCGTGCTTCAGCCTTTCGAGCGCGGTACTGACCGCATGCGGCCAGTGAACTCATCGAGCTTTCAGAGCATGAGCCATAACTCTGTTACCTCCCATCGCGGACAGCTCACTCGCGCCCGACCACGGTGGCACAGCTCGGCATTTTTAGCCCGAAGAACAAAGGAATGCAGGCTGCCAAATAGAAGCACGTGGTGCAGTATGATGTGCTATCTACGCTAACGTAGGTAAGGCCCAGAGACCATTGTCGATGTGGTTGCGCGGCCATCCACTGGAATGTGCCCCCGCCATCACGACACATCCCAGACCACCACCGGGGCCGCCACCCCCAAAGCGCAGTCACCACCATAGCCGCATCAAGCATTACTTGAGACCTTGCCGGATGCCATGGACGGGCTGTGTCGGTGTCCGGCCACTTCATGCTGCGTGCCACGGCCTCGACTCTGCTTTCAGTGGAGCCGATGCTGGGTGAGAATGCCACTTTCTAGTACTCAGATGGCAGGTGCGCGCCGCACGATCGTACCCGCCTCCGGATGTCTCGTGAGGAAAGGTCGTTTAGGTGCCTCTTTGGCGCCAGGACGCCCTCAATCTTGTCGCAACTCTCTTCCAAGACTGTCTTGATGGTCTCGCTCTGCCTCCTGCCTTCTCTCTGTTTGTGAGCCCAGCAGTCTGCCACGACCGCATTCGTGGTTCTTTTCTCTCGACCTCGAAACTCTTCTGGCTTCTCCCCAACCACTACGAAATCCCCCTTGAAGCACAGCATTCAAGCACAGCAGGACTGGACTTCTTCTTCCACGGCCAGTGCCTCGCATATTCCCTGGACCACTGACTACCCATCACGTCCCGAGGCTTAACAAGAGTGTCATATCTTGATAGCCCTCATGGGTTCGGAAAAGCTGGACAAGGCGTCGTCTACCTCCGGCGCCGACCACGCAAAGAAGCTCCAGGAGTCTCTTGAGCAAGTCGAAAAGGAACAGAAGCTGCCCAGGCGCCCAACTCTGATCCTCGCCGCGGTCATCAGCCTCTTTTGCTCGTCTACCTTCGGCATCATTCTTGCTGGTGTCACTCTTGCTCGTCCGGTCGACGTTGTCGCCGCCTGCATCGCCCGAGACCTCATTTTGTTCGCCTCAGTCATCTCTTATTTCTACATCGGCCTGCATGTACGGGCTGCAAGACGAAATGTATACAGGCTACACCCCGGCCCGCCACAGATGCATGGCGAGTACCTGCACGCCACAGCTCTGCTGGTGTCGAGGTTGGCGATATGCATCTGGGTCGCGGCGTTGATCGCAGTCTCAGCAATGGTGGCAATGTCTGCTCCTGCTCGGGGCATGCAAGGGGCAGTGCCTTACCTTAACCTGATGATTTGTATCGGAGCAGTGTAAGTCTTGCTGAACTCCAACATCTTGTGAAACCTCGAGCTAACCACGTTTTCATACTACAGACCGGCGTTCATCGTGATAGCGGCGACGATAGAGACCACCACAGTGCCCTTTGCAACCGCTTGTGTGTCCAAGCCCTCTTTGCTCACGTGTAGAGTGAGTGACTTTGCAGATGATCTGGTAGCTGACGAGAGCATCTCTCGTCGAGCATCTTTGTCTCGTGCGCAGACTGGCGGTGCCACGCCCATGACTTTTGCGAACACTTTTGGATTTAGGACTGGTGCCGTAACTCCAGCGGTGAAAAAAGGCAACGAGAGCAGCGCAGTAGCCAAGCCCACGCCTGAAGCTGCAGGGAACAACACAAACCCTGTCACGCCTCTCGTTACGCCTCCGCCAACGTACAATCCTGGAGGCTGGAAGAACGAGTTCAATGCCACAAACAATGCCGCCACCGATACTGCCGCAAGCACCACGGCCGTGGCCACACCGGCACTCACTTCGCCAGCGGTCGGGTCTCCCGTTGAAGAGACGCCCCCAGATTCCGCCGCCATCACGCCGGTCACATCAAACTATGCGAGTTCAGGGCCTCCTTCGTCTTACTTTGCAAATCAGGCTCCGGCATCGACCCCAACGAACAAACGTCCAAGAATGAGTTCCCACGGCACTTTCGGTCCTCGGCCTCTGACAGGACGAACTTCATCCAGTCTCATGACTGGTGGCCTCGGCGGACCAGCACCCGCAAAGAGAGGTTATGATGTACCCAGCAACGCGCCTATTCCGCACAATCATGCTAGACCGGGTGGTCCTCGCTCGTTTACGGGACCTATAGGTTTCAGCAGGCCACCCGTCGGACGGTCTTTCACCAGTACACTAAGTGTTCCGCAGCCCTCAAAACTGTCAACAGTCCAGTATGCCGAGGATGTACGTTTGCCAGACCAGATGCCTGATAACTTCACCACCAGAAGTTCCGGACATTCGACTCCTTCAGCGAGCCTGCCACCTTTTAGGCCCCCAAAGACCAGTGCCGAGGCGGCACCTGTGCCTGTGGAGGCCGCTACAATGACGCCGGCAATTCGCGTGTCTCCTGCGTCTCCCGAAGGGCCATGGCCTTACCCGACATCAGAAGCGACTCCAAGAGCTCAAAGTCCACCCGAGAGAATGCTCGAGACGCTGCCCGTACCCATGCCTGGGTGTCTTCCAAGTCCGTACTGGGTCATGCGGAAGGCCCAACATGCACAAAGAAGCAAAACTCCGCTCGCCTCGTCAAACGAGCACGCTGCCAGTCAGCTGCGGTGCCAGGCTAAGACAGTTCCGGCGCCATATTTTGAAGATGTTCCTGATGAGGGCGAACCGTCGCGACAATAAAAAAGATGTGTAGATAGCCAACCTCTTACTCTAGTTTTCGGAGGAACATAATGTACTTTTGTTGCTGCTACGAGTACCTCACATCCTGGTGTGCTCTCCGTTGCACCTGGTGATCCAAAGCATGAGCTGCCATTGAGAACAGAGCCCGGTGCGGAGGACCAATTGAGAGCTATTTGAGAATAATAGTATTTCTCCCTTCCCTCATCGTATATGAGCGCTATGCAAAAATCCCCTCTTTACTCATGAGTCTGACTAGGCCACGTACCCGTCCCCATTCCTATCCAAGGATACTTCCTAACATAATCATCATGTCTTTCGCTTGTGAGTCTTAATTTCAATAAGTCCGTACAACAAAAAAAAAACACCGTTGCGCCCAATGCTGTTCCTTGACATGAGCCCACTATGCATTGCGGCTCATCTCGGTGAGCATTTCCTTTGGTGACTATACAACGTTGCATGGAAGTGTGAGTTGCTCTCAACTTCTTCTTTCTCAGATCATGCGTATGCGTCCAGCCTAAGATGGTTGTGATAACGCCTGCCATGGCAGATAAAGATGGAAATCAGTATGTGGTTCCCTTCGTGTGGTCAGAAAGCGACCGTCCCACTGCACCACGATGTACGCCAGAAAAGTTCGCAAGGCCCAAGCTCTGCTGTTGATATGCCTGGCACTGACATCGTGTGGAAAGGACGCTGATGAGTTGGATTGGCTCAGACAGTGGCGACGCATGCCAAGTCGGCGGTACCCTCAGATTGAAAGCATCATATATATACGGGATTGCAAAAAATAACCGACGAACAAGCTAAATTGTGCTATGAGCCCAGCATGTACGACAGATCAGGCAGGTTGTCCACAATAGTCTTGGCGATCCTTGACTCTTCCTCTGAATCTGCGTTGGAGGTTGTTGGAGCTTGTCGCATCGTGCTCGCCTGACTTGTCGCCGGAAGGCCGTGTGGTGAATTTGGAGCCTTTGACGACAAAACTGGCTTCGTGGACATCGCCAATGATGAACCGAGTGCCGGTATGGGTTTGCTTTGAGTTGGTCGTATGTCTCCAGCCAGGTTGCTGGCACCGATGAGGCTGTTCCCAGTGCTGTCGCTGCGCTGATTATCAAATAAAGAGAAATCTTCATTGCCCAAGACGTCTGCTCGTGGGGGCTCGAAGGAGACAGACGGTTTTATTACTGGCTGCGTTGATGCTGGACCTGGTACTGGCGGCATAAAGGCACCGTTCATTTGCACAGGCGTGTTGTTCTCAATGCCTGGAGACGCGACCATGTCGCCCCAGTCATCATCATCGTCTTCATCGTCGCCAGCTGTTTTGGCACCCGGAGGGCTGGGTTTGACAAGTACCAGAGGTTCGACACCCACCACGGATTTCGCTGGGCGTGAAGCCTGAGACGCTGTCTTGATTGCTACTGAGGGCATAGGAGATGGTGCCGGTGGCGGCGGCGCGAACGACACAGTGGCCTTTGGCTTGGTAGAGCTCCACCCAAATGCCGGAGTCGGCTGTTGAGCTACTGACAGTGGCACATCCGTCTGGCTCGGTCCTCGCGAATGCCGTTTCCCTGCCCATGCCGACACCTGCGAAGACTCGGAAGACTGCGCCGTATGGCGTGCTGCGCTGGAGTTTGAGGAAGGTGTAGCCTCGATGGATGACTTCCTGGCGTAGATGGTGCTTAGGTCTACGGGAGCCGCGGGTGAGTCCCAATTGAAAACACTCGTGCGTTTGCTGCCCCCTAGCATACTCTTGCCGACGAACGAGTCCTCCTCCATCCATCTGCGAACTATGGTAATAGTATCGTCGTGGAGTCTTGTGACCGGCCAGGCCACGCGGGTGTAACTGTCATCGTCTCCGAGGTCGTGCTTGCGCATGGAGCCGAATCGAGAGATACGGTACCAAGTCTTCCTTTCCGTAATCTCGCCAAAGCTGTCCTTGATGATTCCGTCATGAGGCTCAACACCTTCGGAGACAGCGACCACAGGGGTAACAATCTTCGCATACGCCTGCTCAAAGGCTCCGAGATTGGGTTCGAACGTCAGTGGCCCATACTTGTTGATTATCCCGTCGATCGTATCAGAATGTCCCTGGGATGGTATTGTTTCGGTAAATGTGCTGCTTTGGTCATCGTGTGCATGCTGCTCGATACCTGATGCCTCTGGTGTTGCCAATCCCTCCGACTGAACGGAAGAGCTTTGCCGAGAATCGACAACCCTCCCTTGTAAGTGGTCATCTTCTCCATCACGCGCGGCTTGGTCTGAAACAGATAGCACTACAGGGGTGTTATGGCTGCTCGCACAGCCAGCATCGTGCTCCACCTCGCCCTGAGCCCGGGAATCTCTTTGTTCAGGCTCCACGCTGGCGGATCTTGCAAGGCTGTCGAACATGCCCACAAGCTCTTGAACCTTTCCAGACGCGGACTTTGCATCCGAATTCACTTGGCCCTTTAGTCCTTCATCTAGCGGTGTGGTAGGTGAGTCCTGTCGCGCTGTGTCGCAAGCACTGTCCATAGAGGCGGCGAAAGAAGATCTCGGAGTCGTCTCGACAGGTGCGTCGGCTGGTATGGCGTCATTTGGATCCGTGGAAGTGTTCAGAATCCGACCCTCCTCATCCTGTTCCAATCTTGTGCCATCTTGCGAGACGCTCTTGCTCTCGGGTGGGGTATGATAGCCTCTGGGCGCGTGTGGGTTTTGCTCGGTTTCTGGTACCAGGAGCACGCGACTATCGACCTTCGCTAGATTCTGGGAAAGTTCTGCAACCCATGGATCTGTCCCAGACGGTCTTCGAGTGGATGACGCGCGAGATCGCGGTAAAGGGCTGAGCCTGGGCGAGGGTACTGCGCTGCTGGGCCATGCTACTGGGCTAGCTTTCCCGATATGGTCGAGTTGTGAAGTCGGCGCGAGGCGAGTTGGCGATGTTTCACCCCAAGCACCCCAATCGGCCGAGGCGGGCGAGTCATCGTGCTTGTTTGAGTTGGGCCCTGCCCACTCTCCAAAATCGCCTGCGTCGTCACCCCAAGGCGAAGCGCCTGGGGACGTTGCGCCGAAGAATGCTTTTGGTGGTGGACTCAGCAAGGAGCTCGGAGGTTCAGGGGCCGCGGTTGTTGGCTTCAAGGTCGGTTCAGCCCATGGTGAGCCCCAGGGATCGTCCATCGTGATGTATGGGAGCGCTCATGGTGCGGATGATGCCCAGAGCTGCCGTTGCCAGTCGTCTGTGGCAGCAGACAGTGCCTGGCAGTTCGATAACACTATAAGGAGAGACGGGAACGTGAGGGTGGCATTGCCGATTGGAAGTCGCGTCAAGCTATGCTGTGATAGCGGTTGCTTGTTGTGGCAATTCTGGGCTATTGTTGACAGCTAGCTTGTGGAGGCTCGGGTGATGCAATGCTTTGTTGAAAAGAGAATGTTCTTGGTGTCGTGGCAGACTGGGAGGTCCGACGACCTGGGATCGCCCATCGAGATGATACATGGCACGTAACGCCATCCCCATCTGTCTGCAGGGGTCTCACGCGGCAGGTGCGGGCCCCCCGGATGCGCTTTCTCACTCGTCCATCGCGCCTGTGCTCGCTGCTGAGTAATGGGCCCGCAATTGTCCATGATGTTGCCTCCGATGCAGGACGGCTGCTAGTGGGGCCGCTCCGACGAGCTTTGAAATCGTCGGCTGTCTACTGAGTAGCTGCTGGAAGTCCTTTGTCATATTCACCATGACGTTCTACTGTTTCACTGAGCTTGCCGTATAGAACGACGAAAGGATACCGCCAGGGCTCCTTGACCTTGACAGCAACTAGCCAACATGTCTCTACACAAGATCAAGCACATTGTGCTCGTCCTCTCGGGCAAAGGTGGGGTGGGCAAGTCCTCAGTCACAACACAGCTCGCCCTCTCTTTGTCCCTCGCCGGCCACTCGGTAGGCGTCCTCGACGTCGACCTTACCGGACCTTCAATACCACGGATGTTCAACATTGAGCATGCCAAGGTCACGTCTGCCCCAGGCGGCTGGCTGCCTGTGCCAGTCCACCCCGCCAAACCAGAAGCCGGCATTGGCGAGCTTCGGTGTATGAGTCTAGGCTTCCTGCTGCAGGGTCGGGGCGATGCTGTCGTCTGGAGGGGCCCAAAGAAGACCGCCATGATCCGCCAGTTCCTTTCTGATGTCCTCTGGGGCGAGCTCGACTATCTCCTGATCGACACACCTCCGGGCACCTCTGACGAGCACATCTCTCTGGCCGAGACCCTGCTTAAGGACGCCCTTCCTGGCCAGGTCGCTGGGGCAGTGGTGGTCACCACGCCTCAAGCCGTCGCCACCGCTGATGTTCGCAAGGAGCTCAACTTTTGCAAGAAGACAGGCATCCCCGTCATCGGGGTCGTGGAGAACATGGCCGGCTTCGTGTGCCCCAACTGTGCAGAATGCACAAACATATTCGGCAAGGGAGGCGGCCAGGTCATGGCTGACGACTTTGGCGTGCCATTCCTCGGACGAGTACCCATCGACCCCCAGTTTGTCATACTCATTGAGACTGGAAAGCGGCCCGTTTATCCCAAAGGCACCACCATCAACGGCCAGGACTTTTCTGCGTCTATGCCGCCGAGCTCTGGCGAGAACCCTGCCACCTCCCATGAAGTCAAGGATGCGGGCGCGCTTGCCGAAAAGTACAAAAGCTGCTCACTGGAGCCCATCTTCAGGAAGCTCACTCAAGATATTATTACTTCTGTTGGTTGAAGCGATCCATTAACGCCACTTCCATCTCGTCCTACGACATCTGAGTGAAAGCTGCCTTTGGACGCGTGTGTTACACCATCAGACTAATTCTGAAGAGCACAGCCTGTCTGAACCGGCCAGCGCGTCCCCGCAGGGGCTCTTGAAAGAACGGCTGCTGGATTATCTCAATTGTCTGCTTGGTTTTCGTTTTCAGAAGTGCACATAATGTTGCGCTCACGGAGTATGGAATCTAGGGCAACAACCCAGCGGAGATGTCAACCAGTTCTGGCTGCCATGCGAGCATCCCGGTCGTCGCCAGTCACATAATGGCAATAGCCCGGGAAACCCTGCGCTGCTGGAATACGTCGTATCTGGCTTTGGGACGTTCTCGCAACAGCCCGTCAGCATGCAAAGCGCCGTCCAAACAAGACTGGATAGGCTCGGGGCCACTTGCTTGCCCACCTGGACCCTGAGGTCGTATTACTTGCATGGCTACGGGACAGCATGGCTCCTTTCAGTAAATAGAGAATTCATGTCACGCCACGATCAAGAAAGGCGCAGAAAAAATGACTGGCCACCATGATTGATGTACCGGTATGCGAGAGCACCCCCCAAGCACTGGTGTGCTCATTCTGATCATTCGCGCCTTTGAGACAATATGAAAGTCGTGGCTTGAAGCAGATTGCAGGGTCCAAAGGTCTGACCTGATGAAGTGAGACAGACGCCTTCAGACCGTCACTGGCGAATGGCAACACGGATCATGCATGCAAGGCAAGCATGCGGCGCATGCGACAGCCAGGCATGAATGATCAACAGGGCAGGAGACATGGATGCGTGAACTACACAGCACCGGCCGTGGAACCGCTGGGCGCCAGGCCAGGATCGAGAAAAAAATATTTCGAGCCTGCAGCCGGAATGGCGGTCCACCCACTTTCGTCACAGCCGCTGTGGTCCAGAAACCCAACCATGCCCGCTAGCTCGAGCCCGCCCCCACCACCGATGCCCGACATCACCACAAAAAACACACACACAGGCTTACGCTGTCACGATTCCGTCCTCTCCACACCACAAAGGAAGCACACGACACTTCTTTTGCCCTCTTGGAAGAACTTCGCCTCTTCCGCTCGGCGCAGTCAGACCTACCCGACAGCTTCCCGTACCTGTCCGCCAAGCAACACACATCCACCAATGCTCAATTCGTCTTGTTAGACTCAAGATCGACGATCGCTTCCAGTGCTGCTCAAGGTCCTTCCATGAGCCCACCAGATCTTCGTCGCTTCCTCTCCAAGCCCGCAAAGTTTGTCACCCGTCCTTCGAATCCACATTAACCTGCGACATGGGCATCTTGTTCATTACGCCGCTGGAAGCTGCTGCCCGATTCCGATCCCAGAACGCTAACGTCGTCACCATCTCGACAGGCCCAGATAGCACGTTTCCGGATATCCGCACATACTCACCTATCGAACTCCGTCCGAACTCTTGCGACCACCAAATCGTCTTATATCGCAGATAACCTCGTCTGCTGGGTCCGATACTCTGCTATAGGTATCGGTGTCTGCCAGACAGAGGCAACAGCAAAATTGCCACAATTCCTTCACTAAAGGACTTCTTCCTACCCATCAACTCTCGACCACCTTAACGTCCCTCGAGAGGACTTGCACATCTGATTCTATCACTGCTGGTTTCGCCAGCAAGTTAAGCCCCCAATACACCTGTGGGCCTACTCACTCTAGACGGACGCCGCAAAGTTCGTTTGGGTGCCAGTCAGTGCTCCACGGTAGCCACGGCCTCCCATCCCAAGCAACTCGAGCCAAACACGCCGCCCGCTGTCCGCCAGCTCTTTCGAAAGCCGACCCGCTCCGGACCCCGACTTTGCGTGTAGCGCACGAATCCAACGGAGATGGTCAACCTTTCGGTCCCCAACAACTATACGTTCTCTCCTTCTGAGGGCACGCCGCATCTGACCATCAATCATGATGTTGCAGCGGACTTAGACTATACCAACGCCTTTGAAGGTATGGAATCTGCTCAAAAACAAGCACAACTATCAGCAAACTAACCTGAGTAGGGCCGGAGAAGTTGCTGGAGGTATGGTTTGCGCCGAACGCCAATGCGCTCCCCGAGGGCGCCAAACCGAACGGCCTCAAGGCTGTGAAGCAGGAGACGTGGGTCGGCATGCTTGACATGGTCAATTGCAAGATCCTGTCAGTCTTGGACTCTGAGCACGTTGATGCGTATCTGCTGTCGGAGTCAAGCATGTTTGTCTTCCCTCACAAGCTCATTCTGAAGACTTGCGGGACAACCACCCTGCTTCTTGGTCTACGTCGCTTGCTGAGGATTGCGGCCGCCGAAGCGGGCTTTCCCATCCACAACGCTGCAGGACTGGACGATATTCATGCTGCCGCTACGCCTTACAGGGTGTTTTACTCGCGCAAGAATTTCCTCTTTCCCGACAAGCAGCAGGGTCCCCACCGCAGCTGGAAGCAGGAAGTCAAATACTTGGACGACATCTTCGATAACGGAAGTGCCTATATGGTCGGGAAGATGAACGGAGACCACTGGTACCTTTACCTCACCTCGCCTCAGGAGCATGGCGAGGGCAAGCCGCCTGGTAGCCCCACCAGCACTTTCAAGATCCCTTGCGGCATGACATCCGCGTTTGATGGCACTCTCGAAGCGAACGACGAGACTCTAGAAGTTCTCATGACCGACCTCGACCCGGAGAATGCGAAGAAGTTTTACCTGGAGCACGCGAGTGCGGTCGCCTGTGCCAGGCTTTCTTCGTCGACTGGAAAAGGCGGAGATGTGAACATGACTGACAGTGTTGCAACCATGAAGACGGCTAGCACCGTTGATACCACTGCGGATGAGGTGGATGTATTCAGCAATGGCAGTGGCGAGGACCTCGGTGACGACCTCAACACTCCCTTGTCTTCTCAGCTCGATGATGAAGGCGTCACAACCGAGGGTCACGCACTGGGTTCAGTTGTCTCGGATGTCTGCGGTCTTTCCGATGTGTACCCTACCTCAAAGTACCCCGAGGCGCGCATCGATTCATACCTCTTCAGTCCATGTGGCTTTTCGGCCAATGGTATCGTGCCTGCTCCGCAGACCCAGGACATCGACGAGGCCGCTCGCAAGACTCACTATTTCACTGTCCATGTCACGCCGGAGCCAGTCTGTTCCTTCGCCTCCTTTGAGACCAACGTTCCGGGCGGCCAGCACGGTCGCGAGACTTCCGAAATCATTGAGCACGTCGTGGACATCTTCAAGCCGGGCCGCTTCAGTGTAACTTTGTTTGAGGCTAAGACACCACAGCCCCTGACTGATAGCCCTCACGTCAGCGCGGGACGCAGCAAGCGCATGGAATCGGTCAAGGGCTACCGGCGCATCGATCGCATCGTGCACGACTTTGAGGACTACGAGCTTGTATTCCGCTTCTTTGAGCGCGAGGGGTGGACTGGTGGCAGTGGTGTCCGAGTCGGAGAGGAGCTCTAGAGGCAAATGGGGTTGATCTCTTGTAGGGGGGGCATGGGTTGTCCGTTCTTTTCAACTCGTGTCGGATTTTTCCAGTTATACTTGCCAACTCCCGTCATTCCTTTGCATATATATCTATGCTGCATGCTATTTTCATAGCTTTCCAGCATGCCGGCTTCACAATAATTATCACATGGATTTCTTTTGGATTATGGATGCGCATGTGCCAAAGTGCAAGTGGATTTGATGCCAGCCAATCCCTCGATCATGATGATACACGAATGCCGTTCTGAGACAAGATTCGTTTATCGGTTGTCACAACGGGAGTATTATGATTCTGGGCAGCTGGGCCGAGTTTCATTACACTCCTAAAGACACCGGGAAGCGCCAGCGTGCCTCACCAGCGGGTCAGGCGCACAAGGATACAGAAAAGAGGGACACAAGGACACATGCCACAAGTGTGCAACGACGACACAGACACAAGCCAGGTCTCAATGGTTTGTTGCAACGAGCCAGAGTGTTTACTGTATTTCCCCATTCTGTTGCTGCTATGTTCATTGGCAACGTTTCCAGGGACGAAGATGCAAGACATGTGTTTCGCTTATGGCTGGATGTATTGCCGAGTCTGTAGTATGGCTTGTTGGCCACAAATGCCACTCTTGCTCGTATTTCCATCAAGCAGAGACAAATTGTGGCCAATGAATTGAACATTCCCGGTTGTCTCGGAGCAGTGCCCTTTGTGGTGTCTTTCTTCTCGTCTTGTGCTTCTTCCGTGCCCACCCGCGCGCGCAGCAAAACCACCCCATCGGGGAGCTCCCTGCACATGCCCATAAAACCCCCCGGGTCGACTTGCATAGTCGCCAGACAGCCAAAATCTGCGGAATCCGGCGTTCATTCTTGTACCTCGCACTCTCCCTCGCACTCTCCCAAACATCATCTGCTGAAAGCCCGTGTGGGTGCCTTGTCGAAACCATGAGAGCCTGCGTTGCAGTGATATGCTGGACGACCTTCATAGGATCGGGTCTCTGGGTCAATGCTATTCCAGCACTGGGCATCGATTTTCTATCGCCAAGAGATGCAGAAGCCGGCTTTCAGCTACCCAGGGTCGTGTCATTCAGAGATGGTCTGCTCTCACTATTCTCTTCTGTCCAGGACATACCCGACGAGGATCCTGCGGCCACTGATACTGTCAGTGGTGGTGACGAGGGCGGCATGGAAGTTCTTGGTGATGCGCATGCCGCTTTCGGCGATGAGGAGGGCGGCCAAGAGATTGGGGTGACCGATGTAATGCCGATCTTTGCGTTGTTCTCGCACAGATTATCACCAGCAAAGGTCGTTCTTGAGCAGCGCCAAGACAGCAGCGGCGCAGATGATAACAACGACGACGAAAAAGACGACGAAGACGAGAAGAAAGAGTTGTATCTCTGCTCAAACCCGAATTTCGACACGACCTGCGGTGGAGGATGTATGTGTGCGAGCGTATCGGTGACCACGGCGCCATTGACGTACGGTGGGAAGCCGCCCTGTGGTATGTGCTTCCTCTTTGCTTCGGAAAACAACGATGCTGGAAATACCTCAAGAAACGCCATCGGCATGATTCCGGTGCTGAGTACTAATGAAAGACACGCAGCTGCTCTTCCGTATGAACTCCGACCTGGAAACCCGCAGGGCGTGTCCTCGGCCAGAGCTTACTCTGGCTGGAACTGTACTCTCTTTGCGTATGTCTTCGTCTCCCCGTATCAGCGACCCTCCGATAACAGATGCATGGGCTGAATTATTCTCCAAAACTGGGAATATGCTGACGAATAAACCAATTTCTACACAATAATAGTGGTCAATACTGCGAGGAAGACACACCACCAGCGGACACACTGGTCATCACTCCCGGTCCGCCTGGCCTCGACTCACTTGGAGGATTTGATGATCTGGCACAATCATATCGATGCGTGGAGATCTGATTTGACAAACAGATGCGCACTCGTGCGCCATTCATCTGCCGAAGATAGTCTTTGTCTTGTTGCCATGATGGAAGTTGTGTTGTGGCCATGTGCAGTTTGTCTTGAACAGATATGGGCGTGGACTGGTAGGATGCAGTAATGTGAAAGTCGTTGTAACTGTTGGATTCACGACATGACAGCTAAATGCGCCATGGCGACGGGCACGATACTAGCGGTCAGCATCCCATGATTCCCATGTCTTTATATTTGTGCATCTGTGGAGTGTCAGAGGCCAGCGCAATCCCGATCTGAACGGCCTACTCAAAGAGAGACATGCGGACCAAAAGTGTGAACAGGCAAGCCAGGGTTGTTGCCTCCTGTCAAACAGCAAGTGTGCCTTGGGGGACGCCCGTGATTGCCTGGTTGCTAGCCCATGCATCCATTCAGCCTCAGTGGACCAGCCTCCCACACATGACCACACAAGAACCCAACATGACCGACCGGACACAACGAACAAATCTCACGGCGATGGAGGCATGTCATTCTTCTCCTTCGTTCGTACAGTCAACGGCACCGTCCTCACTCGTGACCCTCGCCTCCAGTGCCAGCCATGGACCGTGACATTCGAGACTTCCTCACAACCTATCAATACCAGCCGCTAAATCGAGACAATGGAGACATAAGACTCCTGCACCTGCTCCCAGCGAAGGACGATACCTCGCCAATCCGGTGTAGACTGAAGCATGCTCCCCTCGAAAATCAAAATACGACAGTATACGAGGCGCTCTCATACACCTGGGGCAGCAGCGAACGCACCGCGTCGATTCATGTCGAAGACCGAGAGTTCCGTGTCACCCACAACCTCGCACAAGCACTGAAGGCTCTTCGCCAGCCCGAGTCCACGCGGACACTATGGATAGATGCCATCTGCATCAACCAAGAGGACAACGAGGAGCGGGCTGCGGAGGTTCTTCGAATGCTGCGCATCTACCAGAATGCCACCGGCGTCGTCGTTTGGCTTGGCCCAGGCAGTGACAGCAGCAAGATTGCTGTGCAGCACATTCGGTTTCTCGAGGCAGAGTATCTGGCCCAACAACAACCGTCCTGGCTGCTCGCTTCTCTTCCAGTGCTCAATCGGGCGGTGGCGCTTGGATACGCCGTGGTGTCGCCGGCAATACGACTCTATTTCACCACAGCCTGGCTGACCCTCGCTTGGTCCGGCTGGCTGAGCTCGCTTCCCTACTTCGCGTTGCGAGCCATCATGCACACGGTCACCTTCCTGGCAGCCAGCAAACTTTTGATCACTGTCTTCTGCTCCTACCATGCATTTATGCGACATCTCGCCAACGTGATGACTAGGCCATCGCCAGAGGCGGCCCAGTCGTTGAGGGACTTCTTTGGGCACCGCTGGTTCCACCGTGCTTGGATCATTCAAGAGGTAGCTGCGGCCCAAAAAGTCACGCTGCTGTGTGGCTCCAACCAGTTAACATGGCGGACACTGTGTCGCGCCGTGAGCGCGATGCAGGAGCGGGTAAGTCACGCATATGAATTGAGCCCTTATGCGGAAAGTGGCTACAGCAGACATCTGCCACTGCTTCGAATCGCATCCAAAGCTGCGCGTGGCTTATCCGGTGAATTGCTGGTCGATGACAGAGCGACCGTACACATGCGGGCAGACTGGCTCTTATCCCTGCTTGGGACTTTCAGGTACACCGACGCGACCGACAGCCGTGACAAGCTTTATGCGCTTCTCGGCCTGGTCTATCACCAGCCAGTGCATTCGGAGAGTGCGGAACCCTGGGCCGAACTAGGGATTGTCCCATCTTACGAGGAGCCAACATGGCGTGTTTACGCCCAGCTGGCACAATTGGTCACAAATGCTACTGGCGGCACGCTCGACATGCTCTCCCAGTGCCAGGGTTACAGAAAGGTGCACGGCCTGCCTACGTGGGCGCCTGACTGGACTTGTCGGCCAGTATACGAGTCTTTCCCCTCAGGAGTGACGGCGAAGCCATTGACTTTTGACACTGTCCCCTCGCCGCATCTGCCTCCAGCGTCATTCTCCGCAGACCTACGGATCATGTCAGTCCGTGGCTTCGTAATCGGGGTTGTGGCGGACGCCACCTTGTTAGCCTCGAGCGGCCCAGCTTCCACCACAAGCAGGCCTGGGGGGCAGGCGGTACCTGTGGCTAGCCTGGGCATGCGAGGAATGGCCTTGACTGGCGCCTGGATGGACTTGAAACAGGAGAACGACCCATTGCTGCCAGTAGTGGAAGCCGCGGTCTGGTTCATCGTGGCAAGTTCTGGATGGCTTTTTGAGAAGGGCATTTGCACACTATGTTTGCGATTGTTCTCTTGCGGGATCCAGCGATATATGCTCTGGCGCTCCCTGCCGAGCAGCAGTTTTGCGCATGTGCTTGGCGAACTGGACAAGGTAACGGAGCTAGTGGCGGAGCTTTCCGCTGATGTCCGACTCGGGAAACAAAGGAGCGAAGCCTTGCGGAGGGAAAAGAGAGCGGCTCAGCGAAGATCCAGAGAGCAGCCTGGCTCGGAAAACTTCGAATCCTACAACTTCGAGCCCAGCGAGGAGGGGCATATGTTGCCGCGTGCCATGGAGAACATCTATAGGCCTTTAGAAGGCGATGAGGAGACGATGCGAGAGGATCACCTCAGCCATTGGCTTGTGCAATGGTGCAGCGTCCTCGACAAAAGTTGGTACAGTGAACACAATTTCGGGACATCATGCCGCGAACCGCGGCGCGGTGATGTTATTGTGCTGCTGGTGGGCTCTCGGGGCGCACATCTGCTCAGGCCAGATGATGCTGACGGGCACTGGTCGCTCGTGGGGAATGCAAATCTGGGCCTCTGTATACGTTGGCTTTGGGACGATGCGGTGCGTTTGTATCACGAGGGAAAATGTGAGTTAGCTGTTTTTGATCTAAAGTGAGAACCGGATAATAAAGGCGAACATCGCGCCAGTTTATAGCCTGCCAGAGAGATGTTGGTACGGGACATGTCGATCAAGCGCGGCTCAAGTTCATGGTTGCCCAACATGAGGACTTTGCCACCACCGGAGACGGCTCAATCGTTGAAGCAATCTTTTGGGCGCACCTGTTTCACGCCGTGCTTGGATGATCGCAAGAAACACAGGCTCACCTCTTCAAGAGCCAGCACCGTTCTACACGTATCCGTTTTAGTTGACCCGCTTGAGCTCTGAACTCCAATTAGCACGGGATCTGTGACGCGAACATGAAACCTCATCGTCGTTATGCTAGAGACGTATGCTCGAAAGGAAAACACAGCGCTCGGAAAGCTCTTTAGAAACAGAGTCTGCAAGGTGGCATGGCTAGTTTCCATTTCCCTGGCAGAGCTGCCATTCCAGCCAGTCTACGAGCAGTGAGCTCTGAACGTTCTATGAGTTTGCCACGTCGTGCATCGCTATGATGAGTAGTGGCTAAGCATAATGCAACGGCTGAGAATGCGTGACGCTCACGATCTCGAGCGGTATGACAGAATCGACAAATGCGCGATTATTCAAGTTGGTTGCCATGTTCATTACGCCTCCATGTGCATGAGAATACCCCCTCTAGCTGGGGCGCCCACAAAGAAGGGAGCGTCCTTATGTGGCAGGAGCCCGACCTGTCATCCTTCGATATCCTATTCTTCGTCCTCGGCGAATCTCGAAAACCACCGCTTAACTCTCGTGTCCTCGGGAAAACCGCACTCGGCCAGCCAGTCTATGCTGCGTTCGCAGTCTATTTCCTCGTGCAATCCACTCTCTCCACTAGAGGCGAATAAGGCCCATACTTTTACCCTCACATGGGAAAAGATTTGGAGGTATTTGAACCCGCTCGTTCATTTTGTACCCCTTTTTAATGTCTAGAACCTCTTGTCCTCGCCATGTCTCGTGCAAAACGATACAGCCGAGGATTTCGACGCTGAAATCGGGAGAATCGTCCAGATGCAAGATCTCACGTATCGTTTGCACCTCTTCGGGGGAGTAGTGTAGCATATTGCACAATGCCAGACGCAGGAAGGTCCTTCTGCTCATGCGTGCCATGAGCAATCGAAGATCTGAGAGGTCCCAAGACATTCGGCTGGCCATTTTCTTTGATTGGTATGTTCTAATGAGTGGCGCCATCAGCAAAATCTGTCGTCTCGGTAGGTCCTCCTTACACATAAATGTAACGATCTCCTCGTCGAGGTGGGAGCCTTTGTACTTCAGCATATCGCAGAGGACCCGCATCGCCGTTTGCCCGAAAGTGTCGAACTGAATTGCATGTATTACGCAGACGAAGGCTGTGGGCCATTGATTGCCTCGTACATTTTGACGGTCCTGCCAGTATGGATTGGCGCCATGCTTGAGAAGCCATAGGAAGGCACCTCCGTGGTCGTCCATGCCTGAATGCCACTTTAACTCATCTGCTGCACAAAGTAACAGCTGGTTGAGAAAATCTTCCTTGGAGATTTCTGAAGGCTTCCATGTGGCGAGCCAGTGATCCGGGGTCCTGCAGCCTTTGTGCACCGCCACTACAACTGGATTGCGTTTGTCGCAGTGCCAATACAAGTTCTTGCGCATGGTATCCGCCAGGTAGTCCATGATCTCATCGTGGATGTCGAGCCAGAAATAGTTGGTCTTGTGGATGTCATTTAAGACCTGCCACAGCAACGTTGTGTCCCATTCGTAACGATCAGACCAAATGTCCGCATCATCGATGGTCCGGGTATCCCTTGCGAGGAGATACCTTACGTCGACGCAAGTCCGCCATTCCAAGGCCACATGCTGCCAGAGCTTCCGGCGTTGGTCTGTCAAAAAGTCCTTTGCTGTGCGATGGATGAAGCCAACTCGCATAGAATCATGATCTCCATCTTCGCTTCCAGGGTTGACCACTAGCAGCCCGGCGCACTGGGCACGGATCCGAACTCGCACATCTTCCATAGCTTTGCGCACCGAGATATCTTGATACTCAGCCCAGTTCCCTTTGGTGTTCTGTAGGGCTATGCGCAAATCGTGCCGCACATATAACGTGATAAAATCGAGCCTGTTCATGTCGGCACGGGCCCCATCGAGAATCAACGTAAAGAAAATTGCGGCAGAGGCATCATATACATCAGCCTGCGCATCCCTTCGTTGCAGCATCGACTTGTACAATGAGTCGAGTTTCGCGGGGGTCTTCTCTATTCTGGCCCAAAGCAAGTCCCAAGTGTCACCATTTGTAATGCCTTCTTTGAGACTCCGTGTGACCAGCTGGACCCATAAGAACACCCCTTCCGCACGTCGGGCAACTTCCCAGATGACCATGTAGACGTTGTTCCAAGGGCTCTTGGAAGTCTGCGAAGTCCGTAATGGCTCTTCCAACTCTTGCCTCAGGTAGTGGACAATGTCATGGTAGGTGAGATCTTGGAGCCGCAGATGCGGATAACGCTGTAATGACCTCTCAAAGATAGGCTCAGGACGGGAGGAGACGCAGAGCTTGGTGTTGCTGTGTCGTTGTAGGGAGTCGATCAGGCACACGAGTCGGCTAGAGCTGTCATCTTCCTGCGAGATTTCGTCGAGGCCGTCCACAAAGAGAAGAACAGTCTTGCTTGGATCAATATCGCGCTGTCTTCTGAGAGCAGCCTGAAGAGCTAGATCAAGCTCCGGCTCGCTCCAGTCTGCCAAACTCTCCTTTTCCCACCACGAAGCTTCCGTCCACGTTGTTGCATTTGCCAGCATGCTATCCAATTTCAGGAGCTGATGCAATAGAGAGCATAGCAAGCCCTTGATTGACCTCTGCATTTCGTCTCCAGAAGCCCAGATGAAGACGGAGAGTGCTATTAGATTGCCCAGGTCGGTTTTCAGGGCGTCTGGAAGTGAATCGCAGCGCAGTGCATCCGTCAAATAATGGATGAGTGTGCTTTTGCCCGTCCCTGCATGTCCATTGATCCAGAACACGCGTTGCTGAGTGTCCAGTAGCCACAGGTGCAAGGCACCGAATGCCTCGTGGCGTTGAATGCTGTGGCTAGCACTTAGCCGCTCATGCTCGTGATTGCAGCACCGTTTGTCCCGCTCAAACACCCAATCGAATGTTCCCTTGGCATGTTCGAGTGCGCTCATGTTTCGTCGAGCGTTCATGGATGGGAAAGTGAGACTGCGCAGCAGCCGTCTTGTCGCATCTTTTTGTTCCTGAGATTGATGAATTACCGTGACTCGTCTGGTGTGCTGCTCTAATGTCTCACGAACTTCCGTTGTTGCCTTTATGGCCCCGGCTGTGTCAATTTTGATTGCCGCCAGATGTCGACTCAGTGACTCGTCGATGTGCCTCGTAAGGTTGGCTACATGCATGTTCCCGTCGTGAAGCTCTCGCACTAGAGGTTGCAGGCTAGAGTCGAGAGATGACAGGACAGGGCTGATGGCAGCCCATTCTGTGTCCAGGGTGTCTCTAACTCAAAATCAGCCGAGATCCTGCCTAGAGACGTCTACCCATACTTGCTCACCGTAGTTCGACGAGGATCGTGCTCTGCAAGGCTTGTTGGGCCTCATGCAGCCGCTTTTCCGCCCCTTGAATGCGGTTCTTGTCGAGGATGGCGAAATTGAAGAAATTCGCGACTGCATTGCCCTTTTGGCTATCCGAGTACCTTTGAAAGATCTTTTCTAGCCTGTGCGATGTTTTGACAACATCTTGGGCGCGTTCCAGAAGATCTCGATTGCCAACCCCACCATTCGTATTCTGGTTCTGTATCGACGCCTCGAGTTTGCTGGAGAGCTCTCGGAGTGTACTCGCATTTGTCTTTATGCTGGCGTCCGGCTTGTGCTCGTCGCGGATCTGCTTCAGCGCTGTCGTCACCTTGAGGCCGGTGCTGACGAGCTGAAGGATGTTGCAGGTAAAAGACAGAGCGGCGACCGCCTCCATCTCGACTGGCGTTAAATAAGGCAGATCCCGTCGCAGTTGCGACTCAGTTGGGCGATGCTCGATTGCCGAAAACAAGATAGCTCAAGAGAAAACTAGATGCGTGAGTAGGAAAGAGATGAAGGTGTTTCTCGCAGCCGGCTGCGGTGTGATGGCGGTCGGACAAAGTTCATTCCGCCAGAAGACCTGAAATTGTGGCAGTGATGGAAGGGCGGGGGAAAGAGCAGGGCTCCGGAGCCAATGAAGCTGGTCTCGATCATGCAAATATATGCAGGCTGCGCCTTCTCCGGTCCTACAACGCCGGTAAGGCGCAATTTACAAAGCCTTCTTCCTCTTTGCACAGCTGTTTCTGTTGAACCATGTGGCCTCGTCAGCAATGTGATCGTGGCTTAGTGAGGGGCAATCAACACTCTCGTGCAGCAATTGTCATGCCACCTAAACAGCACGGCTTCTTTGCGTAGTGTGAAGCGATCAGCAAGGCAATGATATCACAACAGCCCTTTCTGAGGCCACAATATTGGCTAGCTGCGTGGAAAGGCCTTCTCGGTTGGCTCGACCACACGGACGCGCGAAGCCTGCCTCTTTTCTCAATATATAGTCTCTTTTCAGTAAGAGCAAGCACCTTGAACTGGTGAAGCCTGGTTGGGTATGACCTATCTAAGGAATGGGAAGTAGTTCGTGGCCGCGTGCGCCGTGGGATTCTCAGGTTGTTGGTCGGAAAATGAGTTTAGGGCATGCTTGCCACGGGGGCTGGCCAATCCTAGGCGAGAGTACTGTCATGTGGGCGAACATCGAGCAGAGCGGTGCTCGTTCGATAAGCATTTTACAAGCTCTAAAGAGTTGTTGGCATCGGCCATGTTGGTCAACTGGGTTTTCCGACTGGGCATGGCTGTCTCTTAGTGTAAGTAGAGAGGCTGTCGCAGCCACTCCGACTAACCATGCCAGGACACGATGTTAAAGCCATGCCTAAGCGCGACATGGCCACTGGTGGTGAGGCTGCCTACCACGTACTTAGGTGGCTCGACCCCCCACTCTAGCCTGACAGCTGCAGGTTGGCCACACAGGGACAGGGATGGGACGCTGGGCATCGTCACCTTATCAGTTGGCCTCGCCTGACTCTCCAGCCTGTTTTCGACTTTTCAAACGTTACTGACTTGCTGGATGGTGCGAGAGTCTCCCAAACGCACAGATATTCGAGGGCTCAGTGACAAGAGACTATCGACCTGACTCAGGAAGCCCTTCCAATAGAGCACCTGGGCAGAGGCTGGAACCAGTTGCAACCCCACTGCAGCAGGCCAGACGCAATAACACACAAGTCCCAAGGGCAACCAGGCGGTGAACTCGCCAGCCCCAGAACCGCTGGGCGCACAGCCAAGTCGCCGAAGCACGAAACCACGGACAAGCGAGATTGAGATACTACCTCAGCAGCAGCAGCAAGTCGCGACAGCCAGTGAACAAAAGGCCCCTTTCTACCTCGAGAGAGCAACACCATGGCCGAGCCAACCAACACGCCGCTGCCCACGGCGCCGGGGACTCCGATCTCGGCGACCCCGCGCTCGGCATCCCCCACGCACCCGCACCACCACCCGGCCGGGTTCGGCCACCACCCGCCGCTGCCGACCTTTGTCTCGGCCCACTCGTCCCGGAACCCGTCCGTTGACCACGGCGGCGGCCCGGGCCTCGGCAGGCTCGACGCCGTGCTTGACCCCTCCAAGCCCGTCGTGCTCCACATCGGCGACCCGGTCCGCTTCAACCCGGCCACCTACGCGGCCTTCTCCCAGCTCTTCCACGTGGTCCGCCCGCCCACGGAGGAGCGGCACCGCGAGGCCTTCAAGACAGCCCTGCGCGAGCGGCGGTGGGGCGACTTCTTTGCCATCTTCCGGCCCTTCTGGTCGACGGGGGGCGAGATGGGCGCCTGGGACCGGGAGCTCATCGCCCTGCTGCCGCCCAGCGTGCGCGTGTTTGCCAGCGCGGGCGCCGGGTTCGACTGGGTGGACACGCAGGCGCTGGGCCAGCGCGGGGTCGTCTACTGCAACGGCAGCCTGGCGGCGGCCGAGTCGGTGGCCGAGTTTGCGGTGGCCATGATCATCTCGACGTTCCGGATGCTGCCGTACTGCACGTCCTCGGCCGTGACGGACAGCACCGGTGCGGCGTTCCAGGAGTGCCACGTCGCCGCGCCGGGCCAGTCGCACACGCTGCGCGGCCACACGCTGGGACTCATTGGGCTGGGCAACATTGGCCAGGCCATTGCGTACAAGTGCTCCCTCGCGTTCGGCATGCGCATCCTTTACCACGACATTGACAAGAAGCCTGCGGAGCTCGAGGCCAAGCTGTCGGCTCAGTACTGCCCGACCATGCAGGACCTCGTATCCCGGAGCGACTGTGTCGTCCTGGCCATCCCCTCTGCACCCTCTGCACCATCCACCACCACTAGTAAGCCCGCACCACCGCCCGTCATCGACGCCGCCATCCTCTCCCACTTTCCCCGCGGCAGCAGATTCGTCAACGTCGCCCGCGGCTCCCTCGTCGACGAGGACGCCCTCGCCGACGCCCTCGACTCGGGCATCCTCAGCAACGTCGCGCTCGACGTGCACGCCTCGGAGCCGCACGTGTCGCCCCGCCTGCGGGACAAGTACGCGGGGAACCGGGCCATGCTCACGTGTCACAACGCCGGTGGCACCGTGGAGGCGCACGCCGGGTTCGAGGAGCTCGCGATGCGGAACATCATGGATGTCGGGCAGGGTAGCGGGAGGGGGTTGACCGGAGTGAATCTGCAGTATCTGAAGACTACGTGATTGTTGTCACTCACAAGTGCTGGACTCGGGGAGACTGAGCACGGGTTGCAAACGGGATATGGTGGACTCACGTTGTTGATGGCAGTCCTGGGGTGTCCTGGGGTGTCCTGGGAAATCATGTTATGTAGCTTGAGGATTGGACTGGGAGTGTTGATGCCCCCGCGCCGCGTGTGGCTGCAGTCCCTGTGTCCAAACCTGCTTTTTTTTCCGTTGAAACAGACGGCTACACTGCTGTGATTTTGCCCTTGTTTCTACGTACGTGCCTGACATGAGGATCATGACTGAACGACACAACGCGGTACTTTGAATGAAGTCGAGCAGGGATTTTATCGCATGGCAACAGACCAACTTCACCCCGCTCAGGTACTCTATCTTTATTCACGTCCGACGACAAAGGCAGGGAGGTGGCACCCAAGCAGTCTTCAAGCCTAGACTCCCTACACGAGAGTAAAGGGGGCTTACAACATTCGTGTCCGTGGTTAAGGGATATATAATTGATATTAAGCTGGTTCTCGCCCATACACATGGCCTCCGTTTGTAGGCATGTCCTATGCAAATATAAAATGGTCGCGACTTGGCAGACACCCTCGAAACCCATACATGCAACGCCACCCCACCCTATTCCAAAAGTCTTTTTTCGGACAAACATCTCTCCTATGTAGAAAAGCCTTGAGCAGGTCATTAATTGCCCGTGGTGTGGTGGCTATTAGCCTCACAGCAGGAACAATGCTGTTGTTGTTGCTGCTGTACCTGTCCGAGCTGCTGCGGTAGTGGTCGCGAGTCCTGAACACTCTGTGCTCCTCCTACAAAGGGCAAACCCGCTACAGAAGTCCTCGCGGATTGCTGGGATGGCGGAGGTGCCTGCAGGGGATGATACACCGCATCGCCACCGACACCACCTCCCAACGTCTGCTGGTGGTAGTGTTGTTGATGAACCGAAGGCACCGTCGACACCGTGGACGACAACGGGCTCGGCGAGACGAGTCTAGAGTGCGGCGATGCTATGGAAGAAGACGAGGATGAAGACGTGATGCCAGTCAGGTGGCTCGCCACGGCGGTGACGCCCGTGTGCATTGCTGTTACTGGTTGGGGAACGGCGACAGCGGCGGCTCCGCTGCTCGTGAAAGGGGGTTGCGGGTATGATGGCCCAGCTACCGCTGCTGATGGTACCTGTGCCGGTGCCGGTGCTTGTGCTATTATTGATCCGTCCGAGGAATGAACGATCGGGCCGTGGATGCTACCGTAAATGCTTTCCACGGGGGGCTGGTACTGGCCTGGCTGAAGTTGGTGCGGATGTTGATGATGATGATAGATCACCTGCATGGGCGGCTGCACCGACACCGCCGGGGGCCCAGAGTCGAGCTCAGGCCGCGCTGGGACAGGATAGTTACTCATGATCCCGAGCGGACTGTGCCTGAAGTGGTCCGGCATCGCAGGCATCGCAGGCATCTGCACGGGTTGCGGCATGGCAGCCAGCGAGTACGGGCTGTGTCCAGGGGGCGGAGGACCGACAGCCTTGTACGGCTGTGTTGCTTCAAAGGACAAGCTGCGGCCTTGCATGCCGATGCCAGCAACACCGTGACCACTACCGGCGTCGCTGTTGCGGGCTGTCGTGACTGTGCTCATGGCCGCGCTCGGGTTGCTGTGCGGGTCAAGATGGTAGTGGTGATGGTGGTGGTGCTCCTCCACGCCATGCTGCGGCTGAGTGTTTGCCGAGTTGTTCCTGCTGGACGATTTCTTTGCGACCTTCTTCTCCTTCTTGCCAGATCTGCCCGCACAGCAGAAGATCGCAGAGACTCCGCCTCCCGTGCCACCATCACCGCCGACCGGCTTCTCCCGCACCGCAGCAGCAGCATCCAGCGACTCCTTAGCTCCGTGGAAGGTATTGCTGCGCGTGTTGAACTGGTTCTCCTCGGACGTGTAATAGTTGACGGTGGTATTGTTCTTCGTGTTGGACTTGGTGACACTCGAGCTCTTCTTGTTGCGCCTCCGTCGCATGCAGCAGCACAGCAGGAGCAACAGAAGGATCAAGCCGGCCAGACCCCCCACTGCACCACCAATGATTGGCGCGAGATTGGTCGTGGTAGATGTCTGCGTACCGGCGGTCAAATTGTCGCCCGTAGTGATGCTACCGGTGGGCGCAGCGCTCGTCTGAACTGTCGACGGTTCTACCGTGTTTGTCGGCTTCGAAGACACTATCGTGGAAGACTTGGTCGATGACGACGTTGACCTGGTGAGCGAATCGAGCACAAATTGTGGTATATCCATCACGCTGTAGATCGTTGATCGGGCGGCACACCCGTATTGTGATCTCGCGGGCTTGCCCGTCCAGATCCATGTCGCGCAAGCTGGTGAGGCGCGATCATTACTGTAAGAAAAGACCAAGTCAGTCTCTGGACCTGCAAGATACTTGCGAGAAAATACTTACCAGCACCCGGTCCCTGGGCCGACATCGTCGCATTGACCTTGCTGCACGGCACTCAAGTCCATGCATACCCGGAAGAAAGGGGAGAATGTGCCCGAGACGCAGGCCACGAGGTCGTCGCTGTTGGTCGCGCAGGTGAAGTCTGTCCCGCAGACGATCGCTCGAGCTATCGCGAAAAGGTCAGTCAGTAAAGATTGCAGGAAGAGAGAAGCCCGTTGGTGGTGAGGCAATGCACTTACAGGGAGTTTGAGCAACCCATCCGCAGGTGTGATCATTCACCCAGGGAGTCGTGTCGGTCAGTGCCTGACGCCGCAAGCGTTCGACGACCTGGTCTTGCTCAGACACGAAGCCTGGCGCCTTCGTTGGCTTGGGAGACCAACCCGTCGTCCCATCTGCAATGTTCGCGGTGCCTGTCTCTGTCGGTATCCATGATGGTGTACCAGCGGTGGCCCAGTTGTGAAGTAGAGCTGCTTGCACACCCGAACTGGCGAGCGACAAATACGAAGCGGTAAAATACCTCATAGCGATGGCGTCTCTGTCCGGTGTCTGAAGAAGTTGTATTGGTGGTCTTGATGCCCAGAGGAAGCAGCTGTGCCGCGCTGAGATCACTTCCCTCTTCTGTTCCGGGCAGTCCGCGTTTCAGTTAAGCGCTGATGCTGGAGATTCGAAACGCCAGGGCTGAGTGTTCCAGCTGCGCTTCAAACAGGAAAAAACAGAGAATCGTGAAGTGCTAATTAATTGGACTGCAAAGACAACGTCTATAGCTGGTGGCAATGGTTCTCGAAGGAAGCCTGCGTGAATGGTTGTGAATGACTGGATTGGCCGACGTGTGTGATTCGTGCTGTGTTGTGAATGCACAATGAGTGAATGGGTGGTCAACCGCCAAGCCCAACGATCAACGCTGTGCTCTTCTGGTGTGGGAAATTCTTGTAAATGCAATAGAAATGACGCCTCAGAATTTTGGTAATGTGAAGTGTCAATATTTTCCTATAATTGCAAAATGATCAGGCGGTCGAAATGCTGCGTTCGTTGTCGCACAGTTGTGAGTCCGCGTGAATCAGGCCTGACGCCGACTGTCTGGTGGCGAAACTAAGGAAAGGGACAAAAGAAAACAGCGCCCAAAAAACTAAGGGAAAAGCTGCGAGACGTAATCGTGCAGAGGAAAGACTCGGGCCATAGGAATCGGGAACTGTCGCATTATTTTAATCCTGTCGTGCGTGTCTGCTTGTTCCCCGGGTTACGTCCCAGATCCGTTGTGCTTTGGCGCGCACGACTGGCAAGCGTCGACCCTTAGCCGCCAGCACCAGTAACCGCCGCAACTCTCAGCCAATCATCTCAACCCACACACCCTGGCCCTGCTTCACAACCCTGCCTATTGGCACACTACAGCGTAAGGACCATGGAAAGGACCAAGGGTCCAGGCCGGCCCGACATGGGCAAGTAAACGCTGCTTGGGCTATTTCGAGCTCTTGAGGTTTCCGCGCGGCGTTCCAGCCCACAACCTGCCAGGTCGCGTCCTAAGCATTAAATATCGCGTCTCACCCCTTCTTCAAGACCGCCTGGGCTCAGTCAAATCAACTGCCAATCGGGAGTCATTGTGATGCTCTCAAGTATGCTCCATCCAGTTTAGTCTGTAATTATCCTACGATGTCTTTGGCTTTTTTCTCACTAGGCCAGTGCTGAGAACATTGACATTCCCAGTTCCAATCGGCCCGCCGCTCGCCACGGCTTCTGGTGCAGTTTCGGTCTTGGGCTTCTTCCGGACCAAGCCTGCATCGAGAATCTTGGCAGATGAATCTTCCGCCGGAGCGTCAGCAGTCCGCTTCTTCCGTATCATCCCCGACAAGTTGTTGACTGTCTGAGAACCCGCCTCGGATGGTGCCTGGCCCACTGCCGGGTCTCGCCGTCCCGTTATTTGTAGTGACCAGTCTTTCCCAACGTTGACCTCCTTCAGCCAGCGCATGGTGCTTGTCGTCGCCACCGTGAGTTCCTTAAACTCAAGATGCAACAGCAACTCCACGGCACGCTTGTATCCATCTTCGTCAAGGATCACCTGGCCTCTTCCCGACTCTGGCCAAGTGTAATGAGATGTCTCGGTCTTCTTGGGGAACTTGGCCCGCGTCGTCTTGACTTTTGGTGCTCGTGGTCGGATGTGGCCTCGTAGTTTTGACTTCTTCCTCCCCTTGCCTTTCTTATTCGAATCTTGGCCATCATCGCCAGCCAAGATCTTGCTGGTCAGGCTCAGGCGAGATACCGGGTCAAACACGACCCAGATGAAGCCTGTCATCCGTCCACTTGAGCATTCTTGCCTGAATGCCATCATTTCCCAGAACTCGTCTAAGTTCTGCGGCCCTCTCCATCTGCCCGCAGTCTTGAGGTTTTGAGGCGTGGCCTCCTCCAGCTCTTCCACGAAGCGCGCCTTTGGGTCGTCTGGAAATGTAGGTATCAAGCATCTGGGCGGGATACTGGAACCATAGACACTGGGATTCGCGGCGTATGGTGAAATGTGCTCAAGAGGGTGTGCTAGGGTCCAATTCGTCGGTGCAGTCGCCGTTCTAGGGATGAACGCACGCGTCTCGTACGTGTCCAGCCCGGGGATAAGGAGGTGCCCATGAACACGACTGCATCCTCCACTAAGATCCTTTTGCACCGAGTCATCTTCGAGCAGTCCGTTCACGACCCGGCACCACCATTTGATCAGCCCCCTGTCGTCAAGCACGTGCTTCTTCGTGTTCTTGACGCTGCCAGGGAAGAGATACTGATCTTGAGAGCGAGCAAAAAGATTGACGACAAGCTGCGTACCCTTGCGATGTCGTGTTCTGACCAAATACTTGACAAAGGTAGTCGTCACTTCACGAATAGGCGATGGTGTGCCTTTGGGCAAGTCGAGAGTGCTGAGATATCCTGTCGAGTCGGCCTTTGCCACGAAGATGATGGTCGAAAATGCAGTCGTATATAAGTATATCTCTAAGCCGAGCACGAGCACTTGGTCCCTAGCATCACCACTCTTTGAGTCGACAGAGATAGCTAAAAAATGCTTTTCACAGTATGTCTTTGGTGGTTTTGTGGGTCGCCGCTTGCCAGAGCCAGCAGCTGATGGCAAAGTAGGAGGCTGACATAGTGCGTCGCAAACAGTTGGCGGTGTTGACAGGTGGTGAGTTTGGAACTGGTAGCCTTTGGGAAGGACTGATTCGAGGTCGTGGACAAATCCGGACGATCTCTCTTGTCGAGTTGATGTCTGGTGGTTTCGTTGAGCCATGGCGAGTCCAGGATGGAGCTAGCGTATGCCAGCGAGCAAGCAAAAGTGTGCGAATCGAATTGTCCAACTGAATTGTGCTTCAATTGCAAGTCCAGCGCAATGGGGCGTGATACTGGCAGCAATATATGTCTCCAAAAGAGGGGAGAACAATTTCAAAGTCGCCTGCGGCTTGAAATGAGAACTGAGTTGAGGCTGAACCAGGGATGAAAGCTACCTTCCCAGGCGCTCCAGGGACACGCGACGCGGCGGCTGGGTCGTGTAAAGTGGAATGACATACCGTATCCGTAGAGCAAGTGCACTGTATCTTTGGCACTGTAGCGTCTATGGAAAGAGCGGCCCAGTCAAGCCCATCTCGTTGCGCCAATCAAAGTCGTGCATGCCCCCCATCGACCCACTCACTGTCGACAACGCCAAAGACCAGGGCCGCAAAAAGTTGAATCGCAGCAAATGCAGCAAGAGCCTCAATCGACTCGCGACGACCACCCCCGCGATCCCGAAACGACCGCCTTCGCCACGCCTTTCGCATACCCCTCCGACAGGGCCCGCGTCCACACATCGCAGCGATGGCGCTCAACCCCTCAAGATCAGCCCCGAAGCTGACCCAGCACGCCATCCGCGCCTGCAGAGCATCCCGCACCGCACCAGCCACCGCCTCGTTCTCGACCTCGTGTGTAACACGGTCTGAGGCGGTACCGTCCAGCTCGCAGAACAATGCGCCGCGGTGGTCACGCACACCAGAGCGCATGAAGGCGCCTTTCTCACCACACATCACAAAGGACCCAGCACGGTCAAGGTGGAAGGTCAACGAGGACCCCAAGAGGTTGGATAAGGCGTTGAACCAGTTCTTCGGCCACGATGGCGAGCGGTTGCTGCCAGACGAGCTCAAATGGCTTGCTGTCACCCACAAGAGTTTCGACCAGGGAAGGAGAGGGTTCAATGACCGCCTAGCGTTCCTCGGTATGCTGTGATGCCCTTCGATATCGGTTCGCTCGGACGATTTGGAGCTAACCATGAGCGACGACTTCTAGGCCGTCAGATATGCACATACGAAGCGACGCAGTCAATCCTCACTTCACCTGCCCAAACTGTCGAACCAGAGGCTGATCCCTACGCCCACCTCCGCACTCCCTTTGAGCACCCCGAGCTCCGGAGCCTGGACAACCTCACCCTCAACCAGCCCTCTGACATCTTCACATTTGAGAAATTGGCGGCTCTCGCGGTAGACACCGGCGTGGCGGATATTGTGCGGTGGAAGCCGAGAATGGTAAGTCGGGCACATGACGGGGGAGGCCTGCGACTGATTATTCAGGGAGAGACAAGTTCGCTAACATGTCCTTCACCCTTGTCCGTGTGCAGCCCGAAAACATCCAGGGATCTGGGTTCGCCGTCGTCGTGTCAGGCGCCGTGTACGCGCTGGTTGGCGCCATTGCCATGCAGCACGGCGGCAAGGTCGCCAGCCGCATCGTGCGGGAGCGGATAATCAAGAAGCTTCCCAAATAAATGCACAGTACATGAATCCCCACGAGAGCGCTGCGTCCGCCCCTACCGAGGGACGATGACCACGGAATGAAGCACTGGCTGCACGGGATGAACTAGGAGCGAGGACATACGCATGCACCTTCGAGCACGGAACGTGCTCACAAATGTACAATGCCACGTCGTAAAGCATCAGCGCATGATACTGTATAGATATCAGGATGACCAGGCCGGCTTGGCCCTTGGGATGACTGTTTGTACAAAAGAAAGTAAGACCTTTGTATTATCTACTGTAGAGAGAATATAAGGGAAGATACCGAAAAGGTAGTCAAACGATAATTGCTTGATCTTGAGCTTGCTCGGCGCGCCTATTATTACACGCAGGCCGAACGTGATATTGGATATATTGCAACAGTCGTCTATGTGGCTCGCACCACTTCTTCTCTTGGTAGCGTACCAGGACAACAGATTCACAACCCGCCAACGCCTAGCATCATCTAATTGCACGAAAAGTACAAGAACCGGCCCCCACCCACATACCCGTCGTCCTCGTCCTCGTCCTCGTCCGCGATCCCGCCGGTCGCATCGTCACCGCCATCGCCGGTAACCCCAGTGCCCCGGAGACTCCCCTCCTTGTCCCAGATGATTAGTCCCGCTCCACGCTTCTCCGTTGCCAGGCTGACGGCGGCCGGCTTGGATCGCGGCGTGACCACTGTCCGGGTGTACAGCGATTGTATCGTGAGACTGGCCGCCAAGTTCTCCGGGAAAACCTTGGATAGACGATCGCGCAGCCGTTTGCTCTTTCCCCATGAGACGTTGCGCTGCGACTGACGCATGAAGCTCTTGAACTTGTCCTCGCTGACCTCTACACTTTCTTGCAGGTAGCCTTGTCCCAAGCGCAGGATGGGGAAGACATCAACGCGGCTTGACCAGCCGGCGTAGATGACCTCTGTGTAGGAGCGCAAGTTGGCGGCAGAGACGGACAAGGCGGCACACCCCGGCAGTAATGTATTGTCCCAGAGGGCTGGGTCGCAATATGAAGCAAGGTGGATTGCGCCGATGCCTCGAGGGTCGTATGCCATGATGTCATTGAGCAACACGTCCATGGGTGTGCCTTCGTGTGAGCAGTTGAGCAGGATGATGTCCCATTCAGGATTGAGGTACACAGGCCCGAAGCTGAAAGCTCGTCGCATCATGCCAGCACTCAAGTGGATGCGATAAAACCTCAAGGTCTCGTCACGGGCTTCCCGGTTGACACGGGCCAAGAGCGGAAGCCTGTTGGTAGAGTACCATTGTATATTGCTCGCCCGATTGTCAAGAGAGTTGGGTGTAAAATGAATCTTCTTGACGAAGTCGAGCGTGGAGACTCGCACGATTCGTGGTCGCATAAGATGCAGCCGCCATATTTTGAGTCGCAACTCAACGGGCAGGCGGGCGAAAGGGTGAAAGGAAGCCGGCGGATATGGGTCTTCCGCGGCGTGGGAGACCACTTCTGGAGGTGCTCCAGATGGTAATGTCCATTCGCCGATGTCGACGGAATTGCCAAAATTGAGCTTCGGATACTCCCCATTATAGTCCTCAAGTGGTGGCCAATAATCGCTGCTCGAGGAGGACGCCGATGTCGAATCTGTGTCACTCAAAGTCGAGGAGCTGTATCGTCTAATAGCCGAAGTAGGCGACGGCAGATTCGCCTGCACTCCCGTGTTCGAATACTGGGAAACGAGCCCAGTCGTCTTTGGCGATGTTTGAGCCGAGAGAGGTCCATGGTGGCCTTGGACGATCTGAATATCAAGTATTCCCGCAGACAAGCTTCGTGCGGCTCTAGACGACTTCTTGAGGGTGGCTGGCCGTGTGGGATGTTTGCGCTTGTCGGAATCATCAACGAGAGATCCACTAGAATCAAGCGCTCTGTTTTCCCTTTCAAAGTCTGTGAGCTTGCGAATACGTCGCACAAGCCGTGACGCTTTTGCAGAAATGGCAGTCGGCCACCGTTTGCCCGATGTTCCGTTCTGATGATCCATGACCTTGCAGGTGCACTCTCTCTTTCGGGCTGAAGTCCGTGTGTGAAGCGCAGTTCCTTTTTGGCGAAGCGGCTCGGAATGATTGCCACAACTGTTTTCCTTCACGCAGCTGTGAAACTGTTACCTGGAGTCAGGACAACTGAGTGAGAACCAAGCAAGGCATGAAGTCATCATTGAAGTAGATCTGGCGGAAGAAGAAGGAAGAGAGAGATGCGCGGGCGGCTCCTGGGCAAGCTTTGTTTGTTGTCTTTGCGGAAGTTTAAGCAAAGTATCACTGCCAGTAATGGAGCTGTTGACGTCGTGCCTCCCTGACAGTACCTCTATTAAATCCCGGAACTAGACAAGTGCCCGTGTCTCGAGGTGCTGATCGGGTCAGGCACAGAAGGTCTGGCTCTGCGGTTCTTGAGTCAGGAGTGTCTCAGCGAGGTTGCAAGAGGACTAAGCTCAGGAACAAGCTCGCAGGACGCCCGGCTTGAGGCAGAGTGACAAAGTCAAAAGGTCGAGCTCGCCCGAGTCGAGCGCACACGCCCTGTGGCCTGCCGTTCATCTCATATATGCTTGTTGCTTCATTCCGCCCAGCGGCTCGACCCGCGTCATGCATTTCCGTTACACCAGGTTCGGCAGCGGTGGTCCACATTCCAGGCGCGAAACCCGGCAAGATGGATGCGAGGGAGCTGATGCGGCAGGCATCATGCGACCAACATGGCAAGTGAGCATGGCTGGGGCCGCCCGAAGAGGAATGCAGTTGAGTGCGCTTGCTGGCGGCTGCGGGCAAGCTACTGCAGCGTGACAAGGCTGGGGCGCACGCTCGGACACGGAGCGCCCGGGTCGGTGAAAGGTCACCCGTCCACCTCTTGTTGGGCGTTGCGTCGTGGCGCACCCATCCGCACAGGCGTCTGGCCATTCATGTTGCCCATCACTATCCCAGAAAAAGGGAATACGGCCGGATTGGCTGGAGCTCCGTGTCTTCACCAACTGGCCACGAGGTCGGGTGATGCCGTTCGGCATGCACGACGGCAAAAATCACCACTTGGGGGCGGCTGCGGAAATCTCTCATATCGGGGGCGGTTGTAGAGCACCATGGCCTGTTTCGCAATCTGAGCACAATCGTGGTGACGGCAGGGCGCCGGCTGGTGGTTGGATGTCTGGGATCGCCGGGTGTGACTCTGGAGCGATGCACAAGGCAATAAAGCTGTGGTGGAGACGGCGGCCCATTGGAGCCGTTGCTGCCTCGGCCGCCTCGAAGCGTGGAGGAAGGCGTTCCTGGCCTGCCCTAGGGCCGGCGGCGGAAGCCACTCACAGCGCTCCTGCCCCACCTTACCAGCGACGGACCCGGCTGACCGCCTCACGATGGCTTCCTGGTCACACGCGCCAACGACAACAAACATCCCCAGACCCTTTGTCCTCCAGCCCCGGCGGTCAATGTCGCCACAGCCGCGTCCCTGACTTCGTACTTGAGACGCCAGTGTCCAGCCTCACATCTTCCGTCGTCGACTGCGGCTCGGCGTGGCCGCACCAGCACCAAGACCAGCAACAGCTTCACGATCAAACATGGAGAGGTTCTCGTCGCGAGGGCTGCCCCTCGTACACCGCCTGCAGCTTCCCGTGCTTCTCGTCGTCCCTGTCTTGTTCTCAGTCGCTGCCGTCATCATCCTTGGCTTCCATGGCGATCTCAACGTGCCTCTGCTGGCCTCGCAGTGCCACTCCCATGCACGCCTGCCAGGGCTTTCGCGCATCCCTCTCATTGGCGTTCCGGCCTGCTCCTTCATTAGCCTCTTCCAGGCTGCCAACGATGCCGTCAGGAGCGTCGCACGCATGGGCATCATCCTGGCATTCATCGGCGCCCTTCTTACGGTTTCCCTGGTAGAGGCTGCCAGGCTTTGCAATGCCCGTGCCCGCGTCATCCGCTACCCAACTATCCCGTGGCTGGCCTTCAACCTCTTTGGGGGTGTGCTTGTCTGGGACCTCGCCATTATCCCGGCCTTCCTTCGTCATGCCAAAGTTCTCCGCCAGCAGGACGACGCTACTCGGATACTCGGGCCAGATGCCAGAAGGCAAGATGCGCGAGCGCTAGCGAGCCGCTCGGAGCTCTATGCCATTCCAATTTCCGTCGCTGTCGGCTTCTACCTGCCGAGCATCGCCATGCTGTCCATCAACAGTGCTACCGCCATAGGCATCTGGCTGTTATTCCCGCTGCTGGTCGCTCTCGTGCGCATCGCTGTCAAGGCCATCTATGCCAAGTTGTCAAGCAAGGAGGACGAGCCCTTTCGCATCGAGAGCAGCAGGGTGTCAGTCTTTGCCGTATATTCCTTGCCCGTGCTCTTCTCGGTCATGACACATGCCTTCTTCATCGCCAACCTCTTTGCCGATGATGATCGAAAGGAGATGACACGCAGCACTCTCAAGTTCATTGAGATTGACGCTCTAATCCTGGGTGCCAGTGTCCTCTACTGGATTGCTGTGGAGTCCGGTCTGGTGCCGCTGGCGGTCATGCTTGGTGTCTCGGTGCTTTTCGGCACAGGTGCAGGTCTTTGCCAGACATGGATCTTGCGAGAGAAATCCTTGGCTGAACAGGATGACATTGAGAACAGCCAACATGATGTTGTACACGACGAAGCTCATGAAGAAACACCTCTGCTGCACTGAGCTTGAATAGCAGTCATAGTCTGGGTCCAGCACCATTTCTTTACAAGATACCCGCGTAAAACTATTTAATACAACTTTCCTTCCAAATATATTCGGACGGTCCTGATCAGCGGCTGGATTTAGTGGCATCCGCCTCGCCAAGCATTCACATTCATCCTTGTTGAACATTGGAGAAGGCTTTCAGGGTCTCATAACCCAAAAGCGGCCACCACAGTTAGCATGGTTGAAGTGTACCCTGCAGCTCACAGCTTGGGTGCCATTATGTCAATGTTCATGGGGCGGTAAGCTTGGGTCCTCGTATCTCGCCCGTCTCCCATGCAGAACCACGTCCGGTTTGGTCTGGATTCCTGGGTACGTCGCATGCAGATGTGATGGCTATGCCGTCAGCTGCAGTTCGACCAGGGCATTGCCAGGCCATGCTCTGCAGAAGTTCTTTGCTTGTGGTGCGCTGTTTCCCCCCCTACCATCATCGACCACTCTTTTCCACAATATCTTGTGTTGCAAGCAGACTCAACCTATTCGCAGCTTGTTAGCGCACCGTGCTCGGTATGGGAGATATAGTCGTCTAATTACACTTCGGACAGTGCGTCATCGTGCTTTTTGTGGCGGGATACTCGTCCTCTCCATATGTCGCATTGAGCGACACGCTGCCAACCACATTCCCCGACTCGAGCCGGATCCAGCTGTCCATCTCGAGCAGCGCCAGCTGGTCCCTCGACACGAGGATCTGCCTCGCCCCGCGCTCCCAGCTCCCGTACCCGCCGTAGCCCGTGTGCTGCCCAAAGCAGAGGTTCACCCCGTTATTCTTCTTGTTTATCCTCCCTTCCCCCGTGACTGCCATCATCCCGGGGAGCGGCAGCGCCGCCTCGTGCCACTTGTAGCACCACGTGTTGCCGTGGTCGTGGCCCGAGAACACGCCCATCAGCCCCGGCATCGTAGCGACAGCCTGCATGAACGGCAGGTCCTGCCCGCCGTACGAGCATGTCCCCTTGTCGGAACCGTCCGGGCACCACCCCTGGGCCTGCGGCGAGGCGGGCACGTCGTCGTTGATCCCCGGCTCCGTGTGTGGGTCGACGCCGACGTCGCGCTGGAACTCGAGCGAGGCGTACGTGGGGATGTGCACGAACGCCATAGAGGGGATCCGTTTCGCGCCATGATGCCGCGCGAGGAGTTTCGCGTAGGTCTGCTGCCACCAGTCTACTACGGAGATGTCGACCCAGTTCTGCAGGCCGATCGGCTCACCTGTGGATGGGTCTTTCTGCTGATACCGGAATCCACCTTTGCTGTCGAAGAACCAGAGCAGGAGCTCTGGCGTGCAGTGTGATTCGATGGTCTCCCCTCCGTCTTCTTCTTCTGCTTCCTCCTCTTCATGACCGTGCTCCTGAGCATGCCCGCCGGGCGCAGCACAATCAGCGGCATACACGGGAAGATAGTAATTCGACGTCCCCGCCAGCTCCCCGCGGACCATGCTCTTCGTGCGCGAGTGACCCCTCCAGCGCGCCGACTTCTCCCGCGCAAAGATGGTCTCGCCGGAGATGTTGTACTGGTGGTCGTGGTTGCCGTACGTGGACGCCCAGGTCTTGCCGCGGGCAGCGATGGGCGAGACAATCATGTCCAGGTAGGACGTGGCGTTCTCAAGGAACGTGTTCTCGCCGGTGATCAGGTCCCCGTTGAGCACGACGAGGTCGGTGGCCGGCTCGGAGTCGAGCAGCGAGTTGATGACGCCGATGGAGGCGAGGTCCTGTTGCGGGCCCCAGGAGTCCCAGGCATCTGATTGATTGAGATTAGCATCGGCAACTGCTTATAGGGTGGAAGTGTTGTCGTCGAAAGACATACTCTCGCCAAAGTGCAGATCTTCAAATATGGAGATCTGGAACGTCCCGTCGCTCTTAAATCTCAGAGGCTGGTGGGCGGGATGACTATTCGGGACTGGTTGAGTTGGATGCGTGCTGTTTGACCACCGTCGAGATATCCGTGAGTCAGTTGCAGCTCTCGCTGGTTGAAGCAAGACTAGTACTGTAAGGAGTTCCAAAGTGATGGCCATGTTGAAGCGAACACCAGGCATTTCAGCTGGGCAACGACCGCTTCAATTCGGGCTGCTCGTCTTTGACCGTTGGATAGAGCAGCGCGAATAGACACAGGGATCAAGCTGCTTACCTAGAGCTTTCCAGGACGAACTGTCCTGGCGCAAACGGAGACGGCATTTTGATCGTCTTAAACGCGCTCTCGCGGGGCGTGGGATGACCTGGGCATGGTCCGATGCCTGGCCTTTGAGGATCCCTGCCGACGGCCTGCCTGGATGCTTGAATGGTGTTTTGTTGCGAGCACGTGCATGCAAGAATAGCCTGTCCCGCCCATGGGCGCCCTTATCTCTTGCTTCCACTCATTTCAACGAGCTTGGGTTGTGGTGGCATTTGGAGAACGAGGGAATGAGGGGACCGTTTGGTTGCAGGGTCAGTTCCCCGCGGCAGCAAATCGCGGCCAGTCCCAGGGAGTGGTGCTGTCAGAGGCGCTTGTGATTGGCCACGGGTGTTTGGTTGAGATCCGGCTGCGTGTAAGTCACCATCAAAGTTTGTCGTACACCTCCGCCTCTATGGACAACAGCAATGACTTCAAGAAGGAAAAAGGACAATGAATTATTTCATGTGGTTTTCACTTTCTGGTAACTCAATCAGGCATAGCGTCGTCATCCTGCTTGCTCCCATTGCATTACTGGTGAGCTGCTAAATTACACAACTTGGACACGCATGATAACACTTCCAAAGTGCCGAGAAGCTTCAATGTTCAATATCTCTACGGCGAAATGCAACTTTACTGTGCGTAAGAACATATAGAAAACCAGAAGTACCTTTGGGGCAGCGCAAACAGTCATAGCTGCGCCCAGCTCTGCCGGTCACTCAAATCCGAGACGACAGCCTCTCTGCCCACAGCATTGGGAAGAAGACTTTCCACTCTCCCGGCTACAAGACCAGCAACCTTGCATCAAGACTTAAAGTACGAGAGGTTTCTCCCTTTCATTGACGCTCCCACTACTTTGTCCATAGGCTTTGCGGCAAAACTTCGCTTCTCCGTCTGAGTATCGTCGACCACATCACCCGAGAGCAGTTTGACTTGAAGCTCAAAGATTTCGCAACGGCCGAGTTTCTATAGGTTTCTCAAAGGTATCTCTCGTTTCCCACCGCATTTCACGACAATTATTGACCACGAACAACATTCGGAGGTTAATCAAATGCTTATCTAACTTGGCTTCAGTACATCGTTCAACACTGATTATCACATTCGGGTTTGATAGTGGAGAATAGTTGTTACTCTCCTCGTTTACGATACACCAATATCCTTTCAGAGAACGAAAAGCCTGATTTCCGCCCGAATACATCGGTCCTAGGCTAGTGAACCCTTCCGACCACACACAGGTCTCAGAAGAAGTGTAATTCCTCGTCACCGTTGGGCTACTCATTATACCACCCTCTCATATTACCTTCACAAGTTCTTCAGCGTCAAAGAAACCAAAGTTACTTCACAAGTACACCCATAAAGATGGCCACAGCAGTCTCTGACCCTGATCCGGCCATGGGATCAAGTCAGGTTGACATCGCAGAGGATGGCGACGTCATCCTTGTCATTGGAGCCAAACCGGAGCAAAAGAAGCTTCGAGTCTACTCTCAGTGCTTGAAGGCTTCGTCGAAGGTCTTCAAAGCCATGTTCAGTGGTAATTGGCGCGAGGGACTGAACCTTTCCGAAGACGCCCCTCCATCGGTCGAGCTTCCCGAGGACCACCCAAGGGCTATGCTATATATATGCCGCACGATACATTACGCATGCTCGGGAAGTACTCTGGATGAAAGTACATTGGCAGCTGAGATTCTCAAGATCGCTGTGCAGGCTGACAAATATGATCTCATGCACATCTTCGGTGGCCAGATCGGCCGGGCATTGGCTTCTCCTCCGCTGGAAACTATGGAAGATCGCTTGTATTGCCTGTCTGCCGCGCTAATGATTAAGGATGAACCTGCTATCAAGACAGCGTCCTTCGGTGTGGTCTCCCGTCACGTTGGCCGCTATTCCAAGTTCATGGACAATGATCTACTCCGAGCATTTCTCACCTACGACAACATCTGTGAGTATTCACTTTGCATTCGAAGAGTGGAATGGTACTTATCATCCTTCGATCATCCCACAGATTTACTCGAGGAAGCACGAACCCTGCTGAGAATGGAGCTTCTCGCTTTGCTTGATCAAGAGATAGTTCGTGATCAAGACGACGGTTATGATCATGCGAACTGCTACCCAATGGCCGATAATTTCTCAAACCTACGCAGGGCCTGGTCTGCACTGGATCTCCTTCGAAAGCCTGCCATAGATCTCATTATAGGTATCCAGAACATCTATATTGTTGATTCAGCTAATCCGAGATGCTTCAAATGGGAACTAGAAGGATATCCAGGTCCATGCGCGGAGGAACTTCATAAAAGGCTAATAGGTTTGTGCACACAGGTGCGTGATCTGTTTATCCAAGAGGAATGAAGGGTCACTGATTTAGAGCGGTGGGTGAATTTCGACGGATAGATAACATAATCGTGCGGGAGGTCGGAAGCGAAATAACGAGAGTTGCTGCACAAGAGCATCTCGATAACGCTCTGCTTTGTCTGTACCGATAAAGAATAACAGAAATCGCTGCTTTAGTTCCGGAGTTGGGACTCATTTATCCATAGAAGAATCTGCAAGTATCACCCAAATATCATTCGTCCAATGTGTCAAACGCCACATCACTCAGAGCAGGTCTATCTTTGTGCTTCAAAGTATAGGTGAAGGTAAGAACTGAATGATATCTGGGTCGTGTTAGGTGAGCAAGGTTCTTTGCTGTTCTAACGAGGAGCGAGGAGATTCATTGCATCCAAAGGTATCCTCGTACGTCAATGTAACCGCCCGGTTCAATGCCTGTACAGGTCAATGACGCCGCTGCTCGCACGTTGTCCAGAAATATATTGAAAGAAATTGAGAAGACGATCAAATTCATAGGCTCAATTCGTACCTGCTGATGAGCCGATGTCCATTATTGTTGCGTTGCGGTGGTTGCACAGTGCGCCTACTCAATACTCTCCTTCTTCCACCTCGCCCATATGCCCGGTCGGAGCTCGCGTTTGGCTCTCGTCTACGACCCAACAACAGGACTTCTTCACTCCTAACCTCCTGAATCAGGGTCACACTGACCTGCATCAGGGGAGAGGTAGGGTTTTGTCTCCCGCGTCCCTCTCTGTGTTGTCACGTTTGGCATATCTGCATGGAATCCCTTGTCCGTGGCCATCAGGAAAGGGCTACTCACAATTCTCTCACCACCACCAGCTGATCATTCAACTAAGCACGCAGAGGTCAATTGGCGATACGCGATTGCAGGACTCTCGGACTCATTCATCGTCAACCACGGTCCCCTAATCGAGGCTGCAAAGCTGGATCTTAGGCCGGCGTCCACCAAAGAACAAGGCGCAAGACATACCCTAGCTATCTCGCACCAGCAACCCAGAGCCCAGCGCCATTCAGCTCCTCAACTTCAGTCACAAAGATAGATTGTCTTGATCTTCGAGCCAGCCATGATGGACGCTGCAGATGAGGTCGTCGAACAAGTCGACACCAAGGACCCGCCACCAGCAACTTCAGCAGTTGAAGACATTGTCCCGACCGGGGATGTCATCTTGGTTGTCGGTTCCGGCGAAGACATGGTCAAGCTCAGAGCGCATTCCGTCTGCCTCAAACTCGCATCAGATGGTTTTGAGGGCATGTTCGATTCGAGCGTGCCGGAGGGTCAGGTGGAGTCATGCGAAAGCCCAAGAGAAGTCGCATTCCCAGCCGACACTCCGAATGCGATGCGTATCATCTGCCAGATTCTACATCACCAATACTCCTCCGAGGATCGGGGTCCGCTCTCAGCAGATGACCTACTAAGTGTAGCTCTCCACGCAGATAGATATACCATCAGCTGGATCCTTGTGCCCTACATGAAGGCCTGGCTGTCCACTTGCGCCACGCCCACAACAACATGTCGGCTCAAGTGCCTTGCCGCTGCTTCTGACTTGAAATCGAAGGATATATGGCCATGGGTCTTCGACATTGTTGCTCGTTGTACGGGCTCGTACTCCCGTTACTTACAATGCGATACACTACGTGCAGCCTTCAGCACCGAGGATATCTGTAAGTTTACACGGTCCCAAGGCACAAATTAATGCTGGTAAATGACTAAAAGTACTACAGACCGCCTTGAGGAAATGCGCACAGAGCTAAGAATGAGCCTACTCGACCTAATCAACAAGCAATTTGACGCAAAATGCGAGTGCCGAGCAAGCGTTCCTGCCAAACAACGTTCTGCTCAGCTCCGAAAACAGTACACCGCAGCCAAAGTCCTCCAGGTTCCAGCCATCAAAGTTATTGAGAAGCTTATGGCAGTTTACGTGTCTTCTGCGGAAGTTGGGGCCTACAAGTATCGTAAGAAGCCATCACCTGGAACATGCCGCTGTGGCTGTGACCTCTTGTCGAGTCTTGACCAATTGTACGAGAGAATATGTGACAAGCTTCTGGGTAAAGAAGAGAAATAAGTAGAGGGTCTTGAATGTGAGCAGTAGGGGGGACAGGATTGTGTAGAAGCAAATAGCTTGCACTGAGAACGGAATGTGTTGTAAGGTGAGAATTCGATGTGACAGGATAGCATGCGCCTCAGCAGTTCACCATATTTCTGTGCCGGCTCCTCATCAAGAATTAATACTGAGTCTTCCACGTGGGCTTGTTCAGATCACGGGTTTTCTTTTTTTTCTTTTTTCAAACGGGGGTGTATGTGACTTAATGCTGGACCAGGACCGATGAATCGCAAAATAGAAATGAAAACCATGTGTACGATCAGCTTAATCGTAAGCTGAATGCCCAAGCTGACAATGTATGTAGGGTATAATGTGGCCACCATGTGGCCGGCAGCCTCAGGCAAACATCATTGCAGCAGCCTCTCAGCCTAGGAACGTGGATTGACACCAACTGCTACCTCTTACATATATCGTTTCTCCGCCACACTACAGCCAGCGGCCGCGGCTGATATTCTCGGCATAACTCAAACGAAAGCAAGTGATTGTCCTCCCGCTTTGTCTGTTTACGCCCGCAGCCATAAGCCTCGCCGGCCCTGATGCTGACTTTTGAACCAACCACTTCGAAGTCACAAGGCTCTCACTCCCTTAGAATCAGCAAAAGAACTTGACGGCGCGAGTATCTCAGCACTCAAGCTTACCATAAACCAAGGACCTGAGGAGCGAGCCACAACCAAGTACGTGTGACGCCTCCGCGCAAGATCTTCGAGCATTTGTGATCGAGCGGCTGCATCTTACGGTTATAGCAAACCTCAAATCATACTAATTTTGCCCGCGCTTGCTCTAGACACTTCATCAGCTCCTGGGTACCTTAACTTTCTCTCCTCAAGCATGGAGACCGACGACGAAGTATCAGCGACCTCGTTTCCAGCCATCGAACTCATTGCCAAGGATGGAGACCTGATCTTGGTTGTCGGCACCGGAGAGGAGACAGTCAAACTCGCAGTATACTCGCAATGCCTCAAAGCCGCGTCCAAGGTATTCGCTGCCATGCTCGGACCGAAGTGGAAGGAGGGTCAGGACCTGCGGAACAAGCCGATTGAAAAGGTCATCCTGACTGAAGACGACCACTGGCGATGCTTCTGATTTGTCAACTCATTCATCATCAAGAAATCCCGAGCGATGGAGTTCCTGCTCCTATTAAACTTCTACGCATTAGCATCCAGGCAGACAAGTACGACGTCTGTCGCCCTTTGCAATTGCAGTTGTCTTCTTGGCTTGCGTCGTCTAAGCTTGAAACAGACGAAGAACGAGCCTACTGTTTTACGGCGATGCGTCGAGCAGGCTGCCGTGCCGTCAACTTCCCTTGGCTGTTTGACCTCGTCGCCAAGACATCGAAGCCGTATTACTCGCTATTTGAGAACGAGTTGGTGCAGATTGCACTGTTCCAGCGAGATCTCCGTGAGGATCACTTCCAGTAAATGTCTGAATGAAGTATGCTGATGCGTGTGCAGATCATCTCGAACAAGTTCGCACACAGCTAAGAATGCAGTTGATGGACTGTCTCAATCAGACTTCCTGCCGCTTTTCTGATTGTGAAGCGGCCAAGAATAATCAAGTGAACCTCAACTTTAGCCAGCTGAAGCAATCATACTCCGCGGCGAAGATCTTGAATGTTCCACCCCTTCAGGTAATGCTGAGACTCAAAAGTGTCTTCAACGGCCCTCTGTCAACACGTGACCTCGGCACTAAGATCGAGTATACCACGAACGAAAAGCTCAGTTGGACGAAATGCTTGTGTCAGACCAACATGTTTCGTGCCTTGGATGATATTTATGCCAATACGCTTCAAAACATGGCCTCGAAGCTGGGCCCGTAAAGCAGTGCACAGCGCGTCCCGTGGAAGGCTAGGATAGGATACACAGATTGATAGACCGGAAAAGTTGACAACGCCAAAGGCAAGGCAGTGGATGAGCACTTGGGCATGCTGCGAATTTTGTCGCGACCGTTCTATTTGCACAGTTTCGTCGTTGTTGCGAGTCAAGCATGAGACTTTTTGACACCAGCAGAGTGTCATTGCAAGTAGGCAGCGAGACTCATAGGAAAAGAGTTCCGAGATGCATCTATGCCAAGCCAGGTACGTGCTTGCGTGTAAGTCGCCCCTGGGAATTACCAAGGGCCTGGTGATTCGGTGAGCCCACTGCCTGCGCCAGTGGTTGTGCGTCCCATGCCGACCTTGCTGTAGATGGCGCTAAAATTGTGACAATGCCAGTAGATAACTTGAGACCAAAGGCAAGATGTCAACCAAGACTTCTGCCAATGACAGTAAACCAAAACACCCCTCACAACAGCTCTCACGTTCCAAAGCTGGCTTCAATGATTCTGCCAGCAAAAACGTTATGCGCCCCGAGTTCTCGGCATGCTGTCCCACTTTTTCTCGAAACCTTAGTTGCAGGGGTGGCTGGCAAACTGCCGACCCGAGGCTCAACGTCAGCGCATCCACTGCGGAACTCCACCCCATATGACCTTCCATGGTTCATCATACCCACTAGCCATTGGGGTGGTTGTGATTAATAAAGAGGGTCATAAATCACACGGGGCAATACTCAAGACTCTCTGAATCGCGGGCAGAAAGACAATCCACCATGTCTCATCACCTGGTGCGTACCTTGCGGCCTGCTCGCGTGGGCCGGCCGGCACGGCGGCTTCTCCGCAGCACCACCAGCAGACAGCCGTGGTTGTCATCGCCACTCCCACTGTCCGTCTCGCTGGCTGCAAGGGCCCATAACTTCAGCACAACCCCCCAGAACTCTCAATCCACACCGTCACCACCACTAGCAGATGTCAAGCAAACAACCTCTGCCGCAGACGCGGCAGCCCAGCTCCTAGCCGAGCTCGGCGGTAAGACCATCACGCGCAAGCAGTACCTCGACGGCAACCAGGTCCAGCGCCTCAGCCTGACCCTCGGCCGCAGGACCCTCTGGCCCGAGCACCACGACGAGAACCCATACCCGGACGACATGACGGACCTCGACGCCACCCCGGGTCCCGGGATCGCCATCCCGCAGGGCTACCACCTCGCGTACTTCACCCCCGACGGGCTCGAGGACGAGCTGGGCCCCGACGGGACGGACCGCACCTTTAACGCCCCCGCGCCCTTTACTAGGCGGATGTGGGCGGGCGGGAAGATGACGTGGCATGACGAGAATGGGATTGTGAGCTATCCCGGACCGATGATGTTGAGGGTGGGCGAGGTGGCGGAGGAGCGGACGAGGCTTGTGGATGCGGTGGCCAAGAAGAGCCGCGACGGGAGCGAGATGGTGCTCGTGGATGTCGAGAAGGAGTTTTGGGGCAAGAAAGGGCTGGTGCTGGTGGATCGGCGGTAAGTGTGGATTTGTCACTTTTTGTGCTTGGCGGATCGTTGCGGGGTGGTGTTTTGGTGGATTATTGGGAGAGGAGATCGGCTGGGCTCAGTGCAATATGCATACTGCCATCGTCTGATGAATGCTAACTCTTGGTGTGCATCATCCTCAGATCCTGGATCTTCCGCCCCGAGCTGGAGGCAGCGAGCTCGACACAAGAGACAGTCACCGAGACACACGTCGTCCGAGGGCCGTCGACGACACGGGATGTTGATGTTGACGGAGAAGGTGAGCACATTTCAACCTTCGTCTCATATACAGCACAAAGTCTACCTTCGGATAACCAGATGGCCCCCATCTAAAATACATCATGTACTTACCACGATTAGGATAGACCTCCCACGACGGTACCACCGGTGGTCCCCCACAGCGCTGTTCCGCTTCTCAGCCCTGACCTTCAACGGGCACAAGATCCACTACGACCAGTCCTGGTCCAAGGCCATCGAGAACCACGCGCCAGGCGTGGTCGTCCACGGCCCGCTGAACCTGATCTGCATGCTCAACTACTTCCAGGACATAATCGCCTCGCACAGCAAGGGCGTCCAGGATTTCTCGCCCTCGACCTTCTCGGGATCCAGATATGGATATGAGCGGGCCACGAGGGTCAGGGAGATCGAGTACCGCGCGCTGAGCCCGCTCTATGCCGGACAGGAGTACTCGATTCGCGCTGCGAAGCGGGAAGTCAAAGAAGAGGAGGAGGAGGCGAAGGAAGAGTGCGACCCTGACGACGAGGATTTTGGGCCTGGGCAGGTGTGGGATGTATTTATCGAGAGGGAAGGGACGTTGTGTATGAGGGGCACGATTACCACTGCTGGGCCTTGAAACCTGAACGCGACAAGGCAGTCTCCCGCCTTGCGAGGGAAGAACAAGCGCACTTCATCCTGCTTTCATTAAAGCTTTGTGTTGATACTACACACATACACACAAAATCCAAGCGCTAAGTGACAAGTTGCAAACCCACTCCCATAACTGACCGACCACATCACTCAAACCGGACAGCCATCCGCCCCGTCGCCTTGTGCTGCTGCATCTTCTCCACCATGGCGCCGACCTCCTCCAGCTTGAACCACTCGACGTGGGGCTTTATGCCATGCTCCGCGCTGAACTGGATGCACTTGGGCATGGTGTAGCACGTCCCGTTGTTGGCGCCGCGGATCTCGAACCGGCCCAGCGCAATGTCGAAGATGCTGAACTCGACCGACTCGTTAGGGATGCCGACCGCCACGAGGATCCCCGGCGCCCTGATGAGGTCCGGCATGCCGAGGTACGCGCGCTTCGAGGCCGTGAAGTTGACCGCGGCGTCGACGCCGCCTCCCCCCGTGATCTTCTTGATCTCGTCGACGTACGTCGCGGCGTCCTTGACGCTGTTGAACGCGTAGTCCGCGCCGGCGGCCTTTGCCGTCGCCACCGCGCCGTCGGTGATGTCGAGCCCGATGACCTTGTACCCCATGGCTTTCGCGTACTGCACGCCCAGGTGTCCGAGCCCGCCCGTGCCGATGATGGCGACCCACGAGCCCCTGGGCAGCTTGATGGCGTCGATGCCGTTGAACGCGGTGACCCCGGCGCAGAATAGAGGCGCCGCCTCGGACGCCTTGAGCTGCGGCGGGAGGACCATGGTGTTCTGCCGGTCCACGATGACGTACTCTTGGAAGTACCCGTCGTACGCGAACCCTTGCATCTTGACCTGGCCCTTTTCGCACCACAGGTTGTGCACCGTCTTGCAAGGGCGGCACTCGAAGCACGAGTCCTTGGCGGGCAGGAATCCAACCTCCTGCCCGGGCTGGAAGTCGGACTGGCCGTTGGCGCCGACCTCGACGATGACGCCGCTGCCCTCGTGGCCGATGGTGATAGGCCTCGCGTCGGCGCTGACCTGGATCTTGTCGTTGGCCTCAAAGGGCATCAGGTCCGAGTGGCAGAGCGACGCGCAGAGGACCTTGACCAGCAGCTCGTCCGGGCCGGGCTTTGGTATGGGGATCTCGTTGAGCTCCAGCTTGCTGGTCTTGGGGTTGAATCTGTGGGTGGTGTCTTATGGTCAGTAGGTGCCCTTGTGAAGAGGCCACGGGAAGACATACTGCTGCGCCCTCATGGTGGACTTTGTTGGCTTGAGGTTACCCGTCGTCATGTTGGCTCGTTGTGTTCAACTCCCGTGAGTCACAAATGGTTGGTAGTTGGGATGGTGGCTCGAAAAACAAGTCGCGAGGCAAACGTGCTCTTGAGGAATAAACGGAGGTTGACACTGGTCAAATCGAAGTAATAAAGTCAAATCGCGGAGAACAGTGTCAAAGTCACAGCTTAGCCGCGGCAGCGAGTCCTTTATGCGGCGTCTTGCTCGTGGGACCGGAACCTGTCGCCGAGGAGTGAAGAGCCGGTGTGCTCCCCCACACCCCCCGCTTCGAAATGCTTGCCTCCTCCGTCGAGGCTGAGGGCCGCAGAGCGGCGTCTCCGTTCCCGCCATGCGCAGCTGCTCTAGGCCGCCATGCGCGGGTCTGCGAGGACCACACAATGCAAGAGGGCAGAATGTGCCTCGCAGGATAACGACTGCCGCTTGGGAAAACGCCGTGCGGGGAAACAGGCCCCTCCATTTCTTGGGGTACATGGAGACATCCCTCGCAGGCGCAGAGTGCGGGGCCCCACGATCCGTTAACCATGGATGGTGGTGGGCCTTGTTTCCCGCATCTCGTCATCCGGGGGGCCACTCGGGCTCCTGACTCGGTCTGGCAGTCTCGGTCGGGCGGCTTTGACTCGCACACACCCGGGCATTGGGGGGTGTGGTGCCATCCGGCAGGGACCTTGACCACAGTGGTCAGCTTGTCTCTGGCCAGTGTCGCTGAGATCTGAGCAGGCGGGAAGATTTCATGCGGCTGGTGTCGTGCTGGCCACTGATGGGTGTTTCTTCGAGGCGCTGGAGTAAGAGCGAGGGCAGAGCTGTTCCTGAGTTGAGGCACAAAGGTTCTAAAGCAGTTTGAGAGCTGGAACAGTCGAGGCCGAGATGGACGCGCTGACATGCCAGGCTGCCGATGCCACGGCCGGTCCTCAGGCTGACATGGTAGCTCCAGGGTGAAGGGAAAGTCGATCGCGCTCGCATGGCAAGGTCACTTTATTAAATTCTGACATCGAGCAGCAACCTTGATGGGCACTCCGCGGCTGCTAGTGAATAGAGAACCCCCGATACAGATATTCGCCTTCGTTGGTGCGCATTTCGTCGTTTTTGCTATTCCTGCCCGACGCTCGCCACTCGAGCATGGTCTCCAAATTTCCAGACTCTTTGATGTTGCTCTCCATTCAATGCAGCCTAAAATTTCCGTGGAATCCCAAAACAAACCTCATCACTAGCTCGAGGTCATTTCGCAAGCAAACACAATACAGCAGAGCGAGTAACGGAAGATCCGTCCTCTGCTATGAACGAGACATATAGGCCACTCTACGTATGTTCGTACTGAAATAAGCACACCCAACATCCATTTCTGCTTGAAATTACTACCTCCTGAGAAAGGAGTTAGTCGTGTTATCTCACCTGAAGCACCGTCAATCTCTGAGAGATAGACTGAGAGAGAGAACCTTGCTGGCCACTGCGCTTCACCATGCTGGAAAGTTTGAAACCACACAAGACGAGGACCCTGATGGCCAACTCAAGTACTTCAGCACCGCGCCCCCCTCTCTACAGCCTACCACCGCAACAACGCACATCTACTGTGCGCGTGGTATTTATATATCTTGATCTTGCCCGGACCTTCACGGGAATGAATTTTCTTCCTTTCCATCTCGCGCCTCACCCTGGGCCTTCTCCCAAATCCTCAGGCCTGCTGGAAACAGTCCAAGGACGAGGGCAAAGCCGATAACCGGCCACAACGGCGAATCCGGCTAAAAGACAGCGATACCCGGCGAACGAAGATAACTCAGGCATGAGAACCTGTGTGCAACGACGACAAAGACGACGCCGACGACGTGGCGAAACTCTGCACATCCTGCATATCCAAAGTCACATGAGGAGGTTGTGTGGGAGAAGCAAAACCCTGCAGGCGAAGAACAGTCACGCACCACAGCCATTTGCGCCAAACCTGACCGACAGGTTGTCATGTCAGAAACACATCTCAGCACATACGAAGAGGAGTCTCATTGGTTAGTACAGCACATCTGTAATCTTGTGTATGTATTACATTATTCTACTTTTCTTTGTGCTTTTACACAACCCGATGGCAAGAAGCGAACGACTTCGATGCAAGCAAGTTATTTAGTGGCTGCCGCAGCTCCCGCCCTTGCCAGCGTCAGGGCGGGCAAGGCCAAGGCAGTTGGCCATCTTGTAAAAGATGTCAATGTTGCCGTAGACTCCACCGAAAGTCTCCTGGCAAGGGCCCATGGCAAAGACAGCGACATCGGTGAGCGAGTGGACACCCGAAGACTCAGAGACGGGGAGGGTGCCGTTGACGACGAAGCCGCCAGGAGCGTCGCTGGGGTTGACGTAGTAGTCGTCATCAACGAGCTCCTCGACAACCTTACGAGGCTTGGGGTTGAGCTTGTAGTTCTCGCGGTGGTCAGGGTTGGCAGAGAAGCCGGAGGCAATGGCGTAGCGTGGGTCCCAGTTGACGGGAAAGTTGGGGCCAGTGCCGTACGAGACGCCCTCGACGGGCACGGTGTACTGAGACAGGCCAGACTCGGCGTAGGTGCCGACGGCACGGCGCTTCTGGCGGTCGCCAGTGGCCTCGGTCAGGTACTTGGTGTCGGCGCCACCGAAGACGTCGAAGCCGTGACCGTGGTCAGAGGTGACAAGCACGAGAGTGTTCTCGAGTTCGCCAATCTCCTCGAGGTGGGCAATTGTGGCACGGACGGTGTCATCAAGCTCAAGGAGGTCACCGAGAGCACGGTCGTAGTCCAGAGCGTGCATCTGCTTGTCAATGGACGCAGCCTCAGACATGAGGAAGAAACCCTTGTCGCCACCGCGCTTGTGCAGAATGTCAATGGCCTTGAGAGTCATCTCCTTCTGGCCGGGGAGGTCAAGAGCAGGCTCCTTGCCAGCGAAGGGGTCGTTCTTGAAGCCCGAGAGATTGTCCTTGAGGACATTGCGATCAAGCCAGACAGGGAAGTGAGACTGTTCGCGTGTTAGCTAAGCTACTTCTCCTTAGTGTGCGCTGGCAGTCAATGAGCCGTGCTTACCTTGCAGAAGATGCCGAGAGCACGCTTGTCATTGCCAAGAGCAGCTAGAGCAGTCTTGTTGTTGGCAATGGCGTAGCCAGCCTCGGCGAACTTGGCGTAGTAGTCTTGGCCGTTGAAGCTGTCTTTGCCGGGGTAGAACTGCTCGGCACCACCACCGAACCAGACGTCAGGGCCTCCGCTCTTGGTCCAAGTGTAGTTGGAGAGGCCGTTAAGGGTGGTCTCAACAAGATAGCCGTAGTCGTAGCGAGAGCGGGAGTGGCCAGCTAGGGCGATCGGGGTGGCATCAGCAATGGCAGCAGTGGAGACGGCGCCCCACGCGGAGTCCCAGATGCGGACGAGCAGCTCGATGATGGTCTCGACCTTGGGGTCATCAAAGGTGGATTTTGAGGAGTCTGCGTAGACACCCATAGCGTTGACAGTACTCTTGTGACCGGAGTACAGAGCAGAGGCAGAGTTGGCACTATCGGTGATGAAGCTGTCGATGGAGTGGGTCTAAATTTCCAATCAGCCTTTGCCTGTCGCGAATGTACTGTAGAACTAGGGGCCGTGCTTACCATCTGGTGGCCAATAACCGGGAACTCATCGAGCTTCAGAAGCGACTGGTACTTGCCGTTGATGCTCTTGTGGCCAAGGAGACGGGCAGCAGTGATCATGTTGGTGGTCATGCCATCACCTGTGCTCTAATTAGTTTGGAATCACCCAATAGCAATATTAGCAGGACTATGGCCGCGTACCAATGAAGAGGATGACGTTCTTGGCCTTGCGCTTGGTGGCCAGAGGGCGGACAACCCAATTGGCGACGGTCTGCTCGGAGCCGTAGAAGTTGAGGGTGACGGCGTAGTTGCCGGGCTCGTAGATGGCGAGCTGGCGGAAGACCTTGGAGGCGACGTTGACAAGCGAGGGGGTCTTGGCGTCAACAGCGAAGAGGTCCTCGTACCACGTGAAGTTCCATTTCTCGAGGGCGGGCTCCTTCACCTTGAAGAACTCGGTGATGCTCTTGGTCTCACCACCCTCCTTGGTAATGGACACGGAGAACTGCTCATCAGGGACGCCATTGTTGAAGGCCTCGGAGCCGTTGACCGGGGCGTGGACCTCGAAACGAAGGTCAAAGTACTGGCCGGGCAAGAAGTCGGCCTGGTCCGGGGGCAGGATACAGCCGAGGGTAGGGCACGTTCCCAGGCGCTGGAAGGTCTGGGCCGAGGCGAGGGCGAGGAGAGCCGCCGAAGCAGCAATGGAGGTGAAGCGACCCATGGTGTGCTGGTCTGGACTGCCAAGTCACGATCGATTGAACGACTGAGAGGGACTGGGCGGGAGGCAGCTCGCAGGTGAGTGACAACTCCAGCATAGAGACGAGGACGGCGAGCGAGCGGGCGCGACTAAATAGCTGTCAGGGTCCTCGCCTGAGCGATCGACGGGAAGCTGCCCTGCAGTGCGACCGTGGATGCTTGGCATGGCTGGGCTGGCATTTGGGGATTTCCAGTATTGACGAGGTTTGTGCATGGCGTCTCATCTCGGAGCTCGAGGCCTGCAGGCGCGCCAAGACCGCCGGCCATGCAAGTTGACGCAGCCCAAGCCGGGTGCTATTGACGGAGTGGGGGGCTTTGGCTGGCGGTGTTGGTTCGTGGTTGTTGTTGTTTGTGGGATTAGCCTGAGAAAGGAAGAGGCGGCAGCGGTATGCTCCGACCAGGTGGAAGGCTGCCGGGCCAGGGGCATGGGTGTGATTGGTTCGACTGGCCGCACGTGCTGGCAACGTCTGAATCTGCGGGCTACCTGCCAGGGAAATGGCAACCAAATACTTTACTGAGCTTTCTCGATCGTGCGTGCCACGCCGGCAGGGGTCATCTTTGCTGTTCGTCATTGGATTTGCTTCATGAGCCTCGGCTCATATCGTGCTTAAGCGGTGCGAGTATTGGCGCTGTGCCGGAGCTGGATGCTTATAAGTTGACCCATGGATCTATCATGATGTAGATGCAACTAGCCCATTGCAACCAGCCCATTGCAACGCTGTGTGAGTGCCCGTCTCGGAGTGAGCACTCATGGCGATCACACCTGTTATCCCCAGGCTGCATATGGCCTCTGGCAGGCTCTCGACAGACGGGTTTCCCAGGTTGTTGCGCGGGAGCACGCACTTGAGCACACCCATGTCTGTTAGTGGTTTGCGGGGCACCGCGCTCGGCTTGGCAGCCGGCAGCCTTGGCAGGCCCGTAGGGCAACGTGGGGGAATTGAGGCTTCTGATTGGCTGCTAAACCTCGTCCCTTCTCAAAATGGCTCCCAGGGAAGGAGCTACGGCAGCCACTGACGAGGGGCGCAGCTGCTCCACTTGCCTCCCCGAGCACTAAATCGACATCAACGCTGGACTGCACCCTCGCCCAAGCCGACTTGCCTCATCGAGCCAAGGCGTGAGATGAGCTATGCCACCCCCCATGGGCTTTTACAGATCGCCCGCACTTTCATCCTAAGGCCTCCGGCGGGCAGCCGCCATGTCGAAAGAGCTGAGCTCGTTTGTCAGAGCCTCTCCCGCATTCTGCCACAGGCACTCAGCTCAGACATGGATCCAGCAGGCCAGCACAACGCTGAGTTCCAGTCACCTCCGCCGCATCGCAGCCACACACGGAAACCGTGCAAGCTGGACCGCGACTGAGCATGTGGCCTGCAGAAAGCCTGCAGCGCTGACTTGGGCAGCCAATCATGGCTCAGAAATCACCGCCACAGGCTCTGCTTATTCCTGTCTAGGTCACCGAGCGAAAGCAGGACGCAAAGTCGTCGTATACGGGCACTCTTTACCACAGGATAGATCAGCCAACATCGCGTTTTCCAAAGCAAGGCCTTCTGGCTGTTCAAGTCTTGTTTGTCTGCTGCAGTAAACCCACTCTCAAGCATCATACGGCGCCGGCAACCCTCCATGCTTATCCTCGGCCGAGTCCCGTATTTGAGTGGTGTAACAAGGCAAGACCAAGCAATTCGAGGCATGCTTTTCGACATCTGCAGATCAAGGTAACGCAACTCAGGAACCAATGCGACGCAGACCCGTTGTAGCCTTGTCACTGGCACTTACACCCCTCGCGATTGTCACACAGCCCACGTGCTCGGAACGCAGCGTCTTCCAAACCCCGGCCCAATGGCACACAAGTGGAGACCACCTGTTCGACGGCTTGGAAGCTTGACCAAGTAGGAGCTGACCGTCCCAATCCGCGGGAGTTACGGCGTAAGTGGCCGCAAAGAGAAATGACTATCGGATGTGCAAGGCACCTGCAGCACTCTCAGGCTGCATTTCGGATTCCAGACGCCGCCAAACCCGGTAATACTATGGGGCCATGGCCGACAGGCGGCTTGGTTGACAATTTCCAATTATCGGAGCGTCGTGACCTCAACCAACAACCTTGACTGCTTTGCACGTGTTCCACTTGTTGAAGGGTCAGGAAGCAAGTTCATGTTTTTCCGTTGTCCATCAACCAACTATCTGATCCAGGGCTCCACAAGTCTATGTTTTTCCGGAATCTACTTCCGCAAAGCCTTTCTCAACCAATTCGCTAGCGGTCCCTTCTGGCACGACTGGTGTTTCTGTCCCCTCAAGAGCAGCGCCAGTAGCCACGGACCCGACCTGTCCCTTTGCCGAGACCCGTTCCAAGCCCGCATTGAGCTGTGAGTCTGAAGCTTCAAATTTCTCCCAGGCAGGCTTGTTTATCTTTGCCTGGCCTGCCTCGGCCTTGAAATGGTAACCCCGAGCCCTTGGTCGCTCGCCAGTGCCCTTGGGCAGCTCGCTATCATATCTCAGTTGGAACTGTCTGCAGTAGTCGTCGAAAGTCTCCGGCGACTCTTCGCTAAGCACTTTCCGTATGTCTGCAAAGAACTGGCTCACGATGTGATGGTTGTGGATCTGCAGCAGCGTCCAGCCGAGCATCTCCTTTGCGTTGAGCAGATGTTGCAAGAATGCCCTGTGGTGCTTCGTGCAGACGTAGCAAGTGCACCCTTCGAGCAGCGGCTTCACAGCCACTCTATGCGTCTCGGACCACATATCTATGCCAAGTGGCATGACGCCCGTGCCCGTGTTGTCTCCTGCTGGCGGCAAGAATTGAAAAGTCATGGCAATTCCCGCGTCAGAAGCAGTGTTGATGAACGGCACAGTGAACAAATCCATGCCCAGCTGGACCTGTCTCAGTATGTTATGCGGTGACATGAAGAAGTCCATCGACATCCTCGGCAGTGGCGTGAGAGCGGGATAATCGCCCAGGTCGGCGAGGATATCCGCGTCGTATATCGCAAGACCTGATATGTGCTCGCGGTGGTCCTGGCTGAGCCGGTTCAGGTAATCCCACTGCATCGAGTACGGCACCGGCAGTGTGGGCGCAAACACGGCCGTGTTGTCGAGCACCTTTTTGCCCGCTCCTGCTGCACCACCACCAGCACCACCGGTGCACCGCGCAAAGAAGTTGGCCACCCAGTCCTCCGTCCTCTCCACCATGCGTAGCTGCCGTTTCGGGTTCGCCAAGCGATTCCCCGCCTCGGCATATCCGTACGTCAGGTCGGCCAGCGGCACCGCGACATCAGGCCGCACGTCGGCGACCGCGTCGCAGTAATCGTCGACCTTGAGCTTCTGGAATCCCGTAGACGTGAAGAGCGAGACGTAGTCGACGCCGTTGCCCATCGGCGCCGTGACGGCCGGGTGCCGCCGCGCGGCGAGGACAATCGTCTGTGATGGCGGGGTGGCGGTGTAAAAGTGCAGTGCTCCCTTGCTGCTGGTGCTGGTGCTGCTGGTATCGGTTTCTGATGGCGGTGATGAAGTCTGGTTCAAGCCACCGTTTAGTACGGCCGAGGCTTTGTAGAGCGCTGGAGACTTGCGCTTTTGTGACAGCTCAACGACTGCGTTGTGACGTTAGCAATTCAGTCGCTTCTGTGAAGCCCCAGGGACAAAAAGCTCACAGTCCTCGAGAGCCATGTAGGCCCCTGCCAGCTGTGTATGCCTCGTAACGACATCGGGCGTCATGTGAGGCACGGACCCGCGCGAGGTGATGGCGATGAAGTTGGGCGTGTCGATGGGCAATCTCGCGCGCTGGCGGGGCAGGGCCAGCCGGCCAACCCGTGCGGCGCCGTGGTCGAGCTTAACGTTCTTGAGTATTTCGAACAGCATTGTCTGCAATGATGCCGTGTGCTCCGCTCCTCTGCCTCCTCCCGATGCTGGTGCAATGGGCACTGCAGGATCCATCATCCGTTTGGCCTCTTGAGGCTCAACAGGCCCTGGTGTTTTGGCGGGGCAGTGCGGGATCGGATACTGTGGCCAAAAACGAAATGCTGTGGTGGAAGTGCCCGACCGCCGCAAGAGCTTCAGTGATGCTGGCTCGGCAAGTCGTGATTTCCAAGTTGTTCTGTTTTGCGCAGAACAAAGCCGAGTTTTGTCGCGTTGGCGGGCTGACGATGTCTGGAACTGATGCGTGAGAGGGTCATCAGGCAGCGGAGTCGGGCAGATTTCTTTAGCAGACTACTTTTGCGTGGCGGCAGTCATTGACAGTGCCGCCGATTTGACACGATCTTGATTTGCAAACTTCGGTTATGAGAAGGATTGAACTTCAGAATTACTCTCAATTCCTTTCCTTTACATCATGCATCATATTTCTCATAAACACTCCTCATCTACATTCTTTGTGCACCTCGTTAAAATGTTCTTCAGAGTTCTTGACATGCAGGTCCAGCCGTCTCCACTTTAAGACTGGCAGCTGCTGATTGGCCGAGACAGATCTGGAGGGGCGAGGATCGGCTGGCTTCCACCACCCGGAAGCTGGCATTCCGTCGTTCTGGACCCTGCGCGGGCCGCGTATGTGTGCGGCGTCCCCTCCAATCATTGATGACCACTACAGCTAGCCAGCCTCTACGGAGTGTAAAGCTTAATCTTGCCTCGTATCCGAAGGCTCAGATAAAGTCAATGGAGGCGCATACAGAAAACAGCAGCAGAATGCGCAGGTCCAACTTGTGCTGCTAGTTTGTCTGGACCGGACGACTGTGGTGTCGCAGCGTTAGGTACCCCCGGGACAGCTGGGCAGACAAGGCTACAGGCCAAACCGCTCACCTCGTGTTGGTGGCGATCTTGGGACCTCTTGGCTTGCCGTGCCCCCGCGCGTCCAGCCTCCAGCATCGCCCACAGCCCCGGCCGGGCCAACAGTAAGCCTCCTTCTTTACCCGCCTCGACTACGCCCGCCTTGCAATTGTCGTCTTGCTTCCATGGCGATGTCAACATCTGTCTAACGCCCGACTGACGCCACCAGAAGCGCACTCAGCGCACTCAGCGCAATGTCTCAGCCCAAGGCAACCGCCACTCGCGAGGAGATCCGGGTCCTCCCTCCCATCCCGGACAACTCGTCGTCCTCGCCGCTCAACCCCCCCGATGTCGACTCGTTCCGAACGACCAACGCAGACGACACTGACGACTCCGATCGGCTACCTCGATATGCGCAGGCGCAAGACGAGGCGAGCACTGGCTCCCGGTGGCGCTGGGTGCCTCAGCCGGTGCGCACCGTAGGCACAAAGACAGCGGCCTGGATCCGCGGGCCTGCAGAGCCCAAGGACTGGAAGATCACGCCCCTGCTGCCGGCCGTCCAGCATGCGCCCATCAAGCTCCTCGACAGGTTTCTCCCGCGCTACAAGCACCGCGTTTGGCTCTTCATGGCCTTCTGCGCGGCCTGGATCCTCACCTTCTCCCTTGTGCTGTGGTCCGGCCAGCAGGTCGCCGAGATCCCCTACTGGGGCGAGCCGCAGGACATCTCCTGCGGCACGATCTACTGGTCGCGCAACAACGCCTGCGGGCTCGACGGCATGGACTGCCGCCCGTTCAACAGCAGCGGGTTCCCCTTCCGGTGCCCGGCCAACTGCGCCTCGTACCAGACGCTCAACCCGCGGGCAGTGGGCGCGCAGGAGGTCGTCTATGCGCCGTTCATCGTCGGCGGGCCGAGCGCCGCCACGGACAACGTGCCCGTGTACCGCGGCGACTCGTACATCTGCGGCGCCGCGATCCACGCGGGCGTCATCAACAACGCCCAGGGCGGCTGCGGCGTGGTGTCCAAGATTGGCGCGGGGAGTAACTTCCCCGCGTCCGTGGCCAATGGCATCGCGAGCTTTGGCTTCGACTCGTACTTCCCCATGACATACGTCTTCACGCCGGTCGAGTGCAGCTCGTACGACCCCAGGTGGGCCGTCCTCGCCGTCTCCGTCGTCTTCACCACGGTGTTGGGCCTGTTCACCACGTCCTCGGCCGCGTTCTTTTTCGTTTCCTTCATCGTGGCGTTCTGGCAGGTCGGCCTGGCGTCGGATCCGCCCTCGACGAGCAGCACGGTGGCCAACTTCACCGACATCCTGGGCAAGTTCTTGCCGTCAATGTTCATGGCCTGGGTGTTTTATGACAAGATGGGCGTGCGGCGCACTCTGCGCGGTCTGACCGCACAGGTTGAGAAAGTTGTTCTCTGGCTTGGGGGCCTCTGGGTCGGCGCGCTGACCAACTACACGTTTGACTTCATCCCGATCCAGCGGCTCACAGGCCACGACTTGCAGCAGCAGCCCGGCGCGAAGGCAGCGCTGGCCATCATTGTCATTGTCCTGTTCTGCATAATCGTGAGCCAGATCTGGTTCTTCCGACAGGAAGGTCGGCTGCTGAAGTACCTGCAACTCTACGGGCTGTTCATCCTGTCTATTGTGGTGTGTCTGGTCCTACCGAACCTCAACCTGCGCATCCACCACTACATCCTCGCGCTGCTCCTCCTGCCCGGCACGAGCATGCAGACCCGCCCGTCGCTGTTGTACCAGGGTATTCTGCTGGGATTGTTTATCAACGGCATCGCGCGCTGGGGTTTTGACCCGTTTCTTCAGACCAGCTATGCCCTGCAAGGAGACGCCCAGCTGGGTTCCGCGCTGCCCGTCCTCCTCCCACCCAGCATTAACGCAACGCTCGGCCGCATCGAGTTCACCTGGGACGCCCCGCCAGATCCGAGCATTGATGGGATCAGCATCCTCGTCAACGATGTCGAGCGGTTCCGGGGATACTTTGACGACCCTGCGAACTCGTGGTTCGTCTGGACCCGGGATGCCGAGATCACGGGGAACGGCAGTACCAGCATCGCGAGCACTGGTGGGCACAAGGGCTTCAACGAGTACTTCCGGTTCGGCTGGATGCAGGGCACGTCGGAGTACGACTACACCAAGGCCGGCACGTGGGACGCTGAGATGAAGTGGATTCCCATGGAGTCGGGCCCGTCGAAGATCAAGCCTAGAGGTCTGGGACCGGACGGGACAAGGATGCTGGGGAGGTAGCCGAGCAGATCTTTTTATGACGATTAGCAGGCATTCTTGAATTTGGTGCATAAACAATGCGTACCTTATAGTGTTGAACATATATAATAGACTCACTAAAGAGTGCTGTTCCATGAGTGGGCCGTTTCCTCGTTTGCAGACAGATGTCTCTGTGGTTGCCCTTGTCCTTGTGTGTTTGTGGGATCTGCGGGGTGCCGCTGCTGCTGTTCAGATGTCATGACAGTCGTGGCTGCCGTTTGCAGAACCGTCTGCGTCCCATGGGCTCTCAAAACATGACTAACTTGAGGCTTGTTTACATTCTTTGACTGAGCAGCCTGCAACCATCCGAGCCTCGACCAAACGAGTGCGTTAACACCCATCCCTTTGATTCCGCGCGCATATCAAAGCAGCTTTAGAAACTCCACAGCCTCAACCAGTAGTGCCAAGGCATAGTTCCATATATCAGCAGAGCACAGCAGCGCGTCTGTCGCACCACCCTCGACCCCAATGGCGAGCAATCGCGGTCCTCAGCACGGTCTGGACTGGCGGCCAGCTGCCCAGTGGGATGACGAACCCCGTGCTGAGGCAAGATGGGACAAGAGGCCATCGAAATCTGCGATTGAAAAATTGTGCCGAAGCGTCCTTGCCATCCCAGCACACGGAACCTGCAAGGTATCATACTTCGACGACTTCAGATACAATGAACTGTACTTTGTACGCACCAGCGCCACCGTTGCGAGCCCTACCCCTACCGAGAGCACCATCGCAGAATCGATCGACACTGCCAGTTCCACTTCCACTTCACCCGCCACTTCTATTGGCACTTCCATTGCGACTATCGACGGCCATGCGCAGGAGGACAACGAAAGAGGCAGAGACGAGGACCTGCCCAACTACGACAATGAAGGCTTCCAAGAGGGCGACCTCGTCATCAGCGTCTCGCTCCCCGTCTATCCCAGGCTCAAGGTCCGAGGCGAAGTCGCTACCATGCGCTACTTGGCCGCCCATGCGCCGAACATCCCCGTTCCGGAAGTATTGGCGTGGGACGACACAAACAACAACGAGATCGGCTTCGAATGGATCCTGATGAAGCGGATGCGAGGAATCCCAGCGTGGCGAATATGGCGCAAGCTGCCGTGGCATAGCAAGGTTGCCTTTGCGGAGATGCTTGCAGGGTACCAAGCACAACTCATCCGACTGAGCAGCGGCTTCAAGAGGATTGGAACGATGGACACCATTCTTGAAGTTGGAGAGGGCCAGGGCGAGCCTGCTAGAGGAGGGGTGGCTGTGACACCGAAGCTAGGCCCACTGGTCTCCAGTGCGTTCTTCCTCAACGATGAACTCGATCACGGTGCTGCTCGTGGCCCCTTTCGCAACAGTCGCGAATGGATTGAGGCGGAGTTCCAGATCATCGCCTACGAGCAGACAGTCGGTATAAGTGACTGGGCGAGCCAGGAACAGCTAGACAAAGGCATGGAAACTGCCGAGAGAATGCGAGTCCTGATATCCAAACTGTTTCCGGTCGAAGATGGGCAGGCTGATGATCGCGCAGAGTCGACCTTCCTACATCACGACGACCTTGATCTATATAACATCCTCATCGACGAAGACGGCCGAATCACGGGCATACTGGACTGGCAGTGTGTCTCCGCCGTGCCGCTCTGGGCCACGTTATGCATGCCAACATTCCTGCGGGTAAGAGACTACATGCCGTATGAGGAGCCCCAGCGGGACAAATATCCCGACGAGTCTGACGACGAGCGTCGGAGACTTCGTTCAACGAGAGAGCTCGACAGCGAGGGCAAATGCTTCTCTTACTGGTACGAGAGGATGGGATACGACGTGACGCAACTCAGTGAAGTCTATTAATCGAGACTGCTAGAGCTGTGTCCGGCAATATGGAACGAGAGCAACGCCTGGTACAAGATCGAGTTGTTTTACATCCTCCAGGACTGTGCGGATCGATTGCGCCTTTCCGTGATGGACGACGAGATGAAGAATATAGAGCGCGGTATCTCCAAACAGCCAAGTGACAGCGGGGACCAGTCCCTTTCGCCGTCCCTCGCAGCATAGATGGATACTTGGGAAGGAACTCACGATGTGGCTGTCCTCTGTAGTCGTGGCAAGATCTCATATGTCTTAACTCTACTTGTCGGACGATGCTCCTCGGCGCGTAGATTCACAATCAGTCGCACTAGGTCTTCGTAGTCTTCGGCATCGCTCTCGAAGTTGTCGACAGCAGCCTTTGTTACAGAGATAGAATAACCATCGCCACAGTTTTAGTTCCTGCTGGCAGAACTGCTGGCGTATCTTTCATTAAGGAATGCCAAGATATTCTTCTGGGCTCGCACTTTGGAATCGGGGCACAACGAAGCAGCACAAATTTATGATCCACAAGTTCCAAGTCTCTCTCCGTCTGCGAGCACATACACGTGTCTTCCATCACGGGTCAAAGAAGCCTTGCCTAGCAACTGGATGCAAAATCTGGGCTCTTCACATGACCTGCCCACTTTCATGGTGCATAAACTGATCTCTGCATTACACTTCCAAGAACACACGCACATGGAGATCAAAGGGTGGACCGATAAGAAGCTTCAAATCCTTTGTCCAAAGATATAATTGTCCCGATATGTGAACCTTGGGAATATCCAACGCCCGTCTGTATGGCTGAAACCTGGATCAAACTTTTCACATGACAACAAACCTCCACAATTTAATTTCCTATGACTGTTCAACCTCAGAGCCACGTTCCGCTCACATCATAATACGGGGTCGCCTCCTTCTGCATCTGCCAAAGCGACACGGGGTTCACCACCTGACACGGCAATGCCAGATGATAGATGGCATCCGCATGCGACCCGACCAGCTCGGCAGAGACGCGCTCGTGACAGACCACAATGTCGCCCAGCACGATGTCTCCCGCATGAACTTGAGCCGTTTTCTGCCACGCCCTGACCACCGATCCGGCCAGCTCAGACCACTCCGTCCCTCGCCACGTCAGTCTGGCATGCCGCTCCTTGGCACAGCAGCGCTGGTAGACGAACGCGCAGGCATGCAGCTCCCCGCCGGTCCACAGCACCAGGGTCTCGAGCTTGGGCATCCGCCGCGCGACCTCGGCGACACGGCGCAGGTGCCAGTCCAGCACCATGCGGCGGTGTTCGTCGTCGTCGTCTGAGTGGTCCCGCATGGCTTCTTCGCCCAGCGGCCCGAGGAGCTGCGCTGTGAGCGACAACGTGCGCAGCTTCGGCCACGTCCACTCCGGGAGGCACTTGGCGAAGAAGGACTCGGCGCACACCATGAAGGAGGCCGAGAGGTGCTCGAGGGCCAGGCTCCGCCGGGCGAGGCTCGCCGCCAGGCCGGTCCTGTAGTCGACTGCGTAGGGCGTCAGGAGGGCGGTCGCGTCCTTGTCGATGTACTCGGTCGAGTTCCGGCCGTATCGGAACTTGTACAAGTGCTGGGCCTCCTCGAAGAGGGTCAGGCTTTTCAGCTTGTCCAGGCACGGGTGGTATAGCGTAGAAGCCAGTTCTGTTTAAGTCAGAAGGTTAGTCTTCGGGCAGGAAAGTAGCGGGAAACAATGAGGTGGGAGGTGCAGTGCTTACCTTCTGCTCGAGCCTGGCGCTGTGCATCGCTTTCGAAAGATGCCCACGGCTCGTACTCGATGTGCTCTAGGTTTTGACCGAAGCTCTCCATCAGGAACTTGAGGCTTCTTGGCATCAGCGTTCGGCGCAGCTGTCGTAGTATCACCAGTCTCGTGACTGCGCTGACTCGTATGATTGGCTGGTGCTCGCCGTTTTCGAGGATGATGGGTCGGTATATCTTGTTGATCGTATCGCGGGGCGTTGCTGCGAATGGTTGGATTGGGGAAAATACCTCCCAATAATACTGCTGCACTGAGGGGTCTGTAGATCCGGAAGCCTCAGGGTTCCGCTCGGATCGTGTTTCGTTGGATTCCTCCTCATGGTTATCGTCTTCGTGTGCATCCTCCTCCTCGTATGCGTACTCGTCGTCCGAGTCCGAGTCATAATTATCGCAATGGACGGGACCTTGGCTGTCCTCAATGTCCTCCGGTTCAGAGTTGAGCAGTAGTGGCCTGAACCAATTTTCTTCGTCGCTCGGGGAGTATGCGTGCAGCTCGAGGGTCAGATCGCCCGACTTCTCCCAACTGCTGAGAATCTTCAGGAGCTCCTTCACAGACACGTCGACGATTCTGGACGGAGCGAATGTGGGCACGGCATCCAGCCACTCGGCATGCTCGGCCGAGTAGCGACGCAGTTCGACGATTAGGTGGATGTGCCTGATGAGTCTGGGAATGCGCGGCGCGCTGCAGATACGTGCGAAGCAGTCGAGACATTGCTGTCGTAGTCTTATGCTGCGGAAGTTGATTTTCTCGATGTGGGCTTGCCAGTCGCGGCTGACGTAGGCGAGAGTCGACCAGCCGGTGTACTTTTCCGATGTGACATAGCCGAGGATTGTGTCACGAATTTCGATGGGCAGGGCCGTCCAGCTGGAAGTGGTGGTGGTTTCGTGGTGCTCGGTCGAGCTGCACATTTCAAGGACGGCCATCTCGAATGGGATTTGTTGCGGTTGAATATTGTTGTGTGGCTGTTGTACATGTCCGGGCAATGTTCATGGAGGTTGTGTTCAACTTTCTTTATATTATGTGAGGATGGAACAGATGGTATCTCCGATCGGGTCAAAATTGCATCCGTCCTGTGACTACGGCACTGAGTTCCATGGCTGGTTGTGTTCTGGAACGTTGCTAGGTGATGAAAGACATCTCCGATGCTTCTGTCGCCCTAAAACACCGCCTCCGTCTGTCGGCGGCGATACACATTTCCCCGGTAGCGGGCTGTGTTGTTTAAGACCCGATCAGTGCAATTCTCACCTGCTTCAGCACAACAAGGCGTTATTGCGAGGCGTGTAATAATGGCTCCGTTCTTGCAACGACATGTAAAGTGTAGACAACTCGGCGAGAAGACTATCACAATCTAGTGATCGCGACCGTGGTTCTGACTTCCACTTCCACGCAGCCCAAAATTACGATGACTTACAAAAGGAGCTAGCGGTAAGCTTGTAGGCTCGCAAAGCCGAAGACCACCATGGCCTGCGGGATGCGGGCTCTGAGCCGTGGCTAAGCAGGAGAAGATGTCAAGGAGCAGGAGCAGCGCGCTGTACAGGAACATCATGTTGCCAATCTGTTCAAGAAGAGGGTGAATGAAGACTTCCTCATCATAGGACGACGAGTTGGAAGTTTTGACCATCCCAGCAGCATCATTTCCCAGCCGATGTCCATAAGGGCCATTCTGGCACAGTCAGCCATGCATATCCTAGAGCAAGGACAATGAATGTCGATGGCTGATGTGTGTTTGTTGGTCGTCATAGCGCGTGCCATGGACCTGACCCTATCTAAATATGCAGAAGCTGACACAGACTCCAAGAGTTTAGTTTTATCGCCAAGATAAGGGGAGAGTATGTCCGAGGATGCAGCCTCTATAGATATTTCTTTTGGTGCCACAATTTCTTCCTTCTGATATTTACGGCTACGATTCTTAGTAGTGGGCTCTTAGTCAGGCAGAATATGGGTGTCGTCCGAGACTCTTACGGGGTAGGAATCGGCAGGTCCCCTCATGAAGCGTCGTAAAGACTGACTCCCGCTCGGACCACTCTACCTTGTGCCTTGTTTGGTTATTGGTTACTGCGTACATTGATTAGAGCAGGCGTCAGATGCAGCACAAAGCTTAGCATGCAGGAGTGAGAAGCTTAGCATATATACTTGGCGACGCACGAAAGTCGAGGTGGCATCTGAACAATGCACAAACAACGATTTCCAGCTCTAGCAAAGCTGCGTGATAGATTCGACCTTGTACCACAGATTATGCTATACCCATTTCCAAGCTTCTCCTCCATGGTGATCAATCCTTCCGCCATACGCTAATAGCAGCGCGTGTATGAATCGCCACAGGGGGTAAAGTAAAGGTTGCATTCAAGACAACCCCATTTGATACACTGAGCGTCTGTGAAGCAGGTATACTCCCTGCAAGACTTGCGCGCGAAAATGTCTCCCTCCATCTCTCTTGTGCTGATATGAGGAGCTTCCTCCCTATTGCAGATCTGCTGCGGGGCCTGAGAAGAGACGAGCCTTCGGTGTTAGTCTTCGGAGAAGCGATAGGCAGCATTATATGAAGTTTTTCCTTGTGAAATGCTGAATCAGAACACGTACCACATCATCGACGCGAGCCTCGTCGACATGAGCCTCGTTGACATGAGTCTCATTAATTTGGGTTCCGTTGACCTGCACCTGGGTGACCTGGTCCCCAGCAGTCTCTACTGGGGCTGACTGCACCGTCGAAAACGCGGCGGCAAAAGCAAGGATCTTGAATAGTTTGGCTTGCATGTTGGAGGGTACGATAATGTTGTCTTTGTAAGTTTGTAAGTATGAGTATTGAGAATTGGCTTGATGGCTGCTCTCATTTCATCATTCAGCGTCTGGGAGAACGGTTCTGTACTTATATTGATTGATCCGTGCCGTCTAGTACCTCATCATGGGCATCTTCCACAATATACGGCGATAATCCGACTTCAAACTGGGGCTATCAGCTACTGAAACCATGCTGAAGCAAGTCCATGGTCGTCAGAGTAACTACTATCGTACGAGACAGCGTGTCTATCCCTGTGGTTCATAGTAATAGTGAGTTTGGTGGGACGATTGCGAATCGTCATGTTAGTAGTTAGGCGCATACCGCCTTCTCCTAGCAAGCTCGTAAGGCTGCAAGGGGGCCACCCTCCACTTACAAGGCTCCCGTATCAGTAGATAACCTGCCTTGTCTTTGTCAAATTTGCCCTTGTCTCTCTTCTCAACCTCGATTCGCTGTCCCCGCAAAGCGGCCGATTCGTCAGTTTACGACTTTGTCAAGAGTAGGCGCGTGGACCAACGGTATCAACCGTAGAACTTGTGGGTTACCCAAGGCTCAAAGATGGACCGGCCAACCTCACCTTGTCAGCAGCCCTATCCTAGCGCCGCCCTAGTCCAGGTACAGAAGATAAGTGTGGTTGGCGGAGTATGAAAATCGGCAACATCCGAGCGAGGACAATTCCAGGGTGAACACGAGATTGGATGCGGGTCTCCAAACTGCCACCACCATATAAGAGACCTCGTCAGTAGAAATCGCAGACCAGCGGGAGCGGCACGGTCCGCACGTCCACATGCGCGCGTTTTCTCATGATAAGCTTCTGCTCTTGGGCCTGCCTATCGTACGGCTCTATCCCCTTTCCCTGTGTCGTCACGGACCACCACTGCGATATTCTCTCCAGTCTCCCTCCCTCGTCTCGCCTGTCTTCGCATCCACCACCAACGCTTGCTGGCAACATGGCGGACGAACTTCCAGCAAGTTCTCCTTGAACTCTATTACATGTCAGTACTTAACTATCCTAACCATTCAATTATATCAACCGCCTCCAGGACCTGGCCATGCCCCAACAACCCGCCGCAGACCGATAACCTGTAGGCGGTGACAACATGTCTCTGCGCGACATAAAGAGATCAATGAAGAAGGATCCAGACGGACATGGTATAAGTGTATTAGGCTATCATGGTGTGCTTCGTACTTTCGATAGCGATCAGAATGTCCGTGATGCAATTGGCCTCAACTGAGCCCAGATTAGAGAGTACTACGGTGGTCGACCAGTACTAGAAAGATTACTCGCTGCCGACGGCTGCAATATATCTCGACGGGATATGGTCTACCCCGATCTGGAGAATATTCCTAAGAAGTTTACAGAGGAGGATATAGCCAAAACTCGGGCATATAACGAAGAGTTAGAAAGCCGCGGCGGAGTGACATGCTGCGTTCCGGGCCAGTCAACAGAAAAAGAGCAGTCAAGGGCACCAGAAATGTAGATCCACACCGCTCTAACCTTCAATTCGATTTTATGAAAACACTATACATCCCCGTCAATATCATCATAATCATCGTCGTCGTCGTCATCGTCGTCGACATCATATTCATCCTCCCAACCATCATCGAACTCATCATCCCCGTCCTCCTCTTCTTCATCTTCTACCACCACCTCCTCCTCCTCAGCATTAGTCGGATCTCTCCTGGCCGGCTGCCTCGGGTTCGGCGCGCACTTCTTGCCAACGCAGCACTTGATCTTGCCAGACTGGCAGTCGCCGCACGACGTGGCCAGGTCGTCCTTGGCAAACGTGTACGCGGCGGCCCGGCACGGCGCGAAGAAGGGCGACGCCGTGGTGCCGTCAGGAAACGGGCGTGTGGGGTTCAAGCATGCGCCGTAGTCGGACATGTTCTGGTCGGGCAGAGTTCGAATGATTAGTTCCAAGTCGGCTTGAAGGGAATGGGGATATATGGGAATATGGATACTTGGGAGGGATGGGTATACTTGGGCAAGAAGGGGGTGATCATTCAAGGTGCAAGCGGGGGTCAATGTATCAGCTGGGTGTTGCTGGTAGGGAGGGCAAACTCACAGGGCACGAACTAAGGCCAAATAGAGGCTTGTTACATCCCGTGACCACCTTCTTCGAGCATTTGCACACAATTGGTACTGTGAAGGCGTCACTATAGATACATCGGTGTCGTTAGCAAAAAGAGATACATAATTGGGTGGTGAAGCGTCCACACGGCAGATGAGCCGAGCCGTGACAGAGTGTGCCAGTCAGGGGACCAAGGCAAGAACCCCGGGGCAAACCTACACATAGCTGACATCAACAGCAGCGACCGCCATCCCTAGAAAGTCCCACCGCACGAAACTCGCCTCGATGAGACTGGCATCCTGTGGGGTGCCGTACCTCGCCTCCCCCAGCGCGACCATGCCCGCCCACCCCGTGGGGACGACGAACCTCGTCTTGGTCTTGGTCCCGATGATCCCCGGGTTCATGTCCCCCGCGACCGCAGTGGGGCTGTCCCAGTTGCGCGCGTGCGTCTTGGACAAGGGCTGCGGGTGCCGGTTGATGATCTTGATGGTCAGGTACTGGGGCGGCTGAGCCATGGCGGCGGCGAGGACGACGTTCTGGGTCACTGCTGCAATGTTGAGGGCGCCTTTGTTGGCGTGAGAGGAGAGCTGGGCGGGGTAGATTAGGTTCTCGCCGCCGCCGCCGCCGCCGTTGTTGTTGTTGGTCTCGGTGAAGGCCAGGCCAACGTTTGGCGGGACTGTGGTGATGGCCGGCGCTGCTGTTGTGGGACTGGCAATATTGCTATTGCTTGTCACTTCCGGCAAGGATACAGCTTGGGGAACAGCCAAGACGGCTAGTGGCGATGTGGCGGAAAGAACGGCTATTATGCTCGCTAGGGAGCGGAATGATGTGCCAGTCATGTTGATCATGTGATGAGGATAAGGAAACCTGACGATGCTAGAAGCTATAGGCACCCCTGAGGGACCGAGAAGGATTCTTTGTAGCGCAGGAGTGTGATAGGGACTATGGTCACGAGGACTGATTTTAGATCAGTGATGAGAGGGACGGCTAAAAAGAAGGTTGGTGGGGTGATCGTGTTATGGTAAGATCGTCGCCAGGAGCATTTGCGGATGCTTATATATTTGATGATGACTACGTCAAGCACAGACTAGTTCAAGGGGCTGATGCCTCATCTCAAGAACAGGGCATTGCATACAGAAAATACTCCGTGGCTGTATGTGTACATGGCGACGACACGCTCGAGTCAGACCTATCATTCTGGGCAGCTCCAGGCTGCAGCAATATCACGAGATGCCAAGCCTCCGACGTTACTTTCCATCTGCTCGAAGTCCCACCACTTTTGCCTTTCAAATCAGCTTCACTGGTCATCATTGACAAGGGGGACACCCGCCTAATTTCTTAGTGAATGCTTCACGGGATATTAGCGTCGACAAGACCGACGTCTCGCATTACTGCGTGGCGGGCAACAGAAGGGAGCATAATGCGAGTAACTACGTCAAGTGCGCCTTCGGGCGGTAGTTGCCGATCAGGGCGTTTGGGGCGTCGCCATTACCCCGATACCTTGCGCGGTTTGGCAGGTTTTCCGCCCTGTCTTGCTTCTCCAGATTGACATATTTCCCGCGAACACAAGCCACCGCGCCATGCGTGGCTAGGACCCTTCCCTGTTGTTCGCGTGTGTCAGTAGTGGTGAATAAGTCTGCAGCAAACGCTGCAAGTAAGGCGGCAGACAAAACCCACATGTCAGTATTGGACCTAGTGTGAAGCTAAATGGGTGGCGCCGCGCTTGTCGGCCCTGTTTGAGGCGTCGAGGTCTCTCGGCAGTTGAGCTTGGTCGTCCAACCAGTAACACCCAGAATCAAGACAACCGTTGTGGGGTGTCTAGATGTGTGGCTTGCCAGGGTAGCTTTGAGGCAAACCCCTGAAAGCCGCTGGCCAACCTTTCGAATGTCTCACTCTGGCCAAGGTAGAGGCCGGAATAAGCAAGATGGCGCCATGGAAATGTGTGCATGACCAAATGATTGTGGGCAGCATTCCAGTCGTGAGGCTGACGACCAATCAGCGTCTGGGAACCCTCGAGGATACATGGACGGTTACTAACAAATACAGTGCCAGTCAACTCAAATGCTCGCCGGATGAGGCAAACCCATTGCCGGCAATCCCTTGGAAAACCCTGCAACGTCTCTTGCGTCTGCCGGCAGTGGCTTCTGAGCATGTCGGACTCCGAGAGACTCTGTGGCCTCCGTGCTGACGTAACCCTGGGAGTGAGGCGGTGTCGATGTTGTAATGCAGTGAGATGGAGACGACGACTGGCCAGGATTGCCGTTTGCAGTCAAAGCCACTGAGATGATCAATCACCTGGCAGGACACTTCATTTTGACATGTCGTGGGTTTGGTGAATACGTGCGGCGGCTGCACGATTACCATCACTTGTCCGGGGAAGGAACCGTTGCCCTTGCCGTCGCTCTCAGACACCACTCCCTGAGACCCTCGTCGAACTGTCTCAGACTCCACCGTGGCCCGTCGCCAAAACACGTGTAGTTGGCCACTACCCAGTCCAGCAAGGCATCGACTAGGTCTTCGCCGTCGGCCATCTCCTTCCTGGCGGAACCCTCCGGGCCGTGTTTGAATGCAAACACGTCGCCAGACTTTTCCCACCGCTCTAACGTCGGCTGGGTAAGGACGGCAAACACCTCGTTGCCCACAGCGTAACGTATACGCTGTTCCACCTCGGTCGGGGTGAGCCAGCGAACTGGTGTTTTGTTGCGAGTCTTTGAGTCATGTATGGGTAGAATGCCGTGGCCATGGCTATAGCTCAGGCGGGAAGAAACAGAATCTTTCCAGCTTTCGACGTCGAACTCATGTAGGTCCTGGTAGACTGAACCGTACATCAGATCCCTGAGGCTTGGCCACTGAGTACTCTGGATGGGGACTGCAGGCAAGCGTGCTGGCAGTTGTACGACTTGGTGCATGTTGGTCATCGCCTCCCAATGAGCTGTCAAGCGCCAGAAAATCCGACCGGCAAGGGTAAATGCCCCAGACCCTAGAAAAGGAAGGATGGTACCAAGCCAACTGTCACAGGCCACTCGCTGGAGTGGGTCATTTATAATCTCCATTCGTTGCCGGTCCATGAGACCAGATTCGGAATATGCTGCCACTAGTTGGACTTGCCGGGATAGTCGCTGCATGTCATTGTCGCTGTCGGGCTCGCTGCCCGATCCCAGATAAGTCGACTGTAAGGAGTCGATAACTGAGTTGGCGCCGCTCCGACTCTGGGCAACCTCGACGGAACTTTCAGTCTCCTGGGTCTGGTCGGAAGATGACAGTCCCTCCAGTAGGCTCGCTGCTTCCCGGATTTTGGCAACAAGTTCAGGTCGATCGTCTGCCTGGACCTCGTCCAGGATTGTTTGCAGAGCCTCCCTCAATCGGCTGTTCTCGGTCCCGAGATCAAATTTTGCCTGTGCCTGGCGCTTCCTGAAGGCGCTCTGTGCCCTTCGACCACGCTCACGGCGACGCTTTAAGAATGTTAGTCTGTTTCTACATATGCACCATACTCCACTATTCCATATCGCCTATGGGAGCTGTATCTACCTTGATCTTCAGGTCTATACTGGAGCTTGATGTCTCGGGAACGGCTGGCGTCATGTTGAAGGTTCTGAGGCAGGCTCTCAAAGTGACAGGCCAGAGAGCATAGCAAAGCACCTAGTGGCAGGCCAAAGGGGAGCTCGTGTTGGACTGATACTGAGATGTGTGCTTTTTGGTGAGATGCGCGAGCTGAGATGTCCAAGTTGTCGTCCTGTCAGACCTAGCTTGGGTCAGGGGCATCGATGGGGTATAGAATGATTACGTGAGCGTGAGGCGGTTACGTGAGCGCAAGGCAGTTACGTGAGCGGTCCTGCAGAGTGGGCCCAGGCTGTCAGCTTCAAGGCAAGGGTCGGGGCCGTTTCCGAACTCCGCGCTGATTTAATCCATGGCGCGGCTCAGTTGTGACTGGGGCTTGATGATTGGATGGCCTCAGATTTTGAATCCAGGCGATTGAACCAGTTTATGGGGAGTTGCACGGGACCCAAACTCAAGGCAATCATCTACCCTTCACGAAATCCATCATCTCCTCTGGACGACCCCTGTAGGCATTGAGTACGTCGAATATGATTATTGGTTGATTAAAAGCTATCTGTATTGTACATTGGCAGAGCATTCATTAGGCAGACTTTTGGAAGTTTGCGTGCAATCAGCCAACTCGCCACGCTGGAACCTCATTCGCAAGTCTTGACATGGTACTCAACGGTCGAATTTCCGGAGCCGATCTTAGGCTTGAAGTCGAGATACACGAGCTGTGGCAGACCATTAGCTTGGAGCCGAGACAAGGATGCCATGGATTGACGGCAAAGGACACGAACCTCTCCCTTCTCGGGGGTCCATTCTCCATCAGTGTCACGGTAATAGACAATCTCGCCGGAGCCGGCGTCGCGGACTTCAGCAGTGGTGTGGGAGACGACGCCTTCAGTGCTCCACTTGATTTCGTAGCAGGTGGACTTTGCCACGAGGAAAGGCTTGGTGCAACGAGTGTTGCCGTCGGCATCGATGCATTTCTCGATGGCGTAGTCCAGCACGCTGCCTTCAGCGACAGTCTTGGCTATGCGTCGATGTGTCAGTAAGCAGTAAAGAAAACAACATTTCCCCCAAGAGGCAGGCTGGGAACACACGCTTCGTCAAGCTGCCGGTGAGAGCCAGGCCGGCTGTGAGAACGCTCTGTGCTGTAGGCAAATACATGGCGAAGCTGTTGAAAGGCGAAAATCGGTTGTGTTTGCAGAGATCCGAGGATGATAAAAGCGAGACGGTTGCCTGGGCTGAAGAAGGATATGGGTGTGTAAAATCGTACGGACGGAACAAGAAGAAGCTGATGATTGAAGATTGACACAGGCTTGACACAGGTCGGGACAGGAGCAGGTATTGAGCAGGTAGCGTTCAACAAGCAGGAACGGAGACGTGATCCCTACGTCATGGAACCGTGGCGGCCTCAGGCACGCAGCCATGGCGTAGTCCAAGCCGCCAGCGGTCCGCTCGTGCCCGCACCTTTACTAAGTGCAGTGGCGCATCGCGACTGGCCGCGTTTGGGCATGGCCTTGGTCAGCCATGACGAGAGGGGCGGCCTGTCTCACTCAGGGTGCTGTCGGAAAGAGCAATGCGATATCTATTCCCTAGGTTATGGCAGACGTTGCCCATGCTGGAGTCGAAGGCCCACCACAAGGCGCTGAAGTGCAGGGTCCTGGCTAATGACTGCAGGGGTCCGCGCGGGGGGTGGGTGTGCTGGGCGGCTGGCCTCCATTATCACATGGCCTTATCGCCGAGGCTCATCGTGGACGAGAGTGTCCATTGCCATTTCCCTTTCGAGCTGACGCCAGCCACGGGAACCTCGCGCTGTATAACACCAGAGCCGTCTTCCAGGCACTTAACCGCTGTGTAGCAGTCAGCCGTAACCTCATCTCACCTACTTGGTCGACCTCTGCAAAATGGCTCACCCAGCGCCCGGCCAAAAGACGGTCCTCGTCACTGGGTGCGTGCCCCTCGTGTGGCCCAGCCTTGAGCTGTGGAGAGCAGACCACGCTTAGCCAAGGCGGCCCCCCGACTAACGTTTGATCCCAGATGCACGCCCGGCGGCATTGGCTATGCTCTGTGCATCGAGTATCAGAAAAGAGGTACCCGAGCCCAATCTCAGCAGTGACGCCGGCATCGACACACACTAATTCTCTGCGAGGCAGGCCTCTTTGTCATCCCTACCGCCCGCAAGCCAGATGTCCTCCACGACCTGGCGGCAAAGGGCATGCGCACCGTCGTGCTCGACGTGACAAAGGCCGACAGCATTGCCGCTGCCCATAAGGAGGTGGCTGCCATCACCGGCGGCAAGCTCGACATTCTCGTCAACAATGCGTCAGTTCTTCACCTGCCCTTTGACCCCTCTCTTCGTCTCCTTTGACCTCCAGCTCACTCTCTGCCTCTCGTGACGCAAAGCGGGCGTACACACACGCACCCAGCCACAGACCTCGACCTCGACGATGTCCGCATGACCTTTGAGACCAATGTCTTCAGCGTCATGGCCATGTGCAAGGCCTTCGCGGACCTCCTCATCGCCTCAAAGGGCCTCATCATCAACACCTCGTCCGTGTCCTCGGTGGCACCGTACTGCTTCGGCGCCGCCTACACGGCAACCAAGGCCGCCGTCGCCGCCTACTCGCGCGTGCTGCGCATCGAGATGCGCCCCTTTGGCGTGCGCGTCATGGTCACCATGACCGGCACCGTCATCAGCAACAACGCCACCCACAACAACCGCTACCTGCCCCCGGACAGCCTGTACCAGCGCGTCAAGGACCTCTTCGAGTTCCGCGTGACCTTCAGCCAGACCCAGGCGTCGATGCCCGCCGAGGACTACGCCCGGCAGCTCGTCACCAAGTCCCTGAAGCCCGAGGTGAACCTGTTCTGGCGCAACTGGTTCGGCCGCCCGGACTGGTTCTGGTACGGCGGCATGGCCAAGCTGTTGTGGTTTGGCCACTCGTTCCTAGGTGAGGCGTATGTCGACTGGGCCTCGTGGCCCACGTTCCGCCTCGCGAAGCTTCAGCGCATGGTCGAGGAGGACGACAAGCAGAAGAAGCTTGCCTAAACTTGATTCTGGGATTTGAAACAAAAAGCTAGGCAATTCAGCGCACCGGCGACGAAGGTCATGGGCCGGATTGTGGCTGCTAGCCAATATCTTTATGTGGTTCATCCGTCTTGAGCGAATTGAAGGCGACAAGAATCGTAGCACCCAGGCTATGGCATTAACAGGAATGCGGTGCTATGCATGGATTGCGCAGAGGTTGCTTTGCAACCGAAACCTGTCATGTCGAACGAATCACCGAGTTATTAGCTAGCCTTGTATCACATTTGGAGGGGAAAAGAAAGAAAGTCACTCTAGTTCCGGTCTTAGCGCTCCCGTCCCGCTGTTACATGTGATGCAACACAGGTGACCCCGATTACCCACTAGTGCATGTCTAACTCATGATGACGCATTACACGTTCCTTTATGAGAAGCCTCGAGCGTTCACCAGAACATGGCGTACGCCGCCTGTCCCCCGCTTGATATTTTATGGCCATCTAACACAAAGAACAATCGCCAGTTACTAGTGCAGCTCGTGATACGGAGATGCGCAGATCCATATTATTCCACTCCCAAAGCGCACGAACTGCCCAGTAAAACCCTGAAGTGAGCGCACAGAAACCCTTTAAAAAAGATCTCATTGCTTCCGCAAACAACACGAACCCACAATGGCGAGGACATCGCAGACCAAGGCAACAGCAGCTGCTGCTGCTGCTTCCACTGCAACGAAGCGCAGGAGAGGCAGCCATACGACGACGCCACAGCAGAAGAAACAGAAGCAGAAGCAGAAGCAGGAGGAGGAGGAGGAGGAAGTGAAGGGAGAGAGCGAGGAGGAGGGAGTGGAGGCAAAGACCGACTCCGCCGAGCATGCTGATTCCCAGCCCCAGCAGAACGGAGCAGCAGCGGCTGCAGGGCCCAAAGCAGCAGCAGAGAAGGAGGACGAGCAGGCGGAGCGAGACCAGGCCGCTCGCGAAAACGGGGATGCTGAGCCCGGCGACGAGAAGAAGGGGAAGGAGGAGGAGGAGACGCAAAAGGGCAAGAATAAGACGAAGAAGACCAATGCCACGACAAACACCAAGAAGAGGACCACAGCAGCAGCAGCGACAGCAAATGAAGACCAAAGCGAGGAGCATGAACAACAACCGCAACCACCCCCCAGCAAGAAACCCAAGAAGAACAGGGACCAGCATTCCGCCACCACCGGAACCCGGCAGTCCTCGCGCATCACCAACGCCTCGGGCACGCGAGGGAAGCCTACCAAGGAACAACTCCTGAGGTACCTTGTCAGCCCGGACGCCGAACACCTGTGCCGGCCCGATGACGAGGCAGAAGCCCTCGCATCATCATCTCCCTCCTCCTTCTCCTCATCTGGGAATCCTTCCAAGCAGCAGCAACAGGATATCAAAAAGACCTACGGCGGCCCGACCCCGCTCACGCCGTTCGAGGAGCTCATCTCGGCCATGATCCTCTCGCGGCCGATCAGCCACCGCCTGGGGTTGAGGACCATCCGCACGGTGCTGAACCCGCCGTACGGGTTCGCCTCTGCGCGCGCGGTGCGGGACGCGGGCGAGGAGAAGCGGCGCCAGGCGCTGTGGGACGCGCGGACGCAGCACAAGGACAAGACGGCCGCGCAGCTGGGCGGGGCGGCGGAGGTGGTGCTGGAGAAGTACTGCGGTGGTGGTGCAGGAGGAGATGCGAAGACAGCGGGCGAAGGGAAAGGGAAAGGCGGTGGCCGGAGGAGTAGTGCTGGGGCCAAGGGCGCCGGTAGTAGTGGTGGTGGTGGTGGAGGTGATGGTGATGCAGACGGGGAGACGCTCGCCGGGCTGGTGGCGCAGAGCGAGCAGGACATTGACGAGGTGCTGGACACGCTGCAGAAGGACATCAAGGGCTTTGGCAAGACGACGGGGGCGATATTCCGCAGGCGCATCCAGTGGCTGTGGGATTTTGCGTATCCGTTTGTGGACGAGCGGACGGCCGACGGGCTCAAGGAGCTCGGCCTGCCGATCCGCGCAGAGGCCCTGGTCGAGCTCCTGGGCGAGCACTGGGACAATGTGAAAGGAGCGGATCTCGCGGGGGATGACGAGGAGACGAGGAAGCGCCGGGCCTTTACAATCATTTTGGAGCGGGCAACGAATGCAAGGCTCGAGGGCAAAGTCGGGGATGTGCTGCATGCTGCGGCTCAGGTGTAATGTGAATCATCCCCTGGTGTTTCTTTCTGCGGTTTGGCTTTCGAGTCTGATAGTTCTAATTTGACGTCTAAAAGTCACAATACTGGTCTATCATGCTCTTTTTCTTACAAACTCGACTTTGCCGCTGGCTTCCTCAGGATACACTGCTGTGTCATGGAGGCCACCATCCTCCCTTGGTCATCATATAGCCTCCCCTCGCCGTACGATCTCCCAAAGTCCGCCGTCTGCAGCACGCGCTCCTTGAGATGCCACTCCTGCAGCCGGACCTGTGGCCTGAATATCCGCAGCGCGAAATCCAGCGTGGCCCACGACCCGACCTCCTCGATCTGAAGCCCGTGATGCACGAGCGGGAGGAACGCGAGCCCGCCGTCCATGAGGAAGGCCACAGCCGCGCACTGGGCCGCGTCGTCGGGGGGCGCCTGGTGCTCCTGGATCTTGTACCACTCGGCCGAGGTGCGCTCGGTGACGGGGAGGTGGTCCTGGGCGGTGGGGACGCCGCGGACGGTGCCGCCGAGGGTCTGGCCCGAGATGCTCTCTGGGCACAGGCGCAGGTCGTAGTACTGCTCCTGGTAGCGGTACATGGCCTCGTAGGGAGCTTCGACTTTTCCCGAGATATGGCCGGCCTCGACCATCTGCCTCTGCAGGGCGTGGCGGTCGGGACAGTCGTCGGGCTTGGAGTAGTGCATGCGGGGCGGGGCGCCGTAGACGAGCAGCGGCTGCTCGAGGGCGTGGAAGTCGCCGGTGAGCTCGATGACGGTGCGTGTGCGGCCGTCGGGCTGGAGCTGCGACACCTGGACGCGGCGGGTGGAAAACGACTTTGTGTCGCGCGTGCGGGTGACGAGGCAGCGCAGCCGGTGGTCGAGGTTGGCCGGCCCGTGGAAGTGGCCCAGCACCGAGTACAGCTTGTGGCTTGTCGGCACCGTCTGGCACATGGCGTGGATCGCTATCGCCATCGTGCTGCCCCCGTACGCAATCGGCCGCGCGTTGCCCATCCGGATCGGCAGCGACACCGACTCAAACTCGTCCGGGCCGACCTGCCGCGCGCTGATCTGCTCGGATATCGTGGCTGCCATAGCGGTGGTGGTGGTGGTGGTGGTGGTGGTGATGCTTGGACTGAAGGAAAGCACGCAGAACAGATACGAAACCTGCAAAGTTCAGAAGAGCAAACACGTATCTTCCAATTAATGTTGTGACCGTGAACTCGATCGTTCAGGATGGAGAGCAGCAGACCAGTGTTGGAGAAAGCGGTTGGTTGGAGATGGCGAGCCTCGGCATTACCCCAGATTCTGGCTTACTAGCCTGCGGGCATCGGCGTGGGGCCCGGCAGGGGTCCAGATCGGGGACAAATAGCCCGAACAGGATGTCGTGGATGGACAAAGGTATCGCTACAGACCGACACAAAGTCTGGACTAAACTTAGCAATAAGGAAACTCGAGATTTGAAAAGAGGAACTCGAAGCAATAGGCATCCGACCCCATTCATAAGTGCTTTGCAGTATGTATAAACGTGCCCCCAGCAAAGCAAGGAAGCCAGTAAATGTACTAGGGCACCGGCTGTGAAGGAATTATTCTGGCTCTCGGAGTGACTCACTTCAATCCTTGGAACATCACAAGGGCTTTTCTTCGTGTATCTCAAATATCCCAGAGCATCCCAATGTCAAGTTGATGAGGTGAACCGTAAGTACTTGGTGGACTGGTGCACTTTCCACCGCGCCCAAGCGTACCTAGGTAGGGCCCACTCTTGAGTCAGACCCACAATGCTCCAAGCGCGCAGGCCTTGCCAGCTGTCACGGTCTGCAGAACTTTTCCCAGCGCCCGGTCCCCCAAATCGCCAGTCCAGAAAAAAATTACGGGCAAGCAATTCTGCTCCAGAGCTTCAGTCCCAGTCCCAGTCCCCAACACCAAAACGACACCCACGCGCGCGCAACATCTTGACGAGCAACCACGACCACCACAATTCACCTACAAAACCCAATTCGCCCCGTCGCACACACACACCTCGTATACCCTAAGCAAGAAAAGGAAACAAAAACACCGCCACAATGCATCTCATGTACACCATCGACGAGAGCGGCAAGCGCACCTACACCCTCAAGAAGGTGCTCGCCGGCGAGGTCACAAAGTCGGCGCACCCGGCCCGCTTCTCGCCCGACGACAAGTGGTCGCGCCAGCGCGTCACCCTCAAGAAGCGCTTCGGCCTGCTCCTGACGCAGCAGAGTATGTCTGCTCCCTTGGCTCCTCTCTCCTTTTGACCTTGGGATGAAGAGAGATGAACAGATTTTGCTGACCATTGCATCCTCACACTCTACAGAGAACAAGACCTTTGAGACCAGCTCGTAAACAATGCCAGTAGACGCGAACTCTGCATCCCGCGGCCCCTGCCCACAGCCAATCGCTCGTCAGTTAGAGTACACGCGCCTCGAGAGGGCAGTACAGTCGACAAGAACAACAATTCACCGTTTCCAAATGCCCATTGCGATGTCTCGATATCTGATACCGCGCGGGCACAACGCCGCCGACGAAGTTGTGTGAACACACGATCAGATTAATGGGGCTGCTGTCGAGGACTATTGAGGCCGATTGCAGGCGTCGCACCTTTTAAGCTTTGGCGAGGGCACACGAAGGGACGGTGAGGGCGAAGGGCGGAGCACGCGGGATGTGAGAGCCTTCGTTTTTGGAAGAACAGGGCAGAACACACGTGTTTGCGGCTGGGTCCAAGTGAGGGTTTGGCTCGACTGGCCTTTCTTGCCAGTGCTGGCTAGATCTCTCCCCAAATGTCGGTTGGATAAAGGAAGCGATGGCGGAGATGGATCATAAAAAGGGGCGTTTAGTGGCGTTTTCTCGTTCTTCACTTTTTACATTCAATAGGGCGACATTCTTTGGGAGACGGCCAGAGATGAATTTCAAATCCTTTGAAAAAAGAATATTCTACGTTCCTTGGATGCACTGGACGATTATGAGTGGTTCTCGCAGCAGATACGTGGCATTCACCATCAGCACAGAGATATAGATGTGGGAACTGGACAACGTCGGGGAGTGGTCCTCGGCGGGTTCTCTCCTCCATGCCATTTGCACTTTCAAGACGACAAAGTACGAGAAGTTGAAGGCAAGTATAGAACGTTGGTCATTTATCTCATACCCTATCTATCCCTTTTTTTCCCGAACCTAAACGCCTTGAAACAACCCACACAAAACAGGGCCAGGAATAGCACACCACATCTACGCTCTCCTCTTCTTCGAATTCACATTCCTTCCCGCACCAACTTTTATCTTGCCCTGCCCGGCTCCCTGCCCCTCCGGTCTCCAGTGAGGATACTCGGCAGGAAGTCGTCGTCCATGAGATCCTTGACCCGCTGGCGCTGCTGCTCGGTGGACTTCTGGACGTACTCCTTCTGGTCCTCGGCGAGCAGCAGCTCCCTGCCCCAGCCCTGCTTGCCCCCGCCGGGCCCGCGCATCTTGCCGTTCGCCGAGCCGTGCACGGGCTTCGGGATGCTGTACACGTTGCCCCGGTTGTTCCACTGGTAGTTCTTCTTGAGGTGCACGGTGAAGTTGCCCCCCGCGTCGGTCGAGCAGCTCACCCGCGTCAGCGTGGGCTGCCCGCAGCGCGGGCAGAACTGCTTGCTCATCTCGCGCGTGATCTGGAAGCACCCGTGGCACCGGAGGACCCACGTCTTGACCCTGGTGATGCGCGCGAAGGCCGGGGAGACGAGGTTGAGGTTCATGCGCAGCGACACGTTCTGCATCGCGTAGTCGGAGGTGAGCAGCGCGGCCTGCAGCAGCTTCTGGATCGGCTGCTCGGGGGCGGCGGCCCGGTCTTTCTGCTGCTGCTGCTTGAGGTTCGAGGGCGTGATCCAGCCGTCTTCATCGTCGTCGTCGTCGTCCTCTTCCACTACCTCCGCCTGCGCGTCGGCGGATTGTGTGGTCTCGGCAGTGCTTGCTGTTGTTTCGGGTTGCTCCGCGGCCTGGCTTTCTGAAGCGGAGACACCCCCCCGAGGCTCTAGAGTCAAGGAGTCCAGCTGGTAAGTCACGGCCTCCTGCGCAAGCGGTGGTACTTGCTGCCCCGCCTGTTCTGACTTGACCTCGCCGCCTTCTGCCTCCTTCTCATTGGTCTCGACCTGCTCGGCGGCAGCCTCTCCCGCTGCTGGAGCCGCAGCATTCGCCCCCTCCTCCTTACCCGGCGGCTTGCCATTCATGCCCTTCTGCCCGGGCGTCCTCCGCAGCCGCCAGTCCCCCCCGTTGCGCTCGCACTCGAGCTCGTACGTCAGCGCGATGAGGTGGATATCGGGCCTGCTCAGCACCTCGAGGTCGCCGGTCCGCCGCGCAAAGTCCTGCACGAACTTGACGCTCTCGGGCTTCGGGTTGCGCAGCTTCAGGAACGGCAGGAGGGTCGTCTCGACGCGGCTCCGTGTCGCGGCGTCGCGGATCTCGGTGATGACCGAGGGCAGCGTCCACAGCTCGACGGCCTGGCCGAGCAGCGTGCTCACGGGTGGGTCGTTCTTGATGATCGGGCCCGTGTCGACGACGAGTGCGTGTATCGGCTTGGGTGGTTCCGAGGCGGCTGTGTTGGGCTGTGCGGAGGGTTTCTCTTCCGAGTCCAGTGGACTGCTAATGCTGCTCGAGACATCTTGTTCTGTCTGGGCTTGTTCGGAGGCTGAAGGTGTGGGCTCGGGTTGGGCTGTGGTCTGGTCGACCTGCTGAGCGAGGCTTTGCGCCTGCTCCGGTGGCGAGGCCATCTTGAGCGAGTTGCTGGTGGAGAGCTGGCGGTGTGGTAGTAAAGAATAAAACCTGAATATGACTGATCCTGCCTTGGTGATATGAAACAGAGCTCGAGATGAACTAAATTGTCACAGTGGACCATCACCCATCATCCATCGCCTCGAGGAGGGGTCCGGAAAGTCTGCTGCCCAAGAAAAAAAACATGGTGGGGTGCACAGCCGATAAGATAAGAAGCCCAAGCCAAGCAAGTATGGTCACTTGCACTAACTCCGTCAAACTCCGGCAGGCCCACGCCCCCCCCCCCCCCAACCACTACAAGGACAACAGCTGAACAGCTGAACAGCTGAACGTCCTCCGTTGATTCCCACCACTATTCTTGATTGATTCAAGGCTCGACTCGCCTAGCAGTCCCGGATGTGACTAGTAGGGGGTTGCTCGGCGCCTCGCGATCTCGATGGCAAAGCTTGGCTTACGCATGAGGTCTGTGGATCGCCAAGACTGGTACGCCACCGACTCGAATGACTCCAGGACGTCGGTACGCTGCATGCTGCAAGCCGAGCATCATGCTCCCCCGTGCAGGTACATGGCAATCATTTGTGGCCAGGACACACAAGGAGCTTGTCGTCCGTGTAGGTCCCAACCTAAAACCACCAGTTAGGACCAAGCACTAACACGCAGGAAAGAGAAGGGTGCCACACCAGTTGGCACGAGTCTCAGCCAAGACCAGCAAGATCAGCGCCCTTTCGCGCCCTAGGACATCCGGGGTGAATCCCAAAGTAGGAAGGCCCACGCTCCCGGCTGTGTTGGTGTGTATGATCGTGCCCTCTCGCGCATACCAACCAGTGCAGAGATGTCCAGCCTTGACCCAAGCAAATATTACATAGTCCCTGGACGCCATCACGGCCCGACCTCCACCCAGTCCGCGGGGAGGACGGGGGTGGATCTCGAACGGTATAATTACACGAATACGTCGAGGCCAAGCCCTTGAGTCCGAGAGACCGATGATGGTTGTCGACTACAGCTTGCACCTATGGTAAGTAAGATGACTATGGAGCTGTGCAAAGCCACCGACAGCCAAGCTTCTGCTCGCCCGATGCCTTGCAGACGTTCCGAGGTCGGACGTCCGTCAAAAGCCTGCTCGAGCTGGCCCAGTGAAGCGAATCTAGACTGCGAGAGGTATAATTGACATTCCAAGGTTTATGGCCCACAAACAACCGGCTTGCTGCAAGCCCACGGGGATGTCCCAGAGGAGATAACTCCGGCTGTCTTGAGTGCCCATCTTTTTCAGGCCCTTCAGCCTCACGCAAGCCAAGCTGTGTCGGGCTGGCATGCGAAGCCCCCAAACACCTGCAGCTAGAAGAAAGCACTAAATTTCTCCGCCGATGCATTGCTATAACAGCACTAATGCACGTTGCCGTCGTCCAAAGCCCCGGGCCGACAAGCTACCAGCCTAGGTCGACCACACAGCTCAATCCACGGCTGACCAGGCTCTCTCTCACACACACACACACACACACATCAACTAGAGATGCGCGTCACGACAAGTCGGTAAAGCATGTAGGCCATCCACTTTGCCTGTCTTGTGTCCTTCTTGTCTCGCGGCCCGCGCGTCATTTCTAGGACGCCCATAGGCTTGTAGCTAGCCCAAGCTGCATGTCACAGCTTCAAGCCACCATTCCCAGGTCGGCCGGGACAAACGATACAAAAGAATGCCAAGAGCCGCCAAGGCCTCCCAAGCAGGAAAGAAACAAAGAACAATAGAGACGGATCATTGCGCCTCTCACTCTCGTACCCCTCTCGCTTCTCCTTCCCGCGCCACCACCACCATCTCGCTCTCCAAGAACAAAGAGGAAACCGGTGCCACGGAATAAACCTTGAAAAGAAAAGAGGCAGTCACACGCTTGTGGCGGTATGTGCGTAATATTTTGTTTTAAAAGAAAAATGTGTTTTCATTACTTGATAAAGGAGTGTGTCGTTGTGGGTAATACAGATTATTAGTTCCCCGGGGCTCTGAATCTGGCGCCGCCATGGCGTGTACGAGGCGCGATTACTTGCTTGCTTGCTTTGCTGCTTCTGTCCTCTTCTCTCCCCTCCGCGTTCAAACAACCCAAGGAAACCCCCCACAAGCACGTCCCTATCCCAGGCTCGCTGCCCACTCATTAATCTCACTTCTTTCTCGGGGGTCGGTAAACATCCAGTTCGTAGACAGGCTTCTGCAGTATGCTGAATGTAGATCGTTGACGATGTGCAAAAACCTCTGCAACATCCCACCCGTTACTGGAACCAGCTCTTGACCCAGTCGACCACGGCACGGCGATAGGCACCATAGCTCGGGTAGCTCGACAGGCCGGCGCCATCGCCGCTGCCAGACCCGTCATAGCTGCCGTAGCTCGGGTAGCTCGCCAGATTGGCGCCCTCGCCGCTGCCAGCACTGCTGCCAGCACCACCGTAGTCGCCGTAGCTCGGGTAGCTCGCGAGGTTTGCGCCCTCGCCACTGCCACCAGAGCCGGAAGAACCGCTGCCAGCACCGCCGTAGTCGCCATAGCTCGGGTAATTCGCGAGATTGGCACCGTCGTCACCGCTGCCGGAGCCGGATGAGCCGCTGCCAGCACCACCATAGTCCCCGTAGCTCGGGTAGCTCGCGAGGTTCGCGCCCTCGCCGCTGCCAGAGGAGCCGCTACCGGCGCCGCTATAGTCGCCATAGCTCGGGTAGCTTGGCAGGTCTCCGCCTTGGGCCACGCGCTTGCTGCTGCCGGCGGTGTTGGGAGTCGGTGCGGCCAGTACTGCTGTGGCAGTCAGGACTGCGAGGATTGTGGACTTCATGATGACGGGGGCCTTTTTTCGTTTGTGTGTAGGGGATGTGATAGGTGTTAAAGCGAAAGAATGGGTAAGTAAGTACGGGGCAGTCGGAGGGCCGGAGTATGTGTTTGATTATTATATGTGAACGAGAGCTTGGCGAGAAGGGGCCGAGAGATATTGGTTGTGGACCAGTCCGATGAAGAGAGACAGACGAGAGAGTGAGAAACGAGTCGATGGCAAGCAGGTCGGGGCACCCATGCTTCTTTTTGTATGTCCAGCAAACCTTATGTTTATAATATGCCTTCGCGAAAGGGTGTTTTCGCGTTCGAGAAAAAAATAAAACACGGCAGACGATCTAGTCTCGGCGCACGCCATGATCGTGTGTCACGCGACGTGCCAAGAGGGCCGACCTGCATTCCTTTCCTACACGGCCTGGTGAACGCCCATGTGGCAACGGGCTAGCCTTGTTCCCTCCACGCCATTGGCGACATCTCCGAGTGCCTGCGCGAGGCTGAGAGCACCGGACTCCCCCGTCGGGATTGGACTGGTGCTACGCGAGAGGCTAGTCCGGCGTCGCGTGGACATCCGCGGCTCGAATGCTTGACCGTGTCAAACTCAAGGTTGATCGCCAATGGGGGCTGTATTGGCAAGCAGAACCTAATGAGAGGCGTCGGCGGCGGAAGAAATCATACGCCGTCATGGGGCAGCGCGACCGGCTTCGATGTCGGGCTCAGAAGGCACCGATGGTCGAGCGAGTGAGCGAGTTTTGTTGGCCTCGAGTTCGAGCTCCGTGTGATATCCCGTGCAGCAAAGCTGGTCACGATGAGAAAAGCATTGAACGCCTCGACTGAGCAATGCTCACGTGCTGGACCCACGCCCACCCAGAGCATAACACAAATAGGAAAATGGGCTGACCTGGGCTACCGGCATGCATGATCTTTGATGATTTCCTATTCTGGCAGCCGATATAGCGTGAGGGGGTGTGGCTGAGCGCTGCTCCTGCGGGCGAACTCTTTTCTACACGATTGGACATAAATCACTTTGCCCCCCCCCACCCCTTTGAGCTTTTCTCAATGGTCGAGCTCATGGAAGAACAAGCATTGGCCATGACACGCCGTGACCAAGTTGACTCAGATCATTCAAATGGCACATTCAGAGTTGACCACAGTAATTTGAAGGAATGTATAGTATTAATGATTAAGGAGCGTTATTTCAAACGGGTGGCATCCCACGTTTGACGGTTCTGATGCGTATTCTCTAGGGTGTGCCCTCGTGATGCTTTCCTGCAAGGACAGACTCGTGGTATTTCGTGTCGCTTCGTAAAAGTGTAAAACAGAGAAATCGTCAATGGCAGGGTCGCATCTACTGGAACCAGCTCTTGACCCAGTCGACAGCGCGGCGGTAGGAGCCGTAGCCATGGTAGCTGGGGAGGTTCGACCCAGCGCCGCCGTAGCTTCCGTAGCTAGGATAATTGCCGTAGTCTCTCTTCTCCTCAGCCTCATTGGGCTGGGCCTCGCGCTTCTCCTTGTAATGACCGTAGCTAGGGTAACTCGGGAGGTTCTCCCCAGCGCCGTCGTATTTTCCGTAACTAGGATAGCTGGCGGGCGCCGACCCAGCGCCCTGATAGCTTCCGTAGCCGTCGTAGCCGCGCTTGGCAGCATCTGTGTCCTGTGTGTTGGGCGTGGGAGCGGCAAGGACGGAAGTGGCACTGGCCAAGACGGCAACGGTCGAAAGCTTCATGATGGAGGACGGAGTGTCTGACTTTATGGGCAAGTAGTAGGAGTGAAGACGGCGAGTTGGTTGAGGAGCAAGTGACTAGTGATGATTCAGGGAAGATGAGTAGATCGAAGAATTCGACGCTGACGCGGCCGTTGCTCTTCATTTATACGACGACACATGTAGGCTTCGTGCTCGGGGAGTGTGGGATGCCCATATGCCTTGGTCCTCGTCTTGGTAGAGGGCCCAGGACCCTTTGCAGCTCAGGACCCCGGAACCATCAGTCATGCCCCAGTCCAGAGTGGTATGGGTTGCGTTGTGACACGAGATTTTCAAGACACCCAGTCGTCATGGCCACAGGCTATCGACGAGTGCAGGTGCGCCGTGGGTGCGCCGTGGGTGCGGAGTTGCACATCCGAGCATCTTGCTGGGGAGGGTGCCGAGCCCGCACAACGTGCGTCTGACTACAGGCCAAGGGTCGTGAGCGGGGTGGAAAGAGGTCTATTCCGGGCCTCGCACGCAAGGGATTCAGCTGAGCCGCGCTGTGCCGCTAGGACGAGGACAGCTGGCTCTGCGCAAGTGCAAGATCGGCGGGGGCGAAGACACTGTCGAGAATACAGTTCAACACACCGCCTGCTTGGGCAACGAGCCGTGATGGCGGCCGCGGGCTCTCTTTTGCGGTGCGGTGCTAGACTTGTGGAATGAAGTGGCCCAATCGGAGGCAGGGAGGCGAGGTGCTGGCCGGGGCCGCAAGCAGCAGAGCTGACGGTGACGGGCTGAGGAGCGGACATGAGGCCCAAGACGTGCTGAGTGCGTGCAATTTGGACATCGTGTAAGTCAGTCAATGGGCGGGTTGCTAGCACGTGCATGGATGGGCATCTGCATGCAAGTGTTGTCCTCTCGAGTGGGGCGCCTGGGTGTCTTGGAGTCTGGGGAAGGAGCAGGGATGGGAGGGCCCCACCCGGGCTGACAGCTGCAGATCTGCGCCTTGCCTGGCTGGGCTAGCAACTTCAACTGGTCCCCAAATGGTCCCCAGCCAGCCTCTTCCTTACTACTTGCTGTACACACTACACGAGAAGCGGGAAGCCCGGCTGCCCCCAAAGAGGCAGGGATCACGACGCCTTGCCCAACACGATGGGCACCCCGGCTGCGCCGTGTGCTGGCTCGAGCCAGGAACCTTGATGTGAGACCGCACGCTAGTGACCTGCTTACGAGTAGCTACCAAAGGCCTGGTGCAAACGACATCGTATCTGCGTGGAAGGCGCCATCGTCCCGGCGGGCCCCACTGCAAGTGCAACCTGCCAGCAGGGGCGACCCTGGGCGACCGCCGCCGTCCGTGGGGTCTTTCCTCTAAGGCTGAGCAACAGCAGCAGAGACAAGACATCGTGCCAGCAAGCATACGCTACGCATCCCCTTTGCGGCCATGCCGTCAGCACGGCACGCTCTGCCGTCATCGTCACGGCCCCGGGGTGACTGACCTCAAGGGCTCTAGCTCCCGCATATGCTGCTCTTCTCCTCTTCTCTCCCCGCGCCAGCGTGGGTATTATTGGCAACAACTACGAAATTACTACTGGGCGGATCCTCTAGCTCGTGTCCAGCGGCTGCCCCTCCCACGCCCGGTAGGGTGACACACCACCCCTGTTGGAGCGACCTTGTTGTCTCGGTCTTAGACTTCGCGTAGACGGATCCAGCCTGGTCCTCTGGCAGAAGCGCCATGCCCATTCTCAACCACTGCAACCGGGCTGTGGCTTCGCGCCCTCGCTCAACACTTTGGACCTCGGGCTCACTCTTGACTCTCTCTTCTCTACAAACAGTCTCTTCCCAATCGCCCAGCAAACTAGCGTTCCGGCAGCCCGAGCTTACCCTTTTCCTTCTCTTCCATCGATCTGTTGCAAGTCGGTAGCTGCCCATCATGAACAGGAACAAGGAGGAGGAGCAGACCGTGCCTCTCACCAACGGGGCCGACGATGATCTCGACTCAGAGTATGGCTCACAGTCGTCGTCAACACCTTTCAACGGACGACGTGCCCACAAGAGGCGCAGCACATGCAGGACATACTGTTGCACCGTCATTGGTTACGCTGTCTTTGCCACCATCTTCATCTTCATCGGCGCCCAGATCACACGCCACAATCTCGACCTCGACCGCCGTTGCTCCAGATACACAACCAAGCACTGTAAGTCGCGTCTGCCCCGCGTGGTATCAAGCAGCAGCTGACCAGGGCCACTCAAGCACCCCTCGTGGACCATGTCGCCATCAAGTACACCGACCAGAAGTTCAATGGCACCTTTATGAAGGAAGACATCTACCGGCAGCCTGCCTCGCCCGAAGTCGATGAAGCATGGACTGCACTTGGCGTAGACGGTATGAGCCTGTGTACCCCCCGCGCGCGCCCCATAACAAGACTTCCATCCATAGTTACCGCAGCTGACAGGTGTATCGCGACAGCACGTCCAGGCATCATCTCGAAAGCGGAGGGCTTCGCGAGCGGTCTCGGACCGGGCCATGTGCAAGTCTCTGAAAAATATGGCGGCGGCTTCATCGTCAATGTCGAGGCAATGCACCATCTTCACTGCCTGGTAGGCCACCTTCTTTTGATACTCGCCAGCAGCACTCAATGATATGCTAACACATTCTACCTGCGTGCAGAATCTTCTCCGGCAGTCATTGTACTTCAACTACCCTTACTACAAGAAGCTGGGCCAGGGTGCATTCGTAAACGGCGACGATATTGTGCAGCTTCATGTTAGTAAGTAGCTTCTAATTGTGGCCCAGAGTCTGCTCTCCCACTACCAGCAGCTAACACGTCTTCTTTCTCTCTTCACAGCGCACTGCCTCGACACTGTCCGCCAAGTGCTCATGTGTAATGCCGACACGGGCATTCTGGGCCAGGTATGGTCCGTTGCTCAAGGAGGCGGCGAGCACAGCCACCAGCTCGGCCAGCACCCAAGCCACCCTGTTGGGACTGGCAGCCACGCTGATGGCGGCAGCGAAAGCCACGACGGCGCGGATGGTGACAATCACCGAAGCCGCAGTAGTCCCCGTACCAACTCCAGACTCCGCCGTGATGGCGGCGGGCACGAGAGCCAGGATGAGGGAGCGGTCGACCACGACGTTAAACCCCAAGCGTTCCCGGACTTCAAGACGGTGCACAAGTGCAAGAACTTTGACGCAATCCGGGAATACGCACTCGCCATCCAGGCCCCTGACCAAGCGGTTCCACCCGACTTTTTCGTTCCCGCGGATCCTGATTACATCGTCATGGGCACGCCATGAGTGCAACAGCCTGTGTTTGTGTGGGCCGTTAATTTCAGCGAGCCATCAGGTTCTTGTGGTCGGCTATGCTTCCGTTGGTTATCATGTACGAGTAAACTACAATAATTTAATGAAATAAAGAAATACATATGAACCAAAGTTGGTCGGCTTTCCTGGCTCTCTTCTCCAAAGCGTCTCTGTATGCAAGAAGATTCCCTTACCCATCGTACGGATTGGCCAAGTTGCTTGGACGGAGGTCCCTGCCGCCTCCTCGACAAGTGTCTGCTGGAAGTGCTCTTTGCATGACGACAAGTGGTCGGCGTTGCGCTCCTCGACCGTGTCGGGACTGTGGCAATGTCCTCCTCTGTTCATACCATGGCTGGCGCACAAAGTAAAGGCTGGGGCCGGGACGAGGAGAAACGCCTAGGATGGGGTTGTACTGCTTTGATGACAGAGGGGGTGAATGACACGACCCAAATGAGGCAGAAGTAGTTGAATAGGTTCGAAGCACAAAATCACGGGTTGAAATTCACACACCTATCACTCTCTGGCGGGACGAACCCAACACAGAATCAGGAACTTCGGTGTGCCTTCGCGCCGTGTCTGCCGGGCCGGGCACCACCAGAGCAGCACCACCAGCGGAGCAGCAGCGTCGCCGCCAGAAAGGACGGGGCTTGTGGCAGAGCTTCATTGGGCATATGTTCATGCTACGTCCATACTACGTGCTTGAGTACAACATCGATGTTTGAATAGTGCCGAGGGCCCCCGGCTTCCGAGCCTCCGCTGGAGGTCATGGTAAAAGTCATGATTACACCACGCACCCAGTAAAGCAAACCGATAATCGCAGGGAAGACCAATATTTCATTCCGTATATACATCACGACTCCAACCACATCGAAGCCAGAGCAGGCCGACCAAGATCCCAGCATGATAAATACTATGCACGCCTGAATAGAACTCCACAGGATAAAAGGAGCGTAGATGACGACAGGTCCGAGTGCCGACGTAGGGGAAAACAAGCTTTTTTGATCTATCAACAATGAATGGGTGGGGAATAGTGCAGCAAACGCCGGTGCGCCGTGTCATACAAATGCTTCGTAAAATGCGTATTGTTGTGTCGTCTCGAGTGGCGGGTCAAAGAGGCAACAGCAGGATGCGTGCTCCAACGTCAGATTCAGACTGCCGTCTGCGGGAATTCGGTGTTGAGCCACTCGTTCGAAAACCAGGACACCGACTCGAGGCCTGTGCTTCCGTACGAAACAAAATTGAAGTCGAAACCATCCATAGCGCCCTCGAAAGCATTATTGTTGTCCAGCCCCTCGGGTGGCACCACTGGGGGAAGGTTCGGCTTTGCAATGGCCGAGTTCAACAGCGGCTGCGACATATCGGGATATGGCATACCGCGCGCAGCCATTTGCTGCTGCATCATGGCCTGCTGTTGCTGTTGCGCCTGGGTTTGAGGCTGTGTCGTAAGTTGTTGTTGCTGCTGCTGATGTTGCTGCTGCTGCTGCTGCTGCATGTTCTGCACTGTTGTAGGAGTGTGCACGGACCCGTTTCCATGGGGTGAAGGGATGTAGTTGGATGGCGATCGTCCAGTACCCGCTGTGATGTCGTTATCATCGGTCAGACGCATTTGCTGAACAGGGTTGTGGCGCGACAGGACTTGTTGTGAAATCACGCTGACAGCACCAGGTGCCGGGCTGGCAGGTAGACTCGGAGAGCTGCTGGCGGACAGACCGTTGGAGATCAACTTCTCGAGGTCGGATACCTATCCAAGTGAGAGAAAGTTAGCGATTGCGGGGTGATTAAGTCACGATTCGGCACGGCACTCACGATAGCAGCGCCAGCTGGCAGGTGAGCCATAGTCTTCGCTACCTGCAGACAGCGGCTTGTGTGTTCCATGATCAAATCCGCCGAGATGCCAAACTCGCCTGCATGCATCTGGTGGGCATGGAACAGCATGCGAGCGCATTGATAGGCACACGCTGGAAGGTCGAGGTCTGTGACGGGCAAGCCGCCATCGAGTTGATGTATTGACCTGAAGATTTCCGCCATCGCCAACGCATGCTCGTAACTTCGGCGGGCGCAGTGCATGACGAATTGAGGGTGGAGGCGGTCGATTGCGGACCGCGGAAGCGCCTCCTTCAAGCCACTAAGGACCACACGATACAAGTCGCTGTGGCATTGCCTCCACCAGATGTGTATCATAATAAAGACACACAAGCGTGGTGAATAAGCCCGAAGCTGTAGATTGCTGTCGGAGAATTTGAACGAGGCGGGAAGATGCTCGTTGAATCCCTGCAGCTCCTCCTCGAGGACCTTGACAAGCTCTGGTAGCTGGGCGATCTCCGTGTCGGGCATGGCGAGGACATTCTTTGTACAGTAGAGCACTCGGCTACGCATCCACAACAAGCGCACGTGGAGAGCCAGCGACCCGACGTCATCGGGAAACGGTTTCGTTGGGATTGGGCGGAGGTGTTCGGTGACTTGCGGCAGGTCGAACTCAAAATTCCGCTCGTTGCAGGGCAGTTGTATATGCATCGACTCGGAGGGTAGCAGCGTGAAGTCCGGGTAGCCACCGTTAATGCCAGAGTCTATGGTGACAAAGGCCCACATGAGCCGTCTCCTAGACTCTCTGGCGAGAAAGCATAGGCCTGGGTTCTCGTAGTTGAGGCGCAGGGCATATGCAAATCGTGCTGCCGTGGCAGCAAGCATAAAGGCACCAGTGAACCTGCGTGAGAGCATGCGGTGCTTCATGATGAGAAGCAGCGCCTGGATCTTGATCGTCGAGGGATTCTCGAGGTCCTGCAAAATCATGTTCTGGCACTCGTCTATGCACTTGGTGCCGTACTCGCGCATGCCAGGCCCGAGATCGGTCAGGAGGGATGTCAAACCGACCAGGGCCAACAACAAGGCCCGATCCATCATGCCGGAATGGTATCGCTGCATTAGCGACGCTCGGTGGAGGAAGGAAAAGACTGGCACGTGGTGAACGTGGCGGAAGAAGTTGTTGAATGTACGCAGGATCAGCGTCTCGTCGGGGAATTGTATCCTAGATGGAACACGTTAGCACAGGCGTGGAGGGTGGTCGTTTTCACACTGGGGGGGAGACGTACGGCTCGTGGCCGAAGATTCTGGCGGCGGGCGCTCTCGACAGGTCGTAACTGGCGTCGTCTTGGCCGGGCACGCGACCATGATGGGCCCCGTTGTCGTCCTTGCGCAGCATAGGCCGCTTTTCCGGGGGCTCTGATCCTATAGAGTCATGGTCTGAATCGGTGCCGGTGCCAGTACCGGTGTAATGTGTCGAGCTGCCATTGACACCACCAGAACGTTTCGTAGGCTTGTAGACACATTCGATCCCTTGTGACTGACAGCGGGCACACTTGGGAGTCTCACCGCTGCAGCGGGCTTTGCGCGAGTGGCAATTGATACAGGCCAAACGTACTCGCCGCCGTGGGAGGGAGAAAGATGCGGCCGTCTCGGCATCGATCGCAGGCGAGCCGGTGTCTTGGAACGAGCAAGTGAAGCCCAGCCGCTCGCAGTTCTGGCACATGTCTCGCCGGCCGTCGCACTTGACCTTGCGGGCTCGGCAGGTCGCGCAGGTCGAGCTAGACTTCTTGACGGGGCGGTTTGAGGAGTCGAAGGCCGGGGCGTCGCCCATCGCATCGAGGGCGCCATCGCTCGTGGGGAGATCAATACTCAAGCGCTCCATGTCTGGCCGGGCGCATGGATGTCGGAGGCAGGTTCGGCAGCGGGGGGCGCAACCTCGTGGACGGCTCCAAGAGGCGCGCCGACACTAGTTGCCCTTGTGGTCGGCGTGCGTAGGCAGGCTACGGCTATCGAGAAGTTTCGGAGAGCGGCTGCGGTCGGCGCGTGCGACTGAAAGAGCGAGAACGGAGGGCGGGTTGCTGCCAATGGTCGGCCGGGATCGAGCGTGTGCAGGGCACGGCAGGGGAGAGGCCGGCGAAGGGCGAATTAAAGTTTGGAGGTCGTGGGGTGAGGTCGCTGGAGGTGGTCGTGATGGGGAGGGGGACGTTTGTGGTGAGAGAGCCGGTGGCGGGGCGAGAGAAGGAGCAGAAGACGGCCGGTGGGAACCGGGCAGGCGCCACGGTGAAGACAAGGCCGAGGGGCGAACGGGGAAGGTTTGTGGGGAGCAGGACGAGGACGATGAGCAGCGGTCGCGGACGCTCCCGACGGGACTGTCAGGCGGTGCGGTGCGGCGCTGTGAGTGAGCAGCAGCAAGGCCAGGCCAGGCTGTGCGAGTCGAGTCGCAGGCGTGGGATCGGGCGCAATGACTTGGGGAAAACGAGACGTTACGCCCGCATCACCAGTATGACGATTCTCCAGGATGCCCGCGGCGATGGATGCAGTCCAATCGAATGAGGCTTGACTGCAGGCCCGGCGGCTGGTCGGGCTCGAGGAGCGGAAGTCGCTGGCCCGGGACAGTGGGCGAGGGCTCCACACACAAAAGACGGGGGCCGCGGGATTGGGGGCCGTCCACGCCTGCTAATTAGCTCGAGAGCGCAATTGATGATGATGTCCTGAGGTTAGCCGTGATGCTGGTCTCGACACACATCGAGGAACGACAGGCAGCCGGACAGGATACGCAAACAAGACCAGGCCAGGCTGTCCCTCTCTGACCTGGGGAAGCTGCAGGTCTGACCCGGAGCTTGGACCTTCCGTGCCTGTTGCTGCTCATTTCAGTGCCATGATGATTGAATCGCCAGCCAGAATTCCACCACCGCCCTGGCTCCTCATTGGGCCACGCTTCATGGCTGCCATGCCACCGAGCAGCACGACTCGAGCTTCCCTGTGCACAGGCAAAGACACCAGCGCGGCCTACCTTTTCTGATGCATTGCCACAACTTTTGGTTTTCTGTGACGTGGTTGCTGTTCAGTAGCATTAAAATCACAACTGCAACCCGTGGTGGCCATCTGCCTGAAGCCCACCCAGCCTCCAGAGATTATCTTTCCGCGTCCACGTGACGTGACGTGCATAACGGCCAGGCGCACTCAGTGCCGAGACAGCGGAAGGATGAAGGAAATCTCTAGCTGTCGTCACGTCACCGGGTGTTTCCCGGTACCAGGCACGTCTTGGCACATCCCTGTGGACTTGCGGAACGAGCAGGTATCAGCAAAGCAGGCGAACATTCTAAGCTGGCAGAGCCACCAACTCCTGCTCTAGCTGTTCCAGAACCTGCTTCCACAATGTTGTAAAACTTGCAGAAGAGCTTTGAATATATTATCGCTGGGACGCATTCGCCAAGCAAACACTAGCAGGTTGACCAGGCATCAACTTAAGAAAAAAAGGAAGCTGCCCCACCTTCTGGCAGCCCTTCTGCTCGCGACAAGCTGTCTCATCCAGTCGTCGGCGGACCTCCGACAGTTTCGACAGTTCACGCAGTTCACTGATCCTGGCTTTTTGTGTTATGTTGAAGGATTGATATCAAAGGACCGCCTTTAGTGAACCAGGTACAAATGTATAAAAATCTGGAGCGGATATGTGTCAGCAGCAGCAGCCACCGAGCCAATTCGATATAGCAAATAAAAAGCTCCGAAAGCTCGCGTCGTCTTGCCACTCACCCGACAGACACCAAGGCCCACCCACACGCACGCACCCACGCATTCGCACATCTTTGACAATCCCTGGATGGGGGCAAGAATCGCCGGTTCTCCGCTAAATGCTTCGCCGACTTCCGCGACAGCCGGTATTCCGATCGCCGCCCGCCCGCCCGCCGCAGCGCGGTTCCTTCGGAACCACCTGGAACCACTTCTTGGCTCCGATAACAACGTGGGAGCCGCAGAGAAAGCGCCCGCAGCAGCAAACGACGATGTCACGCAGCTCCGCACAGCGATTGTTGAATATCTGAAGGGAGGCGTCCCAGCAGATAAAGTGAAAATAAAAATAAAGATAAAAAAAAAACAAGAAAAGAAGAAAAGAGAAAGGAAATGCCAACGACTTACTTCATCGCCACCCAAGTTAATGGCCCAATCTAGCCCAGCCAGTCCACAAGTTGTTTCGTGTAGTTTGTGAACACACAGGAGGTGTGCATGCTTGACCAAGAAGCGCAAAACAACGCTGATCAGGCCACCCGCCAAAGATCGCAGGGAGTGTACCTATAACTCTCAACTTGCACAGAATCGCCAACCACCTTGAAATATCATCTCCTCTGTTACAATGATCTCGAGGACAAAGACTACATCTCCCCAGCAGAGTGAGCTTCCCTCGCATCATAGTAGGACGAGAGGCTTCAAACGCGAGCAACGGCAGAGGAATCAAGGTCGAGGCACATGCCTAAGTACGTTAGCATAGATACTGGGTGCCTGAAGTGTTTTCACGCCATGGTGAAATACCACGAAAGAGCTGCTGCCTTTTTCATTACACATTACAAGCCCAGGTCAGGCCAGGCCAGGCCCCAGCCATTGTAGAATGAGGCGGAAAAAGGCTCGTCAAAATCCATAACGTTTGGCTGTCCGCGTCCATTCTTCCCGTGAAAAACCAATGTTCAATAATCACTCGCCCCTTCGAGAGCCACGATTTGGCAAGAGTTCTTCAGATTTGGTAGATAATCATGTACATTTATCATTACATTCGTACCAATTAGTTAGACTCTATACGTAAAACTTGAATCCGCGCGCCCCAGCTCCACGAGAAAATTCGCCCAGAATGAGAACAATAAAAAAAGAAGTCTAAGCCGCCCCAGTCGCTCCAAGCAGGGTATACCATGCACACGAAAATATACAAGAATCGAACAATTAGAAAACCATGGGGGAAGAGGGAATATGGGGAGAACCAAGAAAAAAAAAGAAAAAGCAGGCGCCAGCCAGAAACCTCTCGTCCGACGGGGTGCGCGAAAAACCACCCATTCGGCCCGGTCGAACGAACACCACCCTGGATAGAATCGACAAAAAAAAAACGCCCCATGCTTACGGCATGGCAGAATCTCCCGGCCCGGTCCCCATGTACCCCTTCAACTGCGCACAAGTGTCCGGCACGGGGGGTTCCAAGAACGCCGTGGCAAGGCGCCACCCGTACACCCCAGACCAGACGTGCGGGATCACCACCTCCCCCCCTGCGATGTTATTCCCGCTGTTGCCTGTGCCGGCACTGCTGGGAGGAGAAGGATAGGCGGCAGCGGCACCAATGCCCCAGGGGCCAAAGGGTTCCAGGTTGCCCCTTACCGAGCCGACGACCTGCACGGGCGCGTTGGCCGGGTCGGTCGTGAGCGTCGTGTTGAAGAGGCGCTTGTAGTTGTCGCAGATGCTCGGCTCGGCAAAGACGGGCTGGTTGGTGATGTTGACGAGAAACTGGAACGGGTAGGGGAACGCGCCCGCTTCTTCGGCTAGCAGGGCAGGACGGGTCTCAAAGTAAAGTGACCGCGAGGCGCTTTTCCACGGTTCATCATGACTGTCGCCGGGGGTTTCGCCATGGCCTGGTCCGGACCCGCCGCAGGATTTTCTTCCCGCTTTCGCGAGCGTGGTCGCCGCTGCCGACGACGGCAGAGCGGTGGTGCTACTGGTATTGTTGTTGTTACCGGGACTTCCGGACTCGGCGTTTGACCACGCTCTGAAGGTAGCCAGGCCCGGCTCATGCCTGTCGCCATCGCTTCCGCTACGGCCAGCCCGGTACGCGTGGCACGGCGGGTCAAACGCCGCCGGGTACACATTGACGCCAAACGCCTCGGTGCCCTCTACAGCTGGGGAGCCGGCCGTGAGGAGCATGTTTGCCGCCCAGCGGAAGGCGCTGTGACCATCGTTGAGGGCGTCGACAAAGGGGAACTCGAGGGCGGCGCGCTATGAACGGGGGTGTTAGTTGCTTGCTCGCTAGGCATGATCATGTGACGATGATGGGCAATGACGTTGGCCGGTCTGGAGGATCCTGCTCTGTGCGTGCGAGACAGCAGGATGAGAGACATACAGGATTGGCGTCTTGAGGCGCCCCCACCAGGCGGCCGAAGTACAGGCCACTTGACGAGAACCGGCATTACACGAAGGGGAAACATCATAACTCACCGAAAAGCTTGGTGGCGACATGCTATACGCCGGAAACCTCAGGTCGTGGTCATACACGGCGACCGCCATCATGGGGTACATGCCCATGGGGAACCCGGGCAGCCACTCTCGCCACTGGTGCTCGAGGAGGCCGTACTCGGACGGGATGGCCTGCCGGGCCTGGGCGAGCGGGATGGGGACGATGAGGGTGGTGCCGTTGAGGTTTCCGCTGACATCGCTGGGCCAGAGGTGGCTGATTGGGTTGGGCTTCCCATCGGGGATGCACTGTGTCGTCGAGGCTGGTGGTGACGGTGTTGTGGACGCTGGCGGCGAGGCTGGTGGTAAGGAGGCGGCATCGTCGTCGTTGCTGGCACGGACAGCAGCAGCGGCGACGCCTTTCTGCCGCAAGGCGCGATGCGTCTCTTCGTGCCGCAGGACGTGATACAAGCCGCCGCCCGTCGTGCCGGCGACGGCGACGGAGCTGAGGGCGAGGACCGCGGAGAGGGCGAGGAGCAGGGTCGTGCCACTGATGCGCCGGTGCGCGGGCGAGGCGCGGGCGGCGCGCATGGCAGAGGACGAGCCCGTGATGCAACGACAGCGACAGCGACAGTGACACCCGCCAGCCGTGGGCGTGTTGGGATGTGACGTCCAAGGTGGACAGGCTGGAGCCGATTTTCTTGCTGATCGCACGTGGCGGGCGCCGTTGAGGGAGCAATGTCGATCACCCCCACGCGCGTTGCTCCGGAAATTGTGCCGCGAGAATCCAGGGGTTTGCAGAGAGAGTCACTGTGGGCGGCGATCCCAGCTGGGGGCTCTCTTGGCGTGGGCAGACTGTGAATGAAACACGGGGCACGGCGGTTTCTTATGTCTTGCAGGTCTGTTCTCGTGAGAGTCCAACAACAAGAACAAGAAGAAGCGCAGGGTGGCGTCAGCACTCGGGGCAAGCGTGGGTGGCTGCTGCTGCTGCCGGCAGAGGAAGCGGCCGGTGGTGGGCAAGGCTTCCAGAAGGGGCTGCGAGATCCTGCAGGACGTCAATTTGAGTTTGTTTGGGGGGTGGGCAGCTGGGACAGAGACAGCAAAGGCAGGACAGGGGGCAGGGATTGGGCAGGTGCAAGGAGCCACCGGCCTGGGAGGAACAGGGATTTTCTTCATCCATCCATGCCGGGTCCTGGCCCCCAACCGGCAGGACCCAATGCGTCCCTCCGCCCCTGTCCCGGAGCGCCCCCCTTCCCTTTTAGGGCCCTGAGTCCGGCATGTTGGTTGGCATGTTGGTTGGTTGGTTGTGAGCCGCAAAAAATTACGACGGCTAGCTCACGCCATCGTGACGAGATGCTTCCTTCTCCAAAACTTTGTGCCATGGGATGACGTTGGTGGACCAACTGCCACGAGGGGTGCGGTTGCATCTGGGCACATGCAAGCTCAACAGCATTCGATTGCGACCCCGCGGAACCCTGCGGGCAACTCTACACGCGCGCGCACTCTCCCGACTGGCTGGCGGTTTTCGCGCCGCCGTTGCGCCCACCGCATGGAATCTCACGCTTCCGGCACTAGCGACAACGCCTCCTCCAGGTGAGAGTCAGACATGCACACTCTCTACCGCCCGGACATCCGGCCATTCCGCAAGTACCTTAGTGTAGGTACAGTTCGACGCAAGGCGCAAAAAGTCCTCCTCCACGGGTGGACGATCGTGATGGTGCAACTCGTGTGCAACAGCCCGCCATTACGACACCACGGATTACCCAGAGGACTTACTGATAGATTCATTGTAAGCGCGGATCTGATGATCTGGTGGTTCCTGTCCACTAAACAAGATCCCGCACTCTGCCTCTCGCTTCCCTAGTTCAGCTGAATGAAGGCCCAAATGCATGAACCCACAGACGGCTGGAGATGGGCAAGGTTGTATATATCAGAGGGACTGGGGGTCAGGCACTCGTCTAGACTCAAATGACCAAAAACAGCCCGCTGATTACCCTATTGCACTTACCTGAGATTGTGTACCGAGGTAAGCACTCACCAGTAAGACTTCCAAAACTTCAAGATCACGAGATACAGAGAGTCTGGCAAATAAGCTTAAGCAAAGACGTAGATAGGGCTTAGAAAAAAAGAAGAAAAAAACCCCTCGTGGAAACGCGTCGATCGCAGGTTTGAAACGAGGGTCAAGCAACCTAGTTTGACAATGCACGCCCGAGCTCGGCATGCTCGTCCAAGATGGCGCCCCGCCCCCCACATACATTGGCGCCGGCACTTCTCCCAGGCATGTGGGATGACCTTACCGACGTTCGTTACCGGAAACTTGGTGGCCCGCACTTTTGGCGGGGGCTAATGTCAGACTTGCAAACGGAAACCAAACATCCCGGACGACCCAAGCGGGAGAAAAGTAACTTTCAAGCGCCGTGTGGCTTGCCCGGAAGCTCGCCGGGCCGGCGGATCTGGGGTTGGAAACGACGCATCGCAGGCAGGGCATGCACACGTGGGTTGCATGACATTGTTTGGAAACAATAGCCGATGGCAGGCAGGCGCGCGATACGACGCCAGGCTCGGAGCAGCTATGCCCTGAGAAGACTGTCAAGTTCTCTTTTGTGTGTGCTTGCCTCTTATTTTTAGTGACTACTACGTATTTTTGTCTTTACTCGTAGGCATAGCCGTGACAGAGGTTGGATTTGCCAAAAAATCCCAGGCCCTTTCCTTCAACATCAATACAACAAGCAGGAGACACGCAGGCTTTCGCCATTAACCCCTTAAGCCATATCATCACCATTTCTTGGCTTCCGCGCCGTCCGGGGGTATCGTCTCATACTTTTTCGTCTTCGTCTCGGTCCAATCCGTGCTGAGTGCCGTGCCATTGCTCTCAATGTAGCTCTTCATCATGGCCCGCCGCGTGTCGTCATCCGCGTTCTTGTAGACCTGCTGGAAGAAAGCATTCACGTCCTCGCTTTTCTCCTCGCCTTCCTCATCGTCAATCTTGTCCCAGTTAGTCGGACCGCGCTTTGAAGACGTCGGATAGGCAGGACCCTTCGAAGCTGGTCCAGATGCAGATGTGCTTGCGGCCTTGGATAGGCCGGCCGTGGGAACGGCTGTCGGAGCTGTGCTCTGAGCGGGAGACGCAGCGGTGATTGTCTTTGTAGCATCCGGGGAAGAGAGCGTGGTCCCGGAGACGGCTTCTTTGAGCTTGCTTGCGAGGTCCTGGGCCCACTGTTCTGCTGAAGCTGAGCCAAAGCTGGGAATCACGTCTTGTGGCTCCTTGAAATTCTGCTTGGTAAGAAGAGTGTGGAACTGGTTGAAGGTCGGGTTCGTGCCGAGAGCGAGATTGTCAAACAGCTCGGCGTTCTGCTTGCGCAGGATGGGCCACTTGCCAGGCGTCTCTTTGGTGAGCACGAGCTCAATCTTCATTGACTTGACGGTGAACTTGGTCTCTGACGGATTGATCTTGTCGTGAAGCAGCAAAGTGATCTGACCAACGCCAGGAACCGGACTTAGAGTGACCTTGAAGGAGCAAATGTGAGTTGGTAAACAAATTGCGGGGCAACGGGGGCTATCACTTACGCTGTCCAGGTCTGCGTCAACCTGCAAGCTGTCCTTGTCCACGTTCTTCACAAAAAAGTCCACATTCAACGTCCGATCCGACTGATAGAAGCTCGACCTGATATCCTTCTTGCCGTGCACGGCACGGAACTGACTCCACAGGTTCTCCCACCCCTCCTTGCCAGTCGTGGGGCCAGAGGGTTGAGCCGGTGTCTGTTGTACCTGGGCTGTGGGTGCAGTTGTTGGTTGCGAACTCGTCTTTTGCTCCGTGACCTCTTCCACTCTCTTCTTGACAGGCGGCTCCTTCGAAGGCGTGGAATACTTTGCAGAAATCGTGATCTTCCTTCCTGGAGCGCCAGCCTCGAGACCGGCCATTTGCGTCAGGGCCTGCAGACGCCATGAGAAGGCCTGGTTCTTCATGGAAACAGCCTTGGACCGGTTGCCCCCCTGTTGTGCCATCGCAGATGCAAGCCCGCCTTCCTTATCGTCGGGCTTTTGCGCCTCGGTGACCTCCTGAGCCGTGACAAGGTAGTCGCCATTCGCATCGACCTTGCCTAGCTGACCGTCATCCTCGGTGGCACGGGCACCCTCGATCAGTCGAATAGCCCACGCCGCGCAGACGTCTGCGTCCGCGTACTGACCCATGCGGAAGTACGTCACCGCCCGCCGGATCTGGGCCTCGATGATCTGGTCACGGTTCGCGCGGTCAAAGGCCACCCGGAGCGCCTTCTCGGCATCCCACATGGCGAGTTCAAAGTCCTTTGTACGCAGGTATGCCTTGGAGCGCTCAAGGAGCCACAGCGGTGCTGGCCGCTCCTTGAGCGCCTCGGTGAGCTTCTCAATGCCTTCCTGGTAGCGGCCCGCTTGTACAGCCTTGACGCCTTGATCGGCGAGCACACTTGCCGATGGCATGGTGGAGTTGTTGCTGAGTACGGTGTGAGATGTGTCTGAGCGCGGATGTTCTCGACTTGTGTAACTGAGGTCGATTACTGGAGAAGCTGCTCAAAGATAGAGGATCAAGCCTCGTAGCATGTTCCAAGCTCTGCGCGGTGATTGTGGAACAGCCCTTAAGTATCCAGGTGTGACTGAGGCATCGAAACCCCGGCTTGGAGGTCGAAGATGGAGGTGGGGTCCTGAGATGCCTGAGGTTGGCAGTTGGCCCACAATTTAGGCAGGAACTCTTCTGTTACCATTCGAAGAGCTTCCATCGAGGTGCAGAGCACTGCAGTCGGTTTGCTTTTTCTGGAGATCCAGCAGACGAATTCATGGCAATGTCTGTAAGGTATCCAATTGGGAATAATTGATGCTACCCATCAACCCGCCGTTTATTCATTCGTGTAGAGTTTCTGCTATTATTTTATTACAACTTTCCCTGCAACCATCGCAGCCATTATTATAGCTCTTCCCGCCATGCACTTGCCCCCTTCAGACCGTCTCGTTGGGGTACTTCTTGGCGAACATGCCCAGTGCCTTCATAGTGAAGGTGAACTTGTAGTTGGGATATGAGATCATGCAGCTTTTGTTGAAGACACCTTCGATGGCCTCTTGCTCCCACTCCCCATTGTCTTGCTGTCGATCCATGATGAGCTTGATACCCTTCTTGATCTTGTCGACGTCTGGGTAGTCAGCCGTGATGAGGCCGATGACGGCCCACGCGGTCATGACCACCTGGCTGCCCGAGGCATGCTCGGTGTACACGCTTTGCTCGCATGACTGTAGCAGAAAGTTAGTCATGTTGAGACACATTTACACACACCTATGCACACACGCTTGAGAACTTACCTTGTAGCTCTCGGACCAGCCTCCATCAGCGCGCTGCTTGGAGATCAAAAAGTCACAGGCCTTCTTCGCGTACGTGCTGTTGCTGTAGTGCTCGCCCATGCTGTGGAAGCTCTCAAGAGCGAACATTGTGGCGTAGGTATAGCAAATGGCCCAGTTGCCGTAGAACGAGCCGTCGGGGTTCTGGTACGTTTTGATCCACTTGAATGCCCTATTGATGAAGCCCTCGATTTCCTTGGCCCTGTACTCTGGCCAGTACTTCCCGAAGAGCTTGAGAGCGGTGATGACAGCCGTGGTGCACTCGACGTAGTCGTATTCGACCATAATCTTACCAAACACCTCGGCTGCGTTGAACATCTCCAGCAGCTCGCTTCCCCGTGTCGGCTCATACGAGGAGCATGCACCGCTGGCATTCTGATATGTCAACAACGTGTCGACCGCATCGTAGAGGCGTTGATCCTCGAGCAGCTGAGGGTAGCCCGGTGTTTTCTGCAGCAGAATCACAGATTTCAGTGCTTCCGAGATACAGTCGCACACAGCGTACCCCTGCGCCTTGTTGCTAAAAGCCCAAGCGCCCTTGCGCTGCTGGCGGTAGCAGAGCTGCTGGTCATCGACGTCTTCCCGAATCTGCTGATCATCGAGAAACTCGAGTGCTTTCACAAGCATGGGCTTCCACCTGGGATCCTGCTCAAGACCAGCGTCGACCACAGCCTGTACCAGGAACGAGGTATCCCAAGATTGCACACCGTTTGTGCCGTTGCAGAACATGCCCTCCGCATTGACCCACATGCTGTCCTCGAGGCGCTCAACGTGGCGTCGTACAGAGTACGAACCCGGACCATCGCGAATATAACAAACGACGGTATTCATGGCGGCGTTGACAGGGGCAAGATCCAGGTAGTCGGTGTTCTTGTCTTCCATGTCGATCAGTTTGCTGACCCAATCTCGTGCGCTCTTGCGCAGGCGATCAGTGCGGCAGTAAGGGTTCCAGAAGTTGACCAAGACCCAGTTGATAGAGTTGAGGAGCCACGACTTGGGGTGGTAGTTGTCTCTAGGGCAGATGGTGTTTCGGTGGGCGGCCCAATTTATGCTTTCGTAGGGCTCGACGAAGAGTTCTTGCCTGAGCGCTCTGATGAGGTCGTTCTCTGGGCAGCTCCAGCGCTGATCCCAGATGTAAGTCATGGGCAGCATTACCTGCCGAATGTGAATCCACCACCTCCATGGAGCTATGGGAAACCAGTCCGGCAGAAGCCACAACTCTGGGGGCACGGGATTGACAATGTCCCACTTGCTGACACCCAACACACTGAGCCAGCACTTTGCCCAGTGTGGCGAGTGTGTAGCGCCGCCCAGCTTGTGAAGCGTGGCTCGTGCCTTGACCATGACGGGGTGGTCGGGCTCGACGCCAATGATGCGGAGGACGGTGTAGTTGAGGGTTGTGCCAAAGACGGTGCTTTCGCCCTCGATGTGAAGGCCCCAGCCACCGTCGTCCGGGCTGGCTCGGGCGAAGAGGTAGTTCTTGATCTCAGTGGCGACGTACCACGGAATCGGCGTCTCCGTGACATACCAGGCGATGACTACTCCTGGCAAGAGGAACATGGGACCGCCATACTCGCAGCCCCATTCGCCGGAGGGGAGCTGGAGCTTCTCAAAGAAAGTCAGGCCGTTGCGTACAGCGTCGAGCGGCGTCGAGGGCTTCGGGAGCTTGGGGAGGTTCTAAACAGCAGAGAGAGTCAACGATAGGTCACTCGGTCAGTAACAAGATTGTCTATCTCACGGTGTCCATGCCGAGGAACCATTTGTCGGCCTCGCTCTGTGGCCATTTTTTGGCGGCAGCATCGTCCTCGAGGTAGTGCCAGGTGTGGCTGCCCTTGTCGCTGCGCATGCGCCAGCGGGTGCGGTCTGTCTTGTCCTGGATCTTGGGACGTTTGTGTTCGACTTCGATGTCGGTATCGCTGTTGCTGTCGCTCGAGCGCTTGCGCAGGGTCGTCTTGCTGCTGGCGACGCTGCCATCGTCACGGCCAGTAGTCTGGCCGTTGGTGTGTCCATTGGCATTGCCGTTGGCGCGGGCAGGGGTAGCGCCCCGGGATCGTGTCGTGACCATGGCCTGGCGTGGTGGTGTTTGCGGTGCTCGTGGACGTGGAGTCGACCTGGGTTGGTGGATGGCGCGAGCGAGAAAACAAAGCAGCGGAGAGCCCTCAGTTGAAGCAGACGATGGCGTCCTTCAGGCGGTGTGATTAAGTGGCACGAGACACCAAGATGCTGAATGCTCCTGCAGCTGTGGGCGAGTGATGCGTTGCTGGCCAAAACCCAATCAAGGGGATGGGGGATCCTGGGCCTTGCAGCTACAAGCGTGCAGGCGGGTGGGTGGTGTGTACCTGTGCCTGGGTGTGCCTGCCCCTGAAATTGTCGGGGTCGCGGGGTCTCAGTGCACCGATCGCCGCTACCACGACCGTCCCGTTTCCGTCTGCTGACTTCGCACCCTTGTGTTTGTCCAGCTCGACTGCACCTTCCCACGCATCCTGTGCCAGGCTCACATTAGGCGATTTGTCTTCGACGCTGCCTCTGCTTTGCCTGCAATGCCTGTGATAGCATCTTTTCACAGCGTCTCTAGCCGGCTATTCGACATCTACTGTGGTTCTTGACCTCTCGTATTGTCCTTCTCATCGTCTTGCGTCTCCCGTCTTCTGGTCCGCTTGCACCTTGTCCCTTGCTTCCGAGCTCGTACGACGAAACGTGCAACGAGTAGTGGCTGAGTCGGCGCCCAGACAACCTCACCTGCCCGACCCCGCAGCTTTACCAGCCAAGACATTGAATTCGACCGAAATGGACAGTGACTTCGACCGAAATGGACAGTGAATTCGACCGAAATGTGATGACGTCAGCCATGGACCTCGACACCTCGGTCGCATCCCAGTTCCCTGGCCATGCGATGCTTTCCAACCCTACTCGCGTAGAAGGACCTGAGCTAGGAGCTGTAGTTGCCAAAATTGAGGACATGCTTGAGTCTCTCATCGATGCTCTGACAACAGGGACAGTATTGGCATTGCCCCTGAGGAGCCGAGACTCGGGCCGCCAAAACATGATCAGGTTTCCTGGAGCCAACGATAACGAGGTGAAGAAGTTCAGTAAGTTGAATCGGCCACCAGGTGTAGAGGCTTGTCCACGTCACGCAATGCGACTCACCTATGGCGGCCATTCTTGAAACGAGCCAGCCTCGCTGCTGCTTGTTCTCCACATATGCCATGAAGCTCTTGTGAACGACTACATTGTCACCAAAAGGTGGGTGTACACGCGGCAAAGATGCAGAGATGAATTCTGACAGTGACATGCAGAAGTATCTACTACCAGGATCCTGCGCTCTTCGGTAGTCAAGAATTTGTGAACCGACTGGTTGATGGCCTAGCATTCACTCTTGGTGTTAGTCGAGACGCACTGAACATTGTACAAGACCCACCATCTGCCAGTGAAGTGGCTTACAGATTTTCGCTTACTCCGGACAAGGTTGCGGCTGCCAAAGGCCTCATCGTCGGTGATCTCGTTGTTCGTTCCAAAGATGGTACCACCACCAAATACAGCTACGGTGAAAAGGTGAGCAATAAATGCGAGAACCAAGTCAGTAGCGGAGGTTGCTCACTGACCATCCTCTTGTCCTAGGGCGCTCTTCTTCCACGGACACGAACCATCCAGCAACTCGAACTGGGCGCCGTACTGTGGGTTCTTGTGATTGAGAAAGAAGTGAGCAATGGATCGGTCCACATGATGGTGTCCACGTGCTGACGCAGCATGTAGGCCACTTTCAGAAGCTTGGCGGCCAGCCGCTTTCACGCAACGACACCCGCAGGTCGTGGCATTTTAGTAACTGTGAGCTGCCACGGGCACCATGACGGAGCGCAGCTGACAATCACGACGCAGGGCAAGGGCTATCCAGATCTTGCTACACGACAATTCCTTAGCCTGCTTCGCGATGTGTTCCCGCTAGTGCCCATGTTTGCCGTTGTCGACTATGACCCCGATGGAGTCGGAATCCTCAGCACTTACACGCGCGGCAGCCAAAGTCTTCAGCACGAACAAGACGCAACTGTCCCGGACCTCATCTGGCTCGGGCCCAAGAGTCATGATCTTCTCGCCTTGACAACGTCAACCGCAGGTGGGGGCAGCGCACATAAGCTCCTCGTGCCTACTCTGGCCGATCGCCGCAAGGCCAAGCACTTACTAGCAAATCTGTCGAGAGACGATGCACATGCTGAAGTCCTCAGACACGAGCTTCAGATGATGCTCTTCCTCAACATAAAGTCGGAAATTCAAATGGTTGATGAGGAAGGACACTTGGCCAGCTGGCTGGACGAAAGACTCTGCAACTTTCTCGACATGACTGATGTATGAAGTGGCCTAAGGGCGGATCGGCCACTACTCAAGATTCCATCAGCTTTGCTACATGTAAACGTCGACGACAATGACGACGCGAAGATCACAAGTGCGAAGTAAAGGGTCTCTTAAATAAAAGCCAAACCGAGCCATCTGCAGTGCCATCACGTGATTACGTGATCTGACCCACTATGGTTTTGGCGTTGAGGGGCGGTCCAGCACTTCTTTCAATGTCGGCGCAAACTCGTCTTCGGTGTTAATTTGCAGTCCATCTCACGATTCTAGGTCTTCTTTTCACAAGCCAGAACTCTCAGCGAGATAGCCGAAGATATTGGCGCCTGTGCATCACCGCATATCATAAAATCCAGCAAAACTTGCGACTTCAGTGTCGAAAGACGCCCCGCAAAGGTCGATCCAGAAAATTTGGACCCTCCAAAAGTTTTACAGAGCCGCGGGGTCACAAACATCATCAGCCTTGCCGCAGGGGTCCTCAGATCCGTCAAGGGGGCCAGGGCTATATCACACCACTGATCGAGTGAACAAGATTCGCAGAAGAAGAAAAACACAATCTAGCCAGACGAAAATCAATCATGGCGCCAAAGCTTTCGGAAGAAGAGATCGACGACCTCATCTACCTCGCGCGCGCGGGTGAGGATGCTGGTCTGTCAGAAATGCTCGGCGAGATTGCCCAGAGAGAAGGCAGCACACCAGCCGAGGTGCTGAGTTCTGCAAAGGATGAGACCAAAGCGACGTGTCTGCACATGGCGGCTGCCAATGGACATTCTAGTAAGTCTGGTTTTGCGTTCTGTGATGAGGATGAAAATTGTGCGTCAGAAGGGGAGATATACGGACGGTGTGTGAGGGAAGTGGCTGTTGCCAGGTCTGCGATTTCGTAATCGTAGAGTCAGAAATGCAGAGACTTCGAAAAGGGCTCGCCTAGCTCAGACAGGTTGCTGCGTCTTGCTGAAAGATTTTCTGCTTGTATGAAGGCTTGCCTATTCAGGACTCCATGCTAACAGCGCGGTAGAAACCGTCACTCTGATACTCTCACACCTCCCCATCACACAGCCAAAGAAGAGAGGCGCCTCCTCGCCCACATCACAAGAAGAGACAGCCACATCATCCTCTACACAAAACGATTCCTCATCACAGCCCGCAACATCAACTCCCGAGGCCCCCTACATCGACGCACAAAACACCTATGGCAACGCCGCCCTCCACTGGGCCTGCCTGGGCGGCCATCTGGACGTGGTCAAGCTCCTGCTGTCTCGCGGGGCAAGCCCCACCGTCGCCAACGACAAGGACCAGATCCCGCTCGACCTGGCCGCGTTCAACAGCCACATGCATGTCGTGGACTACTTCCTCTCCCAGAGCCGGGATCTCGAGGGGGACAATGCACAGGCCGGCGGGCTTGAGGGTGGGGTCAAGGACGTGGAGATGAGCGTTGAGGAGGAGGTGGAGGAGGTTGCGGATGAGAATGCTGCTGGGCCGTCCAAGACGTCGGCGTGATGAAAGGGTGGTTCCAAATCGAAGGGCTTAGGAATTTGGAAAGGGTTTGGGGGTGCAATTTGAGTCGAAGGCAGAACTCAAGTGGTTCCCGCGGGGTATCGATTGCCGTTTGATTTACTTAGAAGCAATAGAAAGCATCAAAACAATGTCGAGACGCACTGAGTCATGCGTAGAAGTCCTGCAAAGGCTAGAAATGTAAGGCGTGCTCGTCGAGGAAGAGTGGAAAACACCTCGGCCGCAGGTCTTGCATGCATGTCACTGGAAAGAGGCACACGATTCTATGATCTTCTGGTTCTATCATCAGCGACTTGCGAAACCCCCATGAATTAGTCTTTGGGCACAAAGTCCAGTCAATCAACGCGAAGTTACAAGCCGGTATTTCCCTCGACTTGTCAGGGCCACCACATCATCACCGGTGACATTGAAATCATTTATTTGGGAAGCAGATGTGGCTGACTCTCTACAAGCACAGCCTTGCTATCGGCAAGACGAGAAGCCGGGCCAGATACCCAAATCAGCAGGCCCCTTTCAAGTCCGTCCAGCTTTGCAACCCAGCAAGATATTCCTCGGAAGAAGAGTCACTCACCGTTGAGGCCCGACGCGAAGCGAGGCCCCATCGACGGAGCGACGCGGCACACCGCTTCTTTCATTTTCCCTCCCTTCGACCATTCTGCAGCCTTTCAGACGGACTACTTGTTTCGGGGGTGTCGGGCACGGACCGATGGTGGTGTGAAGCATGTGGTGTGAAGCTGGTCAAGGAATGCCGTTTCCAGCTGCTCCTGGCTTCTCTCTTCTGCGACCAATCTCCCCGCCATTTCTGTGCTCGGGCGTACACTGCGGCAGGACTTGATCGGACCGATGCGGACTTGCAAAGTCCCGGCGGCTGCACGAAGGACATGTGTGGGTGTCCGCGCAGGAAAACCACCCTCCAAGTCCCATGGCTAATTCGGGTCGTAGTGTCGGTTCAGGCGCGGTGCGTGAATTGGGGGCTTGACATTGTGCCCAAAGATGAAACCCCAGCGCGGAGACGTGTGTGCTTCCAGAAGACCCGATGTTGCCCGAAGCGAGAAGGAAGGACGACATGGGTGCCCGAACCAACAGTTCCTCCTGTGCGGGGGTGTGTCCCAGTTGACGATATGTGAGATCACAGCCTGGATACGCGGGTCGACGAGGAACCTCTACACATGGCAAGGCTGGCTGCATGCTGCGCGAGCCATGTGACTCGAGCCTAGTGGCCCTGGAATAATCCGCTGAGAGGACGCGGGGCTTTCTAAACTTCCTAGAGGGGGTTGATCCTCGAAACCGGTCTGCTGGGCCAATAACGAGTGAGTATAAAGGAGCGAAGACCGGGCGAAGGTGTCCACGTGTTAGCATTCCTTCCTTGCAGCTGCTGTACTACCCAAGATGACCACATTGTGTAACGGGCGAGAATAGACTCCCTGGTCGCGAGGGTCCGGTGAGAAGTCGTGCCTAAGCAAGCTAAGGCTATACTGACTGGTGGAGTCGTTGTGGGGTAGATTGAGGGAGCCAGGAGTATCTCGAGGCGATTTCGTATTGCCAGGTGGTGTTGGGCATGCCGACGCAGATTATCAGACTGACTGTGGCTGCAATTTCACGTGGGAGCGTCGACAAGGGAGGTTGTAATGGGAGCCCACCCCGAACGTGCAGACTGTCCAAAAAGATATGTTGAGTTAGGCAGGGGGAATTAGCCATCATAGCAACCATGTTTCGTACAAGCTTCCTCGGACTAAGAAGTCAGTCAACAGCTCCATCATCTCCATAAGTGTCACTGCTGATCATCGAAATCCCAGAGTCACAGGACATTGTCTTTCTGCTGAAAAAGAGAACTGTCGAGCCGTGTACCATTCAAGGCGCAAATATCACTGTTAAGGTCGTGGATCAAATGTGTGCTGGAAAACGATTTCATTCATGCCCGTGAAGTTGGCCATGTGCAAGCAAAGTGGTGAGAACACTAATGACGGACGAGTGAGGATGCGACATTTATGTGGAGAAGAGCTGAACTGCGACAAGCGTTGTCTGGTATTACCATCATCGTCGAGAATGTCTGGAGTGAGGGTGAGACGTTGCCCCTGTATTGTCCAAAATGATAGCCTCGCATGCTTCTGCGTACGCAATGGCTGCAAATGCAGTCTCTGGGTCTTGGCGTGTTGGATCAACCGCTATGTGAACAAGCACCCCGCGTGGGAAGCCTGTGAAAGCTGAACAAAATGGAGTGTGAGTGATGTCTTTACAAAGACATGTCATGTTGCCCAGAAGGCTTGACTTACCCAAGTCGTCCCGTCGGGCCAGCCAACGGTAGCCCCTCCAGGTAGTCGTAAACGCCTCTCGTAACCGCCCTGGAGCTTGACCGAGCGCCATGAGTCCAATAATGATTCCGAACTGGCCACCAAGCCCACGACCCCCTTCAGGGGGGCTACGAGGATCGGTGCTTCGATATGGCTCTGGCACAATGCTTGGAATCCAGCTTGCAGGAGGGGCTATGTGCTTGGGTGAGTCCGCAGACGTACCAACGCGAGTTATCGGCCCGTCTATCTCAAGTCTAAGTGACCCCCAGGCGTTGTAATAAGCATCAGATGCTGGGTCGAGAACGTTCCCTAGCTCCACCATTGTGCAGTTAGTCACGTCTGTGTGAGCTACGACCGCGGGCACGAATGGGCCACAGTTGAAGAGAGTCCATCCTGTTCCGTAACTTTCGCAATAGACTGGGCCTGCTTCAGAGCCTGAGCGATCAGACGTGAATCTGTAAACCAGGACATCTTCATCAAGATTGTTGTTTGCTCCACGTCGCCAAGCATAGTCTGATGCCTCGAAGACGTCCCCATCTTTGTAGCGATATACCTGTGGTTCCCCCCAACTGTGTGTAAACTCTTCTTTCACCGATGGGGGCAGTGGGTTTCCCCAGGTATCGTGTAATGGATTCACAATATAGCCATCCGACACACCCAGCTCGATGACCGCGAACAAAAAGTCAACGGCACCGGAGTGTTCACGGTGGACAAGATCGACCCTGGGCTTTGACGGATGTCTGGATGACTTTGATCGTTTGTTGTGCCGATCATGGCTGTATGACTGGCGAGTATGTTACTTAGGATTCAACTTTGCATGGCGAATAAATGACCTACCGACTGGCCGAAATGGGAGCTTGGTGCCATGGCTGGGCCTTGTATGCCTTCTCTTCATAAGCGGGCAGTATATCGATCATGTTTGTCCAAGCCACGAGGCATTGATCCAGCCACCGCTTCAATCCTGGATAGCATCGCAGCTTTATAACGTGTCGTGAATTGACGCGCTTCACCATTGGACGGCTGCAGGAGATACGGCGGCGACCGAAGTCGTGGCAGGCATAAGTCCGCGGGCCACGATGCACCAGTACGGACACTCAGACTGACTGCAAGGTAGAAGCAGCAGATCGGCGCAAGTCAGACCGCCAAAGACACATCGTCATGTGTCTGTCCATTAGGCTTGACCGGGACTCAGTTGCCGGGTAGTATTGGCTCTGGACGAACATCGTGAAGAGGTCGTGTGGAGTTTTCGGCTGCTGCGGCCTTGTAGCACAAACGAGCCGCGTGACCTGATGCCAAGCACCCTCCCACCATCACTTCCTCCATTCCGGCTCTGACTTGCTCCAGCAGGGGTGATATGACGTCGGATTGAGCCCAATCGGCGAGGCTTGATTGCAGGAGGAGTTCAGAATCAGGCTGTCTCGAGGGTCCCTGGGCGGCCAGTGTTTCGTCAACCAATTTAGAGAAGCGGCACAAAGGTGATTCAAGACCGCCCGTCATGAACGCTGGGAGGGGTGTGCCTGCTGCCAGCCTATGGGTGACGACCAACCCATGGCAACCACCCCACGCAAGCTCTCACCGGTCTCGGGATGTGTCGGTCGTTCGTCCTGCTCAGGCATTGCCGACCATGAGCCGCCACCGGCGAGCACAGGCAGCGCGACGAAAGTCGGTTTAAGCGGTCGTGCAGTTGAGGCGAAAGTCATCCTTCAGCAAGTTGCCTCCTTGCCTTTGCCTGCCGAATGTCTTGGGAGCTTGGGCTTGGGTAGTGCTGATAGCCTGACGACGGCTTCATTTGGTCTGCTGCCTGCGTTCAGGGCCCCGACAGCAGCGTTGGGGTGAGGCTGACGAGGCCAGGATCATGTATACGAGGTCCCCTCTGCCTTTGCTGTGCTCCCAAGGTGGGGGGTTGTTGCCAGGGTGCCTGAGGTCGTCTTCGACAGCCCTTGGAGGACGTTGAGAGACTGATGCGAACCAGACGATAGCTGAGAGGAAGAGAGAACCACAAGATCTAAGAATCAGGGGCGGAGAGGAAGAGCAGAGACGGACCCAGTCACCTTTTTTAAGTACGAGCACAGAGTCGATTAAACAACCGTCTCCAAAATGTCGAGAGCAGGATCGGGCGAGGGATCAGGCACCGTGCGGCCGATGCCAATGATAGCGGCTGCTGTGCTGATAGGCTGGCTGCGCGAAACCGGACGTCGATGCTGGTCACGGCATCTCGTGTATGCCGTGCACTGGACGTGGATATCTTGGCTGGTCCGCAATCGTCAGGAGTGACCATCAAACGCTGTGGGTTCAGGCTGGATCGTGAGACCCTGCTGAACATGCTACGCACGGCCGAGACAACAAGCCGACGAGCAAGAGCTGCAGCACCAAGAGAATAGACAGGCCCGGACGAGGTCATGGCGACGTGCCAGAGGAGCCGCCCCTGTCCTGGCCCCGTAGCCTCGAAGCGGACAGCGGGTGCTCCCGCGCGCCTCGCAATTGGACAATGGGAGGGCCTGGCCTGGCATGGGGAAAACAAAGTGCCGGCAGTGGCAGTGGATTCGGGAATGCCATTCTCTCTCCCTGGCAGAAGGAGCGACTGCGGAACGCAGGGTGGGGCCCAGCTGGATTTTTCTTAGCAGAAAAGGGAGGCGCCGTGTCGCAGGCGCTGCCTCTGACTGGCCAGCCGCCCAGCCTCACTCTTTGTTATTTGCACGGAATCCTCTGCCTAGGAACAAAGAGCTCCTGCACCGCACGACACCAGGCACATTCTTACTTGCGGCTGCGTCTCTTCCGCAGGAGCAGCGACGGCGCGGATCGCAATGGCGGACACGAGCTTCGACGACAAGACCCGGGCCTTTCTGAGCTGGTTCAAGGCTCTGCCTGGCGCCACCTTCCAACCGGCCATTGAGATCCAGGACCTGCGAAGTCGCAATGCTGGCAGAGGCATTGGTGAGCAGCACCCGCGCAGCCAGCACCCTTCCTGCTCGACCTGCAGACTGACCAACCTTCCGCAGTTGCAACTCAGGACATTCCCGAGGACACCGTCTTGTTCTCCATCCCCAGAGACGCCATCATCAATGTTTTGACATCTGATCTGCCCAAGAAGATCCCAGCCGTCTTTGAGGAGTCCACCACGGGCCTCGAGGATGCTGACAACGAGGCCGACGAGGAGGCCGACGAGACCAGCACCGCGCCCGACTCATGGGTCTCGCTCATCCTCATCTTGCTCTACGAGTTTCTTCAGGGCGACAAGTCCAAGTGGAAGCCCTACCTGGACGTCCTGCCTCAGTCTTTTGACACCCTGATGTTCTGGTCCAGCAAGGAGCTCGATGAGCTGCAAGCGAGCGCCATTTCTGCAAAAGTGGGTCGGGACGAGGCGGAGAACATGTTCCGTGCCAGGGTGTTTCCCGTGATCGAGCAGCATGCACACATCTTCTATCCGGAAGGCGCGGCCAGGCTCACAGAAGACGAGCTGCTGCTTTTAGCTCACAAGGTCGGTAGCACGATCATGGCCTATGCTTTTGACCTTGAGAAGGACGAGGAAGACGAAGAGGCCGAGGAGGAAGATGAGTGGGTGGAGGACAAAGAAGGCAAGATCATGATGGGCATGGTGCCCATGGCTGATATCCTCAATGCCGACGCGAAGCCCAATGTGCGTTCTCCCCCATCCAGACTTGGCTTGATGTAGTACTAACCAACGCTAGGCACACATTAATCATGGCGAAGACGCCCTGACTGCTACAAGTCTCCGGCCCATCCCTGCAGGCACGGAGATTCTCAACTACTACGGCCCCTTAGGCAATGGCGAACTCCTGAGGAGATACGGCTATGTCACGGAAACCCACAGCCGCCACGACGTGGTGGAGATCCCTTGGAGTTTGGTAGAATCTGTGCTCAAGGACGTACTAGGACTCGACGATGCGGCCTACGGCAAGGCTGTAAGTGTTCCAATGCGAGACCAGTGAATGGACGACGTGCTGACCGATCTAGATCAACGACATCGAGGAAGAAGAGCTCGACGACACCTTCATTCTTGAGCGAGACTTGGAAGAGCCTGACGACAAAGGGGAGATCTCCACTGACGCTACAATGAAGCACCTTCCTGCAGACATCCAGGAGCAGATTGCCACGGTCCTCAAGGCAATACGCAAGCAGCACCCCGACCTCATCCCGGACAAGCAGAAGAGAGACGAGTTCCTGTTCACAATCCTGCATCGCACGTTTGAGCTCCGCCTTGCCCAATATCCGACCCCCATCGCAGAGGACGAGGCGACGCTTACCAGCAACGTCCTCTCGGGGCGGCAGCAGATGGCCAACGTGGTCCGATGGGGCGAGAAGGTTCTCCTCAGAGAGGCGATACGACTTGCACAACAGAAGAAGGACAGCCTGGTGCCCAATGGACAAAAATCCGAGCCCTCTTCCAAGCGCCAACGGAGGTGACACCGACTTACAGGCAAGGGTTGATGACCGAAGGGGGGAAGGGAGTTTGTTTTACCAATTTACGAATTAGCCGGGACGATCAAACATCGCACGATTTGTTGCATAACCCCTACAGGCGCAGAATGCGAATGAGCTTCAACAGCATAGAGAGCGGGCTCCACAAGCGGGAGGAAGGAACAAACGGTTGGCATCAGTCACAACTTTCGCCGAGACATGCGGGATTGGCACAGCGATGGATTTATTTTGGGTGATGTTAAGAGGGCGGAGCACCCTTTCTCAGAGGTAGAAGGACGACCTTCGAAATCTTGCCTCCCCTTGAACCAGACGACCTCTCCTCGAATCCAACATGGGTGACATGCAATGCTGCTGGCAATGAAGTTTCCAAACCCTGGCTGACCACTGCCAGCCAATAAGATCTGGATGATCGCTCGATGTGAAAGCCGCTAGCGCAGTGGAGTCGTACATATCCTCGCATCTGTTCCGGTAGTGCTCTCCACGTCCTGCGGGAAGAGAGTCCAGGGCGTGCCCCACCTTTGACGATCTCGATATAAGTTAGTGCGGCACCATGAGCTCATCGGTCGACGTTAGACAACATCGGGGACCGGCCCTGACCGCATCTACGGACCATTTGGTCCCTGATAAAGCGGCTCCCAGCGTGCCTGGCAGCTGTCCTTCCAGAGCCATGCGTCATCATTCATTCATTGCCGCTGCCGAGCGCCTGGGACTGGGCGGGACCTCAATCACGAGCCGCAGCCCTAGCCCAGGACCCTGCCTGGGCAGCTGCTCCTTCGCCATTGCCAGTCCCAACGTCCACTCCCGGCTTGCATTGCGGACGGATCCAGGCTGAAAGTGTCAAACGTTGTCTGCCTTCTTTCACACACATCCTGCTTCCCACTTGGGCATCCTCCACATTGGCACATCGACAGAGACATCCACTCGATTCCCCGATCGGCTGAGCTGTTCCTGCTCCAATTCGATCCGATCCTCTACCTGCACGCTGTCCATGGGTATTGTGCTCCGTGGCAGCCTCCTCCCCTGTAAGGCCCTGTCCGGTGACCGTCTCGCACATATCTGGCGACAACATCGCGCATTCTCCGCGACGTTTGCTCCGGCGCCTGCCGCCCAGCGCCCCAACCGCCGCCAGCGACCCCCTGCGGCCGCCATTGCTCCGCACACAACCTCCTATATCTCTTCCAGCCCCATAACTGGAGACCCTCCGACTTTCACAATGGGCCAGCGAAGGAAGCGATCCAGTGCTGCTGCCACTGCCGCCGATACAGAGGAACCACACGGAGTTCGGCAGCAGACCACGCCTCCAGGCAGCGAGGAGCCTGCCAACACGATGCCGAGCCTCGGACCCCGCAGATCAGGCCGGCACGTCAAGGATGGCGTGGGCCTCCGGGCAAAGAACGACGACTCTCTTGCAGGCGCGAAGACGAATGGGTCTAACAAGGCATCGGCGGCGTCTACAGGACGTGACAAGCGCAGGACAGGCAAGAACAAGTCCGACGGCGACCAGATGGACATTGCCATGGAGGGTCTTCGCGAGATGGAGTACTCGTTCCGTGACGCCGTCAAGCGGCAGAAGCTTGCCGTCGGGGAAACCTCGTTCAGCATACCGCCTGACGCTATCCACGACGAGACCAATTTATTCAACGCGGAACTGCGAACAGGCACCTCCGAGATGCTGACAGCCAACGACGAGGCGCCAAAGGCGACGAAAGATGATCAGACGCAGGCCATCGCATGGGGCCGCACCCCGCCGCGCGAGAAAATCGACCAGGACCCGGAATCACCGTGCGAGGATGAAGTTGAGGGCATGCCGCTAGAGGACGAGTCGAGTGCCATCCGCCAGGCTGCCTGGAGGCCGCCGCCCGTAAACAGTGATATCTTGCCCTTGCCGTGGAAGGGTCGACTAGGATATGTAAGTCGACGTTCACGTCCATGGGCCACTAGAAAAGTACAACCAGCAATACGTGTCATTAACATTGATCAGGCCTGTCTCAACACATACCTCCGCCTTTCAAACCCGCCCGTGTTTAGCTCCAGGACCTGCCGTATCGCGTCCATCATCGAGCACAGGCATCCGCTCATGCACCCGGACCAGCCAGAACATCCCACCAAGAACCGCCCAGACAGGAAGCAACCCGCCGATGTGGCACGTGGACAACGCTACGTGGAGAACCTTGGACTTACCAATGCGCGCGACATTGTCAAAATGCTGCGGTGGAACGACAGGTACGGCATCAAGTTCATGCGGTTGAGCTCTGAGATGTTCCCCTTTGCGAGCCACGAGGAGTACGGGTACAAGTTGGCGCCCTTTGCCTCGGAGGTGCTGGCAGATGCTGGTAAAGTCGCTGGGGAGCTGGGTCACCGCTTGACCACGCATCCTGGGCAGGTATGTCTTTCTTCTGTGATTGGTCCCGTTGTTCATAAGCACCCCTTCGTAACACACGGCGATTGACCACCGTATCTAGTTCACACAACTCGGCTCACCACGCAATGAAGTCGTGCGGAATGCTATTCGGGATCTTGAGTACCACGACGAGATGTTGACATTGCTGCGCTTACCTGAACAGCAGAACAAGGATGCCGTCATGATCCTGCACATGGGCGGCGTGTTTGGCGACAAGGCCGCAACGCTGGATCGATTCCGGGAGAACTACGCCAAGCTGTCTCCCAGCATCAAGGCGCGCCTCGTGCTCGAGAACGATGACGTCTCGTGGCACGTGCACGACCTCCTGCCCATATGTGAGGAGCTCAACATTCCAATGGTGCTCGACTATCACCACCACAACATCATGTTTGACGCGGACAAGATACGCGAGGGTACGCACGACATCATAGACCTGTACCCTCGTATCAGAGCCACCTGGACGCGAAAGGGCATTACGCAAAAGATGCATTACAGCGAGCCGTGCCCGGAGGCCATCACCGGGCGGCAGCGGCGCAAGCATAGCCCCCGCGTGGCGACACTCCCACCATGCGCGAATGACATGGATCTGATGATCGAGGCCAAGGACAAGGAGCAGGCGGTCTTTGCCCTGATGCGCAACTTTAAGCTTCCCGGCTGGGACCGTATCAACGACATTGCGCCCCATGAGCGCGATGACGAGAATAAGCCTCCGCCCAAGGCGACCAAGAAGAAGGCAAAGAAGTCGACGCCAAAGAAGAAGACGGACAAGGCTGCCATGGGCCAGGACGAAGACGGCGATGCCGCCATGCCGGACACTGCTGACCCTCCCGAGGCGGGTGAGGATGAGGCACCCAACAAAGAGGCAGAGAAAATCCCCGAGAGCGAGGTCAGCATGGGCGGACCAGACGGACGTGTCTTTTGGCCGCAGGGTATGGAAGAGTGGTTGCGGCCTAAGAAGCGACTGCAGACGAAGAAGATGATGAGCAAGCCTGATGGCAAGGACGACGAAGAGTAATGTGCATGGCTCATATATTCTCCACCGTGTTGAGGTTTGGTGTGGCGAGTCTGTCGGGACGGGCTAAATTTGTAGAACAAGCATCCAGAGTATTGTTTGGCAGCGTGTTTGAAAGAAATGGAAAAGGGTTTGCATTTTGGCCAACATCATTCGAGCTATGTATGAGTGGAGGAGCTTGCGGGTTGTAAGACCCACGACACGGGTGATCGTGATTGAACTCATAGGGCACACGTCACGCTAATAAGTCAAATGCTTGGTCCCAAGTTGAACCAGCTCCGCTGCCTGCTCGATGGGCGACAAGTGGTGACAAGTGGCTTCGCTCAGAAATGTGCATTAAATTCTTTGTGCTTGGCATGTGATTGTGTCGGGCTCGCATGCATCATTGTCACAGTACCAGGACATGCCGTCCATGTGGCCAGTGTGTGTGTGTGTGTGGTGTGACGAGCTGGAGCATCCTCAGGATACAGTCGCGATTGGCCACACGCCCAAGTGTCATGGGAGCATTTACTACTGTGACCTGTCTGGTCAAATGATTAATCCCGCGCACTTCTCCCGTTCGTTGGGTCCTCCAGATTACTACCGACAACCTCGGCAGTGTTTAGGCGGCATCCTACCATTGGAGAAGTCTCGTATACTGTTGGCTGGCTTGCAGCGTTTGCTGCCTGACAGACTTTCCATATGATGTCAGTGGGAAGTGGAGAGCCACGTTTGTGGCTTGGGGTCGCTACTTTGACAATGCGGAATCTTCCTGGCATCCTTGTCGCTAAAAAGCTGGAGAGGGCGATGGCGTGGTCTGGGGTAGGCTTCTTAGCGTCGCCTGTCCTGTTTTTCAAATCCCGGAGGATCGACCGGGCTGGACTATTGGGTAGTGCAGCAATGACGATTAGGAATCGAGGGAGCTTGTAGGCTTGAGCTTGCATGTAGCCAGTCTCTCGGGTTCCAGGCTCTTTTAGAATCCCATCTTGTGTTGAGTACGGTGCAGGTCGAGAGGAGCACTACATATGTAGGCCCTCTGAAGCTTGCAGGCGGCTTGCTGGCGCGCTGCGTTGGAAGCTCGACGCGGCCCTCACAATTGGGCTTGGGGAGGAACTGTCTGAACCTGTGGGACTGTTGAGCTCTCTGGGATCGCTTCGCAAAGCATGGGATGATTGCTACTGATAGTCTTCGTCATTGTGCCAGCCACCCCACACGCAACCCCGCACCGAAGTCCAGTGGCCCCTCTTGGGCCTGCCAGATGCGCAGCCTCGTGGTGTGGATGAGATGCATGGGCGCGACTCGCAGATGCCCAGCCCAAAGCTGTGCAAGCACAGAGCTTCGGTCGGCTTTCATGCTGAGATTTTTGTGAGGTGAACGGGTGTCCTTTCGGTCTAGCATGCTCGACCACTGATGTTGCTCCCCCGCAGAGTCAAAGGACACTCAAACTCAGGACCTGTTGCTTGAGGCGGAGGGGTATGTCCCGTGCTACGGGGCGCAAGACTGGCAAGGATGGATGACACTGAGCAATGGAGGATTGACGCCTGGAAGTGCCGGACTGATGGAGAACAAGTTGACTCTGGGCTGGCCCCGCCATTGTGTGCGCGCAAGGTAGGTGCCTTGCAGGGTCTGAACTGAAGCTTGAGCTTCCCGCATGTGTCGCCCCACCATCACGCCGCTGCTGCGCCAGGCAGCTCGTGACCGTCCCCAAGTGACGTTCTGGCTCAGCCGTTTGTCCCCGCGACCTTGCCCAGCCTCTTTGTCCGTCATACACATACACATACGCACACAAGCCTCACTCCTTTGCGTCCATCTGCCCCCTCACATACAAATCTGTCCCTCCACCACGCCACCTCGCATCGCGACCCTCGCCGCCGTCGCCTCCCACTACTCCTGCACACCATAAACCGCTCTTCCGCGCCTCACCATCATCAGCGGAGGCCCCGGTAATCGCAGGCCCATCATGACCAACCCCGAAGAGGGTGAGCACGGCGCTCACACGCCGCCACCACACCCCCAACGGCCCAAGGGTAAGCTCCCTCTGTGACCTGATATCCGTCGCCACCATACCGCAGTGTAATGCTGACCATATCTCCGTCATAGGCATCTTGAAGAACTCATACAGAAACTCCCCGCCCGTGTCCCCCTCAGTCGAGAAGGACATGTCGGACAAGCAAATCACCATCGAGAACACAAACAAGAACGCCGGGCACCGCAGATCGTCCAGCGCGACCAGCCGACCCCGGGGCTATTCACGCGCAACCTCCCACGCCGACGGAGACGAAGATATGGAGCCGAGCCAACGACTCAAGTGGGACGAGGCCAACCTGTATCTCACTGAGCAAGAACGCACCTCGACCATGAAGATCACCGAGCCCAAGACCCCGTACGCTCAGCACTATGAGCCATCTGAGGACGAGGATGAGGATATGCTTGATGGCGAACCTTCGCAGAGAGACGAGATCCCAGGCCTTTCACTGGGTGAGCCCGAAGAGGAAGTCCCGGAGAGACCTGCCGCCACAGATCGGAAACCCAGCAAGGTCCATGTCCATGATGACGATGCCACCGCAAGCCATGATGCCGAGCACGAGTATGCGGGCATGTCCGCCGAGGAGCGCGAGAAGCACCGCAAGTTTGAGCAGCTTCGGAAGAAGCACTACGAAATGAGAGATGCTGCGAAGCTGTTGGGCCACATGGATGACATCCCGCCGGAGGAGGACGATGACGAGACCGCGCCACCCATGCCCACCATTAACGGGGCTAAGGTCAAAGCTGTCGACTAAGCAACCAAAACGACGTCAGCGCGACACTGACAGCGTACGACCAGACCTCATTGGCTGTCTTGCGGTGGGAAATATTTGCGCGAGATGGAGGTTGTCACAGCCGGGCTACAGTGGAGAGCGCTCTCTACAAGGGCATGATCACGCACCGCTTAATTTCAACGCCAGCGTATCTTGCGCTTGACGAATATCATTTCTTTTCCGGGTTCCATGAGATGGGAACACAAGGGGAGATACATAGCCGCGTCCATAAACAGAAACAGATGATTACGTTCCAACACTCTCGGCATAGAGGCCACTGGTAGCACATAAGTGAGGAGAGCATTTGCGATATGGCGTCCTGTGCGGATAGCCGCTTCGTAAAACGAGACGTACTGGGACAACGAGTTCCAGTGTAACATTCGACTGCTTGATTTGATGAATGTACAACCCAGCCTGTTCGTCTTTCCATGTTCTTGTGTTATTCCTCCCCTGCACTATCTGACCTTCCCCTCCCGCCAACATTCCCATGGCTTGCTCACAACAACCCCTTCCTAGCGAGCTCGACCTTGCGCGCGGCCTCACCCTCCTTGAAGCCGCCGCGAGACACACATATCCTCTGACCGTCGGCCAACTCGACCTTTTCCTCGTTGGCAGGGTAAGGGCACGGGCAGTGGTGCGGGAAATGGACGCATGCTATTGCTCAGGGAAAAATGGGGCAATGGTTAGCAGCGTATCGAGCTTTCTTAAAGTTCCATTCTTGGGCCTCGACTTGTTTTGTCTAAAAGCACCTTTATATCATGCAGCGAGTTCTGAGGCCCGCATACGCATGCATAAGACTAGAGACAGGAGAGAGAAAACAAAGAGACAAACGTACCGAGGGTATCAGGGCACAGGTACTTGTCGCAGGTGATCCGGTCGACGTTGGAGCGGTAGAAGGACGAGTCGCTGGGTCCGTTCTGGCCGCCTCCGCCGTGCTGTTGCTGGTGGTGGTGTTGTTGCTGCTGCTGGCCGCCAAACATCTGCTCGAAGAAGCCGCCGAACTGGGCGGAGGCCAGCGCCGGGAGGAAAGCGAGGAGCGTTGTAAGGAGGAGTGGTATGGACCGCATCTTTGTGGTTTCTGTTTCCCTTTTTGATGCGGTTTGAGCTTGTCAAAGTCGTCGGACGTTTCTTTTGTTTCTTTATGAGACGTGTTTGACGAGTGTCTTGTTGTTATTGTCGGCGGGTTGCCCGGGGAGTTGTTTTCTGCGACGTTGGATCTAGGTGTAAGTGCAATGGGCGGATTCGAGATGACGGCAGGCGGGTTTAGACAAGTGGCATGTACCTGGAATTATGGCGGCGGGCTTGGCTATCGGTCCTTATCGCGAGCTTGCTGGGCCTGGGTGGTTCTCGCAGGCGGCTCTGGGGCAGCATGACTAAGCGCAAATTTCTGGGCCGGAGAGAGGTGAGCGTTTGAAGTGGGCGCCGCTTTTTGTGCACGACCAGCACGAACTTCGGAAAGGACGACGACGTCCACGACGACAGCGGCCCACGGAGAGCAGCACACCCGTCAAACAAGCTCGACTGCAGAAACGGACGTGTGCAGATTGTCCGAATCACCGCTGCACACACGAGCGCCATGTCGCTGTCCCAATTGCAGCGGCCCATCGCGGCAGCCGTGACAGCAGGCTTCACGAGGAGCGCGGCGCCAATCACCGCGGCACGACAGCTACAAGATGTGTTCGGCAGGCTGAGGATAGGGGGAAGCTCGAGGGACACTGTCGCGGCGAACGCTGCTGTCGAGGGTCGGAGATTCGCCGCCGTCAAGGCGCAGGGAGCCTACAAACTTCGGGATACCAAGACGATTCCCAAGAAGCTGGGCGCGAAGAAGACTGGAGGTACGTTTCTGGCCAGATTCAACGACAATAAATTTTGGGTACTTGTCGTTCTGGTGCTAACGTGCTTCTTCTCAACACGCAGACTCTTATGTCATCCCCGGCAACATCATCTACAAGCAAAGAGGCACGATATGGTTTCCCGGCGAGAACTGCGGCATGGGCCGTGACCACACCATCTTTGCCTTGGCCACAGGCTACGTCAAGTACTACAAGGACCCAGCGAAGCACCCAGACAGACAGTACATCGGTGTCGTGTTCGACAAGTCCGACACGCTGCCGTACCCGCCACACGCCATGCGCAAGCGCAAGCTCAACCTGACGGCGTCCAAGATCGTCCCGCCCGCCGAGCAACCCGAGATCTCTTCCTCGGGCATCCCGACGAGCGTCACCCGGACTGGCACGGGGCGGAAGCCGCACCCGCGCGACGAGCGCATTTACAAGCTCACGGACAACCACTACGCGTACCGCGAGGAGAACTGGCGTCTCGGCACGCTCGTGCGCACCGAGAAGCGCAAGATGGGCAGCAGGAGAGTGGCCATGAAGGTCCGCCGTGCCAAGACCAAGGCTATCCAGCTCGAGATGCGGGCTGAGCGGGAGGACAAGATGGCTCGTCGCAAGGAGGGCATGGACCGGGAGCGCGCGGTGCGCATGGCGCGATTCCGCGAGGCCAAGCTTCGCCGGGCGGCGGAGAGCGCGGCGGCCACTTCAGGCGGTGCTAAAGGCGGTGCTGTGCCGCCGCCTGCGCCGAAACAGCCCAACCCCGAGCTTCGCGCTTAAGCGTGCTCTTGTGGTGGAATGGGTTGTGCTCAGAGCCGCATATATAAGTCGACTTCAGTCCCTTAAAGGGGCGAGTCTGAAGTTCGTCCGCTTAAGTGCGCTCTGGGTAGGAGGAAGCACGTGCTGCACGGTACTTGATCGAGAGCAGTGCCCGCTGCGACCACAGGAGTTGAACTTATGTAAATCTAGATGTCAGTATAAATGTAACTGCACGATTTGTACACTATGCAAAGTATGGTTGGCCAATGTGGCAACAAAGCGTTGCTTGGACTGGATTGAACAGCATGCCGGCATCCCACCCTGACAGAGTCACGAGCAGGAGCGCACATGGTGGAAAGCGCATTCCGCGGGTGAATGTTACCAAACGCGAAGGTGCTGCGGGGGATTTTCATGGCCCGGGGTTTCAGAGGGCCTGAGGCACACTCTATCACGGCTCATTCCGCCACGTGTTACAGCCTGGCCTGATTGAGCTGAGTATTTTGTTCGCGTGCGGGCCAACTTGCAGTGTCGCACATAAAGTTCGCTCTAAACGGATCATGGGCCAAGCCCGCTCGACAAACTCAACTGCGGCTCGGACCGTTAGCCAGGGAGGGTCCAAAAGATCTAGGGTTTCGCAAGAACGCCCCTCACTTCACAATGTCTTTGACAAACCTCAAAAGAGCCCAAAGTTGGTATTTCATTACGAGAAGGCCGTCGAAATTATACGGGTCACATTGGGAAGCATAATTCTCACCCGGCAATGACGATCGCTACGGCTTCCTGGAATCCCATAGGTTGGGCGGCGCCAGCATGCATCTCTTCTCCACACCCTTCTAGTGCAGCGCCTCATTTCGGGATGTCGTCTGACACCTGCAAGGCTCTCCAAAATGGGGGCCACCCAGGTATGCTCGCTTCAAGCCCTTCCCGATGCTGAGCAGGGCGCTCGCCAAGTCAGCCTTTTGTAATCTGGGTCGTCGACAGCAAAACAACGGACGATTGTTGTCTTGCCTGTGGCACTGGAAACCTCAAGGCTCGACGAGACCAAATTCTCCAGATACGGCAAATTGTTTGGACACTGTCGTCTTGCACCCCAATGGGAAAGTTCCCGCACTTTCAGGCGCCCCTTGATCACGATGCCGCTTCATCCCTGCTCGTCTTTCAGGGGTGGTAAGGCTGCCTGTCAGCCCACAGCGTAAGCCCCACACAAAGTTGCAGGGCGCGGTGCTCGCGATCGGCAGCTGAACAGTCTGTTGCTCCAGTGGCCTGTCCCTTCCTATAACTACTTCCTACAAAGCCTATGGGTCTGCAGGCTTTTGTGGCTTGGGACTATTCTCATGCAGCAGCCATTTCCCGTCAACTTGCATACTGAGGGCTTGCTGGAAATGCGAGAGCCATGGTCTCGGCACAGCCTGTAATGCCTGGGGCCTGGTCCCTGCCTCACGACGAGCTTTTGGCGACTCAGTCCCAATCGGAGCATCAGACCGAGTCCACGAAACAGGCCGATCAGCAGTCCGACTACGAAGACTCATCGGACGTAGGGAAGTCAGCGGAAAGGAGCGTCTTAGAATCTGAGTCTCAAGCCGGATTCTCACAACTCGATGGCGATGTCAAAGGCCAAGGCTACAATGAGACACTTGTCGACATCGTTGCAATTCCGTGCATTGGAGCTTCACCAGTTGATACCTGGAGTCGAGAACCTTTTGATGCGACGTACTTCGATTCGGCACCTCCGAATGTTGTAGAGAGCCAATCGCAGGATGTCCAACACCGCCTTCCGGACGGCGTGGTCGCCCCTGACTCTAGGAGACCACCAACAAAGACCTCGCCCTCTTGGATACGACAGGGCATAAGGCAGGAGATCAACACGGCAAGAATAATGCTCTACCGTCATCGCACAGTACACGCCGGGTTCACACTGGACGACGCCGCCGACGACCTTTTGCAGCACCTCGTCAGGATCAGGGCCGGATTGAATCAATCTCGCCCATTCTTTTTCATTTGTCATAGCATCGGTGGCCTCGTGGCTAAGCTCGCGTTGGTCAAGGCCAGCCAAATCGAGGACTTAAGGCCACTGATGTATGCCTGCCACGGAATCACCTTCTTTGGTAAGTCCCGGTGCCTTCCTTTTGCAAGGCCTCAGCTAACGACCCGCGTCTAAGCAACTCCGCACCGTGGATCCAGCTATCTGTCTATGCCAAAACTCCGGGAGAGCATCCAACACCTCTTGTTCTTGCAGGTCCCGCTCCCGCCATCTATAACCGGTGATCTCAGACTTGGATATAAGCCCCTGATCCGCATCCACGACCGGTTCACTGATATTGCAAGCGAGATGCGTGTCTGGACGTTCTGCGAGACTGTCGACTCGCAGCTCTCCGGCCTTGGTACTTCTGACCACGATGAAGTACATTTCAGCGCCCCAATCGCATCAATTAAAAGCAGCCTTTCCGAGACTCGCGGCGAAAAAGTATTCTCACTTGAGAGCGACCACGCTCACTGCGCATCATTCGGACCAGGGAATGTCCGCATCATGCACAGTTACCTACAGGACCTCGGTGCTGCTGTCCGCAAGGCTCAGAAGCTGAGCGCAAGCTTTGATCACACACCACTCAAGCTGAATGACAAGGTCAAGGTCGAGCTGATCGGCTTTTACGAGGATCCGGACGATACTAAGGACCAAGACATCCGCCTATACATTGCGAAACACAATCTTGCCCATTTCCTCGAGATGGGCCCGGAGCGTTGTCTTAAAGAGCGACTTGAGACAGTCGCAGCCAGACCGCAGCGCATGTCGGCTGCCAAGCAGGGATACTCGTCCTTGAGGCAAGGAAACAGCTTTGGAGCCTCGAGTGCGCTTCAGGTCTTTAGTGGTGTGCAAAAATTTGGGCAGAAGGTTTTCGGTGTGTCCAGAGGGGCTTCCGACGCGAGCATCGTTCCACCTGATGCAGACTCACCCGCAACCAAGGCTATAAACGATGCGGAAGGAGTACCAATACCGGAGATAGTGTTGGAGCCTCTCCCGCCGGCCATTGATTACACGATCACGAGGAGCCAGAGCAGTCGACCAGCCTCAGCGCCAGTTCCTTCTGAAGGATTGAGGCAAGACGTAAAGCTTCAGCAAGGAAGTGACTCCGAGGGAGATCTAGCAGCTGGTACCTCTCGAGATTTCATGAAGGGCATGCCCGCTCTCGTACCCACTGACACAGCGTCGCCGAGTCAGGCCCGCACGACGTCCTCTGCGTCGTCATACTCGAGTCGCAATGCAAGTCGCACTGCCGATGCCCAGGAGATGACTGCGGGTTTCTCAAGACCAGATCCCAACAAGCGAAAGATCATGTGGATCCATCTGCCCTTCAACAACCCGCATTGGGTCAAGGTGCGTGATCGTCCCTGGTTCATGTTATGCAGAGTTGCTAACTTGAGACCAATAGTTGGTCTTTGACAAGCTAGCCGAGACTCACGACAGAAGCTACTCCTGGTTGCTAAACAACGAGCACTGGGCGAAGAGGCATGTTAAAGACCGCCATGCAAATCAACATGCGAGCTATGTCCGATCAGGATGCGCATTCGCGCCATCACAGAGCCGTAAGTCAATACAAGACGCATCGATACTTTTTCTCTTCTTGCTGATATTGTGAGGGAGCATATCCAGATACTCCAGCTTTGCATCCAGTGGCTGGCGGAATCATTGACCCCAGGCGCTTGTCGGACAGCTTGGAGAAGGACGCTCCCAGTCATCTATACGTCTTCTTGCCATATCTCAATTTTGACACCTACCTCAACGTTATCAGGCGCCGCAACATTGTGAGAAGGCGAATGGCACAGGGCAGAGCTAGACCCGTCCCACCAGACATAGCTCAGCTTGACTCGCTCGAAGCACGGGTCATCTGGGACTACATTGGTTACGACCCACCGCTTAATACTCGTCGGACACTGGATCAGTACGGCTATCCAGAACTGCAGGATACTTATGCCCGGGACGACGACCAAATGCTGTACAAACTGACTAAAGAACGCTTCAGCCTGCCTTTCAAGAAGAAGGACATGTACAATACGGGAGCGGAGAAGCAGATTCTGGCGTCACTCAAGACACCACTCGATAGCAATCCCGACCTGCCCGCACATTTCCTTCGTGATTCTGCGCGTACAGGGAGCATTGCCGCCATGTCTCCCACAAGCGGCGAAAGTGAAGACACAGCGGTGGCCGATTCGGAAGTCGAGGAGGATATTCTAGATGGCAATGTATTGATAGTCGACCAGTTGTGGATGTGGGCCATCAACACGTGTAAGTGCAGAAACAAGAAGCTGTTTGCTTGGCTTTGGCACTTTACCGTAACGTCATATAGCTCCGTGCTCACACTCCGTCTTACCAGCGACTGTTGCCACGTTCTTCCCCAAACGAGAATCTCATCCCAGCGAAGGGCAGATGTTCCAGCAGGCCGACCTGCGGAACAGTATCTACAATGAACTGAATGGCGATCTGACAGGACGGTGTGACAATGCGCTCGAGCTCGCTGCGTTCATCGTACTGCATGCTGTCACCGTGCTTATCGACCGCACTTCACACCCAGACTTGGAAGTTTTCAGGATATTCGAGGAAGCATTAGGCATATTGGTATGCCCCTCTTAGGAGCCCCTCGTGGGTTGGCAGTGCCCTCACTAACTTCGCACAGAATGAGCGCATGACATCTTCTCTGAAGCGCTTCCGCATGGCAACATTCAAAGGACGAATAGGGGAAGACCCGACGAGCTCGGAATCCGAGAGCGACGGATACGATGACCGCCCGGAGTCGATCAAGAAGCGCCATCAGCGGGAGATGGCGCAGGCCGAACGCGAGAACCGCGAAAACACTTCCGCGCTGCTCGAGCTCCGAGACATGGACGATGAGCTCCTGACCCTGAAGAACTTGTTCGACGAGCAGGCGAAAGTGGTTGAGACCATGAGCGGCAACTATGAGCGGCCCGAGCTGCTAGATCTGACGGGCAACGGCCGCCGATATCTCGAGGAAGCCAAGGAGAGGCTGGATGACTACAGGCGGATTACTAAGGACCTGCTATTCAGGATCGAGGCTACCAGGAACGACGTAAGTGACTCTTTTTTTCCATGAGAGGTCAAAATGAGGTGGATTTCTGGTTGGCTCATGGGCAGCACATGCTTGGGCTCTGGAATTGTTTGCTGACGCTACGTTAATTGAGGGCAACAGTACGACAAGTTCCAAGAAATGGTGCAGCGCAAAGCTCAGCTGGATGAGGTCCGCTGGTCAAGACTTCAGACCGAACTGGCAAGTTCGCAGAACCTGTCTGTCATGATCTTTACGACTTTTACGGTGATCTTCCTGCCGCTGAGCTTCTTCACGAGTCTCTTTGGGATGAACACTGCTGAATGGGCACCCGACGAGGACTACATCAGCCTGACGACGATTGGAGCCATATCTCGTACGTTCCTTGTCTTTATCGTCTTCAATGTATATGACGAGGGGCAGTATCGCGAAGATTGCAATCAGCTGACATTCCCTTCTTCACAGTCCCCTCGTCTGTCCTCCTCATCCTCCTTTCCCTGATTCTAGCCTTCAGTACCCGTGTCCAGGGCTGGTTCCGGTCCATGTTCCACCTCGTCACCTCGACAATCAAGCTCGCCATCTCGGTCTTTGCCCGAGTGGAGCCGAAGCAGCGCAGGCGGGCGAGGCAGGAAGTCAAGAAGGAGGCTGTCCGGATGCGCAGGGAGCAGAGAAGACAGCGCAAGCGCGAGAGGGGCTACGACTTCTGGGAGACGGTCTGGGAGAACCGCCGGAGCCGGTACGACATCCCGGACTCGAACCTGCGGAATGCGACCGAGAGGAGGTTGCAGGGGAGAGGGGATACGTGGAATACCCTTGCGAGCTGATGGAATGGCTGATGCATAGTGAGGTTGTGTATAAGACTTTATCTGTGTGCTGTCGTTCCTCAACACTTATAGAAGTAATGATAGACGCATTTGGCTGGATTCACAGAAGAACTTCCACACGAAAGAAAATTCCCAAACGACTTAACGCCCTATCGTGTCACAGACTACTACCGTGGCTGTGCTGGTCGAGCTTGGAACAGCGTCTGCGCGGAGGACATCTGATAATCACAGGCTGCCACGCGGCACGCACATCCATGAATGCTCACAAAGGCAGCACAAGTATTTAAGCCTACCATTAGGCTTCCGGAAGATTTGCTAGTGTCTCGAAATGCGTACTCTGGTAAGATGCTGAAGCATGTCTCGGACGGTTGGCTGGGGTAGTGCATTGGAGTTTTGGTATGTAACAATGATGTCATGCATTCGCGCAGCTCCCTGCAGCGCACTCCATTCAGGCAGTCCTAACCACATCGTTTCGATGTCATACCTTTATTGGATTTTGTAGGCATCACTTACAGCCGCGACGCTGGAATTGAGAGGTTTTCTTCCCATTGCCCATTCTTCACGAGGACATCCTGAAGCTTCGTGTTCTCGGGCACATCTTGTGCTTACGCCACTTACCTGCATCACTGGTCCATGCCCAGGTCGACTCGCTCCATTTGCGGCAGTCTGGTTCTTGGAGTGCAATCGAGTTTGGCACCAGCACGGATCTCACGCTCAAGACCTCGGTTTGGCTTCACGAGGACGACAGTTACAGCACCGGCACTTTTCAAATCTGCAAGGGGGTGGTCCAGCACTTCCACCCAGACCACCGGCACCGGCACCGCCCAACCACGACCACAACCACAAGCACGCCGACTCCTCTTCTCGTCCAAGAACATGGCCGACGTCGACACCTCGCTGCACGCCTCGACCTCGGGCGCGGCGGCCATTTACGCGGAGCTGCACTCGGCGCCGCACGCGCTCAAGCTCTACGGGGGCTGGTTCTGCCCGTTTGTGCAGCGTGCGTGGATCACGCTGCACGAGAAGAACGTGCCGCACCAGTACATCGAGGTCAACCCGTACCAAAAGACCCCGGAGCTGCTGCGCCTGAACCCGCGCGGCCTAGTGCCCACGCTGGCCGTGCCCGTCCCCGAGACGGTCGGCTTGCTGAGCACCGGGGAGCGGGCGGTGGCAGACGGGTCCGGGCCCGTGGCGGACGAGGAGGCGGAAGGAGGAGGCGATGGTGGTGGCCAGAATGGAGTCGGCGCGGGAGGGGTGCGGAGGAAGCCCCTGTACGAGAGCGCCGTCATCTGCGAATACATTGACGAGGCGTACGCGAGCAGCGGGATCAAGGACGCCAGGTTTGGACCGGGATTGCTGCCGCCGCTGTCGGAGCCGTACGCGCGCGCCCGCTGCCGGCTGTGGATCGACCACATCAACGGCAAGATTGTGCCTGGGTTCTACCGGCTCCTGCAGCACACGCCGGAGAAGGACGGCGAGTACACGCTCGAGGAGGCGCGGGCGGGGTTCCTGGGCCACATCAAGACCTTTGTCAAGGAGATGGAGGGGTTTTCAGCGGCAGAGAAGGACGGTGATGGCGGCGGTGGTGATGATACTGCTGTGGAGAGGGCGCTGGATCACGAGGATGACGGGCCGTGGTTCCTGGGCCGCGAGTTCTCGCTGGTGGATGTGATGCTGGCTCCGTGGGCGAGGCGGCTGTTCCTGATCGACCACTACAAGCCGGGCGGGGTGGGGATCCCGGCCGTGGGCGAAGGCGGCGCGGAAGAGGCCGTGTGGGCGCGGTGGCGGCGGTGGTTTGGGGCCATTACGAGCCGCGAGAGCGTCAAGGACACCTGGAGCGACGAGGAGCAGTACATTGCGGCGTACAAGCGGTACGCCGAGGACACGACGCAGAGCGAGGTGGCACAGGCGACACGCAAGAGGCAGCGGCTGCCGTAGTGCAGTGGGCTATAGTGAGTGGCATGGCAGGTGTGTGTTGTCGGTAATTATAGAAGACTGAAACGAAGACGAGATTTGAGCCTCATTCTGACTGCCGTCGGAAGTGACATGTCGAGAAACACAAGTGTTTTGTTTCAACGAGACGAGAGACAGAGAGCGCTTGCTGCCTGAGGCACCTGGCTGGCCCTGGCTTCTGGCGCTGGCGTGTTTCAAGTGGGCAGCTGGCGTGACCGCGCGTGGCCTGCCATTGGCAGCGTGTTTCGACATGTCAGGGTGTCGGGCGCAGGGGTCCTGCCTGCACCTGCACCTGCGCCTGCACTCCCCCAGCATGATCTGCTCCGCCCGCACAAAGAACCCTGCCTGCATAAAGCTGCACTGCCAGCTCCAGAGGCAGCAGCCAGATCTCACAGTTGCGGTCGTGCCCTGAGTCGAAGGTCGATATGATCAAGGTCAAGCAAGGCGAGTCGCTGGTGATGACGATGATTCCTTTCCTATTCATACTGCTCACACCGCTGACAACGTCCTCCATCAGATCGGCCACCCGCGGCGACGTTCCACACACGAGCCAGCGTCCACACAAACAATCAATCTCTGGACGGACAGCGCACAGACTTTGGGCCATGTCCAGGCAGAGCAGGAAACAGACTTGCGGAGGCCCCACCACCCCTGGCGGCCCATGATCTCATCTCTCGTGTTGTGCCGCCTCGTATCCCGGCTGGCTCCAGGGGCATTGACGCTCATCTCCTCCACCACGTCAATGCCCCCAGCGTGCCACTGCCGCCAATCACGCGGCCCTCGCCTGCCGCTCCACGCTGTTCCCGCGCCCTCCACGCCAATCGGGCCCCGAAGCGAGCCCAGATGGCGGGGCTTGGCACTCGTCCTGCCCGTGCCCGCCGAGCCAAACAATGCCTAGCATCCCCAAGCTTGAAACAAGGCCCGTCCAGGGTCAGATGGCCGGCCCAGCCCAGGCACGGGGCGCAGCCAGCACCCGCTGCCTACGACGACGACACATACTTATGGCCCACGATGGCTCGCAGGCTGCGAATACCCTCTTCCTTTCTCCCTCCCAGTCGCATTTACGCGCTTCCTTCGCTCTTTCTTCCGCCCATCTCGCATTCCGACACTGTCTGCTGAGCCGACACTCGTTTCCCCATTTCAGCATTACCACGTTCCGCTTCTCGGCCTCCGCCTCATCCACTTATACGCAACTCAGCAGTGCTGGAAATTTACGCAAAGCAACACGCCTTCTTAGCAACCTTCAAGCACTCTTCCATATTTCAACCGACACCATAACATATCCTCCAGCAACATGAAGTTTGCCACGTTCTTCGTCTCTGCCGCGGCCCTGGCCGTCTCCGCCGTCGCCGAGCCTGTCCGCATTCCCCAGGCTCACCGGGTCCGAGATATCGCGGCCATCGAGTCTGCCGCCACCTCTGTTACCACCGCCATCAAGACCCTTACAAAGTCTGTGGCCGCGTTCAGTGGCGACTCGATACAGGTTGAGGCGGATGCGGGCGCCCTTGTCGCTTCCATCGAGATTGGCATTGAGGGCATCGCCAAGTCTGGCGACCTGGATATCACTGGCCTTGTCGGCCTGCAGAGCTGCATCACCACCCTGACCGACGCCGGCAAGGACCTCATCCAAAAGCTCACCATCAAGAAGTCCCAATTCGAACAGGCCGGCCTCTGTGGCACCGTCGAGAAGTTCATGAGCGAGATTGGCGATCAGTCCCAGAACCTGATCAAGACGGTATCGGGCCTCCTCCCCGAGCAATTCCAGGGTGTCGTCGAGCAGGTCGGCGGCGCCGTCGCCGAGACTCTCCTCAAGGGTGCCACCGCCTTCTCCGAGTCCAACTGCGTCGACAACCCGGCCGCCAACACCTCCAAGAGCCTCGTGCCATACCCCACGGGAACCCTCACCTTCTCGGCCATCGCGCCCGTCCCCACCACCAAGACCTCCACCATCCAGGTCACCGTCACCAGCTGCACCAACGCTGTCACCCAGACCTCCATCTCCATCGTCAAGCCGACCACCAGCTTCACGCCGTCCGTCGTCCCGCCCTACACCGAGGTGCCCCCGGCCGCTAGCAGCACTGTGCTCATCACTGCCCCCGAGCCCACCGTCAGCACAAGCTTGACTGTCGTCGTGCCCCCGGCGGCTTCGACCACTAAGCCGGCCCTGCCCGTCACCTCCATCCCCATTGCTGCTGGGCCTCGTAACGCCGTCGGCGGCGCTGGCCTGGTTGCCGTCGCCGCTGTCGTCGCTGCGATGCTCATCTAAGTTTTGTGTATATGTGATGTAGCTTGGAGGGATTGAAGTCGTGGGTTTCGCCAAGGGTCCTACACCTGCATCGAGCTGTATCTTTTGCCTAACGTGATTTATATTTTTCTTCTTCTTCATTAACCCTCGTTAATCCCACCAACACAAGAAAAGCATAGCATCAGCCGCGCAACTTATGTTTTGGGTTTTTCTGAGTTTATATACAAAACAGATACAGTGTTCGATCAGGGGTGGGGATTGCTTGGCACCCTGGCAACATGCATGGTAGCCATCAAAATTTTGCATAAATACATGAGCTTATTACATGCGAAAAGAGTTGTAAGCTTTGATCGTGGGAAAATCTGTTGAGTGAACTGCAGCAGCAGGCCTTGGTCGGTTGTATTGGTGATCGTGTCGGTGCTCGTGTGTCTGTGTCTTGACTATCTGCAAGTCGCGTGCCACTTATATCTGTGTTCCGCGCCGTCTCGATGATGAGAGACATGCCAGGTCCATCTGCCACGACCTGTGTACCGGAAGGCACAGGCCCGAGCCCAACCACACACGTCCACCAAGGTCTTCTGTGTGTCCCGGTTGACTCCCCCAAGGTTTGTTCCAACGGCTAGGGACTTGGACAAGCAGGGCAAGCAATCACTCCCGAGCGTGGTGGTGGTGGAAGGAAGTCCTTGCACCGTGGGTCTCATGAGCAGCACGGCTCTGTTGATGACAGTAGAGCCTCCTAGTGGTTCTGGATATCGGCCCGTATCTTAGACAATACTAGACGGAATTAAATTGAGTTATGCCATAAGGCCGCAAGGGGACAGTCGAACACGCGCGTCTCTTCCACCACGCTTTGGCCGGCGAAGCGGGCGGGTGGCCAGGATTGGTCTGCTTCAATTTTTCCTTGCGCTTTGAATTTAGCAAACAGGGGTCTGGAAGGTCAGAAGTCAAGAGGCTCTTTGAATAATACCCGTTTTCATGTTTAACCGAGGCCTAGAGCATGAGGTACGGGGACATGGGACTCCTTCAACCCAGGCTTGCTGGCCGTCTTGCTTGTCTTGACTCGGCGGAAACATAAGCAAAACCAGGTTTTCATTCAGCTGTAAGATATGAACTGTTTCCAAGTCGCTTCGTGATAACTTTCTCACCCATCTGCATGCGCACATGGTACGAGCAAACAAAAAGGAAACATTCGTATTTACCGCCTAGCAACCGACTCGGTCAGGCTCTCCGGCACGATGATTTTTCTACACATTTCTGCCCGAATCCCGGTCCCTCTGCCATCGCACTTGTGTGCTCCCACCGATCCCGCCGCCGCCGCCGCACCGTGTCTTGCGGAAGAGGTTGGCATGGTGTCTTCGTCCCCGTCCCCGTCCTCGTCCCACTGCATAGACACCTCGATACGCTTCCAGATTCCCTGCCGCGAGTTGTGCGAGAATTGGACGTCGGCATCGATGCCGCTGCTGCTGCTCCTGGTGGAGGATGATCCGTCCCGGCTGTTGTTTTTGGTAACTTGTTTGTGGTTGCGGTCATGCCTCTCGGTACCTGTAGTACGGGCGTAACCCCCGTCAGGTGGGGATAGATCTATCGCCGAGCCTGCGCTGTTGATGTCGTTGTATTCGTTGTCTTGGCGGTGGGCATGGCTCAGGGGCATTTCTGATAGGGACCCGTTCTCGTCGGCACTCTTGGGAGTCGTCTTCTCGTCGCCGTCGCCACCCGCATCGAGTCTGCTGCCATTGCTGCCGCCAGACTTGGTGCCTGTTCGGAAGCGGTGCGTGGATGCGAGGCTGCGAAGTCCAAAGGACTGCAGATTGGTGTTGTTGCCGAGGCTGTTGCTCTGGCTAGGACTGTTGGAGTAGGCAAGTGGTCTGAGGGCGCGTGCGAACAGTGGTCGTAGGGTCGGGACGCAGGCAGCGAAGATGACGATGTTTTGCTCGATTCTAAGACGCAAAGCCTAGTCAGTAGAGAGCGTTATCGGGCAGTTGTTCGCAGCTTCTTTGTTGTACGTACAGTCCCCAGAATACCAGTGTAACCACATTCCACACTACGATTGGGGGGTGCTCGAGTTAGCAGAGTCTCACCGATACTCGATAGAAATATGGTGGGCAGTGTGCAGCTTACAAGGATCTTCTGTGTCGTTGAACAGATGAAGAAATGTCGCCTTGATCAAGGTGACAATAGCGGATAGGAAGGTCAGCCCCATAAGAACCATGATGCCGATCTTGGTCGACATGTTCATCTGGAGATTCCAGAACGCTGATATCGGCACCACGGCGAGCGCTAGATCGGTCAATGTGGTGTATGCGCTGACAAAGTACGAGTAGTTGTTCAGGATGCTGGGATCCCAGCAGCTCCCGTCCAGGCCGCGATTCCACAGCTTGTCTACCGGGCTGCATTGCACAAATGCCATGATTGCCATGACCACGGCTAGTAACACCTGTAGAATAGCCATGGCTATGAGGGCGTATTTCCTCCATGGATTCGGGTCGAGGAGTTTGATGACGAGGATGGCGATTGCGATGTTCGGGAGACTGAAGGCGCCTGCGCGAGAGAAGACCACATTCATTTAGTGATGATGTTATGTCTCTCAAGGTTCGAGAATACTCACCAATGTTGAATGCTTCACAATGCCTCTTAGTTAGTTAATGTATCTAGCTGTGGTCTATGGAAACAGCTGCAGGATGATACTTACGATACCCAAGAATCTGCATCTTCGCCGTCATTGCAAGCCTCTCTGGTCCAAACTCTGAGAAAACTGCCATCGTATGTCGTCCCAGGCCAAGCACGGCAGCATAGTGTACGAAAAACGAGGCGATTATGCTGAGTATCTGCAGAAACTACAGTTAGGTGGCAATTGTGGAACAACTCTCCTTAACAGAAGAACCCTATCTAGAGAAGTATTGACTACTTACGAGAGAGAGCACGATAAAGAAGTCATCCCAACCAGCACTGCGGCTGATGCGGGTGGTCGTAACGATTTTGAGAGTGACAGCAATGATGGCGAGACCGGTGAAACTCCAAGCCACAGCAATGACCCAAGACGACTTGCTTTCGCGGAGATATGCCTCTGGCAGATCCATGGCTGGAGACTGCTATTCTTTCGAGTGGTGCGACGTCTCTTGCCGACAGCGCTGTCGATGCATTGCTGATGCAGCTGGAGGAGGAGTATGAGCCATCTCAGGCACCATCTTTGGAGCGCATCAAGGACTCTATTATGCGAGCATGCTCTGTCCAGGCCTCTGACTCTTCGAGAAAGTGCCAAGGTTCAGATCAGACAAGTTCTTTGCCAACCTCAGCAGGGGCTCCTGAAAAGCGACGAGGTGATGTACTCGTTGGGAACAACCAACACGCATTCTTTTCGGTGCAGTGCAGTGCAGTGCAGTGTCCGGTGGCCGGGTTCTTTGCTTGATTCACCTGTCAGGGGCAGCCGTTGGAGGCAATGCTCGACCTGGTCACGATCCCTATCGAGTAGGATGTGCTGCTATGGCTTGCGGTGGGTGGTTCCCTGTCCTGGGCGAGTCTCTCGCACATCGGCGACCTGGGCATGCCCCTGCATCGCTGCCAGTCGGGAGACTCGGGCCGTTGAAGGAAGCATGTCCCGAGACGACAGCAACGTCCAGAGATGCTATCAGTGCAAGGGTGCCCTCGTCAAGCAGCGTGCCCAGGACAGGTTGGCCGAGTTGCTATAGGTAGATAAGTATAAGTAGGCAAGGGCATGTCGGCGATGTCTCTCCGGCGATATGCCTGCAGCAGCCGGGGTTCGCAGCAGCCGGTTGGTTCCCCGGTGCTGTTGTTGGTTCGTCCCTGCCACGCCACAGCACATGCCATCCTTGTCGCCGTCTCCTTGGGTGGCTTGGCAGCAGTTCACTCGCAGTCCATCGCGATGGTATCATCTCCGCCCCTGCCACTTCAGCACAGATGATGTCTGCGCATTGATGCTCCTGGCCAAAACGCCAAGGCTCACGCCGCCTTCCTGTCTCCTACTCGCTCTTCCCACGATCCTGACCAGCGGCCTCAACGGATGCGCGCAGGTGCTCACGACCAACACTATCATCAGAGCCACGAACACCATTACATGAGCTCTATCATATGCCATCGAGTTCCCAGCTTTGGCCACCGTCTTCGCCATGCCGTGTAGTCTCTTTGCTCCTCAGTCAAGGGCTGGGCATGGAACCCTTCATAGAGCAAGTCCAGTGGCATGCCACCCTCATACCAACTGGCCCTCATGTGCCTCGGCCCTTCCTATCGCGATTCAACATGGCACCCCTGACGCCCCTTCAGCCCCGCGTTCTCTCTACTATGGTAGATACTTCTTTTGGGGCCCGATCGTTGCCTGCCTCCGATGCTCGTGGCCATCATGTCTGCGGAGGAGGGGCTGGCTGCATTCCTTAAATTTGGCTGGCGGGCCTCTCTGCTACTCGAAACTATCCCGTACTGGGTCTCCTGTAGTTCCCAATTCGACAAGCTAGCATATCCTGAATCGTGAGGTCGAGCCAGAGATCTGTTGTGCATCTATTTGAGTCTCTTTCAAGTCATCTTCAAAAGCGTGTTAGTCGCCATGGCAAACCAGCACGCCTCCTCCATCTTGGAGAACCTGGCCAGCACAGGCAATGCCTATGTGCATGGCCAGCCTGGTTCTCGAGAGAATCTGATTGAGCTCTCGCGCCAGCTCATTGCGAGCCTGGAGATACCTAGCGAGTTTTTGCAGAGGAGCTTCTGGGCAGAGGTATGTGTGCTTCGCGGCGGAGTTCCCATGGCTTTTCTGAGATGGAATGTCGCACTTTTCCGCATCACATCGCCTGCAATGGGCAACTTGAAGCTGATGATGTCCTTGTACTCATAGCCCGCCATGTCCGCACACCTCAGACTGGCTGTCGATCTCAATATCCTGGGACTCCTTCGTGACGCAGGCCCCGATGGCCTCGACCCCGAAGCCCTCGCCGAGAAGATTGGCGTGCAAGCAAGCCTCTTCAAGAGATTGATGCGGCATCTTGTTGCCATGCATGTCCTGACATACTCCGACGGCAAGATCCATGCAACAACCCTGAGCAATGGGCTTGCCGCAGAAGACTACCAGCGAAGCATCATGTTCTGCTACGACGTCACCCGACCCTCTTTCAACAACTTCCCGGATCACTTCAAAAGAGTTGGATTCGTCGAGCCGACAACGACAAATGACGGACCGTTCAATGATGCATTCAGCACGCCGCTGCCATTCTTCGACTGGCTCAATGCGAACCCACCAAACATTCAGAACTTTGCTTCTTTCATGGCTTCCTACCGCGCCGGAAAGCCCAATTGGTTCGATGAGGGGTTCTATCCCGTCAAAGAGCGATTGATTGAGGGCTTCGACGCGAGTATCGGGAGCGCGCTACTTGTGGACGTCGGTGGTGGCAGGGGCCATGATATGGCCATGTTCGCCGCAGAGCACAAGGGTCATCCTGGAGATATTGTTTTGCAGGATCAAGAGGCGGTCATCGGGGAGATCCAGGACAAGAAATCCCAGCCGTTTATTGCTACAGCCCACGACTTCTACACTCCACAGCCCGTCATCGGCGCTCGGGCGTACTCTTTGCACTCGATATTGCATGACTGGGACGACGAGCACGGATCCCGAATCTTGGAGAACCTCAAGCCGGCGCTGAAGCCAGGGTACTCGAGGGTGCTTCTCAACGAGATTGTATTGTCGGAAGAGGAGCCCACACTGGCAGCTACCTCGATGGACATGATGATGCTGGGGCATCTCAATGTCCGCGAGCGTACCGAGGCCCACTGGAGGACCATCATTGAAGGGGCTGGACTGAGAGTGATAAATATCTACCGTTATCCTGGCAGTGCGGAAAGTCTCATTGAAGCAGAGCTCGCGGAGGCGGTTGCGGCACCGAAGATTTAGCATCAGAGTCAACCGATTCGGAGGCTTACCAATAGTCCGCAACATCATAGTTTCTAGCCTCGGTGCAATGAATTAGCCAACATTTCTACAGGGTTCAGGCTGTATATTATAGAGGAGTAAAACGCCCGGTGCTCTAGAATAGCCTTGGAATCCCACAAAGTATACAAAATCCGCCAATAAAGGGCCATTGATGCTACCGTGAGAAGGGTACCCGGCCTTATACAATTGCGCCTGCTATGGGCGCTGAACTTGTTTGTCAGTGAAGACTTTTAGCATTCTCATTGTCCATGGAAACCAGCGTGTTCCTGTGCCGGACTGCCTGTCACATCGACCTGGCGCTGGACCACAATGGCCCCCATGCCGCCACTAACACTGCCAAGCTTCTTGCTGCCTTTCTTCGCATGATGATCCCCGTTGCCAGTGTTGACTCCGCCACCACCACCGCCACTGGGGATGATGTGCCTCTGACTCTGGTCGTCCGCGAGGCTGTCGCTGCTACTGTCGCCAGCCATGTCCCGACCATACACGCGGGTTTCGGTGCCGTACTGGCTCGTCCTCCCGGCGGCATGTTTGTGGCTTCTAAACGGGCCCTTCTTCCCGCCGGTGTCTCGCTCCTCGAGCTCCATGTAGCTGTTCTTCATTGACGAGGGCATGCCGTGCGCATCGCCCAAGTACCCGCTCCCAGCCACACTACCACCGCCAACGCCGCTGCCGCCTCCACCACCAGCACGGCCACTACCGGAGATGCCGTATTTCCCGCCCGTCACGCCGCTTCCGCCGGCCTTGCCGCGGCCACCCCCGCCGCCGCTGCTGCCGCTACGGGAGCCCGTGATGATGGAGAATGTCCGCTCGAGCAAAGGGCGGCAGGCGGGCAGGTTGGCGACGAGCATGCCGATGCCGACTTCGGCCTGGGCCCAGGCGAGGATGATGCCGAGAGCCTCGAGGAAGCGGGTGTTGTCGTTCATCAGGAGGAGGTACTTCAGGCGGACGATGGGAGCAATCGAGGCGCTGGGAGACGAGTTTCCCGGCCATGGGGAATGCTGTCAGCTTTTTTCTCTCTTCAGAACGAGAATAGCTCGTCTTCACTGCGCGGGTCGGGCGGGTTGTGCAGAACAAGGAAAAGGGGGGGGCAAGGGAAAAAAAGGCTTACAAGAATCCCAGACCGAGGAGGCCGATGACGGATGCCTTGACGCGACGTGCCATTTGTAGCTTCCACAGGAGGGCGAAGGGCAGGACGGCAAAGATCCAGTCTGTCGTGATGGAGACCGCTGCGACGAGGAAAGAAAGCGCCGTCTGGATCTCGCGCGGCTTGCACTCGCCGGCGAGGGAGGTGTGCCAGTTCTTCCTGTGAACGGAGAGGTGTTAGTGTCAGTGACTGGTCTTTCGAGTATCTTCAACCTGCATGATAACGAGATGGTCTTGGCTGTCGAAGGAACGTATCGTGCCCACATAGAACAACAATGAAGAGAGATAGAGGGAGAACCTACTCGACAGGGGAACATTGGAAGAACAGGTACATCCCCGTGCCGCCTGTGCAAATGGTCACGAGCACCAGGCAAGAGTAGATGACGTATTTCACCCAGCGCGTGTCGCTGGCGATGCGCAGAAGGGTGAAGCCGATACACCACTTGAGCGCGACGAGGGTGAAGCACCAGAACTCCTGGAAGACGTAGAACCACTGTTTTCGTGCGGTGGCAGTTGTCAGTCGGCGATTGAGGCCTCGCTGTGCTCAGAGTCATGGGAAACCTGGCCGTAAAAAAAAAAGGTCATAAAAGGGGAAGAGGAGAACGTACGAAGAGAGAGTTGACCACCTGTTCTTCTGACAGCGTCGAGTCGAGTTGGCCAATACCGCTCCAGGCCATGCCTAAGAGGCCTACCTGTGAGATCAGCCAAACGGGCTTTTTGAGATATGGTCAGCTTGCCCATTTTGTTCAAAAGAAGGAGCTCAGACCGTCCTTGCCTACACCACCGTCATGCTGGAGGAAGGATGCGTACAATGGTTCCGACCATGGCCCAGTCATCGGCACCCCAGGCAGATCGCTGCACCCGAATCCAGAATCGCATTACCAAGGTTATGACATTGAATGGCAACAGGACGAGTGTGGCTGCCGCCATGTCCTTGGAAGTGGCCGCGCCCATGGTAGCTGTTGGTGTTTAAAGGAAAGTGTGATATTGTTGACGAAAGTGGCGCGGAGAGAATGAACACGCTGATGTCTGAAGACCAGCTTCAGCCGACGCTATTCCCCGGACCTGTGTCTAGATTAAGTAATGTAGGTGGCGGCGATAGCCGAGATGTCTCTGGAGTGGCACTCCTGAGCGTCGACACAAAGAACGTATGAGGATCGAGCTAGTCCACTTGGAAGGTTGCTCCACCGTTGGTGGCCCGACACGGAAGAACGGTTGAAGTAAAATAGCATATCCACTGAAGAGGCGAGAAGAAGTGGACTGGGCCAGATCAGAGTCTTGGTGGGTTTTATTCCAGTTGGTTCGTTTCGGATCTTGTGTCCAGCACCAGTAAGCTCAAGCGCACGCCGAGAAAGTTCTCGCTTGGAAATCTGCCGCCCCTGATAGCCTTCCCGGAGGTTGTTGTGAGGAACGACATTATGGCGACCCAGTGGTCAGGCATGCAAGCCCCCGAACCAAAGAGAGTCGTCGATTATTTCCTGAAAACTTAGAGCTCAGGCCACAGGTGGGAGTATCCCAGTCATTACCAATGTTATCACCCTCACGACTTCATATCGAAGCAACCAGCAACTGGGGTTGGGGTCGCCGTACCGCCAATTTTTGCGCTGGCAAGTTTAATCAGACTGACGCAGATATATATGATGTCGATCCCGACGCAGTTTGCTGTCGTCCAGGTTTCTCAACCTTCAAGCCTCCAACATAATCCCGTCATAGTTGGTCACGCATGGGGAGGTCTTCGTGCATGAAACTCAAATTTGGCCTTGCGGGCACGGCCATCTGCTGCTTTATGATACCCGAGCGGTTTGTACCATGTACATCACGGCTAGTTTACTGGATGAAACAGTCACGGCTTTCTTTTGATGGAGATTCGCCAAGCCATACCATGGCTTTGTGGGACCAACGTTGGAACCCACGTTGTCGATCGGCAACAGGGACGAGACGAGTCCCAGTTTTACCCACAATCATTCAGAGAATCCACTCTCAAGGCTACGGCACAGGCAGCGGTGGAGAACCTCTGACTAAGGGCCGAGGAATCGAGAATGAGCAAAATGGAGGCCTTGTCGCGCAGGCCTCGTCCCTGTCACTGTAAGATATTCTCTTTCGTTTCGTGCCATCCACAACGATACTCTTATTAGCAGCTCGCATGGATCACCAACAACAGTGCCCCTGCTGCCTCTTAGAGCATTCTGCCGATGTCCTGGAAAGGATCGGCAGTTGGCAGGATGTGGGACTCGAGGAGCAGGGGCTTCGGGACTGCCAACCGGTTCCGCGAACTTGCGCCAAGGCTCGGCCCCATTACCAACTCCTTCTCCTTCGGCCGTCGCTGGTCCATTCAAGCTTGGCTGCCAAAGGCCGCGCATGTCCCAAAGTTCCTTGGCGCAGATGGACAAGATCTGCCTGCGAGAACCCCATGCCATGCTTCCTGGCCCTGGAATCTTCTGTGACTTCTGCCCACTTCCCGCAACACCCGGGCGGGCCGTTGTGGGAACTTTGACCCATCGGGGCGAAGGGTCCTCAAGGACAATGCCTGTCTCTGACCAACGAATCTAAGCGAACATTGCCTTGTGAGCTTGTTGGAACTGCTTCTGCAGGATGCAGGGCTCCACTGGGCTGTCTCATGCAGGAGCACCAAGGGATTTACAGGCTCGAGGGGCAAATAGCGTTCCACCATTGCAATGGGAGCTTAAGATGTCGCTTCTCGGTCCAGAGAATATGTTGTTCTAGTGCATTCTGACTTATTCACAGTCTTTTCATCGGCGATATTCAATGAACAGTAATCCAGCCCAAGTCCAACTTCCTCCCAGTCACACCTCCCACGCGGCACAAACATGGTCACCTTCAGAGTCTTTGAAGGCAAGCTTGCCATTGTCACTGGCGCATCTCGCAGTACGTACTCCGCTTGACCGCGTTGACAAGTGCCGGCTTTGCCTCGCAACTCGAAGTCGGGTAGCTTAGCCAAACGCACAATCCACATTATTACCACTTACACACACGGATCCTCCCAACAGGCTTCGGTGCCGTCTGTGCCGAGCATTTCGCCAGCAGAGGCGCCAACGTGGTCATCGTCTATGCCACTGAAGGCTCAAACGAGCGAGCGCAGGCACTAGCCAATGGGTTCGAGGACAAGTACCAGATCAAGGCGCTGCCGGTCCAGGTCGACCTCAGCGCGGCCGACGGGCCCCAGAAAGTGGTCGACGCCGCCAGGGCGCACTTCACCGACGCAAAGACGGGCAGGTTCCAGATCGACATCATTGTTAACAACGCCGCCGTCGTCAACGCCCAGGGCCTGGCCGAGCTCGACGTTGACCTCTTCCAGGCGACGTTTGACCTCAACTGCCGCGCGCCCGCGCTGCTGATCAAGGCGGCGATCCCGTACCTGCCTACCGACCGCTCTGGCCGCATCGTCAACATCTCGAGCGCGACGACCACGTGGGGTGTCTGGTGGCAGACGTCCTACGCGGGGACAAAGGGCGCCCTCGAGGCCATGACCCGCGTCTGGGCTCGCGAGCTCGCCGAGCGCGCTACAGTGAACAGTGTCGCGCCTGGCCCGATGGACACAGGTCTCTACTCGGGTTTACCCGACGAGCCTCGCGAGGCGCTCAAGCCGTTCAACATCCTCACTCCGCTGGGCAAGGCCCGACCTGGTGTCGACAGCCAGGAGGTCCTCGATCTTGCTGCGAGCATCGGCTGCCGCCCGGGCTACTTGGAAGAGGTCGCCGGCATTGTAGGTATCGCCTGCTTGCCAGAGAGCGGATGGATGACCGGTGGTGTATTGGGCGCGAACGGCGGCGGTGCTTTTGTCCGATAAGGTGATAAAGGTGTCAATGAAGACGTATACATCAAGCATAGAGTATGATGGGGAACAGCGTAGTGAGTTGGTATCAGTCTTTGGAGAGTGTCGTATTACGGAGCGACTATACCCTTTGCTTTCCTAGTATGCATCGTGGATGTGACATGGTGTCCTTCCTCGTGCATCCCTTTCAACCCGCGGCACGGTGTTGACGCTAATGCAAGACGGGCCGGCAATGCAATGCAGCGCAGATAAAGTTCTTACACCCTGTGCGATAGAAGCTTTCCGTGTGCTGCGAGAATTTCCCTCTCTCAAATGCACCAGCATATTTGGGAGGCCCAGAGAAGGAAAATACGCGAAGCATTTTGAGACTTTCCTATGCAGTTCATCCATGTCTATGCGGTGCTGCTCGCATACCTGGGTAGTCAACCTTACTAGCAAGGCGCACCAGAAGCCGATCAGGGGGAATTTAGCCCAATATCGTGTCTGAGTCCACAACAGTCCGTCCGTTGGATTTGGCACGGATCCGACCTGACCCTGGCGGAACCGGGGTACCTTGTCCCAGATCCCGGACGCAGATGAGTACGGAGAAATGGCCGGAAGAGAAGGTGTGGCTGAGATCCGGCGTCAGGGGGCGGATCGGCGAGTTTCGTCGCCAATCCGGGGTCAATGGGTGCAAACCTGACTAGGGGTTAAATATCTCAAGAGGCGCCTGTGCTTTCTCATACCAGACAAGGACTGACAGTTGGGTCTGTTATCATTAATGCAACCACACGGACCACAGACTTTACGCGCGTAAATTCATGATGAACCTGTTCTCGGATCTAACCTCCCGGAGACCACCTGACGACTATACCGAGTATCCGACTAAATCGTGCAAAATGCCTCACAGGGACGGTCCACGTAATCAGCAAAGGCTTAGCCGAGTAGACCCGTTTCTGCTTTGCTGCTACCCGAAATAAGCGAAGACAGACCGGGTTCCCGACTCTGTAGTGCCTGCAAAGGGTCTAGACGATCGAGCACACAATTCTCACTGGGACATGCAGGCCGGGACGCTTTCTTGGGCATAACCAAAATCGGATCCGTTTGTCGTAACGTAATCAGTGTGTGCATGGGGGAGCGCCACAGTAAAGGCCGGGAAGCTGGACGCCTTCGACGACGGTTCAAGCGGGTCTCATCGAGCTTCCATTGAAATAATAGTGTTGGGCCCGCGTACTGGTGCGGCACGGATCCGAATGGGGCCCATGAAAACGGGTATATGTTCGGTTACATTCCCAACTAATTACGTTACACTTAACTACTCAATATGTCAAAATGGATTGCAAGTAGGCAAACTCTTTGTCTCACATATTGATGTATGGCATGACTTATGACGCGCCATGACAAAATATCAATCCAGAATGATATTTGAGCGAGCCACTTTTATTGCATAGCAGGGTTGATTACTCCGTTATCGCGAACCATCCGAGCTCGATTCTGTCGTCTAGGCTGGAAAGAATCAGCCGTTGCTACGAATTTCAACGTTCATGTGATTTCTACAATTATTTGCTCCTGGCAATTTCAGCTTTTCTTGATATTCCATCTGCAGGGTAGCACACGTCCAATTTAGCTGTTGCTGCTAGTTTGTACTGCACTCATTTGTCGAACCAAGTTGCAATATCTCAATGTATCATATCAGGTGGGAAAAAAGAAAAGAAGAACGAGACTAGTTCCCGTCACATGACTTCGTCTCCAGAATTTCTTGGGCCTACTGACGAATACATTTCGACATTCAAGCGTAAGCTGAAATCCTATAGCGCTTCTACCCCACTATCCAGGCAAACACTCTTTCACCAGGAAGTATCACATTGGTTTTCGGCGACTGTCCATAACCCATTTCTTTTCTATTCGCTTCGAAAAGGCCTGAAAATCGTGCAGCGGTGACACTATACCCTTGCTTATTTCGTGGGACATGGCGGTGGCGTGAACGTCGGCCAGGGCTTGCAGTCCGGAAAGCATCTTTTCCCCACCCCCCGGAGAATGAAAGTGGTTAGTGAAACACGGTACAGATTTCATATCCACCTACTCCTACGGGACTTGGGAGGCAAAAAAGTGAAAGAGCAAGAAGCAGAAGCCAGAGATCGGTAAATGAAGAACTCACCCCCCGTAAGGAATCCCGATGGCAGTGCCGGACGTCCCCGTGCAGGTCTGGAGATAATCCACACACACGCTGATCGTGTTCGTGCAGCTGGAAGAAGAAGAAGAAGAAGTCACAGTCGGGCATGGGGGCTCGGTGAACGTCGGCCATGGCGTGCAGTCGGCAAAGCAACTATTTATTCGCCCCGATGTATTTTCAGTATTAGCCCGCTGTGCTCTGTTTGATTATAGCCTGCTACTCCCCAGATGGAAGAAATTGTTTCTGTGTGACAGCCCAAAAAGAAAAGGCGTGGATTCGAGATGTGTGACCGGAATAGACTTACCCGCCGTAAGGGATCACTATCGAAGTACCCCCCGCCCCAGTGCAGGTTTTGAAGTAGTCGGCGCAGACGGACCTGGTGGAGCATGAACTGCCTGTTGGTGACGTTGTTTTGGTAGGGTATGATGGTGAGCATGGGCTGGCGAGACATGATGATGCCATGACCGCCGCAGCCAGCATGGTGGGGACAACAACGTGTCTGACCATGTTAATGCCTCCGTGTAAAGTGGCCTGAGACTATTAAACCGCTAGAAGCTTACGGTGTTGTCGCTGGAGATTCTAGAAAGAGGAATTTGACCTTTCGGGTCCTTGGTGAGAATAGGTGATGGACCCATTCTGAGAAACGGCTCGAGGCTTATATATATAAATCAGCTGCCTCAGCCTGTGTATGCTGACAGGCGAAACCGCCTTGACTAGTGCGGGACACACGATCAACGGGGGGTAGTTTCGTGGAAGGTGTGCCTCCGTGGTATACGAGAAGTCGGGGCTGGCAACAGAGTGTCCAGCCCTATATTGTGGTGTCATGGATTCACCTGCCAAGAAACATGGCTGGATAAACAGGCTTCGGATTCAAGCGAGACGTTGCACTGTGGTGCGGAAGATGGCTGCGGCTGAGAAACTGCACCAATGAATGTGTGCATTGGCTGATGAGACCACATGGAATGGAGGTCTTGGAAAGCTCGTGAACACGGACTAACGGCTCAAACTTAGGGCCCGAGAGACATTTAGGACTTTTCCATTGAAGAAAATGCTGACACTGGTCTGATTTGTCAAAATCTGTTGGTTGTCCTTAGATAGCAGATTTCTGGACAGCCGGGCACAACAGCAAGGGAGACAATAGTCGTGATGCTGCACGTTTAACTGGGCCCACGAGCCAGAATTGTGGGGAAGCACTTTTGGCGGGACGGGACGACCCCGGACAAACGTTGTCAGTAGGGCTGCGGAGCCGTTCAAGTACGAAGCTGCATAAAGGGATGCTGCTGGTTGGAAAAGAAAATGCCAACATGCACAGCGCCCAATCAAGTGCACACTCTCATATGGATGTCAGAAACGAGACGATCGACGTTCAGACAGGCATCATCGTTGGAGGTCAAGGCAAGCCCACACGAACAACTCATCGCATGGCCAAGAATTAACGGGGGGTAGGAGGGAGCGTCACGTGTGGCAGAGTCGCGTGATCAAAAGCCGGTGCGATGACTTGTGTGTGTGCCTAAAGCACCAAACGTCTGTATTCAGATTGTCGTCAGTTCGTCGTCTTCTACGAGACATGCAGAGGCCGCACCATGTTGCCGCAATTTGTGCTCGCCTCTGCTGCCGGGCCCGTGGAATGCAACGTGCAAAGCAGATTACTTTTTGGTGCGCTGATCCAACACAGACTACAGACCGTGCACCCAAGCGAGCGCCCGCCCCGGCACGACCTGTGAAAGTGAAGCTGGATGAGGTCATGGGAATACTTTTGCGCGTTACACACGTCGAGCATGACCGCTTCAGGCGAAGAGGTGTGACGAGGGACGGCGAGCACCAGTCAGGGACTCGTGCTGGAGCGGCAGGGCAACTATGGTAGGACACGACGCTGCCACATGCAGCCTGCAGCACAGGCCACCAGGAAGCAGCTGGTGCTCGAGCTGGAGCTGGTGATGGTGGGTTGATTCGGTTTGGGAGGGAGAATGAGAGCTGGATGAAAGAAGTGGCTCGTGTAGGCTAACGTGTGGTTAGTGAGCGAGTGGGGGGCTCTGTGTGTGCGGCCAACGTCCGTTGACCCCCCTAGTCCATGTGACATCACCGGCACCTGCCCACCAAGCGGCGGCCTCCACGCATTTCGGGTCTGCAGACTCCCACGCCCGTCCATGGATGATGGCCCACGAGACGCCGCTGCCGACCATCCGCCTGCAGTCCGTGACTGGCGAGGGCCGTCATCCCCGACCCCACGCCCGTGCAGATTTACGTCGGACTTGCAGCTGGACCCTGAGGGCGTCTGAGGCGTTGCGGCACGTCCACGCCGGCCCCGGCCGACTGATCGCCAGAGGCAGCCTGCCGCCGCCACACAACCGCCCCCCTGTCCAGAGCTATCTGCCTGGGCCAGAATACTTATCCAACCTGCTGTTCCAAAAGTTTTCCACAACGACAATCCTCACAAAATACTCCAGCCTCAAGTTTCCAAGGTACTCGCATATTTTCAGTTCATATTACAGCAGACTATACCGGCTGGCCACCTACCCGAGCAGCGCCTTTCCCGAGTTGTGACAGACCAGCCCAATTTAGCCAGCCCGGCGGCACCATCACAACCATGGCTGGCAGATCAGCCCGGCACAATCGCCACGACGACCCTTATACTTTTGACGACCCCTATCGCAACGACCCCCCAACGGTCGGCCATAATGTAGGCTACGAGTATGTCGGCACCGACGAGGCCACCGTAGCGGGCGGCTCGCCGCCCCCGAGGTACCAGTCCCGCCGGTCAAGCCCACAGCGACGCCAGCACCGGGCTACCAGCCTGCCGAGACCGCAACGACACAACAGAGACCCTTCGCCGCCCCAAAGAGAAAGGGTCGGATCTCCTCCAAGGCACAGCAAGCAGCGTGTACCCCCTCCTCCCACCGACGCCGAGCTCAATGCCGCTCCGGCTCCGAAGCGGGACAAGAACTACCAGGCTCGATATCAGGAGTGGGCACAGCGTCCAAATGTCCAGCGCACAAAGAGCTATGGCAAAAAGGGCCTGGAGTTTATGGGTTCTGCCGCGGCGGCGTACCTGGCGGCCCAGCAGGGCAAGAGCAACCCCCGAAGCCGCTCCGTAGACCGCGATATGCACCCCGGCAGAGGCTCTCGCCATCACTCAGATCGCGATGACCCGCCCCCAAGACGCAATCACCGTCGAGACCCTTCATACAGCCCCTCCCCGCCGCCCAGGAGAAGTCATCACCGCCGCCACGACGACGAAGCACTAGCAGCAGGGGCAGCAGGTGCAGCAGGGGTAGCAGGGGCGGCAGCCCGGCGGCGGCACGGACGGCATGAGTCGTCCAGCCCGTCACCGCCGCGCAGGCGACACCAAAGCTACCACAATGACGACCGCGACGATCGTGACCGCGGCAGGGGAGGCAGCCGCCATCACCAACGCCGTGGCCAATCATACAGCCGCTCGCCTTCTCCATCCCGGCATAGAGACCGTGGCCGCCCGCTGGGCAGGTCCAACACGACCAACAGTAGCTCGAGTGGACTCCGCCATGGCTTGTCTGAGAGCAAGAAGCCGCCGGTTAATGACGCTGCCGCACGATGGCAGATAGCTGCCCGTGCTGCGCTGGAGGCCGGCGGCGTGGCGGCGTTCCGGCTACGCAAGGAGCCTGGGTCGTGGAACGGAGTGAAGGGTGCCAAAGTCGCCTCGGCGGCGCTGGGTGCTGCGGCTATGCACGCTTTGCTTGACGTAAGTTGGCCTCTTGTCCTCTGCCATCATTTTCTGGCACAAAACAGCTGCGATTTGTGTGGGAGTACTTGACACAGTATGCTAACCCATGTCACAGAAAGATCCAACGCGTGATCAGGGTCGCGGCGTGAAGGGCTTGGCCGAGAATGCACTTGGAGGTATCGTCGCATCCAGGATGACGGGTGTCAAGCGGAACGGGAAACGGAGATAGCCTGGCGTGATGACCTGCTGGGAAGAAGGAAGACGGCATTCTTGACAGCGTACACTTGAGATGCAGCTAGTTTCCCCACAACATTTTGATTCAAATCATAAACTTGTAAAGCCCATGGTGGAGAGGGCTATGTCGGAAGGTTCGTGGTCTCTTGCTGCCGGAAACGCCCGATTACCGCTATGGCGGGTAGTCCATGATAGAATTGCCTAGGGTGTGACGACCTTTATGGTTCCAGTCGAGTGCTTGAAGTTATCATATTGCCTGGGGATACGATTCCGAACCCGCGAAACTGCGCAACAGCAACTCATTGAGCTCTGAACACATAGCGAGCAGAACCCTGGGGACCTGCTTGTGTCGACGCAAGCACACAGCTCACGACGTCTTCTTGTCCTCTCGCACCACCTCGTGCCGTACCGCCCAAAGCTCGTACTCCTCTTTGTCCATAGTCGCGAGCTTGTCCCAACACGCCCTCGACAGTTGGGCGACGACCAACACGCCGAACCGGAACAGGATGAATCCGGACCCATACGTGGCGCGCATGCCGCCCGCGCCGAGTGCTTTGTCTAGCATGTCGACGTGTCGCTTAAGCGACCATGCCTTGAGCAGCATCACCAGCGTCGCGAGAATATGGATCAGGAAGGTGGCAGGCATGTGCCGGCGAGGCACGTCGCCGCGCACCAGGGCTGCCGCGGAAGTGGTCGGATGGTTTGGGTCTTCGGCCAAAGGGCCCGGTGTGCACAGACAGATCTGCTGCTTTTGTATCCCGTGTGGACATATGCATTCATCCACGCCGAGGGTTGCCCTCTTGACTTTGAGGCTACGTCTCGCTCCCCGAGCCATGAGCGGTGCCAGGAAGCTACGGCGGATGTGGCTGAACAGCGCGCTGACGAGGTTGTACTCTATGAAGAGTAGGAGCAGCAGCGGCATGGGGTTACTGAATGACCGGTGCAGGTAGTGCTTGGGCTCGATACGCGAGTACATGTCGAAGAAGGTGTTTGTGCACAAGGGACTAGGTATGTCGTGCCGGACGCTGCGCACCCATTCTGCCCACAGGTTGTCGGTCTCCATGGCCTCTTGAACCACACGGTCTGCAGTTGTCAGGTCCTGGCGGGAGGTGCTGTTTGTACCGCGGGGATGATGTTCCGCCGGCCACTCCCGCGCTTTGGTGCGCACCTCTGTCGAGTTTGAAGACCACCGCTTGACATAGGCGTCGTCCAGGCACAAATAATCTTGCGGGCGCAGGTCCATGCTCCGACCGACCGCCATGAGATCCTTCGGGAGCTCCAGAGACGTCCCAAACGCAAACAGCCCCATGCGGTTCTCAGCGCGGATGATGCCAGTGGCGCCAGACCGGGTCCAGGAACGAGGCCACTCATAGCCGAACGCGTAGGGAAAGTAGTGCATCTTGACCTGGTACTCGTGTATGAGCTTACCATCGGCGCTTTTCCGGGCAGGGAGGATGCCGCCAAAATGTAGCAGGGCGAGAGAAGAGAAGATCAGATATGGAGATGTGCTGCTGGGGGATGGTGAGTTGCCGTTGCCGCCGTCGGCGTCGCTGCTCTGGCCGCTACCGATCCGCACTCTGCCGGCGGCGACGATGACGATCAAGGCCAGGAATGGCCACAAGGTGCCGAGAACACCGACTGCGAGGAGGATCTTCCATTGTATGGTGCGGCGCCACGAACTCGTCGCCATTGCCGGATGCTGGTGGCCGCGGCTTGACGTGTGTCAAGGTAAGGATGAGGCAGAAAACTCGATCGAGGTTTGGACCCATGCACAGTCAGAGCGCTGTTGGCAGGTGACGCTGGTGATGGTGGAGATGAGGGGGGACGCGAGATTGGTGGCATCCATCTGCGTCGCGCTGGGGCAAGCCTTGGCATCACCATGTCGCGCAATGTGGACGAGACGGAGAGGATCGCCTCAGGGCCAGCTGCCTGCTTGAAAGGGCGAGATGACGAGAAGCAAGGAAGGGAAAGTGCAAGTAACATCTAGCTCGGGCCAGATGCGCCACTTCCGCAGCGACTTGACGCCCGCTCAAACGGTGGTGCATCTGGAGAAAGCATACACTCTACGGCGTACTGCACCTCCAACATGACAGCGACAATCGCCTCGAGTTCGCAAATGCGGGCCCGCGGGAGGGAATTAAGCTTCAGCTGCAATGGACCCTGCAATAATCTTATCTTGGCGATCCCCGCTCACCCTCCCAATCAGGCGACAACATCAAGGACTTTGGCCTGGGGAGTGGCTTCGAAGTCCTCCTCATGCTCAACCTGGTCGTGGGAGACATCCATGGATGTCTGAGCTGTAATCGTCCGACCGGCGACACATCGCTGGATCAAGACAGACCATGTTGTTTACTGCAACTCAACCCCCCAGACACAACCACTCGGAGCACCCTGTCCGTCGAGAGCCATCTTGTCCGGCATCATGCTGGCCGTGCAGGACAACAACCCCGCTACTGGTTCAGCCGCACCATGCCCAACCCGGGAGCACGCCGCTGCGCCTCTTCGAGGTCTCACCTACCCGTCCCTTGAGTCTCCAGACTTGCTGGCCGAGGTCGTGCGCCTGGCGGCTTTCCTCTTCCCACCTCAAGAGTGTGGAATTCAAAGTCTCCTCCCTCTGCCTTCCGTCCTTGGCTCTGAACGCCACGCGCAGCCCATCCACGAGGAGTAAAGCTTCGGCATAGACTGCCGCAAGCATGGAGAATCCCATTGTGACGGGCTATCCGCCGCCACTCATGGCCGCTGGAGCGAGCATGTCGCCAACTCCGCCGGCTGATCCGCCAGCTGCTCCTTACGCAGCATTGCCTTCTGCCATGGGGGCAATGTCACTACACACTCCTCCTTCTCACCACCAGACACCCGTCAAGGCCTATGCGACGTCCTTTGCCTACGAGCTGCCAGCAGAACCCGTGGATCAGAGCCCACATGTGACAAGCCAGCCCTCTCAGCAATCAGTTGGTGGACCGCTATATCAGCAGCAACAACAAGCAGCGGGAGCCCACCCCTCCCCATCCCCGTCCGCTCATTCACAAGCAAGCTATGTCACTTCTCTGCCAGGTCAAAGCCTGTCGCCTTCCCACACAGGGAGCCTTCAGCATGTTGCACAGTCAGTATCGGTTTCACCACACGCCGCCAGTGGAGTGTACGTGCCAGCTGGGCCTCCTGCTTCGAACCACAGTAGCCCATCCATCTCAACTCCTCCCCTTGGACAGTCTCCAGGGTCAGTGACGAGGAAGCCACTACAGAGGGCACCGAGTCAGTCATCACAGGCAGCGGCCCAGCAGCAGGTGCAATTCCAGTACCCTCCAGTGCTGCAGCAACAACAGAGAATGGCAACAGGACCCAATCAACAGATCATGTATCAAGCTCCTGCGCAGGACGGCGTGCCGCCACAGCAGCCTCTAGTCCTTCAGCAGCAGCAGCTTCAACCTCAACAGCACCAGATTCACCCTCAGCAAGCGATACAGCATCCGCAGTATTTTCAAGTACCACAGCAAGGATGGCCGCAGCAGCACGTACAGCGGATATCGCAGCTTCAACAGCCCTTGCAGGTAGTTCAGCAACAGCCTCAACCTCAGTATCAACCACAGGGATTGCCAATAGCGCAACAAGGCCAAGCACCACCGCAGGTACGATACGTACAACAGCCGACAGCAGCAACCCAGCAGCCTTTGCCCCAGCACCCTCAAGTCCTGCCTCAGGTACAACAAGGGCAGCCTCAGTATATGCAACAGCAACAGCCCCAGACTCAACAGCCACAGCCTCAGTTTGTACCGCAGCCGCAATATGCCTTGCAAGCACCGCAGCATGGCCCCCAAGCACTACCTCAAGGCGTGCTACAGCAGGGATCGCCTCAGCAGTATCAGCAAGCACAGATGCAATCACAGCCGCTTCAGCAACAAACTCCGCAACATCAGCAGCAGAATACTCAACAACCGCAACAACTGCAATCGCAACAGCAGCGTCTGGCATCCCAGGTCACATCGCAGCAGGTTCTCCAGCCTCATCAAATCCATGCTTCTCACCAACCACAATTGCAACAAGCTCAGCTCCACCAGTTCACCCAACAACAGCTACAGCCACAGCAGCAGCAATCACAGCAGCAGCAACTACAGCAGCAGCAACTACAGCAGCAGCAATCACAGCAGCAGCAACTACAGCAGCAGCAACTACAGCAGCAGCAACTACAGCAGCAGCAACTACAGCAGCAGCAACTACAGCAGCAGCAACTACAGCAGCAGCAACTACAGCAGCAGCAACTACAGCAGCAGCAACTACAGCAGCAGCAACTGCAGCAGAAACACCAACAACTACAGCAATCTCAAGTGGCAACAAGTCAAGCACAGTCCCGACAGAACTTGCAAACACTTCAGCCACAGCATTCTGGCGTCCAGCTGGCTCAGCTAGCCCAACAACCTCCTGCGCACCAATTACTCCAGGCTCAGTATCAACAGCCACAACAACAGCCACAAGTGCAACAAGCATCACATCAAGCTCAGTCACAACAGCCACCAGCCATCCATGGGCCCTACCAGCAGCAAGTATCAGTATCTGCGACACCGCAGCAGCCAGTGCAGTATGTCTACTCCCAACAACAGCAGCCCCAGTTTGTGCAGGGAGCTCCTGTCTACACCACACCACAGCAATACCAAGTCCAGCAACAGCTGCAGTACGTCCCCGCCAAGCAGCCAAAATCACGAGTGGCGAGTAGTGGTGCAAGCCAGAAAGCAGCAGCACAGGCCATGGCTCAGGGATTCAAGAGCGCCTTTAAGAGTGTGGATAAATGGAGTCGGAAGTACATGGGAGATATCCCGCAACCTGGTCAGGTGAAGCCAATGAGCCAGGCCCAGGCTCAGGCTCAACCCGGACTCGCCCAAGCGGCCAATTACGCAAACCCACCCTCCACGTATGCTGCAGTTCCGGTCGCTGTACAGCCACAAGCTTTTGCACAGAATCCTCAACATCCTGGGCAGTATGTCTTATATCAGCAGCAGGCCGCTGGAGGTGCACAGACACTTACACAACCAACGCAAATCACCGGACAATCAGGTACCACCCAATTGATGCCTGGTGAGACAGGTCCTGGCGGCCAAATTCATGGCTCCAACACTCACCAGCAAATGCCCTCTGGCCCTGCAGCACCATATCAGCAGCTGGGTCCTGTACAGCCCGGTCACTATGGCAATTCACCACCAGCACCTGAACTCGCAGCTGCATCGCCTTCGCCAGTCTCAGCGCCTGGCGCACAAGCGGCCCCCTCACTCTCTCCTGCTCCGCATGCTGTCCAGCATTCGTTTTTTCAATCCCATGGGGCTGGCCAACGTGGGGTCCTCCCAGACCAGCACGCTCCAAACCCTTCTGTTCCCGCAAGTTCTGCTCCGCAGCCACATACAGTTACAAGCCATGGTTATCATCAGACTAGTCCTCCGGTGGGATCGTTGAATTCTGCGCCTACGGTAGCCTTCCCTTACAACTCTCCCGGAATTTATCCAGGGTTCATAGATGTGCATACGCCAGGGCACGGTGTTCCTCAAAACGGCGGTCCTGTCCAGCACAACCTAGCAACCTCGCCGATTCCCCTACAAAGTGGAGGTGTGGCTGGAACTCCTCTCGCTACTGATACCCGATCACACAGCGAAGACCCTAACAAAACTCCATCCAGCCAGGGTCTCGGCTCCAACGCTCCGAAAATCGCAGCCGGTGCTGCAGCAGTGGCCTTGGTGGGCACCGCAGCTGTCCTGGCTGCCAAAGGTGGACATGGCAAGAAACATCGGCATGGGCACCACGGTGGAGGCCACGCGCACGAGGAGGCGACAGAAGAAGAGGAACAGCCACCGCCGTCCTCATCCGATGAGCAGAACGCCGCTGCTCAGGAGTCTTCCGATGCTGGCGGAGGCTCGGCTAACAGGGAGGATACCCAGGACGCCGGGGACAGCAAGGCGGAGGATGCACAGCAGCCCGGTGATGCCGCAGTGGAATCGAGTACTAAGGACTCAGAAAGCAACACGCAAGGGCAAGAGGATGGAGCAGGCCTGACAGACGCGGCGCAAGGTGAACCCGCGGCTTCTGGCGAGTCACTCGACGCCTCTGGCTTCGATCCATCAGCTACAGGTGGATTTTTCGATCCAGCAGCTGGCTCTGGAGGGGCCATGGGTTATGATCCGACCAACGAAGCATCAGCAAGCCTTGCAACAGAGGCTGCATTCAGCGATGAAGCCGCGGCGAACTCGTTTTACCTGATAGACGGATCAACCTACACCACCACGTATACAGATCCTGCTGCTACGTTCAGCGGGGGCGCTGGTGATGGTTCCTCGGTGATGACATACACGGATCCTTCAGCTGGCGGCGGCTCATACCTGCCTGTCGACAGTCAGTCCTACTACCCTGCTTATGACCCGTTCCAACAAGCGCAGCAGCAGCAAGATCAGATGGCAATGATCGGCACGGATCCAGGACAGTATGCTGGTGCTGGCTTTGCCCCGCCGCCGCCGCCTGGCACAGATCCGGCGATGATGGGCTATGCCGACTCGAGCGCGGCGGCTGGTGACGGGGTTGGGGTCTATGATGGTGGTATGAGTGCAGTCGATGCTGGCGGGTACGCGGCCGTAGATACGACCGTGCTTGAGGACTCGAGTGGTGTAACCGAGTCCGTGGCGGCTGCTGCCGAAGGCGGGAGCGGCATTGACTGGGGTGGCATGTTGGACTCTATCAGTTCCTGGGGATTGTAGATCATTCCAGCAGCATGGACATGGATCTTGGTTCTACCGCATTAGTTTTCTTTTTGTACGCACGAGTTTCTTCTAGCATCGCATACGCAGCATGAATACACGAGGACATGGCACGATGCATGTTGGCATGATTGATGTGAAATAGTTGTGTTCGGTCATGATTACCCGGAATATGTACCCGAGGTATGTTGTGTTTCCGCCCAGAACGCCTTGCCTATGCCGCCGATTTGGTGCTCGTCCACTTCCTCCTCCCCCGCTCCTTTCCCTCATATTGCATTGTTCGCACCTTCACCTCCGCCCGCCCCTGCCGCCACCACCACCACCGCCGCCCATCATCCCACCCATGCCCATGCTTTCCATCATCTTGGCCATGTCGGGCATGCCGCCACCACCTCCGCCGCCGCCAAACATCTTGGCGAGGCTGGCCATGTCGGGCATGCCGCCGCCGCCGCCCGCGCCGCCGCCCATGCTCTGAAGCCGCTTCTGCATGGCCGCGAGCTGCTGCTGCTTGTTGGCGCCGCCCATGGCCTGCTGCGCGCGCTGCATGTTCTTCATGTTGCCGCCCATCTTCTTGGCCATGCCGGCCATCATGCGCTGCTGGGTGAGGAGGTCCTCGACCTCGCGGACGCTGACGCCGCTGCCGCGCGCCACGCGCGTCATGCGCGTGGGGTGCTCGATGAACATCTTGCCGTCGCTGTCGAGCTCCTTCTCCGTCATGCTGTCGCAGATGTAGATCATGCGCTTGAGGCGCGCGCTCGACTCGTCGTCGTCCATGCCCGCCATGCCGGGCATGTTGGACATGCCGGGGATCATGCCGGCCATCTTGGACAGCGGGCCCATCTTCATGATGTTGCTCAGCTGGTCCCGCAGGTCCCGCACCGTGAAGATGCCCTCGGTGATGTGCTTGATCGTGTCCTTCTGGTCCAGCTTGAGCGACTGCACGTGCTCCACCAGCCCCGCCATGTCGCCCATGCCGAGCAGCTTGTTGATGAACTGCTGCGGCGCGAAGCGCTCAAAGTCGAGCATGTGCTCTCCCGTGCCGATGAAGACGATGGGCGTGTGCGTGGCCGCCACGGCGGAGATGGCGCCGCCTCCGCTGGCGTTGCTGTCCGTCTTGGTGATGATGATGGCTCCAAAGTCGGCGGCCTCCTTGAAGGCCTTTGCCTGCGACTCGGCCTGCTGTCCGATCGACGCGTCCAGCACCATGATCGTTTCGTCCGGGTGGACGGCGTTCTGGATGTCCGTCATTTCCTGGAACAGTGCCGATTCTTGCCGATGCCGACCGGAGGTATCGACAATGATGATGTCGAATTTCTCCTTCTTGAACTTGTCCACACCCTCCTTGGCCACTTTTGCCGGATCCGTCTCGGTGAGGGAACCATAGTACGGGATCTTGGCCTTCGTGGCGTTCTGCTTGAGCTGGTCAAAGGCACCGGCACGGAAGGTATCCGCGCAGACGAGACAGGCGCGCAGGCCCCGCGCCTGGTAGTGCCGCGCCAGCTTGGTACACGTCGTCGTCTTACCGGCACCCTGGAGACCAACAAACATGATGACATTGGACCGGCCCTTCTTGGGCTTGAACGGCTCGGCGTGGGGGTCGACGAGCTTGACGAGCTCGTCAAAGACGGCCTTCTGGATTATCCGCTTCTTGTTGACGCTGGGCGGGAGGTCTTTGAAGTTGACTGACGTCGCGATCGAGTTCTTGAGCCTGCTGACGAGCTTCACGTTGACGTCGGCTTCGAGGAGGGCGCCGGAGATCTCGTTGAGCATTTGCTTGAATGCCTAAGTGAATGGTCTCTTGTCAGTATCCTTGGAGGCAGATCGAGGCGAGCTGGGCGACTGCGCATGGCACTTTGAAGCCTGTCTCTCGGGGGCGCAGACCACTCTCAATAGCTCTGAATGGAGTAATTGAACGCACCTTCTCGTCAAGGTTTGGCGCACGAGTGACATCGTTGAGAGCGCCGCTGATGCGCCGGCCGAGATCCTGCAAGACCATGGCGGCGGATTGCGGCTAGGGCGCCGTGCGGATTGATCGAGTGCTGGGCTTTGTTCGTACGAGGGCGCGCGAGTCGCAAGATCCGCCGGGGCGTACGATTGTGCGTTGCGATGGCTCGTCGTCGTAGGTGGCCTTGTTCGTGGTGGACGGACTGCAAGGTGGTGGTGGGTTTGTGGGAGTCTGGGGTCCTGGTGTGGGTTCCGCCACCATTGCTTGCTGCATGGCGGGGCATCGCTCGTTGCGCCGCTGCCCAGGTGGTGCTGGCGGCCGGCCCCAGCGTTGGAGATGGGCTCATCCAGATTCGCCCATACCCCTGGAATTCGTCCAGGCTCGACAATATTTGGATATTTGGTCCAGAGAGCTTCCATTTCGTCAAATTTCCCTGACGGGTTCAGCACTGACACCAAAGAGGGTACTTTTCTATGCTAGGCAGCATTCTAGGGAGTATGGTGAACCACGGTGGCTAAGATGTACTGAGTGCAGCGTACTGCAAGCACACCATCACAAACCACAGTCATTGCCCCGATCATAAGCCATCACTACCTTCTAAATGAATGGCTCGCAGCGGAACCACCCTTTCAGCGCGAATGTATTCATTCATTCCAAGATGAACGCGACTTTAATACTGCACCGGGTCTCCAAGTTCTTGCTGAAAACGACAAGGTCTTGTAACACACCATGAACACACGCATGAGATTGTAACTCCAAAGGAAAAGCCCGCATCACGGTAAGCATGTAATTCGGTCAGATAAAGTATGTACAGTGGTTCTCATAACCTCGAGTTTTTGACCTTCTACTTGCGAGCAACAGCGACAGGCTCCCATGTGGCAATCTTCGACTTCACACTGTCCATGGTATCAGCTCAGTCTGTCCAGGTCTAGAATATCGAATGAATCCCCAGAGAAAGAACTTACGTGCTGTACGGCTTGTAAGCGCCACGGGTCTGGGTGTAGTTGGGGATCGTCTTGGCGTCCGTGTCCTCCCATTCTCGGCGCTGGTAGCCCACGGTTGGGTCCTGAGACGGGGCCTTGTCAAGGTTGTAGGACATCCACGCGTGCCAGCCAGGCTCGATCTGGGCGCTGTGGTTGAGGCGAATGCAGTCGGTCAGCGATTCTGTGCTGCATCACATCACACATCCAAACAATCATTGGCCTCTGAGCCTCGGGTCCACCTACGCATCGGGGTCCTTGCTCGCGTACTGCACCCATCGTGTCCGCAGGGGCAGTTCGTCGTTGTTCTCGAAGTACTTGTTACCGAATCTGTCGGTGCCAATCAATGCACCAGCCTTGGTGTCACCTGGATTTCGTCCGTTAGCATTTGATGCTTCACCAAAGTCGACTGTTGCTGCTCAGTGTCTGGTCTGCGGGCGCGTACCGATGTACTAGATGGTCGTCGATTCGTCGGTTAGCTGCTGGGAAAGTCAATTGATCTCGTAGCCGGGGCGCAGAGGTCTGCGTACGTTCATCTGCTTGAAGAAGTCCTGTGTCGCGAAGTTAGCATGAAGAGCAGGACTCGTGGGGTGGTCGCGCGGGGACGAACCTTGATGCCGACCCTCCCCAGGTTCTTGAGTGTACGTCCGATAGTCGACATGTTTGCGGTTGCAGCTGTGACGCACGCTCTGCAATGGGTTCGCTGGCTGTAGTCGGATTCGCAGCGACAGCGACGTTGTCGATGCACTGAATTGACGATGTTAGGATTGGCTGGAGCTCTCCACACGCGGCAGTTCTCCTTGGGCAGGCGGTGGCGGACTTGGTGAGGGAGGTGCATTATGTAAGCCTGGCCAATTTTGAGTGACGTACCTCAGGCCCTACGATGGCACTGCAGGGCGCCTGGGCACGCCTGGGCGATCGCGCAGTGCGTGGTCGAAAAGCCTGGAGGCTGAAACCTTGTACCTGCAGCCACCTTCTAGGTTTTGTAACCAGACGTGCTCTGGGCCGTTGACAAGATGTTTTCTCGAGCCGTAACAAGATCCTGTGCTCGGGTCCGGCCGGCTCTGGGTCGTTCCAGGAGAGCGATCGGAAGCAGTCAGCCAGCAGCAAAACGGCGTTATTCCAGCACAGCAAGCGCGGCCCCTGCGAGCAGCGCTGTGGCAGCCCCAGCTGTCCTGGCGCCTTTTGTCAGTGAACTCGACAAGATTGCGCCTTCTTTCCAGATCAATGGCTCGCAGATTGAGATCATAAAGACGCCATCCGACTTTTACGAGACTTTAAAGGTGTGTGCTTTAGGCCAACGCCTGCCTGTCTGCATGTGCCTTGATTACGACTACTGACTGCCTCAAGGCGAAAATACGCACAGCCAAGAAAAGGATATTTCTATCTACTCTTTACATAGGAAAGTCAGAGAAAGAACTGGTAAGACTGCTCATTCTCGTCCTTCGCGCACGCAGCTTCCCATCCATACTGACCCGTGGCACAGATTGCGACGATACATTCCGCACTTCTGAACAACCCAGACCTGCAGGTCAGCATTCTGACCGATGCTCTGCGCGGGACCAGAGAGGCTCCTCAGCCATCGTGTGCTTCACTGCTGGCACCCCTGGTGGCTGAGTTTGGCTCACAACGGGTCGAGATCCGCATGTACCACACCCCCAACTTGACTGGGCTTAGGAAGAAGCACATCCCGAAGAGAATCAATGAGGGCTGGGGCCTGCAGCACATGAAGCTCTATGGCATAGACGACGAGATCATACTTTCTGGGTACGGCGCTCCTCTCTTCTTTTGACCAGTCGCGTGGTTGCTGACGGTTGAACAAACAGAGCAAACTTATCCTCGGACTACTTCACGAAGCGTCAAGACCGCTACCATGTCTTCTCCGCCAAAGAGGTGACCGACTACTTTTATCAGATATATAGGGGTGTTGCGTCCCTCAGTTTCCTTGTGGGCCCAGCACCACAGGAGGCCGCAGGCTTTGTCCTAGACTGGCCGGCAGACAATGCTGCACCATCGCCACTGGAGAAGCCATCAGAGTACATCTCGAAATCCACAGCGCTGATGAGCGGCTTGATCGCGCCAAAGACTTCACCCAGCACACTAAACTCAAGTGATCCGAAGTCCGACACAACGGTCTACATGGTCTCACAGCTCTCGCAGCTGCTCAAACCTGATACGTCGACTGAGCTACCCGCCATCACTCACATCCTCAAAACCCTCGCGAGCCCGCAATACTCAGGCTCCTCCTGGACATTCACAGCCGGCTACTTCAACCCGGCGCCGTCACTAACAAAGCTCCTGCTGTCTACCGCCTCCAAGAATAACGTCGTCATCACAGCTTCTCCTTGGGCGAACGGGTTCTACCAGTCCAAGGGCGTCTCCGGCATGTTGCCCGACGCGTACACCTACCTTGCGGGCCGCTTCCTGCGGCGCGCGCACGAGATGAGGCGCGACACAGACATCACCCTGAAAGAGTGGCGCAAGGGCACCGTGAACGAGCCCGAAGGGTGGACGTACCACGCCAAGGGGCTCTGGGTCACGCTCCCGCAGGAGCAGAACCCGTTCATGACCATCGTGGGCAGCTCGAACTACACGAAGCGCAGCTACTCGCACGACCTCGAGGCCGGCGCGCTGATTGTCACGCGCGACGAGGACCTCAAGAGGCGGCTGGGCGACGAGCAGCGGTGGCTGCAGGAATATGCGACGTCGGTCACGCGCGACGACTTTGCCACGAACGAGCGCAGGGTCAGCTTCAAGGTCCGCGTGGCCATGTTCATCGTGAGCCTTGTCGGCGGCGCCTTGTGAGGTTGGTTTGAGACTGTCGACCAAAGCTTGTACAACACACGACTCACTGGGGGAAGCGTCTACTGCGGCAACGTGTACAGATATTTGAAGAAGCAGGAGATACCCAGATAGACTTGATTCTCGTCCATTCATGTCGCTACAAAAGAGAAAACTATACATATATACACAAAGAAAACACCCTCCATTCCACCCGAGCGAGCAAGTCAGGGCAATTTAATTCCGGACCAAAAAGGCTACAACTACAGAGGGCGAGCAGGCGGGCCATTGAGCGTCGGCACGACCGTCTTCATCAAGCCCGTGGCATCATCAAAATACACGCGGTCAATCGTGGTCTCCCTGTGGGTGCCGTCGCCGTTGGGGATGCTGAACCGGTGGTACGCCATGTACCACTCGTCGGTGCCGGGGATCTGCACGACGCTGTCGTGGCCCGTGGCCAGGATGCCCTGGCTCGTGTCCTTGCTGAGCACGACGCCGCGGTACGTGAACGGGCCCTGGGGCTGGGTCGCGGTGGCGTAGCCGACGCGGTAGTTCTCGCTGCCCGTGTCGTCGATCGAGTACGTCATGTGGTACAAGCCCGCGCGGTACACGACAAACGAGCCCTCGCGGAAGTCGGTCAGCCCGGAGACGGCGGCCAGTGTGGACCAGTTGACCGACACCATGTCGTCGTTGAGCTGGGCCACCACGGGCTTGCCGTTGCCCCAGTACAGGTAGTACTTGCCCGACACGGGGTCGTGGAAGACCGCCGGGTCAATGGCCTGGCCCGTGGTGACGGAGGCGGACTCATTGTTCAGGATCATAGCGGTGGGCTGCGCGACAAAAGGCCCCTCGGGACCCGACGTGGAGACGGCCACACCGATCGTCTTGCGGTTGTACGTCGGGTTCTGGCCAGAGAAGTAAAAGTAGTACTTGCCCTCGCGCTCAATGATGGTGGGCGCCCACGCGTTGCCCGTGGCCCAGGGGACATTGCCGCTCGTGCCGTTGAGGGTGAGAAAGGGCTGGGCAGTGCGCGTCCAGGAGACGAGGTCGGTCGACTTCCACACGTAGAAGGTGTTGCCGCCCCAGCCCGGGGTGCCGTCGGTCGTGGCGTAGATGTAGGCCGTCTTGCCGAAGATGGCAATGTTCGGGTCGGCGTAGAGGCCTGGGATGATGGTGGAGCGCTTGGACAGATGTGTCGTGGTGGTGGTGGTGGTGGACGACGACGAATCTTTGGCGACTTCGCGCTTCTCATCGACAGCGGCGGTGGCCTTGCCAGCCCTGAGCACGGCGAGCTCGGCGGCGGTGATGGGCACGACGGAGCCGTGGCGAGGGCTCGTGGGCAGGCTGTACGAGGCAGGAACCTTCCAGTTGGGGTTGGAGATGTCGCTCGTGGCGAGGGGGATGTAGCCGCGGCCGCCGTACTCGTCGACAAAGAGGTAGAAGGTCTGGCCGTTGGCGTCGTTGGGGTTGGCGCGGAACACGGTCGGGCCCTCGACGGCAGAGGTACCGGCGTCACGACCGATGCAGGTGTCCTCGATGGTCCACGAGGCGAGAGAGGCCGTCAGCGAGGTCGAGCGCTCCTGGATAATGTCGGTGCAGCCGGTGCCGCCGGCGCCCTCGTCCTTGGTGAAGCGGTGGTAGACGCCGTCGACCTTGATGACGGTCGAGTCGATGCGCGAGGTGCCGGCGTCCTGCCAGATCTGGGGGGCGCTGAAGGTGACAAAGTCGGGCGTCGTGGCGTAGAGCATGCGGTGGTACGAGTTGCCCGTGTGGTTGGGGTCGTTGTCGGCGTAGAGCGACGACGCCCAGAAGACGACGTACGTCTGGAGCGTGTCGTCCCAGTACGCCTCGGGCGCCCACGTGTTGCCCGCGTTGGCCGGGCTCACCTGGACGTGCCGCTGCGCAGACCAGTTGACGAGGTCGGCCGACTCCCAGATCTCGAGGTACCGGCTGCCCGTGCGGACCGAGTCGCCCCAGGACGTACCCGAGCCGATGGACAGGTCGGTCGCAATGAGGAAGAACTTGGTCCCGTCGCTCGAGCGGATCAGGAAGGGGTCGCGCAGGCCCGTCGTGCCGAGCGTCGACGTCAGCACGGGCTGCCCGCCGTTGAGCTGCTCCCACTGCAGGGCGTTGTTGCCCTTGCTCGCCGCAAAGTAGATCTTCTCGCCCTGGCGCGTGTTGCCGGTGAAGTAAGCAAAGACATAGCCCTCGAGGGCGCCCGAGGCTTGCCGCTCGGCCAGCTTCTCGGCACTGCGCTCATAGCCAGGGGTCGGTCCGCGGCCGATGGTGTAAGCCGTCGAACATGAGGTCAGGCCGGCGAGGGCAGAGGCCCAGTGTGACAATTTCATCTCTGGTGAAGAGGCCCTGAGGCAGGCAGGCAGACTGGAGTTCTAAAATGGTCTGCGGCACGAGATGCTCAGTGTCAATCTTCAACGGCATATGCAGGAACAGCGTGGTAACAGGCCGACTTATATGCAGTCCTCCACCTCACGATGGCTTCGTGCAGGCCTCCACTTCAAGCGCCCTGGCTGCACCACCACTCATGGTTGCAACCTGCTTTCCTGTGGCTCCATGATGCAACCCCAGGGCGGCCACTCTGAGTGGAGCGCGTCACAACATATGATCAGCAGTCAGGGCAATCAATTCCAAGGTTGACCAAGCCCCCGTCGGCCTGGATCCGGTTGTTTAGGCTGCGGTAACACGAGCATGGGTGGCCAGGGGCGTGCACCGCAAAAGCGGCTTGCACATGATCGTCACGATCTAGTGTCTGTGGGCGGGACCGTGACTAAAAGTCCTCGGCCAGTATTCGCCCCATCTGGGGAGATGGGATGTCACTAAGCCACCAATCCGCGTGCTTGTATCTATGGTTCCCATGCAAGACCCGAGTCCGTTGTCAGAGCATTCCTGTCTATATTTTAGCGATATCTTGCGTTCTGCTTACCTCACGAGCGAGATTTCCTTGGCTATCTGGATTATGCAGACTTGGATCGGGGGTCTTGATCATGATGTAGCATTGCGCTCTTCCCTCATGCCCAAGTGCCACAGGAACTGTGCAACCCCTCCACGAAGACAGGCAGATCAAGATCATGACAGCCATCGAAAGTCTGGGGAAACAGCAAGCATTGGATCGGGACAAGCCATGATGATCACCGACGCTTGGATGGGGAAACGAGGAAAGAAACGCGGAGAACGGAACAGGGGTTGGCCTGACACGAATCAGTGACCGCAACGTCCGCATGACAAGTGCCGAGGCCCCTAGTTTTTTACCTGGATAGTTAGCATGGGGATAAGCATAAACCGGCCGAGTTGCCTAGTCGATTGGGTGCCCTGAGTGGGCGGACTGATTCAGAGAGTGCCACTGGAATCGGAGTCGAATATGCGCTCCAATCAGTCGAGGCCGTTCCCCCAAAATGGTCCCGTCGGCGGGATCCACCAGGCCCGGCTTGTTCGCGAGACGCCGGCAGCTTTGCCTGGCCCCCGGGCATCTTACATTATTATTCCCTGCGCAAAGTGAAGGTGACTTGGGATCACGAGACTGCTCTTTTCTTTAATGATGCATTTGCCCTGTTTCTCAATGCCGAGGCTGCTTTCCTCATGCTCGGGTCCCGGAATGCCACGCCAGGAACTTGAGTGCTATGCAGTGAAGGGCCCGCAAACCAAAGAGTCTTGTTCGACATGTGACAGCTGTGTTGACGGCAAATAAATCGCGAGTCGCTGTGGCACGTCATAGTGCGTTGAGACGAGACAGCATTGCGAGTATGGGAGTCGAGACAGAGATCGCGTGGCTATCTTGGCACTGGTTGGTACTTGGTTCAGTGGTTTACTAGAGACGTCTGATTCAGCTCGAAAGCTTAGGCGGGTGTCAGGAGTTTACAACACTGTTTTCTTGCAACGAGGAAGAGCAAAACCTCTACACTTCCTCTTGTGAGCATGCACAGATTTATGCCCTGCGGCAAATCGATGCTTAGTTCCGCCACCACGCCTCGTCCGCAGCAGAATGCAGGGGATGGGCATTTGACAGCTGCTTTGCCAGAGCCTGGACTTCAGGCCATGAAGCCTGTGAGTTTGTGGCTGACCAGGTGCCCTGTCCCTGTCTGTCCAGCAGGCCTGAAAAGCGCAAGGACACAATGCATCAGCCCGGATAATCATTCACTTACCATATTTAGTGCACGCCTCATGCGAGCCCACCGTCCCATTGGCTCGCATAAGCTCAAGCCACAAAGCACAGCACAAAGGGTTCTATGACGCAGTTCCTCCGCTCCCCAAGTACAATGCGCTGCGCCGACCTGCCTAACCAAGCCGCCGAAGCCCATGCACCGCACATCACGGGGGCTCCCGATCAGTCAAGCCAAGCGAAGACGGGCCGTCTCTCTTGACTTGGCACTTTTGCGGAGAAAACGTGGGGAAGATGGCTATGCACCCCCCATGTACATAACATGCCAGCGGCACGGACACTTCGGGAGGAACACCGGTTTTTGCCGCACCGAGCACAAGACCATCTCCAAAGCTGTCTGTCTTTGTCTTTGCTACGATTGATGTGCCCAGTGCGGGGAACATCACAGTTCCCACAGATTGTGCTGGAATCTGTCTCATTCTAGTACTGTAATCACTCCGAACTGGTAGCAGCGCTGCTCAAAAGTCGACAAAGAGCACCACTGGTCAAAGTCTGAAGACATCGACGGCTGTAGCATCCGTGACCAGTTGCACACTCTTGACATTTGGCTAGGTTTTGCAATGTCTTGGAGCTTCGGCGCCTTCGCCGATATCGCCCGGGTATCTACTCCAATGGCGGGCACCAGCTTGCATACGCCTGGAAGGGGAAACAGCATGCGGAGACGAGGCACAGATTGTAATGTCACCTTTCAGTGCCGATCATGTTATCATTGACCATGTGCCATCGGATCAATGCTACCGAAATCCAGATAGGAACAGGAACTGGTCCGGCTTTCGATCATGACAAGCATCTAGTTTGGACAATTGGATACAATACAACGGGCAGCCCCTCCTTTGATACTGTTGCTCACAAGCGTGCCATGAGAAAGTTGTCGTCATGCCCATTATGAACAAGCTGCTTGGTATCACGATAGCCGCTTTGGCTGCAAGCGCCCACGCCAGAACACTATGGTCGTCTAAGCCTGCGGATGCTGGCCCGCGCTCTGGTCAGGAATACATCCTCAAGACGGCCTATCCACTGGGCAATGGGCGGCTGGGAGGTATGTGGCCTGGCAGTCTTTGTTGTATCCGAAAATGACCTTGTTAGACTGAATCTCGCGCCATATCTAGCTACACCTTACGGTGCCCCTGGGTCGGCCGGGCTGATGCTGAACGTTGATTCGCTGTGGTCTGGCGGACCGTTTGAGGCATCTGTAAGTACAGTTCCGTTTCGAAGGTTGGTCTCTCGCTAATCAAAATGGGGAAACTTCTCAGAACTACACTGGCGGGAACCCGCTCGAGCCAAAGTACGAGGCGCTCCCCGAGATTCGTAGCACCATTTTCACAAACGGGTCAGGAGGTTCGTTGAAACAACTTGAAATCTCGTGGCCTGCGGTTGTCAATATTCTCGGGAGATTGAGAAACTGACTCGAATCGTTTCCCGTGCACATCAGACATGAGCGCATTGCTTGGCTCGGGCCGCAATTATGGCTCCTACCGCGTCCTCGGGAATCTCAGCATCGCCCTCGATGGGGCCGACGGAGGCTTCACTGGATATCGAAGGGAACTCGACCTTAATACTGGGGTGCACACCACGAGCTTCACGTTGCCGTCCCCCAGTAGCGAAGAGGGAACGGGCAGGAATGTGAGCGAAAGGACATTCTGTTCTTTCCCAGACCAGGTTTGCGTGTATCAGCTCACTCTGTCGTCGACGCCTGTGGGCGCAGAGGCGGCTTTGCCAGCAGTCAGCATCCGGTTTGAGAACATCCTGGTTGACCAGAGTCTTATTCAACTCACTTGCCGCGACAACATGGTGCGCCTGACGGGCGTCACGCAGGCCGGTCCGCCCGAGGGAATGAAGTACGACAGCATCGCCCAAGTCACGGACAACGCCCACGCTGGGCAAACGACATCTTGTGACGAGACAGGGACGCTGACAATCACCCCGGGCCAAGACCAACAGTCGATCACGGTGGTCATCAGCGCAGGCACCGACTACGACCAGACCAAGGGCAACGCAGAGAGCGGCTACTCGTTCCGCGGCGCCGACCCAGGCCCGCAGGTCGAGCATCAGGCTTCCTCCGCGGCTGGCAAGCCGTTCGCCGACCTCCTCGCCGCACATATGGCCGACTACACGCGCCTCGCGGGCGCCTTCGAGCTGGACCTCCCAGACCTGGACAACTCGGCCGCGATAGAGACGGCAGACCTGATCTCGCAGTACTCTGTCGACGGCACGGGCGACCCGTACCTCGAGGCCGCGCTCTTCGACTACGGGCGATACCTGCTCATCTCGTCCTCGCGGAGCAACTCCCTCCCGGCCAACCTGCAGGGCCGGTGGGCAGAAGGGATCGACTCGGAGTGGGGCGCAGACTACCACGCCAACATCAACCTGCAGATGAACTACTGGCCGGCGGAGCAGACGGGCCTGACCGAGACGTACGAGGCCCTGTGGAGCTACATGCGGGATACTTGGGTTCCCAGGGGCACCGAGACGGCGAGGCTGCTGTACGGAGCGGAGGAGGGGTGGGTTGTGCACAACGAGATGAATGTGTTTGGGCACACGGCTTTGAAGGAGGAGGCTGGATGGGCAAACTGTAAGTCCTGCAAACTGATGACCTTTCTTTCTTTTCCCCAGTCTCTCATTCCACATTCCTCCATATCTCGTGAAAGATGTTTGTGAGAAGGGGAGAGAAACACTAACAAATGACATCTCGAACCCTCTCTGCAAACAAACAGACCCCGTGGCCGCGGCATGGATGATGCAGCACGTCTGGAACAACTTTGACTACACCCAGGACACGGCCTGGCTGCGCGACTCGGGCTACCCACTGATCAAGGGGGTCGCGCAGTTCTGGCTCTCGCAGCTCCAGGACGACGCCTTCACGGGGGACGGCACGCTCGTCGCGAACCCGTGCAACAGCCCCGAGCACGGCGGCACGACGTTCGGGTGCGCGCACTACCAGCAGGAGATCACGCACGTGTTTGCGGCCGCGCTGTCGTCCGCTGCTGCTCTCGGGGCCACAGATGACAACGACGACGAGGAGTTTCTGGCCAGCGTGGCCGCGAAGCTGGACAAGCTGGATAAAGGCCTGCACTACGCGTCCTGGGGCGGGCTTAAGGAGTGGAAGCTCCCAGAGTCGTACGGCTGGGACGTGCCCAACACGCACCGCCACCTGTCGCACCTCACGGGCTGGCATCCCGGGTGGGCCATCTCGTCGTTCCAGGACGGGTACCGGGACGGGCAGGTCCAGGCGGCCGTCGAGCAGACGCTCGTCTCGCGCGGGCCGGGCAACGCCGAGGACGCCAACGCCGGGTGGGCCAAAGTGTGGCGGTCCGCGTGCTGGGCGCGGCTGAACAACACGGAGCGGGCGTACTGGGAGCTGCGGTACGCGATCGATGTCAACTTTGCGCCCAACGGGCTCAGCATGTACAAGGCGACGAATCAGCCGTTCCAGATCGATGCCAACTTTGGGCTGGCGGGCGCGGTGCTGAGCATGCTGGTCGTCGACCTGCCGTTGCCGCACGATACTGCCGTGAATGCTGCTGCTGCTGGGTTGGAGGATGCGAGGACGGTGGTGTTGGGCCCGGCGATTCCAGCGAGATGGGGCGGAGGCAGCGTCAAGGGGCTTCGCATCCGTGGTGGTGGCTCCGTTGACTTCAGCTGGGATCAGAATGGCCTGGTCAAGGACGCGCTGGTGATGGGAAGTAAATCAAAGGTCAGGCTCGTGAACGTAGAGGGAGATGTGCTGGCCGAGGCATGAGCCAGCCCAGGTTACACAGTGTTTGACCAGAGCAAAACCACCAGAACTGCTTGGATAGAATTTGAGTCGCAAAAGAGAAGCAGTTTTATGGAACGATGAGCATGATTATGACCTAATATTTTTTTTTTTTTGACTTCTTTCGTCCGCCACATGAAATAACCAAGCGGTAGTAAAAGTGGTTGGCTTTCTTGGTTTAAAGATAAATCCCACAACCCGCACTTCAACTGTCCGCAAAGTGCGCATCAACTCTTTATGTACACCATGACAACAAACAAGTATGTATCACAATTAAAACAATGCCTCTACACAATCCAAGCCATGTTATTCTGCCAAGGCACAATGAGGTCTAAAGACAGTGCGCAAATTAACGCAAGCCGGCCTCCCTATACGGAGTTTTGTCAGTGGATTTGTTCATTGCGCATTTATGAATACTATATATCATGCGATATGTCCCCCGAGCATCAATAACAAACCTTGACGGACAGTCCAACTGTTCTGCTCAAAAACGGCCAATTCTCCCTTGGTGGTGTAGTTGGTTATCGCGTCAGACTGTAATTGAGTTGTAATCTGAATGTCACCGGTTCGATTCCGGTCCGAGGGAAACCACGGATATATTCCATTCTTTTTTGCATTTTCTCCCTGGTCTGTTCATATCGACTGCGTTGCGTTGCGTTGCGATGACCGGAAGTCCCTTTTTGATTTCTTTTGTGGGAGGTGGTGACAGCCTGCGACGCTGGGCGGCGTAGTTTTCGGTGTTTCTGGGATGGAGAATTTGCCAATGTTTGAGACATGGCTCTCTAAGAGGCGTCCAGCAGAAATCCGCCATGGTCTCAGGCCGGGATTGTCGCAAGCCTCACCGCTAGGTGATCTAGCATACACTCTCTGTCACTAAAAAACCTTTTGCAAAAGTGCCCCCTTGCAAGCTGTTCACCGGCCTCGCATTGTCCCTGCGTGGATCACTGTGTTACACGCTGCTTTCAAGTAAGGTGGATGGAGTTGAGCCAATGGCTGCTTATATTGAATGCAGCATCATGCCGGGATGTTGTTCCTTACGGCCGCTGGTCTTTTCCCTCCTCATGCTTTCCCACTCTCGTGATTTCACGTCCACTACCTACGACCGATGATGTTGAGATCGGTCTTTTCCTGTGCATCTGTGCAAATTCGAAACCCGCCTGCCGTTGAAGCCAATAACGCCGAATGCAAAACTGAATGCGTGCAAATCCAAAATGCAATAATTCTCCTTCTCGCCCACAATTCATGTCAGGCAGGAGCTCGTGGCGCCCCCTGTTCATCTCCTTGTCAACCCGACAAGACTGAAGAACTCGTTCCTCGTCTTCTCCTTCTTCTCGAAGCAGCCCAAGACGCAGCTCGTCAGGGTGCTCGTTGTCGTCTTCTCAACACCGCGCATCACCATGCACAGATGGCTCGATTCCATGACCACAGCAACACCTTGAGGCTTGAGGACTTCCATGATGGCATTGGCAACCTCTCGCGTCAGGCGCTCTTGGACCTGCAGACGTCGGCTAAACATTTCGGCAATTCGAGGCAGCTTCGAGATACCAATGACGTTGTCGCGGGGAATGTATCCGATGTGCATCTAGATGTGACAGGCAATTCGTCAGCCATACAAGACTCTTCAACAGGGTACCTTGCCCTAAAATGCCCCTTACCTTGCCATTGAACGGCACCAGGTGGTGCTCGCAGAGACTGAAGATCTCAATGTCTTTGACAATCACCATCTCGTTGTGTCCTTCGTGGAATATGGCGTCGTTGACAATGTCCTTCACATTCTGTTGGTAGCCCTTGGTGAAGAAGAGCATGGCCTTGGCGTATCTCGTTGGGGTGTCAAGCACGCCCTCCCGGTCGGGATCCTCCCCAACACACTCCAGGATCGTCCTGACCGCAGCACGCATCTTCTCGAGCCGCTCGGCGGCCTGTTCGGGGCTCTCTTCGAGCCGTTCCCGGGTTCCTCGGCCTGCGAGTATGTTCCCCGTCAGTATGCGGCTCTGTTCCATGGTCCGGGCGGCTATTGGCTATCTCGGTAGGGCAATTGTCCACTTACTGGGCCGGCTGAGTCCGTCGAAATCGATGAGTGGGCTGGGGGACCTTGTGAGGGTGCCGCTCTCTGTGGTGGTGACGGCGGGTGCTGCTGTGGTCTTGCGCTTCTTTGTCTTCTTGCCCTCGGGCTCGTCGCGAGGGTCACGGGCAGCCTTGCTCAAGCTGTTGCGGCGCTTGCTTTGCCGGGCGTGGCCATTGAGTTCGGGCGAGGCCTCGTCCCTGGCCCGGTGCCGGCGACGCTTCTTGTCGGCCTTGTGGTGAGAGTGGAGGGTCTGGGGCACGACATCGCCGGCCTCGGATGCGCCTGTCGAGGCGCTGCTGGACTGATCCATGTTGTCTCTGTCGTGCCGAGTCTGTGGACCGAGTCTCGCTCACGGCTGACAGATGAAAGAATGAGGAGAAGGGTCGCGAGGGGAGAGGAGCAAAACCCGCTGGCGCTTGCACGAGGTCCTGATCGAGTCAAGGGTCCTTCCTGAACTTTTGGACGATGTGGGTCCTTGCGAGGAGCGAGCAGGAGCGGGACAGTCGGGGATTCTGGTAGCGAGCCCTCGCAACGGGATGCGCAGGATGGTACGGACGGGGGATCGAAGGGACAGCGCCAAAAAAGACACCAGGCCTGTCTCCAACGCAATCAAGACCAAGAGCGAGAGAAGCAGGGTTGATGACTGTGGACGAGGCCCGGAAAAGCTGGATGCAAGTAAAGGCGCCGACCTTGAGCACGTGGTGGGGACCTCCACGCCTTGCAGCGCAGCGACAACGGGCTCATCTCCAGCTTTTTCTCCAGTGCGACACAGCCGGCGCAAGCCGCGACAGGGCCTGAGCCATCACCTCCCTCTAATCATGTCTCGGGTCTCCTGCGACCACAAGTGCCGCCCCGAAGAGCTGGTTCACTGGTGAGCACCCCAATACTATCCAATCGAGCCAAGTGCAACAGACTGTACCTGCAATGCTCACCTTTCTCGCCAGACGATGGGGACAGCCTGCCTGAGAGGGATCATGTCGAGAATGAAGAAATGGCCGTTATCGGAAGCTGATGACCAACGTGCTGGCCAGCTGATTTTGACGTCAAGGCCAGCCAGTGCCTGAGCCGTTGCTTTAGAACCTCCAGGGCTACAGGTGGAGGCTGCGGCCACCAAGTTCAGGTGCCTGTCAAGCCCCGGCGAGCGAGCTCTGTGGTCAACATGTGGGGCTGCTGCCGCGCCCAAGCTCTTAACGCGGGTGGGCCTCAGCGCGGCGCGGCACTGGCGAGCGCGCCAAGGCTGTTTGTCAAGGTTGGCTTTGTCGCTTCTTCCCGCTTTCAAGGCTTCCATTCACACAAGCAACACTCAGCACACGCTCACCTCATCGACATCGGTTTCCAACATCTGTCCTCGGTAGCATCGTTCCTCTGCTCAATCAGCCCGTACTTGCACAACCACGCGCGCCACATCCATCTCCTGTATACCCGACCGTACCTGCCCAGGCACTCTCCATTCACTCAACTCCTGCTCGGAAGCGCTTTCCGGCACGGGACCAGTACGGCCTCGCTGATCCTCCACTGAGAATCACTCGACTCTGACCGACGACGTTTGACGCCGCAAAATGGCGTCGCCGCCACCATTCTCGCCGGCGGGCTCCCCGCCCTACCCGTCACATGCGCAACTGCCTTCGAAGAAGCGTCCCTCAGGCGCCGCCGACCTCTCTGTCCAGCCGCCGAAAATCAAGCGTAGGAAGCCATCGCTGATTTCCGTCACCTCGGTCGGCTCGGCCCACCCTCTCCGACAGACCTCTTTCCCCCCGGACGAATCGCAGTCACAGGTCTTCTCTCCAACATATCAACGGTCACCTAGTGCCGACACGATGAGCCTGGTCAGCGGAAGCCAAGTCAGTGCCGCTCCGCCCAAGAAGAAGAGAGGCCGCAAGTCCAAGGCAGAGCGCGCAAACGAGGCTGCCGCAGAGGCCGCGTTACGTGGCGATGGTGCTTCGAGCATCGTAGACGGCCGCGCAGGGACGGTCATGAGCACAGCGAGCGGCAACAAGGGCAATCGCGACGACGCCGACGGAGACAGGGACGGCGATGGCGATGGGGCATTCGAGGTGCCCGAAAACATGGCAAGTAAGGCTGCCGACCGATCCAAAGAACAGATCAAGGAGGAGGAGCGCCTGCGGGCGCTTCTGACACAGAAGATGGATGACCCGCAATTCCATCGGTATGAGGTGTGGCACAGGGCGACCCTCAAGATTGGAGACGTCAAACGGGTACGTGGATGTCATGAGCATCGTGCGGTAACTACATCACTAACACTTCGCCAAACAGCACATCAACAGCGTCACTTCGCAGTCGTGTCCGGTTAACGTTCAGCAGATGATGCAGGTCGTGTGCAAGATGTACCTCGGCGACCTTGTCGAAGACGCCCGCAGGGTCCAAGAGGAGTGGATACAAAACGGTGAAAAGCAGACTGATCTTCCCCAAGAAGAGGACTCCGCAGAGAAGATTACAGACGAGCAGAAATATCGGCGACAGCCGCCGCTGCGGCCAGACCACCTCCGGGAAGCCTACAGACGTCGAAAAGCACAGGCAGAGTCGGGCGGCGCCATGGGTAGTCTGATGGTATGGAGTCAACAGTCTCAAAATGGCGTTGAGAGGTTCGCAACTAGAGCTGGGGGGCGTCGTATATTCCGCTGAGCATGAGTCAAGTCGTGGTCGCCAAGCTCGTCCCTGGCTTAGAAAGGGGAACTGTGCTTCGGACCCGCAGCAGAGCAGCTGAGTCGATGCCAGCAGTGACTGCCACATAATGGAAGCAATTTCTCCAGTCATTTGGCACTTTTATCAGTGGACTGCAGCATAATTCCACAGCCTCGCGAAGTCGAAGTCCTTAAGTGATTGGGCACAGGCTGACGCCACCACCTCTCGAATTTACCTCCGAGCACAATTGCCGACAACAACAAGTCTCTCTTCACGCCACTGCTGGTTTCAAACCAGGGACCAATGCCACAGGCACGGGCCTTGTTGTTTATCCGGACAAGGTCCGCCTGAATCGTGCAACCTTCTCAATTAGTCTGGGCCATCCTCGATCCCCCTTGTACGGTGGGGCCTGAATTGCCGGGCACGTGCAGATCGGGAGCATGCCGACTCCACGTCTGACGTGGTTCTTTTTCAGCGCCGGACTAACCCCAATCAAGGGGTTCGGCGCGTTGGTTGCGAGGCGGGTTTTGCCGTCCACTCAGGTGGCACCGCAATGTATTGTATAGATGAGTGTGTGGAAAGAGATGACAGACATTACGAGGCGCATTATTTATCCTACGTTATCGCATCGTTCCTGGGTTTCCTCAAGCTCGTAAGCATGCTGGTCTCACGTGCAAGGCGCTGGACGACAAGCGACCATGCTGCCGACAAAATGAATTGGCCGCCACAGATAGGGGAATTTCTACAGGGCACGCAGCACAATACCCTCCACGGGAAGAATTGAATATTACTACACGCCGCTCAACCACTAATGCAGGCCAGCGAAGTGAGCGAGAGAAGTGTGCTGGGAGTGTGGTTTTTGCCAGGGCATGCCCCCTTTGGGCCAGAATTGTCTAGCGAATGCGGGGAAAGCGCCACACGGCATTGGGGAACAAGGACAACTACCGTGCACTTGACGTCGATCAAGCTGGCGAGGTTGCCAGAACTCTGATCTCCAATCCTTCCAAGGTTCGTCCTGATCTACATACGGCCTTACATTAAGGTAGTATACACAATGCCATCCCGCAGTGCCGCTGAGTGCGCTAACGGGGGAAGCAAGGCCTCCGCCACAACGTGGGAGAAGAAACGGGCCGGTTGGCCAGCCCATGTAAATTGGAGTAGCATCGAGTTAGGAGCGGCGTCAACACGCATTGATGTCCGGCTGGGCGGTCTTTGGTCCTTCCCGGGAGGGACGCGCTCGCGCAGAAATGGGGGACCCCCTGCCCTGATGGAGTATCCCCACACCCGGATAGCAAGATCGACATCCCCCAAATGCCCTGTTCCCACGCAAACATTACGCACCACATGCCTGCAGTACCGTGTATAGCACGCAGGCCACGGTGCCATCCCGAGGCAGGGCGGTGGAAGAAAGATTTCCCAAGGGCTGCTTGCCTGGATCGTCACCTTGCGCGGGTAATTGTGTAGCCCTGTGCCAAGGCCTACGATATTCTGCAGATATATATTGCTCGGCGGTCCTGGTGAGCCGCAAGCAAGAATGTCCCTGCTCTCCTCCAGCATCATCAGGAGCAATTCTGTCGCTGGTGCCTCGTCACTCTCTGGCAATCCCGTCACTCGTACTGTCCCTGCCCCCGACATGATGCACGACGCAACTTCTTCCGCAGCCGGGGCCACGGCCCTCCTGGCCAGCCTGTTCTTCGGCCAGGCCATGGCCCTGCCCTCCGCCGCTGCGCCACCGGGACCGCCCGTTGTTCCCGGGCCGCGTCCGGAGGTCAAGAAGCACCTCGCCTGCGACCCAGAGTCCATCGCCTCCATCCTGGGCCAGAACCACCCAGAGGTCACCATCAACTTCGCCGAGCCCGTGGCCGAGGGCGGCAGCTTTGGCGGCGCCGGGCAGGGCAACATCCCGTTCCCCGCCAACGCGACTGGGTTGCCAGCGCTGTGTGCGGTGTCGGTCAACGTCAAGAGCTCCGCCACTAGTGCGTACAACTTTGGCTTGTTCTTGCCGGACCAGACGTGGAATGAGCGGTTCATGACTGGTGGTAATGGCGGGTTTGGTGGTGGCATCAACTGGTGAGTTTTCCCAAAGTCCCCTTAGACATGACTAGTGGCATGGAAGGGAATGTTAACAGAAGGGTTGTCATCATTGTACAGGCCGGACATGGGCCGTTACTCGAAGGTATGTCGACCTCTGCTGTCCGCGAGAAGACTTTGAAGATTTACTGGGACTGACTTGGACCGCCATTGTCACAGTATGGCTTCGCAAGCATGTCTACCGATACAGGTCACTCATCCAATCCGCTCGATGGCTCCTGGGGTCTGAACAAGCCGGAGAGCCTGATCGACTGGGGCTACCGGGCCATGCACGGCTCTGTTGTCCTTGCAAAGGTTAGTTCCCCTGGACGCGCTTCTTCTGTCCAGCTCATCTTGCTTACATGCCCTCGCAGGAAATAATCACTGGGTACTACTCTGAGGCCGATGGCATCAAGCACTCGTACTATGCCTCCTGCTCAACTGGTGGCCGCCAGGGACTGCGCGAGGTTCAGCTGTACCCCGACTCCTTTGATGGCATCTTGGTTGGTGCGCCAGCCTGGTGGAGCACTCACCTGTCCTCTGCTACACTGTGGCAGGGCCTCTACAACTACCCGCCGTCGGACCCCAAGTCTATCTCGCCTGCGCTCTTCCCCGCGGTCGTCGCGGAGATGACCAAGCAGTGCGACCCTCAGGACGGAGTCGTCGACGGAATCGTGAGCGACCCGAACGGTTGCAACTTCAACTTTGAGGCCTTGCTGTGCACTTCCCCTGGCCAGACGTCGTGCCTCACGGCCGCTCAGCTCACGACGCTCTACAAGTTCTACAACGACTGGGTTGACGAGGACCAGACCTTTGTGTTCCCCGGCATCAATCTCGGCGCGGACCCAAGCTTCCTCATGAGCGCACCCGTGCCTCTCGGCTATGGTTACTTCCAGTACTGGCTTTACAACGACACCAACTGGGACTACACAAAGTTCACCTACGCAGACGTCAAGGTTGCCGACTCGGTCGACCCTGGCAACGCCACGGCTGACGACTTTGATGCCATCGGCCGCTACCAAGCCCAGGGCGGCAAGATCATCATGTACCACGGCGAGGCGGACAACCTGATCCCGACCAAGAGCTCGAGCTACTTCTACAAGCAGGTCCAGCAGCGCCTCGCCCCGAAGGGCGTCAGCATGGACGACTTCTTCCGCTTCTTCCTGGTGCCCGGCATGGGCCACTGCAGCGGCTCGGCCAACGCGCCCTGGTACTTCTCCGCGGGCAGCCAGGCGCTCTCTGATGGAACCACGTACTCGGTCCCCGGCTACAGCGACGCCGACCACGATGCCATCCTCTCGCTGCTGCGCTGGGTCGAGGGCGACAAGGCTCCCGAGCACATCATCGCGACCAAGTTCCAGGGCGACAACGCGGCCGGCGCGGTTGTCAGGCAGCGCCCGCTGTGCGTGTTCCCCAAGCAGGCAAAGTTCATCGGTGGTGATGTGAACGCGGCGAAGAGCTGGGAGTGCAAGTCCCTGTACTAGAGCAGCAGTCATGATATGCCTGAGGATAGCTCCTCGTATAGCAATATAATCTCACCAGATTTTTCTGTCCCTGCGCAAACAATGAATCATGCACAGAATGTGGTCCAGGTTGTGTTAAGCCGTGCTTGTCGATGTCTTGAAAGCTCCATGAGCAAAACCATGGGATGGGGTGCAAAAGCTGCATGCATTGATATGAAGTGAAAGTTGTGATGTAGAATCTGAGCTAGCATGAGTCCTGGAGCAGTTGCTTGATGGTTTTGTTCTGCTCTCCAGTTGAAGAGTCAGTGTGTAGCCCATGCCTCGTTAATTCGTAGGGGGGCGAGAACTGTGAAGGCTTTCAAAGTGACCTCGGGAGCCACGAAGACACCCAGGGACTGTTGACGTTGGCGTGAAGGTACGTGCCTTACCTAAGCGTAATCAGGAGTAGGGACCCCACCCCTGGCCAGGCAGAGAGGAGCTCAGGCCGAGCTGGCTGTCCCCGCTTGGCCGCCTGGAGCTTCACCCCACCACCACCGTGATCATCATCACCAACAATCGCCGCCCGTCACAGGTGTGCTCTTGACATTCCACTCCTCCAAAGACGACAGCCTTTTACGAGCGACGACGAAGCCGCCGAACCATCATTCCTTATTTTGTCCTTCCCAGCATTCTGCGCATCTCCCATACACGACGATAGCATGCGACTCGTGGGCTTTGATCGCTTTTGAACCCGCAGCTGCCGTACTGCATTCTTTCGTCAAGGTGAGTTCTCGGTGACGCTACGGGAGTGGCTCATACCCAGTGCCCCCTTGCCAGGCTTCAAGGACCTCGGGTCAGGACTGCCTGTTCTTCAACTCCGTCTGCAAAAGTGGCCTGCCAGTAGATATGCCAGGCAGACCTTTTTTGGGAGCTCTGTTCAGAAGCGTTGTTCCGGGACTTCGCTCTGATCATGATCAGCTTCGACTTGACTCCACACCCCATTACGGACATATGCATCTGCTGCTACTCACCCGGAGATTCTTAAGCTAATGTTTCTGCTTCTATCCAGTAAACCAATTGTCTTTCGACCACCACACAACATCTGTGAACCTGACGAAACGACCATCCACCCTCCGATCTCCGGCAACGCCGTCACAAAGCCAAGATGGTTTCCGCCGTTAACAACCCGACACCACAAACGATCAGCGCTCTGCTGACCAAACTGAGTGACCCGGACCCGGACTTCCGCTTCATGTCCCTCAATGACCTGAGCCAGATCCTCGCCAGCCAGAAATCCGATTTCCTTCGACAAGACTACAACACAGCGGCACGTATCGTCGACGCCGTGATCAAAACCCTCGACGACCAGAACGGAGAAGTTCAGAACCTCGCTGTCAAGTGCATAGGACCGCTTGCCGCTAAGATCCAGAGCAATGTGGTGGCGCCCATGCTGGAGAAGTTGACGGGCATCAAGCTCGAGCATTCCGTGGACGCGTCTCTGCCTGCACTCGCCCTCCGAAGTGCCATCTCCTCACTGCCAAAGCCGGTGCCTGGTGTCGCATACTCGCAGGAGGTGCTGCAGACGTACCAAATCATCAGCCGAGTGCTGGTTCCGCGTATCCTCGGCTTCTCCAACAACGCTGCCCCAGCACAGGCTGGTGGTGACGGACTTTTCAGCAAGAACAGTGTGCCTAGCGCAGAGGCAATCGACGTTTTGATCGAGGTTGTCCGTTGCTTCGGCCCGCTTCTTCAGCCTCTCGAGGTCGAGAAGCTGCAGGATGTAGTCGTACAGGTTCTCGAGAAACCCAACACTCCAGCGCCCACAAAGAAGCGTGCAGTGGTGGCGCTTGCCGTGCTCGCTCCATATCTCACATCAGCCGTGCTTAGCGGCCTCTTACAGAAAATCCAGACTGCTTTGAGCAGCCAGCAGCTGCCATCAATCATGCGACGACTGTACATCACCATTCTCGGCTCGCTTGCCCGGTCGATCCCACATCAGCTTGGCACTTACCTGCCAGAGCTTGTCCCGCTGGTGCTTTCTGCCCTGAGCCAGGAGGAACTCGAAACACAGCTTGAGGCTGTAAGCGAGGGCGACGACCAGCTTAGCATCGAGTTCAACGAAGTCAGAGAAGCTGCCTTGGTGGCTCTGGAAGCTTTCCTCTCATCATGCGGCACGGAGATGCGACCATTCACGGACGATATCATCGCTGCGACTCTCCGGTACCTGAAATACGATCCCAACTATGCGATGGATGACGACGAGGACATGGATGAGGAGGCTGAGGACGATGATGATGAGCTTGAGGATGACGACGACTTTGACGACGACGGCGACTTCGATGACGGCGACGACGATTCTAGCTGGAAGGTCCGCCGATGTGCCGCAAAGACACTCTACACACTTATTTCGACTCGCAGTGTGGATCTTCTGGAGAAGGGAACATTGTACCAAGAGGTTGCCACCCCGTTGATTAGGCGCTGTGATGAACGCGAAGAGAGCGTGCGGCTCGAAGTCATCAGCACATTATCTTTGCTCATCCGGAAAACAGGAGAAGGCGTGCTCCGTAATACAAGAACCGACGAGCACGAGATTCTTCTCTCGTCACTTCCCGACAGCCGAAAGCGTCGGAGACAGAGCAGCAGTGGCGCCGCGCTTGCCAACAAGGCACCATACGGTGGCGCTGGCGTCACCTCCCCTAAGCAGGAAGATGTGCCAGAGTCTGGACCGCGTGCGGACCTCGCTCGTCTCACACCGCAAATCGTCAAGACGGCAACCAAATTGCTGAAGGGAAAGCAGATTGCTACCAAACAGGCCATGATCAATTTGCTCGACGATCTTATTTCTGTCCAGCACGGCGGCCTGTCAGAGTACTTTGACCAGGTCATGCAGCCTATCATTGAAGTGTCTAAGGGCACGACAGGCAGCGCCGGGACTGCTTCGATGGTTCTCTCCGGAGGTGCCGCCTCCGCGACAGCCACCACTCTCAGGGTCGCCGTCCTCAACTTCATCAGTGACATTGCCAAGACTCACTCATCGAGTCTTTTCCAGCCGTATCTCCCCAAGATCGTTGCTGGAGTTGTCTCTGCTGTCGGAGATCGGTTCTACAAGATCTCCAGCGAGGCTATCCGCACCGCCGAGGAGCTGGTCAAGGCGATCACACCCCCTCGTGCGAGGCTCACTTCGCAAAAGTTCAAGGGCGAACTGCAGAGCCTGTACGACACTATCTATGGCCGTGCGGCTGCAAGTGACGCCGATGCCGAGGTGCGCCAGAAGGCGATCCAGGCGCTGGGCACTCTGCTCTCACGCACATCTGGACCCGATGGACAATCCCTTCTGGCGGCAGAGAAGCGCCAGGCGGGCCTAGAACTTCTTCTTGATCGTCTTCGCAACGAGACAACTCGGCTGCATGCCGTTCGCGCCATCGATAGTGTGGCTGCGCACACAATCAACGGAGGTAGTCTCGACCGCCGCTGGATCCAGCAGGTTGCCATTGAGCTGTGCGGGCAACTGCGCAAGGCAAACCGTTCCCTGCGTGGTTCGAGCATCCAGGCATTGCAGCATCTGATTCTGTCTCCCGCTTCCAAGAACACCCTCGATTCGAGCACAATTGATGGCATTGTTAACGCCATTCTTCCCGTGGTCGCCGCAAACGACAGTCACCTTCTTGCCCCAGCTCTCAATGTGCTCGCGCAGGTACAGCTCGAGAATCCCAATCTGATTGATAAAGAAGACTTCGTCACGAGCATCTGCGAACTTCTCAAGAAGAGCATCACTGGCTCAGCCCTGGAGGCATTATCAGCTCTCGTGACCAACGTTGGCCAGACGGGCAAGGGCGCTCAACTCATGCGTGGCGTTCTACAGGTTGGCGTTGCTGGAGATCCAGCCGTGGTCGGTAGAGTAGCAGGTACCCTGTTTGTTGCGAGCAACGGAAGTTCGGGTGTCACCATCGACAGCTTCATCTCGGAGCTGAACAACGCGAGCAAACCTCCTACGCCCGATACAAGCCGACAAAGTCTTGCCTTGGCCATTCTTGGTGAGATTGGTTTGCGCCTTGGTACGAAGTCACCGCTCAAGCCCGATCTGTTCCTAGGCCAGTTCAAGGACGAGCCGGATAAGGCCTCCGTGTCTGCTGCTGTCGCACTGGGCCGTGCCGGTGCGGGCAACATTGCCACCTTCATGCCGGTCATCCTGGACGCCATGGCGAAGCAGAACCAGCAGCAATACCTGCTGCTGCAGTCGATTCGGGAAGTTCTCCACCAAGTCGTCGTCTCCTCGACCGACATCAGCGCGTACGAGGATCAGATCTGGCAGATTCTCTTCACGGCATCTCAGAGCGAAGACAACAAAGCCATCTGTGCGGAGTGCATTGGACGGCTTGCCATTCACGAGCCGAAGACCTACATCTTGAAGCTTCAGGTAAGTCTGAATGCATGTGGATTCCGCAGCAGGAAGACGACTAACACATCACAGGAACTGCTCAAGAACGAGTCGCCGGCTTTCCGTGCAGTGGCTGTGCAGGCGCTTCGGTACACGCTTCCTGACAGTGATGAGGCGTTTGACGCGGTACTCAAGACGGTGCTCGTCGATATGCTTCTCACCGTGCTGCAGGATCAAGACATGGAGATCCGCAGACTTGCTATGACGACCTTGAACTCGGCGGCACACAACAAGCCTGATCTCATCCTGCCGCACTTGGGGCAGCTGGTTCCCTTTGTCATGACCGAGTCAGTCATCAAGCCGGAACTGATCCGGGAAGTGCAGATGGGACCATTCAAGCACAAGGTTGATGACGGCCTGGAAGTCCGCAAGAGCGCATACGAGACTTTGTATGCTCTGATGGAGACTGCGTTCTCGCGGATAGCCTCGCTCGAGTTTTACAACCGTGTCATTGCGGGTCTCAGCGACGACAACGATATCCGCGCGCTTTGCAACCTCATGCTGAGCAAGCTGATTGTGATCGACCCGGAGGAGACAACCCGCCGCCTGGACACGATTGCCGAGTGCTACCGCAAGACCTTGTCCACGAAGCTCAAGGACGGTGCTGTCAAGCAAGAGGTTGAGAAGCAGGAGGAGGCCAACAAGAGCGTTCTGCGCCTGTCTCTCCTCCTCGCGGAGAAGACAAAGACGACTCTTCCCAGCTCCGGCACCGGTGGCGTGGTCCAGAACACGCAGAATGCGGTGTGGCAGAGCTACTGGGAGTGGATCAACAAGGACTTTGACCGGCAGCTGAAGATGCTGCGGGATGAGAGCAGGGACACGAATGCGTAGAGCGGAGGCTCCTACAGCGTGTGGAATGCGCCAAAGCTTCTCCAAGCGATCAAGAAGAGCAGTGTTGCCTCGCTAAGACAGCCTCGTTGGGAGGTACAATGTCAGACATGTCGTGTTTCTGAGCATGCTGGGCGGGGCCTTGGTCACCTTCTGAACATGTCCATATTTCGGCAAAGAACATTAGCAAAGAACGTTTGTCAATAGCACTAGCCGTAACCTTGAAAATTCTTTGAAAGCCCATGGTGTTTGATGCTTCTCTATGTAGCTCTCTTGGTGTCTGCGATGATGGTTCGAGCCAAGTGCATGTACCTGCGTCCAGTCGCGACGAGGGCCGACATGGTGATCACACGCGGTAATCCTAATAACGGTAGGCCGACTTATGCCGAGCTTTGGCGGACGGGATGCAACCCGCGACTGTCTCAATGAAATACGGACGCCAAAGATCTCGATGGATGTCAGGATACTAGGGGAAGAAAGACAGTGAGCTGAGGGGGTATGTGCATTTATATATACATGCTCTCTGAGGAAGATTCCCGGACGAAACGGCAAGAATGAATGCAAGTAGGACCGGGGGCGGATGATATCCTTTCCCCTCTCTTTGTTTCTAACCAAAACAAAGACGAAAAAAAAAACCGAAAAAAAAAGAACGCAACAAGAACCAATGCTATAAAAAAATGCTACAATGCTACTACACTGTGTGTCTCTTGTCGTCGTCGTCATATCCCAAATCCACCTCGTACCATCATCTTTTGACGTCCCGGCCCTCCCAACAACATGGCGGCCGAGCTTCTAGCTAAAAGACCTCGGGGTCATTGGCTCGCGACGCACGCTCTTCCCGCTGCCGTCTACTGCGTTGTTGTTATTGCTGTTATTGTTGTTGCCGTTAGTGTCCTGGACCGTGCTGCCGTTCTGTCCGTCTACATGTACATGATGTACGTGCCCGCGCTCCGGGTCGTACTCCTCCAGAACCCGCGGGAAGTCGCGCTGCTGCTCAATCTCCTGCCACAGGTCGGCGTCGGTGGGGAAGTAGATCCTGCGGAACGCCGAGACGGCCAGCTCGAACGCGATGACGCACAAGCTGGCGCCGAGCACCGTCGCCCACCAGCTCAGCTGCCGCCCAAAGTGGGACTTGAAGCCGTTGCGGATAAAGTAGGGGATGCGGGGGAACCCCTTTGCAAAGATGGCCTCCAGGATGAACTGCCACATGAACCAGCTGAAGGGGCCCCAGATGGCGCCGGCCGTGGTGAGCCAGTTTTTGGTGTGGAGCTCGAGGCCACTATACGGGGCGACAAGTTGTTCGTTAGTCCTTTTTTATTTTCCTGCAAGAGATGGGAGTGTGTCAGGATCTGGAGAAAACTCACAGGCACTTGAAGTTGATGACAATCACGGCCACGGTGTAGGCCAGTTGGCCCATGGCAAAAACACCGTCGTCCGAGGTCGGTAGCAGACGCGACCAGTCGCCATACATCGTCCAGTAGATGATGGCCGTGTCGGCAACCGCCACCAGCATCCAGCCAATATACTTCCTCAGGTTGAAAGCCTCGTCACGCTGGCCGTACGTGTACAGTTCCGGGATGGCGAGCAGCGTCTCGGCCTTGAGGTCGATCTCGAAAATGCCCAGCATGATGACAGACAGCGAGGTGAAGACAATGTTGAACAGGGTCAGACTCCACTGCTCATAAAGCGAAGTGCCCGTGTACCCAACAAAGTACTGGTACTGCCCCTGCACCATGTAGAAGACAATCTCCTTCCAGAACGTCGCGAGGATATACTTGCCAGTCCGGTGGTATACATAGCGGCCATGCACAAACAGCAGTCTCTGCAGGAAGCGGAACTGGGCAATCGAGTAGTCGGCGACACGTGCGGCCTGCAGTCCCTCCTTGCCAGAGATGCCCACACCGACGTGCGCGGCCTGGATCATAGCAATGTCGTTGGCGCCGTCGCCAATAGCGAGAGTGAGCGAGCCAGGAACGGTGTCGCGGATGCAGTTGACCAGGTTGGCCTTCTGCGACGGGGAGGCTCTGCAGCACACCACGGCATCAATCCGCACCACCAGATCAAAGAACATGATCTTCAGGGCCGCATCGTCCTCGACGGCAGTCAGAGTCTGTCCATCAATCACCAGCACTGAATGCGCTAGCATGCCCTTGCTAACCTCCATCAGGATGGCAGTAATCTTGTCTGACAACACATCAGTCTTCACATCCAGGACAAAGACGTCCGAAAAAGGCTTGCAGATCCGCGCCGAGTGTGCAATGTTGATGGCCGTCTCCCGCTTGTCGCCAGTCAGCATCCACACCTTGATGTTTGCCCGGCGCAGCTTGTCGACCGTCTCCGGCACGCCATTCTGAAGGCGGTCTTCAATAGCTGTGGCGCCTGTAAGCTCAAAATTATGCTCAATGAGCTCACCGGCCTCTTCAATCATCCGTTGACGGTCAACAAGACTGGTTGTGGCTTTGAGATAAATCTTCTTCCACTCCTCGTACTCGCTCTCTTGCAAGAAACGATGAGCAAACAGCAGAGTCCTAAGTCCGTCAGAGGCAAAATCGTCGAGATGAGTAAAGCATCGGTCAAAGATGGCAGCCTCGCTGCTCGCAACAGTCTCGTCCACGGTCGAGTCCCAGTCTACCTCGTACGGCGGTTCTAAAGACGACGGCGAAAAGTGGTGACCCGAGGCGTACGGATCGCCGCCAAAAACGGCCGGTCTAGTCTCGTCGATCGACTCACGCACCACCGTCGTCCTGTGCAAGTCGGTCGATTTTCTGCTGAACGCATGCATGCTGTTGCGGGGGCTCGACATGCTTGCGCGAGCCTCGTTGAAACCCAACCCGGGACTGGAGACGCTGGACCTGTGGTACTCCATGATCCGACCGGCCTCGGCGCTCCGGCGTTCGCTAGCCCGCCTGTCTACATCGGCTGCCTTTTGTGCCGCCGTCTTGGCTGATTTGAGCCGCGGAATTATCGTACTGTCTGCACCCTTACAGAAGATGCAGATCTTGCCGTCAGGCATCCGTACAATGATGGACATGCGTTTCCGATCACTGCTAAACTCGATGACATCAAGGACTTCGTATGCTTCCACAACGAGCTTTCCATCTGGCGTCTCGCGCTGGAGCTTGATCGTCTGCGACGGGCGGTCAATGAGAAGCAAACCAAAATCTCTCGCTGCTTGGACGAGCGCTAGCTCATCTGGCGATGACGCGGAGAATGTAATGTCTCCGTCAGGCGACTTTTCGGGATTTGCAGTATGACAGAGCGCGAGCGCGAGCAGGAATAGTTGAGCCTTCTGCGAAAATGCAGAGGTCGGATGCTCTCTGATGTAGTTGAGCATCACCATTGTGTTGGCTTCCGTCTGCCGAATTCCGCCGCCCTGTGCCGCCAAGTCTGGCGGACCCGGCTGTTGCGCCGACTCGACCTTGCTGACCTTGGCCAGGAGGCTCTCGTTGTTTCGCCGCGACTGCCTCTCCATGGCTTCCTGTTGGATGTCTCGGTCATGGTACCAGGCAGTGCCGGCGACCGTGACCTTTCGGAAGCGCATCTTGTTCTCCGTCAGTGTGCCTGTCTTGTCGGAAAAGACATAGCTGACCTGGCCGAGGTTCTCAAAGATGGTTGTCGTGTTGATGCGTAGTGGAGTGTCGGTCTCCTCGTCGTACATGTCGACGTCTGACATGAGGATGAGCTGGCCGATCTTGATGATCTCAAGAACAACGTACAGGGAGAGGGGGATCAGTGTGTTAAACATGATGATGAACCCAAACCATATCTGCACAAAGGACACGGGTGCGTTCCTGATGTACCACGCGTGCCGTTCGTATCTGCTCTGCCACATGTAGTATCCTCCCGTGCAGGCCCCCGTGATGACGAGCAACACACAGACCAGGAAGAGCACGATGCGGTTGAGCCAGACCTGCATTTTCGGCGCCTTGGCTGCTGCACCCCTGTTGGAGTTCATGCGGATCTTGCACTCCTCGCCAGAGTTGACGACCAGGCCCCAGGCCTCGGATGTGTTTCTGAGGGTGGATCCACGGAACACAATCTCGTTCAGGGTCAAGGGACTGGTCTCGTCGTCTACCAGCACGCGGCCGTCGTAGTGGTAAAGGTCGAGGTTAGGATCTTCTGATACGATCGTCGCGCGGCATTGTCGGAGATCAGCAATCGTATTGCACCGCTCGGCAAGAAGGCTTGATGGCTGCTTGCTCTTCAGGTTCGTTTCGCCATCTAGCGCCATCGTCTCAATGTATGCCACACCATTTGGCCCAGTTGCGTGCAGAAGAATCATGTCGGCTGGCACATGCTGATCTCTCTGCAACCTGACGATATCGCCCACACGGACGTCTTGCCATTCGACAACCGCCCATACGCCGTCGTCCACATCGGAGCGGTGGCCGACCTCGCCCATCTCCATCTCTTCGACGTGACGGCTCTGCTTCGGCCTGTGTCCTTGTGCGCGCCTTGCTGCTGCTTTCATGGCATCCTTGGACTTTGATGCAATCTTCTTCGAAACTGTCCTGTCCGGATCGAACACCCACGCTGCACTCCTGTTTTCGGACTTGTCCAGCTCATATCTTCGATAGTCATCGTACCCTTCCTTGGCGATACTGACTGACACGAACAAAAGGAGTGGTCCCAACGTCGTCCATGTTCCTGTCGTGCTGAGGCCAGGGATCTGCTGAAGGACACCAATGATGAGGAAGTAAAAGTTGGCAAGCTTACTGAACTGGAAGTAGAGCTGCTTGGGCAAGAACGACCACAGTGAGTAGCGCGTTGAACGGATCCAGTTTGATATGTAATGCTTGCCCCTGCGCTCGTCAACAAGCTGATGCGACCGGGCACGCCCGGCGTCCAGCGGAATGTGACGCCCGTCCTTGCTGGGAGGGAGGGGTCTCTGCCGCAGGATGCCCTCGATAATAATCTTCTGATAGGCATGGTCAAAGCCCTCGGTGAAGCGCACTCTTATCGACTTGCTCTGTTTCTTCTGCCGGGCGACCCACTTCTGATATTCCTCGGCTCGCTTGCTCGAGTTTTCGTCGATGATGCCGAGGTCGCCGTTGCCAGCAGCGAACTGCGCGCTCATGTGGCTCGATCGTCGTCGCGGGGGAGGCTCGCCAAAGGGGTTCGGGTCCTCGATCGCATTGCCGCCGCTGGTGGAAAGACTCCGCCTGAATTTCGCAAACCTGCCCTGGGTTGGGGACTCCAGGCTGTGTTGTGCTGGCGAGCGATCATGGTGAGTAGCTTGCGCTTGGTGGCTATGCTGCTGGTCGGCCGCGGTGTCATCACGAACGTCGGCTTGGTTGGATGCATTTGTCGCCGGCCTGCTGGGGCCGAGGGCGAAGCGGCGAGGCTGACGAGGAGCGCTGTTTGGGTCGGCCATGGTCACGTCGCACGGGTCGCTATTGCTGGTTGTTTGTCATTTCCAGCGTCGCAAACCGGGGCCGGTGGTCGCACTGGGGGGCGCGCACAATCAGGTGCGAGCCTGGCGACGGAGGCAGTTTCGATATGAGGATTGGAGGGTTATTTTAGGGGGTTAATTGAAGTTGGAATCGGAATGGCGCGCGTCACCTGGAGGTGTGCTGCTGCTGGAGGAGGCTAGTTCGGGACCCGGTGCTGCGGGATTGGAGCTTATTGCTGGGAGAAAAGGAGTGGACGTGAGTCGCATCTGGCCAGTCGGATGCCCAGGGCCGGTCAGGTCAGCATTGTGACCAGAGGAAAGGCTATTGACAACGAAACGATGAGTGCCTGGTGGTGTCGAGGGACGGACGGGGAGTAGCGGAGGCCGTGGAGCGCCCGATGGTGTTGACGTATGCGGTCCTGCAGGCCGTTTGGGGGACGCTCTCGATACTCGTGCGGGGGCGCAGCAGAGACAGCTGGGGCGCCTGAGGCAGCGAAGGAATGAGACGGAGACTCACCTCTTGCAGAACCGACCTAAGGCAGCCACGGGCATACAAACCAGCACACCCAAGCAAGTCATTACGGACCACGACGCTGACGGTGGCTGAGCAGGCAGTCCCGAGATGCACATTCATTCTGGGCGCGTCTGCGCAGCCTTGGCAGGACGGCCGCCCGTAGTAATCCGATCGTGCCGGCGTGGTCTAGCAGGCAGCGGCCATTGGTGCATGTGCTGTGCATCACCCCGGGCCCCTTGAGCCTGGTCATCTCAGCCCAGCCTTGGTACGTAATGTCCGTGGCCTGGCGGGTGGCGTGGGTGGTGCCTGCCTGTCTGCCAGCACAGCGGGCTGAGACGGGCGATCGCCAAACGCCAGGCCCGCATGGCTCTTGGCCCTTACTACGACCCTCTCCTCTAATCTCTGCGACCGTCTCAACCACAGTCTCGACGACGACAGCAACAACAACAACACCAACCACAAGATTGGTTACCGCGACAGGACGAGGACTAATTAGCGAGAACGGCGCCGACACCCACCCATCCAGATGGCACCAGACAGACTGGTCTAGATCCTCCCCCAACCCTGGGCCCCCCAGCTTCTCCCCCACATTCGCTTGACGCCACCACCAGCCTGGTTGCTGGCCCCGTCCCAATCCAATCCAATTAGCGGCGCCAGTCCGACAGTGTCCAGCGACACAAGGACCGTGGGTGGCTCGCGTCTAGCATGGGGCCATCAATTACAATTTGCGATCCAGATCTCAGCTGTAATTCAGGAACTAGCATATCCCATGTCGGCATGTTTGCGCTCGAGTCAAGACAGGGCTGGGGTACACATGCGTCGACTCGGCTTTGGGCCGCAAAAACCTGGCTGCAATGCAGGATTAACCTTAATTTAGACTTGGACCCTGGCCGCCTAAACCCTGGCGGCGGACAGTGATGCATGCATGCCATGGCAGGACATGTCCATCTGTCCCCAACATTTCGGCCCATCGTCCACGACCGCGAGTAAGCAGCAGAAGAGCACAGACTGGCCAACAGCAGAGGGTCGTACCCGTAGCCCAATCATGAGCACAGGATCACGTTGTGGCAGAAGGGTGCTGTCATTTCTCCTGTCGCAGTGATTTTGGGAGCCAGCTAATCGTCAGTGGCACGAGTCGCATTCTTCCAACTCACAGGGTTAGGTTTAGGTTAGTTTTGCACCACCTGAAGGCTCAGGTAAATTCCTCAATGCGACAGACTTCATCTACATGGGCTTCCAAGGGTAGGGCAGAGCTGGATGTCTACTCTTGCCCTGACTTGAGACAACGCGGCGAACCCTTGTCAATTGGAGCAGGTTAAGTGAAGTCCTCCTTAACGCCCAGGCTGGTATTTTGTAGTGCGCTCGTCCTCCCAGGCATGACTGAAGAATGAGGCCGGCGCGTCTCGCCCAGCACGTTGACTGATGGCTCGATTCACCCGTTTTCCACATTCCCGTAGTTGACTGTAAACCTTGATCTCGTGTGACATCTCCCAATTGTGCAACACAGCTATTGCAGGTGCTATGAGCATGTTGTAACTTATATATGACGTTTCTCGATTGTGGAGATGGATGAGAGCTGAAACTCTTTAGTTTCCAAAAGTTGTACAACTACGTGAGTTTTTTTTTTAGTTTTTTTTTAGAATTCTTTTTACTTTTGAATTATTTTCTCCAAAATAAGCCGAGACAAAAGACGAAAAGGGGCAGTAAGTAAAAAAAGATAAGATGGAAACGGGCATAATAGAAGGACTCTTTATGATGGACTGATCAACTCTGATGACGATGACAAGATTGTTGCCTTGGCCTGGCCAGTAATCAAGTATCTCACAAATTGATGAATGGGGCTCTCCTCACGCGTTTCTATCAACGACCTCCAGTTCTTCCACAGCAAAGTCGTGATCTCACTAGAGGGGAGCACGACAAGGGCATATTCATACTGGGTTCTTCTCCTCAAACGCGCAGAGACAAACTACCTACACCAAGAGCGACACAGGAAGGTATAACGGAGGAGGCTTCCGGTGGCCCAGACGTGGATATGAACAATCGGCGGGCTTTACTCTGTGGGGGACAGCCATCTCAACATTAATGGCCGAGTCAAGCTCGAGAAGCATCCATGAAAACGCATCGACAGGTAGAAGTTTCCATATTGATTCGGGCGTTGCGTCATGTACGAGCAAAAACCCACGGGGTAGTCAGTCGAGATCAGGGCCTGGTCAAAGGCAAAGCATATATGGACTATCTGTGCGGTGGGTCGAGCTGCCAGGCGCCGATGTTGTCCATGGCGACACTTCCAGAAATGCATGCAGCGCACGCAAGCATACTATCTGGAATATCTAAGAATAATGAAGACGAAACCACCAATTTTAAAAAAAAACGGGAAGATGCAGAAGGCGGTACATGGCACATTGAAATTGTAGTTGCACTCGGGTATAATTGTACCCTGGCGAAAAGTGAAAGCATAACATCGTGTAAGTCAAAATGAGCGATTATGTATTAGACAGTTATAATCTTGCCAAAGCTAAAAACTTCCTTTTGATCCTGCATCTATACATGGTCGCGCCAGCTCGGGAGCCGAAACAGATCTGGCACTGCGTGGTATATATATCTCCCTCCTCCTACTGCCCTGGGGGCCCGTTCTTCTTCGCAGAGTCGCTTTAGTAGAGCATAGGGTTCCCCTGATCTTACACCTTCCCCAACTGGATCTTGTGTTGACACATGGCTGAGCTAGACAGCGCAGCCTGTGTGATAGTTGTTTGGGTACATGTTTTGTTGTGTGTGCGTGTGTGTGCCAATGTGAAGTCGCTAAGTGCTCAAAAATGGAAAACAGAGAGCTCGAGCTACGCCTTAGACGACGGGGAGGCCGGGGTTCTGGAGGGGAACCAGGGCGGCAATGATGGGGGTGAGGAGGGGAGCGAGGAGGCCGTTGCCGAGACCGGCGAGGAGAGGAGAGAGGCCAGCGATGAGGCCTGGGAGGAGACCGGCAAGGAGACCGATGAGGAGGGTGAGGACCTTGGCGACGAGGCCGAGGACGGAGGCGAGGAGGGAGTTGAGCTGGGGGCGGAGGCCGAGGACAAGGACGAGGGCGTTGACGGTGGTGAGGACCTGGCCGAGGAGGGTGTTGACGAGGGTGAGGACAATCTTGAGATCGCTGGGGCGGACGGTCAGGCCGGCGGCACCGGTGAGCTGGAGGACGAGGTTCTGCAGGACCTGCTCAATCTCCTCGAGCTGGGGCTGGGCGGCGGCAGCACCGGCATCAGGGGTGGTCTCGCCGTTCTGGACGGAGGCGATGATGTCCTGCAGGGAGCCGAGGGGGCCAATAGCGCCGCCCTGGGCACCGTTCAGGGCGCCGAGCAGGCCAGTCAGGTCCGAGATGCTGCCCTGGCGCTTCTCAAAGTCGACATCGGCGGAGCGAGCGACCTCGGCGCCGGAAGCGACCTCGAGGCTGCGGGCAGAGACGTCGACATCGCGGGTCTCGGCCTGGAAGGGGGCAGCGATGGCGGAAGCCGCCAGGAAGACGACGGAGAGGAAGCTGGTGGTCTTCATTTTGAAAGTTGGAGGAGCAAGTTGTGCTTTGGGGTGAAGAAGATGATGAAGAGGAATAAGCTGCTGGCTTTGAGAGGCTGTTGAGAGGTGATGAGGATGAGGATGATGAGCCAGAAGAGCAGATGAACGTCGAGCGAAAGGTCAATACTTATACACATACGAGCTCATATGTGTTGGTGTACACCAGCCGTGCTCAAGGTCTGAAGTTGAGAATCTGCAGATCGACCATCGAGAGTGATCGTCATCGCTCTGGATGCCCCAATGTCGAGAGGGTCCATCCACTACCTACCAGTAGCTCTGTGCCGTTTGGTGGCTGACGAGACCTCGCTACACTACTGGGCACCATCACGGCGTTTCGGCCGTGTCGTCGGCTGTGATCCAAGTTCGAGGTGATGTTGTTTCCCGCCGGCATGCCTGCCCGACCAGCTGCCTGCATTGCATTGTCCCTGTTGAGACACGATCGACACGAAGCTGGGGCGGGCCGATGATGGCGGCTGTCAGTTTGGATTCTGCCGGCACACGCTAGCGCAAACTACACCGTAGCCTAACCATATAGTGCCTCCCCGGCAGCTGCAGGTCGCAACAGTACGTATGCTATGGCGATCGGCAAGGCGTCGTGGTATGCCAAGGGCGCCGGCGGCCTGGGACAGCAAGCCTCATCTCTCATCTCCACACAATTGCCCCAGCTGTCTCGGCTGTCCCGCCGCCCGCGGACGGGAGCGAGAAAAGCCTCCGCAACGCCGTCACTTCACAACTGCCGCAACTTTTCGAGTGACGTAAACCTCGGGGGCGTGGAGCTTGTGGGTTTGAGACAATGGGGAGCAGGGAGGCCCCGCGTCCCAGGCTAATCTCGGCACAGGGCGTACGCGGCCACTAGGCTGCATGTTGACACCTGTGTGCAGTTCTTCATCTCAGGGGAAAGGAACAATAATTGAGCATGGGGGCTGCATTGCCAATTGATGTCTAGCTAGGGAGCTATGCAGACTTGCTAGTCCTGCATGGTTGCCTATTGCTCTGGAGCTGGCTCGAGCTCGCCGTTCCCTGCACGGCTTTCGGGAGGAACGGGGAGTGATCGCCAGCCACCCGAAGATGTGTTTTTTCAGCCCAGTGAGGCAATCAGTCCTCGATTGAAGAGCTGGCCAAGTGGCGGGCTGCTAGTTGGCGAGCATTGCAGTGAGTGGGCCTCTACTGCTTGAGGGCCCCGGCAATGACGATCTGTGATCGGCACAAGGTACGGAGCACGCTCTCGAAGAGGATCGTCATTGCGGGTGAGCTGTCAAAGAACGCTAGCTATGCCAGGCCCAGCACGGTGGCCCAGGCGAGACCTGATTGCGTGTCCGCTACGTGCCGGTGATGACTGCTAGAGAATTGCTAAGAAACACAAGAAAAGCACATGCAAAGTTGACAGTAAAGAAGCAAGATGAAATAAAAGAGTTTAGCAGTGGGGTCGGTTTTGTAAGCGTGTGCCTGTCAATGTCATGGATGGACCCTTAGCCTTTGAGGCTACTATAGCGAGGGAGGGAGGCCATAAGGTCACTGCAGCCCAAATACTGATGCAGTCTTCACACGCAAAGCTACAGAGCACTATGTATGTGGCGTCGTGCTGGCGCCAGGGAAAAGTGCCCTCCCGCTCGGCAAATCCCTAGCGGTCAGAGTTGTGGCGTCTTCTTAGGGGCTAGAGAGGAAAGGTCCCAGTCGTCATGTCCAAATTCGTGCCCAGCAGCTTTTTGAGCTTGATTGTTCCTGGCGATCTAGCAAGCCGCTAGTCTGCATTGGGTCCTTGCAGTTCCCTGGCCTCGTCCCCCGCATGAGGTGTTCCGCGCCAAGCTGTTGCTGGCTCGAATGATAGGGGACCTCTGTGAATAGCTTCACGCACGAGCTTTGCCACCGCCAGCAACCCACATGTGGCGTCTGCCGCTTGTGCCTCGGGACTCGCGATGTCTTCATACTGCCTGCCCAAAGCAGCTTGGGCACGGAATGATGTGACCGCTGAGAACACTTCCGTCACCGCCACCCCCCAGCCTCCACCGGCACTTTCGTGGTCCTACGCCACCATCTGCACTGGGGGATAACGTCTCTGCGTAACTAGGCTTGACGTTTCTCGTGGCCGGCTAGCAGGCGATGGTTCCCCGTCAGGTAACCAACCACACGACGTTGCTCGTGGAATGTGGCTTTCGTGGTAGCATCAGACCGTCGGGTACGCGGGCCTCCTCTGTGCCCAACAGAATCTGAGCTGAACCAAGCTGCAGGGTTCACAGATGTGACCGTGTCCATCCCTGGTGATGATCACCTCGCGGAGGAGCCATAGCGCACAGTACGGACGCGTATGCTGCTGCGCAGCTACTGATGTGTCCCAAGCATGCCAAGTATGCGTTGGATATGTGGAATCTCAACGGTACAGGGTCTTACCTACGCGCATGTCTCAAGTCCACCTGCGTGTTTGTGTCAGCAGCGACCATTGGTCACTTTGAGTGCACGAGAATGCATGATGAGCAGGTGGCTTTCGCAGGGTCCCTCCAATTACAAAAACTATGCCGGAGATGTTGCAGTCCTCCGCGTGCCGAGCTTGCATGTCCCAGTGCCCGCGATGACGCCGGGACTAAGCAATAAGAAGTTGAGGGGAGAGACAGACATCCCTTGGTGCCCTTGGTGCTGAGCTTCCATAGTGTTCCACTCATCTCAGTTTACCAAGAAAGGCAAAATGAAAAAGCAAAGGGTGCGTTTTCAAATCTTCATCCCTTACCACGGCGGCGGGAATGCCCAAGACATTCACATGCCATGCAGGGCGGAGTCTTGTCTTCGCCACTCCCATGTGTCCTGAGTCATGTCTGTAGAGTCAGACGTCGTGCTCTGAAGCTTCATGCATCGTCATGCATCAAGTTCCTGCCCAAGTACGGGCAGGCGTCCTTGCACGTATCGTGGTTGTTCCCGGCTGGTAAGCGAGGGCAGCAGAGTCTGCACATCCTCAGTATTCGTCATCTGCAGCACCTTGTCTCTGATACCACTCTGGTGCTGTAACGGGAGCATATGGACCAGGAACAGTAGTGCTGCTTGGGAGACTGCACTAAACCGCTCTTTTTTCAATTCCAGTTCCACAGCAGCAGCAAGTGAGCTGCCGGCTCCGGAGATCGTGGGCTGCGCTGCATAATTGTTCCCTCAGTCTGCAACCTGCATGGCCCCCCATGCACCATGGCTGTCCTTTTCCTCAAAACGGCCTGGTCTCATGACGTGATTGGCCGAAACACCCAACTAACAACGCCCTGGTCCTCGCGACCAGATCAGCATTACTGAGAAAACACCCGTACACCCGCTCAGCCGCCAACGCGAACCCAAGAACTGCAAAAGCACTTCTGGAGCTCTCTATCAGACTGCTGTGTCGTACTTTCATCGAAGCCCGCAGCTTGACCTCCAAAAGTCTCCGTCTAGTCCCAGCTTTCTCCGCGGCAAAGAACCACTGTGATCTTGGTACGACGCCACCCTTCTCTGTAGCGCAAACGCTACAGCTGTACTTCTTTCTGTCGAGTGAAGCGGCAAGGAGCAATGTCAGAAGTTAAACCCTGCAAATACAATTCCGCCACCCGTGGGCTAATCAAAAGTCTGACGTCCTCGGGTGCATGTCCCAGAACGAGCAAGTACACCCACTTTCTTGCCGACATTGATAGGGCGAGCGTTGTGCAGTGAGATGACATCTATGCATTCCGTCGGGATGAGTCCTTCCTGCGCAACAACTTTCTCTCAATCGAATCTTCCGAAGTACCCGCATAATCCCCGTAGCAATCTTATGGAGAAACATGCAGGCACTTATTCCCTCCCCACACAGTCAGCAATTATCCAAGCTGGTAGTCTTGCGGCCCAGGCGAGAATGGCACAGCGAGGAGACGGTGACGTAAGGCTTTTTTCGACACGCGGAATTCCACCAGAGCTGCTTCCCACGAACATCAGTGCTCTTTGGTCTTCGGTGATCCCAATAAAAGACGTGCTCCGCCGTTGTGCTCCGCTGCGAGGCACTTGCGCTACTTCAAGATCCTGATTGGGCTCTGCTCCACCACTACGCCCACTCTCTGCAGCGGCGGACATTTTCATTGTCGTTTTCGTCCCACAACAAACTCCAAGCCCACTCGCGATCGCCGAGCAAGGCACAATATCTGGAGAAGTCCCGCCGAGATCGCATCCGGAATGGCAACCTCGCGATTCCGCGACGACGAAACTAGCCAGCATGGACTTGGTCTAGCCTTTGGCTGTGCCCCACGCAAGTTGCACGCTGCTAGATCGGCTACTTCACAGGCCCCTTAGCAAGGGTGAGGACCCAGGCAGAAGATTGCTGCTACAGTACCCAATCAGCGCCAAAAGACTGCGTGTTTACCCCCATAGGCATAAGGCTTATCACGTAATAGGGATGCAGGATGTTGCGGCGTAGTTGGTACCGGCCCGCTCAGAAAGTGCAAGTGAAAGATGGACACTCGCTGGCGTGGTGGTACTCGGTACTTCAAGTCAAAAGTCCAGGTGCGATTCGTCCAATCTCCTGAGGGTAGCTGCAAAAGACCTCCGATTCTGTGCAAACGAGGTTGATCTGCCCAAGTCCAACTGGCCCACTACTGGGTATTATTCCGCGCATGGAAATGGACCTCAGCGGCCAAATTGGCAGTGTGGTGTGATTGGTGAGGCGGCAGAACTCACGGCAAGCGTCCTGTTAGCACTGCTGATCCGTTTATGCGCTTCCCTTCACTAGCCCTCATTTCTTTCTTTCCCGGTTGGAAGCGAGAGGACCCGATGATCTGCGTCCTCTCACAGATGCAATGCGAGACTTTGCTGGAGCCAAATCTTGACTGTCCGAAGCACTAGATACTTGCCACCCGGTGGGCGGACCACGAGTGGCTCTTGTCACTCTGCGTGACACAATTGGACAATGGACAACCGAAATTCAGGAGGATCCTTGGTCCGCTACCTTAGCAGCACGCCAACCAAACTATCCTCGAGGCTCAGTCAACATCATGCCTTTAGTCAAGGCAGCAAGTGTTACTGACGCCCTGCTTCCTGAAGAGGCCAGTGTTCTTAGCTTCCGGGTCTTTCTCCGGGTGGTCCCCTGCCCTGCTTTGCTCAAAGAAGTTGGTCTAATCTCCTGATGCATGAGGAAAGTAGCCTAGTAGATATTCACTACGGCCCAAGTTCTGGACAAAAGTGCACGCTTGCTTGGCTTTACCGCCACGACCAATTTGGCCTAATATCGATTGATATACCCAGCAGACAACACAACACGGAAATGGGAAAAAGACCGGTGCCTGCGCCGATCAATCAACCAGACGATCGCTATGAGGTTGACTGAGGGGTGTCAGAATGTAGTCGACAATTGGCACTCTCGACGAGGAACACGCGTTCAAACGACAACCAAGACGAAAACATGCATGTAAGAACCGGAGAACATCCTTTGCTGCCGACCTTTGGAAAGCACTTGCCACCCAAAGGTCCAAACCACGACACCACAATGCTGGGTGAGACGGGGGAGCATTCAGTATCAACGTACTACGAGCTTTTCATTTTCGACGAACAATGGAACACATTTACAGCTCGGTGGTCAATTTCGCCAGAGTCCCCCACAGCGAGACAACGAAGACGTTTCCTTGGTCCCTTCCAGACTGTTCTCCCTACAGACGGTACTTCAAAGCAACCTCGGCGGGAGCGTGGTACGTCGGGACCTTCATCTCGAGCGCCTCACCCGAGTAGCCCAGATCCTCGGCCGTCAGAACGGCGCACTTCTCACCGATAAGTAGAGCAGTTGAGTACCTAGAGTTGGTGTGGTATCTGTGTCAGTCTCCGCTCCACCACTACATACACAACACAAAAGGGTTTCAGTGAGCGACTCACGTGTTGCAGCCGACATTGTCAGGACAGATGGACAGGTCCGCGACCTTGAGATTCTTGACGCCGTGCACGTTGAGGCGCTCGTCCAAGACTCCGTGCTTGACGATGCTGTTGCCCTCACGCGGAGCCATAGAGCACGTCTAGATGTTCGCCAACCCCCGCCCTTTTTGTCAGTGAAAGCTCTTGATGCGACACGCACAACTGCCCTCAAGGGATTGTTCATTTGCAGTTGACTCACCCCCAAGCTGTGCCAGGTACTTTCCACGTGGCGCTTCGTCCACTCCTCGATGGCCTCGATGTCGCGCTTGCTGTACTCGAGGTCCTCGCGGACGTCGGCGCGGTTGCTGTTGAGGATGTTGGCCTCGGCCGTCTTGCTCGGCTTCGGGTTGGACTGGCTCCAGCTGCCGTGCTGCAGGCCCGCGCTCAGGTTGCCCTCGAGGGCGTAGCGCTTGGTCGTCTCGAGGTCCATGTCGTTGGCGCGGGCGGGCGAGTCGTAGTCGAAGAAGGGGTGCATGGCCTGCACCTCGCCCGCGTAGGCGTCCATCCGGCGCGCCGTCTCGCGCGACTTGATGTATCCCCACACCATGGGCGCCATGTCGCGCTCGTCGTTCATGAAGCCCGTGTCAAAGTCGGGGGTGTCGTACGGGTCGGCGGACTTGATGTGCGTCGAGCCCCGCGAGAAGGGGTACTCGAGGAAGTGGAACATGGTGAAGAAGTTTCCGGGTGGCCTTGTTCCGATGTGCACGATCAGTTTCTGTATCTGCGATGCAAATCAGTTGTCATGGGTGGGCTCACATCAACATGTGGTCGCCGAACCAGCCCGCAATGACGCTGTAGTGCATCACGGGCTTGTCGGGCTTGTTGAGGAAGTACGACTTCCAGCCCTCGGTGAAGTGCGGAGTCGGCCAGGACTCGAACTTCTTGAGCTCGGCCTGTGTCGGGCGGATCTTGACGCCGGCATCGATGCCGTTGGTCGCGAGCGGGCCGGTGCCGTTCAGAGCCCACTGGTCAAAGACCTCTATTTTTATGAGGGCAGTGAGCACGCGAAGAACAAGGCAGAAAGGATGAGTGAGCACAAGGAAATCAAAACGTACTCTTCTGGACCTCCGGCACACCTCGCACAAAGTCATCAAAGCTCTCCGTCTCCGGCTTGGCACGGTACGTGGCAAAAGTCAAGTAGTGGTCCTGGAAGTTGAGACCTACGCCAGGCAGGTCGACCTTGCACTCGACGCCAGCCGCGCGGAGCTTCTTAGGATCGCCTTGGAGGCTGTTAGTCCTTTGCGCAATATTATGACTTTTGCTGGGCTATCGTCGGGACTTACCAACACCGGACCTCTGCAGGATCAAGGGAGACGACAGCGTGCCGCCAGACACGATGATCTGCTTGCGAGCTCTAAACGTGCGGGTCTTGAGCTGGTTCGGATGCAGTGGTTTCGTGGGCACAGTCTGCACAGCGACGGCCACGCCGTTCTCAATGATGACCTTGTCGACCTTGCTGTTTTGGTCATTAGTAGGAAGCACACTTATTCAAGTTTCGAAATGGACTTACGTGTTGCATGCGAGATAGAGGTTGCTGTGGACAGCACGAGTCGAGTGGACATAGGCGTGAGCACTATCGGACCGGCGTCCAGTCTACACAAAGGCTTTGTTAGTAACTGACTTGTTTCCCGCGTGTCAATAACCAATCTCACATCGCGGTTGATCCACTTCAGCCAGTGCTCGGCTCCGTGGCCGGTCTTGAGGTCCTGGAGGTCGTCGACAACAGGAATGTCCTGAGACTCTGCAGCACGAAGAAAGTCGTCCTTGATGGGGTAAGTGCTGTACAGGGTTTATCAGCCAAACCATGTGACGTGGATGTTGAGGTGATCCGATGTGCTGCAACTCACTAATTCCCAAAAGAGACCTTGATCGGCCCCTCGAATCCATGAATGTCCCTAGCAGCACAAGTCAGCTCCATGTTCTTTGGCAGCGTGTCCCGCTTGCCCATCTGACCATAGAATGGAACTCACTTGTTCCCACAAGCCCTCTGATAGGTCTCGTGCTTCCTCATCAACGGAAGGAGCTCCTTGGTAGACCACCCTTTGGCCTGGAAGTCGTCATAGTCCGAGGCAGATGCACGGGTGTACATGAGGAAGTTGATGGACGAGCCGCCCCCGAGAATGTGTGCGCAGGGCACGACAGCCTTTCTGCCAGCGAGCCACTTGGAAGGGCGGGACTCGTAGAACGATGCGGTTCTCGAGTCAAGCTTCATGTTTTGAGAGCGATGGTCAACTCTTGGGGTCTTGCAAGTACGGACAGTTGTTGCTGGTAGTAGTGGAGGGTGGCAGACTCACCTTCATGTTACGGGGGTAGATTCCAGGGCGGAAGACCCATGGCTTCGGTGATAGAGTTAGCAACGACTCTGCATGTGTGGGGATCTGTACGTGTCGAGCAATCTTACGTTGTTGAGGTTGCTCTCCCCGGCCTCGATGAGCAGCACCTTGAGATTGTGGTCCAGGTTGGCAAGACGGCCTGCAACCACGCACCCGCAACTGCCGCCACCACACACGATGATATCGAATTCCTCAGGGAGGGGAGACATGATGGGCGAGTTTTATTCTAGGACTCCTTTGGCAGAAGATGGAAGCCGGAAGAAAGAGCACTCTCTCAAGAGGGAGTAGTACGAGTAGACATGTCAGCCCTTTTATAACTCGCAACAACAGCGTGATCTCACCTTCACATCGTAAGAACGGCACCTCTGAGATGCTTCCCGGTTAGTAACCACGTACCAGCTTCCCCGCTTCTGAGAAACTACAGTTTCGATCAAACTCCGATATATCTCCTTGTCTACGCGTCACGGGAAGGCAGCCGACTCGTGAGATTCGCTCGTCCTGAACTCTCGCCTGCCGGGTCTCTGCAGCCAACACTCAAATGTTGCGGGGAAACACCATCTTCTTCGATATCGCGCATTCAAGGCTCCAATCAACGGTTCCAGAAGGCGTTGCCAATGTTTGCCCCCCACCCGTGCCGCAGCATTCTGAAGAAAGGATTTTGGCGTGTCGCTTCAAGTCTAACCACTCGTGTATGGTGAGCATCGAGCCCGTGACCAGACGTGCATAGTGCCGAGAGTTTATTGAGTGTAAGACCGTGCCATTACTCACAGTGAAGATGTCCATCGCCAGAGAATGGTTATGCCCGGAGTGACCTGAAGTCTGTCCTCGATTCCCACTCCATTAGCAAAGGTCAGCAGGAAATAAACTTAACCCTACATCGCTGAAATCTTTCCCGGTCCGTCCGCTCAATAAGAAACGACGTCGCGATATCGTCGTCTAGAAAGGGAGATAATCCGGAAGCTTGGGGTTTTGATACCGGGAATACGGCAAAGTGGTGATATCCAGGGGATTAACACTGCACAGCCCGTCCTCGTCAGCCAACTCTCCACACTTTCTGACCTATTGGGTCTTCAAACGCGCCACCAGCAGCCGGAATACCGATCAGGCCAGGGGTCTGCATCTCCAAGAATGCGGGGGTGGAGACGGGACAAGGTGCCAACTCGCAGAGCAAGGCGCGGGAGCAGGCGGTGACGACCCTTTTTTAGAGCTGACCTTGGTTTCCCCGGTGTGGGTTCGATGCTTTCGCGACAATCCTTCTGTCCGTGGTGCCCCAGAGCGTGTTGGCGGAGAGGCTGCCTGCCTGTCTGCCTGCCATGCTGGATGAGTCGGAGGTGAGATGTAGTAGGCATTGCTTCGTGATCAGTGCTTGTGGCACAGCATTACTTCCCTCTGGTGATGGCCTCTCTTGATTTCTGTGAGAGCCTTTTCTTCTACTCCGGCGATATCCTGCTACAAAAAAACTGCGAGTGCCCATTTTCTGCCGCATTGGCGTGGCTCTTTGAATGAGGTCAAAAGCTCGTATGTCTGGGCCTTCGCCAAGTAGGCCAAGCAAGAGGGGTCTGACGTGAAGTCGTACGACGTTGCTGCACGGCTCGAGCTCAATTCAGTCTGCCGAGTTGGAGATTTTGGAGACGGCTCGGGTAGAGTTGGTGTGTAAGACGGGGGGCCCCGCATCTTCTTACTTGGGGTAAGTTTTGCATTGTTCAAAACGTACATACAACCAATTGAGAGAGAGAGACTGATGTGGCAGGTCACCAATCGCGGGACAACAAAGTCTGTACTCCGCATACACGGCACCGTACCGTTGACTGTGTCGTCTGCCAATGTATTGGGTGGTGAGCCCGCTCTGAGAGATAACCTAGGAAATGGCTATCCGGGTGAATTGGTCCTGGTCACAGTGGACGAGTGGGAGCCTGTTGAGCGTCATTGTGAGAGTGAGCTCGGGGACACGTGCAGCTTAAGCGAACGGAGCTAGGCCGTGAGTCAAGAATGACGATGTTTGCCAGGCGACGATGGTGACAATTCGTGCGTGCAAATTTTGATCTGTATTCAGGAAGCAATTGCAAGTTGCCACCGCCCATGATTTGACTTGACAAACTCACCGTCACAGGGAGATAAAGCAATCCTACCGATTCGGCAGTTCCTCTTTAGCACTACTCATTCGCAAGGAGCATTGACTCACGATAAGATCGACGCGCTCAGCAAACATCTGGTTGTTCGCAAACACCAAACAACTACCATGCAACTCCATACCGCTTTTCAGGGCGAAGCTAATCGAGCACAAATCAAACCACCAGTCGCTGCTTATGTACAACGAGTTCGGCATTCAGCACCAACCGTGAAAGGAAACCCTTCGCCAGCGCACATTTTCCATCAACCATGGAGGCCGCCACAACTGAAGCATACGTGATGCTCACCCTCGGCCTTGCCGTGATCGCGCTGCGTATCGTGCTGCGCGTCCGGACCGCGGGCACAGCAAGACTGTGCGCAGATGACTACTTGATGGTCGCGGCAGCGGTAAGGCGACGCGGTCAAACGGCATACCGGGCAGGTCTGGCTAACTAGAGTTGTCAGATTCTCTATATTGTCGAGACATATCTCGCTTGGAGCATCGACGCGGTGTGGAAGGGCAAAGCAAACGACGGCTTGACGACGGAGCAGAGAGAAGCTATCACTGAAGGCAGCGACGAGTTCATCCTCAGGTGGGTGAAACTACTAGACTTCGCTTCGGGATGTTTGGATCTTTCTGACCTTTTCACAGAACCGGAGGCGCCAAGACCCAGATTGCGGTGCAGACCACTTTCGTCGCGCTGCTATGGACGCTGAAGAGTGCCGTCTGCTGCTTTTATTGGCGATTGATGGTGAGCGGGAGATTACTGACATCTCGTGAAGTTCATTGCAGTTGACAGAGCGTCTTTAGAGTGGTATCAAAGGCTACAAACTCCGCATTCTGCTTGCAATCGTTTTCGTGACCGCATCATGGCTCGCCGTTCAGCTCACGCTCTTCTGCGCATGCACGCCGATTCACAAGTATTGGCAGATCTACCCTGATCCTGGAAGTACGTCTGTTCCCAGCCCAGCCGCCCTTTCAACCTTGGTGCATGGGATTGCCAAATTGAAGCCATGCGTATGACGGGCACTAACACGCTCTACACCTAGATCAATGCCAAGCCGCCATCAGTCGTCCTTTTCTTCTTGTCTGCTTGTTGCTGGACATAACCACCGACAGCTTCCTCCTAGTGGTACCGCTGCCCATGCTGTGGCGATCACAAGGTTTGTCGCTCGCGCAGAAACTCGGGTTGACAGCCATATTCTCTGCTGGCTTCATGGTCATCATCTGCGCCATTGCCCGCAACACGATCTTGCTTGTGGTGAGTCCTCATTTCCGGACCTGAAAACTCGTCCCCTAGTAATATCTTGCTTCGGTGATTGACTTTTTGTGCCGACCACGGCGACCCGACACTGGCGCTCATGCCTCAGGTGACTGGGCTGTCCGAGAGACCTTCCTGGCTGTTCTCACATCGAACATTGCAGTCATCTACTCATCCTTCCGATTGTGGCGTCAGAACAAGGGGCGTGACTCGAGCCTGGACTCCAGATGATGCTTGAGAGACCTCGCACACTACCACGATCTGGTATGCCGATGTTGCACCGACAACGACGAAAGTCGATACCTGACGGCAACAGGATGGGAGTGGGGTATTCTCCGAAAGGGTGTGTGTCGATGTACTGCTCTGCATCATGAGACCAGACACTGCCATGCATCTGGAAGCTCGTCTGCAATGAAGTGTGCTTGTTCAAGTTTGCGCGTGGCAGTCTTGCGCGGAGCTTTTCCTTGGCCACAAACTTGCCAAGGTTAAAGTTGGAGACAGAGACGTGCAGCTCATTTCGTGTCATTCGCGGCATCTTCGCTCTTGACTTCGTCGCTATCACTTTTAGATGTGTCAGGCACTGGCACAAGTGCTTTCCTTTTCTTGTTCTTGACCACACGTTGATGTTTCCTGCCCGTGATGTGATCGTTCCATTGGGCCTCTGTAACAAGCGTGAGGTGGCAATCATCACAGCGGAAAGTCTTGATCTCGGCCTTGGCAGGTTTCTCGCTTTCCATGAAGGGTGCCAGTACGTCCCGCGCCGTACTGGAGAGACTTTGTGGCTGTGGTAGCGCCTCGCCAGCAAGGAAGCACTGTAAGACGTCTGCGGCAGGTTGCAGCACGTCAGTCGAGAATTTGTCGACATCCGAGCTGTCCAGAACGAAGAGATATGGAAGTGCGTCCTTCTCCCTGAGTTCGGGGCCAGTCTTGTTGCGGAGCCACTTGATCTGGCTTTTCGCGTACTGCCGTGTCGCGATCCTCATAAGCTCTAGACCCTCTGCTCTTGCGCGGTCGAGCTGCATTTGACTGGAACCGCGCTTCTCGGCCTGCAGCAGAGGCTCCATTTGCTTGAAGCCGATCGACTGCCATATTCCCCTAGTCTGATCGACTTCTTCGCCACAAGCGCTGCGCTCGTTGAGAAAGGCGGCAAGCTGCCGAACTTCGCCCATAAGGCCACGCTGCTCCATCTTGTCGATTCGCGTATTCAACCGCTCGTTCAGGACCTCGGGCTTTGAATAGACCCAGAACATGAGGGCTTCCCAGGTTGCTGGTGTGTCTCCCGCTGCCATGCGATCCGCCTGCTGCTGCGCATAGATCTCCGAGGCGCGCTTGCCAGTGGTCAGGAAGATTTCCAGTGAGCGTTTGATTTTTCTGCGGTCGTCTGGGTGCCACCGCTCAGCCATGGCGGGGTCGACTTCTTGCAGCTTTTTGAACATGACGTCTGTTGGCTCGTCAAGAATTGGGAACTGGGCTATCGTCTCCTCCTGAGGGCGAAGCTGCACGTCCTCATCCTCTTTCTCCGCGGCGGCCACAATGGTATCATCGAACAGAAGCGAATTGATGTAGTAGTGCGTCCCACCAACGACGATGGGAAGTTTCCCCCTGCTGCGAATCTCCTGGATGATCCGCCGTGCTTCTCTTGCAAAATAGGTCACTGTCCACGTCGGTTCACCATGGTCGATGGCCGCGAGCATATGATGGGGAATGCCTCGCTGCTCTGCCTCGGATATCTGGTTTGTAATGATGGGGAGGCCTTTGTACATCTGCATGGCGTCTGCATTGATGACCTCACCATTGAACCTCACTGCGAGGTCTACCGCGAGCTGCGTTGAGCACCATTCAGCAAATGAAAGCCCGGCCGAAAGCTTGGCCTGGGACCGCCAAGTCTTGCTCGAGGACGGGAGAGACCTACATCAGACTTGCCAGTGCCAGTGGTGCCCATGACGGCCACCAGAGGCAGCGATGGTGGGATGCGAGGCATACTTGCAGCATGTCGGGGCACTTGCCTTGACCTGAGCAGCGATCTGAGCATGTGCGGCCGATGTCGCATCCAATATCTGCTTGTAGAGCAGCACCAGACAGGCACGCGCGATATGAGAGGACCGGGGTATCACAAGCTCAATGTAAAGAAAGGTTGAATTGAAGACTGGATTGTCAATCAGGGCAGAACGAATCCACCTGTGCCAGGCGGCACCACTTGGCAATTGGCATTCGCAGGCTCACCATTGTTGATTCTACCTGACATTGCCGCCGTCACCAACATAGAGGTAGGAGACGGTCAATCATTCATGTGAAGAAGAGGTGAGTTAACACCATTGATCCAGTTTAGACAACGTCGCGCAGAGGAAGGAAGCCCTGGCGCGCTGCGTGGATTACGTCAGCCAGGGACAGGTGTTCCTGGGGAGCTCCGAGCTTGCGGGCAGAGAGAGCCATTAGTGGGCCACGATAAGTACCCCTAGACCAGGGATCATTCCAGAAGTGTGGCGTCGAGCTTGGAACCCAAAGAGCAACAACAACACCTGTCAATGAATCACAACATCCATGCAGTAGGGTGAAGTGTCCTCCGCGGCGGAGTGACCAGGTGTCCTGGCGAATGGCCACACCTGACAAAGATAAAAGATGATGGGCTTTGTCAAGAAATTGGTGGTGATTGAGTACCACCTGCCATCTTCCCTTTATCGCAGCTCCTGCCCGTGTCCAACGTGTTCCAGTCAGCTTCAGGGTTCAGGGTACCTCCCAGATCACGTGCAGACGCCGGCACCCCACAACAGCCACCCTCAGCCAGCCCCCGAAGCAGCTGTGTTGTGCAGCCAATAGGCGCCGTGCAAGCTCCAAGCACACTGGCCTGGAGCTCTGGCTGGGTCCCCCCAGTTCTGGACACATTGTCGCAACCCACAATTTTTGAAGCCAGATCAGCTGCGGCCACGCTGCGGCAACCACTCAGTCCCGTTGCTGCTGTGTGCACTTGACGCCTCCTCCTCCTGCTTCTTTGCCTCTTCGACTCTCTCCTCTGTACATCACCAGACGGACAGCCTGCGCGACGCCAACACACAGTCCGCTCCTGGGCTCCCTCGTCGCTCTCCCCATTTGTCCCGTCTTCTCCTCCTTTCTCTTCTTTCTGGTCAATTCAAATCATCGTCACAATGAGCAGCCGTAAGTCCTCCATCCGTGTTGCGTTGCGCACCCCTTTCGCGGGCCCCCTCCAGCCTGCACCAGCCATTGAACAGCAGTCACGCTCGCAACGCGATACAATGCGCATCAAAATGAGACCGAATCCCATCTCGGCGACATGAATTTGGCCTACCGTGCCAAATCATCTCCAATTGGGCATTCATTCGGCACTGGGACACGCTGGCTGACACGTCTCTTCTTGCCCAGTCCGGTTTCTCGACCTCGTCAAGCCCTTCGTGGCCTTCCTGCCCGAGGTGCAGGCTCCCGAGTCCAAGGTCCCTTTCAACCAGAAGCTCATGTGGACGTCCCTGACGCTCCTCATCTTCCTGGTCATGAGCCAGATGCCGCTCTACGGCATTGTCTCATCCGACACCTCCGACCCGCTCTACTGGCTGCGCATGATGATGGCCAGTAACCGTGGCACGCTGATGGAGCTTGGTATCACCCCCATCGTCTCGTCCGGCATGGTCTTCCAGCTCCTCGCTGGCACCCACATGATCGACGTCAACCTCGACCTCAAGTCCGACCGTGAGCTCTACCAGACTGCTCAGAAGCTCCTGGCCTTCATCCTCTCCTGCGGCACTGCCACCGTCTACGTCTTCTCCGGCCTCTACGGCCCTCCCTCTGACCTCGGTGCTGGTATCGTCTTTCTCCTCATCCTGCAGCTCGTCGTTGCTGGCATGATTGTCATCCTCCTCGACGAGCTTCTCCAGAAGGGCTACGGTCTTGGCAGTGGTATCTCGCTCTTCATCGCCACCAACATCTGCGAGTCCATCATGTGGAAGGCTTTCTCGCCCACCTCGATCAACACTGGCCGTGGCCCCGAGTTCGAGGGTGCCGTCATTGCCCTCTTCCACCTGCTCATGACCTGGCCCAACAAGCAGCGTGCTCTCCAGGAGGCTTTCTACAGACAGAACCTCCCCAACATCATGAACCTGCTCGCCACCCTCGCCATCTTCGCCGCCGTCATCTACCTCCAGGGCTTCCGCGTCGAGATCCCCGTCAAGTCGTCCCGCCAGCGTGGTGCTCGTGGCTCGTACCCCGTCCGCCTCTTCTACACCTCCAACATGCCCATCATGTTGCAGTCTGCTCTCTCGTCCAACATCTTCCTCATCAGCCAGATGCTCTACTCGCGCTTCTCCGAGAACCTCCTCGTCTCCATGTTCGGTGTCTGGGAGGCCAAGGAGGGCTCTGCCCAGCTGTCGCCCGTCTCCGGTCTCGTCTACTACATGTCTCCTCCTCTTAACATGAAGGATGCTCTGCTCGACCCGGTCCACACCGTCATCTACATTGCCTACATGCTCACTGCCTGCGCCGTCTTCTCCAAAACCTGGATTGAGGTCTCTGGCTCCAGCCCCCGCGATGTCGCCAAGCAGCTCAAGGACCAGGGCCTCGTCATGGCTGGCCACCGCGACCAGAGCATGTACCGCGAGCTGAAGCGCATCATCCCCACCGCCGCCGCCTTTGGTGGTGCTTGCATTGGTGCTCTTTCCGTTGCCAGTGACCTCATGGGCGCTCTCGGCTCTGGCACTGGTACCCTTCTTGCTGTCACGTGAGTTTTCCATCTTAATCTGTGATGTGGTGTCTTCCCCGCTAACTTGTGTGTTACTCAGCATCATCTATGGTTACTTCGAGATTGCTGCCAAGGAGGGTGACCTCGCTGGCATGAAGGGCATGATCATGGGCTAAGCTCGTGAGCCGCTCTGAAGCCCTCGAAATCCCCGCGCCCTCGGGCCCCCGGACGTTTTCAACGACCGCGCCACATGTAGGAGTATGACTGGGAGTACAAAGGAGACACAAAAGTTATCTTTGCTGGTTTTGGCGGACGTCGAACGGCGGGCGTTTGGGTAGAGTAGCTGCGGTAATCCACACGACAAACTCCTTGACGGAGCTGTGTCCAGTGGAGTGTATCTATCACAGATATGTAGTCAAAATATATGTGTCCGTTCAAGGCATTCGATGGTTCGGCGTGTTGCGGTCATGGGAATGAGTTGCGCGTATCGAAGAACAGAGCGTGCATGTGCCTGGCTGTCGATGCACACAGCAGGCTCCACAGTGTCAAAGGCCGAGGGCGAACCTGCAGGACAAGCCATGGACATGCGTGCAAGCGGCTGGCAAGCAATGATGAAAGAGACAGATGACAAGCTACTCCGCATGGCAGAGCAAGATAGACGTTGCCGGCCACCAATGTCCCGCGAGAACTTCGGCAGCACCGCCTGGCGGCGTGGGGATGGGTGGGTCCCACGGCAGAAGGTCGGATGCTCAGAGGGACGTGTTTGGATCCCCCACACCCGGACGTCGCGACGGAGCCGTGGCCGGCACCCCTCCCGTCTTTCGAGTCGGGTATCGGGTCAGTCGCTCCCGCGGTCCCCGGTGTGCGTTGAGGGACGAGCCATTGTGTTCTCTCTTGAGAGCTCGTCGTCGATGAGACGATGGCGGCAGCAAGGGCGGGGACCTCCCGGGCCAAAGCAGCCCGCATGGGGATCGACTACGTACGTGTGCCCAGGCCAAGCGGCTGGGCAACAATCGCACCTGGCTGTCGGATATATATGTCTACGATAGTACATAAGGACTGTTCCTGCCTTTTGTCCTTCCTCTTGTCTTTCCCTGGTGCTCTGCCCTCTTAACTCTTGATTTCAGTGTCTTGTGGCAATCCATCCTGGTTGTACTGCTTTTTCTGGTCTGTCAAGATGGGCAACACTGATATCGAGGCTGTTCTGCAGTCTCTCACTCTTGAGGAGAAGGTACATTCCATCAGCTGGTCACCAGAGCAATTGACCAGGCAAAGCATATAAAAAGCTAATACGTGTGCTGCCCCAGATCTCCCTCCTTGCTGGTGCCAATTTCTGGGAGACTGTCCAGGTACCGGGGAAGGTGCCCAGTGTAAAAGTACGCCACAACAAACCATTGAGCCTGCCAGTCGATGGCGGCAACAACAGCACTTGCTTACATTTATTCCCCAGACGTCTGATGGCCCCAATGGCGCTCGTGGTGCCGACTTTACTGGCGGCACTCCCGCCGCGTGCTTTCCGGCTGCCAGCTGTGTCGCGGCCACCTTCGACACGGCTGCCGCCTTCAAGGTCGGCGAGGCTCTGGCCGACGAGACACACTCGAAAGGTGCGCGCTGCCTGCTCGCACCGACTGTCTGCATCCACCGCCACCCTCTTGGTGGCCGCAACTTCGAGAGCTTCAGTGAGGATCCCTTCCTCGCTGGCAAGCTGTCGTCCCAGATCATCCAGGGCGTTCAGTCAAAGGGCGTCGCCGCCACCATCAAGCACTTTGCCGTCAACGAGCAGGAGACGGACCGTTTTACCGTCAACGAGACTGTCAGCGAGCGGGCCCTCCGCGAGATCTACCTGCGCCCATTCGAGATTGCCGTCAAGGAGGCCAAGCCCTGGGCGGTCATGACCGCCTACAACTGCGTCAACGGCACCCACTGCGACTCGAACGACTTTCTCCTCAAGCAGGTCCTGCGCGGGGACTGGGCCTGGGACGGGCTCGTCATGTCCGACTGGGGCGGCACCAACAGCACGGCCGACGCCATCAACTCGGGCCTCGATCTCGAAATGCCGGGTCCCACGCTGCGGCGGAAGCCTGCAGATGTCATTGCCGCCATCCAGGCCGGCAAGACTACCAAGGCTGCCGTGGACGAGCGCGTCCGCCGCGTGCTCAAGTTCCTGGACATACTCAAGGTATTTGAGGATCCAGAGACTCCCAAGGAGCAGGCCATCGACAAGCCCGAGGTCCGCGCCCTGATCCGCGAGACGGCTGCCCACGGCGCTGTCCTGCTCAAGAACGCCAACCAGGTTCTGCCATTGTCCAAGGAAAAGGTCAAGGGCAAGAAGATTGCCGTCCTGGGCCTGGCCAAAACTCCCCTCGCCCACGGCGGCGGCAGCGCCAGTGTCAATGCACACTACAAGATCTCACCGTGGGATGCGCTGCAATCTGCGCTGGGCGACTCGGCTGAGCTCTCGTTCTCGTCTGCCTTCCACACCCAGCGCCTCCTGTCTCCAATCAACAAGGACAACACCGAAGTTGGCACGGTCACGGGTCTCGACGGCAAGCCGGGCTGGACGATTGAGTGGCACGACCTGAAGACAGACGAGGTCGCGAGCACTTCTCACGGCTTTAATGAGTCGAACTTGCCACTTGGCACTGACGAAGGCTTCGGCAAGGCCATCAACCTTATCGCCGACTTCATCCCAGCAGAGTCGGGCGCGCACTATATGGGCTGCACCGGTCTCGGCTCTGCCCACGTGTACATCAACGACAAGCTCGTCTTCGACCAGGGCGGACCCTGCAAGGACGCGATGGGCTTCATCTTCGGCGCCCTGAGCGAGGAGGAATTCACCTACGACTTCACGGCCGGCGAGAAGTACCGCATCGTCATCAAGAGCGACCCGCCCACCGGAATCAAGGGCCTCGAGCTGCTCAACGACCGGCCCGGCATCCGCCTGGGCTTCCAGCTCGCGGGCGAGCACGACAAGGATCTCACCTCGGAGGCCGTCGAAAACGCCAAGAACGCCGACTACGCGCTCATCTTCACGGGCCACGACCCGAAGTGGGAGACCGAGGGCCAGGACCAGGCTTCCTTCAACCTGCCCAGGCAAGGGTCCCAGGACGCGCTGATCGCCGCCGTGTCCAAGGTCAACAAGAACGTCGTCGTGGTCAACTCTACTGGCGTGGCCGTCGCGATGCCCTGGCTCGACGACATCTCAGGCCTGGTCCAGGCGTGGTTCGGCGGGCAGGAGTGCGGCAACTCGATCGCCGACGTGCTCACCGGCAAGACCACCCCGGAGGGCAACCTGCCCATCAGTTTCCCACGGTGCATCGAGGACGCGCCGGCGCACGGCAATTTCCCCGGCGAGTATGACGCGCACGGCCAGCTGCAGGTCACCTACAAGGAGGGCGTGTTTGTCGGGTATCGCCACTACGACCGCCTCGCGGGTGGTGGTGCCGCCGCCGCCGAGGTGCTCAACTTCCCGTTCGGGTTCGGGCTGTCGTACACCACGTTTGACTTTGGCGAGCTGCGCGTGTCTCCGGCACCTACATCATCGTCACCATTTGGTGCCGAGTACGACATCTTGGTCGAGGTTAGTAACACTGGCGCCGTCGGGGGCGGCGTGCTGGTGCAGGTCTACGCAGGGCCGAAGGACCCCGCCGCGCACGAGTGTCCCGTCAAGCAGCTCGTCGCGTTCCAAAAGGTCCGGCTGCAGCCTGGCGAGAAGAAGGCCGTCAGCTTGAAGGCGGCAGTGCGGGATCTGGGGTTCTTTGACGAGACCAAGGGCAAGTGGGTTGTGCCGAAGGGCGGGTACAAGTTCTCCCTGGGCAGGAGCGCGGCCGAGCTGGTGAAGAGCGTCGAGGTCGAGGTCGGGGAGGAGCTGGTGTTTGATGCTTGAGTGTTTTTTTTAAGGCTTGGATAGAAGGGATGGACGCTTGATACCAGATTTGTTCAACCTCGAACGTGCATAGAGGTGGAAGAGCTGAAGTGTAGAGATGCAAGTAGACAAGACAATTAGATCGCCCGTGCCTGTCAGAGTACACTTTTCGAAGTATGGCGCGTGATTGGTGTGTGGCTGTCTACTGATGCACTGGACCCCCAAACTTTTTGTGTGTATGTAATCATTGTTGCTGCCCGTCAGCGTCTTCATTGCCATATCCTGCATCCCAGAGCAAGCTCCTCCACCCCCCCTCCTCCCTTCCCCGGCTGGACCCCAGTTAATACGGGAGATTACTTGCACGAAGGATAATGCGCTGCTACCCTCTGAGGCATGACTTGTACATTAGTGAGAGTAGCTAGAGAATTCAAGCAGTGATCATTGCACAGCTGTGACGTTCAAGGCGCTCGTCCTCGTGACACCGGCCTGGTCTTTTGCTCTCGGTGTCGATAACCCACGCGGCAGGCTACATTTACTACATGCAAGCAATGTCTCGACACCTAGCCACGACCAGGTACAGAAAAAAGTCAAAAAGATGAACGACGATACCCCAAATTTTTTTTTAATTTTTTTTTTCGCGTGATGGCTGCTCGGAACCAAAGACCGACCAAAAACCCACGCATCCAGCCACGCGATATCAAAGCCCCACCCACGGCGAAGCCCCCAATGGGTACCCTCGGGTTGAAGAGAACATGAGTTGAAGAGCTTTTTTTCGCAATAATTTATAAGAGCTTGACGAAAAAAGACTCCTCAATGATATTTTTAATACGACATTTCTTTTTTGGTCCCTACGCTAAAGGACTTTTCATCGTGGGCGGCCCATGAGCCAGCCATGGTGTCTGTCGATAGGTAGCCATGGGTCGATGCATGTGCCATGGGTTTTTTTTCTTGGGTAGCCATGGGACGACGGGCTGTGCCGGCCGGACCTAGTTGGTTCGTTTCGTCTCTTTGCAGACAGAGATCGTTTTGGTTGTAATTTGCAGTTGTCGAATGTAAATGCCCAACTTTGGCCCAGAACGAGAGGGCGGGTGTCCCCAGTTCAGGGTGTGCAACCTGGCTGGCAGAGTGCAGACGGAGCGCTCCGTGCCCTGTCTACCTGGCCTGCCTCCAGTGAGGACCCCCTTCTGACACAACCAAGCCCGGATCTGACCAGCGATTGGTGCCCGCAAAAGCAGGCCTCGAGGCGCTACAGTACACGCAGGGATGCCTGCGTGCCCACTTCCCCGCACTCCACAAGGGGTGTTTGGGGGGAAAGTGGGCGATCGGCAAGCAGGGTGTAGCCTACCCCACGTCTTTTCTGTCTGACCTTGCTCTCTTGGAGGGCAGCTGCAACCACACACCCTAAGCACGAAGTACAGACAGCAGCATAAGCGCGAACGCGCGAAGAGGAGCATGCACGACTCGAGGACAGGAGAGGAGGGGACCCGGATGGTGCGACAGGGCGCGTCCGTGGATGACACCTCCATCAGCAGTGGATGCGGGGTTCCCGACGGGAGTGATTGGCCAAAAGGGTGTGTTCATGATGCTGGGATTCATGGGTGCTTTCGTCAGGTGGAGGGCTCGACGGCAGCGGTTGGGCTTTTATCACTCCGTGACCTGGGTAAATCGGTGGAAGGAAGAGACTATGGTGATTCCATGCAGGGCGTGCCTCGTAGCGCGAGTGCCACGCGTCTAGCAATGTTGAAAGAGTGTCTCCCGCGCGGCATCAGCTATTGCGATTCCAAGACGGGAACCGACTCCTGCCCGAAGTCTTCTGGAGCAGGTCCAAGACCCATGATTGGGCTTTAACCATCGAAGCTATCAACAGGCAGTAAACAGACACTGTTAGCCATACTCCCAAGCTGGGAGGAGCGAATGCCCGCGAATTGCAGGCATGCCGGGAGCCGCGGCGCGGGGTGCTGCTGCAGGCCAATGCTTGGCTGGGAATCTGGGGGTGTTATCGATATGCGTAGAGCTCCTCCCCAGGCCGTTTGCGATGAGCTGCGCGGCTGCCCTCCTCTCCTCCAGCTTTCCAGTCTCTCTGTCGTCGGAAGTTCTTCTACTGTCTTACTGTCTCTGTTTGTCGCCGTGAATTCGGCTTGCAATAGCTGTGTGAGCCTGGCTGTCTTTCCTGGCTTGTCTGTGACAGCTCTGTCTCTGATCTCTTCACCATCTGGCAGTGCCTCTCACGACCACCCAGCAGGGCTTCTAGCCTCACCCTCCCTGCTATGTGCGACCTCGCAGCCTAGACGCTGCTTTTCTACTCTAGTTTGATCTGCCGCCTGCGTCGCCTCGCCGTCATGAGGCCGTCACCGACGCTGCTGCTCCTGCGCTCGCCCGCGCTCGCAGCGGGCGGCCACCATCAGGGGTCTTGCTTCTCCAACCGCGCCCAATCACGCTTCTCAGGTGTGTGTTGCCCGTCTCCTCTACGCTCTCTGCCGTGTGCCGAAGCGTACATAGCTGGGCTGGTCACTAAGATAAGGTGTGCGCCTGCTGCTCCTGTGCGTCTGTGCAGACTACACCACTTCCGCCAGTCCTACGGGGCATCCGTCTCCTCCCCAGCTCGCCGCTGCAGTTTGCCGCCGCTGGCAGCATAGCTCTCCATCGTCATCCTCGTCGTCTGCCTCCTCCACTGCAGGTCCGGCCCGCAAGCCCGTGCTCTTGCCGCGTCTGTCCACCTTCAGACCCAGCAACTCGGCTCCCTCAAAGCCGCGGATCATCCCGGCCACCAGCTACTCCACCGTCAACGCCAACGAGCCTCTCGTCAAAGACCGTGCCGGCCTCACTGTCGGCGTGCCCCGTGAGACCTACGCCAACGAGCGCCGCGTAGCTATCACGCCGCAGAACGTCACGCTCCTCAAGAAAAAGGGCTTTGGTAATGTCGTGGTTGAGCGCGGCGCCGGCGTCGAGGCCGGCTTCCTCGACGAGGCCTACGAGACTGCGGGTGCCACCTTGATCGACCCGGGCCAGGTCTGGGGCCAGGCCGACATCCTCCTCAAGGTCCGGGGCCCCAACCCGACCGAAATCGACCGCATGAAGAGCGGCGCCACCATCATCTCGTTCCTCCAGCCGGCGCAGAACAAGGATCTCGTGGACCGCCTCGCCGCGCGCAACGTCACCGCCTTCGCCATGGACAAGGTGCCGCGCATCTCCCGTGCGCAGGTCTTTGACGCCCTCAGCTCCATGGCCAACATTGCCGGCTACAAGGCCGTCCTCGAGGCGTCCAACACCTTTGGTCGTTTCCTCACCGGCCAGGTCACGGCCGCGGGCAAGATCCCTCCTTGCAAGGTCCTCGTCATCGGTGCAGGCGTGGCCGGCCTCAGCGCAATCGCCACCGCCCGGCGGATGGGAGCCGTCGTGCGCGGATTCGACACTCGCTCCGCTGCCCGTGAGCAGGTCCAGTCCCTGGGTGCTGAGTTTGTCGAGGTCGAGCTCCAGGAAGATGGATCTGGCGCCGGAGGCTACGCCAAAGAGATGTCACCCGAGTTCATCGCCGCGGAGATGAAGCTGTTCACCGACCAGGCCCGCGAGGTTGACATTATCATCACCACGGCGCTGATTCCTGGCAAGCCTGCGCCAAAGCTCATCACCAAGTCGATGCTCGAAATCATGAAGCCTGGGTCGGTGGTGGTTGATCTGGCTGCCGAGGCCGGTGGTAACTGCGAGAAGACCGAGCCGGGAAAGATGATCACATACAAAGATGTCAAAATTATCGGTATGTGGAGGTTGAACGACATTCTGGTTCTTGACGAGGTCGACTAACATATTGCAGGTTACACTGATCTCCCCTCTCGACTCCCGACGCAGTCCTCGACTCTGTACTCGAACAACATCGTCAAGCTCCTGCTGTCAATGGAACCCAAGGAAAAGACATTCGGTATTGACCTCAATGACGAGGTCGTGCGCGGCGCGATCGTGACTCACGAGGGCAAGATCCTTCCACCCGTAGTCCCATCAAACCCTTCACCTGTCGCTGCCGCTAAGCCGGCGCCTAAAGTCGAGGAGACCGTTGTTGCCCTGACCCCATTCCAAGCCAAGTCTCGTGAGGTGGCTACCGTCACAGCCGGCATGGGTGGTGCCCTGGCGCTGGGCACGTTCACAGGACCTCTGTTCATGGGCAATATGTTCACTTTCGCGTTGACCTCGCTGATCGGATATCGTGTTGTTTGGGGTGTCACCCCGGCCTTGCACTCTCCCCTCATGAGTGTCACCAATGCTATTTCTGGTTTGTAACCTCTGATCCTTGAAAGTTAAGGGGTTGGCTAACAGCTCCCAGGAATGGTTGGCGTTGGTGGACTGTTCGTCATGGGCGGCGGCTACATCCCTGAGACTCTGCCACAGTGCCTTGGAGCTGCCTCAGTCCTTCTTGCCTTTGTCAACATCTCAGGAGGTTTCGTCATCACCAAGCGCATGCTTGACATGTTCAAGAGTGAGTACTCTTATTGTCACAAACACGTGGTAGCAGTGCACTGACAGAAAAACAGGACCAACCGATCCGCCGGAGTACCCCTGGCTGTACGCCATTCCAGCCGCTTTGTTTGGCGGCGGGTATATCGCGGCGGCGGCGACTGGCGCAACGGGCCTGATCCAGGCCGGCTACATGGTCAGCTCGGTTCTCTGCATCAGCTCGATCTCCAGCCTGGCGTCGCAGTCTACTGCGCGCATGGGAAATCTCCTTGGCATGCTGGGCGTCGGCTCGGGAGTGCTCGCTTCGTTGCTGGCGGTTGGCTTCAGCCCTGAAGTCCTCACCCAGTTCGGCACGCTGGCAGTGATGGGTGGTGCCCTGGGCTTCCTCATCGGCAAGCGCATCACCCCAACTGACCTCCCACAGACGGTCGCAGCCCTTCACTCGGTCGTCGGTCTCGCCGCCGTGCTGACCAGCATCGGGAGTGTCATGGGCGATCTCTCACACGTCACAACCCTTCACCTCGTCACCGCTTATATGGGGGTGCTCATCGGTGGCATCACCTTCACAGGCTCCATCGTAGCGTTCATGAAACTTGCTGGCAAGATGTCCTCCCGACCAGTCAAGATCCCCGCTCAGAACATCGTCAACTCTGGCATGCTGGCCACTAATATCGCAACCATGGGGGCCTTCGTCACCATGGCGCCTGGTTCGCCGATGATCGCCGCCGCGGCGCTCGGCGCAAACACGATCCTGTCCTTTGCCAAGGGCTTCACGACCACCGCGGCCATTGGTGGCGCAGACATGCCCGTGGTCATCACGGTGCTCAACGCGTACAGCGGCTTCGCCCTCGTCGCAGAGGGTTTCATGCTGCAGAACCCGCTGCTCACCTCCGTCGGCGCGCTAATCGGCGTCTCCGGCTCTATCCTGTCGTACATCATGTGCGTGGCGATGAACCGGTCTCTCACCAACGTGTTGTTCGGCGGAATATCTGCACCGAAAGAGACCGAATACAAAGTAGAAGGCTCCATCACGCAGACCTCGGTGGACGAGACGGCCGAGGCCCTGACCAACGCCGAGAGCGTCATCATCGTGGTGGGCTACGGCATGGCGGTCGCCAAGGCGCAGTACGCGCTCAGCGAGATCGTCACCATGCTCCGCAGCAAGGGCATCACCGTGCGCTTCGCGATCCACCCGGTCGCGGGCCGCATGCCGGGCCAGTGCAACGTACTCCTCGCCGAGGCCAGCGTGCCGTACGACATTGTCCTCGAGATGGACGAGATCAACGACGATTTCCCGGACACGGACCTCACCCTCGTCATTGGCGCCAACGACACGGTCAACCCGATCGCCATGGAGCCGGGCAGTCCGATCGCGGGCATGCCCGTGCTGCACGCGTGGAAGTCGAAGCAGGTTATTGTTATGAAGAGGGGCATGGCGAGTGGATATGGTGAGTATTTCTTCCATCCGGAGTGGACACATGGCCTGTGTGCTGTGGTTTGTGGGGGAATGTGATGACTGACAAGAAGCAGCCGATGTACCAAACCCAATGTTTTACATGCCCGGCACCAAGATGCTGTTTGGCGATGCCAAGGTGTCTTGTGACGGTAAGCTTCTTACTTTATTCCCCCAATCAATAGGACCCGCACTAACGGACGTGGATGCACAGCAATCAAAGCGGCCATCGAATCCCGTGGCTAGCCGACTGTTTCGATGTCTCGACGAGTCTTCTTCCCTTTGCAGCCCTTCTTTTGATGTTTATTGCGAAGGACATACGTGACAGGATATATGCGACTGCCGACGTACATAGTGGTTTTCTTGCGCATGCTTTTCGATCTTTTTGTCCATGCGAGCTTGCGCTTTCCCAAGTACACAGCTTCTAGACTGTCTCACTGCAGGCATAGAGCGAAGAACTATCTTGTACTTTTGCAATTTACCGCAGATCTCATACCGAATCAACACTGCTACTTGCCGCGTTGCGTTTTTGAAGAAGAAACAAAAACCCCCATCGAATCTATTTGGCGTTGACTGGAAAGTGATCCAAGACTTGATTTCCCGTTCCTTTGCACTCGGTCACCAGAGGTCTTGAGACCCCTGCTCAGCAGAACCACAGTGGGACCAGATCGATCGAAGATCATCCACGCTGTTGCACGACAGGGGTTCGTTCAGTGTGGGCCGGGGACTTGGACCTGACGCAATGCCCAGCAGGGATATAGAGTGGAAAGTCCTGGTGAGGAGGAGCTCGAGGAGGAGTGGGAAAACCTGGCACGTAGATGTTTTCTGAGTGGCCGCTTTCATTTATTTGCGTCTGTGGGCGTAAGTTGAGAAATTCAGGGGCCTCTGAATCACTAGATGGAACTTTTGATGGGGAAGAGGAGTTTGCTCATCTTCAGGGCTGGCTGACGCTACTCGGGTCGGTTTAATGCGAACTGGGGATATCTGCCCACAGTCTGGGACGGCAAATGACGACTCACAACTCGATCGAGCATGTCCTCACGAACTCCGTCCTTAATGGCAGACACATTATTGTGAAGACTTATTGCAAGTTGAACAAAAGTTGGCGCATTAATCATTATCGTCGCATCTATGAAAACGTGTCTGGGAGGGGGAAAAAGAACATCCTAGGGTATTATCGTCGCCGTCCAGCCCCTCATCCACACCTTCCATCCAGTCCCAATCAACTTCCGGCTGCACTCGTGTCTTCCGCACCGAAATGTTATGCTCGCCCGAAAAGTATTCCTTTACTTCTTGCCACCGAAGCCAGGAACGCTGGGGACACTAGGCATGCTCACGCCCGTGCCGAGTAGCCCACCGTTGCCACCGTCCTTCTTTTGTGCGTCGCGACCGCCGACGCCGGGGATATAGCTCCCCTTGTCGTCCTTGCCGCCGCGCTCGAACCGGTTGGCGCCCTCCTTGGAGGCAAGGTCGCCGACGGGCTGGAGGATGCCGCCCTGCCCGACGGTGCCGGCGGCAAGGTTGTGGACGCCGTCTTGCAGGTTGTCTATCTGCTTCACGCCGGTGATCTTGGTCTTGTTGAGCTGTTCTGTAGGTTCGGAAGTCGGGCCCGGTTAGCCAAGTGCTCGTTGGTTGAACATGTGTGCCTCTGCGTGTGATAGTGATGGCCCACAACGGGCTGTGTGGCCCTGAGCTCGTGGTTGCTCAAGCACCCACCGGTTCGTGAGTGGAGGAAGATGACAGAGAAAGAAGGGGGACTCACCCTTGGTGGCGTAGCTCGCCTTGTTGTCCTTGGTGAAATACTTGAGGAACGTGTCCTCGATCCACGGCATCCAGATCTCGTACTGCTCGCCGTACTTCTGCTTGGCCCAGGCCATGTACGTCTGCTTGTCGCCGCCCTCGGCGGGGTGCTTGGGGGGTTGCTGTGCTGCTACTTGAGACATGTTGGTTGTTTGTTTGTGGTTATGTCTGTGTTTTTGTTTGGTTGTGAAGAGAAAATATTTCGAAACGAGAAGCGACAAGAGGATGTCAGATGTGATCTTTACCTTGTCGCATTATATAGCATCATCGCATGCACATGTCTTCACTGTCACGCTCACACATCATCATACCTCGCGGGTCGTCCAGGGTCCATTTCTCAACATGCGTAATCCACCCATCTGGGGACCCTAACCTCTCTTCGGCTATGCCCGGTTTCGAGTGTCGCCCGGCACGAGTTGCCTGCCCAGTCTAAAGTCCTCCTCTCAAACCCAATCCACCAATCACCCAGCACCACTTCATGTCCACTTGATGTGTGTCGGCTGCCTTGAGGCTGTGGTATGAGGTCAAAGGTGTGGCTTCGCGGTGGCTGCCTTTGTGCAGGCTACGTCATTGGGGCTGGTGGGAAAACAGGGAAAACCTGTGCTGATCTCGGGTGTGCTGTCGGGGGCTGCAGGGGCAGGGATGCTGTGTTGTGGATGGTGGTGGTCCGGGGGAGGAGAAAGGGAGAAGAGCCCTGTGGTCGAGCTCTGAAGGCTTGGCTGCCATCATCAGCCACACATCATCGATGCACAGGCATGGTGGTGCATGCGCCCGAGTCCGCGGTATCGCGATGAGACACGCGAGTCTTGCAGCCACAGTCCTGCGCGCATGCATGAATGAGTGCCAGACTGTACAATTTTGTGTCGGTATCCCCAGCTGACCTGGTCGTTGTCAGCCAGTGAGTGATCCACCACGAAAAGTGGAACCCACATTCGGTGAGAGTGCTCAAGCTGGAGGTCATCTGATAATGAGTGGAATAAAGAAGGGTTGTGAATCTCCCGCTAGGTAAGAGACGTATCTCTTTGGAGCTCCAAGCCTCTCTCCTATGTAGGGGCGCGTGGTGCTCGGCATGCCACATCGTGAGAGCCCCCTCGCCTGTCCACAGAGGCAGTTTTCAAGACGGTCGGGGGTTGCAAAGAAACATCGCAAGGCGGAGGATTAGTGAGAAGGACAGGTGAACATTTGAACCACTTGAAACTTTACACCTCGACGCCACACGAAGGCTGACGTCTGGCTAGATACATAATTATGCGATTAATCCTAATGTAGTCCCACGGCAGAGAGATGAATAATTATATGTACCTCGGGTGAAAAAGCACCTCATGCGCTTACAAATATCCGCCAAGGGGACTCGGGCGAACTTACCGTCCGGAGCCCATCGCGGGCTGACACTTGACGGCTTACAAATTCTCGAGGCACCCTATTGGTTAGCTGGGTCAACTAAGGCCAGATCAGGTGTGGTAACATGTGGAGTCAATCAAATAATGAACTGTCTCGGCATTGGCTCCTGGCTATCCCTCACCCCCGGGCCTGCTCAACAGTTACGCTTTGTCTCCAGCTGTGACTCTTTCGCCGACCAGAACAACTACTGCGAGGCTGTCATGGCGACGCCTTTTGGACTTGGCATGTCAATCACCATGTAAGATCGGATCAACAAGTTCGGATGAGGCCGTGCAAGTCCAAAGATAAATAGATACTTACATCGAGGTCGAGAGTCGGGAAAGGAGGCAACAACCAGCTCCTGGGCTTCATTGCGGTGTCGCCCTTACAATCACCTTCACCGATAATCCTTATCCTAACCTCTAATTATCCATGGCGTCCTTCAACGGAAACGTGACGTTCTTAGGCGTCGGCAACATGGGCACGGCGGCGATCCAAGCCCTTCGCAAGGCGTCGCATCCCGTGACTATCTGGAACCGCACCAAGTCTCGTCCTCAAGTCCAGGCCGCCATCGACGCCGGTGCAACCTTTGAGCCGGACCTCGCCCAGGCGCTGTCAAGGAGCGACGTGATCGTTCTCTGTCTTCTCGACTACGCCACCATCACCAAGATCTTCTCGTCGATTGGCGAGCCCGGGGCTGTCCTGAAGGGCAAGTCCGTCATCAACCTGACCAACGGCACCCCGAAGGAGGCTCGCGAGATGGAAACGTACTTCACGTCCCTCGGCACCATCGTCTACCTCGACGGGGCCATCATGGTTACGCCGCAGATGGTTGGCGGCCCTCATGCATTCCTCTTCCTCAGTGGTGGCCAGGGGAGCACTGAAACCCCTGACGGCGCCACATCCCGCCTCGTCGAGCTTGTCTCACCCATCGGCAAGCCTGACTACCTCGGTGCCGATGTCGGTGCGGCCTCTCGGTACGACCTTGCCTCCCTCGCGCCCATGTACGGTATGTTCGCCGGCGGCTTCCTGGGCATGGCACTCCTGAAGCGAGGGAACCCCAATGCCAAGCTGGTGCCTGTCGTTCAGGAGAAGATTGTGCCCATGATCGCTGCACTAGTTCCGTATATGACGGGCATTGCGCGTGCGTGGGACGCCGAAGACTGGGTGGAGAATGATGGGAATCCGGTTGGCATGATGGCGGTGGGCGTGCAGAACATACTGGCTGCCGCGGCCGACGAGGGAGTTGACGGGACAGTGTTGGAGGAATTTGGGAGCTTGATGGAGAAGGTGGAGAGAGACCATGGATACGATGCGGGTATTGCGGCTGTGGGCACTTACCTGATGAAGTGAATGAGACGGGGAAGGGACCGTGGCGCTCGAGACGCTGGCAGTGCTTCACCATATGCGTGGACCTTGTGGGCTCTACCAACTCACTAGCATATGCATGGATTGCATGAACCGTACATATGAACTGTTCCCGTTCATTAATTCCAGGTAACAACGGGCAGTCGCGGGTGACGAGATGGAACGACCCAGCCTCGAGTAATTCCAAGAGAGGGAACTCATAGTCCATGCAACCATCGAGATGGCTCTTCGAAGGACTTCACCCACTCGGCAGGCTCCAAAGCCGCCAGACTCCTCATGCCAATCGTCTGACTGGCGTCTTTCAGCTCCTTGATAATGCGTCCTCGGTCACGCATCTGGGCTGCGGCCATTTCACGCAGGAATTCCATGGGAAATTTCCATTCCTCGCTCTCAAATATCTCAGGCCGCTGAAGGTCCACAACCTAATTGACCCATAAGCGTCGTAGAGGTGAACCAAAGTGCGTATTGTCGTAGACGAATTGTACGTACGAAACTGGAACTTTTCGGGACTCGTGACGCTTTGAGCGTAGGACATCAAGGAGTGGTTCTTCAAGAGATGATATCGCAAGATAGTCAACGAGTACGAAGATTGCGTAGAGCAGACTACACTCTAAATCCTCGAACCTAGACATATCCCTATCAGACAGCCATCTCGCGATAATATCAAAAGCCTTGTCGTTATGGTCCGGCAGTCGCACTTCTTGTTCCGTTGCCTCTCTAAACCCCCTTTGAATGCGGATTCGAAGAATGATGAGCATGCGCAAAGTGTTTCCTTTTTGAAGAAAAACCTGGTATTTTTCTCCCCGACTAGAATAGTGACTTCGTCGTTGTCGGATGTATCAATTTCGTCGTTGGGCACTCCCACCAGTGGCCTGGGCGGAGACCCAGCGCAGTGTCTCGTCGACACGTGTGGTGCCGCTCCAGAAATCGGTATTTCCGACATTCTCGCGTGTTGGAGGCGAACTCGAAGGTAGAATAGGGATATCTCAAGATGAAGACGAGAGGCACCTGGGATCCAATTGTGGGTCAGCGACGGCAGATTGTGGGAGTTCAAGACCATGACTACGCCGGAGACACCTGCCGCAGCCGTCTGTACATCACCGCTCTCGGCCTCTACGAGGTCTACATCAACGGGCAGCGGGTCGGAGACGAGTACATGGCCCCTGGCTGGACGAGCTACAAGCACCGCCTGGCATACCAGGTGCACGACGTGGCGGCACTCCTGGACAAGTCTGGTCCGAACGTACTCGCCATCGAGGCTGCCGAGGGATGGTATGCAGGCCGGTTGGGCTTCAATGGCGGCAAGCGGTTTCGTTGGGGAGACAAGATCGGCGTGGCCGCACAGCTCGAGGTCACTGGTTCGTCTTCATCACAAAGATGGACTTTGAGTACGGATGAGACGTGGAAGTGCGGACTCAGCCCGATCCAGACCAGCGAGATCTATGACGGCGAGGTCTACGATGCGAGATTGGAAGATGAGAGCTGGGGCAAGGTGACCAAGCAGGACAGCAAAAGGACAACGATAGCCGGCGCCGTTGTGATTCTGCCACGTCCAACAGCCACACTGTTCTCGCCCGACATGGCCCCTGTGCGGGTCACGAACGTGAAGCCTTGTGTAAGCGTCTTTGAGAGCAGCAGCGGCAAGACCATCCTCGACTTTGGCCAGAACCTGGTGGGCGTGGTTCGGATCAAGTCCGCCGACGGAGCGCAAGTTGAGCTGTGGCACGCGGAAGTCATGGAACATGGCGAGCTGGGCACCCGACCGCTGAAGCTGGCCAAGGCACGATGTCTCATCACCGGCTCGGGAAAGAACATCGACTCGTGGCGAGCACGATTTACATTCTTCGGCTTCCGGTATGTGCAAGTGGACGGCTGGTCCTCTGGGACACCATCGCCAGACGACTTCGAGGCGCTCGTGCTGCACACCGAGATGAAACGGCGAGGATTCTTTGAGTGCTCCAACCAAAGTGTCAACCAGCTACACCGCTACGTGGTCTGGTCGATGCGCGGCAACTTCCAGTCCATACCTACGGACTGTCCTCAGCCCGACGAACGACTGGGCTGGACGGGAGACGCGCAGGTCTTTGCTCCCACGTCCGCCTTCCTGTACGACACGATGGGCATCTTAGGCAACTGGCTCGAGGACTTGGCTGCAGAGTAGCTCGCCGACGAGCAGAAGGGTATCCCACCCGTAACCGTCCCCTTCGGCCTGGGCGACAACTTCCCCAACATGCCCCAGGCCATTTGGGCTGACGTGGCAGTGCTGATGCCTCGCGATCTGCATCGTGCCAGCGGCGACGAGGTCATCCTCGAGCGGCAGTTCCGCAGCATGCAGACGTGGATCGAGCAGGGCGTCGACAGGGGCCCGAACGGACTCTGGAGCCCGGACTCGTGGCAGTTTGCCGACTGGCTCGACCCGAATGCGCCCGCCGAGGACCCGGCCAACGGCAGGACAGACCCCCTTCTCGTGTGCAATGCCTATCTCGTGCACACGACAAGAGTCTTCTCCCAGATCTGCCGACAACTCGCCAAGACAGAGCTGGCTGACAAGCACGAGGCCGATGCGGACCGCCTCCTGGGGCTGTTCCAGCGCCACTATATGACAGCGGATGGCCACCTCATGTCATCTACGCAGACAGCAATCGCCCTGTGCATCACCTTTGAGCTGTATCCCCGTATCAAATTCAACCGCGCGACCGCCGTCCACGCTCTCGAGCGGCTGGTACGGACTGCTAATTACCACATCTCGACAGGCTTCGCCGGCACACCCGTCATCACAAAGGCCCCTACCGCCGCCGGCAAGCCACAGCTCGCGTACCGCATGCTGCTCGAGAAGGGCTGCCCGAGCTGGCTGTACGCGGTGACTATGGGTGCGACGACCATCTGGGAGTGCTGGAACAGCATGATGCCCGACGGCTCTATCAACCCGGGCCACATGATGAGCTTCAACCACTACGCTCTTGGTGCCGTCGCCGACTGGCTGCACTCGACCGTCGGCGGCATCAGCCCTGCCGCACCGGGCTGGCGGACCATACGCGTCCGGCCGGTGCCAGGAGGCAACATCACGAGCGCCAACGTGCGGTTTAACGGGCCCTACAATCCTGTCGCGTGCGAATGGAAGTTGAAGAACGGGACAGAGTTCTCGATGAAGCTCACGGTCCCGCCGAATTGTGCTGCAGAGGTCACGCTGCCGTGCGACTTCCGCGCCTCCTTCTTCGAAGGTATCGAGGACGGAGATGGTGAGGCGGAGAAGGTGCAGACTGTGAGATCTGGCATCCACACCTTCAATTGCAGATGTATTGCAGGAGAGTGGCCGCCAAAGCGCTTCGGGCCTCCTTTCCTGCCGCACCCACCTATTCATATCGCGGAATGAGCCGCAGGGAAGCGAGCTGACCGCTTCTCCTCCATAGAGGCGAAACTATGTTTGCTAGAAGACTTCGGGCCTACTTCATCTGCATGTATGACTAAACTCAGCTGTCCGTGAAGAGTCTGTCCATTTTGTTTTTCACCCCTTCCTGATGCGGAATCTCTGAGCGTGTCTCGTGTATTTCATCACGGTGCGTCTCCCACTTTGAGAACACCCTACCTAAATCACAAAGTGAAACTACATTCCCAAAGCATTAGCGGCTACGACTCATGAGGTCAGCCCTGGTCCTTTGTCGCAAAACGATAGCTTGTATAGAACAGTACAGTATAGTGAAATGGTACAGTACCGTAACGAACTGAGTAACTGGTTAAGGATATTTTTCTACATAAATCCCAGCATTTCGGAAATGACCCTCAGCACTGCCTTGTCTTCCACCTACTATCTTGACACAAGATCTCATAAAGCCCTCGAAATCTCTCTGAATGAAACTTTGGTGATGCTTACGTTATGATTTCATATGTGTCTTCACTTCACCAAAGAACTCCTCAATGGGGTTAGTTCTCGGACTATATGGTGCAATGAAGTCCCACTTTACAGAAGCGTCCTCACACATCTGCCCAATCCTCTCGGAGTAGTGGAGAGACGGAGAACATCGCTTGCGCAATTTTGATGGGTTGTGGAGCCTGGGTGGGGATCTGTGAGTCATGGTCACAGGCGCCTAAAATAGCGACTGCTAAGGTTTTCTTTGGCAGGGTACTTAATCCTGATCACTCGGCACTGTTCACAGCCCCACTTTCTCTTATTCTCCGACTGGTTACTAGAGACGCTGAACCTGAACCTAGCTGTAGCATTGAGCCACTGTGTGCTAGATTACGCGTCGAACCTGGTCTGTACCTCATTACGAGCCAGAGCACAGGTGTGTTTCGAAATCACGGAAATATGGCCATCCTCTGAATGACCTTTTCTACCTCTTGACAGATTTCTTTTCCGTGGCTGGCAGGTTCATTCGTGGCGGAACACCGTAGGAATAACTTCACCCGGCGCTCTAGCCCCGAACGTGCAATCTGAGGGTAAGAAGCACGCCAATGTTGAGTACCTAATGCAGTGTCCTCGTCCCACGAGCAACTGCCGACGGCAGCTCCACTTCCCTACTAGGAAAGCTGAGCCACCTGTTTCCCCAGTGGGAAAACGCGCTAGTCTCCTCCCCGCACCGCTGGAACCATTAGCCCCGAGCGCAGGCGCTTCAGGGGCCTCACGCCAACACGACTGACGATCGTGTGTCGAAGTGTGGAGGTTCTTACTGGGGCTTGAAACTTCCCCATGGGGCGCGTTTTCCAGGCCATGCTACTCCCCGCATGGCTGGTGCCTCAATCCGGGGTCTTACACGGCTAAGGACCCGGCATGGCATAGGGGTCGATCACTATTTAGATCCTCAGACCACCCACCTTGTTCCCTCAGTCTGCGCCCCTGATCCGGTACGCTCGTCTCTGCGTGTTTTGGTAGATTCGTCCTTGTTGGCCGCTGTGTTATTCTCTTCATCACGACGATGGCTGCTCACCCAGAGCCAGACAACAAACAGGACGGCCCTGTGGCCCAGCAGCACGAGGATGTGCCAAACAATATCCTCGCGCAGAGCGCCGACCAGGAGGAGCACGTCCTCGGCGCATGGGCGTCGCTCATGGCCTACCCGTGGGCATCGGCATGGTGTGTCTACGCCTGCTGGTGTGTCACCCTCCTCGGCTTCGACGCCCAGGCTGCTGGCGCCATCGTGGGCATCCCTCAATTCCGCAAGGACTTTGGGTATGAGTTTGAGGGTGAATATGTCCTTCCAGCGTATTGGCAGTCCCTGTTCAACGCTGCACCCGTTGCTGCGTAAGTTTCTCTCTGTGCTTGTAGAAGCGAATCGCCGCTTTCAATACCTTGAGCTGACCAAACGCTGGCAATGTGCAGCGCCACCTTCGCTTCCCTTGCGTCAGCCGAGCTCTCTGACCGGATTGGACGCAAATGGGTTCTTGCCATTGCCCTCGCGTTCTCCTACATCGCCGTTGCCGTCGAAATGGTTGCCACCACGAACGAGGTGTTCTTCGCAGGCAAATTCATCAACGGTTTCATGATTGGCATCATTGGCACGATCATGATTGGCTACATTGGAGAGGTGAGCAGTTCCTCACGGCTGTGCACGGTTGTCAACAGCATCAACCGCCGTGCAAATCAATGACAACTTCGTTGAGTGTCTAGACTTTGACTGACAACTTTTGGATCATGAACAGATTGCCCCTCTCGCGCTCAGGGGAGTCTTTACAGTTGGGGTTGGTGTTGCGTACGGCATAGGGCCATTACTGGCTTTCATCGTGATCAACTACACCGGAACCGCCGACAATGCTTGGGCGTACCGAACGGTGTTTGCGACGCAGTTCGGATTCGCCGGCGTCGCTACCCTCCTCTGGCCATTCATGCCTGAGTAAGTAACCGAGAACGCCCTTTGATCTGATGTCTGTAGACATGAAAGAATCATCGGCACACACGATCATGCAATCAAGGCTAACAGGTTAGATCACCCTGGTGGCTCGCCCGCAAGAACCGCCGCGATGCAACGATCAAGGCCCTAGGCAGACTCGGCTACACTGGTGACGAAGGCATCAAGAAGCTGGCTCTGATCGAAAAGACCCTCGACGAGGTTCGTGCGGAAACCGAGGGCACCACATACATGGAGTGCTTCCGAGGCTCCAACCTGCGCCGCACTTTGATCAGCATCATGCCGCTGATCATCCAGATCTTCAGCGGCATCACCTTTGTTGCTGGGTACTTCACGTACTACCTACAACTTGCTGGCTATGACACCCAGACAAGCTATCGACTTCAGATTGCTCAGCCGGTGCTTTCCATCGTGGGAAACCTGATGGCGGCAAGTGCGATCGAGCGGGTCGGGCGCCGCAATATGACCTTCTACGGACTCATCATCCTTACAATCTTCCTCTTCATTACCGGCGGCCTCGGCACTAGAACCGAGAAGCCCATGGTAGAAGGCACTGTTGCTTTCATTCTGATCTATTCCTGGTGGTACAACGTCAGCATTGGGTCGACAGCATTCAGCCTGCTCGCGGAAACATCGACGTCCCGGCTGCGTGTGAAGACCGTGGCGATCGGCTATTCGCTCCAGTCGGCCTTCAATGTCATGTGGCAGTTTGTCATCCCCTATATGTTCAACCCAGACAAGGCGAACTTGGGCGCAAAGATGGCCTTCATCTTCGGTGGCATCTGCTTCTTCTTCATCGGGTATTTGTTCTACTTCCAGCCCGAGACCGCCGGGCGGTCGTACCAGGAGCTCGACGAGATGTTTGCCAAGGGCGTGCCATCGAGGAAGTTCAAGACGTACAAGACTTCGATGCAGATGCAGGCGGAGGAAGAGCCGAAGAAGGGGGAAATTTGAGAGTCGAGGGAAGACAGGGGTCGCTTTGAGAACGTCATACGCAGGGACGTAAGGCTCGAATATCCTGCGTGCGAACTTGAGTGTCACATTAGTCTCAGCGGCCAAATCGAATATCAAAGTCGTGATTGCACCTCAAAACCTTATTTGAACCCCAAGGAGACGACGTAGCAAGTTGACCAATCAGATAATTGAGTGTATCGCAGGACTTAGCTATCGGTGGAAAGATATAGGCATTTTTACCTCAATTGACCGACACCAGAATGTATAGCGTTGCTTACGTCCTGTCTTCTCAACGGAACAAATACAAGGTGAGACGATTGTGTTTGAGCTCTTGAAGGCCCATGGAAAGCGCACCCGGTCCAGCACATTGCAACAGGGTGTTGCTCCTAGTTTGGGCAGCCATGCACACATCCCTGCTGCCCTGATCAGACGACATATTGCAGGTACCTGCCAACGCTTTGCTTTTGTGCAGTCTGCCTTGCCAGCTGAGCCGCCGCACAGCCTCTCTCACCAACCCCGCATCTGACCTTCTCTCTTATCTTGTTCGTAACTTCTCTTTCGTATCTCAGCGTGAATCACGAGCCATGTCCGCATCAACAGTCCGCACGCCATCAACATTCCCAGAGGTTCATACAAGTCATCAGCCGGTCTCTGCCGGGGTTGTGTTGGATTCGCACGGCCACCGCCGTCTCCATTGGACGAAATCGGTCCTCGCAGGTCTCGACACGCCACGCCGCGATAATGGAGGCTCTGGCCGCTTTCTCACTCGCGTGCAACGTCCTCCAGCTGGTCGGCCTAGGCTTGAAGATCTCGAAAGTCCTCAAGGCAATCCGCGATGATCACCAGCCAGACTCAGGCGTGCAGAGCTATGCGGTCACACTAAAGCAGCTCGGGCACGAGGTCACGCAATCTGTCGCCACGCAGGGGCCGTCGGCTAATGTCGCCCTTTGCAGCAGGGCAGCTGATGTTGTGGCAGTCGCCGAGGAGCTGGAGAAATTGCTGTTCAGGTTCACGACCGGAAGGAAGAATAGGCTTCGAGACTTGGTGGCATATGCGCGGAAACAAAACGATATCAAAGCCCTGGAGCTGCGGCTTCAGAAGACTCGGGATGCATTGCAAAGCACAATACTGATCGAGGTGTGGTAAGCCAAAATCTAGGCTGGAGAGTATAATGTGTGCACAGGTGTAGTACTGACACTATAGCTGTGCAGGCAGAAAGTGTACGCACAATGGGATACCATCAAGATCGAAGTCCCGTCCTTCAGGAATGAGTTGAAGACGCTGGCGTTGGAGTTGCAACGGGGCAATACCAATGTTCTCGACATCATTGCCAAACAAGACGCCGCCTTACAAGCACTGGGTGGCATCGAGATTGATACTCTATACATCAAGGAGAATCTCATCAGACAGCAGGCAGAGACCCAACAGAGCTCCGAGCTCAAAGGGTTCCTGGCCAGTCTTTATTTCCCCTCCATGAACGCAAGACGCAACATGTCATCGATTGTTGCTGCTCAAGGCACTTTCCAGTGGGCCTTGGACACTTCGAGCCAGTTGCAAACCGAGAATACCACCGAAAACAGGCGAGATCATCGCATGCGGACGGCCCGCAGGCTGCGGCTCTGGATGGAGGACCCAGGCCAACGCTTGTTCTGGGTAAGCGGCAAACCAGGTTCCGGAAAGAGCACCCTTATGCACTATCTCGCTTCAATGCCAGAGAAGCTCCATGCTACTACTAGTGGCCGCAATGACGCAAGCCATACGATGCTCTCTGCGTTTATATGGGCAGCTGGAGACGAACTCCAGAAGTCAGTGAAGGGTCTTCTCTGCACCTTGCTTCATCAACTCTTCAACCAGAGCAGTGGACTGGCTAGGCTCGCGCTAGAAGCCCAAAAAGGGCCTTTCTCAATGAAGGTAAGTGTGTCCGATTGGAGCGAGGCAGAGCTTCGTAGCACTCTTTCTGGCGCACTACAAGTACTGCAAGGCCTGGTGCACATCATCATAGATGGACTGGACGAAGTTCATCCTGGCGATGGAAGTCCCGAGCGGTTGATGGGCTTGGTACAATCACTTGTGGCGCATGGCAACGTCAAGCTGTGTGTATCGAGCCGGCCAGAGCTCTTCTTCGAGCGATCACTCCAGCATTATCCTCATTTCCGACTCCAGGATATCACCTGGGACGACATGGAGCATTATGCCAGGCAGGAATTGGCAGAGGCTCTTGAGTCGATACCCAATTCTGCATCTTGGAGGCACAACACCGAGGCCGTCCTGCACCACATTGTTTACCACGCACAGGGCGTGTTTCTGTGGTTGCAGCTCGTGATACGAAGTCTCAAGACCGGCATCATCAATGGCGACTCGTGGGAGATGCTCTGGGAACGGATTTCTGAGCTGCCGGTGGACCTGGAGTCGATCTACAGGGCAATGGTCCGGCGGCTGGAGCGAGAGAGCAAGAGCTATCGCGACTTTGCAGGGACCGTTTTCGCCCTGTTGTTGATGCACGATCATTTCGTAGCGGACAATTTTTTGCTGGCCATGGACCGAATTGTCTCGATTACGCTTTATTTCGACGAAGACTTGCGGCGCCGCTTGATCGAGGGAGACGCCGGGAGTCACAGAAGCTCCCAACGAGAAGTATTGAGCCGTGTTAAGCGCGTGTGTAACCAGATGCGTGTTCGGTGCGCAGGGCTCGTGGAACCACCCTCCAATTTCGACTCCTTGCCTACGGATTTCGACGTAGAGTCCACGTTCTGGCGCGCTTCCGTCACCTTTATCCATCGCACCGTGCACGACTTTATGCTGGACGCAGGCCGAGGACTGTGGGAAGAAGTGATGCCACAAGACTTGACTGTCTGCCTGAGCGTGCAGCACGCCCAGTCGAAGATGCTTGGTCGAAGGATTGCCCCGACTGGGCTCTGGGGTCCACCAGTATGGGATGGGGAATGGGACATGGATTTGTTGGAATGGTGCGATGCGATTCCCGAAGGGCTGGCTGGAAACCAGCGAGAGGCCGTGTTTGAGCAGCTGGCGCAGATGATGACGGCAGAAGGCCACTGGAGCAGGGACGAGCGCAACCCCTGCGTGCTGGCCGTGGCTTGCACGTACGGGATTGTACCACCACGGCACTGGCTCGAGAGCTGGACACCAACAGGTATGAGCACGGCCGACTTTGTAGACCACCTGCTCACGGCCTCGCTGGCACTGTGCACCGAGCAAACTTCGGGCATCGTGAGCTGGCTGTTGGAGAACGGCGCCAATCCGGCTCGGCGCGACCTCGCCCACTGGCCCGGCACCAACTGGCCCTCGGCCTCGGTGCTGGCAGCAGGTTGGTTCGTAGAAGATCCGCACACGCGCGGCCAGGCACTGCAGGCGATAATGGATCTCGACAGCGGACTCGAGCAACAGTTGACGGTTCTCTACACACGCCTGGGCGGCTGCATCTTTGCACTGAACCGGCACACATCCTTGTGCTCGTTCCCACTCAGGCTCTCACAGGCCGACACTCGGGGTCGTCACGTGCCCGTGCTGCGGATGCAGTTTCCGGCTCTTCTCCGCTTGGCCCTGCACAGCATCAAACCACGGCACATGGTCGCGATGCCTATTGCCAACCACATACTGCAGCGCCACAGCACCACCGAGTCAAGCATCCAGCTCCTAGGCTTTGTCAACATCAGAGCACCAATTTATCGCGGAGACCGGCGCTTCGCATCCATCACCGGCAGCTACAAGCTCGAGCGCGAGCTCATACTCCCTCCGCCCAGGCCGACCCTCACAGCAGCGCTTGGCGTACTGGACAAGTTCGACGCAGAAATCGATGCCATCCTCGAGGCGCCAATGCTTGACAGCTCGCTGCCCCGAATGGACAGCCCGGAGACGATGGACTGGCTCCTGGCCTCTGGTCTCGCCAAGGACAAGCGAGATCGATACTACTCGTATGTACAGGCAGATGAATCTCGTGATTTGGGCGGGCAGGATTCTAGCGACTAGATGAAAACAGAATGCGACGGCGCTATGGGATCGTTCCCAGGGGCCTATGTAGTAATCACCCATGGCTACGAATCCTCATAGTCCAAACACTTTTGGAAATATCAAACTCGACGCATGGCCCGTTCTTGTTTGTGTTTAGCCTCGTGGACTGTCTTGTCGGCACACTGCTCCTCACTGGTCCACCGCGATGATCCCCCAGTGCGGGTCTCTGCTTCAATCTTCTGCTTCATTCCCCGATCCTAACAGTTTGTCGCCGGAGCGGCTGCTCCAATAGCTCAACTGCCCTTCGTTGTGAATAGACTGTACTGCGCGCTCGCCGGCCGTAGATGGACCCTCCGTCCTCCACTAATCAGTGGCCCTGATTTGAGTCATCAGAGCCAAATTCACTTTCTCCTCAACTTTATTCTTTCCTTCTCCTCTTCCATTCGAGACGGCGAATAATAATCTCTTTGTGGTCATGAAGACACAGAACCAGGCCGGGAACACATTATCCGCTATGCCTCCTACCCCGAGCTCAAAGTAGCACCGTGGCTTGATGGCGTGGGCGGAGTCATCATTGTAGTGCCTGCTGTGCCTGTAAATTACTGTTTTGACGAAGTACGTTATCAGCAAACCGATGTAGAACAGGTCTTGCTGCATCGGGGCGCCAGAGGGTTCGCCGGGCAGTAGTGTCTTCTATGGTGTGCCAGCCTTTGATCAAGCACTCGTGCTTTATAGACATGAAGCCGCGCGAGATCATTGCATATGCTTATCGAGGCGATCCTTGGATTTTCTATACCATGGACGACGGGAGCGTTGGACATGGGTTTTCGGCACTTGTAGAGCTATGTGAGCCGCCATGCTTACCGCCAGCAGCGGCATCTGCCGCTGGCTGTATTCAAGCTCCCCCACGCAAATATCGGCTATCGCAAAGCGTAGTCGTCCAGCATGTATGCTGTCCAGACCATGCCAAGGAAAGTGATTGCACAGAACATTGGAACAGCGATCAGGGGACCCCTGTTGCTATGTCATGCCGCATTCAGCGACCACAATACATCCATGAGGGCGATCTGACGAAGGGCTAGCCTGGTAGTCGTCCCGTCCTTCGCTGTGCTCAATTGCCGTACTGCTGAAATAGCCGTGGATGAGTATGGTCAGTTTCTTGACGTTGAGCTGTACGCTATGCACTGAAAGGGAAATTGATCTCGCGGAGGTCTATGCGTCATGACCAAAGTGATCCGTTGCGGCTATCTCCGCAATCGCCGGATGGTCGAACAAGGTCCCCTGCACACCCACGCATTCAGGGCGCGGTCAGCTGTGCATGTGGCTTCCGCCAGGTCTGCATTGTCCAGAGCTGCCTGGAAATTGAGGGAGCGAGTAACCGGATAGCGCGAGGTCTAATTTTACGCATGGGTCAGACTCCAGCTGAATCTACAAACTAATTAGGCTCCCAATCTTGGTACCCATCATCCACGATGACGGCACAGGCACCAGGATCCGGGAATGACTACGCTCCGGGTGGGTGGGCCCCAAGAAAGCTTGTCTCAACATGCCTGGCCCCGGGAATCAGATTAGCCCGAACTCGACAGGCACCCGAATTTCTGGGAAGATTATAGGGCCTACCCACCGCACGCAGGCTCTCGACGGGCGTGGCATTTATGAAGCCACGATGCCTTCGGTTCCATAAGCAGTCTGCTCTGCACATTCAACACTCCATATCGTATCATCTCTAATTACCAAATGAGATCATCTTCAATTAGGCCAGAGTCGCGCTCCATTTGTCCGCTCCCTCAACTACAATAGTTACTCTACTCTCATAAGTTGAAACATCTGAACAGAAACACACCTCCCTACCGTCCAGCATGGCGCCATTCAGAATCCTCATCAGCGGCGCAGGGATCGCCGGCCCCGCCGTCGCCCTGCTCCTCGCCCGCCACCGCGACTGCGCCATCACCATCATCGAGCGGGCCGCCAGCCTCCGCAGCACGGGCCAGCAGATCGACCTGCGCAACCAGGGCGTGCCCATCATGCAGAAGCTGGGCCTCGAGGAGGCCGTGCGTGCCCGCATCGTCAAGGAGGAAGGCACCAGGATCATCAACCGCGCCGGCGCCGAGCTCGCTTTTATCCCCGCCCTGCAGACCGGCTCGGGCAAGCAGAGCCTGTCGTCCGAGTTTGAGATTATGCGCGGCGACTTGGTCGACGTGCTGTACCAGGCGACCAAGGACCTGGACAATGTCAAGTACGTGTTTGGCAGGACGATCGAGAGCCTCATCGAGGGCGGCGACGGTCCCATTGGCGTCGGATTGTCCGACGGCACCACGCACGAGTATGATCTCGTGATTGGCGCGGACGGCGTGGGCTCGCGGACGCGCAAGCTCATGCTCGCTGGCGGGGAGGAACAGGACAAGCAGGTCCGCCAGGCGACCGGGGTTCAGCTCGCGTTCTTTACGATCCCCGTGGAGAAGGACGACTCGCGTGCCTTCACAATCTGCAGGTCGACCAAGGGCCGACACTTGATGACGCGCCGGGACAGAGACGACGTGCTGCGCGTGTTATTCATGGCACACGTCGGGCAGGCCGCCAGCGGAGGAAAGGGAGATAGCGAGGACGACAGGCTCCGCGCGCAGCTGCACGCCGCCAACCGCAGCGGAGACCTCGAGCAGAAGAAGAAGGCCTGGGCGGCTTACTATGCTGACGCTGGCTGGCAGGCCGAGCGGTTTACACACGCCTTGCTGCACAGCAAGGAGGCAGACGACCTGTACGCTCAAGAGCTGCAGAGAGTGGTGCTTCCCCCTGGAGCCTGGTCGGGCCGCAACGGGCGGGTGACTGTTGTCGGGGATGCGGCGTGCTGTGTGGCACTGAACAGAGGACTGGGCACGACGGTGTCCTTTGTCACGGCCTATACCCTTGCCGGTGAGCTTGCGAGGCACTGCATCCCTCTTAAGGGCAGCGGTGCAGGCGCAAAGCAGCAGCCGACGCGGGAGAATCTGGAGCATGCCCTGGCCGAGTACGAGAGGAAGACCCGCGTCCTGACGGACCCGGTACAGAAGGGCATGCCGGGCTGGGTACGATCAATCTTCATGCCGGAAACGGAAACTGGGCTCAGATTCACGGAGATCTTGATCCGGTGGTTAGTTCCCGTGGGCAGGTGGTTATTCAGTTGGATGCCAGAGGACAAGCCAGAGGACATAGCGAAGCAATATGCCTGGCACGACTATCCCGAGTTGGAGGGGAAGGATTAATTGTTGGCAATCTTCAAATTGTTTCGTCAAGTCGTGGTTTCTTTCATCAAGACACAATCCCCTTCCGCACTCATTGTTTATAGAACCCCTACTCATTATGCAAGCAAATATGAAATTTGAATGCTCTACGAGTCACACGTAATCTGACACGATTTGATCGATCGTGCGACGACCAGGCATAACCTGCAGCACAGGTTCCATATCTAATAGTCAAGACAACATGTAATAAGTCATGCGTGAATTACTGGCTTGCCTGTCAAAGATTTTCGAGTATCGGTTGTGAATACCATTACATTCACCCTCATTATCACCGATTCTTCACCCTCGCCACGTCCCATCCCAAATCCAATCTCTCTTCGGCCCAGCACCATCGTGGCCAGTCGTATCCCTCAAGGACTGGCACCACTGTGCGTTGAACGCCATGGCGCTCCTCGCCGTCGCCCCGGCCCCGAGTCCAGCTGCGGCTGCCAGCTCCCGTTCGGCCGCCGAGATTTCTGCCGCGGGCGCGAGCCAGCCTTCTCTCCTCCCCTGCGCGGCGTCCACGAGTCGCAGGCACTCTGGCCCCGTGGGGACCTGTCCGCCATTGCTCGTGATCAGCACGGGCTTGCCGGACGACATTTGCATTTCGACGTCAAAGTCTGGGGATTCCGGCTCGGTTTGGGGCGTTATCGCCGCTGTTGCTGCTGTTGCTGCTGCTGCACAGGGCATTCTGTCCGAATGCGTGTTGATGGTGTGCTCGCTGGCAGAACACGTCTCCAAGTTCCCATGGGTGGTGAGGAGATGCATCCCATGGTTATGTACTGGCAGCTCGTCATGGACATTTGTGTGCGTCGTCGTCGCCGTCCCCCCTCTGAGCTTGCTAGTAATAAAGCTTCCAAACGGCCGGATCGTGGTTGTCGCCGTGGTGGTCGATCGGTCCCCCGCGCGGGTGGTTGAGCTGGCAATCGTCTTGCCCGTGATGGTCGTCCACATCTTTGAGAGCTCGCTCGGCTCGTCCCTCCTGTCCGGCGGTAGTTGTGAGCGTCGCGTTCTCGGCATGTTCTGGGGCTGTCGGTCGCTGTTGGCTCCGCTCGCTCGCCTGGTGACGCGCTCGACGAGGACATTGAGTGTTGGTAGGCAGGCGCACGACAGGCCGAGGACCATCTCCAGGAGACTGTGGTGATGGTGAGAGGTGAGCGACTGTGAACAAGGAGTGGAAGGGGAGTGTGTGCAGGTACTCACGTCAAAGTAGCAAGGAACGCAAAGTCGTATGTAGAGTCGACGGAATCAAGATACTGGATGACGAGATAGAGCCGATATGTCGTCACGGCGGTCGCAGCGCCACCAGCCCCGAGAAGCACACCAATCTTGATCTTCTTCTTCCATGAAAAGCTGAGCGACCATGTGAGGGGGATTGGGAGAATTAGGATCGTGGTATCGGTGATGATGGCAAGGCACAGGTCGCTGACAAACACCTTTCTCATCTCCAGGCACGTGCCGGCGATGTTGGGATCCCAGTACGAGGCTATCGGCGTGCAGATGAACATCTTGACGAGCTGGATTGGGAGGTACGCCAGGAATAGGGCGATGATGAAAATGTATATGCCCCGCACGACCTTTTCCATCACCGCAAAGACGCGGGCGACGAGAAGGAGAAGCGTCACCTTCGTCACGTACGTGGCGGGGATGTAGACAATGGAGCTGGCATACAGCCACTGTGGGAAACCACGGTCAGCGGTTGCAACGGCTTCATTGCCAACAGAAAAGCATGGGGAACAAACCCGGAGTATCTCCACATAACTGTCCTCTGACACCTCCGACATGTGATGGCCAAGGCCGTAGTGAAACACTGCAACTCAGAGGTCAGATTTGCTGGGCGTGGAAGCCATCTTCAAAACTTACTCATGATGGCAGTCATCGCGTAGATGATGATGGACATCTAATTTGCACACATTGTTAACGGGTCGAAAGAAGAGAAGGGACGGGTCGGCAGATCCGAAGTCATTGGAAGACCTACCCATGCTACGATGCAAGTCCCTGCAGCCGCTGGGGTTAGCAAAGGGAAGGATATAAGCGATATTCCATAATCAGAGACTCACAATCGTCGAGAAGCATCCTAGTACCAGACGTGTATTTGACGAGGAATCGCAGAAAGACGAGTATTGTTACTGCGGTTGTGCACGTAATGACGCCTGCTAGCTGCCCGCGGGCGAATTTGTCGCTAGACTCCGACACGACCGGAAATCCGGCGTCGCGCGCCCCAAGCCAAGTCGCCCGGGGCGCGGAATTGAGGACGTCGTTTTGCAGACCGCTCATGCTTTGCGGCTTTCTTTGGGACCTCTCACGGATGCGGTTGCTATGTCGTGCTTCGCGTTGGAGATGATCCGCGTATGGATTGAGGGGTCGGCGATCATGAGGCAAGCGGTGCGGTAGACCGTGGTGAAAGACAGGACATGGTGGCTTCCGAGTCCTATAATCTTGACATGTTATCGAGGAGAATGAACGTGCGTCGCGTCTGAGGTCAGAACCGTGTTTGGGTTCTATTGTTGATGGTAACGATGTCAAGACGCCTTTCATGGGCCTGCTGATGTTGTAGGTTGCAGATGGAAGAAGCCCCTCAATCCTGGCTTCCTTTGGACTGGGTCGGTGGTGAGTGAGACAAGGGTGTGCCTAGCACGTTGCCCCAGCGGCAAGCCTTTCGGCTTACCGGCAGCGGAAGTGCTGGCTAAGGGAAAGTGTTAATGTGCTCCATGCCCAGGACGAGCTTATGCGGCTCGAGTCACGACCTGCAGCATGCGTGAACATGGGCGTCACGATCGAAGGAAAATGCGATCTGGGAGCAACGAAAAGACCCAGTGGTTGGGCCGACGGATCCCATAGCGTAAACCTTATTAGATGGAATCGAGCGCCCGTGCCGGAGATCCCACCGCCCTAGAAAAGGCACCGGCTTCTACCCCAGACCTGCTTTGGTCTAGTTCACTGGCCTGAATTGCCAAAGCCCAAAGTTTCTCTCCAAAGCCCGGCTCAAAGGGTGGCCTTTTCACAAGAGAAGCCTGGAATGCCCATGCTGCTCCATTTCCCTTCTGGACGACAAGGCCATCCGTGGTGCTAGCTTCGCATTCGTCAAAGCTGGAGAGATACCCACCTCCTTCTTCAGGATCTTCAACGGCCGGCCACCACTTTTGAGTTGAACCAATGCTTACAAGCGTCTTGTACCCGATGGCCAAACGTTCTCCCGCACATAGACCATGACCCTTTCCGGCAGCCGGGCCGTTCTTGTGCCAGGGCATTCGCAGCCAGAATGCACTGTGATTGGCCCGCAGGGTCGACGCAGCCTGGGTTAGGATTCATCGTTTGCCGAGGACAAGGTCTCGCTTCATGTGCGTGTATGTACGTGGGTGCATTGTCACTTTTGCTTGGCGAGGTAAGGGGGGTGCGGGAAGCATCCAGGGATGAGTGCGAGCCAGATTGCCGCTGGCTTTGACCACCAGTCGGTTGCATGCCACGCAGCATACCTGCCACATGCATTCCGGCTTCCTCAGGGTCGCAAGTATTCATCAGACTACGCGCGGAGGAAAAAGTAATGTGCCCCCTATCCCGTTCCTGTTGTTCCAACTTCCCGCCTGGGGTCCATCGCTTGAGATTAAAGTGTCTGAGACCTGTCTTGGACCACCCCATGCTTATGCGTGTCTGCGGAATGGTATAATGAGTTCGCAAGTAGAGATTCGTGATTGTTCATGTATTCAAATTGGCATGTCGTGCCGACCAGTGTCTCGATACTCCCGCTCATCCACTGAATTTGCTTGTATCTCGCTCCCAGGTGTCCCGCTGCCCAAGCCACATTGACTGCTATGGGATTGCACATTCAGTCTACCCACTTCCGGTAGGGGATCAAATCAAAGCAGAGCGGGAGCACGGTCTGCGCCACTTCCCACCTTCAACGGGCCGCAAGGAACCGTTGAAGGAACAATCAGAGCCCTCCAGCCATGATGTCCTAACGAGGACGGCACCACACTCAGAGTGTCTCGCATCCATGACTCGCACCCGCGATGGGGCCACCATGGACGGGACTGGCGATAATTCTCGCCAATATTTCGAGGAACTGGAAATCTTCTATTGGACCACAGACAATTTCGGACTGCGCAGCTGCGACAAATCGTAGCGGTGTAGATGCCACAAATGCAACCACCTTTCAAGCAGCGCGGGTGTGCTTGTCGCAGGGCATGACAGCCTGGAGTCCCTGAGAGTTGAGCTGGACATGCAATGTCCGAGTCAAGCCAGGTGTTACTGATGCCACAAAACGTACGTGCACGTCCCTTCAACAGCAGAGATTACCCCCAAACGCTGTCGTAGTTCATTGCCAAATCAGCTCATGACGTAGTCGCTTTGTGTTCTGGACCACCTGTTGACTCGGGGCAGCTTCCAGGCAATCGCAGGGGAGTTGGCCTCTCTTGCACCAACACAACCCTTAGAACAATCCCGATTATCGATCAGGCGATTACCCACCTACTCGATTTGTACTCTTGAATAGAGGGCCCGCTAGTCGCTCCACGCCGTCGAGCTTTGAGTGGTCGAGGGCTAACTGCGCCAACGGCCACAGCTAGTCCTGGACCCGTGATGGCCCACAGCCAGTGGGTGCCACTTACTGCAGATAGTGTGGTGCTCTCGTCACTCAGCGCCAATGACTAGGGTAGCAGAAACTCGGTAGTCGCCGATCGGAAGTTGCCGAGTACGCGTCATGCTATCAACATGCCATGTCAACGCTCGAGAACATGCTCGATTGAATCATTCTTGTTATCCTAAGACTTCTCACCAGGTTAACGCGATGTTGACCAATGGGTGGTCTGATTACATATTCTGAACAAATCACCACAACAGCAGACAACGCTAGAACGAGAAGCATCGCGGAGCCAACCTGAAGACCGGCCCTGGAGGTACGTAATCAGCTTTTTGTGTGATACTCCAGCCTTCACGGTCATAGGTGAGCTATTTTTCATGGCAACATTACTGGAGAAATGACTGGAGAAATGATGAAGTCAGCGAGGACTGGAGGCACGAATGTGCGATAATACTTGGCCACCCCATTTCGCAGAGCGAAGATCAGAGTGCCGACCACCGGGGAGATCTTCTCAAGAATAGTCACTACGATCATGGCTTCGACGATGGAAGTGGAGGTTAATGTCATTAGAAATATCTTTCCTTATGAAGAGCAGTGCAACATTCCCGTGGACCACCGAGGTGCTGCGATCTCGATGATACCCGACGCAAGCAAGGATAACAAGCATCTAAGACACGTTTTTCAAGAAAATATTGTAGTCAAGAAGTAGTGCCATGCGCGGTGGATCACACGCCTATTTCCAGGAGCTGCACAGCTACTAGGATAGCTTTCCCGTGGAGAAGGTCGCAATCGATGACAAATAGCACATCTTCTTGTCTGGAGAATTTCGCCTGCCCAGACACCTTGCTACGGCTGACTCGAGACTATCTACTCCATGGAAACATTCAAATTCTGTCGCAGATGATGGTAGGATAGTATACTTCCAGACGGTGAGGCTGAACAAGATACCTCCAAGTAGACATCGCGAGAACCTCAGCAATATCCAGCATGCTGCCCACGGGTTTCATGGCGAGGGCAGCGTCCACTTCGACACCTTTCTGGACAGCATCGTACCTAACGCAGAGGTGCTGGTCACCCTGGAGGGAGCCAGTTTTCCCCGACTGCTAATGCTGAGCCACTCGAACGCGTCCATGGTTCGTCTTAATGCATGGAATTTGTGTCTCTCACAGTCTGTCGAGATTCTCACACCACTTGAGTACAGACGCCTGGAAGAACCTTGTAGAGGAACAATCGATCCTGTGAGCGAGGTTAAAATAGCTTCTGGCGCGTGCACAACATAATACCCGAGACTCAGCCATCCGGCACATCTCTGGTGGTCGAAATGGTGCCTGAATGGCAAAAGAAAGCCCAATATGTGTATCCAAGACGCAGCTCGAGTCAGTATGAATTCCAGTTCCATTCGTTCTTGAATGTCCACGCGTCCATAACGGCCACGATACCCTACAAACCCCGCCAATACTCCAAGTTTGAAAGACCACAACACGAAGCCTGAGGCAAAATCTCGAACCTTGAACTCCACGCGAAGCTGGCGAAAGCAGGTTATAATGTCTGTGCACGCGAGGGCACGTAAGCAGGGCCCTTATGTTGCATGATATACCCCCACGACGAATGGCACGTCGCTCCACTGCCTACGGCGGATACGACCCTGATCGCCAGCTGGAAATCAAGGTTGAGACCCCTGTCGGGTTTGCTGCACAAGCCCGCCCTGGTCCCCAGCTTTAGTGGCATAACTGCCGGGGCTTTGGTCTGTTACACAGAGCAGCGAAGAGTGACGTCGTTCCTGGAATCGCTGCAGCTTTAAAAAAACCACGTCCCCGCTCGGGACTGGGGGGAATTGACCATGCAGGGAGGCACAAGGCCCTTTAATTCAACATCAAGGCCAACAGAAGAATGCCAGCTTGGTTAGTAGACGCAGTTCTGGCGAGATCTTGACTTACCACATCAGTCATTCTATTCCCCCCAAGACCAACGCCCGACGCCTCATGCCTATGAACAAGATCGTGGGCTTGAGGCTCGAGAGACACAGCATACGCGATGGCCGACACACGGGACCCAACACCAATAGATGACAGGGTCGATAATGCGAGAGAGCAGGTCACGTCCCCGAAAGAAGAGTTCCCAGCGATCCCAGACCCCTCCCTCGAAGCACAATCATCACTGTCAACAGAGCCGCCACAGAGCTCGTCCCCAGCACAAGCAGTCCAGACCACCACCACTGCGACAGTTCCCAACCCAACCGACCCGACAGCCGGCAGCAACACCCTCGTCTGGCTTCCCCCGTCCCAATACAGCGCGATACGAGACAAGTGGCAGGACCAGTTCATCTGGAGCCCGACAGCATTCGCGAGCGATCTGCCGGTCAACCAGACATCGTTCATCAGCGTGAACCGGTCGCGCGAGAACTCGGCCGTTACCAAGCCGCCGTTCTCGACACTTGCTGCTGCAGGGCAGATCGAGGGCGTGGAGACACTGGGAGATGTTGCCGAACCAGTGCTGCAGGGAAGCAGTGATGGCGGCGGCGTTGATGGGGAAGATCAGGGCAAGGGCGGCAATGTCGATGGCGACAAGGAGAGGGACAGGAGTGATCATGCTGGTCATGAACAGCAGGAGGAAGATGACGAGCTAGCTGCGGCAGGCGGCCAAAAACAGCCAACCACAGCAACAGAGCAAAGAACAACTAGATCACAACCACAACAAACAACACCACCAAGCAAATGGGCCAAGAACCGTCCAGCGAAGACGAAACACTGGCACAGCTTCCACCTCCTCAAGAACACTGGGGCGCGCAGTCGGCGGAACTCGTCCTCGTCACAGACGAGTAATAGCAACGACAACAACGCGGGCAGTGTTCAAGTACCGAGCTTGCCAGGGCGGAGGCAGCCAATCCGAGGACAGAAGGGCGGGCGGACTCAAGGAATCGGCCGGATTCCGGTGCTTGTGCCCCATCCAAAGTCGTACGAGGAGGACGAAGAGAAGAAGAAGGCTTCCAATGCGAGGAATCGGCATCGGTCGAGAAGTGGACAGTCCAGAGGCAAGTCCCGAAGCAAGGGCGGCAGTGGCGATGGTGGCAAGGGCGAGCCGACAAAGTCGCTTCTCACACCAGCCGCGGCCGCAAGTCCATCCAGAACAGCAAAAGCTGCGAAACCAAAATCCGGAACCATGCAAGCAGCAGAGCAGGCCGTCCAGGACGCAGTTCGGCAACAGACCACAGCGAGGGGAGGCTCAGTAGCGAACAACACCATCATTGTGGCCGAAATGCCCGAAGATGGCAATGACACACCGCGAAAGCCTCTCGTGCTGCCAGCTGGAGCGGCTCAAGCCCGCGGGCCGCTAGCGGACATCGCGGGCTCGAACTTGCAAGTGCCTGAGGGATCCAGCCGGAGTCGGAAGACGCGGCGAAGTCCTAGGCGCCGTGCAACTCTTGCTGAGAACAACGCTTCCGCCGCTGGCACGCAGCAAAGTCAATTGATACAGACTCAACCTGGCAGGAGCAAAGGAAAGAGCAGTGACAAGGCCTTGGACGCAAATCGACCGGGCAAAGGCCGCTCGAAGCAGCCCCAGCCAACGACACACTCCCTGCCGGCCGACTCGAACAACTCAATCATTATCTCCAAAAATGGCATCATCCCGACTTCCCCATCAGCGAGATCAGTTCCGACGACAGCAGTCTCCAAGCAGAAGACGTCGTCATCGCAGATCTGCGTCAATCTGAACATTAACCTCGATGTCGAGGTCCATCTCAAAGCGAAGCTCCATGGCGATGTGACACTAACGCTCTTTGAATAGAGTCACACAACACACAACGAGCACATATAGTTGCAAGGAATTAGGCTGATTGCATTCCTGTCTGACAAAATTATAAGCGAAGTACAAAGTCAGACATACTGCCCTTTTAGGACAACCCTCCTGTTTTGGGGAACTCGGTCACATCTTAAAGCCACCCGATCTGTTCTTCTTGCAGTCAAGTCAAGTCCGTGCACGGCTTAGAAATTGTTCCGGCCAAGATTGTGTCCCCCGTTTAAAACATAGAGCGCCGCCCATGCTCCTGTGCCATCTTCGCAGCCATCTGGCAAGTGTGCGTTATCAGGTGCTTTTTGCAATCTCCTCTGACACCTCAAGGTGTTGCATCATTTCCGTCAGTGTCGGCAGTCTCAGAGTCGGATGCTGGTCCCACTCCTCACGCGTCCAGAACCAGTAAGCATCGGGAATGTCACCCGGATACTCTCGCTGCCACTGTGTTGCGAGCTCTGCGAAAGTTTCATTCCATGCAATGTACACAGAATTGGCAATGCATCTCCAGAACCACAAATCTCGTGGCCCTGGTGCATCTGTGCTGCACTTGAACCTCGCCAAAGTCTCAGGAGGGCACATGGCGTTGACCCCGATCAATGGGTCTTCCCACGCCTGCAGCTTTGTAGACCACGGTCCTAGAGGACTGTGGTTCAGGATGCGTGACAGCTGTTGTCTCGTATACTCCTGATCTATGAGTAGAGCTTCGAAGAGATACTGAGCGAAATCTTGAGGACTTTTTCTTCCATGAAGATAGTTATGGATCTGTCTGGTGCACAGCCCGCTCATGACAGGGAGAAGTCCATCTCTTCTGAACGTCCAGGCCGTTGAAGATACGAGAGTGTCGGCAAAGTCGTCATCCTCAAACTCCTCTCTAACGAGATAGGTGTTCTGGAGTATATACATGATCAGAGATCGACAACGGTACTCAGTCACTGCCGCACTATCTGCAAAGAGAAATAGAAACAACAATTAGAATGGTGTTTTCAATATCATAAACCGTCCCGGACTCACCTTGAGCAAGTTTGCGGAGAATGACAGTGACCTGGCACTTCAGTAGAGCCTTCACCTGAAGGAACTCCCATGGCGTGAAGTGGCCCCAAAGCCCCAACCACACTTTTTCGTAGAATTGAACATCGCGGCGCTGATCGAAAATCATGTCGAGAGCGTCCCAGATGTATAGAGCCTTTCGATACGCGTTTCTGTCCATGGGAGTATTCGTGCATCTTGTTGCATGGGACGCGTGCTCAGACATGCACATGTCAGCCAATCGAAGAATGTTCAAGTGTGCGGTTGTCATGAATGATGCTGTCTGAAGTGAGATTCCGTATTTCAGCGGCCCCTCCTCAGTCGCACTGTCGTTGAGGTAGATATCGCCATACTCAAGCAAATCCGGCAAGTTTCGATCCTGATCTTAAAAGCAAAAGTCCTCAATCAGACCCCACTCACCCGCAATGGCGAGAGGCATGAGGACAGGACCAATGAAGTTTCGCAACATCTGTACGATCATCAGATCTTGGTCTGCTGCATAGAGGCGCCACAGGCATGGACTGCCGTGGCATGCCCTCAGCATGTTCTGGAGTCCGCTGCAGTGCTGGAGGATCAGAACGCGTAGTTCGACAGGGAGAGTTTGTAAAGGGCCCGGTTTGGGTGTCGACGTAGCCCGCCTGGATAGAGCTGGTTTTCGTGACGTGCGTATGAGAGGTCCATAATAAGGGCCGAATGCTATGCTCGACGTGGTGTAATGGATGCGGCCACCGCGGTTTTTGCTAGACCTCGAAGTCGGCAGCTTCGCGAGCATTGTGGCAGGCATCGACGTGGATTGAGGCAGACGCTCCGGGCCGCTAGTGTTCTTCGTAATGGTTCAGCAGTCGCTGACGTTGGCGAGGTATGGCTCAAAGCGACCAGTGGAGAGAATCTAGCTGATCGAGTGTTGGAAGAAGATGATGAGGAAGAGGCCGAGAATGCTTCAGACAGCAGGCCTGTATGAGCCACGCCTGTGCAGCGTTCTCTTTTGACGTGGCATAAGTGGTGGCTTCTGTGATCCTCTGCGCGTGCTCGAGAATGCAGGCAGGTGTGAACTGCGGGTGTCAGTGACGGACGAGGAAGGCGCACCTGGACAGCCTCAGTCTGCGTGACTGCCCAGGACACGGTTGAAATGCGCAAATCTCCAACGTAACACGGATGGTACCTGTGCAGCAGAGAAATCCATAGACCTCCGTCTTTCACTGGAGAAGTGTGTCTTGTCACGCGAGCCTGCCATGGTCCAAGTAGGCTGTCCAGGGTCACAGAGACCTGCTTGCTGCACGGCCCGCAACTTCCAGGCCATTATTTCCGCGATTTCTTAGACCAGACTACGATCTCCGACGATTCAGTATACACAGGAAAAGACAGGTATGGCTGATGTGACCAGTAACAGACATGCACTTCATGCTTGTCAAACGGTAGCCGTCCTAAACTGGCTTTGACGCCCTCCATTCCAAGTCTTTCGCCAGGCTCACCACCTCTGATACGCGAGAAGTGCAGAGGCAGTAGCATCTTGTGCTGTGGTGTCTTGTTGCACGCAGAAGTTCAGAACCTCTTGGAAGGAAACGTCGCTCAGTGTGCCCGGGTGTGGGTGCAAGTGGTGATGAACCGCGCCGATAAGATAAGAGCTTCGACCGCGCCGCCCACTTGACGTGCCGTGTGCGACAACTACTCCCCTGCCTTCAGAGGCCTCAATTCCCCCGGCGCATGCCCCTCAGAAAGCACGAAACAACAGCCGGCATAGCGGCTGCTACATCCTTGCAGCATATTTGTCAAGCTTTCGCCAGGACGGCGCCGGTCGGAGTGGTCCACGCCTTAACCACGTTCCGCGCACCGCCCAGCCACGATCTCCGCGCTCACAACCTCCCCTCGTCATCTACTCCACGAGCTTTGCGCATTCGATCTGAGCAGACCTTCGATACCTGTACGCCCTCGACCAAATTCTCGACATCGACTTTGTCATGTCGGCAAACCGCGGCGCGGCAGGCGCCGCTCAAGACGCTGCCGCCAAGAGCTCCGCGAATGAGCCGCGACTACTGTGGAATCCCGACAATGTCAAGGACGTGGCCGAGTCGGTCGGCATTGCGGCGCTAGGCGACGAAGCGCTCAGGACACTATCACAAGACGTCGAGTACCGGATAGGCCAGGTCATCATTGAGGCCTTGCGCTTCATGCGCGCCGCTAAGCGCACCACAATGACAGTCCAGGACGTCTCTCTCGCGCTCAAGGTGCTTGATGTCGAGCCGCTCTATGGATACGAGTCGACGAGGCCCCTGCGGTACGGCGAGGCGAGCTTGGGGCCTGGACAGCCTCTGTTCTATATCGAGGACGAGGAGGTGGACTTCGAGAAGATGATCAACCAGCCGTTACCAAAGGTGCCGCGAGACACCAATTTCACAGGTAAGCATCGCGCATTGCTCTTGAATGGATGGCCCTGAACTGACACGCCTTCCCCTCTGTAGCGCATTGGCTCGCCGTAGAAGGCGTCCAGCCGTCAATACCGCAGAACCCAACATCCAACGAGGCACAATCACAAACCCTTCTCGCCAAGGGACCTGGCGCGAATCCAACACTAGGAGCGATGGCAGGCAACGAGAACACAAGCTTCCGACCGGCCGTGAAGCACGTCATTTCGAAAGAGCTTACGCTATACTTTGAAAAAGTACAATCGGCGCTTCTCGACGACGGCCCAGACGCCGAGGTCCAACGACTCCGGGAAGCAGCCCTCGAGTCCGTCGGCTCGGACCCCGGCATCCACCAGCTCGTGCCATACTTTGTCAACTTCATCTCGCATGAAGTCACCCAGAACCTCGACGACGTCTTCGTCTTGCGCCAGATGATGGAGCTCTCCGACGCGCTCCTGCGCAACGACAACCTATTCCTAAACCCCTACGCGAGCCCGCTCTGCGCACCCGTCCTCACCTGCCTCATGGGCCGTAAGCTTGGCTCCGACACAGGCCCGGACGCCGTGAAGCAGCAGTACCAGCTCCGCGACCTCGCGGCAAGCCTGATCGGCAAGATCTCGGACAAATTCCACACCTCGAACCGCATGCTCCGCCCCAAGATTGTGCGCTCCTGCCTGCGCAGCATGCTCGACCTCAACGGCCCGCCGGCAGTATGGTACGGCGCCATCAAGGGCCTCACCGCCGCGGGAGGCCCCACGAACAACGAGCCCGTGCGGCAAATCATTCTGCCCAACCTCAAGGACTTTGAGAACGGCATGCTCGCGCCGCTCCGCGAGAAGGGCGAGGCGGGCCGGATCGACTACGAGGCCATTGTGGGCGCCATCATCCGCGGGATCCGCGCGCTCGCCGAGAAGGACAACATCGGGTGGGCCTCGGCGCATAGCGGCGGCGGCAACATGGAGGACATGGTGAACGGCGACACTCGGATCTCGGACCGCCAGGTCAACGAGCTCAAGGCTTTCGTGGGCGAGATCGTTGCCGAGCGGCTGGCGAACTTGCGGGATCAAAAGCTCGTCTCGACGGTGCTGGAGGCGAGGCAGTTCATGCAGCAGTAGAAAAGTTCTTTTGGAGATGGAAATGCATTCTTGCAAAATTGTCAAGCAGGCGTTCGGGGTTTCAGATACCGCAAATAACAGAAATGCACTGTTGCACAAGCGAAACAACACCGATATCTTTACTTGCAGGCTGTGTTTTCACATTTTTGAACATATGAAAGGATGTATACAGTTCTTCCCCCTCTGCTCCCCGATCCTAATTGTTGCTCTCGCTCGATCGCACAAGCCCAAAGCGGCCGTGTTAGTCCTGCGCGGTGCTCGTAAGAACGCTCCCACAGCTCAGCACTGCCTGCAACCCCGATTCTGCATCGCGGCACTCGATATATCCTACGCCTCTAGTGATACACTCTTAGAGCTGTCACCAAGGCCGCTTTCTCCACACGTCGATAACAACACCACCGTATGTATTCCATGGTCTTGTCCCATGCGTGTCCACATCCCAACCATTGGTCATCTAACCTTGGCTGCCATGTTGCCGATCCACGTGAAGCACATCCAGTATCCATGTGGATGTACGCCAGCTTAAAAGCCAAAAGCCAGGGCGATGGAGGCACCCAAGCTGGCGCCCCAGATACCCCAGGCGCTGGTGCTAATCTGCTTCTTGGAGAAGCCCTTGGCAAAGTCGAACACGATGTGGCGCACGCCGGCCATGAAGTGGAACACGAACGGCCAGGCGGTCAGGAACTTGACCGAGACCTTGAGGGCGGCCGGCCAGGCGGCGACGGCGGCGGCGAGCGAGGCCGACTCGAGGTGCATGCCCGTCAGGGGGGCGGCGAGGTAGGCGAGGGCAAAGGCGTACAGACCGCCGCCGAAGAACATGCCAGTGAAGCGCGTCCAGATGGAGGCGCCGAGCCAGATCTGGTTGTAGTCGTAGATGGTGATGTGCGGGGCGACGGGGCGCTGGAGGCGCTGCGAGGCGAGGACCTGCTGGCCCTCGGTGATGGACAGCTTCTGGGTTGAGGCGCCGCTGTGTAGAGGGAGAACAAAGTTAGTCTGTTGATCTGCTGCTCGTTGGAATGTCGCATCCACAAGCTGAATATCATGTCTTGATGCCCAGCAACAGCTCAACCTGGGTCGGGAGTAGTAAAGAACTTGTCGAGTCCTCTACCCATGGTGCTTCGTTTGCGGCCAACTATCGTCGTCGTGTGCGGAACTGGGTGGGCATCCTGATATGAAGCTCGGGAAAGTTCGCTGGAGGGGAAATCTCGTGGTGAAGCATACCGGGTCTGGACACCAGCCATCGCAAGGCGGGGGAGGGCATTGGGCTTAGCCGCGACTGTATATCGAATGCATGTCAGCTGTGCTGTGCTGCGCGCTCATGTGTACAACGTCGAAGGCGTGAAGGTATTGCGGGCCATCATGCTCGGAGCAGCTGGATAGTGGTGGTGGTGGATGGGGGCCACGAGGGCAGGGCGATCAAGACGAACCTTGGCGCAGCGCCCGCAGACCGACTCTCTGGACGTTCATGATTGCTCAATGTCGAACTCTGACGGCGATGTGGTTGGTGGTTGCGGCCAGACAAAGGGAACCAAGAGAGTGCTCTCGCAGTCCAAGAGGTCGGATCGGACGTCGGAAGCCAGCGTCGATGATGCTCGCGCGGCACCATTCCCTCGGCCCAAGACGGCCAATGAGCTCCCGCGCATTGGGTGATGACCGCTGCCGGCCAGTTCCTCAGTGGGCAGCTGGCAGACAGCTCGGGAGGGTCCTGCCAGGCTGCGGCCCGCCAGCTCGTTCAGACTCGAGAGCTGGTCTGTGCATGGCGGGTCGGCTCCACTCTCGCTCTCGACGGACACCAGTTTTCTTCGACGCGTGCTGGCATTTCCGTGCTTTTCCTTCTCTTCCTTTCCTTCCTCAGATAGAACGGGCGCTCCAGGCTGGCGGTGTCCTTTTGATGGGACAGCGCACAACAGTCACCCGGCGGCTTTGGCTGCCACGGAGTAGCCCCAGAGCAAACATTCTTGGGAAAGATGGATCCGTCGTTAATCTCGGCACCAGGTTTTTCTCCCGTCCTGGTTCCGTTTCATTTAGAGATCTACATGATGTCGCCGACCTGCATTCGAGTGTGGGGTCCGGTCGTGTGAATTGAGCTGCCTTTGGCATACGCAGGTCCATCCCGTTTGGTCGTCATGACTGCGCGCCGCCTATCTCGGTCGTCCTAAGGCCAGGTCCTTGTGAATTGGCATCGCGTGCAGTGCCCGATAGTTGCACGTGTCTTGCCAAACCCAAACCAGCCCTCGGATCAGGATCACAACCACGCTCGAGGATTGTGTTAGCTCTGTGGTCCCAAAGGAGTGCAGGCGATGACAAGCTCCGGCTCGCTGGGGTACACGTGCGCCATGGTCCCAGATCTTGAGACGAAACATGATTGCTTGACACCATGTGATGGAGCAAACCATCGCCCGCCCACGTGTACGCCAAAAGCTGGGGTGCATTGGCCAAAGAACTGGCAGATTGGACAAAGATAGCATAAAAGACAAAACCAGCTCCGGTGCTTTGCCACTTTGCCAGGGACGACGTTTCATGCAAATATATTCACCTGTGAATGTTGGACTAGCCATAGTCTCATTCCAAATTGGTCGACTTTGCTGGATCCATCATGTTCTCCTTGAGGATGACATGATATTTGCCCATCAGAAATTACTGCATGCTCGAGAACAACAACCCAGTGAATTTGTCTGCCAAAGTTTTAACCCACAAGAGCGGCTCTCATTGCCAGTATCTTTGGTGCTCAGAATGACCATGCTGGCAGCCCAGGAGGCTATCCAACTACCTGGCCTTGTGTCAGCGTGGAATGTCGAACTGTCCAGGCCACCAGAGCAACTCGACCGCCGCCCAATGTTTTGAGAAACTCTCTGGTCTTTTCCATCCCTTTTTGAAAGGTGCACACACCAGACTTCGAGCCCGTCCGGACAGCGAGCCTGACCTGGCAGCCACTCCGGACAATTGCTCCTGCCTGCTCGTCCTCCCGCCCCGACCAGCCGCCGCAGAAACAATCCTGACCTGACGCCGCTGGGCAAGCAACCACATCAGCCAAAGACCACCAGCAGTGTGAGCAAGCTGCCTGGCCGCATCCCGCCTCGGCGAGTCCGTCAATTTTGTAGTCCGCGGAGCCACGCGCTTGCTCCTCGTCCCAGAGCAGCCTGTGTATATCTGCCGCCACCGCCTCGACGACCGTCCTCCTCATCCTGTTCACTTCTCCCTCACGTCACTCATCTGCAAACACAACACACACCGTGAGACCAGCATCATCGCCATCCTTCAAGCTTGAACTGTATCACCGCACGTTCCCCATCCCTGTACAGCCTAAGCTCACACTTCCGGAAAAGTCAGGCAACACGTACAACATCCAGCCATGACTTCACAGCCGCCCAGGAAGTCCTACGCCGAGGCGCTCGGGCTGAAAAAGTCTCAGCTGGCCCCGGTGCCCAAAGTGCCGGCTACTAAGACCAAGCAGTCAGAGACTCCCAAGGACGCGACTCCTACCAGCGCACCAAGTGGCAACGTGTCTTCGGCCGTCCCAGAAGTAAGTGAACTAGTACCACAGGCTGCATACAACCTCGAAATCGGTGCTTCATGAGTTCAACTGACATCGTTCTCCCATTTATAGAACGCGATCCAGATTCCGTCTCCTGCTCCCGCCTTGCCTCAGAGCCACACATCGACTCCGAAGCCTGCAACCCCGGAGCCTGTGATTCCCCTAGCCCTGCCTGTGACCTCCCCACGAGCAGATCTGGAGGCTGCAACTTCTGTCCCACGGTGCTGTGGTGCTCCTGCTACCCCGTCGGAGGTCGAGATCGCAGTCGGCATAGATGAGCCAGACGCTGGAGTGTGCCAAGACACTGATTCGGGAGAGTCCAAACAGTTGTCATACACTCAGCTTGAGACTGCGAACCGGCGGCTGGAGGTGGAACTCGACCTCCTCAAGCAGCAAAATGAGCAGCTCACCCTGGCTTTGATCACAGCACGTGTACAGCAGGAGCCTGACTCTGAGAATGACAAGGCACACGCAGAGAGCATGGACTCTGGCGACAACAGCACCCAGAAACGCCTCAGCGAGCTCCAAGGAGCTCTGGAATCGGCCGAGACCGAGCGCAAAGACAACGCCAGGGTTGTGGACAACCTCACCGAGAAGCTCAACACTGTCACTATTGAACGCGATGTTGCTCAAGATCGGTACAATGAGACAAAGCGGAAGCTGGCAGTTTGTTCAGCCGACCTCAAAGACATTCGGAGCCAGTACAAGCACGCCATTGAGCACCTGAGCCTCGTTTCACAAGCTCGTGACGAGGCTGCAGCGCAGCAAAAGGTCCTTATGCAAGCCCTGCAAGCAACAGAAGCCTCAGCCAAGACTCTCAGCGCCCAAGTCCAGCAACAGATTGATGACCTTGTCGCGGCTTTGCACACTCAGAAAGACGCCTTGATGAATGCGGTTGAGCAGTAGGACCGCTCAGCGCAATCCATGGAGACCCATCTCGGCCAGAGCCTGAGTGGCAGTATCTTCACAGAGGCTAGCGACAAAGATCAGGATCCCAAGGTCAAGCAGGAGGAGGCTGACATCAAGCTCTCCCACATTGAGCCTCTTGACCTCACACACGACTTCTCCACCAGCGAGGATGGCAACAGTCAGGTTATGAACAGCGAAGACGCTGAGCATTTGAAAGGCGAAGGAGGCGTCGCGGGTGCTGCTACCAGCGTGACCTTTCCAACCGATCACATCACGCCCGACGAGCCCACACCTACAGTTTCCACGATTGACAAATACACCATGATCGAGGAAGCCACTCTCGATGACTCGAAATCGAGCAGCGCTGCATCTGTCCCTCATACGGACGTCCAGGCTGAGCTCCGCCACGATTCAGACAATTCCGGCTCCAATTCTCCGGAAGAGCCCATTCGCGTCGCACGCTCTCCCACTCCAGACGAGGACGCCAATGAAGCCGCGCGTGCTTTCCAGCAGGATGAGACTATTGGTAGCACAGCTTTGTCGGCGCGAGTTACAAGAATTAGCTTCGCCTGGGTTTCAATGCCCGAAGACCCTGAGGACACGTACGCGACTGGGCTGACTGAGAGCGGCGACTTCCTTGGTTCTCGCCCGTCCTCCTCTGCGAGCAGCAACATCGCCGACCGCATGTATGAAGCCGACCTATTGGCGCAAGCTGAGGACGGCCCTAGCACCGGCGCAGCAAGCAGCAAGACCATGTCGCCCACAGGTTCACGGACATCTCCGGCGAAGTCTGACTCTGCTCACAAAAGACCTGCGAGCACCAGTGTGTCATCTTCTGCACGTTCTGCTCTATCTGACCGGCTTCGAGCTAGATCGTCGCCGACCGCCACTCGCATTCCTCAGCCAAGCAGCATGTCGCCATTGACGTCGGCTAACCTAGCAGCTGTGAGTGCGGAGCAGAGTCCAACCAGATCTAAACAGGTCAAAACCCCCCCTTCACGAAGCAGTAGCTCGTCAGGCTGTGTCAAGTCTCACTCCCGCAAACCATGGTCTTACGGATCAGGTTCTGGCTCCAGCGCTCCTCAAGGTGCGACAGAGCCGCAAAGGTTCAGAAGCGGCAGTATTCCTTGGACGACTGTGGCTGCAAGGTCACAGATGAAAGCAAAGACGCAACCAAACAATGCCAGAGCCCCCAGATCTCCTGCTGAGCACGTCAAGACGACGTCCGAACGAAGACCATCGGGTGGCACGGGCAAGCGTGGCAAAGCAGCCAATATTCGGGCCAATCAGTCGCTTGAGCAGCCCAATTCTACCAAGACGACGCCAAGCAACACTACACAGAAGCAAGAAGTGCCGAAATCGACCGTCAACACCGCTCCCTCACGACCAATCACTTCTTTGAACTGGAGAAGCAAGGCTGTCCTGGCACCTCCGAGCACGAAGACCACGTCGGGCACGACAGCTGAAGCATCAGCAAGTGCATCCGCAACTCGTCCGGGGCTCTTCGAACGGCGTAGGCGCTCAACTCTGCGTAACAATGCCGAGGACCATCAGCATCTGGGCCAGGCAGGACTAGGACAGGATCTCCTGGTCACCCAGAGCAGACAACCCCCGCATGAACCGCTGGGCCTGACGGAGTTGGCTCCCTACCCCACGGATGCCGCCACGTCGACTGGCGCACCTGTGGAGAAGCTGAGCACGGATATATCCGAGTCAACGCTCACGCAGATGTTGCGCAGAGAAGGTCGCAGCTGGTCTGACATGTATGATGACGAGAACCAGTGGTGAACGGCGCCATGACCACCGTGCACTTTGATACGACTGACAACACGGAACACTTGTGGTTGAGCAATTTCGGTGCCTGAAGGGTTATTGATGTCGTGTTTTACTTCTACTTCGGCGGCTACCGGGCCGCGGGTTCTGGAGTCGCAGCAGCGAGACCAATGCACGTTTGCGACGGTCAAGGTGAAGCAGAGCAAACTGTTATGATGTCAGGTCGGAGCTGAGGCGACAGTTGTAATGTTGACCCATGAACTCATGTGCACAGGAGATGTTGTGGCTATTTGCACTCTTGTAGACTATCTCATTTCGTGCAATGCAACATGATTGACTGACATCAATGTATTGTTGTGCTACAGCGTATGCTTTTTCATCCGCGAATCATGCCTGATGTCCACGTCCGTTAGCCCCTCCATATCAATGTGGATCGCGATGCAAGTCAAGAATCATCGTCAACCTTGCGTCATGAAGTGCGCATCTCCAACCGCACTTACATAAGCCAGGAGTATTCTGGTTGCAGTGAATATCAATCTTGTCCACGGTTTGATGAATGCGACAATCAGTAGACTCTTGTGTAGACTTCCCCAAATCTGAATGTTCTGAGAGGCAAAACACAGACTGCGCATCACAGTCATGGCAGGCCCCGTTCACATCACCATTGACCCGCGCAAGCGGACGCCTCTTCTCCGGAAGCAGCAAAGCGCGGCAGAAGCACCAAAGGACGTTCCTATCAAGCAAGTCCACACTCACCCGCGGGAAACCGATGATCCCAGCATCATCAGAGCCTTCGCCGGGACAGAGGCCCAGGCGACCGGCTCCGGCTCCAGCTCCGGCTCCGGCGCTCCCTCCAAGAATGACCACGACAAGAGAGACCTCGACGGAAGCATTTACTTTATCGGCACGGCCACCACGATCCTGAGCTGGCACGGCCTGCGGATCCTCACAGACCCAAACTTCCTGCACGCCGGGGACCACGTGCACCTCGGCCCCGGGGTGACGGCTCAGCGCCAGACCAACCCGGCCGTCGACCTGCACGACCTGCCGCCCATCGACGTCGTGCTGCTCTCGCACTACCACGAGGACCACTTTGACCGGGAGGTCGAGGCCGCGCTGCGGAGGGACGTGAGGATCGTCACGACGCCGCACGCCAAGGGGTGTCTGGAGGACGGGTCGAAGATGGCGGGCACCAGCAGCAGCAGCAGCGGGGACGGGGAGGACGAGGGCAGTAGTGGCGGATTCAAGCAGGTCACGGGGCTGGATGTCTGGGAGAGTGCGGTCCTGCATGTCGACGGCGATCAGCACGAGGAAGACCAGCAGCGGCTGCAGGGAGAAGCAGGGAAGAAGGCGCAGGCGGGGCCTGTCGTCAAAATCACGGGCATGCCGGGAAAACACGTCCCACCGGGCCCGCTGTCCGTCGCGAATGATATCCTCAAGGCGGTGCCGCCGACCAACGGGTGGCTCCTGCAGCTCGGCTACGAGGAGGCAGCGGATAGTAGCAGTGGCGGCGGCGGCGACGGGCAAGAGATCAAGACCGGGTACCGGATCTACATCTCTGGCGACACGCTCTTTGTCGACGACCTCAAGGAGATCCCGAAGCACTTCAACGAGCAGAGGCTCGACCTGATGCTCGTCCACCTCGGCGGAACCACGATCCCGGGCCCCTCGATGCCGCTGCTCATGGTGACCATGGATGCCGAGCAGGGCTTCAAGCTGATGCAGCTGATGGACCCGGACGTGACGATCCCCATACACTTTGACGACTACGATGTGTTCCTGTCCCCACTCTCTGATTTCAAAGACAAGGTCGAGACGGAGGGCTGGGGCGACAGGGTGGTGTACCTGGACCGAGGGGAGATGTATCGCTTCAAGGTTAGGAAGTGAGCTATCACGGCGTCCCGGCAGACTGGCCTTGGCGAAGGACGAGGATATGCGGCTCCGGCGGCTGTGTGCGGTCATGCGATCTGATATGTGAGCCACATGAAGCAGCGTGCCGGAACAAGGGCGGAGTCCAGTACTTCTCCGGCGCCGTGGCGCTGCCGAACCCGAGGTTTTTGACTCCATTCTCGGGGTGGGGATGCTTACTTGAACATTACAACACACCAACCCTGGTCCTCCACCGTTGCGGCATGGGAAGGGAAGTGCACAAAAAGAGGACTATCTGAGGGCTCCAAGATAAACATGACTACAGGGTCAGTGGGAAAGTGCTTGCAAGACAGACAGGCTCGGTTCCAGGAGAGGTGCACATTCTGTTCAACGGCCCGATTTCTGCGGCCGACCGCCGTTGCTTTTGGAGATAAGAAGCAACGGTATAGTGTGACTGTACTGTCTCATACGTAGTCCTTGAAATCAGGCAGGACGACGCTGGAGCGCCGACGTCGCAAGTCGCAAGACTTTTCAGCATCAAAGTGTGACGTTCGGAGCAGGAAATGGTCCGCACGGGGATACACCGGAGGAACCTGGCTGAGGGTGTAGGGGCAGCTCTCCGGGAGCAGATAAATGGCGCTCTGGAGCCGTACCTCACACCGTTCGGGGACCTTTCTCCTTTATACGTAGTACGAAGGCAACTATATAAACAGGTCGATATATCCTTTATCCGAAGTTGTGTACCCCGAGTGAACGTTTCCCGTCACATGGTCTTGACAGCACGAAACCGGGCAAAACAAAACTGACACCCGAGTGTCATCAGATGTTAAATGTGGAACGACGTACAGTACCTCCCACCGGACCAAATGCAGGGGGGCCGGCCGCGCCCGTCGGCTTGGACGAGGTCCGAGTCATGCTAGTCGGGCGATCTTCTGCTGAGAAACACCCGTGCCCAGCCCAGGTTCTGACAAGGGGGGGGGAGCCATAAGCACAAGGGGTTGAGGTCGCGCTCGAGTAAGGCGACGGCACGGTCCATGCCCTCCCATTGGTCCTCCGGCCCCGATTCCGACGAACCCGTGGACCGTGGACCGTGGACCTTGCTTATCGCGCCATCACGGTCCCACAGCACTCCAGGATGAACAGTAGGGATGGAGAGGGGGGACAGGAAAGATGTTGTTGAGATATGGAGCTCGCCACTTGTGGGCCATCGCAATGATCCAGATTGTAACCATCCTCAGCAAGGCAAGACTGGTCTGGCCGGCCGGGCTGATTAGCTGGGCGAGGCCTTGCCCGCCGGGACGGACGTTGCAACGCATCGTTCTGGCGATCGGCTGCAAGCAAGAAACGGGTCTTGCCTGCCGTGCTTGGTTGCCGTCTGTGTGGATCGTGGGGGAGGGGACGGGACGACGGGGCACGCGGGGCCCAGATCAGCACGAAATGCCGCACTTTGCCACGTGGGGGGGGGGGGGGGGAGTTCTGCATGAAGGAAAATGATATTAAAAAGAATCCCGACGGATGCCAGTGGCACATCTATCGGGAGATCTGTGGCTGAGCCGTGCTTTCAAGCTGGATCAACAGGAGTGATCCTCAATGCGGCTCAAGTGCAATGCGCGGAATGGAGGTGCGGCAACCTCGTCTCCCTCAGGTCTGTGTCAAGGCCTGTACAGGTGCCAAGTCCGCTTCGTAAACCATCCGGCGGCTGGGCTTGCATATAGGCCAGGATCTTCTAAACACTGCTGCAGGACTGGGCGGGGTGTTCGCACCATAGCCCTTGTCCATGGCATGGGTACCTGGCGAGTTTGTGGACAAAATAATTAAGCCAGGTTGCTGTACAGCGTGGGTGTATGTGGTCAGCTCTTTTTGTTTTTGCCTGCCTGCGCGTAGACTCGCCTTGCTTGTTGGTACATGGGGGATGTAGGTGACTGCCAGAGGAGAGTCGCAGCCACGGGGCCTGAGCGCAGTGGTGGTGTGCACCCAATGCTGCGCAAATGCTAGCTCAAGCTATTACTATCGCGGAGGAGCTTTCGTAAGCTGAACTCGTAGGTTCCTTGCCATATCGTTGTGACAGTGGGATCACCACAGCGGGAGCGGCGCTGAGCTAGAAGCCGCCGTCTCAAACACGGCTGGAGCCATCTGCCGGGTACGGCTGAGATGAAATCCACCCGTTGACGAATCCCTGTTAGGATCTAGGTGGGCACTAATACAGAACGAGTCTAATCCAGGGGGTCGGTTCTCCTCCCCCCCGTCAAAGCGTGTGCACTACGGAGTAAAATCCTGGCGTCGGCTGACGGCAACCTTGCCCATGTTGGAGCACATGCCCGTCTCTAGGGGTCCCTTGCCACCGCAGCAATATCATGTGCCAACCACCTGTCTCCGGCCCCCCATCTCTCAGGTTGGGCGGGTATCTTTACTGATTACCCTTTATGGGCCGAGATTGGAAGATCATCGTGGAAATTGTACCGGAGAGCCTTGCTTGAAAAGACCTCGGCAGCTCCAGAAGAAACACAACAACACTGAAAACGAGTACGCCACTGGGATAAAATTTACTAACCTTCCAATCCCATATTGGTTGGTGCGTGCACTGACCGAAGAAATATCGAGCTGTCACACACTCTGCGACGAATCATATATTCTGCAGGGAAATGACTAGCTGAGCCACTATTGCCTCCTCTCGCCTTGACACTGACGCGTCGTTTCTCACCGGGCACGGTTTCCAGAAACGGCACAAGGCTCGCTCCAAGCACAGTCTTTCCCGAACACTTGGTGCTGTGGCTTCGAGTTATAACGCGGAGCGGGGGGCATTAACGCGCATCACCTACTGCATCCGATCATAGCAGCATGTGGCAGAATCCACCCATAATGGTTTCGTATGGAAGAAGCCCTCCTACCTAGTGCTAGTGCTGATACCCCGTGGCCGGACTTGTTCATCCACAAAGACCATGTACCCGACCCACAATGCGGTGTGGCACATGCCCTTGCAGCCATGTGCCGGGCTTAAAACCATGTGCTCCCCCCCATCTAGGGTGGGTAGACCCTTGTTCTCTTAATGTACTTAACTTCTTTGCGAACCACTTCATGACTCGACATCTCGTTCTGTAAATCGAAGACGACGGACGCATCATGGCTGGTGGCGGTCTGGGATGGGTCAGCAACCCGGCGGAAACACGCGGCCCGCTGCTGCAAATTGTCACCTACACCCTGCTGGGTGTCAGTACCATCTTCGTCGGACTTCGACTGCAGCAGCGATGGATAACCACCAGATGGCGGGCAGATGATTACTGCTTGATACTCGCGCAGGTGCGTCGGATTCGATCTGTCCTGTCTTGATAGGGCAATAGTCATGCTCACATGGTCCCGATAGTGCTTCCACATTGCCTTTGCAATCATTACGCAATTCGAGGTTTCTGCTGGGTTTGGAAAGCATTCTCTCGATGGTAAGTCGTGCAAGGCTCCAGATCTCCTCAACCGTGGGGGTCAGGATGGGTATGTCAAACTGAGTTTGGTGGCTGACATGTAGTCTGTTTTTCTCGCCAGTCCCATTCACAAACCTCATGTCACTTGCGATATATGGCCTTTGCGGAATCACTGTCGCCTTTCTGGGGATTACCGTAGCCAAGATCTCTTTCGCATTCACTCTTCTGAACCTCGCCAACAGCCTGTGGTCGTGGATCAACTGGGTCATCTGGTTCATCGTTATCAGCTTGATCGTGTTTACACTTCCAGTGGCTATTCTGCCATGGGTGCAATGCGACCCACTGGCCAAGGCGGTTGTCGACTTCATTCCAGGAACATGTGTCAACAAGTGGCACACCATCAACTTCGGCATATTTCAAGGCAGTACGTTGTTACCCTTTCGCTTTGATCATGGGGTCCTTTCTCTAGGCCCCTCTTCCTTGTATGCTTGTCCTAACCATTGACTGAGCAGTATACTCTGGCTTGATGGACCTTTTGCTCGCATTCATGCCATGGAAAATTGTCTGGAACTTGCAGATGCGCCCGATTGAAAAGGTTGGAGTCGGCATGGCGATGAGCCTCGGATGCGTGTAAGTCGGCGAGCAAACTGATGGATCCCCAGCCACAAAGTCGACGACGATGAGAACCTTCCCCAACTGACATCAAATACAGCGCGGGCGCCATGGCTTTCATGCGAGCTTCGCTGGTGCCTAACCTCGCGACCACGGATGTGTCATATGACGGTGCCCTTTACACTCTTTGGGGCGAGATCGAGATGGGTACCACCATTATCGCGGCATGCATCCCGGCCCTGCGCAGGATGATCCGTGACGGAGCCATCAGCACGCGCAACCGCACCGCCAAATTCACCGGGCGGAGCGGCCAGAGCAGCAGCGCGACCGGTTCCAAGCTGGGCGTCTCGGGCAAGAGCGGGTACGCAAACGGGCTCAGCAGCAACGGCACCGGGACTTTGGTCGACAATGGCGGCGACGGAAACAGTTTCCCGCTCGCGCGCCTCAGAGACAACAACAACAACGGCGGCGGCGGCGGCGGCAACGACGGCAACGAGAAGAACAAGAGACGGGTCGTCAGCTCGAACAAGTGGTACTCGGCGTATGACCAGGGCGCAGCCGACGACAGCGACGAGAGCATCATGCTTCGGCAGAGCACCGACGCGGGCATGGCCGCGCTCACGGCAAAGTACGACAGGTACGGCAACCCGGTGGTGGACCAGACGAACCGGTTGAGCAGCGGCGAGACCAGCGAGACGGAATATCGCAGGCAGTCGACGCCCACGCTGGAAGTAGAACATCACGGCATCAGCGTGGTCAGCCCTGTGCCGCGCGTGGCCTCGAGAAATTGGCCATTATAGCATCGCTCCCTTCATTTCTCCTTTCCTTAGCTTTAGCGGTTCTCGAACATTATTATACAAACGATATCAACCAAGCAATGTCGTCGCCTGTGATCATGATGAATTTCAAGGCGGATCGCGGGCACACTTCACGAGTATGCAGTTTGACTCAAGATGCAGTATATATTCTTTATCTATGCGAACCACACTCGTGGATCCTACGGCTTAGATTTCAGAAGATCATTGAGATTGATGACCGTCGCGGAGAACGGCGTGTGCAGGCCCAAGCCGAAGTCATCAAACGTCTCCCCACCATAGATCATGAGGTGATCGGGCCGCTTCTTGAAGATCTGGATGGCCCTGCTATAAACGGCACCTGCGGGAGTCGCATGGGATTCCCACTTGTTGACGTCGCCGCCGAAACGGTTGGTGTAGACCTGGCGGTTGTCAGCGTCGGAGACGACGATCGTGCCAAATGGGCCGCCAAGAGGGCTCCAGACGACATAAGGGCTGGCATTTGGTGCAAAGGACCCGTCTATGACAATCGGGAGACCTTCAGAATGGCGGAAGTCGAGAGGTGAATCTGCAAGCCTGTAGTAGACAGGATAGTGCGAGCCGTGGGAGGATGAGTTGCCCACGGGAAATTCGTGGACGAGAATCCATTTCTTGGTGGGCTTGATGTAGGCGACGACGGTCATGCCAGGCCGGGCGATATACTCGTCGTATGCGACGTCGTCCACAGGCGCGCTCCAGTGGACCAAGTCCCGAGAAGTCTGGTGTGAGAGCTTCTGCCCGTGCTTGGGGTCACGCTGGTCGGAGTAGTAGCAGACGAGTTGGTGGTTGTATACCCTGTTGTTGTTGTCTCGTTAGTACCTCGGATGACCAGTACTTGACTCCTATAGTGAGATCAACTGCTATAATGGGATAATCACAACTTACATGAAGTACGGCTCCCATACAGGAGTTGCGCCGTTAGTCGTGTTCGGCCGGCCGCCTGAAGCCACATGGCTGACAAACTCCCAGGAGCGACCTCTGTTGGTGCTCGCGTACAGGTCGATCCGGGTGCCATTGTTGCTCCAGCTATTGCCGCCAGCCAGGATCGTGCCCTTCTTGTACTTGCCCAGGTCCTCGGTGAGCTCGGTTATGGCAGGCTGTGCACTCATGCCCCAGCCATTAACCTGGTCTGTGAGGTTGGAAATGTATTTCCAGGACGCTCCGCCATCCTTGCTTTCGAAGACGGGGAAATAGCCTGGGCTATGGCCCATCAACGATGCCGTGGCTAGGATGGTGCTGTCCTCGAGCTCAGCATAGCGGGGGTAGGTGATGGCCTCGGAGCCAGTGGTCTGGTAGATTGTGTTGTTCGTGAAGAAACCCCATGGTTTCGGCTTGCCTGGTCCACCAGGAGGACCACCGGGGCCTCCAGGAGGTCCGCCTGGTCCGCCAGGACCACCTGGAGGGCCCGGTGGGTCAGCAGGGCAGTCCGTCCCTGGCTCGTGAGGAGTGGTGGGCGCCGCAAATAGCGGCTGCACCAGAAGTGCCGCGAACAGAAATTTTCCAAGCATTGTGAAGAAGGACTACACTAAGTGAGAGGGCGTCGAGAAGTTGGATTGTGCTTCGTTAACCACAGCTCAACTACATTGGCAGAAGTAAGTGCTTGGCGATGGTTCGTGAATTTATAGTAGACAAGTCTCCACAGCACGAAGCGGTGTCACGGAATGCGATCCCGTCAGCTCCAGGATCTTGCCCCATTCTGGGGTAATCATATGCAGGAAGCAAGGATTCTCCGCAGAACCCCAGAGTGCTTGTCAGGCCTGGAGCGCATAGTTCGAGCTGCCTCTTGGCCGAGTGGCTGCATGGTGAATTTAACCGTGACGATCCCCTTACCGTTCGCGGAAGTCCAAAGCCCAATATTCAGCCTGTGGTGAAAAAACCGCAGTGCGGGGACTAGCTATTTCTTCAAATTCATGGGAGACTATGGGGGGACTCAGTTTACTTGCACAGGAACCGTCCCTTATGATTGACAAAGCCTTCGAAAGGAGGTTGCGGCTGTGGGTGTATTTTACAGAGCAAATGATTTGATACATCATAACCTCGACTCTAATCAGCTTTACGCCACTTCAATTGTCTGGGGCCACTATACCTTGATCTCGATATTTTAACCTCACCAGGCCTGCAATTCAGTTGAAGCAACGCCACCCGGCCTCTGCTCCTGTGATGTTCTCCACAGTCTAATGTCTGGTCAATGAGCTGAACGTGACTTTTTTGGCATGCGGGGCTTAAGGCCTGACTTCGCCTCGTGTATGCATGCGAGGCTAAAATCACGGCTAAATAGTCTTTCCATACAACATGCCAGAATCCCGCTTGTCTACTTACAGCCGCACGCTTGAACGAGTCCACCTCGTCACACCCCGCTGACATATAGCCTTGCCATGGAAAAAGTGATGCACCCGGCTCGCGACTATGCATGGCTTCTCAACTGCCCTCTGCGCCGAAGGGCCCGGCCTTTGGCCCATGTCCTACAAGCCCACGGACGCCATCTTGCGATTGGTGCACCTCAATGCCGAATAGATTTTATTCACTATGGACGTGCCGCATCTTCGCATGTAGCCAACAAGCTGAACAAGCCCGCATTCGTATCGTGCTGCGTGATCGGCCAGGACCCCATGTCAAGCCGTTGGAGCAAAGCGGCACAGGAAACGGCTCGGTATCAGGTCTCGAGCGGCGGTCTGTGATGTTTCGTAAGCCGAAAGGTGACAGCTAATCAAAAGGAAGCAAAGCAACAGAGTTGACCTGGAATTGTGTTGGCCCAAAAGGGCGGCCTGCTAAGCCCTCGCTGGACAAATCATGCGCTTGTCTAAGCGCTGGAAAACTGCCAACACCTGTGAGGCTGACTTGTGGTGGGTGGGTGGTCATGGAGTTGGTTCCAGATGTGCTCCTCCAAAGACCCAAGGCCAGCTTGATAAAAACGGCCGCTGGTTGCCGCTAGTCCAGAAATCAAGCATACTTCTCATTCAGAGACGGAAAATAAATATAACGTGCAGCAATCTCCATCGATCAATACTTCGCCTACGGCTCTCTCGCAATGGTGAGTCGGCGTGCACCAGCTTCGAGGGACGGAAATGAAATTCTCGACACTCGAGGCGACCTGTGGCTCAAGACCGATCACCACCGCGTCTGCGGCAGAGACTTTCCCGCTCGCCATTTCCTTGTATGCCCCAGAACAGTCGCTCGGCACTCTACAGTTTTAGCTGAGATCCTCTTTCGTGATGGCGGCCGAACACCCTCGGGTTCCGAAACTGCCAACACAAGCGCTGCTGTGGAGACGAATCCTTCCTGGGTCGTCCACCTGCCTGAAGCCATGTCGACGCCGCTGAAGTGGTTGCTGCAGCTCATGCACGGGCAGTTCTGTCAGCCTAACGCCTACGGCAAGCTGCTAATGGATCGATACGAGATTGTGGTGCTCGCGGACAAGTATTCATGTCTGAAGCTCTTGCAGCCGTGGGCGAATATCTGGGCATTGGATCTTGATCCATACCGAGCAGTCGCCCCCAGAGTCCTTTGCCGTGTGGCCTGGCTCTCGTACAAGCTCGGGGAGCCCAAGGTCTACTCTGCAGCCATCAGACGTTTAGTGGTCAGGTTTCCTGCCGATTCGGAAGAGCTCGAGCTCGCATTGGCGTCAATGACATTGCCTCCGAGTCTGGAAGGTACGCTTGTCCCAACACATAATTAAAGGCGTGGTTGAGAGGCTCATACGACTTGACCAACAGACAGTATCTATCACGAACGATTGGCACATATCACCCTGGTGCTTGATGAGATACAGCAATGCCTCGATGAGTTGATTGACATCAACTTGAAACCTTCGCCGTATTGCCACCTCGAGGGCGGCCGTGGCTCGAAGACCATAGATTGGGATGTAATTGACTGTCATGCAAAACTTCTCGGCAGCCTGATCCAGATCTTGGCGAGAGACAAATTGTGGCCATTACCGAAGCCAAGCGGACTTACTGATCTGAGTCTGCGAGAGCTCGGATGCACAGTTTCTGCAATGGCAGAATCGTCCAAGGCACGCCGGTCGTACAATCTCATCAAGAGCGCACACATCTCATGCGCTGTATCATTTCCTAGATTAACCTTGGACCACCCTGATCCGAGCCCGGATTATGCCTCCGAAGATTCCGCCACCGGTACTTTGACGTCGCAAGAGTCTAGGAGGGAACAAGCTGACCTTTCCGATGAGGAGTATGAAGTGCACGTGTCACTCGGGTATTTCTACCGACTTACGGCTTCCGAGCAAGAGTATATGGCTTCGCAGGCAAGGCTATTCGATCGATGAGGATGGTCACGATGGTCTAGTATTCGAATGAACTTAGTATATCCATACACTTTCAGATTTGATTCGTTTCGCATCCTGTATCATGAACATGGCGACCACGCAATTCCCACGTGAGAACAATCAATATAGATGGTCAGTTCACCGCTGGCAATTGTCCCGAGTGAGCCGTTCCTCAACGTCTGATACACCAGTACAAAGTTCTTGATAGAAAACAGACATTGTCTATAAGACAGCCACAGTCCCCTTCGTTGCATCTTCTGACAATCAAACTGAGAAGCGTCCGTGGTTCCTCAGCCTCGTAGGATGAATGCTCGCCTGCTTAGGGCAGGCGACTGTAGCTCAGACCCACAAGTAAACCCAGCAGCCAGGATAAAGCTCGCGCCACTGGTCGGCAACCTCGTTGTGCCAGGCCAAGTACTGGTCATGACCGACCGATCCGTGCACAAAGGATATATCGCAAAAGGCATCGGTCGTGCCGGGTTGCTGCCAGGCCACCGCGTTGTGGTTCCAGCCGTTGTTTGGGATCGAGCGGCATTTGTTCGCCCAGATCGCTGTCATCTGATTCAGGGGGTCGTCCTCCTCCTTCACGGGGCCGTCCAAGATAGGCTTGGCCAGGACCCGGTACCGGCGGCCAACCTCGTCCCAATTGCTGGTCCACTTGATGGCGAGGCCGCAGTTGCTCCCCACCTTTCCTCGGCCGGCGCTGCTTTCGACCAGGCCGGGTTGAGTATTGACGATCTCGTTGGGACGTGGCGCATCGTCGATGCCTTCGGGCTTCTGGAGCGAGGCGGTGCCGACAAAGCTGGCAGGAACCGTGGACGTGGCTTCGACTAGATCGGCAGCGATATTGGTGGCCAGACCACATGCCAGAAAGGCGGTTTTGAGACGAAGCATCATCTTAGAGTGTTTGTTGCAAACAAGCTTGGCTGGAAAAAAGTCGCAGTGAATGATCTGCAGTACAGGCGTGGGTAATTCGAGGGAAATTCGAACGTGACGTGTATGAAAGGAGGCGATCAGTATGGAAAGAGTTTTGACTGGCAAAGAATGGACAGTCGGATTTGAGACCAGCTTTATGTCTCATTGCCGTCAGTGGGCATTGAGAACAGCAGAGCCACGCGAAGATGAAAGCAGTACATGAGCATAGCAAACCTCCACACACTCTCGTGCCAAGTGCAGACCATTGCAACGACTTTGCGTTCCGGTGCCGGACCACACCAGCCGGAACAAACTCGAGGTTCAAGGTTGTGCTTCATCCAGCGTCAAATTCTGTTGGTCTCCCGCTTTTTGCAATTGAATGCTTCAACAGTGCTCCCACACAGTGGCCTGAATTAGAGCCCGCCTTAAAGATTGCTGGAAGATCTGCGCTCGACTGTGGCAAAGGCCAAGTACTGCACTGTTTTCTGAAAGAGCATTGAGCTTGTGCCCTTCGATGATAGCATTATATGGAAGGTGCCCGAAGCACAATTGATTGCGACGCTGATCTAATTGCACTCGGCCTGGATTGACTGCTTGCTGACCTTGCGGTTCCTTGTAAGTTTGTCCTCATTGTCAAGCAATCAAGTGTCGCATGCCAAAGAGGTGGCCCCTTGCATTGTATTGAAATAGACGCGGTCTGATTGTCCAATCCGCCAAATGTGAAGCCAACAGGCATATCCAAGCAAAGTGCCTCTGCTGAATGAGCCCTCCGGAATGACAGCCGTTGTATCGTGTTTCAGGACCGTTCCCGGGACTGGATTGATTATTTTAGAGGGCCGCTCAGGTTAGGCTATGAAGACTGTTGCGCATAGCTACCTGGGCGCCTGGTAGGGCGAGGGAAGCAGAAAAAGATCCAGACATAGTAGGACTTGATGTTTCGCTTCGAAGCTGAACGCGCGTGCAGGCGTTGTCTAAAACGCTCGGTTCGACCGAGAACAAACTCAGCCGAGACCCTGCAGACTATAGCTTGCCAGAGATTCAATGGCTCCATACCGACATGGGCGCGCACCTCTCACCCTTGCGTCGCGCGTGGCGCATGCGTCGATGCACTTGCGATTCTGCGTTGCCGGGGGCGGGGGCAGAGTGGTGGAACGCAGAACGTCCCAAGAATCGCGGTTTCGAAACAGGGGTGCTGTCGCAGACCACGCCCTGGGTTACGCACATGCTGACTCGGTCCCTTTCCTTTCTGGCATGATTCTTCAGCGCAGAGCAGGCCTCCAAGCCACAGAAGCGAGACTCCATGCAACCTCGTCTGCGAAACATGCTCTCCCGCATAATGCTGGAAGCGCAAACGTGTTTGGGGCCATGTTTGATCATCCCTTAAGCGAAGGGGCTATACGTCGGCCGTTGCGATGTTTCGAGGTTAAATCAATTGTATTTATTACAGACGAAGTCCTGACCTCAAGCAGCCTGAAGAATGACAGCAAACACACATCGAACAAAGAATTGAAAGACAGCTTTGATTCTTGACAACAGGACAGCTAGCAACCACTATTTGCAAACACAAGCACGACCATCGAGCAAAACAAACTCCATCACCGAACCATCGCTCAACTTGCAAACCTTCACAATGGTCGCATTCACAAACATCCTCCTCACAATCTTCTTGACATCCTCGTCAATCACACCTGCCCTCGCGCGCCCCAGCCCGCTCTCGCCAGACCCCGCGGGTGCCAAGAACGTCGGTAACGGCGCCGGCGGGCAGTTCATAGGCGGGGCATGCCTCAGCTCAGCAGACTGCGCGAGCACATGCTGCGCAACGCTCAATGGCGCAGGGATATGCTCCGGGCTGGGCGCCCAGTTCCAGGCAGGCAAGACGGGATGCGGCTTCGGCGACGGCGGCGCAGCGGCACCACCCGCGGGCTCCCCGCCGGCGGCCCAGCCGAGTTCTGCCCCGGAGGCTCGACCTGACGCAGGTGCCGGAGCCGGTGCCGGCGCGGGAGCCATTGACGCCTCGCTGCCCGGCTCGCAGAATGTCGGCAAGGGGAACGGGTCGCAGTTCATCACAGGCCAGTGTCTGAGTGATGCGGATTGTCAGTCTGGTAAGTAGCAGTCTTGGTTGCCATCATATGGTTGGACGGTGAAAAGGGAGTCACAAAAACACGTGCTACAATGCTAACGACTTCTGCTAGGTTGCTGTGCAAAGCCGAAAGGCGTCTGTTCCGCCGTCGCGGTGCAATTCGACAGCGGGAAGCAGGGATGTGGGTTTGGTGCTGCTTGAGCTTGTGCACAATGGGCGAGGGAGCGGACTTATCCAGCGCAGCCTAGGCCTGCAGCAGGATATACTTTAGAATTTGCAACCAAGCTGTTCTTTTCGGACTTCTGGGTTGGGGAAATACATGTCGGCGTTTTTGGGTACTGTCAGGGGACATTCTGTATTATCTTCACAGAGCCCGTTGGGCTCCAGTACAAAAGTAGTGGAGGAAATGCAAAGATTTGAGCCAATCCGACCAAGACTGTTTGGAGATCCTTCGTTCGTTGCGCGAAATGATAGCGTTCTCGAAGTACTTGCAATCGTCACAGCTACTTGCCACTTCCGCAAAAACAGGGATTATCTTTGCTTGAATGAGGACCAGGATAGCATAGGACGCCTTTGTATCAGAGCCTTATGGGCTCTGCGAAGATAACAGACTTGTTGCTCTACCTTTCTGCTATCGTGATCATCCTGGCGTAAAACAACAAGACCCGGCTGATTTTCTCTCTTTCTTTCTGCCACATGTCAGCTTGAAGCAATCTTAACCTCGAATCAGGATCTGCATCTCGCCAGTGCCATAGCCTTGTTCTCTTGTCGACGATTCGTTCGTCCGGAGAGCGAAGCGAGCCATCGCGCGCGTTCGGCAGTCAGACCCCTGACCCCTGCGCGCGCATATCGGAGGATTGCTTCCCCACACCACCTTCGCCCTTCGCCTGCGCGCGCCCGTGCTGTCTGCTGCTCCATAATGAGATGATGTTTGCGTGTTGCCTCCTCCTAACTAAGCGAGGGGTCGCCCCCCAGAACGTTTCAGAAACGTAGCAGGCGTTGCAGCCAATCAGCGCGACGAACTGCCCTTTCCTCCCATCACACAAGACAGGGCCGAGCGCCAGATCAAACAATGCCCCGCGTCATCTCATTGTGCGCAGTCGGCGAGTCGAGACTCGAGGGCCCATGTTCGTGCTTTAAGCCGTCGTGCATGCTTTTGTGGAGAGCCCGTTTTTATGCACATGGCGCTGAGCGACGGGAGTGGCTGCTCGAGGATAAGTTGCGGCCCCTCTCATAAAAGGTGGAAATGGTCTGAATCTTGGATTGGCAGGCCGTCCGGTGGTGGTGGCAGCTGCTGGAACGGACCAGGACACTCACGTCTCCGAGCAAATATGTCCAGGTTGTGCCACCGACTGCATGTACACAGTGAGACATGGTCCAGTCGTCTTTCGACGAGAATATCGATTTCCAGAACTGTCACATGCCATTTCCTTTGGAAACATTATCGAGAATGGAAATGGGACTTCGGCAAGCTCCGCCGTCGAAAGATCGACAGGGACGCGGGGGGTTCATATATTAATCTGGCGCTGCAGCCGGGGGAGCAGCCGTGGCGATCAAGCGTACGCAACAGTGCGTTCCGCCTGCAGTGGTCTCTTTGGAACAGACAACGGACCGAATCCTCCTGGCGCACGTTCGTCGACAAGTGTCACAGAGTCCTTGTACCCACTCTTGGCTACTGCCTCCGAGGGCATTCCCACGCGAGCCCATCACCCAGGCACAGGGTTGAAGTCCTATAAGAAGCAGCGCCAAAAGGGGCAGGTCAGACAGGCCGCTTCTGCGGTGTTATTGGCTGGACGGGAAACGGCAAGCGTCGTACTACTGCCCCCTGAATCCACAGCCGGCCGCCTGGGCAAGTCTTGTTAGTGCGCAGCAAATGGAAAACAAATCCAAGAGCACAAAGATCTGCCTGGGGACACAAAGTCGAGGTGAAACGAGCACAAGGTTCCAGCAGGCGCGAACGCATTTCCTGTGCTTCGGCTCATAACACCACGTTGCCCATTTTTGCATGCTCAGGCTTGCCAAGTCACTCTATCATTCCTGCGTAAGGGCTGGTGAGAAGATCGCCACGGGCAGTCCCCACCCCCTACACACCCCATCTCACTCCGCGCCGTCAGATAGATTGTCCGTCGCCTCGCTTGTGCCTGGACGCAAGCCACCTCCGCCACGCCATTGGGCGGCCCCGTCCCGAGTAATCGACTTTGTGCGGCTCCAGGCCCCGCCCGGGAAAAGGGCCTCGATCCTCCATAACGCGTAAAACTATACTTCTTGCCTCTTTTAAGACGGGTACTCCGAGAGCCACGGATCCTTTGTGGCTCGCAAAGCGTAGTCGGGTTTTCTTTTCATGACTAACTCTCAAATTGTGGAAACTGGATTTGACACTGGTGTGAGCCTAGACTAACACAAGAAAAGCAGCTGCATGCTTCACGCGTGTGGCTTTTCGGCTATCGAGGCTTGTACTCCAGTTCCCTTGGCCCCCACAGTCGACCACTACATATGCTCGTCCAGGAAGGTTGCGAGTCGGGGATATAATGCGCACCCCTGCCGCAACCTGTTCAGGGCCCACGTATAGCCTTGGGGAGCCATGTCCTCGGAGAGAAACGAAACATTGCACACCATCCGGCCCCGCAAGGATGAGATGCGATCTGCCGCCAGGGTTCAGGCCTGTGGTTGCCGCACTGCGCGTGTAGTCTGCAGACGGCACACCATACCAGGAGGCGCAACCGAGCGGGACTAGTTGACAGTATATATCGAGTTCATGCTCCTCGCCTCGGTGCCACATCCTTTGGTGTTCCTGTGACCACGGCCACGCGAACTCTCTTGCTCGGCTATCGGTTGTCGTGTTGTACTTGGGCTCTGGTAGCTTCGTCACTCCTTTTTTTGCCACTGCTTGCCAATCACGCTCATTGCAGTCGACCTCGACATCCAGTCTCTCATTACTTGCCTGCTTTGCTCCGGCATAACAACTCTCCATCTCGACAGGTCGGGACCGAGGCAAGACCACCCTGTGGGATCAAGAGCAACCATTTTCTGCGTCCACCTGAGCGAACCACAAGACATTCCTCGAGAGAACAACACACTCGTTCCATGATCTCTCCATTGTTCAAGCAACTACACTCCTTCAACTAAATCACCACACCCACAACCAACACCATGCGTCACTTCTTCGCAACAGCCGTGGCCGTAGCCACGAGCATCCTGTCTCACCGCACCGCTCTCGCATTGCCCGTCGTTGCCGAGCCTGCCAATGCCGTGCAGAGCGTCATCATCAGCGCGCACAACACGCTCAACGGCACCGCCCCTCCACAATCGCAACAACAGCAACACCAGCAGAGCCTCGGCGTCACCGACTTTACCGCCTCCTCGACCTCGACCTCGACCTCGTCCAACTCGCTCAAGTTCGCCGTCCACAACAACCTCCCCAGCACTCAGCACGGGCTGATGGCCTACGTCACGGGGCGGGACATGTCTGGGGCGGTGGTGATGCTCAACAGCGCAGGGCAGTGGTACTACCCGGACGCGCAGGGGAGCATGATCCCCGTGGCGATCCCCGAGTCGGCCAACATCGGCATCCCGCTGTCCCCCAAGACGTCCGAGTTCACGATCCCGGACTTCATCGAGTCTGGCCGCGTCTATGTCTCCGACGGCCGGCTGTCCTTCCTCGTGGTCACGTCTGACCTCGGCGGGACGACCCTCGTGGAGCCGTCTGCCGCGAACCCGGCCGACGCCTCGGCCAACGTCAACTGGGGCTTTGTCGAGCTGACCAACCTCAAGGACGCGGGAATCTTCGCCAACATCTCGTTTGTCGACTTTGTCGGGCTGGTCATGGGCATGCGGCTGCACCTCGCCTCCGGCGACGCGGCGACCCAGACCCAGCAAGTCCAGGGTCTCGCCGGCGACGCAGTCCAGGCCATCTGCGACGAGATGCACGCCCAGGGCGCAAAGGACGGGCAGCCGTGGGGGGACATGTGCGTGACGGACGCGGCGTCGGGTAAAGCGCTGCGCGTCATGGCCCCCAACATGTACGTCGCGAGCCACGCCGAGGCCATGCTCGACTACTACACCGAGTACGTGGACAAAGTGTGGGCGCGCTTCGCCGGGGAGGACCTCGTCATCGACACGCAGTCCGGGGCCGGGAAAGTCGCCTGCCGTGTCAAGCCGGCGCAGAACAACCCAGACAAGCAGGTGCTCGCGTGCGACGGGGACAACCGCGAGTACGTCAAGCCCGTGGCGAGCGACATCTGGGGCTGCAACACGGGGCCCTTTGCCATCGTGGCTAGCGACAACGACGTGCACAAGGCGGTCGTGCCGCGGCTGTGTGCGGCTTTCACGAGGTCGGAGCTGCTCGTCGAGGGCGGCAGCATCTGCACGCCCAGCGAGGAGAGCAGCAAGCGCTACTACCAGGCGGACCCGACGAACCACTATAGCCGCATCATCCACGAGCACCAGGTCGATGGCAAGGGGTATGCCTTTTCCTACGACGATGTTAACCCGGACGGGCAGAACGCGGCCGGCGTGGTCGCCGGCCCTTCGCCGCAGCTGCTCGAGATCTTTGTCGGTGGCTTTGGCGACGATGCTGGTGGTGGTGGCGGTGCTGGCAATGCGTCCCTGCCGGGCGTCCAGTGGCATGGCAGGCGCGATGTGCCCATCCGGAGGAGGCTGACCAGGTTCGACCGGTCTATGTTGGGTGTTGAGTGAGCTTCCTCGAGCTCTCTGCGTGCTCCGTTCGTGCAGGAAGGATTTTGACTTCTTACCTCCCGTGCTGTTCAATGTTCGGCACACAACTATCTTGTACATACTTTGAAGCTTTCATCTTGGTGGCACTTTGCCACCTCCTGCAAATTTATTCACTTCGAGATCCAGTCTTAATGTCTTCCATGGTAATCTGGGGGATCCCTCGACGTGCATGATGGAAGCCACTACGTGAAACGCCTTTGTGGCGTGGGAAGAGATTGGCCTCAGACATGGTTAGGAAACAGGTTGATGATATCACAACATTGTTCAAGACTGCCCCCAACGCGTGCCAGAAATAGAACCCAGGGCTTCTTGTGTTGAAGTTAGAATGGCATTTGTGAAGTCCAGACTTTTTCATGAGCAAAGTGTAGCTAAATCATGCCGAAGAATTTTGTCCACAGATTGTACTTCCAGTCGTGTTCGACGGGTAATACCCCTATTATTGCCCTCGTACTCCCGCCATCACCCATGTCTTCGCACGCGGTAGTAAGACATATACAAACTCCCCCCATAAACGTTCCATATATATTTAGATGCCACCACCAAGACCACCGCTCACGCCACCTGTTCCGGGGGTGATGGTGACTGTGCAGCCAGGGGTGCTGAGACCCTTGAAGACGTTGACGAGGAGATTGATGACGCCGGCCAGGGTGCCACCGATGACACCGCCGACGATGGGCGAGTTTGTCCTGAGCTTTTCAACGCCAGCAGTGAGCTTGGCCTGCTGCACATTGATCTACAGGTTGGAATCTTCTGTCAGTTGAGATGCGCAGAGTGCTCAGTCCTATGTCCGAGCTGGGGAGGGCTCACATTTCCAACTGCGTCGCACACAGCCTGCTGATCTGCAGGAGCAAGGTTGGACAGAGATCCTCCGGGCTGGGTTCCGCCGTTGCCGAAAAGAGGGATCAGGCTATTGACATTGCGGACAAGATTGCTCACAGTGGCGAGGCTGGTGATGATGCCCTGGTATAGAAATGTTTAGTTGCTGGTTGTGCTGTTGTGTGACTGATTTACTGGACACGCGTTGGGACACCTACAGGTAGGCTGCCAGCAAGACCAAGGGGGTTGTTGCCCGCACCCGATGTCAGACCAGTAGCAGTCTCGAGGGCGGTGCCAACCGCACCGAGCTGGCTGAGAAGTTGCGAGACCAGAGGCGAGACAACGGGAACAGCGAGAGACTGAGCTTGGGAGCCGGCGACCAAGGCGGCAATGGCGAGAACCTTGATCTGCATGATGGCGGCTTTGAATAGGAACAGGAATAGTGGTGGGAATGGGAGTACCACGGCTTGCCGGAAGCTGTGCGAAAGCGATTTGGCAAGAAGAAGGAGAAGAGAAGGTTGCTGGCGACGGTACCGCTAATAAGGTGCTGCCGCTGACAAGAATTGTCGATTAGAATCCCCGGAGGAGAACTGGCAGGCAATATATACGTAGATCTCCTAGGCGGTCGACAGCCACACGAAAGGCTGTTCGGGCTATGCTCTCCGCTGTAGTCAACCATGCAAGCTAGAGCTGGCAGCCTCGAACTATGGGTCAAAGGGCGAGGGTTCCCCCCGATGAGGTCAAGGGTGGCGGATTCATGATAGACTTTGCGTAGCGATCGCTTGTCTAGAGCTCGATGGAGTTCTAGTCGACCTCTACCATCAAAGCCTAAGCGGCTACTTCCGAGAAGACAAATAGCCGAGACTGCACTAATTGCTCGAGATGAACTTGACAGCCCCAGCTGGAGACCCTAAATTGTGGAGTGAAGCCATCTATGGACAAAGCCCTTCCCAGAATAGGCAAAGACGAAAGTCGTCTCGCCAGTCAACAAGCGCTATGTGCCTTCTGCCAAGTTTGCCTACAGCCTCCTTTCGTGTGCACCGCCTATGATCGGGTTTCTGCAGTAGATGCGCGTGGTCACGTTCGTGATTGAGTGCAAAGGCTGGCTTCTGCGATTGACTGTCCTGCTCCCATCGTCCCAAGACGTCGGATGCCAGGGTCTCGAGGGTTATCTCCGCCTGCCGCTGCTGCCGATCTCGACGTAGCGGTGATGGCTTGGCATTCCTCAGCTGCTGTCTGGAACGTTCTGTCGCTGGCCTGTCGGGAGGCTCGTGTCGATCGGCAGCTAGATGGAGCGAATTGGCGTCCTGGATATATTTAATGCAGGATTGACAGAAATTGCGGGTGCAATACCCTCGCTTGTGGGCTTGTCTGAGTCGCCGGGAACAAGAAGGCTGAGGATCGGCGAGGTGTCAGAACTGTTCCCCAGAAAACAAAGTGCCGGCCCGAGGCTAAGCCGGGGCGGACTCAAGTATGCGGCGTGCCTAGCTGGATGTGTGGCGCTAAATAAGTATGCTCGATGCCTCGCCTGCCCCGGCAGGCTTGCGGGAATCATAAGTGTCCGAGAGGGATGGGTGGCATGCTGAGTACCACCAACGCGCAGCGAGTTTCTGTTTTTGGGGAGAACAGTAGACCAACTGTTAGAGTGCTGCTGATTTGCTCCGAGGCAACGATAGGGACGAAATCTCCACGCTTTTAACCTGGGAAGCCTCCCGGCTGCATCGGTGCATCTGACGTTCTTTGTCTCAGAGCGCCCCGCTGACGACTTCGGCTTATGGAGCCTCTGGTCATAGAACCTGGCTGGCCGCAGAGCATTAAGGTTGCGCACTTTACGTTAGCGCCAAAGGAATGAAAGTTATCCGAGGCGAGCCTAGATGGTTATAACTCCGCCACAGCTCTCACGCCTGCTTTCAGCATGACCTCGATTTGGCGTCGTCGTGATGGTCGGTGGTGCCGTGCTGGATGCTTCACGGCTGACACGAGTGATCGACACGTTCGGCACCAATGATTGAAATGCTTTGCCTTTGGCCGAGGTTCTGAAAGTCCAGACTTCTCGTGTTGTCTCAAAAGTCATGATCTTCCCCGACGAGATCTAGACCCACAGAGAGACAACCCTCGAGCTGTGAGACAGATGCCGTTGTCTGCCTGCAATGTCTTGAACGGGCCGGCTGTCTCACCTGCATTGTTCAGGAATACCCAGCAAACACAGCTGCAAGACAGACAACCAGTTCAAGACATTGCAGGCAGGAACCAGACAGCCCTTTGTGGTGACAAGCTGGGTCCTGTTGGGGTAAAGTTCCGGCCCCAGTTTTGAAACCGCCTCCTGTGGGGAGCTGAGCCCCGTCGCCAACCTTGAGATCGATGCGAAAGCGAACCCGGGAGCCGATCGGTCCATTGGCGAAGTGCGAAGAAAATGAACGCACTAGATTTATCCCTACTACCTGACTCATGGATTGCTGCTTGAGGAATAGAGATGATGTCAGTTCGCGGCATAGGGCAGACTGGGCGGCAAGCGAAAGATGGAATTCATGGCCAGCCATCCTGATTTATCGGAGACCCGCAAGGGGGAGTTATAACAAGTGCTGTTGTATGTACTACCTGATCGTGGCTGTCAAAAGCCAGTTCCTTCTCGGAAGCACAAACCTGGGTAAGCCAGCCGTCTTCACCTCCCAAACATCGAGCCACGAGGCCATCAAGTCAGCAGTGGAGTTCATGACTCGCTTCATTACGTGGCGGCAACATACAGGGGATCTACATTAGAAATCTTAGCCGAAACAGGCTGGGGGCTCTGAATGTAAAGAGGTTTCAAAACTGAGGGGTTGAGAGGCCGTGACGTCGAAAGGGCAGTAATATCCAGTTGGACCCCTTTGTCCACAACCTGGACCAAACTTGTTGCCCTTTGCGAAATGCTCAAGCTACCGTATGCTTCCACTTCTCCATTGTCCCACGGAACCCAATAACCTCGTCGGCACTAATGCCCAGATCCTTCTCTGCATCCAGGTACTTGTCCTCCTCAATCCCCCAAACATCAGCCATCTGCCCGAACTGGAACTGCACCCCAATCTCGCGGCCCACGATTCCAAACAGCTCGGTATACTTCTCGACAGTGCAGGGCACAAAAACGCCCTTCTTGCCCGTGACCTCGGACCACACGTCGATGGCCTTCTGAAAGGACCACCTCTCGAGCGCGACCCTGGTGTATTTCCCATACGTGATGTCCCCTTTGGCGAGGATCTGGCGGACCCACAGGCCTGGGTTGTGCGTCAAATCACCAGCCATGAGAACTTCCGCGTCGGCCGTGCTTGGAACGATCTGGACGTATGTGCCTGATCCTGGAGGCTGAGTATGCACAAGTTGCACATCAGCATCCGGAAACATCAGTGGAACGGGGAGAATGGAGGAGGAGCCGCGTGATAAGTGATAGAACAAACCGTGAGATTTAACTCACAAATTCTGTGGGCTTCAGACAGTCATAGGTGAACATGTTCTGCGGGTAGTATCCCATGTACATATACGTCGTCTTGGCCGCCAGGGCGGGCAGCTCCTTGCGGATCTTCTCATCCACGAGCGCCTTGGAGTCCATGTGCGACACGCCCGGGTGCTTGCCGCCTGAAGCGGTCGACGTATCCGTGCCGGTTGACCAGATGTAGTGCTCGAGCGTGCTCTGGGCGGCAGCCGCGCGCGCGATGGCCATGCCTTGCTCAGTTTCGATCTGACTGGCCTCGGCCTGGTTGTGGCCGGTGAAGAGGATCTCCCACCAATTTGTCACAGCGAACACCGCATGGACTCCCTGTTTTTTCCAGTCAGTCGTGGGGCGTCACAATGTTTGGAGAGAAGTTGAAATACCTCAAACGCCTTGACCAATGAAGCCTCGTCATCGAAGCTTGCCTGGACAACGTCAAGCCCTTCTGCTGCGAGCTTTTGTGCCGCGGCGCCCGAGGGGTTGCGTGTTATGGCGCGGACTTTCCACCCTGGCACATTCTTCATGATGTTGACGACGCCACCACCCTGGGCGCCCGTTGCGCCGGTGACCGCGATGATCTTGGCCATGGTAAGCTATTTTTACTGGTGAGTTCTCTCGGGATTGGTCTTTGTTATTGCGTTGTCTGATTGATGACGAGGTGTAGCATGCAATATCCCACGACTTTCTACTAGTCGTGAGTTGTGATTATATATTTATGACAGAGGAGCTGCGTGAAGGTTGAACAAATCGTCAAACTCTCAAGATGGATATGTCAGCCCCGGGTGCAGTCTAACGTCGAAGCATTCGTGCAGGACAGCCTCCGCACGCAGCTCGGGATTACTCCTTTGGGCAAAGGTAGTGAAAGATATCTGCGAGTGTCCAAGTTTCTGTGGTCTCTCAATCGTCCCGCCCAAGATAGCGGTGGCGCAACCATCTGTCAATATCACTTAGAATAAGCCCTGTCTTGGTGAACGTTGGTGGCTTCGGCTCCCCCTACTGCATCAGTGTCGGAGAGGTGTCGGTGTATATGTGCTCGGGATTACCAGACTGAGCCATGTTGTACGACAGATGATAGCTCTATCTAGGGCGATGGCGCACTCACCTGCTTCCTAATCCTTCCCTTTCAGCTCTTTCTGGCTGGCAGGGGAGATACTAGCATGGATGTCGGTTCTTATTGGTCGACGAGGAGCGTATTGTCTGCTCGTAGCCGCATAGGCTATCAGCTCCACAGTCGCGATTCCCGGCCCGCGCGGTTGTCAAGTCATCAATTCAGCAGTCGCATTTGTCATCAAAACTATAACTCCGATCGTGAACCTAAGAGTTCACGGATCTGCACTCCTGGTGATCAGAGACAGTCTCCAGCTGGTGATTTATGATGATGTGACTTCAGTAAGCCTTGCTCGTGCTCGGCTCCGGACTATTACCCGTATTCATGTCAAGTTTGTCGCTCACATGAACGCTCTTCTGGCAACAAAGGTGTGCCTGAATCCTTATGAGAAATCATCTTCGTGCCCTTTGATCTCTTTCTGCCGATGCCAAGTGAGTTCGGTGAACTGGGCAGTCCGTCATGTCGTCTATGTGCTTAACTATCAAGCTTTTGCCCGTGGCGCCGCCGCACAGTCACACCGGCAAGATTCAATGATCGAGCACAAGAATCCAAGGAAGAAATTCCTATCTCCGAAAAGAGTCGCCGAACCGAAACAACTAAAAATGCCCAAACCAGATACTATCAGCCGGCCGGGATCCCTTGGTCACGCCGTCTTTTCTACACATCTCCCTCTCCACGTCACCAACTAGTCCTCCCTCCGTATCCCGCTGTTGCCGCACGATCTCGTCCGGCCTGACCACGATCTGCATCGCCATCCCGCTCTCCCCATGCCACGTGTTGTGACAATGCAGCGCCCATATCCCCGGGTTGTCCAGCACCACGCGGATGACGACCCACTCGTACCCGGCCACAGTGACCGTGTCCCTGCGCACGGGGTTCTGAAGGATGCGGCTATAATTCGTCTGCAAGAGGGTGTCCAGATCCTGCTTTGTAGCCGGTGGCGCGCCCTTGAGCGACGGGGTGAGCACGAAGAACTTGTGGCCGTGGAGATGGAACGGATGCGCCCCGTCGTCGAAGTTGTTGATGGCGATGTCGACTGTGCGGACGGCGTTGCCGGGCGTGGTTTGCAGGATGAGTTCGTGGTCAGGGTCGAAGAAGGTCGGGGAGGCGAGGGATATGGCCGCAGACAGTTTCGTGCTGTCCTCCCAAGGCATTTCTTGCACTTCTGCTGCATTTGACGCTTCGTCGAGGAAACGGTGCAGTAATGGTGATGTGATGTTTGGGTGCCATGTCGTCTCGTTAAAAAAGCCCCTACTCAGCCGCCAGGCACCGATGCGGAAGCTGGCGCGGAGCGTGATGTAGTCGTCTGCGACTGGAGGAGTAATTGCGTCCACAGGTCTAAGCTGAGCAGTGTCTAGATCTCGGCAAACGGAGTCGACGACATCGTCCCAGGGTTTGCTGTTCGGCTGAACCGTGGCCTGAGGGCCTTCTCCCTTGTTTACATAGCGGACGACAGCACGTATATCCGGGTTCATGTGCGGATTTTCCCCCGTGAAGCAAGTCGTCAGCATGCCGGCGCGGAACCAAAATGCCGGTGTATCCGTCTCATCGGCGTCGTGGTCTTCGTGCCGACGTTCTGTGGTCTGGTGTGTTTCAAGCACGATGCTGTACCGTTGAGCTGGCAGGATGGCCAGTTTGTGTATCGGCTCGTCATGCACCACTTCCGTGCCGTCTACCTCGGTGACGTGGAAGGGGTGCTCGTCAACCTGGACATTGAACTCTGCGAACGCACCCACGTTGATGATCCGCAGACGGTGTTTCTCTCCCCGCGTAAGCTGAATCTCGGGGTACGCAAGCTTGGAGTCATCACAGTGCCATCCGGGAAAGTCCGCGCAAGACCGAAATCCACGGCCATTGATGAGCGCACTATCTGGAACGGGCTCTTCGTTCTCCCTGCCGGGCTGGAGGTAGTCCATGAGAAGCTCGGACGTGGTGTTGTGGTAGTGGTCTTGGATCATGATGATCCGGTCACTCGAATATGTCGGTGTGTTGATCGACTTCTTAGGATGCACCACGACGGGCCCGACCAGGCCATCGGTTGCCTGAGCACTGTGGTGCGCGTGGTACCAGTATGTACCGCTCTGGCCGTGGATAGTGAACTTGTACGTGTAGTCAGTCCCTGGTGCGATAGGGCATTGCGTCACGCCGATAGTGCCGTCCATGGAGCTGGTGCCGTTCAGATACATGCCGTGGAAATGTATTGACGTGGCATTGACAGCTCTGTTTCTGACGTGCACGATGATTGTATCGCCCTCATTAGCCTCGACCAGAGGTCCTGGGAACTGGTTGTTGATGAGCACCATGGGCCGATAGACGCCGTCTGGGTTGAACATAGCATCGGTAACGGTCCAGTTATACTCGCGTATGGCCGGACCGGAGAGGTCGTCCCAGGTCTGCGACAATATGTAGTCGTTATGGGACCTCCACGAAGGTGATGCTGGAATGACTTCGTCCACGACTACATGAGGTGTGGAAGGGGCCTGTGTTGTAGCAACATCGCCATCGTGAACAGGCTCAGAGCTCTGTTGGGCGCCTTGACCGAAGTTCTTCACAGCCAGCCCTGGCACGTCGCCCAGCAGAAGGCCAGTGAGCCCCAAGAGGGTGACAGTCACTGTCACAATCCACAGCAACAATGTCCAGCACCCAGATTTGGAGTTCCTGGGTCGCATTTCTGGGAGCACATTGAGACTGCAGGCGTGGTCGGCATGGCTGTCGATGAGCTCCTTTCCAGCTGGTACCCCTTCCATGCTGCTGTCGAGTTCTTGAGGGGGGAAAGCTGAGCTGCAGTCGAGCCGACGTCGACAATGCCTCAAAACGACACGGGGCGGAGCATTGCGGCCGCAAAGCGACAGGCTGGCCCACTTTCCCACTTACCACAAATGCAAGGCGGTGTTGATTGCGTGGCGAGGGTGGAGGGACACCGACGTCCAAAGAGGGAAAAGCTGAGGACTGACGTCCCAGGAACACGGTCAGGATGTAGGGGAGGGACAACTTCGTCGCATGAGAACGCCCGCTAGCTGATTCCACCCATTTTCGCCCTACCAGCAGCGTGGCAACATAGTCGCCGCGGGCCGAAAGCTAGGCGAATGCTTGACTAACGGCCCCCCTGGTGGTGGCTTTCTTAGCGCAACCAAGAGATACTTTTCGGTACTACCCCCGCAGCCGGATCCCTGCACGACGTTGCACATGGTGTCTTGGCGAACCCTGACTGGGCAGCTCGGCTGCTTGTTCGAGCAGGTGTACACGCGGAGCCCGGGTCCAGTCAACACGGTAGAGGCAGTGACGGTGCCCGGATCGGCAAGAAATTCGACGAGCCTGGCCAGCGTCTTGTGAATAAGAGGGCGATCTGCCGCTGTCGAGGTTGACCGCAGCTGGAAGAGGTCCGGCCAGCCAGCTCCTGCTGTCCAGCACAGTCTCTCACTTGTTGCTACTCTCCTCTCTGCACCGGCACCTCGAGCATCATGTTCTTCAAGACTCTTGCCGTTGCGGCCTTGGCCGGCGTTGCTGCCGCCAAGCCTTGTTCAACCAAGCCCACAGCCGCCTCTGCATCGCCCACCAGACAGTGGGAGACGGCTTACACGGCCACTGCTGCTTCCGATGTAGCTGCTGCCAAGGCCACGGCAAAGACGAACAGCCCTACTAGCCATGTCAAGGGCAAGGTGTTTGACCGCTACGTGAGCATCTGGTTCGAAAACACGAACTTTGAGAAGGCCAAGGCAGACCGTAGGCGCTCCCATAGCGACCCTGAAAAGAGACTCTGACGACTGACACCCCAGACACAGCCAACTTCAACTTCTTTGCCCAGCAGGGCATCCTGCTCGACCACTTCTTTGGTGTCACCCACCCTTCGGAGCCCAACTACATTGCGTCGGTGGCGGGCGACTACTTTGGCATGAACAACGACGACTTCTGGCGGGGCGACTTCAACGTCTCGACCGTGTTCGACCTGCTGGACCACAAGAAAATATCGTGGAGCCTTTACCAAGAGGACATGCCGTTCTCGGGTTTTGAGGGCAAGGCCTGGGTGAACCAGAAGAACGGGGCCAACGACTACGTGCGCAAGCACAACCCGGCCGTCATCTTCGACAAGGTCGCCCACTACGAGGACAAGCTGGCCCAGATCAAGAACCTGTCCCTGACGGACCCGGCGCACTCGCAGTTCCATGCGGACCTTGCTGCCGACAAGCTCCCCCAGTGGATGTTCATCACGCCGAACATGACGTCGGACGCGCATGACACGGACGTCACCACGGCGGGCAGCTGGCTCCGGACGTTCCTGGGCCCGCTGCTGAGCGACCCCAAGTTTATGCAGAACACGCTCGTGCTCATCACCTTTGACGAGAACGAGGTCTACGCGGACCGCAACCAGATCTTCTCGGTGCTGCTGGGCGACGCGGTGCCCGCCGAGCTGCACGGCACCACCGACTCGCACTACTACAACCACTACTCGGAGCTCGCGACCGTCCAGGCCAACTGGGACCTGCCGACGCTGGGCCGCTGGGACGTCGGGGCCAACGTGTACTCGTACGTTGCGGCCAAGACGGGCTCGCAGGTGCGCGCGTGGGCCAGCGAGGCCGAGTTCAACGGGCACTACTGGAACGCATCGTACGCCGGGGTCTTCTACGATGGCGGCAAGGGCAACACCGAGTACCCGGCGCCCAACCTGGAGCTTGACGGGTTCCGGGGCCGGCCCATCCTGGAGGAGGTCAAGAAGACGTGGAAGGACAGCAAGAACCCGACGTACTACACGGGTGCGCTGGAGCTGCCGGACGGGATGAACCCGCCCAAGGGGTATGCGCCAATCAAGGCCTAGGCGATGAGATTGATGGGGTCCTAGTCAGGGAGTTGCTTGCATCACTTTTCTGCATTTGTGTATATTTCGGGGATCAGACTTTCTCGGAGGGCGAATGATAAAGGGGAAACCGATGGGAGCTAGCACAGACTGGTGGTGGTAAAAACACCTTCCTGCATGGGCTTGGTGCCGATCATTCAGGACCCTGTCCTGCCTAATTATGAACTGAGCAGATGATAAGACGAAAAAATGACTCGCAGCATGCTTGCCATTGTTTTCTGGTTGACGCACTAAGCGGCCACACATTGATATTTGGGAGGAGGGATTACGCGTGTTCACGCTCAACTCAGCCATTGCCCCCAGCTGTGCACAGACGAGGCCTGATCTGTGCACGAGGCGTGATGTTCATCACATGTGCTATCCATACGGATTGGTCAAAAGCTGCATCTACATGTGTTGGTTATTTGTTTAGAGTGTGCTCGAGTAGCGTATGTGTAAAAACTCAGCGACCACACCCATTACACACAAACTGGCCCTCATGCCATGGCCCTTGTCCGTATCGCCAAGCTTTCTCGCCAAGTCGGGTGGCCCCCTGGCACCCGCAAAGCTTGGCCCTGGGAGGACTGGCTGTGGGGGCGCGGCCTCGTCCATTTCGATCGGTTCAATGGCTGACGGGGCATCGTGCGTGGCTGGCAAAGCGCTAGCAAAAACCAGGAGGGCCTAATCTCTGCTGACACTAATTCACGCGCAGTGGCCGTGTCGTCGGGATGATGGCGTGGCCTTCCCCCTCACCGCTCGCACATTTTTGTACACTCGGCACAGCTACAAGGTCCTTTGGGGAACCCCCACGTGCTGGCGCTGTGGTACCTCAGTCGTTGATTCCTCCGCGGGGCAGGTGGCGCTCGCTAGACTTGGGAGGGGGAAGACAGGGGACCATGCGCAATAATCCCCCGGGGCCAGGCACGCTAAATCACCCAACGGGGGGCGAGAGGATGAGGTACTTGGCGGTACTTGGCCAAAGGCGGAGGTGCTAGGCGCGTTCGGGAAGCTGCAGGTGAGCTCTCGGTCCGGCTGTTCTGAGATCCTTGTGCTTGCGAATAAGTAGAGGATGATTGGATCCACGGAGTTTGCGTAATGTTATTGACTTGTTGTGGCAAGGCTCGAGCTCGCCTGGGGCGGCACTGCACAAGCTCAAGCCCGAGCACAGACATCGGAGCAAGGTAAAGCAACTGTCAAATGGCGCGTCGTGGCCTGGCACGTCTCCCCTGGCCCCTCAACCACGTATCGACAATCCACATCTCCCCCAAATTAGTGCTCGCAGATCAACCGCTCTACCGCCTTACAGTCAGGCGCCTTCTTCTGGTCCTGGTTACTTGAACATCTATCCACAACACCAGACTCTCAGCGGACTACTAGAAACAGCACAGCCATGGGCCGCTCCGCCGCGCCCTCGAGCCTGGTCAAGTTTGCCAGCGACTTCACGCTCGGCTTCGCAGATGGCCTCACCGTGCCCTTTGCCCTCACGGCAGGCATGTCGTTCCTCGACCGCTCCGACGCCGTCATCCTCGCGGGTCTGGCAGAGCTGTGCGCGGGCAGCATCAGCATGGGCATTGGCGGCTTCCTGGCCATGCGCGATACACAGCGGCAGGATGAGCCGGCCGAGTGCCAGGACGAAGACGAAGAGGGGTCGACTGGTCAAATAGAACGACGGCACAGGCAGCACGGTGATGATGCGGATGGAGCCGCCGCAGGACTCCTGCGCCATCAGGAAGAAGGACGCAGCAGCACTGAGCGTCCGTCGACATCATCATCGCCATCAGATGTGGACAGTATTGCCAGGCTCGAGAAGCGGGCCATGGAGGAGGACAGCGCAGATGAGCAAGACGAGGAGGAAGCTATCCGCCGCCATCTTGCACCGCTGCAGCTCCCAGAGCCGGCCATCCAGCAGGTTCTCGCAGCCATGGGGTTGCGATCCACATCAGCACCAGGATTCGCCATTCGCGATCCGGCTACAACCCTACAGCAAAGACTGTCCGCATTCTATGCATCTCAATCAACTCATGCCGGGCGCTACTATGACGCTGGCGACGAATACGCACCACCACTATCCACTCAGGCCAGATCCACCATACTTGCACCTGTTGTTTCTGGCTTGACGATCGCCCTTGGATATGTCATCGGCGGTCTGATTCCCCTGTTGCCGTACTTCTTTGCCGAAACAGTGGAGGTGGGCACGCGATGGAGCATCGCATTGTGCATGGTGGCTTTGTTCGGGTTCGGGTCAGGAAAGTGCTGGGCCCTCCAGGGTCTTTTAGGGGGAGCAAGGAATCGGTCAGGACACGGTGATGAACACCAGAACGCAGGCATCGGGAAGACCATGTGGAGGTGTATCTTTGAAGGGGTGCAGATGCTCGTGCTGGGCATGGTGGCTGCCGGGGCGGCGGTCTTGTGTGTGCAGCTTGTGAACGAGCGCGAGACGAATTCCCCTTGAACGTAGCGATCAGATGATAAGCCAAAGCTACATGTTTCTGTGTCCAGCGGTAACATGCCCGCGGTTCGATGCACTGTGCGAGCTACGTTCCCCATTTTCAGGTTGATGCTGCTGGTGCCTATGCGAATGCCAAAACACTTGGATAGACCTTTGTGCCGCGACCCAAACCCCTGACGTGAGTATATTGACTGCACGGTCACGAATTCACGTTTTCATACTGAGTGCAGAACGAGAATTCCTTTGCGGTTTTCTTGATATTTTCTTGATGCAAGAAAATTACATCAATTAAAGAGAGAAGAGAGAAAGACACTGTGATGGGAGCTGGGGTAGTATCTCAACTCAACAAGACTATGCGGACACGGCTTCATGGCGACGATGTCGTTCGAGATACAGGTCCCATTCAGACTTGATTGGAACCATTACTGAGCCGCAAATATTCCATGTCCCTCTGAACGCTCTACATTTATCTTCTATGCATGCCCCGGAGACCTACCGTCCTGTCGGTCTTGAACGAGATGCCGCGCCTGCCTGGACGCAACTGCCGTCTCAACACCACGACATGCCGCCACTGCCGTGGCGGAAGCAGCACTTTTGGGCATGGTTGCACCTGCTTTCTCGTCACGGTCTGATCCTGCATCAAAGTCGCGTCTGCCGCGTCGCCACGCGTCCATCTCCCATCTTCATCATCTTCATCATCAGACGTCAACACCGTCGCCATCATGCCATCCATCTCCTCTCTTCCCTCCTCGCTCTTCAATTCTCAGCATCGCCCATCTGCACTCCCCCTTCGCTGTCCCCGCCCCCCATATTCGCCTTCCGCCTCAATTGCCTTTGGTCCTGACCACCAACAAGTCTACACCATCGACTCAGCTTGATAACACCTCGCCAGCCACCCCCCTCCCTGCCATATCGCTCAAGCTTTCCAAGAACCTCAGACTTCTCTGGCCGTTCGAGGCAACACGACTTCTGGTACAAGACCATCCGCCGTGGCCTCCGGCTCTTTTGCCCGTCATCACCGGTTCAGCTGTTTGAAAAAGGTGGGGAAATACTTTTTTTTCTTTGGAGCTGGTCAGTCATACGTGGGCAGGGCACGTGTGACTTGTCGGGGGCACAATGTCGGGGACAAGTCGGGCAGACATACACGGGTGGGGCGTGTTTGTCTCGTAAGATGGGCAATGATGACAACTCGCCGGTGAGGGAGTCCAACATACACGGGAGGGGCGTGTATGGTGGGCTTGCTAATGATCCGACCATTGTTACGATCTGAGCCTATTTGTGGTTAGCATTAGCTAACCCCCCACACAGAAACAGATAATCGCTGCGACCCGTTATCCCCGAAACGTCTCAGCGATGGCGCCATTCGGACCGAGCTGGCTGGTTGGGAAGTGTAGGGTGATTGGGGGAAGGAAGTAGGTAGGGTAACTTACGGACGGTATCTGATGAGGAGAAGGAAGGGGAAAAGGAGAGCGTAAGGGATGCGGAGGTGTTGTCGTACTTATACGTCCTGGCCGAACATCTCTTGGATCCCCGATGAGTAGCGTATCCAAGCAATTGCACAGCCTGGCTTCTCGGAGAAACATATTGAACTAGTGATTGCCAGTTGAGTGTTTCGTCCGGACTCGACGCGCGTGTGGGCCCTCCGCCGCACAACGGCAATAAGTCGACCCAAACGCTGACCGGAGCGGGCACCCGAGCGTGGGCAGATGCCTGGAGCCGCAACGTGAGCGACACCGGCAGCGCTTCCAGAGACCGCGCAGCATTCACTGACAGGTATTATTTGATTTGTTGTGGTGCACCGTCATTTCGCCGCCATTGGCCTCCACCCTGCGGCTAGCTTCCCACGTCCCGCACGGAGCCGTGCTCTTGGTGCCGCTACTAATAGCAAAGCTGCTTTGGATAGCCCGTATGAAAGAAAGGTGTGGTTTGGTACATGGCTTCCGCCTTTCCGAGATGGCTGCCAGACGATAGGGTACCTATGCTCGGTCTTTTGACGTATGTGTGCAAGGACTATCATCAACATTTTTTAAAGCAAGGGGCAACGGGATAGTGGCAGGGCAATCCAGCAGCGGCTGCAGATTAAGCGCTCTAGACGTCTAGTGCTCTTCTTGCAAGTCGCCAACACTGTTTCCCATCTTGCACTTGTAGACCTTCTCACGACGCAGCACTCTTCCAGGGCTAATATCGTAACCGTACGAGCCCATGCGCAGTCTATTGTGCTGTGCCATCCAGCATAAAAGGCAACCTATCGCCCAACAACTTCTCTGTTCTGATAGTTCCTCAGGAGAGTACAGCTCATGTCGCAGCCTTCTCGGGGAACACGCTGCCCCCTTCGCAACTGTCTACGATCAACCCCCCTCCTCCGACTCTTATCGTCCACAGAAGGTCTTCAAGTTCGTCAGCTCTGGGGTCCATCACAAACCTCTGTGGAGGATACCACTTACCAAAAGCACAGGTTACCGAAAGACCAGTCTCAAAGGTCCAAAGGCTACCATGGAGCCCTCCGCCCCTTCGTTTTTCTTTTTAGCATATTTTCACTTCGTTCCTACGCATTGCTTGTTGGATATATAACTTTTCAAGATGGGAGGTCCAAGCTCACACATGGACAAGAAACATAGAGCGTATTTGTAATCTTTGTCATCACTTCCATAGATTCTCATCTTATGGCATCCAAACATCGGTCTCTAGTAGTTCATGCTCCCAGCCTGGCGGCGTGCGCACTGGAGACACAACCTTCTTCCGAAACAACGCATGCCGCTTCCCAACCGTAGCAACAGCAAAGTCATTAGACATGAAGAACAGAACGGCATTGTGAGACCGAGGGAACCTGACCATCACCCATTCCAGCAGCGGCAGCTTCGCCGCTGCCTGATTGAGCATCCGGAATATTGCCTGCACATGAGCGTCACTGTCCCCCGTGATAGTCACGCTCGTCCATAACCACCGCAGACTCGGCGGCAGCATCTCGCACAGGTCCAGCGCTTTGGGCCGCACGCCAGCTAGCGACGCGAGTGGGATACGCAGCTGCTCAAGTGATGTCAGCTCGTTGCGCAGTGGCCCGATGAACCCTCTGCCTAGTTCCTCAAACCGCCCGTCCGCCGTGTCCGCAGCGGTGTGCTCGAGCTCGAGACGACGCAGCTGGCGCGCACCAGGCTCCCTCAGGACGTTGCCGAGCTGGGCGAAATCAAGCTGCGGCGTTACATGGCTGGAGGGGTCGTGATGTACAAAGAAGTGTAGGAGGAGGCTTTGCAGGTTCGGGAAGACGACAAGGATCTCGCGAACGGCAGTGGGCGATACGAAGCTCGAGTCAAGCAGCGCGAGGTGTCTCAGATTCGGGTGTGCGCCAGTCATGGGCGGGCCTGGTAATTCCTCACTGGTGTGGCTTTCTTCGTTGATTTGGGTGACTTCTCTCGCGTTGTCGCTGTTGTTATCATCGTGACCGTTTCTGGCTGGCCGTCTGCTAGGTGCCCAGTCCAGACAGGATGCTGAGAAGCTCTGGAGCCGTGGAAAGAAGATGAACGACCTGGCATTCTTGCTTTCTCGGACGGTGTCTGGGACATCATTGTCTGCAATACCGCTCGTGCTGATAGAGTAGAGCTTGCGCAGAGGCCCAAAAGGCTCTACGCTATCATTCTCCGATGCTGTAATCCGGTTGCTACACAGAGTGAAGAGCAGGGAGAGAGCCTGGGAAGAGTCGAACAGCAAGCGCGATAGAACGAGGGTCTCGACGTTTGGCGTTACGACCAGTATCATCAGCAGCAATAGCGCCTCGGTCTCTCCACGACGGTAGATCTGCGAGACCCTAGCCTTCAAGACATCGTCTAGGAGCGCGTCGAGTTCCGGCCAGCGGTACTTAGCCCTGGCTATCTCCCGGACTGTGGCACCGTGAAAGGCCAACAAGATCGACTTCATCATCGGATCCGGCGGAGCCAGGGCCTGTTCGCGAAAGGTGATGTGCCGCACGCGCTCTCCCAGTGCTGGTCGGCTGCAAAGGGTCGTGAGCAATCCGCCGTTTGGGTGCCATGGGTGGTGGTAGAGCAACGGCTCGGCCAAGCGGCGCAGGTTGCGAGAGACTAGGCAGATTCGCGACAGCGTCACGCGCCTGAGTCTGTTCTCTGCCTCTAGGCGCGCGCTGTTTACTTCGGAGAGGGTGAGCTTGTCCAAGATGCGAACGTAAATCTCGTCACTGAGGCGAATTGAGGACGGCATGGTGTACAAGAAGCAGCTTCATATGCCAGGCTTGAGGGGTCCAACGATAGCATTTTGCTGGGTCAAGGGCCAGAAGAAGAACGTTGTGAAGATGGCATCGCATGAGGAATTTGAGCATTCGGACTTAGGCTAAATGGGCCAAGCCTCGCATCGTGTTATCCTTGATCCCTGCCACGAGGCGTTGCTGCCTATCCAGCTGTAATTGCGCCTATTTCGCACGTGACCCACCAACAGCGCCCCGGTGGCTTTTTATACACGTCTCGTCTTTGAGATTGAGCTAATGAGGTATTTATGTCCGCGACTACCATGACGTGGTATGAAAAGGTCACGTCGTGCTACGGACTAGTTTGTAGTGATTACGCATTGTCTGAGTGACAAGTTCTTGACTCGATTCAGTGCGGTGACAAGCTCTGCCCTTGCAAGAATATGAAGTCGTCCTTTTCATGCACGATCTGTCAACGTGACAATGAAGGTACTCGTGGGTCCCAGGGCGCCAATCGGGCTGGACGCGGTACTTTGATGTGGGGATAGCTCAGCTGATACTCAGCCTCTTGGGCAAGGGAGGCATTTGGAACGATTGAAATTAGCTTGCGATTATGTGGGCATTCTCCTTGTACGTACGGAGCATCTTGGATTCATGTTTGGGGCCTTTGCCGGTCCTGATAACGGCACCAATCTGCTCAACTGAAAGGCGCAGTGGCGACGGTGGCTTATGGTATGGCTCGCATGACCGTGCGGAATCGATGTACTGTCTTGGCTATATTGTTCATTCGCAGGATGACGATGTCGGTGCCGCTGGTAAGACGCTTGGATTGGCCATTTTAGGGTCCACTCAAACCCCTGACATGAGTACAATAGATACGTCATCCAGATTTTACATTTTCATACTCACCGTGATCAAGACCTATTTTTGGACCAACTATTAACGTTAGGAGAAATGAGATATCAATTGTGCTTTGCCTCTAGGCAGTTTTACAAGGTATATTGTATGCAAGGTCTGTTGAAAGCGACAAGGATTCGTCATCTTGCCTATGTCTGGCTGCCTTGGTCCATTGACGCATCTGCCAGTCGTGTTTCAGAAGGGTCCCGACCAGGCCTTGTGAAGTAAAGACGACAGATGATTCACTTCAGATCATGAAGGACAGGTCTCGAGCAAAGCTTCCTCGTAGAACCTAAGCAGTGTTGTAGATATAGGCTCTCGCTTACTGTGCTCACTACTTGATCGTGGGGGAGAGAGTGAATTGAACAAATGGAAATCACTAAGCTCATATGCAGATTGATATCCCTACATCAATTGCCGTGTCTGTTGCTTAGACGCCGCCGAGAAGTGCTTGGTCCTAGTTCTTCATGTCCAGCTGGTGAATCCTCCAACCGCCGAAACTGCCCACGCCACATATGTCCTCCACCACGATCGGCCATACAAAGCAAAAAGAGACTTTCAGGTTCACCTGGATAGCTTGACAGCTTGCATAGCAGGCAACCGGTTGTCCTAGCTAGAAACCGCACTGCCAACGACTGACTTGCACCTCGCCGATCCGCCGATCGTACCTGCCCAGTCCATCCCCTGCCATGAAGTCAGCTTGATACTTGCGGCAGTGGTGGTCCATATTGTAAAGACCCATTTTCAGATCCCTGGCAGTGAATGGCCAGCTGGAATACCAATCCGCAAGGCATTGCATACACATAGACGTCGTGCGCCTGAATTCGAACCCAATCGACTTTATCCGTTGAGGACAGCCAGCCGTGGCCAGATTCTGTGTTGGCAAGGTAGTCTTTGAAGCTAGCCACAGCACTATCGCAGGCCCAGCCGCTGCAGCAGGTCATCAACTGTGTAGTCGACCACGAGCTTGGCCGGCGTTTCCGTAGCCTTTTTGATCGTAGCGATATCCTGCGCGAGCTCACACCGACTGCGCGCCTGCAGAACTTGGACCGGACAAGAGAAGAGCAGATTGATCACCTGGACTTTCGTCGAAGATCGAGAGAGAACCAGTGGCTTCCTGAGACGCAGAGGCATGGCCTCGTGATCGGTGATGACAAAGGGCGTGTCGAAAGCCGCCAAGACCACTTGGATAGTGTGATCTGCGTCGCCAGGGACTACCATGTCCTCGCCGGCTTGATCCTTTGCCGTCTTGAAGATCGCTAGGATGCTGACGCGATCGATCGTCGACTGAAACTGGGCCGTGTCTCTCATGATCGTCTCGATATGGTCCAGAGGCAGACGCACGTGGGCCATCGGTATTCCGGGAGAGAGCTCGCTGGAGATTCGCGGCGAGTACTAGCTAGCGAACAGGACGAGCGTTCGCAGGCCTTGCCCGGTGTTGGCGGCCATACGGCGCGAGCGCAGGAACCCAAAAAGGCGCGCAAGGAAAATCTCCCTGGCGACGGTGGCGAAAGGCCGCATGTGGACCAATATAATCACCCGCTCGGCCGGCAAAATTTCGCTAGCACATCCGGCGAAGTCTTCGTATGTCGTGTGTGCTACGCAGGCTGCTGCCCACGATCGCACACGTGGAGGATCGTCGAGACAATGCTCGTACTCCCTCTGGCTTGCGAGGACGTGAATAACCTCAGCCAGACGTTGTCCTTCGCTCGAGGCTGCTGCCCCGTGCTTCACAACGTATGGGAAGAGGTCGCGCGTGAAGCCCGCGCCAGGCGCGCCCCCGACCCAGAGCGCCGACACAGACGGCTCTCCGGTATTCATGGCGGCGAGTGCCTGATCGACATGCGATCTGGCTATGCGCCACGGGGCGCGCTCGAATGATGCCATGGCGATAAAGACTGTCTCTGTGATTGTGCGATGCAGTCTATCGTGTTGTTTGAGGTGGGTTGGGGGGGCGGGTGCGATGGGCATGCGACAAGTGTGAGTTGCGTGAGATCAAGGCGGGAGCATCGAGTCAGACACCCGTGGACCCCTTCAGCGGCACCCCTCAGCGGCGGCACCCCTCAGCAGCCCGCAGGCACCCGTCACAGGGTTGAGGTACCTCTGAAGCCATAGCGTCCTGGTTGTGTGCTTATTTCAGTGGGACTCTGGACATAGCAGCATGGGGGGTACCAGCCAGTCGTGTGAAACTCCGTGGCCGAAAAAGGAAGGGCCCACAAGCTAAACTGGCCGTCATGGCCAGAAGCAACAGAGGCTGCGGCTGCTAGAATTGTTGGTCTAGAAGCGATTAACACGATGGATTTCATCTATGAGTACGTTATCATTTGAGAATTGAAATCTAGATACAGTCTACTTCCAGGATCGGCCGGTTTGCTCGTCTCTGCGTGGGGGTGTGCGCTTTGCTGGGATGTGGTCGGGCGTCCTTGGCGGGGTTTCCACTTACTAGGGTACTTTCTCACGTGCGACTTGTGCCCTTCACAGCACACCCCACTTCACAGTCCCGGACATTTGTTCAACACTCACAGCAATGGACAGCCAACAAGCAATGGACGAACAACCATCAGAGAGGCGACCTAGGGGCAGGCCACGGAAGAGTACGCCGCCCGAGCCAGCGGAGAAGCGGCCTGTAGGCCGACCCAAAGGCAGCAAAAACAAGCCGAAGCAGCCATCAGGCCCTCCTGCTCCGGCACCAAGCTCGATCGCGCCTCCCAGACAGAATAATACCGACGATGATCGGGAAGCTGTCCAGCTCACGCCTGGCGCAAACGACCAGTCACGTCGACGTGTCAGACGACGGGAAGGCTCGAGCTCGGAGGACGAAGATGGCGGCGTCACGAAGCGAGGGCGCCATGCCAGCCCGCAAGCGGATCTCCCAGACCTCCAGCAGGGAGGAGGGGATGATCCGTTTGCCGACGGCGAGGTACCACTGTCGGGCGTACGCGAGCCCAGCGTCCAGTCGGATGCAGGGTATGTACCGCCTGATGAGGATCCAACCAAGCCACCGTCTCCCGACAGTTTCATGGCGGGCGGTTACGAGAGTGCGCCATCTCCAATGAGGGTACAGCCATGGACACCGGTGGCATATCGGCCATTGCACCAGCCACCGCCAACCACACCCTGGAACGGAGATAGATACGAAAGTCGGTTTCAGCGTCTAGAGCAGCGGCTGGATGGCCACGAGCGTCTGTTTTCGCAGCAGGCTGGAGCACTGCGAGATCTCACGCTGCAGGTTAGCCGGCTTGTCGAAAGCATTACTAGCGGGCAGCAGCCCGCTGGCCCTGCGCGGCTTCGCGGTAGCATGCAGCGCGCTGTTGCCGTACAGACGGAAAGTCTTTCGGATTTGGGCCATGACGACGAAGGGGAAGAGACTCGGGTCTTGGGTCACGACCTCCATCGTCTTTGGAGTCACACAGAGAGGTCGCTTCTGGCCCATCAACAGGATTCATGGATGCCGGGGCCGGCTGTGACGAGGACGAGGTCAAGGACGACGAAGACGACGAAGATGAGGACGAAGAACCCACCATCAGGATGATTGCCAACGTTCCCGCTCGCGACTTCCGCACTCCAGCCGAGATTGCACGGCAGCGCCGTGTGATTGAGGCGATAGAGGCGGCGCGTCCCGGTGCCACCGCCTCCGTTCGCCGACAGCTCAACACTGGTCGCCCGATGCTGTTCGCCCTTCAAGGAATATGGGACATGGCGTGTGACGCGGGCAAAGTCCCAATCGTTACCGCGAGCTACGTCTTTTGGAAGGAAGACGAGGTCATGTGGAACTTTGAGTGTGAGTACCGAGCCCGAGTGAAGTCGCAGGTGATGCTGATCTGACGACTTGTACCAATAGGGTCTCGTCAGCTCGTGACGACACTCTTCGCGGAGCCTGAGCCCTCCCTTTACGGTGACGGCCTGGACGTCTACACCAGCTATAGTAGACAATACCTCGATTTCTGGGCCAACAAGACGAGTGGCGATCAGGAGACACGGGCCGCAGCTCTCCAGGCGCGGTTCGGAGAAGAGCTGCCTCGGGTCCTAGAGGCAGTAGGCGGTTCTTGCGCGACAGCACTGTCCGGAATGCACCGCCTCCAGACGGAGGCGGTCGCGCTCCGCGCCATCGACGACCTCGAGGAGGCGGTGGGAGCTGCTCAGCAGAGCACTTCCCGTGCCGACGTCCTCGATCACTTCTTGGTCGATTCTGGCGACTACTTTTTGTCCTCTGATGCGCGGCGCCGCATCGCTGAGAGGCCGGCCATGCGGCTATTCTTGACGGCAGTCGCTGAGGCTGCGACAGCCCGGCACAAGCAGATCTGCGAGCGTCGCGACGTGCTAAAGGCACTCGTCGACGGCAATGGCCACGCCTGGCTCGATTGCATCCCGAGGGCTGCGCGGTGGGTCCTCGCAGGACGGCAGCTGGACAAGATACACGATGGGTCGTCCGAAGCTGCCCACAGCGCCTTTGCAGCGCTCATGCAGCAGCTCCGACCGGCAAAGGAGGAACTACAGGCTTGCTCCCTCGATGTTGAGTGATAATGTGGTTGAGGATTCTGGGCCCAACAAAGGAGACATAGCTTAATACAGCGTGCGAATGGGACCGTGTTCAGTTTGTGCTACCAACTTCATGCAGTGGACTGTAACTCGAGACCATGCATTTCGGTGGGATACTATGCGCGTTTTCAATTCTGACTCAATTCCCACGCGTGACTCGACTGCTACTACTCTTACTCATGCTGCGTCCACGGTGCAGCACCTTTCGCACCAGCCAAATCTAAACATCTATTACAGCTGTCTGAACACGATCGACAAGGGCTCGTACTGTGCCAACTTGAACCCGCTGCTGATGACGATGCAACGCTGCCCCTCGTGGTATGGGCATGTGACGCTGCCCGCCGTTTCGTCTACACTGAACTCGTAGAACTCTTCACCCCCGTCCAGAGCCGCACCGAGACAGTGCCAGAGCTTCTCGTGGACGTCGAAGCTCGAGCAGAACAGGTCAAGGCAGACGGCCAGATCCCTTCTGCCGGCGTGGCGGACGAGGACCGACGCAATGTCGAACAGTGTCAGGTCCAATCCCTCGTCAATGACGACCGTACAGCCATCGAGCACCTTGTTGATCACCGCCTTGCATGCTCCCCATGCCTCTAGGCTCCGGCCTTTGCTGGTGCTACTGTCGCAAAGAGATGCGTCTACGATGTGCACGGATTTGCAGAGCGCCCAGGCGGATTTAATGCCTTTTGTAATTGAGCATCAAGCAGTTTCGGCGACAATGTGGACGCTCCGCTTTGGTATCGTTTCAGGCTTCTGTTCCTGTCCCCACGGACGTCACTGATGATGAGCCCATGCACTAGCCTGTTCAGCCGAAATCGCTGGTAGAAACATCCAACGTGATCCGCGGGATTCCAGCGATATGTATGGAGTTACTTGGATTCATGTTCCAGCCCGATCACGGACCTGGTACCGTTACTCAAGTGAACGGCACGGACGGTGATGGTGGCTTGTTGTGTGGCTCATATGACCACGGGTGCAGTTCGTCCCCGGCCAATCATTAGCTTGCCCTCCTTTCCGTCCCGTGTTGTTGGTTGATTGAACCTTGGTGCTTGCGCTTATGTATGTTGGTGTGATTAGGCACCTTGGCGGTGTTGGCACGGCATGAACGTGCATGCCACGTATTCGCTGGCCACCCCGAGAACGATTTGCTTCGAAGCTGGCCTTCTTCAGCATCCTCAATGTTCACTGACGAACAGAGATATCGTTCTGAACATACTATACCAATACCACATCTCAATCTCCACCGCCAGCATGCGCGATAAGCTTGTATCACTACTCTTTACCCTACACGCCACTAGCCTTGCGACTTCAACCACTTTCTCTAGCGAAGTCACGATTGAATACGGCAGGACCTACGCCAACGGCACTCAGATTATTTGGGATCTCAAAAACCCCGATGCGCCGCCCCGTATCATAGAGCCCGCCATGGCGTTTGAGGCGCCGTTGAATGTCGATCGCCGCCAGATGCGCAGGGGAAGGCGTAATGACACCTAGGTCCTGGGACCGCCAACTTACGCCTCTTGACTGCTGAGTTCAGTGCGGCCCAAAGCCTGGAGGCCGCCCTGGTGGCCGTTCTCGCAGATCTCGAGTACAGACGGAGGATGTGTACACGCCACGAATCTAGATTTGAATGCATTCTCGATACATACGATCGCATCACTCAGGGGCTTGTGCGTGAAGCATTCGTTTGGGAAACCCCTACAGTTCTTGTCGAACGATACACATTGTTCTTGTCCTACAAGACTCAGAGACACGGCGAAAAGCAGGAAGTCTTGTCACATCTTGTGATGCAGGTTCCTTCTCATCTGTACATCTATCTAGAACAACATCACGACACCTACAGCCGCGGCCATGATCCCAGCCCTCGTGAATGCACCGCCCCCTCTTGCCATGCTATGGCCGGCCGAGACCATCTGGGGCATCTGCACGCCCGGCGCCACGGAGTCGACCTTGACACACGCGAACGTGACGTGGTCGTCCGGCAGGCGCTGGCCCTGCTCAGTCGTATTGCTGTGACCCCAGATGATTATGAACGGGAACGTCCCGGAGCCGTAGCGGTCCCAATTGTCTGTGCCTTCGCCATTCTTTCCCGCCAGGTCCTGTGCGATGACCCTCGTCGAGTTGAACCGGTCGCCGGTGGACAGGCCTGTGAAAAGAGTAGCGAGTTAGTTGCCTCTCTCCGTGTCGCAGTGATTGTTTCCCAGCAGGACTTGAGTCTTTGACTTACTTTGATCACGATAGCCGTAGTAGCCCTCGCAGCTCTCTCCAGGAAGCGAAATGTTTCTCAGCGATGCGTCGCCGCCATCCAACACTGCCGGGTGCGCCACGAGATCTGCACGCAACTGCGCGATGCATGCCGGGCTCAGGACGCTCTCCGGGCAGGACCCGTCCACGTCGTCGTTTGGGTCGTCGACGGCGCGGAGCTGCAGATAGCCCCCGGACGCGATTGAGATGAGGCGGACGTTCCACGTGTCGCTCACGTTGCTGGGCACGCTCCAGGTGCCCGTCTCTGCGTCGAGCACGGCGCCCGGCTGCCCCAGCGCGGGCGGGTCGACCCAGAGTGAGATGCGCACGCTGGCATCCTCACGATTACGGCCGGGTTCGCGCTGGAAAGCGACGTTGAGCTGCCAGTCTGACGAGGCGCTGTCGTTGTTGGTTTCCAGCGTGTCCGGGTAGGGACGGTCGAGACGGAACCCGGGCACGGGCACCGAACCCCAGGCGTCTGGGTCTGGTCTGTCGGAGTTGGGGAATATGATGAGGGAGCTGTTTGTCGTGGTGTTGGTGACCGCGGTGGCTGGTCGGCTAAAGTTGAGGATTGCCAGGCAGACGGCTATAATGCCGGGATGTCTTGAGTTGGTCCTCATTTTCACGATCCCTTAGGTTAGCAAACTGGGAAAGGCTGAGGTAATGGTCTCTGAAAAAGAGAGGTCGGAAGTACCAGCCTTGTCCCTCCGCCTTCCGAGGGCCGACACGTTCCTTCTTGTACCGGTGAGACTTGCACAGCGCCAGGCCATTGCCAATGTGCAGCGCCGATCAGTGTCGCAGCCAGTCCCCGAGCAGCCGGGCTGCGTTGACGTCGGCCAAGCGCATGACAACCACGTTCCTGGTAAAACCCGGCCGGCTGCATGACGACCCGTCAACTCGGAACCGACAGCCATTGGCAGAAACTGCCCGGCATCCACGAGACCATTGCAGTACCCCCTTCAGTGGGTCATTGCGAATGCGAAATGCTGGGGATCTCCACCCGGGCTTCAAAATCCATCTGTGAGGAGGACCGCCTGCTGCGGGCTCCAGTCTTGGTAACCCCAGTGATCGCCCGCTCGGGGACCTGCCTGACGTCATTGTGCCAGACTGACAGTGCTCCTAATTGGCGACCCAAATTTAGCACACTGGGGGCAAGCTCCATTGCCGACATGGTCCCTCGCGAGAAGCGTGGTCGAATGGGAAATGGGATCCGAGGCGGTCGAGCGCTGCAAATTTAGGGCGGCCCAGAGCGCGAGTCGAGCACATAGGATTTGGGGACTAGAGAGCGCAAGCGTACCGTGAGTTCTGGCTCCATCTTTGGAGGCGCTGCTCGGTAGCGAGTGTCCTACACCCACCCGCCGAATTTCCCCGCGATACTGAGGACGCTACTTACGTCTTGGCGACGAGGCGCTAGATGCTGGTAATCGGCCCGTCGAAGAGCTCTGCTATCATGGCCGTGGGACGCAAGATAAACGGGTTAATCGGAAGAAGCACGTCCAGCCCAGTTTCGCGAATGGCCTGCGCGGCAAAAGTCCAGTGGGAAGGGGCGGCCTCGCGGATCCAGGGGCCGCCGGAGATGTACAGCTTCGCGCTACGTGGTGTTACATCTGCTGCTGCTTCTGCTGCTGCTAATTCAGTTGTCAGTGCGGAAGGGATAGGGTATAGAGGCCGCTCGGACACGTCTATGCGCTCGACGACAACGCCCCTGGCGCCCAGCTTGAGCGTGGCGTCATAGAACTCTGGGTGGAGGTACGACTAGGCAAGAAGCCGCGGGCCTTAGCGCCATCAAAGAATGTGAATCTTCGGCGCGTATGTAGCTGATGTATTAGCAAACTAGCAGGAATGGCCAGAAGGGCGGCATGTTGAGGGCAGGTTTGGGTGAGGGATGACTACTTGTGATGGACAATCTATAGTCGAGAGGACGTCGCAAGTGAATCTGAACAATTCCCAACGCAGTAAGCGGCAGAAGTGGATCAGGCTGGGGTCAGCCCTGCGCAGATGCTGCTCAGTTAAGCGATCAGAAGGCCGATATCATTTGAAGCAGACGTGGATTCATGTTAGTGCTCGAAATACGTCATTTATACGTTTGTTTATTCGACTGCGTAGTCGTTTGGGTGGGTTTGAGCATCTTCGGTTCTAGCCAGCGAGCCCCGGGCGTGGTTGGTTAAATTGAGCCTGAGACTCACTCGCTCATGAATTCCTGTATTGCTTAGATTATAAGGAATCAGGGAAGGAGTAGCATTCAGAGGGCGACAGAAGGCCCACGCTGAGCAACAGCAGAGAGACGCGCAGCGGAGGGGAAAGGAGAGATAGAACTATAGGGTCCCCAGGATTAGCAAAAAAGAGTTCCGGTACTTCTCCTCTACGCGAGTGTGAGTGGATTGACCGCACAGACGATGTAGCGGAACTTCCGATTTTGGGTAGAAGGGGACAAAGGAAAGCACCCGAGCCTCTCGCTAAGTGATTTTTTGCTTTTTCTGTTACAAGTCAAGGTGCAATCCGTGTAGTGCAGGGTTATCGTTAATCCTGGCAACCTATAGATCTTGAAGGGACAAAGGGAGACATCACAAGACCGGGGAAGAAATTGGTAGCGCTCGCTGGCAACAAGACCAGACAATTAGAAAAAAAGAAAGAAAAAAGGAAGAAGATGAAGACGTGACGCTGCCCCAGAGGGACAACTGAAAGAAAAGAGATGAAAATGAGCGAATAGTCACCGTGATCATTGCAAAACGCCAAGGCACGGAATATGCATAGCACATGAGCAAGAGGGACAAGGCCGACTTGAACTGGCCCTGCTTACGTGGATGGCCTGGCTTTACCCATACACTATCTCAGTTTTGGATGTTGTTGGCACCAAGATTAGTCAACTGATAAGAAACTCGGATATGTGTACACAGCGAGATTGCAATGCCGACCAACAACGCCCCCCTTTCCAGGAGTCGTAACTCTTCCCACCCTCATGTTGGATGTGGCAGGGGTTGTTTCATTAAGGGCCCTTGCAGCCACTTGCATAGTTCCGCACACCTCACGGCTGAGTCCGCCCCTTGTTGCCCAGCCTGGACGCCGCCCCACACGGTATGACATGACCTGGGTGGTGGGAGATGAACACCCATGACTTGGCATGCAGAACTCAGGCCAGGTTACTCGTCCCCTGCTGCCACAGTCGGAGGTGTTCACGTATTGCGCGACGTGTTGGTCCAGAAATAATAACTCATCTTTGCTCGACCGCCGCTCTGCCTTCCTTGAGTAACTTATTTCTACGCATGTGCATCCTTTGCATAGTGAAGGATCACGACCAAGTCTCGACAACAACAATACCTCGCACGCGGCGGAAGCAGAGACTCAACATGTCGGCATTCCCGATAGGTCTCTTGTCCCTCCTTTTGGTCCGTGTTGTGACGGCCGACAACGACAACGAGACATTATGCTACTGGCCCGATGGCAGTGTTGCTGTTGGCGACGTCCCCTGCAATACTTCGGCCAGCGGGTATTCATCATGCTGTGCCACAGGCGACGTGTGCTACAAAGGGACAATCTGCGCGAGCATGAAGTTTGAGAACACATTCTACCGAAGCAGCTGCACAGATCAACTGTGGCGCGATAGCAACGATTGCACGATGAGATGTGCATTCACCAACGTCAGAAGCACGCTGGCTGGGCCGGAGATCCTGACCAAGTGCTCAGGTGACAACAAGTGGGCATGCAATGGGCTGCAAGATGCGGTATATCATTGTGAGAACAATGCTTACAGCCTAAGTGGTACGAAGCCTCCCTATCCATGTTCCCAAGACAGAGCCTTTCCTGGGGAGATTTGAAGGTACCTACCTGGAGAAATCCAGCTGGACTACTGCCGGCTAACGTGTTGATTGATGTTCCTATAGATGACGATTTCATCGTCGTAACCTCATTGGCCGCGGCGTCTGCGTCAACGTCAACGTCAGCATCGAGCTCTCCGACCACAAAGGGGAGCACAAGCTCGGAGCCCTCGACCTCCACCACCCCGTCAGACGAATCGCAACAAGATCACTCTACCCAAGGGCCGACGGTAAGGAAAGGGGAAATGGCGGGCGGAGTAGTTGGCGGCATTTTTGGCGGCATCGTTGTGGGCGCCCTTGGGATGTGGCTCTTTTCGAACTACATGCAACGCCGCGACCGCGACCGCGAGGCGCCGGCGATGGCCAACGATTTGCCCATTGCGGTATCAGAAAGCAACAGCAGCAGTGAGCCACAGACAGAATTCTTGCAGAGAGGATCCAGTGGCACGCAGTACAGCCCAATGGCGTATCAAGCTCCCGGTCAACATTTAAATGCTCCTTCGTCCATGGCGGGTGCCGCGGTCCCAACAAGCGAGAGAACGAGCCTGATCATGACATATAATGAGCCTTATGAATTAGCTGATACAAGCCCGCAGAGTTAGTGGGCGAAGTAATGGGCTTGTGTTTGTGATAGAACGGGTACGGGGCACGAAGGTCAGCACGTGGGATGCGCAGCCCTGGATTCTTATGTACTTGAGTAGTCATCAGTCACGCAGATGGAATTGAAGCATGATTGTACTCGGGAGTGCAATCATAGATAAGGGTCATACTTACTCCGATTAACAATGAGTGCCACATCGACGTCCAACCAGGTCATTGTTATGCCAAACGATTACGGGCAACGTACACGACCTCTTGATCCCTCCTCCCCGTGCCTCCCACGAGACCGGAACAGAAACAAGACTTGCGACATGCTAGCACACCGCCACTGATGCAGCAGCTACCAAAGAACATCGGAAGGATCTGCTGCTCAGCCTGGCCACAACCCCAACCTCGGCTACCAAAGCGCTCGAGGAAACCGCCATCGGCCTTGAACGACAGTCTAAGATCAAGTAACAGGTGCATGAGCGTCTCACCGGGACCCTGGGCAATGTTTTCGGTAGTTTCATTGAGGACCATACGGCAGAAGGCCGCGACTTGTTTCATCAGTGACCCAGTTCGTCATAAGCAGGATGTGCACGGCATCGAACAGCAACTGCTCTCTGCCTCGTCCACTCAATTCCCTGCCGACAAAGACAAGTCTCTTTGAAGCGTCGGTTTCTTTGCAAATAGATAAAGCTCTGCATTGCACGTAGCCGTGTTCGCAGTTACGTAGCCGCGACTTGATCACGCGCTGTTCCTCGCTCCCAGTGGCCGGTGCTACGGACCCTACTTTTTGGGCTTGTTCTTTTACAGCTAGCAGGATAATGGTTTAGTGGCTATTCCATCCTCCAAGGTATGTCTCATCCCGCTGGAGCTAAGAGTAACTATCGTCAGGATAAGCTGATGGTTAAATGCGTAGTGCTTTGAAGCCAGGAAGCCCTTGGGCACGATCCAGTGAAAGGGTCCTGATCCTATAGCCGGAAGTGACGCGCCCGTAATACGCCCGATCCCCAAACCGTCCGTGATGCAGAAATCGGTACATCCAGTGTATAGAACACCAGCCCAGCTTCCTCGTACCACCGCTTACATACTAGAAGTATTCGCAAATTCCCCCTCCGGGCACAAAGGCAAGGAAGACTCCTGAGCCACTTCCCCGACACATTTGTTTGGTAAGACATTTCCGCTCGTAGCATTCGCAACATAAATACGGATTCCGCTGGTTGGGAGCCTAAGCTGCATGCCATGGCGCCACGACGATCGGTTCCTGTCTTTGCGGACAAAATCGGCTGATGAGCATCTAGTTCAGGGGTATCAACGATGGATATGTATTAGAATCATTGGTCGTCCGTGTCGGCAAAGCTAGAGCTGGTCTTGAATTCCCTCTGCCGAATCCTTCACGTACTGTGCAGAGTGAGGTGTATGCCCCCTGCCCCCCTGCGTCCTCTTGCGCGCGGCAATTTGGGCGGCGACGCTGCCAACGCAGAGTTTATTTGCACACCTCGGTAAAAGTCTACATTGCGGGTAGTCCACGTGCTGCTGTACGGCCTCTGGAAAGTCAGACTCCGGATGCGCACTTTCAGCTCAAGTTGCTGGCGTCCCAGAGACTGCGTGGCTTGAGCCACGGCTGAACACATGGCAATCCGACACGGGAGCTGGAGCGCGGCACAATAGAAGGGAACATTGACGCGCGGCTGTTAGACTGCGTCTGCTCCGACGAGAGACCCTTGTGCAAAGCGACAGCCACCGTGGTAAGACAAGGCGTGACGAGCACGGATGGAGACCCTTGCTGCAACGCAGCCACATGAAAGCCATGGCTTTATCCCTCATCAACGCACCCGGAACAAGGCAAGCATCTGACGTCGGCGGTATCTCTGGGGGACAAGGGCTACAGCAGTCACGATGCGGTTGCTGCCCAGAGGGGTGGAGGGGGGGCGTTTATCTCGGCTCCGCATGCCTCTCTTCCTACACAAACCTGAGGACGATACTTTCCGCACAGCCCGCTCCGCAACGAATGTTTCGGGCTGGACACTCCTGAAGGTCGCGTGCCACGGGCCGAAAAAGTGACGGCCGTTCGGCACGTGGTAACGTCGATTCCGATCTGAGTCTATGGCTGGTGCAAAAAAATGTTTGAGACATTGGACACTACCCCGAGTCTGGATTGCTCTGGTCCCCTTGGCCCCTGATTTTATCCTTTTGGGATGGCAGCTGTCAGCAATCTGATTAGCCCGTCCTGGTGCCCGGCGCGCCAGAGACCGCAATGATAGAGTTGCACGCGGAAGCTTGTCGCCCACCACACGGATGCTTCTGTCTAAGCGCCGCCTCCCCCCCCCGCGGCGCGCCTGTCACCCGATTTAATGGTCGAACCCTGGACCATGTGGCAGCTCCAGCCCCGGCCATCAAGGCCGCCCCCGAGGAGATCCTGCTTCCCTGCCTCCCACGGCGGCTCGGCACCGAAACTCACGGGGCGCCGCCGCGGAGCTGGAACAGAGCACTGCAAGACATTTATGCGGGTGTCTGCTCCGCACTTGTCCTCCGCATATTCTCTCCGTCTTAGATTGAAAGTCTCATTGTCTTTGGATGCATTCTGGCTTAGCCTGACGAACCATGAAGTGAAGTGGGGGATTTCTCGACCTCTTTGCCCCCGTCGGAAGGCTTATCCAGTCAGCAAGAAGGCCCTTCCTGGCTGCCACCGCCTGGGCTTGCATACTAGCAATAAGCGGCCGAACCAGTAGCTTAGCATAACAATTTGGGCAAGAGATAACAAGGCCGGCCGCATGCCATGTGTCTATCACAAGCCATGTGTCCGTCGCAAGCCATGTGTGTTGTGGGTGTTTTCAGTGCGGGCTGACCCGACGGACCAGAGGCCGTTGCCACGCTCCCCGTCCTGGCGAAGCTTCGAGGGGGTGGATCCATGAAACTATCTTGTCCGTGACAGCGCTGCCAAGTCATGTTCTGCTTCCGTTGGGGGTTGTGTAACCGGCCGTGTGTCTGAAGTCCCTCGTCTTCTTGAGGGGCCTGCTGTACAATCGGGATACGCAGCCAAAGATCACATGCCAGTCTACCACTGATCATTGTCCCTGCTATTGAGCGACGACTTATAAGCGCAAGGGACCAAGCAGTGTGGCGTGTGCTGAGCATGTCGCTGCCAATGCTGCTCAGCCATGAAAGCTAGAGAGGCTGGGGTTCATTGAGATGCGACCGCAGCACAAGACCTTCCGCTCCCACGCGCGGAGGAGATAGCCGCCCTGCGTGCCCGTCCAGACATGATGCCCATCCAGATATGATATTGGTATGACGACCTCATCCAGCGACAAAGGACCTGCTCCTTGCTCTGCGCGGGTAGGACGATACTTGCCGTCAAGCCACTCGCTCCCTCCCGCAGCCACCACCACAACCCGGGGTACGCAATCGATGACACGACACGGCGTTGGAACCGAGTCCCCGGGGAGCAGATGTCTCATTCACGGCCTCATTATGTCATTCCCCCGGCTGGCTCTGGTGCCCGCCCCTTCCTTGCCCCGCAGCACGCGTGGCTCAATGCACTAGTTCAAATCAGTAATCAGCGAATATTAGTTGGCGCCTCCCCGATAAAAACACCAATGACTCTACCATTGCTGATAGCGGAGTTTGCTTTTGTATCGATGACAGTTTGATAGTCATGACATGTTGATCGTTTACGTCTTTTCTCGATTTTCTTTTTTCATATGGCCTCGCCGGTGTGAATCACTACGGTGCCGCCGATCCTGCATTGAAATGACATGCGGAGTCAAGATATGGCCATCTCGCATGCAAGGGGAGAAGGAGCAAATAAGGAGAAGAGATGTGGTTCACTGCGGCGAATAGCGTGGTCGGATAAACTTCAACCGCGGTCAAAATGATACCCGCACGCGAGCCGTCGCGATACGGGACAAATTGCTTGCTGGCAATAGGACAATAGCTGGGCCACAAGAAGGCAGGCAGCTGCTGGCTTTGACCAAAGACCAGATCTGACAGCATCAAACTTTGAGCGTTGCCCGTCTCCCATGTGTGGATTGCGACACGTGTTTTGCAAGGATAGGAGCGAGAACCGGTGTTGCGGCTGCCTTGTCCTGCCAGTAAGATCGCTCTATAGAACAAGGGAACCAAAAGTGGCCAGATGGTGGTTCCACGAGTGCTCAGCTGCATGAGGAGACTCGTGGCTCCGGTGCCACGGCACAGGATTGTCTTTTGACGTAGCTGGACAAGGTTTCTGGTCCCCAGCCGCTAGGACGTTGGGGAGGGGGGCGTTCATGCCCGCCGTGCCCTCTGGAACCCCGCCGAAAGGGCGTTTTTCCCTCCTGGTCAGCCAAAAGAAAGAGGGCCAGGCTGGCGAGCAGTCCATGTGAGACAAGACAGTTGGAGTCGCGAGGATGGCGGCACGGACATTTGTCCGTAGCAAGAAATTTCCAATGATGATGATGACCCGTTGTGATTGCTCGTGAAGTATAATATGACGTGGGCGGGCCGGTCCCGATTACTGAGGCGCTAGTCCACGTGCGTGCGGCTCCGGAGCTGGTCCCGGTGAGGGGGAAGAGAATGAATGGAGGTGATGGGCATATGGCACAAGGGGTCCACATTCCGCATTTGGCAGCGAGACGCCCGGGAGTTACTGGAGGTCGTCCTCGCTTGCTCATGCCAGGTCCATTCTGGGAGTCCAGCTAGAAGTAATGAGGTGCCTGGCAGAGTCCCCACAAGTGAGTGCTGCGTGGAAAGAGTATGCCGCGCCGATCAAGTCGGCATGTCTAGCCGCCTCAAGTGCTGTGGCATGGCGGAGAGCAAAGTCTGTAGCCAAAGCTGAGAGACGCCATGGCACGCGTGAAGTCTCGCAAGAGGGGAAAATGGTGCTACTTGTCTTGGCATGCGACGTTGCCGGCAGGACACTCGGCCAACGGCTACGGGCACCCACGCATTGTGGGCGTTCGGGCCGACATGGTTCAACGCTGGGTCAAACCACGTTCGTCAAGATATGACTTGCAAGGCCTCGCTTCGCTGGGAGCCAAGTGCGACCAAGGCGCGGCACCGATATAATGAGAATTCTGAGAGGAGGGGCAAGCGCCAGCCATTGAAGCCCCGAGCCTGTAGCCCTGTCGTGGAGAGAGCCAGAGTGCTCCAACGTCGTCACCAGATGCATTGAGACGGGGCTGTGTTACTTGACCGGGAATGTGGGTATGAGGGGGCTCGTGGTAGTGTCAAAGGGTGGTATGTTGCCCTGGCTCTGGGAGAACCCTCTTGTTCGAACGATAACGTCGCTGGTGGATCGCCAGGCACGCTTGCCGAAACTGGGAATATGTCGACCATTCATGCGGTTCTACAAGCGAATGTTGCCAAGCATGGAAACAGTACGTGGACTGCATCGTCTACCGGGCCAAGCCTCAACGGTGATGCCATCAACGCGGAGCTTTCCATCAGACGAGAGTAGTGCACCCTGACTCTCCACCCCTGGCCGCCGACTCGAGGCGTTGCAGCTCAGCCACGCCGGTAATGCCGTCAGAGGCGTCGTCGTGGGCGGGCCCTGAGAGTCGCGGAACGATGAGTGTTGCTGGCAAGGCAGTGTCGTGAGTCGTGGTGTTGAGGCGACGCAGAGTGTCCGGTAGGGGAGACGGACGATCTCTGGGTCAGCCGCAACTCCTGAGGATCGCCCTGTTCAGTCCAAAACGGACTGGCACGGAGCTGTGGCGTCGACGGGCCGGCCGTGGAAGCAGAAGAATACGGCAAGCCAAGGTTCTGTGCTAGCCCGCATCCGACACTAGTCGGCTCGGCGTGCCGGTAGATGGGATGGGGGAGCGGATGGTCTCTGGGTCCGGCAACTCCTCCTCCTCCTCCTTCTCCTCCACATCGAGGCCACCGGCTCCGCGGGCGTAGAGGCACCACCACGCCTGAGAAAAACGCCGGCTCTGTCGCCCGGCTCCGGGATCGTGGCTGGCTAGCTTGGATCACTCATCTCGAGCACAGCCGCATCACATCACATCTGCGACCCGTGCCGAACACGATCCTGGGAAATGAGCACACGACGCACCCCCTTTCAGACTAGAGGCCGGGACGCAAAGCGCCTCGAACGCGCAAGATTACTCACGGCGTCGGTAGTACGGCTGTCAACCGGATGCTGACCCAACGTCAATGGCGCTAACATTGCAGGCGTGGTCTCAGCTGCCCTTTGGACCAGGTGGATTGCCGCCGCGCCTGAAATGGTTTGTGCTGTAGCCTCCCCAATGGACGTGAATCACTTGTGAAAGGACAGGCTGATGGCAGATAACGGGGGACCGACTCTATCAGTTGTGCCCCGTGACCAGATAAACGTCGACATGCAACGGCGGGCCCCTGACCCACGCTTGAAGGAGACAACTCGCCGCGTGCAGCAAAGTTCCACGTGGTTTGCAATGGGGCCCAAGTCGTCCCTGTTGATCAGACAGTGCGGGTCTGTTCGAGAGCGACCAGAACTGCAAAGACAAAGCCAAAAAGACACAGGGCCTCGCTACAGGGTGAGCTGCTGGCACGGCAAGGGACAGAGTTAGAGTTTGCGCTGCTGAAGAAGTAAGAAAGCGTACTAGCCCGCTATTGCAGTTCTTAGTCGACTCACGTAGAGCTCCGCCCGGGACCCGAATCAAGCAACCTTGACACATGGCGGACTACTGGATATCACTTACCCTCGTTCCCAGTACAGCTTAGCAGTTTGGTCTTTGGAGAGAGATCGGTGCCAATTACGACGGGCACCATGCCGATTGCAGTGGCACCGCGGAGTGTTCTCCCAATTCGTCCCAAGCGCGGCTGTAGATTACTGTTGGTCTGTTATTGGCAACATCGAAGTCCTCCCTCACATTTCTCCCGTGTGATTCAACAGGCAACCCTCTGCCGGACAGGCGGTTTCTGGCTTGTTCGGAGAGAGCAGCATCCGGGTCGTAGTATAGTCACCACGACCGTATGCCTGCAGGCCAGGCGACCTGCCTAAGGTGTTCCACGTGCCCAGGACGGTGCTGCTGGCCGGTGGCCTGGCCCAAAGACCACCGCAGTGGACGGAAGGCGGGCATAGGGGCATCCGTTCAGCGGGCCACCTATTTGGGAACACTAATCTGGGATGGGCAAGCAAGGTACGGCCGGAGCAAACCTAGTCTCAGGTAGCGGTGCATAGAGTTCCAGCCAGGTTGACGCTGATTGGGCCGCGCGCTGTTGACAGCGCGCTATACGTCACGCCCGGCCCAACGTCCTCAGTCGAGACTGGACGGCGAGGCTCGACTCGACCTCCTCAGCAACGCCCTAGTCTCTCTTTCGACCATAGCCGCGCCCCTCGGAGCGTTTAAGCCTATCCCACCGCCCCCAGAGGGGGCCACAGCCAGCGTGGCGGACCACGGGGCCCAGGAGTGATTTGCAACTAGCCCTAGCCTGCCTATCTATCACTCATCTATGATCCTCGACTCTATCGACACGGCACACTGCGCTACGCGACTGAGTTGCGCTGTGCCTGCCGGCGCCAGCTCTATCTGCAATCCAGCACGCGCCAGCGACGGCCAGAAGTGATGGCCTTGGAGTTTCGCCAGGCGCCAGACCGGCTCGACTCCCTCCAGCCAACTAGCTAGCCCTGGGTTCCAATGGTGACGCGCTTAGATCATGTTGAGACCCCTTGTTTGCCCATCCGCGCACGCCCCAGCGCCTCCACTCCGGAGGTCGTTAGCCACGAGCTCAGCTTCCAACGTCCCGGCTCGTCTCCTCTCGTCCCGTCTTGTTTGACGGAAGAAACGCTGTATAAAGACAACCAACGCCCGCTCGTTTCCCAATCGAGGTTATTTATCATCACTCAGCCAGCGCAAGATATCACTCCAACACAGCTCAGATCTCTCCAGCTTCAAGGTTGCTTCTGCTTGATCTCCCCAGCACTCGCTGTCTCTGCTAGCTGTCCAACTCACTCCTATCAACATTGATATATGCCGTTCTAAGCTGGCCTAGCCTCCATCTTTTGACCTCTTACCTCAACAACCATGATGATCCCACGGCTCCTCGCTGCCGTGCTGGCACTGACAAGCACCGCCTCTGCAGCCGCAGCTCCCAAGCCTCCGCAGTCCGGGGTCGGCCTGGGCTGCAAGTCGGAGCCGTCGGCGCAGTTCCTGTCCGAGAGCAAGATCAACGCCCTGGCCGAGGACAGCACGGTCGAGGTGCAGGCCCCCGCGCCCATCGTCGTCGACACCTACATCCACATTGTGGCCGCGGGCAAGGACATTACCGACGGCTGGGTGTCGCAGACGGTGGTCAACGCGCAGGTGGCGGCGCTCAACAAGGCGTACGCGCCGTGGAACATCAGCTTCAAGCTGCTGGGCACCGACTGGACCGTCAACCAGACGTGGGCGGACGACCTGGACTCGATGGCGATGAAGGCCGCGCTGCGCAAGGGCACGTACAAGACGCTCAACATCTACTTCCAGCGGACCATCATGGGCGGCACGGCCTCGGGCTTCACCTACTTCCCCATGAGCGGCCCGCCGGTCAAGGGGTCGTACTGGTTCAACGCCGACGGGGCGCAGGTCCAGACGCTCACGATGCCCGGCGGCGCTCCCCCGGGTTGGTGGCCGATGCAGGGGATGATTGCCGTGCACGAGATCGGCCACTGGTTCGGCCTGTACCACACCTTCCAGGGCAACTCGTGCGACGGGGCGGGGGACATGATCAAGGACACGCCCCAGGAGTCGGCGCCCGCCACGGGCTGTGCCAAGCCCAGCGACTCGTGCCCCAGCCTCAAGGGCGTCGACCCCGTCAACAACTACATGGACTACTCGGGCGAGGGCTGCTGGACCCAGTTCACAAAGGGCCAGGCCAAGCGCATGCGCACAAACTGGAAGATCTACCGCAAGAAGTACTGAGGCATGAGGAGTCGATCGAAGAGATCTGGCATGCCTCTTCCTCTTCTTCTTCTTATTCTCTGCTTCCTTGACTCTTCTCCGTCCGGGCTGTCACGACTTTACGACATATGGACACGCCGACCTCCTCCTACACGCATACAAAAGCTTTTGCAAGCCTCGAGGCATACGACCATCCCCTTTCATGGGGTGTATATATTCCTGTCACCCTTTTCGTTCCTCGTCTATTCCTTCTTCTTTTTCTCATTCGCGAAACATTGGACATATGCATCGCATAGACGACGGGAACTTGAATCACGAAATCCACGATCTGCAACGACAACACATTTTCCTCTTCGTCTTTCTTGTTTTTCCCTTAGCTTCCTCCTTCTCCAACGGGAGTTGAAAAAGAGCTAGCAAACGGCTGAGGCGTCCCTACTAGGGGTACGCCGCCCAACCCAGCCCCCCTTTGCTCTTGTCCTGCAATCTTCCCCTCATCCTCCTCCTCCTCCTTCCTTTGGTTGAAGAGGTTGGTCGGGAGGAGCGAGAGGTAGAGAAGCCGGGGGGAGAGAGGGGGCGAGGGGGAGGCCGAGCTGTACGAGACGAGCATCAGCACGAGCATGAGCTATGACGACTCACGACCATTTCCTCTTCTTTTCTTTTTCTTTGGTCCATCGATGAGTTTCTGCCCTCAATAGGGGGCAGACGGGGGGGGAGGGGGCTAGGAGGCGGGCCTAATGGCGACGAGGTCGACGAGGGCCACGAAGTGATGATCATGAATAAACGCGACCTGGAAAATGATTCACGATGGATGGTTTTACTACGAAATGGCATGGTATGGTTTGGTTCTATGAACGAATCATAAGGGGACAAGATCGGGCAAGGTTTTACGCGCCATGAGATTACGATTTCTTTTTTCTGTTCCTTTTTGACGATCCGTCGCTTTGTATTGGAATAGAATGCTGAGTACATGAGTACATAATGGATACTTTAACGTTACATATATACAAGCCAAAGGCCTCTATCAAACTCAACGGTGACGTGTTCAAATCATCCAACAATTGTAAGTAAAGGTCCCTGGCCTTCTATCCATGGTCATTGTGCCCGAGTGGGACTCGTTGATCATGCAATCCGGCTATCAGAGAGTTGTTGAGCATGCGTCCGAGAAAATCAGGACAACTGTGCACATTAGTACACAAAACTGGGGGGGCTTTTCTGCAAACTGGCAGCTGACGAGGCAGAGCACGACATGTATTGACTGAATTCTTCATTTTACATTCTTTCACAACCAAAACTATCTCCATCTATTTGTTCTTGCCAGTTGGAATGGCAAACAGGACAATCTTGCCGCCGTCCTCAACACCCTTGTCCACCCGGTAGTAGCCCCGTCTCTCGAGCTGGATGATGTCGTCCTTCTTGTACTTGGCGACGTTCTCGTCGCACAGAGCCTCCTCCATCGTGGCCGTCACGGGGTTGAGGAACTTCTCGAGATCGTCGTCCTCCTCGAGCTTGTCCTTGGTGATCAGGTAGTCAAACTCCCACAGCTCGGCGGGGATCAGCTTCTGGCCCGCAGACGACAGCCAGGTGATCTTCTTGTCCGTCTTGCGCACGTCTCCCTGCAGGTTCAGCTCCAGCGTCAGGCTCGGGATGACGTCGCCGCTGGCAATGTTCTTGACAAATGCATTGCCCCACTGCATGACGGTGATCTCCTCGCCGTCCTTGAACGACTTGGCATCAGCCTGGTCGATGATGAGCTCCTTGCTCATGACGACCTTCTTGTTGCCAATGGCGGCGTTCTTGGGGTGCAGAGGCTTCTCCTCGCTCTTGGGCTCAGCAGGCACACCCTCACCAGTGACAGTGACCTTGACGGCATCCTTGGCGAGGATGGCAGTGTGCCGGGGCGCGACGGGGTCAATCTCCTTCTTGTTGGCAGCCCAGAAGCTGGACCAGTCCATGGAAGTGACGTTGCGCGAAGGGCCCTGCTTCAGAATGAAGTCCCGCAGAGCAGGGATGGTCATGCCGCGCCGGCGAACACCACGGATGGTAGGCATGCGCGGGTCGTCCCAGCCCCAGACCTTGCCGGTATCGACGAGCTTGGCCAGCTTGCGCTTGGACAGGAATGTGCGGATGAAGTTCATGCGGGCAAAGTCCCACATGTAGACCTGGCGCAGCTTCAGGGTGTCGAGGAACCACTGGAACTGGGGGTTGCGGTCGGTGTACTCGGTCGACCTCAGGGCGTGGGTGACGCCCTCCAGGCTGTCGACGACGGGGCAGGCGAGATCGTAAGTGGGGTACATCTTCCACTTGGTGCCCGTGCGGTGGTGAGCGTCGTTGGGGTTGCAGCGGTAGATGACGGGGTCGCGCATGGCCTTGTTCGGGTTGTCAACCGAGATCTTGGCGCGGATGCAGTTCTTGAGACCCTCCTCGGTGCCCTGCTTCATCTGCTCGAAGAGGTCGAGATTCTCCTCGACAGTGCGCTCACGCCTCTTGGAGGCGATGCCCTTTCCTCGCTCGTCGCGCATCGTCTCGACATCGGTATCATCGGCGTAGGCGTGGCCCTCCTTGATGAGCTTCAGGCAGGTGTCGTAGAGGTGGTCGAAGTAGTCGGAGGTGTAGGTGACAAAGTCGGGCTTGATGCCCATGAGGGCGAGATCCTCAATGATGGCGTCCTGGAACTCCTCCTTCTCCTTGCTGGGGTTGGTGTCATCAAGGCGGAGACGCAGCTTGCCATCGTAGGCAATATGCGCAAAGTAGTCGCTGAGGAGCGCGGCCTTGGCGTGTCCGATGTGAAGGTAGCCAGAGGGCTCGGGCAGGAAACGGCACACGACGCCCTTGTCGGCCTCCTGGAGGCCCAGGTTGTAGCTGCCACCAGCACGGCTGGCAGCCTGGACCTTGGCCTTGCGCTCGTTGTCGGCGGCCGCAACCTCGGCCTGGATCTCGGGATGGGTCTTCTCGATGTAGGTGAACCACCGCAGGAGGTTGGCGTAGGTGCCCTTCTTGATGAACGAAACGGCAACGCGGTTGCTCTTGATGGCGATCCAGATCTTGGCGTCGAGGTCGCTGATGCTGTAGCCGGCGACGTAGGTCCGGAGAGTCAGGTGCTTCTCGAGACGGATCAGGTGAGGCTCGATCGACTTGAAGTCGCCCCCGAGGGAGGTCGACACGGCGACAACCTCATCCGCCTTCATGGTGAAAGTCGTGTGTCTGTGTCTTGTGAGAGAGTGGATGGTGGGGTAGTCAGGCTTCCACGGGTTGATTGAAGAGACAACTCGCGGATTCGTCTGGGTTGGTGTACTGGCGCCCGGGGGACTTTCAATTGGAGTCTAGATTATGTTGGAAATTCGGCAAACGAGCTCCCAGGCGAGCAGCTCCTCTAAGTTGCAGCCAAAAACTCGTGACTCAAGCAGTGGCGGGGTCGGGCTCGGAATTCTCATAAATGTTTGGCGGAGGGTGGGGTGATTAGATAAAAGCTCAGCATCCCAGCAGCATGGCATGACGCTCATCGAAGGTCGAATCTGCGCTAGCCGTTATAAGACTAGTGCATCTAGGAAGTGCAGCTGGCCAATCACGCTCGACCTTGTAGATTGCAGGGAAGGCGGTCCCTGATTCTGCCGCTTCACAGAGTGCTGAGGCCCCGGGCTGGTGCAGCGAGGTGCTGAGCTCTGAGGGTACAGCCAATCAGTAGCCAGCACGACCTGCTGGCAGCAAGAATATTTTGGCACTACAGCAGCCGCCCGTCGCATGTTGCACCACCAAAGCAGCACACACACACTCGACGATAACCTCACAACCACCACCCACGACAAGGCGAACATTCGCCCCCCCCTCCCCTCCCCCGACGGCGAGGTCAGAAGCATAGCCACCAATTCTCGAGGGCAGAACCGATCCCAACGACGAGCTTCGCGCTACACAAAGGACCCCAAAATCCGGCCATCATGGCCTCCGCCAAACACTGCACCGCCTCGCTGGCGAGGCTCGCCATATCAGCACCATGCACTGCCCGACCAGCCATCTCCGGGACAATAGTGACCGCCTCGAGGTCCGCTGCCGCTCTCTTCTCCACGACGCAGACGGTCGGCAAGGCCGTGAGCAAGAAGACCGGCCCGACGCTGCAGCAGCTGGCGTTGCAGAAGGAGCGCGCGAAGCGGAAGAAGAAGCAGTCGCGGCACAAGGAGTACAAGTACGCCACGCCCAGCGAGGAGGAGCGCTGGTCCCTGTGTGATGCGATGAGGTAGGTCATCCACCTTTAATTCTCCCAACTATTTTTCTGCCCGTCCGCCAGAACGCTTGTATATATCAACCAACCGGAGAGACTAAAACCCCGCCGTCACGCAAAATACAGATATCTCCGCGCTGCCGAGGTAGGCCGGCCGCCCGAGTCCGCCACGTACGAGGTCTCGCTCAAGATCCGGACCAACAAGAACGGCCCCGTGATCCGCAACCGGATACGCCTGCCGTACCCTGTCAAGAACGACACGCGGGTGGCCGTCATCTGCAAGGAGGGCAGCGGCGCCATGTCGGACGCGCGCAACGCGGGCGCCGTCGCGTTCGGCGAGGAGTCGCTGTACGAGCTGATCCGCACCAAGCCCAACGACCTGCCCTTCAACCGGCTCATCTGCCACGCCGACTGCGAGGCGTCCCTCAAGAAGGCCGGGTTGGGCCGCATCCTGGGCCCCAAGGGCATGATGCCCTCGCTCAAGACCAACACCATCACCCGCAGCGTGGCCGCCATGATGCGCGAGATGGTCGGCGCCGAGGCGTACCGCGAGAAGGTCGGCGCCATCCGCATGCCCATCGGCAACATCCAGTTCACGCCCAAGCAGCTGTCGGAAAACGTCAAGACGCTCGTCGCGCAGATCAAGGACGACATTGTCAAGGTGGAGGACCGCACGGGTCAGAAGAAGGATCTCATCGAGGTGGTCCTGTCGTCGACCAAGGGTCCCGGGTTCAGCTTGAGCGGTGGCTTCCTGCCGACGGATGAGAACGTCGATGCGGCTGCGCTCAGCACGGCCATGTAGTTTGGGCGTGCTGCCTTGTCGTGAGGCGGGACTCGCTCTGTCCTTGTATTTGAGATGTACCATAGTGAGGAGGTTGTGGGAGGCCATGCCGTGTACTGCGGACGCCGTATCTTGGAAGACCTGGGGCATGCGAATGTACATTATTTATGCCGTGAAGTCAATCATATCGTTGTAACGTGACAACATTGTATACAATAGCTCGCAACCATGCACTCGTCACATTTGACATCTTGGCGCACATCTCACTGGGTATCTTTTTTTGTTCATTTTACACGCTGCACGGCAGCGTGTCATACACTCCTCAGCGCCTTGACAGCCTCGCCCTGCGCGTCAAGAGTAGCATATATGTCCATCAACCTCAACAGCCTGGCCGCACTCGCCTTCCTCCTGGCACCAGTCCCCTTGGACTCGGTCTTCGCCTCCCGCCGAGCCTCCTTGAGCGCTGTGTTGAGGTCGAGCAGGATCGTGTTGCGGCACCGGATCAGCCTCTCGTCCATCTTGCGCACAAACGGCGTATCCCGGCCAATCTCGTTGGCGAGGTCCTCTATGGCCACGAAAGCCCTGGCGAGCTGTGCTAGCTTTGCAGGCGACGCCGTGCTGCCCTGGCCAGCGTGCCGCACGTGTGGTGGTCTTTGCTCAGACGCATCGTCGTCAGTCTCCTCATCATCATCATCATCGTCCTCTTCATCGTCCTCTTCATCGTCGTGATGCTGGCCACTGTGTCGAGCAGGTTCGCTCCCCAGCGCAAGCCTGCCCTCCACCTCGGCCACCCGCTCGTCCAGCTCTACCATCATCCTCCCGCGCTCGATATCCCTCCTGACCGCTAACAACTCCCCGTTCAGCTTGCCCACCTCGGCGCCCCTCTCGCCCACTCTGCCTTTGATCTCCTCCACCGCGCGCCGGAAGCCGAGCAGAGACACGCGGACATCTTCGACGCGCTCCTCGCCGCCCTTGAGCTCGCTCCCAAGGGACAGGAAGGCCGTGTAGTTTGCGTTGACGAGCTCGAGCAGCTCGACGCTGATGGCGGCGCTGCGGTCGCGCAGGTCGGAGCGCAGGTCCTCGAGGGTCTGGTGGCGGTTTGTGGCGACGAGCTGGGAGAGGTAGGCCGGCGGATCGAAGTCTGGGGCGAGGAAGTCGCTCCTGGCGAGGGCGGCGGGGAAAGGGAGGGGGAGGTCGTTGTCGTCAGAGTCGTCGTCAGGGTCGGACTGGTCGGATATGGACGTGTGTTGGCCAGTGGTTGTGTGGCTGGGCGGGAGGATAGCCGTGGGGGACGGCGAGGAGGAGCCTGAGGAGGAGGCGAGGGCGAAGGCGCCCTTTGCGCTGGACAGGCGTGCTGGCCGGTTGGGCAGCTGCTGCTGCTGAGTGGACGGCTGTGCCATGAGGCTGAAAGGAGGAATAGGGGAGTGCCAATGACTCAGCCTTGTCGTGGAGCAGCAGCCGTGGTGACGGCACTGGAGCACCAGCGTGTGTGTGTCTGGAGCTTGATGCTCAGGTGTCGTCTGGGCCCCACTTGTTCTGGGCGTTGGAGAGGACAGCAATCGTGGGTGGGACGATGGATGGATGTCTGGAGGAAGGACCCCTGTCCTGGCCACATGCCAGGAAGATCCAGCACAGTGGGACAGGCACTCGTGGCACCGTAGCATTGTTCTCCCGCCCGCAACGTGTTGGCTGCATGCGGATCCTGTTCCGCCATCTCCCATTTGCCTTGAGCATACATTGCCGCCCTGGAATGCATTATCCATCCAGCACTGCCACCGCGCACTGCAAGATGACCCGTCAGGGTCCTGTGGGCTCGTCAGCTAACTAGTGTCTGAGTCCATGATGCCGTGGTGGCAACGTTTGAATGCAGCGTTGCTGCTTTGGCACTAGCACGACGTGCCAAACTCTGTTTCCTTTCGACCGAGGAGAGAACCCTGGGAGAGCAAGCAAGACTGAGACGGCGTGTCACCGACTTTCTGGCACGTCTTTGCGATGGAAGATCTTGCTCGCAACAACCAAACCTGGAGGCTCCGTTATCGGGCCGGCCATGCTGGGGTCTGCGCTTGGTTGGGGCGTTCCGTGCCTACCCGATCAGCCCATTCACCACGGGCGACGCACACTACATACCATAGCAGGTTCAAAGTGAACCACCTGCTCGAGAGTGTTGTCCGGTGCCGGCTCGTGCTGGACTGCCGCCTGGGGCCCATCACGTAATGAAGGCTGCTGGCTCGGGACCAACTGTGGTCCGTCCTGGGCATGGACCATGTCAAAGTCATGTCCTCTCGCCCACCACAGCCAAGAGCTGACGCTGCCCCGGACACGACGGCTCGCTCGGTCGGCGGCATAATCTTATCAATCTGATCAGTGGCCACTCACAGCGCGTGGCCTGCCCCTCTGCCGGACCCGCTCTCACCTCACCACTCCGGCTCTCTACGTGTGTGTCTCTGTGTGTGTGTGCTCTTTCTCTTGCTTGCCCGCTCGTCCTGCCTGCGCGCACTCGTCCTGCCTCTCTGCCTGGCCCCGATCGCCTGCTGTCCCTCCTCTCGCCAACCCTTTCGTAGACTGCAGCTTCTGCTCCTCTTCTCGAGCGCCTCTCGCCATTCAACCACACATTGGTGCAGCTCAACCCCTCGCCAAAGTCGTGCACCGCTTTCTCCGGCACCCCGCGCCGCCTCTCACCTTTCTGAGGCTTTTCGCACCACGCCACCCACAACGCCTCTGCGCTCTTCGGTTTTGTCGCCTCTCTCATCTCTGGGTCATCTCTCTCCATTCTCTGGGTTTGGATCGTCCCTGTCTGTACTTTCCCTCGTCTCCGAGCACGCCGCAAATTTCTTCTCTCTGCCCAGGACCTTCCACGACTCGGACTAGGAGCACTTCAGCGATTCGCCTGGCCGTAGCGGCACACATTTTCTTCGTCCATCTTCACCATCCCACTGCCCAGCTTGCCGCTGTCGGCTGGAGTCGCTCTTGCCCTCGAGCGGATGGTCACAGCACCAGTCCGCTCGTAATCCTCTCCCGTCATCATGGCCACCGCTCGGCCCATCTCGGCTGTGGGCGTCAAGCCTCGTCCTCTGCAGGTCGCCATTTCTCCTGCCTCTGCAGCGTCATCCCCAGCGTCTGCAGCTTCTCCCGGCTCTGCGACATCGTCCGCTCCCCCAGCACAGCTGCCCCTGGCCATCAAGCCTCTCGGAGGACCGCAGGCCTTGGCAGCCGCCGCCATGGCCACAGTCATGACGCCAAAGACTTCCATAACCAGCAAGGAATGGGTCATTCCTCCTAGGCCAAAGCCAGGCCGCAAGCCCGCCACGGACACACCACCCACCAAGCGCAAGGCGCAGAACAGGGCAGCTCAGCGAGCCTTCCGCGAGCGAAGAGCCGCCCGAGTGGGTGAGCTCGAGGAACAGCTCGCCGACCAAGTCCAGGAACATGAGCGTACACAGCAGGAATTGCACGACCACATTGGCAACCTCGAGAATGAGGTCCAGCGCCTTCGTGGTCAATGCTCCAGCCTTGAGGATCTCCTGGAGAAGGAACGTGCCGAGCGAGCGAGGGCAGACCAGGAGCTCGACTCGCTGAAGCGGAGGTGGCGGATGGCAGAGTCTCGAGGCTCGTCCAGGCATGACAGCTTCAACACGCTCGCCGGCGGTCGCACGCAGAGCATCCTCTCACACCATGGCCCCACGTCGAGGGACAGCGTCACCAGCGTCGCCTCTGGCCACCGCAATTCGACCTTCTCCATATCACAAATCATCTCGCCCCCGGATCTCCACACATCCCCCTTGGACTCGCATCACTTGGATGAGGTTACTGGCTGCGGCAACTGTAGCCCGACCGGCGCTTGCTCCTGTATCAACGAGGCTCTCGCCGCGACCTCGACAGGCTGTGGCAAATGCAGTGTCGGCACCAAGTGTGCCTGCCTCGAGGCAGCTCTCAACGGACCGATCCCAGGAGCGGACGTCGACCTCAAGCGCCGGGCACCATCACCGTTTGCCGTCGCTCCCGAGGAGAAGCGGCACAAGTCTGATGTGACGCTCTATCCTAATGAGATCGACTTCACCGCCATGTTCTCCAAGAAGAAGCCAGAGCCGGCTGCGGCGCCTGCACCACCTGTGCCCGTGTACGAGCCGAACCCCCCATCCTTCATGCCAAAGGACCGCTGCGGCTTCTGCGAGGATGGCACCTACTGCATGTGTGCCGAGGCTGCGGCTGCGGCAGCTGCTGCGGCAACAGCATCTCAGACCTTGCCGCCTATGGGTCAGCAGGTCCAGACACCACCACCCTCCGAGAGCGATGTCGGTCCTCCAGTTTACGAGATCACATCCACAGGTGCCGTCAAGCTTCCTGGCATCCGCTCGCTGAACCGTGACACGCAGCCGCGAGCTGCTGCACCCGCCAAGGCTGGTGGTGGCGGCGGCGGCTGTGGTTCCGGCGGCCCTGGCACGTGCGCGCAGTGTATCGCGGATCCCAAGTCTGGGCTCTTCTGCCGCAGTCTTGCGGCCAAGTTTGCCGCCGAGAATGGTGGCCAAGGCGGCTGCTGTGGCGGCTCTGCTGGCGGTGGCGGCTGCTGCAAGACCAAGAGTGCCCCGGCACCACCACCGACTTCAGGTTCTGGCCTAGGAGTGAGCTTGTCGTGCGCGGACGCGTACAAGACGCTGGCCAGCCACCGGAACTTTGACAAGGCTGCTGATGACATTGGCACATGGCTGCCCAAGCTCAAGGCCATCCCCAGGGAGGTTACCGGGTCGACGGCGAGGCTACCCATCGAGGTCGAAACGGCCAGTATCATGAGTGTGCTGCGAGGCTTTGACGTGAGGTTCGGCAGGGAGCCTTGAGCGATGTTGTTGCTTGTTATTCCTGCTTGCTTTTCTTGGGCCAGGTCTTACCTGTCGCGGCTTTTTGCTTTCGCGCCGTCACAAATCACTGGCTTTGACCGGTGAACATGCCATGTCATGCCATCAGTCCTTTTGAGCTTGTCATAGACCTTTTGGGCTGGGGGTGGAATTTGCTTTTGTTTGGTTGCATTCACGGGTTGTCTTTTCTGGCGGGGTTTTTCCAGTAGAAACTCTTCTTCCCGCGGGTCTTTGAACTCGCCGGCGTCTTTACGGAGTTTAGGGACACGAAAAAAACACGTATTTCGGAAAGAAGGGGGGGGGGGGAGGTTGTAGAGGCTATTCCCTGAGAAGAATATCAGGGAGAGGAGATCTAAGGATCCTCAAAACCGACGCAGTTACTTTGCGTATTACTCTGTATAACTATGACTATGACGAGCACATACCTACCCCCTTGCTTGGTCTCCTCCTACCTGGCCCATAATGTCTTGGTTTCCTGAATGCACAAAGAGTGATGCCATTTTGGCCAGACGAAAGCGGTTGTTGCACAGGCCGTAGCTACGTCCCGTTGATGTACCGTACTCACGGGGTGTGCCACACACACACACACACTCTCTGTCTCTCTCTTTTGCACTGGTCTCGTCGTCAAACTCTGCAAAAGCGTGGTTGTAGACATTACATTTTCCTTTTCACCGCGGCCGTAGGCGACGCTCGTCACTCCAGATCGGACACACCCAGGTCCAGATGCATATGCGAGTGCGAGTGCGAATAAAAGTCGCGAAATGCGTGGAAAAGGAGAACGTCGGAGGCTATCGACTTGCCTATCTCCCTACGCACCTCTGTAGGTAGTCGTCTTATCTATCTGACTTGCTTAGGTACCTACCCAGCCAATAAGAAAACCCCTTGAACTACTAGGTACCGGTTATGGTCCGTCCCCCATTCCGGACGGCCTGCTCCTGACTTTTGTGAGCAGGACTTGGGGCGGGGGCTTGAGGATACAGTTACGCGCGCGCGCGCGCGTGGAAGATCCCCGCAGGCCCTCCAAAGGAAAAGGTGACCCCTGAAATAGGAATGTGGTAGGCATGGGGATGAACCCTGTTTATCTGCGTCAAGGCGCCCCAGGGCAGGAGGAGCCGACTGGGTGAGGGTTCGTAGTCGAGAAGGCTTCTCTGGTCGGCTCCGAAGAGCTCTTGGACGCCGACGACCACCATCATCTGCGTGAAGGGAAACAGACTCCCTCTCTCTCTCTCTCTCACAGTCACTGCTCACGGTTCTGCGGCTTGCTAAGCCAGTGTCGCCCACTCTTTTGCTTACCTCGAGGTCTTCGACCTTGCCATTGCCCATTCATCAGGATGGTCAACTTCGAGCCACTCACTTGCTCGTCCTCTCTGTCGCTACGAAGCCATGGAAATCTCTGCCACCATCAGAAAAACCGCCTTACGAGCTTTACCACCGCCAAGGCTATCACTACCACTCGAGCTCCGTTCCCGCAGCCGGGACCGCCCTGTCGAGTCTCACTGCCACTCTCAATACACCTTCCTAGGGGGCTCGAAGGCGGTGCAGTAGCAGCAGCAGCAACGACACGGCACCCTGCCACGATGCGGCGGCATGGATCTTTGAGCCTGGCGGGGGCTCCAGTCTCCCCGGCAGCTCAGCTGCGTGCACAAGGGCACATCAGCAACGACTCTGTCATTGATTGTGTTTGCTCCTTACCTGGGCTTCATGCTCAATACGAACTCTCTGTACTCTTGCGTCAGCTACACATGCCACATGACCTCCCCGAGGCGTCTGACAGGATCAGCATCCGCTCGGTGGTGGAAGCTCCGGGGATGTGCCGACGTGTATGCATGGCTGCACGTCGATAGGGAGCTCTTTGAGCCCGTGAGGTCTGGCCGCCTCCGCGCCATGGTCCGTCATCTGCAACAGCACGTGCTCATCATGGACGAAGATGCGGAGCGACTGCTTGCTACTCCGTCTAGTGTGGTCTGTCGTCACAAGTGGTGCCGCAACGCGCGTAAGAACACCAGTGTAGTCTTGGCCGGAACCCTCGGTTTGTTGCCTCCAGTCATGATTGCAACCATGCCTGGGATGCGTACGTTGTGCAGATTGTGTCTGGGTCAGCCTGCAGGTCAACGTCGTTATTCCGAAGGCATCGTGTGCGGCTGCTCAAGAGTGTGCCTCGCGAATGCGCAGCGTTGCTCCAGCCATGGAGCGTCGCACGTCCCATTTGGGCCGAATGTCTGTCGTAGGTCGACAAGGGGTGGGAACAAGCACCAATCAGCTCTCCTCGATCGAGGTTCTTGGCCCTGCACAAGATTGACTGTCGCTTCTGGAGTAGTGCTGACGATGCCACATTGTCCCCATTGTCCTGCCGCCACCAGCCCCGACGCAGGTCAGTATAGCCTGCGGATACTGCCATGTCAGACAAGGGCCTCCCTCTGAGTGGACGAGATATCCGCTGGAACAAGACACCTGGAAGTTCCCTGCAGCCTGCAGGAGCAGGGGGCCTTTCAAGGGCTGTGAGACTGCCCTATGGTAGGGCTGATGGTTGATCCTGTGGTGACGAGGCTGTTTTTGTTGGTCCGACTCTGGCAGGCAAGGCAGCAACGTCTGCGCAGATTGAGCCAGGCTCCATCGCGGCTGCCCAGCGATATGCCGGCCGCTCGACCACGCCAGCGAGTGGGTTGACGTCGTCTTCAAGCATTGGGACCCCCGTTGTGTCTTCAGAAGGTCGGGACAGGGTCCTGTGGCTGAGGAATCCACGAGCGTGGCGCTGCTGTGCCTTTTTCGAGAAGATACTAGTCAGCCGGAGGTGAAAATAGGGTCTTGAACGACGTGGCAAGCGCTGGAATTGGAGATTGTGGGCCGTGACGCAGTGAGCCTGCCTGGAGTCGTCGACGGCTGTGTCAGTGGCGGGTGAGAGCCGGGGGGGCAACTTGCAGAAGTGCTGCCAGCCAGCGGGCCGCTGCAGCATAAGTCAACTCTGCTCCCACCCTGCCATCGTTTAAGTTGCTGCGCAACTCCGTATGGCCCCCCTCAGGCTAGACTCGATCAGTCAACACCTCCGCTGACTGATGGTGAAGGCCTGCGAGCCCCCAGCCTGCCGGCCGACCATCTCGGGGTTCAATCCCTGCCAGCTCCGCCAGGACCTCCAGGGGACGGCACCTTCACGAATAGCAAGGCGTCCTGTCCTGCACGCTCGCTAGCGGCGGGCTCGTTCGCAGGAACGATTGCTGGCGACGCCCAATCCTACCCAGACCGCGATGCTATTTCCACATGTCGACTGGCAACGCTCGCAGTGCTTAAATGCAGCCAAGGCCTGTCCCGTGTTGCGACGGTCGCTTGAGCAATGGTGACTGACGGTCGCATCCGAGTTTCTCCAAGACTGAAACGTCTCAATCACGACCATGTTCTTCGATAGTCCAAAGTTCACCGTCGACACCGACCCGGCTCCGCTGCCACTCCGCAAGCCGCGCAGGCCATTCTCCCCTAAGGTCAAGACGGGTATGTCGGCCTATGTTTGTTGCTGCTGCCCCGCCAGGGGGGGGGGGGGGGGGGCGGGCTTGCAATGTCAACGCTGACCTGATCATCGTCGCCAGGCTGCTTGCGCTGCAAAACCAGAAAAGTCAAGTGCCCAGAGGAAAAGCCCCAATGCAGCCGCTGCGTCCGGATGGGCCTGTCGGATTGCCAGTATCCGCTGCTGTCGCAACCGAGAGAACTCCCACCTCAGCCAGTGAGGCAGGCTCATCGCGTCCTGCCGCCGCTCGCCGCCTACGCACTCGCGAGGGCACCGTCCACTGCCTACTTTGGCCCAGCCATAGCACGACTCAGCCCACCCCAGGTAGCATACCTCGATCGCTTTCGCCATAAGGTGATGCTTCGGATCACATCGCTCACTTTCAACGACTTCTGGGGCCGCGTGATCCTCCACGAGACTCTGAACGATGATTGTGTCCTCGAGGCTGTGCTCAGCCTGGGGGCCCTCGACCTGGCATGGGATCAAGCGAACACGACGGGCAAGCCAACAAGCCCGCATGCAGAGAATGGGAGCCAACTTAGTCTCCAGTCGTCTTCGTCAGCATGCTATCGGGAGGCCATCCGGCACTACTCTCGATCCGTTACCAGGCTTCATAGCAGACTGAGGGCTCTGGCGGAATCGTCGTCGTCGCAGTCGTCATCGCATGGAGAGCATGCATCCGACAATGTGCAGGAGCTGGTGCCGATATTGACAATGCTGTACGCCTTGTTTGAGTGGCTACATGGCGACGAAGTTGCCCAAGATCGACTTCTGAGGAATGGGTTGCTTATGGTCAAGGCCCAGGAGGCTTTGGGATCCAAGACGGACGAAGCAAGCGAGCATCAAGACTTGGCTCAGCCGTTGGTCTACCCCTGGGAACCGACTGGGCTGGGTGGCGGTGATTTCTTCAACCGTGCTGAAGATGCAGGTTCTCTGATGATACGTTGGATCGTTCTGAGCTGGCTGCTGTGGCCAGGCGCCTCGACATCCGCAGCAGCAGTGGTGAGATACTACAACCGCAAAATAGCAAATGGCGAGGCACAGCTCGACATAGCATCGCCGCCACCACCACCAACGAGCCTAGCCGAGAGCAGCTACGAGACTGTTTGCGGGATGGCGCTGAAGGTGGTGACGTTTGTTACGCTGTGGTTTGCTCGGCTCCGCGTCGACGGCGCCGATGAAGCAACCATGGCTGCTGTCGCTGGGGAAGAAGGACCAGTTCTCGACCGACTCCGAGTGGAACAGCGCGCGCTCGAAACATGGGTGCGGGACTGGGCCGCTGTCTTGTCGGCAAAGTTGGCGACAGAGAGAGATCCTATAGGCAAGGTACTGCTGACAGAGTTCCTGTTTGGGTGCAAAACCCTGACGTTCATGATCCAAGTTGGATTGCCGTTTCCTGTGGCAGACCCCTTGTCATCACCGGGGAGCAAGCAGCAGCCCGAGCGACAGGGACAGGACCTCGAGACGAGAAGTACCCGCACAGCCCACGCCGTCATGGACGAGGTCGAGAAGCGTGTCCGTGCCAGACGCGCGCTGGGCGAGGTTGGGCTGGGCGAGTGCAGCCCAGGAGCACTTGCGCTGGTCTGTCGAGAGTGCCGGGACATTGGAGTGCGGGCGCGGGCGCTGACCATCTGCCGTTGGGGCGCCCAGGCGAATGCGCTGTGGGATGAAAAAGGCAGCATGATCGGGACATGCGCGCTAGCGGCGCTCGAGGAGAGATCGCGAGATCCCACCACAGGGTTGGTCCCACGGTCATCGCAGTGGCAATGGATTCACGCGGAGTGGACTAGTGACCACGAGTGCCTTGCTGTCACATTCAGGTCGGTCACTCGGGACGAGGCGGGCGAGTTCCGGTACAAGAGGATGCAGTTGCTGGCCGCCAACTTTGGCTACGTGACAAGGTTAGAAATGTGAATCAAAGAGTGAAAGCCACTTGCCCGCAGGATCTGCAAAGCGAATGTGTGAGTCGTGTCCAGGTCTGCAGAGGAGCAAGTGAGTATTTGGAGACCGGCGTCAAGCAGGAAGGTCTGTCGTTTGGGGATGCAGCTGGTCAAGTTAGGTCAGGTCTGCCCAGGCAGGTAGTGCTTCCCACCGTGTAGTAGGGACGTGGATGTACCTGCCACACTGCACAGTGCCTGCGATTTCCTCTCGAAATCGGCACAACAGACGTCACTCGGGGCTGCGCAAGTCACTTCATGCACGGATTATCTCGCAAATATCACGCAGAGCTCTTATGGGATGCCATTCGCTATACTGCCTGCGCATTACAATTTCTACGCCTGCAGCGCATCCACAATCTCCAATGTCGGGTAGTCGTAACCCCCAACCTCGTTCATGATCGGCTCGCCACCATACCAGCGAAGAGTCACCTGGGCGATGCCGCCTGCTTCGGACACGGGCAGCCAGCTTCGAAAAGACTTGTCAGTACATAAGGTACGCACGGGGTCATCGGTCATTGCAAAGCGCGAAATGGCAAGGTGGGAACTCACTTGCTCGTCCAGTTGGCGGGCGGATTAACGTTGGATGCCTGCAGAAGAATCTTGAACGGCCCGTCGACCGCAGCATCCGACAGAGGTGTGCCGTCGGGAAAGGTGAGATTGCCACGGTGGTCACCCACTGCATAGCGGTTCAGGCTGTTCTTCACCAGGAACCCCTCGCTGTCGTACGCCGTCAAGCTCCAGAAGCCGCCTGGCGTGATCTTGGGCTTGGCCGAGAAGGTGAGGATGGCTGCTTTGCCAAGCGGCAGGTCGATGTTGGGGTAGAACGGATAGATTGCCTGGTCGGGGCCGAGAATAAGGTACCCGACCTGAGCAATGATGTAGCGCAGGACGTAGTGGGACAAGAAGTTGCCGACGTCGTTGAAGATTGTCCAGTTGTGACCCATGTCCTTGACTGCTCCGGGCTGGGCAGCATAAGCCTGTCTGGACTGGTTCGCAGCGGCCACGGCGATAGTCAGATTGGCGCTCTCCGGCTTAGTGTAGACGCCGTGCTCGATACCTGCTGCTTTGAGCAGGCTAGCCACCCATGGGCGATCCCCTGCGACGATGGGCTGCTGCCACTCAGCCAAGGCAGCCGTGAGGCGGAGGATGGCAAGCGGGAGCGGGTTGGTCGCGGAGGCGAGATATCGCGGGTCACTGAACATGGAGAGGATCCATGGGGGTGCCACTGGCAGCTCCAGGCGAGGCAAGACCAGCGTCTTGATCTGGTCTTGGATGTCGCGAACCTTCTGAATATCGTCTGGGTCATCTGTGACGAGGATCCGCTGGATCACGAGCCCGTAAGGAGCGGCCAGGTTGATCTGCGCCACGTAGCCGTCCGGCACATTGTCGTACTTGACGCCGTAGTCGTCTGGCTTGTACTTGATGATATACTTGCCGGCAGTGTCGTTGTTGATGCTGCCAATGTTGCCAATATTGTTGCCGTATCTTTAACGGCGTGCCTCTCATTAGCATGTCTCGAAATTTTAGCCCATCTCGCATGGCGTACTGACAAGTCGTAAAAGGGAAACACCCAGTATCGGTCCTTGATCTCCGGCAGGGTCACCTCCAGATCAGCGGCGGAGACGTCGACGAAGATGCCAGAGTAGACCGTGTCAGCATTGGGCCGTACGACTCCGACACCGGCGGCTGTGGCGAGATTGCGCTGGTGGTAGATGAAGTTTGTCACGGCGAGCGGGACGGCACGAACAAAAGTGCCTGCCGCGTACAGGGGAGCGCCATACTGTGGTCATAGTCAGGCCTCGATCAAACAGCGGGAGATGGAGAGTAGACGTACGACAAAGGCAAAGTTTGTGGCATTCTGGACGCAGGCGACATCTGTGCATGGCGGTGCTGGGGAGCAGGCTCTCCTATGGTGTTGTTGTTGCTGAACAGCAGCGGCCGAAGCCAAGCTGGCTGTAAAGAAGGCTGACCACCTCATGTCGGGCGCCTGTGCCGTGAAACGCGGCTGGAATGATGACGTGGGGGAGAAGCGCCCGTCTGCTTGTGCGACTGTACGGAGCTGGGAGTGCTAAGTCCTCCTTGTGGTAGGCAGTGGCCGCGTCTCCTTGTCCAACACCAGCAGCAGGGCTGGGGCACTTTGGCTTATATACATCAGTGTGGCCCGATCCGAGGGTTTGAGGGACGAGCAGCTCTCTGGTCCCCGTCGCAAGGCTGGCCCAATCGGCATATCAGCCAATTGGCCAATGGGCGGACGCGTGGGTGGTTTCTTGCATGGCCGTCATCACGAAGATGTGTGTAAAGTGCAGGGTGTCGTTGCCGACCCCGCCCGCCGTGAGCAGGACCCATGCGCCTCCCGCAAAGCTTGGCTGGGGGGGACCAGGGTGCCGAGATGAGATTGGGGTGCGGCCTAGTGATGGATTAATTGCGTGCTTTGCTCGCTTTCGTTTGGCTCGTCCAGCCAGGCACTTCCGGAAGCTGACCTGCGTGGCGTGGCGCACGTCAAAGTGTCGCAGTTCAGGCAGCGAGCCTCAAAGCGGAAAGAGTTGAGCAGCGCTTGTGCAGTTGATGGCGTCGTGTTCGGCCCGCCCGGCGCCAGGGCAGATCACTGCCTTGAATGCGGCCAGTCTCTGATGGGCCAAAGACAGCAATGCCGAGGGTTTGACCTTTTGCTGTGGTCGCGCGCTGCATCTTTCCCTTGCAAGGGCAATGCACGCACTGTTGTCGGCACACCAGAGTTCGCTGCTGTGACTGCACCAGGTGTGCTCTTTTGCCTGCCTGGCCAGGCACCTACTGTAGGCCATGGTAAGGGCCCAAGCTCAAACCCGATAGCGAGCGAGCAACCAAGCCTGACCTCGAGGCCGCTGCGCACAAATGGCCGCGCGTTGCCTGCCAGCCTCAACGGTCTCGGATGCAGATCTTTTTCACTGGTCTGGGTTGACGAGAATTGCAACAAACACGACATCGACGGAGGGAATGGCGAATCATTTCCGGCACATGGCTCGCGCCAGCAGTTTGGTGCCGGCCTGCCCCCCCACTTGATCCCCCGGGGAGGAGCCCATTCCGCTCCGGGGCCCGGCTCCGGCAGGCGCTTCCTATCTCCGCCGCCGCAGCACCATCGCGAGAGCGACCTTTCCCACCGTCCCCGTCCGCACCCGTCCTAGCCACGAGCAAATATTCGCTTCCAGCGGTACCGCCAGGCCAACCGCCGAACGAGTGGCCTTTGCACACTATCCGAGCCTAAATCCCCGGTCTTTGTCATGCAAATCTGCCAGCGGCTCCACTTCGTGATCCCTCTTCCTTCTGCAAAGGGCAAGTCAAGCTCGGGTTCCGATGGCACGGCCGCGTCCAGACTTGCTCTCGTGTGTCTCGGCATGATGAGAGGCGAGAGGTGATGGGCCGCACAGCGGACGCCATCCCGGCGCAGGTTCTCGCCTCTGTAATTGGTCGGTCACCTGTGGCGCGGTCAACGCCATGCCGGGTGCCATCCGGCATCGCTTCGATGTCACGGGCGACTGCATTGCCGCAAGGGAAATCACATATTGAGCAGCAGTTCCATAGACACGACGATGGTATATATCACCACGATTTTCCGTGCATTTTCAACCATTTAATCTGATTGTATCACACCTCAAGCTACAATAACGGAACGTTCCCACCACAGCTTCCAACATCAACAAAAATCTGCCTTCCACTCCGCTCAGAGCACAACGCATAACGTAATCATATAATCAACATCCACACGATGGCGACTTCTCAATCCAGCATGACCCAGTGGACCAACTTCCTCCTCCCTTCCGCGCAGGACCTCGGGCCCTTTGAGAGTTTCTGTAGGTCCATCCGCAAACCACCTTGATCCAACCTCACGACCTTGTTCACGTTTGCTGACAGCCATCGTCCCTGGCGTAAACAGTCAACTTTCGCGGCCCACAAGGCGAGCCGGTAGACAGGCCGTACCTCGCGCCGACCCTCGCCGACGTGCTCGAGGCGGACGAGACGAGGCGCGAGGCGGTCCTGACAAAGCGCTGGCAAGGCCGGCCCGCAACCATGGCGGAGACGAGCAGAATGACAAACTTTGCGCCCACAGACGTACAGGCCTCGACGGCAGCGTGGCTTGGTGCAGCGCTTGTTGCTGCTGTTCTGCTTTGATTGTCTGGCTCGACTATTTGGGTGCTTGGCCCGGAACACGTGACGAGAGAAGGAAAGAGAGAGAGGAGGGTGGGCGATTTTCACGTGGTGGTGGTGGCATCCCTTATCATATCATGATCTGGGCGTATTTGTCTTTTGCTTATCCCAATGTTTGGCCATGATGAAGGGAGCGGCAATGCTCTGCTACTCGGCCGATATAATTTCCTAATATCGAATAACTACCGTTTTACCTTACGTCTTGCTTGACAGTATCAGATCGCTCGAAACTAGCACGTCGATCACAGCTGTGACAATGGAAGGAGACCTTGCTTCGAGGGTCCGTATAGGGCTGACGGTCCACGGCAGTTGGTGCCCTTCTTGCCTTTTAGGTTTGTCTGCAGAGCAGATGGTGCAGAGGTTCGTCTGAAATGGGTTGTGGACAAACCCACCCGACCAAGGGACCAAGGATGCTTGGCAGCGGGCGGAGGGCCGGGTCGACGGAGGAGGAGGCTGGCAGAGGAGCAGCAATGCAGTGCAGTCAAAAAAGGGCTGGGGGCCGTCCCCGCAAGAGGTCAAGTCGTGGAGCGTGCTGACCGCCGCCGCCAGCATGCTTGTTCCATGCTGGTTGTGGTGTCCCTGGGGGCAGGTGCCCAAGGTGGGTGGTGATTGGCGGAGCGGAGCGCAGGGGCGGCGGGCCTGGTGGTCATGCACTGCCAACTCAGCACGCGGCCGGCGATTGGGTGGGCGCCTGCAGACCGTGCAGCAAGGTGAGCACTCGCCCAGTGGTGGCAGGCAGCCCATGTGACCCTGGCTCGTCTGGCAGTCTGTCGGTCTGGACGAGCGAGCGTGTTTCCCATGCTCTGCCTCAGTGATGCGTTGGCACGCTGGGGCCCACGGGCGCTAACTAAGACTGCGGCGCTGCCCCTGCCTGCTTGCTTGCCTGCTCCGAGCAGAGGCAGCATGAACGTAGGGCATGCCATGGCACGCCGTGGATGGGACAACGTGGTTGTGCATCGTGACAGGCCAATACCCGCCCGCCGAGTCCTGGCCCTGAAGCTGATCCTCCGTGCTGGCGGCATTGTGGATGTCGATTCCACGGCTGCGAACCCCTGCCCGTCCTCGCCCTCCCGCATCGGCCCCCAGCGCACGCACGTACACATCGCCAGCGCAGACACTACACAGGCCAGCCTCAACAACACAGAGCCTCGCTCCTCTCCATCATCTTGTGCTCGCCATTGTCTGTTCTTTTACTTCCCGCTTCATCTTTGTGCGTCCCTGACCTGCGCCTTTTCTTTGCTTTCGCCCATCGCCGGTTTCCGTCTCGCCGTTATCCATCGCGACAACAAAGCCCATTGTTCGCGTTCCCCACCACAAGCGCACCACCCCACCACCACCACCAACATCACCACAAGCATTCCCCATATCACGACCTCGTCGGCGGCATCCAGTTGCTCGTGTTACTGCTCACAGATTGCGACAAGACAGCCGCTGCGCCAACCCCTTTTCGTCGTGATACACCCGGTCCACCATCGTCACGCCCATGGCTACGCTGCAATGAACGCTCCAAAGCCAGCTTGAGTGGCCGTCACCACGCCTCCTGCCTGCTCCTCGTCTCCCTCACAGGTCCTGCTCGTGTCAGTTGCCTCCCAGGAGCTGCCTTGAGCTTTCTCATTGTCTGCCTAGTGCGCAGGCGGTTCTACAAGGTCGAGTCTGCAGCTACAGCTACGTCCCGCGCCCTCTTGTCTGTGTCTAGACGTCACCATGATATCCATGCAACGCTCGCTCTCCTCGCCCGTTTGCGTTCAAGCCTCCCCTCGTGAGTCAACGTTCTCATCGGACTGCGCCCCAGACTCCGAGACTGACCCAGCCATCTCTTTAGCTGCATCACCCTCCGACTCTCGTCCATCCTCCAGATCCCCCGTCCAAGCCTCTGCGGACCTCCAATCACCCATAGCCACGCCTCGCCTTCGATCCAGAAGTCCCACGAAGCCCCCGGCCCTCCAGGAATACCATGTTACTCTCCCGATGCGCAGGGCACATGATACATCCTCCCAGCAGGGTCGCCAGTCACCAGCAAAAGGAGCGAGTCCCATAATCATGCAGAAACCGATCATAGACCAGGCGGTCCTACCGGGCAAAGGCCCCGAGGACAGAATCCCAAGGACCCACGCAAGTGCCGAAGAAGGACTCCCTGCGCTTCCGAGCACGGCGCCGGTCAAGGCACCGCAACCGCTTCTGGGCGACCCGGCCTTGTATGCAAACACCAACATCAACCTGGAACAGGATGGAACTACCTTGGAGGAGCTCGCCCACCTGGTCCGGCTGTCCAAATACCAGGAGCGCAAGCGCGCAAGCACGAGAGTTCGGCTGCAGCGCAATCTTATTTCGTCTGCCCTCTCGGCGAGGCTGACCAAGTGTGGGGAGATCACTCTCCGGAACCTGGCCGAGTGCTTTCGGAACGAGGACAAGAAGGGGTTTGCCAGTCTCTTCAATGCCATCCATGATGTTCGGTCCAGCTGTGATGAGACCAGGAGTTTCGCCGTCCTGGAGCCAGAGATGGACTCGCTCAGGGCGCCCGGCGCGTCTTCGAGCTCTGGAAATCCAGACACACCAGTGGGCACGTTTGGAGCCATGTCCGCCGGTCAATCCGTGGTGCCCTTTCTGAATGACATCTCCGCCTCGGCACGAGAAGCATTTTTGAACTTTCTGACGCAGCTGCGCACTAACCCGGACTATCTGGCTTCGCGCCTCAGTTCTCTGACCGCTTCCGAGATTCAGGCACTGACTGTATTTCACAAAGGCTTGGAGCCAATCGAGCCCGTCATGCCGTCGTTCAACCGCGCAGGCGCACGAGGAAATGCCGGATCGGCCGGTCGGGGCTCTAGTAACCAGCTCAATGCTGTGGAGAGGCTGCTCTCGTTCCAGCGGCACGACCCCCTATCTGCTCTGATATACACGTGTTTCGCCAATTCTGCCGGTCCTGACAGTGCTGAAGACCGAAGACGGACCGATGTCTGGGCCGCTGCTTGTGCGAGACTGGTCCAGAACAAGGCCCACCACTCCGTGCTGACCTCGGTCCTCAATGTTTGGTCTACCATGCGCGACTGGGCAGGCCGCTCAAACATGGAGCTGTATCTCATGAAGATCCTGGAGGATGGAGCTTTCCTTTTGGATCGTGCCGAGGATCCCAACGGGACCAGGTTCAACCTGTCGACCTGGACTACCAAGGACAACGCTGCCATGGAGGAGTTTTACGAGAATGCCGTGGACGGTCTCTTTGAGATACTCGACGACGAGGACGCCACTGGCATCCCGGAGGGTGTCATCGAACTCGGAAACGCAATCCTGCGTCGCGTGGACAACAAGCTTGTTGAGGAAGTTCGTCGCTGGCTGGTCTACCAGTGGCTCTTTACAAACTGGCTATTCGCCGTCATCATCCATCCTGAGAGTTATGGCATGATGGCTGAATACCACATCACCGAGTATGGTAGGCAAAAGGTGCTGAAGCAGGTCGCCCACCGCGCACAAAAGCCCGTCTTGGACATGCTCATGTCGTCCTACAAGTCGAAGCCGGATCCTGTGTCTCCTAAAATCCAAGGACATATCCAGAACATTCTCGGTCGCTTCCGGCCGTCCAGGACCACCAAGACTGCCAGGCTTCTCCCGGCTCGATCCATCACATCTCTGCGAGAGACCGCCGAGGTGCACCCATATCTTGTGATCAGCCCTGCCGATCTTCTGACTCTGGTGAACGCACTCTTCCCGGAGAAGAGGCCGCAGTCAGGACATATGAGCAGCATCAGGTCGGGCGCCCCTTCGCTGTCCGGGTTCTCCGCAATATCCCAGCCAGTCTCCATCGGGACATCCCGCAGCAACAACTTTGAGACCGCCTCGATCGCGAGCTTCAGTGCTTCGTCCGTACTGAGCGATGCAGCCACCTCACGTGAGCTTTCTTTTGAGCAGCAGACAGGCGGCAGCCCGCAGCGCTATTCTCCACCATTTCTTGATCTCGCCTCACAACGCCCGTCAGTCAACTACGAGGATGATGGCTACCGGCTTCGGCTGGCCATGCACGAGATGGTCCAGACGCTCGGCGCAGATGTTGTAGCTGGCTCGTGTCATCCTTGCGCGGAACGCTGGGCTGTCCTCTTCATTTCGTCAAATGGTAGCAACCTCTCATTGCAGATGACTTATGATCCGGATGAGGATCTCGACGAAGAGAATTCGTCCACGACGAGCGAGACCGAGGACGAAGAAGTGGATCGGCCCGAGCTGGACAACGACTACCATCTGCTGCGCGACTCGATCCTGAAACTGGTTGAAGACTTTGAGATCCCCAGGAACCTCGACGATGACGGGTCGAAAATCACGCTGAGCAACCGTGCTTCTGGACTGAAGAGATACAAGTCGAAAAACAAAATCGTGCTGCCCGAGTCATCAATGGGCAGCCGGAACCCGTACAGACCTCGCGTCAGCCAAGACGATTTGTCAGCTCTTAAGTCACCGTCGCCCACTGTGGACGAGAACGACGTCGACGCGACCCCACAGCCTGTTCTGGTAACCATGCTCATCGCAGCTTCCTCACAATCACGGGTGCAGTCCGACTTCGTGGGTGCCCACTTGTACTGGAGAACCCTTCAGCAGCTGAATGCCCTGGGATCCTCTTCCCTGCGCAAGAATGGATTCGCTGCGCTGCTCAACATCTTTGCAAGAGGGCCTCGTGACTCCATCCGTCGGTCAGCATCCGCGACGGAAGAATACGACGCCTGGCTCATCTGGCTCAAACAAAGCCAGGAGCGCCACGAGGGACTCCTTGACACCATGATGAAGAGGCTCAGAGGCTTGCGAGACAAGATGTGGTACAAGACGGACGTCCACAATTCACAGCCATATGAAGACATCCGGTGCCATTGCACTGCTCTGAAGATTATGGGTGTCCCAAGCAAGTGGGACTCATACAAGCGCAACAGAGCACAAATGTCGCGTGGCTTGTCTGCGAACTTCCTCTACCAGAATGAGTCGCAGACGCTCGATCTACTTGCTGCTGCCGAGGAGCAAGGCGGTCCCAACAAGTTGAGGGACGACCAAGCTGACAAGACTTCACGGTGGCTGGAACAATATGGCATCGAGAACTTCTGTCGTGGAGAAGAGCGGATTCATCGCTTCTGCTGCGAAGTCGACACCTGCATCAGCAAATTGGTGGCCGAGCAGGTCATGGACAGCCCAGTTCTGTGGTCGAGTGAACTGTTCGCTCGTGACCGCGCCGCCTTTGGTGGTCCTCGCGTTGCTGCTTCTGCTCGCGAGAGGGAAAGTTACTATATTGATGAGGATGTTGTCAGCGTCGTCAGCGGCCACGGGAGACGATACACGTCCTCGTCTACACGACCCGGCTCAGTGGCTCGGGATCTGCGAAGTGTCACGTCCTTCAACCTGAGCCAGATCTCTGTTGATTCGAGTCGTTTCGCCCATCCCAGGCACAGCGCTGCCATGTCTGATATTCTTGACGCTCATGAGTACTTCGGGGTAGCCTCACCAGTACACTCGATCGACCCTACGACAACATATTGGTCGCCCTTCCAGTCAACAATGCCATCGGCCGCCTCGGCGATGTCCACAACATCTCGTGCTCACTCGCCTACGACAAGTCTCACGAATCTGTCGAGCCCTTTCTCTCACCCCTTCTCGTCTGTTGCCTCGCAGTCTGGTCAGGCCAGGCCCGGTACATCGGCCTCGTCCAATGAGACTGTCCACCAGCAGCGCATCTCGGATGAGAAACAGCAATTCCTTTCCGACCTGCGCCAAACGCTTACGAGCCTGCTGCTATCTGACCTTGGCAATCTCGTCTTTTCTCGGGGTTCGGAGACGGACTCGTGGTTCAACGACCTGGGACAACAGTGTATCGAACGCGAGGAGGCCCAGGCAGCGCGGGCACCGACTAAGGCGGCAAAGACAGACCGGAACGGACCTTCCGCCCCCAAGCCTAGGGTGATCGAGAAGAAGAAGAGCTTCGGCGACTTGCGGGGTGCTGGTGAAAGCGCCATAGACACAACCTCGAATCATGGTGCTGGCGGCCCCAGCCAAGGTCCTGAGCCGTCAAAGACGGTCGCCAGTAGCTCATCGACAACAAAGAGCCGCAACACCGTTGCCAAGGACGGCAGCTCAGACTTCCCGTACAAGAAGGCGTATCAGAGGCTCTTCCGGATGTTCTGCGTCCATCCCAACCCACATGTGAAGCTCAGCGCTCTGTTTGAGCTCAAGAACCTGGTGGAGGCCTCATTACTTACAAGTGGACGCAAGAACAAGTGGGCTCGACAGCGACAGCTTGGTATGCAGAATGACCAGCAAGAGCACGGAGGTCACCAGAGAGCCATTGAGCAAACCATTGACAGTGTGAAAGAACGACGTTCGCACGCAAGCCAACCCGTCGCGCCTCACCCGTGGGGCTCGCGGTTCCCCGGCGCCTCGGACACCAAATCCATCATGTCGGTAATGCAACCGAACACTGATGCCGTCGCGAACATGCTCCTGTCGCTGTTCAAGGACAGCCAGATCCGGCCGAAGACGCTGTTTCGCGACCTGCAGTTCATTTCATCCTTTGTCCCCCCCTCTATTCTGGACAGGAGCGAGAAGGGCAGGGCTTTCTGGGACACGGGCCTTGCTGCTCTGACACTCAAGCAGGACGTGTGCCGCACCATGGCAAACACGGCCTACGAAATCATCGACTTGGATCAGCAGTCGCGAAAGCCGGCGGCTGCCAGCACCGTCAGTGCTGGAGACAAAGAGGATAAGGGAGTGGGTGGTGGCGGCAAGCACTCTCTCAGTCCAAGGGATGCTGCGCGCATGTACAGCATCACCGCGAAGGAGGGCGACCCCATGGCACAGCGCGAGCTCGCGTTGCTGATCCTCACGCGGCACGAGCTGGTGGCCGACAGGTCGACTCTGCCGCTCGCAAAGCCGCGCGACGTCTTCAAGCAGGCGGTCATGGATAACTTTGGCGGCGGCGGCAGCAGCGGAGGCCGCTCCGGGGTGAGCAGCGCGCGCCACGTTGGCGAGCGCGTGCGGTCGACGTTCTCTGGCAGCGTCGGCAGCGGAGCCGGAGGAGGAGGTAGCGGCGGCGGCGGCGGCAGCACTGGTGGGCTCTCGTCGTCGTCGTCGTCGTCGGCGCCCGGGCTTGGCGGTCCGCAGGATGTGGGTGGTGTCGGCGATGTCCGGCCGGACCCAAGCCTGATGTGCGTCGCATTCCACTGGATGGAGACTGCGGCCCAGGGGGGTGATGCGCAGGCCAAGCAGTTCCTGGTGGACAATGACATGCGGATGAACTGAGGCACGATTCCCTTGGAGAGATACGGCGAACCTTGTCGTGCCGGAGGTTGGTCATTTTTTGGATATGTACACTTTCGCCCCCCATGATGCCCTCATTTCGTCGTCTTTTTATCTTGATGACTCTTGCGAATACCCCTAGAAGTTTTCATATTATTCATGGCACAATTTTATTATTATTTCAAAAAAGAAAATGCTTTGTTCTCTTGCACTGCTGGCGTTGTAGGAATTGCTATACTCCTGCCGTAAATGTCGGGTGGTGGTGGTACCATGCCCATACCCTGGGGGCCACCGTGTGTCATATATACATCATCAGACTCTGACTTCTACTATGGTATGTGTTGCTAAGCTTATGTGCTTCCCCTCGGTGTCGTCTCCTTCGCCGCCAGACTGATTTTCAACACATTGACGAAACCACCCAGTCTCTGAACACAAAATACCAAACCCGAAGAAAGTGGTCAGATATGTTACGTTCCGTGGTTCGTCGTCTTTCATATATTCATTACTATTATTCTTAAGATTCTCTTTTTTTTGTGTCCTTCTATAATGTTAGGGTCATGTCCACGTGAGATCCAAACAGAGCAAGCGCTGGCTGGCTGGCCGGCCCAGCACTGCATATACCGACAAGGCTATTATTGCCGACGGACGGGCCCTCCCTCTGATCGCGAGAAATGCTGAAGTTACGCCTTGCGCCTGTTGCTTGTCCTCTTGCTCTTGTTCTTGCTCCTGCTCCTGCTTGAAATGCTCCCAGAGCGAGGACCGCCCGACCTGCGGCCTGGACGTTGTGTCGTTCGCTGACTCGCAACCTCCTCCTCCTCCTCGCTGGTCTCGTCGTCATTATAGTTGCTGCCGTCAGAATCGGCCTCGGTGTCCGGGTCGATCGCGACGACAGTCATGTCGGAGCGCACGCGGAACCGCTTGCCGCGCCAGGTCACCGAGCCGCCGAGCAGGACCGCCCACGTCCAGATGGGGAGGGCGAGAATCTCCCGCCCCAGCCAGCCCAGGAACCACTCGCCAAAGGGGCGCTTCTCGTCGCCGCCGTGCCGGAAGCCGCGTGCGAAGCGCGGCGTCGCTGCCGAAGAAGGACCCTCGCTGCCGTCGTTGACCTCGATCGTGTCTCCGCGGTAGAGCACCTTGAACACCACCCTGTCCATGGCCATCCATGTCGTCACGCCGATGAGCCAGGCGATCCCCATTGCGCGCCACGTCTGTGGGATACCCGTGAGCTCGTGGACAAAGGGCACCGTGGTCAGGCCGTACGAGAAGTACAGGTTGCAGACGAGCGACTCGACGGCGTGCTCGACAAGCGTGGCTGCCAGGACCGTCCACTTGCGCGCGCGCAGCCAGCGCACGCGCCGGCTCCAGTACGCCACGACGGACATGCCGGCGACGGGCTGGACCGCGAGATCGCCCGCGGCCAGGCCGTGGTTGTCGAACCCCTTGATCGGGGAGCGCCAGAGCAGGTCCCCTATGGCGTGGTCTTCGCAGAGGTAGTACGAGAAGTGGTCCAGCCCCTGAGGGAGACTGGCCGCGGACGTGCCCGCCAGGGTGGGGTTCCTCGAGGCGTCGGTCACGCGGTCGATGTGCGACTTGCGAAACATGTTGCTCTTGCCCAGGGCGCACGGGGCCACCCCGACGGCGTTGATGGCGCAGTAGAACTTTGCGTGCGTGGTGGCCATGAACTGTTCCTCCAGCCGGCCTCCGCCGTGGGTTCGCCAGCGCGCCAGGAGGGACGACGGGACGTGCACGGCTGCGGACGAGTCGGAGCTGCCGGTGATGGAGGCGCCCGAGAGTAATGCCCGGCCCTCGCCGTCCTGCTGAGCCATGGAACTAACCGTGTCGACGACTATGGGCAGCTGGTGGACGAACTTGACAGGCTTGACCTTGGGGCCTCCTGGTTGCGAGTAACCGCACAAGCGATCGACGAGCCGGCCCAGCGTGCCCGGGCTCACCCAGACATTGCAGTCGACGGCCCATATGATGTCGCCCTTGGCCTCGCGGTAGGCGCGGCTCAGGTTGCGGATCTTTGGGTTGGGGCCGACGTTGTTGACATTGCCGTCGGGGCCGTGCAGCAGAGGATCTTCGGACTCGATGAAGATGCGGGCGTCGGCCTTTGGGAAGTCCTTGAGCAGCTTGCGCAGGGTGGGAAGGGCGGCATCGTCCGGGTCGGAGACGCAGAAGTGTAGTGTGAGCCTCTCGGAAGGGTATGCCTGGTGGAAGGAGGAGGCGAGGCAGTCGTAGAGGCCCGGCTCGAGGCCCTTGACGGGGCGGAGGATCGTCACATGTGGTACTTTGTCGCGCGGAAGCGCCGGCGAGACGGGCTTTGGTGGTTTGGTCGAGTAGTTGCGGAAGCTGGGCGGGGAGTTGCAGTGGTCAGCACCAGAGTCACCGCATATGCGAAAAATAGAAACGCTCACAGTTGAGTAATGCCTATTGTCTGGACAACCACAACGACGCAGCCCCAGACAAGGCCTATGTAGCCCAGCACCTCGGGAAGAGGGGCCATCCCAAAGGTGTAGTCGTCGGAAGAAGAAGGAGGCGGGGCGCTACGAGTGGCAGGCGAAGGCCATGAGGGCTGATGCGAAGCTGCGCGGAGGGAGCGGAGAAAGGTCGACACCGGGGCACCAAAGAACAGGACAGAGAGAAAGACGGAATGGCGAGCGTTGCGAGCTGTCAAGCTAGAAGAACAAGAGCGAAGCCGTTGGGCGTTGGCAAGGCGGACACATGTGGAGCGTGGAGCACCCAAGCAGAGGGCGGCAGTGCCCGCTACCAGCGTAAGTAGCGTAGCCTGGTGAATAATAATTTACGCCATACCAACGAGACCCTGGCAGCGGGAAGCCAAATAAATGCCAGCCAGCATCCCGGGAGATTGGCTGACAGCCCACCCCATCTTCGATGGCCGCTGGCTCAGCCAGTTGGGCCACTGGATTAATTACCAGCTCCCAAGCTGCAATTACCGGCCCCTCGGCCTTTGTTGTTCTCCAGCAATACAACAAGCAATATACGTATCTGTCGTGTCACAACGGCTGCCCAACGATGCTTGGCCCCCGTTGAATGCTTCAAGGCTTCTAGAAGCCCTGCCAAGCTTTTGTGTTCGCCCAACATCTCGGCAGTAGCAGCAGGGGTCGGGCATCCTGACAGCCAGAGCGCCGTCCCTAGGCACAACCACTGAGACCTGGACAACTCCTGATCCAGAAGCGTTAAATAAAGAACGACCGATCCGAGGCACCATGATCTTCGGTTTCCTCCAACTACGAGCGATTGGCGTCGGATCAATCCATCATCACGCTCTGTCCTCTTGGGCACGCAAACTCCTGCAAAGCTCCTCGGCTGCACAAGACACCACAAAACATCGCAGATGCAGTACTGGGTGCTTCCTCTCAGCCAATATAGCCACGTCTGCTTTGCATATGTACATGCAGATTGCCGCCTTTCTGTATGAGCGACCCCCTCCCACACTGTGCTGATGTTGTGTTGGCCACAGCGACCAAAGCATCGCCCCAGGGCAGACGAGGCCATGAATTTCGTGTCTTCATCTATGCTGCTACGCTGGCTGCGAAGCATTGCGCGCATTGTGCGCATATGTGCCGTGTTTTGTCATAAAGATGTAGTGTCCAAGCCCCGGCTTTCCAACACCACCTCTCATTCCCACCACTTTTCCAAACCTGCACGAGCCCATCTACTCCATGCTCGTAATGTCGGCGAAGCCAGGTCTCGGCGATGACTTCTCGCGTATCTCGATCCCGGGGCCGATGGGGTGCGCCCTCCGCCTCGACAGCGGGAAGATCTGGAATTTGGGGGAATAGTCTTGTCAGCCTCAGATCTAAATGAATGGTCTGCGGCGACCACGGAGCACAGTCGCATAGCCAAGCACTCACTCTTGTGTTTCCCCAGCCCAGCCTGAAAGCTGCCTCGTGGGCAAAAAGTTCACCCCAGCCAAGCATCATGCCGTTGATAAAGGGCAACAGCAGGTTGATAGCGGTGCCGCGGAGCAAAGACCAAACGGTTGGTGGCTGGTAGAGGACGATGGCGGGCGAGCCGGAGGAGCGCGGGGACGACTCCTCAGCGGCCGAGTAGTGTTCGCTGTCCGAGTGCATGGTGACGCCCGACTCGGCCAAAGGGTTGGGCTCGTCGAGAGACATGGCAGAGGCGGGATTGGACAGTCTGGTGTCTGGAACACGGGCAAACGAGCAGAAGCGTCGGAGGTGAGGCCGCTGGCGGTGACCTGTGCAGAGGCGTTGCTGCGTTGCTCTAGGAGAAGAGGGAGAGCGGGCGGTGGCTGTCGATGATGGAATTGGAGATGGCAGGCACAGAGCGTTGGAGATGCCTGGGCGGTGGTGGTTACCCGACGTCGGCAGCGCTAGAGTGCGTGCTGCTCGAGGTTGTGCACGGTTTATGCACGTCCCCAGTGTTGTGCTGCTGCACAATGTCACAGTACACGCCAACGAGGTGGTGGTGGGGCAACCCACCCCCGCCCCCGGCAAGGCGTGCGGTGCCTGACGTCGTCGCCGAGCTGCCTGCATTCACAAAGCTTCCCGAGCTTAAGCTTGAACTTGGACCGCACCACACATTCTTCGAGGCATCACATCAAACTAGAGGAACTGCAATCCATCCCATTCACCTCAACACACAACAACTCACGCTTGGTTCTCTCCGTTTCTTTTCAGTCATCCACCGGCTGCCGTCAGCGAGCTGTCTCGGCTCCCTCACATTCACTTCAGCTACCAGTAACAACCCAGGCCCCTCGTCACCATGGCGGACCAGGTCTCCGATCAGGCCATCTCACAGCTTGCCGCCATTACCGGCCTGCCGGCAGATCAGGTAAGTACCATCTCGTTGTGCTCTACGCCCTCTTCCAACCCCGTCCCCCGCTTAAGTTTTGGCTGACACGCACCCGCGATCCAGTGCGGAACCGCTCTGGAAGCCACCAACGGCGATCTCGATGCCGCCGTCAATCTCTTGCTTGCCGCCGAGTCCGACGATGTCGCGCCTGCTGCCAGCTCATCATCTCAGCCCGCCGTGCCGGCCGACTACACCGGCCCACGAACACTCGATGGCCGACCAGCTCCCGAGGCCGCCTCCTCATCGTCTCGCTCTGCTGGCAAGCGCCCCCAGCAGAAGAAGAAAGGCCTCCAGACACTCAGCTCCATAGGCGATCGCGGCGATGACGACGATGAGGACAGTGAGGACGACGACCCCAGCGAGCGCCGCGATACTTATGCCGGTGGTGAGAAGAGCGGCCTTGCGCTCCAGGATCCGGGCAGGCGTGGCCCCTCCGACCCAAAGAAGATGCTGGACGAGATCATTGCCCAGGCGCGCAACAACTCGCAGCGGCCCGAGCAAGCCGCGCCTGCTGGACCATCAGCTCCCCGATCCTTCCGCGGCGCCGGCCAAACTCTCGGTGGTGAAGGTGTCGAGAGTCGAAGCATCCCCGATCCTCAAGGGCCTCAGTCTGGCCACCACAGAGCGCAGGCCGGAGGGGTTACCGAGCGTGTCCTCCACATCTGGACCGACGGCTTCAGCATCGACGAAGGCGAGCTCTACAGGTTCGACGATCCTGCCAATGCTCAAGCTCTCCGGATGATCCGGATGGGACGTGCTCCCGTCCACCTGATGAATGTGGGCATGGATGAGGAGGTCGACGTCAAACTTCACGAGCATCACGAGGAGTGGAAGCAGCTCCCCAAGAAATACAGGCCCTTCGGTGGTGAGGGCCGGCGTCTGGGCAGCCCAGTTCCCGGTGAAATTGCACCAGTGCCTGCCGCTGCAGCCGCGCCTGCTGCAACATCTGCTTCTGCCTCGGCCTCTTCGCCCTCGTCGACCGTCGACGAGTCGCAACCGACAATCACCATTCGTATCCAGACGCTGGACGGCGCTCGCCTACCCGCACGGTTCAACACCACCCAGACCGTCAGCGACGTGTACGACTTCATCTCGAGAGCATCTCCAGGTCTGGGCAGCTCAGGCTGGGTGTTGGCCACGACTTTCCCCAACAAGGATCACACAGACAAGTCGTTGGTCCTGGGAGACATGCCAGAGTTTAAGCGCGGCGGTACGGCTGTTGTAAAACGGGTGTAGACAGCGAAGAATCAAACAGACTTCAGTGCAAAAGAAATGCAGCAGGTATGGCCTCGGGATTGAGGCGTATCTTAAATCAAGTCTCTGCTCAAGCCGGAGCTTCAAGTCATTGCAAATTAGTACATAGCCGGGTCTTCATGGCCTAACAGGTAGCAACGTGGAATCAAGGGCTACGAGCTTGTCCTGCAACTTGTTCTTCAGCGATGTTGGTCGCAGCTTGGTCTTTACAGTATGCAAACTCTTTGGAAGGTGCTTGATGAATTGTGCGGAGCCGACTAGTGATTTTGGGCCTTAAGTTCCGATGAGTGTCTAGATTCGTGGTTGTCTGAACGCGTGAACACGGAACAATTGCCTCGCTGTCAGGCACGAACGTGCGACACAATCATGACAGAGTGTGAAATACACCCGGCTCCTCTCCCCTCTCATCTTCTTTCCACTACGCGGCAGGTGGCTGCTAGGCATTGATCCGCTTGGGAGCGCACGTTGGTACACGGCCAACTCGAATTCTGATATTCATCGTGGTACTCCTGCTTGTCACTTGCCAACCATGGCTTCACGGCCAACGCCATCGCCATCAACGATACGCACGAGTACAAGGTCCGCGACTAAGACGATTTCGTACACCCGCACATTTGTGATTTCGAGGCTGCTGTCTTGATGGCTTAACGGGTGTCTGCATTCGAAAGGGTGAGGGACAAGGGAGCGCTCAGATTTGGTAATTCTTAACAACCTCTTTTGTCTTTTTTTTTTTTTTTTTTTTTTTTTCCTGTTCTTCTTTCAAATCTGCTCGCACCACTCCGTTGCTAGCTTTGTGCATCTTCATCCTTGCTCAACCTTTTTTTTTCCCTCCTCCTCGATGATCTTGCATGATCCGGCACTTGTAGCACCGACGCTGACTGTAATGGTGCTCGCGTCGCCGCCGGCAATATTGATCCCAGCTTGAAAACTGCCACTTATCCCTGGCTTTCCTTCTACATGGGGTCCCGACTGCCAGGATCCCGACGAAACTGATGTACAACCTTGAACTAGAAAACAGTGGCATGAAAGACGGGGGAGCGCGTCCACACGCCCTTGAGGAGCCTGCAGCAAGTGTTCACGAAGTGCAAAGAAGCTTTTGGGAGGTGCATATGTCGCCGGACGGCAGCTCCTCAACGGGTTCATCCGTCACCACTCGCAAGGTCCCCCCCAGCTTGCTTATTGTTTTCGTATTACAGGACAGAGAGAGAGAGAGAGAGTGCCTGCGGCCCGTCCCGGAGACACCCGTCCCGCTCTCTCCGCCTGCCACCACAACCACGCACGTCCGTGTCCTACGCTCGCGTTTTAATAAACCGAACGTCCAACAGAGCAAACCCCTGCCCCCCCCTCTCCCCGGGCCGGCTCGGAGAAGAAAAAAAAAACGAAAACGAAAACCATGGGCCACCAGGCACACCCTCCGCGATGGGGAGACTCCACGGCGCGCAAATGTTAGGTGGGGTTCGCCGACTGCGATATCTGTGGCCGGAAGGGGGGAAACGGCAACGGAAATGGATGGGGAATCTGTGTACAGCTGGGGGGATTTCTATGGCCAGAGAACCCTTGCAGGCTCCTTCTGGAAGGCCTAATATTGGTATCTGCCTCAACAGTCGCCGTGGATGCGAGTACCGGCAGTTGCTCTACGAGGAGAATTACTGGTCATGCCCCAAGCAGGGCAACCTCTAGAGTTACGTATCTTAAGGTAGGTATCCTTACCACTAGGAGGATTGTTCCATGACGTTGGCAAGCGCATGTCTGCCATCCTTCCCCGGCGCCAGACATAAAAGATGTCGCCGCCGCCATGCAAGTACTCAATTGGAAGTAGTCAGAAAGCAGCTACATTTCACTGGAGAGGCCAGTCTCATCGTACATATGCCGGACGTCGTATTCATGTGTTGCAAGAATCGCAATCTTCGCAGTCGATTACTCTGGAACTAGTCCATGCTCGGGTGCAATTACGTGCCACAGGTTCGTGGAAGATATCATCATGATGTGTGTGTGATGTCCGACTCGGCGCTACTGTGATCGATAGTTGGCCATTAGCGATTACACAACAGAGGTTCCACAAGCGCCATCGCATGACCTTCCAGGAGCACAGGTAAGGAGCACGTCCTCAAATGTCCACTGCGACACGCACCACTGCGATAATTATACAAATCTCCCATCCTGTTGAGCAGGTAACACAAAGGCCCAATTGATGGTCGCAAGTTAGTTGTCGGTGCCGACACCCAGCTGAGGTCTGAATTAGCTTCGAGGCTGACATATCTCAGCTGCGACCAGGCGAGCCAGGTCTAGACTCTCGCCACCTTCTCGGCGACCACCAAGCGAGTCGATAAGCTCAGGACCTACGGGCGATAGCTTCCGGCGCGCGCGGTGTGCGTTGCCGACCATGAAGCCTACCGCGGACTGTGTCGCCGCCCAATGACAAAAGCCAATCGCAGCGTGGGATCGAGGGCCCGCACACAGCGAGGCGACAGGATCATTACGGCTACTCACGTGTGCCCAAGCTTGGCAGTTTTCTCCCAAGCGCACCTCAGACCACTGCGAGCTCCGGCTCGGCTGTCTTGCCCACTCTTGTGTGGTCGACCGATCCCAAGCTCTGGTGGGCCCCAATATTAGTTGGAGTCGCTCCGTCGGTGGAAAGAGCTGGCGTGCAGAGCGGAAAATGACCAGGGCACCAAAGGGCATTGATTGATTGCTAAGGTGAATTTTGCAATATCCCACAGTGCTGGGTACGGGAGCACTGACCCTCGACGCCAGCACGCCTCCACTTGGAAAACGTGGTCTAACTAGAGAAGAGAAGTGGCACCAATTGAAAATGGTTGCTCGACGGCCTAATTACTGGGTGCACTGGATGATTTGCATGAGACGATCCACCCGTCAACCGAGGGAACAGGCATGCGACACGACAGGGTTCGGCGTGGAATGAAGCCACCTATAACGACCCCGGCCGGTCGCCGGTGAACTGTTCCGGACCTTCGGACCATGCTTGCTTTTCCTGGCGCGGGCCTGAACACCGTAAAGGTACAGGGCACTCTCGCAGGGCGTCCTGTCGAGCGTAACCTCGCTTGCGGCGCGGACGAGCATGGCTGCCAGATCCTGGTCGCCGGTTCCTGAAGATCAGCCTCGCTGCCCCCAGCCAGGAAGCCGGGGCCCCTTGTCACATTCGAGGCGTGATTCGCTGGAAGCCTGGGTTCTCTCCAAGATTCATACGGGATAGGCAAGTCCGGAAGGCCACCCGGCTGACCAGGGGTGAAAGCGGCCAGGCGGTTCCTGGCTGAACGGACCGGCACCGGCAGGCGATGGATGTATGTAGGTAATGGCCATCATGCATGCGCAGCAAGGCTATTGCACATGCACGTCTATATGCACATGCCAACGTTGCGGCAAGCCAACGTCTTGGACCCTATTCCACGTCGATCCTGGTGCTTCTTAGGCCATGCGTGTCAGTCTTGGTGGCATGGCGGCAGCAGATCTGGAAAGCAAGGTGACGGAGGAGAACGCCCCAGGGAGCTAGAGGCAGGCCCGGTGCTGGGCCGGTTGGGCCGGCTGGCGAGTCATTCCTGCTGGTCCACCAGGCTATTGATCTTCCGCTAACTGCGATGGCGCGGCTAGCCAGCATGGGCACTGCGACCTGTACGCAGTATGCCCTGGTCCATCCCCGCTGCTTTTGTGGCCCCTCCACGACACTTGGGTCCTTGGCGCACTGACTACCAGCCCCCCCATCAGCCACCATTGGGCCGACAAAGACCATGGGCCTCTCTGGGAAAGCAGTGCGTGCAACGCAGTGCAGACCAGAGCTGGGTAACCATCTGCTGGCTGGCAGTTGCAGAGGTGGCCAAGGGAGGATGGGATGGTTGATATCTGTCGATGCTGGCTGGGACCCTGACATGGCAAACGTGGATCGTCGTCCCGGCCTGGATTTGACACAACACTCTGGGTTGCCTGGATAATTAAGCTTGGACGCCACATTGCAGTGCTCTCCAGTGCTAGGAGGTGGTGGTACTGACGGTGGCAGTCATGGAGATCTGGCCGGGGAGCGGTTGGCGATGGCCAAAAGTCTTAATCAACTCAAGCCTGGCCTGGCTTCCGGGAACGGGCAGCGAGCTCAGACGTCATCGTGTCACGCTTCTGCAGGCTGGCTGATTCTCGTTGGGTGAGGCGGTGTCTGTGCGGCTCTCATGACAGGTCGGGGCGCTTGCAGATCCAGGGAGGGATGGGCAGGCATGGCCGGGGCAAGGCGGACGAGAGAGGTGACACGGTCGTTCTGGAAGCCGGGCAGTGGTGGTGGTGGTGGTGGTGGTGGGCACGGCATGACTCGGCCGCACGGCCCCGGGATAGGCGTTGCTGGCAGGCCGATCCTGCAGAGCGAGGATTGCCAGTGAAGTTGTCGCGAGGCCAGTCTGCGCCGAGGGGATGAAAGCGGGAGGGGAGGGCTTGGAGAGACAGGACAGAGCAGATGTCTGGAGCAGGCTAGACGAGGCCGGCGATGGGCAGGCCCTGGAGCTACCCCACATGACTCCTGCCCACCTGGAGCTATGGCCCCTCGCGGCCTAGCTCCAGGGCGCCAGCTGGCCGCGGGAGCGTCGCGAGGGTGCTGCCCGGGGGCTCCTCCCCTCGCCGTCAGGGGCTCGACAGCTGCCATCCATCCCACCTGCAGCCCAGGTGCAGTGCAGGTGCAGGTGCTTGCTTGCTTGCTCTGCTGTGCTGCTCCTCATCCCTCCATCCCATCCTTCCCAATCCCATCCATCCAAACTCTCGGCCCCTGTCCCCAAGCCCCCCCTCCACCCCTTTTTTTCTCAGGCTGCCGGAACCACCACCTCCCTATTCCCATAGGCCAATCCTGGGCCCTGGTCCCTGATCCCATCCACGCCCAGCCCAGTAAGTTTGTCCCTCTCCCGGACTTGTGCTGTGTCCGTCCATCCCATATCCACTGCCCACGCCTGCCTGTCGACGGCTTGCTTGCCTCTCCTCCACCTCCTGCCGGCCTCTTTCCTACGACTTCTCTGTCCCCCTCGCCCACACTGCCTCTGCGAGAGCTTCGCCCGCATCCAGACTGACAGACTGGACCAGCTCGCGTCTTCACCAGCCCAGACCCGGCACTGAGTCTTTGCGACGTGGGACCCCTCTTCGCCTCGATCAAATTATCTCGGCCGTTTCCGCCGCTTTGGGATATCCTATCGCAAGCCGACAAGGCCACGGAAAACCCCTCGAGAAGGCAAAATCCTGTCGATAATCCTCGGCCGGGAGCCTGAGTGAAACCCGGTCGCCTGTTGGCGACACCATATAACACAATCCCGCTGCAGCGCTTCAACTCGCCTGCTCCACAGTCTGCAGCCGTCCGCCCAGAATACGTTTCCAGCACGCATCCCACAGTTCAGTTCAAGATGGGCCTGTTCTCTCGGAGGTCAAAGACCTCGAAGGCTTCGGCCGACACCGCCAGCCTCGAGTCTGAGGGCTCCGCGCTCAAGAGTCCATCGGCCACCTCCCGGGTCCTGAACCGCGGCTCGGCAGGCAGCATGCCCCAGACACCCTTGACGCCCATGTCACCACAGCTGTCACGGGTCAACCTCCCTAAGCCACCTGACCCGACATTGGATGCTGCAGGCTACCTCCGCAGCCTGGGAAGCGTCCGCGAGCGTTGCCTGGTGATCACATCTAAAGCATTCCACAACAAGCTCAGCCATTTCGATGTCGATCTGTCAAAGTTCCCAGATGTCGTTCGCTTTGTTTGCCAGATTATCAAGGTATGCTTCAATCCAGTATAAATCAGGTCAACCCATTCGGCCAAAACCAGCCCAGCCGAGCGCAATGATTATGGAATGGCCTTCTTTGAGAGGGACTTACAGCTAACAACTTTCCTAGCGTGATTATGATGCTCCTTTCACAAGCATTCCTAGTCATGGTCGCTACCAACATTTCAGCGTCGGTGGGAGAGATCGGATTGCCAACCTTCTGGCCACTTTTGACCACTCTGTCGACAACACCGAGAAGTGCAGGCGACTCATGGACCTCTTCCTTGTGAGCGTACTCCTTGACGCGGGAGCCGGTACGACTTGGTCATTCAAGAGCGCAGAGAACGGCAGGATATACAGACGATCGGAAGGTTTGGCCATTGCCAGCCTCGAAATGTTCAAATCTGTAAGTTTTCTGCGCGATCCTACGACCCTCCCGCCAGACCGTGACTGACCATCCTGCTTTAGGGATTGTTCTCTGGAAATCCTGGCAACAAATTCCAGGTCGACGCCATAGGTCTCCAGAAGGTTAATGTGGAGCAGCTGGCCAAAGGCTTGCAGTCGCGCCCAGGCAACGAGCTCGCGGGCCTGGAGGGCCGCACGCAGGTTCTTTCGAAACTAAGCGAGGCTTTGGCGGAGAAGCCGGAGCTCTTTGGTGACGAAGGCCGTCCAGGCAACTTGGTTGGTATGTCGAAGATTCCTGTGCCATCTTCCAAGCATCGCACAGCTGCCACTAACACTTCATATGCTATAGACTACCTGCTTGCCCACCCCACAACTCAGGCGTCCTCAACACCAGTTGTCATCCTTCCTGTTCTCTGGAATGCCCTCATGGCTAGCCTCACACCAATTTGGCCTACCACACGGACCGCGATTGACGGCATTCCTCTGGGCGATGCTTGGCCTTGCTCATCGATGCCGCAGCCGGCCCCTGCTGCGTCTTCGCCTACATTTTCTCCGTTCCCCAACTCGGGCGGCTCTTCGTCGCCAGCGCAGTGGGAGTCGATCTTGCCGTTCCACAAGCTGACGCAGTGGCTTACATACTCACTGATGCAACCCATGCAGAACCTGCTAAAGATCCAATTCGCCGGCACGGAGCTGCTCACTGGTCTGCCGGAATACCGCAACGGAGGCCTGTTCATCGACATGGGTGTCCTGACCTTGAAGGCAGATGATACGGAACGGGGTCTGCAGAACTATGCCGACTACTGCCGCCGCACAAATACCAAGGCTGTTGAAGTTGCGCCGATGTTTGAGCCTAGCGACGATGTTATTGTGGAGTGGCGCGGCGTGACCGTTGGCCTGCTTGACAGGCTCCTCATCGAGGTCAACAGGACACTGCGGCCGGACTTGAACGGTGGAGAGTTGACTCTTGCTCAGCTGCTTGAAGCTGGTAGCTGGAAGGTGCGTTTAGCCACTCTGCATCTCCTCTCACCCGTCTGTGCCACGTTACTAACAAGGAGCAGGGCGGTCGCGAAATCGCCGAAGTGAGCAGGCCCAACACCAAGGAACCGCCGATTTTGATCGATTCCGATGGTACCGTGTTCTGAGTGACAGGGCATGGTTCTTGGATGTTAACTTCTTGTATATCTTGTTTTTTTCCTCACAAGCATCGCACCGTTTTTGGGCTCCAGCTGGCTTGTTCGATTGCTCACCTCTCCCGTTTAGCCACGCCTCGGGTTCTTAATGTTGGATGCTACGGGATGTCACTGTGCTACTTCTCCACCTCTCTTTTTGTTCCATTCTCGTGTCCAATTTTCTCATGGCTCAACAAACAGCCACGGCGCACCCTTGATACCATCAAAAACAAAAACCGACATGTAACCAGTCCGACGGATGCCTCCTTTAATGGAAGGTGCCACGTCAGAACTGTGTATATTTAAAGGAATATGGGCAAAGAATGCCTCATTTGAGCTGCACGAGCTTGCGTAGTGTTTTCAAACGCTCTTAAAAACCCGCATCAGTGATAGATATAGTGTAGCCAGAATACGCAAGAGCTCCAAGCACACGCAAGTTGTTGGAGACCATCAAGCTTCGTTACTTGTTTTGGGGGGATGATGATGATGATGTACATGCGTCTATATACAAAGCCCTGGACGTCTTGAGCACATCCCAGCCGGGCAGCTCTCTCGAGCCGTCAGTGGCACACAAGATGTTACAATACATATATGCCCGCCCGCCCCTCGGCCGCAACTCCTCCCCCATCATATCTTGCCTACATCACACATCATACATAATACACGGCTTGTGCTAGAATATCTCCGACCAGGTCTTCTTCGAGGTGCAGCTCCGATTTTGGTCTGCTTTGCCCCACGGACGGCCTTGACCTTGGAGGAGCACAAGCTCTCACACTTTTTCTTTTTCTCTTTCGTCCCCTGCCTGGGCATGAGAGTCTTGCCTCCCCTCTACTACTTTAGCGCCTGCTGCCTCCGTTAGTCTTCTTCTCCGCACGCTTGCGGCGCATGTCCTCGAGCCGGCGCTCCATTTGCTGGCGCTCTTCCTCGGCGCGGCGCTCCTCGTACTCGCTGGCCTTCTTGTACGCGACGGTCTTGTCGTCGTTACCGACGGCCTGGTTGATGTTGGTCCGCATGTCGGTCATATTGTTGCGGATCTTGTCGGCGAAGCTGGGCGCCTGCCAGGCGGCGTTGACGGCCCCGGCCGTGCTGGCGAGGGCGGCTGCCGGCCGCTGGTCGATCGCGGGCAGGTTGGCGAACCTGCGGAAGGCCGGATTCATGGTGATGAGGGACTGCGCGGTCGTCGTCGAGGTCAGGGTCAGGAAGAACCACTGCACGGCGGCGGGGAGCCAGGCCGTCGTGAGGAAGACGAGGGGCGGCAGGACGTAGGTCATCATCTGGCCCATCGAGGCGGCCATGGGGGTCTGGTTGACGTTGTTCTTCTGCGTGGCCTACAAAGGGATGTAATGTTTAGTCAAAAGAGAAGGAAAAGACAAAAGTGATTTGGTGTAACGCATTCGATGCGTAGACGGGAGGGGGCTTTGCCTACCTTGAACATGGCGACACCCAGCACCGCGTTGGCCAGAGGCAGGATGTAGTAGGGGTCAGCGATGGTGAGGTCCGCGAACCACAGGGCACCGCCGTTCTCAAGGGTCGGCACCGGGATGGCGGCCATCGCGCGCAGGAGGCGGAACATGCCGAAACTGAACGGGACCGTGAGGAACGGGACGGCAATCCAGCGCATCTTGGCGCCGGACCGGGCGGTGACCTCCTTCATCTGCTGGCGGGCTTGCATCATGGCAGTGTTGTCCTTGGTCTGGCGCATGGCGGCCTGCATCTCCTGGTAGGCCTGGATGTACTGAGGGCTCTTGTGGGCCTTCTGTAGGAGGGCGCTGTGACGAGTGCTCACGACGGTGGGCCAGAACATGACGACGCGGAAGAGGATGGCAGTGGCTGCGATGGCGCCCCACCAGGGCAGGCCGGTGTAGATGTAGACGTGCTCGAGGAGCCACTCGCACGAGGCAGTCACGCCCCTGCCATAGTCGAGGCCAATGTCCTTGAGGTAGCCGATGCGCTCCGGCAGGTCGAGAAAGGAGATGTGGTCGGGCAGTTCCGCCGCGTCGACAATGTCAGGCTGGACCGGCGGCTCGGGGATGACAGGCTGAAAGGGCTCGACTGGAGCGGCCGCCTTGTTGTGCTCGAGCATGGACTCTGTGACGGCGGGCTGGGTAGCATCGGTAGGAGGCTCGGGTGCCGTTGACGAGGGCTTCTTTGAGCCGGAACCCCAGCCCCAGCCCCAGAGCGAGAGGTTGCGAGTGGCGCCATGGCGGCTGGCGAAGACGACGGCGGGGAGGGGTGTTGCGGTGAGGACTGCGCGGACTGGCGAGGGCTGGAATTGTGGTGGTATGGCCGAGGCACTGCGACGCGCATTGGCGGCCGAGGCTCGTGTGAGAGCCGAGAAGTGCCTGGAGGAAGCCTGTGTGACCAGGAGCAGGTGAGGGTTAGTGGATGGAGGAGGCCGGTCAGCGGGCAAGGACGAGAACGAGACGTGGGCAACCAACAGTCTGGGGAGGCGCAAGGCGCGACCTCAGCACGGCGGCTGGGGTCGTGCGGGCGAGGCCTCTGCTGGGCAGCATGGCGGGCTGTGGTGTTGGGCGAGAGAGGCAGAGGTGCGTTACGCCCGTCGTCGTCAACGTCGTCGTGGCCGTCGGGTCGGATCGAGGCAGGTCGCGGGCCCCAAATTTTTGGCATCACGGACTCGCAGCGCGGGCTGGAGTTGAGCAGGTCCGTACCGTGCGGCGTCGGCACGGCCTGACTCAGACTGTGTGTGTCCTCAGGCAAGCCAGGGCCGGCCGGCCCACAAACAAGTCGAACCCCTCCAGCGCAGCCGGGCCAGCCAGGCACAAGCTTCCCTCTGCCGCGCTCATATTTTTCTCGTGCTGCCCGTGAGCTCCGTCGCACACTTTCTTCCTCCTCTGCTCTCCCTCAACCGCACCGCACGTTCTGTCTCTCTGTGCCTCGCGCCGCACGTATCGCTCTCCCGCACCGCGTCCATTGCGCGCGTGCAGTAGCAGCAGCAGCAGTGTCCGCGTCGACTTCACGGCGGCGGCCCAATGTGATCTGTGCCTGGTGCTTGCCAGCGGCTCCTGCTTGAGCAAGCACCGTCCCGGCCGTCTGCCCAGCCAGCTGTAAGTTTTCTTGCCAATGTCTCGGCAGCGAGCCTCTTGAGCTCTCTCAGTCATATCACACCACCGACACCAACACCAACACCACCTCTTCCCCCTTTCCCTACACCATCGCGGTGATGACAGATATTATAATGGAACTTAGAGAACGCTCTTCATTGAGACCTCGATGAGTGTCCCATATAGACTACAACGGTATCTGAGCGATTGGTCAACCCTCTTCCCTTGCGAGTGTCCCAGGACCTCCCACCACAATGTTCCTATCCTCTGCCGGGGCACCTGAGCTGACCACCACATCCGCATTCAGCATACCCATACTTATTCTCTGTACCATGTATACTATAGCCAGGACGAATACAATAATAATATGCCTGACCCTGCCGTCGCCCCCAACGGGCACCTGCCCGCCGCGTCCACTCCTCCCGCTACCGGTGCCCTTGATGTGAAACCCCCCAGCAGCAGCAACAGCAGCAGCAAGAACAGCAGCAAAAAGGGCAGCAACAATGCTCGGTCCCAGGCCGCAAAGAAACAGCCGCTCCACCAGCTCTACACGCTGCCGGCGCCCATCCGCACGTTCCCGCTACCCTCCTTCTACCCAAACAACCCGCTCTCCCTGTTCCACGTGCTGTACGCATGGCTCCGCCAGACCGTGGCGCCGCCGCCCCGAGAGCCCGCCGTCGTGCACAAGGGCATCTGGTCACCCGAGACCCGGTCCGTCCACATTGTCGACCAGCAGGCCATCCGGGCGCTGTGGGAGCAAGGCTTCTTCGGAAAGGGCATCTACAGCAGGAGTGAGCCCAACTGGCTAAGGCGCGAGCAGTCGAGGCGTGGCGAGCACGCCGGCCACGTCGCCGAGAACTTTACGGCGCAGCGCCGCAGGGAGCGCAACCAGATGAAGTGGGAGCGCGCCCGCAAGGAGCAGGAGGCGATCCAGCGGACGCGCATGCAGGAGGCCTGGGTGGCGCCAGTCGGACCCATGGAGCTGCTGGCCCTGCCCAACTCCGCGCTGGAGCTCGGCGAGCTGTTTGCGAGCAGTGTCGCTGCGGGTATGGCCAGCAGTGAGGTGGCTCTGGAGGCATCGCATGTTTCCCAGGTGAATGATGGCACGGTTAGGCCACAGACACCTGTTGTGGACTCGACGAGCTCCTCCCCTCCAGACGCGTCATTACCCAAGCTACAAAAGAGCGTGCGCTTTTCGCCAAAGGTCGAGGCAACAACCTTCGAGCCGCTGGAGCCGCCGAGTCCTGGCGCAGGGTCTCATGTCAATGGACAGGCTCCCCACGCAAATGGTGGCCTCTTCGCCGCGGCGAGCAAGCCAGAGGGGGAGCAGGAGGCGACCACGGCCACTACCACGCAGGCACAAGACAGCAAATCACCTGGGGACGTGCTACCCCGGAAAGGAGGCAAGCCAGCCAACGACATTAAGGACATTGAGCACCTGCAGCTCGCGCCAGAGGAGGCCTTGTACCTGAGCTTCGCAATGGGCGTGCTCGAGGTCGTCCACCCGAAGACGGGCCAGCCCATTCCTCCGCGACAACAGTTCGCCATGTACCGCGAGCTCTCCGCCGGGCCGCGGATAGCGCCGGCCGTGAAACTCGACAACTCGCCGGCGGGGGCAGGACCAGGGTCAGCGCCACCATCATCATCCCTAGTGTCCTCACTACGCCCGGACGACCCTTTCCTCCTGCACTACGCGACATACCACCACTTCCGGTCGCTCGGCTGGGTCGTCCGCCCGGGCATCAAGTTCGGCGTGGACTGGCTGCTGTACCACCGCGGACCCGTCTTCTCGCACGCCGAGTTTGCCGTGCTGGTGCTGCCGGCTTACACGCATCCGTGGTGGACGAGCGCCGAGGCCCAGGCCGAGGCGGCGGAATCAGCCACAGGAGCAGGTGGCAAGGGGCCCATGGCACAGCGGCGCTCGTGGCACTGGCTGCACTGCGCGAACCGGGTGCAGGCTAAAGCGTTGAAGACGCTGGTGCTCGTTTACGTCGATGTGCCGCCGCCGAGGAGGAGGAGTTGTAAGACGCAGACCGCTCTGGGTCGGGATCACGAGGGGAAGGGGGAGGAGGAGGGCGGCGACGACAGCATCGCGGATGTCCTGAGCAGGTACAAGATCCGTGAGTTCATGGTGAAGCGATGGCTGAGCAATAGGAATCGCGACTGAGTCGGCGGCGGCGGCGCAAAGCGACCCACCACTAAGAAGCTCCCCCATCCCGCCACTACCAGCAGAGTGAAGTGGACGCGGCTACATACGTGACACGCCTCTGGGACAACTTTTGGGTATGCAGACTTAGGCAAAATATGCGCCATGACGGCTCTTGGTTTGAAATGCGGCTTTGTCGGGGTGCGCTTTGCTTGGGAGTTCAGGTTGGATGGACTGTATTTTTGTACACGTGCACGGCGCAGGGGGGCGGGCATGCACATACATGTAGACTACGTTTTGAACAAAAAGAGCTGGATGTACACCATCACCATAAGCAGACATACGGGCATGAATGACTTGCTGTTATCCTCGCCAAAACTCCCCAGAAGAGAAAGAGCAAGAGCACAAAAAAGGGAAATAGAAAAGACCTGTTGTGTGTGTGTGTGTGTGTGTGAAGCAGATCTGAAGTGTGCCTTGTCTACTTGAGATATATACTCCCTGTAGGAGACCTACGCAAATAAAAAGAACGTAAGATGAAGAAGAAGGGACAAAGTCTGGCATAGGTCTGCCCACCTGCTCCCACGACACGCCCGCGATCAAGAACCCACTCGGCCGCAGGACCCGTAACCAAAGGGCTTTACTAACATTCAAAGTGTGATTTGGTCCCTAGGACACAGGGCACATGCTCCGAGGCGCTGGCCCGAGGTACAATGCGGCATGGTTCAAATTGTGTGTCCACTGCTCAAAGGACAGCTGTTCGACACTTACATGTCCCCGAATCCAGGTTGTTTGTCACCATTGCACGAGACTAAAACAGTGAACATCGGGAAGTCCTGTCAAGGTGTTGCACAGTGATATGTAGCAGCAGCAGCAGCAGCAGCCCTGGAAACTACACTTTCCAGCCAGTCTCGATTGTGCGACCGGGCCTCTAATTTCCCAAGTATTTATTTACCCCAAGTATCTATTCAATATTTATGCAAAGTTAAATTTCCCCTCATTCCCGTACCACTCCCCCGCCACCACTCGACGACGACGACGACGACGACGTTGATGCAGCACCACCAATGTCCTGAACATCCTCCACGGCCACCTTTCTCCTGCCCTTCCTGCCCGTCTTCCCCTTTACCTCCTTCGCCTTCTTCACCCTCGCCGCACCCCCGAGCGCCCGGCCCTCGCCGACCGGCAAGCCCACGACCAGCACGTACCCGGCCAAGCCCAGCGCGATGAGGAGCAAGACGAGCCAGGAGAAGTGACCCGCGAGCAGCCACTGGTTATTCACGCTGAAGGCAAAGATGCTGGTAAAGAGCGCGGGGCTGAAGCTGCGCAGGCCGCTGGTCAGGGCGAGGGCCATGGCGTTGAGGGTGCTGAGCGCGAGCGGGTCGGGCGCGACGTCGTTGAGCAGCAGCTGGATCCCCGTGAAGGCCATGGCGACTCCCGGGCCGACGAGCATGGCGACCACGGCGATGGTCCAGAACAAGTTGTCCGCGAACGGGGTGCCGATCCGGAGCAGGGTGTTGAGAAAGGGCATGAGGGCAAAGAAAAAAGGCCAGGCGACGGCGCAGCCCTGAATGACGCCGTTGGTGCCGAAGCGGCGCTGGAGGCGCGGGAAGATGAGGAGCAGCCAGGTCGCCTGGGAGAAGCCGTTGAGGGCCATGAAGGACGAGATGAGCAGGTAGGTGAAGCCGAAGCCGCCGAGCTCGGGCGGCGTGTACCAGAAGACGGGGACGATGGCCGTGTAGGCAAAGGCGAGGATCATGACGTGGCCGTAGGTGTAGAAGGCGGCGCCGACGCCCGGCTCGCGCAGGAGGGAGCGCCAGGTCTGCTGCTCTGGAGGCTTGTTGCTGTTACCATTGGGGTCCTGTTGTTGTTCGCTGTCCTCGACAATGGCGTTGTGGGCGGCAGTCGCGGCGCGGACCTCGGCAGGCAGCGTCTCCTCGACAAAGAGGGCGCTGGTGACGGCGGCGGACAGGCCAATGAGGCCCACGACGAAGCTCGAGAGCGCGTAGGGGAACTTCTCAAAGAACGGGACGCCCGCGAAGACGGCCGGGTACTGCGCCGCGGGATCGGCCAGCACGCCGCCGAGCAAGGGGCCAAAGAGGATGCCGAGATTGCCAGCAAAGGCGAACCAGGAAAAGGTGCGGGCCTGGGTGGCCTGGGTGCTGTGCTCTGTGATCATGACGCGGATGGTGACGATGGTGCCGGCAAAGACGCCGGCGACGCAGCGGAAGAGGACCATCTGCCAGATGGACTGGGCGAGGCCAAAGAGGGCGGTGGCGACGGAGACGGCGACGAGGCTGAAGACGAGGATGGGCTTGCGGCCGAAGCGGTCGGCGGCGTGGCCCCAGAACATCATGACGCACATCTGGGTGAGGGAGAACATGGACTCGATGAGGCCCGAGTAGAAGCCGACGTCGGCGGGCGCGAGGGAGCCGTTGCGCTCGAGCATCTGGTTGATGTAGGGGAAGATGCTGAAGAAGGCGATTGGCTCGACCATGCGCGCGTAGCACAGCAGCATCACCTGCCCCCGCCGCAGAGGGGGCTCCTCGTGCTCGCTGTCTGCATCGGAGTGGTCGTCTTCGTCATCATCGTCGTCGTCGTCGTCGCTGCCTTGATGTGTCTCGCGGCTGCTGGGCTCAGACGAGGAGAGGGCGTCGCCGACGAGCGTGTTGTCGCGAGAAAAGGTGCCGGCCTCGACGACGGCGGCGGCGGGGGCGACGGGAGACGCGGCCAGTAGTGGCGTCGCCTCGGTCGCGGAGTGCTGGTTGTGGCCAGCCATGACGGACGGACGAGATGGATGGACGGATGGATGGACGCTGGCTGGATCGAAAGCTTGCAGGGCCGTCCGTGGTTTGGTGGGTGGCGTCCAAGCCGACGAAGCAGACCTGCTCAAGTATCAAAACCGAGTCAATCCCAAGGAGGCAGCGAGGCGTCGCCGTCAGCAGCAGCAGGCGTCAGCACAGGTAGTACCTAGCGTAAGTGCGTACCAACGTAGGTAATGAAATAGGTAGCCTTGGAGCACGTCAGGGTCCAAGACGCAAACGCTCCGGTGCCTGGCACTACTACTACACTACAGTACTGCAGTCCACACTGCAGTAGGCTGGCCTTGTGGAGCACTTGAACATCCTCCCAGCAGGGCCAGCACAAAGCACGACCTGCCTGCCCTGCTTGGCCTAGCGCCCTACAGCACTCGTCCACGGGCTGATAAAGCAGCTGCCCAAGTGCCCCGCCGGGACCGGGGCCTGCAGCAGCACTTCAGGACCCCTGCGGGCCGGCCGGCGGGCGGGCGGGGGCGCGGATGGAGACAGTGGTGGGGCGGCCCGGCCCACTTCCGCGCGACAACTCTTGGCCAATGTTGCAGGTGTTTCCGCCCGCCGCCCACATGCAAATGGCCCCCCCCCCCAAAAAAAAGAAAGAGCGGGCCCCCCAGAGAATCTCACACACACACTGCCGACGACAACCACGACTATCCGGCATGATAATAACTGGACACACAATAACGACAATTTTGCGCGTCGAGCATGTTGACTCGCGGAAGGGGATACACTTCTTCAGGCGTGGCCTGGATCAAGTAACCAACGGTTCCTTTCGGTCCCAGGTGACAGACCCCGTTTCAGGCCTGACTCGTTGCGTGCATGCTCAGGCTTTGTTGTCAGAAAGCAGCAAGTGGAATTGGAAATTTGACGACGTTCAAATCATGTGAATTTACTGGTAATTTGCAAACAACCAAGTTTCCTCCACCAACATATCCCCAAACTTCAGCTCGCAAAGAAAATAAGGTGCAATTGATCATAGCCAAAAAAGAAAATGCCAAACGTGGTTGTATGCTATGCTAGATGATACTAAGTGAATGCTGGTATATGTTCGGCCGTTGTCATGATCATGTGCCCCCCAAGCTCAAGAGAGAGCCAGACCCCCCCACTCATCTTTTCCCTGACAGGAAATGCAGAATGCCAGACAAAGAAAATAAAAAATAAAAGTGAGACAAAACCGCCAAAAAGAAGAAGAACAATATTAGCTCTGGAAGCAAAATGCGGTATGCAGAACCTAGCCATATGCGTTGTCGTAGCTCGTCCCCTCGCCTTCACGTTGATGCAGGAAAAATTCCAAATGCTCTCTCCCTCCCCACTGCCCTCGTGATCCAATTCAAACTTGCACTGGCAAAGCCTCCCGGCGTCCTTTTCATATTAAATTTCGCTACCCCAGCGTCTCCCGACACACGACAAGCCGGTGATGCGCCTCGCGCAGGATCTCGGACCGCGCCTCGGCCAGCACGCTCATCACCAGGTCCAGCAGCTCCGGCAGACCCTCGGCAAGGCTTTGTCCCGTCGTGTCCGGGTCCAGGTCGTGCAGCGCCGCCATCCGGCTGAGGTACTCAATCGCTCCCTGGCCCGGCGCCGCGCTTGTCGGTGCTCGCCACGCCCGGGATCGCGGCCGCGCGTGGCCAGCTGTAGCGCCTGAAGGTGTCAAGTTGCTGTTGTTGTTATTGCTGTTCTGGGTGTCCCGTGGAGGCTGCGCCTGGACATATGTCCAGATGCACAGAGTCGCATAGTAGATGCACCACGGCCGGTGCGGATCCGTGTCGCCAAAGCATGAGTACAGCGAGCCCGTCGGGACGGCGGCGTAATCGTTTGTCAGCGGGTGCTCGGCGCTCACCGATGGCCTGCGGTCGTCCGCCAGGAGCACCCTGCGCAGCAGCTTGAACGAGTGCAGCACCGCGAGGCGTGTCGATGGCTGAGTCGCCCACCGGTGCATCCTGGACACCACGTTGCCGTATTCCTGGGCCGAGATCTTGCGCCCCAGCACCCGCTTCGCTCCAGCGTACACCTGGCAGTCGACAATGTTGGCGTACAGGCTGAGCCGCGCGAGGTGGTACAGCAGCGCCGCGCTCTCAATCAGCCCGTTGGCCTGCGACGCCGCCGCCGCCCCTCCCCCCCGGGACCCCCCGCTGTGCGGCGGTGCCTGTAACGCCGCGTCGGGGAAGCTCAGTGTCCGGTCAAAGCTCGCCTTCCACCCGTCAAACGCGCGCAGCAGCATCCGCGACCACTGCTCCCGCGTGGTCGACGAGCTCGAGTGCAGCTCGAGCCATTTCAGGTGCGTCTCGCGGTTCCGCAGGTGCCACCCCACGCTGAGCAGGCCGCACATGATGATCATCCTGCCAAAGGGGTGCGTGTTGATGTCCTTGCCGTGGATGGCGCACTTGAGGCCGAGCAGGAACTGCTCCGGGCTTTGCGTGCCGTGAGACTTGAGGTTGACGTCGATCTGCCGGAAGGCCTGTGGCGTCGGTGCCGTCCACAGCCGGTCGTCACACGGCAGGGGGAGACGAATCTCTTGTGGTGCCATGTCCGCCGTGTGTCCGAACATGGCCGCATGGATAATGTCCATCATGAATGCCCCATAGACGACCCTGTGCATCGCCTCCGTCTGGGCCCAACGGGCCCATGCTTCTCGGGAGTCACCCGTCAACGGCCAATGCTCGGAATTATAGTGTGGCGGGTGTTCGTCTGGCGGTGACTCGGCAGCCGCCTGTCCGATCAGGGGACTTCCTCGGCGCAGCAGGGTAATCATGGCCGTGTGATAGATGTTGGCTCGCTCGTGGAGTTTCCTGGTAGAGTACATCTTCTCGTAGAACTCTACCAGGACCAGCGCCTGCGCCACCCAGAGCTCTATCGGTGGCGAGGCCTCGTCGGCCGTGAGGATCTCCCATCGGACACACGTGATGATGAGGTCGGCGAGGGCGCGGTACTGGGTAATCGGAATGCTGCTGCTGCTCGACTCCATCTGCGAGGCGCCAAGGGCGATAATCACCAAGAGCAGTGCCGGGGGGCATGATCCCAAGGCAAAGCTGGGCTGATGCACAATGGGCATGCGTGGCGCGACGGAATACCAGAACTGCTGCACGCACGCTCGCAAGACTTCGACAGTGATGTTGGGGATGTCGCCGTCGGTAGCTCCCGACATGAGTCCCGGCATCATCGCCTGATATGTCGGTTGCTCTTGCAGAAAACCCTGGATCCACCGGATCAGCTCGTCCCTACGCTCAGGGCAGAGTGCACTGTCCGCCTCCCTGCTCACGGCGGCGACCTGCGATGCGTCCGGCTGAGGCTGGGGTCTGCGCGCGGGGTCCTGCTCGAAGTGTATTTTGCTGTCGAAGGCAGACTCAAGACCGCTTTCCACGAGGGGCGCCGCCCACGTGCGCTGGTCGTTCTGGATCTGTTGCGAGTCAAACAGCCACACGGCAAAGTCCTCTGATGAGGCGTCCCGCGGACCAACGGCGGGCCCGGGTAAGTCGTGATCAGCCATATAGCTGCCAGCCGAGTACGCCTGACTGGATTCGCGGCTCGACGTGTGGGAAGGCACAGCCAGGAACGAGCCATCAAGCTGGGGATGGCGCGGCACCTCCTCCCAGGTTGTGGTTGGGATATGTGTGGGATATGTCGACGCTGCCGGAGGCATGCCTTCCAGGGGCATCTGGTTCCGGATAGCTGATGTCTGTGTGGCATAAACTGGCATGCTGAAGGGATTGGTGAACTGCTGGGGCGTGTGCACAAAGTGCTGCTCGTACGGCTGCTCATAGGCCATGTGCTGGGCGACTCCGTGCGGGTGGTCGATACCACGGCCGCCACCATGACCAGCACCACCAAAGCCCGTCATGCCCTCGTTTGACGGCGAGATGGGCTCATGATTTGGCGAACCGGAAGAGGTGGCCGCAGCGGCGGCGGCCGCCCTCGCCACGGCGACATTTTCGACGACGCTGCTGTTGCGGGTGCGGGGAATGTAGGTGGGCGAGTGCCGCTTCTTGTGGCGGGCGAGGAGGTCTGAGCGGACAAACTTGTGGTCGCACCCCGGCTCGTCGCAGGCGTAGATCTCGCGAGGGGCGTGGTTGAGGAGATGGCGCTGGAGGTGCTCTGAGCGCGAGTAGATCTTGTCGCAGCCAGGCCAGTCACAGGCGAAGCGGCGAGGGGCGTTCTTGCGGCTGGCACGCTTGTAGGCGGCGGCGGCAGCAGCAGCAGTAGCAGCAGCAGCAGACGAGGCGGTCGATGGCGAAGGCCCGCGGCTGCTCCCGCTGCCGAAGATAGCGGGGGACGGTGCCCGTCCGGACGCCATCCACCCTTCGTATGGGCAAAGCACGTATGGGGCTAGAACGACTTAGGACCGCCGACGAGGGCCGACCGTCATGCCGTCAGTGGTTTTTTGAGTTTTGCGAATCTGATGAGGATCAGGCCAGAGAGAGAGAGAGAGAGCGGGCGAGTCGAGTCAAGAGGCGGAACGTACGAGTCGATCTAATGCACCCGGCCTGGCGAGAAGGGCTTGTGGGGGGGGGGGGTTATGGATTATGCCGCCGGAACCAGATACAGCCAGCCTGACGGACAGATCGTAAGTGGCTGGCTGGCATGTCAAACGATTATGTGCAGGCCCCCAGCGGGCAAGGAAGATGTCGTGCCCGTGGGCCGGCGTGACATGGCGGCTGTCCACTTCAGTCTGGCCTCGCTCTGCGACCTCTCGTCCTGACGCGGCGGCCCTGGCTCAGAGTTGCCATGCCACGGGCCCGCCCCAAGGCTGAGATGGAGAAGAGCAGCGGGTGCCAAGCTGGCCGGGAGAGGGCACGTCAACGGTTTAGCCTGAGGCCCAGCAGCAGCAGCCGCGCCCACAGCACAGGGGTCGGCAGCGGGCGTGCCGTTTCGTCTCATGTCGTTGCAAGGACATTTACCCTAGGGCGTAGGTACGTACGCTACCCTAGGATAGTTAGCGTACTTGGGCTGGACGTCACCCGTGGTCGCCCATCCTGGCCGCCCTGTGGAGAGCGCGCGCGCGCGGGTGGGGGTCTTTGACAGGCGTGGGGGGCTGGCCTAGCCTCGAGAGGGCAACGCTGCACTGGTCATCAGGTGCCGGGCGCTCCTCCCCGTGCCAGGAGTCCGACTCGTGGACCCCGGAGCCGCCGTCCAGTCCGACTCGCGGGCCCGAGGTCTCCTCGTGGGTGTGAGTAAGCGTTGTCTAAGCGTGGTATTTCTTGTTTTGGTTGTTGGTGTTGTTGTTGTTGTTATTGTTGGTTGCGTCCTGGGGCTGTGGAGGTGGCAGTCACGCAGCGCAGATATGTGCATTGCATTGCACACGCATGCATGAGGCTGCATGTCGTTCTGGGGCGTTACTTCTCAAAGCAGCCTGCCAACGTACCTGCCCTGCCTGCCTCCCGCTATTACCTATTACCAGAACTTGCAGTCAGTCAGTACGCTTGCATGTAGAGAGCCAACAAAACACATGCATGCGTCCTAGGCCCGCACCGGCATCACACCGACCCGAACATAAAACAGCACACCACTCGGAAATTAACTGCCTGCGGGGAAAGGCACCCTTCCTACGGCGACTACTTACCTTACTGACCTACTGCTGGGCAAGGCAGGCAGGGTCAGGCGCACCTCTGCGGGGCCCTCGCCGCCTCCGCTCTGAATCGTGGAGCCCTCTTTCCACCCGTTCATGCAAGGGGGGTTCTATGCGCTGCAACGGCGATGAAACGAAAATCGTCCCCAAACGGCGCAAGAGGAGCCCTGCCAGCCTGCCAGCCTGCCTGCTGCTGCTCAGCGGCACAGGAGGCGGAGGCGGAGGAGATGGAGGAGATGGAGGAGGGGGTGGGGAGACAGGAAGAGAGAGAGAAGAGATCGTGCGTGAGGAGAGAGGACCGCCCGCATTTGGTCAAGGGCAGCGTAGGCAGGCAGGCTGCTCCGGCTGTGGCTTGTTCTCCTCGCTGCTGCTGCATGTGCAGGAATCCCAAATTCGGGAGAACCAGCCACTTTGGCCCCCAGGGCTCACTACGCACGTAATTACTAGTAGGCACGCTATAGGTACGTGAAATACGAATGGGAACGAGATACCTCGGCACTCTCAAGAGACGCACGTTCGGGTGTGACTTCCAGAAATGCTCTCGAAGCCAGAGTGTCGGGCTCCAGCCCGACCAGGCGCCAGGGTCCAGCCCAGTGCCGAAAGAGCCTCAACCAAATCTCGTGGCAACGTCGCACCCACCACCGCGTGGCAACGCACGCCGGCAGGCACCACAACGCTGGCTGGTTGGTCCCCGAAAGAGGGAGGGGGTGGTGGTGAGGGTGGTGTGGGTGTGGGTATGCAACGCAAGCCACACACAAGCAGCAGCATACCGTCTGTGCCACACACATACCAGATTGTTATCATCATCATCATCTCAATGTCGCCGGCGGCGGCTTCAGTGCGTGTGCTCCATCTGTGGGAATCCAAACATCCCTGACTACGCTAGAGAGTGCAGCTGGGTGGGTATCCGACCACGTCCCCCCCGTCGTTCGGCTCGGCATCGCTCTCGCCCGCAAGCAAGCGTGCCCTGCCCGGCACGGCAGGCACGAGACCAACTTCTGCCCCCTCGAGTTGCCTTGTGGAGGAAATTGCCTCGGCCACTCAACATCCTTCATCAGCGGAACTTGCCGTAGCCATGCAGGGCGTCTCGCTCGCTTTTGGAGAGTTGTCCTCTTCATTTGACCTCGTCTTGTTGCCCGCAGGGCTTCCTCTCATATCGGAAGGGTGGGGGAAAAGAGGCCCCCGGGAGAGGGGGGGGGGTTTCCTCCTGTCTCTCGTGGAGATTCACATGCTTTCAAGACCACGGCGCGCATGAAGACCATCTACACAGGCTGGCGCCAACTTGTCCGTTCCAGTCCGGTGGGCATTCAAGCTAAATTACATTTGTCGTGTCAACTGACGGTATCATGTCGTATATCAAAGCCAGATACTGGCCCTGGCGGGTTCCCGGGAGACGCACGTGCTAGCTCTGCCACTAAAGAGCTGTCAACGGAGTTCCGAGCCGCCTGCTCCGTGCTTTCGCCAGGTCCCGTGTCCGTATGTGGGTTGTTAGCTTCGCAAGCTAAATCTGGCATGGAGTCACGAGCCTGCTCCGCGCGGTTTGGGAAGGTGGACGGACGGTTGGCTTTCGCAGACGCTTCCCTTATCAGCCTCGGAAAGTTCCGCACCGCACCAGTTCAAGGCGTTTTCCTATTGTGTGAATATGCTGCTCTTCTATAATCTCCCTCAAGATCCTACACGGCGTCTGGCAACCGCACAGCGATGTCTCCAGATTGTGTAATGTATCGCACCCACGGCAGGGATGGGTATTGCAGCTAAGAATAGGCAACGTGGTCAGCGACGTGAGGCGGGAGCCTAATGGAGAAGGAGGGTTCCTGAATGCTGAAGGAAAAAAACTCAGACATACCTTGGGCTCAGTGATCTTGAGATACCGGACCTGGATGCCACTTGTCGTGAAATAGGGAATTTCGAACTTGACCTGTATGGGTCTCTTGGATCCCTTGCCCGCGCTGACGCCACCCATACTTCCACCAAACCCACCCGTCATTCCACCTCCGTGCTCGTCGTCGCCACGCACGCTGGGCAGGCCCAGCTCCGCCCGCATCATGAACTCCTTATTTCCACCAAACTGCTTGATCTTCCATACTATCGCGCTTTGCTCCGGGGCGTAGTGGACACTGCCAATGTTGGTGCGGAAGCGAGGGGAGTCGGCGTCGTCGGGCACGGGGACAATGATCTCGACATTGTTGGCCGTGCTCCGCCTCTTGAACTGTGCCTTGGCCTTGAGCATGTACTCGACGCGCGATCCCGAGTGGCTCTCGACGACGCACTCGACCCAGATCAGCGGCTTGACCTGCGTGTTTAGCCGGTAGCTCATGAGCTCAAACTCGCCGTCCGGGGGGATGAATGAGATTGTCCGGTCGTTCTCGAAGCGCGACAGGCGCACGCACTGGTGGAACTTGACGTCCTCCATCTCGATGGCCTTGCCTCTTGTCGTCCGCCCCGTCGTCTCAAACATGGCCTTGTCGTTCAGACCCAGGCGCAGCTCGGGCATGCCCGACAGGTAGCACTTCATCTTGATGGCGCCCAGGATTTCCGAGCGCAGGACGTTGCCGTTGGCAGACACCAGCAGGTTCAAGCTCTCGACGACGTCCAGGAACACCTCGTTCTTCCTGTACCTGATTCCTTCGGAGCGCCACGAGACCGCGTTGGTGACGGCGATCGGCGGCCGGGCTTGTACCTCGAGCTTGTGGGATTCTTGTGTGATGTATTCCTGGAGGATCTTGGACTCTGTTGTCTGCGGGTAGCCAAAGTCCATCATCTCGTCGAGCAGCTCGTAGATGATGACAAAGTTGTCTCGGATCGACTCCTCCTCGAGCGCCTTGAAGTATTCTGTAAAGACCTCCACCACCTTGTGCAAGAAGAGGAGGATCTCGGCCGCGTTGGTGTTTCGTTTTGTCAGAGCGAGGAGGTAGAGATTGTTGTGGCGGATGTAAAGATACTGGCGTCAGACTTCCGGTTAGCTTGAGCTTGCCAACTCTGGGTCGATCGACCGCTTGTCTGCGAAAAGGATGTAGACGAACATTGATGCCCTCGTGCGAGAAGCATGGCGGCACGGCAGATGACTCTTCCTCAGCCTCGCTCAGCAGGATTGGAAAGTTCTCGACCGCGGACATGGGAATGTCACCGCGGTAGTTGCGGGCAAGGAGGGTCTGAGTGAAGTAAGACAATGTCAGTTATGGGTCTTAATGAAGCGAGCCGGGCGGCAACCCAGCCAGGCAGGAACTTGAAGCCATAGCTTCCGAGGCCCGTACCTTGCCCTTGAGGTCGAGAAAGAATAGAGCAGACGCCATTGTGATGCTATGGTGGCTGCGGCGCCCTCGCAGGAGGAAAAGGAGGTGGTTGCGGTCAGCTCTGGCACGTGGATTCCGGCTTGTGGGATGCTCAGAGTGTTCTGGAGTCGACAGGCCGGCGGGTGCTGGTGGGCGGTTGCCTGTGTGTCTTTCTGCGATGTCGGGACTGCGCGAGCACGGTCTTTGTCGTGTGGTGCCGGTCTGGCACTCGTCGCTGTCGTGCTGCGAGTGTCGCAAGCTGTCGTCAATGTCGTGGCCTTGCTGAGCTAAGGCGTGGGCCCTTGGCTGGCGGGCAGCTCAGGGACAGTGGGGTTGGTAGAGCAGCTGTTCAGCCAATGACAAGGTCGAGCGCTCTCATCCCCTGGAGCCAGATCCCAGAGTTCGAACAATTACGCAGTAGGGTGCAGTGTGAATGATTATGTTGTATCAAGAGTAGCAAGGCTGGATTAAAATGTACCAAAATAGGAGAATACGAGGCTTTGGTATGGTAGCCGCACTTCGATCTCATGTAGGAAAGCTGGATTCGTCTTCTTGCACATGCATGATATGACAGGCGTTTGTCGCAAGAATCACTCGGCTTTCTTGCTCTGGAGATCCCAAAGGAAGTTGCAAAGCCTCAGCCTCGACTGGGCTGGACAAAGACAATCTTGGAAGTCCCCAAGGGGCTGACGGTATGGATTGGTGTGGCTGTCTGTCACTACCCGGTACCTGTCTCTGGCTGGGCGAACCCCACTCTGGGCAAGCGTCGCAAACTCTACAAAACTGCACGGCGCTGTCCTGTCAGCCTTGGTTTCCCTTTCCTTCTTCTCCTCAACGCGTCCTTTTAGACAGTGCTGCCCATTACTTTACCGCACAACAGGCACCGGCATTCTGCTGGTCTGCCGACCGTGTGAGTCGTTGATGCTTGGCTGCGATTTCGCGACGCGGAGAGAAACACCACAGAATTCTTCTGTTGGTACCATAAGAGCTGACCGAGCATTTGTTATTTCAACAATCATTGCTTGAACCGGCGTCAGAGGGACCATACATTATTCATGATCGCACTATGCAGGTTTCGTCTTTGTTCCGTGGTTTCGGGCTCGGGTTCTAAGAATGACCATCCGGCATAGGCTTGCTGGAAGGGAAGACACGATCCGAAGGATTCCTCGACCCGACCAATACGAGAAGAGCCTCGCCTCCCCTTGTTGTTTTGACATCTGCGCAGTGGCCAACGGGGAGTCCGTTGCTCGCTTCACCATTGGCCAAGCTGCCCGAGGATTTAATGCGAGACTTTGCCCGCATGCCGGAACGTGGCTTGGGGACAAAGCACTCTTCCCAAGGTTCCGCGGAGCGTTCCAGGAGGCGCCGCTTCAGCATTGTCGCCTGCGCGCACGCGGCTGCCACAATCCCCGTGACGATTGCCATATCAAGGTTTGGCACTATAGCCAAGGATCGCGCCTAAGGACCTGGAGGCTTTGCAACCCCCCCATGGGCAAGAAGAGATTGATTGAGTGCGACGACGGTGGGCTAATCTAATCATGCACGCCATGTGTGTGAAGCTGTACTCTGGTGTGGTGTGGTGCTGCTGCTGCATTGACGTTATCACGCCCGCATGAGACTGCCTGGGGTCAGCGTGCCATCCAGCGATGAAGGGCGTGGTAGCCGGATTCTCTTGGCGGAATCTCCGAGATAGAGGCCGTCGTCTACGCGGGAGCCCTCATCTCGTCCCTCTGCGTGTTTTCTCTCCTCTGCATAATGCGGGCTTTCCCCACGGTCGCTCTTTTGTGATGCTCATTCTTTGGCCGACCAGGATGATGCACGTGGCGGTTGGATGGCGACATTTCTGCTCAACGGCTATTGGGTCTGTTGGCCTTCTCTGCCCTGAGCCGGGCTTGTCCATCGTGGCGGCGGTCCTGTTGTGAGGCCTTGCCCGCCTCCAATTTTCACATGATCTGTCATGCGGCTCGGCCTAGGGTCCCTTGGGAAAACCATTCATTAGTCAATGGCCTTTGCAGCCACCGCGGTGCTGATCTGGGCGTTCACACTTTTTTGAAACGTCAAGGGAAGTCAGCCAAGTCAAGGGTACCAGGTTCAAGCCACAGCGTTGAATGACAAAATCGAGCCACAGGGTGTGCCGGCCGGGGCTGATCTGACCCCAAGAAGGACCTGACATCATGACGGAGTCACTGCTTGACTCAAGAACCTGGTCGTCTGGCTTGACGGTGGGCTCCCTGATGAAGTCTGATTGTCCATTTGAGTACATGATGGGGTTCAGCTCTGTTGGAGAATGCCTGGAGGGTAGCAGCGACCATCAGCACGAGTCCTCTTCTTTTACAACGTCGGTGAGGGGACTGCAAGACGTCAACCAATCTAGGACGATGCCAGGTCAGATATTTATTTTGAGGCTGTGGATATATGAGGATCTCGAAGCAAGGATTGGAGGAGGATCCTGCCGAGCCTGCCTGCGCCAATTCAGCATCCAGCATCCAATGGTGTCATTGACGAAGAATTTCCCATGTGAGAGAGATGATGATTCTCAGTGCTGACTGGCCCACCGCGCCGGCAGGCGCGTGTGTGTGTGTGGCCCAGAACGGGAAACGAGACGGCTCGATTTGTTTGTTGCTGGTGGGCCAGTGGCTTTGGCCCCTTGCCTCATTGCGGCTTGGCGGGCGGGCTTGTCACATGTGATCCGCGGCCTGCTGCCGCCAAACCCCATGTCCGGGGTCTGTCTCGCCTGGCGCCTTTCTTCTTTCTCTTTGTTGCAGCCTGGGACAGGCCCCTTCTGGGCAACATCTCTGCACATCTTACGCCCAGCCAGCTCAGCTCAGCTGGCAGTCTCTGGGTCTTGTGAGAAACGGCACTTGCCGGCTCCGTACGCGTATCTAGTGCTCTGGCGTTAGTTCACACGTGCTTGCCGGAGGCTTGTCGCTCCTCCACCTCCACCTCCACAGCGCAGCCACCACACGCTCCGTCGGCTATTCGCCCAACCCTTTTGTGGCGATCAGGCCGTTGAGCCCGTATTGCCGGGTCTCAAAGGCACACACAGACTTTGCTTGCCCACGCGGTGGCGGCCAACCCAGACACGCACGGCATCAGACGAGATGCACCAGTGTCCCGTCGATCCCGTCGGCACTGGACTCTGAGCGGTCAGGATCGTAGTCTCAGGGTGCAAGGTGAAGCCAATCAATCATTAACAGCCTGCAATCACAAGCACTGGCCACAATGGCACGGCCCCTTGTGCAGGGCTCCTGGGGGCGGCACACACTCGCACAAAATACAATGGTGTACACACACGCATGCACTGGTCGAGTCTCACACGGGGGGGTTTGGTCTGGTCCTTCTTCTGTGCGCGGGCATCTGCTCCAGGGCTACAGGAAGATCCATCCCGGCGGCCAGACACACAAGCGAGCAGACAAGCAGCCTCTGCGATGCCTGCCCACCGGCCAATCCGGCCTACCCGGCGGGGGGGACCACATCACTAGTCTGTTGTAGTGGTTGTCACAAGCCAGAACAGAGCAACAGCCCGCACTTTGAGACGCCGGAAGCCCGCCCGGCTAGCCCGCGGTGGTGTTCTAGTGTGAGCCCGCTCCTCAGAATCAGCACACTAACACGGGGCTGTCGAACCCCGTTCTCACAAGCAAATCGTGAGTGACGAACGCCCAGCTAGTCAGAAGCCGGCGCGGCAACCGGCAGGCAGGCAGGCAATGGCAAACAACTCTGCTCCGAGAAGCCTCGGACCCTGCGTAAGCGAGAAGCGCCGGGTGTAGAAGCAAGGCGCCAAGAACGTCCGGTCCTGCCCAACATCAGCTGGATTGTGGGGAGAAGCAGAGGTTCTCCTCGGGCGAGGACATTGAATGAATCTTTTATGACGAGGAGCAGTCGGGGCCGCCCTGGATTGGCGAGCATTCACGAGTCGAGAAGGGCTTGCTGATTGATTGCTTGCTTGCTTGCTTTGTCCAAGCTGTTGTTGCCTTGACCTGACCTGGCCTGGCGGGCTCAGGGGTGTGCCGTCCGTCACTGTCGAGGCTGTTACATGCAGGCCACTCGTTGATTGCATGACAACCTGCATGAGATTGGCTCTACGGTGCGGATTGTGCTGCGGCCGCGCTGTGCGCAGTCCTCATCTCGCTCAGCACCGGGCGCGGACAGGGTCTGCGAGGCATCGCTGGTGCACGTGCTGGCCGTGGTGTGGTACTGCTGCCGATGGGGTAGCACTGGACCGGCTGGTGCCAAGCCAGCGACCCAGCACCGCCCATGCGGACGAAGCATACAGAAACGCTGCCTGGCGTAACGGGGGACCGAGGCGGGCAGTCAAGCGTCCATGCCTGGCCTCGCTTTGTTTTTTTTGCATCTTGTTGAAACGGGCCGGGTCCTGTTCTCGAAGCTCGTGTCGTCGTGGTGCGAGGGCGGCTGAGGCGGGCTGGGCACAATCACAAGCAGAAGCAGAAGCAGAAGAAACCAGGGGTGGCCGGCGAGGCGGGAACAAAAGAATCCACTCCGGGCTCCATTGCCATGTGCCGATGACTGCAGAGGCGAGTCGAGTCGAGGCATGTGAGCGCTCACCAGCAAGAGTGGGAGAAGCGAGAGAGGGACAGGCTGGAGGCGAGCAACGAGTGGGCAGCGCTCCCGGGGCAGGGCCTGCCAGCCAGTATGGGTGTGCGCACTGTGCTGGCCCTCCCCTTCCCCCCCAGCGCCTGCCAACCAGCCCGCCGGGCGAAGCACATGATCTTGGGCGGCCGCTACCCGTCCCATCCCCATCCCCAGTCCCGTCAGGTCAGAGACTGACTCCCGATGGGCTGGCCTCAGCTGAGAATGTGACGAGTGCTGGCTCAAACATGCCGGGTGTCTTTCCGAAGACGAAAGCTGCCCACGTCGTCAATTGTCGCCAAGTCACGAGTAGCAAAGAGTGTGCGATACTGTTGAAGCCGTGGACGATTTCCCGTCGTCAGATGGCGAGCTGTGAACGACTTGGGTGATTCCCTCCGCATCCCGTCGCCGTCGCCCCCGCACACGAGGCGGTGGGGATTGCGGAGGAGCCCCCTTAGACTTTGGTCGAAAGGGTTAGCGTCACCAAAAAAGCTGGGTCTTGGAGTGGGCTGTCGGGTACAAAGTTGGGCATTCTCGCCGACTTTTGGCGCATCGAGACCGCCCAGCCACAAGTATCATGGTCTGGTAACGTCTGGCGGCACCACACCTAAAATGCATTTCTGAAATGGAATGTATGGCATGGTCTGTCTCGCCATACTGAGCATTTGGCATCAGGGCGCATTCTCCTCGACCACCGTATATCAACCCTTGAGGAGCCAGTAAGCCTATTAATAACATTCCAATCCAGCCAAATTCATAGGGGCTTCCAGGTTTAGTAATAGTAGGATTTGGCTCCTCGATGGTTTCGCTGCATGGAAACGCAGCCGATATCAGATTGAACACACAGTAACTAAATAGCTTTTGCTCATGTTAAAACGTTCCAGCTGTAAGGCAAAACGGGACGCTGCACTCGACTGTTGTTTTGTAGATGCATGATAATACCTCTCTGTTCTTCTCTCATGGATACTGTCCAGAGTAGCGTCTAATTGGGGCGTCACTGTTAATAGCCGCGCCGCCCAGCTGTCAGGCATCTACTTATTTGCCGGCGTGCTCTCGCTCCTCGTGTGCGGCTGAAGGGGAAATGTCTGGAGTTCCGGTGTCACGCCGCCATACACACGATCCCACCTTGAGGCCAGAGGTTTGGGCGTTTCCCAAGCATACTCAGGATCCCGGATCCAGATCCGAAGCAGGTGTCTCCTGAGTGTCAGGAGTAGGTCGTATCAGCTGTTGTGTTTTTCGATCTGCGCCACGTTCCAGGCGGTATGACTTACTGCGTCTCTTCAGAGTCGGTGTATCCATCGCGGGCGTGGAATATGGCCACATTGTTTACAAACTGCATGTCTCCCTTTTCAAGTTTGTTGACACGCTGAATCGTTCACCAAGGAAGTGTAACGCGTCCAAAGCCTCGGCCTGTGCCTCGGAAATAGGAGGCAGGTGGCTAGACCGCGGCAGTTCGCCGAAACCAACATAGTACCGTCGGCCGTACTGCAGGAGGACCCGATCTGGCGTCTTGCCGTCAGCGCTGGCTGGTGTGTGGTAGAGCAGCGGTCGGCTCATGTAACGGTCCTTGTCGTCAACAGTCTTGGTAAACCTTGAGTTATGTATTTCGTGATTAGCGGCCAGCTTGGAACAAGGTAGAATTTGACAGCTCGAATACTTACAGCTCGGCAACCCAGATACTGCTCAAGGTGTGGATGAGGTCGGGTCTCGTGGCTGCAAGGTGATTATACACCTGCCACGTGCTGGCGAGGCGGCTGGCACCACCCTCGGCAGCGGTAGACAGCGCGAAAAGGGAGACGATGTCGCCCGAATCTGTATGGAAGACCTGCTTGTCCGAGGTGTATGCTGGGGTGCCAATCTTGATCTTGGCACTGTCACGGCCTTTGCCAAGCCCAGACCTGACATCGCGAATGTGCCCGACAACTACGTCAGCACGCTTGCCCTCAAAGTAGGCATCCTGCCGGCCACGGACTGAGCCGATATGGGAGGAGACGCCAGCGTAAATGATGATGTTCTCCTCACGCGTGTACTTGTCCACATCCAAACCACGAAGGACGAAGAAACCGTGGCCAAAGTGCAGCTCGCGGGACAGCCGTCGAAGTTCGTCATGGAGGTTGGGTAGGGGAAAGGTTTCCTGCGTGATATACCCAAAGGCCAAATTGAGTGCTATTTTAGGTCGGTCAATTGACATTTGTGTTAGTCAACCCTACATTGGTATGCTTTCAACCAGGCCAACGGATAGCTGCTGTTTCGGGGACCTACATTGAAAGTGTTTCACAGCCTTGTCTATTTCGTCAAGCTGCTCGTGGGACAGTACATATGTCCAGTCGTATTCTTTCGCGAGAGTTGCTCCATCCCATACAAGTGCACCAGTCAGCTTTTTGGGGAATCCCTCAGGCAACTCTGAGGGTAGAGTTTCAGTCTTCAGGCGGCGAGCCGTCCGAGCCTGGTATTTGTCCCAGTCCGGATGATATGCAATATCTGGTTGTCCCGGAGGCGGCTGCGCTGCCTTTGTGACGCTGAAGACTGGTGCCGACGGCGGCGGTGCTGTGTACACAGTCGTGGTAACGCTGGCCATGCTGGTTGATCACTGTAGCAGGTAGTTAAAGATCCTTGATGTCTAGGGATAAAGTTCGTTGATACCGAATTTGCTTGTGCAGGAGTATGCCGGTGCCTACGTCGTGGCCGAGGTTCAAAACATGGACCATGCCACCAATTATACGAACAAGAGGGCGAGCCCGAAGCCTTTGCCAGACAATGCCACCGTGCGATGGAGATTCGACGGAGGTCAGAGCCGCCCCGACGGCCCAGGTGAGTGGATACGGCACTGATCGCACCATGACCCTGGAAGATGGCGTTTAAGACGCATGTGCACGCCAAGACCTAATCACACTGGATGGAGTAGACCTTTGACAAGGAAATGGTGATGAGCCCTGTCATTTATCGTTGCGAAATACCCCACTCGAGACTTGCATAAGTTCCCACATCGAGAGAGCCGCTGGAAGCAGCCGCTGTAATAATCAGGAGTTCGTGTAGCGGATCTTGGCAGCCTAGACATTGTTACTCACGACTCCATTTGCTCACATGAGCGGACCAACCACAGTTGCTGGGAGGTCCTCGCGACGAAGTCGCCATTCTTGGTCGTCGCACGTCAACAGGCGGAAGACCCACCGTGCTGTCAGTACCCATCCTGGCTGGATCTTGCGTTCCCGCGGGAACGACTGAACAGACAATTACTTCCTCAGGGAAGCGCTCACAGCTGCGAGCCCCCTTGCAGAGATAGGCAATTTATTTCGTCAGTGTCGCGAATGTACATGTCCCAGAGCATCAACAGCGGGGCATCACATTACTCGATAAGGCCATCGTGCTGCATCTGACCGGGTCGATGCACTGGCCAAGCTCGGCCGAGACGCTGCTTCGGCGCCGTGACTGCAGTCTGACAAGCACGCCATCACCCTTGGCAAAATCGAGAGCACCTGGCCTGCACGCTGGGACCCAATACATGCCGCTCCGATGGTGCATCTCAGGGGTCCCAGTTGTGGTCCTTGTGATGTGAGACGAGGTATATAGTCTCCTTGGTAGCTCTGCCAGATGCTTGTGGCAAGAATGATTCCAATCCGTTGGAAGGATTTTCTTTGGTCATCACACGGCATGGCTTGGTATCCTCGGTCTAAATTAGGAGCAGCAGCTTCTGACGCTGCCACAAGCCCCAACGTTTCGCACGAGTTCCATTCCAGTAGCGAGTCCTCCATCATTCACGATGGCGATCTCGCCTATATCCGCCAGACGGCTGGCAATGGCGCCACCGGCCATCAAGAGGTTGTCGGCGCCCCTGTCGAGACACAATCGCCACTGGGTTACCACGTCAACTGGTTGACCATCATCTTTCTCAACATCAACCACATGGTCGGCACGGGTATCTTCAGCACCCCAGCAACCATCCTCGGTCTAACCGGATCCGTGGGCCTTGCGCTCATCTACTGGGTCATTGGGTTCATTCTTGCGGTGGCCGGCCTGGTTGTACACCTAGAATTCACTAGCTACTTTCCCACGCGCAGCGGGTCCGAAGTCGTGTGGCTCGAGCAGAGCTATCCACGACCAAAGCACTTTTTCCCCGTCGCTTTTGCAGCGCAGAATGTCCTTCTGTCATTCAGCAGCAGCAATGCGATTGTGTTATCAACTTACCTCTGGCGCATCGTCGGTCGCAGCCCTGGTCCCTGGGAGCTCAAAGGTGTCGCTGTCGCTGCTTACACGGTAGCAGTGATGGCAGTTGTCGCGCACAATAAATATTCGCTTTGGGCTATCAACGTCATCGGAAGTCTCAAGCTCCTCCTACTCATCTTCATCTCGATATCCGGTCTGGTCATCCTTGGGGGCCATGTCCCGAGTGTTGTAAACCCCGGCATCAACTTCACTGATGCTTTCGCGGGCACCACCTCGAGCGGATACGCCTTGTCCCAAGCCATGGTCAACATCAGCTTTGCCTTTTCAGGCTGGCAGAACGCTTTCGGCATGGTCAACGAGATCCGCAACCCCGTCCCGACCCTCAAAAAGAATGCAACCGTCTCCCTTCTTGTGGTCTTTGTCCTCTACTTTCTCTGCAATGTGGCCTATTTTGCCACCGTACCCAAGGTCGAATTCAAAGGCTCCAGCCAGCTAGCGGCTGCAGTATTTTTTCGTACCGCCTTTGGACCAAAGGCCGAGTCGGCTCTCAACTTCTGCGTCCTCCTCAGCGCCTTTGGCAACCTTCTAGCAGTCCTTGTTAACCAGTCACGCCAGATCAGAGAAATTGCACGGCAAGGCATGCTCCCTTGGCCCAAGTTTTGGGTGTCGACCAAGCCCTTTGGCACGCCTCTTGGACCATACTTGCTCAAATGGGGTTTCACATTCCTCATGATCGTTGCACCACCTGCGGGAGACGCTTTCCAATTTGTTGTGTCCCTGAAGTCATACCCCGAAGCCATCTTCCACGTCGCCATGGGAGTGGGCTTGATTCTGGTGCGCCAACGCCGGGCACGCTCCAACACTCCACCGTCGAGCTTCCGCGCATGGTGGGCATTCGTTATTCTCTACCTGCTCGCTCAAGTATATCTCCTCGTAATGCCCTGGATCCCCCCGACGGGAGGTATTTACGGAGGTACCGTTAGCTTGTAAGTTGATTGCTGCAAATGCTTTAGCTGGAGACTATTTCTAACCACAAAGACAGTCTTTGGTGCACATATATGCTGGTCGGCATGGGTGTCATCGCCGTGTGCGGTCTCTATTACTATGTGTGGATGAAAGTCCTGCCACGTCTAGGCAACTATTCGATTCGATCAGAGGTTGTTGAAGTTGACGACAACGGTGCCAACACTCATCGCATCCTTCGTGTTCCAAATGATGAGGTGGCAGAGTGGGATGCGACTCACGATGAGCAAGGTCGCGAGCTCCGCCATAGGCGCAGGGCTGGTGGCGGTGAGGACTTGGTGTCGTCCGTGGAAGACACGACTGTCCCAAAAAGTGTCTGAACCTCCATACCTTGTGTTGCGGACGTGCTCAGCAGGAAGCCTCTCAACCCGCTGGATTGTCCGATGTAATCACCAGATCTAAGAATACTCAATGTGCAACTAGGGCACCTGCTTCTACAACCGGATGTACCCTGCACATTCTCCTTCCTGAGTGCTAGCGGTTTAACCGATGGGTGACCAGAAATTGAACTTCTAGCGTAGTCGTCTCTCACGAATGAGAGAGCCGGCCATGAACGCCACAAGCACGGCTGCTAAAGAAACCACTTTTTGAAATCGTTAGATTCGTGGAACACTTGCCCTCTGAAACCCCCACTAAGTGGAACAACTTACAATGACCATAGGCCAGTCCTTGCACGTATGAAGCACGAATGGCGGTCGCGATCGTCTCCGGGGCGTTCTTCGCATATTCCATATCGGAGGCTGCTCTCTCCACAATCTGCACCCAACGTGTCAGCTGAAGTTCGGACAATATTCTCCAGTGTTTGACTGGTTACCTGTTTTGTCACGTCGCTTTCGAAGCCCAAATGCAATAACTTTTGAGTCAGTGCTGTCCTCATGCCGGACAGCGTGGCAGCACTCGATAAGGCCACCCCGATAATTGACCCAATGGGAAGCTGCATGTACAGGACTGACGAGGCCACAGCCTTGTCGGCTGGCTCGATGACCGCCTGTAGTGCGATGAATCCCGCAGACAGCGACACACCGGTACCAAATCCACTGGACTAGGATCAGCATATGCCTGATGACTTCCACAAAATCCGGGTTGCGACTTACCCTGGCACAATATAGAGAGATTCCCACCAGTTTGTGTGTCCGTGCCATCTCCACAACAGCAGGGTATAGCTAACAAATGACGCAGCGGCTCCAACTAGTAGCAAACCTTTGTAATGACCCGTTCTGCATCGCGGTAAGCATACGACACGCAAGAGTCTACCAATAAATAGACGCATGACATGGAGCACTCACTTCTTGATCCACAACCCGGTGATTATGCCCCCGATTGTATTGCCAACGACGGCCGGGAAGAGATGGGCGCCTGCCTCCGTGGCAGATGCGTCCTGGGTGATTTGGAAGTACATCGGAACACTAAACATCATCTATGAAGCAAAAGACTGACAGTCAGCTCAGAGCTCTACAGCGGTGATGTTCTGGGTGCAGACTTACCCCAACCTGAGCGGCGCATTGCCCACAATACATGACATATGTCATCGTGACATCTCTATTCCTAAACAGGCGTAAAGGCAAGATTGGCTCCTTCGCCAAGTATTGCTCGGCACACACGAAAGCCAGCATTAGCACAATGCCCAGGCCGAACAACCCGAAGATTAGAGGATGCGTCCACGGCAGCTTCTGGCCCCCTAGCTCGAGAGGAATCAAGAGCGCAAGAATGGAACAGGCGAGCAGCAGTGCACCTAGAAAGTCGATGCGAGCAAGCGACTTTGTGTTCTTGTGGTCTGATTTGTTTGGGGTCGTGGGTGGCACGGTGAGCCAGCAGAAAAGAATTGCTGCTAGGAATATGGGCACCTGTCCCAGAAATGACCTGTTTGAACCAGACTGCGTTAGTATCAGAAGCTACAACGGCTGTTCTGGCTCGGGACGACTCACCATCGCCAGCCAATCGTGTCGGCAAGCAAGCCGCCTAGAGGGCCTCCAATGCTTCGCCCAATTGTGGCAATGACGTTCATGTAGCTCTGCCACGACGCTACGTCCCGCAAGGGAGCAAGATCTGCAGCCTTGAATGAGTCTCATGTACGAAGTAAGGCTCCTGGAGGGAACTCGCCTGTTATGATGACTGCGGCAAGCACCGTCATTCCGGCACCTCCCGAACCCGAGATGAGCCGGCCAAGGATTACTTCCCACATGGTCTGGCCGAGGCCGCTAGATTTTGAATCAGTCCTCATGGTCAGGATGCCACCAGCGCTTCCATGTGTCGGTACCGCTTACATGAATGCACTACAGTGCTGCGGTCAGCTTAGGACGAAAGTATGTTCGAGGTTGGTGCATGAACTTACCAGCCCACGGCAAACATCCCATATGATGCCAGCAGTATTGATCTCCGCCCGTATATATCGCTCAGCTTGCCAAACTGCCACATTGTGTGAAGTGTCAGTATGCGGGCATCAATTGGAGATATATAATGGAATAGAACGATGCATACAAGTGTCTGTGTTGCCGCACCCGCCAGGCCAAAGCTGATAAAGAGCCAACTGGAGTTCTGCAGGTCTCCGAGACTGGAAGCAATAGTTGTGTGTGTGGCCATCACCAATGAAGCATCCGCATTGTTGGCGAAGACGGCTTAGTCAGGCGTGTGATTAGTGGTGGTCAGCTTCCCTTGACTTGCGTGTGCGATGCAAGACTTACCCACGAGGAGGGCAGCGACGGTTCTCGCGATGAAGGCACTGCTGTACTTCGTCGAGGCCGGAGGCTTGAGGGCTGCCAGGGGCGTTTCATTTGCTTCCAGGTCGGTGTCCGTCGCTTCTGGCTGTGTAAGTGTGCCATAGCCGACGGCCTTCGCCTGAGTGTCGTTTTCTGGGTCCGGAGACGCGCCTAGCAGCGCCGACGCCTCTTGGCCGTGGGCATCTTCGTCAATGGCAGTTGCAGCGGCATTGCTGCTTGTGGTCGACATATTGTGCTTCGACGACGGCGCATTCGAAGTGAGACAGTGGTCCAGATTGGCGCGCCGTCTGTTGCTCGACGAAGCCTGCAGTGGTAGGAAGAGCTCAGCCCCCCACGAACAATCTCAGTAGCTCAGGGAAAAGAGCCCCAGCTTGCCGGACTGGAGGAGGCGAGCCTGAGTATTCGTGATCACGACCCGCAAGCACACCATCCGCGCCAGGCCAGGGGTCCGCATCAGGGATAGCAGCATGGGCTCGTTGCGCTCCCTCGGCCAATCACACGTGAGTCCTAGCAAATGCCTCACCTTATCTCGCGTGGGAGAGACAAAGGGCATTGTCTCGGCACAGAAACGGACAACTGCTGCTGCGGCATCGGCGACCCCATCCACTATCACTAAACCAGAGCATGCAAGATCATATGTTTTGCGTGGCACAAACCTGGTGAGCCGCAGAGACTCCAAAAGGTCAAGATGATATGCATGCTCTAAGTATGTTGGCTGACACAGGAACATCTAGACAAAGGCTTCCGATACGCATTTCCGCACCCAAGCCATGCGATTGCGACATTCAAGCCGAGTTGGTCCTTGTTGTCTGTTTCACCCACTGGTCGTCCAGCTGTCCCATAGTCATCTTGCCAGTGACCTTGCCACCCACCTTGTCGAGTAATTGAGTTCGCAGCATCAACGACGGCGTGCAGCTCCAAGCATGGCAAAAGCTGTTGTTTCTAACGTCTCCATACGGGCTTGCCAGGGGATCAGCAGGATCGTATGCTTCCCAAAAGGTATCGGCGCCGGCGCGGATCATGCCGCCCCAGTATGACCTGACTATGTCGAGGCATTCGTCCTGGCAGCCTGCGACAAGGAGAGCATCGCACACGTGGTGCCATGCATAAGGTGTCAATGGCTTGACAGCTTCCTCGTGCGACAGAGTCTTGAGCAATGCAGCACGCGCGGTGCTCCTTGGCAATGCCTCGGACAGGACAAGCCAGGACGCGCAGGCGTAGCTCACTTGTTTCTTCGGCCCAGAGACGATGAGCCCGTCATGCAGAAAAGCTTCAGCAGCCGCAATGTTCATGCTGGTGATCATATGCTCGTGGGGGAATCCTACTCGCAGCAGCCTGGCGAGCTTCTGTGCAGCCTTGAGACAATACAGTACCAGCCCGTGAGAGCCAGCACTCGTGTCGACCCCGGGAGCCCAGTCCAGGAACTGCCAGTCTTCCCCGCGGGTCTTATCGAATGCCTTGGTGGAGGGATCGACGTACTCGAGAGGACGACGCAGGCAGGACAGGACAGTCGACCACAGCACACGACCTGAGTCAATGTCGCCAGACGCAGCGACATAGTCGTACACTATGGCGGCGAAGAGCGCGTCGTATTCGAGGAGGTAGTCGGACGAGGCCGACAGTGTGGGCTTCTCAAACAGGCAGGCCGGGAGCGATTCGTCATCCCGAGCCACAGCGGCAAACATGAAGAGACACCGCTTGACGAGGCCAAAGTCTTTGAGTGTGGCATAGTTGACAAGTGCCTGCAGGCGCAGATCTCCCAGCCACATTCTTCGATCTCGGCGCGGACCGTCTTCGAAGACCGTCTGCATACAGTCTCGCAGGGTCATGATGCTGACACGGTCTATCGCGCGAAGCAGCTCGTCGTCTTTGTTCGAGTCATTGCCTGCGTCGCCAAAGGAGATTGCATCGACCTCGACTTCCTGGCTGATGGCGCTGATGCACTCGCAGACAACATCAGAAAACGCGACTTTGAACTTGCTCGAGGTGTCGATGACTTGAATACGGAGGTAGCGGAAGGCGTGGCGTCGCTGGAGCTCGACTCGTTCGGGACAGATGTCGATATTGATGATCTCATCGGGAAGCCACGCTGTGCTGATCCAGGTTTTGACGCCTTCCATACCCATCGTCACGTCAAGGGGTGACTCTCCAAAAATGAGTCGAAGGCGGCAAGGCGAATCCATGTGTTCGCCAACCGAGCTGAGGGTGAAACTCAAAGTGCCAACCATGTGGATGCCAAAGTCGAGCACAAAGTCATCCTCCTTGCCCCAAGCCAGGTTCGGCAGGTCACAGAGATTGTATTTTGTTGAGGCCACGGCGCGTACGCCAAAGAAAGCGGTGTCGGAAGACTCGAACGTGACGATGCGTTGCGGCTTGCGTTGCCATTTGTGCAACTGTGGGCTGAGCTGACAGGCAAGTGACGCAAAAGCCGCCGCTCTTTGTGCTGATGACAGCTCGGAGATGTCTTTTAACATGCTAAGAATCGACTCGTACGAAGGGCAAGTCTAAATGAGTGCAGCGAGGACGGCAATCAACGTGCGCTGACAAGGAGTGATTGTGAAAGAAGGCGCAGCTCTGTGCTCAACGAAAGCCAGAGGGAGCAGCTGGGAAAGTAGCTTGACCACGAAGCTGGTAGCCGTGAACAAGCAGACAATACTTTTGGGTGCGCGTGCGTCCCTCGGACAAGTGACGGCCGACTTGAGAGATTGGGGTATTTGAGCAGTGGGACAACTTGGAGTAAGAACCCCACGCCGGAAGCATAAAAGTGGCACCGTCGACGTTGGTTCGGAAGCAAAAACTCGCTCGGAAGCAATTGAGCGGAGACAGGCTACACGCCAATTGGCTCGGCGCGTCTCGTCACTTGTCGCTGAAGCCGCCACCAAGCTAACAATTGGCAATTTCCCGGGGCCAGCGATGAGCGTTGCACAAGCGGCTGGGGCGCGACGCACGCCCTTCTGGGGAAGCTGGGGTCCCCGCGTCACCTAGGCTGCATGACAGGTTCTGGCTGAACTTGGGATATATAACGACGATCGCGCCCAATTCTCGAGTCCCACGGAATGGTCACTGTGGTATGGGAGTTTGCATGATTCCTAGTGTTGCCTCTCAGATACTTCAAGACCTGCCAATCTGCTTTACACTTTCAGCTTCGAGTTTTGCCCTACTTCGTCTACTCTGCCTCCCACCCTACTCGCCTCATCCTGCCTAGGGCGTCACGATGTCCAGCATCAAAAAGGACGACTCAGATGTCATTGCCGCCCAGTCGGTCCAGGTGGAGGACAACCGCAAGCGAGACGGTGACACTAATGTCGTTGACAGCCACGAACGCGACCTTGGCCGCGCCGTGCAGCAGCAGGAGCATAACCGCACATGGGCTCAGACACTGCGCAAGGATCCAAAACTGCTCTTCTGGATCGGAGTAATGCTCTGGACACTCATCGTGCGCGGGTTCGAGAACGGTGCCTCCGGAGCCGTCATCTCGGTGCCAGCCTTCCGCCGCCGCTTCGGTGTCGATATGGGCAGCGGTGTCTACTTCATCTCCACGAGCTGGCAGTCTGCCATCAATGGTGCCCCCAATGCGGCGGGTATTGTTGGTGCTTCGATTGCTGGCTGGCTCTCGGATCGGTTTGGCTATAGGCCTGTCATCTTGTCCGCGGCGGTCATCAACATCGCCTCGATTGGCATCGAATTCGGGTCGACCTCTCTGGGCATGTTCCTTGCGGGCAAAATGGTCAATCTCCTCGCCATTGGCGCGCTGCTTAACCTCTGCACCGCATATGTCGCCGACGTCTCTCCCTTGGCCATCCGTGCCTCGGTCATTGGGTTCTGCAACCTCTCGCAATGCATCGGCCCTTTCATTGCGGCCATCATGATCAACTTCACGTCCAAGTGGGACTCAGACATGGCCTGGCAGTCGGTCATTGCTGCCCAGTGGGGATTTGCTGGTGTCGCGCTCATCGGCCAGTTCTTCATGCCCGAAGCTCCCAGCCACCTTGTCCGTAAGGGTCGCATGGAGGCTGCCCAGGCATCGCTCGAGCGGCTCTACTCGGACCAGGCGGACGCGAAGGCACATCTGTATCGCATTCAGCTCACGCTTGAGGAGGCCGAGCTCTCCAACAGCGGCTCGTACCTCGACTGTTTCCGGGGCACCAACCTTCGTCGCACCCTCGTCGGCATCATGGTCTTTCTTTCCGAGCCCATGTCTGGCCTGGGCTTTGTCGGCAGCTACGGCGCTCTCGTGTACCAGATGTTGGACATCTCTGACGAGAAGTCCTTCCAGATCGCCATTGGCGCTCAAGTGCTGTCCATGTCTGGTGCCACCATTGCGTTCCTGCTATCTGACTGGTGGGGCCGGCGCCCGATGTACATCTTTGGCTGCTGCTCGCTCTGCGTACTCATGATGTGTATGGGCATTGCCGGCTCCTTGACCTCGACGGCCGCCGTCACTGCCGCGGTAGCCTTCTACACCATGTTCAACTTCTTCTACAACGTCGGTGTGGGTTCGACTGTCTACGCCCTGGCTGGTGAGCTGCCGACGACGGTGCTGCGCTCCAAGTCACTGGCGATATCTATCTCGACCTCGAATGCCTTCAACACCATGTGGTCATTCGTGGCACCGCTCATGTTCAACGAGGATGCCGGCAACCTCAAGGCCAAGATTGGGTTTGTCTTTGGTGGCATCATGTTTATTTTTGCTGTTCTCGCCTGGTTTTATGTACCCGAGACCCGGAGGCGCACATACGAGGAGCTTGATGAGCTCTTTATGAACAAGGTGCCCGCCCGCCAGTTCCGCACGTACAAGACTATTGCCGAACAGCGTGCGGCAGAGGCGTTCGCCATCAGAGAGAAGGTTAAGGCGACGATGCAGGCGTGATCGGGAAGGACTGGATCTCAGTAGTGTCGCAATAGGGCTTGAATTGATGTCATCCTTCTTCCGTCTCCTTATTCCCAAAGCACTGTGGTGCGCTACACCTTTGTGGTCGAGGGCGTTGCCGTCTTGAATCTCTTTGCACCTGGGCGCAACCCAAGTCAGCGACGATTTCGCGACAAAGGTTCCAGCTGGCCCTCGGTAACGATAGCTGCCATCCTTCACCACACGACATCTTGTCCACCCAAGGTCTTGTGTTTGCTGCTTGTAGAGCGAGGTGAATCTACATCCGAGCGCGATGCCGAGCATCCAGGCATGTCTTTGCCGACCGCATTAGCCCCGTCCTGTCTGGGGCACTGGACACATGACCAGCCATCTGCATGGGGCACGCACCAGTGGTCCCCCGCCCTTCCCCAGATTCTCCCACCGTGTCGGTAGTGCCGCCCGACGGCTCGATGGCGGGGGCTCCGCATGTCTCCACTTAATTGCTTCCGAGAGTCTGCAATCCCCTGACTCAATCGCTCGTACGGCGGTGGCACCGGCTCGGCCTGAAAGGTTCCCTTCGTTCACGCGCGCAACAGGACTTTCACACTTCACCACTCCCGAAAGGGTAGAAAATACTTCCGAGGACGACATGCCCTGCAAGCTGTGACGGGCAGACGCCATCCCCAGCGACATGGCCATGGTGTCACCCGTTTCTGCCGGAGGCGGACATGCAGACAACACCCGGGCCAAGACGCCCCGCAATCTATCGGCCTGTGACGCATGTCGCGCCCGGAAAGTCAAGGTTCGCCTCAATGATGCCCCGATTCCCGTGTCACGCCTGCTGAAGTTGAGACAGTGCATCTACTCCCACGAAGACGACGACGGCAACGAATGCCGAGGGTGTCGACATGCGGGCATCAGGTGTACTCGGGACAAGCCTCGCCGAACCAGAGGCCCAGGCAAGAGGTGGGTTGGCCTTTCTTCCACCTCATCACTTGTGCAGCATGTCGGTTATATCTTGCACGTCTCATAGGCTTACCTGCCGCATCGTGTTGCCAGACAATGGTCACAGCACTCTCCTCTGCCGGCTGCCACGTCGCCGACCCTCAGCCGGTTTTCACAATCATCAGACTCACGGTTAGCCTCAACACCAACACGAGGCACAACCGACACCATCTTCCCGCCTTCCCCCTTCGTCACCGACGGAGACGGCGACTTCCATGGAGTATGCTCGCGCTCCACCATATTGACCATCTTGACCGACTGGGCCGACCAGGTCTATCCGCTAGCGCCGCTTCTGCACCGGCAGACTTTCCTCCATCGTCTCCTCTCACGAGAGGATGAACGCAACCCAGTGTTTTGTGCATTGGTGCTCTCAACCTGCGCCGTGACAGTCAGCACCCTGCGGCGGCTGAGCTTCCAGAAATATCCCGGTGTGACCGTCATGCGTTGCGTTGCTGCCATTGATCAAGCTCAGATGCTGCAGCCAAGGACATACACGCTCGATTGGTGCATTTGCTGCTACAACGTGGCTTCGTCCCTCTCCGCCCTGGATGGCCCGCAGTTTCTGCGGCAGTATGAGACGATCAAGGATGCGATCGCCGGTGTTCAGTGGCTGCTTTTCTGTGAACCCAGGCGCGAGGTCATGGCCTTGCACGACCGCGAGATATCGCGTCGCTTGTTCTGGCTCATGACCATGTGGCAGCTGCAAGTTCCCGCCCCGTCCGTGCACAACCTGGAAGAGCGCCCTCAGCTGACGAGACGCCGCGCAGTGCTGCCGAAATGCGAGGCGAGACTTTCTTGACCTTCTTGCCTTCACGATCGCTCTCACTTGATCTCGACTCTACTCGACCCAGACCCCTGAGCGACAGTGAGCTAGGCGTGCCACGCCCAGAGAATCTTGATACTTCAATGCTTGACACGGAGGCAAAGGCAATATGGCTGAAGGACAACGACCAGTACATTACTGGCCTCAACAGTCTCCTTGATGTCATGATGGTCTGGGAGCACGTCAAGATTGACATGGCGCACCGCCCGGCGGCAGACACTCTGCAAGCCGGGATGGCGCGCATGCAGGCGGTCATGGACAACCTTGCGCCGGAGCTACGCTGGCGAGGCGGCCTCACCAGGTTTCCCGTGCCTTCGCCAGGTCACGAAGCGCAGACGTTGAATATTCTAATCACGAGCCTCTACATACGGTCCAACTTGCTCCAACATCTCGGAACAGTGCCGGGCATTTCGCACGCTAGTATCGTGAGGTGAGCACGGCGTAGTCTCAATGTCTTCGTCGCCGGCAGGCTATGAACTGACTCGGCCCTGTTAGTGACGTCCTTGGCATACTCGAACATATATCTCCCGATGTGCACGAGGCGAATGGATTTAGCTTGGTCAAGAAGATTCGAGATATTGGCGCAGCATATCTGCAGGAGCTACGCTTTTCAGGCGACGGCCCTCTGGACGTGGTGGATGATTCTGCACAGCGCACCGTCAACATTCTGCTGGCGAGGCTGGAGAAACTGGACTTTCGGGGCCCTTTACAGCATGACAGCGTCTGACTCTTGTCGGACAGTCTTCCTGTCGTCTTGTATCATGCAAAAAAACCAAACAGGCAGGCTTTCAAGATACAGTTTCCTCATCATTGAACATGAGCCTCCATGGAACATTGCAATGGTCTTTTCATAGCGGAACTCTGGCAACGAGATTGGTGTATTGAGCTGTGCTATTGGCCGCCGATGGCGAAGTCACGGAAGTCGTGCGGCATTAGGCTGACTCTTCCCGGTCATTCATGCCATGCTTCACTAGCCATTGAGCCAGGTCATCATTGCCTGCGATCTTGCATTGCCGGGCAAGATCTGGTTTTAGCTTTTTGACAAGCTGCATATCTGCTCCGTGGTCGATGAGATCCCGCACAACAAGCTCTTTGCCTGCTGCAGCAGCCATAATGAGTGGCACCTTCGTCACCGAACTAGCCTCATACAACGCATCAGCGTTGGCACCAGCACGCAGCAGACGCTTCACCTGATGATGATCCCACTGTTCGATGGCGACCATCAGCGGCGTCCGTCCGCGGACATCGCGATGTTCAATGTCAACGCCTCTCGACAGCAACATCGCCATGACCTCGTCCATACCTCTGTCGACGGCTGACAACAGCGCGCCGTGGCCATCGTTGTTGGTCGCATGAATGTTTGCGCCCTCTGCAAGAAACAGTGCCGCTTCCAGATTCTGCGCACTGATCGCAGCCATCAGAGGCGTGTTGCCATCCTGGTCAGCCCAGTCGACAATGCCCCCCGTGCCCGGATCCGAAGCTGAAGAGGCGTAAGGTCCTGCGTCCTTTGACTGTGCCAGCGTTTCTACTGCAGAAGCATCAAGAAGGCGTTGAAGTGTTGAGGGTTTTGCAGACGGATATCTAGCTGCATATGCCAGTGTGGACTTGCCCTTGGAGTCTCTCAAGTTGACACGGGCGCCGGCGTCGAGCAAAAGAGGTATAAACTCGTGTCTTCGGACTGCAGCACGCATCATCACGGTCTTGCGCGTTTCGTGGTCCGCAAAATTGACGTTGGCCCCAGCCTGTAGAAGCACACGGAACTCCTCGGTCTCATCTCGACCACGGCCTGTGCCATAACTTCGGTGCCACCCCGCTCGTCGCCAGAGCGCAGTTGTAGTGTCGGAGAGTTTCGTAGGCGAATCAGCCGCCACGCCAGCTTCAAGAGTCGCCTCGAGTATGGGAAGCGTGTTGAGGAGATGTTCTCCGAGATGCCAGTCCTTTCGCTCGTTGAACCATGTCCGATCATCTTTCGACCTTGCCGAAATGCTTAGCATAGCTTTCATCAGCTGGACAAATTGGTCCACACGGTTGCCGCTATTTATATGATAAGCCGCTGCCCGCAAGGAATTAAAGGTGCCGTCGTGTGTCATTGCCAGGGGGTCTGCGCCTGCCTGCAGCAACAACCACGCGCTGTCGATCTGTCCTTCTTGTACAGCATGGCATAAGGGTGTCTGGCCAGCAGGGTCCCTCGTGTCGATCTTGGCACCATGGTCCAGTAGTAGCTTGACCACCGCGAGGTGGCCGCCTCCAGCCGCTTCGTGGAGCGGGTAACGGCCGTCTTGTCCTGGCGGACCCGCGGTCAGCGTCTCTGGCAGGTTGACAAGTCTTGATGCCGGGATGGGATACTGGCAGAGCTCATCTGCATATCTTGGAATGCCGGCCTCCTCTGCTACGAGTAAACGCTGGAGAGTCACAGCGTCTCCGTCTCGAACGGCCCGCATCACAGGTGTCAAGAAGGACTCAATCGAGGAATAATGGCACGCGCCGTGCCGGATGAGAAGCTCGGCCATGACCTTGTCGTTTTTCGCCTCGGCCAGTGCCAGTGGTGTTCGCAGCAGCCCCATACCATCTCGCCTGTACAATGGTAAGTGCTGGTTTGGATCTGCACCCACAGACAACATCCGGGTCGCCACGGCAAGAAAGCCGCGCTGAACCGCCCACCAGAGGGGCTTCAGCCCCTCAATCCCATGGCGCATATGCTGGGAGTAGACATAGCTGGTGACCGTTGGGTGGATGTGGCGACTCAGCTGGCCAAAGACGAGCGCTGACTTTGGGCCAACGTGGCTGGCAATCGAAAGGAGAAGCTCGGGCGGGAGTCTGAGGAGTGGCGGAAGCGTGACATGGGCGGATGCCATCAGTGCGATGTGGACAATCGTCCCGTCGAGTTGGCTGCTGCATCTACGCGCAGTGCTAGCCGGCGTTCTTTGACGCTGTGGGTGATGTGTGAGTGGCAGGCCTGACTCAGTATGAAGTTGGGCGACGGCCCGGCGCTTGCACACAGCTGAACACGGGGCTGTGCCATAATACTTGGCCCCTGACTCCCTGGCAGTCCTGGCCCCATTGCGTCCCGCCCGCCAATGCACATTGCCATCCTTCATCACATACACCCGTTGTGCGCTTGCTCCTCTCAACCCGTTGGCACCTGAGCACGTCACGTCGGCAGGCACCGTCTTGACCACTGCAAGGCAATGCAGCTCGGCCAGGCCGCGGGCTCCGCATGCCTGAGCTTCCTCATCACCAACATCGACGACGCCTTTGTGCTCATCACCTTCTTCGCAGAGTCTGCATCGCGCGACTCCTCCTTGACCCCCTGGAAGATAGTCGTCGGCCAGTATCTCGGTTTCACCATCATCTTTATCATCAGCCTCATTGGCTTTGTGGTCTCACTAGTCCTCCCTTCCGAGCCGATTGGCTTTCTCGGCCTGCTCCCCATTCTCCTCGGGCTTTCTCCTCGGGCTGTGGAAATTCTTTGAGCTCGTTCTCCCCATCCCGGACGCCGGCGATGGCGAGGACAGCGAGGACAGCAAGCTCTTCCGTGCACGCGGGCTCCGCGCAGTTGCCAAGGTTGCCAGCATCACGCTCATCAACGGCGGCGACAACATCGGCACGTATATCCCGCTGTTCTCGCAGGTCGAGCGCGTCGGGATTGCCGTCTACGCGGTGGTGTACTACGTCTTGCTCGGTGTCTGGTGTCTTTGCGCCTGGCTTCTCATCCGGCAGCGGCACGTGGCACGGCTCGCGGAGAAGTACGTAGGTGTGCTCGTCCCGTTTCTGTACGTCGGTCTCGGGATATACATTGTCGTACAATCCGACGCGTACCCGTGGTTGATTGAGCGCATTGACAATGAAGTACCGGACGCGCGGCCAGGGAGGGCGATCCTTGCGAGCGTGACGGTCTTCTTGATCCTTGTATGCGTTGTAGCCATGGCGCTTCTCAACAGATCGAGACGGATAAAAGCCGCGTTGGCTGCGCAGCCTGCTCTCGAACCAGAAGCAGATATCCGCCCGGAGATGGTGCCGGGGACGGCACACGACAAGTCTACATCGTCACAAGAGACGGCGCATGTCAGTAGCAGACCAGGTCAGAGCAACCAGAATGGCTCCTGAACCCTGGGCGCTGTTCCCATCAGCATTAAGATGTATATTGTCGCGCTCTCAAAGTTATTTCCATTATAATCAAGGCACAGGGGTTAATGTGCCATTGTCCCTGCATCGTCACTCAAAAACTTCCAGCGTAGGGTCCTGCGTCCCAGTCCATTTCCTTCGCCGACTCAATCAGATCAAACCAGTTCACATCGCCATCGAGACCAATTGCCGCGCCTTCTGCGCCTGTACCGGCGCCGCTCACACTCCCAGGGTCATATCCTTGGCCGGAGGTTGTCGCCGGCGCGGCCCCGAGGTGCCCCTCTGCCCACAGCCAGGACTCCAAGCCATCCTGTGCGGCATTGCCGTCGTTCCAAGTACCTGTGCTCGTGCTGTTGGTGAAGCGCGTGCTATCGCCCCGCTGCCCGCCAGCCCCAGCTTGATAAACTGCCGCGTTCCAACTCGCCTGTTGTTGCTGCTGTGGTTGTGGCTGCCTGACTAGCTCGGCTCCGTCGAGATTGCTTGGGTGCAGATGGAACGAGGCCGGACCCCTGTAGCTGCTCATTACAGTGCCATATGGCATCACCGGCTCGAACGACTGTCCACTATCGGCGCTGTGGCCTCCAGACTGTGACACGGCCGTTGACCCAGCCGGCAAGGAGCCATCTACAGGTGGCCCCGCAGTTGCGATGATGTACCGCCAGCGGTCAAAGTAGTATGCCCGCACATCCGAGCTGGGGACGTCTATGCCGGCGCTCCGCGGCTGGGCTATGCGCCTCTCGTCGTCTTCGATGGCGCGCATGGCCTGCGGGTCGGCCTGGAGCCGGCACAGCTCGCGCGCGCGGTGCTCGCGGCTCCGCGCCATGAGCCTGCGCAGCGGGACCACGACCTGGTTGTTCCTGTCGACGTGCTGCGGGTACTTTGGGATCAGCCAGGGGCTGTGCAGCGCGATCCACGCCCGCTCCGAGGTGGGCGACCAGGGCCGGCGGGAGATCTGGATGAGCATGTACACGATGGCGTACCAGTGCGTGTAAGTCTGGAACATCCAGCGCCACTGGCGGAAGGCCTTTTCGTCGTTGAGCTCGTGGTGGAACTCGGCGACCTCGATGGCCGAGGTTAGCAGCTTGGTGCAGATTGCCTCGGCGCCAGCGGCGTGTGGCGAGGCGGCGACCACGGGGAGGTAGAGCATGAGCGTGACCTTGGACAGCACCAGGGAGGCGATGATCATTCCCATGCGGTGTCGGATATTTCCGATCTGCGAGCCGTACTTGTCCAAGGTGGCGTAGCTCTCGACGATCAGACGACCATAGTACTCAATGTCGGGCACGCCGTCCTTGGCGTCGACGAACAGTAACTTGATGGCCATGCTGCCCGTCTCCATGTACACTCCGGGAATCGTCATGTCTGTATATCCTTGACGCTCCCGCGGCGTTTCCTTGGTCTGTGGGGAGATGTCGTCGTCGTTGATGTGCAGTGGCCGTTTTGTATCGAAGCTCCCCTCGAGGATGGTGATATCTGTCCCTTGGTCCTCTGAGGATCGGAGGTCGAGCATGTACAGTGCCCACCAGACCCGGCGGCGCATTTCGATTTCAAAGGGCGTGAGGTTGGCAAAGGATGTGCCGTCCCTGTGCAGCCCGAGTGACTTGGCCATCCTGATGGCAACGCCAGTCAACATCCAGACATAACGAGGGCTGTCGTATCGGCGCACGAGGAAAAGAAATATTGTCAAGGCCTGCACCAGTGTCAAGTCTGGCGAGTTGAGAAAGTCGGCCTTGGCCAAGGCGTGCTCAAATCCAAGCCGGAACTTAAGACCCAGCTCGTTCTTGGTGGTACCGAAGTTGGCAAGAACCTGTTTTGTGCCAATGACAAGTCAGCCCGTGGCGCAAGAAGACACCGGAACCTGGGAAGAGGCAGCTCACATCATCGTCTTCCATTGACGTCACCGCCGCATAGTAGATGGAGAAGAACAGTGCTTCGTTGGACGAGGACAGGCTATTTGGGCCATTCGTCCGCATCCCCCTCGCCATTTCGTGGATGGTGGGAATGTGCGCTACCTGCATGAACATGTTGACATTCTCGTGGAAGACGTTGATGAGGAATGGGACCTGCGATGGTAGGGGGCGGAAGTCTTCAATCTTGGGGAGAGCGGCGCTCAAGTTATGCCGGAACATGAACGCGTGCCGCTCCGATGGATCCCGTTCGAGCTCGCGGTTCAACTCGGCCAAGCTCAACTGCCAGATTGCGCGGGAAAGCTTCAAGTTCCTGGACGGGCCGGTGACGGTGTCGGCTGCACACGACAAGGTGGCCACGCCATCGGTGTGAAATGGCTCGGGATGGGGGGACATTTAGCCAGAAGAGGCTGCTGTGTATCTCAGGGCTGTCTTTGTTGTTGTTTGGTGCAATGTTTGGTGGCATCTCGGGCGGGTGGCAAGTTCATATGATTTTTGTCCATACAGCGTTTTTGTGGCAGCGTTGCATATCTGGAACCAGTGATTCATTCCACCTGGTCTTTGTTGGTCTTTGTTGGTTACTCTTACCTCCGACCACATAACTACTCTGCCCGTCACCGTGCTTTCACAAACCCGCTGAAGGGCAGTGGGTGGCGACACCCTCGTCATCTTGTGCAAGAAAAGCGACAGGACAAGCCCAGCACATCAGGCAGTGCACACACAGACCTAGGCCAATGCGGCCTTGACAAGTTTCGGCCACCCACGGACTGACAGAGGAGTTGCATGACGGCCGCTAGCGCTGGTTGCTCCATACTGATTGATTCCTGGGAGAGGGTCCGGGCGGCAGCGGCAGTGGCAGCGGCGGAGACTTTTGAGGACGAAAGTGCCGGACAGGGGTTCCCCTCTTGGACAAGGCCCAATGAAAGCGCGTCGCTGGCAAGTAGGCCCCGGGATTATTGTGTCCCATGGTGTGTATGTGTGGGCAGCAATTGACAGTGACGACAGACGGGTTGGAGATCTGCGGCCGGGAGGGCGGGCGGCATCAGGCGACCTACAATCACGAGATTTGCCCCGGCGATGTCGATATGAGGGGGCAGTCAGGAGATGGAGGGGGGAGAAGCCCAAGGACAGGACCGCAACTAACTGACTACCCAGTTATTACGCACGCGCACGCACACCAGTTCAAACACGGGGCGAGAAGGCAGTGGATTTGTTTCGTTTTAATGGTGTGGACTTGGGCGGCAGAGTTGCATCAGGGCACCACACAGGGTCTCTGGCTTTTGTGACGACTGCGTACGTAGGTGCTGTTGTTGTCTGCTTTGTCTTCTCCTCGTTCTCGTCTGTTTCCTTTCTTCCTCTCTCCTGTTTCTTGTTCCTTTCTTCTTGCTAGACTTGAAACGGTTTCATCCCAGCCTTTGTTCGTGAGGTTTGCAGACAGTTGTATACCGCTGCCACCACACGTGCAGCACTATTTATCCTGCACGATAGGCCTCTTTGAAGTTTGGGAACCAGATCAGCTTGGAGTAGTTCCATACTCGCCTAGGAGACACATCTGAACAACATGGCCTTGTCCCCGTCCGGCCCTCACGGCCTAGTCCGCACCGCCACCTCCGTCCTCGCCGCCTTCGCCGTGATCCTCTCCGGGCTTGGCAACCACCGCGCCGCCGCCGCCCCGGCTCCCGTATCGGCCGGATCCCCGTCCGGCCACCACCACCAATCCCTCGACACCCGGCAGGCCAACATTGGCAAGCCCGTCGCCTTCTTCCTCGCCGGCGACTCCACCACGGCGGCCCAGTCCTCCACGGGAGGAGGCTGGGGCCCGGGCTTCCTCTCGACCCTCGACACGACCCGCGGCGCCACGGGCCGCAACTTCGCAAAGGACGGCGCCACCACCGTCTCGTTTGTGGCCGACGGCCTCTGGGCGCAGCTCACGTCCTCGGCGCGGCTCGCCGTCGCCGAGGGCCGCGACACCTTTGTCACGATCCAGTTTGGCCACAACGACAAGAACCCAGCCAAGGGCATCTCGCTCGACGCATACCAGGCCAACCTGGCCCGCATGGCCGGCGACGTCGCCGCCCTCGGCGCCACCCCGATCCTCGTCACCCCGCTGACCAAGCGCCTCTTTGACACTAATACCACACCCCCACGTGTCGACGACGATCTGGCCTGGCAGCAGAACCGCACGCTCGTCGCCGCCGTCCAGGGCGGGTTCCCTTTTGTCGACCTGCACCGCCGCAGCATGGACTATGTCAACGCCATCGGGCCCGCCAGTGCCGCGGCGTACAGCCGCGTGCCGGGGGACAATGTGCACATCAATGCGAGAGGCAGTGTCGTGTTCGGCAGGCTCGTGGCGGATCTCGTGTCCAAGAACCTGCCGAGGACGGGCGCGTGGATTAAAAAAGATGCAGAGTTGACGGGCAAGATTCAGGCTGGCGTGCCGGCTTGAAATTGAGTTTGCTTTTGAATTTGTTTATTTCTTTTTTGGGAGGAGTGGAGGGAGAGGAGTATATCTGCGGGGAGGACCATTCTCAGCATGCATTTGGTTTTCCTTTTTTCCTTTCTTCTTTGCGGAGTGAGATTGCCGTATATATAAGAAAGAAAGCACACTGCAACAACATTGAATCCTGGATCCGGCTTCAAGTCACGGCGAGTCAGGGCCGCAGATCCGATCCGCCCACCAGGGTCATGCGGCTCAACTAGCCCGGTGAACTCTAAATTATCTGTCTTTGATACTACGAGCTGCTAACTCTCCACTGTCTACCTTAGCCTCGCAGCATCCGACCCTCTGCGTGCCTGCATCGTCGTCACAGCCCGCATGCACATACCTGCTCCATCATGTCATTCCTCGAGAGCTCCGTCATGACCACGACAACAACGGAATACGTCGTCACGTTCAGCGAGAACAGCTCGCAGTTACCCTTTCCCAGGAAGGCGCCCAGCCTCGTCACGTAGGAAATGGCGTCGCCGCCGCTGTACGTCTTGCGGAACTGGAAGAACTGGTCGGGCTTGCCCGTGAGACACAGGTTGTGCCAGTAGACGTCGATTGAAGGAGGGCCGGACCTGACGCTTTCGCCCGGTTGGATCTCGCGCAGCGTGCGTGTCTCGAAGTCGTAGTACTTGCCATCGACGATTGGGGAGCCGGTCAGAGTCCTGTGAGGGTTGAATGAAAGTGTTTAGCCTTGAATATTCCCACATGCGCAAGGTTTCACTGTCTTCAAGGTGAGGTCACTGTACCATGCCTGGACGCCACAATGACCAGGGTCTCGGCGCAATGCCTCTTTCTGCTCTTCGGGCAGTTGGTCGGGGATGTGGAATGGGTCACAACGACGACGGTCCTCCTCAGAGACCATTCTGCAATAGAATGTGTGTGCTGATGGGTGCGAGAGGGGACGTCGGACAAAGGGGAGTGCCACGTTCCTTTCGCTGTATATGCAGTTGTGTGGGACTCAGTCCGAGGTTGTTGGTGCAAGGTCAGCGGAAAGAGGGGTAAACGTGACCCCAGCATAAATATTTCATCCTTGAAGGATGCAGGCCATCACGGTCGAGGCAGGAACCAACTGCAGGGCGAGACAAAGGTGCTGTTGGTCCAGCGTCGGCCAACTGCATACAAAGTGCACAAACATTGCCGGCCCCCTTGCATTCTCGTAAGTTGATGAGCCGTTTACCAGAATTTGCGGGCCGTGACAAACCTTGGGGGACCGACGGTATAACTTGGCAGTCGTATGTATTGGTCCTACCCACCTGCCGTCGTGGTAGTGGTCCCAGGCACCGTTGTGCTCCTCTGTAATAAGAGGCGAGCTCTGTCATGTAGACACAAAACTTGAAACTGCACGGAAAACCAGCAGGTAGGTCATCAATATGTGGTTCTTTGTAACGGCGCGTTCCTACTCGTCCACTTGGATAAGCCCAAGTCTGGTACTATTCCAACAGCTATATCTTGTTGAGGAAGAGAGTCTGCCATTGGTATCGTCAGGCGCAAGAAACTCCCTCTGGGGACGTTCACATCATATCCTCTATGCAGGCAATACTCTCCTCACACTCTTCCTCCTCGAGACCCGACTTAGCGCGTGGCCATCCTTACGCACGTTACTTGATATCTCTCCAGCTCAGCACCCTCATCACGCGGCACCACCGCCACCGCCGCCATCGCCACCTCCACCATATCCGCCACCACCACCGTCTCCGCCTCCGTAACCTCCTCCATCCCCAGAACCTCCATCACCATATCCGTCGTGGCCGTGGCCGTGGCCATGGTGGCCAGAGTTCATCGTGAGCTTGCCCAGCTTCCCCATTAGTTTCGCTGCGGACGAGTGGCTCTCCTTCTCCGGTCGGTGCGCGTGCGGCGCGGGCATGTAGCCACCACCGTTGTGATGATGATGATGGTTGTATGAGCCCGGGTAGCTGCCCTACGGTCCCTGGCTTGGATGGGGAGAGTGATGACCGCCGCCTGCATTGCCGTATTTGTAATCGTGGTACGAGTGAGGAGGCTGTAGATGGGCCGAAGGCGGGGCACCCTGCTGATACGCAGATGGAGGCACATAGTGGTGGCCATGGCTACTGCCGCCGCCGTGATGTCCGCCAGATGCTGGCGTCATTGTGTAGTGGCTGTTGTAGTTGTGGTTGTGATTGTTGTTGTGGTTGTTGCTGTTGTTGTGACTGCTGCTGCCGGACAGCTTGTCCACCATGTTTGTCACCTTGGCGAGCTTGCTCGATATGTTGGACGGGAGGTGGTTCTGGAGCTGCTGGAGGTGTTCGCGGCCACTGCTGCTCTTGCTGCGCGGCCTGGGGGAGTGGTCGACATGGCTGCTGTAGGGGTATGCGTCTGGCCTTGTCGTCATGTTGCCTTGTATTGTCTGTACACGAGTGTGTTGACTGAATATGTATATGTGCTGGGGTTCAAGGGGAGCTCTTTAATGAAAGCTCTAAAACGACACCAACTGGGCGCTGTCTTTCTATCCATCTCGTTGACCAACTATACGTAACTGACTACATAGTCCTGAATGGCGTCAGCGCGGCTGCCGATCTTTTGCTGACTGGCACCCTTAAGGTCCCCGGGGCTGTGCTGTCTGATTACCGAATCAGGAAATAAATCGGGCCAAGACTATTGCAGTGCCCTGGCTAATGGAAGAGAAGCAGCCCGTGATTGGCTGTCATGCTGTGCCCAGGGAAGCTTGGCCACTCTGACCGAGTGGATGGGTGTCTCGTCCAGAGACCATATGACGCAGATCGGGTGCTTGGCGTAATCGACTTGTGGCCATTGCCATGTAGTCTGTCGGGTAGTGGCTTGTGAGCGACACCGCCCCCATCACAGCCCTTCTACATCAACCCGCCTCGCCAACGATAATTCTGGGCAAGGGACATAGCATACTGTGCCACAGCTCCGCCTCTCAGGACTTATGGCAGATATGCCACTTTGCCATGTCGTTCTGCTTCGAGCGCGAGCCCAAAGCAGGCCGTACAATACCTATCAAATACGGCCGTCAGTCTGTACGGGTGCAGCAGTCAGACGCGAGTGTCGCGGATCCACGTGATTGACAACAAGATTTCGCAGATACAGATCGAGTCGAATGGCGCCCTGAGCCAGTACGCGGACGCCGTTTATAAGCTGGTGTATATCGTCTCAGTCTTTGCTGATATACGGCCCTGTCTGCGACTTATAGGACGGGGTCTCCTTCAGCGTTAGTGCGTTCGGGCCATGCATTGTCGCCACTGGGATGGTTCGTCCCAATTCTCGAAACCGCTCCCCGCCTGCATTTTCATCGCCTTTGGCTGACCTGTCGAAATGGACTAATAACTGCATATGCTTAACCGAATGCAGACTGAAGAAGATCCCCTGGACCGTCCAGTGGCACGAAGTCGATTTATGCATTATGCTTCCGCCTTGGGGGATCCACCATAACCTTGAACTTCAGCACCAACTTCGGCTGCGACACAGCGTCAAAGCTATGCCCTTATCCTTTGGCCCCTTCTCGTCAACACATGTCCCTGTCCTGTTTCACCTTATCCTCACAAGGTCTGTCCATGTACACTCGCAGCTTCACGCTTGACCATGGCGGACCTTCTCGTGCTTGGGAACGATAAGGTGGTCAGCATTAGCAGTACCACCCCGTCTTTGCAGCGGCAGATGAGTGCCACCATCCCTGGTGTGTGCCGGGCTCTTCAATCCATACTGGTCGCATTCCCGAGCAACTATCACGGCACTAGCGCGTCAATTGGGGTGGGGAAAAGAGGCAGATAGACGCGATTCCTACTCACGCCAACCTGCTTGTCCCCTGCTGGATCCCGGCACACGCTAATCGAGTCATGGCAAAGAAGCCGTCGGAACTGGCGAGGCTCGATATTCGCCAATGCTGAAACATGAAGAAACGAAGCTGGTTCGTGCTTTTGCCAGGTCCCCGAATACCAGCAACATTAGTCATGCTGGTGGCACGGATACTCGACTCGCCCATCACAACCATGAACCTGGTAAAGCAGCTGCATGGGAAAGAAGCGCTAATGTAGCGCATCTGTATATCCCAGTAAACCATAATTCCCGAGTCTATTCCGTAATGGCTCGTCCGCGGCCCACCGTTCGCACTGGAACAGGCATACCGTCGTCCACGGTCATGTTCTCGGCGATCTCGCGCGTCCAAGTGAGCGTCATGGCCTCGAGAGCCCCCTTGAAGCTGCGCGCACAGGGTGAGGTACTGCAGGCCGACCTTGTTGTCGATGCTCGAGACGCCGACCAAGATATTGGTATGAGATCAGCGACGGCTGGGCATAGCGAGGCGATACGCATGCGCATGGATGCTTGCATCTGCATATTGCACCGAGACGTCGGCTAGTTGGAGCTTGTGAGACGGCCAGAGCGATCGGTGGGTAGGCATAGCTTGGCTGCCTGAGTCAGGTTGATGGCATAGACCCTTTGATAGTATTCCAGGGAGCAGGCCTCGAGAGGCATGGCTTGGAATAGGGCCGCGCTGTGGACAAGGATGTCGATCTGGAACTTGCTCGTCTTCTTGGAGGGCGGAGCCGTCTCCTTGCATGTCGACATGATGGTCTGGGTACCCTCGCCCTCGTGAGGTCTGCCCGGCAAGGGAACACTACGAGGCCATGCTCAGCAGAGAGTCCGGCTGCGAGATCGGCCGCCTGCATATCTGAGCTCTCCGTCAGGTAGACAATGGCAATAGTGCTGCCCTTGGCGGCGAGGTTGAGGGCAATGGCCCCCCCCAATACCTGGAGAGCAAGGACATCTTAGTTAAACAAACATTTTTGCTCACTTGTCGTCAGTTGTCGATTGCATCAAGACAAGTCATTGTGAAGGACAATGCTCCATATCGGCCAGATGCAGACGAACGTGGTGTGGATCGTTGTACTCATCTGCCCAACGCTCGCACTGCGCCAGGGCCGGGGTCCATCGGGCAACGGTTGACTAGTCCCGACACCAGGCGGGCCACGGACGCGCCAGCAAAGAGTGGCCCCGTTTCATTTCCCTACTTGTACTGCGTTTTGCTTCCCTAGCACATGCCATGGCCGTTCTGCCTCGTGGCACCTCGTGGCATGCTGCTAGCTTCCTGCTCTGCAGTAGCCCCCGTTGACAACCCAGCATGCACGTCCTCGACCAGGTCCTGGCACGAGATATGGTTAGTGTTACGCAATCTAGTCATGTCTGGACAAGGGTTGCAGATCTAATCGCGGTGGCTGGCTCCGTCGGCTTGGAACTTGAGGATATTCCATTGGCCCGCAGGCAACCCCGTGCGTGGAGCTGCGCGGAGACGGCCTTCTGGCCCACGGCTATGACTCTGCAACAGCAGGGCTGGTGATGCCGGGCCAGGTCCCCTGGTAGCCAGCCTGGGAAGGTTCCAGTAGATCGGTAAAGGTGTCTGCCAACTTCGCATCTGTGAAGAGAGCTCGGATCGCATGCTGTACCTGGCACAGAACCACGAGATGGGCTGCGAACCGATCGCCCTTGTCCAGGGCTCTTTGGAGATAACATCCTTCAAGGGAACCCTGAGTTGTCCTGAAGCGCCTGACTGAGCAGGCCAATCCCTTTTCGAACTAGCCACACATGGCTACCAGCTTTTCATGGTCCGCATCGTGGACCCTCAGTGGGTGCTGCCGAGTTTCATCGTGTATCCTCTCCCAGCAGCCCTGAGTTCTAACCATGGCGGGGCCCATTAGACGCAGTGATTGCCAAGCTGCCCAACTGTTGCCAGTGCTCTGATCGACTGCCTCCCTGCTACACGACGAAATAGAGTTCACCTCCTGATGCACCAGTCGCCCACTATGATTCCGGGAACTGGGTCCTGGGACTGCAAAGCCGGCTCCCCGCGGCAGAGGCTTGCCGCGAGCGGACCAGGACAGGCATATGGCAGATTTTTCTCATGTGCTGTCGAGACGTGCAGGTATTGAGAAGCGACGCGTCGGGAGACTGGCCAGTGATCGTGTGGCTTGGGCACTTGACCTCTCTCAGGCCCGTGTCGGGGGTTCCCTCCAAGTATTCTCGGCAATTTTACCGAACTTTAAGTTCTGACCATTGTCGATGAGGTTTCCGATCCATAACGCCACGATTCGTGACAAGAACAAGAGAGACCATCCACCGATCTCATAATAAGAGGTTGCCTAGTTCCTCGCCCGGCTGTTCGGCTGGTGCTTCGCTATTTGCTCGGCAAAAATCGTTGAACCGACCAACAATCTGCGAGAATGGCGGCTCTCGATCCAAATCAGGCGTATGTGCCAGTCCTGAAGGACACTGGGCTGGCCATTTTCGCGGTATCGGTGGCTGGCGGAATCCTCTCAGCCATTACTGTCCTTCTTCGGACCTGGGTCCGTGTCTCGTCTGCGGCCTTTGGACTTGACGATGGCCTCATGCTCGGTGGACTGGTATGTAGCCTCTGGCACCGCGCAGGCAGCTCATTCGATTTGAACGCGGGCTAATGATTTGCATCACCTAGGCCATATACCTTGCCGACGTTGCGTTGGCTTGCGAGGGTGCTCGAGCTGGCTTGGGCTCGCCTGATGCCGAGTTGAGTGCCAAGATGGCCACTGATTCGCGCATGTGGCTCATTGTATGGATGCTCTTGTACACCTGCGGACTCTGCATGGTCAAGAGCTCCATCTGTGTCACGATGCTCCGGATCGCCCAGACCATGCAGTACTTCCGCATCTGCGTCTATACCCTGCTCGCCATCACCGTCGCGAGCTGGATCACCACCTTTGTCGGCGTGCTCCTGTTGTGCCGGCCAGTGGCTGCCAACTGGGATGCCAATCTTCTCGCCACGGGGCAGGCCGAGTGCGCATCCATGGATGCCATGATTGCGCTGGCCTACACCTCGACAGCTTCGACCATCCTTACGGACCTGGCCTGCGCGGTCCTGCCTGCATTCCTGCTGTGGAGGATGCAAATGCCGCTTCGCAATAAGATTCTGGTCGGCATTCTGTTATCCTTTGCATCATTGTAAGTCGGGTCCCTCGTAAAAGACCACACATGTTGCCTGCGCTCACATGATTGTGTCTCTAGTGCATCCGTGTCCACCATGATCCGGACTCCGTACATCGAGTACTACAGAACTCCACTGGATAACCTGCCTTGTGAGCCATGCTGCCCCAGCCAAGCCTATTCATCGTAGTCTTGTTTGGCCAAAACTGACTTGAGTCTTCCCAAATCAGATCATATCGGCAACATTGTCCTCTGGTCCAACATTGAGACGGCCATTGGCCTGATCGCTGGCTCTCTGCCCTCCCTACGGCTCCTCATCAACCGCGCCCGCAAGGGCACACAATCCAACGACATCTCCGGTAGCAACAGACGGCCTGGCGACAACTCTGACCTCGTCACGTTCGGGAGCACCCCTGTGGCCAAGGGTGCCTCTCGCGTTCGGGGGCGGAGCTACAAGAGTCCCACAGAGACGGGAGTGTCGACGACGACCATCTTCGCGCAGGGAGAGGGCGATTGGCGGCGGCTGCGAGATTCGAGCTCTGGGACGCGGGTCGACTCGGACTTGGAGACGGACATGGCCAAGGGAATCCGCGCGGATTATTCGTACCAGGTTGAGCTTAGCGAGCGGCCATCTGGGGTTCGAGGTCCCGCTGCCGGAAAAGAGTGATGAAGCGGCGGAAACTTGCTAGGCATACAAAGAATCGTGTAGTTTGACACGAGAGGTAACATGGCCTGGTGAAATTGTATTCTGTGCACGTTGAGTTCCCGACACCAGTTCATATGCTTTGTTGCTAATGGATGGCTTGTTTGCTGTTGGGCGAATCGCTGGGATAAATCATTTGCGCTCTACGTAGTTCATCTGGCTGGCAAGGAGCGACGTCACCTCCGGAGGATTGTCGAAAGTGACAGGGCTCTGGCGCCTGAACCCCCGAGCCATGGCTGTGGAAGGCAATGCTGAATATTGGCAACTCATTTAACTAACGTGGCCGCCCCATACCTAGTGACCGTGACCCTCATGACCGCCGCCCACGGTCTCATCCGAACTCTCCCCCTTGTGCGCGTCCAGGAGCTCTTTGAGCTTGGGCGTCAAGGGCAACTGCTTGACCCCTTCCGGCTTCTTGACCTTCTCCGACAGTGGCACCAAGGTCCTCTCGTGCCAGTCCAGCACAGCGTCAAAGTCTCTGCACTTGCGCTGGATGTTCATGTCGGGGAACGGGTTCTGCTGCGTCTCCATCCAGTTGTACGTCATGACGTTGACGCTCGCGTCGCACATGAGGTTCTGGAGCAGCACGTGCAGGCAGTGCTGCGGGTGCACGTCCTTCATGAGCTTGCGCACGGGGTAGTACTCTGGGTACATGGCCTGCCGGACCGCGTTGAGGCAGTGGATCTGGTGCGTCATGTCGATCTGCACAATGTGCGCGTCGTCGCCGCGGTCCCACGACGCCGGCGCCCGCACCGTCATGCTCGGGTCCTTGCCGAGCGCGAGCACGTCGGCCGTGCTGATGGTGTGGTAGCCGAGCTTGGAGACGCGCTCCCACGCCGCGTCGACCTCGGGGCTGGGCGTCTTGCGCCAGATCGAGTCGTCCTCGTTGGCGAGCGAGGCGTTGATTGTCTTGGTCGTCACGGGGATGTCGAGCCGGTCGAATATCGGGGCTGAGTAGTCACGAACGGATGAGTGGTTGCTTTGGTCGGGGCGGAAATCGAGGTTAGACAGAGGTGTATCATCACTTACAGAAGAATGATTGCTCACGAAGCTGCTGGTTTCGTGCTTGGGGGAACACAACATAGAGCTTGAAGAAGGCAAAGAGGTTCAGCACAAGGAAGAACAAGTTGAAGCCAGCGACGGCCCGTGTAAGGTTCGAAGGCGTCCTCTGCGAAGGCGTGCAGTCCTCGTCTTGAGGCTGAGGTACATCGCCATCTTCAAGCTGGATCTTCTCGTACTTCTCGTAGCCAACGAGTCCCCGTAATCTTTCCATTGTTGCGAGGAGGAACAACTGGTTTGTTGTGTATTGCAGACACTCAGCACAGAGGCAAGGTGAAGCGTTGATGCTGATTACCTCCGCAGAACGATAGACAAAAAAGGGCGATAACACGCTCGTACCATGAGCAAATCAGCACGGAGTGTGAGCATATCAGCGCCGAGAGGGAAGCAAGCAAGACCACCAGGGTGTGCCGCCAGGGTTGCACTGAAGGATTTCTGTATGCATGCACTAGACTTTCTTGATTCGTCAAAATAGCCAAATGTAGAGGCAAGGCGGCTGATCACGGTGCTGGTCTGATGCGGAAGTCCCCGGCCGTCAGCTGCTTCTCTGTGGGTCACTGCCAGGCCAGGACGAAATACGCAGTGCAGCTGGCCACCTGGGCAGGCATGGGGCGAGGGAGAAGTGGAGGGCGCTCAGGGGGTGGTTGCGTGTGGCGGCGACGGCGCTGAGTACACCACTACACCCACGACATGACAGAGCCACTTACGGGCCTTGGCCACGGCCAAGCACGGCCAAGCTTACGCACCCAAGACCACGGCAATGCTTATTTGGACCAAGGCTGCTCGGCAAGCTTGTGCAATACTCTGTGTGGGGGGAGTGGCAGCCCTTGCTTGACTTTAATCATCAAGCTGGTAATCCCCAGACAGGCGTGGAGCAGGGCCGCGCCATGAATACTGATGGACTTCTCATACCGCCACCATGACTAGCCACGGCATACTTTCCTACGAACATGATGTCCCGTCGACCTGGATGCAAGTGCCCAATCAATGGCCCCCCACCACTTCCGCCTCCAGCCGAACATTCGTATGGGGAGCCAGGTTAGAGTGTCGGCTTCCTATTGCAGGCAAGAGTAGCATTTGGAGTGGGCCGCCGCTGACAATCCATCCCAGTCTCGATGCAACTCTGTCAACGGACAGCCTTGACACCGGGCTTGGGAACTATACGCTCGGAGCCGACTCTATCAACCCTCGGGGCGTCAGCACATTACTGATGGCGTCAGCCACTCGCTGTTACCTGCAACAACCACAGGCGAGCTCTCTGTCTCTGCTGGCACGGCGTGTGTTGAGCATTAGATGCAAAGGCAATGAAGAAGACAATATCGCCTATTCAGATTAAAGGCTCACTGAAACGATATCGACCACCTTGCGAACATCAACTCGGAGTGGCAAGGTTGGGAAAAGATCGCATTCTCGGCCCCGTGTAAAAGTCCCCGCTTCCATGCGCCGATTATTGACCATGGCCAAAGGGGGCAAAAGGGCATTCGACCCCGTTCTTCCCAACCCTGTTCCATGACTTCTTGAGTGCAACCGTCCTCCATCGAATCAAGATGCAGTGACGTATCTAGTCAGCGTGAACTTGCCGATTGGCAACATGCCCCGCAGCCTTGTCGTCTCGTAAAACCCCGCTCTGCGAGGTGCGCAGTGTCTTTAGACTCGCCGCCGGGGGGGGCGGTCCCATGCACGCAGGCGGGCGCTCCGTATTTGATTCTTCAACGAGGGCCCGGCGTCATCCAAGCAAGCCTGGAGGGCAGCCGATAAACCACTGGTGTGTCTTCTGACCTGCCTGATCAGGAAATGTTCTGCATGGCTAGGAGTTCCGGAGGACGTCGAGATCCACCATGAGGAGGACGATCGCTCGTTATTGGGACGAGGCGAGATGCAGGAGGCTTCCTCTCGGAGTTCCAAAACATGGCTGCAGCTTGCGGGTGGCAATGATACCGTAGGATGACCTTCTTGTTTGAGCAGGCTTGCCAGGCTCGACAAGATACTCATTCGTCTATCAGAACGTCAGGAACCCGAGCGAGGCAACGCGGGGAGTTTGGCTGAGATATAAGAGGGTGGTGCTGTTCTCGCCATTCCTTGTGGAGATGTTGCAATACTGTACACAAGCACTCAACAACCCTCACGCAAACTCACCATCTCCAAACATCCAACTCAAACCGCAACCATGCAGATCAAGAACATCACTGCTATTGTCGCCCTCTTTGTCAGCGTCGCTGCTGCCGTCCCCAAGGAGGGTAAGTAGCCCCCTTCAGACACACCCACAGATCTATCTGCCTGTTCCCTTCTCCCCTTTTGATTCACGACATCCCCTACTTTGCACTCTGGCACCTTTCTGAATAAAGTGAGCTAATCAATACCTTTTCACAACAGTCACCGTCCGCGACACCACCGCTCTGAGCGACGGCGAGTTCAGCGAGCTCTACTGCTGCGGTCTCGGCCGCCGCGGTGAGCTCAACACCCGCTGCTGCCGCCGCTCCGCCGAGGAGGAGGCCGCCGTCGCCAAGCGCTCCCCCGTCGCCATGCCCGACGAGGAGTTCCACGAGCTCTACTGCTGCGGTCTCGGCCGTCGCGGCGAGCTCATCACCCGCTGCTGCTAGAAGGTTGGAGTGGCCGAGGGTGGTAGAATAAGAAATCGGAAAAGAAAAACCGTTCTTGGAGCCGAGACCGAGGTATCTCCATGAATTAGACCTAGATTCCGTGCTTAACAAGTTCGAATCAAGGAAGATGTTGGACTCCTCTAGTCCATTTACTGGAAGGTGTCCATGTATGAAATGCGTCTCACCTGTGTAGGCTACTTTGATAGGGCCACAACCTTTTCTGTCACTGCCCTGCCTTTGGCCAACGGAAAGTTGAAGCGCCGAGCTTTGTGGAGCCCGCGATCCTATGAGGGCGAAGCCGCTCACAAATGGGGTAACGTGAATGTATCCACCATTAACGTATCATAACGTTCCTCGTCTCTCGTCCTGTTTATCTTATCATAGGCCATTGACTTATCCCACAACCCCAAACCTCAGTAAGGCGCATCCTCGAGCTCAGACCACTCCCTCAAGACTATGGTATCGTCAGTAGGGAAGCCCTCTATTAACAGCTTCGCAACGTTAGTCGCATCATCATTAGCATCATCACTGGGCTCATTGTCCCTCTTCTCGTCTAGCACCGCGCCCGCTCTTGCAAACAACTCCGCAACATCAATTCCAGCACCTTTTGAAGTGATGTCCACGTGCGCCCGCCCTTTGATGTTCATCAGGTCCCACAACGCCCAATCACGTGCAAAGTCCCTTCCCAGAACGACGAGCGTCAACACTAGCAGCGAGTTGTCGTGCTTCCTCACGAGACATGGAGACCGCCCCAGCTGCAGCCGGCTCTACGCTTTTCGCGCACTCGGCGAGGACGTATGCCTCGAGCTCCGCGCCAGCATCTTCGGCCCCCTTGCCCAGGTGAATGACGACTTCGGGCCGGAACGAGCCGTCGAAGTTCTGCATCGCCATGATGAGGGGGATGACTCTGCTTCCGTCAGAGGGGCGAGTACGACCGACGACGATGTCAGAGCCATATGATTCAAGAGAATTAGAAGGCTGTGCCGGCGCCATGGCGGCTGTGCTATCGCTTTCGCGTCCGCGTAGCCATGAGCTTGCAGGCGAAAAGGAGGCTGGGCGTGCTCGCGACAGATACTCAAATACTCGTGAAGAAGCACAAGGAGGAGGAATAGAAGCAGTATGGTCATTGACCGGGGCCCCATAAGTGCCCGGATGAGTGGTGCCACTGAAGAGACGCCTCGAGTCCTCCAAACGACTCGCACGCGCGTCTCTGCTCTTCCATTGTCCAGAGGGTCTCTCGAGCGTCTTTGCTGGTTCGCCCGGCGATGGTGTTGACGCCCTTTGAGCCGACTGCTGTTGAAGATTTTGCTCGGGTGTATGTCTCATCATCATGCTAAGTGTCTCCTGAGTCGTTTCGGCTTCATCGTCGGTATCCTCTCCATTTGAATGGGTGAGGCTCATGAGATGCCGCTCATCAGCCAGGTCGAATTTGGCGGGCAAGGGAGCATCAAGCACGTTGAGTCCATCCGGCAAAGGAGAAGGGAGAGACCTTCCACGTGGAGGCTTATGAGAGGCTACAGAGAGCTGAAGGTCCGGATAGTTGCCACTCGCGTCGTCGTCAGGGATGCTGTTCGACAGCCCGAATAGGTCACTTGAATCAAGGTATCGGCAATCAGAAGACTTAAGTATATCCACGTCATGACTCCAGAACGTCCTGTTGAGGCCACGGTTCACAGGGCGAGGCGGTCGCGTGGCGAGGCCCCGAGCGGCAAAGAGCGTGCACTCTGACGAAGCGGGACCCTCCTCGGCGGCATCGACGGGAGCGCCATCGCCGTTGAAGGCAGAGAGAGCGACGACTGCTCCGGGACGGTCAGGCTTCTCAGCCTCAAGGACGAGGCTTGTCCACTTGGACAGCAAAGAGAACCTGATCGCGAGGCCCTCTGCCGTCATTGTGGGGAAACTGGTAGACCTGGTCGATGGCGCCACGGATGTTTTGTGGTCAGCCAGGCATGCACGTGCCGCAAGGGTGTGGAGGCTGCCGGGCTCTGTAGGTGCTGATGTTGTTGGAATCGTGAGGATGTGCCTCTGGGACGCATCGCTCTCCAGCTGCAGTGTCACCTTGATGTTCTCGATGCCTGCAGTGCCGCTCGTCGAGGTGAAGAGCATAAACACTCGCTGGGTCTCAAATGGAGAGCTCGAGACGGTGAGATCCTGCGGTGACTGGGCCTGCGCGTTGCAATCAATGCCGTTCATCTCAACCAAGAGCTTCTGCCGGCTCGGCGCACTGAGCGCCGTCTTGAGCATCGTCACCGCCTGGTCTTGCCAGACGTGGCCGTCCCTAGCCTGGGGGATGATCTCCGCGTACCCGCCGCCGCAATGCGCGATGCCGTTGACCAGGGCCGCCGAAACGTGCTGGCCAATGCCCAGCGCGAAGAACCGCATGGTGTGCTGCGTCGACCTCCGCACGTGCTCGACATAATCCAGCGTATCCTGGAGCCGCCACACTTCACCGTCCGTGATGATAATGACCTCGCAAGGCCGGGTCCGGTCGGCGGTGCTTCGTGAGGCCACGACTTGCTCGAGAGCAGGCAGTAGCTCCGTCCCGCCCAGATCTGCCTCAAAGCCGCGGTCGAGGTAGTCGAGGGCCTCGGCAAGGCTCTGGGCATCGTACACCCTGGACTGTGGCCACATGGATCGGCTCGTTGTGCCGAAAGACCAGATATTGAACGTCCACCCGCTCGCGGGGATACCCTTTAGGAAGAACCGCAGAGCGAGGCGCAGAGAATCTATCTTGTCTTCCATAGATCCGGATCGATCGGCCAGAAATATGACTTCTCCCTGTCTCGCTGGCGCGGAGTTGAGGGCTGCAAGATCGGGACGTGGCAAGTCGATCATCATGGCGTACTGGTCGCTCAGGGTTGGGTGTTTCTCCAGCCATGCGCGCGGCTGGGCAGACTCCAGAACGGGAGTTCGGAAAATGTCGATCTTCAAATCTACGTCGCAAAATGTGGCACCGTCTCTTAATTTGATGCGTGCGATCCCTTTACTGCTTCTCTCACTAGTATCGAGTGATCCGGATCCTCCGGCCAGCTCTTCAAGTGACTGAGCACTTTCCGTGTCCTGGTGAAGCTCGACCTTGATGACGTGCGTAGAGCTAGTAATAGTGGTGTTCTGCGCATCCAGGACCTCCAAATCCAGCGTGAACCGCTCTGACTCGTGGCCACGTCCTCCTGAAGTGCCCGAGCCCAACTCAGCGGTGGGCGGCGCTCCGTATCGCGGGGCAATGTCAGTGGGCAACAGGAACCTGTGTGCTGTCCGCTCTGCGGAAAAGACGGTCTTGAGCGCGACTGTGTAGCTGATTTCCGTCTTGACTCTGGTGTGAGATGGTACGTTGCCTAGGAATGCTGTGAAGATCTCTGTGGCTTGTTCCTCCAGCAGTCCGGCAAAACGATCATCTTGCTTAGCCTTGTCGAATACATGACGAGCCTCGGCCTTTGGCTTGACTTTCGCCCGCAGAGTCTTTGAGGCACCAATCCTGCAGCTGAACCCGGTGACGGTGCATGTGTCAGGCAATGGGAATGTATATCGCGCTTCTGGAATGACGCCTTCGGTCTGGTTTTCGAAGGTCTGGCTGACTGTCACCAGCGCGAGATCCTGGATGACCTGGCCCTTGACAGACACCAACAGCGGCGCGAGGTGGCGGGTCTGTGGAGCGGATGGGATTGGAGATGTCGGAACGGGTCCTCTGGGCGGCCCTGGCGATACTGGAGCTGGTGAGGCTAATTCTCTCGTTGGCCACGCTGAAGCTGCATACGCAGTCACCGCAGGGAAAACATTGCGTGTCAAGCCTTTATCCTCATGTCTTCCAGCAGGGCTGTGATCAGCGAGCTCGAGGGGAAGGGGCTCGCGATGGTCCCACTGAATGCCAAACTGGAAGACTTGCTCCACGCCTGTTCCATACAGATGTCGACGTCGACGGCTGCTGTGCAGCATCTTTGCCTGTGCTTGTGTGTTGTAGCTTGTGTTTGCAAGACCAGTGCGGGAAATGAGGTTGTGGCATCTGGTTCTAAGGAGGGAAAGTGATGGATATGGCATTACACGCGCAACGAGAGACAAACCAGTACTACTATGCCCAGCCATCAGGCAGAATCAAGGCAATGCGAACCAAGCCGCCTTACAATGAGAGCAGGGGCTGAGCTGCATAAACATCTGTAAGTCAGCAGCGCAGTACCCCAACGCCGTGCGCATACACGACCACTCACAGGGCGAGCACAACCAGCATAGCCCCCAAATACTACTCAAAGTACAGATTGGCAACTGCATGTCAGCCCGATAAGGGACAGCATGGAATATGCCTCGCCTTCTCACATATGTGCGCATGCCAACGAGGCCGATGTGGCGGAGCAGCCTTGCATGCGGCTCAAATGCTCCTAGACCGTAGATGCTCATGTTGTTCGCCCGTGCTGTTCGCAGACCATCTTGATCTGTACTGGTAGGCTCTCCCTCAGCAATTGCAGTCAGACCGTGGCTGAGTACATCGCAGATCAGCTCGCCCGCCTTTCCGCTCCCAGAGCCTTGTCGCAGCTCATCTCCCCACATGTCGTTCCAGGTCGGCATCGGGGACATAGTCCTCTTGGCGCAGCTATCATGGCGCATCAGTCAGGCTCTATCTACCGGTCGCAAGTCCGCTCCCGCCGAGCTGCGCGAGGTCGAACACCAGCTGAGTCTGCTCACGGCGGCACTCAACACCGTGGAGGAGCTCTACTCATCACTCAAAGACAACGCCGACCAGCAGAAACTGGCATCCTGTCTTTCGCCGGTGGTCCAGAAGTGTCACGCGACGCTCGCCCACCTGGAAGGTGTGATCAAGAAGTACCGCATCGTCAATGAGCCGAAAACGTTGCCCAAGTCTGCTCTGGGTCGGTTCAACGAGTCCTTTATAAGGAACTGGAAGAAGATTGAGTGGACCACGGAAACAGGCAGCATACAGGCACTCCGTGACGAACTCATGCTTTACACGAACCACATCAACCTCGTCATCGGGGTGGGGACAAAGTCAGTAGTCCTGCAAACCACCGCCCTGAGACCTTCGGGAAACTGACATGTCAAGTAGTGCTCGCACCAGCGACATCAGCAATTCTCTCTCGCGAGTGCACACCATGACCAAGGACCTCCACGACTGGTACGAGCAAAATCTCACCTACCCCGCAAGGCCAACGAAGTCGTCGTCGTTGTCCTCGTCTTCGGGATGCCCAACTCCCGCGGAGCAGCCGCGACCAGTCGACACCCAGGAGAGCCCGGATCAAGACGCCTTTGAGCTGTCGGTGGAGAGGTCGCGCGATTTCGAGGTGCTGTGCCAGAACGCCGTCGTCAGCCCTGACTGGTTCGAAACATTTTCTACTGACCAGGCAAATCTCCATCGCACGCCAATGTTCTCGTGCGCATGCAAGAGAAAGCAGGGCAACTCGGCGATAGACCATAAAAACCCCTTGGGTGCCTACTTGAGTGTGTAACATTGTCTCGCGAAACTTTTGATGGCCAAGTTTGCGAGGCTAACATGAATCCCCAGCCACGTCCTCAACATTCCCAGTGCGACAGGCTGGCCGGGAGCAAGCCTGGAACCTGCTTCGCGTCGCCGACCGGTACAGCAACACCTTCGCCAACCTGAGGATCAACAAAGTGCACGGTCAATGTGAGTACAGTCTCTGATACCAGCAGAGTGGAGTCCGTCGTGGCTCATTAACAACTTTGTAACCCAGACATCGCGGTCTTGGACGAGACCATCCTCCAACCCTTGGTCGTCGATCAGGCGGAAGTTATATTGGCTTCTGGCCGAGGCAACAACCTTGCACACATTGATGCTTCTGGGGATGAGCGAATATTGGCGTCTGCAGCGTAAGCGCCAGGTTATATCTTCCCTACCAGTTCTGAACTTTCTAACAACCTCCATGTTCCCCATGACAGCCTCCTTCGGGATTCGCCATCAGCCGTGACATCGTTCCTAGTCACGGCCAATAACAAAACTCTGACGAATGAGAACGTCGCCAGCGTACAGATCCTCCCCTACCAGACGGTAGGACACCCAGACGGACGAGGGTCACACCTTTACGGGCCGCTGAAACCCCTGCCGACATCCGAAATCTTGATCACCTACCATGAGGAAGATGAGAGCTCGAAAGGAGGCGGTGCTACCCGGAGCACGCTAACGAGCAAGTGAAATTCACGTAGGCCAAGAGTGGTCGTTTCAGGGGGCTTTGATTACTGATAATGTGCTTGATGACTTAGTGCGCCGTGACACAAAGCACGATCTCGACGAGGACGACTTCTCAGTCATCCTCCATAACGTCGATCTCGAAAGCGAGTACACGGGCGGTCGGGTGGTGGCCGTATCTGGCATCACTGCGACAATCCAGTTCTCCACGCTCAGCGGTACAAACAAAACCTCAGAGCACGCCAATTCATTGCAAAGCCAGACAGACTAACGTCACCTCTTTCAATAGCTACAAAAGAGTTCTTTACGGCTGTGGGTGACATGAGGTTCGAGTTGTACATCCACAGCCTACAGTACCCGGGCTCCGACGAGCGAGTCATTTCGTGCCTGTAAGCGCTCTCCCCATTTTCTCTCCCCTCCTGCTCATGTCCGTGTCGACCATGACATCTGCAAGAGTGGCGGCGTATGGGTATACACGCGCAGCTAACCCGAAAATGCCTTCCTTCCTACTGCAAACTCACAGTCGCGCATCACAAGTAGAATGCCATGGTGCCACCACCGCAATCTACATCCACGACGCCCTCATCAGCATCTTCCAGTCCAAAACCCCCACTACCGCTGCACCACTTCGGCACCGCCTCGTCATGGTCTCCCGGGCAGGCAATACAATCGTCAGCCAGGTTCTTCCAGACGGCTTCTACCATGGGCCGGCGGCGCCTCGCGGCGGGATGTACACCGCCGAGTCGTATGTCGCGCAAGTCGACGGCGACCGCGGCGTCTGGCGGCTGCGGCGGTTTGCTGGGGGTTTTGCGGCAGTGGTGTTTAGCTCGGAGCAAGGTACGTCTGTTTGTATGATGCGAACAGTCTGTGAGGACAGCACGGTGATTTCCTCGAGTATGGACAGTCTGTGTTTTGCTGCCGATACGCTAACGTCGAATCTTCGTGTCTGTTGCAGTACGGAAGACGCTTGAGCTAGTCGGTAGGACCATGGCCATTACCGCGTCTGAGCCCGAGTAGTTCCGTCTGAGTAAGTCGGGGTGAGCCAGATCGCGCCTGGCCGGTATCCCGTGGTGGGGAAGAGTTTGTAGCAATGGTGCAACATATTGCAGGAAAATGAATATCACATAAATGTCTTGATGTGGTGGGCAGCTGATTTAGACCCCTGTCTGACCCAGCCGTGTGTACACATAGAGCAGCTCATAGCGCAGCTCAGCCTAGCTCATGGATTGATACTTCTTCTGAGTCAACAATGCGATTGATCAGATCAATTTACCCTATTGAACATTTGGAACGAAGCTCTGAATACTTTAGAGGAATTGGATTTCCTCCCTTGCGTAATGGACTTTGCTTTCGATCATGTCCCTGAGGGACTGCCTTTGCATCGTCGGGGGTCTTAGAGCGCTGAAACTCTTGATGGCTGCCACGCCCGCCCCGGTATGAAGACATGATGACCACCACCAACGACCGGCCTTCCAAGTCTACAATCGAGCACCTATTGACATTGCGGTCCTTAGCGTCCTTTCACAGGACATGCCTGGACGTCTAACCCCCCTGTTCATCATCGCTGGCGACAACAGGATCATCCATCCCGTAGCCATACTGCTCCTTCAGTCCTTCTTCAAGTTCAAGTCCACCATGTGCAGATCCCTCGCCAAGCCGACGAAAATGCGATCCAGGACAAACCTTGGCAAGAACGCCAAAGCGCTGCTCCCCAACGCGTGCGCCCAGTGCGCGACAACCACTGGCCTGCCACAGCCGACCTTTCCCAGCGCCGCCCGGACGACATACTCGGCTTCCGGCTCGAGGAAGCCCGGCTTCTGGACGACGGTTTGCGTCTCGTGGTAGACTGCACCGAACTCGGTGTGGAGGACCTCGATGTCGAGGCCGCTCAGCATCATCTCGCGGTTGAGCTGGGTGGCGAGGGTGACCATGGCGCTCTTGCTGCCTGGGTACGAGCCAAGAGTGGGCATGCCAACGTCGGCAAGAGAGCCAATGTTGAGGATGAGGCCCCGGCCACTGCGCTCGAGCAAGGGGATGACCTGGCGGATGAGCAGCATCGGGAACAGGGCGTTGAGGGCCATGTCATTGATGAGGCGGTCTGCGGGCATCACGTCAAAAGTGCCGCGGGTCTCCTCGATGGCGCCGCCGGCGTTGTTGACGAGCACAGTGAGGTTGACGTCGTCGTCGTGCTGCAGCGAGGCCAGCCAGCCGTCGGAGACGGAACCGCCCGCGGTGGCGGCGGCAAAGGCATCGATGACGACAGTGCGGAACTTGCGAGACGGGTGGGCGGCAGCGAGCTTATCGTGAAGCCTGCGGAGCTTGTCGCTGCTGCGGCCGTGGAGGACGACATTGAACCCCCTGGAGGCAAGCTCGTGGGCAAAGGTAGCGCCCATTCCGCCCGTGGCGCCCGTGACGAGAGCCCAGCCCGGCTTGCCGCTGGAAGTGAGCAGATAGCGGTCCAGGCTCGAAGGGCGAAGATGAAGCCACAAGAGGCTGGCGACGCGGCGGGTCACGTCGAGACACCACAAGGCCCCCAGCACTGTGAGTGCGCTGGTGGCAGCAGGAGACAACTGGTCGAGGGCGAGCATCATGAGCAGTCCCTGCTTCAGGAAGTGGACGAGACCTAGCGAGGGGCTCCAACAGAGCTCTGTTTTGGCGGCTCTTGACTTATACTGCCGCGCGTCTTTGTGGGAGTTGCAGTTGGTTAAGGTTTAAGGTTGGGTGAGATTTTGGTGCGCCATGAGTTACCGAGATCCTGCTCTACTCTATCCTGGGCGTGGAATCTGAGCATGGCGTGAGCCGGCAGGAATGGATCCGAGAGGAAGACCCTGGAAGGCGGCTTGCGGTTAGTGCAGGGGTTCGGCTCCTCGACACCCACCCATCCGCCCGCCCCTCTTTCAGCACACTCACTCCATCGCTTACCTGCTGCCTGCTGCCATCTGGGCGTCCCGACGTCGAGTGTCGGCCTCTCCCTCACCTACCATCTTGCCTTGCCTTGAGTCTCCCCTGCCTTGCCCCCCCGTGTTTCGGCGGGAGCGAGCAACAACAGACGTGCTCGGCGCCCACCATGGACGACTCCACGCCCGCTGCCGACTCCGGCCCCGCCTCCGTGGCCCGTGACCCGGCGCCGGCCACCACGTCCCCGGCCGCGGATCCGGGCCGTTCCGCATCGAGCCCGGCCGTGTCTCCCGTGGCCTCGGCGCCCGGCCCTTCCAAGAAGCCGCGCAGCTGTGCCGTCTGCCGCTCCCGCAAGGTCCGCTGCGACAAGCTCTCGCCTTGCACCAACTGCCGCCGCGCAAACATCCCCTGCGTCGTGCCCCAGGCCGACCGCATCCCTCGCTGGGCTCGCCGTCTTGACCGAGCCGCCCTGTCTGGCGCTGCTGCTCACGAGTCTCCCGCTTACCACATCGGCACCTCTCCCCAGCAGCAACAGCAGCCTGCACCACAACCGCCGCCGCAGGTGCTCGAGCGTCTCCGCAACCTCGAGGCCTTGGTGAGAGAGCTCAATGACCAGCTTCAACAAGCCCACGCCGCGAACAGCAGTGCTGGACACAGCTCACCCTTGGGAGGGACCAGTTCCACGTCCCCGGCCGAGACGAGCGTCGGTGATCAGCCACGAGCCGACGCCCATGACCCTCCCTCTGCCCCTCCAACCGTGGTCCAGGGCCAGCTGGGGCGTCTGGCCATCAGCGACGCCCACAGAAGCCGCTACATCAGCAGCAACTTCTGGAGTCGCATCAAGGACGAAGTAAGCCCAGAATCTTAGCCATGGCTTCAATATTTGTGATCGTTGAGGTAGAGCTGACATGCTGTGCTAGATCGACGGCCTCGAGATGGACATCCGTGACCGGGACATGGATGACTCCGACCTGTCTGACTCAGGCGAGGCCGACCACAACACTGGCAGCATGGCCACGTCCGAGAGGTCGGCCGGAACGCGCGCTGAACCTGGTACACTCAACCACGGTGGTCGACCAGGATGACTTCGTGGGTGTCAAGCTGGCCGCAGCAGCTCTTGTAGATGACTTGCGCCGCGTTTCGAGCGCAGAAGTCCCCCCTCTTGTCGAGTTGAGGTCAGACAGCCCAACCACCTTGGCCACAACCACGGCGATCATTGTGGGCACCATCGAATCGTCGTCGCTCATCCGCGGCCTGGTCGAACAAGGCCTCGTCAACGTGGAAGCCATAAAGGGCAAGTGGGAATGCTTTGCCACCGCCGTCGTCGACAAACCGCAATGTCTACCTGGATGCGAGCGGGCATTCGTCGTTGCAGGGAGCGACAAGCGAGGGGCGACATATGGTATCTACACACTCACTGAGCAGATTGGCGTCTCGCCGTAAGTGCAACTCAATTACATATTCTAAGAAGGGCGCATGCATTGTGACTGACGTTAACAGGTGGCACTGGTGGGCGGACGTACCCGTCAAACACCACGATGAGATATTTGCACTGCCTCATCTGTATTCGAGCAAGGAACCCAGCGTCAAGTTCAGAGGCATCTTCATCAATGACGAAGCGCCAGCATTGACGGGGTTGGTCTTGGAGAAGTTTGGAAAGTACGGCAAGGAATTCCACGTGAAAGTCTTTGACTTGTTGCTGCGTTTGAAGGTAAACCCCCAGTCATCTCAAGCAGTCTTACACCATTCAACAAAAGGGGTTGCTGAATTGTCCTGGGCCAGGCAAATTTTATGTGGCCAGCAATGTGGCCTGGGTACCCTAATCCTGGCTCTTCGTTCTTTGCCGACGACGACGAAAATCAGAAGACCGCAGATGACTACGGCATTGTCATGTCAACATCACACCACGAGCCAATGCAGAGAGCGACAAATGAATGGTTCGCGGAGAATGAAAGGGGTACATGGTCGTGGCTCACTCACAAGGACAAGATCACGCAATTCTTCGACCAAGGTATTCATCGAGCGGTACCGTACGAGTCCTACTTCACGATGGGCATGAGAGGAGAGTATGACGTTGCGATGGACACAGACGATCCTGCTGCAGTCATCCAGGATGTGATCAACACTCAAAGATCACTGATCGGTGCTCGCCATGGGCGTGATGATGCTGTTCCACGTAAGTTCTGTATCACAATTGTGAAGCGCGACTTCGCTTTGAACCGCTTCTGACCACTGCTGACAATATCCAAGAGCTGTTGGCGCTGTACAAGGAAGTGCAGGAATATTATGACGCCGGGAAACTTGTGGTCCCTGAAGATGTAACGCTTCTATTCGCGGACGACAACTTTGGCAGCATTCGCCGCTTGCCGAGTCGCATGGAGCAAGGAAGAAAAGGCGGTGCAGGTGTAAGTTCCAAGTCCAGATGATCCGGATAATGCGCCTAACCCTGCCATAATGCAGATATACTACCACTTCGAATATGTCGGGCATCCACGGAGTTACAAGGTGAGCACAAATCATGTGCACTTCGCGTTTCCAGATTCACTGAGACCTTGCCTAGTGGATCAACTCCAATTCGCTAGGAAAGACCTGGCATCAACTGCAAGAAGCACATGCACGGAACGCCAGGCAGATCTGGGTGTTCAACGTGGGTGACATCAAGCCGCTTGAGGTACCACTCACTTTTGCTATGGCTCTCGCTTGGGACATCACCTCCATAGCGGCCGACGGTTTCAGCACTTTCTACAAGGAACTGGCGGTGCGTGACTTTGGCAATGATCTAGCGCCTTCCATTGCTGCTTCTTGGGATGGGTACGACCGGCTGGTCGCAGTCCGCCGCCACGAGCATATCGAAGCCAACACTTTCTCACTCCTCCACTACAGCGAAGCTGACATGATCGAGTCCGAGTGGCGCAAGCTCGTGGCCAATGCCCAACTGGTCTACGATAGCATGGTTCCGGAGCAGTATCGTGCTTGCTTCTTCGAACTTGTCCTTCACCCACTCAAAGCGAGCTTCATCTACAACTCTCTCCGGATCAACCAGGCGCGCAATCAACTCTGGGCATCACAGCGACGGAATACGGCGAACAAGGCGATGCGGACTGTCCTTGACTTGTTTGACGAAGACTTCTCCTTGAGCGAAGAGTTCCATCAGATTCTGGGCGGCAAATGGAATCAGATCATGCGCCAGACCCATTATGGGTTCAACGATACTTGGCACGCCCCAAGTCGAGATATGATCAGCGGTCTGTGTTACGTCCAGGCTCGACAGGATAGCAACCCCGTCGTCGGTCAACTTGGGGTCTGCGTCGAAGGTCACACTGGTGTTAGACCGGGGGTGTGCAACGAGGAGAGCGACCGAACTCACCCCAGCCGTCGCGATCTCGTGCCTGGTGTGACTTTGGGACCAATGACACCTTACGGTCCAAAGTCTCGCTGGTTCGAACTTTATACCCGCGGCAGCAAAACTCTTGAGTTTCAGTGCAGTGCACCAACCCCTTGTGTCCGGCTCTCGATTGCCTCTGGGCGCGTGGTGCCGGGACAGCCCGATGTGCGCGTTGAGATTACCATCGATTGGGAGCAAGTGCCAGCGGATCTCGATGAAGAGGTTCTGATTGATGTGCGGACGCAAGGTGGCAACTACGGGCCATACTTGGACGATTTCGAGCAGGTCCATCTTCCCATCAATAACCGCCGGCTCGACAAGGGCCAGTTGGCCACCTTCACAGGTTTTGTAGAGTCAGACGGGTATGTGTCGATTCCTGCTGTGGCTCCTGCAACACTTCCATCGGAGTACCGCGTCCTGCCCAAAGTCGGTCGCCTGGGCTTGGGTTCCGTCGTTGTTGATCGTGGCGCTGTTGCTGCCACCCAAGTTCCGGACCTTACCTATGACATTTATGTCTGGGAGAGCACGTCAGCTGCAACTTTGACATTATACTTTAACATGACGCTCGATCTGGACCCGGACGAGGTCATGCTTTATAATGTTTCCTTGGGTCCGTTGAGCCTTGAAAGACAACGACTGGTCAAGGAGCCGGCGAACAAAGGCGAACTCCCCCCTGGCTGGTACACGGCTGTCCAAGACTGTACTTGGAAGCCTCGGCACGAGGTTGGTGTCTTGCCGGCGGGCAGGCATAGCCTTTACATTCGATTGCTTCATCCTAACATGATCCTTGAGAAGGCCGTTGTGGATCTGGGTGGCCTCAAGCCAAGCTACCTTGGGCCGCCCATGAGCACACGCCTGATTGCAAATAGACAGTAGCCCAAAAACCGAGGCTGAGAACCGAACAACCTTTGTACCTCTGTACAACGGCATGCATGCCGCACAAGAGTACATGGGTGGTGGTTCGGGGCATCCAGGGAGACGAGAGACAAAGAGCAGGAGCTATAGTTACGTCACAAGAGAGATTATGAGACACGACTCCAACGTTGAGTGTGAACAAGCCGGCTGATGCATAGTCTGCGCATGGACGCACAATGTGACTTGTAGTGCAGATCGGCATTGGCCTGGCACGGAGAAGAACACGTCCTGCTGGTTGACTTCCGTGTAGTGGCATCAATGCTTCCCACAAGCCCGAGGGACCAGACAAGCGAAGTTTTCTGTGAACTGATGTGACAAGTGGTCACTTTATTGACCCGTAATCCCAAGGCGCGGGTATTCCGCCGTGACTGGCCTCGGCTTTGCTGCCGTTGTGGTTCTCCCGAGTGCTGAGGCCGTGAACAAGCTGATGGATGGGCGACAAGGGCTGTAACCCCTGGCCGTCGATGCAGCCGGATTGTGCAGGCCGAGGCCGAGGCCGGCGAGGATCCTCAAAACGGAGCGAGACCATGTCCGCGAGACGCGCCAGCTGCACGCATGATTCAGGCTTTTCCGGATGCTACACATTTACCCACAACAACGAGGACGCAACCACAGTTCACCACGTCATGTCACTGGGGACTAGCCCGGGGATCTGCCTGCATTGTGCGGGGGCTGGGCGGGCCGGTTTCCTAATTTGGGGCGGGCCGTCTTTGCAGGGGCGGCACGATTTCCACAAGTGTGATGCCGCACCGCACTTAAGTTTGTGCTCGCGAGCAACTCGACTTAGTGATTGGACAACCGGGTAGGACTCCTTGCGTAAGAGCATCGTCAAAGCTTCTATGGGCGGGCCGGTATCGCAGGCGCAGGCTGGCTAAGAAGCAGTACAAATAGATTCAAAGTCTGAGGCAGAGCAATGCTGAACTATCAAACCACTGGCACATCCCGCTCGCTAGTTGTTGAGACTTCCTCTTTGCAAGGCACCGAATTTTTTCGTCCGTTACACTACCTTGAACCTTGAGATCCACTCGAGAAACCTCTACCATGACCGACGAAGTCAAGAGATACGCCATCGTGGGCTTGGGCATTCGCTCAGCCTTCTACTACCAAGGCATTATCCAAGACTTCAAGGACAATGCCGAATTGGTTGGCCTCTGCGACACGAATCAGACACGAATGAATGCCGCCAACGACCGCATCGAAGAGCTTGGTGGCTCACGGAAGCCCACTTACAAGGCCGAGCAGTTTGATCAAATGATCGCAGAGACCAAGCCGCATGCCGTCATTGTCACGACCATCGACCTGTACCACCACGTGTACTGCATCAGAGCCATGGAGCTGGGCTGCGATGCAATTACAGAGAAGCCCATGACTATCGACGAGGAGAAACTGCAGGCCATGATTGACGCGGAGAAGCGGACCGGCAAGCAGGTCCGGGTCCTCTTCAACTATCGCTATGCGCCTCACCACACCAAAGTGAGGGAGCTTATCGCCTCTGGTGTGATCGGTGAGGTTGCGACCGTCCACATGGATTGGATTCTCGACTGTGCGCACGGGTCAGACTTTATGCGGCGCTGGCACCGCACCAAAGACACAAGCGGCGGCATCCAGATGCACAAAAGCATCCATCACTTCGACCTTGTGCATTTTTGGCTAAACACGGAGCCGATCCTTGTCTTCTGCCTCGGCGATCTGCGCTTTTATGGCAAGGAGAACGCGCAGAAGCGAGGCGTCAAGAATGTGTCGGAGCGCTACTCTGACGATCCGGAGGCTAGCAAGAACGATCCATTCGCTTTCCAGCTCGGCGAGAACGACCAGCTACGGAAGCTGTACCTCGAGGCGGAGCATGAAGACGGATACATCAGAGACCGTAACTGCTTCGCCGATGGCATCACGATTGAGGACAACCTCAGTATGGTGATCAAGTACGCCAACAGGGCCGTCATGACGTACAACACATATGCTTACGCACCGTGGGAGGGCTACAGGTGTGTCTTCAACGGTGACAAGGGGCGCCTAGAGATCAACGTTGTCGAGATGCACTACCACCCGGGCGGAGAGCCGATCAGCGAAGAGGGAGTGAGCGAGCGCGAGAAGCCATACATCCAGGGCGGTGTGGAGCAGACCAAGATCGTTGTATACCCGCTGTTCGGCGAGCCGTATGTCGTGCCGGTGGACAAGCAAGAGGGCGGTCACGGTGGAGGCGACCCCGTCATGATGAAGGACGTCTTGATCGGCAAGGAGGAGGATCGGTACAACCGCGCCGCCAGCATCAGAGATGGTGGAAATGCCGTCCTGGTTGGCGTTGGCGCCAACAAGTCCATGGCCTCGGGCATGCCAATAATGGTGCAGGACTTGGTAAAATGGTAACAGTATAAGGTTGATATTTCTATCAGAATGAGAGGTAGTCATGAATTGACTAGGCGTCATGCACTATGACTGTCCTCAAGGCTCATTCATTGCCTCGAGTCAAGCCTTATCTGAGTCTCGGCAACCGAAGTGAAAAAGTCTAAGTCAAATGACAGGTGAAATGCCGGGTCCATGAGAAAGTACGACGATGGATCCAGATGCGATGCCCAATTCTCATCCATGGCCCCCGTAGTCAATAATGCTGGAGCGCCTGTATGAGCCGCGCTGACCGGCTCTGGCACATTAAGCGTTTGAAGTTCCGCGTGAGCAGGTGCACGATCGCCAGGGGAATTGGCGGACGCGATGTCAATCCCTACCAAAGCTGAAGCACTACGACTACCGCCGGGGACCTGCGGAATGAGTGATAGTTCTGGTCTGTCCTCCGAGCTATCATGCGGACAGATGTTTCGTACCAGGTTGCAAATGCCATGGACACTAGTCCAACAGAGTCCAAGACTATCAAGGACAGCGCAACACAGGCGAAGATCCGACAAAGTCTGCTCATAGTCTCTCGTCCTGTCTCGAAAAGCTCTATATATGACAGTTGTGGCCATTGACATGGCATAAGGGATGAGAGGGAGCGGCGGAAGACTCGTGTACGCCTTCGCCTGACTTCCTCGCTGCCCAATGATCTCCAAGACACGTTCCGCCGAGGACAGTCTTCTCTCATAATGTACTGTTCCCGGAGGGCCAAACCTGCAGGAGAGCATGGCGGCTGCATGGTACCACACCTCGAAGTAGGCGCGGTGAGCCGCATGGAACGCCTGCCAGTCGACTTGTTGCACCAAGCTCTCAAGCGTCGGGAAGCTGTCCACTAGGTCGGCGCGTTCTGTGAGGTTGGGCTTGTACACCTTCGTCGCCAGCACCATGAGATCGCCTAGGTTCGTCGCGACATGAGCGACATGAAGTCTGTACTTGTTAGGCGGCCCACCACCAATGATGCGTGGTATGCCGACATTCGAGTCGTCAATAACAAAAGGCCCTGCCGCGGTGATGGGTTTGTTGAGCCTGTCGAAATGACGGAGGGTCCACCACAGCAGGGAATAGTCCTCTGCAACGGCAATATCTGCCGCAGGCTCTGATGTTGCAGGCTGCTTGTGATGCAAAGACAAGCACCAAGCTTCACTGATGGCTTGGCTAAGAAACATCATGGTCCGATCCAGACCCCCGGGCCCGTCTGTATGCAGGTGCATCAATGCCAGGATGCGCACTCTATTGACCCTGTCTGGCTCCAGATCAGCCTTCATAGCGGCGTCCAACGCGAGGAAGAGGCGGGAGGCGAATTCGAGAGCCGACAGTGGTGCTGCTCTAGCTTGATCGCTCGGTGCGGCTATAGGCAGGCCTGGGGCCGGTGTGTCAAGGTGCAGGAAAGGCGCGGCCTGAGGACTCTTGCAGACCACGAGGCACACTGCGTTTACCAGAAAGCACGATGCTGTTCCGTTGCTCCAGTCTCGAAACAACTGAGGCCCATCAAGTAGCGGAATAAGGTCGTCGAGCATTGTGATGTACAGAGGTAGCAGTGCGGCCACAGTTTGTTGGGGCACATCCCCCATCGCACGGATTTCGTCCAGGTAGGCTCGATGGGCTGCGGTCATGGGGCGAGACTCGGTTTGTCGTTTGGCCTTGTGCCTCTGATACCAGGCCATGCGGCTCTGAGGTCGTCGTCTAATTTGCTCACCGCCATGTGCTTCCAGGGAGATCAGGCTCGACAGGACCGACTCTGGATTGTATCCATTCTCGCGGACGGCAATTGGACTGATGTCTCGTATAGCGCCAATGCCTAAGTTTGCTGCAGGGGCCGTCACTGGCGTGTCTTGCAGCCTTGTCCGCGGAATGGCCTCCTCTCGACTGGAGGCGGCGAACTTGCGCACCCGAGGGGCCCTGTCAAGGGCCGCCATGTCCTGGTGATGACATTTCCTCTTGCGGGCACGACACCTTCTGCACGGTATGTCTCGATGAAAGTTAACATTTGTGATCTGCGCAGGCCAGATTGGGCCGACAAGATGGGAAGCGACTTATCTTGAAAAGTGCGGCGACGGGGGGCCTCGATCAGACTCGAGTCCCAGGTGATTTCCATGGCCAATGGATCACGCAAGAGGTGTAGTGTATGTGGTACGGCTACCTGACTAGCAGATCGCAAGCTCGGGCCAGGGACAAGGGCAGGCCATGGATGGGGAAAGTCAGGTCTGGCTAAAAGATTTGGTTCCGTCGAGGCCTTATTTTAGGGAGGCGAGCGGTGGGGCAAGCGCGGAAAGGTCCTCTTCGTACGTGACACTCCACTTCTTTTACATCCGCATTACCAAGCGGACGAAAGTCCGCAACGCTGCGGGCAACTCTGGCGATGTCGAGGTGCCGCTCAGCTTAATAATAATAAAAGGCATGGGGCCCGTATGTAGCTCTTACGCAAGGTACAAAAGGACGCAGCGTCGCCTCTCTGCTCAAAGATTTCTTCATCCTGTTAGAGTACAGCACACCATTGCCTACTCAATATTCTCAATACTTCCAGCAAAATCAGCGTCACCATCTTTCCTCAACATGACAAAGACTCTCACCATCATCGGAGCCACTGGCACCCAGGGCGGCTCGGTTGTGACCGCACTGCTCAACAACCCCAACTACGCTATCCGTGGTGTCACTCGAAACATCAATAGCGACAAGGCTCGCAGTCTGGCGGCACAAGGCGTAGAGGTCGTCCAGGCTGATCTCGACGATTTCGAGTCCCTGAAGCTCGCCTTCAAAGGCTCCCACGCTGTCTTCGCCATGACCAACTTCTTCGAGGCGTGCCTTAGGACCGGGAGTATGCCGGCCGCTATGCAGCTCGAGGAGCAGCAGGGCCGCAACCTCGCTACTGCAGCCGCCTCAACGCCAGGGCTGGAGCACTACATCTGGTCATCCCTGCCCAACTCCTCACAGAATACCAAAGGAAAGATCGTAGTACCCTACATGGCAAGCAAGAACGCGGTGGACGACTATATCCGTACACAGCCGGACCTGTGGGACAAGACAACGCTTATCTGGTTCGGATGGCACGCCGAAAATATTCAGAACCCTCTGTTCAGGCCGCAGCCATTAGCCTCCTTCAACCCGCCCGGTAGAGACGTGGTACACCACATTAACGTACCCGTAGAGACCCAGATGGCCGCACTCGGCAGCGCCACGGTGAACTCGGGCCTCTGGGTACGCGCTATCCTCCAGCAACCCGCCATTACGCTTCCAGGCAAGGCGGTCGCCGCAGTCATGGACTATATATCCTTCAAGGATATCTTCGCCACGTATCACCAGTCCCGGGCCGAAGCAGCAGGCGCCGGCAAATCGCCGGGCAAGGCACACGTTGTCGAGGTCAGCGACAACAAGTATGCTGAGATGTGGCCAGCCTGGGGCGAGATTCTAGGTATCTCGCAACGCTACATGGCGTCTCTGCCCGGCCAGAGTTTTAGTAGTGTCCATGAGGAGATTGAAGTGCTACTGAGGCGCGACCTCGACGGGCTGGACGGGTTGGTCACCACTCAGCAGACCTTTGATGACATGGCGAGGGCATCAGCTACCTAGGCAGGCAATTCCAGCTATAGAGCTGCCCCATTCCGAGCTTTGAGGGTATGGGAGGAACTTCTTCAAACGGTACGTCATAGCACGATGTAACCCCAGGCACACAATGCCGTATATTTCTTTATTCTGCGATCGGTTAAGTTAAGAAACCCCCTTGTTCTACGTACCAAGAGAGCTCAAGAAGCTGGTGCATAAAAGAAATTATTATAAATGCATAACTTTCGTTCCCACGTACACCACTATCCATCGCCCAGACGCCACCGCCTCTATATAAGAAATGGAACCTAATCCAAGTACCTCATTCGAAGCGCTCCCTATCAGAAGGACTGCCCAACACCCTATCGGAAAAGCCTTAGTTAGGACCCGACCCAAACTCCTTTATGTAGTGAATCTCCAAGACCCTGCCGTCACTTATATCGCGCCGATAATGATTGCCCGTTCCCAGATCACTACCATCACCACTACCAGAACCCCTCACTTTGCCGTTGGCTCCCTGCGACTCAATCTGTACCGTGTAATCGCCGACGCCGCCCTTCCTGTTGTGCAACTCCGCCGTGCTGCCAAGGCTTCCCTCCCTCTCGTGGCCCGTGAGCTCGATGTCGGCATCGCTCATTACCTCATTGTCGTCCATTCGGCTGAACGTGGTCATGTTGAACATGACGCGCGCTGTCGCGCGGCTCCTAGTGAAGGCGTTGCTTCCCACGCCGCCGCTGCTAACATAGTGGTTGCGGTCCGTGGTCCCGCGGCGGCCGTAGGTCGGAACCGAGTCAGTCGTCATGCCGAGTTTGACGAGCATGATGCGGAACAGCGGCCGGAGGGTTGCAAAGCTGCCTGCGGCGATCGAGAGACCAGCTTCAACCTGCGTCCAGAGGGAGATGTTGGAAACAGCGACTGGAAGTTGGTGTTGGGATATCATGTTAGTTATAATATAGCTTTTTTCGTTGTACGCTAAAGTATCGGTTGTACTGGGGGTAGAACTTACAGAGAAAGTCGGGGTTCCTGAAGTTAGGGATATAGGGGAAACGCAAGATAACCGCAGTACTAGCACTAAGGTAATGACTATCTATGAGAAGATGGTCTTTGAGATCATTCGGCCTCCTCTATCGGTTTCCACTTACATGCTAGCCATGCCGAGAATAAGAGTTAGGGCTATCTTCGTCTTCATATTCATCTGTAAATGGAAGACGAGCCACGCAGGTAGAAGCGTAAACGCAAGATCCGTAAAGAGAGTAAGCGAGCTATATGCGTACATAATCTCGACTACCCTCTCTATATCGACACAGGTCCCAGTCCCGGTGAATTTTCTCCAGGTAAAGGATATGGGGTTGCACTGCCCGAGGGTTATGATAAAGAATACGAGGCTACTTAGGGTAGTAGCAGCAAGCGCTACATGGATGATCCAACGGTGTATATGCTGCGTCGTGATACGAAGGAGATAGTATGCGACGGATATCTTCGAAAAGGCTAGAGCTACTGTGATAGATGGATAGCAGGCAAACCACCACTATCGCATCGCAAGTGTTAATACTGCCATCTCGTTTAGCTATTATGCTTAAATGAACCTACCATCCGTGCGGTCTCAATATTTTCAGGTGATACGTCTGCCATATGCCCACCGAGACCATATATGGTCGCCATCACACAGGTAACGGTGTTAATCGTGAACGCAAACTAACAACTTGGTTAGTCTTTTATCTTGCAACTCCCTAGGAGCGGGGAATGTGTGAATTACAAACCATAGCAACCATCATAAGCCAGTCGTCGACAGCGAATCTCTTCAGGATAAAGGTACGAACATATACTCGTAGGGCCGAGGCCACGAAGGCCAGAGACCAAGCGCCCAAGGCAATAGACCTGAGCTCTAGGCTCCGACTCTCAACTTCGGCCATGGCGACAGGTAGGTACTATGGTCTCTGGTTCTGGCCGGAGCAGAATCACTGGATTTCGAACATTAACTTCCCCATAAACTATGTGCGGAGATGGAGCGCATGCGGGACCTTATAGGGCATGATGGACGAGCGCTTGCCGGACCGACAGTCAGTGTCGACAATGAAGACGAGCAGGACAAGCGACATGCCGCCATTCCCCGGTGTGGCGCACTGATCTTTCCGTGCTAAATATGCTTCTACAAGTCATTGCGGCTGAACGACTGGGGGGTCTGATTTGGTTACCCCCTACGGATTAGGTAAATGAACCCTGTTTCCTGTCTTCCCCATGGGGCATCACCTGAGTGCGACCACGCCATGTGCAGTCCGAAAGTCCAACTTGATAACCCCGGGCCGCCACGAAACCACGTCGTGGGGAATGGCAGCGCCGCGGTAGCCCCGAGACTACTGCCAGGTGCAAGTACAACGTGGACAAAAGACGGTTGGCTCCGGCCACTAGTAGCAGGTGGCTGATCCAGCTGAGTTCCGCGGGCGGACGGGGGTGCCACGCTGCGAGGTACTTCTCCAAACCGTGTCTAGGTGTGTTTGAGTTGATAAATAGTGTGCGTTTTCTGGCGTGTGGATGAGCCGAACCCGAGCTGTAGGGGAGAAGCTAAGAACGAGGCGATTTTAGTGACCTTTCAGGTGGGCTGCGGGGTACCACAAACATTGGTTCCTTTTACAATAGCTTCTGGAATGATGCCAAGCTGGCTAGAGTCGAATGGATTGAAGATACAGCATTGTGGCTTCTGGCGACGAATAGCGTCGCCAGCCTGCTCGTTGAGGCTTGCTGTACCGCTTCGCATAGGTCGTTGCCTTGGTAGATGGCTTTTCTCAGCTCTGCCCCCTGTATCAAAGGTGGCGGCCGGGGACCCCACGCCAGTCACTCAAGATCGGCCGAGAAAGGACCGGAGGACGGTTCGTAGTCCAGAAAGAAAGCGCTCTCGGTTGCATTAGACACGCGACTAAGCGAGGAGAAACTTTTGGTGCATGGGGAAACTTCTGGTGTGTGGCGGCCTTGCTCCAAATGAAATCGGGTGACCGAGTTCCGCATGTTAGTAGTAGGAAAAGTTACTGGTGGGATTGATCATCCTCCGGCTTGGTGGTGAAATTAAAAAAAACAAAAAAAACAACGCTACCTATCTATTACTGATCGTACTTGGGAAGCCTGGGATTGATAGCACCACGAACCTCTCGGGCTATCAGGAGTACTTGCTATTCAGCTCGACAGGCTAGCCTCAGCCTGCTCGTCCCCAGGCGCAAACGGGCTCTATGCTACGGTGGCTATACCACAGATTGCCTACCAAGTGAAGTGATGTTACATTTTCGAAATTGTGCCTAGTACCCAAACTGGAGGCCTGGACGGAACCAGAGCCCTTTAGGACTTGAATGCGGAAACCAAGCCCCGCCTCCACATTCCCACGTGTCGGGGGGAAAGGGAAACAAGGGGTAGGGTTACATCGTCTGCAGGAGTGTGGCGTGGGTTGTGGGAGCAAACCGGCGAGCCGGCGCTGGCGACATTGGGGAGCACCTGCGAACCAGAAAGTCCGACCCCCTGCGTCTTCGAGTCTTCGTCTTGCGTGCGCCGAGCCTCCTCTGGCATTCTCGCAGCAGTTCTGGCGCCCCATCCAAGTTAGCCAAATGTCACACCAGCCGTGGGCCACTGGGACTGTAGGAAACACCAAAAAAACGTCACATGTTGCCTTGGCGGCTATCACGGCGTACGTCTTATATGCACCTGCATATTTGTTCTCGCTTGCAAGGACAATTGTGTTGTTTCGCCGAGGTGGTTAGAAAGCCGGCTGCGGTCCAGGCCGCACAGCAGAGACGTACAATTGGCAAACTTGGCGCTGGCAGCCAGAGCTTAGCCAGGAACATGCTAGAAGGTTCCATACGTGGTCGTCAGACTACCTAGAGGCTGTGCTCCGTCAGCCGCACCACGTTCTCACCATGAAACGACTAGATCCTTGCTTTCTCGCTTGATGGACTTAGTAGCTGCGCCTCAAAGCCGGACTGTCTCTACGCTTACAACACGGTCCTGCAATCTCAGGCTCGATTTCAGCCGCAAAGCATGCGGCATAGATGTGACGACCCGAATCGCAGCTCATCCAGGGCTGGGCATTCGATGTGAGTTCTGTCGCCATTACCCTACCCACTGACCTGTGTGTAGTTTAGACTTAGTGTCTGTACTCGAACTAGGCTATAAGATTTACTTTTTATAGACAGTACTCAGCAGGCTTTTGATGACATGGCGAACGCATTAGCTACCTAGGCAGGCAACTCCGGCCACAGAGCTGGCCAATTGCGGGTTTTGAGAGAACGGGAGAGATTCCTTTAAGCGCTGCCGAAATGAATGATAGAGTGAAGAGTTCTCCACCATTTCTACTTCTGAGCTCAGGGACGGCTTTAGAGAATTGATAGATTGATTTTTCGTTTGAAGTATTAATTACACCAAGGCATCGATATATTTGTATCAGTGCATGCATGAGAGCTTTGCTACTTTAAGTTGCTTCTCTGGTCTTGAGAGGCGGGCAATCTTGATTTCTGCATGTCTGGCTTCTTTGACTGGTCCAATCCGGAGGGAGCAATTAACCAGTATCATGTAACGCACCAATTTGAGGCTATCTTAGGTCGGATCATCTCACGATATCGGGCATCCCGGAGTTTAGTAATGGCGTGCATGGTAAGATATTATCTGCAGGTGATGCAACTATGGTGTTTTCTACTATATACATACATTCGTAGATGTGGCTCCTCACTCTGATAGCTGGCTATATAATCAGAGAGACTATCAAACTAAAATATGAAGACTCTCTATTTAAGTCCGCCAGCAAGGACAACCTCTTGCCCTGTTATGTAACCTGTCTTAACGAACATAGTGACAACATTCGACACCTCCTCAGGATCTCCCAGTCTATGAACAGGAACACTGCCAGCGATAGCTAGACCAGGGTCTGAGGCCATGAGGCTTTGCATGTTGACATCCTTCTTCCAAGTTTTGCTTTTGGGCTCTGGGATCATACCAGTTGCGCCAATCATTGCAGGTAGAACCTAGTCTCAGCGTTAAACCTTGTTCGTTTTTCTTTCGACTTTGTCATCTGGGGTGTCCTTGTACTCACCATGTTGATTGTCACGCCTTCTGGTGCAAGTAGAGTTGCCAAGTTCAAGCCCATCGAACTGAACAAGGCACCGCGTCAGCTTTTCGCCCATTCATTCGTGCCAGAGAAGTATAGATGTGTAGCCTTACCAAAGGGCGCCTTTAGAAGCAGCGTAATGACACCCATTCAGCCCCCCTCCTCTACTCGCAATACTCCCAATCAGAACCACTCTTCCCCAACCCTGGGTTCTCATACCTGACAAGCAAGCCTTTGTCACAACAAATTGACTTCGCGTGTTGACTTCGAGCATCTCATCCCAGTCATCCTCATCAATGTCCTTTGGGTCCCGGATGCGACGTCCTAAGCCTGCGTTTGCAACTAGGATGGAGATGGCTTGGTGCTTGTTCGCGATGTCAGGGTGAGACAAACAGCTCGGAACGAGGCGTCTGGTTGCTTCCCGGGATGAGAGGTCTGCCTCGACGGGGACGAAGAGTTGCGACGGGTATCTGGTTCTCAATTCTGTTGCCAGAACTTCTGCTTTCTCCTGAAAGTTTGTGTTAGTCCTGCCTTTACTGCTCGGTAACTATTGTGATTTACATACCCGACTACAAGAATAATGTAGGAGGACGTCGCATCCCTCAGCAGCTAAGGCTCGAGCACATGCTGATCCAATACCGCCACTGTATTGCGCACATGTTAAGATCAACAAATTGCCGAGAAAAATATGGACGATTTTGGAATTACCTTGAGCCTGTAACGAGAGATAATCGGCTCTTCTCTCGTAAACGGTTATCGATAGCTCGAAGGCTGTACTCGTCCGTCGTCAGGACCTCATCGGGTTGGGAGTGCGGCATCTTTGTTTGTCTCAGAACGATGCTTTGCGTTTAGTTTGCGCAGAGGCATCTGTTGAAATACAAGAAATCTCGCCACTTCTTATCGCTACAGAGACGAATATCCCCATGGCGATCGTAAGAGCCTGTGTGTTTCTTTGACGCTGAATCATATACACCTGTTCAATCGCCGACACGCATTTGGCGCTCGGCGTTTGGCTGGTGAGGCTATTGACTTAGATCACTAGCTTCATCTAGTCCATCTCAGCTCACATTCCTTCGAGTATCCAGCGTGACATGTTTACTGATCTAGCTCACCACTGGAGGTCAAAATAGCCATAGATCCGGAGACACTGGTAGTTCTAGACCCTGCCCATGCGGCAACTGAGCGGCAACTGAGCGGCAATTGACTGCCACGCCCCTCCTATTACCGAGATTTAGAGTTCAACGACATGTCACGTCCATGACTGATACTACCCACAGACCCATGGCGTGGTCTATGGGGTCCCCGCAATGGGGTAATGGACCGACCCATGGGGTTTTGAGTTTTTGTAAACGTCTCCCCCGAATCTCGCTTACCGCTCGATCGAATCCCTCCCTAGCCGTGCGCAACTCTAGTCCCATCTCCTGCTTCTGTATATATTGCCCCCCAAGATCCGCTTCACCCTAGGTCAAGGTGTTGCGGTATAGACTATGTGACAGTTCAAAGTCATTCTGTCGTCGATCCTTCGACTTATCTCTGGGTTCGTCAGAAAAAAAGGTCACTCAACATCTGGGTCGCATAGCAGAAGACATACAAATCAGCCAATCACACTACAAAAACCATGGGTGCCACCGAACTTCAAGGACGGTCGCTCATTCTGACCGTCAGCGTCTTGACTTCCTTGGGCTTCATGCTCATTGGTTTCGACAATGGCCTCATGGGAGGACTTGGTATGTCGAGCTCATTTCTCTTTCTTGGTCTGACGAGGGGTTCGATGACTGACACAACAATTATGAACAGTGGGCTCGCCTGCCTTCAACACAACATTCGACACTCCTGACGCGAACATGCTTGGAGTGATTGTTGCCATTTTCGAGAGTACGTGACCGCGTTTCTCTTCTTCATAGTTTCAATTGCTTACGTTAGCTGCTACACAGTTGGTTGTTTCTTTGGATCTGTAGGCTCCGCCATCTATGGTGAAAAGCTTGGCCGTCGCCGATCTGTTATGGTCGGAGCTTGGATCATGATCATTGGTGCTATTCTGCAGTCATCAGCATTCGGTCGTGCCCAACTCATTGTCGGTCGTATCGTGTCAGGTGTTGGCCTGGGCATCATCAACTCTACCGTTCCCGTGCTTCAGGCTGAATTCAGCCCCAAGTCTAGCCGTGGAGTTTGTAAGTCAAGATCCTCACTTCTCCCCATCACACCATGCTGTAAGCTGACACTTGCTCCTAAAGACGTGTGCGCTCAGCTTTCCACGTTGAACTTCGGTATCTTCCTCGTCTACTGGATCGACTACGCATTTTCCACCCACACGGCCAGCTACGCCTGGAGAGTGCCCGTGATCCTGCAATGTTTCTGCATCATTCCCATGCTCGTTATCGTCATGTTCATTCCCGAGACGCCTCGCTGGCTGGCCTCACACGATCGGCCGGACGAGAGTCTTCAAGTTTTGGCACGCATTCATGCCACCTCAACTGATGATATCGAGGTTCGCCGTATGCACAGTGTCATCATTCAAACCGTTGCTGTCGAGGCGTCTGTTGGCGCTGGCTCCTGGAAGGATCTCCTCAAAAACGACAGCATCAAGTCTCAGCGAAGGCTTTTGATTGCTTGTGCAATCCAGAGTTTCCAGCAGCTTGGTGGTATCAATGCTGTTATCTGTAGGTTCTCTAAGCAAGCCAAATGACTCAGATATAATATGCACTTCTATGGCATTTATAAGGCTAATCAACGTTTTTCAGACTACACAAGCACCCTCTTCCAATACAGCATCGGTTTCAGCCCTCACATGTCATCTCTCATGTCTGGCTTCCTACAGACCTGGTTTTTCCTGGCTTCCTTCATTCCCTGGTTCTTAATTGACCGCGTTGGAAGACGACCACTGGTATGCAATAGCCTGTTTTGTCTCCCATGTCAAGAATTATTCTGATAACATCGATCTCTCTAAAGCTCCTTTCTATGATCAGCGTCATGGCAGCTGTCATGGCCGTTCAAGCCGGTCTCATCTATCAGGTCCAGAACAATACTTCCATTGCTCACTCCGCGGGTATTGGTGCTGCGGCGATGCTCTTCGTCTTCCAGGGTGCCTTCACCATTGGCTTCCAGGCGACAGTCTGGGTGTACCCGTAAGTCTTCATTTCCCATATCGTGCGACTATGGCGTTTGGTTTATACAGCTGCTGAATCTTTGCGTAGCTCTGAAATCCTCCCATTGCGTCTGCGCCAAAAGGGGTCTGCCATTTCCACCGCCATGAACTGGATCTTCAACTACGTAAGTCAAGAGCAGCTCTTCTTTCCTAGGTCGAACACTCAACTAACAAGACGGCCTAGATGATCGTCCAAATTACACCTATTGCGATCAATAACATCGGATGGAAGACATACATCATCTTTGCGGTGTTGAACGCTACATGGGTGCCTCTCATCTACCTGTTCTTCCCGGAGACCAAGGGCCTTGAGCTCGAGGACGTTGACCGTCTCTTTGCAGGCGAAGGCCTCCTTGACGGGATGGACGAGAAGCCAGCAATGCACGCAGATATGGTAGAGCACGCTCAGGAGAAGGCGATCGTCTGAAAGAACGGGCTCTCACACATATTGTAGGGGTGATGTCCTGTCTCTAGCTTCCGCACGAGCAGGGATGACTATGATGATCCCGCCTGACGAAACCTATTAGTTAGTTAGGGACGGAGGAAGGGTATCTACCTATAGTAGGAGATTCTTCAAAAGCTGGTCCCAAGCCGCACTATGTATCCTAATCTTTATGTGAGCTATATTTTGGCACCACAAAGGTACTGTAGCTTCTGACCCTCACGACCAAGACCGTGGCTGACAGCTTGGTCTCTGATTTCAGTGCACTTCTCTATCTTATCACTCTCCTCTTTCAACCCCGCCCAGGACGCGGGCAGCCTAAGATCTGCCTGGCTCGCTGCTCTCATCTCCGTTTAATCTTGAAAGGGGACTCGGCCTGGAAAGCGGCAACGATTGAGTGCAGGAACTTGAGCACGACCGCCTGGTACGCCTCGCAGTCCTTCTCCTGTCGCGCCTGATTTTCTTTGTTGGTGAAATCCGCCTTCCAGATGGAGGTCTCCGCCTGCTCGCCCAGACACGTGAGGCACTCATTGACGGGCTCCATGTACTGCTCGCCCATGCACTGCAGCAGCTCGTCCTTGGCGAGCCCGATAAGCTCCGCCTTAACGAGCTTGCGGCCCCGGTCGGTCTGCAGGAAATCGCTGAGGGACGCTCCACCGACCTCCTTGCACCTCTTTTCGAGCCGGCTACGCAGCCGCGGCTTCCATTTCATCTCCAGCTCCGGCGGCCGTATTGAATCCCCGTGGTGGAGTTTGGAAATGGCTGCGGCGTCCCATGGCTGGTATACCATCGCCTGCCACAGCCCGATTTCCAGGAGGCACACGCCGAGGCTGTAGATATCGTGGTCCATGTTCCGCGGCGGCCAGGGCACTGCCCTATCTCCCATACCCTGCTGGTCCGAGTGGTAGTAGATGTTACTGTGCGATTCGTCATTTATAGGAGCCAGTCTCGAGAACCTGTCGACCGGGGCCTCCCAATAGATGAGGTAAAGGTTTCAACGCGGGAGCCGCGCCAATTCTGCTGGACGGGCGTGATGCGTTGGCTCTAGCTTTTTGATTTCCTCATCCTCATCATCCTTCTTCTCCGCCGCACTCTCACTCTCTTCCTTCTTCGACGGGGGCTTTCTGCGGCCAAACAAATTTTTCGGCTCCTCCTCTGGCGGGAGTTCGCCCTCGTGCCGCTGGGGACTCTCTTATGCATGCTCACACTGTCTGCAGTCCTCCTGTCTCTCCCCCGATGGTCTGCGAGTTCTTGATCTTCTCGGAGGTAGTTGGAGACCTTGAAACTGGCTCTCCTCACGATGCCCCGCCTTGGCACCGCCGGTGGCCTCACCTCTTGCTCATGACGGGAAGGATTATCTCGAGCCGGAGCTTGAGTTTTCTCATCCTGGGTTTTAGGTTGGATGTACAGCAATGTATCGCTCCGGATAGCACGATGCAACAGGCCAGCTGAATAAGTTTTGTGCACTGCCTCTGCAGGTAGTCCACGCGCAAGCCCCACGCTGCACGCACTAGACCGCCTGCACCTGCACGACTGCACTCCGCCCGACTCTTTGGGATCATCACCACTTCACCTGCTATTATTTGACCTCATGCGCACGCGCATCACTTTTTCTCAACATGCCGGCAACTTTTTCGATCATACACCCTGGGCTCCAGCAATAGACAGCACACGCACTCCCATCTGGCGCATATTGTCTAGTGTGAATCGTGATTTGACTACTGACTGACCAGTGTATCACACAGTGCCCAAGCTGAGGATTCTGAAGACTTCACTCTCTCAAATCATATCAATTTCTTTTCCGACTCTAGACATCTCCCGTCGTGGGTAGACCATTATACCATCCGCTGACATCAATACTCGATAGCCCGACCATATCTGGCGCAGCGTCGAGACCCAGCGTCGTGAACAGTGTATCGGTAGGCAAGGTAACCAGGTCTTCCGTGACAAACTGGCCAAGAGAGTCAAGCCTCGTCCACCAAAAGCTATTGAAGAGATCCAGATCGGTCCCAGGATCATTAGACCCTGCAGGAATGACCTCCTGGAAAGGAATGTCCTGCTGCGCACTGGCCACTGCTGCCGTAGGCGCGGCCGCTCGGGATCCCGGAGTTTCCGGGATTTCCGCTCTCTGCTTCCGCTTTCCGAGAGACTTCTGCCAGAGGAGTCGAAGCGATCGTGCATATCTCTGTCCAAGGCTTTGACGATTCGTGGAGGTTCGCTGAAGCCGCAGTACGGTTTCGTGAATAGACCGTCGAATGCCGACTACGGCGGAGGATTTGACCGCTCCAGACACAATCGCCTTTTGACCCTCTCAATGTATTAGTCTCCTAGTGTGCAATTAAAAGGGTAATTCCTTGCAAGTGGTAGCAATCTTACCTTGAGCAAGAACACAGCCGCATAAATAATATACAGATAGAACTTCATAGGCATATACTTCAGGCCTGTTTCGGGCTCAATGTAGCTGTTAAGCAGGGATAACAAGGAGTTAGCTGCGTCAATGGACTCGTAGATGAATCTGGCATCTGGAGCGCCAGCGAGATCGGAGAACAGAGGCTCCTTCAACTCTGCAGTCGCTGACATTCGTCGGCGAGCTCGACGCACGGCACGATGGAGGTTCGCCTGAAATGCAAATGCATTGATGTACAGGCGCAGGAAGTTATATGAAAGCATGAGTGACGCTTTGGCAAGCGGGACAACTGAAGACGAATTAGTGAGAGATGAAAGACATTGATAGGCTGGCACGTACAGCTCGAACCACCCCAGGTGAGTTTCCATCCACGCAAGACAACAGATAAATCATCCTTATGCAAGAGATTAGAGACTGCGTCAGTACACTTTGAAGCGTGGTGGTAACGCATGACTAGGAAAACTCACGATGTACCGTACGTACTCGCCGCCCGCGTACAGCTGTTCTCTGTGGCCCGCAGACGAGTACAAAATATCGTGCGCATTGCTGAACAACTGCGTCACTTCGAGGTGCGCTTGGAAAAGCATGGCACAATTGTCGCTGCCGAGCTTCTGTACCTGCAGCAGTGGGAAATCGGCTGCACGCAGAGAAATGGACGGGCCTGGCCCACGGGACCAAAAGCCCTTACCTAGGCGGATGGAAACCTGTCGATCACTCATATAGCAGGCTACACATGGGACGTCAGTCAGTCGCTGTTGGATCTGAATACACACGAGCCTTTGGTGTCGTTACTGCTCACCTGCCCAGATGGTTCGTTGTCGACACACATGCTCGGATACGCCCTCCTGCCCGTGTGTGAGTGTAGTCTGCTCCAGGTTTTGCAAGTAAGCCAAGCGAACAGCAAGACCAACAAGCATCCACGATCCTTGGTTTTCTTTCCCGGTTCCAATTGCCAGGCTGTCTTCCGGAGGCTGGGGCGCCCATTCTGCAAGGATCAACAGAGCCTCGACGGCACCCACATCTGTAGAACCAGCATAGATCAATTTAGATATCAGGGACTCCATGTGCCTGGCGCAGCCGTCGTGAATTTCTCGGCGGGTGGGATCATCTTTGGTCACGACAGCAAGAATTGCTGTGACAAGGTGCTGCTCTTTCTCGATCCACTCGGGTAGGCTAGCGTAGTCTTCAAAGATGGCCTTGTGAGCAATGGGAAAGAAGGTGTGATATTGAGTATAGTAACTGTAGCACTGGTTCTTAGCTCAGTGCGGATTATGTGACCATGAAAGAGGATGGACGGTCCGTACCTTTGAAGCAGGCCAGTAGCCTCTGCGATTGACAGAGCACCTGAAGCTATTGGGGGATAGTAGGTGATTGACTGAGTAGTACCCGTCTCGATCCCTATGGCGGCTTCCGTCGTCTGATGGTTTTCTGCCTCGGCAGAAGCCTCGTTTTGTTTACCTGGCTCCAGATTGGCCACTTGAGCGAGAAGATCTAGCGCATCAGACGGATTCAGAAGGTCGGCAGAGGTGATGTGGCCTTCCAGTCTCCCTCTACTTTCTCCTTCTCCCGACTCGCCGCTGTCGTCGTGGTCGGATGCAGTGTCTATCTCCGAAGGCAAAGGCGAGGACGCCCATTCACTCTCCTCTTCTGATGGGCGACGATTCCCGACATCATGCGGATTATAGCCCTGCACGGGGCGTGCGTCGGTGTTGCCAACGTCGACGTGGCTTCGACCGGTGGGAGGTGCGGTAGGCGAGACTATGTGGCTGTCGCGGCGAACTGACTTGTTGACTCTTTGGCCTTTGATCCGCTTGCCACCACGTCGCGAGGTTGCAAGGACGCATAAGAGGTTCTTCTCTGTGCATCGACGGCACGGCGGCACTTTGGGCTTATCGCCTCCTTCAAGACTACTACGACCGGATATCAGAAATTATTTCGCCGTGTCAAGAATAACGACGAATACTGGCGGGAATTTCGGTAGGGTTGGTTGTTGCAGGACAATTGGCTTACAGGTCACATCTTGTCTTGCGGGACCGACAGGCCACACAGGCTCTCGACACTCGGTGTTTGGCGCTCAGAGGGGTGTTGTCGGTCGGCATATGTCCCAAGCAAACCCTGGCACATTATGTCGGGGTTTGTTGAGTCAGAGGGCATCGGCAAAGGAGGAGGGTCGCGTCGTCGGTTTTACCAGTTCCCAGGGTCGTGACGCCGGATCGGCGTTTGAATAGATCTGCTGATCAAGCGGCAATCGAGCGCATAGCCTGGAAGTTTAGTGGCTGCAACATAATTTCAGCTTTGAGCGACTTGATCCCAGTTCGGCAGTTACCCATAGGCATTTTTGAGTTTGCGCTCATCGGCTATTGGAACTTTTGACGGAAAGCAAATGCCTAGCGCCGGTGAAAGTTGGCGGGGGTTGGAGCTTGGGGCTCAACTATCGCCATTAGACTTTGGACCCCAGGTCTCTCCCCGCAAAAAGTCCTCAGCACCATCGGCAAATGACTCATTCATGCATGAGAAAGATCATGGATCCGAAGATCGAGTCGCGGCAAGCTACAGCCTCAGACATGTTCAATAACGAGTGACGCGTGCAGCTCGGCCGCTGCACGCACACCGCAAACACGTACCACTGGCACTTGAACACAGCGCAAGGCAGGATGGCCTCATCACCGAGCGCCTTCAAGGTCTACGCAGAAGAGTGTCATTCCATCTTCGGCAACGCCCCGACTCTCGAGCTCCTCATTGAGAATCATGAGTATCCCTTCGCTCACGAGGCTGGTGTCTACGTGGCCCAAGACAACACCCACTTCGTGACCAGCAACCAGTTTGTCGATCCTTCAGTCGGCCGACGACATATACGCATCAGCAAAATATGCCTTCCAGTCGATCTAGCATCTAAAGCGGTCGGGTGTGAGGAGATTGATGCCCCTATGGTGCCCATGGCTAACGGTGGTGTGAACGACCGAGACGGCATCCTCTTTTGTGCGCAGGGAACACTCTCAGCGCCGGGCGGTCTAGTTTGGATGGACGCAAAGCCACCGTACACGTGCTCGTCGCCTATCACCTCCTTTCACGGCCGTGAATTCAATTAAGTGAATGATGTGGTCGTACATTCCGACGGCGGCATCTGGTTCACGGATCCAATATATGGCTTTGAGCAAGGGATCCGCCCCAAGCCGCGATTACCAAGCCAGGTCTGCCGCTTCGATCCTGACACGGGGTCAATTCGAGCGATGGCAGATGGAGTTCAGCGCCCCAATGGCATCTGATTCAGCCCGGACGAGGAGATAGTCTATATCACTGATACAGACTGGATACACGGAGATGGTACAACTGATGATGCCCGGGTTTCGCACATGTATGTCATCAAAGCTATCACATTTGGTGGAGTCATTATACTTATTGAGGGGTTCATTCAGTTATGCATTCGATGTGGCCACTTACTCCGGTCAACCATTCTTAACCAGCCGAAGGCTCTTTACTATGGCTGACAAAGGTGTCCCAGACGGAATCAAGTGTGACACGCAAGGCAATGTCTAAAGCGGCTGTGGTGACAGCGTCAGTATCTGGTCCCCTGGTGGCGTGCTCCTCGGCAAGATCCTAGTAGACGGTGGAGTGGCCAACTTTTGTTTCGGTGTGAACGGCGAATTGTTTCTTTTGAACGAGAATAGGATCTGGCGGGCGCAATTGAGTTCAGGTATCAAGGGTGATCTGTTGCGAATATAGAACTTGGGAGAGGATGCATTTTCTGATGGAATCCCACGCTTTGTGTTTACCCCGAAAATAAGAATGCTCAAGCCCTGAGAGGCATTCGCTGTTCGCGAACCAATGATTGGGTTCTTGGGAGCCTATTGCTGTTGAAGGCTGAAGGCGAAGATAGCACGATTTTCATACTCTCCAAGCACTATCTTGCTCCTGTTCATAGCCTTTGGTCTCTCTCACTGTCGCCATCCTCTAATCAAGAAGAAATACAACAACATCCACGATCATCGTCGAACCTTGTCCAGCCAGCCAATCTATGGATAAGAGTTGTGCCTAATTGAACACGAGCCATTGTCCTAATCACCTCGGGCTATCTATCTAGGATGATTATAAAATGGAGAAAAGTCTGAAGAAATCAGTGGCTGGTCTTTGCGGCTGAACTACTCCAAATCCCGAACGCGGCGGGATTTGAAATGCCGAAAGAAGGCATGGTGAGTCGGCACCAAGTTTCAGCATCGGCCCCGCAGCTTATTTTATCTGGGAGCGCTGCGCGGATACTTCCCGCACTCCGGGCCGAACATGCGTCCCGGCGTACGAAGGGTTGGCCCGATGGGTCGAGACTAGTGTGGTGTGACGCCTCCCAGATCTATTCCAGCCTTGGATGCAGTGAGATCACCATCGTGATATTCAGAAACAGTAAGCTGGCGTTGCAAATTACAGGCATTGACATATTGGTATTATAGTCCTAAAATATTGGGCTCATATTCTGCAGTCCGGTGAATAATATGCAGTTACTTTAAGCGAGGATCAAGCGCCGCCTATGTGAGTCGTGGCGCCATTTCAGCCATTGTACTACGGGGTGTCGCGAACGTGCTCCTTGGTCGCTCGGTCGACACCCAGCCATAGCAGCTCCGGGCGGCTGTAATGTCCGCACACATCTAAAAAGGCTTTGGCGCGGAGGATCTGGTTCAGGTCAATGGTTGCATAGACGATGCCCTCTTCTGTATCCGGCAAAAGCTCCGTCAGCCGGCGCCCATCAGGCGCGTAGACTGCAGAGTGACCACCCCCTGGACGTGCCATTAGCTTGCCGTCGGCAGTACCCAGCTTGTCGATACCTGCCTGACTCATGATGGCGGTGCAGTGCAGAACAAAGGACTGTGACTCCATCGCGTATACGCTGGCGATAGAGGCAGTGCCTGGAATTTGGGACGTGCGTGCGAGGTCAGCGTCGAGATCACACATGGAGCAAGAGGGGTGTCCGCGAGTAGGGCTGTTTACCTTCAGCACCCATAGACCATAAACCATCCTGATCTTGGGCAGCCGAATAGAGTGGTGGCCATGCGGCGACATGGATCTGCTCGCGTTGTGTGTACGTGTGGTACTTGAGCAGCGGCTGAAGATGCTCCCAGCACGAGAGCGCGCCGACTCTGCCAACGCTGGTCGCAGCAACGCTGTTGAGACAAGATGCGGGCGCGTCGCCAAAGATAGTCCGCTCCATGTGCGTCGCCTTGATCTTAGCCCGGGTCATGACGAGCTCGCCTGTTGCATCGATGGTCGCCTGAGAGATGTAAAGCGAATTATGGACATTTTCGGAAAACCCCAGCACAACGACAATGTTATTGTCTGAGGCGCAGCGCCGTATCTTTGCCATCAAGGGAGAATCGATCTTGAGGGAGTTACGGATGTACAAAGACGCCAGGTCCTCATCGACGGGCCGTGTCCTGTGGGCATGGTCGCTCACAGCAGCACGTCAGCATGTGTTCTTGGACAAGCCCCTACAGGAGCCAGGATGCAGGACGAGGAGGAGCATGACATACCAAATCCATGCCGGATATCCAGGAACCCAGCACTCGGGGAAAACGACGATCTGCGCTCCATGGGTCGCTGCCTCGTGTATGAGGGTGCACGTCTTGGTCACAGTAGCCTCGAGATCGAGCCAGACGGGCTCAGCCTGTGTGACGGCGACGCGGACATGGGACTGGTTTTTGGGGGTGGTTGTGGCCATGATGTTAAGAGTGGTGTGTGACGGGATGCTGCCGGCGCTGTGGCAGCGTCTTGGGAACAAGCACCCGTGTCGGCTTGTTTTATGAGAAGGGCCCTGGCACAGTAGCGGCTGACACAATCGCGGCGGAGAGTTTCCCTCCGCCGCGGCTCCACTAGAAATCATCAACACCACCACACCACTTGCTGCGAAATGCTTATCAGGGCGGGATTGACCACTCCGCAGATGACCTGGCCACGCCGTGCCGTGGACGGTTCGTGGCGATGGAATATATAACAAAGACCATCCTGGTTCTGCTTGGGTAGATGTCGACCTGTCGCGAAGTGCATCTCACAAACACCACAACAGGAATCTTTTCCCGTCATGACCTGGGCCGTGCTCGAATCTTCACCGCGCCATGGAGTGCCGCCGGGTACCGGCCAGCTCGAGACGGTGCAGGCCGACGCTGCCGAAGCAACTGTGGTTCTGCTGCCCGCGCCAACTCTATCGTCCTCGGATCCCCTCAACATGCCGCCGTTGCGCAAGAACCTATTCTTCTTGACTCTCGTGTACGGTGCCTGTGTCACTGGTGTCATCGGCCCGCTCCTCGTTCCGGCATTCAGTATCGCCGCCGCTGACCTCGGCGTCGGCTTGCCGGAGATGGCACTGTCCAACGGCGTGCTCATCATGGGTCTTGGCGCGTCATCCTACATCTGCGGGCCTGCCGCTGAACTTTGGGGTCGCCGTCTCGCGTTCCTTGTCGGACCCCTCATCATGCTCGCTGGTTGCATCTGGGCCGGCTTCGCATCGACTTACAGCTCCTACGTGGGCGCGCGTGCCGTGCAAGGCCTTGGCATGGGGCCCTTCTTCTGTCTCGCCGGCACTGTTTCCATAAACGACGTCTTTTTTGTCCACCAACGTGGCCGGCGCGTTGGTTGGTGGAACTTCGCCGTTCTGGTCTCCATCAACATCACGCCCGTCATCAGCGGCTACCTCATCACTGCCCTGAGCTGGCAGTGGAGCTTCTGGATCCTCGCCATGACCATTGGTCTCGCTGTAGTTCTCACCTTCTTTCTCCTCCCCGAGACTCTATTTGACCGTAAGCACGGGGATTGCACTCCTCGTCCCGCTGCTATTGTCGGTCTCGAGCCTCGCCTGCAGCAGGATCATCGCCATTCCACACCTGACTTAACGGTCAAGCCAAGCAAGGAAGCCGAAAGCCCCGCCCTGGAGGCCTGCAGGACTGAACCACACGCCGCGTCGGCGCAGTACGAATCAGGAACCAGCCGCCTCCGGCAGTTCCTCGGCCTGCAAGAAGTCTGCTTCCAAAACCCCCTACTGCTGTTTCCAGGTCTCATCCGGCCACTAGGGCTGCTGCTGAGCCCAGCTGTCTTATGGGCGTGCGCCATGTGGTCCGTCACTTTCAGCTGGGTCATCATCCAAGGTGCTGTGGCAGACCAGATCTTCCGCGCGCCTCCATACAGCCTGTCGGCTGGCGAGACAGGCCTACTCATTGGCATTCCGCCATTGATTGGCTCCGCGCTTGGAACCCTTACTGGCGGCTGGATGTCTGATGCGGCCGCGCGGTTCATGGCGGCCCGCAACGGTGGTACTTATGAGCCTGAATATCGGCTGGTCGTCATGCTACCCACAATCTTCACTATGGCTGTCGGCACGTTTGGGCTTGGCGCCGCGATCCAGCAGGGCGCGTCGATTTGGGCATCTGCTGTCTTTCTCGGCATCACTAACTTCGCTGTCGGGTGTGGTTGCACCGGCATCATCACTTACACAAACGATACCTGCCAAGCCCGAGCTGGTGAAGCCTTCGGACTTGCTATGGTTAGTCATCTCCACCTCTCCCTTTGCCAACTCAATACATTTGCAATACACTGGACGAGTTGAAAGACCCGCGACTTAATGTGTGCACCCAAACATGTAATTCTCGAGGGCATCATCACTGACCATTGCCGTTCCATCCACATAGCTTATCAAGAGCGCCTTCGCCTTTGGTCTGTCCTTCATGCTCAACGATTACTTGGCTCGCAGGGGTGCTCTGGTATTCTTTGGGACCTTCGGTGCGCTCACCATCGCTGTGACTCTTCTCACAGTGCCTCTCTACGTTCTCGGCAAGCAACTGCGTGCCAAATCCCTTGTGTCTTTGTCGTGAGTAGCCACTGAGGGACGCTTTTTGTAACTGCGAGGACCACGCTTTCCAAAGATTTCAGAAAGAATGCTTGAAGGATTATCTGTGCGAATCATGTGACGGCCCTTAGCTTCGTTGGTCCTTTTCTTGTACCTAGGCCAACTAGTTGACAGCGATACCTGACATTGTTGTTAAGGACTCGACCTTGCCTACATCGCCCAGAATGCCAGACTCGCGTCGCCTTCAAACTCTTCATCATTGTTTGTAGCATTCTCCCCTTGTGGTAGTCCGTAGCTCGCCAGATCAAGGTCGGAAAACAGTAACGGGTCAAAAGACCTGACGCCTGGCCATTCAAAATGCCGTGTCTCGTTGCCCTCCTGCTCTGGTCCGCTCTCGAAATGGCGGAGAGGGAATGAACGAGCTGCCTCCATAGTTTCCGCTCCAGTTAAATCCTCTGCTGATGTTGGCATTGTCGTGCCGCCTGATTTTGTGCCGGATAAAGGTAAAGTACCACCCAAGGGCATACTGTGCTGCAGGGGGAGAGTGGCGACGACTTTCCACCTGTATGCAAGTTCGCGGAGGACTGCTATGCCCCGTGCCGCTCTTGGCCACGTGTTCACCATGAGTAAAATGGCGTTGAAACAAGTACGGAAGCGGCTGACGGCCTGCGAGCGAATGCGGGTCTGCTGCGAGGTGGAAAACATGAGCAGGGTCACAGCAGCGGTCAGAATGCTATGCACCACGAAGACAGGTGCCATGGTCAGGAGGCCCCTCTTCTCAGCAGTACGGACGAGGCGAGCCATGGCATCTGCCGCGTGCCACGATGTCTGGGCCGAGAGCTGCAGTGCATTGTCGTTTCCCCGCTCGCCAAGGTACGGCCGATGAATCAATAACTGCGACATGTGGTATGACATGCGGCAGAATATCAGAGGGCCGGCACACTCTACATCGTTGTCGGCAGTCCCTCTGCTTTGGGGCACTGGCAGCACGCTCAGACGCTTGTGGAAGACGCTTAGATCTTCGCGGGCATCTACGAGGAGCTTCAGCCGGGTGTGTAGCTCGAGTCCGGCAAAGTCAAAAGAGTAACTAGGTGAGGTCGTCAGTCAATCTGCTTGATCTTGCAAGCAAGGAAAGCGGGGCTGGCGTGGCTTACATTTTGTCCATGTATTTGTCGTGCAAGAACCATAGCTCGCAGTGCAGATCAAACACCGTCTCATCGAGGGTGGGCGGCCTCTGAAGGGTACTGAGAAATCCAATTGATTGTACGCGTCCGGACGGGATGAGCGGGTGTCTTCCCAGCAACGAGGTGGCAATCCTGGGGTCCTAGGTGTCAGCGTTATCCGGCCCGAGAGGACATTCTTCGACGATACAGGGCGAGAGGGCATGCGCATACCGTTCCTGTAGCAAGACAGCCCAGAAAGTCTGCGCCCGAACAGACAGGGTCTCACTGAAACCCCTGCCCGGACCTGCCCTCGTGCTCACAACCTCGCTCAGCGGCTTCAAAGAGCTCACTGAGAGACCCAGATGTAATGTCAAACTGCATGCCATAGCTTGATATAGACCGAGCACGTCAGCGGTTTAAGATTGTCGGTGGCAAATGGCTCGGCTACAGCAGAACTCACAAATGTACAGCCACGCCATGTTCTCGTTGTCTAGGCCTAGCTCTCTCCACGCAAGGAGTGATAGCGCCTGGATGGTACCGATGTTGGGCTGACGGCGACATGCAGCTAGAGCGATTGATTCGGCATGACCAGACAGCGCATCGCCGTATGCTCGAGCCTCCTTGTTGGAAGTTATCAACGATCCAGCCGAGAGGACCGCGAGCCTCAGCAATGGCGACTCGTTCCAGTCTTTGCCCAGCTCAAGCTGCAGCGCTTGGGTTGTTTTCTCGTCAAGGAACTTGTGTATAGGGTTGACCCATCTCTCAAAAAGTCCCAGGAGTTCCATTTCCAGGCTCGGGCTCCTGTTCATGCTGGCATGAAACTTTGAGGTGATGCTGTTGTCCATGTCTGAGAGAGTGGCTGTCGGGATTAAACCAGCTTCGTGGCTCCCCCCAGGGAGGCAGAAGTTACCTGATGGCCCGATAAAGCTGGTTCTACCGGTGTCATCGACCTTGAGGCGCCAGAGGAGAGAGCTGATGTCCTCTACGGCATCTGGCTCGCTGAAATCCTGAAATAGCCCAGAATTGAATGTGCTCCCGGATTCTGATTGATTGGGCAAGACAGATTCAGCGTCGAACCCACCAGACCCTTCTGGCTTTCCTAGTTGTTGCTTCAAGATCTGAATTTCTGCCTCCAGTCCTTCAACATATTCGTGGCTGTATCGCCGTCTTGTCGCAATAACGTCTGGGTCAGTCCCGTCTGTTCCGTCCGTGTTGCCTTGGCCGTACAATGAGGGGTGCGATAGCTTCTCACCTCTTCGCTCTCTCGGTTGTATAGCGACATTCTGATTTTTTGGCTGCGCACCACGAGCATGAGGGGGTCGCGCCATCACACTTTGAGAGATTCGTTCTGTCAGTCAGTGGCGTCCTGGCAGCAATCAAGAAGACGTAGACTGTCTTACCTTGCGCTTCCGTGCACGGCACGTATCGCAAGTTGTTACTACCCTTTCGCCTACTGCAAAAATAGACGTCATTAGGGCTTCGGCGATTGATGCGAAGTGGTTGGGAAGGTATGTGACTGTCCGAATGAAGGATAAGGGCAGGCCATCTACCTAAGAGGTCTCGGCCATTAGATAACGCACCAGGATGACTCAGCAGTGCCAAGCCAAGGTTGAGTGCCAATGACGCAGTTCACACGGTGCATCGGGAAATTTTGAAGCTGAAGCAACCGCTTTCAGCACCATGGATGTTTTCGTACTGTTTCGAGACCAGGGAGTTTCAGCGCGCAAGTCCCAAATTTCGCAGCTGTCATACAGGGAGAACAAGCAGGGATGGTCCCTGGAAGCAAGCTAGGTTCAGGCTACCTGTGCTCTTTGGGCGTCTGCGACAATGTTGCTCGAACCTGATCGAAGTGTGTCGACTCCGCTCACGAGGAAATTGGGAATACACCTGCAAGATGTCTTTTATATCTTTGGGCTTCAGAAATCTATGATAGAGGTGTAAATCTCCAAATGTGACCTTGCATTCAGTTGAGCGTTGGGGGGCTGACCAAGCCAAGGGTGCATTAAGCAACAAATTGTGCTGAGGACCAAATGAGTTATCGGCCGATACTGCTCGAGAACCAGTCACATCTCCCACTGGAGAGAAGGGCTTGAACGATGAGGACAGCAAGTATATGACCAAGACACTAATGTGCGTATAGCAACAACCAGCCCTCGTCTCTGACCCAATGGTGCGACCTATTGGCCGCATCGTTATACCTATCTATCAGAACAGGAACGCGCAATAATCGGTTAGGACGGGTAACCCTTAATGACGGGGTTGACCTATCAGACTACAGCATACGACAAAGAATATATTACGTAATTAGTGTGACCCTGGCGTATCAGATCAAGCTCTTGCGTAATTATTATTATTATTAGTACGCGTTACCTATTCGGTTTCGCGAGCCTACAAATCTATCGTATAATAAACCGTGCCTAAGCCGGATGAAAAATATACGCTACGTATTCGGTACGCCTAAGCGGCGTCTGCGTTGCGTGGTTCCGTCGCGTATCACGAATGGCTCTCACCAGCCAGACGTTCTTTGGGTGAGGTTGGTCGCCTTCCTTCACACCTTCGAGCCTATGCGGTTCCTGGGCATATGCGATTCCTAGGGGCGTGTGCGCTTCGTCGGCGCTGCGCGGGCGCATCGCTGTCGGCGCTCTCTTTCCGGAGGTCGTCGTGTAAGTCGGCCTCAGTATCCGGGGCAACCAGTGGCAGGTGCTGCAGCACCCTACATATCGACGGCGGCATTGTCGTCGTCGTCGTGATTCCTTCTCTCCTCCTTCAAGCCATCGTCAACCTGTAAGTGTTCTTCGTCGGCCGCGCCGATGTTCTTGCATAATTGCTTACAGTAAGAACGGAGATAGTTACGCCGAGCGTGGACCTATAAAGCTAGGCGCGTGACGTGTGCACGTCTCTGGTTGTTGTCATCACGCAACCCAAAATAGCTACTCCTGACTAGTCTTGGAAATCAAAAATGCGTGCCGCCATCGCGCCCGCCACTTTCATCCTCGCCGCTACCCCAGCGTTCGCGGCGGTCAACGGGCGGTGCACCGGCAACGTCGCAAATCCCCACAAGCTGTACGGCATCTGCGTCTCGACGGCGACGTGCGAAAAATATGACGGCACTACAGTTAACAACGGCTGTCCCAATGATGGCAATGACATTAAGTGCTGCTGGATCACTTCATGTTATGACGGGCGCTCGTCGAATTGCCAATGGAAAAACCAGCAGTGTGAAAGTGGAGTGTTTGTGCCTGGTAAGTCTTGAGATGGCAAGGCGGGACGTCTATGGGTGATTCAGAAGGGTAACCTAGTAAAACAGGGTATTGTCCTGGGAAAGAGAACTACCAGTGCTGCGACTTTTATGAGTAGAATCAAATAGACGACTGGTCCGCTAATGGCGTGGCCAAGGGTGATACGCTTTGGCTCGGCAACTCATTAGCTAGTAGTAGAGCAAATTGGGCGCATAGAAGCGGCCGCTGTGAAGTGGTAGTAGTGTAACGGAAAAGTGGAGAATAGGCAACGACCAGGTTTAAGTTCTAGATGCAAGTGAAGCAATAACCGACCAGACGGAGGACATTCCGAGAGATCCAACTTTATTCGAGATTTTGACTGGACTTCCAAATGGTTCCAGCACTCATACCGCCTTAAGCTCTCGATTATAAAATATAATACTATATTTCCTGAGGACAGCTATAAGACCTACAAGATTGACAACTGCGACCGTATACTATCTTTCAAGTTAGCAGGAGTATCTGCATGAGTATTGGGTTGCGCGTTGTACCTTGATCTATAAACGCCTCACGTGCACCTTTTAGTGCCAGAACACGCTCGCTTATTGTGTGAACCAGTAAGCCCGTCTTCCTAGGGCTATCCTGCTATGGTGCGAAGGATAAGGATAGGGTATACACGCGGGAGCCTCTTTTCTAGCGCAGCCCCTATCGCCGACGTCGTTATCCTCAGGGCTAATCATACGGATATTACGGTTGTCCAGATACTGGAGGATAATACTACTGTCTCGCTCGGTAAGCGAGACGGTGGCTTCTTGGGCTCCTGTGGAAATATCCATCGTGGTGAGGCCAAGTATTTGATCAGCCCGGATTGCTTTAACCTTTCGGGCTAGCGGCGCACCTCAGTCGTTAATATGAATCGGTACTTCGTGAACGCAAACGAAATCCTACAATCCGGAAAAGGGTATATGATAAGTACTTCTAGGCTTATGGCCCTTTTTAGTTGGTCCGCCCGAATAATAGCGATTAATAATCAAAATGCTTGCCTGCGACAACAGTGGCAATTATGCGGCCTCGTGTAACATCGACGGTTCTTGGCTTCAGGCCGATGGATCTTACGCCCTTAACTGCCGGACATACAATGGGTCTTACGCGGGGACCAGGGCATACTGGATCAGTAAGTCTTTTAGAGCCTTACTCGTTGCAAAACAAACCAGATGGTATAACAGCAGTGATCTCACAGCGTATCAGGTAGACGACTTTATTACCAATGCCGCTGGCCAGCTCATGTCCTTCGGTGGCAAAAGCACCTAATTTAACAACTCTCCTTGACTGCTAGGCGGAAATCCCTACACTTGGGACTGTGTGGTTCGGAAAGGATGGAGCATAGCATATAAAGATGTACGGGGCAGGGGATGGAACGGACGGTTGATGAACTTGGTATTGTGGGGTGGCGCACACTTAAAGCCTTACAGGGTGCTTACCCGGCCTTTAAGGGGAGCTCCAGCGACTCAGGACAAATATTACGTGGATTACAACAAGAAAGACAGGGAGGGCATGACAGCCCTCACACGAGCTGTTTAGCGCAGGGATGGGGCGATGGTAATGCTGCTACTCAACGAGGATGCAGATCCTAACGCCGCGGACGATAAGAACCACAAGAGTGACATTTTGCGACCGTACACAATTCTCTCTGTTTGGCCCGGAGCGTCTGTACCATTGTTGATTGGGCACTTATCTGCACTGCCACCCGCGCGGCTACTGGGAGGACCATACGGGACCGCAAGGCCGGCCCGAGGCATGGGGCATGTGGGCACGTACTAGCCGCCCGGGTCCCCCGGCCGACGAGGGCCCTCCCCCCCCCCCCCCCCTTTTTTTCTTTTTCTTTTTTTTTTTGGTATCCAGCTCCCAGCGTTCTCGGTGACCCTCGGCGGGAAAGTACTCAACAACGGCGACGCATGAAGATCAGTTACATAGCCGCCTAATATTTTGGAAAAGTGAACCTTATTCCACAGGTTAAGCACACCCATGCTTGGTACTACGAACGGTGGAGAAGCGGAATGGGGGCCTATATGAGAAGGTTGTAAGTGGAATGGGGTTGGCCTGATAAGCCTGGTATCATGCCAGGAAAGTCTCCATGCCTTTGCATGAAGTAGGAGCTGATAAGGGGTATAAGGGGCTCGGTCCGTTGGATTATCTCGTCCTAAATAGGCAACCATTGGCAAAATCCAGCTGCCGTCTGCCCTCATGCGTCACCTTAGGGACAATGAACAGAGTTTGAACAGAGTTGCGTTATAGGCTTGGAGTGCGGCGGAATTTCGACGAAGCGAGGTGGAAGCTGCTTGACTTCGTTTGAGCACGTTCCTGGTCGGGGTGAACGAGCTGCAGAGGCATCTACGCAATAGAGGTCACCGAAGGGTGTGTGGGAGGGTACGCTAGGTGTGGCGACGGCGGCTCAGAGCGTGCTTCAACGAAGTCCAAGGTTGATCGCTGTTCTTGGAAAATCTTTTGGTCGTTATTTTCTGTTCAAGCACGGGGCTAGTGTACTTCGAGCCCCCGCCGTGGTGCGGTGAGATCTGAGGAGTAGGAAGGCAACCAAAGGGGCAATCCTCCCCGTGCATCCCCCGTGCCAACTAGGGTCCGGTGTATAGCGGCCAGACCAGCAATCACATGGATCGGGGACATGCCAGTGCTGTTAATGGTCTTCCGGCAAAGCTCACTTGCCGGTGGTCCCGGGAAAGCTTCCTATCGCTCACCGAGGCCCTTTACAGATCGTAATGGAAGCAGAACCGGTTGGGGGCTTCTACTCCGACGGGTTCTAGAAAGGATAAGACGAGAACTGTCATGCGCCTAATCAAGGACCCTAGAGCCTTCAGATCATGTGCCTTTGATCGGTCTAACAGCAGCTAAGCCCAGAATAGCTCGGAATCGCAAGCGGTGCTGCCCTATTGGGCCGTCACTCAGCCTTGCTCGCAGGGGCATAGAAAAGTACGTCGTAGGGAAAGTCCCTTGAATGCGACCCACTGGGGTCGAGTCCACCCAGCGGGGCCCTGCATGCTCGTAAGGACGCTCGCCTGCGCCATTGACGTTAGCTTGGGACAGCATATGGGGTCATGTCAGTTCACCGGCATGCTCGAACTGCCGACAGCAGTCAAGCCAGACAAGCATTCGCCAAGACCATCCTGATCAAGCCGCTTAGACGCCAACAGCCACCCCTGTGCCCTGCAAAAGGTTGCATCGTGATTGTGGCTAGTCATGCCGTTGAATGCCATGCTGAGCCGAGTCGACTCACCTTGCATTCGGAACGCCTTACGAGCAGTAGACACCCCGAGTATAAAGCAAATGCTGGAGTCGCCACCAACAGTCATTAGGTCAACGCAGGATCTGCACAGCCCTCGCTTTGTCAAGAGTCCGGTCATCATCGTCTCTTGCCGCGATGAAGCTGCTGCATCTGCTGGCCCCCATCCTGGCGGCCCGCCTCGTAGAGGCCAAGGCTGTTTTTGCCCACTACATGGTATGTCAAAGAAGCCTTGCAGCACTTGTCCTTTAGGTTTCCAAGCAAACCATGCAACTAACCGACTTGCCCTAGGTGGGCAACTGTGACCCTGCAACCTTTAGCGTGGCCGACTGGAAGACCGACATCGGCCTCGCCCAGGCCGCCCACATCGATGCCTTTGCCCTCAATATTGCCGCCAACTCGCCCTTCAACGACCAGTCCATCGCCAATGCCTTTGACGCGGCCGGTGCCCTCGGCTTCCACCTGTTCTTCTCCTTTGACTACGCGGGTGGCGGAGCCTGGCCCGCGAGCAGCGTAAAGTCCCTTCTCAACCAATACAAGGGCCATGGCGCCTACTACCTCTACAACGGCAAGCCCTTCGCTTCCACGTTTGAGGGTTGGCAGAACTCGGCAGACTGGGTCGACATCAGGGCGAGCACCAACGCATTTTTCATGCCCGACTGGTCCTCCAAGAGTGCCAAGGAAGCGCTTGAGTTAACCCCAGGCGTGACCGACGGGCTCTTTAGCTGGGCGGCGTGGCCCTATGGCGCCGACGACATGTACACGGTGGTGGACAATTCCTACACGACCTTTCTGAAGGGCGCGCCGTACATGATGCCTGTCTCGCCGTGGTTCTACACCAACTTGCCTGGGTTCAACAAGAACTGGCTCTGGCGCGGAGATGACTTGTGATACGACCGGTGGCAGCAGGTCCTCACCATCCAGCCCGAGTTTGTCGAGATTATCTCGTGGAACGACTTTGGCGAGTCCCACTACATCGGCCCGCTGTGGGAGTCGCAATACACCACCAACTTCGGCGCGGGAAACCCTCCTTACAACTACGCCAAGGACCATCCGCACGATAGCTGGCGCCAGCTGCTTCCGTTCTACATTGACATGTACAAGAACAACAACAGTGCCGTCGGCCAGGAGGCGGTAGTTGGCTGGTACCGCCCCATTGTCGGTAGTGCCTGCACCACTGGAGGGACTACGGCCAACACCATGAGCCAAGTGCAGTGCGAACAGGCCCCGGACACCGTCGTGCAAGACCGTGTTTTTGTCGATGCGCTGCTCGCAGGCGAAAAGCCAGGAACCGTGACCATCGGCGGTGTCTCCCAGGGCATCACGTGGGAGAACAAGCCGGTTGGCGGGATCGGCATCTACCACGGCAGTGTCCCCTTCAACGGCAACACGGGCCCGGTCACCGTGTCGGTCTCGGGGGTGGGCTCTTTCGACGGCCCGGCCATTACGACCAGCTGCACCAACAATATCCAGAACTACAACGCGTGGACTGGCTATGCCAAGGGCGCCGGCTCTGGTGCTACCCCATCCACACGGGTCGAGGACATGGTCTGCGTCCAGGGACGCGGCATTGGCAACTACAAGGGGCTTTGCGAGTTCACCTGTTCTTATGGATACTGCCCCCCCGTCTGCACATGCAGCCAGCTGGGAATCGCCCGTCCGCTCCCCGATCCTGTCAATGTCGACAGCTATCCGGTCGGCGGGCTGGATGTCACGTACGGCGGCCTCTGCAGCTTTGCTTGCAACCGGGGATACTGTCCTGCGGGCACGTGCACGCTCACCCAGGAGCCCCTCGGGCCGATTCCAGACGTGCCGCCCTTCCCACTGTGCTATCCACCGGATGACGCCCCAAAGCCCGATCAGGTGTGTATTGGCGGCAGCGGAGAGGGCGGCTACGCGGGACTCTGCGACTTCTCGTGCAACCACGGGTTCTGCCCCAGCCCGTGCAAGTGCCTGGCCTACGGCGATCCGATCCCTCCTCCAGCGAACACCGGCAACACGGGCTGTGGCTCGACTACAGACTTGTCCAATCTCTGTGCCTTTACCTGCCTGCACGGCTACTGCCCCTCGGGCGTATGCTTCTCTGCTCCAGGCGACTTTGTATGCCCCAGCACCGGGTAAGTTGGGTCTCAGAATTTGGTGGCGCGAGCCTGGCTTCAGCCTGCTAACAAGTTCTCAGTGGCCAATTCTTCCAAGTAGGAGGTGACAAGCAGCCGAATGCGAGCTGCAACGACATCAAAGGTCGGTATCTCACCGGCTACCTTCGTCACAATCAAATTGGCCTGCGGCTCGTGAAGGCTGACACATCATGACAGGGCAAATTGCGCAAGCCGCATACTACAATGCTGTGGACGCTGGAAACCAATACTCGAGTAAGGCAGAATGCTTCTGAAGACGCGAAACGCAGGGCTAACGAGCAACTCTGTCCAGAATGGTGGGGTTTGACGCCCGATGCATCAATGGAGGCGTTTGCCACTCCGTACGGCAATGGCCAGTCCATGATCTGCACGATCGCGGACCCCTGTAGCCGACCCAACTGCAACAGCCTCGACAACCCAGCCGAGCCCGGCACAGCCTGGCCTTACTTAGTCGAGCTGTCGGCGGCCAACTTCAACGCTGTAAGTTCTGCTTGCTTGGGGACACACACTCGCAGACCCTCCTCTGGAATCTGACAATGGCATCGCCAGTTCATGACGGCACACTTCAATGCTTTGACCGACGCTCGCGCGTCTTATGCGACCCTACAACAGGCGATAAACAGCAATTTCTGGTCGCAGCGCCCCGATGAAAATGTCCTGACCAAGGAAATCCTCAACGCGATGACCACGGCCCTGTTTCTGGGAATGTCCTGGGGCAAAGAACTGGGTGGCGCCTTCGCCTCGCTAATGAGCGGTGCGTCGTCGGCCTTCATGTTACAGATGAAAGCAAGTCAGGACCAGCTGGCGCAGCTGGCGAAGGAAGAGGTGTAAGTGAACCAATACGTCCTTCCAGAACGCGTGCACCAGAACTTGGACTGACTTGGATTCTCTAGTATCGCCAAGACTATGGTGGACGGCTTCAAGAACCAGATCGAAGATATATTCAACGGAATTATCAACAAGGGCATCTACATCTACACGGACGTAACCGGATCCCAATGGTTTATTTCATCATACTGGATGTTCGAAAACGGGCAATGGGTAGACCAGCGAAACATTCCGCTGCTCAGCGGCGAGGTATCCAACTTGGACCTGGCAAACTACTATTATTCAATAACCGCCGCGGCGGTGATGAACTACGCCTGGAAACAGCAGAACACCTACATCATGTGTCACCCAATGACCGAGGACGAGTGTAAGTAAACGCCCGCTCCATATTACCACCTGTCGCGTTCCGGGCTTCGCAAAAGACTGACACATCTCTGAATGCATTAGTCAACAACCTCAAGGTCAAGGCAGGCAGCAACGACTTCCGTCTGAAACTTTATTATGACGGCAAGGGTTGCTATATGCAAGCGTGAGTCACATATCTAACTTGCAGCTTTGTCCGGCATGAGACACGCATACTGACTCGACTGCCTTAACAAGTGTGGATGGGTCAAAGGTTCTCGGCATTAAGACTGTTCAGCCAGTCAACCCACATGGCTGGGGTGTAAGTTTGAGTTTCGCATTTCCGCCATCATATTACCTGGTCAGGCTATAAAGGGGCACGCAACGATCGCTAACGAATTCTTTCCCCACCGCATAGAGCCTCCAATCCTCCGACTTCCCCTGGAGCGTCTGGGATGTCATCAAAGGCAGCGTGGACGCCTTCAATGCGGGCGGTTTCTTATACGATCCCGGTAACGTGGAGGTGGCGGGCGTCGGCTCCGGCTCCACCCAGCCGCGATACGACCTGCCGACAGTCTTCAACATCCCAATCTGCATGATCGCCCCCAAATTTGGCACTTACACCGCGAAAGAATTCGTTAAGGTCTTAAACGAACCTAATAACGGCAATCAATATCCAAGGTTAGAATGCTCAGGACTTGCATCCCTCTTGCTCTTTATGAATAAGAACCATAGGACTAATTTTGCTATAGCTTCTGCTACTGCTTGGACGCGAAAGATAAGAACGAAAAAAAAATTAGTGATTCAATCCCTATTTTCCAGTATAGCAAGAGTTGTTGAGTAGTATAGTAGATACCAGCTAGGCTACATTATATAGTAATTTCTGGACCGAGTATATAGCTGGCCAGCTAAATATGGTCTGCTTTATGTTGAGTACGGCGTAATTTAGAAGGCGCGCTGCCTAAAGTTAACCTTGGTGAGGCAAACTATAGCTTGAATGATTGTTAGAAACCTTCACCGGCCAAATTTGCAGAAGAAGTTTACCTAGTCTCGTGCTGTAGCCTCAAAGAGTTAATTATCGATGATTGATTTCGGTAAAGACTGTCTGATAGGAAAGAAGTTATGGAAAAGTTGCAAAAACAAACACTAACACCAACCTCATCGGCCGATGAGAAAACACAAGATTAACAACAAGAGACAAAACCCACAACTATTACCCTCTGTAAGTAAGCACCACCCCTAGTCTAGGCATTCTTTCCGTATGTATCCAAAACCGAACAAGACCTATTCTGCCTTCCAGAAACCTGTCCCGGCAATCTATCGCATACGCGATGATCGAGTTGGAATATCCCCAATGGCGAGATTCAAAGTTTGGGATACCTGTGGCACCCGCGGCACCTCAAGGCGCCATCTTTGCTTGTGCTGTTTGAGCTGTGGAGGCAGTATGTGATTTGCGGCGTGAGGATGCGTTGTGAACTACTTTCAGGTTATAATTATGAGAATAGACCTCGCGCCTTCTTATAGACCCTTCGGCTCCTGTCTGCCGGATCACTTTGGATGAGAGATAAAGGAATTTTCTCGACGCATTCTCAAGGCTACCAACCGTTCCCTACCATCGACCATCAGACAAAGAAGCTTTATCACTGTACTCTCAAAATACCAACCCATTATCTAATGTCGAGAACCAGGCAAAGAGGAGTTCTGAATGCATTCGCTAAGCTGCCCAACGTACCGTAGATACCATGTGATAGTGATGACAGACGACTCGAGACAGGAATGAACGTAAAGAGAAAGACGGATGCCGGGTTCAGAAGGCATGCTAAAGATTTGTGCTGCTCACAGTACAGGAATGCTGATGTGCCCCACAAATCTTTCATTGAATAAAGATGTCAGCTCTACTATGAACAAGCATGAGCCTGCACACCAGTCGAGCCTCAGCGCCCGGCGGTGATTCTCGCAATTGTATGTGCGCCACTTCAACCACCACACATCGGAATGGATTATCCTCTTGCCTGCAATTGTCTGACGCCCCTTGATGGACGTCGCATTCGGAGCTCCAGACGGGACATCTCTTTATGTAAAACGCGATCTATCGATCTGCCAAGGCGGGCACTTGCATGCCGTCCAGAGATGGTCGAAACTGACTGCAAGGGTGTGCGGAGGATCCTGTAGAGCGTGGACACGTTTTCGGGCATGCCGAGCTAAACCAACATAAAAGGTGACGCATTTCGTGTTAGGGGGCCGCACAAACGCGCAGTTTTGTGAGTTCCACACCTCGCATGCTTGCTCAGGTGTTGTTGGTCGATCAAGTCACATGCGCTAAGCATGCATGTTGGCTGCACCTAAGCGCCCATGGGGCATCAGCAAAGAGTTGTTGCATGGCACAGGGCGGCTTTGACCTGGGCTGTGCTGGGGCGCGGTACATAACAGTACGCTGCCCAACGCGGCCCTTTGTCAGTTTTCCGTTTACAACCACCCGAGTGACCTTACTCCAACATCTTTCTATCAAATGCCCCGACATCTTCGAAATGGCAGGTACAATGGCGAATCCCTCCCCATCCAACATGTTGGCAAACATCGACGATGAAATTCTTGAGGATTTCAAGGCGAAATTCCTATCGGTTCTTGGTGCTTCCACGGGGACGCGACCAACGCCGAAACGCCACTTACAACGAGGCATTGACGACGGGCTAGCAATCGGCATGTCGCGGGTGCCCAGCCCGGAACACGACTTCAGGCGGGGAGGGGTTGGAATCCCATGGTCGAGCACTTGGTCTGCTTGTCTCCGGCTCCCCATCGCAACAAAGGACGATCCGTGGGATGACGAGACCTCTGGCGGAACACTTTCGGTCCAGTTCGCGCACAAAAAATACAACAATGCTACCGACATCGCTCTCCGCCAGGCCGCCGATGCTATCCACGAGGCATGGCCTGACGCAACCACAGGCCAGCACAAACGTCACATCAAATTATTCCGCCACATGCCTGTTCAAGCTCCGCCCCTGACGCTCGACCATATCTCGGCGATGGAGCCACTGGTTAGCTGGCTTGCATCACAGAGTTTACTCCCCGGAGAAAGCGTTCAAGTGGGGTTCCTAACCCGTAGCCCGGAGGGCAATCTAAATCGATTGCGCGGTGATCATGTTAGTTGGATAATGGTTGTAATGGTGTGCCGACTTCGATATGGGCTAACAGGACGTGCATATTTACCTAGCAACTCGTCTTTCCACATTTGGGGTTCAACGAGGTTGAAACGCCATGGAAGAGCGACTCGGACATCGGACCAAACCCTGCCGCGGTTGGGCCTCGCTGCGGGCAAATATGGTGAGTTGATACTAATATTGCCGTCTTTACCATTCCGCTGGCTGCGGGGCCCGGTCCAGTCTTCGAATACTAACTGGTCATCGTGTGCAGGAGCTTTGGCCCTTCAGACGCAGGGGTGATCTCATTTCCAGTCATTGCGGCCACGATGCTCCTTATATATGATCCCGACAAACAAGGTATCGACCCAGAGACGCTGAACCAGTATCCAGACGCCGACCTCTCATGGTGCTTTGATTTCCTCCATGCACATGCTAGGCTCAAAGGCCCCGATGAGAAAGAGCTGCCCGGGATATCAGAGAGTCATTCTTGGTCGCTCGAGAGCTACGGAGGCTTTTCTCTGTGTATGCATTTCACTTTGCACAGATTTTATCAGCTGAGTGAACATACTCCAACTCTACAAGAACATCCCCTCGCAGCTGGCCTGCAGTGTAGCAGGCGCCAGATACACACTCACTTCGCCGGCACGTTCTACGAGGACCGGACTACAATCGTGATCAGAATGGTCACGACAAGAGACAATCACGGGAGAGCCAAGGATCCTGCAACTACAGAAGGATTTGAGGTTGTCGGCTTCACTCTCGATGACGGCTGGGGTCGTGGATACCGATGGGAAAATGGAGACTGGAGCGATAAGAGTCTTGTCTGTCCCGACGAGGCTCGCGGTGTAGCCGTGTTTCAACACCTGCTGTGGAAAAGATTCATCGATTGGCAAGAATCATGGCAAACTCTGTTACATCGTTTGAGAACCACCATGGACATTGATGTAAGCCCCACTGACGATAATCAACTCCGCCCACTCTGCCCAGCGCATCCTATAAGAAGTCTTGCTTGTCATACTTACGCAGCCCTAAAGGACCACCATCTAGCCAGCGATAGCAAGATACTCGACAGCCTAATGCGGGACGACGACGCATCCACGAAGTCCAAACAATATTTCACAACCATCAAGTTGATGAGGACTTTCAGAAAACATATGGCGGCCACACCCCCGGACCTTGCAGACATGAGGGAGCACTGGACTCGGACATTCCCAGGGCATACTTCAGCTATCCCCAGCCGTTTTAGTTCAGATACACAGCAAGCCCTGAACAAGAACTGGGACCACCTGGAGGCACACCTGGGCGAATTACACCATAATCTGGAAAAGCTTAGCCGTGAGATAGAGGCAGAGGCAAGAGAGGCTTGGCGTGATGTAAGTGTCAGATAGAAATCGACTAACTATGCATCCCTGTCGTTCCCGAGTTGTCAAGTACGAGTCCTATCATGCCACAGCCTTGAGCCCCTTCTGAGCCCTTGAGCATTACTGACCGTCTGCCTCCACAAACGACAGATGACAAGCATGGCTAGGCAGGGCAATATGGGAGTTACAGTACAGATGGATGGGGGTGTACATCTGCAACAGAGTATGGTGTTCGCGGCGAGCTTTGCTGTATTGTGTTTTGCTATGCTAAGGGCGTTCAACGGCACTGGGTACTGGACACAGAACCACTGACGAGGCCGGGTGTGATTTCGATTTCTCATCCAATTCCGGGATTACCAACCTCGCCGTTCGACCAAGTGGACGATAAGATGGCATATGAAGGCACTTGGTCCTCGGAAAGGTCTTGGTCACGGAGTCTGGTCGCATTGGCAAGAAGCATTATAGTCTCTGTAATTTCCAAGATTCACTCTGTTATGCACGGACAAGCTGAAATATATAGAGAACATGCCAGAAACCATTCGCAGCTCATCACTATACACGATAGTGGGGAAAAGCCTCTGGTCAAGCACTAATAATGCCGAAAAAAGGTGGGAATGGTCGTGGACGGGGCAATTCTGATAGACCACCCAGCCTTCCTCCTGTGTCCGAGTTGCAACCAGCTCTACCAGTCAATTGTCGAGTTAAGGCGACGCGACCACCCGTTTAATCAAGGGCTAGGGTATATCCGTTACGTCGGATATTTTCGAGTAGTAGAGGAGAGAGCTAGCAGCGATGGCGATAACCGCCGTGAGGGCGATGCCAGTAGCTGCGGAAGTGTCGAGATGCTCCATGACGCGGACCGAGTATTGATATAGAGTCACGAGATCTGTGGCGGGTAGTGGAACTGTATCAAGAACTTGAATCGCTAGCGTCGGTTACCACGGCCTTGTGCGTGAGTTTGTGCGGGGTCGTCTTTGTCATCATTAACGACATTGACTCAGGCACAAACTCGAAGCTTTTTCCGCGAGCCAAATATACTCTGATTGACAAACGAGCAGCGACCAGTAGAAGAAACCTTGCTTTTGATCATTGCGATACGCCGCGTCTCTGCCGCCGGTCTATGTGTATTGAGCTTACAAAACTTACCTTAAACCGTTGGTGGTCTTCCACACGTTGCGTATGAATCCGATTAATGGCAATGGTGGGCCTCAATGGAGATTCTGCGATGACCCACGAGAAGGTCCATCGCGAGGGCTGCATCGCTAAAAGTGCACTCTTCGGGCCCATAGCACCGTCACTGTGTCAAGCATTGAGCATTTACCATGCAGTGCCCGAGATCTCTGCGAAACCTACCAACACATGTAGTAGAGCTGTCAAGCACGCATGTTCGTCCCTATTGGACCAGCACATGACAAAAGCGTTGATGCTATCCTGCGCAATATGTTTTCAGACGGCATCGCGGGAGCATTATTAAAGAAGAACAACGTTTGACGATTAGCTGTCTCCATCTGCTTATGGTAGGTAGCAGTGTGATCGTGTCTTGCTGCCATTAGGCGGACGTTCTGTTCGAGTTTCTAACACACGTCGCAGAAGATTACTTGAAAAATACTAACACCGTCGTATTTTGCATGCTCCATCCATCCTATTTCGTTAAGGACACGGGCTACATCTCTGGAACGTAGAAAGGTCAGGTCATGTCTTGCAGCTAGAAGTGAGAACTAACTAATAGCTCTATCGCAGAATGCGGCTCACGACGATCGTGATAATTTGCTGCGGGGTTTTCAATGTCAGGTGCGTTTCCGTCCAGCGGACACCTTTCCAGGCATGTGCTCAGGTTTTGCTCGAAGGACCATCGGGATACTACTGCCGGCAGGTAGCCTACTCCCAAATCATCTTACTATGGTTCCACGCCAAATGTTGAGCACATTTCATGTACTTGACAAACTCCCAATTTGCCAAGCATGCAGGCTCATATACCTTGCACACGCATACTAGCATACTTGAGCAAAGAAATTTTGCATTTGTATTAGCTCTACATAGAGAAACCTCAAGTGAAGGTCATTTGCTTGGGTTCCCCCTGTCTGCCAGGAGGATTCGATGCATAGGTAAAAGTTAGGCATACAACTACAGTAGTGGCTGGATAGGTGCACGGCATTATCTAGATGACAGGGACTCGGCTCCTTCTCGGCGGCGGATCTGGATCCCAGCTAGCCAAGCCCTACCAACCCCAATGGGCGTTTCCCATGTGCCCAATTCCTATCTCCCACCGCCACTATTGGGAGATGATGCTCGTAAGGAATCCCTGTACAGCTCTCATTGAGGAACACATGGCTATTGGGCTTCGAGGTCTAGGCTTCTAGGTGGGCCAGTTCATTGTAGACTAGCTTGGCGATTGCAGGTGTTGCGGCGGTGGGACAAGGAACATAGCCCAAACCCAGACATGACAAACTATATAAGTCCTCGATACCCACGATTGAAACTGACTTCTACTCTACTATCGTCTGCATTATAGTGAAATCCGCACCTCCCACCCTCTATAATACTATTCCTCATTATGCAGTTCAAAACCGCTACTATCGTTGCCTTCGCGGCTTCGCTCGGCGGTAACGTCTTCGCCAGTGCGGCTCCGGTTGCCGACGTCGCTGTTCCTGAAACGCCGACCAGCACGAGCCTGGAGATCCGCGAGATACTGGCAGACAAGACTGTTTCGCTGGGTAAGCGTGACGGTGGTTTTCTAGGCTCCTGCAAAGCTTCGACTGTAGGATTCGACATCTGGGATAAGGGTAAAACCTGGCTCATTGCCGAATGCCGAACCCTTGATGGCGCGTGGCGCTCGTCGAAGCTCAACATGAACCGGTGCTTTGTCAACGACAATGGGTACCTGCAGTTCCGCCAAAAGTATAGTAAAACCCCTCTTTTCAATCGTCTTACTTGGGTTTCCCCTCTTTCGCAACTGTAACACTAGCGAAGAAACCAGCTTATAATCGAATTACTTACCGACGACAACAGTGGAGGGTATGGGGGCTCGTGTGACGTCGCTGGCAGCTATATTACTGCGGATATGTGGTTAGGTATTCGCTGCAAGAACGTGCAGGGAGAATTGATGCCGAGCCGGGAATACAGCCTCAGTAAGTCATTATTGCAAATCCTTGATAAGTAGAAAACCTAGTCTTGAAGCGGCAGTGAGCTAACCGGGATTTATAGATGCTTTCATCACCAATGCTTCTGGCCAGCTAATGTGCTTTGGTGGCAGCACCTGATCAGAGGGCCACGCCTAGGTAATGCGCGAAAGGCTCGGCACCGGCTTGGAATCAAATTGGTGCCTATATTTGTCCGACTATTCGCAGCGGCCTCTTCTGTCTATAAGAAGATTTTCGATAAAGCTGCGGTAGTACTTTCCTGGAACGGCTTTTTGCGAATGGTCCCCCGCCCTCTATATATACCGATGATAATATTAAGCGATGTTGAGTAACGTAATCCACAAGCGACCCGCCCACACAAGCGACCCGCCCACCCTCTACGCACTCGTATGATAATATATAAGTCAAATTAACCATAACGCCTTAAATCAATTGAAACTATGAGGAATCCTCTTCTTCAGAGGCAGATACAACTTTCTGACACGTACGAGCATTATGGCCAGGCTCGCCGCAGACGCCACATCGTCGCGCGCGCGTTTCGGGCCTCCTCGTACGACCACTATTCTGACTCGTTTCCGCCATTAACTGCTGCGTCGCATCGATTTGAGCCTTCAAATCCTTTGCCTGATCAATCGTGAGGGACCCTCCTTTCTGTAGCTGCTTTCTTTTCGTACGACGACGGCGGCTGAGGCGGTCGTTTGCATCTCGAAGTTCGGCGATATCATGGCGCATAAGGTCCTGCTCGTGTGCCATCATCGCCATCCCTTTATGAAGCTGCTTAAGGCTTACGACTATAGACGACGGTGAGCTATTCTGGTGTCGTACGATGCGATTTTTGAGATACTCCGTCTGCGATTCGGCCTCAATCGGGTTATTCGGCGTCTTTGAGACCCAGGGGGGTGGTAGTCCAGCAGAACCTGGTGGTGTCGGCGTACGAAGCTTTATATCTAGCTGTGAAATTACATAGTCCGGGTCGTACGGTACTAGGCCTGTCGCTCTAAAGCCTGCCTGGATGTTTGATTTGGTCATTGCAGTGTCGTACGCCTTATAAAAGGCTGGGAGGAAGTCCTCCTTTGAAACGTGGGTTACGTGCGCCCGCATTAGACCTTCGATTTCTTTACCGTACGCCCGTTTCAGAGGTCCAAAACACCCAACATCGAGAGGCTGGAGCTTATGCGACGAATGAGCAGGCATACAGAGCGTGACAATATTCTGTTCCTTGCAGTAGAGCTCGAAATCGACGGAATGGTGGCTCTCGTGGCCGTCGAGGATAAGGAGGCGGTGGGTACCCTTCGTACGACTCTTTGTATGGAAATCAAAGTGTTTTACCCATTCTAGGCCTCTCTCGTTCGTCGTCCAACCGTTTTCTGAAAGCGCGATTACCCAGTTGGCCGGTAGAGGGCTATTCGCGGTCCAGGAGTCGAGGTGGACCTTCCCGGCGAAGATAATGTACGGCGGGATTGAATAGCCGTACGACGCGATACCCTGGATTACTGTAACCCATTCCAGATTGCCTTGTTGTACGGCTCTTGGCCTCCCGCGTCGATCGGAGGTCGTAACGACAGTTTCGGCGGAGATTTTACCCATCGCGAAGCCCGTTTCGTCGAAGTTGTAGATATCGTCATCGTGGATCCCGTATTTCGCGATTATGTTTTGTACGAGCTCAAACCACGCGCGATACGCGTCTGGATCTTCGCAGAGGACTCTCTGGTAGTCGATTCTTCGATTAAAACGCGTACGGAGCTCTGATCGTCGTCGTACGAAGTTTGAGGCCCAGTTCGTTCCGACGCGTGGCGCGTCGCGCACGCGGAGGAGTCGATCCGCCATTTCTCGAACACCACCTAACCGCGGTGGAAACGATCGCGAATCTAGGTCGATTATATATCGTACGATACTGTCCTCTTCGTACGAGGTCAATTTCTGGCAAGGTGGTCGGATATCTTGTTGCGCAGGTCGGCCGTGTTGTCGACGTTGGAGGGTTGAGAAGGATACATTATAGATCTGTGCAGCCTTTCGTACGCTCAATTCTGGGTTCGATTGAAGCGCATTTAGCGCGAGAACTAAATCGCTTTTATTTGATTGTCGTACCATAATTATTGGTGGAGAAAAGGGGGAAAGAAGACAGCCTGTACGAAAGTGGCGGGGGACTGATTCATCCACTTGTGTGATTCACCCACTTGTGGATTACGTTAATAGTTAAGTTAATACAAACCTTCACATCATCGACTATAGAAGGCTTCTTTCTGTCTTGCGCTTGAACATAAACAAAGGGTTGCACCTCGCCAAGTTTAGTACTTCCGTACACTTTGCTGCTCATAGTTGACCCGCGTGGTCGTCGTACTTCTCAGCAGAGAGCCCCAGTAGAGATATGCGTCTACGTCTGTCCCTATTCGTTTATTACCAATCTAGCTGGCCCGATTCTGTTCTTTCTTCTTAACTCGCGCGCATCCCTGTTCTTACCACTTACAGCGCGTTCGCAAGCTATTACATCCAGCGAAGAACGCCACTCCTCTTTCGCTTCTAAGTAGCTCCATAATCCAGGGTCCCCGGGCGCTACCATCCAGAATGTACCCACACCTGCGGAGCCATTTCCGCATCTAAGCGTGGCCGTGCATAAAGCCTAACCACCGAAAGCCATATACGGCGCCTGATGTAGAGCCGTGCTTAACATAGTGCTAGGAGACCAATAGATGCCCTCATCAGCATGCGAAAAGCTTAGTCGATAACATATTATCATTAGTCGGCGCAAGTATTAGTGAATGTTTACGCTGACCAAGCCTGGCACGTTCACTTCAATCCCCTTAGGCTGGACCATCGGCCAGAAATGGAGCTACAAACAAGTAACAATATATTCAGCGAGACAGATTTTTCTTAGGGGGGAAAAGATGCAGGCACGACCGGACTGTTGGCTAGCCCAACGCTTATTAGCATTGAACCCCCGAAGCCCTTCCCAAGCAGCGCCCCAGTGCTCGACGTCGCAGAGCAGACTATAAGTTAATAGCTATCCTCGGTTAATCCCTATTGTCCAGACCATACCCACAGGGTCCACGTGCTCCATATTCCCCAAGATTGTCGCGCCGAGGCAGCCCTGCACCTCAGAGTGCGGTTGGCACGGCCTAGCGCGAGACCTGTAAGAAGCTCCAAAGGCAGGCTTCCTGTTTAGCTAATGTCTGCTGCCTACAGTGCAGTGGCGGGAACACGATTAATTACACACGCCTGGACCTAAACGCTACAGTCGCATTCGACATCGGTGTCCGTGTAGGTCATGCAAAAATAGTTCTGCGCACGGGCACCCTGGTCTTAGCACTCCACATTAATCGGTGGAGAGGTAGATACCTCTGCGAGAAGGTAGGGTAAACGACAGCCAATTCGTGCTCCATAGTCAGTAATAGCCTGACGCAGCTCCTCGCTTATTGCATAGATAGAGGCATTACATTATAATAAAAAACACGATGCTGCAACAAATAAAGGTTTACAACCAAATATTTCCACACGTATTTGATCCTGTCGGCTGGCCGAACTTAGAAGCTATCGCTTATACCGCGAGCTTCTACAATCTCTCAAGTGCTCATAGCCATATCAATCTCGACTTCGATCGGCCCTCTTTATAGCGAAGATATAGCATAGTTAGCTTTCTGATACTCTACTGAGACTCTGCTCGCCGAACTGCGTGGTGAACGAGTAACACATACTCGGTCGATATGTTAGCAGGAAACGCGAGTCCGCAGTACCGTGACAATATAGGCTATACAGTGTATAGGCTACAAGGAGCGCTCGCAACAGCCAACTCTTCATTAATAGCGTTTAACCTCCGCAGGGAAACAAAGCAGCTTTCGGCAAAAAGCGAATAAAGTCAGGATACAGATAACGACACCGGACCTATAGTTATTCACGGGACAGATTGCGGTCAGAGGGGCCTCCGTCCGTTTGTACCCGGAACCGCACAGGGATCAACCATCGTCGAGCTTCCCGTATCGTCAAATTACCGGACTCCTTCGACGGAAGCCATACTCAGCTGCTTCAGATTAGTGAGAATAGGACTGCGGGAGCTCCTAAGTGCTAGAACAGAAGCTAGATAACTCATCTATATGTGGGTCCAATGCCTTATATAGCTACCCTATAGAGGCACAGTAGCTCTATGCCTGGCCTCAACGATGGAATGGCCACGTGGGCATTGCCTTACGCGACACAACTCACATCACCGCAACCGATCACGATACCATCCGACACCTATGCAGATCCGTGGCAAAACGACTACGAATAGCTAGTCCACGAGCTCGATAACTACGAAAGCCCACAAATCCCGGCGGCGAGACCTGCGAACAATAGTCAAGGATTCCCCGAGACTCCGTCAATCGAAAGCCAGACCTCGGTAACCAGCAAACTACCCCTAATTCGACTGGAGAACTAGGTTAAGGGGAAATCTTATAATAATCCGCCTACTTGTATACATTACTCGATCGAATGGAAATTAATAGTAGATGGCAGAGTCGTCCCTAGCTCCAAGGATAGCGAGCAAAACCTAGTTCTCGTCCCGGGCAACTACTAGGAGAAGACCCTACGAAGTAAACTCGATAAATTATCAATAAAGAAGCTAGCCTCAAATCGATCATATCGACCAGACGACACCACCGTTGTAGTCCATATACAGGATCGATCGAAGAGAGACTTTATTAAAAGATTCAACGAACTAGACATCGAATAGCCGATTTTGGAACAGCAACTTCTCCTCTAGAGCAACCTGTTTCGTGCTGGACAGCGGTTGAGGATCGAGATCATATTCAACTACATCCAAACAAGTAGAGGCGCTAGTATAACAACCAAGCGTAGGACCAAACGAGGCTTCGCGTCTACTTCAGAACATATGCTCGCCCAACGTGACATGCACATTACTGCCGAGGAAGGCTCTAGTAGGCAGCCATCAATTTGCCAATAGGTATACGCAACCTTTCGCTATCCGGGTCCACCCTACTACGTCGGGCCATACTGCTAGTAAGACAGGGACACCAAGAAACGATATCGCTTAAGAACACACCATTTCAAAGCACTAATCGAGCATGTTAAGCAGGGTAGCACTTTACTTAACCATAACGATATTCCTAACAGCCTCCGTGAGCAGTTGTTTACCGAGGACCAGCTACGTTTAGAAGAACAGCAGCGGAAACCAACGTCTCGAGCCAGTTACCCACCGATTAACATCACAAATATCATACCAAATGCTAGACTCTCCTGCTCCAGAATCCGTGGCTGCTTCTACAACAGCATCAACGTCTGTCAGCAGACCATTACCGTCTGCCGCTTCTCTTAAGATACCTGGCCACGAGACATCGCAATGAAGGACTATTACAACTAGCATTATCTTGCAAGTGGAACACCTATCCATTAAGCAGGAGTTCCAGAACATCTACCTCGTCATAATGGAACATTGCCTCGATCTTAAGCAAGTCTTTAAGGATTAAGACCCGGGCTTTTTTATAGAGAAGGGAGTGAAGATCGGAGTCGCCCAACGTTTTATCCGCGACATTAGTAAATGGGTCGCGCTGCGTAGTAAATAGTGATAGGGCTTAAATGTTTTATAGCACGTTTTCATAGTTTCTCAATTGTAATACCTACATTCTAAAAATAGCCTTTCGCGCTCGCCTTCCTCGCACCCACTGTCTGCACGCACCACTCGAGAAATCCAGCGAAGTCCTCTTCTTTCCGCCAGTGTCTTTTAATAAAGCGCTTCAACTCTGCAAAAAATTCCTCAATCGGGTTAAAGTCCAGTAAATATAGCGGCAAATACACTAGCTTTACGCCAGCGTCCCTACATAGCTCATAAATCCTATCAGAGTAGTGAAAAGATACATTGTCTATAACGAGTACGGATCTTGGCTCCGGCCATTTACCACAGTGCGGAAGCAGTCTCTCGAGAAAGTCTTCGAAGACTTGCGCATCAGTCGAACCTTGGAAAATCTAAGAGAAGACCACTCCATGTTATAAATAGGCTAGAAGAATTTGATATCTCTACTCTCGGTAAAAACATACAACTTCTACGGGGGGCGTGCCCATTAGCGACCAGCCAGTCCGTCGAAACCCAGCTCTTCTGTCACAGCCTGACTTATCGGTAAATACCAAATAGTAAGATAAGAATGCGGACAGGTTATAGAGATAAAAATCACGTAGGTCTGCGTTCTGCTCCTCGGCGATTCGACGAATCACTTTTTTAGTCCATCCTTCCGCTCGTAATGCACGACCGATACTAGCGCAACGCCCCACTTATTAGGTCCGTCATTCTGCCGCACCTCCATAAGAGGTGCTGCGCAGCCAAATGCACCATTTTGACCATGTTGGCGATAACTTCATCGATTTGCACCTAAAAGCGCCTTATATAGCGTACAGGCCTGCCTGTTTCGTACACATGATAAGGTCCAGTACCCTCCTTTTCATCGTCGAGGCGCCATTTCGTCGCAGTCTTGCATGCATCCTCACAAACCTTCAGCCACTTCCTATGCTCCTTTTCGTCAGCGCGGGTAACGACGCGGCGTGCCGCCTCAACCCCATCAGCTTCCTTCCTTTTAATCATTGCAGGGCCTTCTCCGACGACCAGGAGACCTCCGGATTGTAATTGTATGTTCTTTATAGCGCGGCGTTGCTGTCGCCGGTGCTCTGCAAGTCGGGTCCTCGAAAGATCCTTTTGGAGGTGCAAGTTCTTTGTAGCGGAGATTTTCGCGCCCTTGAAAAGATTGCGTAAATCCTCGAAGAAGACATCGTCTAATTCTTCGTCGCTGCACTCTAGCATATCCCAGATGCGTTCTTCAACTTCTCATCGACCGTCTCTGCTTCGTTGGACTGGCCAATTCTATCTGAGGCCGAGTGCCGAAGCGGCTGGATTGCTGAGCAGTCTCGTCTCACGGCTGCGGATGGTCCAAGGGCTAGCTCGAGCGCTCCCCTTCTTCCAACACAGTCTGGCTTCGTGGCGCCATCTTTTCGGGGGCATCGACGAGAGAAACACGGATGGCACAAAGCGGTGAGTGAGCTTATCATAGATAGAGGGTAGCGGCCTAGTCGGTCTACGGTCCGGTGGCCGAAGGACAAGTTAGAGATCCACCAACGGCGCTCCGATCCCAGACTGGGGTGGGTGGGTGAGCGTGCGGCTGGCAGATCTGGTAGCAGGGAGTGGAATGACAGTATTTGCATCTGGCCAACAATTGTACATGCTGTGCATTGGTCCAGAGTTTTTGCCATGTATCTTCTTTAGTCGTGTACTTCAGCTGGAAGGGTCCAAAAAATGGGAAACAGACGACGCTTCAAAGCCCCCCCCCCCCCCCCCCCCCCTTACCAAAAAAATATCAAATACACCATGGACGTAAGCTTCATCTCGCTGACAGCACGTCTCAATAACGGCCGAGCCGACCATCAGATCTAGGGCGAGACAGCGTAGGGGACAAAGATGCCACCATACTGCTGGGCAGTCCCGTCTCCGGCAATGTTCCACCGCGATGCGGCTGGGCTCTGATTCTCGAGCCAGTCAAAGCTCGTGGTCCCGGCCCAGCCCTTGCAAGTCAGGGGACATGTGCCGTCAAACCCAGCCGACGACGGCAAGGTGATGAGGGTGCAGACAACTCCGTGATAGGGCTGACTGATAGTATTTCCATACACCGTGAAGCGCAGGCCCGTGTTCTCGGTGTAGAGGTATCTCACCGAGCCGTCGCTCACCAGGCCGATGAGCGCTCCCGGGTCGATGGTCCTGCCGATTGAGTCCATTTCGCCGGCTGCCGGCTGGCGGAACTGGGAGATCATGCTGCCGGGCGGCGTGCCTAGGGGGTAGAACTGGGCTTGGCCATACGGGGAGGGCATCATGATGGCCTGGTCGGTGCGCGGAGACCCGCTCCCGGTGTCGGTGTACCGTGCCCTTAGGCTGAATGTGGGCACGGCGAGGACGTATGTGGTTGTGGTGTAGACTGTGGTGGTTTGTATGGTTGTGGCCACCAGCGCGACCGTCATGGTGTTTGTGATTGTGTTGGTGTAGGTTGTGGCCGGGGTGATTGCGGTAGTCTCAGTCTCGCTCAAGGGGACCTGGTTTTTCAAATAGTATATCAGTATCTCCACATCGATGTGGCCACGTATCAAAGAACAGGACAAACTCACGGTCATGGTAGCGACTGTCTGCGTGGTATCAGTGGCCGTGACTGTGACGGTAGTCGTGGACTCGGTAAATCCGAAACAGCCGCAGGCCTTTGAGAGCTCGGTCCCCGTGTAGTCATCGATCGCGCCCGAAGCCGAGGTAGCAGCCAACCTCTTCGCGGCTGTGATCGTGATCGTGGTCGTTGGCGCCACACATGATGTGATGCTTGAGGTGAAAGGCCCCGAGACGGTCGTGACAATGGTGGATGTAGAAATCGCTGTCACAAACACCGTGCTCGTAGAAGTGGCCGGCACCGCAGTTCCCGTCGTGGTCTCGGTCAGTGTGGTCGTGCCTGATGTCACGGACAACGTCACCCTGTATTTGTATAAGTAAGGATTTAAGAATGGAAGCATTTATTTTATCCAACTTCGGTTGTCTTACTGCGTGGTAGCTGTCGCTGTTACGGTCGCCGTCTGCAGCGGCATGCCCAGGTACGAGGAGCAGAACGAAGTGGCTGCCGCGGCACCGCCATCGGCTGCAAAGTACGAGCTGACGGAGCTGCAGTACGGAACACTCGATGTGGTGCTGGAGGTCAGAGTCGAGCTCGAGACAGTGACATCTGCCGAGCTCGTGATGGAGGTGATAGAGGATGAGAGACTGCTAGCAGTGATATCCGACGAGGTTGCAGAGGTCGCAGAGACAGTAGGGTAGATCTGCGCTGACGACGAGCTCTTGCGTACGCACGCCGCACTCGCCAAGACGGCAAAGCCCACCGTAGGGAGAACGCATGCTGTTGTGAAGCGCATCTTTATAAATTCAAGTCAAGGTTGGAACGAATGACGGAAGGGGTGAGGACTGGAGAGAGTGATCCATGACAGCGGCTTGAGGATCAAGTGCTTGTTTTCAAGTCAAGCCTACAGCCTGGCAGTCAGCTTGCCGCGTGGACTGATGCGCCCCAGGATTGCTAGTCTCTTTTTCGAGGTCGCTTTGACCACAAAAAAGAAAAGAAAAAAAAAAGACAGTCCCTGAGATTTTGGTCGTGGCACCCAGCTACAGGAGCTACAACAATATCCGTGCTAGTACAGCATGCGATGGCGTTTTTTCTCTGGCCAGGAATGGGCTAGACAATTGGACCCGTGTCTGATTCTCGACCAGCTTTTCTTCATTTGGGGCTCACAGACCGACGCTGCAGGTACGTGGCTGGCTGGACCATCCCGCTAGCACAATTGTGGAAATGAAGGGCACCCGGGCATCCGATCATTAGTTTCTTGAGGTCGGGCACACGGACAACGGCCGGCAGCTCTTTCCCGCAGGCCGAGACCTTTGGGTGTGAACGGTCGTTTGGTCCTTGATAATGTATGCTTGACAGGTGTTCGCGCGCGAGCCCAGACCGCGCAACCAAGCAACATGAGGCTTTGAATCAAAAAGGAATCAAGCGCGTTAAAGCACGTAGATATCACAAACGGGCTGAAACCTTCCGACAATGCGGCCATCGCGAAAGCCGCCAGAATTTTACTGACGCTCCCCTGTATGCACGTTGGTTACTTTTCGTGCAACTCACGGCAACCAACCCACACAGCCTGCACACTATACTCCTCACAATACTGCCGCGCCCATGGCGAGATTCAGTGCAGCCCGCCACCATTAGTCCGCGCTTACACCGCGAGTAGGAAAACATGTATAGGGGCGCGGGCGTTGTTATAGCTAGCAGTACAGTTACACTAAAGGCAGTCGCCGGTCCTGCAAGTATATATCAGGCAGATAGAAATGCCTGCCGGATCTCTTTCTATAGCTGTACAATCACTTACATATATTTCACATACAAAAGATCAAGCACCTCGCTTCCCCCAATCACAGAACTTTCAAGGCGGCTCGCATACGATAAAAATGTTTCCGAGCAACAAACCTCGAGAAGGGGTCAGAGACCAGTATACCATAGCTCACGACCTCGTCCTCCCCCGGCCGTTCCCAGCAAGGAAGATAGTATTTTTATAGCTGCTGAGAAATACATCGCACTCGCCGCTGTCGTCGAAGCTGGTGGCAGCCTTGCAATCCGCACTGGTGCTACCGATCCGCCTTGGTTAAGGTCGATTTCCTGGAGATGGAGGCTGCCGATATACGAGTCTTGAGTGGGATCAATGCTCTAATGCAGGCAAAGGAGGCTGAGGTCAAAGCGAAATTCGGAATGTTAAAAAGGAGTGTTCTCTCTTCAAGAGATGTGATTCGACGTCAACCAGATGCCAGGTCGTCACACCTGCCAACCAATTTCTTAACCTCGTAAAGTCAAATACGGCCGCGAATGATGGCCGGGGAAGTAAGAAGTCTCGACCCCTTGTCTCTCTTATACTAGTTCTTCTCGTTTAAAGTCGACAGCCCAGCAATAGTGTTCTCACGCCAGAACCACAGACCAATCCATGAAGCGCCGGGGCCGACGAGAATCTGCGCTAGCAAGACGAGACAAGCCGCGCGGATAGCCGTAATGGTTGTGATCTGGCCAAGGCGCCGCATTTCGTATACGGTGTACAATTCGAAAAGGAGGATCGCCGGCAGCGCCCGCGTGAGGTCGAATATAGGGAATTGATTGACAAGAACATTAATCCCAAAGACAGCTGGTCCTGAGGAAGAGAAACTGGCGTTTACCAGAGCCCAGGTGTGGGTACTGCTCAATGCCAGGAACGCGGCGATGTAAGTCGCGTTCAGGATGGGAAGCTCGAGATCTCTATAGCGGTCCAAATTCTGGTCATCATTGCCGTCGGAAACCTTGCTCGCGACCTCGCGATGGTTTCGTAACAGCGCCGTAGTCTTCCAGATGATGGCGGTGCCGAGCGAGAACATAGCGGGCGCGAAGTGCCAGAGAGTCGTAGGGACCGCGACTCCATCACCAAGCTGAGAGACCATCACTATACTCGGAATGATATAGCCCAGAAGAAGAGCTGGCAGAATCGATTTAACGGCCGCCGGCTGGATTGCGCGGTGTGCTGGATTGAGCAGTGGCGACGTGGTCATAGCGATGGCATAAAGGAGTACAACCCGACTGATGCCGAGGAACGAGGTAGCTGCGGCGAATAGTGTCGGCAAGGAGACAAGACTGTTTTGGTTGCCGGCCCTGTAGGCCTCGACTACCCAGACCAGGAGGGGGGCGATGAGCTGGACCGTGACCAGTGCAGCTTGAGCCTTAGCATCAGCCGGCAGAGTTTTGCCAACTGTCAGCAGATCGACCCAAGGGACAGACTGACCGAAGGCCCTCGTCGCGAACAAGAGGAGAGCTCCTAAGATAAGGCAGTATACAATTCGGATGATGGTGTGATGTTGTGCACTGAACTGAGCTGCGGGAAGTTCGTGCTCGAATGGGATGACGCGGGGCCGAGAAGGAACGGGCGCATGCTTCAGCCTTGATCCACCAACAATTTGAGACCCCATCAGGGCCAGGGTATTGTCGCCGCCACTGAGAAGACGTGCGCCGACATGCAGGATTGCCTGAGAGATGAAGGGGTTCTCGTACGCCAAGAGGGCTTGTTGTTTGTGAGCTGCTTCGACGATCTCAGTGGCTCGGTTGAACCGGGTCTGCTGTAGCTGCTGGAAGATTTCCTGGACTTCAGCAGTGCCGATGCCATCGAGGCCTCCGACTCGCCGATCTCGAACGTCAAGAAGATGGTTGAGGAGCTCGGCTGCAGACTCGATGGCACCGTTCCCACCCATGCCGCCGATCGGATTTGGCTGTAACGAGCGCTTTGTTAGCCATATTCACCTGTCTGTCGGGCGCTCGGCACAACGTGTTGGGTACTGACCTTGTGGGCGGAGTCACCAATAAGCATTATACGCTCGTAGAACCACTTCTCAAAGACGACCTCGTGGAGAGCCGTTAGAGTAGAGCTGATGCGTTTATCGTAGACCTCTCCGAAAGTGAGGTTCTCCTTGATCTTCAAACCCCGGCTCTCTTGGACCATCTTCTCCTCGTCTTGCTTTGTGAACTTTGGTATGTTCTTGCCGCGCATAACGTTGGGCAGCTTGATCAACAGGAACCAGTAACAGCGACCCTCCGGGCCAGAGGCCACAAGGAATGACTTACCGTGGCCGCAGGTAGTCGTCTGCTCGCCTTGGATCCAGTTCTTGACGTCTTGCGCAATACCAAAGCTGCACTGGTAGTAGCTGGGGACGTTGTCTTCTTCTCCCTGGGGGAAGTACCCGGGGGATCGATCGTCCGCCAACCTTCGCATTTCTTGCCGAACAGTGCTATGAATGCCGTCTGCACCAATAACTATGGATCCAGAGAAGGTTTCGCCGTTTGTAGTTGTAACCTCGACACCTGTCGGACCGGTGGTGATCTTCTGCACTCTCTGGTTTATACGGACCCTATCTTTGTGGCGAAGTTGATCGTACAGTACTTTGAGGAGCCACTGCCGATCGAAGAAAAGTATTTCATAGCCATGACTACTCAGCGTCAGTCAGGTCCTAATACTTTCAAGCTCTAGGTCATAACCCTGGCTAGAGATTGTGCTCACCGTTTGCCGAGATGTTGAAAGAGTGACCGTTGCACACTGAGAGGCCGCCCATTTGGATCGCGCGTGTAAGCCTCGCCATTGTTTGCGCTTTCGGCTACCTTGCGGACTGCTTCATAGCACCCAATCTGATCGAGCACGAGTAGGCCGTTGGGCATGAGCCCGATGCTGGCGCCCACAGGTGGCGTAATGTCCTGATAGGCCTCTAGTAGGACATAGTCAATGTCGAATTTCTCAAACATCTGTGCGAGGGTCAGCCCCGCGACGCCGCCACCAGCTATGATGACTTTGAAAGGCTTGTGGGCTGCCATGTTTCGATGGTAAGATTTCGTGCTTCGAGGCGTGGTCGGCGAAAGGGATAGTCGTTATGTGATGGTTGGGAGGCGTGATGGTGTCGACGTTTCTGGTGAGGATATGGACATCTCGAAATGAGTGGGCTCAGTCGAGAACTAAATATCTCGCGGGGTATCAGCAGGGTGCCCGCAGGCAGCCATCTCGCCGCCGGCGCGCAGGCCTCGTAGTCAGCAAACTGGCGGTTCCAGAGCTAAACCCCGAGAACCATCTTGCTGGTGGTCGGGAGCTCGGTGGTTGGCGAAACCCGTGAACCATGACGTTCCATGAGCTGCGCCACAGGGGCCCTACGTAGAGATGGAGCAGATATGCGCTACTACCACACATGACACGGCTGGCTCGCCATGAAGCGAAGACTGCCGTGTACGTACTGGCAGCCGTCCAAAATAAACCGGAACAAGACAAGGATCCAGCCCTGACAAGCTGGCCGATGCCGATGACTAAACGGCGTGTTCACCTGTTCACCGAGAGGACCACAGCCAGACACGAGGCCAATGCGGGACCGTCCCCCATGATCGAATCTGTTTGCGGACCGCGGGCTATCTTCGCATGTCAAGTACTGTAGCCCGAGTAAGTGTGTCTGCGTGAGCATTTCTTGTGTTTTCAGGTTGCCCATACCATGCTCGAGCCAGTGTAGTCGTGATCAAGCGAAGCATGCACAATTGCTGCTTGCGCACCCCCTGGACGACTATGGCACTTAACTCTGCAGATATGGGTGACACAATGCCAATGGTGTGCTTGGGGCCTAGCCAGATAATGAACAGTCTTCTTATGGATGAGCAAGAACACATTCCTCCGACGCAGGGTAAGGCACCTTCATCATGCAGAAAATGCAGTACTTCCAGATGTTTGTGATTGATCCTCGACATCGGCGCCGTCCCTTGACTAACGGCGGTCCCCTGTCCTTCTCCGGTGACTTTCGACGACCGCCTTTAGACAAGCTACCCAGTGGTTGTACCTGTACTGGACCTCTTGTAGACGGAGTGCTGTCGCCGATCAATGCCAGTCAGAAGCATTTGCCCATGACTTCGCCAATGGACGAGTTCTGGTCTCCCGCCATCACGTAAGAGTTCAAGCCCGCAGCGTCAGAGATGTGCATAGCGTGCTCTGCAACGACCTCCCGTGATGCATCGAGCCCCGCGAGTAGGGCTTCGACAAGCGCCGACCTTTCGATGAGCTCATGGCTGTCGTTGCCACCCTCGTGAGGAGAGTGCATGTTTACAGAGGGGCAGACGGCTGCGGTCTGCTGGACATTGTCGGCGATATAACCCTTCAACACGAGTGAATTGTCAATGGGTTATATTGACGTCCTCTCCTTATGCACAGATTGACCTGGAAACCTGCATCGTAGGCGGGCTCAAGTCTGGGGACCTCGGCTGGTGCAAAAGAATGGAGGTGGGTTCCCCGTCTCAGTCGATCCCCTATGAGGGCAGCCTGTTTTTCTGCGCAGTCTCGTCCTTGACACTGCCGGGCGTTCCAAATAGCCCGGCGCCAGGGCTCCACTCAAAGCAAACATGGTCGACGTACCATGGAATAGGGACAGGGCAATGTGGAACTGGTGAAGACTGCAAGTTTCAGGTCGACGTTATGGGTTACGAACACGAAGAAGAGGAGCCCAGGCGCTTACACTCCGATGCACAAGAACAGGAGCGTTTCTCCTCGTCTTCGTATCGCGTGTACGTACTGCCAGGGTGTAGTTCCGAAAGAACCCGCTGTCTGATACGGCGGTTTCCCCCCCCCTGTTAAGTACGACGTCGACGCGCGACCCCAGTTCATACGGCCCCGCTTGAGCCTGCAGATCGACGCGCGTTCTCCGGCAGTTGTTGCGCTAAGGGCGGGCGGCTACTCGAGGCTGCGCCCGGCTATCCCGGCTGTCCCGTCGGGCTCTTCAACCGGGAACGGCCGAAATGTGCTGCATCCCTGAAACTTCTGAACAGTGTAGCTTGATTACTATAGTATGAGAAACGGGAACCTCGCGAGTGTAGCGCTAGCCAGAGCTAGGGGCAACTGGTCTCGGCCCATGCAGCCTGACTTTGACAGGCTGCCTGTCCCTTCTCGAAACTCAAAAGGCGGGCCGGGACGCTACAAGAAGGAGTCCCAGCAAGCTCAGGAGGCTCGTAGCGGTTGTGGCGTTGTCATTTATCCGGCCGATCAGCCGCAGCGTGCTTAACGGGGGATCTCACCAAGCCTGCCTGCCTGACTCGCCGTGCTGTAGCCGGGCCCCGACGTAGCCGAGCCCGCGAGTAAACCGGATTCTTGACTGGGGCTTCAGCTGCAACCAAAGACGGACTATCTAGCACGCCGCCTTGGCCGCATCAGATTGTCCCGCGGTCCGTAGTCGTGGCCGATGACGACCACGGAGCCCAAGTAAGGGGGAGAGGGGGTAAGGGGGAAACAAGGATGCAGGGCCCCAAGCTGGGATGGGACGTACTTCGGATTCGTATTAAAAATACGGCATGGCAGGGGGGCTTTCGACTAGCGCGGCTCTCAAACCAGCATCGGCCCTACCAGTGCCGCTCAAGGGATTGCAGATTGTCACGATCCGATCTCCGGGGTTAGCCGTCTAATCGGCGCTGTGGGGTTGATATTCTGAATAAGGTAGGTAGCGACCTTATGTAATACTAACTCCGTGCTTATCGTACTCTCGAGGGGTTATCGTTCGTGTCTCTTACGAGATATTATACTCGGATTAATTGAGTAACTAGGTTAAGTGGAGGGTGAGGATAATACTTAGATTGATCGCTAAAGTATAAAGGTAATGTGTCAGGGCAGTGCGGGATAGACTGATCAGGGGCATATTTGTACAGTACTACTTAAGGCTTGAAGCTATCGTGACGTTTTTCATAGCATGGAGCCTCACATCCATCACTCAGCTTCACCAATCCGACTTGATTTTCCACCCCATTGAATTCCTGCGCTTCTGCACCCGTTCTTGTACGCAATTGACTGACAATGCCATGATCAGAGATTCCCTCACAAGTGTCGCGTCAACAGGGCGCTGTTGATGCGGCTGGCTCCCCCCCCTCGAAAATCTGGGTTGGCCCCCTATCTGGGAATGCCCTCACTCTGGCCCAGGGCCAGAGTGAACCTCGCCGGAAACACCGCCGAAACTGGCAAGCGGTGAACTCCCTTCGGTCGTGGTGGTTGTTTTGTCCCCGATCAGGAGAACCCTCATCCGCCCCAGGACAAATGGCTCCCCCGGACAGGCTTGTTTTCATCGTCACCTCCTCACCATGAATCCATCTAGGACACAAGCAAAGTAAACGACACAAGAAGAGTGGTAAGAAACCCTAGAGAAGAAAGGGCTACTTAGAGATCGCAACACGATAAAGACACGCAAGAACCGGGCACCAAGAAAGACCCTGAAATACCGAAGAAAGAAACGAAGCTGCCCCTTTTCACGATACAGCAAGTCCAATGGCCCGTGCCCAGTCACCTAGCAAGGGTTGTGGCAAACACGAAAGCCAAAAGAGATGAAGAACCACTAAGCCAGCAAGGGTACAGCATAGCACAGGCCGAGAACAGAAGATACCGCCAAATATCAAACCTATGGACCCCTATTCTAGACCCTAAAGATCCTATAGTAAGGGGATTAAGGGAACAGGAGGAAAGCTTTTTCATAGCATTCCTACTTCACCTCATCAACGCGGCACTGTCGATAGCCCTGGCAGCAAGAACACTCCTGGAAATTGTTAAAGAAGGCTTGGGCCACATAGCCAACAAACTCTAAAGTCACCGCAGCGGAGCGGTCCGCTAGGGAACAAACCATAACATATATAAAGAAGGCCTCAAAAGACGACACTCAGCACTCATGGAGACGACACAGCAGCAATCACAAGAGCAAGACCCTGATCAGCAAATGCTAAAGCCGGTCGTAGTCATACGACCCAAGCATCACAGATTCAAGTCAGTTCCGGTCATACAGACCAACCCGGAGAGTCTCACGACTCCCCAATCCACCAGAAGCACTGTTCCTATCCCTCCAACAGAGGCTTCCACAGCTGCCGCTGCGTCCCTTAAAGTCCCCGGCCAAAGTGATCGCCTCTCTTCCTCCGCAACGACGCCTACTACTTTGACGCCTACCTTAGAGTTAGAGGAAGCTCCTACCATGGCTAGTAACGACGTGAACCCAGGTGCTCTAGCCTAAGTCCAAAGCACCGCATAGTACGTTATATAGGAGGCACTCCCTAATCCTGAGCATTACCCGGCTTTGAAGTTTAATGGCTACGATATTACCGAATGGATCGAAGGGGTTGAACGTATGTTCAGGCGCCGCCGCCATACCGAGCAGGACCTGTTAGCGGACCTGCGGTGCTGGACCAAGGACTCCCTCCAGGAGCAGCGCGTCGGTACTATTCTCGGCAAATATCAAGACTAGAAAGAGGCCCGTAAAGCATTGCTTAAGGCTTTCAAAGTTCAGGATAGTAAGCAGAAGCAACGACCGCAGGATCGCCTCCGCGACCTCGAAACAGGGGCCGTCCTGACTGAGCCAAGTAACATTAGTACCTACGTAATCGATCACCAGGTCATTATATCAGAAATTATGAAGCAGGAGGGCAACAGCACTAATGATCACTTGAAGAAGAACAGATTCACAGCGAACTTCTGGTCGAGGATTAACGCCCACGTAATGATTCAAGCCCTTAAGTCGGAAAACGCGTACAATTGGACGATACATAGAGACATGCCTTATAAGAAGGCTATCGGGGCTGTTACTACTTGGACCGGCCTTAAGCAGGCCTTAGACACCCATAACCAGCGCCCAACGACGTCGACCCGTTAGACCCGCGTAGCAATAGCACCCGTGATCGAGAACCGTGATCAGAACATCCCGCAGGAGTACGCACCCCCAATCAGGGCACAAAAAACAGAGGAGCGCTCAACTGCCCCTACAGATCAGGCAGTGGAGAGTCTCATTTCCGGATTTCAGTCACTCCAGCTAGCGAACGTTAATGCTATTAAGGAGCTAACCGAGATAGTCAAATCTGTCCAGTTTCGTACGGTAAACCCTAATCCCATTGCTATCAATGCCCTACAAGCTGGGTCGTCCCAAGGACTGCAGTCCGGATCAGGAATAGGTCGGGCCCAGAATCGCAACTTCGCCGGCATATATGGGCGAGGCCAGCAATCTGACGTACGCTGCTACTTCGACGGGATTAAAGGACATACTACCAGAGCATATAAGAACGCTGCTCTCTTCGAGCAAAATAGCATTTGTTTCTAGGACTACGATCACAAAGAATACTACTTTAGGTCGAGCAGAGACCCCATAGGCTCATGGGTGCAAGTCCCCTCCTACGTGGTCCGACGCGCGCGCAAAAACGAGAGTTGCTTTCTGACCGAGTTCATCTACTACGTCTTCCGCGAGTCCTCAATGCCTCATAAGTACAGGAAGAGGTTCTACACCACGCTTAAAATAGCACGACAAATCCCACTCTCGGACGATGAACGATTACTCATAGAGACGGTCGTCAAGGTCGGAGAGGAGAAGGAAAAGGCAGCTCAAGGTCCGCCCCCAGTCTAGATCTCCCTGCTGTCGATACCTAGCGATCAGGATCAGGAAGAGCCGCTCGTAGACTATAAGTTCACGCCGGAACAGCCTTTCGACCACGAAACCTACACGTATGTTCAATTCGCAATGACCCCTAAACATGCACGGGTGCTAGCATTAAGAGGGGCGGATAGCTCACCTCCGATAAAAAGAGTCCGAGAAGAAGATATATAGAACGACTCCTTTCCTCCGCGGGATCAGGTACTACCTCATCCCGTAAAACCGGCGCCAGGTGCCCCAGACCCGTTAGGTCACCTCAGAGACCGGGTCGTCCAACACCTAGACCGTAAAGTGGACGTTACTATGTAGGACCTCATTCGAACGATCCCGGCCTACGAGGAGTGCCTCCTAGCCGAAATCCGGGATCGGAAAGACCGCCTTAGAATTCCTACGTACGACGTACTACGCGTTCCGCTCCTAGGAAAGAAGCCTGCAGCAATGAATATAGTAGTGCCCGAATATGCCCCATCGCGCATTGAGACCGAGGACAACGCGACAATCGCAACAGTGCGAGCAATAGACGCCGGCCTCCTAGCCTCGCTCCCCACAGCTTGCGATTAGGAAGAGCCTCACAAGAACCCGTAGTAGGAAGACTTGCCGAACCTTCTCCTAACAGGGGCCTCTACTACTGCACTCCAAGGCCGCGTGTTCCCGCTATATAAGATTAAGATTAAGATTAGGTATGGAGGAGGAGAAGAAGATATCGAAGCGATCATCGATAGCGGCGCATAAGTCTCCGTTATTTCTAGCGGATATGTACGGCGAAACAAGCTTCCAATGTCGTCCACAGATATGTCCTACAGCACATTTGATAAAGGAGATGGTTCTCGCTAGCAGTTTGAAGGCGTCGTTCCTAACGCGCGGCTTTAGCTTGCTAGAAAGTTCATAATACTAACAAACCTCTACGTTATCCCTAATTAGCAAGCCAATCACCCTTTACTCCTAAGCCAGGACTTCATTGACGAAGGGTACGTCAACCTCTACCAGGAGCATAGCTGGCACATATGCGCAATAACGTTCGGCACCACCTACCTGATAATCCCTCTACGAGAGAAAGTCACGCAGAAACATGGCACCGAAGGGGCTAGAATAGCCGCCCTTATTGCTACGGGAAAAGCGCGGACGCTGTAGTAAGGGTCGATATAGCGGAAATCAAGACAGACCCTGCCCATCCACGAATATTTGTCGTTAGCGCATATGGACCGCGATAAGAGTTTACATGTGAGGAAATTACTAATCTTGGATTGGAGGAAGGCGACAGGATCCTCGGGGCCCTTACGGACGACCAGTTCTCCAGTATGATACGTAAGCTTGCGAAAACACCGATAGACCGACAATCTGGCGACACAAACCCTTATTCACGAACAGCACATAAGCAGCCGCAAGTGGCGATCATTAATACGCTCTACAAGCCCAAGTAGCGCAAGGTACACCCGGTCGACACTACTAGGCCCGGGGAATCAACCCCACCAGGGGAGATCCATTGGAAAGACAAAGCCCTCGAAGAGGTTCAGGACGATATGGAAGGACCAGAACTCTCATAATAAGGAGGCCTGTTCACGAACATCTACCCGCGCTTCGCAAAGAAGCCTAGAGGCACGCGTTTAACGGCGGACAGACTTACGAAGCTCCTTGTAACCATTGAGACTAAGTCGGACCTGACTCCCTAAGAGACCGACCTCCTAGTGGAAATCTTAATTCGACGGGAGATGGCCCTTGCTTGGGAATAGGAGGAGGTTGGAACTATCCGATCAGAAGTTTCCCCTGACTACGTTATCCGTACCGTACCGCACGAGGCCTGGTAAGCGAAGAGCATCCCCATTCATAGGGCGCTAAAACCTCGTATGTATAAGGAGCTCCGTAAACGTATTACAAGGCGCATTATTGAGGAGGGTTACGGAGCCTACCGCAATACATAGTTTATCGTTAAAAAGAAAGACGGTAGTCTACGGCTTATTAACTCGGCCACTAAGCTTAATGCACAAACGATCAGGGACGCTATGCTGCCCAAGACCCCTAATACCTTCGCGGAACAATTCGCGATATATAAGGTGCTCTCCATTTTCGACTTCTTCTCTAGTTATGACCAGTGCCGGCTCGCAGTCGCTAGCCGCGATCTGACGATATTCGCGACGGAACTTGGTCTTTTCCGTATAACAACCCTCCCCCAGGGCTATACGAATTCTGTCGCACATTTCCTTCAGGTCGTCGCTAGGATCTTCTTCGGCCTCTAGTCAGAAGTGTGCGATGTGTTCTTTAACGACGTGGCTATCAAAGGACCTACGTCTATATATGACGAGGAGGAGGCTGCCCCTAGTGTTCGCAAGTACATCCTAGAACACCTAGAGAACGTCGACGCAACGTTACTAGCCTTCGAACTGGTAGGAGCATCGGCTTCCGCAGCGAAACTGTAGCTTTGTCGCGGGTCTGTGACCATTGTTAGCTATATGTGTGGCATAAATGGTCGGCGCCCGGTTGAAGCTAAGGTGCTGAAGATAGTTCGGTAGCCGCCCTACTAGAATATTAATTATGTCCGAGCGTTCATCGGCCTCTGCGCCTTCTTCCGGCTATGGATCCAAGAGTTCGCGATTATAGTACTCCCCTTGACTAAATTGCTGCGAAAAAACGTTCCATTCATATGGGGTTCGGCGGAGCAAGGAGTAATGGACCTCCTGAAGCACGCGCTGATATAGCCACCACTGTTAATCACGATCGATTACAGCCCAGACGGGGGTCGTATCATTCTATACGTCAACGCCTCCCTACTCGGCTAGGGATGCGTTCTCTATCAGATGATTATGGAAAAGCCCAAACCTTCGAGGTACGAATCGGGTACGTGGAAAGGCGTAGAGCTCAACTACGATATAACTAAGCTGGAGTGTCTCGCCCTCATTAAGTCCCTACGCCGGTTACGTAATTACCTCTATAGCGTACGCTTTCTACTACAAACTAACGTAAAAGTTCTAATTGCTCAGCTGAACGACGGGTTCTCAAGCCTTCCTGGCGCAATGCTCACTAGGTGGATTGCATATATTAAGATGTTTGACTTTGAAATTCGTCATATTTCAGGAAAAAATAATCTAGTAGCGGACGGACTCTCTCGTAAGCCGTTAGAGGAGTCCGACTAGCGTGATGACGAGGAGGAGGGAGATGTTGACGAGTTCATCGACACGGCGCTGCTCAGCCTTATCGCCTACGAATATACCGCATTTTAAGAAACGCAATTAGTCCCGAAGGTTATGGCACTCCACTTGGAGCCCGCTAAGGATTGGGGCATTAGGTCTTAACAGATCGTAAATTTCCTCCTTATAGGAGAGCTGCTAGCGGAGCTCCTGATTGACAATCCCAAAAGTCAGCGGCGCGAACGAGAGGCATTTAAAAAGTACGCCCTAGGATTCCAAGTTGATAACAATTAGCTCTGGAAGAAGGCCATAACAAAAGCAGAGCCTAGGCGTGTAATCGACACTCTCGATAATAAGAGGACTGTGATCAGAGAGGCTTACACGTAACTTAGACACCGGGGTCGCGACTCCGTCTATAACAGGATCTCGAAAGACTACTGGTGGAACAATATGTATAGGGAGATTAAAGAAGCATTCAAAGCCTGCCCCGAGTGCCAGAAGGCCTCCGATATTAAGAAGCTCGACCCCCATATGTTTTCGCAGCTAAGCGACGTGCTAACGACCTGGGTGCTTGATATGCAGTTCATGCCAGACGATAATGGCTATATCGCAATAGTGGAAGCGCGATGCTCCCTAAGCCAGTATCTTGAAGTAAAAGCCATTTAATATACTAACTTTCGCGAGATCGCTTAATTCCTTAAGGAAAGAATCTTCTATTAGCATAGCATACCCCTCATTATCAAATGTGATAATAGGTCCGAAAATAAAGGGGAAGCCATAGCGGCGTGCGTAGAACTCGGTGTAAAAATGTCTCTAGGGCCAGCCTACAATCCGCAACGACAAGGTCTAGTTGAAACTAGATATACCCCGATCGTAAAAGGCCTTATAAAGGCGACTAATAGCACCGGCAGAAACTGGTCAAAACTGCTCGGATTGATTGTATGGGCAGATCGTACCTCAGTACGCGGCTATAGGGTTAGCCCCTACGAATTCCTCTATAACAGACGACCGATCTTGCTAATCGAAATCAGTCTCCCTAGCTAGCGTATCCTCAACTAGAAGCGAGGAAGGACTAAAGAAGACATGCTTACAGATAAACTTAGAATGCTTGAAAGACGCTAAGGGGATGTTGAGCATATCGCTTAAATCCTACGGGAAAAGCGCAAACAGGCTATAGAACGAGCGGATGCGCGAGATGCGTATAAGATCAGAAAGGACCCCTTAAAAGAAGGAGATCTTATGCTACTCTATAACACTCCACGAAGCATCGACAAGTCGCGATTAGCGAAGCTTAAGTACTAATGGAATAGCCCCTACTTTGTTAGGGAGGCCCTTAACAACAGCAATTCATACCGACTGGAAGACCTCAACAGAGCACCCATGGACGGGCTTTACCCGAATCATCGCTTGAAACACTTCGTTAGAGATAACACAGGCTATTAGGCCCCAGCGGATGAGGCCACAGACGAATGGACGAATGGCACTGCCACCGCGCCAGGCCTTAAGCTTTCACACCTGACCAGACTATAGCAAGTACGGTCATAAGAAACCCCTATGGAGATAAGCGACGACTGGACTTTTGTAGGAGATAAAGTCCCCCAGACCAACATCACTATAAGCCTTCCACCCGTTAACAAGGACGACTATATCGCATACGTTGAAGACGACAACTAAGCATTAAAAGCGTGTTATCAGCTACGTACCGGGGTCGCAGTATAGCAGATTACGGAAGTCCTTATAACGAAAGGCAAAGATTCTCACGAAGGCTTAAACACGAAAAGTCAAACGCAATTCATTTCTTTGTAGAAAAGCCCCGTTCTATACCTGCTTCTCAACCGTCAGGAGACTTCATTCACTCCTCCGCCGGCTTCGTTCTAACTAGCTATGTTTTCCGCGATTCCTCATACTCTCGATGCTATGCCTCTTTCTTCCATTCCAGGAGAGCTACTACGTCCTCAGAGGACAGTACTTTACTACTAGGTAATGAAGCGGGAACAATATCCTCACGAATATGGAAGTCCCTACCAGCGCGAGCGAAGGACAGGCGCTGGTAATGATTGTATGAGCATTTATCCATCGTCGCCAGACAGTTACCGCAGCTGTAGTTAAGCTGTCGATCTAAGCCTCTGAACCCACCGACGATAGACCGGCACCCAAAGAATAGCGCCATTCCAGGACTTCCACCGCTCCCTGCATTCCCCATTCTGCGATCACAGCCTTTACAAGGAAATGCGTTATCCTTCCTAAACATCTGAACGAAATAACCTATGCGACGGCGAGACTTAGTGGCGAACTAATAAAGGTAGAGTCCAAAAGGGCCCGCGTCCTAGGCGTTTAGGATCAGAGGTTGGCCTATCGCAAACCTAATACCCGGCGTTCTCTGAAGTGCGAGAAGAGTGTTAATATCTACGCCCGCGGCGTTTATAAAGTCAAAAGCATTAGGTATCAGCCAGAGGTAGTACCGATCTTTAGCTTTACTACGTAGGAACGCGATCTTTATAAGGCGCGTAACCTATTAAACAAGATCAGCTAAAGCCTTATATAAATGGGGAAAGAACGAGTTCACACTTACGGCAATATAGGTAGGCGTGATTACTGCGGTCGAAGTATTACGACGTTTCAGCCACGCGATAATCTCTTCTCTCTTCTCCGGGATAGATTCCTTAATCTTATAATCGCGGTTAAGGTATGGAGGAGGCACTAGCGTATCAGACACATAGCTTGTATTGTTAGGAAGCGGATCAGAAGCGCCCGATGGGTTCTGAGGTTAAGGGCCACTGAATTAAGGTCGCTCGTAGGGTACGACTTCCTGGCCGGTGAAGGAAGGAGCCTCTGAAGCATACCGAATATATCGAACAGGTTCTCCTTACTGCCCAGCGGCAGGAGGAGGAGGACCGCTGGCAGTTGTGCGCTGGGCAGCAGTCGTAGGCTTTAAGCCACTCGCGGTATTGAACTTCAGCTTCGACTGCTTAGAGGCCATCTTGACGAAAGAACACCCAGAAGCGTGAGGAAGGTTGCGATAAGGAAGGACGAAAAGAGGAAGCAGGAAAAGGAAAAGCAGGCCTTCATATACTACGGAACGATACACCTCGTCGGCGCAGGTAGTAGTGTGCAAACAGTGAGCTGTTGCCAACTTAGGAAGGCACGCGACACTCGCGCAAGAACGACTCCAATCAGAATCACAGACTGAAGTACCTTAAGTCAAGCTAAAAACAGGCGTACAAAAGAACAGAAACTACCGTCGTTTAATTGTACGATTTGGCAAAAGAAAACAACCCATTCAACGGAGAATCAGTTCCTCCGCGCAAAACCACCCAAGGCCCAGCAAACGCTCCTTCCTTAAGCACACGAAACATTCCTCCATCACCCAACATTCTATTTCATTCCCGTTTCTTCTTTCTCTCTCTCTTTCAATTCTCTACAAAAGGATCAGAAAAACCCTTATAAAACAAAACACTTCAGTCGACGAACATCATTATACTAGTAATCAAGGCCTACGCCACACCACCCTTACAAAGTCTCCTTTCGCAAAGCCTTTTCACCTTCCTTCCCTTTATAAGAAAGAACAGCTAAAAGGCTACCTAACACAAACACACATTCCCACACCATGCCTCCCAAGAAAGATATCGACCCAGCGGCGGCCGCCTAGGACAACGCGAGGAAGGCACGGCAGGCAGATATAAGCCTAGGAGCGAAGTAGCTCGACAGTACCCTCGACACCAGCCCTCACAACAAGAAGAACAATCCGACCATTCCAAAGGCTCCCCTAGCGACTCTTATAGCTATCGCAGATGAGGTCTTCCGTAATCTTACGGATAACCTGCCGCAACCATACAAGTCACGTAGCTACTTCGCTTCAATTTCAGTTACTAACCTAATAGACATCCCAGAGTTCTAGCGATTATTAGCCCAGCCCCCTTACCCACTGTTTCAGCAGTGACAAACGGAAGCCATATACATAGACTACTAGCGAAAAGATAGCCCGCATATCCTCAGGATTATGAAGAAGCGCGTACTTAACAATAGCAACGATATAGACAAATAGCTTAGTAATAACGAAATCTTCATAGCTATACAAGCCCTCCTACATCCAATCCCCAAGATAAGCATCCAGGCACTCCTTTACCCGCTCTACTATAAAGACTAGAAGATAAAGAGAGGAGAGCTTCACCTATTCAGCGATCAGTTCCAACGGCGCCTCCAAGAGCGCGAACTAGCTATTGTGTTCATTCCCTGGTGGACTCAAGGTTATTGGCTTCTGTTCATGATCCATTGTACGTAGAAAAAGCTATACATTCTCGATACCCACCTATCCTACGTGACGAATGGCAATGCCGCCCGATAGGCAAGAGAATTTATGCCGGCCTGGAACCAGATCGGTCTGACGGCCATTACCTAGTGGGAGATGATCCCTATCATTCAGCAAGCAGATGGATGGAGTTGCGCATTTTAGGTGCTTAAGATCGTGCGGCGGTTTTGCTACCAAAGGACTACCCTCAACGAGATGATCACGCAAGGCCGCAGGAAAGCGCTAAATTCGGGCTTTCAGCCAGTCATAAACTACCTTACGGATGCCATAGGGATCTGCTTTGTTGTCAGTGGCGGCCCGGATGACGGACATCAAACCATACTAGTCGGGCTCATCGAAGACGAAGACGATCTTAGGGAATACTTCAATGCCGACGAAGGACACGATGAGGATACTGCTGTTCAGATACGGCAGAGACTCGCAAGCAAGCATACGGCATATGGAGACAAGCCTACAAAAATCCACAAGGACTTCGATAAGCTCTCACTTTATAATCCCGATCAGGAGGCGGTCGAGGCGCGTAAAGCGGCTAATAGGAAAGACAAACACAAGCCTGCCCTAACTGGTCGCTCATACAAATGGGGAGTGCCGAAAGCAGACCATAAAGTCATTAACTTAACGGCCCACTTGGAACCCCTGGGAGGGAAGAGATTCGAACAACTTATAGCTAACAATGAAATCATTCCCTATAAATGGAGGAATCAATCGATCGCCTAAGCCGTTAACGAGCCCTAACCTCATTACCCCCTCGATTAGCTGGGGTGGGACGACTTCGAACGGCGCATAAATGCCGCGGACGCCTCGCGTCGGCCAGAGGCACCCTCTCGCCAGAGTCGAGAATAGCGCATAGCTGTAAGAAATCAGGCAAGGGAGGAAGGGCGCACTATTAATGAGAAGCGAAAGACAAGTGGAGATCAGAAAGGCGCGTAGGTTAAGAAGCCGCGTGGAGGCGGTTAGAAGTAAGGCAGGGATACAGTGTTATATAAAGCCAGATAGGTATCAGCCTTTACATAAGGGGTCGCCTGTGTCAGGGCAGTGCGGGATAGACTGATCAGGGGCATATTTGTACAGTACTACTTAAGGCTTGAAGCTATCGTGACGTTTTTCATAGTATGGAGCCTCACATCTATCACTCAGCTTCACCAATCCGACTTGATTTTCCACCCTATTGAATTCCTGCACTTCTACACCCGTTCTTATACGCAATTGACTGACAATGCTATAATCAGAGATTCCCTCACAAGTGTCGCGTCAATAGGGCGCTGTTAATGCGGCTGGCTCCCCCCCCTCGAAAATCTGGTTTGGCCCCCTATCTGGGAATGCCCTCACTCTTGCCCAGGGCCAGAGTGAACCTCGCCGGAAATACCGCCGAAACTGGCAAGCGGTGAACTCCCTTCGGTCGTGGTGGCTGTTTTGTCCCCGATCAGGAGAACCCTCATCCGCCCCAGGACAGTAATAACTATCTATAAGGAGATCCTCCTATCCTTATATATCCTTTGCCCTTTACCGGATCCCCATAGGGATACGTTCCTGGATTACAGGATATATTATAATCCGTATAACGTAATCCACAAGTAACCCGCCCACACAAGTGACCCGCCCACCATCCAGATGCTCGTACGACAATGTATAAGAGAAATCAACCATAACGCCTTAAATCAATTAAAACTATGAGGAATCCTCTTCTTCAGAGGCAGATATAACTTTCTAACACGTACGAGTATTATAGCCGGGCTCGCCGTAGACGCTATATCGTCGCGTATGCGTTTCGGGCCTCCTCATACGACCACTATTCTAACTCGTTTCCGCCCTTACGTCGCGGTAGAAATAATCGCGAATCTAGGTCAATTACGTATCGTACGATGCTCTCCTCTTCGTATGAGGTTAATCTCTGGGTAGGCGATCGGACATCGCGTTTCGCAGGTCGGCCGCGGTGTCGTTCTTGAAGTATCGTACGAGGCACGTTATAGACTAATGTAGCCTTTCGAAGGCTCAATTTTGGATTAGATCGAAGCGCATTAAGCGCTAGAAGCAAGTCGCTTTCAATTGATTGTCGTACCATTATTGCTTGCAGAGAAAATGGATAAAGGCTGGGTATGTATGAAGGAGCGAGAAAAGTGGCCCGCTCGACCGGGTGGCCCGCTTGACCGGGATCTACGTTACTCTAAGAGGGTACCAAGTTTTCTACGTATAGAGACGCAACGAGCCACCACCGCGAAAGGGCGTCTGCTTCGCATGATATATATCCTGTGAATATTCTAGGAGCGTGTTGCCAATCCTAATGTCGCCCATGACCCCTTCTCTATCCGCGCAGCACAGCAGCTGCGCATCATAGCCTGGAATTCCCACTGGCCTTGTTCCGTCAAGCATCTGCTACTTCTGTTCGCCAGCGCTCCTGTCCCGCAACCCCGCTGCGTACGCCTCGACCACACGGCGGATCTCGTCTCGCACGCGGCGAAACTCTGCCAGCACCTGCTCGTCACTTCCTTGGGCGTGCGCAGGGTCGTCGAAGCCCCAGTGGTGACAGCTGACCTGGCCGGGGAAGAACGGGAAGACCTGGTCAACGTTGCCGCAGACGGTGATGACGGTCGTGACTGGGTCGCTCGCGCGCAGGAAGGTGTCGAGGTGCTTGGAGGTGTGCTTGCTGATGTCGATGCCGATCTCCTCGAGGACCTGGATCGCCTTCGGGTGGACAAAGCCGGCTGGCTTGGAGCCTGCGCTGTGCACTTCGATTAGATCGCCGGCCGCGGCACGGAGGATGCCCTCGGCCATGTGGCTGCGGCAGGAGTTGCCCGTGCAGAGGATGTGAACTTTGGTAGGCATGTCGGATGGGGAAGGAGTGCCGAACAATCAGCAGCGTTGCTGGAAGTGGTGACACGAGGCAACGATGAAGAAAAATGTGCTCGCACCTGACAGTGACGCTGAAACACCTACGTGCTCATCTCTTAGCATTAACACGAACAGGTGTGCACGTTAGGAGGAAAGGCGTCCGACCACGCTGCATGTGCACATACATTATGTCCAGTGCTTTGCCATCGAACCAAAATACTTAATAGACGACTGAATCCACAGCTCTCTGGCAGATACTTGACGCTGTTTGCTGGAGGCCCTCTCTGATTACTGCGCTGGGTTCAAATCAAAACCGCGATCTCCCGCTTCGCATGTGGCATTGGAAAGCTAAGTACTTAGGAACCGCTCCACCAAGCATACACTTCCCCGTTAGAGATGCACACAAGCCATCCTTCTGCCCTTAGACCGTCGAGAACTTGAGCGGTCCGGCCTTCTGTCTGATGCGCTTGCCGTAGATGAGCACGACGAGGATGATGAGGAAGGACGCGGCGACGATGGCGCCCTGGATCCCGAAGCTGATCTTGGTGCCCTGCACCTGGGCCCAGGTGATCTGGAAGTAGCTGATGATGAAGCCGGCGCCAACTGTTTCGTAAAGGATTTGCGTTAGTGATTGTTCCCCCCTTGTATCCACCTGTTGTGACATTCTCGAGATGGATTTGAAGGGGATGAGGAAAAAAGGGAACGATTTACCTCTGGACATGTTCAGCCACGCAGCCACCTCGCCACTAGCATTCGGGTAGCAGTCAAGGTTATACGCGTTCAGCCCGACCGTCGTGATCATGATGCCAAACACGTACAGCCCCCAGCACACGGCGGTGACCATGTAGTGATACCCCTCCTCCAGTGCGAACCCCAACCCTACGAGACCCGCGACCATGAATGGCGTGCTGAAAAAGACCGCCATCAGACGCACCTCGGGCTCAAAGTGCCCATCATGCTTCTTGATGTACCACCCCGCGATCGCGTCGTGCAGCCAGTGGCCCACGATCTCGCCCAGGATCGCGGCTACGATGGGCGCGAAGTAGAAGAAGCCGATCTGCCGGAAACCGAAGCCGTAGAGCGGGGTGAGGAAGACGGAGAGCGTGGTGTTGATCCCGATGACCCAGGCGAAGGTGAGCATCGCGTACAGGCAGCACAGGATCATGGTGGGCCGGGTGATGGTCAGGGCCGAGCGCTTGAGAGCCTCGGTGATGGTGGTGCGCTGGTGCCGGGTGCGGTACTGCGCGATGCCGACGACCTGGGCGATGCGCGAGGCGGGCGGGGGTTGGTCGGCGATGGGGATGCGGCGGTCGTAGTACGTCTCGGAGACGAAGAGGGCAGTCGAGATGAGGGCGATGGCGCACTGGAGGAGGCGGGGAGTCAGCATTTTTGTGCAACAGTTTCATCGTGTTGCTTGAGGCTGCTGTGGATTGTGCTCACTATGGCAAAGTACACCCAGAACGCGACCGGCCAGGGCTCAGTTGAAATGATGAAAGCCGCGATCAGCGGACCCAGGTACGGAGACAAGATGACAAAGGCGACCCAGATGTTGATCTTCCTGGCACGCTCGTGGAAGAAGAACATGTCAAAGATGAACATCATGCCGCCCGCCTGGGCCACCGTGGCGAAGAAGCCGTTGAGGATGCGCGCGGCCATGAAGGACTCAAACGTTGTCGCCGCGGCGCACCACGCTGCCGTCGCAGTCGCCATGACGACAAACCAGAACAGCACGGGGAGCCGGCCCGCCCAGGCGGACAAGATGACGGTGGCGATGCCGCCGACGCCGAGCATAAAGACGTTGCCGGCCTGCGAGTGGTTGACGGTGTCCGGGCTCATGTTCCACTGCCTTTAAAGACGGTGGGCAGTCAGTAACGAGGGAGGGCGAGGTCCGGAATTGGTGTTGACTTACGCTGCCTGCGGAAGCAACGTCACGGCGCCGACAGCACTTCCAAAGTCGGGGAGGGAGGCCGCAAGACTGACGGTGAGGAGAACGACATGTTTCTTGACAGTGCCCCAGTTCAGCGGGTCGTTCGGGTCGTCTGAGGGCTGCGGGATGAGCACCGTGTGGCCGTCCTTGGCCGTCTTGAGGTTGCCACGATTGTCGGCGCTGGCATCCGCAATGTAGCCGTTGGTATCCTGTACGGTGAGCTGAGGCTTCTCGTCAGAGTCGTGACCGTTCTCGAGGTTGGAAGGCTCGGAGACGACCGCCATGATTGGGCTCAGATGGATGAGCTCCGGTGCAGCGAGAGTCCTCTGTGAATGCAGTTGAGGGTGGAATCGAATTAAGCGTGCTCGAATGATGATCCTATCAGGACTCGTGAGGCTGGTGGTATGCAGAGTCCTTTGTATAAGCCCAGTTCCTGATCCGGGGTCGTAGACGGTCGGCAGTTGCACTCCGCAATTGCCATCGACCTGATTGCCGGGGAGGACCTCGTGGCGTGCCAGCCCTGGTCTAGACTTGATAAGGTTCCAGAGCGACCAGGGCCTCGATGAGGAGAACCCTGTCCCCCACTAAGCCTCCAATGAGATCGGCGGCAGCCGTTCCCCGGATTGCAGTAAGCTTTCTTGGTGGTAATTGGCAAGGGAAGGCAAGTGAGTTCGGGTGCTGAGCACGGGTTGTGACGGTCTCTGCTTGCGAAAATCAGCCCACTCGCGGCTGGCTGGTCCAGGCCTCGAGCTGTGCCAATTGCCGGCCAGCCGAGGTATTGTGCATGAGGATGCTCGACATCCCTGCCCTCAGGCGCTCGTCTCAGCATGAGATCGGTTGTTTAGCTTCGAACTACCGTGTGAGAGTCGTCCATAGTCGAACGAGTGTTCCGACATGGACGCGTGTCAGGATTTTGTTGCAGGGAGAGCCATAAACCAGCGTGCGCAGAAGTCTATTCGTCATTATTCCGAGAGTGTGCAGGTCAGCATGTATCTACCCCTAATAGGGCCGAATAAGGTCCTAGGTTTGCCAAAAGCACGGTTCCATTACATAGAGTAGGGGTAATGGCTACCATTTACAGTCAATGATTATAGCACTGAGGACTAGCTGCCTACGCGTAGTTGGAGAGGAGAAAGCTCCGAACACTGATCTTATACAATCCTACAATATCGCGCCATCTCTATCAAGCGACCACTAGAAGCATCAAACTCGACGCGGCCGACCCTCCATGCCTCACCATGTGCGTAACGGACCTCGCCTCTGTGCTATGCATCATGTCTGCTCCCGAACCCATGTTCCGCACGTACTTTGGCCGGCATTGGTCTTGTTTTATCGAGTATTGAGATCGAGTTTGGTGGGAGAAGTGAGATACAAGAGTGTAGTCAGGGTCTATCTCGTAAAGGAACGCTTTGGTTCCTCAGGGTCGATGAGATATAACGGAAGTATCACGTACGTCATAGTGATCGGCTCCATGTTAGATATCTATAGTTCCGCTTATCGCTGCGAGCTAGAGTAGGGCGTGATTGGGCCGGGTCTGAAGCAGGGAGCAAACGCTCGTAAAGAATGCTTGGCCACCCTGCTAGAAAGGTGCATATCGCTTATACTTATTGGCTACCCTAGGGTCTTGGTAACTGCCAAGCAATCTGGTCTAGAAAAGCAAAGGTGCCTAACAGAATGGCTTCGAGCTGGGTCAATGAGAGTTCAGCTACATTCGAAGTTTTAACGGACTCGAGCTGCTTCAGTGACGAGCCCCAAGGATAAGTCGTCTTTGTCGTCCGTAAGCCCCGTTCCACCTCCCTTAAGTCCAAGTCTTACTGTGTAATTATGTCTATCACTTCTTCTCACGTCCGCTGCCAAAGAAACAGCCCGCTTAGCAACGCAATCATTCCCCCAGGCAAGGCGTGAAACACACCCAGATCCGTCCGGCCCGCGACCCTGGCGAGGAAGAGCCCATCGGTGCCCGCCACCAGGACGCCTATCGTTACCAGGATCGTGGCCATCTCGTCCCACTTGCCCTGCCGCGCAAAGAGCGCGAGGATGACGCCCGTCGCGAGCTCTCTTATACCCATCAGTCTGACGTATGCCCGAGTCGTGGGTTCGCTGGTTGCGGACTGGTGCTGTGTTCTGTCGCCGCCACGCGGAGCTTTTCCAGTGTTGTCAATTGGGATCCCGAAGCCTGCTGCGAAAGATGTCGGTCGGAACACGCCGTTCGCGCCGATCCACATTGCCAGGCCGGAGAAGGTGACGCTGACGGCCTTGAAGACCGCAGGGATGTACTCCATGGTCACAGTGGATGATGGCCTATGGTTGATCTTTACAGGACGAGGTGGTGTCACCCCGATGGCTATGCTGAGTGCTGCGAATTATTCGTCCTGCTGGGGAAATGGACGTCGTGGGCAACGAGTGACGTATACGGGACGGTTGGATCCTGCGAACGTGCTTGACCTTATATCTACGGGCTACATAAAGTGCGGTTGTTCGGATAATACGATTTTCCGATTTGGGGGCGGCGACCTACAGGACCCCCTGGTATGCGGCACGGCGTTTTACCTTTGATTCATAATACACAAATTCATTTCTATCTTTTAGAAACATAAAAAGGAATAGCTGGCAGACGACGCTAGAAAGATCAAGTGCTGCAGGAGGAGTGTGGAAGCTGAGTCGTATCTCATTAACAGGATGGTGGTGTTATCGAGCCATGATATATTCCGATTGTGGAGCCATCATTGCTCCACTGCCAAAGTGATTGAAAAAATATACAAGATTCAAAATGGGCAACTGTAGAGTGCGTTTACAAAATAATAACGTTGAAGTCGGTGACCATCTGTAGAAGAAAGGGAAGAACAACAAGATCAAAGCCCTCGGGCCTCGAATCGCGACAGCTCCATGGGCGCGTCCGCTGAAGGAAAGGCTCACGGTAAATCTGCACTCGGTACATCCATCCCCCGAGATAACCATCAATAGTCAGTTATCTTAGCTGCGCTGCCAAAGGTCTTCAAAGTCCGGTGCTTTTGTTTTTGGTCCAGAGGAGCTTTGAGATTAGCCTAGTAGGTAGTTTGTGCCGGCACTGAACCAGATAATTCAGGTACGCAGCGCGTTAGCTTTTAGAACGATCGTAGTATTACGTATGGAGAATGCTCTATAGTAAGCAGATCAGAGTTCGATCGCCCTTAGGCTTGCCTAAAACTGGAGTGGCACCATCCCATGGGCAGTTTTCAATCTGGAAAGGGGCTTTATTCTTTGCATAATATTCAAGCTGATCTCAGTATCAAGACGAGGAAAGGACAGACAAAAGGCAGCACCAAATATTTCTGGACTGGCCCGACCCCTGTTCTTCTGGCGAAAAGAAAGTGAACCGTAAGCAACCCGACAACTAAATCACTCCGACGGTGCCCAGGGCAAGGGACTCGTGCACACATCGAAACCCCACAGGAGAAGACCGTCAACGTCTTGGATCATGATATTGCCCGGGAGATCGGCTGGCGCCGACCACGAAAGACTGACCCCGTCAGCCTTTAGCTCTGCGTGAACGTACATGAGCTTCTTGTTGTCCAGGCGCTCCCAAAAGGCGTATAGAAACCCGTTGATGATGGCGCACCTGGGGTCCCAGGTGGACATGGCCGGAGTCCCCGCCGGGCAGACGACGGTATTTACCGGACTGAACGCATGAGAGAAACCGTGTGATTCGAGTACCAGGTTGACTCACCCTTTCAGCCTATTCTTATCAGTACTCCTACGCCCCAAATCCATACTGGTCCAGCTTATACGCCCCTGGATCTGAAATCCGCGCCTACTTGAAGGATGTTGCCGATAGGTTCGGTGCCTCACGGTTCATCAAGACATCACACGATGTGGAGCGATGCGTCTGGAACGATGAGTCGAAGACATGGTAAAGACTACATGGCCCGCTCCGCTACAGAATCGACAGGAGAGCTGTGAGGTTCAAGACAAGATTGAAGGCGGCTGACTGCGTTCCCGCCTTGTGTACAGGACCGTCACCGGCCGAGACTTGACGACGGGGAATGCTTTCAGCCAAGATGCCAATTTCCTGATCTCGGCGCGAGGAGGATTGAACGATATCTCATGGCCCGACATTGAGGGCTTGCGGGACTTCAAGGGCGAAACGATGCACTCCGCAGGCTAGAATGAAAGGTACGCTTCCTCCCTTTCCGGCAGCTAGAAGCTCGGTTTCTATTTTCGCTCTACTGAATAATTGCCTCTGCAAAGCGCCGACCTCAGAAACAAACGCGTCGGCGTCATTGGCAACGCCTCCAGCGCGATCCAGATTGTGCCCCAGGTCCAGAAACTGGAGGGAACGAAGATTTGGTGCTTTACCAGATCGCCTACTTGGATCTCGATGAGCTACGGCGACGCGGCCATGGCCAAGCTGGGGCTGAATCCGGAGGACACAACATGTGAGTATATAGCCGTGCAATGGACACGGAACCTTTTGTTTTTTCCACCGCCACGGAGGGATCAACCGACTCTCCAAGTCCGGGTGAGCATTTCTTGCGCACGTGCTTATAGATTTTGACACGGTCCAGTCTCGAGGAAGCACCAAGAGCGTTTAGCCCAACACCCAGACGAGTACTTCAAGGTGCGCAAGGTGTTCGAGACGGACACGAATATGGTGCACCCGATCACGATCCGTGGTTCCGAGATGCAACTTAAGTCTCAGGCCATTTTTACAGATGAGATGCAGCGACGGCTCGAGAAGAGGCCGGACCTCTTTGCGGCCATGATCCCAGTTTCGCGCCGGGGTGTCGGCGGCTGACGCCCGGCCCAGGCTACCTCGAGGCGCTGCAGAAGGAAAACGTAAAGGTGCTGACCCAGAGCATCTCGCGCGTTACCGAGAAGGGCATCACGCTCGACTCGGGCGACGCCGTCGAACTCGACACCATCATATGCGCCACAGGCTTCCGGGTCAGCGCGCCGCCGACATTCGAGGTGGTCGGACGTGGTGGGCAGACGCTGGGGCAGCGTTGGAGCCCGCGCATCGAGTCTTACCTGTCCATGGCCGTCGACGGCTTCCCCAACTTCTTCATGGTCGGAGGGCCAAACTCGGGCGTCGGGACGGGCAGCCTGACCATCGTGCTGCAGCAAACGGCCGACTACGCGATAAAGGCGATGCACAAGGCCCAGAAGGAGGACTACGCGAGCATCGAGGTTAAGGCGGAGCGCGTGGCCGACTTCAGCGCCTTCGTAGACGAGTACTTTAAGCGGACCGTCTACGTCGACGACTGCTCATCGTGGTACCGCGGCGGCAAGAAAGGCGGGCACATCTTCACGCTGTGGCCCGGGTCGACGCTGCACTGCATCGAGGCGCTACGGGCCCCCCGGTGGGAGGACTACCACCTGGAGCCGATTGAGCCGGCGGGCAACTCGCTGCGGTGGCTGGGCAACGGCTGGAGCCAGACGCAGCTGGACGGCGACCCGGCGTGGTACATTGAGCCCCAAGCCGTGGACCCCCCGATCGAGGGCAAGCCTGAGGAGAAGGAGCAGTTCCGGATGCGGCCCTTTTCACATTGATGCGGCAACGGCGCCGATCCGCGGGTTGGGGGGGGGGATGTTCTTGAGGTTCCCTGGGGCGGAAGAGGAGATGATGAATCGGTTGTGTACTTTACTTGTTCCTATTCCTATCTAACAACACTTGGACTGCGATTGATGCAGCTCGGCTCATCGCAACCTGCTTCATGCATGCCGCTTTCAAAAGTCGCATCGTCGACGAGTTTCGTGTCAAAACCCTTGCTCTGGAGTCGATGAGATACGCAAATGAAGGTCATCGTTGCGCCTTGCCTCTTCAAGGGGCCGAGAGGGCACGAGGCAAGCTGCCGTCCTAACCTGCCGGGCTGTCAATCCCCATGGAACCCCGCACCCGCGAGCCCCGGCAAGGTTTAATTAATGGTGGGCACGGTTAAGATGCGGGGTAGGAGGCGTGCCCACTGAGCCCCAGCAACCCTTGCGTCGTCCCTGCTCGACAAGTCGCCAGAATGAGCCACGCAAAAGGGTCTGCACCAGACGACGACGGGGCCGACAATGCCGCGCGTCCCGGCCGCCGGTGCCGCTGTTGCCCCAATGTGTTCCCCGTGAACTCTCGGGGCCGGGCATTGTGTCCCTATTTCCCGCCGATCGTGTTAAGCTCCGGCAAATCCGTGAATACTCCCTCAGGGTAAGTACGTCTACAGCACTTGCGCAGTTCGGGTTGTGCTTCAACTCCGAGACAGGGATATGCCCTCCAGCATGCCTGGAGCACAGGCAGACCAGGGGGATCAGCTGCTGTTAAAGCCCACAACCCACAAGGCAGCACTCGCCCTGACTTGATGGACTTTCTATCGAGCCAGCCCAAGCAGCAACACAACACTTCGAGCCCCAGCGATCTTGCCGTTACAAGAGTGCAAGAGAAGATTCAATGTCTTGGCGCACGAGATAAGATAAGAACAACCACTTCGAATTTCCTGAACCGCAGCCAAAATGAAAGTGCGTGGGCCTTTATGTTGTTGCCTTGTGCTTGCGCCAACATCGAAATCTCCGTACTAGAATACAGTTTGCGCTGACATTTGCGCTCTGCACCCTTGATAGGTCATCATCGTCGGCGCAGGTCCTTGTGGCCTCCTGCTCGCAATACTGCTTCAGAAGGATGGCATTGATGTCACCGTCCTTGACGGCGCTGACAAGCTCGACGACCAGCCTAGGGCAATTCTTTATGGCCCCTCGGCGACTGTCGAGCTCGAGAGAGCCGGAGTCTTCGAGCAGATCAGGACTGAGGGCTATTCGCCCACCAGTTACAGCTGGCGCACGCCCGACAGCAAAAGGGCTTGTAAACTCTCCATGCATGACGTACCTGAGTCTGACGTTATCCGACCGGCTATGATGGGCCTTGGTCGGGTGATCGAGATTTTGTATGATCGAGCCACAGCGAGTGGCGTACCTGTCACGTTCCAACACCTGGTCACAGGGCTAGGTCAAGATGAGGGCAAGGCCTGGGTTGATGTTCAGATCGGGGTGGACGGGCATGAGCGGCTCGAGGCTGACAACATCGTTGGCTGCGACGGAGGCAAGAGCACCATCCGTCGCACGCTCCTCGGGAAAGACGGCTTCCCAGGCATGACGTGGGACAAGCAGCTCATTTCCACCAACGTAAGTGTCTTTACCGGTGGCTCTCACCTTCCTTGCCAGACAACATCAAGCTCACATATAACAGGTCTACTATGATTTTGATAAGTACGACTGGGATGACGCCAATTTCACTATGCATCCTACAAACGGATTCCTAGCGGCTAGAATCACCAAGGATGGCTTGTGGCGTGTAACATATAGCGACACACCCGGCCTCGCAAAGGAAGAGTACGAGAAGCGCTTGCCGATGCGCTACAAGGAGATCCTTCCTGGCCACCCCGAGCCAGATCAATACAAGTTCGTCAGCCTGAGCCCCTACAGAGTTCATCAGCGCTGTGCTACGAAGTTCCGTGTCGGTCGCTTTTTACTTGTTGGAGATGCCGCTCATCTCTGCAGTCCATTGTAACTATGTCTTACACATGATCCTTTGTGCCACTGCCACCTCGCTGTATATGTTGACAAGCTTGACAGTGGCGGCCTCGGTCTCCCAGGTGGCATCGATGACGCGGGCGGCTTGTATGATTGTCTCAGCGGAATCCACAAGGGTCTTGCCGACGACACCATCCTAGACATCTACTCTGCCAAGCGTCGGGAGAAATACCTGGCCATTATCGATCCCACATCCGCCGCAAACATCAGGCGCCTCTTCACGGAAAATGTCGAAGAGACGATTGCAACAGACCCTATCTTCGAGCTCGCCAGGAAGGCAGAAACAGACAGGGCCTTCAACTACGCTCTTGCGAGGGTGAGTACACACCAGTTTCTGCGAACGTTGCGGAGTCGTATCACTGATATGTCACAGGGGGACCTTTCTATGCAGTACGACTTTACTCAACACTACCGCGAGGCAATACGCTCATAGCGGCTAGACTGGACTATGAAAGATTTCCGACTATTCAGATGGGGATAGTCGGAAATCTTGGGTAGGGTGGCTGCCCGAGGAAAGAACAATACGATAGTCCTGTGCAGTTATCATTGTGGCTGACTGGCAATTGATGGAGCGGACTACCGTTGCACACTATGTTCAGGTGTCGTGACGTGCGTGTCCCCATTACTCAGAGATCTGCTTTTCCCGCCCTATCCGATTGTCATCTGCCTTCAATCGGCCCAGACTAGCACCCCACTCCTTGTGTGTTACATCGCGATCACAAGCTAGTAATGGACCTCTCAGCCTGCCTTACCGATACCATCATCCAGGACAATAAGCTACGAAATTATCACATGAAGTTTCATCGATCCGGTGATTATGCTACCAGTGGTTGTCTTGAATCATTGTCATAAACTCAATCCAAGACCACAAGGCTATCAGCCATCACCTGCAAGATAAACGAGAAAGTCCTAAGTTAGTGTTCCACCGTCCAAACTGAGCATCAAATACACAAAATGCAACCAGCATTCCCGCGCCTGTACATAACCGCCAGTGACAGTCCTGTAATGGAAGCTAATACGACCGCCGTTCAGCACAAACCTCGCGACTGGTGTTGCCGACTCAGTTGTGACGGCTGAAGACAGCCCAACAGCGCCCAGCGCCGTTCAATCAATGTTCTCACCCATGAGGGCAAAGACCTCGTCGTCGGTGCTCGATTCAGGCATGGAGAATATGTACAATCCAAGGACGAGCGAGGCTTGGAACAGCGCCAGCATTGTAGGCGGCTTCACGCCATCTACAAATCTCCTGTATAGCACGAGGTGAAATATGCGCGCCGCGTAGAGGGCACATCTCCTTGCCGGTGGCGTGTGGACCCACGAGGAGCTGATGGCCTTGAGCGCAGACTTGGCAGCAGCCAGACCTGACCGTCCAGTGACGGCCTCGAACGTGGGCATGTAGCAGCCTAGGGAGAGGCAGCTGGCATGCCATGAGACATACTGTAGCACCCATGAGTGACGAGTCGAGACAATGCTTGCAGTCTTTGCGCTTGAATGTGGCGCTGACCAAGATTTGGCTATGCGGAGTGGAGGGGACCAAAGATGTAACCGAGGTGGCAACTAACAGCTCGGCAGTGAAAGGGAAGGCTTCTACAATATGGGCGGTATAACATGCCCTCGGAGAGGAGAACTTTGGGGATTCGCCGCGGACGGCGGACGGGGAACGGGACTCGGTGGTACCGGACGGCAAGGGCCGATGCGGGGTTGGAAAACCCCCGAGTCATTAGTAGTGGAGCACGTGGCATGGGCCATCAGTACCTAGAGGGGGCGAGGGGGTAATGGCCCACCCCCTGAATTAGCCCCCCCATCGTGAAAATGACACCTATACTTTAAGATTGCGCAGCACTACCAAAAAGCATAGCTGTAATTAATTTAATGGTATTTCTGTAATGTAAGGCTGGATGCCTTATAAGTCCTATATAAGGTACTGGAAGCCCTGAGTACGCCGTGCAGCGTACTGCTAGATCTTTTGAGGTCATTGGCAGAGTGGTTACAGGGCTCCGTACTTACAGTTAGGCTTAGCGTTGTAACGGTTATATAGATATATATAACCATAGGTGCGGTACTCGCGCCTTATCGTTATCGCGTACTTATATAAGAGACCTATAACTAACCTGCCCTATAACCGGCCCTTATCCCTGGCCCGGTCCTGCGGCCTGACTTGTTCATGCTCCTTGCGCCCCAAGCAGTCGTCCCCTGTTGGTCTGGCCGTCACACTCGGGGCATCGGACTCGCCAGAGCACCGAGTACCCATACATCTGCCGTCCACTTTGCCGATGGCTCTACGGCCCGCGGTATTCGGCTTAGGACATCGGTAACGATGCTTCGCCCGTCGTCTTGAAATGGCATGTTACGGGGACCAGCAATGTTGATATGATTGCTCGCATGGGCCGCTCAATAGTGTTACTGGTCACCCTCACATTCCCAGCCTCGTTCATTTTCACTTGATTAAAAGCCAACACGCAGGTCATCACAAAGCCCTCTTGCCTCTGTACCGAGCCACTACTTGAACTCTTTGCCTGCAATTCGTCTACATACACTCTCGGCCGCCAGGACCATGCCTCAAGCATTAAAGCAAGTCTTCACCCTTCGCATAGACCTGTTACCACCGTTGGAATTCGGCACAACATTCAATGGAGATCGTCGTTTCATTCCCATCACTGGAGGTGTAATTGAGGATAGCGACGGACGTGTCGTGGGCGAGATCTTAAACGGAGGCGGCGACTGGAGCGTAGTACGCTCGGATGGCGTTATCCACCTACATGCAAAGTACAGCATCAAACTCGAGGATGGCACGCTGGTAAACATCACCAATGAAGGGTTCGGCCGCGCCGCGACAGCCCCCGTGAGCGACATCTTCAGCGACGACCAAGCAGCAGCACCCCGTGCAGATCAAGGTGGTGCATGGTATATCAAAACGTGGCCTCGCTTCGAGGTCGCCCCCGGCAAACACGACTGGCTTAATAAGACCTGTTTTGTGGGTGATTTGCGGCCGCCGGAGAAGCCAAACCATGTCGTGGTAGACGTCTACGAGCTGCTCTAGAAAGACGGTCAGACTGAGTCAGAGTTTCAGTGCGCCACAAGAGAGCCACGAGATGATTGGAGTGTTTGCAGGAAGTGGAGTAAAGTAGGGGCCGTTGAGTAGGGTAAAGGTAGGCTCCACTCGGCTAAAGCCTCGGGGGAAGTCCGGGGATGCGAGCCGATGTAGATAGGAATGAGGCGGGCTCCGGAACTGAAGGAAGCCCTGCATCTCATAGTCGCTCCAAATGAAAGTTACCGGAATCAACTGCGTATTCCGCGTTTGTCTCTCACACGGATGCCCGTTGCATGTCGCGTTAATTACTATATCGTGCCCCTTCGTCCCTCGTTAATTTGCCCCCCCCCTCTCAGTACGCCACTACTGTGCTGGGGCAGGTGAGGATTCCTGTGATCAGGTGTTACGATCCTGCCTCCGGGGTCAGCCGTCTGGCAGGGCGCTGGGGTTGCTGTTCCGCAAGATAGGTAAAGCCTGTGCAATAACAACTAACACTCTGCTGTCGTTCTCTCTCTGAGTTGTCGTTCGTGTCTCTTAGAAGAGATATCAGTCTCGGCAATTAAGTAACTAGTTCAAGTGTGGGTGAAACTGATACTTAGATTGATCGCTGAAGTACAAAGGTAGTAACTGTGTATCTAGGGGATCCTTCGCTTCTATATATCCTTTGTCCTTCATCGTTCCTTATGTGGTTATCGTTCCTTGCGTGACGGTTATGTCGTAAGAGGTGACCGTCGCGCTTAGCGGGATAATAGTCATATAGATATGCATGACTATTAGTACCGTACCCGTCCCGGGTCTTATCGGTCCCCTAACTAGTAGGGGTCCGAACCTGACCATCATTCCCGGCCGGGTTGGCCTCACTTTCGGCGATTCCTGGTGGGACAGGGGGCCGGGGGCACGGGCCATTGAGCCCATTCCGGTACCCCAACTAACCCCAGATTGAGTTCATTCCGGCCAGCGAAAAATGGGCTAACCCACAGCTAACCCAACCCCAAGCCCAACCCCAACTAGCAGGGGTCCGAACCTGTGGGGCCCAGTGGCGCCCTCATATGCGTACATGCACAGGCCGCACGACGACGAGGGAGGCGCGTCAGACTGCCAGAGCAAGCAGGCAGGCAGGAGGCGCGCGCAAAAGAGAGAGGCAGAGAGAGGAGGGCCAAAAAAATGCCACGCCTAGGAGTCGAACCTAGCTCTTCAACTGTGACTAGCTCGAGCGTCCGGGTCGGATGGCTCCACAAGCTCAGGTCAGGGACCCTTATTCCTGCGGCCGACGTGGGAATGGAGAGCTATATAGCAGTGACGTCATGACCGCTAGACCAGCGAGGCTCTCTGGCTGTTTGTTGAATAGTCAGTCGCTTATTTGGATATATAAGGCTCAGGCAGGCAGGCAGGTCGGCAGGCAGGTCGGCAGGCTGGTCGGCAGGCAGGCCGGCAGGCAGGTCAGCAGGTAGTACGGCGGCAGCGGTAGCAGGTCGGCGGAGTAGTGGCAGTTCGTCGGAGCCGGTAGCAGGTCGGCAGGTAGTTAACATAGCGAAAATACCTCCGAAGCGGAGGAAGGGGTGCCGGCAAAAAGAGCTACCCACTTGAGAATCTCTACGAGACGAAGAGATTCTCAAGTAGGCGCAGTAATCCGGCCCGGAGTTGAACCAGGGATTCCGCTTAGCAATTGCTAGCGACGTCTTACCGCTTGACCACCGGGCCTGTTTGTTCTTAAGAGACTGGCTGCTTATTTGGATATATAGGGTCTGGCCGTGGCAGGCTGGCAGAGGTCGGCAGGTAGGTCGGCGGCGGCGGCGGTAGCAGTTCGGCGGCGGTAGTAGTTCGGCAGAGGTATAGTAGTTTAGCGGCGGTAGTAGTTCGGCGGCGGAGGTAGGTCATTCCCGGCCCGGAAGGGTACGGGCTATTAAGTTCATTCCGGTACCCTGAGTTCATTCCGGCCAGCGTAAATGTGCTAACCCCTAGCTAACCCAACCCTAACTAGTAGGGGTCCGAACCTTAACCCCCCCAGCTCAGCTACGCGTGTACGGCTAGGCACTGCTGCGAAAAGGGGGACAAGGTAAGTAATAGGTAATAAAAAGGAGATAAGCGCGTACGCGTAACAGCGCGAGCCCGGGGAGTCTAAAGGGGAGAGGGGACGCGCGTAAGAGGAGATAGAGGGAGGAGGAGAATGAAACGGACGCGCGCGCGCATTTCGATTGAACTATAATACTAGCTTAGGGTCTCTTCCCAAGAATATACGCAAGAGTCGAAGATCAGAAGTAGTACCGAGAAGAGAATCGCATACGACAGGTAGTACTCCACGATGGACCGCAGCAGCCAGGGAGGCGACTACGAGAGCGATTACGGCAGCGCCGCGCAGCAGCGGCAGCAGCAGCAGCAGGAGGACGCGAGAGCTACAGCAACGACCGAGCCAGCAGTAACACCAGAGCTCTATCTATATCGGGCAAGCCGCGTACTAGTCTGCACACTATGTAGGGCAGGAATCGCAGCGGCCGTAGGTGGTGTAGTTACCCACTACCGACAGAGGCACCAGCTTAAGGGCGGCCAGCTACGGGCAGTCAAATCGGCGGCAGCGGGGCCGGACAGCGGCGGCGGAGGTCAAGTCTGGGAGGCCCACATGGCGGCGTACGAGGCTAAAGCGGCCGCCGAAGAGGCGGAGCGGGGCCGGATTATCGACTACGAGGCCGGCGTCGACTATGAGTCGCCGTGGGTGAGCCAGATGGGCTGGGCGGCGCATCTGGCCGGCAAGGATATGGCGGAACTACGGCGCGCCGCCGAGCCAGGTCTATCGACGAAGGAGCTAGCTAAACTAAGCTGGTCCGTCCGGAAAGAGAGGGAGGCTTCGGAGGCGACGCTCGTACGGCTGGGCCAGAGCTTCAACCGGGTAATCGAGCGGTGTAGCCGGCGGATCGGCCAGGTACCCGTGGAGACGCTCTGCTGGCTAGCAAGCCGCGACCCGAACCGGCCGTCGCCGCGGCCGTTCCGCGTTAAGCAGGAGGCGCATACGATGGAGAAGTACCGGAGCTACTGGCGGCGCTATCTCTGCTACTGCGTCCGGGTCTTCCGGCTCGGCCGTACGGAGGCGAGGAGGAAGCACCAGGTCCAGTTTACCGACCAGCAGTGGGCCGCTCTCGAGGCTATTATAGAGGCTCTCGATAGTACGGAGGAGGAGAGCTCCCGGGTAGGGGGCGGCGGCGAGGAGGAGGAGAATCGCGAGGGCGACGGCGACGACGGATATCTAGACGAGGCCGTCTTCACGTTCTGTGTTCTGTCGCTTACGCAGCGGGTACTAGTACAACCGTACGTAAACCCGCTACTACACTTCACTACCGTACTCGCGATCGACCCCGTCCGAGCACGATTTCGGCCGCCGGCCGAGTTTACAACACTACTAGCGGGTCTAGCGTGGTGTAGCCGCGTACTACTACTAGAGTACTTCTTCGAGCACGTCCCGATCCAGGAAGAGGATAGTACTACGGACTCCGGCGAAGGGGAGGACGAAGGGCGTAGCCAGCTCCAGGCTAGGGATATCGACGCATTTATGGACGGCTATCGGCAGTGGATCGCAGACGGCTCGTACAGCCCGTTCAGTACGCTAACCCGGTTCTTAACGATCGGAAAGGGCTACCGCCAGAAGGAAGGGGGGGCAGCACGGATTATCTGGGAGGACGGGAAGCAGGCGCTCCGGCTACACGGCTTCCGGATCGAGGTCCAGAACTTCCGGCGGATGGCCCAGGGGCTCGTCTCAACAGCCGAATCGGCGCTCGACGGGCTTCTGTACGGCCAGTCGGCGGTACTACTAGGACGGATCGAGCTTAGCAAAATCAACGACAGCGTAATGTACGAAGGGGGTGGGAAATCGTTCATCTCAAACCCGCAGAACAGCTGGCTTCAAGCCGGGCCCCGCGTCGTTGCCGAGCTCGTTTCGGAGAGGCTCTGGTCGTCCCAGCGGCAGCAGTACCACCGGGAGCGGTCGCAGAAGTGGCTAAACCAGATCGGAACGCTGAAGAGCCAGCTACTCGTACTAACGCACGTCTGGGGAGGCCAGCCAGGCCGAGGGCCCGAGATCACGAGCGTGCGGTATCTAGATACGAAGCAGCTAAGCCGGAGCGTCTATATCTTCGACGGGCAGGTAATGCTCGTAACGGACCGAGATAAGGCCAAGTCGATCCGGGGCTACGGCCGAAAGGTCGCACGCTTTCTCCCGGAACGGGTCGGGCAGCTACTTGTCGTCTATCTCGTCTGGCTAGTCCCGTTCGAGGAGATGCTTCTCGATGCGATTCGGGCTCGAAAACCGTCGGAATCGCTGCGGCACTGGCTATGGAAGGACGGCCGGAAAGGCCGCTGGGGAACGGACGTGCTTACGAAGGAGCTTAGGGCAGCTACGGCGGGCTATCTCGGCGTCGAGCTAGGTACTTCGACGTACCGCCATCTCGCGATCGAGCTAGGCCGTACGATTCAGGGGCTTATCGTACAGCAGAAGGAGCTCGAGGTCGGCGCGGCCGATGACGGATACGGGCCCGAGGATGAGGAATTCGACGAGGCTACTGGCGAGCTACGACCGAGGGACCGGACGGAGGTAATCTGGGATCTGCAGGCGACACACAGCAGTGCCATGGCACGATCGCACTACGCGATCAACATCCAGTTCCCAGGGCAGCTACAGCCGCAGATGATCGCCAACTACCGCGAGATCAGCCGGCTCTGGCACCAGTATCTGAGCTGGGATAGCCAGGGTAAGGGCAAGTCGCCGGACCAGGCGCAGAAGCGGACGAGGAAGCGGAAGCGAGAGTCTACGGAGGCCGAACTCCCAGGTAGGGAGGAGACGATAGAGTCGAGCCCAGAGCCGGCGAAGCAGAGGAAGACGCTCCCAGAAGCCGTCGGGGAGGTCCGGCGCCGGGTCCAGCACGGGCTCGAATCGATTATTGGGGCCGGTGCGCGCTGGAGGACGGCAGAACAGGAGCAGGCCATGGTCCGGATCATACAGATGCGAGGCGGCTCCGTACTCATCGTCGTACTACCGACGGGCGGCGGCAAGAGTCTACTATTTATGGTCCCGGCGGTACGAGGGTTAAACGGCGGCGTTAGTATCGTCGTCGTTCCGTTCGTAGCGCTGATCGACGATCTCGTCGCGCGGGCACGCTCGTTCGGGATCGACTGCGTACGCTGGAGGTCGGCTGAGGAGGAGGGCCGGGAAGCTAACTCGCTCGTGCGCGTGGCTAGTCTAGTCGTAGTCAGCGCCGACCAGGCAAGCAACCACGAGTTCT